CCTTATTTACATCCTAGCAACAAACCCCTGCTAATTCGTTCTAAAAGTCCTGATTGCAAGGGAAATCTTGTTCTTCTGCGCGGCACTTTATCAGAGGGCCTCAAGAAGAACCTCCTCACAAAGTTGATGGGCATATTTGGCGACCTCAGCAACCGAATCCAACCTATCAACGGGGGAGAGAAAGAACTAAAAGTCCCTTTCCTTGGTCTCCACTTTGACTGGTACAATCGTTACAGCACCAATGTACGTAGGTTTAATACCTCTCTGAATAATTTACTGGCTAAGTGTTTGTTTTACAGGGAGACGATGCACCTGACGATATTCACCCAGCTGAGCTTAGCAAGCAGGGTCTCAAAAGGCGATCGACATTCTCCCTGTTTGTGCCGCAACCGTCGGAAGAAATGAAGAGGTTTCCAAAGGCGTACGAGGCACTCAAGGACAACTTTGCCCTGGCTTTTGAGGAAATAAGAGATATAGTACCTTCCCTTCCACAATTTGCTGAATGCCCCAAGTCTGACGCCCTAATTTTCATAGCTGCAAACCTTGGTACCCAAGGAATACAACATAGAGAAGATCTTTGCAGAGTTTCTACCAGGCGATGAAGTCTCCCCTGTATTTCCCTTCAGTGGTGTCGTGGTCAATCTCAACGTTCAAACTATTGAGCACCGTGATGGCATGGACACTCTGATGTGTCTTGTTCTTGCTATAGGAAGCTTCAGGGATGGAGACATATGTCTACGGGAGGCTGGCTTGCGATTGCAGCTCAGGAATGGGGACTGGCTTGTCTTTGACTCGAAAAACATAACTCATTTTAACATGCCTTATGTAGGTGAGAGGGCGTCTTTTGTCCTGCACTCAGACAAAGCTGGAGAAAGCTGGATTAAGAACCGTAACGGTTGGATTAACAACTCTAGTTTCATGTAGATACATAGTACTTATTTTTGAAGTAATAGATTTCAAGAGAGCGGACAAACTTTAAATTCACCGATATTTTCAACGATATTCAGGGAGACTTTTCCTTACGTCTTTGGCATACCGTACCTCTTTTCAACGTTGACCTCTCTCTCCTTCCTCCATCCATCTTCCACCTCACCGCCCACTATGGCCAGAGTGACAAGGTCTAACACAGCTGCTGTCTCTTCACCACCCCCGACAAAGAAGGCGAAGAAGGGCAAAGGCAAGGCTGAGGCCCAGGATGAGGATGTGGATGACTCGGGCGTAAAGTCCAAGGCCAAGATGAAAGCACAGGCTACCGCCGCAAAGGTCAAGGCTAAGAAAGCTAAAAAGGCAGAGCAAGAAGCCAAAAGCAGTGGTACGTGCATCATGCTCAGGCAGTCTTAGCTCATGCTTTCTTGATGGCAGAAATCCAAAAGCGAAATGCAGATGTCTTATCCCGAGAGAACTCACAGGAGACGGGCCAGACTAGTCTCGGAAAGCGTTCCATATCATCAGCACCTGACAGAGTGTTGCCCAAGAAGCGGAAAACAGAGGAGGGTGTCCCTAACGCTGACGAGATAGATGGTCTTCAAGATGATGAGGCTAGTGCTAGCGATACTGCTGGTGATGGTCTTGCGGCCAGATTGAGGGGCTTGGCTCCCAAGAATGCGGCTAAGACCATATATTCTGAAGACGGTGACAATCAATGAACTGGTTCTCCCTTGATTGCTAAATCATGGCCTTTTGAGCAGATGAACCACCTGTGGAATTCAAGTCTAAGAAGCCTGAGGAGGACGAGGACGAGGACGAGGACGAGGAGGACGTGGACGTGGACGAGCCATCCGACAAGACCAGTGGCTCAGGCAGTAGCAGTTCCATGGAGGACGAGGAGTCAGATCTTGATGTCAAATCCAAGAGGCGTAAGTCGAAGAAGAGCCAAGTTGAGGAGGACTACGACATAGAGGTTGTTTCACTGCTTTGCGTGCTAACCAAGCTAATGACTCTTCAACCAGATGTTCCCGTTGAAGAAGAAACCTCACAAGAGAAGCGCCCAGGTCACTTCCCTTTCTCTTTCACTAGAGATGAAGCTAACCAACATTTGGCAGACTGTAGCAGAGGATGGCGACGATGAGCTAGTTGGTCGCAGACGGGTTCTAAAGAGGAAGCGTGGTACAGGCCGTCGGAAGGGACGTCGTGGTCCTAAAATCAACATTGAAGACTTCAAACCTTATCCTGAAGCACGACGCATTGCAATCAAGGCTAGGGAAGCCATGCGATGTCACATCTGTCTTCAAGAAGCCTTCCCACGCAACATCAATAACTTCATCTGGGACCTAGTACGTAGTACATGTGATTCTCCCAATGAGATCAAGTACCTCGACGGTCTGGAAGAGGCTGAGCTGGATGACGGCGATGATGATGAAGATATCAAAGCCATGTTGATTACCTATGTAAGTTCAATGTCGTCTCTCTCCCTTCAGAAACCTTCCAGCTTATCTTTCCCTCTTCACCGTCCCTCTGATGCTTAGATCAGCTACGTGGGACCATTGATGAGGAATGCCGTGAAGGATCGTGCCACCTTGTTGGCGCCTGGGAACTATCGGTTTCTTGGCCCAGGTTCAGACGCATCCAGCATTAAATCAAAGGTAGCCTTTCTGTTGGAAAAGGGTCACCTTCATTACGCTGAAGTGAACGCTCTGGTGAGTTTGTTTCTTATTCTCACTTGGATATGAGAATCACAACTTTCATTTAGAAGCGAAGCTTTGACGCTCAAGCTCCTTTTGGCAACAGTGCCATAGCTGATGTTATTCGAAGGGTATTCTTTGACGGCTCAGGCAGTCTGACAACCCAGATGGCCTTTGGCAAAATGCTGCAGCTTAAGGCCATACCGAAGGCCCTGCTCGCCTTGGTAATCGCAGCTGTGAGTTCCCTTCCCGACCTCGTCTCTTTAGTACTACGTATACTGATTATTTTTTGTTCAAGCTTCATCATGCAGTTAACGAATATCGTGATGGATACCGTACGGAGGTCAAATTCAAGACAAACATTGTCAGGCCTATGTGAGTAATATAGTACTCTGGTTATCTGTTCTGATTTGACTGAGGGTGATTGCAGTTACGAGCATTATATGGCCAGGCTTAATTATGTCGAGCAGAAGTCGCCAAACTGGTTCAAGAAGTTTCAAGAGTCTTTATGGCGTGATATAATGTTTGTCCATCTTTCGTCCATCCCTTCATTTCAAATGACCTTTGCATATCAGGAATATTTCCAAGCCAGGATTCTTGCATGCTCATGACTACGGTGAAGATCCAGCGGACGATTTTGATGAGGTGGATTTTGACGCCCTAGAGGCAGGCCCTGGCCGGTCAACCTCCAAGTCTAGTACTGCATCATGTACTTCATCTGTGCCTGCCTCTGCCGCTACCTCGTCTACACCTGCCCCTGTCTCTGCTTCTGGACTAGCTTCACAAACACTCTCCAGAAGTCCAACTCCAGTCCCTAGTGCATCGTAGATATCACTTCATTTCTGTTCCTTCCAGCATACATACATACTATACCTACCTTACTATACAAAGTCATCTAATACCCATTCTGCCCTGCTCCAGTATGCAAATGCCAACACCAATTTGGTGGTGATTTTATGAAATCAATGTGAATTATTTCTGTATTGCTCTAATACTACTCTTTGGGTATACTTCCAAGCTTCAACATCTTCAACCTCTTGCATACAGGATATGATCTCTGGTGACTAAAGGCAGATTTTGATTTGGACTAAGTTCTTCACATGTCTTGCAATGGATTTCTATGTTGAATGATGGCTATGAAATCTTTTGATAGGTTGGACAGGTTTGATTGCTTTGAGGGCTTCGGTGGCTTTCAAGGATTTGAAAGGTTTTGGGTCTTTCCAATCTTTGGGTCTTTCGTAGGTGACAAACGACGTCAAACAAACCATACATTAGGATTAGCTCAGGGAAAGAGTCAACATTTATGTTCTGATTGCTTTAACATTTTGATATCCAGTTGAACCTTTGTTTGAAATCTTAGTTGGCTTGCAGAGGTTTAATGGCTCCTGTCAGCTTATTTATGCTCTGGGCAGCTTCTGTCGGGCTTCAAAGCCCAGGGGGTTTTTCCTGATGAGATTGAATTTGGTTGACGGATTTGCTGATGTAGTACGTATTTCTTGTGCGGAGCTATAGTAGGGTTGAGGTTCCAGCGCGCTGCTACTACCTCGCGGCTTGGGAGAACACAATCGCCTTCCTCTAAGTATGACAACAATGACGATGAGAGATGCGAGGAGCACTGCATAGGGGATAGTGATGGCGGCGATGAGCCCTACACTCAGTTTCTGCCTGTTGTAAGTTGTAAGTTAAGTATGGGATTAAAGCGTATGGGCGGACCCTACGTTGGAAAGGATCCGGAGTTCCCATTTGCACAGGTATTGGAAGGGTGGCTCGGCCTACCTGAGCTTATGGTCCGTGTTAAGCCAATGACATTTACGTAGTCAATCGCGAAGGTATGGTTGTCCGATGTTGGTAAATATTGAAGGTCCAGGGTATGGGTTCCGTATCCTAGAGAATCGGCATGGAACAGCAACATTTGTGGTGTATAAAAGGCCCTGGCGGATGAAAATAGCCGTAATGGACCTTCGTCTATTTGAACGGTGTATGGTGCACCCAACGGATTAATGGGCCCAAATAACTGGATGCCATCGCCTGAAAGAACATAATGATGTAAGGAACTATGAAATCTCGGATGTAAGAGTGACTGCGACTCAGAGACCCTGAATATCCTAGTTAGTGATGAGTTTCACTCAAGCGTCGACAAGACTAAACACACTTCAAATGTATAGGTGAACCCACCGCTTGAGGGGCCGCTTATTGCACTGAAGAGTCAAGTGAGTAATGTAGTGGAGGAGGATCAGCGTCACTGACTGTCCGGAGCCTCCATTAAATGTGCCTAGTTGGTCGGGCAGAGTTGACCAAGCAGAGGGCGGATTGTATACGAATGAAGGGTCTGTATCCTGATAGGTTGTGAATATCAACTGGTCCCCTTCCGTACCTATCTCAGAAATCCAAGTAATCTGTCGGACACCGGTGGTGAGCGCCCGGATCCTCTCCAAAGAATATGTGTGTGGGGTCTCCACGACGTGGAATACCTACGGAGTCTATGTCTAACCAGACTTGTGACTTGTCCAAAGGTTGGTGTGTAAGGGTGATTGTATGCAGTGCTTGCGGCAATTTTGACAGAGCGAACAAGCTCTGCCGGTACTGGTAATTGACAGGACTGTTGACCGAAGTATATGCAGTGCCATTGATCGCAACATCGTAGTTCCCGCGTTCCTCTTTCCGCGACCCGAAAATTTGTACCCCGGTCCCATTGAAGGAGAATGTCATATTCGTGCCTGTTGTCGAGGTTACAGTAAAGCTATGTCCCGCGCTCCTACAACGATGGTAAAGTGCTTGTCGCGTCACGGAGGATTATTGGTGAACTGACATTGATATCCCCGTAGAGTCTATCTCAGCGGTGGGCTGGAACCAGTTACCGTTGTCAGAATATGAGATTAGGGGACTGGGGTCGTCAATAGTAGTGGTAAGAGAGGGCATCGGACCAGCCAGTGTAGCTTGAGCGCAGAGGAGTTGTTGACGTTGTGCCGTCCCCCTGGGCTCCTTATACTTGCCATTGCTATTGTGAGTTGAAACAGGTAGTCCGACGTAAAATGGACTGGTGAAATATGTGCATTCAGGAATGTAGGAACTACAAGCAGCAGCACCTCATTACCAGGAATTGTTCCTTCTCCTGCTGGGCTTTGCTCACAGACTCCCCCAGATAGACGTGCTCAAGAGGACCTCACCTCATTTCAAAGTGCGAGCTTGCTAAGTCGCCGCATACCGGAAAGCAACGGCCGAGGAAGGCTTGATCTGATGAAGATGCAAATCAGAATACCATTAACACCACATAGCCACCCTGGCTTACGATTATATATTATACCGCAGCCCAGGCCCCAGACTAAGTTTCGGAACCATGGGGGGACCTCATAGTTGTGGCGTCCAAGTTGCACGTTGTACGGTCTTCAATTTCTCGCCGCCGGGAACCCATGAAGACCATATAGGCATTACATTCTGGATGTGATTAACGGGTACTAGGCCTGGTTCCTCGACGAGGGGCCAGGTCATTTAAGTTGGTAATCGCTAGTCTTTTGTCCACGCTAAGCCGTGTCCTCTTCAATAGAGAGTTTGCGAAAGCCACCCAGGTGGCTTTGTCAGCCACCGAATGCCCAAATCGAGCGATTTTCGGCTTGCGCAAACTGGTGGCTGGTTTGACAAGCACTTACTCCTTCAGTTGTTGGAGCACAAATTTAATTTCTGTGGCATAATAAGCTCATAAGTGCAGCTGTGAATGCGCAGTACAATACAGCTAGCCTGCTGCTTGGAGGAGAGGCTACAGTTGATTATCTCATATTGCATACCGTCGGGAGACGTCCTGGGCCAATGCATTATGAGAAATATGCAATGCGAAATTGTCACATTGTGTGATATCAGCTGATATAATATGTGACAGTTACTATATCCGGCAGAATCATCTATGCCCCACCATTCTTGTCCATCGCCGCGTCGAGGAAACCCTCTAAGGTACTCTGCTTGAGTCCAGCTCTGATCTCACTCCGTAAATGTCCCCGGAATTTTCGGAGCTCTTGTGCAAGAAACGAGCTTCGTTCTGATGCAAGGGCAGGGTGGATACAAGACTTCTCCAACTGCTCGCACAGATGTAGAAGGTCAGCCTTTGGTACGACTGGCTCTTCTTCATCATCGGAATCATCTGACTCCACCACAACCACATCTCCCCCCTCGTCAGCAAGCTGATGTCGCGCTGTATCAATGATTGCCTTATCGCCAGCCGGTCCATCAAATTCTTCATCAACCTCCTCGATGATGTGTTCCTCCTTTGGATTGACCAACTCCTCCAACTTGGGTGGTTCGCCAGAAATCCGGTAGCGCTGTTTGAGCGTTTGAACGGCCTCCATTAACTCCTTTTCAGTGTTCTCGCGATCTGAGTCAGGAGGATAGCGAGGCGGGATTTTGATCATCAGCTTGGTGCGTGGTGGGATCGTGATCGTGAGTTTTGCATCTGTTGTTACGAACTTCTCTACAGCTGCTAGCGCAGCGTCCGTATCATCCTCAGCATCCATTACAGCCTTGAATACCTCCCGGTAATCTTCGTCGTGATATTTCTCACCAAGCCTCTCTTGGAGCAGCTGCTCAGCTTGAGGGAGTGACATGGTACTTGAAGTAGCAAACTGGCGAAGTATGTCCGCTGCATCTGCATGAGTAGATGGGCTATCGGAAGTAGGCCCCTGGGCTTCAATAGATGCTGTGGCCCCTCGCGAGTCCTGGATTCTTGTATGTCTCCAGCAGTTTATAATTGTTGTCTTGTCCACTGCGTTCCACGCATCACGAGCCATCTGCATGCCCTCCAATAATGTTAGCCTGTAAATTTCTACCTCGCCCGCTTCGTCAAGGTCAATTGCACGTAAACAAAATGATCGCCTATAGTGCGCCTTGAAGCAGCGGATGATTCCCGCGTCAAGAGGTTGAACAAATGACATGAGATTTGGCTCAAAGAAGGCCAGTTCAATGTTGCGCGGCTCGTATGTGATGAAGTGGCCTGAGAAATTGTCCAGTGACAAGACGACATGACGATTCTGTAAGCGGAACTGTAAATCAAGCTTCTTGATGTATCTAATGCCTCGTTTCGTTAGCATTGAGCTTTCCCAGTGATGAGAAATATCCTGACGTACTCCTCAAAGAAATACGATGTCATCCAAGCCTTCTTGTTGTTACGGTAATAAAATCCCAAGGTTTCAGGCTTCTTCTTGTTGAAGCAGCGAGGCTGTTTTGACTTGCCAATGAAGAAGGGAGGAAATTTCTCCCCTACGGCACTGCACAGAAATCCGACTGTGATACAAAACTTGTCCTTCTTTTTGCCGCTCATTTGCTTTGTTGCTAGGCCACGATCAGGAGGTGCGAAGGCAAATAAGCTCGTCTCATCAAAGTTGAGCTGGTCCTGCGGAGAATATTTGCTCAGAATTGCAGCCATCCGGACCCGCTCTGCCTCGACTGCCGCCAAATCCACTGATGCAGCCTCCCCATGGCGCCGGATCTCCTTAATTTTGTACCTAGGTAAGACATCAGAATGGGTTTAGCCTACGGAGATAATCACTCACGCTTTGCAGAATGGAGCAACCCATCCTTCGCCTGTTAGGCATTCTTCTTTAGGCACTTCAAGCATCTCCTCGTAACGCTTGCGCTTCTCTCAAAGCATTGGCCCGGTTACCGTCTCACCCTTGGTTTCCATGTGCCGTACCCAAACAATCAAAGCCCTCTCAACATCTGGTCTTGTGACCGTACGAGGGTGTTTCGACAACAATGCATTTGGTGTTGAGTTGACACGCTCCTCCAACTTTGCACGGTCACGGATCTTACGTGAAAGTGTCGACTGGTCAAATGTTAACACACCCTCCCTTCGTGTCTTGAAGTGTTCAACGATATCTGCTTGCGCCGTGTCTGGGTGCTTGTCCATGTAATTGAAGACTGTCATCCAGTCACCAAGTGTTAGGTTCTGCCGTTTACGCTCAGCAATCGGCTTTGCTGTTGTTGCATGGTCTGCTTTTGCTGCAGGTGCCTTTGGCTTGCGATTGTACGGCTGGGGCTTGGGCCGCACCTTTCGAGTGGGTTCAGATGGAGGCATGGGGTCTTTGTTTAGTGGTTTGTTTTCTGTAATAAATTTGTGCTACCGAGTCGTCATTGAGGTGGCGCTGTACACCCTAATTTAGTCTAAAAAGGGTGTGCTACAATGGTGCCGGTGTCCCCCGACCCTTCATCCGGCGATGTAATAATGCAAATCCTCATTTGTGAAGCAATGCATTATGCATTATGCATTATGCACTATATTCCCCGCCTCCCGACGTGGTCCCCATGGAAAGTCAATGCATTACGAGAAATATGCATCATGAGCTAATCAACTGTACCAGCGAATTCTAAGTAGACGCCCAAAGCCACCAGCCGGTGAATTTCGGGTTTTTTGACTGGGAAGCCACCGAGTTCCGCAAGCTCCGGAAAAGCCACCCGGTGGCTTTCGCAAACTCTCTAATGGCGTCGCCTCCGCACCCTTAAGCTCAGAGTTAGGGAGAGTCAACGGATTCTTGGCCGTGGGCTTGCAATGGAAAGGCCATAGCGGAGCTTTGTCGCCTTCCACGCCACGTCTGATACCGCAAGAACCGCGGAGACCAATAACATCGCCGTCCGTGGCACCATAGACCTCCTCATCATCGGGGTTGACGTCTACCCAGATACTGAGAGCTGGACGAATTTTCGATAGAAGAGATAGGCAAGAGTTGTGGCAGAAGTACAGCGTGTCGTTGTGCCGAATATAGATAGGCGCCTATTCTTCCCAACACCGCGTTGTCTCCTTTACTAGTGACATTCATCATGTCGTACTCGCCTGGTGCTAGTAGCGGGTCCCACTACTCCCACAAATCTTCTAGACCATATCCTGGGAGGGAATTATCCCCAGATGAGGAGGAGCGCAAGGGCCTGCTCACCGCGCACCCTGTTACTCTCAACAAAGAAGCCCGAGATTACTATGACCTTGAAGACCAGACACCCCGCTCCTTGTCCCGGAAACAAATCATATGGATAGCGACTGGATTCATAGCGCTTCTAGTATCAGGAACGTTTGTTCGGACACTACTAATCCCTCCTCATCCGAATCAGGCGTTTGTTGGGGAGAAGCTAAGGTCCAATGGGACACATGATTTCAGGCGAACGGTTGTGCTTGTCTCCATAGACGGCTTGCGGTATGTTGCATCGGGTTCCGAGTTGTTCGGATGTCATTTTACGGTTGTACCAGAGCGGACTACCTGGATAGAGGGTTTACGCCTCATCTGCTCGATATAAGCAAGCAAGGAATTAGAGCCAAGTTCATGCGCCCCATATTTCCAGTACGTCCAACTTCCTACTTCTTCGCAACAAGAAGCTTTCACAGAAATCGCGAGCGCAGACTCTAACGTTCCCGTGAGTCACTCCGTAGAGCAAGCCCCTTTATTCGCTGGAATCTAATACACTTCTTAGGAACCACTGGTCTCTCATGTAGGGCCACTCTTACCTCCGGTTTCCCTGGTGAACTCACTTTGCGATAGGACGGGTCTTTACGCCGAATCTCATGGCATCGTCGCCAATGTGAGTCATTCTCCCGCCAACCACTAATGACTCTGGTCAATATCGAATCAGAATTTCTGGGACCCCGCCAGCCGTACCGAATTTCATTACAATCAAGTGAAGTCATGTTGGAACTCTTCTTGGTGGTCCGGTGAGCCAGTAAGTCTCGTTTCTGTATGCAGTGCGTATCAGCGGTTTCTGACCCGGATTCTCCTCTGCGTAGATGTGGGAGACTGCTCGTCGAGCGGGAATGATCACGGCTAACCTCATGTGGTATGTGTAATAGTTGACCTTGTAGCCTCTGACTAGATGCCGAGACCACAACAGGCCCGGTCCGCCCAAGACAAGTTCTGGTGCCGAGTCGACATTCTTCGTTCCGTGGAAGGTCGGTCCTCGCCTACGTATCATAGCACTGAGATATAATGTCTCATTCCCTTTGCCATAGGACAAGGTTCCCTTGAAAGCGAAACTCGACCAAATAATCTCATGGATAGACCTCCCGCTTCAAGAGCGGCCCCAGCTAATTCTAGGTGGGACACAATCTTCATGCTACATAAAGGTATCGTGACATGTCTTCTTTCTAGCGTATGAGCCGTCTCTTGACCAAGCTGGACATGCCACTGGTCCAATGTCTGCTCTTGTAAATGTCAGTAATTGCGTGCATGTGAGCTTTCGTCATCGCTAACTCGTTTATCTATTGTACCTTTCCAGCAAACCCTACGACAAGTCGACGTTTTTGCGAAGGATCTTCACACACAACTACAGGCTCGCAACCTCACTGACATCGTCGATATTGTTTTCGTCAGCGATCACGGCATGACCGACACCAGCCACCCTGAGCTCATATTTATGGACGATATCCTTGGTTCTGACGGTCTGAAAATGATTGAGCACGAAGACGGGTGGCCTTCGATGGGTTTACGATTCCGCCCGCAGGCCAACGCCTCCTATTATCTCGAGAAGTTGATTCAAGCTTCGGAAGCGAACGGTCATAAATTCGATGTATATACACACGAGACCATGCCGGAGAGATATCATTTTTCGCACAACGATAGGATTGCACCAATCTACGTCGTACCAAAGATGGGGTATGCCCTTACAACTTATGAACAGGGCAATGTCGGGATGAGCAAAGGAGTACGTCTTCTGGCTATGCTCAACATTTTTCAGCTCATCGTTACTTTTGCAGAACCATGGTTACGATAACATGGAACCTTCGATGCGCGCTATGTTTGTAGCACACGGTCCATTCTCCGCCGTGGCCAAGGTCCTTCACCACTCCGCGTCCTCTTCCGCTCATTTCTTGTCGCGCCCCAACAAGGGATGGCACTCAGCATCAGACGATACATACATCATGGACGGCTTCCAGAACGTCGAGCTGTATAACCTTGTTATGAAGTTGCTTGGTATCCAGCGGTACGCGGCGAAGAACAACGGAACGATTGGGTTCTGGGATAGGTACTTTTGATGATTCGGATTTTGGACTGTCTTTGCTTTCTTGCAATAGAGCGCTGTATTTACTATGAATATCTCTTTATCTCTAATCACCTCGACTAATGGAATCTCTACTATGGGTGCCCTACGCGATATCCTCCGTGTTTTCGGGCGTGGGGTCTTAGAAGTTAGGACCCGTCGTTTGGCTGAAACGCTCCTCAAGGAGGCTTAAGCGCTTAAGCATTCAAACTCAAATCGGGATCATCCGGATTCCGAGCGTCAGTAATCGCAGCTAGCCTGCTGCCCGACCCATCCAGTAACCGATCTCATGAGCCTGTAGTTCCATGGAGCCCAATTCTTCTCAACCATGCCAGAGTGACATCTATCCTGCAAAGCAATTGAAACGGGTCAAAACGTTCGCACTCATACACTAGACCGCCAATGGTACGGGGACCTTCAGGCGACATCATGGCTGTATACCATCGCAGGCAGTACGCATCGACAAACACCCCGACCCAGGTTGTTGTGGTGCAATCAGCTCAGTGCGTGTTTGTCACAGACGGGATCCTCATCATGCTGAGCGAACAAAATGAAAGGCCATATAAGCAGATAGATCACATACACACTGATGGGTATTCTAGTAGCATTGACATTGTGGTACCCGAGTGAGTTCAAACAATGAACACGGCCTACGCTGCGGATAACTAAACCTTCGTGAATGGAGTCTTTTGTCGACCAGTGAGCGTACCTCCCATGATAATCGCAGAATCCAGATGGACTTTCGAAAGTGGTCAACAATCCTCTCTGCAAGTTATCGTTATGCGGGATCGTCTGCGACATAATATCGGCACACGACAACGATTACATGCTCGCCGTTCCGCGTTCGTAAGTCCGTTGACTCGCCCATTTTATATCGCTGGGTTAGGCGGCCGATGTGCCTGTGAACGTATTCTGTTCGAGATAATGGTCAGAGTTGAATTCAACATGGTGAGTAACAGTACCCACATCTAGAGACCGGATAACTAGATGAACATACCAGATGTAGGAGGTACAGGCGTGAACCCGGTCGACTTACAGATATCCTACTGGGTCGCGACGCAAACGATCCTGTAATGACCTGTGATTGTCACGGCGTGATCTTGGTGCGTTATTGCGAACGACGGGATGATTAACGAGTTAAGATAGCTGATAACAGGGCTACTTACCTGCGCTGCGCGTCACTAACTAGCAAAACGATTTAGCTGCATGTACGCACCTGAGTTTAACAGCCAGCATGTCTCTTGCAAAGGCGGTAAGGTATGTGCGGTGAACGCGGCTTGATGGTCGGTATGGACAAATCGCCATTCGTAGGTAAATCCTTCAGATATATTTATCGTCCGTTTAATATCTTGCTAAGTGCGATGAGGCCCCTTGATTCAGGCTAATGCCAGACTTGGTTGCGGTTTAGCTTCTATGCAACGACCTCAAGAGACGGAGGCGATGGACCCTCGGGACGCCGCACGTATAAAGTCAGACCTACCACAATGCAATGACTTGTTTGCTCATGTCAGGAGCAGATCCAGAGTGGCATTCGGACTCAACGCGGTCACGGTTATGCCACAGGACCAAATACCATTGTTCGACCCTGCGTTTAAGTACATGTTGCCGCTTTTGGTTTATAGAGTCGTGACATCACTTGCACTTTCCATCCACCCCTCTTGTTCTTGAACATCCACCTCCAGTTTCACCGCCCTTGTTATTCCCCCATCATTTGCAATCCAGCCATGTCTACAAATACCAAATACCGCACACCTCGCCCAAACCCACCCCCACATTCAAAACCAGGTGCAAAGGACGACGCAGCTTCAAGCTCATCCTCCTCTTCAGATGCCGACGACCTCGATACCTGTATCAGTGTCCTTGGCCTCAGCAGCACCATCCCAACCGTCCATCCCCTGACGGTCGAAGGAACCTTCCCTTCCCTCGTTTCCACTCAACATCTCGTCGAGGCGGCGGCTAAGAAGGGCAGCGTCGGCCTCATCACAGGGCCCGCTACCGCCTTCCACCGAGGCATGCTATCGGTGTACACGTGCTTGAAGTCATCCCCGCAGTACGTTCTTGACGACGTTCGCTTCATGATTAGCAAGTTTCTGGTCAGCCTATGCATGGACGGTTTGGAGCAGCACATCGGGCGGCCTCGTCCAAAGTCCAGCCGCACAGAGGACTGCCAAGATTACATCGACAAGATGGTGTACTACGTCAAATCTGCGATGCAGAGCCTCAAGGTCTTTCTCCGCGACTTGAATGAAATTGTTGCCGAAAGAAATGTGGCATCGAAGGCTCCAGTAGCGCCTTTTCTTTTCAGGAAGGTGGCGAAACCGTCCAAAATATCGTTGGCGACGTCGACGTCTGCCACATTGGTGTCATCAACCCCCGCGCGGGGCAAGGACGCATCCTCTGTCACCGGTCTTCCTATCCTTGCGTGCATGGAGAATAAAGATATCGCGCACCGCAAGACCTCTAGCTCCCAGTTCCTTCGCAATTTATTGAGGAGATTCCGCAAATCTAAAGTCATCTTGCCAGTCACGTCTTCATCCGTCACCCTCGTCACACTGCCACCAATCAGCGGTACGTCGGCCATCAAGGACGCTCTTCTCCCAGGTAAACCGAAGCAGCTTCCAGAGATACCTTATGAATGTCGGAATTCAGCGATATACTTCCCAACCGGCATGGATTTCTCTAACATAGATATGCAGCGCCTAATGCCTACCTACGATGATTCAAGCATCCACCTCACTGTGGACGGTGCACTCAAATCCGCATCCCTTACTTCTCTCATCCGTATCCTCACCTCCCCAGAAGCGGGTCGATTCCCTGACTTTACCCACACATTCTTCGTGTGTTTCGGATTCTTTACCTCACCCCAAGAATTCCTGGACGGCCTCATTGAACGGTTCCACGTCGGCAAAAAATGGCAACGAGCCAGCCTTTCCAGCGACGAATCTAAGTTGATGGAGGCTCAAGCACAGGCGGTCCGCGTCAGCGTGGTTAGAACGTTGACGACTTGGCTATGGGAGTATTGGCGTCCAGAAACCGACAAAGTGTTGCTGCAACAAATCATGGACTTTGCCTCGCAAGAGGTCGCTGAAGTTGTCCCTGATTTGTTCTTGGTGTGGGGCCTGGCTCAAGCGGTATGGAATATCGATAGCAAGAAGCATTACCGTGGTATCAAACTCGAATCGCCGCTTGAAGTCCCTATCGAAAGAACCCTCCCCGCACCGACCTGCTTCTGTATTTGGGATGGCAGCGAAAACACGCCTCCAATCTGCAAAGTCTTTGAAACGGCGAATGGGAGGGAGGAGTTCGTTAGACAGATCACGGTCAAAGCTTCCCAGATGTTCGCTGACATCAACCCGAGTGACGCTATTCGATATTGGGAGGCAGGAAAGCGAGGTTTCGACCGTGTTCGGCGCAAAATCGACGAGTTCAAAACTTTCGAGCGGGGGGTCATAGCGGCAGTTGTGACATCCATCCTTGAGAGCGAGAAGACCGTAGAGCGTACCATCATGTTGGAACACTGGCTGGACGTTGCGTCGGTGAGTAGATTTATCCATCATCCCCGTCCTCTGTTAATCGCGTCGAATTTTATTAGCGATGCATTACTTGGAGAAACTATTGTGTAGCGAATTGCATCTCCTCTGCAATCCAAAGTACGTCCGTGTTTCGTCTGAAAACCACCATCGCTGTATGTTTTAGTCTCATTAATCAAATGCGGTCGGTCACTCATCTTCTATGACATATAGCTGGCCAGCGAAGAGTCCAAGCGGAAGTTTACTGAACTAGCGGCCCTGTTTGTCCGCGATGGAAACTTTGCATCGTATCGTGCCGCAGTTGCGGCAGAAAAGAAGCCTGCAGTGCCCCCTATATGTATGTTTTCTGCACCTTGATGTTCGGCAATCCGAGTTCTTATGGCGACCCGTTTCAGTCCACTTCGAGCACGACATTTCCGCCATCGAAGGCATTTCTGAGACGGCCGTTGACGGTGATGGTCAGAAGGCTGTGTTGATCAAGTTCAACCAAGTAAGGACCATCATGAAAGTCTTGGCTTGTATGTCCTCCTACTTCTTCGTGACAAGTGCCGCCGCTGACACTTTTCATAGCTATGCAGGAGTGCCGCATCGACTACTGTCTACGTACCGACGACAATTTCCAAGATTGGCTAAAGCGCCACATAGACAAGCTCCAGCTCACCCCGCAAAGCGAACAGGACCTCATGAACGAACACTACGCCCTTAGGTTAGTCTACGGAGTCAGTAATCCTTTAGTCCAAGCTAATCTCATCTACGCAGCAAATTGAGGGAGACTTCGTGTCCCCAGCTGCAGCAGAAAGGTGTCGATGTATGGTCCCACCCTATCACATTTTACTGGGCAGACTACCCTGGACCCTTCCGAACTGAGCGGACAGCTCCGTCCGTCCGATCCTCCCGTTCCACCACACACAAACGCTAGCCTGAACACAGTCCCGACTCGCCACCCACAATACAACAATCCTTCAGTCTATGTTCTTCCACCTCTATCACACTGCTTTTGCCATCTCGTTATCACTAAGTCAACCTCGACACCTCGCCTCCTATTGAGTACTGAGGCTGCCGTCACTCCTTTTGCCATCGCATTCTCATCGTACACCATCAATTCCTCGGACTGTGATTACGGCCGTCGTCACCCCCGTTATCCGCTATCTTATGCGCTTATCATCCCCTGGCTGGCACCAGTGACTCACGTTCCTTCCATCGTCATTATCGAATCATCCGTATCGTCTAACGTATACACCACCCATTCGTCAACCTGCTCTAGGTGTCCCCAATAGGGCCCATGTACACTCCTTATCCCGCTGTTTCTTTACCGTCGCTCATTGCATTGCTTCCGTATCTGTTTTGTACTATGTATCAAATTGATGTGTTTATATTCAGATGCACTCTGCTCGAAATCGTGAAGGTGAAATATGGCCTAACATGACCTATGAGGTCAGTCTAACCTCGATTCTGGTATTAAGAGGCAAGTTATTTGATGGCGCATCCTTCTTCCTATTACGCGTTATGTATTTGGTAATTTGCCTACAGCAATGCCCTTTTCCTATCGATAGGCCTGCAGCAGAACTTCGACTCTTTTTGGCCAGATAAGGGAGTTCGGACATCTGAGACGCGACCTTGGGCATACTGGAAAGAGTTGGCCCAGAACAAGGCGACAGAGAAGTTTTATCCCAAGGCCAATTCTTACTTAGGCCCTATTAGAGCTCGTTCTGCCTGAGTATCAACCTATACTTTCGTTCCTTCGATGGTTACTCTCAGCTATTTGTCGGTAAAAGTGCAGGACTACATATCTCCATGTAATGTGTGCACCCGGTCGATGTATCCTCGGAGTCCTCCCTCGAGCAGACGGGGAGACCGTGATTCGTTGAAAAACTCCTAGGCCCCTTTCATAGCCTCCTAAGCAACACTGGCGCCCACCGCAAACATTGCCAAGCAAACCTCTTCTGGTTACGACTCTGTCCGAGCACCTCAACGTTAACCACAACCATGCACGCCTCCCTCGTACGCCGACAACTTGGTGGATTGATTCCTCCCAAAATCGCTTCTCCGGGCCTCCTGGTTCGTTCTGTCTATCCGAAACCCAACCTGCAAAGCGACTGCTAAATCTCATGATTTTCTATAATAGTCGGGAGGTTCTGGCGATGGCCTTTCGCCACTCGTAAACTTCTACTCCAAGCTGCCGAAGGGACCAGCACCTGCTTCTACTGGTCGTGGCCTCAAAGCCAAGTTCTTTAGCGGTAGCAATGCGTCTGGTGCCCCAATCGTTGCCACCATTTTCGGGATCTTTGCTTTAGGATACACAATCGACTATCAGAGTGAGCAAAGCACCAATTTCAGGCTTGTTTGGAATGTAACTTACACTTACTCGTCTTACAGTGCACTTGAGTACGTGTCAACGCTCTCCCCGACCGCTAATACTTATATCCGCTACGCAGAGCACCACAAGAATCACGCCCACTAAATCATGGAGTATCCAATCTGATGTTGGCGGCCGGAGCTCGTATGTTATTAGGGTTGCAATAGATAATTCGGTTTGGTCTTCTATCGCACATTCTCCTCGCTACCGATTCATGGCTTTGAGCACCGAGCTCTACCTCTTCTAAACCCGCAATCGTTCATCAAGTGAATTGGTATACGTCCTTAATGGGCCGGCTTTCAACGAGTCACGATCCACAAAAGCAAACTCTCGGGCACTGAATGCGAGGCCGAAGAAATGGAGTATCATTTAAGTCGAATTGCTGGTTCCTTCAGTGGGATTTACATACGCCGGGCCAAGCTTGTCGTCTCTCTAGCGGATGGCCTTTGGGGGTTGAAGCCCAAACTTAAGTGTGAAGTTCACCTCTACGAACGACTGCTTTGAGGCCCTGGTGCGCGAAGCACGCTTCGCAAACCTAGAGGATTGATCCCACGAGAACCTGGTGCGCTAGTTGTATCCTTGTGTCGAGTAGGGTTATCATCAGCATTTCCCGTAGACATTTTGCTTCCAAGATGCGTGGCCGGAGCATCCATCGCACCAATACATAAGAGGACGAAGAAGAAAGCAAGAAAGTATCAGAGGCGCTTGCTTACTTTAGAACAGGGTGCTGGAAGCCTCGTGTAAGTGGGTACGAATCTCATAGTCGTTTAAATCAGTCCCAAGGCACGAGCCCGACGCAAACGAGCGCACAGAACGCCTCGATTAAGTTTACCCACAGGTTTACCCACTATCATGGACTGCCGGCGAACGACCGTTCAATAGGTTGCGCTGGGCCATAGAATCCAGGTATATGCCTATGGTCACTTGCGAGGATGGTTGCGGAGGTTTTGTGGACGGGGCAAGTGAGAAAACGCATGCACAAGTGACGAGACCGTATTCGACTACAAGCTGTTAAGCTACTAACGACAAATCCAGCAGGGACTAGGGCTTACGAGCGCAGACACTCTCAGCAAAGAGAATTCGATCAATCTCGTACGTGCTCGTGACATCGCTGTAGGTTTGGGCTCGCCGTAAGAAGACACGCATGCGAAATGAATCAATGGTCTCCGGATTTGATGAAATTGACTTCTTCGTATTTTGTCTCCTGGACAGGCATCCTCAGAAAGCCCCATGAGGCGAAGTTTGTGCATCCCCTGGCCCACAGAAGCAAAAGCCCTTTAAGTCACAATCAAGTGTGTCCCTGACTCCGTTCGTGCCAGTCCAAAATGACGGCCCGTCTACTAATGATATCTGGTAAGCTACGTTGTAGGAATTCCTCGACATATAAAGCCTCTTAACAATATGGTTCTATGTGCATTTCCACTTATAACTTCTCAGTGATCACTGGCCGAGTATTTGATCTCTATACAAATATCGCAATCCGGAAGTATGCGTTCAGTGAAATCTTGGCTAACCAACGGTATGTCCTTACTCAATCCTCTGAATCACACGGAATGACATTGATCCGCCCTGCCCTGCGCCAAGCCCTCATCGTAAGAAGAATCGCGATGGGGAGAATAATAGCAAGGGTCATGATAACAATGCTGGCGATAACAACTCTGGATCCCCCCGCAGAAGTACCCAATCCTCGATAGATTCACCCCGTGGTACGTACTGCCTCTCCAATTGACCCAGCATTGATTGCTGATTCTGCGAAATGGTCGACGTGAAGAAAGGGCCGGTGATGTCTATCAGGGAACAGTCGACGGTAGAGGTGGAAATATTGGGGGCAGAGCAAATAACAACCCCATCCATAACACGCAAGAGGGTGGGGCCATCTCCTCATCGTGAATGATCACTTTTGACATGTCAGGCAGCCAGTTTCCAGGATAAGCTGAGGACCATCAAGGCAATGAGGCCATACACGGACAAGGCGGCCGCTCATCAAGCACTCGGTGAATTGTTCGTGATGAAAGAGCCGATTGAAGAGATGCTGAAACTGCGAAACACTTTGGAAGCCCAAATTGAACAGGATATGAAGGACATGAACAAGTGAATCCAGGTGAGTTCATATATGTATATTGCATTTGCGCAAGGAATTGACCCGCGTGCAGAGAATGAGCAACCGAACAGACGAAGAGGTTACCTGTCACTTGGCATGGTGTTGAAGTCAGAGGGTACATCATTTTCCTAGGGAAGTCGGTATTGAGGTGTGCGGGTGCCAACGTGTCAGAGTCAGAATGTAATAAGAGTCTTACGGTTTTGAGATAGGAAGGCGAATGGAACGGGGCACCGTGTTGCCCATTTCGGCCGCAGTGATAGAGGTAAGAAAAGACCTCGCAGTATCGAGGCTGCCAGTGCTGCTGTAGTAGCTGCTCCGCCGCCGCACAGAAGCGATGCCTGGAGTCAGCCAGGACGGAGAGCCTCGACACACTTAGTTTGAACGAACGGCGAATACCTATGAAGGATAGACATACGAACTTCGGTGTAGCGTTCATCGCGAAATTTTGCCGATCCATCACCACACAACAGAGAAACACTAGGTGTTACACTCAAGTGTGTGAGCACCATAAGGACCATGCCCACTACGCCGTGGAGTATCCAATGTACCGTCGACGATTGGGACTCACTGGTTGCTGTAGATAATTTTGTCTCATCTCTTCATCAGAGGAGTTCTGTCCCTCGCAACAATTTGTCAATCAAAGTAGTAAAATACGACAGCCAGGTAGTTCATTGACTTTCTTCGGTTGAAGAATGATAACCCTCTGTGGTCACTTATAAGTTATTTGGTATCTTTTGAACAATTACTGCTGGCAGGAGGCTAAGGTGATGCTTGCCCGGAAGTTGGCGACCTCTTGCAAGATTCTGAAGGAACAAATAGGTGCATACAGCAAAAGCAGGCAAGTCGTACCAATGGAATGCCATAGGTAACGTAAGTGACTGCAGTCTCTTGAGCGCGAAGGACACGGCCAGCTTCGCAGATTCAAAAGGTGGTTCCATGAGAAGAGCCCTAGAGCGTCACTGCTATATGTATTTTTGTTATCATAGTCCGTAGGCGATTCTGAAGCACATGAGCCATCAGGTACCTGTGTTGTATATTTTTAAGAAGTGCAATCGGGGCATTCATAGCAGCGCAAGAAGTACGCTTCGCGTAAGGTGAATGCCTCAACACCGTTGTATAAATCGGTCAGAAAGGAAACCCCTTCTTGATCCTGGATTTGAGGTAGTTGACCCACGATCGTTAAGGATGTTGAGGGGACTTTCCTCTGCATCACACCAGTGGGGTTCGACTTGATAGGCAGGCCCAAACCCAGAGCCAACGAGCATATAGGCTCCCTTGATAAATTTGATAGACTGACCATAGGTCAAACTATCATCATCATCATGTGCCACTGCTGAACGACCGGCCGATGGCTTTGTGTTGGTTCATAGAAACCATATATATGATTACCAGGCCCAGGGTTCCTTGCCAGCGGTGCGAATAATTGGGGAGGTTTTGCGGCGAGTGTGCGCGCGCTAGTGTGGTCAATTCTTATGCAATCTATGAGGTTTGGGGAAGCGGCGCTACAGAAAGTGGCAAAGATATAAGTAAACCGAACGGCGATAAAAATCGTTTACCAGCCTAGTCTCCCACCGACACCTGCTAAAGCCTGTCTGGATATTGCTCCGTGTTCTCGATGTAGAGGAAGCAGCCAAAGTAGGTGGGAAACAATGCATAGGGAGAAGAAGCTCACAAAATGGAAACGAAACCCTCAACAGCCCTGATGAGAGTTTGGTCTATTTCGTACGCATCTGTGGCATCACTGTCAACTTTCTCCATACGATACCTATATGGTAGATGAAACCCTAAGTGCCTTATGGGAAACGAACGCTAGCTTTAATGAGATTGACATGCTCATCTCCTGTCTCCTGGACCCGGGCCTGAGCAACCGTGACGCACGGGCCGCTTCTGTTTAGTGGACTCACATGTGCGGCACAAGTGAATGGGGCGAAACCTGTGATACTATACAACAGCAATGGAGAATGGAAGGTGCGTCAAATCAAGGACACTGATGTTGGCCCGCAGGATTTGACCATTTGTAGTCGGCGTCTCAGTATCATGACCCGCTGAGAGCTCCTGGGTCTATAAATGTGGCGGCACAGGGGCTTGATGCACTGGCATGAGGAACAGCCACGGTGTCGAAATTCTACAACGTAACAACGGTCACTGCTCTTGCTGAGTCACTGGGGGTGTATCTGGTGCAGAAAGAATCAATCTGGCCACCCACCCTGAGTCCACGATCCTATGGTTGTGTTTACGGCCTTGATAGTATAGATGAAATTAGTTCCACGGCATCGGTATCACTGAGCGCTCAAGGGAGCGAGGAAGAAAATTAGTTAGCACCTATGGTGATAAATCTTCCTCCAAGTGAAAGAGATAGAACTTGATCTCGAGTGGAAGGTGTTTACGCAAGCCATAAAGGGTATGTGTTTGTTCAATTTCAGGATTTACTCCACAGCCTAAAAAGCATGCTAACTACAAACCTACATACTTGGTGCCCAAGTAAAGATCCACATTCCGCTGGTGCTCACTGCTTATTCATCCTCCAAGAGGAGGCCATCACGAAGCAGACACAATGAATGAACACGATAACAGACAGTCAGACGCTCGGACTGACGGCAGCAGCACCATAATTTCTGCTTCTCGTTGACAGCATACAGCAACCAAAAGGAGATAGGAATGTAAAACAACGGTGTCTTGACTGCGCGCCTGATAGGGAACCAAAGGACAAAGTATGTTGTCGCGAGGTTAGGCTATGTTTAGGATTCCCTCACTGTACTCGAGTATAAAATCGTGAAGTATCAGATCCCTGTAGGTCCCAGACTATAGCATTCACTCAAGTCTGCCCTCTACACAATGCCAAACGACAACCCCTCAAACGACAAACCAAATAAAGGCGACAAGGGCTTGGGTACTTACTACTTTTTTATCAACCCAACATTGATTGCTGATTCTGCGAAATGGTCGATGTGAAGAAAGGGCCGGTGATTTCTACGACAGAGTCGATGGCAGAGGTGGAAATACAGGGGGCAGAGCAAACCACAACCACATCTATAACACGAAAGAGAGTGGGACCATCTCCTCATCGTGAATGATCACTTTTGACATGTCAAGCAGCCAGTTTCCAGGAAAGGCTGAGGATCATCAAGGGAACTTTGCCATACACGGACAAGGCGGCCGCTCATCAAGCACTCGGTGAATTGTTTGGGATGAAAGAGCCGATCGAAGAGATGCGGAAACTGCGGAACGCTTTGGAAGCCCAAATTGAACAGGATATGAAGGACATGAACGAGTGAATCCAGGTGAGTTCATATATGTGTATTGCATTTGTGCAAGAAATTGACCCGCATGTAGAGAATGAGCAACCGAACAGACGAAGAGGTTACCTGTCACTTGGGATAGTGTTGAAGGCGGAGATCAGTTGATTCAGGAAGTATTCAGAGAAGCAATTGCGTGTACAACTACAGTGAAAACAATGTCTTGATTTCCATCTCAACGACCGCGTACGGCGTAAGTCTCCCCCCCCCCACTAGAAGATACAATCCTGTAAGGGCAGCTTCGAGTGTGAATTTCACTTCTATAACACGGTCGTTTTGGAGTTGCCGTACAGACCTTGATTCTGAGGACATACCTTGAACGGAAGGTTTCGTGCGCGAAGCGCACAGCCGGCCGGGCCAAGCCAACGGATGGCTCCCGTGACAATCATGGAAAGCTGGTGGGAATGTTGTTGAGAGTATAGTTAGGTTATTAATGGCACTTCCCATAGGCAGCTCGCTTCTAGGACATGCGGTCGGAGCAGCCATAGCCGCGCTGCGATGAGGGGACAAAAAGGGTGCCTGCTTTCCTCAGAACAAGCCACAACTGGGTTCAAGCATAGTCGTTGAGATTGTGACGACGGCACCCTCTTTGACCCGGGTTTGGAGTTAGAAAGGGGATGGTGCGTGACTATGCCGCCTTACTCACTTCACGTACCCCCTTGACGCTCCATTGTTGAGGTGCGAGCGGTTGCGAGAGACCCTCGTAGGCAACCTTCTTCTACAGCATGCCCCGGCCCCCGATCGATTCGGCAGGTTCCGACCCAGAGCCAGCGAACACGCCGCATGCCTCTGTCAAGTTTATAGGCCAGGCCAGGCCGATCATCAGTACTACTAGAGAACGACAGGAGTCAGTCGACGTGCAATCATACCTATTACGATAGCCCAAAAGCATACTGAGTTCGCACTGTACATCTAGTATCGTGGTCATTTGAGCCTCACTGGAGCAAGTGGGTTCGGCATGTAGTAGTAGAATCAGCCAATAAAGATCATCAAACAAAGGGAAGCAGGAAGTAGATAAGCTTGATCCCTCGTTCGTGTGCGAAATAGCTATAGACTTTCTCCGTAAGCTACTATTTGACACATGTGAAAATGAACACATACCAATGCGGTGGGATCGCAATGGCGGTGTAAACGGAGAACGAGGGCCGCACAAGTTGATCGGCAGACGCTAGTGGTTGAAATGAACTGACCGCGTCTTACCCAACGCTAGAACGTCTTGAGCAAAGGATCTTGGTGAATACGTGTACAGCGAAGTTTGGACAAAGTTGGTTGGCTGGAACTGGCGACCCAGGACATACAACTCGGCCACATCCAAGTCTGGGACGATTGTGTGGAATCAAGCCGTTCACTCCACTAAACATTCTCATCGGCGAGCTGGGGCAAGCGCTCAGAAAACGGCGTATTCTCCGATCCTATCGCTTGTCAAGAAGCTCATCTAACCATGTCGGGACTTATCTGTCAATATCTTTCCCGCCAATGTGCTGAAGAAGGGCTTCAGATCGGGGAAAAGGACGGCACAAAGCTGGCTCCGAGTCAGGAGGGCTTGTCTTTGTAAATTAGCACTGATAAAGTTAGAAGTTCTGCCGCACTGCGGGGGGAAGGTGGAAGGCGCGCCAATCCTAGATGTAACCCCAGGTGATCGAGAAGGTTCAGGGACGGACAAACAAAGATAAACCGAGACTGTGCACCAACTTGTCTCGCAAACTTTTTAGAATCTTTTGGGTGGCCGTCGAATCCTTTATTTTGTTGCTTCCACCATGATTTTCCATCTCTTCATGTCGTTTGGATGTGTCCGGAATCTATCCCATTACAAGATATCCGCCCTCCTCATACTACGCCTCGGACCTGTAGCAAGCTCGAACCAAGCGCCAACGAGCGCGCGGGATGTCTTAGTCAACTTGATATGCCAGATCATTACTCCTAGCGAAGAACCGAAGTCGTTAGATGTGTTGGTTCACTGAGACCATATATGTACTAAAGCTTACCAAGCCCGGGACATCCTTCGCATCGGTGTGAACGATCGTCAAGGCTTAACAGCCGGAGTCCTAGATGAGTGAGAGTCTGAAAGAAGGCGAGGCGCTGACAACTCACAAAGTCGTTTCCGTCCGATATCTCTGAAGCGATTGCATTCACATGTACTAAAGGAGTTGTTTGAACTAAGCCACTGGCCTTGCCAAACGCCCCTCCCGTACTTTTGGGAAGATCCAGTCGACTTCGTAGCCAATTCGTAGGTGATAGAAGCTCTACAGCCATGGTGGGTGACTGTCAGGCGCTCAGCGCTAGTGAATTGATATACGGTAAGATAAAGATATCGATTGGAGCCGCCCAGGCACCCGGACTGAGTATCTTCGCCTCATACGCTGGCGATATACCGGCGGTTTGCTCGTGTTAGCCCCGACGCGAACCTAATGAGGTGAATGTCGAGCATGTATATGGAATAAGCTCATGAATTTACCAAGCTCCCGTCTGATAAAGATGTTCTTAGTTCGGAGTTCCATATGGGGGCAATCATGCCAGTCCACTTGTAGGGTGAAAAGTATGTTAGCTACTCAAGACATTCTGTTAACGTCTGCCCCGTGGCTTAGTTGGTTACGGCGTCCGACTGTTATGTTGGCATCGGAAGATCGAGAGTTCAAGTCTCTCCGGGGCAGTCTTTTGCACCTTTTTGGCAAGTAATTACGTGCTGCCAACGATGTGTTACTATTAGTGTTAAATCATCTGAGAGGACCGTTTTACTTAACATCCATGTCAGCAATAAGTAGCTATCCTAGAAATTCAAAACACAGGGAGACGCGGATTCGTTTCAGTACTAGTCCCGTTCATTACCAAGATTTATGAAGACGCCAAATGGGAAGTCTGGTTAACAATGGACAAGCTTTGATTTGCCGCTTGTTTTTCATCTCGACGGTCCAAATTGATTATGATGTACCCGAGCAGAATAAGAGGTGCTAGTGAACAGGTACTACGCCTGAAGCGCCCGCCGTTTCGAGACTGGCGGGAAGAAGAGGGCACATGCCCCCGCGCTGCCGTTCAATGCATCAATACATAATGGAGCACGTCTGTCTAAGCCGATCCCCAGTGTCCTACAAACGGGAGCCCTGACGGGGTTCCATTTTCAGCCGTGTACGACCATCGCTTGTGCCAATTTGGAGGCATGGGTGAAAGTCTTCGCGACTACGGCGTAGAACTCGCTTGCTGTAGTGAAAAGGCCGTCGATTGAATTATGCGATGCTAATAATACAAAGAGAAAAGGGATAAGTAACTAGTCGCTGAATGTTTCCGGGGTGAACGAAGGGATGGAAAGTCGTAAAGGAAAAGGTGGCCATCAAATGGGCTCAGTGATGGACGTCGGCGTCGAAAACCATTTGATTGTGGTCGTTTCTTCCGACTTGGATATGCTCGCCTGTTGCGGTAGGGATGTACGCTGCTTCGGGTACGTCTGTCTCGTCTAGACCCTCCGCTGCTTCGATGATCTCGTACAGGCGGGACGCAACCTCGGGCGGGGGCACTCGTCCACCAAGGATATCGCGTGCAGGGACTGGGGATCCGTAGAACTCCCTGTTGGCGTCCTTACGCTCTATGAGTGCAGTACCCTCCAGAGAAAGCCCGGCGAACAATCCTAAAGCAGTGAAGTAAGGGAAACCATCTCCCATAACCCAGAAAGGGCCTCATACCTTTGGACTTTGAGTAGGAGAACATTGGCGCTGGGTGTGCTAACGATGCTTGAACACTCCCCCCAGTCCCGATCGGGCCAGCACTTGCACTGATATTTCCACCAATGGTAACATTCCCACCCATAGAGAATGCTCGGACTGCGTCTTCGCTGTTGAGTACGATCACGAAGTCGGTGATGTCGGCGCCAATTTGCAGGCCCCACCCTAGGCCGCCCGTCGCGATGCATGACGGCGCTGACCACGAGCCGTCGGGCAGTCGAGCGATGACAATGCCAGAGCCAGCCTTCCCGGAGAATACGAAGCCAGCTTTGAGGACCTGGAAGATAGCCAGCCCTGTGGAGTGTTCAGCGACGCCTCAATGAGTACATTATCCGGAAATCATACCCCTTGCTCGTTGCAGAACAGCTTTGGGAATGGAGTTTAACGCAGATTGTGGCTGTTGCGGGTCGGCTGTATAGGTCGATGATACTCGGGATCCAATCCGAGGACTGAGCAAAAGAATCTCACCTAAGAAACTGTCCAGGATATTGGCCGCCTTTTCGGCCTCTCCTGGAAGACTGAACCCATGGGCAAACTCTCTTGAGCCACTGACGACCTTGCTAGAGCTATCTTGCAGGAACGCAGTGGCTTGGATACCGGCTTTTTGGGCACCCTTGCGAAATTTGTCAAGCATCGACATGCTGAGTTGACTCGGGATTTGTGCTGCAGAGAGTGATTCAGAAGAGAAAGATTATTGATCACGTGGCGGCACACTTCCTTCTTTATGACTTCCTTCTAGTTGCACCTCGGACCACAATATTCTTACTCCACACTCGTCTCAGTAAGCTAATCATTACAAAATAATTGCTACCGTATCCTGATTATTCTCATGTTAGCTTTTCATTTTGTGTAGTGATCCAGGTGAGCGTATGATGATCTGCTCTGAGATTCTTATTTATTTTGTGATATACTGAACTTCGTAGAGCCTGCACGATACGTTGTAGCTGAGATCTCCACCAAGGTCTTCATTCTCCTACTAGGTTTGCTCCCAAGACATTACCTGCCATCGACCTCAGCTGCACTGATTGTATAGCGAGTTTCAAGTTGGTACCGAAAGAAGCGAAAGAGTACCTCTGATCAGAAATCATGACTCCGAGTCGATGGTCGAGACGAACGGTGAGAGTTGGAATAGCGCATACTTGCAACTCTCTATGTCGGAGGGACGCTCAAGATCCATCATGCATCTCAAGGCCATGCAATGGTTGTCTGTAGAGCACGCGTTGGCCGCGGGGCGTGGAGTTTGCCGCATCAAGGAGTATTCAATCACTGATGGAAGCAAATCGCCTTCTTCTGAGTCGTTCTCAAGAGCACCAACGGATGTGAAGGAAGCCAATCTCTCTACAGTCATACTGATTATGCCGGCCTTGCGGACGCCATCAGCAGTACAACTACGACCTGAGGTGACACATTGATGAGGCGGTCATCCAATTCAATTTCCTCGTATTGGTCAGACGCATCGATCGAGGATATATCATCGGGAGCGGGTAACGAGACGTAGCTTGGTCAGTGATTTCGTTGCCAAGAGATATGTTATTCCCAAGAGATTCTGCCGTTATTATCGGTTGCTATTCATAATTCTGCAATACGATCTCCAGTCATTCGATGCTGTTAGCGGACTCATGCAACCGACAGGAGTCACTGCTTCCTGTGACTGAATGGAACTCCCGTTAGTACCCTCCCAAACCGCATGCTCCCATGTACTTACATATCTAGAAGCAGAAGTATGATGCGATCCGTCGGTCTGGGGTTAAACTTAGACCAATACGGCTGATCCTGTGATCATCATAGAGAGGTGAGTGACTGCATCCAATCGCAGGTTGCAGGCCATCAGAGGCAATGCATGGGCAATATATGACCGTATGCTCAGCGTGCAAATTCTGCAGAACCCCCGCGCCCGTCTTACTATGCACCCCGCCTGCCCCTCGCCCGAAGCCATCGCTGCAGAGGTGAGCCTTAGAGAACAGCGATTCGGGCCTTTATCTATTGGACTCGTAGTCTCTGCAGTGTCAGTAATTCCTATGCCAAGCTTCTGGTAAACGTTCATTTGGCGTAAAATCTAGCCTCTTCGGTATAACGACGGTCCAAAGCGCAGCGTTTCTCTCGAAACGTCAAGGGGAGCCGTTTCTCCATAAGTTTGCTGTAAGCCCATATCCCTCGCTGGGTCATTTACGTCTGATCTAACCGAGTGCCCTCAAGGTCGCTGGGCTATGGTATGTTTACGCGGAGGAGTGCCCTTACATTATTGACCTAGGCCGTCAGGCTCCTGGATTTATTGAGTACCGTATTCCTTGAAAATACGTTATATCACTTCCTAGTCACCATTCGCGGGCCCATCGCTTTGTCGCACTTCTTCTGGAGCTGCAAAGTAAGGCTTGACATACGTCGTACATAACCGATACCTTAACCCATGTCCTCACAGGCACTTTGGGCCATGGAGGTGAGTGTATTTCTAAAACGAGGGATAGTGTTTAAATTATTGGATCCAAGTCGATCATTATCGCATGGGCGCAATCGTAAGTATATCTCCCCATGTTACCGTAAACCAGGTACTCACCAATGGTTAGGTTGTATATCTTAAGGATATGGAGACGTTGGTATATTGCTGCTCGCAGTCGTATGGAAGATTGACTTCAGCCCCGTAGTCGCCAATGTGAACATGATCAAGCGACGGCTGGTCCTGACAGGAGCACTGGTGCGCACAGGGTCTCCTGCACCTCCTACGTTATCTGAACTTTGCTTCAATACAGGTGTTCGCCTCTCTGGGCAGCCTGGGTATGATATTTGCTTGCATCATTGAGCGTATTTTTACTGATTCTGTGACGCAGTGTTAGGATTATGTACGTTACGCACCCAGCAATGCCACCCAAGGCTGAATGTTGTTTCTCTTTTTCTCTCAGATACAACCTACAGACTGTGCGTTCTTCTTCCCCGTCCGATTCCGAGCCAATCGCTCAATCACACCTAGCTCACTTACTCAGGGAGCCCGATTCGAAGTCCTGGCAGTAAGTCATTGCTTTCCATGCACCCCGCACGCAATTCATCCCGATTCTTCAGTGGGAGGTGTTTTCATGTCTTATTTCTACTTGTATCATCGATTTCTCGATCTCAACAATCCTTGTCATGCTTCTAGCAAGGCAACCAAAAGGTACATCTTGGTGAGTACGACCAGACAGCCAGAAAGATGTTTCTGAACCATCTTCATATTCAGGACGGACTCGACGGCTATTGTGCTTGCATCATACGCTCTCAACACGGGGCTTTGCAATGGGTATGTTACCGCCGTCTCAAACATCAGCAACGATATACTGATCTAATAATGATGCGTCCCTGTGGTAGCGTTATCTCAACGGCTTCCATCATTGCTGTACGTCCCTTCGACTTTGCGCTCCGAAGCAGTGACGGAAACTTCCCTTCAGTATGCTATAGATCGGCGTTCGTATGCCTTCTTAGGCATACGTGTCATCCTATCTACAGGTATCATTACTAAGATTCCTCCTTGCTCGCATCCATCGACGCTGACATTAATCTTTCCAGTGCATATCAACTCTCTGGTGGCTATGTGCGTGGCGCGCCGCGGGCATGACAATGACCTGACATATATCTCCTAGGCTGAACGCGCGACACTACTTCCAAAAGGAAACACCAGCAACCGTCATTCTACAATCACACGACGCACGTCTGACCGTGTCACAAGGCGGTCAGGTGTACGCATCGCGTCGAAGGCCTACTACCGCCGATAAGGAGCGGACGCCCACCATCAACGAGGCGGGGCTCCTACAGTTCGATAAAACCCCTACTTTGATTGGGAATCAAGTGAGCCCCTACTATGTGTTTCATCTCATTCCCCAATTTTGTTGACCCCGATCAGGCTGGAATTGTAGAAGTTGTAATCCAGCGAGAACAATCCACGACAATCTCTAGACCCTTGAGATCTTGAGAGTCTAGGAGCCCTTGGATTCTGTAAACATGACATTTACTGACAAATACGCCGCCCGCATTTTGAGAATTCTTTGGACAATCTTGATCATTCCATCATATTATCCTACGAACAAACACTAATTATTAAAGTTCCTTGATTCATCTATCATTAGCGGACCCCCATAATGAACTTTTTACATAATGTAGTCACTGACTATCTTGGCTTGCAAACGATCCATCTACCGTCAATTCCTTCTCTAGGACGAACATGGTCATCCTTTGCGTGCCCTTCTAACCACTGCTCCGCGGTCATATTTTGACCATGAGGAGATACCGATCTTAGCACGAGACATTTTTCAAGCCACGTTCGCGTCCAATCAAAGCCATCTTGGCACGACCACTCCCGATATGACGTTCGAAGAATGCTCCAAGTATCATCCCGCGATTTTCTCCTCAACGAATCAACTACCGCTTGTAGAGCAAGTCTTGCTGCTGAATCGTTGGCGGAGGGTGAAGGGTCTCCTTCTCCAACTACGAAGTGCGAGAAAGCGTCAGGATGGGTGAGCTCGGCGAACTTCACGTAGTTGTGCGTCCGTAGGCTGGCAGACACGGATGTAATCCACTTTCGCGCCTCTGAACCCCTAGGCAAGAACGACGACGGTAACAGATCGAGATGCTGCTGAAATACCCCCTGCCGCGGATACTGGTCTGTTAGATAGTGAACGAGAGATATCAGATGCGCCGTTGTTGAAACAGAGTCGTGAAGTGAAGGGAGTTGGGGAACGATCGAGTTGAGTTGTTTTTGAGAGTCAAATATAGCGGCCATGAAAAGAGAAGTCTCGTAAACTGGTACCAACGTCAAGACATGCCCACACTTGAATGTCGATCACGAACCCTTCAATGTGAATGCATCTTGCCGGTTCGACGATGAGATTCCCTCTCGCAACTTCCCTGGTGATAGATACACCCGGTCAGGAGCGAGACCACGCGATGTGTTACACTGCGGCTCACTAAAGAGTATCAAAACATTCTCCTCCTCGTTCCTTCGCTTATCTGTCCGCTCGGCAATGCCGAGCGGTGAGAGTTGGGCTGAAAGCACCGAGTTAACTAACGCCCAAAATGGGGAAATGTTACTTACCTACTTTCTTCAGAATAAACTGCAAATAATCGTCTTGAATTTTGAAGTCTTTCAACCTAACGAACTCAACGACAGTTGAACGTTCAATGCCATTTGTCCAGAAATCCTACTTACGTGTCGCCATCTTTCTCTAGACCGCTACTTCTGCTAACAGAAGCAATAAGTTCCATGGGCGTTTTGGCATCTCTGTCCCTGTGCCCACCCCTCCCGTAGCCTCTAGGATGTCCAGATCGAGAACGAGAGTGGGGTTTCCAGGATCGGGACATGCTGGTTGAAGTCACACCTTGGCGCGACAGAGCGTGACCCTCTCTGAACACATTCGATCGATCATGCGGTCGCTTGATCAATAACCGGGTGGCTGCTCAATCGGTTTATCTACTTCTGGAAGCAAATTGGTAGGACTCATGAACCACCACCCAAGCGTAGCTGATGTAGCCCGGCTGCAGAAAATCCTTCACGCTTAGTGAACTGGTGGACCTCTGTGGCGCGATATTGGCTAAGGGTGCTTTCCACTAACACAAATCACAAACAAATCATGTATATATCACAACGGGCTCTGCCAAGTCTGTGAAAGCGACCGTGATCATGGCATATTCCGCTGAAACCCTCACTTCATTCAATTGGCTCAATCGACCGTGACTCAAGATCATGATCTGGGCTAGGGTGGATATTACCTGAGGCCTGAGCGATCAACCTTCAACTTTCCCTTGTTTAGACTCTCGATCGAACAAAGATACTGATGTATACTTCGAAATCAGTATCGATGGCAGCCAGCGCTTTCACGTTCGAATTAATGTGCGCGCATGCAAAGAGTTCTACTAGGTTGATTGACGGAAGACAGCGATGAAGATGACGGAACGAAGGGCACATGCAGAAGCTGGGCGTAGCTTCGTCAACGTTAAGGCCAATTAGACATCATTACTTCCCATATCGCGGGTACGGGCGCCACGCTCAGCTCCCCAGACTACCGATTTGTGTATGCTGTAGTTCCCTAGTTGGAGCAACGCCGTCGAATTCGCTCGAGTTAAGGTGTACTATCGTGTATGATAGACAAGTAATGGTGTATCAAATTTACGTTCAACTTCTGGCCTTGTTGAGACCTTCACGTTTCTAGACGGACACTTTCAACGAGTGGCAGGACCTCCTATTCTCCATTTAGCCACCTCTTAAGCACTCAGATTATTCACTATTTGTTATTCATGACATCGCTGCAGCAGGTAGAATTTGCCTTCGACTCGAGAGCTTTCAGTCCGCAAGGAAGTGATCAGGGAAAATATATGTGCATGGTGTTTCTAATAGTTGATACACTCAAAGATCAAAAGTAAATGAATAATGATAGTCTACTGTCCGGAAATTCGCTCGAAAAATTGCTTCAGCGTGCTAGAAAGAACATCGGGAAGGGCCTCGACGTTTCTGAGGACGACGTAGTATTCGAAAGGGAAGGAATCCAAGTACATCTCACGTTGCAGCTCCATTCTGCCATCGACTGACTTGAAAGTGACTTTCTCCATTGACATAATCGAATGGGCGGCCGTCTTCTCTGCTCCTCCGCGAGAGTGAGATTGAGTCGTAGGGGGGTGCAGCGAGTCTATTATGATGAAAACAATCATAACCTTCTGTTCAATCGCCTTCCGAAGAACGTTGCGCAGTTGTTCATGATCCTGACATATTCCGTCCGAGACGATGATCTCCAGCTGCCACAGATCCGCAGCGGATGACGAGCGCCGCTCCCGTGCCTGCTCTAGTGCCTGCAAACTTCTTTGGAGCAGGGAGAGAACATTGGTGGACTTTTGGTCGAATTTGAAAGAACTGATGACACGGGAACCTGTTTGATCGTTGAAAGGCCCCTGCTCACCGAACCCATGCAATAGATCAAACGCTTCGCCGAATCTAGCGACGGCAATGTCTCCGGCTTCTAATCGCGTGAGGGCTTTGGACACCAGAGCTAGCGTCTGGAAAGCCAGATGAACGGAATGGGATTCAGCCATGGACCGGGAATCATCCAGGGCAAGGAGGATCTGGAATTCGCGCTGACTTGGTCGAGTACGGCGAAGCCAAATTTTATCCTTTGTATAGTCGCTGGCGATATAGGAAATGACTTTCTTCATATTCAGACGTTTTCCCGTTCGATAGTCGCCTTTGAGACGGGTTGCGAGAGTGGGTTCCAGAATGAGGCGGAGTTGTTCGCACAATGTGTTAGAGAGGTCGGATGTCAGGCTTTCATAGAGTCGCCACAATTGTGGTGCTGCTTGCTCGGGTTGACCGAGCGATTGCCATTCGCGAAGTTGAGTTTCTACGTCAGGAGGCTCCTCACGCAGCGCTTCTGTTTCGGCGTCTGTATGTTCCGGAGGTCTCGAGGGGCCGCCCTGACCATATTTCTTGGAGGGGTTAACGATGGCTGACTCGACACCAACACCAGGGGCGGTGCTTGACTCTTGAGCCGAGTCGAACGCTTGACTGTCCTGGACATTTGGTTCCTCTTCAGTCTGTGCATCCACATCCACATCCATGTTGTGGTCGCCTTCACCGTCGCCTTGGCCACCTTCATCGTCATCGATCAATTTCAGTTTGTCCAGCTGCGCAACTTGCTCCTCTCCTGCAGGACCCAATGCGTCCATATCGTGGTCCTCCTCCCCAGGCCGTACATACTCAATTGGCTTAGTTTCGGAAGAACCGCCGAGTTTTGGCATGGGTGCATCCGTTTCTGCGCTTTCAAGGATGGGTCCCAATCGCCGATGAATCTCTTCCAATGCATCAGACAGGCTGCGAAGCGGGTTGGGGAGTTCCTTATCGTCTCCGGGTCGCGATTGTGAAGGTGCCGGGCCTTGTTGTGAGCCTGAAGATGCATCGCCGGCAGCTTGAGACTCATCGGCTTCTAGCAAATCTTGGTCTACGCCACTTGGTTCACTGATCAAAATGTCAACAGCCTGAATACAACGCATGCGCATGTCTTGTGGAATATCTTACCGATCCGGAGGCGCTGTTTGATCCTGTTGCGCATCATCATGACCTATTCCGCCTTTGCCTCTACCCGTCTGTCGGGAAGACGAAGCGTCACCTTTGTTTACGGCGTGGGACTCCTCTTCATTTGCGTACCCATCACCCGAAGAAACATCAGCGGCTGCGACGGCTTGATTGTCTTGAGCTTCATCTTCCCTAGGAGGATCCTCTTCACCGTCAGGTTCGGGCTGTGATACATCCTCTCGTGCAAGGTCGACCGTATCAGTGTCTTGAGGATTGTTCCCTTCATTTGTTTCGGGTGCTTCCGTTGCAGCTTCGTCCTCATTGATCGATGCATCGTCTGCAGGCTCAGGCATCTCATTGCCGTTCTCGTCGTCAATATCCATCCCATCGTCTTCAATTTCCTCGGGCCCCATGTTGATATCATCTGGAAGGTCGAGGGTGTTAGCATCCTGAACGAAGTCATCCATAGGAGCACCCTCTGCTCCAGGAGGTTCGCCTTGTGCTTGATCATCGTCCACGTCATCTTTCTCTGGCGCATCCTCCTTTTGACTATCGTTGGACTCTTCTGGTTTGGCTTGTTCCTCCTCTTTCGATGATGCATCATGCTTCCCTTGTTTGCCCTCTTTTGCGACAACTTCCGATTCACTGGAGGTATGTTGAGCGCGATCTTCGTTTATCTTGTCGTCGTCTTGGTTGGAATCATCTCCCTCTTCGTCCCCCCAGAGCTTTTCGTCTACCGCTGAAGGATCTGACTTGTCTAATTGGCCGATCTGCTCTTCCAGGTCTTCCTTCGAATCGTCCTCATCAGATCCCTCGTCGCCCTCTTGAGAGCCAGTATCAGGAACGTCTTCCATATCACCGCCTATGTCTTCACTCATCTCGATAGCGTTGGGATCATCAGAGGTGTCCCTTTGCTCAGCATCGTTTGATTCGTCCCCTTTCAAACCCTCGACTTGGTGTTCCTCATCGATCTCCTTGCTTACATTCTCAGTCCCTGTCCCTTCGCCCATACCGACTCCCCCTTCGACCTGCGAAGACTCGCTTCCGTCACCACTTTCCTCTGCATCAGGCGGCTTGCAGAATCCCTGGGTGGCGATTGTGTAAGTGACAGAGCAGACGACGTAGTCTAATTTGAGTAAGGATCTGAGCCATTGAGAATGGCTCTTTAATTGAATCTCGGTGATGTCGGCGTATAGGTTGACGAACGGAAGGAGACGATCCAAATCCGTCAAGACGCTGTCGCGGTCACGTGAGGCCAAAGAGACTAAACAAGTGTTAAGGCGATCAGCTGTGCCAACGATGTCGAGTAAACTGCTAAGAGTTTGGGTGGAAATGATATCATCAAGGATGTAGCGATCCCTGTCCTCCTTTTCCTGATCAACCATTTGTGGATAATTGGACAAAACGTCCTGAACGACGATTAGTAGGGAATTAATGACGCTGTCCGTTGTGGTAACTGATTGAGGAGAGATAGGCATCGGAGGGAGCGGCGGTATACATTGAGAATCGAGCCATCCCGACACAGCATGAAAGATGTGGAACAGCCTCGGGTGTTCTGCGCTCCACTTGACGATTGTATCGCGGACGGTAAGGAGATGGTTGCTAAGAGTAGTCAAAAAAATAGCCTCATCTGATAGATGCCTAAGTCAGCGACGTTCAATCAGCGCAAAGAGACCAATACCTTCTAGAAGGACCGGCACTGGCGTAGATTGAACCGCTTCGACGACCAGTGCTATGTGGCGACAATGATCCTTTGTGGAATCGGCAAGGAGACGAGAGTCGCTTATGATGGATGAAATAGTATCAGAAGCAGCGTCGAGATTTTGGATCATACTAAGGGCATCCATCATTTCCACAAGGGAGGAGTGCACCCTCAGCAGATGGCTCTGCCAAGCGACGATGACCCCGGAGATGGTCGATCCATAGTTTGCTATGGATGGGCATCCTTTGAGCATTTGAAGCCGCCGCAGAACGTTTTTGAGTAGCGCAAAGGAGGTACAAGCATTGACAAGTCTGAAGGCATGAATAAGGATAGTTGGAGACACTGAATCCATGACGCTGACCTTTTCCTTGTTTCGAGTGCTAACGAGAATCCGGACTCCACCAACATTAGGCTACGCTGCAGGTCGCGAGTACTCACATCCGCGTGATGATTTGAAAGTGACCTCCTAAGCTCAGGCAAGCAAGAGGATAGGCGCCAGAAATATTTCTCGCAGTCGTTGGTGGCATGTATCACGGCGGGGAAAACAGGCTGGCTGCGGATCCAAAGAACATCTGAGTGATTCTGAAGTACGTCTGCTCTGACAGCCGAAGAAAATCCTGCGCGCTTGAGTTCCTTCAAAAGATCACTCCAGGCCTTGCGCTTTCGTACTAGGAGCGCCTTCTGAAATTTAAGCCGCTTGTCTGACTTGTCTGCTGCTGGTAGCTGGGTCGACGCTAGACGGGCGGATGTAGTGATTATCTCGGTGGCAAAATCATTTACTGGGTCTGCTGCGTGAGCATTGATACGAGGTAGGATCTTCCCATGGAGCAGGGCTTGGAATTTAGCAAACGTTCGGTCGAGGTTTTGTAAGTGAGGCAAGGCGGGGGCCTCCAAGGAAGCAAACGCCTGTTTTGGCATTACAGAAAGCTTGAGAGGGAGTACGGCACCGTCGTCTATCCCGGAGACACTAGCCATCATAGGGAGGAGCCTATCACTAATGGGCTGTCGTAGTATTTCTCGGAACTTGCGTACAAGCTTGAATAGCTGATAATGAGATCGGCGGGCACTCTCTTTCAAAGCATGAATATTGACGTCCTTCCAGCTGGCGAGCTTGATCAAGTCCTTGATTTCTTTTTCGAGACCGACTCTCTGAGACAATATCCCGTCTTCAAGATTCTCAGCATAGAGGCCGAAATAATTCTCGACGTGGTATAGTATGCGACCAACGCGTTCGAATGCGGCTTGGTGTGTCTCGTCAGAGGTCGACGCAAGTTGCGAAGCCAGAACCCTGAAGCCTTTGAGAAGTTGCATCCTAGCTTGAAACTGACCCAAAGGAGCGGAGCGAAGGAAGTCCTCGAGGAGAGGGATAAGGTCGCGGAGATATACGACTAAGGGTTCCTCGCCTTCGCTAGCTAGCCTTGTGGCAATGTCGTCGGTTCCGTGTATTAGGGCATTATACAAGCGAAACCACCAGACAGCCGAACTCTTCGAAGATGCCGCAGCTTCAGCCTCAAGCAGTGCCTGCCAGGATGCTAGCTCCAATCGGCGCCATTCAACGATTAATGTCGTGATAGCTTGCTGATGTGTCTTCAAGGAGGTATCTCGACTCGCGTAGGCTTCCCAGTCTTCGCTTTGTATGAGTAGTTGCTCCAAGGCTGACAGAATTTTGGCCACCGGAGACTGTAAGTGAAGTTCCAAGAGAAGTCCGCACCGTGACTCGAGGTCTTGGAGGACTACTTGCTCGGGCCATTCTCTTCGCAAGTCTTGTACTCGTTGCTGCAGGGAACAGACTATAGCAGTAGCTTTGCTGACCTCAGAAGTGTTAGGGTCCGCGTAGAAGTTATACATCCTCGAGGAAGTGGAAGTCGGCTTGCTGCGTTCATGGAGAAGCTTCAACCGCAAGACACGGCTGTCATGGTCCATGCTTTCTGATAGGGAAGCGAGTTGGGAGCGAAGCAGGTCGGTCAAGGCTGATAGTCTTATCGAGTCAAAGGCCTCGAGGGAACCATGAGTAGGGGCCGTTGGACACACGACGGTTTCATAGAGGCTGACGAATTGATGGGCGTCGGCGGGGGTAACATGGACTGTCGAGGATACATTGACGCAAGGCGCAGTGGTCGGCGTGAACGCGTCCTCAAACGAGGGAAAGAGTGCTAAGAATTCCTCTTCCTCTGCCGTTGCCTCAGAGGATGCTTCGTGTACTTCTAGTTTCGAGCGATAAAGGGACTGGGAGGTTCTCTCTGCCTCTTCTTCGCGTGCACGGTCGATCAACCATAAATGGAGGGCTTGAGAGCAGGAGCCTCGAAGGCTCTCTAACGAAAGCTTAGTAGGGATACCAAGATTGCTCTCGAAGGAGAGCGCGGCTAAGTTAAGCAAGACTTGCTGGAAGCTATTGAGCCCGGCAGCCCCTCTTTCAGAGGTTGATGCGATGATGGTGGCTGCAGACTTCACAGTCGGAAAAGCTACAAGGGCGGACGCCAAGGTGTCCAAACGGGGGTCCGTCCCAATCTTCATGCCGGAGTGAGAGATCAGGCGCAATCCAAGTCTGACATCACCAAATGCCATCTGGAGGATGAGTGTGAGGTCTGCGTAGTCTGGATAAGCTGAATGCAGCCTTTGGGAAAAGCCAGCGATCGACTGCTGTACAACGTTCTCAGCGTCCAGAGCGCCCTGATTCCCTGTCCGTATACCGTGTATAAGGGGATCGAGCTTTGCCGCTGGTAAGACCTGGCGATAAAATTGAGAGACTTCGGACCAATATATTGCGATTTGAGTTGAGTCACTCCTGATGGGGTAGTCCCTGACAGTAGCAAGTCCCTGCGATGCCCTGTCCCCACGTTCCGTCAGGATATCGATACAGGCATTAGTAGGGTTGCCAGTCGTTATTGCCTCCAGCCTCTTGTGAAGGGAAATTTGCTGCGCGATATTGTCCAGATCCTCGCGCCATGATCGAGCTGTGAACTCGTGTATCCCAGCGGGATCAAGCGGCACGTCTGGTACAAATAAGTGAAGAGTCAGCCTGCCTATCGCAATCCAACCTGCCCCAAGAGAAGCAAGAACTTCTTTCGACATTTGATCAGAGCTCAACAGCCCAATTTCGGAGAAACTAGGACGGATAAGTGCATTCAATGCTTGCCCGAGTATCTGGTTATTTGTTCGTCCCAAAAGATCGATGAGATATCGAGGATCCAGTGGTCTAGAAGAGGTCAGGAGCTGATTGACCTCTGCCAAGGTTTCTGCCAGGTATGAAGTAGCAAAGCATCGACAGATCTGTGACACGTAAGGACTTGGCGTCTCCACTCTGGAACGCGACTCACTAGCACTAATTCGACACATAGAGCCTCTCTGATTTGAGGTAAGCGTGATGGGTGATCGTCAAAACTCATGAGTAATAACTGCAACTCCGCGTCAAGCCTAGATTTGTATTCCGCGAAACTCCCGAGGGAGAAAGAATCCCAGTAGCTGGTGCAAGTCAGCTTTGGTGTTTCCTTCAAAACCGGAGACATACCATAACCCAAACGTCGAAGCGAGAAGGGAGGGTATGAGCAAGAAAGTAGGACCCTCTGTGGTCTAGTATACCGACGTGTTCAGTAGGAGAACCCCTATTGAATCATGATACGTACCCCCTGAGGCGGAACGACGCTCCATATTTGCTGACGCCAGTCAACCCGTAGGCGTGCCAACACAGGCAAAGTAGCTGTTGTATATTAGGTTACATTTAAGCATTTCAGGATGATGACCCACATTTATCGGTCTCTGCAACCCATATAAGGTGCTGGTAGGGAACATATCTGTCAAGGATTTGATTCCTCGAGCCGAACTGCACCTGTATTAGCTTCCCTATGTCATTTACGACCTTTGCAAAATACATCAGTGGCGACCTCCAGTCAGACTTTTTCCCTACTTTATCATGAGGCCAGGTGCACTGAAATCGGAGCTCGCAAATCAGGGTGGATATACTAGGACCACCCATTCGTGCCGCCGCGCCTTCGCTTACGCGCTCCAGAAGATGCTGAGCAGCACAGATTAGTTAACAGATAAGGACAGCCTAGCTACCCAGACCTACGTTCTTGAATTGGGAGACGGTCTCGGCCAGAGAACTATCGTGATGATCCTTTCGAATTGAGCAGAGGGCCACGAGATTAAAAGTCTCTCGACGAAGGCCTACTCGACAAATTTAACCACCTTGCACATGCACGTTAATGAGCAACTACCTTTGTGTTCAACGCCGAGCCGTGAGGCCAGGGCACCTAATTCTGCTAATCTGTTCGACATCTCTACTTCCGGGATTGTGTCAAGCAAGGAAGACCAGATCTCCATGATCCCGAGGCCAGACGAAGGAGATAATTTTTTGTTCACGTTTCGGATAACCTCGGATAATGCTTGAAAACGTGGGGAACGACTCAAAAGCACTTTCATCATCCATGTCACAGTTGCCTGGGCTGCTGAGTGGTCGAAGAATGACTGTTGCATGATCTTTCGTAGACGCATTGCGTGTCGCAAGAGTTCTTCCATAGCTTGCGTGTCACCCTGAAGAAAATAAAAATCCTAGCAACATACGGGAAGAAGGGACGTACTGGGGCTTCTGCGTCATAACCTTTATCTACATGAGACATGAACTCTTCGCCAGCAGAAGTGACAGTCGAAACCGCTTGGTCTACCTCGTTCAAAATAGGTGAGTTGGGATCGACGGCGACTTTGTGTTGTTTAGCTACTCCAAGCTGCCAGAGGCGGACACATATCTCCAACCCGTGGAAAAGCAGACTTGCAATTGATGCTGTGGTCTTCGTCCCATTTAGTACCGACGTATTGAGAAGAATGTCCATGCGCTAGAAAGCAGACATTGGTTAGCAACATACAAGTATAGTGGAAAGGTTATGCTCACCTGAAAGGAAGCTAGTGAGGAGGGTACCCCCCAGGTGTCAACGTAGAGCTGTCGTATGTCATGTACGTAGGCATTCAAACGCGGGCGATGGAGACTGCCCAGTAATGAGGAGATATCGCATGGACCCCGGCGCTCCGTCGTCCCAAGTATGCGAGATAAATGTCGGACATGAGCCGGCGAATGTGTCTCAGCGCGAAAGTCTAAGAGGTGTTCATAACAGTCGCTAGGCGTGCTTTGCTCAATTGACAAAGGATCTTTCAACGTCGCGAGCGAGGAATGATGATCGAGCACTACCCCCGATCCATATTGTGAGGGCAGAGCCAGACAAGAGGGCAGAAAGACTCCACGACGCATCATGTCGAAAAAGAGCCCCTGCTCCTTCAAACGCCCCGTAGTGACGCCGAACCGTGGCAGACGTTTGTGATCTTGTATAATTCCCGTGCAGTCTTCATCGATGGAAGGAACATTGATCTCCACGCCACGATTACGCATAGCTCTTGATAACTCGCCAAACTGAGGGTCGACAGACATAAAGAGACGGAAATTTGGATGAGGTCTGATAATTTGGACGGCTCCATTAACGAATCCTCGCTCACTAAGCACCAACTCTCCGTTGGGTTCGCAGAGGGAATTAAGACGATCTAACACGGAGGGATTGCAAAGATTAGCACCATCAATTAGCAGCCAGTGTCCTTCATTGGCAGCGCGTATCAAAGGACCATCTACCCAGACAAACTGCCCAGCAGAGGTAAGAGAAGCCATTCTTTTCTGTAGAAGTTCCATAACCGCATGTTTGTGGTTGCGAATGCGATCATTCGTTGGGACCTGATCCAACAGAGATACAGTTTGTTGAAGACTAGACACCGCATCATTGGTTCGAAGCGATCCGACGATTTCCCTTATGCGATGATAACAGAGTACATGAGATTCTGTTGAGCCTGCCCTTGATCGTATTTGCGTGCGGAGGGTATTGGCCACCGAATCTAGAAGTATTCTGACACTAGCTTCATCGTCGAGTTGCTCGAAGCTACCCAGAATGTCCATGGTATCGGTGGCGCTGCTGAACGAGAGTTCATGGAGGACATTCCCCGTATATGTCGCTAGGAGCTTTACGACTTCTGATTTCCCACATTCCTGTGGACCGCTAAGAATGGAGAGCCAATTTTGCCGAATGCAATGACCCAAGGTTTCGAGAATCGGAAGGTGTGGATGAAGAAATTGCCCTGGGCGACGATGTGGCAGCAAGTTACTGCGGGAATGATGAAACTGGCCAACTTGGAAATGTGTTGGAGTGACGGAATGATGGGGCCTTCGTTCCACGACTCCCGCTGCGGGCGTGTGGAATGCCTTCTCAAACACACGTAGTGCAAATTCCTCATCGCTCTTAGTGCGAAACCGTTGCAAATAAACGGCCCGTAGGTACTGGATAGGGTGCAGGTGCCGATCAGCGGACATGGATAACGAACACCATCGAAGGATATCACGCAAATTGAATTCCCAAGGGGCACCGTCTCGAGCGAATGTTCGCTTCACGGTTGCTTCCATGCTGAGTTGAGTATTGTACGATATCATCGACTTCAATGTATCCTGCTCGCAGGATGGAAACAGTTGCTGGCAAACCATGAGGAGGTCCTGTGGTGTGTGTTCTTCAATGTAAACCTTGGTGAAGCGATTGATGAACGACTTCGGGAGCCCCTTCCTCCCTCCACCTTGACTGAGGGGATTTTGTGCAGCAAAGATTCGGAATTCTGGGTGCCTATTAAATGAGCGACCAAGTTCGGGGATGAATACCGTTCCTCGGTGATCTAAGACTGCATTGAGGCCCTCGAGAACTGGTTGAGGCGCTAAATTCATTTCATCTAACAAGACCCAATGACCCTCTTGGAGTGCCCGAAGGAACTCCGCATCCTTCCACGCAAAATCGCCCGGATTGCCGCCCTCGACGGGAAGGTCGGATCCAAATAGGTCGATAAGGTCCGTCTGGTCAGAAAGGTTGATTCGGCATAGTGTATGACCCGTGAGCGAGGCCAGAGCGGCAATGAGTGTCGTTTTGCCCACGCCTGGGCTACCTTCCAAAAGGATAGGTTTGGGCACTTGGCACGCTCTTACCACCCTCATGGCATTCATTTGCGTGGTAGGGGTCTCCAGATTGAATGCTGGTGAGTTTGATCCGTTGGGGCCGATGGGGAAGCAGAATGGACCGAACCATATAGACGACGTAGGATCAGATGTAGGATGGTTAGAAACTGGATGATGGACAGGCGCGAGATCCTGTAGTTGAGCCAATGCTTTGCTCCGGAGGCTGTTGATTGCATCCCCAGAATAGGTCATTAGCTGAGGCAAAGAACCTAATCCATCTAGAAGCGTCATTTGGGCAGCATGATGCTGAGGATAGGTCAGCGGCGCCGACAGCGTATCAGAGGAAAGGTAAGCGTACAAATATCGCGTTCGGTGTCATTCCATTGTCGCTTGCTTGTCGATAGATAGAATTTGAGAATGCAACCCATGCCTGTGTTCATTAGTTAGGGTAGATCAAGGGGTTAAGCAGTTTTCGAGCGTACAAGAACGTCTCGAAGACTAGTCAGAGTCGTGTCCCCCACTTGGTGGCACAACCATTCCGTGAAGTCCAGCACCTTTGTCGTAAAAGGCCTCAGCATCTCGAACTCCCAGCGGTTGCTGATGATCAGTTCAAGGTCACTTCGATCCTCCACGGCGGGTACCCATATTTCTGTGAAGCGGTTGCGCAGTGCAGGAGAAAGCTCTTTCTTCCCGTAATCCCCTCCCGGATTCATGGTAGCTACCAGCTTGAAGTTGTCCACAGCCTTGATAAATGGAGGTTCGGAATGATCGCCGCCACGCTCAGCGAGAACAATCGTGCGCGCTGGTTCAAGTACGCTGTTCAGGCGCTCAAGGACTGAGTCGTCTGCAAGTGATATCTCGTCCAGCAGGAAAGTAGTCCCTTGTCGCATTGCCTGTATAAGGGGCCCGTCTCTCCACTCGAATATTCGACCCAGTCGAAGGAGCCCGTGCCGAGCATCTTCCAGAATAGCAACGTTTCTAGGATCAAGAGCATTCGCAGAAGAAAGTACATCATTTATTCTGGCGAGAAGCGAGTCACGGGTCAAAGGCTCTGCGGGTATGTTCATTCCGCTCAAGCTCAGCGCAACATCCTGCAACACCTCCGCTTCAGCTGCCGCCCGATTGCGTACGGGGCGCAGGCCACCAATGAGGTCGGATGATTCTGTGTTCTGGTGACAGTTCAAGGTTTGCAGCTCCCTAGAAAGCGTGTCGGCATAGAGCTGGCAAATCGAGGTCTTACCAGAGCCGGTTTCTCCTACAAGCAGAACAGGTTCGTTGAATCGCAGGGCGCGAGCGATGAGTATGAACATGCGCTGCATGGCCGAAGTCCATATGATTTGGTATGGGTCGGGGAGAGGACATCCAAGATAGTTGACGATATCGCGGTCCATGCGATCGAACCGGTACATGGCTTTCTCGTCAATCTTGACCCCCATTATCGACTCGATGACTTCCTTGACTACAGCTTTCTCATCGTCCCGCCTCGCGCGCTCCGCCAACAGCATATAGCCGTTCTCTGCGAGTTCCTGATAGCCTACAGCGTCTCGCCCCGCCCACCGAAACAAGTCGCGCAGCGTGGCAAATCCCTCCTTGCTATCGAAGACGCGGCTGCCCTGCCTCTTTTTCTGGAGCTCCCGGAAAACGGCCACGATCTTCTTGCCGTATGATGGCGCAATCTTGCAGCGCTGACACAGAATGGTTTCGAGTTCAGCCCGAGGGACGTCCTCGTAATGGACTTCCAGAAAGCGATTGCGGAACGCCCGTGACAGAACCTTTCGGCCTCCGTATAAGCCAGGGGGGTTTTGGGCTGCGAAGAGCATGAAATGTGGATGCGGCTTCACAACCTCATGCGTCTCCGGGATGACGAGCTCGCGATTGTCGTCCAGCAGGCGATTCAGCGCCTCCAAAACGTCGGTCGGCGCAAGGTTGAGCTCGTCGAGGACGATCCAGTCACCATGACGCAAGGCCTGGACGAGTAGCCCATCTTTGAAGACGAATTTTCCTGTAACAGGATCAGAAACATAGGACCCTATATACTCCTGAATGTCCGTGTGTTCATGGTTGTTAATGCGAATGAACCGATGCCCCGTCCTACGCGCCAGGTATTCCACAGAGCTAGTCTTCCCACTGGAGGTAGGACCTTCAATCAGGACCGGGAACCGGCGAGTAAGAATGATACGGGCGAGATCGATCAACTTGGTCTCGACGGAGGGGGTCATGATGTATTCTTCCATGGGATCTTCAGGGAATGGGCCCTTTTCCAGGTAGAACGGCCCGAACTTCACATATCTATCGCTGCGAGTGTATTCCATGTCGGAGGGCTCGTTGGTCAGCAGTGATCGCGGATTCCTTACCCCCGCCAATAAATGTTTATGAGCGAGGGCAATGACGGTCTGCGCACTGGGTGCATCCAACACCATCGTGAACGCCATCAAGCAGCCCTCCCAAATCGCGCGCCTGAGCCCATACACCCTCGTGATGTCCGCCGCAAACGTCAGCGCGCGCGCGAGCGTCCGCATGCTGAAATGCGGGCGGTGGTTCGCGCCGTCGGCGATCTGCCCGGCCTCCACGAGCTGCTTCACCGCGATGTAGAACTCCGCGATGTTCATGACGGCCGCCTTGTCGCCGACCGCGGCGTGCCCGATGTACTGGTTGACGATGGTGAGGAGCGTCTCGCGGTCGGCGTCGGGCGCGGGCACGTCGAACTCGGTGAAGCGCGCGCGGATGTTCGGCGGGAGGTCTTTCTTACCCACGTCGGTCGCGGGGTTCATGCACGCGAAGAGTCGGAAATCGGGATGGCGGGGCACGGGCTCGAGGGCGCCTTGCTCTGTTAGCGTGATCGACGATGTCGGTCCGTGTAGCAGGCCAGCTATGCATTCCAGGGTTTCGGGGCTTGCAAGGTTAACCTCGTCAAGTAGGACCCTATCGTTGATCAGCAGGGTGCATTGAATGAGCAAGGAAAATAGTCGACGTACCACTCGCCATTCTTGATTGCGCTCACTAACGGGCCCTCCACGAAGCCGAACGCAAATCTACCTTGACTTGTTACGTATTGCATCTCGAATTGAGCAACGTCATCAGCAAAGGATGTCCATTGGCTGAGTTCGTCCCCCGCGAGCTTTCGGCGCTTTCGCGGAGCTTCCGGATTATTCGCACTAACGAAACGTCAGTGCTGCTTCGACACATAATGAAACAGCAAGCGCCTACGTCTCCTGCTGAACTTTGATGATTCGCTCTTTCGCCAGCCTGATCGCCTCTCCCCACAGCGCCGCGCACCTTTTCCAATTTTCCTCCGCGACCGCCTTCCTTACAAATTCCTCAAATTGTATGTTCTTCTCCTTCTTCCTACTGAATGTAGTACCAAAAAGATCGAGGAACCGCGAGTACAGCGAAGAGGCGGGCATGCGCGCATCAATAGGCTTAAACCCGCCCAGCAGATCCGCGGATTCGGTCTGGTGGCTGAGATTGAGTGAGATGAGCGGGCGCCGGAGGAGGGCGGCGAGGTAGGAGATGACGCTGGTTTTGCCAGTGCCGGTTTCGCCGGTGAGCAGGATAGGTTCGGACAGAGACACTGCTGTGGCGATCCGCGATAACAGGGAGACAGCGGGCTTGTGCAGCGCAAACGGCCGCGACTGGAGCGTGTCCATAGTGTTTTTGGACGGGCGGGCAGGCAGGCGTGTGCGGCCGGCGTGGACGGCAACGACGAATCCGTTCGCGTCTTTTTCTGTGTCGAAGTAGGGCGAGACGCCGTTGAGCACCCATCGCTGCCGTTCGGGGTCCAACCCGAGGTGCTGCGCGATGACGGCGGCGATGGCGTCGAGGTGGGAGCGCGCCATCGCGGATATGCAGCCAGAGCCAAAGAACACGTCGCGGGCCTCGGCGTACATGTCTTCCCGCAGCGACGAGTTCGGGAACATGCTTTCTAGGGACACTAAGTCGGACGCAGGCGCAGAAGCGAAGGACGACGGCAGGAGGTCCGAAACGCGCTGGCAGTACTTCTCCAGCTCGCGCATCCCAATATCCCGCACCGAGGCAGTGGACCCAAGCGCGACGACCGCCTGCCACAGGTGTATGAGAGACTTCGCGAGCGCCCCAGCAAGCCGCGGGAACCGCGTGTCGATGATCAGCTGCAGCTCGTCGGCGGTCGGCGCCGGGACCTGCACCTCGTGGAACTTGTGCGCCCCGAAGAAGGCGGCGGGCGGGAAGGCGCCGTTTTTGGAGAGCGGCACGGAGCGCGTGGCGAAGAGCGCGAAGTCGTGCGCAGCGACGACGCGGCCGTGACCGGGGACGTCGATGGCGCCGCGCCCGCCAATCCATTTGTCGAGGCGCAGGGATTTTGCGAGAGGCTTGATGACGCCGAGCACCTCGCTGCTGCCGCGGTCGATGTCCTCCAGCACGACCCACTTGCCTTGCTTCATGGCGCGGACGAGGGTGCCGTCCTTCCACTCGAAGGTACCAGGCTGCGTTGGGGAAGAAATGTAGGATCCCAAGAGAGACCGTGGATCGAGGGAAGTGTCGGCGAAATGGATGGTGATAATTTGGTTTTGCGCCTTGGGGTACAGGATGCTCGCTAGGTGGGATAGGAGGAGTGATTTACCACAAGATGGCGGTGAGGTAAGTAGCACGGGAACTCGGAGGGACATGTGAATGGCGAGCGTTTGCAGTGATCGGATCGCCGTGTCAGTTGAAACGAGGTTTGATTGAGGTTGGTCGTTACAAGCGTCACGGACAAGCAGTATGCCATGCACATTGGCAGTATAAGGGCTGCAAATTGTTAGGAGGTGCAATGCCACAAGAGAAGGGTTTATACCTAAGTTGTGACAGTGATATCGTTTCGTCTCTAGAATAGAAATACTGCTGGTCGTTCGCAATGTCGCGCCTGGCGTTTTGCACACGTGTTGCTTCGACAAGCGGCAGTATCCACCCATCCACCCTCACCTCACTCCCACAATCTATCCAGCAGTCCTTCTCACACGGAGGCCCCAGCGCCTCACCCTCAATCACCAGCCGTTCAGCCTCCCCCATCTCACTCTGCTGGGCATAGCATTGGATCGCCAGCAGACGCGCCCCGGCATCGAGGCCATTCGTCCACATCAGACGAGACAGATAGTGCAGCGGCCAGCATAGCTCGTCCGCCAGCTCGCGGTTGGCCTGTAGGATGCGGTAGTAAGCCAGTAGCAGTCTGTGCAAGCGATCTACGGGAATGGTCGACGGATCCGTCGGGATACATTGTAGCGGTCCGTTTTCGAAGGGTGTTTCGCGGAGAATACGGTACAAGATGCTGCAGGACAGTCAGATGTAAAATAGCACACTCAGATCGGAGGCACGCACGGAAAGAGTTCTTCGTGGAATCCGATGAGCAAGCATAGTGCTACAAGCTGATGTTCGCGTTCATTAGATGGCTCAAGCCATCGTGCGCAGAGGTCAATGAGTATCGGTCGGAAAAGTCGGGCAATCAATAGTGTCAGAGTCGGGGTGGCCAGTAGTTTTGATAGGGTTGCCAAGAGCTCCCCGGCGTCGCGGCATGCTTGGATAGATGCTGTAAAGTCAGAAGAAGCTAATTCTTCGACGAGAATGCGCGTCTGCTTCGTTAAATCGATGGCCAGTGGGTTTTGAACGCGGTCCATGGAAGACTAGTTTTGAAACAAATATATTGTAGAGTGATACATCCAAGTTGTGGATGGTAGAAAGCTAGAGAAGCCAAGTTAGCCCTGCAATGAATTTGGGTGCGTAATACTCACAGTCTCTTCTGCCTAGATACTGAATCCGGGGCGCACGAAGAGTTAATGAAGCAAACAAAAATTACCGAGTATAGTCACGTGCTATATGTCGTGGGAAAGCAATCCCGGTCCGTGAATACAGTGAAACGTTACCAGGTTTCCCGCCAAATCTTCAAGTCCATCCTCCAAGCCTTTACCTGGCACCGACACTCATTCTTTTGATCTCGCTCGTTATTTGTCTCTCGCTCTGGATTGATTGAAGTTCTTCATGCATCCCTTGTTACCCTTCTCTGTGCTTCTTTCAATTTTCGACCATGTCCATGCAGTCAGAATACCATTTCAAGTCCGGACGCTTGTTGAAAACTCCTGGACCTCCGTTGACCGGCTAGGCCGCCGTGCCCCCACGAACAACATACCTATCAAGAATATTCACAATGCCCAATACGTTAGCAATATCACCATCGGGGATCAGCAGGTAGCACTCATGCTGGATACTGGGAGGTAAGTACTGAGGCACACTGCGGGTCACTGAGCTTCACTCACTTACGGCTGGTTTCCTACAGCTCTGACATGTGGGTCAGCTTCCCGAAGACTACGCCTCAAACAACAGATACGGGGACTGAAATCACACTGAGATATGCTGTTGGGAAAGCCCAAGGTGCCCTTGTCGACCCGACTCGACTCTGTAGAGCCTTCTGACGTGACAACAGGCCACATTCGCACTGCACCAGTGACCATTGGAAATTTCACCATTGATAACCAAGCGTTTTGTGAGCATCGCGGTGTGCTTGACCATTCCATTCTCTAAGTTCGCACGTTAGTGATGGTCACCGACACAACAACATTCTCTGGCGATATCCATGCCCAAGGATATGACGGACTCATTGGCTTCGGGCCGAATGACGGCTCTGTAATCCAAGACAAGTTGAAGGGAGACGCAGGAGACACCCTTCTCACGAACATATTCCAACAGAACCAGACTCAGCAGAACTACATTACCATGCTTCTGGATCGCAAAGGTGATCCTCGGGAGGCATTCACCGGGCAGATGACCATCTCCGAGCTTGTTCCAACGTTTGAGAACATCACCACTATGCCAAAGCTAGACGTCAAGATGTTACTGAAGTTGATAGACTCAGGTGAGATACCATCAGTACTCTGTTCGCTGTGTGACGGCGTGCTGATTGAGGAACAGACCAACACTGGCAAGCAGTCACGGACTCCGATAATGGTGTTATTGGTCCAGATGGGTCCGTTCTGAAGATGAAATCCCTTGTACCCAAAGCACCTAAAGGCAAATTTGTTGCCGTTATCGATTCCGGATTCACATTCAGGTCAGTGATCTAGTAATGGTGACCATGCCTCAAGTGCTGACGTTCTTTCTAGTCAAGTATGGTCTCGCGCTTGTGAACATGCTGGTGGAACTAAAGTAGATGTTGTAGGTTCCGCGAGATATCTCTGACGCAATCTACGGCCGTGTTCGCGGGGCCGTCTACGACACTGAGAATGAATATTGGACCGTCCCTTGCGGACAATACCTCTCCCTCAGCTTCCGATTTGGAGGCGTCGAGTATCCCGTCCATCCCATGGATATTGTCAACGACGATTTCGCCATTACCGATAAGATGGGGAACCGTGTTTGCATTGGTGCCGTGAGTAGTTGATCGTTCCGTCTCAGTATTGGCATAATTACATATTCGTGTTCTAGTTCCAACCCATCACTTCAGCATTCAGTCTCCTCGGTAACTACGACATGATCCTTGGCATGAGCTTCCGTGAGTACACGTGGATGCATTTTGACCCATACGTTTCTGATCTCATGCATACTCAGTACGAAACGCCTACACGCTACTCGACTACGGCAATTGGGTCAAGAACACCCAAGATGACGTCGACCCATACATTCAGATGCTCCCTCTCACCAGCACCGCCCTCGCCAAGGCTGACTTCATTCAAATGCGCCTCGGCGGCACCGATTCAACAGGCGAGGACAAATGGTCGCTTCTCCCCCAAGATCAGATGCAACATTCTCCCGTCTCAGAGGAAGAGAAGAAGAAGAAATACCAGGAAGCCGTGCTGAGTCAGTGGCCTTACATCCTTCTGGGATGTTTGGCTCTCGTTCTTTTGGTGACGGGATGCATTGTGTGGCATTGCTGCTGCCGTAAGCGAAAGGCTAAAGCCAAAGCTGCTAAGGCCGCGAAAGGTGGTTTCGGAGAAGGGGAGGGCAAGCCTTCGTCATACCTTCCCTTGCAGGATCAAGGGAGCCAAGTTAGCTTGCATAGTCCCTACGGCGCAGGAGGGCATGGTTTCCCGGGTCGCTAGTCGCTATCGATTTATCTTTATTCTATCTTCCCTACAACGGACAAGCGATGTTGTTGTAAATACTGCTCATAGACGGCATCGAATCATCGGATGCGTGCATCCCTTGGCGCTTAGTACTTAGTTCTGGAGTCATTTCGAGGGGGCGGAGGGGGCTGGCAATACGCTACTATACCACTGCTGTCCACAGGTGAGTTGTTGATGAAGCCAAGGGTAAGTAGACGCCCTCGCCGAAGAGTTCTTGACAGCCCACATAATAAATCAAGGATGTGAGTGCAGTAAGCGTGCCACGTCACTTTGTTTGAGGCTTCTAGGCTTAGGAAAGGATCGTTCCCAACGAGTATGTATGTTCCTCGCATTGTATTGAGTCGAACGAGGTCCCGGTTACCAATAAATCAATAAGCACACAAGTGCTCAATATTCAATACCTTATTCTGTTACGCATATATGTAGGCTAGCGGGCCTGCATCCTGGATGACCCCGATCATCGAACAAGATATTAACGAAGATTCCTATCCCCTCAAACATGAGTCCTACCGACTCACTGAACAGGCCCTGCACGCAATTAACTCCCTTTTGTCGGTCTCTGACGAGATGCTTGCAGAGCTCCTCCTATTCAGAAAGCCACAATACATCTTTATTTCATAGATCGAATTCAGACAAGCATTGAATGTAGGATGAATGAACGAGTTCTCTTCTAAATTGTGATATAGTTCCGCAACGTATGTACTCCGAAACACCATTAACCGTCGTAAAATTCGTAACATATGCCCAAACATGTCGATCACGACAAAAGCGATGCCACCCACTGCTCGGCAGCGAGCAGCTTCGAGTAGCCCTTGGCCCCTGTGAATCCCCCAATTACCAACAAAAAGTGGGCCAAGCAAATGGCGGTGATGACTGAAAAGACGGTGGCTATTGAGTATGTCTTCTCCGCAGGCACGGGCTGGAGTATGGGGACAACAGGCTGTTGCAGCTTCTCATCGATAGAAAGGTCATTCAAAAGGCCAGCATTAAGCTCAAACGCAGTATTCGCCTCACGCAGCAATGCCTCTGCATGACATCAGTATGACAATGTTGGATGGGAACGAAAGGGAATGTACCTTTGAGTTTCGTATCATCTCCCACTCCAGCGTCCATCCCGGCCTTGAACCAGACTTTGATCTTCTTCATGTCCCCTTGGCTCGTGGCCGGCACAGACGATCCTAATTGGCGGAATGTGTAGAATGAAAGCCCGATATTCGACTGTTCATCGAGTCCGTAGGCCTTGGCTGTTCGGTGCTTGATGACCTGACCACCGCTCAAATCACCAAGATAGCGAGCATAAGAATGCGCTAGTAGTAGCGACGGGTCTGTGGATTCTATGTCTGTGATTCTGGAGGTGTAGGCGGTGAGTGCGGGTGGGGGGGAGGCCATGAGCGACGTGTAGATGGGGTGGGCCTGCCATGATGATTCAGGAACCTGGAGGACGGCCGAAATGTCTGCAGAAAGACTGGACTTCCTGGCGAGGAGGATAGGGTTATATGTAGGTTGCAGAACCGTGTTAGCCGCATGGCGTTCAAGTGCTTCTTCGATGGCGCTGATAACGGCAATGGTCAGTCCCACAGTGTCTAAAAGGGAAAAGAAGGAACAATACCCATAGATGTGCCACAATATCATGAGGAAGCGTACGTACTCCTCGCGGGGGAGTGCAGCGTTCACCAAGGCAGCGGCACCGGGACTCTTTGCGACCTCGTCGTGACTCTTCACGGTGCCTTTGTGAAGAATTTCAGAGATCGGAAGATTGAGGTCGACAGTGGCCATTGTGGTGAAGGGAATGGTGGTGGTAAGAGAACAAGGAGGGAGAGCAGAGCGCCGTCGGCTCTGGATTTATGTGGCGGTCCTGGAGGTGATGAGAGGTGATGGCGTGCTGTATCTAGGCAGTGGCAGTCACTTCGACGTATACGTCGATTTTCTGATCTTATCTGATAGCCGAAGCCGGGCTGTTACGCGCAATCCGTCCGGCGCTTAATGTTCTTTACCGCTTCAAATTTCCTTAGTCGTACCTCATAATGCATAATATTTTTGGACACTAATGGACTCAGTATAAATCGTACACTCACATGTGCTGGCTTCGAATAAAATACCAAAATATATATGTAATAGACATCTTGGATATCTGACTAATAGATTTGGGGAGAGGTTGTGCCCTCGTCGAGAAAATCACAAAATCCATTTATGCATTATGAAATAATCAATTGTAAGTCCAAGGTAAAAATATTCTTAGGTGAATATACTCTGAGGTATCCCAAGTCTAATACAGTTGGTAACTCATCATAAATGTCAGCTCAGTCATTATAACAACTACCGCTAGCTCCTCATTTACTACTGCCAAGATTAGATAGGTCCAGAATTTAGTACTGTCTGAGACCCAGCTGCATACCTTCCATATCTACACTCGCATAAGATTGAAGAGGTAGAATATTGCTAATGTACTGGTTAATACCCCTCACTCCTTAGGGGTCATCAGGAGATATAACATGTCGCACCGATCCTCCACTCTGGAGTACAGTGGGGCTACAAATGATTGTCCCCGGGATGTTGATTATCTCCACTCGATTTTATTCTTTGACATTATTAGCTAGTTAAATCTACAGCAAACCGTTTAACGTTTGAAGTTGTGGGGCGGCCGTTTCTCGTGTGATCGGCTGGTAACATGGGAGCATGCTCCTCCTCGCGCCACTTTTCCACTTGGACCAGGACCACTCCAACGTAAGTGACGCATAATTTGGAGACAATAATACGTAGTGACGGTCCATTCAGAGGTATATAAGCTCGAGGTCTAACAGCCAAAAGCATCCTACTCATATACTAAATCATATTCAAATCTCGCCGAGTCGTCGTAGATTACAACATGTCCACTACCCGTGAGTTGAGTTGATTTGTTTAGCCTTTCCCATAATTGACGCTAGATTTCGCTAGGATACACAGACAAAAACCCTATCAACGTTGCTGGTGGCTTGAAAGCAGCCATTCACAACCCAAATGTCTCTGAGGAGGCTAAAGAACGCGCTGCGGAACGTCTCCACGAGATGGGCGCCGACAATCAGAATCAAAGTACCCCGCAAAATCTGACAGGATATAGTGACAGTACGTCTCGCCGTCAGTGTCTATGTATATAACAACGGTTGAATTTATCTGTTGCCCAAAATAGGCGAATCCATTACGCAACAAGACATTGCTTACGCCCGCGAAATATTGGAGGCGGTAGGGTACAGCATCGAAAAACCTGCTGAGAGTACGCATGATGAGCATCAGACTCGCGTTCTTGCTGGTTACAAGGCTGCATTGAGCAGTAAGTGTGTTTTCGGCATCGCTTCCGTCAGTGGCTAACGACTTACCCTTCTCAGATCCTCATGTTTCCAAGGAAGCCAAAGCGCATGCCCAAGCGTACTTGAACAAGCACGGAGCTGCCTGAACGAGTTAGTCGATAGGACGTTCATTGGACATTGGTACCGTACCAGCCTGTATCATTAGTCTTGCAGATATGTATCATTTTTGGTCACAGCAGAATTCGGATGGAGATCTCCAGGATAACAGTCATCAACTGCACTACGGGTATAACCTTGACCACAGAGGGGCACATCGGGTCAAGATATATTCCTTGAGCGTCATACACATCTAGTATTGTGCAAACATGGGTAGGGCGTTGTAAAGCGGATAGAGAACCAAAGGATATAGGTATACTGGTTCCGTTCCAATCCAGAGTAGTCAAGTGCAGCAGAGAGCGGGATACATGGTGTAATAGATGGATGTACACGGGAATCCTGGTCCGCTTGAACGGACAATGTTGATACAGATGGGGCAGGACGACGACGACGAGCTGCAGGAGTGCAAGCAGGAAGAAAGCGGGCACAACTTTGTACATAGCAAGAAAGATGAATGAGATAAAGCAACACGGCGATAATATGGCAAAGAGTAAACGGGTGGAAGGGGAAGTAACGAGGGGAGCGTGGGTGACTGCTCGATTTTTTTGCTGGGGAAACTGATATCAGCAGCAGAAGTCTATGTTGTTGGGGGAGACGGAGGAAGGCGAGTGGATATATAGAACAATGTCCGGGTGTCATGGGTTTTAGTCTTTTCCTGAGTGTGATAAATAGATAAATAGAAGACGGGGTAGATAACTCCTGTTTTTCTACGGACTATCGAGGAGGATTGGTGCTGGAGGCCATCGACAGCAAGGGAGTAGTGTTCCCCCTTGTGAAGTTACCTATATTGGGAACCCCACGCTGGCCAGACAGATTGCTGCCACTGCGGGGCCTTGTGGTGCCTTGCCACGAGTTAAGGCCGTAGCCCAGAGGTGCCGAGTCACTCCGGGCTCTAGAGGACTTCTTAACAGCAACGTTACTTCCATTTGACGTCGAGAGGCTCGAAAGAGGATCTCCCCCACTGGATGTGACGAGTCCGCTGTCATCGACCGCCATCCGTTGTCTTTTCGTGCTGATGCGTCCGACATCCCCCACGTCGCTGTTATCATAAAGTTCCATAGATATGGATCCTGGAGAGTTGGCCCCATCGCCTCGCGAGAAAGAGACGTGCTGAAAGCTATGCTGCCTAGAGAGAGACTGAGGTCGTTGTTGGCTTTGATGAACATGTGAAGGGGATTCAGAGTTTGTTGGGCTGGAGTTCGGTGAACTGAGATTGTGGTGCATGGAATGCATTGGTGGATTCCCCATATTCATGGTCAGCGGGGGTGGGTAGCGGGAAGCGCCAGGTGCCGGCGATGTAACATAGATGTCTGGGTTATCAGCAGAGTCGAGAAGATCGTTAGGGAAAGGCGGCACTGTGGTTGAAGTGATCAGGCATGCGAACATAGATAACTTGGTCCCCCTCGCCATGATTAGGTTACTCACCGCTGCCAGGAAATCCTTTACTCGCTACATCCCACAAACGAGCAACTACATTGACAAGCCTTTCGGTACGCCTACGCTCAATATTGAGTTGTTCCCATACTCGGCGGTTTTCATCACGCATGGCGCCGAGTTGGGCTGCAACCTGAAAGGAAGCAATTTGCGGTATCAGTGTACGTACAATCGTGGGTCACCTAAGTTTGTGTGAACTTACTTCGCCAGGCAGTTCAACACGATGCTTGACGGCTGGATCAGGTTCAAGGGCTTTGCGCTTAATCTCGTCCAGTAAGTCTGGGCGATTTCGAAGGAACTTCAGATGGGAGAATTCCCAAGTCTGGGCATCCGTGGAGGTACGTTGGGCCCGGGGTGTCTGTATGTGCGACGAACATACGTTGGCGTCGCATGCAATATATGAGATGATGATTACGAATCAACATCAGCATCATAGATGGCCAGAAAGATGGGTCGTAGGGTCAAGGTACCAGCATCGTCGTCAATACCAAGATCAGTTGGGAGTGATGGTGTGAAGGTCATTTTGTCCGTAAATGGGTAAGGTGGAACGAGGAAGGCGTCAGGGGTAGACGAAGAGGGGTGACGGATTGGCATCGGGATTGCCACGGGTGGGATAGTCACAGAAAATGGAGATGCGAAATGAGTTCTTATGGAGGAAGACAAGGACAGAGCACGAACCCTGTTGATTTTATGGAAGCCGTACATGTTGAGCTGCCTCACAAAACTCGAAAACTGTACGGTATAAGTTAGTAATTCAACTCCACGAGGGGGCACAACAACGTCAACCGGCGAATGGCCCATATGCGGAGTTGGTTATGAAACAGGAAGAGCATAGAAGGGGCTGGATGGCTAAATGGCTCCTGGATAATTTACAGCGGACGAAAAAAGACCCACGTTGTTGTGCTTGAAGTGAGAACCCAGGATAGTCCTGCTGAACTCGCCAACATTCGAGACGACGAACGAAGTCCCATGTTCTGTCCAAGCGATGAACTGCGTTGACTTTGGGTCACTGATCATCCTACATGTGACCACGGGAGTCAGTAAATAATCAGAACTTAGTATGAATGGAATAATTAAATGGTAAGTGGGAAATGAAGCGCGAGGCGAGGCAGCTAATTTGAGGAAGAGCGGCTATGGGTTCGGCTTCCCGGGAGTATGAACGATAACATGGAATCGGCCTGCCTGATACGATTGGCGGATGTTTTGAGAAGCCTCTGTGATCAACAGGGTCGAACCATGGCAACGAGCTCTCCCACTGCAATTCTGTGGGCATGCATCCTCACAAGCATCTTCCTCTCTTCAACACTCGACCATAACATTCGCGGGGGGTTCAACAAGTCTGGGTCCGACTCGTGTAAAACCACGAGTTCATGTCAAATCTACTCGACGATCGAAGCCAAAGCTCCGTCGGTCAACATTCGGTAGAAGTGCGGGTGTAGTTGTTCAACACAAGTGACATGTGGGCAGCTGAAACGTATGATCGCAGAGAATCGGCTGACACAACGTGGCTAGAGAGTTCTAAGCCAACTAGAAGGTTGGCGCGTGACGCATCGCTAATCAAGGGCAAGGATGTCGAAGGGAGCAAGTGTGCATGGTGGAGAGTAGGCGGATGGGGCTACCGAAGAAGGGCTGCCGGCGGTACCTCTAGGCCAGGGGTGGTGACAGCGAGTCCACTGGCGTGCCACAGTATATGAAGGATGACAGTCTGTTGGAAAGGCGACGCTGCCTTCCCAGCCCCTCGAGCTAACTACATCCACAGAAAATGAAGGTGATACGAAAGACACTCACTGATACAGTTTTGTCACGAAGTTGTTCGTGGCCATCGGCTTCCCAAGGACATTCATATTCAAGCCCATCGCCAACCCACCTCCCTCTCCGCTCCTGACGCGACCGGAGTACCGCCTCCGTTATCGTCCTCACCGCCGCTCCCACTGCCATCGACGGGGCTCGCGTTTCCTGTGCCCGTTCCCGGACCAGGAGTGTAGCGCATGTCCATTCCATCATCATAGGCTGTCGAGCCTGGAGTCGTCGTGTCCATCGAATCGTCGTAGACTTCATCAACTTCAACCAGCGTGTCCGTGCTTGCCCCATTCGAACTGAAACTCCGCTTACGGAGGAGCCCCATACTTGACGCGGATGATGAGCGGGATGCCGTGGTGGGCGTCGCTGCCATGCGCCTATCGTGAAACTGCTGGGGCGTGCTCTCGTCGTAGGGCGTCGATGTTCCACTACCGTGGCTACTTCCAGGGACTTGCACAGGCGCTCCCTGAGGCTGCTGCTGCTGTTGCGAAGGGGCTAAGGTAGTTTCAGGAACGTTATATTGGAATTGGGAAGCTATATTGTGATGAGAATGGTGGTACGGGTGGTTATTGGATGGACCCAGAGAGGCCACGGGCGACAATCCATGACTCGACTGGGGTGGGTTAATTGGCGACAGGTTCGTGGGCGATGTCACGGTCAGCGACGATAGATTCAACGACAGCGACGAAGTGGTCCTACTCATTGGATGAGGGTGAGCGTGGTCTCCAGAACCACCGTTACCAGGCTGGTTCGTATTTTGAGGCTGCTGCTGTCCTGTTGCAGATCCCTGCGTGGGGTAGAAGGGATAGTGCTGCCCATGGTCTGGCACTCCGGACGGGGTGACTGGCGTCGGAAACGACTGGCCTGTGTGGGTCGTCGACAACAAATGCGGTGCCCAGTTTGTTGGTGGTCGCTGTTCTTGGTGGTTGTAACGGGGGTCCCCTTGCGCTATAGTATAACCGTCCATGCTGTTCGTAGCGTCGTCAATGAGATACCAATAAAGCAGAAACGAAATGACCTGAAAAGCGGTATTTTTTGGCTCAAACCCACTCATCTGCGAGATCGCAGTATTAAGCGCCCGTATGACTAAGCAATGTTGTGACTTCTTGTCCGAGTCTGCAAATATTCGAATCAGCCAAGAGTCAGATCAACAGGGTGTTGGGGTTTCTAGGTAAATAATTGAGAAACTTGTTTCCACTAATTATCCGCAAGTTCGTAACCTCCTTCCGTTGGGGTGATCGCGCTGTATTCGCCGAAGTGCTGGACTTAAGATCAACTACCACTCGGGTAAATTGTTCTCCGAGCTTCATGTCTGCATACCGAAACAGCGCATGCGTGAGGATTCCATGCGGATTCGCGGAGACGTTAGGTCGAGGGGTACCAATGGGTGGGCTAAGCGATGCAATCTTTGAGATTCAATTCAGACCTTCCTGCTTGTTGAGCGCCGCTGATCCTTCAGACCCAGGCATGTTTTTCCAGCGGTTCGGCTGATCGGTAATGCGAAGGTATTCTTTGAAATGTTGGACAATTACTGGCCATCCCAGTAAGTACTAGTAAATGATCCCGACATCAGACACCAGTCAGAAAATCATTCAGAAGTAGAGAAGAGTCACCTCTAGGTCACGCCAACGCTAATGGCAAGCTCTCAGCCACTGATTAGGCCATAATACTGCTGAATGGATCTAGCGAGAACCGCCACGGTGCGACGCAAGTGTCGGAGTCTTAAGTGCGTGGCGCTACACTCCGCGTCACTGCGAAATTCCATCCGGGCAGGAAATTGTGCTGTACGCCTATTCTTAGCCTTGCGGGCAATATAGCCCCCCTGAGAGAGTATGCGTACCGACTTTCGGCTACCCCCACCAATGGGGCTCTCTGTACGATCTTCCTTCAGTAGAGGTCGAGGGCCGAGCAGACTGTTCGACGTGCAATCATCCACTAACGGTGCCAGGGAACTTTACCGCCACAGTCATGACAATTTCATGGTTGTTTAAAGGCTTGTTTTCTCAAGAGTTATGTAAGTTCAACCAACGTTCCATTACTATCAGGGTTCTATGCCGGGAACTGACTACTTGTCCGTGGACAAATCACTTAATTCTGCTAACGACGCTGGCCTATCACAAAATCATAATTATCACCTTGGGGCTGTTGTAGGGTCCGACCGAGGCGTTGAGGCCTACTACAGCTTTCGATGCAAATATATACTTCAACATACGTGCTTCATGCTATCAGATAAGCTGCCGATGTGCACCAAGACCTCTGACACAATCTACGGCATTATCTACCTCCCACTTTAGCCTACTTCCCATGTCAGAATTTTCTGTGATGCTACCGTTAGCCCCTTACTTCATTTGTGACGCTTATTCAAGTATATACCGATTAAGTGCCTAGAAGATTTTGTTTCCGTACATTGCACACGGCATCTCCAGGAAATAGATAACAAACCATATCCGGTGCCCATCTTGTACCGGCCAAAGTGGCAGAAGCGGAAACACTATGCGATCAAGAACTTAATCTCTCGGACAGCCAAAATGATATCACCAAGCTGAACCTTGTATTCCATACCCGGGATAAGCATTACAGCGGTGTAACGAGGGAGAACTATCCAGCTTCATTGCATTCCGTCGAATGGAACTGTCCGTTACCGTGCTTCTTTGACTTGAACATGTGACGTTTGAGGTCTGACTTGGTGGTGAAGGCGGACCCGCATTCACAGCTGAACGGACGTTCATCATTGTGGGCGCCTAAATGACCTTGACATCATGATAGCAACAAGTCAGTAGACGCCACGGAGAATGCTGTGCTCGAGACATACGATAATAATTGTGCCTGGCTGTGAAGCCTCTGTCGCAGTATTGGCAAAAGAATCGGTGCGGGTTGACACGCCGCTTCTCAGCAGCGTCGGACACGGCATCGGTAGCTAGCTGCCTAGAGGCAGGCAAGCTGATCATAGATGGTCCAGGCTCCGACGAGCCAGGCGGAATATTGGATACTGTCGCAGTGATGTAGTCAGCGACTGTCCGGGGAACGAGGTGGAGGGAATTACGATAATCCGTTCGCGGTATATCGCGGGGTGCCAAGTAAATGTGACCGTCTGAAGTATCGTTGAACGGTTGGACAGCTGAATAATAGCTATTAAAATTATTTGCTATACCTCCAAAGAGACTTCAGCTTCTGAGCAATAATTCAAGGCGGGGTCCACCCACAGTTATCGGTGGAATAAAATGCCGGACTTTGGAAGAGCGAGCCTGAAGGCGCCACGTACGCCTGTTCGCCATGGAAGTGCTGAAGGTATTGACTGGAAGCAGTACTATGATGGAATTGTGGATGTTGCTGTATGTGACCGGTGTCATTAACATGCCTATCCATCATTTGTGGGATGGCCGGCTGGCTCCAGGCGTACGGAAGACCTAGATTCTCGACAGAGTTGCCTATGATTATACGTTAGAATAGGTGGAGGACTTTGGTGAATGACGACGTACTCGACACAATGGTGTCAGCCACTCGATAGCTTCCTTGATGGTAGGTATTTATCTGGTAGTGTCCATCCTGAAAATGTGAGCCGTTGGGACGTTCCATCTGGTATTTTCGCCTCTAGTGCAGGCTGGTGAATGTCAAAAACCATGCTTTATAGGTCAATATTTACAGTGCTTTGAGAATGTACTTACCAAGATCGTAGCGTCGGCCAATGGAGTCTGCCCACGGTGGCCGAATGAGTTGTTCGCTTTAAGCGTTCAACGATGTCTAGCAGGAACGGTTTCAACGCTCCACGATCACTGCGGAAGAATGGCTACGTGGCTGGGTGCATACTCCAGTGAGAAGAATTACAGCAAGTTAGCCACATGATAGGCATGCGAAAATTCGTACGGATGTGCTTGACTTGAAACATCCCGTTAGGTTGGTCTTAAATTGACGGCTGTGGAATGGCGTCACATGAACCTATGCATATTCCAGGTAGCTGGCGGCAGAGCATGCTGGGAGAATTTGAATTATTCGATCATCACGCACTTCCGCTGCAAGATGAGAAAGAAACCTCGAAAAGTCGGAGCGCGGCCTTGAAGTTCGAGGGCTGTTGGTTGTACATGTGAGTTACAAAGCCCCAGACCTGGTGCAGTTTAAGTGTTTACTAATAGTTTTTATGTACCGCCAGTGGTGGAGGAAAGATCCATAACTAAGGAGTACTATCCGATAGAGTTGCGTTTAATTCGGGGGCTTCGTTTCTGTCGCGAAGTCTACTCTGAGCGCTCCGTATCTGTAGCTTCAGAAGGTCTGACACCGAAGCAGATCAGAGGAGATACCGCGCGAGGTCGCCGATAAACCTGTGCATGTCTTTGGACGACCGCGTTGCACAGTCGGTTACGACAGAGGCACTATAAGAGGCTAGGGAATTCATCAACCCAGCCTTTCAAGGAGATGATTTACAACGGACCAGGGTAATTCCTATTGCAGATCCAGAGCAAACATAACGTATATCTGAAAAGATAGTTTAGCCATAAAAACGCGATGAGAGCGGGGGGGAACTTACTTGTCGGTACAGTTCGGTGCCGGGAGGCGCGCGGTCACGTTTAAGTCACAGGGGCGATTAAATTGAGCGCCTAATGTGTCTTAAAACTCGAGTACGCCGTCGGTGACAACGCGTACCATTGGAACTGTTAGTCTCCTTCGTCCCTTACAGACATCTCGGACATCTTGCTTGGAGTATAGAACAACATCTATATCGCCTTGCCTCGCCGGCGCTCTTTGCGACGATGGCGAAACTCCGATCTTGTGCGGAATTACTCCTGATGCGTGAAGGGTCGACTCACTGTTATCCTTGTATCCCTGGACCCTAATCCACTCAAATACGGGTTTGTTGTGATGGCTGGTTACGCCCTGTTTTTCCTTCTTCTACCTACGGAATCTCGATGAGAACCAAGGCAAGCTCAAGCCTCTTCTTTTGTTTCGCACTCGTCCAGTCGATCAAAGCTGCGGCCATCAGCTCCAATTGGAAGACGCCTGAAAATTACGCCGGGATCGCACATGGCATGGGGACGTCAGAGCATGCGTTTGCTGTGGATGTTTCTTCGTGAGTGCAACCCCAAGTAGTCTAGGAATATTTTCTGATCCGGTGGATCAGAGCCAATGCAGATGTACGGATCCCCCAAGGCGTGGAAGTAGGGGGAAGTGTAGTAGTTCGCTATTCATCTGACATTACGCGGTCAGGTAAGTGGTATCGAATCTTAACTGCACACTACTTGTCCTCTAACCCACGCACTTCACCACGGATCCTACAGAGCTCACTGCTGCTCAGGTGTTCCATCACCTAGTGCCGCGAAACAAAGCAGAGGGCAAGGAGAAGCCTGCACATCCGCGAAATGTTGGATATGCAATTGTCATTGGGGCGGTCGCTGGCTTGATCTTCTTGATTGCTATGATTGCGGTGTCGTGCCACTGTTTTAGGAAGCATCGGATGCAAAGCAAGGTTGCTTCCATATCGATGTCGATGCCAAAGTCAAAGTCGAAGGGTGGAGGTCCTGCGTCAGGTGGTGTGTACGCGAGGTTACCAGACCCGGAGCCAGTCGACCGTCCAGCAGGTACCTTCCAGCAGCCACATTATGATCCTAACGTTCCTTATGCGACACCGTGGTCACCACCTTCTCATTGAATGGACTATTTCGTGTACTTCTAAGTTATGGCGGCTATGCTTGTATCAGACAGCGTGACTTGCATTGATGCATACCTGATGCTCAACATGAATGATTCCCAGATGCGTGCATTGCCTTCCTGTGGTCGAAACAACAGGGTAAGATAGGCGCCCTCGTACACCATTGCCTCGCGGAAGGCGCGGGGCCAATCAGCGCCCAAGGCCGCACACGCCGAACGGGGATCAGACACCGCCACTGTCTCTATAGATGCACGACAGAAACACAACTATCCCATCTTTTTCTCTTTCTCTCTCCTCTTTCTTCACCTTCCTCACATCTTTCTTTTCTCCCCGTCCTCCAGGGTTCTTCGTGCGATGCGGTTAGGCCACTTCTGTGTCGGCGCGCTCAGCTCATTCATTGCGTTCGGAGACGTCGTCAATGCCATCAAGCTGACTATGCACGGGCGCAGACACCCGACCTCAAGCGACGGTGTTTTGCTGGGACGACGGGGAAACGTTTCACCCTTGACGAACAAAGGAGACGTTAGCTATTACACGAACATCACGCTAGGGGGAGCCGAGTTCACTGTCCTCATTGACACAGGAAGGTACGCATGCGCCTGAAATGAGAGTCGGCGGGGCGGCAGCTGAGTGCGTTACCTGCAGCACGGATCTCTGGGTAGCTGGCAAAGTCCCAGAAAGTCAGGACACAGGCAAGGCCAGTGGCGTCACGTACGCCATTGGCGAGGTAAAAGGTGCGCGCTCAAAACTGCTGTTATATGCGCCAGGCACTTACTCTGTCATATAAGGCCCTATCAAGAAAGCACATTTGGATTTTGCTGGACACACAGTACTCAACCAGGCGTATCGTGAGTCTCCCGGTCGACTGTATACCCTGCTGGTGTTGAGGTTCTCGAACTAGTTGAGATCACACCGGGTGATGAGCCAGCAGGAACTGGCCTGATTGGTCTTGGTCCTAATAGCGGCTCGAATATCTTCCGTACTCTCAACAGCTCAGACGGACATGCGGTCCTCGATCGTATTTTCCTTCAGAACACCTCTACGCCCAACTTCATGACTGTGCTTCTTGGACGTTCGGAAGGTTAGTACCTGGCTTCCACTGATCCCTTCTAATCTTATGTGTTGGCCATCCATATAGATCCCGTCGATACGTTTCCTGGCGACCTCACCATTGGCGAAATTTTACCTGGCTTCGAGAACATCACATCGCAGCCCAAGCTCACAGTAACCGACGTGCCTATCTGGGAAGTCGGTGACCAGCACTTTCAAGTACTGTTGGATGCAGATGGAATCATTGGGCCTACTGGTCAACCCGTGAAAGTGAAGACGGCTGTAGATGAGACGAAGAACAAGAAGCAAGTTACGGCCATTGTGGACACAGGATTCAGTCTCAGTCAGGTCCCAAGGTGTGTACAAGTCGATGTTGCATTTTTGTGTTCTGTGCTAATTCTACGTGTTTTCTAAGGGCTGTTGCCGATGCCTTCTATGGAGACATCCCAGGCGCCCAGTTTGCAAATGTTTCTGGTATAGGGAGAACATGGATCGTGCCTTGCACTGAAGAAGTCAACATCACTTTCAAATTTGCAGGCCAGTCTTACCGCATCCACCCCCTTGACGCTGCCTTGTGAGTGCAACCATATAATATTTGTAGACCATCGTCAAATACGTTGCAGAGAACCTTCCCTCATCGGTATCGATAGCATTAGAAATGCCCAGGGACAGGATTGCTGTATTGGTATGTCAGTTCTCCTTCATGTATCCCTTTTCATCTTCCTGAAGCGTATATTGAAGTTCCAACCTATTCTGTTCAACCTTGGCAAGAGCCCCAACTTTGATATGATCCTGGGAATGTCTTTCCGTGGGTTTATACCTTCTCTCCCCCCGAAGTTCATGTTTACTCACCATCTTGATGTCAGTTCGTAACGCCTATACCTTGATTGACTTCGGGGACTTCTTGGCCGAATCCAAAGGCAAAGGGGACCCGTACATCCAATTCCTTTCTACTACCGGCCTTTCAGATGGTGGGTCTAAGTCTGCATTTCCGTTTATCGAAGACCGACCAATCCATGTCTCACAGGACATTCTGAATTTGTTCGTGTTCGTTTGGGGGGCAATGACACCACGACCGACCGAACACTTGCAAGTTCGCATAACAATAATACGGCCTCTTCAGGCAGCAAGAGGACGCTCTATTATATCTTGGCTGGTGTCCTCATCGGTCTTGCCTTCCTCATCGTCGTTGGCTTCCTCATCTTCAACAAGGTTCGCCAAGCGAGAAATCGCAAGACCGCGTACCACTCTCTTGGTGATCAGACAAACGCACCCACGAATGCTGCGGGGATGCAACAGTACTACAACCCCAACACCCAGTACGATCCGTACCAGCAAAGTCAGTACCAGGCACCAAACCCCCAGTACAATCAGCAGCCTCCTCAGTACAGCCAAGGCCCTCCTCCAAATCAGTATTCAAACCCCTGGGATCATCGATACTAGCACTAGCACCTCTCGTCTCTCCATCAAATATCTGAACTTCAATGTAAGATCTTGCACTCGTTATTAGTATGGACTGTCGACTACTATTATATATACTTGTTGTTATTTGCATACTCATGGACTTTGTGCACTCTGTTCTCGCTTGGGGTACTCGCTGTGATTGGAAAAACAGTTCTATTGCGCTCAAAGTGCTACTATCACTTAGACAGATTTGCAAAATTTTGGACAATTCGACCTGGTGCTCCAGATTGGATGTCCCTACAACTCCCGGCATGCTACGAGAGGTTGTCGCTCATCTTGGCTAAATACCTATCAACTTTTTGAGTGAATCCCTTTCCGAGTAGTAGAGCAATGACGATGCCGGTACGACAAGTACCCAAAAACATAGATTTGCAAACTTTTCGTCACAGTGTGTCACGCGTCATTCAGACCCAGCACGCAGCCGTGTGCCGCCGTATGCATTCGGCCGCTCGCTCGGCAACACATGGATCTGCAAAACAAGGGGCAAATAGGAGCTTCTTTGTCACGCAAAATGTTGCTGGTTTTCCTGTGCATGAACCAGTAGGTACGAGTGCAAGGGACTCTAGATTCAGACTCTAGCACTACTATACTAGCTAAGAAAAAAATCAGAAGTCTGTAGGATTGTTATTACTTCCACAGCATTCAAGTCAAATTTGAAATGACTATTTGCACGTCACATTTTGCCCGCGGAAATGGGCTTGCAACTTCTCAAATGCCTTGAGATTTTTACAGTAGCTCAATGAAGTTTATTTCTCAAACATACTTCATGTCCGAGCATAGGACATGGAATCTACAACAACTTAAAATTGGTTTTGCATATCTATGTGTGTTTGCACTACAGTACACGTGATAGTAGTCTGCAAGAATGGAATAAAAAGGGGCCAGCCAGGGTCGGCACTATCCGAATACAACACGTGCCGTCAATACATCCGTGACATGATCGAGGTCGGTCGAGATGGATCAGCTCGCACTCGATGAAGAGGACGACCACATCGTCTACAACACTTTTCAGACATTGAATATGTTCCGAATACTCGCCTTAATGTCCTTGGCTGGCGCCCTCTTTCTCCGGGCGCGGTCTGCATCTATCGCGACCGCATCGGTCGTCCCGTTTTCTTCGAAGTCGGACAGAACGTGGTTATGGGGTTGGGCATGGGGGTCGGAAAGCACAGTTTCAGTGGTGGATAGGACTCCAGTCGTTTCTTGGATCTCAAGACCTGGTGCGCATCCTAGACTTGTCTACTTGCTAAAGCCCTAATAGCTCGCATACAGCCGCATTTGGTGCTGAACTGGGAAACCCACTACTGGGTTACGTGATCCCTATCTCTTCGTTCACCGAGCCGTGCGCTGCCAACGAATCATATCATGAAACCCCCAAGGAGTTGAATTGGGGCTGCCCCAGCCTGTGTGTGACAGGACCTCACCAGCCTGAGCCAGCAGAAACGTGGATTGCACTCGTGCAAAGGGGCGGATGTGAATTCGTTCACAAAGTCCGAGAGGCCCAGCGGTTGGGTGCGAAAGCCGTGGTGGTAGGAGGTAATGATCCTGATGTCTCAGGATATCCCGATACCCTCGTCAATATGTATAGTCAAGGTGGGTGCATTTGTATCTGCCACTGCTGTCCATTTGCTGAGCGGCTGGCGCTTAGAAGATGCGTCTGATATCAAGATTGCATCGACCTTCATCAAGCACTCAGCGTACATGGAACTCTCCTCATTAATAGCTTCTTCGAACACTTCACATTCCGGCCTACAGACTCTCTCGCTACTGATAACTGCGGAATACTCCGCATGGGAGTGGTACTCGTAAGTTCGTCAACATCATAGTCTTATATATACTGACGGCCGGCAAAAGACCAGTAATAACATTCGTCATCATCCTACTTCTTCCTTCCATACTCACTTTCATCACACTCCTCGTCCATCGTATTCGGGCCGCCAGAGCCGCCCAACTTGATCGTGCACCCGAAGAAGTAGTTCTGAACCTTCCTTGGAAAGTTTGGACTGGGAATGGCTGGGAGAAGCATGAAGGTTCCATAGACTCGTCACAATCCGCCCCCCCTTCGAAACCTCCCGCAGGCGTTGCCACCACAGTCACGTCTGAGGAAGCAGCGGAGGAAGCGACTGGAGCTTCTTCCAGCACGTCGAATCAAGCCAACCAACCTTGGTTTGAACAACAAATGGAGTGTGCTATTTGTTTGTCCCAATTTGAGAAGGGCGATCGAGTACGCGTATTGCCTTGCCATCATATATTCCACCTCGAGGAGGTCGATGAATGGCTGATTCAACGGAAGAAATTAGTGCGTGCCCATTTAATTCGGATGCCTTCTGTCAGGATTTAAATCATATCCAGTGTCCCGTATGTAAAGCCGACGTAACGAAACCACCGCCAGACCATGAGGTTCATCCACATGCCACATCAGCTACCGAGCCAGAAGCTCAGGAACCTCCCCCAACAGAACGAACTCCTCTTATTAATGATCGGTCTTGATGATGCTTGTGTACTGAAGCTGGTAACATTTTGTGTCGGTGTCCGTGTAAACTACTTTATTGGCTCTGGTTATTATCATTCCCAGAGATGACTCCCTGTACTCCAGATGGTCCGCTGAGATCACTCTTCTAACGGTTCGATGCATCGTGCATGATGCAGGACCGATCAAGCAAGAGTCAGCCGATGTCTCCGTCGCTAAAAATGCGCCGGCACAATGTCCAAGTCAAGGGCAAATTGGGGTAGGTTTGGGCTTAGTCCTGACCTCGTCTGAGGCGTGTTGGGACGTGCACTCAGTAACGTCAGCTAGCACAGGTTTGTCTCTACACTGGTAAACTCTATCTACCGCGAAGGGAAGATTCTTACCCGATTTGGGCATTCGACGTTCAACGTTTTCAACCCTCGAGTTTGAAGACAATAAGACTAGGAACCGTGTGGGAGCTCCAGCTCTTATACCCTTCTACTCAAGAGCTGAGACAATTAGTCCGCTAGGTACGCAGGGATTATTCAGGAAATAACCCATATCTCACTTCAATCAGACAGGTGGTATCGTCACATCATTCGACCTTATTGTTTTGTGAACACGCGCCGGATCTCTTCGGGAGAAATGGATATCCTTACACCAGACCCTATCAATCTGGTCTCACCCCACCGCCGACCAGGAAACCAATATGTCTCATACCGTCTCGGCGTCCCGGAAAGGCTTTGTTAAGGAAGATCAAGTTACCTTTTGAAGCCCCGGAGAGGGCGCAGCTTGTGTGCAGATGAAAATCTACTTCATTCTTAGCGTTCTATCTACAGATTGAAGACGTCCTCATTGTTCGCCGCAGATTCTCTCATGCAATGCTGCAGACCCCGAGGTAGCCTACAATAACAGCGGACTTGCACCGGGGGTCGATGCGGAGGAATTCCTCGATTACGCTACATTCAGTTCCGGGGAAGAGTATTTAAATCGCCGGAACCTCCGTCCTGGAATCTATGACGGCTAGAAATATATTGGAGCCCAGCGCCAACTTCCCTGGTGGCCTGCTTATTACCAGTGCTTATCCATAGGAAGTGCTCTCTTTCCTGATCCTTCCTTCCCTGCTTTGCTCCATCGTTAGGCCATCCATATTGATGGCCCCATGGCAATAATGGAGCCTCTCAATCGAATACAAAACAAGAAGAGACACAGTAAGTCACCATGTCTCTCTTCACGTTCATCGGGAGGCGACTCATTCCTCCTCACAGCGAAGCCGTGTAAATTCTATCAAATGAATAATTGTCCATACCCACAGGAGGAATGCGACTTTGCCCATATTCTGACGGGGGAACCTACATTCCAGAATGCGACGCCATGTCGATTTTACATCAAAGGACACTGCAGTAACGGGCTATGGTGTAGATATAAACACTCTTTGGAAAGAGGATCAGACAGTGGGTAACACGTCATGGAATTACCTGACATTGCAGTATACTAATTGAATCTCTGCAGTCAACGACCCACGAGTTCTCCGTTCACCCGACATCAGGGACATACAACCTGAACTCACACAACAAGCCCTTCGCAGACATGCAGGCAAGCCAACGAACCCCAGACATACTGACCGTTCGCCAGACAGCCGAACTTCGTTCCCAACATCACCCTCATCTGAATCTCAATCCCTCCATTACCGTGGCCCCGTTTCTCCTCGTTCTCCCATTGAAGAGTACGGGCTGAACTTTTCCATGTGGAGCCCAGTGGTAGATTCGCCACATATCTCTTCACGCAGTCGGGCTGAATCAGGCGGCTCGCCCAATAGTAGACACATATCAGAACTATTCTCGAATCTTGCGTTGTCCCCAACGAGTTTCGCCTCGGACAATGCTCCCAAGGATAGCCGCGGGCGTAACCCAATATATCCATCGAGTGTTTCGTCGGAGCTCTCGCCCGTTTTGCCGTCCATACATCAGGCATACGGCCTGACTCCCAGCCCACTCCCAGCTCCTACGTATCCAGTAACGTCGCCTGGCCTCCTTAACGACGGTTTTGATGGTCATTGGGCACAAGAACACATTCAGCGTTCTGGAGTCTCTCCGCCTCCTGGATTGCCCAAAGCAAAAGCTGCTAACTACAAAAGTATGTACGGCGTCCGATTGGCCGTCGATGAACATATTGCTGACCCTAAGTGTGGACAGCAAAACCGTGCCGATTTTTTCTCTCGAACAGACCGTGCCCAAATGGTGAGGATTGCACTTTGTAAGTACTGTTTATCCTGGAACCGTTCACGTCGATATTATCGATTTCGCTCATATATATTGCAAACAGCATTCACGGTGACTCTGACTTCGCAGAGAAACAGCTCCCTACTGCGAAGAGCGCAGGTTTACCGCTTCCTCCAAAGCCTACCACGCTTCAAGAAGCGAATGCACAGAAGGGTTACTTCCCTGTATCCTGGAGGATCATTGGAGGCGGGGTACCTTTGAGCCAGGATCCCAGTGAGATGATTTCTCCCCTAGCCCCTTGAATACAACGGAACACTGAATTCACATCGCTTCAGGCGCATCCTCTGTTTCTTCAGGTTCTACATCCAGTTCCCGAGAAGATGTATCCGAACCTTTGGGTCACATAGCTCGACCAGCTGATATTCCTTCATCGCTGAGTAGAAAAAATAAGGCCAGTGCTACCCCACTGAAGCTGGATGTATCGTCCCTTCCGCCTGTCTCACTACGGCCGCCCAATGACAATGCAACCACTCCGACAAAGATGACGCCAAAGTTTAGGCCAACCTCTACACCACCAACACCAAGCGCTACTCACTACACAAACATTATGTCTGTGAGTGGCGTCACTCGTACTGGGGATTGCGGCTAGGCACTGACTGGAATGCGACGATAGCTCTTCTCAGCCGAATCTCCTGCTGTACTTTGATCGCCAACGGGATTGTACTACATAAATATAGATGCTTCTACGTTTCTTGGTAACTCCAGCTCTAGACTATACGAGTCGCGCAACTCACATGTTGTATTTCTATCATTCATCTTCCTATAAATAGTAGCTGTATATCTTCGTTCGTTCATTAAATATACTTCGGTGCCACAATTCGCTAACTCGTCGTGGCTTCATGATTTCTGTCGTAATATTTACTAGTCAGCATCAGTATAGCACCGAAGTAGACGATGGGACAATTATTTAGGTCAGCCTCTAAATACCCAATTTTCGCCCGTCTACTATCCGCCGTCGGGTAACTCCGCTACTACCACCATCGTCGACAAGGAGTCGGTGGCGCCGTGCCAGCGGTGACGCTCGACCTGGATCATCAAAGCCACAGCGCTATACTAAGATCTAATCTACGAAAACCATGTCTCACTGCGAGATCAGAGACACATTGAAGTGCCGGCTAATGGGACGCAGCCCCCCAGCGATTTGCAGTACGTGGATACTAGGTACTGTCCCTATATTTCTACTAGTAGCGGCTGAATATTGGACAGCTGACTGGCTGGTGGCGGCTGCACTTTTAGTGGCACGCATGACAACCGAAGGCTCAACTCTAGGCTCACGCGACTATGCAAGAAGCTGGTGAAGGACTCCAGGTACAACAACGTGCAGCGTTATTCACGGTGACAGCCAAAGGAAGGATGGACCGATTCTCGTGCGATGTCCGCGCCGACCTGAACAAAGAAACTTGACAATACCGTCGATGATAACCGCACCAATCGAGGCGTAAAGTTGAACAACACTGACCGCCACGCGCCTCCGCGCTAAGCAAGAAAATGGAAGGAAATAGGCTGGTTTAGCATTCAAACTTCGGGCCCCCGTGCTGACGGCATGTATGGTCCTCGTATATCGGTCTCTGTTGGTGCATTCATCCTGCCCCACAATGTGTATATCAGGGTCAAGATACCATTATATCACCTCAGTCCGATATACCGAGACTGGGGTGAGTTCTATCATCACTGTTTCACCCTCGATGGGTCCTCATAGGAGTGCCCCAGACCTGTATTCTGACAGGTAGGCCCGGAACGAGCAACGGAGATGAAGTCATTCGCCCCCCTCACATTCCTTTTACTCGTTGCCGGGTCATTCGCCAAACCATTGCCCGCTGGGAAACCGAAGCCGGTCTCAAGCAAGGTATTCTCGGAGTTACAGCTGTATGCAAAGTACTCGGCTGTGGCATACCGAGACCAGCAGGAGTGCATCAAGCCGCTTAACAACACTGCCGTGGCTAGGGTACGTAGTATCGTTATAGTGGTGGGGACTATGTTAGCTGAGTTGGATGTCTCTAGTACGACAAAAAGTCTACCCAAGCAATTTTGGTCCGAGATGATAAGCGGAAGGAGTTCGTATTGGCATTCCGTGGTACCGAACCTACCAAAGGCGACGGGGATTGCAGTATCGGTCAGTCCTTCCATCCTGATATCTCGTTATTCGCCGCCGAACCGAATTGCTGTCGCTGTCTGCTTAGATGCTCAGATCTGCAAAACCCCCTTGGCTATCCCCGGAGTGACTGGTTCAGATTTGCAGGTCCACACTGGTTTCCAGAAGGCTTGGAAATATGTCAACGCGGACGTTATATTGAGTCTGAAGAAGGAGCTTAAGTCGAAGCCAACCTTCGCTCTCGTTGTGACTGGTAAGTTTCACCGACGCGCAGCTCTACGTATAAATTGATGTACTTGTTTCATGGACAGGTCACTCGCTAGGAGGTGCCATAGCAGCTTTGGCATCTCTGGAAATCAAGACGGCGTTCCCTAAACTGAATCTGCGTCTATTCAGCTATGGTTCGTGACCTCGATTATTTACTTCGAGGATGAGTTGTTCATCCAAACAATAGGAGCGCCGAGGGTTGGGAATCTTTCATTCGCGAAGAAATTGCAATCGGTTGTAGGGATCAGCAATATCTTCAGAGGCATGTTGCGCCATTCCCTGAATGTTATTGGAAACTAAACGCTCATGAATCACGTAGGAGTTAACCAACAAGGTAGACTTTTCGCGGACGCAATTCGTATCGCTGCTCAGATCAAGAAATAGATCCGGTTTCATTTATGCCACCTCTTTTGCTTGGTTATCGACACTTGTAGGTTTAATCTACTCCAGCCGCTCGTGTGTCGCACGACTCACGATATTCAATAGCCCGAATGAATACTGGCAATTCAAAGAACCTGGTAAGTGGTTCCCCTGAAGCACCCCTGAAACGCCCTGACGTCCTTGGGTCAGCCTCCTCCCAAAACGTAGTGATGTGCCAGTACGGTGAGGACAAGGACGAGACCACAGATAAGGATTGCAACAATACGCCTGGTAAGCGTGACTTCTCGTATCATATCTACTTTGCTTGACCGAAGTCCCTTCCAGTTATTGTTAGTCCTTTGAACGTTAAACAACATAGCATGTTGTTCGGGATAAGTGATTTATTCTTCATTCCCTCACCCACCTGCACAAACTGACTTCAGTGACAGAAACCGGTAACTCAAGCACACAGTACTGTGGTGGAGGAAAATGAGTTACTACATATGTACATATTTATCATGCAGGAGTAATAAATAATTATTTAACTACCAAACTTGAGCTTTCATCCTAGTGAATCGACCAAATGGGAAAGTAGTATTCCGAGAAAGCCGTATGTCATTGGAGAATCTGCTATAACAAGCCGTCCAGGTAAAGTAAGACTGCCATTTAGAGCATCTTCGGCAGTACTAGCCACTGAGCGCTGAAGCTCGGTGGAACGTGGTGGATCAATTAATTTCTTGACACGTCACGAAAACTCGATAGTCTGTACCTGCTCCATGCGGGCCATCCAGCATTGGGTTATTTGGCGAATCCTGCCGACGCTTGTCGCGATCACAGGGGTGTCGTTATACCTCTCAGTAACTGGGAACAATCGGCTGCTAAAGCCAACGAATGTATATCACGAGCTAAAATGGGCGCTGTATCATATTTCGCAGCACTACGACTTGCCTGTGGATGCGGGCCTCACAGAAGAAGGACTGGTGGATGCGTACATTAAAAGGCAAACACCGATCGCCCAGGACGGCATACTAGCCAATATTGGACCGAATGGGTCCAGGTGTGGGGGTGCGAAGGTGAGCAATCCATTTAAGTACAATGTTTGGACCGTTCGTGACGGTAATTTTCTAGTCTGGTACAGTCATAGCGAGTCCAAGTACGCATGATCCTGACTATATGTATACATGGACGAGGGACGCTGCTCTTGTTGTGAAATTACTTGTTGACCAGTATGTGATGCGCCACACGTCGATGCCCGATATCCCTTGCTAATTTCACGAAAAGATACACCCATAACCAAGACGTGTCGCTCAAAGGAATTATAGACGAGTACGCGGCTGCTCAGGCAGCCTTGCAGAAAGTCCGAACCCCAAGTGGAGGAATGCTAACGGGCGGTTTGGGGGAGCCAAAATACAACATTGATCATACCGCGTTCACTGAGCCCTGGGGAAGGTAATTCGTTTCCTCAATCCCAACGAGTAGAGTTCCGACCGTATTGCGTTGCAGACCTCAACACGGTATGTGTCATGACATTCCCCATCATAGATCGAATAAACTGCTTGAATTTTCGAAGATGGGCCTGCCCTTCGTGCAACAACGCTTCTCTCATATGCGAAAACTCTATTGAAGCAGTCAGATAGGGAGAGTGTACAGCAATCCCTTTGGCCAGTCCTCGAGAAGGACCTTGATTATGTTGTCAAATATTGGAACCGCACGGGGTACATATTACATACCATCAGTACGCCGGTGTACGATGATTTACAACGTCTCCTAGATTCGATTTATGGGAGGAAGTATCTTCTTCTTCATTCTTCACGACAGCGGTTCAGCATCGAGCCCTCCGAGAAGGAGCTGCTCTTGCCCGTAATCTCAACAAGACCGAGATTGCACAAATATATTCTGCGCAAGCAGACAATACACTGTGTTTCTTGCAGGTGCGATTCAACTCTCCCTTGTTGTTTTACTTTGTCTGAAAGTCTTCCAGTCGTATTGGAACGCGGATATCTACTACGTCGTCTCGAATACGGGAGGCGGCCGCTCAGGCAAAGATGCAAACAGCATCTTAGCTTCCATCCATACCTTTGATCCCACAGCGGGCTGCGACGCAGCTACGTTCCAGCCTTGCTCTGACAAAGCCCTAGCCACGCTATATGCCTGCATCGACGCTTTCCGTGGTCTCTATCAAATTAACAGGGGGACAGCTTACTCCGACGCGGTAGCAGTGGGTCGCTATCCTGAAGATGTTTATATGGGCGGCCACCCTTGGTATCTTACAACAGCAGCCGTTGCTGAACAGCTTTACGATGCCCTGTATGTCTGGAAATCTCAGGGCTACATCGAGATCACCCGCATATCCCTCTCTTTCTTCCGCGTGGTCTCTCCAAGAATACGGCCCGGAACATACACCTCAGCTCGTCTGGAATACCATGAACTCCTCGCCGAAGTCAAGAAGTTCGCGGACGGATTCATTGCTGTTAATGCCAAGTATACGCCGTGGGATGGTTCTCTCGCCGAGCAGTATCATCGGGACAATGGCCAACCATTGAGTGCACGCGATCTGACGTGGAGCTATGCGGCATCGATTACCGCTTTTAATGCCAGAGCGGGAGCACTTGTACCGGGTGGTTGGGGTGCGAAAGGCCTTGTTGTTCCCTCCGTGTGCGAGCCAAATCCGCCTCGATTAGTCTCGGTGACATTCTCCGTCCATGCGGAAACTCAGCCCGGAGGTAAGCTTCCCATCATCATCTCCTTTTGATATACAATAAGCAAACCTTACTCGCAGAGGCTATCTTTGTGACTGGTTCGAGCGAGGCACTCAGCCATTGGTCAACGGACAATGCCATCAAGCTTTCCGCGGACAGATATCCTATATGGAGTGGTCCGTTGATGTTATTGTCTCTGGGTACAGCGAGCTGATCGCACTTATAGGAAGCCTTGATGTTCCCGTTGAATCAGCCTTGGAGTATAAATACATTCGCAAGGCTGACACTGGCGCTGTCTCTTGGGAACAGGGCAGCAATCGCTTCCTTGAGACATCCACCAAAAGCACTAACGTATCCGATGAGTGGCGTTGATACAAAAAATATTTGACGGCGTCGTATGCGACGTCTTGATACGTTTACCACACACCCAAATTTGTTGATAATGTCAAGGTTTGAGATAGAATTACCCTCGCCAATACTGATATTAGTGGTAAACGAAGGGTTAACGTGTGATGGACCTCCGATATCTAGTGGAGGAGGATGGATGAGTGCGAACTCTATGCGTTAGGATCTCATCAAGCTCGAAGTCGCCCAGGACGGCGCGCGAGCTATTTTTGGAGCCACGTTTACATCCAACGTGGTTCGTGCCTGTGAGGTAGCACCCTGAAATGAATCTTACTCTAGGGAGATAGTAATACTACTCTATAGTAGACTCTTGCTCATGTTGGTCCTTTAAAAGGGGAAGCACCGACACCAGGATTGGAGGCTTTTGGTATGGTCACTCAGTTTTATTTATGGCCTCCTATCGGCTGTCGGCTCCATGCACGTGATACTTGGCGGCTATTGCCGAGTATGTCCTTCCAATCAGGGGCTCTGACTCGCGCTCTGACTAGTTCTTTCATCTGGACGAAATATCTCTCGCTCGTACCATCACAAAATGCGGAGCCTCAACAGATTACCGCTAGACGATGATCTCGTTGACCGTGTATTCACCTTTCTGCCGACTTTCGACGCACTGCAGGCCTTTCTCCTAACCTCCAAGTCCATTTATCAAGTCTACCTGAGGTATCCAGAATCAATCGTCCGAAATGTGGCATACAATGTTGCAGGACCTGCTTTGCCTCAGGCCATGCAATTGGTTGAATACAGGCGCAAGCTGGAAGACGCCAGAAACCAGGACGATGAGACGAAGTCCGTCGACCTTCCTGAAGAATCAACCACTGTGAAGCATATCTCCACCGACGCAGCGCATCAGCTCGCGAGAATCGCAAAGGCTGCTACTGGTCTCGAGGATATATTCAGCCGCATGTGGGTAGTGTACCTCTCTTGTGAAACAACAACCTATCGCAAGCCGCCAGACATAAGGACCGTTGCTCACGAACGAGCTCGTTGACAACACTCGAATCGTGGCGGTTTCGTTGTGCGGTATACAGGATCATACTTTTCTCTGCGCACTTTGGACCAAGGTTCGCTTATTTGGAAGATGACGAGACGGATTCAGACGATTCTACTGAGAGAAATGAAGATCTCCTGCAGCAGTGTATCGCATTCCTTGATGAAATGCTGGACCCCGAGCTTTTGGAAATTCGGGCAGTGATGTTGTTCTTCTCGGAGTTAGTTAGTCAGATTAAAGTGGTGGGACATCCAGCGGGGCTGGGCGTAGGTATGTCGAGTGCTGACAATTACAAGCCCCCAGCACTGAAAGGTATATCCGCAGCATCTCGAGGATTTGCTCTCATGGTTGGACCGGAGGCCATCCTCGAGTCCGTCCTTACTCGGTCGACAGGCCCACTCCAAGAAGCAGAGACATACACACCTGAGAACGTCCCGGCGACTCTACACCCTGGGTTCCTAGAAGACCCGCTAACGACCTTACTCCAGAAGAGGCGAATCCCTATTCCACCCTCGAATGAAACCTGGCGCGCACTGTTACATGAAATCAAGGGCGAAAATGATCAGTGTACGACGGTTTGCCTTCTTGAGGTGTTTGGGGCTGAGACTTTCCCTAGGTGAACGCTGTCAAAGTGTTTGTGGTATGGCACTCTACAATGAACATAGTAAATTCACCGCATTATTCTCCCAAGTAATCGATTCTTACTGTAGTAGACTGGGATCTCCTTCAGGGCATCATGCGACCCCACGAAGTGGTAGGACTCTTTAAGGGGCGATTGAGGCTTGCTCAAAGCGCCATCGACCTCGTAAATCGCCTCAACACGAACACCACCATAGACGAAATTATCAGCGAAATATTTGATGAGATCAAGTCTGTTGAAGATACGACTGAGCGGACGCATTGGCTTTGCTTCTCATGCGTGTGTGAGTTTGTCTCAGGGTATCTCCACTATTGGCTGCGTGAAACCCGCAGGAAAGGTCCGTCCGTCTCTCTTCTTTCTTAAGCTTCGTTTCCTTGCTGACGTCCGCCCGCGCAATTAGAGGGTAAGGTAATCCACGAAGACTGTTGGTAAGTCTACGCCCCCTCAATCTTTAAGCCATCCTGATTTGATCTGTACAAAAAGGTATGGCTATAATTGCCGAACGCAAGTCCACAACAGAGCCCATGCTGATAAACTCAACGTGCGTATGTCCTACGGTTGAATACCCGTTTACTAACCATCAATAAAGCACCTCTGCGATCCTACCAGAGGCGATCCCTAACACCGGACACCGGACACTGGGCCTGGCATCTGAACTGAATAAAACCGATTTGAGCATTGGGATTTAGGAGATATTGGAACAGTTTTCTGAGCCGTATAAATATATAAATATCTAGCGTCCTCCTTACAGTCTAATAAAACTGCGCGCACGCCTACACAATGATGGTCTACCAGATGGAGAACAAGGCCAGGCGCTTGACCGTTAAAATTACATATATTACCATCTGCTAATTCGATTCGTATATGAAAACAATAGGATTGGTCCACAGCAAGAAACATAGAAAAATTCAACACAACCTTTATGGGGGGACGCACAGAGACAGCAGTCTCAAAACGTACTTGCCCAAACCTCAACATCTACTGTCGACACTCTAGCTTGGTCTATCCATGGATGTTTCTACGACGATGTTATACCTACATCAGGACAAGGACACAAAGATGACTACTCACGAGAAGGTCTTTGGGGGTTTTCCGTATCTCAGGATCTTTCCACAGACAGCTATCCACAAAGTCCTCTGCTTCTTTAGGGAATCGTCCCTCTGGCGTTAATCTCGGCGCCGGCTCGTTCACAATGTGTTGCAGTAGTTCTAGGATACTCATCGTCATGCTGCCACCTTGCAAGCTGACGCCCTTGCTCTTCCTTCTGTCCTTCTTTTTATCGGTAGGTGTATTTTTGTCAGTAGGAGTCTTGGGAGTTCGAGAGGATCGAGGTGGAGGCAGGCCCATTGATAAGGGACGGTTTGGGGAAAGTGTACCCTCGAGATCCGATAGGTCCGAGTCGTTGTCATCCGACTCTGATTCTGAGAAGGGGAAGCGACCAAGAGCAAGTTCGATAAGTGATATGCCCAACGACCAAACATCTGACTTGACGGTATATTGGGCGCCCTGTATACGTTCGGGCTAGTTAAGGGTTCGAAAAGGTTAATCTGGGGTACCGAGCACGTTGGGACGCAACGACACGCACGCTCATGTATGTTGACGTGCCAACAAAAGTGTCCGCAATTGAGTTGATGAGTTCTCCTGAGACGCCGAAGTCACATATCTTGATCTGGCCAGCTGAATTGCATAGGATATTTGATGGTTTGATGTCTAGTGAGACAATGATACGCGGCGTGAGTCAGCGATGCAGTTCCATAACGGATGAAACGACAGCAAGAGACGTTCGTGAGAGATAGAGCTGCGGGCTCACCTCGATGGATGATGCGGTGGACGTCGTAGAGATACGTCAAACCTTCAAGCACAGAGAGGGCGACCTGACCGACGACATCGATATCAATGGGGCCAATCTTCTTGTAGATGCTATGGAGAGAGCCCTTGTCCATGAACTCCATACATATGCATATGTTGGGATCGGCCAGGAAAGCGCCGAAGAAAGAAACGATGTATTTGGAATTGCAGTCGTGCATTATGTGCAGCTCCCGTAGGATTTGCTTTCGGACGGACGGTTTAGCGTCAATTAGAACGATCTACGTCCAGTGAATTCAGGTCAAAGCAAGATCTGACATAAACTCACCTTCTTAGCCATCATAGTACCTGTAGGTGTGTGCTCAACTTTCTTCACGCTGCCTCCATTCCCCTGTCCTAGTTCCTGGAGATCCTTCAAATCCTCATTACGGAGCTCAAAGTTCATTTCAGCGTTCATGTCTAGTTTTGCGAGTGTGCTCGAGAGCGTTGCATGGTAGGTATTTCGCCGGGCGGATGGCGATGTGTTTGATGATGAAAGAGCTGGATTCGTGGATAGTATGGTGCCCTCCGAGTCTATTGGATTAGAGCTAGATGGAATTTTGGGATCCTTGAGGGTCATTGGCGGTGGCCGCTTCTTTCCCCCTGCCGCAGGCGCAAGTCGAGTGGGCACTGGTTCCAGCGGCACAGGTGCAGGAGCGGGAGTGTCTGAAACAGCCAGCTGCAGCGCTTTGAAGTTGCGTTTCTTTCGAATCGGGGTCGCCATTGATATTAAGAGAGAAAATCCGGATATGCGAAGGGTCAATAAGGGTATCAGTGATGTCGATGTTCGAGTGCAAGAGATGTTCACGCGAGTGATACCCCAGACGCGTCGACCACGTGGGTAGGGAGTCCATTCCCACAGTCATTAGAATATTACCACGGTTACAATACATTGATCATCGGTGGCTCAAAGTAGAAAACATGAAAGGGTATATTCGTAGCTCTACAAGACTATTGAAACAGATTCATTAATACAATGAACTAGTATTGCTGATGCATAATATACTTTGTGTGCTTCAAGCGGAAGCTTGAGCAATGCCTTGCTGCATAGTCATACGTATGGGAACGTCAAAACATATCAAGAGAGTGAATCGATAGAGATCGGAGGTTGGGATGAAGAGCATGGTGCGGCACCTGGCCCACTAATAGGCGGAAGGAAAAGCTGCTAGAGAATCATCGGAAACATAAGGAAATTGTCCAAATCATGCGAGAAAAGCCCGAAAATGTTGTAAGGAGAACTAGAAAACCTACGAGATAGCAATCATCAACGAACGAATACCCAGTCAAGCAAAGGAAACACTTACGAGGGCAACATATCATTACAAGCTTCGTCAATTAGCTTTGGTCGAAAAGGGAAGTAACGGTCTGTCTTCTTGCCCTTCCTGTTGTTGCGGGTAAAGTGCCTTGCCCAATGGTGGATTGTCCAGACCGCCAACCTGGCCCTATATCACCCTCAAGTGATGGGCGTCCACCTTGACGAGTCCCAATAGTCTTCCGCCTTGTGTCGCGTTCCGTCTCAGACCCGGATAAGGGTGTCATGGGACCATACGCCCTAGCGACGGCCTTCACGGCACGCGTAGAAGGCCCAGTGGTACCGTTGGCCTTCGGCTCGTCTGTTACCTCCTCCGAGTTCGATATGGTCCTCTGTCTCTGATCTATATCTCGCAAACCAGTCAGAGCGGTCGACCCTGTGGAAGGTCGTGAAAAAGTCGCCGAGGCATGGGGCCGTGCTGCATCAGATCTTCCTGAACGTTCAGAGTTGCTCCGCGATATAGGAAACAGCTGGTCTTCGGGCGAGGCGGTCAAACTGTGCGTACTCAGTGCAGTCGTAGGATTTGTGTGGGTTACGGGGAATTGGGGGCGGATAGTTGAAGTTGAAGCAGTAGCCTGCTTATGTCGTCGTTCACGTTCTGGCTTCGTGAAAGAGCGATCTGTAGCAATGGTATGACTGCGTTGCAACGGAGATTCAGACTTGAGCTTCGGAAGGGGAGGAGGGATTGCCAGCGGGGATAATCCGGCACGGGTGTTGCGCTCAGAATTGTTGAGGGCATTGAGCGCGCTCGCCGTCAATGCGCGGTGGGTGAGGGGTTGTATGCGATCGCTCGGATTTTGGGTACGGGAGGCGGGTGTAGGAGAAGGCTCATATCCTTGAACGGTCTCCAGAGATTCGCTGGTGCCTATCATGGGGCTATCTTGAGAATTACTTACCCGGCGCATTGATGATGAAGGGACCATGGAAGGGGCCTGTCGTTCTAGCCCCACTTTCCTTGCTCCCGCCGGCGCACGAACTGGGGTAGCAGCGACTTCCTGTCTATCCGTGTTGAAAACGCGCAAGACAGATGGTCGCTGGGGTAAGGGGGACTCCCTTTGTGTCCGTGCGTTACGGAGACCTGAACCAGGACGAGGCATCGGTGACTCGCGATGCGTGGAGTCCCCACCAGCTAGCTTCTTCAGGGTCTCTTCCCGCTCCCATTCCCTATCCCTCGGCGGAGGTTCCCAGCTCTGCCTACTTGATCCTACACTACGGCGTCCACTGGCACCACTTGAAGTAGTGGCCTCTGAATCCATCGCGGCCCTCGCAAGTGCTTCCTCATCCAGACTCACACTCCTCCCATGCGTCGTATCACCGGCATACCCTCCTCCGGTTTCGCCACCAAGCTCCTTCACCACCCTTCCAACACCGAGCAAGAAGCTGGTTACACTCCTTACCAACTCATCACTAACTCTCAACCCATCTCTCCACTGACCGCCAACGCTCCTCCACACTTCCACCAAATCAACGTCGCTACTACTGTTCCCACCAACTTCAGCATCGATTTGCTCCGTCAATGCCCTGTTGGTCCCGCTCTTCATCAACTCGTTCAATCGTTCAGAGGCCCCAACGATATCCTGCGCACTCTTCACGAGGTCGGCCGCGGGTCCGCTAGTCTCAGTAAGCCCCAAACGCTCCAAGTTCGAAGCAAAAACATCCAAGCTATGTTTCATCAATTCGGCATGTTTCCCGAGTTCTCTTGATGAAGTACCACCCATCGTTCGCCCTCCATCCTCTCTTCTCCGTGTACTCCCAAACGGACTCGAATACCTCTCTGGGTGAGCGCGACCAAGCGCAGATCCTGCCCTCGAATTCTCCAGACCAAGGCTACTCCTATATGTCCGTAGTAGAGGCGCTGTCCTCGGTTCTTCTTCGTAATCATCTTCGACATGATTGGCAGAACTCGTGCCGTCAAACGAAGCGCGGTATGATGCCATCGACGTTGCTGCTCTGGGGGCTGTGGCAACTCTCCTGGCGTTATCAGCGCCAGAGGGATGCTCTGGTGTACGAAAGTCGTTGTCATTGTACAGTTGTCCATGTGCACGAGAGGAAGGTCGAAAGCTGTCGCTGTAACGATTTGAACTCGTGCTACCACTGAGGCGACTCTGCGGTCGGCCTCCGCGATCAACTGCTGAATCTATCTCGTGTGATTCCCTTGTCGTGCGCCTCTGAACAGGTTCCGGTACATCTCTCTTAGTCAAACCCGCCGCTCTCAGGCCCTCTCCAACAAGACTCCGCCCTGAACCAAGTCCAAGTGCACTCTCAGCACTTCCACCTCGGAGACTCTGGCGTCTACCATGTTGGGTTTGGATATCCGTCGTGAGGTCACCCTGATCATCAGCAAAGCTGACATCGCCTGGGAGCCACCTTGTTTGTTGTCGTCTCTGTGGGTCTCGCATACTTGACTGATTCGTTGCCCGACGAGGAGACTGCTGGACATGCCGCGAGGGGTAATGGGACCGATGGGGTGTCGGGGGTTCGGGAGGAAGCTATTCGTGACAAGAGAGTAAAAAAGGTTTCTGAGACTTTGGAGACAACTAAACGCACCTGCCCATTGGCCCTCGAAGCAGATCTGCCACTGCTAACATCCACGCCACTGTCGTTAGCAATGCTCCCATCTAAGCTATGCTGTCTACTCATGCGAGTATCATCCTCTTGCGAAATATCGTATGCATTGTCACGAAACTCCCTTGGAAGGGGCTGCCTCGAAGTCCGCCGTCCAAAGGTAGAAGTGCGAGATGGAACCCTACCACCGAGTCGTTGTCCAGTGTCGTCATACATGGGATTGTCATGGTCAACAAAGCCAACCCTGGAGTTGGTTCGAGATCCTCTGAGGTTGTCATCATCTCGCTCATAATAATTGTCGTTGTAGTTGTTGTCTGGGTCAGGAGCTGTGAGTGCCATGGATGTTCGCTTCCGTGGTGAGCGCGTACGAGAGGACAACCCGATATTAGACGATGAAGTTGCAAGATCGCGTACTCGGGCAGGTGACGAAGGTGCTGACGTTAGGCGTCTGCGTTGAGTGGGTGGGGGAGTATGGGGCCGCGATGAGGGCGGTGGGAGCTGGGCTCGGGATGTTGAGCCCGCAGACGCAAGATTATCAATCTGGGCCTGCCGTGAGGAAGAGGAGGACTGAGTATACTGGGAGGTCGACTCGCGCTCAGTTTCGGACCCAGAGAGATGTTCGGGGGTAAGGTCGTATGCGTATGACTGCGAGCGACCGTGAAGGGTCGAAGAGTCAGATGTACGTGGGCGGTTCGTAGACGAGCGTGTTAAGGATGATGTTGAGGCTGATGCAGACTGACGTGTGGAGGCGGTATGCGAAGAAGATGAAGATGAAGAAACGGAGTTTGCTGGTGGTGGAGACCGCCGCCTTTGCGAGGGTGCTGGGGATGGTGACGAAAGCCGTGAAAAAGCCGTGATTTTGTTTAATGTCTAAGATAGCGGTAAAATCAATAATCAAGTAGGAGGCGAGCATGACCCACCATGCGATTGCGTTCGGTGAGAGACTTTACACGTTGCAAAGCGGATTCTTCCTGATTGCTGGAACGGATTGAAAGCATACGGTCCAGCCTTGCTGTATTGTCCTCCTCGCCCTCGCCGTCGTTGTGGTCATCATCTTCGTCATCGTCAATTCCGTCTCGATCGAGGTTTGCAGCCATCGCATCTTGGAAAGCCTTTATATTGGTCTCGTTGAGCGAGTTCATGGAAAAAGGGCGCCGCCGAGAGTGGAAGTCGTCTTCGTGAGTGGTCCTACGGTCGTTGTCGCCGCCAGTGCTTCCACTCCCGGTAGAATTAGTTGCTGGTGGCGAAGGTAAACCAGATCCTCGTGAGCCCACGCTAGAAACGGGGCTCGGTGGTTCTGGGAGATCTGGAAGGCTTGGAGGTGAGAGCACTGGAATGTCTGCTCCGATGTAGATCGCCGAAGAAGGTCGTTCCTTTGCCCTGAGATATCCGGGGCGAGTCGTCATTCCGCGCGAGGTGATATTGTGGTCGATTGTTGAAGCCAGAAGGGTCGGCGCCGTAGTGGAGGTTCTCTCTTAAGTGATCATGAAGAAATGGAACTTGACCTGAGCACGTCGTCGACCACAGCGACCAGCGGGAAAGAAGACGGTTGAAGGTGCGAAGGCAAAGAACGACGAGGAAGGGAACTTGCTGAATTTCCCACGGCAAGCAACTTGTTGTCTGCCAGACTGCCCACGCCGCGATATTCAAATTGGCAGACAATATGTTTCAAAGGCTGAACGAGGCTGAAACGTTGCTGCTGCAGTGCGCTTCTCAAACTATACTGTGCAGAGAACTGTGTACTGATTTTCCTCAGCTTTGTTTTGTAGCCCAGAATTTTCCAGTCGACGACATATTTCTTGTCGTACGCGACTCAGTCAGACTTGTCCTCGAACACGTTCTATAGACCTTGTCGCGGTCTTGCATTGAGACAAAGAAAGGAGACGGCTCCAATCGCATTTCTGCAGCAAGCTTCTCAAACAGAAATGCGTGGCTTTAGCCCTCAGTAGCAATCGCCGGATCCCAAAGGATCCCTCTCCGATATGTTGGGAAACTGCGTCTTCTCAGACGCCGTTTGGCTGGTGGGACCGTCACATCGAGACTCGTGGAGCCAACTTCTGCCTTGCATTCGCAATCCCGTGCTTCAAATAGCTATTGCCACGAGGCGTCCTCATGCTTCGCTCGGAGTATATGCGCTCGCTATACACGAAATGAACCCAAGGTTGGACCTACCACTCATTCTACCCAACTCTCCTATTTTTTTAGCCGTACGATGAGCCAGAAAATGCTGCAGCGCTTCTTGCACATGTTCGCTCGTCTCATATGCCCAGAAGAAGTGGGTAACGACATCGTTATTGTGTATGTACTGCGCGGAATATCAGGGGGCCTGCGCACCGGCTGACTTTCCTTGTGTTCGGGTGGTTGCCAGCGTCATGGGCCCTGCGGGCGCAGGGAAGAGCACGGTATGTCATTCGCTGGCTGCCCGTCTCGACTCTGTCCGCGATCGGCCGATCGATGGCAACTCATTCTATGTCCATGGTGTGTAGTTCATCAATACCGCCACGAATGCCAACAAGATGCCCGTCGAGCACTCTCTCGGCGCTCACAGCCAATACATCAGCAGCATTGAATGCACGTACCCTGGCGACGAAGAAGGGCGCTGTATAGTCTTCGTCGACACGCCGAGCCTCGACTACGACAGCTCTACAGCAGCTAACGCGGAGGCCCAAATTCATAAATGGTTGGCCCGAACGTCAGTATATCCTGACCCTCTATCAATGTATCTCTTACCGTTGGCCTCCAGTTATCCCAGACGCACGCACGTAGACGGCATCCTCTTTCTGTACAAAATCTCGGCCACACGAGCAACCGAGACAATGTCTCCCTTAACATACACTCGAATCTTTGAAGCCCTCCTGGGCCACGACTACATGAAGAAACTCATGCTCGTAACGACGATGTGGAATCCCAACGAAATGGAGGAATGCCTCAAACGAGAGAGTAAGATGAAGTGGGGCTTCCATATGGAGAGGTTTGACCAAACAATCGAAAGTGCCTGGAAGGTCGTGGATACTATGTTAGGCCGGCACCCAAAATTGTGCAGTGTCATGTCGAGGAGTCCTGACATTGGCGATGTCACGGAGGAGCATATCATCATCGCGTAAGCAACCAAGCATTATCATCACCGGTCAAACTATACTTACGTGCGCCTACCATAGCGTGATGGGGCAGCATGGGGCAGGGAAGAGTTCTGTAAGTCCTTCCATATTCCACGCTGTCCGAGGTGACTTAACACCCTCGGAAGTTCATCAACACCGTGACTTCAAGTAATTTCATGAACGTCAGCGACGGTTTGCACTCAGGAACAAAAGATCTGGGCATCGTGAAATTTCGCTGCGATCAAAGCGACCTGGATTTTATATTTATCGACACGCCCGGCTGCGACAGTGTGGAAGAAGTCAGGCAAGTACTCGACAAAGTCTCTGTATGGCTCAAGACCTGGTATGTCTTCATATGTGCATCATGTGTCGGTAGCAATTCATAACCCTCAATGTATTAAAGCTACAAAAGGAATGTCAAACCTACCGGCGTACTCTGGCTCCACCGTATCGTCGATAACTGGTTCAATCCTGAGCAGATCCCCATTTACTTCAAACGCGCATGCGCTGAAAAGGCGATTCATAATTTGGCATTCGTTACTACTATGTGGGATGAATACTCCTCCGCGATGCACCCTACCGATCAATGGGAAAAGGACATCCTATCGCGGCACTGGAAACCCCTTATCGACAAGGGCTGCAAGACGTACAGGTATACAGGGTCGGAGGAGTCTGCTTGGGATATCATGGACGCGTTCTGCGTCCGTGGTGGTGAGAAGTACGACCGGGAACTGCAGAGGGAGATGGTGCGGCTGAGGAAAATGCTGTGTCAGGGTGAGGGTAATGGTGGTTGTGTAGATAGTGCAAAAGGCACTGAGCTGTTTGCGAAGTTGTGGGTGTTCGTGAACAAGGAGCGGGGGACCATGCGCCATATCCGAGCCTTAACCAGACATGGGGCGAAAGACGGCGACCTTCTGGCGTTAAGATACTCCCAGATGGTGCTGCGGCGGCAGGTCCACAGCACCGTGGAGGAGGCGAAGCTTCTCGGCGTATCTATCGGACAACACGTTGGTAGAATATCTTCATCTTATTCACATCCGGAAGGGAGGGCAACTTTGGTGAGTAATGATTTGGGAGCCAAGATATTCAACCCGTTGAGATATTGATATGTTTGATAGATCCTCCCTGGAGAAGAGGTCAAGCCCACTTACATATCATGATTGCGATGAAGGGCATCGGGCAGGGCTGCCCTGCCCGTCGTGATGCATGGTGTTCGTTTTTGCTTGCTTTCTCCATGTTATATCGGGATTATTTATCAACAACTACCCCGCATCGGTGTAATAATGTACAGATACCAACGGATCACAGCGGTGGTAACCCTTAGAACCCTCCCTCGGGAAGGGTTTCATTTTCTCGCCCGAAACCCGAAGGCCGAGCGTGATCTGCTACTTTAGTGATGCACAAGCCCTCACCAGTCGGTCAATGTGCCCGAGGGATTCTTGCTAAACCCACTTGGGATGCTGATTTTCTCCTCGAAGTTAACTTGGTAGAACCGTAGGAGTAATGAATACAATGCTTCACAATTAAGGTGCCGAAGTGAGGACACATTATAGTAGCGCAGGGGCTATCTAGTGTAGTAGGTAGAGAAAGTTCATCCACTTTCTCCGTTGCGATCAAATTCCGATTTGTGGGTAAATTAACTGTTCCCTCCCATTGTTCGGCTGGGGTCAATGGCACGGGTGGCTCTACAAGACGTCAAGGGTTTGTTCGTCTCTGGCCAGAAAATCCAGAAGTACCTATGGGTCAACGGCGCGCATAACACAGGTCTCCGGGGCTGAATCTGTCTTTATCACGAAGCTCTTAATCTTCATGGCCTCGTCGTAGTCGAGGGTGCATGTAAAGTCCTCCTGCCAGCTTTTGCCCGACTTCTTCCACTTCCATATAACGCTCGCCGTCGCCACCACCCTCCTTGCATCCAAGGAAACATCCATCCGATGCTTACGCAGATCATGACATGTCCAGTGTGTTGCCAATAGATCCAAGTATGATCTGACAGCATTCAGCCCGAAGAGCGTGGAATTGTATGAGGAACGAGGCGAGTGGTCAAACACAACGACTTCTGTCGTGGAAAAGTGGCGCAAGACGACCTTGGACGGGGAAACTTTGAGATCTGCGAAGAAAGCGTCTGCGACGACGCGTAGCTGGTCTGAAGTCCAGAGGATGTTGTAGCGTAGGGGGATGCAGGAGGTCATTGTCTGCTGCATTGTGGGCGATTGCTGTAGTCGTTGGGAGAAAGAGAGCGCGGGCGCATGGTTCAAACTTATATAACGGTCATTGCCTCGGCCAGAAGAGCAGCCACTTATCTCCATGGCCGACCCGCCTACGGATCCGGCAAGCAAAATGATTACCGGTGCCGACACTGATCCAGTAGTACCCCCTGCATTTCCCCTGAACAAGGTTACTACCGCCGTTGCGTGTATCAGACCTCGCAGAGGAACTAAAAGGAGTGATACCTTAGTACCATTCGGGTCCAGAAAACTGACGGGATTGCTCGAGGACGCGCCGGTTAAGCCGATGTGAGCCAAATTACTTTTTCCGGACCATGAGTCTGTTAAACGGCCTGCAGTACTGGTAGGCTGGGCATGGAAGGAAGTCTTTGCCTTTAATACATCGAGCTAGCGAGCTTCTTAATATATCGGCACCTGTACCCGTTGCGGCAAATCACACAGGCTGTTCATCAGTCTCATACCCATAACACTGGTACGGGACTCTCGGTGCTTCCTTAAAGGGAGTCATTCATCATGCATCAGATTATCCCACACGAATACCGTCGATGAGCTAGCAGAAAGGTAACGTCGCTAGCACTGCGACGAGATAGGGGGGATTTACATCCCAGTTGACCATGTAACGGATAATTCAAAGCCCGCGATAATGTAGATCCTTCTGGTTCGACTCCCTTTACTACTTCAAGCCAAGGTTATCCGCCGATCAGCCACGCAGGATCCCTTTCAGTACTGTTTGAGTACTCGAGGAGCGTGTTACATTGCGCTAGAAGTCTATGTAGTGGGCTGGCGACCACGCGACTGGACGAGCAAGTTGGACCAATGCAAATACAGGTATTACCAGGCATCATCTAGATTCTAGAACCCAAGGTATTCACCCCACATTCAAGATTTTTTGGGCACCAACCACCAGCCGTCGGACGCATTTGAGTACGCTGGAAGCCCCACGTTCTTCGTATCCCTCAATGCCTTCCATTACCTCAGTGTGTCTTTCGCTTTCTGGTGCTAGGTGACGACACAAGGAAGGGAATCATGACGGCATTCTGTGGTAGCGAACCAGCAGAACACTGTAGTATTGGTCAGCCTACTAGTTGGGAATTCTAGATCTACACTAGTTACCTCTGGAATGCCTGGTAAGTGTCGGCCCAGCCAGATGCCACCTTGAGTCTGAAGAAGAACCTCAGGCTTCAAATTCAAGCTGTGTAGACCTTGCACGCTTATTGTGTACCACAACTGAAACCACACCAGCCCAAAAAAATCCTGGCAGTTCAAAAAATTGGTCACAGTGTAAGATTACCCCTGTGACACCCCTGAAGTGTGTCCTCCTACCCTGCCGCGAACGCAGGAATGTGCTGGTATGGCGGGGATAAGACAGGGCTTCGATATTTTTTGTCTCAACGAGGATTGATTAAAAGAGTAAGGGAGCTGATCACAGATAGATCACAAGAGTGTATTAACATTTTACATTGTGCGCGGAGAACGCAGCGAAGGGCCTGTGTTTAGTTGGGTAAACATTGAGAATACCCTGCAGGATGGTGGTGAATATGGCTATTCCTGAGCTGAGTTAGAGCTTGGACTTACAGGGGTTGTTTACGGTGCAAGTAGAACCAGCTGCACAGACGGTTGGCCCAGTGTAACCTTGGCCTGAAGACAGTGTTAGAATAATCCTGCGAGGTAGGGATTTAGTCCTTACCTCCGCATTGTCCCCAGGGACCCACTGTTGGCGTGGAAGGCGGCGCGCTACTGGTCACGGGGGGAGGGTTTGAGGTAACAGGCGGATTCGAGGTGATTGGAGGGTTTGAGGTGACCGGAGGGTTTGAGGTGACTGGAGGGTTCGACGTGATGGGGGGTATAGATGAGGTTGGTGTTGCGGTTGCAGTGTTAGGAGGTTGGGTTCCTGTCGCATCGCCGTAGAATATGCCACGTCCATTGGTACCAAGGTATACTCTTCAGCTCTTTGTGAGTCACTGCTACAGAGCGCCGTTTCGTAGAATAAAACCATACCTTCCGTAGATTCTTGGGTCGCCGGTGAGGACGTTTGCGCTGATGACGCCGAAACCGTGGGCAGCATCGTTGATCTTCACCCAGTTGACACCAGCATCATCTGACCTGAAGTATCCTTTGCCTTGGATATCTGCTGCGGCAAAAAGGGCAGGGTAACCACCAGTAGAGGCGGGGGCTCCAAATCCTATGCTCCAAGCCTCTGCTACTCCAGAAATAGAGGTGAAAGTGGCACCTGAGTTAGTCGAGTGGAAAAGACCAGCATCGGTGGAGACCCAGACATCGCCAGTAACGCCTGGGTTAACCAGAACGTCTCGAGCAGTCGTGGACGACCCAAGAGTGCCCTGTGAGGTGAAGGTCTGACCCGAGTTGGTTGAGATGTAAAAGGTGCTACCGGAAGCACCATAGAATATTGCGTTTGCTTTCTTGTCTGAGGCAATAGCGGCATCCGAAGGCAATGATGCCACGGCAGTAAAGGTACTTTGGTACTGTGAGACCATCACACCATTGCCCTCAGTACGCCAGAGGATCGTATCGGCGTTGGCGGATAAAGCAACCTTTCCACCATGAACACCATCAGGTGCGCCATAATGGATAGACCTATTATATATAGATATTAACCATTGATTAGCTTGACATCAGACTAGTCACACATACCATGAAGCGCCCGAGTTTGACGAAATCGCAACTTGTTTCGTTTCCCTGGCACCGAGTCAGTGAGTATAGGATGCACTGCAGGAGAAACAGGAGACCCACTCGTCGCCAGCACCAACACGAACGATGTTCATCGGTTGATTGCCAGCATAGTCGAGGTCTTGACTTGTCATCCATGTAGGGTTGCTGTAACTTGCGGGTCTAGGTGTATCGAGGTTGTCATGAACGAAGCCTTACGTCAAACTGAATTCAGCAAACGTCAGTACAGGGATGTGAAAACACTGACCATTGCAGTCGGCCACGCCGGACAAAAGGTTTGCCCCAGTTGGCGGGGAGATGAGCCCACGAACCGAGGTCTCTTCAATCCCGTCAGCCAATACCTCAAGCGTTACGTTGTGTATAGTATCCCATTTCTTCAAATCAAAGCCACCATACATGGTAGCACCAGTTCCGTAGAGCCAGTGGTTGGAGTTGAAGGGATCAATGACCAATGCTAGACAGCATTATGAGTAATATCAGCTATAGGGCCATCAAATGTCTACCTTCCATCATCCAGCCGATCTGTAAGGTACCGGGGTTGGTATTCGGATAGTTGGGACCAGTCCAAGGAGCGCCTGAGTTGTCGTATGAGTAGTGCTTCTGAAGGTTGGGATACCCATTCCAGCTCCATAGAGGGCTCCATGTAGCACCGCTATCAGTTGAGCGGAATATTTGCCCATCGGGCCACCAGCTGTTCAGTGCAGCGACCATAATTGTTCCCGGTACCTGTAAATCCACGGCCAAACCGCCAAAGCCGAAGTAAAGATCACCGCCAGACACGGGTGTAATATTAGTCCCTAGTCGACGATGAGAATAGCTCATCAATTGTATGAGGTCGACTTACAGGTAGAGGTGGGGATATGATACTTCCATACAGCCCCGGCGGTCCCGTCATACGGGCCTGCTCCGTCACTGTATGTGACGTATAGAGTGTTCTCAGATGGAGAGAGAACTCCTTTATGGGGGAGGAAAGTCGTGTCTTGACCCGCGACCGCGGTCCCTATGATTACTCGTTAAGCTAGGCCTCCAACATCAGGAAGCCATGCAAACGCACAGGTGGCACCGGCATTCTCTGAAACAAAGATATTACTTTCGCCTTTATTGGCAACACCGACAAAGATACGAGGAGTAGGAGACCCATTTGTACCCGTGGTAGAGTCGAAAGTGATCCAAGAGAAGCCAATAATGATGTTGTTGTATTCGTAGACGTCATTTGGATCCGGAATGAATGTACCTGACAGGACCGCGTTAGATGAAGAACCCAAGCAAGTCAAAAATTGGCATTACCGGCGCTGGGGAAATTGGTAACCTTCGTCCAAGTCGCTCCGAAGTTGACTGACTTGTAGAGGCCGTTTCCGCTGCGGGCGCCGTAGTATAAAATATTATTGCTGTGGGGGTCGACAGCGATTCGCTTGATATTGGTTAGAATCGGAGCACACTATCCCTTAGGACAACGCGACAGGAGAAGCTTACCTCGCCCCTATGTCAAGTCAGTTTGAACAACCCACCAGAGAAACGAGCGTCGGACGTACATCCCACGACCAGCCATGTTACCCCCGACTTTGAAGGGCAAAGGTGACGAGGTGAAAGTGTCACCATAGTCATTGGAAATTAAGATGGCCCCATTGTTGGGGTCCCAGGAGTTCGTGTACATTCCAACAGCCTATAGAAGGTCAAAATCCTAGCATCATGAAAAGGGAGGAGAAGTTACAAGATAAAGGCGGTTGGGATCGACAGGATCAGTCGCCAACGCGTCAATGCCCCAGTGGTTCCAGTTGTCGCTATCCACAGAATCGAGGAGTGGTTTCCAGGAATGGTCAGCGTTGAGCCTGTATGCCCCTCCGATATCCGTTCGGGCGTATGCGAGTCCCTTGAAGATCAGTGAGCACTAGGCAGTGACAAAACAAACCATGTTCAGACATGTGCACCTGTTGCTTTTCGTTGAACACGATACCGGGAATGAACCCGCCACCACCACCAATCTATTCAAAAGCGACATTAATATAGCGGAGAGGAAGTCATCGTGAAGTATTTACTAACCCTGACATTCTTCCAGTTATAAGCCTGAGAGTTGACCGCGCATGCCAACCGACTGAAGGTAGCCACCGTCACCGTCAGTAGAAAGCTTGCCCTCATTGTTGTCCAAATGGGGAGGATTCACGTTTCCTATGTATTAGCCTGTGACAGATTTATACGAATTCGTTGCTGGTCCTTCGGGTGATACAGCGGAGAAATAGATTTTACGACCCGAGAATTTAGCAGCCTCCGAGTAAGTTGTTTGTAGCGACGTCTGATAGAGTACTTTCGACAGATCCCCCGTTGTTCGCTGGACCACCGCTCGCCTCCAGCTAGCATCGTTCATGAGGGATACTAGTGCCAGAGAAAGACATCGAACTCACCCTTGGGCCTTTACCACCTAGATGGACGTCAATACTGATTTACCGAAGTTGCAGATGCTTCATCTTGGCAGGAACTGCTTAGACATCCCTCTTTACAGGTACCTCTGACACGTCAACGATTGAGCGCCCTATGTTTCGCTGCCAGCGGTCGGTCGTCTCGTCCCTCAGGCTGTGCGACCGCGCTAAGACATGTTTCGGGGATCGAATTAGTGCGGTCACTGGCACCTTGTCTTCACATATAGCGTCCGAAGGATGAGATTATCTACAATAAATAAAACGAACGTGATGGTCCTATATACTGTCATGCTAAAGCGAAAACCCAATGATTTTGCTAACGGGGCGCAGGTTGATGACAGGTTGGCCTTCAGCCATGGTGCCAACCTTTCCCCTGATATCTAGATCGTCTTCTTCATCGTCACTTTCAGAATCGTGACGTCCCAAACGACCAAATATACTGATACGATTAGCTTCCTTCGTAGTAGGTTGAGATGGGCTCTTTGTCTGAAGCGCTTCGGAACATTTCTCCATGGCCGCCGCTGTTTCGCTGTTTAACTCAACATTGAAGAGATCCAATATATAGCGCCGGACGGGCAGCCGGAATCGTTGAGTCGAGATCGTGTACAAAGCACGATAAAGCATAGTCGGGGATGAAAACAACTGCTTATACTCCGCGCGAGATTTCATCCTTCGGAGAGTATATTAGAGTTAGATCATTAACTGTTGTCAATGGGACCGTACTTTGTTAGTGACCGTGAGGCTGCATTCGCGATGACTGTATTCGCAAGATTTTGAATAGCAGTCATCACTTCTACTTCTGCTTCTGCTGTGGGCGGATTCAGTCTATTTACGCATGGTTCTGATGCATGTTCCTGCCAAGGAGGGAGCTATCGACGCGTTTAGAGTGGTTATGCGGGGAAATTTTTGATCATTTACTGAGATAAATTTCTCCAAGTCAACGGGGATGCAAAGGCCTGTGGGAAGTCCAAGAGGAGACAACGTAGCCTCCCACTGATAATCATCTAATATCTCGGCGCCTTGAGATGTTGATGAGATGAGCCCGAGGACAAAGAAACATGTTCTAGACGCACGTCAGTATGCTCACACTCGAACAAGGGAAGGATTATATGACATACCCTCGGACTGAAGGAATTGGTGATTCCTCCGCTATCTCCAGAATGGTAGGGATTACTTCTTGTTCTTCTAAAAATGGGAGTCCTCCTTCCGTAGCGCCTATGTTTCCCTGAACGATCGATTAGTGGAAGCAACAACATTATCATATTCGACTGACCACCGCCCAAAGGATGCTTTTCAACTTCAGGATTAATTCCGAGTCTTCGCTCTCATGACTGTGTTGCCTGATGAAATGTGCGAAGTCGGCGAAGTGCCCCTTGTCTTGAAAAACTTGGCACCCGAGCTCTGTTTTCGCCATTTCACCATAGAAATGCGGAGGCACCGTACCATCAAACGCTCTGTCCACGTATGAGCCAAGCTCATCACAAATTGAACCGGAAAAACTTACAGGGTCTCTTCGTTGTCGTCTCCGGAGTTTGTAGCCTTGAACACCTTGGCGAGAAAGACCTCAACTTGTACCACATAATCAATATTACGTTCCTGTCCCGTACTGGTATTTATGGGCGTGTCAAGTGAGAGATGATTTTCACTTACATGGTACCAAATGTCCATCTCCCTATCAATGTAGCCGGTATCATATAAGTATCGGAAACCCATGAGTGTTGATGTGAACCTTGGTAAAAATGAGCAAGACCGGACCACCCAAAGGGACCTGAATAAAGCTACCTCATCAACAACGGATGCCCAATGTCTCCTAGATGATCCATCATCGGCTGCATCTCTACCACTAGTTGCAACGCTTCTTTGGATTCGCAGGCATCCTTGAGGAAGTGGGCGGCTAATTCACATACTTCTGGGGCTGGGTCGTAAAGTTGAGTAACCAGTAATCGCAGTGTCCAAGCGTTGACACTGGATGAAACTCTTATCAGATCGCCTAGATGGCGAGTAGTATAGAGTCGAATATGCTAGACGGTAGGTTAGTATTTTAACAAGGTGTTATACTAGATATAACCTTGTAGCTAGAAGTCAGAGCCTTGGAAAGGATAATACGAGGATGGCCATCGCTAGTAGCTTGAGCGCGTGTCGTTGAGCCTGATACGGAACAGACTCACATATTATAATCGAGGTTTTCGATGATGCCTTTGATCAGATCCTCGCGGCTTCTGAGCTCGCTCAAGTGGTAGAAAGCCGTGAATACTTTGAACTTCTCCAAGAGCCTGTATAGATATGCAGCCAACGGGCAAAAGAGCTTGCGAACCACTCACTCGATGCCTTCCTTGTGCTTGCTCAGAGTCCCCAACATTTCGAAGTATCCATAGGTGAGAGTGTCGTTCACACGAGCTTTCGAGAATATGGGATCTGAATCTGGCGGTCCGTTGAACTATGCGTAGACCTCAATATCACGTTAGAATAAAACAACACAGGTTCTTACTGGGTCAAGTTGTGAGAACCCCCACACAATTTGCTGCAAAAAGACGTCTTCCGTTGAAAGATATCGGACGCCGTCTGGACTCGCCACCAGAGTAGTCAACAAAGCACACCCTAATCGAACCCACTTCATGTTGGACTGCAGGTGTTTATATTAGTAACCCGTGGACACGAAGATGATATATAAGAACTCACCTTCGTTCGGGGTATATCGGAGAATCGATGGCTGCGCGGATGGAAGAACGACATCAAACGTCGAATAATTCTGGAGGCCTTGATGGCTTCTTCTAGTCGGGACGGATTTCGCAAAGGTCCTTCCACAAGTTCAATCAGAACATCGAATTGCCACCGTGCATGTTCCTTCGTGGACGAAATCTGCAACGAAGCCAGGATAAAACACGTCGATCTGCAACTCGAGGCATAACTCACCTGAGATTCATTCAACGCCGCTAGGAAGGTCTTTTCGTCCATCTGCATCCCCAGCTTGATCTTGACCTGTTCAATCTGTCTCTGTCGACGAGCAGCATCATCCACTGAGTTTGCCCTTGATGATGAATGTGTCAACATTTGCTGTAACCATGTTCGATCATAATTCACCTTGGGCGTGCGTTCTTAATCATAATGGGATCCAACCTTGACCGATTTCGATTAAAGCTGTCGATACTAGACAGAGCCAACGTTCCGATGATTCTATTCTCTCCTTGACCGTAATTCGAAGCGAGATCAAATATATGAGATATCGTCTGGAAGGAACGGAGGTCAGTCAGGTCCCGGATCAATTCGTACTGGATGTACTTGAAATTTGGCAGCGATTGAGAGTGGCAAAACGCGGTTGCTCAGTTGCAGCATTTCCGCCATCAGAAGAGTAGCTTTCCGAGATAGATTCGACCCGGTGACTGATTCCTCTAAAATCGATGTTAAGGCCTTTGAAAAACATATCAACTACGCGGTGAAACCCTGCGTTGGACACACGTACGTCGAGTAATCCAGCATTATTGAAGATAAGAATGAGCAAAGCGATGTACTGATCGGTGAGCTTCAATCTACTAGAGCGCTCATGAACGTCGGGTTGGGTATTTGGTTCTGACGGCGTCTGGAAGTTGTCAACCCCTTGAACATAATGAGGGACTGCGCGGCGGAGAAGATGATGATAACGCACTCGTCAGTCGGCGACCATCGACGAAAACTTTGTGCCATTCGGGTATTTTGATATTGAGAAGATCGAAGAACATGTCCAATACAACATCCTGAAAGTAATCTAGATGTCAGGATACAGGTTATCGTCTGGTAGATTACACTGACTCGAGCTTCAAGTGAGGGTATACGGAGGGTATTGACTAACGAACGTATAGCCATGAGGTCGTTCATGCAAAAATACATGAGCCCTGCCAAATTGTCATTTGGGAGTCTGCATGGAGTAGGTAAAAAGGCATACCACTCCATGTTCGCAACATCAACTGTATGATCTTGATGCAACCCCTCATCCGCGTTATGTGGTCGGGTGGCTTCCCATATGCATCAGTGACGGCTGAGAGGGCAAGCTGTTCTACGCGTTAGAAGTGTGACTTGATCATTCCCAAACACGCCAAACCTCAAGATCAGACCCCAAACGAAGATATGCCCGCGTACGAGGGGAGTCGGCGATATGGAGGAAGACAGACGCTAAGATCGGGGCCAGCTCCAAGGGCCCGTCTCCTAGCGCATGAAGCAGGAATCGTATCCCCCCAGTCTTGGAGACGAGGTCAATATCGATAAGGACTATCAAGCGATCAGCGGCGGGCATACAGACATAGGTAGAAGGTCACACACGAATTTCCGCTAGCGTTTGTACACAGACTGATCTGAAAGGGTCCTCTGCATATTCGGCGACGGCGACGACCGCGCGCATTACCGCCTCCGATAGAGGGACACTGCCCCGGCGGCCAGCAGAGTCCCTTCGTATCGAGCCCACTTCAACGATCGATCGTATAAGCTTGATGACCTGTTCTTTCTCGACAGTACATTTGTTGTCCCGTGACAATGACCTAGGATAATGGTCTACACACATCTAGAGTTTAGTTAGCGTCGAAGCGACTTACTTGACGATATACCAATCGAGGGATTGCCCTATCCTCTGCACGGATTCAACATCCACAAGCATGTATCGCATGAGGCGGTACGCATGGGCACGACATTGTTTCGTATAGTTATCGGCGAGCGCTGGAACAACACTGAGAACGTTCAGCGACGTACGCATATGCTCGTGTGTATAAATGACTCACACCTTCACCACTTCAGAGATGTCAAGTTCATACCGCACCCGAAAATGGCGCTGAAGAATCGAAACAATCTGCTGCATTTTGTCGATCCTCTCGGCATTAGAGTCGGATGAAGGCAAAGAAGGTATGTTCAGTTTAAGAAGTTGCGAGAGGCAGCTTTTAGCATTCCTCAAGGCCACTCGTGAGACGTCAACTGAAGAAGTTACTGTAAGGGCTACGATATGACTGAACGTAGTTCATGATATACCTCGCTCTTTTGCATCGCCGTAAGGAGCAAGATTCTGCAATGCCTGGTTGACACTCAGACTCGAGCCAGTTCCATTTCCCATGGCATTTGGGGCAAGTGAATTGTTCAGGTTGCTGTCCGACGCGGCCAGGTTTTCCAGTACAACAATACGTTTGTTAAGGGCCTCGATCTTTTTCTTGGCCGCCAACAGCTCGGATTGCACTGGTTGCCTCAACGAATCCTGAAGATCATGTTGTCAGTGTATTAGTGGGAGTAGTATATATACGCGACGCACGGGTAAGTCCCTGTTCAGAAAGTCCTCCGCCCCTTCAATGATGCTTTTCTCCGTGGACAGTTGATTGCGCAGGATGTCTAACTGAGAATTATATTGATATCCAATGCATGCCACCAAAGGGGCAATCTCACCTGCTCTGTGTCATCTAGCCCTTCCAATTCGTCGAATGAGAATGACCTTCTAGCGACGACAACATCCGGGCTTGAGTTTACTAGAGTCGAGGTCTGAGACACAAATGAGTTTATGCCAGGGCTAGTTCCAGGAAGCTTCAGCAGCGAGGCCATAGCGATTATGTAGGTTCACTTGGTAAGTTGTCGTGCAGTGTCGGACCTTAAGCTTATAGCATGAATGAGATTCTTGAACGCTAGATCGCGGCAGCGAATCCACTATGAGGTATGCTAGCCGCCGCTGCACTTGGAGCAGAAAATCCTGAACGAGCGCGTAGAGAGCGCGTATCACACGTCTACGGAGGGATCGTCGATGGGTGAGTGTGAATGTGCTAGACAATGTGAGCTCTCGCTAATGGGGTTTTGCTTTCTCACAGTCATGTTCAAGCTCCCACGGTCTCAGGCGAACGCTCACAGCTGGCTACAATGTTTTTGAAGTATATCGCGTGCCGACTGTCATACGAGTCATGCACTCGAGCCGGGGAATACTGCGGGCGAAAGTCTCCTTGCTTATCCTTCGACGGGTCGATGATAAGGCGATCATTTTATGTCACCGTTGTGATAGAAAACGGGCAACAGACCGCAATTAAGTGAGATGTTCGCACACCGGTATAAGTAACTGAGAGGCGTTAGGCAGTCGCAGCGATATATCCAACACATCGAACTTGGAGGTAAAGGAATTAAGAAGAACAGGCGCCTGACGCCAATTCTGGGTACTCGGGAAATGCCGAAGAACTGTATCGTTGCTCCAAGCCACAGAGATCGGTAAGGTGGGCACAGGTACCAACGTCGCCGCCAAAAGTTTCAAGTCAAAATGGGTGAGTTATGCTGGTCGTCTGCTGCGTTGGCGAGGTTGTATACTCAATCGCTCTGTTACAGTAAGATACGCCTCCGCCGCCGTCATCAACAACCCGGAAAAAAGTACGCCATGATCTAAACTATTGGTGATGAAGTACTAAGACCGCGATCCCACTCATAGCTGCTCGCGCACGGGGCGAGTACCTCAGAACCCACTTCAAGAACATGCGGGAAGTCGCGGCCGCCGTTACGGGTTGGTGGAATAGCTGCGTGGACCCGATGTGATATCTAATACAAGATCGAAACTACAGGCTTCAAGCTCACGAAGGCGTACTCTTACTTGGGCGACGTACAGGAGCACAACCGCTGCATTCCTTTCCGACGATTCTCTGGTGGTGTTGGGCGTACGGGTCAGGCTAAGGAGTTCAAGACAACGCAAGGTGCGTGACTTACAAATACTGAGACTAATAGATATATTCTCAAACGGAATGTATCAGGTCGTTGGCCCGAAAAGTCCATCAAATTCCTCCTCCGCCTCTTGAAGAACGCCGAGTCGAATGCCGATGCCAAAAACATTGATGTTGAGGATCTTACGATTAAGAACATTGTTGTTAACCAGGCCCCTGTATGTTTCTGTCTCTGTGCATCGTCACCTTTTGGTCCTAATCCTGAGTAGAAAACCCGCCGCCGCACCTACCGCGCCCACGGTCGCATTAACCCCTACCAAGGCCACCCTTGCCACGTCGAAATCATCCTTGCCGCTTCCGATGTTGAGGTCGAGAAGAGCCACGACAAGGACGTTGTCAAGCAATTCGCAGGCCTCAACCGCAGACAAGTGGCCAGAAAGAGAATCGAGGCAGCCCGATCATAATTGCATTATGTTTTCGCCATGTACCGTGCCCTTGCAACACTCTATGATTGTCATGCCACCACACCCATGAATCTATGTATTTCAGCGTATGTTTTACATCAGAAGTCGGTCGCGGTGCTTTGCCCACCATCTGTGGGTCATCTACGGACCCAAACTTTATTTGGCGAATACCATCTATTTGGCCAAGAATTACGAGTGCGTGAGCAGATAAGCCATCACGAGGTCAACTCTACTCTCACCATCATATCATCTATTTGTGTAATGTAACCCAATCCCGGCCGGGAACGTGTTTTGTCCGGTAATGGGTGCTTACTGTAGCCTACCTTTCGCCTTCACAGTCGCCCATGTCTGAAATCTACGCCCCCGTACAAGACTTTCCCAAAATCCCGGACAACTTGACTGTTCCACAATTCCTCTTGGATGTAAACCATCCTACGCGACCCCAGCCCCCAAGCGTGGGCACACCCTGGTTAATTGATGATACGTCGGGGGCAACGTTTGGAAAGGAAGAGGTGAGATGCCGTATTGATCAGCACACTGCGTGAGTTGTTGAACCTCGGAAACAGCTACGGGCTCGGACACACGGTCTAGCCAATTCATTGTGGACAAAATACAATATTCGTGGGTCATCTGGACCAAATTCGTATCAGGGGGAATGATTGCTGATTGAACAGTATGCAGGCGATAGCGATGTCGGTATGTGATCGACGGGGTGTCGAGAACTTGAGGGTTTGATTTGACGCCCTCATGCAGTTCTCATCTTCAGCAGGAACCATTGTGGTGGGTATTGTCAGATTGACGTTCCCCAATGCCACCGCTGACAAGTATTGGTACAACCAGATTACCCCGTTGCAATATGGTCTATTCTTCTCTTTACGGTCTGCTTTGCAGTCTACTCACCATGATGCAGGGCCGTGCACAGAATCGGCGGTGTCATCTCGTACGTTTAATTGTTACCAGCCACCAGTGTTACTCAACGTTTCTCCTTCAGAGGCGCAAATCCAGACTTTACGGTCGATGAGTTGGCATATCAACTGGAAGCCACCAAGGCTACATTCATGTTTGTATATTCCGACGCCCAGGCCGTTGGAACCGCTGTCGCTGCAGCCAGACGCGTCAATATCCCTCTCAGCCGCGTCGTTCTATTCGGCGCTGCATCCGAATTATCGCCCGAGAGCGCAACTGTAGACGAACTCGCCCGGCAAGGTTTACTCTCCAGGGAAACCTTTGTGGAGAGAAGACTTGCCCCGGGCGAAGGAAAGACTAAGTTGGCTTTCTTGAGCTTCTCTTCGGGTACCACCGGAAAGCCCAAGGTAGTGATGCGTCTTAGTGATATGCAAATACATCGATTGACTGCTTTCCAGGCCGTTGCAATCCCACATTTCTCGTTAATCGCGAATGTCATTCAATTAGCCGTACACAACAGAATAAACGAGGCGTACACAACCTGGGAGGAACGTCGATTCAGGCCTAGCGATGTCTGCATTGGCGTGCTCCCTTTTTATCGTAGGCTCTTCATTGTCTGTCTGACAAGCATAAGCTCACTTCTCATTTACGTCCAGATATTTATGGATTGGTTATCAATGTTTGTCCATAATCCGTTCTTGCGCGAAGTGCTTGACTAACATACGCGCTAGCTGCATTTCATATTGTTTGCTTCGGTACGTATACAGTCACAGCTGAGGGTATCAAATTGAAGGCATTGACTAGATGTCGATCGTCGTCATTCCTCGTTTCAATTTTGTTGGCATGCTCAATAGTATCGCGAAGCACAGGGTTACACACCTAATGTAAGCTTTCACTCCCCGGAATGACCTTTCCCAATGACCATCCGTCGACCTAGGCTCGTACCCCCGCAAGTCGTGTTGTTGTGTAAAGTACGTATAGTTCGTCGCCGGTCAGAATATCTCCACCCACACCTTCGTAGCACCCAGCAATGGCAACTGCGGATGTTAGCAGTGTGAGGTTCATAATGGTTGGCGCAGCGCCTCTCACCTATGAAGTCACCGAACAACTTATTCGCATTTTCCCTAATGCACATATCGGCCAAGCTTATGGTGATGCAAACTAGTACTCTATATCCCTCGGTATTCTTACTAACGATTATGTATCTCGTGATAGGGATGACTGAAACATGCACCGCAACGACGATGTGGCCTATTGAGCACAAACGGGGCGCCTTTGGCTCAGGTGGACAACTTATGCCAGGCATTGTGGCCCGCGTTGAAAAGCAAGACGGGACACTCGCCGGCTTCGACGAACCAGGTCACCTTGTAATCAAAACACCTTCAGTTACGTTAGGTTACGCGGACAACGAAGAAGCGTGAGTTCGCTCACTATCAACCCTCCTGCGAGGAGGTGGCTTACTTCCCGCTATGTCTCTTCTAGGACAAAGGAAACCTTCGTTGATGGGTAAGTCGGTGGTTCTGAATCTGTGCGTCCATCAGATGACTTCTCCTCATCTCCATACGTAGGTGGGTACGTACGGGCGATGAAGTACGTATCGACTCAAACAAAGAAGTGTGGGTACTCGACCGACTGAAAGGTCTGTCGACAACTTTGATGGGGCTGTGACTCGCTGAGCCCTTAGTCGGATATCCAGAGATCATGAAAGTCAGAGGCTTCCAAGTAGCCCCTGCCGAGTTAGAAGGTTGCCTCCTTGATCATCCCGACGTATCCGATGCATGTGTTGTTGGCATACCCGATGACTTCAGCGGAGAGGTTCCCATGGCCTTCGTGGTTCCCGCTCCCGACTCAGCTAAACGTATGCAAAACGACAAGAAAGTCGCTGGACAGATCAAGACATCCATAATTCAAGTGCGTGGTTGCTTCGTATCATAGCGTACTCGCTGATTGACCGACCATAATCCCCATAGCACGTCGCTGATAACAAGGTCAAATACAAGCATCTCGCTGGTGGCGTTGAGTTCATAGACATCATTCCCAAGAACCCTAGCGGTAAGTGCTCAGAGACTTGGTTGCCTATTACGGTTCCCTTGATCATTTCCTGCAGGAAAATTGTTACGGAGAGTATTACGAGACAAAGCTAAACATCTACAGAAGTCGCGAGCTCTGGCTAAACTCTAGATCTAACGCATCTCGGTGTCTAAACCTGCCCAGAAGCTGAATATTGTGTACTGCCCATTTGTTTAGAATACAGTTAGACGTCGATTTGAACGTGTTTGGTTTACGTTGCTTGTCCTGACGACTCGGGGTGACGACTACAGGAGTGACAGGACTGAAGGCAACACTTAGATCGGGTAGAAGATGCTGGGGCCACATTTGCGCAGAGGTCATCGTATCAGAAACTATCCCTAGCCAGGCTTCACGGGGTTTGGATCGATGCAACTTGGGAGGTGGCATATAGCACGAGAGAGCGAGAAGCAGGATCCCGTTCCAGCGAGGAGTCGCGCTGGGCCGGGGCTGGTAAATATATCATATCAGCACCCGTTTGGTATATGTCACCGTCTCAAACCTATGTCATCACAAACAAGTCCCAAGTCAGAGGATGTTCCGAGTAGAAGACAAACATATTACACATATCATTTTATTGCGATATACAAAACGAAAGCGTCACGGACAACAAACTGCATACGAACAAAAACAAAGCGAGAATATGGCGAAAGGTAATGAGTGTACATGCTAGATATTGATGTTGACGAGAGCGACTTGGATGTTAGACGATACAACGGTAGAAGGAGTGTGGGTCGCAGGTGTCAGCTAGGCGACGATGAGTATACACAAAGTATACATAATGCGAAGCGTATAATGATAGTGCGATAATACTGGTGACGACAGCCTCAATACGAGACAGATAACGCAGAACGAATAACTGATGTTGCGCGATGATAAAGCAGCAGTAGAAAGAGCAGTGGTGGGGATGCAGGCTGAGGAGAACTGAACATGGTGATGGTGCGATGGGAAAGGGAGCGCGATAATCCAGACAACATTTGTTTGTGTTTTGTGTTTTATGTCACGGGTCGAGGTCGCCTCGACGGGTGAAATGGCTAGCGTTTGGATGGACTAGAATGAGAGAATCGGGCAGACGGAGCTGCTCGCTTGGTTGGGAATGGTCCAGGGTAATCTGCCCAGTAATATGTGATAGGATGAGACCATACATCGACGTGTTTCTGTTGCAGCCGGAGGCATGCCGATTCCCTTGATTTGCTGTGTAGATGGTGTTAGGTTGGAATAAAGAATTATCGACTTCGTGTAACAGACCTGAGGGCGTAGTGGGTCTCGAGCAGCTCCTTCTCCTTCTTTTGGGTGACCTGCAACGTGTCTATGCTGCCCTTCAGCCAGTCTTGAAAGTCCCCGTCGAAATCCAGACAGTAGTCGATACGGTATTCCTCCATAGCTATGAAGAGTCTCAGCAACGACACTTGTCAAGGGGAGGCAGGAGGACATACAAGCCAGGACTTTCATGATATTCCTTACTGGGATGAAATTGATCAACACGGTCTTCCGTCCATCACCGTCAACGGTTGTTGTAGATATCCCTCGGATGGCAGAAACATCATGTTCGAAGTGAACTGAAATGGTTTGCAATAAGAATCTGAATGAGTGAGCATCAGGGTCATAAGACGTACACATTGGTGGTACCGCAGGCTTCTTTTCTGCCGCAATTGCGGCACGGTGAGATGCAAAGTTTGCGGCGCCGTCAAACAGGGCCACTAAATCGATATACTTCTGCTTGGACTCCTCACTGGCCAACTATGTCAAAGAAGGTGAGGGACGAACTGTACTCGATGTGGCCAAGACATACTGCAATGGTGGTCTTCAAACGAAGCACAGACGAAGTCTGAACAGCAGAGGAGATGCAGTTCGCTACACAATAGTTCCTCCAAGTAACGCATCGCTGATTGAACCCAACGTGATTAGTAGAATAGGTGGATGGCGAGGTGAATTCACTCACCGACGCGACGTCTAGCCAATACTCCAACATGATGGTACGATCTACAACCTTCTCACTCTCAAGGATGGATGCTACAACCGCTGCGGTGACCCCTCGCTCGAAAGTCTTGAATGTTTCGATCTGGCGCCGAACACGGTCGAACCCCCGCTTCCCTGCTTCCCAATATCGAATGGCATCACTTGGGTTGATGGCAGCGAACATTTTGGAAGCCTTGATGGTGATCTGTCTGACGAACTCCTCCCTCCCTCTCTCAGTTTCAAGGACTTTGCACATTGTCGGGGTGTTGTCGCCGTAGTTCCAAATACAGAAGCAGGTTGGAATGGGGAGGGTTCTTTCGACAGGGACTTGGAGCAGCGATTCCATCTTGATACCTCGATAGTGCTTCTTGTCATCGATGTTCCAGACTGCTTGGGCTAGGCCCCACACCAGAAGCAAATTTGGGACAGCATCAGCAATATCTTGAGAGGCAAAGTCCATGATCTGCTGCAACAACACTTGGTCGGTCTCTGGGCGCCAGTACTCCCATAGCCAAGTGGTCAACGTTCTGACCACGCTGACACGTACGGCCAGCACCTCAGCCGCTACAGCGTCAGCGTCTTCCTTGGAAAGATCAGGCCGCTGCCATTTTTTGCCGACTTGGAACCGTGCTACAAGACCATCCAAGAGGTCCTGGGGCGAGGCGAAGAATATGAAACACATGAAGAATGTGTGGGTGAATCCGGGCATTCGATCCGCCTCCGGGGACGTGAGGATGCGAATGAGAGAAGTAAGGGATGCGGATTTGAGTGCACCATCTGACGTGAGACGGATGCTAGAATCATCGTGGGTAGGCATCAGGCGTTCCATGTCCACGCTACAGGAATGCTTGCCGTCTTGGAAGTATATCGCCGAGCGACGATTTTCGTAAGGTATCTCTGGAAGCGGCTTCGGTTTATCTGGGAGTAGAGCGTCCTTGATTGCTGATGTATCGCTGATAGGCGGCAGTACGAGGGTGACGGACGAAGGGGTAAATGGGAAGGTAACGGATTTACGGAATCTCTTGAAAAGATTGCGAAAGAACTTGGAGCTAGGGGTCTCGCGATGCGCGATATATTTATTGTTCATGCACGGAAGGATAGGGAGACCGACAGAGGACACGTCCTTGTGGCGTGCGGGGATCGATGGGACCAAGGTAGGAGATATCGACGTTGCCAGTGATAATTTGGATGGTTTCGCCTTCCTGGTAAGAAAAGGTGTTACCGGACCCTTCGGTACTACAGGAGCCTTTGATACCACCGAAGCCTTCGATGCTGCCCCTTCGGCAACAATGTCATTCAAGTCGCACAGAAAGACCTTGAGGCTTTGCATCGCAGAATTGACGCAGTGCACCATCTTGTCGATGTATTCTTTGCACTCTTGTGTTTTCTGGGTCTTTGGGAGGCGGTACCCAAGGTGCTGCTTCAGACCGTCGATGCACAAGCGGACCAGAAACTTGCCAAGCATGAAGCGGACGTCGTCGCGAATGTCCGGCGAAGATAAGTTTAGATGTGTATACACCGATATCATGTTGCGGTGGAAGGTGGTGGCGGGTCCTTCGATGCCGTCGACGTCGCACTTCTTAGCCGCGACATTGACGAGACGATGAGGGAACACGAGGGAAGGGAAGGTCCCTTCGACTGTCAGGGGATAGGTGTTGGAGATGGCGGTGCTGAGACCAAGGATGCCAACGGACGTATCCAGGTCGTCGCCAGCCAAAGAGGAGGACGAGCTTAGAGCTGCATCGTCGTTCGCGACTGGTTTCGGATGTGGGTTTGAATTTGGATTTGGATGTGGTGGGTTGTGTTTGGTATTTGTAGACATGGCTAGATGGAAAATAATGTGGGGGATAACAAGGGCGGTGAAACCGGAGGTGGATGTTCAAGAACAAGAGGAGTGGACGGAAAGTGCAAGCGATGTCATAACCTCTTTAGACCAAAAGAGGCAATATCTGCTTAAATGCAGGGTCGAACAATGGTATTTGGCCCTGTGGCACAGTCGTGACCGCGTTCACTGCGAATTGCCACTGGCAAGACATTGCATTATAAGTCTCGCCTTGAAGTTATACTGCCTTGAGAGAGATTCTTCTTCTGTTTGATAAAAGCTAAACGTCGCCAGTGCTTGCCTTTGGCCGGGACGGAGGGCTTCATTACACAAAGCAAAATATTGAATGGACGATCGACACCTCCGAAGAATATAGACTTACGATAGGTCGTTCGTCCAGAATGACTTCTGCGTTGCGTTCGCTGTGACACTTTGCAAGTACTTCACCGTCTTTGCGGGGGAAACGCTGGCCGTTGTACTATGCAGCCGTCGGGTAAGTGGCCAGTTTATTGGCCACTCTTCATCACTGACGCATGTTTCTAGATGAATGACCCCGCCCATTTTGCGCACCGAGAGCATGATGTATATGCATGAAGCGAACTGGAATTGGTCACTGCTGCATCACGACTGCTGCCTTGGCTAGAACGAAGAGCTTCATCACACCTAGGCAACTATCAACAGACGATGAATACTTGCTGATGAATAGGCATACGAAGGTTTACTGCACCAACTGACACGCTAGTTGCGCTCATCGTGCCATGTTACGGAGACCAAAATGGAGATAGAGAAACGGCGGCTGTTGCTCATCGTGCTCGTCAGCGACCGAGCAAAGTCGGTGGTTCAACTAGCCGGTTACTATTTCCCCTCTGATGCTTTCGTTCAGTGTAATCTAGCGGTTCGATCTGATCACGTACCAAGAACGCCGCTGCACAGGGACTTGCGATATACGTAGCAATTTTAACTATCGTTAGGACAGCATAAGAATGCCCATCAACGTCCCGCCCCCCCGCACACATATTACATTGCCTCTCCACCTCGAAAACACTGAGCGACGAACAGTAGATGGCAACCATGGAATACTTTCAGTCGCGCGCACTATTTGATTGATCGACCAGGGTGGCGCGTATGCATGGGGGTTGCCGTGCTCCAGGACATAGCAAATGGATGGGTCATCTAAATAGACATCTAATGAATATAGTGAGTAGATCCTTCTGCCTGCGAGAGTACACTTTGACCATACACTGGTCAAATAACTTAGCCAAGAGTATTCTTCCTTCCTGCGAAGGCGTTTGCGTCGGGTCTCAACGAGAAACTGAGGACGCTGTCAGGAAACATTGGAGAGAAAACAATCCGTATGTACCCTGTATCGCCCCTTCCCCTCCCGTCTCGTCGTATCTCCGGCAGCAGGGTGTGTTCCCGTGCTCGCGTACATCAATTCAGATGAACTGAAGTCTATTCCTTGCAGATACGCCAAGTTTGCTTTGGTGCCATGGTGTGTCCGACACAAAGGCAAAGGGCGCCTATGGTATCGGACAAGGCGGAGCTACCGGGCCGGTGAGTTGACTCACGATCTTTTGAACTTGGCCTCACTCAGATCAATCAAGTCGATATTGTCGATTATGGGCAGCGACGACACTCGCCTCACTGACTTACCAAATGATATACTCCTAGAAATAGCGTGGTTTCTTCGCCCCCAGGATCTGTTATCCCTTACCGCAGTGGGTAACATCCTACGTCCTGCCAGGTGTCGTCGTTATCATCTTACATACAAATCCGCGTCCATCAGACTTCTCGCGGTTTACGCAGCGTCTTCTCTGAGGACGTTGTCTGGCATCAAGCCTACTCCGAGTGGCCGTTGGACCTACCCCCCGGCCAAGTCGAAAACGACTTGGATGGCAGCAATCTCTGCAGATTATTTGCCAAGTCCCTCAAACTGGAATCCATGTGGGGGGATAATCATGCGATATTCAAGGTCGGCGAGACTATAACTCCAGTCATTCTGCATAGCGTACATTTCCTCACTGCTCGATGGTTGTTGACATTCGGCTCTATGGAGTTTCAGGATATCGGAGGGCGGATTACGCTTTGGTCGCTTGAGGATGTTCACAGCGTCCGCGCTGTTTGTTCCCTTGACATCGTTCCACATTGTTATGCTGTCGTTGCTGCGTGGCGGAAAAGTATCAACCAAGTAGTGATTGTTGCATACATATACACCAACAACCAGTAGTAGGCAAGTATCCCAAGTTCCAGTACCATTGGCTAACTCTTCCTCCTTTAGTTCGATTCAAGTCCACTCGATATACCTTCAGCAGGGTGTTTGGATGTTTGGCCAAGTCCACACTCTCGACAACGTCCCAGGTGCATTAAACGCTAAATATTGGTTCACTCCACATATCTGCGACTACATGGTCGCCTGGTGCACCAAAGCTCAAGGCGTCGCTTATGTTTGGATCTTGAATTTAATTACGAAGCGATGCTTCCATGCACAACTTGACCCTATAGTCAGTACATTCTTTGCATTTACTCCGATCATCGCATTTGAGCTACATTCTAGTTTGCAAGTGCCGACGTACCCATTGCCCTGATTGACGTCGAATTGGGTTCTCTTGTGGTGACGACTGGGAGCTGGACGGCGGGGGACGTTGAGCCTGCACAGGTTATACACTTCCTGAAGCTTCCCTTGCACGTGTTGGAAACCGGCGGAAACATGCCCACCCAGTCTATCCTGACGCTCGAAGACGCAGACAATGTTCCACCGTTGCCTGAGGGAGTGGCCCTTGAGCCGATATACCGTTTTCAGTCCCCCCATTTTCAGGCTCAGCCATCCGATGATGTTCACCTCGACGTGACCATGGACGCGCATCATAAATTGACCGTAGTCCAGCACTGCAGCGGGAATCATTTGTCGTTCAAGCACTTTTTCGTCGACGGCCAAGGGCTGCGACCCGCTGGTGATACAATATTCCTCAGCACTAGACTCAACAAATTCGCTCGTGTCGTCCTTTGCCGTTCTGGCCGGCGGGGGTTCTGTAGCGTCGTTGATACATCGGAAGGTGGTCATATTCTTGAACTTCGTAGATTTTCCACTCCAGATCAAGTTGAAGTTGTGCCTGTAGAAGGTGGGTTGAGTTGTCTCAACTTCGATGATGCGACCGGGCGTTTCTGCATCGCCACTTGGGGTTCTCATAATTGCAGGATGGCTTTCTTTGATTTCGTAGGATAGCAACCTTGTGATCACCATAGGAAGCCGGTAAATGTACAACAATATTGAAATCGTCCTGCAAAAGATGCCCGATATAGAGGCTTATAGAGACGTGAGGTTCTTTGCTATTTCGGGGGGGGGGGCGCCCTTACCGTACATCTTTTCCTGGCTGCCATGACAGCACGCGCATACGTTAGAATCGGTGCTCACATCAATGACTATCAAGTACCCCCTAGAGCGGCAAAATTCGAAATTTCGTCCACGGTTGGTACGGATACCGGTAACTTTTCTGATATCCAACGCATACACCCCCATATAGAGATAGAAGTTGATAAGAGTTTGGGCTGACTGTAACTGTCTTTTCTTAAATTCCCTTCGCCTGGTTCCATGTTGGGGCTTCCCATTTACGGATAACGACGCGTGTAGATGATGAGCACTTTATCAATATCTCGAACGGTATGAGATTCATTTCTTAATGGTGCAGAGATCACTCCCACTGCCAATGTAGTATGTGAGCTGCCCAGTACTCAGATACATGCTTTCACTAAGACACTCACTACGGTTCAACTGCCCAAATATTTGCCATAAATTCTTTGTCAACCATACCCATGGTCCGCGACCCGACTGAGAACCTCTGCCTTGGGATCTGGGGGCTCACAGCCCCTTCCTGCCCCCATTCGTTCAACAGAAGGTCGTCTCTAAAGAGTAGGTTGAGCGTTGGACTCCTCAGATACCCTCCAACCGTGGATACATATCAAGCGATACAATCAGTAAGTTTCAAATATGTTCTAAGTAATTTAACTTGGAGCCTGGTTCCACATCAATGCAAGGGTGTTAACTACTACCCTCTATCGCATTCTGAGTGGCTGCAACACTAAATAAGGCCAAAACCATGGTGTTATTGATATGCCATAGGGCCTGCAGTGATCTGGACTTTAAAGAAGCAGAAGCATGGAGCGCCCCGCTCGGGCGGGACGTGGGGCAAAAGGAGGCGCGGGGACCATGTATCTGGTAAGACTTATTTCTAAATAATGGACCGTATGGTGGCTACATACACGGGTATATCACTAATGACCTCGACTGTAGCTATTTCATATACCCAAAGGACTGGACAACGGGACCCGCGTACCCTGGAGAATTGGACCTGTATAAGTATGGGTAGTCATTGCTTGTGGCCATTACTCGCATCGTCACAATCCACTGCCTAGCAGTACTGCATTGGCAGCCGCTGTCACCGACAATATTAGATATAGCGCTAGCGCTACCAATCGATGATGCACCTCCAATCGTCCTCGCATTTCTCCACGCTCACGAATGACTTCCATGCCGCCTTCCTCGAATTCGTAGGCACATTTTTGTTCCTCCTACTCGGCCTGGGGGGAATTCAAACGGCCCAGACGCTCTCTGTACTTGACACTTCAGCGGCTTCAGACACTCAACGCTACCTATACATTTCCACATCTATGGGGCTGTCGCTCCTTGTCTCTGCGTGGCCGTTTCTCAGAATAACTGGAGGGGTGTTCAACCCCAACATCTCTCTTTCATTGATGTTGGTAGGCGCCATCCGGCCAGTGAGGTGCGCCCTGTTTTGCATCGCGCAATTAGCAGGTGGGATCGCGGCGGCGGCAGTCGTGCTAGGTTTAACAGACGGGACTTTGAGGGTGAAGTCAGTATACTTTCACTAGATACACGACGAACAATCGTGACTGATGGTGATTGCAGCACGACTTTGTCGCCCCGGACATCTCCTGCTGAAGGTGTCTTCATCGAAATGTTCATAACCGCAGCCTTGGTTCTCTCTGTGTTGATGTTAGCAACAGAGAAGCATCAAGCTACATCCTTTGCTCCGGTATGGCATCATCTCTTGCTACATGACCCATCTGTTGAACCTCTTGGTGCTCCGTAGGTCGGAGTTGGGTTGACCTTGTTTTCTGGTCACCTGTGCGTAGTTTTAGGTTTTCCTATCCCTCCGGCAAGATCCCCCTGATTGGTAATTGCGGTTGTGCTCAGTTTCGCCGTGTATTATACCGGTGCTTCAATGAACACTGCGAGGTCTTTTGGGCCAGCCGTCGTCACTGGGTTTCCTGATTCACATCACTGGGTGGTGAGTCCCCATTAATCAATCCATTAGCTTCAAGGCTCTTGGTGTAATCATTTCCCACTGATTCCATCTTGCATAGTACTGGGTCGGCCCATTGTTAGGTTCCCTGCTTGGCTCTGGGTTCTACACCCTTCTCAAGCAGTACGTCCCTTGGCTCCTCATCTTTCTCGCATTGAACTCTGACTGCTTTTCGCTACTAGCTATCGTAATTGGGTCTCGGTCATGGAGGAGCGCACCGATGTCGCGACGAAGTCGCCGAGGCTAAACGTAGAGCCTTCGACCTCTCAACGGATCACTACGAGCACACACGTGAATGGCTTCGATGCGCTATCCCTGGAGAAGGGGTTCATGGATTCTTCGTTCGCGACAGTCTCGAACGTGGCGTCTTCGCTGACTGAGGGACGCGGCCAGGTGGAAATTAGTAACGATGTGTCTATAATTGGTGGAATAGAAAGGGAGAGCGACAGGTGCCCTGTATAATTGATGGGCTAGCGCGCCATATCGCTTCAGTATTTTCGTTGAAAGAATGGCATTCTTTTGAGAGATGCCTGTCCTTGCGTCAGTTAGTGAATGACGGTCCACGAGTAAGTAACTGTAACTTGGTTCGATTAAGGTGACTTGGATTACTTAGACGCGGTGTGACATGGTGTGACACCTCCATGTCGGCGTGTGACATCTCGCGTTTCATTCCCTCTCACCACCACCCGAATGTCCACCGCTTTCCCGTCGACCCCTTCTCCCCAGCGCGTTTACTCATGGAATAACCCTGGAGATTCTACTCATCGGCCAATGCGTCCCTCACCACTCGCGTCCCCTTCAAGTCCCACGTCCTCACCTGTTTCAGCGGCACAGTCTCGCCGACGCTCTCAGTATAAGGCAAAGTCGCCAGCCACACCTTTAGCTTCCTCTTCGCGTTTCCACGGTGTTGTGAGATCTGCTAGTCTCAGTGGAGGCTCAGTGTTTGGCAGTGGGGGGAGCGGCGGTGGTATTGCATCCCCCATTGTGGAAGATGCACATAGGGACATGATAAGAGAGCGGTTTAAGGCGCGTTGTTTGCAAAGAGCCAAGGAAGCTCGAGATAGGTCGATCAAGCAGAAGCGTTACGAATACAACTCCAGTGATAGCATAGCGGGGAGTGATGACACGGTGATGGATGAGGACGAGGGCGACGACGACGACGACGAAGATATCCTGCAGGACGAAGTAAGTCACTAGCATACTTGGCTATATCCTACTTAAGCCGTCTTGCCCAGCTCTTCAGACGCATCATGAATAACGCTGCTAGGAAATCTCAACATTCGTATCGTGTCTCTTATGCGCAGGATGTTGGCTCGTCTTTCGATCCTGACATGGAAGATGTTGCTGCATGGGAGCAAGAACTGCACAGTACGCATATCTAGTTCCTCCCAGCTATTGTCTGTACTGAAAGCGTTCAACTTAGCATCAGAGCGGTTGCCCGACTTCCCCGCACTATCGCCGAATGACCTCTTAGATGAGGAAATCTCGGCATACGCTGAAGAGCAAGCCGCTCTTGCTGATTTCCAGGACCTCGACATAGACGAGCTGTTGGCTTGGAGTGACGCCGAGGAAGACCTATCACACCTGACAAACCACGGTATGGAAGTTGACTCTGTTCATTGACTTATCCGTAAATTTGCCGTTACTCGTATAATGCCTCTTTCATACGGTTTATTATGTATATATAACCAGATCTTATTTATGTACTTTTATTAGCCATTCAAATGTTGAGGCTAGGGAACGAATGTAAAATAGACATCCTCTGCATAACATACACCAACGATTCAATGAGACGCAGTAATACTACGTGCTAAACGTGAGAACACTCTCGCGAATATCAAGCTTCACACTACGGTCCGAAATCCAATTGAAGCGAACCCATTCCAAGGTGGCGGCGATTGTCATATCTGCTACAGAGGGATACCATCTTTTTAATTGTGCGAAGCCTGCTAATAACTCACCTTCTTGACCAACGTTGAATGGCAGCGTTTTGTAAGGCTCCGACCCACCGTGGCCTTGTCGAGGCGGGGCGCCTGGGTTGAAAAAGCTGGAGAAACTAGTCCCAACCTTCCAGACCAGTACAACATTCTCCTCCAATGACACCGAGACGAGTCTGCGCCCATCAGGCGAGAAGCTGCACGCGGCGAGGCGCTTCTTATGCCCCTCGAGAACATACAGCCTGATTGCAGTCTTCAAATCATACATAACGATGGCGCCTTCACTTGTTCCAACAGCAAGTCGCTGTGAGCCCATATGAAAATCGACAGTGGGGAAACTAAGTCTTCGTCAGCCTGCGTAACCTCCACAAACACAAGAAGCCTACGTTTTGACCACGTCCCCGATTATCTGCGTAGCAGTATCAAGAACAGCATCACGATGTGAAGTCGAGTTCGGGTCGAGAGACTTCACTACTGCTTCCATCAATCGGGGCAGATTAGGGTAGAGAACTAAAGGACGCTAACGGCATGTCAAGTTGGGAGGAAAGTTGGCCCCATTATGTAGTGAAATACCTTGCGAATGAGGAATGCAACCATCTGCATGACGGACTTGCGGTATTCGAGATTCGAAGGGTTAAGGATGTCGAGGGCCAGCGTTGTCATGAAGAGAGGGGTATTAGAAGATGCTATCGAGAGGACTGCAGCCCGTGCTTGCGCTGCAGTGTTATGTACATTGATCGAGTCTTTCCGCGAGGTCGTGGATAGAGTGAACAGCGCCCTCAGCATCTCCATAGCATCGACATAGTGTTGCCAAATCTGGAAGCCGCGAGAACACAAATCAATAGCAAGAGCACGGTGTATGGGATCCTCGGCATGCATGTACAAGGAGATGGATTTTGCAATATTGGTCAGGACGCTACGAAATGAATCACTGAGCCGCTAAATATATATAAGTCAAAATAGCCCACCTTTCCGGCAGTAGGCTGTGTTGCCCCGCGGCAGAATGGCCACACAAAAATAGTGCCAATGCGCTCGTTTCGTCATTTTCTGGGTTCGCGCTCGAGACGGGTACTATGTGAACATAATCAAAGGAAGTAATGGCGAACAGCGGCGAACTCACAAAATCTATGCCAATCATCGCAAAGTTTAATCGTGTCTTCCTCCAGGAGTTGCATAATGGTAGCATCGAAAACCAGTTTAGCGGCGTGCCGAATTTCACCTATAATGTGTGAATGAGTCCCTTCGCTAGACTTTCCATCAGACGGATGCACCTGAGCCATATAATGATTTCGAAGCCAGAAGTGGAAGATCGGGTGGTTGGAAGCGACTACCAACGGCAGACGCAAGCGAAGTTGTATAAAAGGTTATGATCGTGTTCGCAGCATCCGCATACTCTAAGGGTTTTATTCAGTAACACAACAACCCCTTCGAGGAGAGACGAACCCTCGTGAAGGGCTAATGCCCTCAAGGTGGCGGCGATTGCTATGCACTTCGTAGCAGACACAACACCGGAGATGCACCAGAGATCTGTGGGTGCTGCGCCAGCAAACAGTACGGCGCTCTCTTGGCTTAAGAGCAAGCGGTTAATTCATGTATGTCCCTTCTGCGGCAGCCGTACCTGATAATGCCATGTGAAGAGACGGACGACGAAATACCTAGCTGAGTACGGCATATGGCGTCAATGTCCTGACTCACTCCCCATGTAAGGAGGATGGATAATATGGAGCGGAGCCTATCGAGTGTAGAGTAAATGGCCCGAGTTTGCTCTAGGCCTGTATTGATGGACCTTGTGACAGAGTTTGAAATGGAAAGGAATTGGTCAACGTCAAACAAGAGAGTGGATGCTACAGGAAGGGATCACATCGGGGTGCATCATGAGCGTAGTGAACAGACCCACTGAAATCTAACGACCGGCTTCTGCTCGCAAAACGCCTCAATGTAGGGTGAGGTGGGTGATTAAGATCATTTGCGGACCTACGTAAAACTGTTGAGGGAAGGTGTAGGCGAATGTAGCTGAAGACCTCACAACTGAGCCCAACCCCCTTCTTGCATTAACTCGTCGGCCTTCCCAGCAACCATTGATCGCCAGAATTCCTTCGTCTTGACATCCCAAAGGCGGACCATGTGGTTCGCATAGTAGAGCAAGAGGTTATCTTCTCCGAGACACAGTCGCTCCAGTGTGGCTGGCGCGCCTGGGATCATATACAAACTGCGGTAGTCAAAGAAACGATTGCAGATCTAAAAATGATAACGCACAACTGTAGCCCGTCGACCACCACGACAGCTATCGTGCCGTCTTCCGCCACACAAAGGATACATCCGCCCAAAACTCCCCGATCGTCGGGGAATCGCAGAACATTCATCAATGACGTTGTGAATATCGTCCAACGTGCACACAACTTAAGGGAACTGCACAAACACAATAAATCCATGTTACCCCATGAATCGCACCTTGAGACGGCTCATGGGAGTGGCTCACTCTGATGCCCAAACTGCAAGTGACCCATCGTCAGCTCCGCCAACGATGAAACGCTCTTTAGTTCGGCGATTGTCAACGAGGAATAGTGAAGCGATGTATCCATCGAGGGGCACGTCGGACACTTTATCGAAGCTTTCTTTCGCAGCTTCCCCTGACATATGCGTCCAAGGGGTTTGTCGAATGAGGCCATCACCTGTAGGAGATGAATTCGTTGGGTGTCCGCATCCATTGGAATATGACGTACTGTAACCGAGGATTACTGACTCCTGGTCCAATGGGAGCGTAGCCGTGAGGTAAGTTTCCACCTTGCCAGGTGTCGTAGAAGGTGATGGTTGCCAAATCGTGCTTGCCGAAGTAGAATGTGCCGAAATAACTTGAAGCCGGACTCCCTTCGCCTTGTCACTGGTGTAAACGAGTAGGTCAGTCCTAGAGAGAGAGAAGGCTTTCTGAAATGGTGGCAAAGGGGTGGAGTGAAGCTGGTACGGCCTGAGAAGTGCAATTGATTAGACGCATGACTCTATTCAACAACGAAGACGTACTGCATAATTCCTTCGCTCGGGGAAGCACGCAGGCGGTTATTGTCGCCATCTACTAGATGATACCCGTATAACACAAATCTATCCTGGATGCGACTGTGAGTGGCGAGTGGTGGTGGGGATACAACAATCCCTTACGTTGAAAATCAGGACATATGATTCATGGTCAACCCATTTTGCATCTAATAAACCGGATGCAGATTCGGTATATACAGTGTTGATGTTGCCGGCGCCTAACTCAAACGTCTGAAGAAAATGGGATAAGTGCCACGCAAGCGGCATGTACCAGAAGGTGTATCACCTGGACTTCTTCAGTCGTCCAAAGGAGACCCCTGGTGGAGCTACCAGTGACATGTAAATGAAGCCCAAATCCTGTGCGATCAGGCTTATTCACCACCCCCGCTTGGATACCTTCATGCACGATGACACGTCTCCCATTGGATTCGTGTTCCTCTTGAATCAGATGCTCGGTGGATCGACTTCGCAGAGCTTTGAATGGATTGGGCAGGTTGAGTCTTGTGTCCCCATCACTTACGGCCAGTTCAGGCGTGGTCGGCTTTAACTCGTAGTTTTCCACAATGCGGATTGACTTGATGATCAGGCGGCCATTTTCGTCGACAACGTAGATAAACAAGCTGTCTTATTGACCCCACTAAGTATGTTTCCGCTACTAGTAGATGGAGCAAGTTCCTACCTTCGCCAAAATTATCTGCTACGTCAACATGAGTCGTACCATTTTCAATCCAATCGCCAAGTTTAACGAATGTTGCATGGAAGGAACCACTCCTTTCCGTTGATTGAATCTCAATTACAACCACACGACATTTGTTCGCTTCAGTTCCAGCAGAGTCTTCGAGAGAGGCCGATGGGGCCGTGGAATCAACGATAGAGGTAGCGATTAGTAACGTTGACTAGGAAAGGAGGTTATGCTACATGATGGGCACGGGATTGGAAGGGTCGCACCTCTCCATACTGAACTGTGCGCAACGATTGCCACAACCAGGACTGCCGAGGAATATCCTTGGGTTTGCTCTGTACAGAGTCCAAGAACCGATCAGTCGCGTTGATGGTCGAAAGGCATCTTCCGTCCTGCATCGCGAAAGCATATATATCGCTACATATGTGATGATTAAGAATATCGAGTTGAAGCTGAGACGCAACGCCTCACCCTTGCTCATGCAAAGATACAAGAATACCGTTCGATCCAACCAGCAGAATTCCGGATACTGCCTGCCCCGATCCAGAATGGCGGGGGACGATGTGATAGCGAAGGGCCAACCCTTTGGGAGTAGACGATGGAGTCGGAATCGGAGAGAGTGGAGCTGGTGATCCAGGCGACTTTAAGGATGCGGAAACCTTTCGGCTAGAACGGTGGGTATCGTCACCACGAACGTCCGAAGCTACTGCATCGACTGTGGGCGCATGGCTTGAGCGATCCTTCGGTGGCCGACCCTTGAGCATCTCTTTGAGTTTACTCGGTTCATCATCGAAATCGACGTAGTTCTTTGGCGCCTCCACAGCTGCGGCAGTGATCCCCGATACGACGCGAGAGCGGGAAGAGATATTGAATGGTGTCTGAGATACTATGGACGATCCCGACGGGGAAGTAGAGCGAGACGTCGGATGTGAACCACGAAGTGTAGAGGGCGAACTTAAGGACCCAGATCCAGCCCGCTTCTCTCCTCGCTCGTTCCCTGTTTCCTTGGAATTCTGAGGGCCAAACACAAATATGCTACCGTCGCGGCAGCCCAAAGCGACTGCACGTTGCTCGTTCTCCGGAGCCCAGGACACGATAGCCGAAGGTTTGCATGCTATGCAACTATCAGATATGATACTGTGGCAGTTCGTGGCATCGTTTTGAGGCAACTGCGATACATGGGCGAACGTGATAGGTAAAGTGAAGGAGGAAGGCATGAAGCGCCGTGCGTGATCGTGTCCACGACTGATAAGATCGCATTAATCTTATCCTGGATTTAGTGTACACTACATTGCAGATTGCAGAAAGTAAAGAGAAACAGCAAATAGATAGACTAGTGATATAGATCAATTTTTGGCGGGAGCACCAACAGCCTTTGGCATCTTTTTGTCACCAATCGCCAACTGCTCCAGGTCCGCAGGCTTGAAGTAATGCGGAGCCACTGGAAAGATGAATTAGACGATGGACCTCGCGTTAGGTTGAAGACACACCTTCCATCAACCACGTAGGCTTTATCTCCATGATTTGCCTCATGTACGATTTCGAAGTCATCACCAGTTCATAGTAGAGGACGGTCTTCACCGGAGGCTGATGTTGGAAAAGGCTCGAGGACGGGTGAATATACACCGTGTGGTTGGTCTTCAGTGTCCGGTAAGAGTCACCGCTCTTTTGTAGTTGGGCCTATCACCCCAACGTTGCGTAAGTCGATGAACCAACAGATCACAAGCCGAACGCACCGTATTGTAGAAATACCCTGCAGTGATTGCCTTCTGTATCGGTGTAATGTCATTGGAATTTGGGTTTGACTGTATAACCACTTCTACACGCTCGCAAAGGCCAGCCAACTGGTCCCGGATATCGCGCGCACGACTTAAACTCTTGAACTGAAGGAACTGCTCATAGCAGAATTGCTGCGAATAGTTTGTCTCCGCCCATTGTTCCCATACGTTCAAAAGAGTGAAGTGATCGCCGCCTGAGCGCACAAAGTTCTGCCGAGCTTGATCCGCATGCAATTTCTTGTCTTTAGGCCGGTAAAACAGCGACGAGGATTCTGAAAGCATTGATATAATGGTGAGCACCTAAAACAGGTCAGTCACCGACATTGATGGGGAGTCGGAACACATACTTCGTCAGTACACGAGTACTTCTCGCTAGAGATGATAGCTTTGGATAACATGGGATCCACAGGGAATTCCGCCATTCGCCGCCCCAGTTTCGTGAGCTCACCCCTGTCATTGAGAGCGCCAAGGGCGTACAACATCTCGAGTGCTCGCATTAGCGTTTCTCCGGGAGGAGGATCCAAAAACTCGAAGCCAATGAGGTCGTTTATACCTAGCGATTTGAGTAGCAAGACGACCATTCCCAAGTTGGTTCTCTGAATTTCCGGAACTGTGTTTTCTTCGAGTTCGTTGGAGAACGCCCACTTCGTATAGAGTCGGAAGGCTTTACCCGGACCCACTCGTCCAGCTCGTCCAGCTCTCTGATTAGCAGATGCACGAGAACACTGAAAGGAAATGGTTGTTAACAGGGACTACAAAATATTCACTAATATACTCACTGGCACGACGATTAGGGACGACATACCCGTACGAGGGTTGTACGAGTTTTGCTTCACAAAACCGGGATCGATTACGAACACTACGCCGTCGATTGTAATCGACGTTTCCGCAATATTCGTTGCGAGGACGACTTTCCTGGCGCCATCCGGGGTAGGCTCGAAGATCTTTGCCTGCATGTCGCTGGGGAGGTTTGCATAGATCGGGCAAATAATGAGTTCCTTAATTTTATTACCCAGAGCTCGCGCCGTTTCCTGCAGATTCTCGTGAGCAGCTTCAATTTCGTCTTGCCCCTGTGTCAGAGGAAATTAGCAAGATTCGATAGTTTGGCAGTACACAGGTCCTACCGTCAGAAACACCAGGATGTCGCCCTTGGGCTGTGTTGTATGGATCTGGAAGACGGTTGTGATGGCAGCGTGGAGGTAATTAGCTTCCGGTTGCGGGGTGTAATGAATATCGACAGGATAGCGACGTCCAGGGACTAAAGGCAGCTCAGCATGACGAGGGGGCGGGTACTGTACTCGACAACATACCATAGAAAATCGGTGCGTCGTCAAAGTACGCTGCGAATTTCTCGGCATCCATCGTCGCGCTGGAAATGAGCAGTCGTAATTCTGGCCGGAAACGAGCGATATCCTACATTATCCACATCTCGTTTCAATGGGTCTGTCTGGAAAATAGAGGTCACGCACCTTGACAAGAGCAAACAAAATATCCGTACTGAGTGTCCTTTCGTGAGCCTCGTCGATGATCAACGCTGAATAGCCCGCCAAATCAGGTTCAGTCAGGAACTCGCGGAGCAGCATCCCGTCGGTCATGTACTTGATCACAGTTTTATCGCTGGTACAGTCTTCGAAACGGATAGAGTAGCCGACTTCGTAGCCAACCTTCGTTCCCATTTCCTCAGCGACACGAGCAGCCACTGACATCGCAGCAACACGACGGGGTTGAGTGCAGCCGACCTTCTGCCCGTTCTCGGTGTATCCCGCTTCATGAAGGTATTGTGGGAGTTGGGTTGTTTTCCCCGAGCCGGTTTCGGCAACAACGATTAGAACTTGGTGCTGCTTAATGGCCTCGAGGAGGTCCCCACGGAAGGTGTAGATAGGGAGAGACTTCCGAGTTTCGTCAATAGTCTTCGCTGTAAAGTCGTCGAAATCAGCCAAACGCAGACATAAAGAAAGGGAAACAACTGACCGCGTTTCTCAGCTTCTTCAACCTGTGCCTGTATCAATCGATCTGCAGCACTCATGCCCACACCCTCCAACGACGACTCCATAACAAACTGGATAGCTTGACTCTCGTCGAAGACGTATTCATAGTCTTCCATTGCTTCGTGTTTGTCCATCGCTCCGACCTTGAAGGTACTGTGCATAGTCTGACTTGCCTCCCACTGGTCGACATCGGTAACGAACTGGTCGTCCTTCGGCTTGGCTTCTTCGTACCGTTTATACAATGCGTTTTCCTTCTTCTTCTTGTCGATCTTCCCCTGCTCCGTGATGTAGTCTTCAGGAAGCTGGTAGCCATCCCAAGTGTCATTGATCTTGAGCCGTTCTTCCACCAGCTTCAGAAGTTCCTTCTTACGGTCCAATTCCTTGCGTTCCCGCTTCGATATCTTCATCCCATGGAAAAGGGCTTCGTCATCAGCGATTTCCTTGCGCAGTAGCTCGATTTGCTGGATTTCACGTTTCGTGAGGTACTCCTGCCGAGAGTGAATGCGAAGAGAGGGTAAAGCATGACTCCGCGCCTCCTCGTCGTCCGCTAGCTCGCGTCGGCGAGCGGCCTCGGCTGCAGCACCTGCGTTCTTCGATGACCGATCCTCTACGACTTTCTTCGTCCGTTCTTTATCGCGCTCTCTAACACGTTCCGCAAAAGCATCACGGTCCCGAAGGTCCTCTGCCCGTTCCCGCTCCCTTCTGACGTCCTCGTCCTCGTCCCCTTCAATCTCCATCCCTTCGCCAACCTGCTCATCACCCCCCTCATCCTCCCCTCTGCGCCGCTTCCGAGCCTTGTCCTCCTCATCACTCATCCAATCCTTTTCGTCATGCTCTCTCTTCCTCGTGTGCCTATCCCGATCCTTGGTCCCCTTCTCGTCCTTCTTCTTTTTCGACTTCGGCCGTTCAACGACATCGACGCTGGGGTCTTCATCCAGAAGAAGCCCAAACTTCTGAGTGAGGAGGTTTTTCGTCTCTTTCTCCGCTTGCTTACTTGAGCTCGCAGCTTTAGACTTGTGCTTGTGTTTCCTAGGCGCTCTTGAGTAAACTTCGTTAATGAATTCGTGGGCATCTGGAGTATCTGGTAAACCGTAGGAGTTAAGCGACGAAAAGAGAGCATCAGGAGACTTGGAAGACGTTGCTATAATATAATCTTTCAGTGGCGTGGTGATGCATACGACCCAAGATGAACAAGTACCTGACGCTATGACATAGTCGATTATGGTTTTGTTAGATACACCAAAGAGCTATCGGATAGTCTAGTCAGTAGGGGGAAGAGAACATGCAAGTTCAACTTACTCGAAGTGAATTGTCGCTGATATATTGTTCTAGCTCGGACGCCATATCATGGGTACTGACTGAGGAGGTTCGGAATGAGTCCGTGCCGTGGGCGTCTACGGCTCTCTGTGGATCAGGGGGCTTAGCAGGGGCTAGGAGCTTCAGTCCACAGTTGTACACAAGATGGTTGGAAGTTCGGTGAGTGGGTATCAGTTATGAAGCTCAACTAGCATGTTTCTCTGAGTACAGCTTTAGCGTACCCAGAAATCCTTGGTCTTGTTCTCTATTTAGTTGGTAGGCCCCAGGATGATGGCACCATACATATATGCACTACGCGCTTGCGGACTCAGCCACAGTTGTTACATAGTTGATGGGTGTTATTGAAACTCAATCGCTAAGGTTTAATCCGTGGTAACAGTAGGTATCTCCAAGCCTGCGGCTGCGGCTATTCGGAGCGTCTGCTCTGCCTAAGTTGAAGCAGGGCTCAATCAACCGTGTCTCGCGGCATAGGTCTATAGTACACATACCTGTTTGATCATTGGTGCATCGATCATCTCTCCTTCCAGGCCCACAGCACCCTGCTGCGAGGCATGCGCTGCTTTCATCGCGTGGACTATCTTAGCTGCCCGCAAAATCTCTGGATGAAACCCCGAATGTAAGAGCATCATGAATTCATATTGTGCGAGAAATTACCGTGCGATGTTGGGACGAATGTTGACTGTATGACATCTACTTGCGTTGGATGGATAGCTTGCTGTTGTGATGTCAAGTCCCCTCAACACCGAGGTAACAACACGATTTACTGACCTTTCCTGTAAAGCCCAAAGCTCTTCCGTCTTCGCACTCTTCCCTCAAGTAATCTAGGTCCTTATAATTGACGCATACCTAATCATGGCTGATGAGACGCGTTCCGCGAACGGGCAAGGATCACCGACCATATCTATGGCCTCCAGTCCGAACGCTCGAGCAGCGATGACAATCTGCGAGCGCGTATAAAGGAGCTCACGCCGAGACCGGGAACGGAGGATCGAGGTGTCAGCACAATCTTAGTATGTCTGTTCAAAAGTCGGACAATGTATGTAAGTGGGTAGGGCACTCACAGTCTTCGGCAGCAAACTAGAGTCGTTTAGACACTGCAGTATTGATGCTCTATGACGCACGTACCAGCAATGCACTAACAATGCCGCTCCGAGCGACCGAGTACTCGGACTCCCATGAGGCGATAGAGCCAATGTTCCAAAGGGCTCTCGCACTCTCTATGCTGGGAATAATCTTAAGAGGGGACTTGCGCTCAAGACTTGTCGTGACGAGGGCCCTCGACACATGGTGCAGATCCTGAGCCGAATGAATTTTTGGAAGAACTAGAGTTTGGATCGCAGAGCTCGCCAACTACGAACAACTCAGGGACTCGATTGCGGGCTTGGATGAAGTGAGACCCACTATTTCAGCGACGTCCTCCGCAAAGAAAGGTGTGCTCAGGTCGTTGATACGCACAGCGACTCTAGAAGGCTCAGGAAGGTCTGCTCTCTGTCGACGGAACCGATGCTGGTTGTCTGGAGAGTATCCACTGTGATCCAACTGCGCAGCGCACCTGGAGAAACTGCTTCAATCTACGACGCGCACCGTCCTTATCCGCGGGGGATGGTGGCACGCTATCCTCGAGGTCGTATATAACAACATCCGACTTTACATTTAGCGACTTCTCGAGCATCTTGTCGGATGAACATGGAACGTAAAGATACGACCGGTTCAGCGATGCGGTTGAGGCACCGGAGTGAAGACATCGGACTCGAGCAAGACTTCTCGCTGGAAGGAGACGCATTGCCGCTAGCTGGTACTTAACTGCGACTGAAAGTGACTGCCGCAAATGGGAATGTCTCTCACGTGATGTAAAGTTAGGTCGAGCTTCAAGTTACACTGGCAGTGCTTCGTTCAGGACTCGCTGTCAGCATGGAAGTCAACCCCGCTGAAGGCCACAAGCACAAGTCAAAGCGCAAAGAACACAAAGACCCCGACCGCCGTTCTAAGAAGCGTCACAAAGATAGAGATGAAGACGGAAATCGACGGCACCACAAGAAGACGAAGAGGGACTCGGAGGCCAAGACGGATGGCGTTCGCGTCGTAGACGACGACGACGGCGACGACATGTGGGTGGAGAAGGATATTGGTATGGGCGGCGAACGTGTAGGTAGCCCAGCTCCCAACTGTCTTATTATTGAAGTATCTTTAACAGCCTTTAGCGACTGATATCCCAACTGCCGAATCTCTGAAGATTACTTCGAGTGCTATGCCAAATGAATCCACACCTCCACTACCTTCTAATTTGCCGACAGAGTCAAAAATGAAACGAGACGAGTGGATGCTGATGCCATCCGAACCGTCGACAAACATGTCAGTAGACGACCCGTACGACGGATACGGAGAGTCATCCTCCGGACAGAGAACCACGAGTGGTGGTGTGGATTTCTTCTCAAGCCTGGGTACAGAGCGTAAGAAGAAGAATCCTAAAGAAAACAGACCTGATCCAGACAAGGTGTGTTGCCCGAAGTCCCCAACGAGCCTGCCAAATTGACGAGAGTCGTCAGCTTGTGATCAGTTCCAGGGAGCTCAACCAGGAAATGATTAGTGGGACACCGGTGAAATCCGGCGCACCACTACCGCCCCCCAAACAAGCTATCACACCAGGCGGCCCTGGCTCGCAGTGGCGAATGATGCGTTTAAGACGTGTTTACGAGTCCGCTGAGGAAGATGGCACGCCTATCGAACAGGTTGCGCTTGAGAGGTGGGCAACCTACTAGCCTCATGGAAGACGGTTGACGTAGCATTTGTAGGTTCGGCTCTCTTGAGGCTTTCGAAGAAGCGAAAGAAGAAAGACGGATTCTTGACGAAAGGGAAGGGAAACGGGGTCAAAGGGGGAGAGACTCAGAGCCTCGGTCCAGAGGTTCTGAAGGAGAAAAGCGGTTCCTGTTCAACGATGTCGGTGTCAGCGGCGGGTCAAGCCGCAGTTCCTCCTTCCGTCGCCCAGGTGGACGAGACGACAGTGCTCCATCAACGCCCGCACCAATGGGTCAAGCTGCTAACAAGAGACTGGATTCTTTACGATTGCCATCACAGGCTGCGTCTCCTCTAGCCCAATCCCATACTCCTATACCGACCACAATGACTCCCCCTGCACTTGGGAAAGGACAAAGTCGTGCATTGTCCCCATCGTCATTGAATCGCCTTCAAGCCAAAGTCTTACGCGCCAAGCTAATGAATGCATCTGACGCAGATACGCTGGAGAAGCAGTATCAGACCGAGCTTCGACGGTCACAAGGCATCGTTGAGGACGGAGAGGGTAACCGGACAAAGGTGGAGTTACTCCCTACACTGGACGGTAGAGGGCGTATGTACGATGTTGGACATGGTGCTGCCGACACTACACAAATGCCTGGTAATCGAAAGAAGAAAGAGAAGGTGGAGACACGAGATCCCAAGACGGGCGATATCGTTCGGTACAACGCTGATGATGATTCGATGACACTGGGAGAAATGCTGCGTCAAGAGAAGCTGTCGGCCGGGATGGCCGACCAGAAAAATCTCAACGCCCAGTTTGCTCGGGCCATAGCTACAGACGGCGGATTTAAGGTAAGCGTGCCCTTCCTCAAGCCTGTTACATGTCTAATTCTTCAGTAGAATGATCTTGATTACATGGACGATAATGCGGATAAACTCGGCCGCCAAAAAATGCGTTCGGATGCTCTGAAGCGCCAGTTTGCTATTCATGGTACGGCTATACATCTATTCTATGTATCGTAACTCTGACAAATCTGCTCTTAGATTATAAACGGACACAGAAAGCTTTATCGTCTTGTCAATTTTGTTATGGAGAAGACGATAGCCTTCCCAAAGCTCCTGTCATAGCCATGGGAACTCGTGCCTACCTTTCATGTACCCTTACCGAAGAGCTTGTCCCTGGCCACTGTCTCATCGTCCCCATTCAACATCACCTCGCCATGCTTGAAGGCGATGACGATCTATGGGATGAAGTTCGAGTAAGTAATCCGAGTAAAGCCTGACCCGTCCTCTTGAGTTGACTTTTGCATCTGCAGAACTTCATGAAGTGTCTTATGCGTATGTTTGCGGAGGAAGATTCTGGTGTTGTTTTCTATGAATCCGTCATTTCGTTCAAGCAGCAAAGGCATACGTTCATCGAGTGTGTGCCAATGCCATGGGAGTCGTTTGAACTAATTCCAGGATACTTCAAAGTCAGGCGATCTCTTCCATCGTTGATGACGATGCCTAACATGATGCTACTGTAGGAGTCTATCTTGGCCTCTGAGGCTGAGTGGTCCCAGCACAAGAAGCTTATCGATTTCTCCGCGCGCCCTGGTGGGTTCAGACGAGCCATGGTCCCCAATCTACCGTACTTCATGGTTCAGTTTGACTACAAGGGCGAGAAAGGTTACGGCCATGTTATAGAAGGCGAGGGGGAAGGCGTGGAAAACGAAGATGACTACGACGAAGGTGCAAAGGGTGGCGGTGAATTCCCTCCGTAGGTTCATTCCCATCATTCGTACTTACATAGAGGCTGACATGTGCTCCCTTGGTAGGTACTTTGCGGGGGAGATCATCGGCAATGTCTTGGAGGTTGAACCTCGAAAGTGGCGACGGCCGCGACGGATAGACTCCCGAGGAAACAAAGAACGGGTCGCACAAATAAAACAGAAGTATGACAAGTTTGACTGGACAAATATGCTTGGGAGTGGCCCGTAGCCGCTCTGTGTAATACAGACATATTGGACACCCGACATTTACAATTGTGTGTATGAATATAGCGAGTAATTGATAATTGGTCATTCCGGAGCCAGCGCTGGGTGAGTTGTCTACAATTTCCTCCATTCCCATGTAATGTGTATTTTGTACACCATCTCATAAAATGGGACAGTGCAGCAGCAATACACAGTAATGGGTAGGGGAAACTGTAGACAGTGTTCCAGAGCACTTACTTCCAAGATGCCATATAGAGGAGCATTTTGTATGAAGCCGCTTGTGTCGGCCCATTGAGGAGTGGGTATATCATAGGTTCGACCTCTGGGTTCGAGTACGTTTTATAGTTGCGAGACTCCCCGCTTAGAACGATGATGGACTTTTCTCGCTGGGGTTAATCAAGGTTGATCAGCGTAGCGTGACTCAACTACCAGTGACCACGCGGCGCAGTCATTAGCAAGTCGGCGGTTCTATTTCTAACGGTAATGAAAGAGTGTAATATGACTTGTCTTACGGATGAAGTAGAAGCCTGGAATCAAGGGCATTCCGTATTCAAGACTTGCTATGATTGTGCGGTGTGGACTCCTTCCCAGAAGTAAAATTGGCAATTCCGAACTCTAACAGACTGCGTCATGGTTCTACCGTTGGTCGGAAGCCGGGTGGTGATTTCATGGAAGCGTTCTACGAAGTACATCGGGGGCAAGTACATATTTTCCCACTTCTCCCGCGAGCCTCGAATGGCTCTTACACTTAAAAATACCAACAAAGACAGGACTGAGTGGGGTTATAACATCTTCATGATCAGGAAGGAGGGGAGTATGGCCTCACATGTGTCCTTGCTGCGTCTCCGGGTTATTTTGGGGTGCGAATGGATGCAGGGGCTCGTAGTAGCCCCTCCCATCTAAAGGGCTCGACTATCATTTCCAGAACTGTGCCGACGAGGTTATAGAACATCCATGTCTCGAAGGGGCCCTAAGTTGCTCCATAGTTTTTCCTTGTCAAGGGTCCGTGGAATGTCGGCGGAACGATAAGTTATGGAAACGGCGTTGAAAGGACACGTTGCCTTCCCGCGACGCAGCGGAGTGCAGCCTCCACGAGCATTTCATCTTCCAGCAGCTAAATCATGTCCACATAGATCGTGATCTGGGTCTCACCTATGGAAAGATCGAAGGAAGCCCTTGGAACAGTTTCGCAGTAAAATAGACCCATGACGAGCGTTTTGCGGGGATGTTGTCTGATGGTCATTGACAGAGCAGGAGTCGAGGCAGGTGACGGTAATGATACACTAACATCAGTCTTCTATTACAAGATCTCCATATGGCTTCGCTCTGAAATACGACTCGTCGAAATGATGCACTCGAACAAATCCGTCTTCTCCTCCGGATGCATAAGATGTCCCGGCTGGATGCACGGCAATTCTATAACCAGGGAATCAGTGAGTTTGTCACAGGAATCAAGGGACTGGGCATACGTGTTTACAGGACCGAAATGACCCTTTACACGGCCAACTTCCTCTTCGAAGACCTTGTGCCAGAACCTTGTCTCAAACTTTCCCTGACGAAGCGAGGTAGTCGTTACGCTCATGGCCTCTTGACCACCCCCTAGAAGCACCTAGGTCATCGTGTCAGAAGTTACACCGTACCCAGGAAAGAGGGTAAAATACATAAGGAAGGTTGGGTGCGAGGGCTGCACTATTCAGTGGGGTCTCAGTTGAAAACGTCTTGATGACCATGAGGCTTTTGATGTCGTGTATCTAGGGTGATATCTCAGCAACAGAACCCTGATAAGATAATACAAGCAGTACTCACACGTGCAGTTTTATCTTTGCTCGATGTAATGAAGTAAGTGCCATCCTTGCTGAGTTGTAGGTCGGTCACAACATCCATATGAGCTCGTTCGTTGTTTTCGATTTCCTCTCCTGATTTTACGTTGAATAAAGCGACCTTGCCGGATTCGTGGCCGGTAACGATGACATTGGGCGTCGGAGTAAAGGCGCACACTGTTGCTTTTGAACCTATGGGGTTGAACATGTACAATGGTTCCTTCGATTCTGTTTCATTATTAGCTCCAAACCGCAGTTAATTAATTGTTCGAGCTCATACGTTTTGTTCCATCGCCCTCTCTGTTGATGTCGAACACGCGAATTGCGCATTGGTACCCCATTCTCTGCTCGGTGATGCATACGACCTGTCGGTCGTCCTCGCTGAACGCTACCCGTTTCACAGCAGTCGGGAACTCCCAAGTGTGTAGACATTTGCCTGTTGCAACTGACCATAGCTTGAGCATGTTGTCGGCGGAGCCCGATACCATGAATCTTGATTCAGCTATGAGAATAATGATTGTGAAGTAGATCAACATAACTATGAACGACTTACAGTCAACGTCTACGGTCCAAACAGTTCCATTATGACCATCGTATGTCCCAAGCCGCTCTCCGTTGTGCGAAAACCATACGTTGATGACGAGATCCTTCGAGCATGTGAACAAGAGATCGCCCTCTCTGTTGAATTTGATCTGAGTGAGTGACCGTTCGTGACCTGTCTCGGGGGTGATATGAGCCGATGAGGCAAAGTGTACTCGCCAGAGCGTCACCTTGTAGAAGAATAGGTCTCTGGGAATCCTTCGGTTGAGAGCAAGGTCAATCCCAGCCAGTTTAAAGACTCACCATGTTGATGACTTGTGCAATGCAAGTCGCGGCTGAAGAAATTTGGACGTCCCAATTTGGAAGAGGCCATTGTCATCGGGACGAAGCAAGGACAAACAAGAAATAAGACCTGCAGACCTGCTCGGATGCATGAGCCGCGATAAAAAAGATGCAGCAAAATGGAGGTTTTACGGACCCTCAAAGATTGTGCAGCGTGATTCATAACCTCTCGCAAAACACTGTGTGAGTCCCTCGGCCTTACTCGTTGCTTACGTGCCATAAGTGACAACTTCTCCAAGTTTCTTATTTTGACCAAGCATTTGGACAGCCATGACCGGGGATGATACGCAATCAAAGGTATATCAAAACTGCGGCAAAATGCGCCCTTCGTCCATGACGGTAATCTTCCTCCTCCCTTTGTGACCGCCTGTCTCGATCGATGGCCGCCGATCATGATCGAACGGCGTCTATTTCGCTTTCCGTTTACAGACTGAGCATTGCTATTGACGAACGAATACTATGCGATACTCTGGAACTACTAGTGGGGTGGGTGCCGCAAACTACCCTCAATCCTGAGCAGCTTTCCCGCCTCAATGTCGTAAATATAGCCAGATATGCTTTCGAGGGTATGTGCATGCCCCGAGTTTCGTTTCGCCCATGCCTTTTTGACTGTTTCAGTGTTGCATATATTGTCAATTTGCATGAGAACGTTTGCCTCCGTCAGCCTGGCGAGTGGATCGGAGTGATTGTGAGGCTTGCTGGAGACTTGCAGGGAGTGAGCTAAAAGAGTTTGCGATGCTAGCCAACGATTGAGTGGCGCTTCTGGGTCCTCATTTGGCAATGTCACGACAGGACGGTCGGCAGGATCGAAATCCTCTCTTCGCGCTGCTCCTAGGGAAGCTCTGGCCCCGCCACAATCTGTGTGGCCGACAACAACGACTATAGGGCACTCGGTCAGGTTACATATAAGGAGGTAAGATGATTGGGCTGTAGCGCACCATGCGGGACTTTCAGCACGTCAACCGCGTAGGCGAGGACAGAAAGCGCATTGATGTCATCAGGCAGAAATTGGCTGTCATGGGTTGAGTATCGAGCAACACTTGTTTGAATGATATCAACTGACTTTGCTATGTTTCTTTGAACGAAGATGACGCCTGGTCCGAGACCCGTTATAGTTGCCTCGGCTACCCGCGAGTCGGAGCAACCAAACCAGAGGAACTGTTGTAAAGTGCGTGAGAATGAGGCAGAAATAATCGAGACAACGTCACTCACAGTTGGGGCTTGAGAAGGGGCGACTTGTGCACGAAAGAAGTCAGGTTCAATTTCATGCTTGTGCTTCTCCCACTCCTGATTTCCACTGACGAGGTCAGATTCGGTGAGTTTATGAGTAAGTTCGGACATTGTAGGGCGGCGTAAATGGGTGGAAGATCGTAGGTATTTACTGAACTATACCACCTTACGCCAACCTATTTAACTAGATGAGCCAACATTTGCTCAAGGGTACGACATAGTGACACTGGAACGCTCACCTGTCAAAGATGGGGCTGATAGATACAGATGAACGTCGATAAGGCGGTTCTTCCAGAGACCAGAAGTCACGTAACACGCTCGCGTCATGACTAGAATGAAAGAATGGAAGCGAATAGTTGGATGAAGTGAGGGCCTGGACCCGCAGGACCACGCCCCAAAGGTTGACAGTCACATGAGGGAGCTTGAGCGTTGTTCGCAACGTACTTCTTCTGAGCATCGGCGGTGTGCCCTGTGCTATCTCCAGCGATAAGCCAGCGTCGTGTTGAGCCACGGGGTCACGGTGTCCATCAGTGGCGTTCGCTCGTGCAGGTGGATAGGTACAGAGAGCTCTACAGCTTTCATTTTGACCGGTATCTGAGGCGAAGAGACGTGACAGTGTATCCCATTGAATAGCAAATGGAAAGGCCTAGGCTAGGACAATAGTCATGAAGCCTCTAGTGGTTCCTCCCGAACTCCATGTAGCGATAAATCAGCAACGTAGTGGGGGCACTGAAATGAACGTTGAGAACACTGAACGGGCCCATAATATAGCTGACAGGGGCGGTGGACGGGAGTGCACGTAGGAGAACGGAGTTTCGAGCCGACGGCGAACGCGTATATTCTTTCTGTGGCCTATTCTTGCGTATTCTTGCCTGAACCACCGTTATCAGCATGATCAGTGTTACGCTTTTAAAGCTTGTACAACGCACCAAACTCACTCGGACCTCTTGAAGTCCGTTTCTTTTTGACACAGCAAGTCAAGGCGTTTTCGACGACCTCACGTTCGAGAATCGGCGCGGCGACCACATCGATATCAATTCACTATCGTGTTTCTCCTTCGCATCGGAGCCAGAACTTCGAGACACCGCGGCGGCGACCGTAGTTGAATTAGGTAGTCTGATTGACTTGAGCGTTATGGCGGTTATGCGAAGCCTACGAGCTTGGAAATTCCTTAGTATACAGTATAGTAGTATTCAATTGAGTGTGCATCACTGCTCGCTTGTATACACAGAAGCTCCTATTTGCCCTGTTTTTGCAGATCTACCGCTCGTTCTGATCGTTGCCGGTATGCCGAACACAAGCGGCTGGGCTGGGCTCCTGAGCTTGAAATCCGTGACGCGTGACACACTGTGACGAAAAAGGTTTCTCTTCGTTAGTAGTCAGTAAGTTCTCACGGTCAATAAGAAAAAATTTGCGAAGTATAGCACAATTCGAGAGCGACAGTTTGCCACCGCTTGAATATCTGAATGACCGAGCTCGTGGCTTAAGACACCTTCCTCCATCAACTCACGTTTTGACGTAGGTTCGATCTTCTGCGTACGATATACTGATTGTCCCCGTATCCAAAGTCTCGTCTGGAGAGTTGTTTGATCTTCAGCAGTCTGGTTTGTCGTTCCTACTCGGTCGAGGTGAACTCATATAGCATAATGTGTGCCCGATCTGTCGTATTGGACGATGGTAGTGGTTAGAAATGATGCGTTTGCCGCATTTATCCTCTTGCCCTAAAGCAATCATTAGTATCATATACAGTTGAACTTTCCGCTGGTATGTACTCTATATACGAAGTCTCTACGAGGCAAAGTTGAACGTCGGCAGACTCGGTTGTACAGCAACTGCAAAATAATCACCCACGCCAAGCTAGCATCATCGTAGCTAACAGATTGTGCAGCCCCCATTGTTAGGGTGCATGTCCGCCATTTCCTTCTCAAGCGCTATGATCTTCATACGCAACTCCACGACCTCCCAAGCGGGTGCCCCTTCTTGTATCTTCTTCTCGAACTCCGATAACTTGCCTTCATACTCGTTTATTAGCTTCGCTTGTTCCCTCTTGGCGGCCTCTGCACTCTCCCGTATCTGGGACTCGAGCCTGCTCTTCTCCGATTCGTACTTGGAGGCCATTTCTTGCGCGTCACGCCGAAATCGATTCGATTCGCCCTGTAGCTGATGTATCTCAGTACGAATCTCGTCCCGTAGTTCGTTTTCTTTGAGACGCAAAGCTACGTGCAACTGAGCATTAGCACGAGGGAAGAGTTAAGTGAATGTAATAAACACCTTCGCTCATCTCAGCCTTCAGCATGCGAATCTCTTGTTCATGCTTCCTCATCAACGCCTGCAGCTCGGAGTGGAGCTCGACCCCAGCGGCGGTTTCAGGAAGATCCATGTGTTTGTGTACTATTTCGTCTTGGATCTGGAGGGGGAGTGGTTCGCTACGGATAAAGTGGCGAAGTATATTCGCTGCACTGTCGAAGGTGTTGGTGTGTCGTAGCAGCATTGCCCCTTTGTCTAAAGCTGGTTTGAAGAAATTCTCCTTCGAAGCAAGCTCTGCCTCCCGAGCTTCTCCAACGGAATGGGAAACTTCTCCCCACATATTCGTGACGATGGCTAAATTCTTCAGCGTCTTCTCTCCGCACAGGCGGCGGAGCAATCTGAAGTTTCTTACGGACAAACCGCCCATTCTGACGTCTGATATACGATGCATATAAATGACACCGGCTAGTAGCTTTCCTTCTTCGTACCTACGCGTGTCGTCAGTAAAAAATCAGAGTAGATGCGAAGAAACTTGACTAACGTCGTGGTAAGGAACGCCGCTATCATAGCAAGAATATCTATATCTTTTGTTCTTGTATCGTCGAATCCAGGCGTGTCCACCAGTATCACCCTTCGTCCGTCAAGTCCAAATGGTTTGCACATCTGGACGACACTTGTACATGACTCAAGGTCCCCCCCAACGGCGAGGTTGTCGCCGCTTGCCATGTTGACAAACTAGCAGCGTTATTAGCAAATTGGAGTTGAAACAACGAAGGGATAACGAACGGTTGTCTTGCCACTACCCGTGGCCCCCATAATGCTGGAAGTTAGAGGTGAGTATCGCCAGATACTAGAGGGTAATAAGACTTGACCTACGCAATAACGACATCTGGTTGACCTCCAGTGGCACCTATATGAGGCCTTTGCATGCTGAATGCCGGGCTTGGGGGCTTGGATGGGATGGAGAACGCTAACCGCCCTGCCGTTCTGGTTTATGAGTATGCTGACTTCTTCGTATGTGACAATAGAAACTACTGCTTTGATGTGATTTCTGCAAGCAAGCTTTCATATACAGAAGCTGCGCAGAAGCTTCGACTACGTATTGCGCAGTTGCAAGTCGTACGCGCATGTGGAGGTCGACTGCGAGCGAAAGCGCTTCATTCTTGAAAGGTTTGTGCCGATAAGAAATGAAGGCAAATTATAGCATCACCATTATGGGATCGAGTCAACGGGAACAAGTTTGTGAGGTCTCTTCCCAGTCTCTGGTCTTCGTGCAGGTCGAAGTCAAGTTTGAGTTGAGTTACGTCTTAGTTCAAAGGTGTGTGAGCACGTGAGTGGTAACAGTGGTGCCGGCCCGCTCGAACTTGTTAACCTTCACCTTCATGAAGTTCAAATCATCGATGCTGCTCGATGCGGTGCGCAGCCTTTCGTTAGCTACATGCTTCCTCTGACCCTGTTCTTAGCTATTCCTAGTCAGGAATTTCTAGTACTATCACTTCAAACTCAAGAATTACTACGGTTGAAGGTACTCGTGCTATTCACAAGAACACGCTGTCGCAGTCATCCAATAGGCCTCAAGTATCAAGCGTGTGTCTGCTTCCTCAAAGCTGCGCTAGTGCTTCTCAAGCTGATTGGGTTGCGCAGCATCACTTCTATAGTTCATTGCACAGCAACCACACAGCGCGATGTGCGAAGCACAAAAACCATCGTCGCGCAGTTGGGGATGGGTCAATCTACTATATTTTGAAGTCTGAGTCCACAAGCCATCCCAGCGACGTCAGGATGACTTCGTCGCCACCTAGCCATACCAGTTTTGATCCATCCTTTCGCGAGCAAGGACCAGATATCAAGAAATCTGAGGACGTCTATATTGTGTAAGCGCCCACCTGTATTTCATATGCTATCGCTCATTATGCGCAGCGTGATGGGAGCCACCGGCAGCGGCAAAACCAGCGTAAATATAACATTCTTTGCAGGATATGGAATATGGCTTGGTTCACTAATTGAAACGATAGTTCATCAATATTGCTAGCGGGTCTTCGCTACGTGTGGGGACAGGACTTATGTCGTGCACGGACGCTGTGCAGACGTCCAAGCCCTTTATCCTTGAGGGTCGAACAGTTATACTCGTAGACACGCCTGGTTTCGATGATACAACGAAAACCGACACCGAGGTGCTGACTATGATCGCTGCCTCTCTTTCTAGCATGTGAGTATATGCCTTCGTAGCGATTTCTTTCTTACATTAATGATACAGGTATTTGAATAGGGTGAAGCTTTCCGGCGCGATTTACATGCACCGCATCTCAGACTTTCGCATGGGCGGCACGTCCACCCGCAATTTTAATATGTTCAGGGAACTATGTGGTGACACTGCGCTGCAGAACGTCGCCATCGTCACGAACATGTGGAGCGAAGTCTCCCTCGACATCGGCGAAGCCCGTGAGGAACAGTTGAAGAGTCGGGACATATTCTTCAAGCCTGCTCTAGGCAAAGGGGCGCAGATCTGGCGCCATGACAACACTTCCACGTCGGCGCAGGCTATCATACACTGCATCGCATCCAAGGACCCTCTCGCCCTGTGCATTCAAAGGGAGCTAGTGGACGAGCGAAAGGACATCGCAGAGACCGCCGCTGGTGCCGAACTGGGTCGTGAGTTGCATGAACAGGCGATGAGATACCAGGCAGAAAGGCGGCGGCTGCAGGACGAGCTGAATGAAGGTTTTCCTCCCTTATCTTGCAACTCTGTATCGTCACTAAAGGTATCAACAGCGTTAGAGCAGAAAGACGAAGAGGCTCGAGAAGAACTCGAGCAAGCGACCGCTCAGCTGAACAGCGAGATGATGCGTGTGCAAATCGATTCGGAATGCATGATATCCTCCTACTCTGAGGAGAAAGAAAGGCTTGAACGGCGGTTGCAAACATCGAAAGCTGACTGCCAACAAAGCGAAGGCGAAAATGCAGACCGCAGAAGGAGGATTACTGATGGGCTGAGTCGTGAAGAGGTCTCTGGCTCTGACATGGGGAGAACGCGGTTGATCGAAAGTTTACATCGTCTTCAACAACAACATGCCGAGGCCCTGGCAGCTCAGCGCCGATCTCAACCTAAACTCTTCGTAGAATTGAGGTTGAGAAGCCTTGGCTTCCTCTTCGGACTCAAAACTCTTGTATCTTCCAATTTTAGATGATTGGATTGCCGATCTCCTTACTCATGTTCATAGTGGTGTAGGTTGCGTTTGGGAAAGCGGAAAGAATATCATTCATAACCGTGACAATCATGCAGCGGCATCTGTGCATACGCTTGATGGTGAGACTGTTCTTATTCCCGCGTCTAAAACAAATCGATTGTCCTTTCGAAGAGTACCGTAAGAAGATGGCCGTCGAATGCTCGCAGAACCCATAAATCGATGATAAGAAGTGACAAGTGAGGACCCCTGCGTGCGAGGTGCGAGAACATAGCAATAGGGAATTGACGTGGATGTCGTGCGCCACGATGATGTACTTCGAGCGTCCGAGCCCTAGAACGTTTACGAGGTCCTCGCTTGATGACAAATAGATAAAAACATCTATGCAAACACATCGTACAGCCAACGGTCATAATCGTACTCGGGCTCGCCTCCTTCAGTTGTCGTATTTGGCATGACCTCGCGCAAGTAGTCAATGGCTCCAGGGGGTAGCTGTGCCAGCCGTAGATCAAGCTCAGTAACAAACGGCTGCAAGAATGTCAGCCAGTTATCGAAACCAGATACGAAACTGTTCCACCTTATCGGACGCGATCCCACGGAATGATTCACGAAGTTGTTCCAATGAGGTTTGATCTTCTGTGATGTCAACCTGTGAGAACGCCGTCAATCGCAACACCTAAGGAGGCCAAAGAACACTACACTAACCAGAAAATTGATGAAGGCTTCATATGTCACAGCGCCATATTCTTCCACTAGTCGGTCGTATATATAATCCATATCTTCCTCCTGTGCGTTTTCAGCCCCTGTAGAAAGGCATTACCAACACTAAGACAACTCACAGAATACACGATGCTCAGGCTGGCAAGAGCTGCACCCATTTCAGGTTGGCTGAGCGTGTTGGATTCGTCCCTATCGAAGTACCGAAACGTGCTTTCGAATTGTTCTAGTTGGGCAGGCGTCAGGTTTGTCATGTTCCGGGAAACGATCTAAAGAGCCTTAGTAGATAGAGGGACGAGGAATACAATGTGATTACCTGATTATCAATGAACGCCATCTTCTTAGCTATAGACTGTACGACAAGTTCAACCTCAAAAACTAGGTCCTGATGGGTGAGTACTGTATAATCGTTCTCTTCGACATTCGCTGCGTTGCACTCTTCTTCGGCCTTCGCTACAACGTCGAGGGTTTGCGATAACTCGCCGAGACGCTCTTGGATTTTCTGGACATCTTGCTGTTGGGCCTAGACAGTATTTGTCAAGCGCACAGTCGTCTGTCCATTGATCATACCTCCAGCGGTCCCTCGATCTGGGCGAGATCAACGGAAATATCATGCAGTCTACTTTCGAAATTGTTTGCCAGATCTGCGAATTGCTTGCGAAGCGTTTCTTTAATCCTTCATAGGGATTGCGTCATTTTGCTGCAACAAGACCTTGCAAGACCTACTGTCGAATCTGAGCGTTTATTGCGCGGGACCTGCCCGCTTCTGATGCCAACAACGTACTCCACGCCTTGTCAATATCCTGCGACAATTCTCAGAATGGCTACCAATGGAAAGCAGAGGGACTTACAGAGAGAGATAGGTTCGGAGGCGGTATATATTCCTTCAACCTGTATGTCCGGAGCTTTGTCTGAACATTGCCGAAAAGCGTCGCAAGATCCTGTTTTTCGATCACCCAACCTCGCTTCACGGTTTGCTTATAGACGGCAAAAGAACTCGAGTGTTCTTTTGCATCTACGTAGGTGCCGTCAAACTGACTGGCTGACCACTGGTTCTGGATGTCTTCTAAAGCATGAAGAAACTGGCGGGAGTGTGAGTTCAGCGCAGTCTGATACTTGGGACGCAACGGACTTCTGATGCCCGGCGTTCATAGTCATTACGAGACACCCAAACGGATTGCATCAATTCAGCAAATTTCTCCACTCGTCGCGAGACGGTTTCGGCTTGGTCTAGCAAACATCATCAGGATCAGTGTACCAACATACTAGCCATAGGTTACGAACCTATCGTTGAGAATGCATGGAAGAAGGATGCGATGTAAGTCATGACGCTACGTTCGTCGGGATGACTGGAATCACATAGGTCCTCCACTTCGAGAAGTTGCTGAGAAAAAAGGGTACATGGGACATTGCTTTCAATTTACATTGTCAAGCAGATAACACTATGGTTAGAAGCCTACTCACCGGAATGCCTAAATGTTCGGCGGCGACCTGGAATGCTAACCGAGTATTCGCATACCTATCTGACTGAAGACGACTTGAGACAGCTGATCAAGGTCAACTGGTAGCTAGCGGACCTTGTCTAGCTTGTCGTAGTCAAGGAGATCTGGCCGGTGGCGATGGATGAGGGCGCATCTATTGGGCGTTGATCAGTAGGTAAATAACGGAGGTGTAAAAATAGGGGGAACGAACAAGGCAAGACCGTCCGACCAACTTAGGGAGAAATCTTGTACATCAACTTCCTTGTACGGTTCAGTCTTCCGCTGACACCACAGCAATAGTCCTTCTTTCGCGGACAGTCCCTCCTCGCTGTTGGGCGCTTAGTGGTTGGTCAATCAAAACCCCGGGGGACAGACCTAATGTCGGCGATAGTAAATCGAAGAATCAAGGTCCATATCATGCCTAATATCAACTTCAGGTTGCCATCGATAATATCTGCGCAAAAATTATCATTAGCGACATGTAAAAAACACGGCAAGTACGTGCCTTCTGGACCAATGTTTGTCAACTTGACGCCTCTCGAAGTAATGAATTCCAAGGCTTTGTTCACATTCTCAGCTTTCTGTACACGCATCCGCGGGTTCCTGTTGTACCGCCCGAGAGAAACATCCCCTATTTGAGTCAGTGCGCGTCTTGGCTGTCAACTGGTAATGAAGTACCCATTATTTCCTGTGCGTAACTTTAGTCGAGGGCGCTATGGGAAATAAGACAGTGTGGCATACCATCAACTGTATGAGTCGTACACCGTCCGACAGATCTTTGACCAGGGAAGTCATTGGTGGGTACCCATTGGCTTCAAGTTTAGTGTTGAGCCTGTTTGTGTGGAGAGATCGGCAAAGAGAAATGGACCAAGTTGTGGGCATACCATTTGCAGAACGTCCGCTGCTGTACATCGCGTGAACGCGTCTCTAAGGTGTCCATTGGGCTCAATGTTGCTAGCCAAAGCGTAGTGGCGAAAGATGAGATTTAGACGCCGGTGGTGTGCACTGGTTGATTACCACTTTTGGTAATCATATTATCGTGATCATCACAGCCACTCCGATTGTATAAAGCTCTTGCTGTCGAGCGACCACCTCTTTCTTCCGCAGTACAATCAACAAGGAAACATGGTGAGTGCTCTCAATCACTAAATTCGGATTCCCAGCTGACGCGCATGTAAGTCTTCAGGCGTCGGTGTCAGCGATGAATGCCTTTCAGCATTTCAAGGTCTGAAGCTAGGCAAGAAGGCCAAATACGTTATCTTCGATCTCAACAGTGACAAGACTGAAATCATCGTAACGAAGCAATCTAACGCGGAGTCCTACGATGACTTTCTGGCTGATCTCCCGGAAGCTGAATGCCGTTGGGCAGTGTACGACTTTGCCTTCGAGAAGGAAGGTGCCGGAAAGAGGAACAAGATTGTTTTCTTCTCTTGGTAAGTGGAATCCCCTGGCGATATGCTTGAGCTTCCCGGGTGAATTATAGAATACGCGCGACAGTTGCTGATCTGGGGCGATTAGGTCTCCCGATGATGCTAAGATCAAGAACAAGATGCTGTTCGCGTCCTCAAAGGACGCGTTGCGGCGATCTCTAGTCGGCATTGCCCTCGAGATCCAAGGCACCGACTATAGCGAGGTTGCTTACGAGGCTGGTAAGTGAAATACAACAGCCTCGAGATTAATTACTCACGTCAATTCCAAAGTGCTGGATAAGGCTAATCGTGGGGCGTGATTTCAATGCCTCCATTCTCAATCTTCTCGGACTACTATATCTTGAATCATGGTATTTCTAAGCCACGCTATGAATAAATTCTCTTGGAATTCGCGTTGTCGTAACTGCTTCTGAAGAACTCAGCAACCAACGTGCGTCTTTCTTCGACACCTTATGAACACCCACGGAATCGACATGTACTGGCCTTTGTAGAATAGTTGCGTGATTGGAAATTGGTCGCCGGATTGCTAACTTGTTTGCTGCGCAGAGATCAATGATAGTAGAAAAACCACCACTTCCAACTTTGTGGTTCTGAGACGCGGGGCGTAGGTTCGCTTCGCTGTAATCCTCACCATTTCACAAAATCGGAGGTTTGCCTGGTCCTTGCCCGAAACTTCGCTGCCGACAAATGATTATGAAGTATACAAAGTACAAAAGGTGAAGAAACGGGATGGGACGTGTTGCCTTTGCCTTGAGGCTTAGACACCGTGAGATACGGAGTACGCCTCCGAGTCACCGTTGGTCAACAGTCACCGTGCCTACTTGCATTTACCATAGGCATCAGTACGTCTCCTCATTTATTTCATACACAATATCTATTGATTCTGCGACCAATATTTCATCGCTCTTGGGACTAAAAGAGTTGCTATTGCCGAAGCACCTGAATGACTAGTTCTTCAACATCATACACGAGCACAAATACAAGTACAAGAATTCGAATCATACATGCACACAGATCATACTGAACCATACAGGAGTTACTGATTGAGCCCTACGCGTAGCACCTGTGGTGCCCAGAGCTCCGAGTCGTCAAACAGAGAAGGTCGGGAGAATGATTACTACATCAGGCGGAATTCTAGTTGGGGACCTAATATTCATCAGTATAAGTTCGATGGGCGGCGACTGCGCAGGTCTCACCAAATGATCGCAGCAGCAGTCTTGCTCGTTTTACATTCAGAATCTGTACCTTGAACCTCGCTTACGTTTTGGACGCTCCCCCCATTTGTAGAGCCCGCCAGGCCCCGTGATTGATCCTAACCAGTCTTCCAAAGCTTCTTCGACCGTCCAGCGAGGCTTGAAGTTTTCAATGCTGACTCTGCTCTCATCGACGCCCGGCACTGTGCGGGACAATATGAGGGACGACATCTTACGGAGATGCGTATCCGCATTGTTCAGAGACTTGAGAGGGATCGATGGTTGAATATGGATCTCCTCCAGTTCCCAATGGGGGAGTCCGAGCACGTCACGCTGAAGAGCCTCCTGAACGGGATGGTATAATTCGCTATGCTTTTCGACGACAGCCAAAAGCAGACCCTTGAGCTTCGGAGTAAGGCCGCGAAGGTCACGGAGAAGTGACAACGGCTGGACAGGGTATATTGCCATTTTGAGGTATCGTAGTTGGGGTAAGGGTAGGGAAGGTGTAGGGAACAAATTAACGACGGGCGTGTGGATGGAGAGTTCGAGGAGATTTGGGAACTGAATCGTGAACAAGTTGCAAGTGCGAGGGACGTTGCCGTGAACAGCTAAATTACGGAGGTGGAGGCGGAGGATCCGGAAGAGACACGAGAGCTTCTCTGACCATCTAGCTTCTTCATCACTCGGTGCCGTCCAGTGTGTCAGCCTCCGCCAATCTCGCATTTCAATGTTCTGCAGCGCCTCTACCGAGCTGCTACCGACGGGCATCGAATAATTTGAAACGAAGAGGTTTTCGGTGGTGCGGTCGTAAGGGTCGATGGACTGGAGCATGTCTACGAATCGAGACAACTGCCTGATGCCTGTGAGAGCAATTGAGCGAAGCTTGAAGGTTCTGGAGCACTCAGAGCAGGCTTGTGAGACAAGGGAGAGAGAGCGACCTGTTTCGCCCCCGTCCGTGCAAGCAAGACGGAAGATATCCGACCATATCTCTGGGGGTGCTCCGGGTAAAGCCATGGCTGGGTGACTTTGACATACCCCGCGTTTGAGCTTGGGGTTCTTATAGTACTGTCTTCTACTTATGGCATGTCTCAAGAAGCCATTAGGCCGGAGCTGTCCGTGGATGATAGGAACATGCACATAGCGGAAAGGCGGAGAACATCAACACGCCAAAGGATTCAGTAATAAATGGAACCACCAAGAGGTGATGGACTTGGTAGTAGGGACCGAGACCATGACGGAGGGAACGAACCAAAGATCTGGAAAACTGAGGAGCCCAAAGATCAATCTCTGAGCAGCATGGGGTTAAATCTATACTATCTACAGATCAGATAGACCATGTGGCTCCGGTTCGTTGGCCTGAGGTACCTCAAATACCCCTCGTCAAGAGAAAGGCTGAGAACTGTGCAGCAGAAAGTAGCCGCTCCGGGAAAGTGTAGACTGTCGATAGAGAAGGTTATTCCCGGCTTACGAGGCACCCTCCTGTTTACGTTGTCTCCAGACCTAGCCTAGTTCTGTAGGAAAGAGGAAACGTACCTCGGCCAGTACACTGTAACTCTCTCGGAAGCTTGCGTTTGACTCTCACAGTGGCGATGAGATAGGCAATCGCCCCTTAATGAATAAATAAAGTGGCGTACACGTTGTATACCAAGAAGTAAACGGTTTATGTAAGTTTGTTTGGTTCGCAAGGCTTCCGTCGTGGTTCACGGCCAGGTCAATGAACAGAGCGGGAACCTCGTTTTTGTAAGCCATATGCCGTGATGGAGAACAGCTCCAAGAGTGCGTTCCCAAGCGAGAGTGGCGAAGTGTGGAGAAGATCTCTAGAATGTTGAGGATAGATTAAGTTTATGTAAGAGACTTATTTCGGTCAGCTGTGACCCGCCCGACAGATTGCAGTGGGATTGACTTGTCACATTCGAACGGGTGTGCAGGTGCACCGTGTATCGACGCTCGGGACCGTCTGAACGAGTGGCCTCACGGAGCACGAGAAAATCAATAGAATGGATTAACTTGCCACCCATTATGGAGTCCATGATGATGTACTTTTGAGTTCAAGTACCGGACGGACTCCGGAGAATAGTTTGAGAATAGTACGAGGTGCCAGTGTAACGACATCGAGCGCTTATTGATAAGTGGACAGGATTTCTTTTTTTTTTTGTATCAGTATCAGATCCATTAATGTCGCTATTTCGTTTCGTCTTGTCTTCACCCGGCTGAAAATCATAGACATGCCCAGAGAGGAGGCCCTATATAGACGAAAATATTCCACGAATTTTGGTTCTCCGCCATGCTGGGATGCCGAATATGCTTCGAAAACTCTGGAGCGTGAGTCAAAATGGATAGGTTCTGCCGTTGCATTTCATTGGGTACGAGGAGGTGTGAATAGATGCGCCGGTGATGAGCCACTGCTGGTCATCATAGTGTTTGCACCACAGCTTGATCTCAGGTGTCCCTACATATTTACATCAGACGCGTTTGTTACAGTGACACCCCCAAACAGCCTCGCCAGCTGACCTTTCACAACGGATTGCAGTAGATAGACCAGCGCCGCATGGAAATACCACTTGTGCACAATTCGTACCCTGGATGCTTCCTGCAATGCGGGAATTATGAATTTGATGCACAGTACCAGTTTACCGCTCGGCTGCCCCAGAGATTGGTCCTTTCTTTCGCGCGATTAATTTTCCTCCCCTTCTCGTGTCACCCATGGGGCCACGTTCCAGCTGGGATACTGTCGCACTCGTTCGAAGCTACCCCCCTGCCCTCCCACCCGATATGGTACCCTTTCCCCTCGGCGTCTTGCGGTTTTTTCGTACACCCCAATATTCTATCTGACGTCGTGCCCAGCACCGTTGTCGCGCGTGGGACTGGAGAGCACCCGTCCTAGATGATTATCCTGGACCTAGGAAGATGGGGCCGCGGTCGATGGTGTTGTGAGTGTCAGCGTCTGGTTGAACACTCAGACACTTCCTTCTCAACATCCACTGACAATGGTCCTGAAGAGTCGTCTACCACGCCATCAACACCGCATGTTCCTAGAGACGAGACCACCGGTCGGATTTTACGATCTACAGTACGACGACTTTTTCAAAAGCCTCGACAGCCTAGTAGCAACCCCAGCGAACTTTGCGGGGGGACACTGCCTTTATCTGCCTGGTGAGAAGATCTGGCATTCTACTCGAGGTCTGGAAAGCACCGCTCAAAACCGATGCCACAACGAAAGGGGGGAGACGGAGACGGAAGCGGGACGACTAGACTGGTTGCCAGGCTAGAGACGGGTGAAGGAGGGCAGGGAGGGCGATAGCGGAGGGGCGCAGTCCATGCTTATAGACGACGAACACCTTCAACGCAGTGCACTAGTAGGCTGTGATTTGGCGGCAGAGGTAGTTGGGTATTCTACCACATTCCTTCTCCAAAGACTTGTTCTGATCTCCTCTATTGGCAGAGGGGCGACGATATCATTCCCGGGGCCTGCAGCGAAGACGCCTCGATCTATTGCCGCTAATCGCCTGAATATGCCCTCAATTAGTGCATTGATTGCGACTTCCATCGCCGGAGTCCCAGACGACGGGAGGGAGACGAGGACCTCCAGTACTTCAGTGCCGACACAGGTCACCAGCGATCAGCGAAGCTACCAGGGATAGACCAACCAAGTTTCCTATATTTGCACTTAGATCTTCAGCTTCAGGACCTTTGTTGCAGAACGATACACCACCACCTACCCACTCAATATCGTAGCGCATCACCGGCATCACGGCCGCCTTGGGGATTCCTCAAACGGGGCCTGCATGCCGACGCCCGCCCGCCCGCAATGGCTGATGGCGCTCCATCGTTCTAGATGGCGGGCTCGACATTCCCGCCCACACCTTTGCTCAAGCGCCGACGCTCACGTGGCTAACCCAATCGACGAGCATCAGGCGCATAGTGCACTATGAATTCGACCATATTGCTCAGCTCGACACGTATCTTCCCTCATTACCCGTGGTCTGCGATGGTCGGTCCATTGGTTGAACGTATGCCGGCGATGAAGCTTCTGTGGCGAACGCTTGGCTGGTCGGTGTTGGGTTTTTGCCAGCCCCTTGCCTTAGCAAAACTCTCAGACACTCAAAGTCTGATGGTTGAGGACGGCGTTGTACGGTAAATGACTGTCAACAAGTCTCCCCATACCAGACCCCAGTCACATGAGGCAAAAAAACTGGTGCGCACCTTCGTATAATCATCTTCGGCCTATAGTTATCCCACCTTCCAGTGGCGAAAATGTTGCGCCATCGCCAAGTCGTCAAGTCGCCACCCTCACGCCGTCTCAAGTTCGTGGTGTTACAGACGAGTAAACGACGTCCGCCAGAATTTGTGGATCCGCACATAATCTCCGCTGACAGCACGATTAACCAGGCCTATATGCCCACAGGCCACAGGAAACCCGCAAACGGACACCTACTCGTACATCGCATATTTTCTCCACCAACCCAGATTATTTTCGAACTGCAGCGACTCCAATGTTTTGTGGCGTTTGAACACTAATATTAGTGTGGCTGACCGACAGTGCATCACGTTTTCACCTTTCCACGGTCGACATCACCTCTCCGCGAATCTGAAATGATCCGGGCGTTTTGTAGCGTTGTCTTCAGCTAAATCTCAATGCGGTTTTCTTGGAAAATTTTCAGGCAATTGCTATTGTACTACCCGTTGTACATACGGTGTAACGTTATCACACATGTAATGTCGTGGGCGTGACCAAAACCCCTCTCACTGGCAGGGAAATTCAAGAATCTCGTTCAACGCCAGCAATGTGACATTAGTCTTTTCCGAGCACCATGATTGTTTTAAACAGGGAGTAACGAGAGCTGGAGACGAAGCATCCAAACATTGAAGCTGAGCACCTTTGAACTGCGTATCCTTTCACTACTTTCACCTTTGTCCAACTTCTCATTAATCATAAGTAGTAAGTATTAAGTACTATTTGCTATCTCAATTCAACACCATAGTCATAGAGACTTGGGGTACATCTCGGTAGTGACCGTCACAGTGTGAAGTTCGCTCGTTTCTTGGATGTAGACTGCATGTGTATGAGTTCCCGACGTCCTGGCGCAAGGGACTGTCAATGTCAATGCAGCAGGGACAAACGAGGCCCAGTGGCTCCGATGCGGTCCTTTAGTGAGTTAGATGTGGAGACGTGGAGACTTAACTTTGCCTTTTGGTTCTAGATGTGATATATCGGAGTCCGGCTCATATGGGAATGCTTGCGGCCTTGACGTGGCGGTAGAAGGTGTATGGCTCACTGCGCCCACCTTTCCGGAAAGTAGGAGTCGATGCCAGAAGGGCACTTCCGATACCAACTGTCTCGTCACAGAAGGTAACAGATGTTCTTTCTTCCAAGGTCCTGGCGGCGATCGTGAGAACGTAGTGAACCGGGAACTCTGCATGGTGGGACGGAGATCAATGGGATCGAAGGCGAAACATCCCTGTGCTTGTGGAGAAGTGGGGGCACAACTTGCTTCACAGGCAGGAGACTATCACTAACCCATTGCGAAGCATTCTAAAACGCTGTAGCCATCTGATCAAACCATTGTAGACCATCGCCACCAACCGGCCTGGTGCGCGCGGATTTGAACTACTTAACGCGGGAATGGAAAGAAGCAGGAAGTTGGGAACAAGTCGTAGAACGTGTTGATTGCATTAAGAAGTTCAAAATCACAAATAGTACACCCCCAAATCATGATTCGAACGTGAAGCTAGCACCAACCTATAGGGAAAGAGATTGAATTATGGGTGTGAAGACTTTACAAAGGGGCGAACCTTATGCGACGGACCGGCCGGGGAGACCTCGTTGAGCTTTTGAGTGTCAAGAGCAAGGCCGAAGGAAGCCTTGACACCAGGACGCAAGGTCTGAGTATAGCCTGTATGCCGCATGTAAAACATATGTTCCTACGGATGGGGCCGAAAAATACATACCCAAAGCAATAACACCAGCGTTGTTGATCTTTGCCTTCACAAAAGCAGCCGAGTCAAGATAGCTAATATAGAGTCAGATCGGCGTGAGTATAATAAGCAGCACTACTGACGCCTTCGTTCCAACCTCAATGGCGACGCCACCGTGAGTGGCCTTGGTGTCGTATACGGCCTTAGCCCCAGCTTCAACATCAACGCTGACGCGATGGTAGTAGCTGGCGGAGAAGGTGTTGAGGTTATTGAGACCGTGCAGGGTGATAGCATATTCGGGAGCATTGTAACCGACAGCGGTAGCGAATCGGGTGACTTTGCCTTCGGTTACGTTGTAGGCAGCTTCGCCGCCCACGAGGAAGCCGTCACGGCCAAGAACAGCATCAGCAGTGAAAGTGGGACCCTGCACAATTCCCAAAATGAACATCAGAAAGCATATAGAAACACATGAATCCTAACCTTGAGAATGTCAACGGTTGCCCGTCCGTGGACTCCACTTTGCTTGTAAGCCGCGTTCAAAATGGCGCTCTTGCTTCCCTTATCAGGGAAAAGAGTGGTGGCGAGGTCGAGCTTGAGTCCGTTTGCAATGGTGTTTTCTACCTCAACTTGGGAACGGAGCGCGTTCGCGGTCGTCCAAGCCTGAGTGAAGGTAAGACCGTGCTTGCGGTTGGTGTACTTCGTCTCGATATCGCCGTTGATAGCGTTCGACTGCGAGTTCTGCGAGCCAGCAACCTTGAAGGTGACATTGGAAGGGGTCTTCGTTTTCACCTCAAGTGAGGTTCCGGAGAAGTGGTAGTCCTTTCCAAGCAAGTCATTGGAAGACTTGCCGAGGTCCTATACAAAAGACAGTAAAATGGGTAAATATTCGTCGTTCACGACCGCGACGACACCACTGACCTTCCAGGATGGGGGAACGGGCTGAGGGAGAGACATGGTAGAAATCGGAGGTAAAGGTTGGTTGGTGACGAAAAAGCGGAACTCGCAGGAATTTTGGGGAGCTGGACCGTGGGAAAGGGTGGCGCGCACGTTGATCAAAGAGCTAGGGTTAAGGTTACAGCATACTGATGATCATCCCAGACCATGTCGACCAAGACCCTATGCATCAGTTATGGGGGCTCTTGACCGAGATTGGGGAACAGCAGAACCAAAATCGCAATATTGCCCATGAATTGCATACAAAGGCGAACGATTTGAAGGTATTTGTGCCCTGAAACCTGTCCATGCCGCGTGACTCACGACGCGCGATCTCTAGTCGCAGGCGGTTCATTCACAGACGGGATTTGTACTTCGACGGTTTAATTTGGACAAATCCAAAGGTGCGTCTCGACCTATCGCTTGCTTGCTAGATGTCAATCATAACGCCCAACTTACAAGAAATTTGTGTGGGATACAGAAGCGTATGATGCCGAGTTGTCTCGGATGAACGCAGGGATATCACTGGAGAACCAAGGCCTTCAGTATGACAACAAGCAGCTCAATTCACTTATCAAAGACTTCGAAACAACACTCGAGTCCTTGATGGGCAAATTCCGTAACCGTGCTGTACGTGGCTTTCCCTAACCTCGATTTCGGACTAACATCTGTGGTGGTCGACACAGAAAGATGTGCAGGAACGGGAACTCTCGCTGATTAGAGACTATGAAACGAAACTACTGCTTCTTGAAGAAGAGAATTCAAAGCGTGAGCTGGCTAATAGCACCACAATATCAGAGTCCCTTGCACGTTTGTCCCATGTTCTAAGACAAGTCTTGAAGATGCAATGTGGCGAACCGAGCACCCCTCTTCCATCCCAAGCCCCCACTATATCCCTCGCTGAGCCTGGCATTGGAGCGGACGTTGACCTAGAGGATCGGGAACCTTGGAGGGCAGCCGTATTTGCCGAGCAATCCCTGGAAAGGGACATCGAACTCGCTCGACTGGAAAAAGAGAACGAGGAATTACGCAGGATGCTGGGAATAGTGACACCGCTTCAGCGACGACAAACCCGATCCGACCACGATTCCAATGGCAGCAATGAAGCGCTACACGATCAAGGACAGGGCTTTACAGGCAGTTCAGAGCATCTCCACGATCCGTCTCGAGGTCAACGACAGGCCGCGCGATCGCTCGGGCCATATGGCACATTCAAAAGGAAACCTTTCGGTGGTTAGAGTCGTATATGTGCATGGGAGGGTTTTTTTGTAGACATGGATCACCTGGATTTTTTCGAATGTTCTTTCTTACTTTTCTGTCCCCAATTCTTCTTGTCACGCGGATTCTAGCTATCAGTATCATCGCCCGTTACCTTGTTCCCAAGTCAGTTGGCTGTAAGATAGTATCAGTCATCCCAAGTCTTTCCCGATGGCAACCAAGTCAGCAAGTGACCAGCGCTTCATGAAGCTGCAGGGTCCCCACGCCGCAAGGGGATTTAGGCACATTGCCAAATGAAAAGGTACAAACACGACATGAGGAGGTCGCGGCTTGCTTGAGAAGTCAGTGGCGATGAGCTCGTCCATGTCCCAGACGGAGACATCCAGAGCACCGGCCGTTGATGGAAAAGTGAGGTTTTGATCTGACCGTCACGTCGAAGCGCTGTTTTCCTGATCCCCTCCATTGCAGGCCTTCCCCCATATCCAGTACACCACCACCACCACCTCTACCTCTCAGATGGCCACTACCACCGCTGAGCGGGGTGCTATTTCGCCAAAAAGTGGCGCTCTCCTTCCGTTTCGGCGCAACACACAGCCTGAGTCGGCCCTCCGTGCGACGCTACTCAATCCGAAGCCTCTGGTGGCAAATTCCAAGTCACCAAAGGAGACCGGTCATACCATACTGAACCGTACCCGAAGAGCATCTACGTCGCTTGGCCACCCTCCAGAGTCCAAGGGGAAGGAAAGGGACTTCTTCAATGGCAAAACATCCAATGGGAGTAGCAGTAATAGCCCGGAAACAGGTACGCCTTTGATTCATCGCCGTTCGGCATCACCACAATCATTCCCGAGCAGTATATGCACGGATTAGCTCTTTCTTAACCCACCATTCGTGCTACTGACAAAGATATACAGACGCAGACTTCAATGCTTCTACTTCGTTCACCTCCTACGAGTCAAACGTCCTCCATATACCTACGCATTCAACCGCATACAGTCAATCGCGTCCATCAACAGCGGGGACGAGCGGTGCTCCTTCGTCGTATTCGCCGCCCAGCTTACTGCAGCGCACAAGGGGAACCATCTTTGGCGCTGCCTCCGATGCCCTCGGTAGTTTCAAGCTCGGCCGGCGGCGTACGAAGACTTCGCAAGGACCCACAATATTGCCACAACCCTACGTCCCCTCCGTTATACTTCCTGAGGTCATAGAGATCAGCGCACCGCGTCGGGATGAGGAAGTCGAGGAACGAGAGAAGCTCAAGGAAGATGCTGCTAGGGCTATCTTGGGCCCTGCATTTCTGGACAACAGCAACGCCATGCGTGAGAGCAGCGATGCGTTAGATGAGGATGAAGGTGACAACGAGAAGGGTCATAGCCATGACGATGCGTCCGCCGCAGAGGAAGACGTACAATCAATTACGCAGGCCAGTATCAGCAATATCCTCAACGGTAGTTCAATTAGCGTTACCAAAGCACGGTATCGTTCAGGCTCTATGATGTCTCATTCGCGCAACAACTCGACGACGCCCGCCTCGTTCCCTTCCTTCCCATCGACTCCTTCCGCGTTATCGCAATTTTCGCAAGATTCGTCCATACTCCCGAAGTATTACCCGTCAACTTCATTACGGATATTCGCGTTATCCAAAAGTTGGAAATCCCGCTATATGATTCTGTCCTCCCCAACAACCTTCACTTCATCATCAAGACCTTCGCCTTGTCCATCGTACCTTCATCTGTTCAAGTCATCCGGGTTGGAGGAGAAAGAGCTCGAACGGCTAGAAATCAATGAGGAGAGTGTTGTCTTCGTTGCAGAAGAAGAAGTAGCTGGTAGAAGGCAGGTAGTCAAGGTCGGCGGCATCGATGTGGGGGCTTTGAAGAAGGAGCTGAATTATGAGGAAGGCGGGAAAACCATGTGGTTCTTGCAAATCACGGACCCAGCGGAGACACAGAAATGGATTAGTGGCATCAAGAGTGCGATCCTAGGACAAAGGTTCGTTGGCCTTTTGTACTATTCCATTGACCTTACGCTAATGTGATGCAGAACTGTACGCGCTGGAATATCCCCTATGACTCCGTCGCTTATAAGCCGCGAGCCACGAGGGGACATGGATGTTCAATTGACGATGCGCAGACAAGGCATCATTTCATCACCCCCAGATTCTTTCCGCCCCATTCTACCCCCCCTCGACAAGGTCCAGCCACCTCTGCATTCACCATCCTTCGTCGCCTCCCCTCCAATTTATTCCTCTCCACTCCCTTCCACTCCAACTACCCCGCCAGCCACCGGCACAACCTTCGCATCCACCGCCGAACAGGACTCACCTCGCAAGGGCTACTATGACGAGTCTAGGAAGGGAACATACAACTCCAAGAATAGCGGCACTAATGATGTAGCGTCTGTTTCATCACAGTCTATACGATCTCAGACCACGACGCCCGGTTCGGGACGTATATCGTTAGTTTCCGGGAACGCAGTAACCGCCCTCAAGGGTCTCTTCAACCGCCCTCGTTCGCCCTCTCGTGCCTCGCACGCTACTTCGTTCGACCTAGAGAGAGAGAGCTTGAAAGGTGACAAAATTGTCATAGGACCAAGTGTCGAGGAACGAGAATCGGGCGACGGCTCCTTCGCTAGTATGGGCAACAGTCTGATGAACATGCTCAAATCTCCAGACGGACGCACCGTGCGATTAGGGTCTTCGTCGGGTCATGCTACGCCCCAAAGACATCATACAATGTTGCCATTCTCCGGGGGTCCTGTGTTTAATGGTGCATCACCTATGATAAGACCTTCTGCAGACCAGGAATTAGAGCGCAAGATCGTTCCACACGCAGAACGTCAAACCATAGGGTGGCGTGCACAAGACAATCCCTCTCGTGCTACTTCAAGTAAAGACAGATCCACGAAGTCCTTGTCTGTCGGATCCCCATCGCTGAACCCTCCACCAAGGAAACGGTGGACTGCCGGCGCGATGAACCCGCCAGAAACAATAACAGACCACGCCCGACTGTATCATCATGTGAACGGCAATAGCTCTGTTGCAGGTAGTTTCGGTCTCGGGGGGTTTTCGACTCAGGATCGATCGGGTACTCAAGTCCTGCCTGATTCTAGTCCTACTGTCAGTGGACACTCATTGGGTACTCCCGAGCAGAGACAGCGGGCCCCATCTCTCCAATCCGTTTCAACCCTCGCCTCTACCGGTGAAACTGGCCTAAACGTAGAACGCTCAAGCACGAGTACGAAGCGGAGTTCAAGATGGTCACGACAAGGTAGTTCGATGCTGAATGTACCCTCCCCGCCATCAATGCCGCACGCACCATCCCATGGTTCTGCTTCTTCCTCATTCTCTACGAATACTAGGGTGCATCCGTATGCAGCAGGTGGCACCGTCGATCGACCACCAAGTCGGACCTCTAATCACTCTGTAGCAAGCGAACGGAGCGTCGTTTCGGGGTTGCCCACGTTCTCAAACTCAAAACGAGCATCGACTTCATCCGCTACTAGCGTTAATATGTCGAGTAGCCCTTCCCAAGGGTACTCATACCTTACGGGTGCGATATCGCGTGTGGCCAATACACATAGGGCATCTATGCCCCCTCCTCGGCCAGCGCCGACTTCCGCCCTACCTCCTGCCCCTGATCAAGGTGTATCTAAGCCGTCGACCCCACCTCCCACCAAGTCGTCATTCAGAGATGCTGTGGCTCAACGAGCTTTCAGGATCTCACGAACAGCTCCAGCACCCCCGCCACCCACTGCTTTACCACCTCGTCCAGACGAAGTACGGACACCATCTAGCCGAAGTCATCGTCGCACGGCATCGGTTGGGAGTGGGCGTGCTTCGTCCGAATTGTACTCGATACCTTCTTCTCCTCTTTCTATTTCGGTCGCGCCCCCCTTCCCGCCACCTTTAGGGCCACTTCCTCCAACGCCCATTGGTGGTTCGTCTTCACCGCCAGCACGCCACACGTCAATCAAAGAGCGACTGCGTATTCGTAGCACCCCAACACAGTCCCAAGCAGTTCTCAATGGTAGTCCTCCATCGATAATAACATCGATGACAGCTTCTGTCCCACCTCTCCATATATCTAATTCGCAACCGGCTACACCCATAGCAGAGAAGATCACGCTTTTACAAAACGAGTTTGACGATCCACTAATGTACACGCCCTTAACGCCAACTCTTCCTAATACTGTCCCGCGTAACGTTGTCTCCTTACCTCCGGATCAACTCCAAGAAGCAACACCATTGTCCCCCCCACCTCGACGAAGTTCAAAACAGATGTCCGTCTTTGATAAGGAAATAGACGGCGCGATCGCGGCTCCTGATACAGAACAAGGGCCTACGGTGGATATCGAACCCAAACCGCTCTCTCTATCACGCCGCGGCTCGGTAATATCCCTTGGAATTGTTAGTATGTCGCTCTAGCAATATAACGACTCGGATTGTAAAGTATGGTCACATTTGTTCCTTCCATCATAACTGTACTATTTCGGCATAAATCTTTATTCACGTTTCGGGACTTTAGATATCTTCGTCACGAACGAAGATAGATGGGTATCCCGCGGCCACCATTATGGGGCGCTAAGTATATGACAACACCAATACCTCTCACGGCGTCGAGTGCTTTCTCAAACCGAAGAGTATTGCGGAGCCGCTCGAGGGTACGCTTCTTCTTAGCAAGTGGTGGGAAACCTTACGGAGCGGTATGTACTTCAAATGTCCAACATCCATATTCCACACTCATATTTTGCTTTACAAGTCGCGGGCCGGAAGGCTAACTAATTTAGCACAAACACAATGCGGGGCCCCCGAAGGGCTCACTTTTGTCCAACGTGGCTAGCAGGTACACAACTTTCGCAGGGCCCCGCAACGGCTTTGTTTGTGTATGACTGCTCGTCTTGAAGGCTGCTAACGTGAGATATGGCGACTAGTAACCCAGAGGTTACTCGCACACCTTTGCGCACATGTGGTCTGGCACGGATGGTCGCCGAACCCGAACCCATGCCGTTGGCTGAAGGCACAATTGATAGTATGACAGTCCAACTGCCCATAGTTCGTCATGTTGAGTAAATTAACGGGTCCTTAGCTACCAAGGCGGCGAACCTTCTGGCGTTGATGAATAATGTGATGACCACAGGCATAGATTGTACCGATACAAAGAATGTAGCACATAACGCTTGTGGATTCGTTCAATTTGGAGGAGGCGATTGGGTGGGGTAGTAGATGTTGGTTGAGGTTTTATACTTTCTCGACTGACTTTGCAAGACCGTATCAGTACTGTACGAATGTCTAGGAAAATATTTGAGGACAAGCCAGCATTCCGAGCACATCTCGAGTTTACCTCTCATAGCCAGTGAAGCAGAAATCCGAATTCACTGGGGTAGAAATTCCACGGGAGAAAATGGTAGAATGGGATTGGCTAGGCAGGAGTGCCGCTGACGTGATTAGCGCTGGCTGCTATCCTCTTCTGTCAAGTCCCTTGATGGGGATGTCCTAAACGGGTGGACCACATCGCCATCCCGTCTGATTGCGGAAGGGTCCATCAAGGGTAGCTGACTGCCCGCCCATCGATCGCGACGTCGTACTCACTGTCTCAGCCAGCGAGCTCAAGATATCAGTCAATATTGAGCCTAAGGATTCAAGTTTTTGCTAGTAAATTCAAATTATGTTTCTGTATGTATACTCTAGTGAATGGACCATCATGTAAGTAGAACATGCTGGAAAACTTGATGATTTGACATTAAATGCACAAAGCAGGAATATGGTGCAACTACCACAGCCTCTGAATCACCCATGCATTAATATTCTATGATATAATCCCTCAGATTCTTTTATTTTCATTATTATTTCAAACATTGTTTGGACATACTTCGCTTTGTGGCTACTTTTTATCAGCTCTGAGTATCTATCCACTTTCTATCAATTTTATCATGATTTTAAGCAAAAGACGCAGGCTCAAATACTTAAATCTGACAAAGAACTTGAGCTCGCTGTCTAGAATGGCGAGCACGAAGGTTTGGTCGGAAGATGGCGCACAGGATTGATTGCCACAGGCCATGTGACTACCAATGTGGCAGGTTCTCACGAGGGAAATGGACCAAGGAGCGCCAAGGTTCCTGGATTCTACGGAATTCTATCCCAGTCAACTGGGTGCCCTCGATTGAAGTGATCGTAAATTTTGCATCTAAAAATTCATCAGAAGACTCAAAGGTCTTATCTCCGACTACCGTACCATTCCCACCTCTTCAATACCGTTTGGGCCTTAGACACTGTCCGAAAGCAGTGAAAAAAGGTGAAAGTAGCGAGTATCTTTTATTTATTGAAACTTCTGCAAACAGGAGATCACCTGCCTTCTCTTCTCACAAACACAGAGTGGGCCACAGTTGTAAGGGCAACCTCAAGATGGCTGACAGCACAGGCCTAGCAGAGGGAGAATCCAAAGATATGGATAGGACTAGCTACAATACATGAGAGAGCTGCTCACCTAGCAGAGGAAGAATCCAAAGAGAACAGGATAAGGATTCTCCATGCTAGGAAGCAAAGTATATACTGTAGTAGCGTGAGAGGAATGCAGGATAACTGTACAGTACACCAGCCACAAGTCCGAGCGAATATCACAAGGTACAAGGAAACATGTGATAATGAAGTGGAGGGTAAATGCACAGGAGCCGTGCCAGCAACTTGGGGAAGTAAGGGCAAAGAGTAATGAAGTGGGGAAAGAGGATAGGGGTAACCCAGACGAGCCCCGAAGAGTATAGACGAGTCTGAGCGAGTCCAAAGTGTTCGAAGTGCGGGAAGACTCCAGAGTCACCGGACGCGGCTTGGATGCAAAAGGAGTGGGCAGAGAGGAAGTGGGAAGGAAAGGGAGTGAAAAGGAACGAAGGGGAACGAAGGGAATGTAGGTAAGAGTCCATGTGATGAAGGAAAGGAGAGAAAATAGGAGTGTCCCCTTACAGACGAGCCCCTAAGTGTACAGACAAGTCCGAGCAAGTCCGAGCAAGTCTGAGCAAGTCCGAAGTGTCCAAAGTGCGGGAAGACTCCGGAGTCATTGGACGTGGTGTTAAGAGCCACACTCGCAGGGGGGCTCGGGATACGCGGACCCGCGGGTGCGCGGTTCCACGTAGACGCGTGGGGGAACGGGGGAAACGAGGACGTACGGGCTTGGCTTCAGCTACTGGCTGCGCCTCCCACACTCTTGCGTGCCCTGTATTTCCGGGAGGAGTCCTACGCGGGTACCGAGGGTACGGGCGGAGGCGAAGGGGTGCGACGGGGGGAGAACCCACTAGAGGGGCGAGATGCGAGTGCAGAGAAGGAACTAATATTCGAACTAAGGTAGCTGTATGTACGATACAGGACTATATACTAAGGAACACGCGGCGTCCGCGCGTTCACGAAACAGTAATGAGTTCGGTCGTAGTAACTACAATGTGCTTGAGTATGTACTTAGTCCGTAATCCGGGAAGTCCGCGTGGCCGCGTGTAAGCGCGGCCCGAGCCCATAGTCGGGAAACGCACGTGGGCGCGCCCCCTGGTAGCCCCTAAGGGGTTCCTTGGACGCGCCTATAACACGTGGCTCGGATGCGTAAGGGGTGGGCGGAAAGGAAGTGGGAACGAAAGGGAACGAAGGGGAACGAAGGGAATGTAGGTAAGAGTCCATGGGATGAAGGAAGGGAGAGAAAATAGGAGTGTCCCCTTACAAATACACTATGAAAGCGTACACGGACCCGACAAGTGAGACGAGATGAGAAAGAGTTAAAGATGAGAGATGAGGTTTGAAGACGATGACTTAGGCACTAATACCAGTGGTGATCCCAAGAGTGTAAGGGCAACCTCAAGATGGCCGCACAGTGCAAGCCTAGCAGAGGGAGAATCCAAAGAAATGAATAAGACTAACTACAATACATGAGAGAGCTGCTCACCTAGCAGAGGGAGAATCCAAAGAGAACAGGATGGGGATTCTCCATGCTAGGAAGCGAAGTATATACTGTAGTAGCGTGGGAGGAATGAAGGGTAACTGTACAGTACACCAGCCACAGGTACGAACGAATATCACAAGGTACGAGGGGGCATGTGATAATGAGGTGGAAGGGGAATGTACAGGAGTCGTGCCAGCGACCTGGGGAAGTGGGGACAAGGAGTAATGGAGTGGGAAAGGAGGATAGAGGTAGCCCGGACGAGCCCTGAAGTGTATCTACGAGTCCGAGCGAGTCCGAAGCGTCCGAGCGAGTCCGAGGCGAGTCCGAAGTGCGGGAAGACTTCGGAGTCACCGGACGGGGCTCGGATGCGAAGGGAGTGAACGGAAGGGAAGCGGAAAGGTAAGGGGACAAAAGGAAAGGGAAAAGGAACGAGGAGGAAGGGGGCGGGACAGGGGGAATAGGAGAAAATAGGAGTGTCCCCTTACACTGCTAGGCTTGCACTGTGCGGCTATCTTGAGGTTGCCCTTACAAAACCGGCGGAAGGAATATACATACTCTGGTGATGGGCATGTGGCAAAATTCATGCCATGCTTCGATGGACCTTACGAGATCATTCACTGTTTTCCTGAATGTTCTACATACACCTTGCTGATGCCTAACTCCCCAGGTGTTTTCCCCATAATTCATGCTTCGCAGCTGCATCATTTTGTTGCAAATGACTCTGACCTTTTCCCTTCACGGGAACTCAAGCAACTGGAGGCTGTGCAGATTGATGGGACAGGCGAAGAAGAATGGTTTGTGGAGAAGATCATCAATGAGAAATGTGGGCGGAGTGGTCCGGAATATTTGGTGCAGTGGCAAGGTTATGGTGACGAAGAAAACCGATGCTTGAAGCAATGCAACATTGAGGATTTAGAAGCTCTGGACCTTTGAGAAACGGAACATGACATGGGACACACAAGTTCAATATTGACACATAGGCCTATGACACGCACACTACAAAAACAAGAGAGAAACCCCTCAAAGTGTTATGGTCTGACTTTTCCTTTCATTTACTCCTATATATCACATGATTGGACATGTAGTACCTTACAGGATTGCACTTATGCCCTTCGGCCTGTATTATTAAGTACCTTAGTCAGAACCTCACTGTAGGCGCATGGGCACAGTACATGACATCATGCCTCACATTGATGTGCTAAGCATTCCGTGGAATGCCGACAGGCTACGGCGTGTAGATAGACATGAGGACTATGCATGTACCATAGTATATAAGTGTTAAGGACCGTGTCAAGGGGCCTCCTGACTCGTCCGTACAGGGGCGCGGGAACGCGTGGGGAGCGCAGGAGCGCGGACAAGCGGACAAGCGGAGCACACGGGACTTGGCTTCAGCTTTGATGCTGCGCTCTCCTAGCCCTGCGGTGTCCCAATTTCAGAGAGAGCAAGGTGAGAGGCGGGCTCCACGGAGGAGTCCACAGCGAAGACTTAGAAGGCAAGATGGCGAAATAGGAACTAAGATTCAGAGTGAAGAATACATGTCTACTAGTGCTACTATAAATACTAACTAACACATGTATGTAGTGAGGCTTAGTATGCAAGTACACATGTTCATGAGACATGTAATAGGTGAATCCAAGTGCTGCGCACCATGCATAGGCCACAAGGGCGGAGCCTGAGGGACTTCGAAGGTCCGAGTATCCGAAAGGGGCGTAGGGGGGACCCCTAAGGGGGCGTGAGGACTGGTATATGACAATAAGACTGAATATTATACCCAGAGACGTTAACTCGTTCTCTTGGGAATCCCACTAACACTAGTGCCTAAGTCAGTGTCTTCATAAACTCCCTGCATCTTCTCTTTTATCAACACTTACTTACTCTAATTCTTGTCGGGTCCGCGTACACATTATTGTGTATAGTGTTGCCCTAACACAAAGTCTTCCGGGTGAGGGTGAGTGTAAGCACATGCTTACCTTCCACCCCTGTTCCCCTGTATCTCCCCCTTGATCACACGTCCTCCCATATATATACATGCAACCTGACTACTAATACTTACTTCCTCCTTTGTACTCAACCACTACTTCCTCTGCTCATGAATATCATACGCTTGGTCCATTCACTGTGTTATGTTCTTGAGTGTTTAGCCTTTGGGCTACTTCCACAATATATTGTGTTCCTTGCATAATGCCTTGAGTTGAGGTACTATAAAGCATACTCAACTCAGCAGCAGGCTTCAAAGTTCAGCATACTTTCATTGCAACCGACAGCCACATTCAAAGCACTGCCGGTGCCTCTAATGTGTGGTTGAAATCACTAACCAAACTGCTATTGCTGGTTGTGCAAACCATTCTCCCCGTTCCTCAATGGACTTAAAGAAACTTGTGATAATTTAATTGCATTTCCAAGGCTGTTTCTTGTGTTGGGGTGAGGCTCACGCGCAAGGTAGGCGTTGCGTAGCCCTGACCAAGGTCGTCCACGGCCGTACGGCGGAGTTCAGCGCCCTGCACTGAGTCGGTCAAGTCAGCGTCTAATTCCCTAATCGGCCATCCGGATACAAATTGGTCTGTGCACCCTGTGTGAGAAACATTTGTAAACAAACCACTTCATTCCAAACTTCCTCGTCGACGCCCAAAGCGACGCAGACGCGATGAATTACCCTCCACGACCGCCTCCTGGCTACCCTATGGGCATGAATCCTCCCCCTCCTCCAGGAATGCCTGCTCCTTCCAATGCGTCTTCGTCAAAGCTACCCAAAGAAGGTTAGAATCACCTCTTCCCTACGATTGCTCATTCTGATGCAGAGGATTGCAGTATTGGCGCAAAAGTCTCAAAAATGGATTCAGATGCAGAAGAAGAGATACGGCGAAAAAAGGAAAGGAGGTTACGTTGACATGGGCAAACAGGTGCGCCGTGCGCGTCGTATTTCGCGACAATTTTCTAACCGTTTATGCAGGACTTGCCCCCTGAGCACGTTCGCAAAATCATCAAGGATCATGGGGACATGAGCAACCGCAAGTTTAGAAACGACAAGCGCGTTCATTTGGGTGCTCTCAAGTATGTCCCCCATGCTGTAATGAAATTGCTCGAAAACATTCCTTATCCTTGGGAGCAAGTACGCGAAGTTCCCGTGCTTTACCACATCACTGGAGCTATCACTTTTGTGAACGAAATCCCTCGTGTTGTTGAGCCTATATACCATGCTCAATGGAGCAGTATGTGGTTGGCCATGCGGAGAGAGAAACGTGATCGTCGACATTTCAAACGTATGCGATTCCCTCCGTTTGACGACGAAGAACCTCCTCTGGATTATGGCGACAACGTCTTGGATGTCGAGCCCTTGGAGGCGATTCAGTTGGACTTAGATGAAGAGGAAGACTCTGCTGTTATCGACTGGTTCTACGACCCAAAGCCGCTAGTAGATACTCCCATGGTCAATGGCTCATCGTACCGATACTGGTCGCTTACGCTGCCGATTATGGCCAACTTATACCGACTAGGTCGTACCCTCCTTTCCGACCAACCCGACCGGAATGCTAGCTATCTCTTCGATAAAAATGCGTTCTTCACCGCTAAGGCCTTGAATATGGCTATTCCTGGTGGGCCTAAGTTCGAGCCCCTCTACCGAGACATGGATGCCTTTGACGAGGATTGGAACGAGTTTAACGACATTAATAAAGTCATCATTCGCCAACAACTGAGGACCGAATACAAAGTTGCCTTCCCCCATCTATATAACTCCCTCCCCCGTTCTGTCAGCATCTCGCCATACCATAGCCCTAAGAACGTTTACATTCGCACCGACGACCCAGACTTGCCGGCATTCTACTTCGACCCCCTGATTAACCCTATTTCGTTGAGGGGCTTTATTCCCAAGAACGCATCGCTTGTGCCTCATGAGGACGCTATTTTCGGTCCTAACGGAGCGGACGATGATGACTTTGAGCTACCAGAGGAAGTCGACCCCTTCTTGTCCCACAAAGACCTCGAGAATGATCTCACTGCGGACGGTATTGCGCTATGGTGGGCTCCCGAACCGTATTGCAGACGTTCTGGGCGAATGCGGCGTGCCCAGGACATCCCATTGGTGAAGAACTGGTACTTGGAACACTGTCCACCGAACCAACCTGTCAAGGTTCGAGTCTCATATCAGAAGTTGTTGAAGTGCTTCGTTTTGAACGAATTGCATACTCGACCAGAGAAGGCCATGACGAAGAAGAACCTCTTCAGACAGCTTAAAGCTACGAAATTCTTCCAAACAACCAAGTTGGATTGGGTCGAAGCTGGTCTGCAAGTTTGCCGACAGGGTTACAACATGCTGAACCTCTTGATACATCGGAAGGTATGACATCCGAATGGCATAAGCAATTATATCGTTTCTCACCCTGTCGACCGATTCTAGAATTTGAATTACCTGCATCTTGACTACAACATGAATCTCAAGCCCGTAAAGTACGCTGCGGTCATCTCTTGTCTTCGAACGCACCTGACTGTGCTCTGCAGAACCCTCACCACAAAGGAGCGTAAGAAGTCCCGCTTCGGAAATGCGTTCCATTTGTGCCGCGAAATTCTCCGTCTTACCAAGCTGGTCGTCGATGCTCACGTTCAATTCCGCCTTGGAAACGTCGACGCGTTTCAGTTGGCTGACGCCCTGCAATACATCTTCGCTCACATTGGTGCGTTGACGGGTATGTACCGTTACAAGTACAAGGTTGGCATGTTTATCGCTTGCCTTACGAGTACCATTGACGATAATCCCATAGCTCATGAGGCAAGTCCGGATGACCAAGGATCTCAAGCACCTTATCTACTATCGGTTCAATACTGGACCAGTCGGCAAAGGTCCTGGTTGTGGATTCTGGGCCCCTGGGTGGCGTGTTTGGTTATTCTTCATGCGTGGAATCGTGCCGCTCTTGGAACGATGGCTCGGCAATCTTCTCGCTCGCCAGTTCGAGGGGAGGAACAGCAAAGGTATCGCGAAGACCGTGACCAAGCAACGTGTGGAATCCCACTACGATCTGGAGTTGCGGGCGGCTGTCATGCACGACATCCTCGATATGATGCCCGAGTCTATCAAACAGAACAAGTCGAAGACCATTTTGCAGCATCTATCGGAGGCCTGGAGGTGTTGGAAAGCTAACAGTACGGACCAATCTTTTTATATACTCCTCGACACTGACTTCCCGCTGCTGTAGTTCCTTGGAAGGTCCCAGGCATGCCGACTGCTATCGAAAACATCATTCTCCGGTATATCAAGAGTAAGGCTGATTGGTGGTGCTCGTACGTATACTCTTTCTACTTGAAATTTCCGTCGCTAAATTGTGGTTAGGGTTGCTCATTATAATCGAGAGCGTATTCGCCGAGGAGCCACTGTCGACAAGGCTGTCGTCAAGAAGAATCTAGGCAGATTGACTCGTGGGTTGACGAATAGATGATAACCCTCGCACTCTAATTCTACGATAGGTCTCTACCTGAAGGCAGAACAAGAGCGGCAGCATGCTTATCTCAAGGATGGTCCTTATGTTAGCGCTGAGGAAGCTGTCGCTATCTATACTGCGACTGTCCATTGGCTTGAAAGTCGGAAGTTCTCCCCGATTCCTTTCCCGTAAGGCTACTCTGAATCTTTATCTTCGCCACATCGTTGACCAACCATCTAGGCCCTTGTCTTACAAGCACGATACGAAACTTCTGGTATTGGCGCTCGAGAAGCTCAAAGAAGCCTACTCCGTCAAAGGTGCTGGCGCTGTATATGCCATCTCCTCCATTCCTAACGAGGTTTTTAGGTCGTTTGAACCAGTCGCAGCGAGAAGAATTAGCTTTGATTGAGCAGGCCTACGATAATCCTCACGAATGTAAGCTACACCATCGCCAATAGTAGATGTACTCTGACACGTATGTCAGGTCTGTCACGAATCAAGCGACTGTTGCTCACTCAGCGAGCCTTCAAAGAATCTGGCATCGAATTCTTCGATACTTACGATAAACTCATTCCTTGCTACGACATTGAGCCTGTCGAGAAGATTACGGACGCAGTACGTTTTTGTTTCTACTCACAATCTCCTCACTCAACGCGATACAGTATCTTGATCAATTCCTGTTCTTCGAGTATGTGTTTAGCGTCATTTATCATGTCTTCGTCTCTAATACCTTGATGACAGAGCTGACAAGAGAGGCCTCTTCCCTGCTTGGATCAAACCAGCGGACACTGAGCCACCTCCTCTCCTCGTTTATAAGGTTTGTGTCAATATATTCTTCGTGGCGTCAACATTCAAATCTTCATCCAGTGGTGTCAAGGAATCAACAACTTGACGGACATCTGGGAGACCAGTGAAGGCGAATGTGTCGTATTAATGGAGACAGTACTGTCTAAGGTATACGAGAAGATCGACTTGACACTTCTGAATCGCTTGCTCCGTCTCATCCTCGATCACAATTTGGCCGATTATATCACTGCCAAAAATAACACTGGTATGTGCTTCTTGATTTTCGCGCAACAAAATTAATCAAGCGTGCCTAGTTCTGACGTACAAGGATATGGCACATACCAACGCGTACGGTATGATTCGAGGTCTCCAGTTTTCTGCCTTCGTATTCCAGTACTATGGCTTGGTACTCGACCTCCTTATCCTCGGTCTGCAGCGAGCAAGCGAAATGGCTGGTCCACCCCAAATGCCCAATAATTTCCTCCAGTACCGCGACTCATCGACGGAGACCAGGCATCCTGTTCGGCTGTACTCTCGCTACGTGGACAGGCTGCACATCCTCTTCCGATTTACTGCCGACGAAGCCCGTGACTTGATCCAGCGATACCTTTCTGCTAATCCCGATCCTACTAACAACAATGTTATTGGGTACAACAATAAGCGCTGCTGGCCTAGGGATTGTCGCATGCGCCTTATCAAACATGATGTCAACCTTGGGCGAGCCGTCTTCTGGAACGTTAAGCAAAGCTTGCCTCGCTCTTTAACCACCATCGAATGGGAAGACTCGTTTGTCAGCGTTTATTCCCAGAACAACCCCCAACTCCTTTTCTCTATGTGTGGCTTCGAAGTTCGCATTCTTCCGAAAATCAGGACTATGAGCGGCGAGCAGTTCTCTCTCAAGGATGCTGTTTGGAATCTCACCAATGAGCAAACCAAGGAGCGAACAGCACAAGCCTTCTTACGTGTTTCGGATGACGGTACGTTGGTCGATCTCGTGATGACTTTTGGACTTACAGCATCCTTCAGGTGTCCAGCAGTTCAATAACCGTATCAGACAGGTTCTGATGAGTTCCGGGTCTACGACATTTTCCAAGATCGTCAACAAATGGAATACAGCCCTCATCGGCCTCATGACGTACTATCGCGAAGCTGTCATCCACACCAATGAGCTGCTTGACGCTCTCGTCAAAGCCGAGAACAAGATCCAAACTCGTGTTAAAATTGGATTGAACAGTAAGATGCCGTCTCGTTTCCCTCCTGTCGTGTTCTATACACCAAAGGTAAGCCTATCGGTTCTGGGAGCGCTCTCCGGCTTACAGTTCGTCAGGAATTGGGTGGCCTGGGTATGTTGTCTATGGGTCACGTCCTCATCCCTCAAAGCGATCTTCGCTGGTCCAAACAAACAGATGTTGCAGGTTCGTCTCGTCGCCTGCCTGTATTCCCTGTGTCATACTGACCATTGGCCAGTTACTCATTTCCGTGCTGGCATGACGCATGAGGAGGACCAACTCATCCCGAACTTGTACCGATATTTGCAACCATGGGAAGCAGAATTCCTTGACTCCGCCCGTGTCTGGTCCGAGTATTCAATGAAGCGCAAAGAAGCCAATGCTCAGAACCGTCGCCTAACCCTTGAGGACTTGGAAGATAGTTGGGACCGTGGTATTCCTCGCATTAACACCTTATTCCAGAAAGATCGGCATACGTGCGTCTCCATCGTGTTCTCCTGTTCGTTGCTCATCCTTCAACGTAGGTTGGCCTACGATCGTGGCTGGCGTGTCCGGACTGATTGGAAGCAATACCAGTTGCTCAAACAGTTAGTGCTTCGTTTTCTCCTGAGACCGTCCATTCTAATGCATTCTCAGTAATCCTTTCTGGTGGACTTCGCAGCGTCACGACGGTAAACTGTGGCAACTGAACAACTACCGGGTTGATGTCATCGCCGCTTTGGGTGGTGTTGAAGGCATATTGGAACATACACTCTTCAAGGGAACATATTTCCCCACTTGGGAGGGTTTGTTGCTTTCCCTATGTTTACACTTAGACCTTCGCTCAGCGCTTTATTTGTAGGTTTGTTCTGGGAGAAGGCGTCTGGCTTCGAAGAATCGATGCGATACAAGAAACTCACCAACGCACAGCGTTCAGGTTTGAACCAAATTCCTAACCGTCGGTTCACTCTTTGGTGGAGTCCTACGATCAATCGCGCCAATGTCTACGTCGGTTTCCAAGTTCAGCTTGATTTAACTGGCATTTTCATGTATTTGATTCTCCCCCTTTCATTGACTCGAATTCACCGTCATGTAGGCACGGCAAAATCCCCACCTTGAAGATCAGCTTAATTCAAATCTTCCGTGCCCATTTGTGGCAAAAGAGTGAGCACCCTTGTCTTCTTGGAACTCGCGACGGAGTTTAACCTTATCTACTAGTTCACGAGAGCGTTGTTATGGATCTTGTGAGTATCCTCAATTTTCCGTGACTTTCATTAATCCTACTGGACCTCTAGTGTCAAGTATTCGATCAAGGCTCGAACCCCTCCAAATCGAGACGGTGCAGAAAGAGACGATTCATCCTCGAAAGAGTTATAAGATGAACTCCTCCTGTGCTGATATTCTTCTCTTCTCTGCCTACAAGGTTCGTCTATGAGCGCCCTTTGCTTCCCTAATATTCACAATCCACTAGTGGAACATCACACGTCCATCACTGGTCACCGACGTAAGTTCATTTTTGCCCTAATTTCGTGTTGCTAACCTCCATTCTAGGTAAAAGATGTTTTGGATGGGACTACCAGTAACAAGTACTGGATCGATGTTCAGCTTCGATGGGGTGATTTCGATAGCCATGATATTGAACGCTATACTCGTGCCAAGTTCCTGGACTATGTAAGCCTTCTGTTTGTTTACATTGTTCTTGGCTCATGTTCTCTAGGTCTCTGATTCCATGAGCATTTACCCGTCTCCGACTGGTGTGATGATTGGAATGGATCTGGCTTATAACCTTTGGTCGGCATACGGCAACTGGTTCCCTGGCATGAAACCGTTAATACAACAAGCAATGGCTAAAATTATGAAAGCCAATCCTGCTTGTCATGTCTTGCGTGAGCGTATACGGAAAGGTCTTCAGCTCTATTCCTCCGAGCCTACAGAACCGTATTTGAACAGCCAGGTGAGGCCTTTTTGTTTATTTCAGCACACAAAGTTTAATCTCAACCCTCATAGAACTATTCGGAGCTTTTCTCTAACCAAATCATCTGTAACTTTACTTTTATGTGTGTTTGCGACCTAGACTGATGATATCTGCTTCGTAGGGTTCGTTGACGATACCAACGTCTACCGTGTGACAATGTGTGTGATTTCTTTTGCAGTGTACGCACTCTCGGCTCACCGTTCTTACTTAATAGTCACAAGACCTTCGAGGGTAACTTGACGACGAAACCAATCAGTCAGTTTGATGAGCTTGGACCGATGTATAGTGACTTAGTGTTTCCACAGACGGTGCGATCTTCATCTTCAACCCCCGTTCCGGACAGCTCTTCTTGAAAATTATACACACGAGTGTATGGGCTGGGCAAAAGCGACTTGGTCAGCTTGCAAAGTGGAAAACGGCTGAAGAAGTCGCAGCACTGGTCCGCTCCTTACCTGTTGAAGAACAACCCAAGCAGGTTATTGTCACTCGCAAGGGCATGTTAGGTGATGATTCCCATCGGTTTGCTGATGTACAGTGTGTTAAACAATCGCGCAGATCCTTTGGAGGTTCATTTGCTCGACTTCCCCAACATCGTCATCAAAGGGAGTGAACTCCAACTTCCCTTCCAAGCGTGCATGAAGATGGAGAAGTTCGGTGACTTGATTTTGGTGAGTCAGGCCACAGGAACGTCTGTTAACTCTTTTGACGACTTCCATCGTGTAGCGTGCAACTCAGCCTCAGATGGTCCTGTTCAGCTTATACGGTATAATCCTCCTCCTTGTATCAAGTCATGATAGCTCAGTGTTCCTGATTAGACGATTGGCTCAAATCTATTTCAAGTTACACGGCTTTCTCACGATTGATCCTTCTTCTTCGTGGTTTGCATGTGAACAACGAAAAAGCCAAAATGATCCTGCATCCTGACAAGAATACGATTACCGAGCCCCATTTCGTATGGCCAACGCTATCTGACGAAGAGTGGATCAAGGTCGAAATCGCCATGAAGGATTTGATTCTCACCGTCGGTGATTTTCTAACGATTCTGGTTCGGTGCTGATGTTGGTTTGAAGGATTTCGGCAAGCGCAACAGTGTGAATATAGCTTCTCTAACCGCGAGCGAAATTCGTGACATCATCCTTGGTCAAGAAATTGCTGCTCCTTCAGTCCAAAGGCAGCAGATGGCCGAGTTAGAAAAGAGTTCTGAAGCCCAGTCTCAAGTCACCGCAGTTCAGACGTAAGAATGCTACCCTTACCCTTCTTCGTTGTGCTCAACCGAATAACTGAAGCCAAACCACCAATGTACACGGAGATACTATCCAAACGGTCACGAGTATGTTGTTCCCTCAATATGGTCGATTGAACTCAGCCTAATTTCTCATAGCAACGAATTACGAGCAACAGGTGTTCAGCAGCAAATCTGACTGGCGGGTTCGAGCAATTTCGGCTACACATCTCTCGCTTAGGTTGCAGCACATCTACGTCTCGAATGACGATGTCAAAGATGATGCAGCTTCTTATACCTACGTGCTGCCAAAGAACATTCTACGCGCATTCATCGCTGCATCTGACCTTCGGACACAAGTCGCAGCTTTCTTGTACGGCGTCTCCCCTCCCGACAACAAGCAAGTGAAGGAGATCAAGGTTAGTATGATATTGATGTACCTACGGACCGTGCAATCGCTGACACACATACACAGGCTATCGCCTGGGTTCCTCAGCGTGGTAGTAATTCCAATGTTGAACTACCCACACAGCTTCCCAAAGACGACTTCCTTCTGAAGGACCTGGAGCCGCTAGGTTGGATAAAGACACAGGCACTCGAAATCAATCATCTCTCTCCCGTCGATGTATCGACGCAGGCAAGAATAATGGCGGATCACCCTGAGTGGGGCTCGTCAACTATGTGCATCACTGCATCGTTCACTCCTGGCTCGGTGTCTCTCTCTGCCCACTCACTCACTGTCGCCGGGTTTGAATGGGGCAGAAAGAACACCGACACATCGCCCAATCCCCCCGTGAGTTTCACTCCACTGACACTTGACTCGTAACTTACAATGCACAGGGCTTCAATCCCAATATGTCAGAGCGCGTTCAACTCCTTCTCTCCGACCGCATACTCGGTATGACATTAGTACCCGAGGGTAGGGTATGGAATTATGGCATCGGTCTGACACAATTGTGGGCACCGAATCTCAGCTATTCTATGGTACTGGATACACCACTTTTGTTCTGGGCTGAGGAGCATCGCCCCGCAGCGTTCCTCACGGTATGTGTCTTCAACCCTCGGCTCCTAGTCACCTGTCTGATAGCGACTTAGTTTGCCAACCTTGAGCAAGGTGAGGACAGCGCGGACGTCGAGAACAGTTTTGCTTGAGTAGGATGGTTGTATATGCGTATTAATGATGTATCTTAGTGTTTCTCTCTGCTTTCTCCCCACGCGTGTTCGAAGTCCTATACAACGGCGCCAATAATGTAAGGTCATTGCAAGGTGAGGTACTAGGAACTCAAACTCCAAGCCTCAACGCCTCAAGCCTCGCATACTTGAATGAAGTAGACGAATATGTATCCCAGTGATAAGATATCGTGTCCGTCCCTGAGAAACACCTTGTGGATTCTCTAGAGAAGGGAAGGGGGGCTGACTTTCAGGAGGACAAGAGTATCCCAACAGAAACGAGGCAATCACTGCTGTATTTCGGGTGTGAAGGTGATGCGGCTCGAAGTGAACAAATGGGTGGTAGCTGGGTGGTCATACGCACGGAATGGGGGGACAAAGTGAATGAGGCGATCGGAAATAAGTCGAAGGCATCAATTCGGCACAGGCAACCGGAAAACACTAGAAGGCGTAGTACGTGCATCTCTTACGTGCTGTAGGCGTATTGCATACTAGGCTTCCACTTGACCAGATCGAGAGCCATCGAGGGCATAATCGACATGACCCCATTCTACGACGCAGTAGCAGCCGTGGGGGCTTCTATTAAATACAAGCCTGGCAAGGCAGCCAAACCCTCTCGCTCTCACGCATGATGTATGTGCCTCCGGTGACTGTATTTCCCCGCAAGATCGCGCGATGAGCACTAGAGAATCAAAAGAGTTAGGCTTGGTTGCATTTCTGCCATTCGTCGGTCGGCATCTTGGTTGTATGACGTTTCTTGGTGCTTGCCTTTCAGATGTTTAAAGAATTATCCTTCACGTTGCGAGGCTCATACATCAGAATGTCACGAGTTGTCTTGCACATCTCACCGCTGACGCGAACGACTGATTAGATTTAGTAACTGAATCAGTGGGAATGCGACTACCGGTAGAGTTTGACTTACCCAGCAATGTTATCATAATCAAGTATGTCTGAGTAGCTCGGGCGCTGATCTAAGGGTTCAGCGAGGAGTACGACTGGCCTTGGGGTATTCTAGCGCATTTGTATTACTACTGACCAGTGTATTGCTCTTCGACACTAACATAAATTCTTACTTACATACTGATGCCCATTGCACTGTATGAAGGGATGTTGCAACCTGCATGGTCGGTGACGGTTCAGTTATTTGTAGAGTCGGAGAACGAAGTATCGATATTTCTGCAACCCCGCCGGCGCTAAATGTTACTTCAAGGTTCGCCCGATGGGCCGCTTATAGGGATCATCGCGAAGACACAAATAATGGGAAACACCACTGGAACTTTGATAGGAAGTTTCCGACAAATTCGTGGTTTCACCGTTATCAACACTGACCTAAATTCGAAGATTTCGATGCGCGAAGAAGCTGAGCATGATGAAGGGGCACCAGTATTACAACGTTCAACCTCCGGTCACAAAACCACATGCAGCGGTACGAGAACTCAGAAAGCCATCTGGAACAAAGGCTCCCATATTCACGCAGGTCCTCGCAAGCAAGGAACCCTGTCCCTCTCCTACTCATGACCATCATTCGTCGATTGTTCATTCCAATCGAAGTGCCAGCCCAAGTTGACACAGCCCACGATTTCTTCTCGCCTTCGCCAGCCAATACGGCCCATTTGATGTTAAATGAGACCGCAGTTAGCCTTGAGGGAACCATTCGTCAAGCCATTCTATATTGAGAACCTAAGGAGATTGTCTCTCATTGGGCTATAGATGCTAAACTCGATCTCACTGTCACGTACAGGTCCTCCCAGTCCTTCATATCCAGCGGCAGACTCAAGCAGTGGCCTCGCCGCGCTTCCTCCAGAGTGGCGGAATTCTGCAAGGGAGACTATGGGAGATAATATAGAAATGACATGCGGACTCCGGAATACGGGAGAGGTGGTCGCCATCATTTCTCTACGAGCACATGCGTCTTCCTCAAGCCTCCCGAAAATCGATGCGGTCTTGCTCCACAGATGCGAAGTCAACCTGCGAGGGTATAAAATCCCCCCAGTCGGCATTCTTTTCTCCTGCATTCAATCGCTTCCTCTAAATCATTTTTTCTGATTCACAAACATCATGTGTTTCGTCCTAAATCTCACTACAGTTTATGCTTGCAATCACCACGTTTTTACCCGCCGTCAGAAGGTTAGCCGTCATGTCGATCTCGCTCTCGTTCAACACGACGAACTTTAGTAGTTGGACTGTAATAGCACCAATTGCGTCTTCAGCCAGCGTCATGGATCCGGAGAGCATGCGTGCCAGACTACCTGTGCGCAAAGGTATGCCAGCAATTCCTATGCTAAACTTCATTTCTTATGAATGCAGCCTTCAAGACGAGCAGTCATTCACAACCAGTGCCGTAACCCGACCCTGTGACGGGTGTGCATATGCCGGCCACGGCGCGAACGAATGATGTGAAGGTCTTCGCCGTATTATTTTATCCGCATCGAATAATAATAAATTGTCATGCATCACAACCTGTTGCTGCAGTAGGACCTCCGCTGACAAAACGAGTCGTGAGCTATGTCCCATACCTTGAATGGGAAATGTCGGAAGTCCTTGACTTGAGACGTGCGCACCGACATCGATGCGTGTTGCCGAAAGCTTGCAGTCCGACCGTGTGTCGAGACCACGACCTCATTACTGACAAACCTCAGACTGACTCCGGTAGCCGTCCTAGCTGATAGCCTGAAAGACACTGTCCGCGGCCAACGTGTCAACTTAGACTGATAAGGTCGCCTCCTCTATTGCGTCGAGGATGGATCGATATGATATAGATGTAACGCCATTGCCTAGCACTTGTAGCGGTGTCGTATAGAAGTCGACGTACTTCGAATAACCTGGTAACTCAATCCTCGCTTTGAGGCAATTTTTGTGCTTCTTCCATTGCTTTCCTCCGACCTCCCATCAAGAGCGTGACATAGTCTGCACCACCGAGAACTCCAGAGGCACCCCCACCGTTCCCAGATTTAGCTTTATTCACCTTCCGATCCTTCAGTGTGGCTTTCTTCTTCGACGTTTGTAGATGCACATGTGCACCCTGGGCTGGCACAGCTTTGTTGCTAGCCCCTCCCTTCGTTTTTTTGGTCTACAGAGTATTTCATATGAGAGAAATGAGCGAACAACTCGCGAACTTACTACTCTTTTGTGGACTTTAGCACTTCTACCCATCGCCGTAGTTGCCGAAAAGAGGCGCGTGCCACCAACATTAGGAGATGGCTCGATAGGGGCAATTCAGGGGCCTGAATATGAGTAGTATTTTTTGCAGATAACCGAAATGTTGTAAGGGATCAAGCGAATGGCCATTGTGATCAATGATATATTGATAAAAGGAGATAAGAGGGGAATGGTAAAGTTGGGTATCCAAAATTTATGTACATTCGCTTCACGCCGCACGGGCTTCAAAACACAAAATCAAAGTATATAGGTCGCAATTAGCAGCAGTCGGAATAGAGGCGACGCGCTTTCTGTTAGGCATGATACCTAGGTGAGGAACGGCGAGGTAAATGGTTTCGCGGACCGTAAAAGGTGAACAATGAGTAATGGTATGGCAGGATGGTGGCGATTCGTCGGAGCTACAGCGTGGCGACGTGAGTAACAACACTATCATGTAGGACTGACGGGAACTGACATTGAGCTAATCATCGGCATAATCAGACTCTTCCTCACTATCGTCATAGGATTGATGATCTTCCCCGTATTCGTCAGGTTCATCAGGTTCTGCCAGGCCGTCTCCCCCCGTAGCCGCACCACGAACGGCGGCCTGTTCCCCTTGTTGTTCTTCGTACGTGTCTTCATCTTCGTCATCACTTTCCAAGTCTTCTTCCGGCATCTCTTCTTCCTCTAGCCTTACCAACCAACCATCCCCATTTTGTCTTTCGCCAAGTTCGTCGTCTGAGTAAAGCGAACGCCGTAGGCAGGGTAACTCCGTAGCGGGAACCCAACATCCAGCATCTATAAGCCTATCTAGTTCTTCATCCGCTCGCCCAGGGCTCCGGCGCACCACGTAACGTTTCAACGCGTACTTCCGTATATCGTGGTGATGATACTGACTTGACGGGGACGAATTGTTCGGAACCTTCCTTGGGGACGCGTCGTGAAACACCACACTAGGGGTCGTTTGGCGCAGCCATCCGCCTTCACGATACACCACGAATTCTCGCAGTAACGAAGCACTAATTCCTGATAGCTTCAACTCACGCAAGGCCGGCAACAGAGGAGTGCGAAGTCGTGCGGCGGGAGTGTGTGTACGACTATTAGGCGCAGAGGAAGATAGAGAGGAGCATGGTGATATGGCGGTTCTTTGAAGATCTGCTCCTTTCGCTTTGTCTATCCCTATAACTCGATTGTCCTCTCCCTCCAGGAGAACCTTAAATAAGGCATGACTATGCTTCAGGCGTTCAGAGGGCTCGATCCCGATGTTAGCGCCTGCGGAGTCTTGAGCTTCTCTGTCGGGCGAGGGAGACAGACGCTCAAAATCCACCTCCAGCGTCTGCAATCCGGGTAGAGCCCGTAACATTGAACGCCACGATTCCAAGTCGCAATCCAACGCAAGTATAGCGAGACGTTTAAGATTGGACAGGTTCGGTATTGGTCGAAGGTGGATTATGCGAACCGGGGATGGTGGGTTGGGGTTAGAGATGACAGGTGCACGTTGATCGGACGAGACGTGCGAAGCCGATGGGCTATGGGAAGGAGGAAGGCTGGAAGGAAGGTTTGTTGCAGGTGGCGTCGGCAGAATCTGCGGCGGATGTGGTGAGGCCGTCGTTGCCGGAGGGGTTCCATCGACAACGAGAGAGGATGGGGAAGAATTCTGAGAAGAAATTGGGCTGAGTTGGATTTCCCTGCCCTTTACTATCAGATCAATGAAGGAAGTATAGTCCCTTTCGGGGTACTCGTCATCAGGCTGTGGTAGCTCTAAAGTGAGCTCAGACAAGGAGGGAGCGATAAGGTGTTCGATGATGGCGCAGAGATATCCCGGATCAAGGTCAACCAATGTGAGTTCAGTTAAATTGGGCAGAGGAATGGTATCGATGGCTGGAGACCAGTTGTGATCGGGGTCACCGTCGCTGTTCTTGGGGCCAGAATAATGAAGCGAGAGGGTCTTCAACTGGGGGCTGTCCCGCAACATCGCGGCAAAGGGGGTAAAAGGAGGCCGAATCTTGTCAGCGTGTAGAGCTAGCTGCAAGTGGTCCAAACTGTGTAGAAAGTTGGAATCTGACCAGTTGAGGTTGACCCCGATCAGCGAGACGTTACGGAGTTTGGGTAATTTATTGTGGAATACGATCACGGGGGGTCGATAAGTCGCAATAAAGAGATCTTGCGCGTTACTAAAGGCTTCGAAGTGATAAAGTTGCAGAGTTTCCAGATGTGACCCTCCAGTTGCATTGCTGAGATGCTTGCGAGCAAGTGCTTTACACGCGTCGTCTCGCACCTTCAGATGGAATGAACGCCACAGCTCGACATGGGGGATAATTATCCCGAAGACATCATCAAAATGATCCTTACATAGGTCCCTGCCTTCCCTGCATTCTCCCGGGGAGACTGTGTCGACCATGACATCGAGAAGTTGTATAGGCGATCGTTTGTGACGGTCTTTTGCATCCGTCGGGGGTAGACAGCGACGGATATACTCTCTTGCCCGCGAAAGGTGCTTCGGACTACTGAAATGAATCGTAGTCCAGAGACAAGCTGTATTCAAAGCGATGCCTCGCCAGTGCCTGCAGATATGGGAGACCAGAAGTTGAAAGTCGGGCGACCGAATGCTAGGATCATCTTCACGATACATTGGCTGGTTGGGTTTGAAAAGAAATGGCGACTGGGCATAAGGATAGTCGAGTCTGACGCCCTCGACAAATATGCGACTGATGAGCTCGACAGGGAGGCGATGAATGGGAGAGAGTAAGGCGGAGAACATGGAGGCGGAAAGCAAGCGGCTAGCTACTTCTCAGGCAGACGAAATTCCGCGAATCCTAGCCCAAGGGAATATTCCCACAGACTAGAATAGTGGCAATATTGATCATCAATGGCCTCGTTTCCAGGAAATTCCAACCATACTGGTCATCTGCCAGAAGCTTCGGGCTGTATTTGGGCACATAACTTGCACAACGAGTAGGGGCATGGGGAAGAGCTGGGAAGAGCTGGCGTGGGTCATCGTAAGAACTGTGTGGCTCTTATCAAACCATGATCACATAGAATCCGATTAGCTGAGAATTCTAGTTGCAGGAGGCCTGAGGCCTGCTGTCTTGAAGTGTGAGTTCCAGAATGCCTCGTGCCGCCAGAACTTGACTGCTGACATGGGACGCGGGGTTGAGGTTATTAGTTAGAAACATATCTCCGTCGTGGGTCAGTGCCGTCGCATAAGTGCGTCGGTGCCTGAGGGTTGCCTAGCACAACCTGGAAGTAAATGGAGTGGCACTGTGGTACTGTATTGTAGTTATGTACTATACTGTGGATAGGTCCCAGCGTTCATATACTGTAGATGACTGCCATCGTTTATAATATAAACAGCCGGGAGGGGAAAGGGGGCTCAGGCATCCGTCTGGGTCAATGCGATCGCGTTCGAGTGACTTTACAAGCTACAAGAGGTTTGATCCGCCTACGCTTCAGCGCGCGAAGGGGTTCTTGTTGGGCATTATTGGAAGAAAACATCATCTTCGTCGGTATATCCCATTCCTTCAGGCCACTGCTCAGGTTCGTCAAAGGTCTCAACCTCTACGTACCGTTGCACTGGCACCATTCCGACAAGTGTGGAAAGCGGACGACTGGTACCGATGCGCAGCTTGACTAGCGGCGTCCTCGCCTCTGCACGTAGGACAACCATGTCGTATAACTGCTGGTCGTCAGACATATTGTATATCACGGACAGCTCCTGAAGTTGTGGCCAAATTCTGGCGCTGGAGGAGTGGTGGCCCAGAAGCCTCACAATGATCGGGATTTCGAATGACGTGTTTAATACCGTGAATTTAGTGATGTGGGGGAACGCAGTATACGTTTTGCGGTAGCTTGGACCGGAGAAATCGAAATCGCAGAACGTGAGCTCGCGAAGGGAAGGGAAATTGTGGGAGGCTGGAGAAACCCAGAAGGCCTCCAGGTCGCTCTCTTGGACTTCTTTCAAGTATAGGGAATATAAGGCTGGAGCTGATATTTGGCAGAGGACATTGCTGTATATCCAACCATGGGCGCCCCATAGCCTCAGTGACTTCAACCTGGGTAAGTGTATGGGCTCTGAGCCCGGAGGAGGCCAGTCAGGGAAATGGATGCGGTCTCCGTAGAGAGAGAAATTGGTGAGTGATGGGGAGGCGGTCAAGATATCCTTAAGAGTACTGTGGTTCAAAGGGATAGCTTTGGTGAGTTCGATATGTAGTGTGACCACGGTAGTCATGGGAGGGCGGTAGAATTGTGGCGCTATTCCCCTAAGGCGAACAAACTCTAGGCGAGGAGCTCCCAACTTCAAGATTTGAGTGAAGTCTGGTTCGGGTGTTGGGTACTGAAGAGAGGGGTTGGCTCCTTCGATACTTAACGATATATGGACGAGGTGCGCGAGGGCGGCTGGATAAATTTCAAGATGGTCGAGCAAGAGATGGTAAGGATAATCCAGAGAGACGTTGATGACTACCCATCGCCAATATTTGATATTCTGCTCCAACAACGCAACGATGGCCGGCTGCATGGGGCGCTCGCAAGGCCAGCCGTCTACGCGAATTTCGGTGGGGTACGTTTTTGATCGTTCAAGATATGTCTGAGTCTCTTCAATCGTTTTCTCTGGGACGACGGCCACGTTCCTCCACAAGCTAGGGGTGGCGATTGCAACACATCGCCAATGGTGGTTAACGTGCGAAACCAGCAACTCGAATGGCAATAACTTTGTCTTGACATGGTCTTCGGACGGGTGCGTTGTTACGTGGATTTGGCCGACGATAAACATGTGCGATAATACGTCTTCTGGGAAATGAGACAGCGGCGTGTATTCTGTAGCAGCGGGGCGGTGATCCCCCTGATCGAGGCCGATGGTGGAGCCTCTGGCATGGTCTGCTGAAGATATCAGCATGGGGTTGTGCGGGGCGTTGCTAGTCAATGCCTACGTTGTGTGCGAGACTGGACGATCTGCATAACAAAAGGGTCAGGCGGTGTGATGTTGGGGTGACCGTTGATGAGCTATGTTATGTAAAGATCCCAACGGCGTACACGCCAGGACCGTGATGCTGAGAACATGCCGCGATAGAAGGCAGTATTCTACCCAGAATGGTGGTCTAACGAATAAGAATACCGCGCTGGACGCAAGGGTGAGAGCTTCTACAGAATGGCCAAATGAGGAAACTTAAAGGGGGTGAATCTATAAGGTTTGCTTCATCCGATTGAGAAAGAGAGCCACGTGATACACAGTGGCTCGGCTTCTGTTGAAGTTCATCGTAGTCTCGCTCAGTGTGTACTATGGCAAACTTACCAGAGGGTGTGTTTCTGAGATACCCAGAGAATTTGGGCTCTCATATAAGCATCGACTTTGAGTCTGCTGTTGCTATGCTTCTCCGCGCCATTTCTCTATCGCAGCAGGTACCCTTTTCATGGGGTTACATTGACAAGCCACAAGGTGCGCCGCGCCATTCTTGTCCTCGGGTTATGGCGTTCAAATGGGTTGTATCTACAGAGGGGCAAGTGTTTTTAATCTTCTTGCCCACTCTTCAAGCTCCTTTTCCATCCGACGGCATACGATTTCTAGAACAAGAAGCGAGACATACAATGCCAGCCAACAATCGTGTGCGTACCACTTAAACACATTGCCATTTACTTTGTTCGTATAATTTGCGCATCCTCACAGACCACTCATATCAGATCACTATAGGAACTTGAAATCCACGAGGCCAAGTTCGGGTTCATTCCGGGGTCGCAGGAGGCAGGAGCATGGAGGCTACGTCGGCGATTTCGTCTAAGCAAAGGAGGACACCCCCAGCTTGTTCTTGTCCACTATTCACGTGGCCCAGTTATGCGTATGCGACCCTTGGTGCCTTCTAAATGCCTTGTTAACGTCCCGAATTTCATTCAGAGATCCCACCTGCTTTGATGACCCAACCGGTTCGCCATTACCCTCTGCGACCAGTGAACGAACCCTCGATATATGTTGCGGGTGACCGGATGGGCCAGAAAGTGTTTCCCCACGGTGCCATGCCCAACGCCCCTCCCAACGCCCCCAACCCCCACGCGATGGGCGCCATGAATAACATGGGAGGGGGTGCGCCCAGTATGCCGATGGGCTTCAATCGACAGGCGCAAATGCTAGCGCAACAGAGTGGTACCATGGATGCGTTAGAACGGCGGAGTCAACGCGATCCAAGTGGAAGAGATAGAAGTGGTAGCACTACAGCGGTGAGTGCCGTTTACTCTTTGTAGACCGGTATTTACGGAACCAGGTTACGCGACCTCCCGTTGTGGACGACGAGTCAGGTGGTACGTTCTCACTTGCGAAGTGCTTGTCTGATTTAACCAAAACTATCGGTAGATGAAGCTGAATCGATATCGACTAAGACTTTGGCGATCAATCGGTATAAGCGAAATCATGAATTGATGAACGAGGTCTTTAGACAGGCTGCTTTAGGTTAGTTGTTGTCTCAAGCCCTTCACACCCGCTCTTATAGGAGTAGGCGATAAGAATGCAGGTCCTCCTAAGCCTCCTTATGCCATATTTAATAAAACAGAATTGGACGCAAATATAGTAAGTATACGACTTCGAGAGCATTGTCACTTGCTTATCGGATTTGTGTGCAGGCCAAACTAGAAGCAGAGATAGAGACACTCAGAACTCAGAAGAAATCAGCGAAGGAAAGTCAGCACTCTGATCTCAACGCCGACATCTCGATGCAAGATTTTGTTCAAGTATAAAAAAGTAGCTCTTCGTAGGTGAACACGATTTCGCAGCTGTAGTCTTGTAATGGATTATAGCAACAGCCTTTATTAGTCCTTCTGAAACTATGAATGCCCGGCGCAACTCTAGCATAGTATATCATTTGAAGGGGCAGTCCGATACATCCTATGAAACAGTAAAAATACAAGTTGGAACTGGGAATGTAGCAGAGAGATATCAAAGGGAGTAAACTAAAGGTACAGTGGCAAAGTTGGTGCTTGGTTCGAGTAATAAAAATAGAACGAAAAGTAGAACGACAAAATAGCAACAACGACCAAGCAAACGAATCATGGTCCAGCAAGAATTTAGAAGAGAAAGTGTCCGCGAAGGAATCTGTCTACTGGGCAACGCCATACCATATGCTATCCCTGGCGGCTCCCCCTTGGCCCTCATTTGCAAGGATTTGTGTTGCAATAGCGTCCTTGTCTGGCAACGGGTCATTCAGAGACTTCCGTCGGTACCCGTCCGCACCACAGTCTGTCGGCACATCCTGTTTAACGGCTGTGGGCGTCCGGGGCTCGACATATGGGTCTGGTTCAATCGACGCCCTGAAGCCGGGGGTAGGGGATCGCACTACGATGCCTGGGGTAGATCCTTCTGGGAATGTTGCCCCTACAGGTGAGACTGGGGACGGAATGTCAGCCGGTGGAGCAGGGAACAGTGCGGACAATGTCAGGGATGATATTTCCCTTGGTACGTCGGGGAAGCGTCGACTGCGACCGGGATAAGAATACGGGATGTCGCCGACTGTCAACTGGTTGAGAGTCGTGGAGGACTTTCGTGAGGTTGGCAAGCCGAAGGGTGAATTTGCAATACTCGAGCCGAGGGAGAGGTGGGAAGCCCGAGCGGAGTACGGCGATGACGAATTCCGAGTGTCCTCCAGTTCTCGCATCCCAGCTATATCCAGGATCTGTCGGATGTCTGTGGAGGAAAGGGAGGAGCGGCCGAGAGATTCCTCATCCCCGGGACTCGTTCCGGGTTTACTACCGATGGTGGCTTGATTGGAAGATGATCGCGACAAGGTAGGATCGGCGGCAGAAATGAGAGACCATGAAGTGAATGTCGAACGAGGACTGAACAATGAAGATGCGTATTTTTCCCGGACGTACGGCGGGTTTCTAATGAGCGGTTGCGAGAAGGAGACAGCGGTGGGCGGTGTTGGTGGTAATTTCACTGACTGCCAGTTCTCTGGCGGGGCATCGTGGAACGTAATTTCCTGTACGTGCTTCTTGCGGCGGTCTCGGATGATATAAAATATCATCAAGAGGACTACCAAGATGGTAAGACCACCCGCGCCCGCAGCAATTCCAATTATCGCTTCCCTATGCAATATCAGAACCCCGTTACGGGAGCATAACGAATATGCATACCTTGGGATTCCAGGTCTTCCGGAAAGCGCACCGGAGGTCCCCATCATTGTCTGATTGAATCCATTCAAACTATGGTCCAGACAGTTCGTATCGGCTAAGTCACCGCCGACAGAGAAGAGGTTGCTTGTCTCTCTGTACCCTGACGCATCTGTGAATAACAGGACCGCTTCCGTGTCGCGTTGGGCGGCCATTACAAACGTTGCTTTCCCTTGGCCAGGCTCCACATCGACGTTCCTGAGCCTGTACGCCTGAGCGCCGGGAGGAAAGAGCCAAATTGACGGCGGCTCATCCATCCCATTGAAGCTGACAGTAAAGTTTTGGCATTGGGCTGGTTGTGTGTGCAACGCAAACCGACGGCTCGACCGAGAGACGGCTGGTAGGCAGCTAGTTGCATCGTTGGGGAAAGAGAGTATCCGCATGACCTCGGAGACATTCCCGACGTTATTTCCGTTGCCGTCCTCGAGTGATGATATGAACGACGCGCCCGCAGAAAGAGGTATGAATGATACAGATACGCCCTTTGCATTCGCGGAGGGAGTTGGGATAGGAATTGAGACGGGGTACGAGTCGAAGGGGAGGATAGTCAGGACTGCAGAGCCTGCAGCAACGGCAGCAAGTTCATCGCCAGTGAACGAAACATTGGCTACTCCGCATTGCACGACGTCGGCGAAAGTGACAGAGAACGCAACCTGTGGGTCCAGGACCAAAAAAATGAGAAAGATAAGGAAGAAGTACAAAGAAAGATTCATGGGCAGCCCGCGCAAAAGGATTAAAAGGAAAATGGCTTAAACGTGGAACATAAGACGGAGCCGTCAACGAAAGTGGGCTAGCCAGGCAGAAAGGCAAGGGAGGAAAAGCGAAGAGGGAGAAAAGAACGGTTGGGTTCGGGTATTTTACTCATATTCTCTCAAGAACACTATATTGGCGGCAAATTGACGGTATGTTCTGAGAGCCCCGTTGCCATGCACAAACTTGACTGTTGCTGATAGGGGCGCTCAAGGGGCGACATGGCTGAATCAGGCAGGGTGATCGAGAGCACGTGACTCACGGATCCTCCTGTACGCTACAGCGTCGAGCAGCTCTCTCTTTCATTGACCGCCATGATCCGGTCAGCACCGTCGTCCATCGTTTTTCGCGCAGGTCAGGTCAGGCGCATAGCGAGCGCAGCTGGAAAGGATTACGGTCGTCTACCACACTCAAATTCTCCCATCGTTTCCAAACTTAAGTTCTTTAATGCCGTATCTGGAGACGGAAACACAATACCCACGTATCGCGTTCTCGACGGAGTGGGGAAGCCCCTTGAAGGTGCTGAGCTGCCCGAAGTAAGTACCCCAGCCAGAAACGACGCGATCCCTGATGCTTACCAGCCTACCAGATTGACCGAGCGCTTGCTCGGAAGGTGTAAGCACTGAATATCATACGTTGAGAAGTGACGCTCTCAACCAAATATATAATGTAGGTACGAGCATATGCAACTACTCCCGACCTTGGACACTGTTCTCTACAACGTTCAGCGGCAAGGCAAGATATCATTTTATGTGAGTCTCGTGTGCTCTCGCAGCGGCTCGATTTAACCTCGTAAATCAATAAGATGACTTCCGTGAGTTATACTTGAATAGCCCGTTAGCAGAGTTAAAACTGACCTGCCGCTAGCATGGCGAAGAAGCCACTATCATTGGCTCCGCTGCTGCCCTTGAATTGGATGACGAGTGAGTGCATCTAACTCATTATCAATATTCCTTTATCTCAAAATCTCAAAGGGTATTGGGTGGGCATGGTTATCCACTGCCTCCGGTGTTTGCACTGACCTCCTTCAATAGGGCAATACCGAGAAACCGGGGTTCTTCTCTGGCGTGGGTGAGAGCCTTTGCTCGAGGTTCAGGATCTCTTCATAACTTTGCACAGGTATGGCCTTGACAACGTCATGGCTCAATGTTTCGGCAACGAGGAAGACACCGCCAGCAAAGGAAAACAGATGCCGGTGGTAAGCCTTGCATCTTCATACTGACTCTCGTATTACTCACCTCACTATTAGCATCTTAGTTCCCCGAAATATCACTTCCATACCATTTCATCACCTTTAGCTACACAGATACCTCAAGCAGCTGGCGTCGCTTATGCACTCCGTCGAATTCCTTCGAGACGCTCGCGTTCCATTGCCGCTTGCTACTTTGGCGAGGGTGCTGCCTCAGAGGTGGATAAATCTATGATTTCGTATATACCTTACAACTAATGCTATGGCAGGGTGATTTCCATGCCGGTCTGCTGATGGCTTCAACGATCCCATCCCCAGCTCTATTTATAGCACGGAACAACGGCTTCGCTATCAGTACCCCGAGCTCTGAACAGTTCTATGGTGACGGTATTGCTAGTCGTGGACCCGGATATGGTATCCACACCATTCGAGTCGACGGAAACGATGTACTCGCTGTCATGAGTGCAGTCAAAGAAGCTCGCAAACGATGTCTTGAAGAGGGACGCGCGGTGCTTATAGAAGCTATGACTTACAGGTAATGAAGTTTCTTTGTGATACCGACCGAATACTGATTTCACCTCTTCTGCTTCTAGAGTTGGGCACCACTCTACATCAGATGATTCGTTCGCTTATCGTGCACGCGCGGAGGTTGAGGATTGGAAGAAGATAGACAATCCTATCACTCGGTTCCGTCTCTTCTTGGAATCACAAGGATGGTGGGATGCTCAGGCAGAAGAAGAACTCAAAGATCGGCTAAAAGCAGACGTGATGAAGGCCTTTAAACGGGCGGAATCACTCCCGAAGCCAGAGCTTAAGGAGCTTTTCACGGACGTCTATGGGGGCGAAGAACCCTGGAATCTGGTACGAGTCCACTTCCAAATCGTCCTTTTTCATAGCTCACACGCATAACCCCCAACAGAAGGAGCAACGAGCGGAGTTGCAAGGTCTTCTGCGAAAGTATGGGAACGAGTGGGAACCCTGGAAAGCGGAGATAGGACGGTTCAGAAATAAAGCACGAGACCTCATCGATTAGCGGGAATATACGCGTGTGGAGTCTGGATAGAAGTACATGCCGTAACCAGGAAAAGTTGCAAACCGACGACGAGACAGGCCCTGGCCGAGTAGACCATTCCGCAGAATTTCTAATCATTGAGCATCGGTTGAAGAGTCGTTGGTTGCATGGTAACTTCAGAATCCCACAACGCTGGGATTTATAGCACCGCCCAGAATCGAGCTGCTTGTGAGGTCGTTGGTGGAGAGAACGCTAGTGTCACCCACTTTAAGAATGTACTGCTGTTGTTTATTCCGAGGATTCAGTGCTGACGATGAGCGCGGAGCGTTTGAACATCGAACTTGTCGGTCGGGGACTTGCTACGTGCTTGTTGGTGGAATTCCATCAATGAACCTGAAGGGCATATTTGCATATAGTGTATCTACATCATCGACGTGACGACGAAATGAACGGTCCTTCACAAGCAGAACAATATCTCCTAATCGCCACCGAAACGCCGTGCACTTAGACACTCCGGCGGTCACTCACCGTTTGTACCGAGACCACCAACGTCGCGCTGATGGCGGGTACTTAATGAGGGCCGACATTCGCGACCAGTGCCAACCGCAGCCGGCAGGTCCTGCACATCCGTCGTTATTTGGATTGAATTGCGCGCTAGGACAAGCCTGGCTGATGCCAAGGGTTTGGCCCATGCCCCGAACTGATCTTGCGCGAGGTACTGGCCTGGTCAGCATCACGGCTGATCGTAGGTCCGTCAAAAGAGTCCCGAGCGTTGATCAGCGCTTTTCATTGGCTTGAGCCCTCTGCTAACCAACGCCTGGTACGCTTTACTATACACACGATCCAGCCACAATAGCATTTTCCGCTTTCGAGTATCCGCCCTGGGCAGCTCGTCGCAATGATGTGGCCTGCTCCAAGGGACTGCGAGGAAGCGCACATCATTGAGGGGGGCGGTAACAGCCATGCGATTGAGTTGGGGGACACCGAGGCACCAGGCGGGGCTTGAAGCATCTTGGAGAAGATGAGAGTCCCCCGCGCCCGCACCAGAATGATGGTGTACGCAGATGGATGGAATTTGTGTATTGCCTTGGAGAAGCACCGTGCCATGATCAGCATCTGCTATATCTGGGCTGGAAGTCGCGGCTGCTTGTGATATCGTGCTATGCTCCGGTAAGGATGCAAGGCAAAATTCATTATTAGAGGGTGTAGATGGCTCCCGGGATTGACCTGCCAGCGTCACAGCGTCGCCGGTATCAGCAGGCGTGGGCGGAGAGTACCATTTGTGCTCTGTACAAGTATTAGCAGGGCCTACTCCACAAAGTTTATTGCTTAACTTACCTACCAATGGAGTAGAAGGAGTAGGATTCTCATCCATATCAGTTCTATGAGCTTCGAAGTCGCGTCTTGGGCCGCTTGAGCCATAAGGATTCTCTTCCATCACTTGCAAAGGAATGTTAGGAATGCTTGCGGGCAATAATGTCCTGCTGTTGGTGAGAATCCACTCAGCAGGTACGGTGTAAGGGCTGGGCCTGCAGAAACTGTCGGTGTGGCCTGTAAACACGTTGAGCGCCGTGGCTGTGGCATTCAAGAAGTGAATAGGGGCGGAGAATGGCCCTGGAGGTTGGAAGTAACTCCTGTCAGGATTCTCCCACGAGGGTAAGGCAAGCATTGCGATCAGAAGCAATATGTTGCTTTTACCTTTTCACGGTTTCCCTCATGTCTGATAACCCCCGCTCGTCGGAGGATTCGTTCTACTCCAGCCGCTCTTTCCCTTGATGCCTCTGCCTTGGACTCCTCGACGGCCCTTATCCTGGTTCACGATGAGGATGACGACCTCAGCGACAACTCCCCCATTGAAGACGCTGAGGATAGCCAACAATTTGAGGTTACCTCGAGGCCCTCAATGGCGTCGCTCAGACCGTCGGTTGTCCTGCTCTACCTGCTCGCGCCTTTGCTCAAGTTCGGGGCAATGATGCTGCCAAATATTGGCCCGCCGATTAAATACACTGTTCCTTCGATATTCGTTTTTGCAACCGCTACGGCGTTAGCTCAGCAACTTTGGTACATGTTGTCACGACACCTACGAAAGCATAGCGTCGAAGATATCGTACCGGAGGTCTTTGCAAGGGGCAGAGGCAAGGAGAGGTCGCGGGAACAATGGCGGCGTCTGTCCAGGTTCTGCGCAGGGGCTGTTCGGTTGCTATTGTGCATCTTGTATTTCCACGGTGCGCTCACTTCGTCTAAGATGCGCGACGTCTCGCTGACCATAATAAATAGCTGCTGTTGAAAGCGTAGTCCCCCTTGTACCACGGGCTCTTGTAATATCTCCTCAATTGGTTATCACAATCCTTTTCGGCGCACCACTGCTGCCCTTGACTACCCCACGCTCGCTCTCTTCGCTCAGGACAATAGCGGTTACTGGTCTATCCACATTGTCCTATGTCGCTTGGTTTATCTGCGTCGCCGTCGCACACGCGCATGGTACACTTGAAACGTCCCATAGTTGGAGCAACCTTTATAAATTATGGCGGCCTCTCAGTAAGTCCACTAGATCCTGCCTCTTTAAATAAACTCACAGCGTGCAGCTACAACGGCGTTTGCATTCGCATGCCCCAACTCGCTACAGTTGTATTCTAACATGAAGGGAACTACCGGTCGCTCCAAGACCTCCAACTACCGCTCATTCAGCACACTGCTCCTACTATCCTTGACCATCGCTATCAGCCTTACCCTGCCATTAACATTCTTCACCGCCCGTTGGAGACATTCTTCGGTAAGAGATTTTCCGGCCCTCCTTGTCGGCTTGCCTTGATTTGTTCATAAGACCTCGTTACAGCCGCCCCCGCATACGCAGGCCATCGACATATTGCAGGCGATCACTCTTCTCCTAGCGATACCTCCGCTGATCATTACCATGCCCCCATTACCAGCTCCCGATCGATTCCGCCATTTGACAAATGTCTCGGTATCGAAGATTGTGATGGTTTTTATCGTCATTGCGTCCTCCACCCTGCCCCTGGATGTATTGTCTGTCATCGGCCAGGTGACCTTGGTCCTCGCACTACTCAGCACATATGTTCTACCAGGTACGGTTATATCAATAGCACGTATACCTCTGCACCGCTGATCCGCGTTTAGCTTTCTTGCATATTGTTGTACATAACTTCAAGCGCCCGCTCTCAATCATTGTACCCACACATCCCTCTACACCAACCGCCCTCCACCAGCCCTCACACCCCGAACCATCATCTCCTATTCTAGCAAATGACGAGCTACTGCAGCGCAAAGAACGTTTGCTGCAGAAGCGACAGTTCCGGAAACGGCTAATATGGGACATCGTAGCTTGGCTTTTGCTTGTCCCGCTAGGCGGGGGCGGATTGACTTGGACCGTTGGTAAGTTAATGAAGAAGTGGTGAAAACTCGCCTGTTTCTATCTTCGCTTCATTACTGCTCTAGTTTTATCTGTATTTGTTCTATCTGATACCGCAGTTGCGTAGAAATACAAAAGATAAAAGAGACTACTGGACATATGGAGGACAGGAAAGCTAATAGTGGTTTACCACTACTTCATCCCTTTCTCTTGTTCGAAAAGTAGGCTTCCCAGTAGCTTGTCCAAGAATCGTCCGGGGTTCCTTCAGATGTTTGCAAGACGAACTCCCTCTTCCATACTAACGATTTTTGGGCATCCCGCCAAACGAGTGACAAAGGTTGGTAGGACTCGACGTTTCCGGGAGTAATCTACGACAAACTAAACCAACGCGACAGTACAATGGGATCCGACGTACCTTGTCTAATAGCAGTGCCTTAAGGTCGAGGGGTTTGAAGAATCTGAGGTTAGGGTGCCTGGGAAGAGCATGACTCTGGCGAGGGCTAGCGTTTGAATGATACGCGTTAGTGAAGAAAGATTTGGGACGGACCGAGAACTCGAGGTATCCGGGGCAAGAGGGTGATTGGGAGATAAGCATGCTGGAATGACGTCGATCCACCAGGATTTTAGTAGGATGAATAGCTGCCACAAAGGAGAATTAGGGACGATTTAGTTTCACTCGAAGCACGTCAGGAGGCATACCGAAGGGCTCGTCGTTCATTAGACACCGCATGGCCGTGAATATCACTTTGGCGTCATCTCGAGTCTTGAACCGCAGATCCACTGGCGACGAACCATGACAAGTAATGTTGATCAACCGGCCGTTCAGATCAGCGGAGTAGGGCCCTTTGGCAATATGCCCGGGGCGGTCGTCTCCCGACAATCCTTCTCCGCTAAATATGACAAAGTCCTGGAAGGGGACGGTCGTGGACATGAATTACGAGATGAGTGAGAAACATTCACTTACGAGCCCAGTCCTGGTGGCTATGATGAAGGCATTGCGTGTAGTGTCGTACTTTAAAACACCTTTGCCCTTCTCTCTGCACAGAAATCGAGCTATGGGCGTCCATGCTGATTTGTTGGCTTGCCAAGCGTCGTAGAGTTTCCCATGGTCATTCAAATAGACAGAGAGGTGGTCGACACCATTTCCCCTCCTTGCGAACTTGCCGAGATTAGGGTACGCCGGCCCTTGTATTTCCTCGCTGGCTTGAAAGTCCATGCGGAATGTGCGATATACGACGGAGGAGAACCAGTAGCAACTACGATCCCACAGGTTATAGTCCCCGTATTCTTCCTCAGTAACCAGTGCCAAAAGGTCAAGGAGTCGGCGGAAGGAAGCAGGGTTAGGCTTAAAGAATGCCGACCAAGCTTTCTGAAAGTCGGGCCCAACTATTGACTCGGCACGGCGCGCAACCTGGGCCTGGTGTTCAGCTAAACACACGCCCTTCTTTTCGATAAGATTTGCATTAGATGATGCGGTGAACATAGTCATGTTCGGGTTCGAAACGAAACGGTCGACTCGAAGGAAGTATTTCTGATGTTCCTCGGTAGCGATTTCGAAGAGCAGCATTTCGTGGTAGGGCACGAGGATTGTCTCTTTGCATATGTGCATTGCGACGACGTGACATTTGTCTGGAACTGGGAGACCTCGCAGGCCCTCCGTGAAGGTCGACAGAGTGTCCTTCCAGATGGCGATTTGGCTGATTGGCGATGTCCCTGACCCGTCGTCTACATCTTCGAGAATCGCAGTGAGTTTGTCAATGCCCGAGTAGACTGGGGCGGGTGCAGACGAGCCAGCTGAACTCGATAACGAAAGTCCCATCGCGAGCGCAGGACAAAAGTGCTACAGCAACCGCCTCGTGCCCAAAATTGCAAGCCTACACTCTCTCAAAGGTGACAGTAGGATGAGCGCTTCGGCGCTAACGCGACTTTTCCAAAACCAACTCGAATGTCAAGGAGGAATTCACCATCCCCACCCCCAGCCAAGCGGGCAAAACGAACCATGGACGGGCCCTCCAACTTCGAGAATCCGAACGGGAACCACAACGCTCTCCCCCCTCTGTCGTTATCGATACTAGGCGTCGAACCACTCGACGAGTTCATCAAGGAAATTGCAGACTTTATTCACCATATGATCATGACACGTCCAAATATGCCGGGGCAGGTGGAAGTTGAGGCCAAAATTGGAGTGCTGCGCGATCTTTCCGGTTCGAGGCTATCGTTACCAGTGCTGGTGGAAACAAGTGCGTATTTCGCATGATAGACGGTAGAATGGCAAAGGCTGATGCCCTCGATAGTTCTAGTTCCCGATACTATAGAATGCCGTTTCGAGTCCAATATGTCAATGGTGGGCAGCTCTTTGCGTCTTTGAATCTTGTACGATGGGCTCAAAGGTATTCACAGCACCAACATAAACATTACAATAATCTCCTGAACAACTTAATGAATACTTCACACCAGTCGAATCGCCCCTCTCCTCCTCTGGAGTACAACCATTTGCATCTTATTGACACTTTTTACCCAGTCGAAGGCCAACGACAGAAAGTACGAGTCACGAGAGAGGAGCAATCTGGGAAAGTCCAGGAATGCATGAAGAAAATCCGACTGGGGGACTTGAATATCTACAGCCCCAAGCGAGCAGCTGATTGGCGCGTTTCGGTCAATCTGGAAGTTCCAGGTACGTTGAACCACGTTCAGCACTCGCACCCCGTCTCATATCGTGTACTGCCCTCCAGTTCCACACCCAGTAGGATCAGCATCCCTGACGAGGCGGAAAGATCGCCTCAGCTACTCTCACGAAGAGTATAAAATTGACTTGACTCAAGTAACATCAACAACGTCACCCAATGCCCCAGTATGTTCCTTGCCAAATACTGAAGTCACGATTCCGATGATCCATGTGGTAGCCTCAAGTGATTCACGAACTTGAAATAGAGATAGCTCGTTCAGAGCTGTTATTATCGACAGCGGCTGTGCGTGGCGATCCGAATGTCTCAGAACAAGAACGTAGTGCCTTCGACGAGCTGATACGCGCTTTCGTCAACAACGCCAGGATTCTCGTCCGAAATTCCAACGACGGGTGGCAATAAACAGATTTACTTATGGGTATTAAGCCTGGTATTATTGTTCCTATTACTTGGTGCCTACAAGAGCTGCAGTGTAACATAAACAGGGAATGATTGAAGAATGGGCGAATGGTATGTGTTGTATTTTATGGGTTACAAACCAACGACTTCAACTTGATCACCATCTTCTAGATCGAATGCCTCTATCTGAGTGCCATTATCAGCCTCATCGCCGTCGATAGATAATTTAGGGTCCTTTGCGGCTACCGCCTTACTGCCCTTGCCTTTCTTGTTCTTGGGTTGCGGTTTGGCAGGAGCTCCGACTTCTCCTGCTAATGGGTATTGCTCGCTTAATCCTGCTTTCTTGAGGAAGGCCTTCACGATGGCACCACATTTGGTTGTAGGGCGCACAGTTAACGTGATGTCTTTATCCTTGGTCAATTTCGACCGGATTATCAGTTTGAATGTATCGCTCTGGCTGGCTTCGGACTCTGCATCGGATTCATCGGATTTGTCCGCAGCAGCTACTGACTCTTCTTCATCTATAAGGGCATTGATGTCGCCCCCAATGCTGGGTAGAGACTGGTTGCGAAGATACTCGAATGTTGCGCGGTCGCAAGCAACTTGGAAAGGCTGATTAGCAACAGGCAGACAGGCATATCTCGAAAGAAAACACACCCAGTTCGGCTTCAGGCGGCATCTCTAGGGCATCAGCAGTCACGGAGGCAAACAGTCGAACGCCGTTGTAGCTGACTCTCAGGTTGTCGACAAGAACACTGGCGGAATCTGCTACCGAGTCAAAAAGCACGTGGAACGTGTCATCCTGAATATGACTATCTTAATGGTGGGTGGCTCGCAGCAACCATTTGACCTACGCGATTCATCTTGAACGCCCATATTTCGGCCTTGCCGATCGCGTCGAGTGGGTGGGGCCTCCAGCGCACGCTTATGAGGATGCTCCCAGTAGCATGCGGAGCAGGTTCCTCTGAAAATGAGCTGCCAGTTGATAGTTGGGGGAATGATGCTTGGGATTTGGTAGTTTTGGCAATCATAGCAAGTTCAGGAGCAAGAATGATGGTGTCAGTGGATTCATCTGGATCAAACGCTGTGGGGGACGCTGGTCTTGGAGCAGGTGCTAGGGCTTGACTAAATGGCCAGTCAATGAACGCTCAAACGTGTAGAGGAGAGACGAGTACCGAACGACGTTCCGCGCATTAATAAGTTGATGCAAAGGGATGTCTGGAGGAGGGGTGATGGACTTTGATCTTGATCGACTGCGAGCAGATTTGCGTATGCGTTTATTCCCTTTCCTAGGACCATGTTCAACGATCTCGACGTCGTCGTCAGAATCAGAGCGACCTGGATCTTCGGAGAGAAAGCTTCGTACGCTCTCAGTTTCCACACAACATTGGATGCTAAAAGTATTTACCGGATGATATCCTGGTCTCTCTCCCACCGGGGAACTGGGTGGTCCTGTTCTTCAGACTTGCGCTTACGGCCTCTGCGCTTTGGAGACCCATCCTCGTCGCTATCGAGTGCACGAGGCGGTTTGGCCGATGCGCCTAAGCATTCGCTTGATATGTAGTGCGGAATGAAGTACTCAGGTGCCTTACGTTCATCTAACTGCTCTAATACCTTCCAGTCCTTCAATGTACGCGACGTGTTGCGCATGAATAACGCGTCTTCATCTTGCAAGTTGGATGTGCTCGAGGTCCCTTGTGTGGAGGAATCGTTGATGGAGCTACTGGAGGAGGCTTTTGGCTTTGGCTTAGGTCGTGGTCGAGGACGCGGTCTTGCTTCTGACATGTTGCAATTTAACCGTGGAGCGTGGGAATTCCAGGGTTTCGCGCGAGGTCATTGTCACGCCGTGTGACCTGCGTCACACGCTATGTCGGAACCAGTCATCTTCAGACGCACGAAATCAAAACCAAAGCAAAGAGCGCGCCAGACATCCCCCACGGCAGGCGATGAGGAAGCAGAGAAGGGAACGGAATCACCCAGCACCCTCGTAGCTAAGCTGAAGAGGCGAGTGAAACCCAAGTCGAGGCTTAGTTTTGGTGCAGCAGACGAGGTTTGCGTTTCACTTGCCTCGTAGAGCTGAATGCTAATGGATGGGGAAGGAGGGTGATGGGGAGGTATTTCAGGTGAAGAAATCTAGCCTCAGTCAGAAATTGATCCTGGGGCGCAACGCAGCACCGTCAAGGTCGGCATTCTTTACCATGACCTGGACAACGCTGAGGACCTATCAGTACCCTCGCGCAGACGACTTTGGCAAGTCGTGGCCCTGTGTATGATTCCGCGTATCTATCAGAGCTGAAAGCAAGCACACCGAGTACGCGGCCACGCCTTGCTGTCGATGATGGAGACGTATCGATGGACGTAGGCGAGACGTCTATATCGAATGTTCAAACGGTGGATATATTTGGTGCGCATCCTCAATGGGGTCCATTTTCGTTAGCTGAACCTGCAATAGAGTCCGAAACAACTATTCCTGCGGAGGCGACTATTAAGAACGCGAAGGAGAAACGCGAACGCTTGCGCGGCACAGGAGCAGGAGATGACTTCATTTCCCTCTCTGTGACCCGTCGTGTTGAAGACCAAGGACCGCATCCAGAAAGCCGCCTCGTACGTGAAGAAGATGAACTCGGTGAAGGAGATGATGGTTTGTCTCTTCCGCCTAGCCTCGTCTTGCTCATTAAACTTATGCGAGATCTTCAGAGTTTGCTGAATATACCAGTGCACAAGAGCGCATAGCTTTGGGGAAGAAATCACGGAAGGTTGAAGCCTCTAAACGCAGGGATGCAATGAAGGAAATGATCGCCGACGCGTAAGTTGAAACCGATATTTGCCCGCTTCCCAGTGTTCATACAATGTTGTCAGCGAAGAAGAGGACGACGAGACAATGGAATGGGAGCAAGAGCAGCTTAGACGAGGTGGAAATCAAGCTCAAGAAGCATCAAATACACCAGTCAAACGTGTATATGTAGCTGCAACTAGTAAGTGGACCTCTAGACGAATGTGTCCTACAACTTAGTTATTTTTAGTCCCCACGGTCACACCGATTCCATCTCTTGGCCCGGCTCTGTCTCGCCTGGCTGCATCATTATCGCAATTGACCGTGTCTCACGCTTCAAACACGTCGTCACTCAATGCAATCGCCAAAGAACGTTCTGAGGTCGACGAGCGGGAAATAGAGTTGCGTGATATGGTTGATAAGGCCGAACTAAAGCGTTCCTGGTTCGATAGCTTCCATGAGTGGGTTGAGGGTGTTGCCGAATTCCTTGATGAGAAGGTTTTCTTCCGTTTATCTTTCCCTAACGTTTGGCCCTAACCAGTTCGCAACAGTATCCTCAACTCGAGAAGTTGGAAGAGGCTCAGCTCACGCTGTTGAAGCAACGTCTCGACGTCGTCGTAGACCGCAGACGTGCGGATGACGAAGACGACTTAGCAACCTTCCACGGGAGACAAGCAAACTCCAACGTCGATGATGCTACCCCCAAAGATGAATTTGGCCGTTTAATCCCTCCTAGCGTACTACGCCGCGAACGTCGAGCCGCTCGTTTGGCTCGCCGGGCCCGACGTCAATCAAAAACAGAAGAGGAAGGATACTCGACTGATTCATCTCTAGCTCCTGCCGAGCAAGAGTCATATGAACATACTTCGGGAGAGTTGATCGAACGCAAGGCCGATGTCTTAGCAGATGTGCGGGCTGCTGAATTCAAAGACCCTGCCAAAAGTAAATGGTGGCGCGAGTGGCGCGAGAAGTATGCAGATAGCTATGTCGGGGCCTGGGGAGGACTAGGACTCGTAGGCGCATGGGAGTTCTGGGTTCGCTTGGAAATAGTTGGATGGGACGTGATGGAGGTGTGTGTATTTGATCCTTGCTGACAACCCAACTTACACTTAATAACAGGACCCTAGAAGTCTCGACGGTTTCAAATGGTACAAAGGGTTATACGAATATTCTCGCCCCGGAGATCCCACAAATCCTGATAGCGAGCTTGGGCCGGATGGTGACTTGGTTTCATCCATGATATCCACGGCCGTCATACCTCGCATGTGCAAATTAATTGAAGGAGGGGCACTTGATGTATATTCAGGCAAACATATTCGCAGGATCGTTGATCTTGCAGAGGAAATGGAGGTCAGCGTTGAACGAGGAAGCGCTAAATTTCAGGTGGGTGTGTCCTCCCTTAAAGGGTACCAAAGCTGACCTCATAGCTAACAAACAGGCGTTACTGAAATCTGTATATACCGTCTTCGATCGCGCAACTCTCCAAACTGAGGAACTTATCGCTCGCTCCAAAGACGCTGCCCCTCGGCAGCCGATTTTTGATCCAGAAGCTATTCCAGCAAGGTCGCGATTCCTCGCGCGCCGTATCAAGCTTGTCCAGAATCTAATGCGGTGGCGAAAATTTACCGGTGAGATGCTCGGAGCCGGAGAGATGGCGAGTAGATTGGTCGATGGTTGTATCAGGAGCGTGGCTGAAGAAGGCTGGGACGTTGGTGGCGAAGCTGCTATGCAGAAGGTGCGTCGAGGCAGTGTACAACGAAATTTCCTCCGTCCAATGATGCTTGTTTAGGTGGTCTCCTTCTTACCGTCAACACTTGTATCATCTAGTACCAAGCGAATGTTGAATATGCCCTGATGGCGTATGGCCGCCTATGGCCGCCGCGAGCTCCGAACGGTCGGTACACATTGGACTGCCTATGCTTGATCCTTATAACCGTGGGGGCCGCCAATTTGCAAGTGCCTGATCCCGAGGTCCCCTAATCCCACTCCATAAGGATAGTTCGACGCGACTTCGCTCGCATACCTACCGAACTATCCAGCGGAGACCTCGAAAATCGAGACTGAAACCTATATGACCCGTATGAGCAACCAAAATCTTGGAGTTTACTTCTTGCGCGGTTCGTTCCGTTGTCAAACATCCTCCCTCTTCATTCCTGATGGCTTGTAATATACGCATATCTAGACGTAATTTAATTTTAGTGATTTCAAATTCGCACTTTCGATCATGAAGCGGAAGCGGGCTTGAAGACTCCAGCATCCCCGCATTGCTCGTGCTCGTTAATCATGTGCATGGTGTGTACCGTGTGTTTGCACATTTTGGTTCTTCATAATATTTCAGAACAACCGGCGGGCGTTGCGGGAGCCAGAGTCTAGTCCTTCAATCACGGTGGCTGAACCTGCCTGGATATCACCCTCAAAGATGAGCCATATGGTCTACCCCTATAACTTCTTGGACTGTTCGCTCCAATAACATTACTCTCTTCCTCTCTTCATTCCCCCACTCTTCCCCGCTTTATATTTTGACGGTCGCTCCACTAATCACATCCCCACTTCCCCACTTCCGCGATCCTTACCTCTTCCGCTCCGCTAATCACTCAACTCATTTAACTTCTCATGTCCTCAACGCAGAGCGACAGCACACAACATTGGGAGGAGGCGCAGAAGAACGATGTCGAAGCTCTGGCTTATCCGGGGGACGAAGACTCCGTACAACTGAATTGGTGGGCAAAGTATCGGTGTGTACCCCTTGTATTCATTAATTGAGAGCCTCTCGAACATCACGGAATCACTAGAGATATGATCCGAGAACCGGCTGCTGAGTTCATTGGGACGGCCATCCTCATCGTGTTTGGGAACGGCGTAAACTGTCAAGTGGTTCTGTCTGGTGTCTCCGGTGTAGCTTCTTCGGCGAAGGGAGTAAGTCATTCACTTAGACGTAAAACAAGTCGACGTCTCTGATGTTTCTTAGGATTACCTTTCTATCAATTTTGGTTGGGCGATCGGTACTGCTCTGGGGGTTTGGGTGTCTGGTGGAATTTCTGGAGGCCATATCAACCCAGCGGTATGTTTCTATAATTCATTATAATCACGGTGAGGAGTTCTGACATCGGGCAGGTGACTATAGCGCTCGCTACATGGCGGGATTTCCCATGGCGCAAGGTGCCGGGGTATATCTTTGCACAAGTTATGGGCGGTTTGGCTGGTGCCGCTTTGGTCTACGCAAATTATTACCATGCCATCAATATATTCGAAGGAGGTTCAGGTGTCCGCACCTTGAACACTGCTGGGCTCTTTTCCACATATGCTGTAAGCATGACCAATTTGGACATCGTTTGCCCGTATTTGACCAATGTACGCTTGCAGTTGGACTATCTTTCCAATGTGTCTTGCTTCTTCTCCGAGGTCCTGGCCACTGCGGTGTTGCTCATCGTTGTACTAGCAATCGGTGATAAGAGAAACTGTCCACCTCCCGCGGGGCTTGCCCCACTGGTCCTTTTCCTACTCATTCTTGGCATCGGAGCTTCCCTCGGCATGCAAACAGGTGCGCTTGACTCCTCTGTCATGATTGTATCTGATACATTGCTGAAACTCCGTAGGTTACGCGCTCAACCCTGCTCGCGACCTGGGGCCTCGTCTCCTCACTGCTATGGCAGGCTATGGGAAGACTGTATTCACGTTCCGCAAGTAAGCCATCTCTGCATTGACAACACTTTACATAGATTAACGATGCTGTCCGTAGCCAATACTGGCTCTGGTGTCCTATCATGGGTCCAATTGTCGGTGCGCAACTGGGCACAATCTTTTATGATCTTTTCATCTTCCAAGGAAATGAAAGCCTCATCAACAAAACGTACGCTTTACCTATTCATCTTCACCGCTACCCCTCTAATTACACGTTCAACGTTTAGGAATAAAAAGTCGGACAGACCCCATGCGCCATCCGCACAGCGGGACATGCTCCCCGCTGGACCTGGGGCCGTCGACAAAGTCTAAGCCACTGTATCTTAATCCCTATCTCACGACCTGTAGCTCTACCACCTCCCTGATAATGTATGTACATACTTGTACAGTTCATAGAGCGTATAATCATCGCCAAATACTTAGTGTTCGTGTCCATGTCCAAGCACACTGCTAAGCGTGAAGGGCACAAACATACCCAAGGTTATGAGTCCTACTCTCGCTCCTTTGGATAGGTCTTCTTTGTGGCCGGAGACGGGCTGCAAGATTGTTGCAACGTACAAGAACGTACCACCCTACGAGTGCGTTAGTGAGCCATGCAGAATAATAAGCGAATATCAGTTACGGAGAAAAGGAGCGCCGCCCCAGTCCAAGTGTGATTAGTCCCAGACGACAGGTATGACATGAGATAGTACGTCAGGATGGCGCCGACGGGGGTAGAAGCACTAAACAAGGCGAGATGCTTTCTACATTCGGGGCGCGGCAAAGAGGTTGCTAACAAAGATGTTGTTAGTGCCAAGGCTGTGGGAGCTGTAAAACAAAAAAATCGCAGTGTTCAGTATCAGCGCTTGTGTAGTCAGCTAAAATTAGACGTGCCCTTGTGAACCATTAATGCCATGAACACAATGAAGGAGAGTTCGGAGGGTTGTGATGACGAGGATTGGTTGGTGGGCAAGAACGATGCCCCAAGGGCCAGACCATCAGCCAGCGCGTGAATGAAGAGACCTAATGTAAGAGCTATGGCATGACCCCGCCCCTGCTGCGCTGCCTCGACACCTTCGTGAGATCCGGGCCTTGGCGACCGACGTTCGGCATCTTCGACATGCGCGAGCTCGTCTAGTTCCGCATCAAATTCAAGCGTACTGTGTTCATGGAGTGAAACGGGGCCGAATGATGGGGAATGTGAATGTGGTGCCAAGACCTGCTCTACAGCGAGCATCAAGACAAAGCCTGTGAGAAGTGAGAGGGCTATCATAGATGTGGGTATGCCAGCCTCCGCTTCTCCAGCGCGCGCGTGGCGGTGCGACGAGACGACGGCTTCAACACCTCTGAGAGCATGAGTCTGAGTCTTCGGGTTGAACACTGAGATACACACTCTGGAATGATCACTCCGAGGGCCGTTCCGATTAAGAGACCCGTCCCAAGGGTGGAAAGCATGGAAATGTGAAGCTCTACGCATCATCCGGGTCCATTCAGCGTCCCGAAAGCGCGTAGACAACATACTCACTTGAGAATGCAAACGACAAGGGGAGTATCCCGACCAAGAACGAGCCTAATCCTAGCACAAGAGACATCAGAAGGAGTGTTCCTGACATCCTGCTGCAATAGGCCGTTGCGATGAGCAAAGCGTTGTTTTGAGGAAGAGGCAATCTGTCACTCGTGCGCCGCGCAACGTGCCCTGCACCGACCTAATACCACGTGACTCCACTACACTTACTTCCCGGATAAAATACACGAGAGGAAACAAAAACATATTACTCATTGCATTGCATTGCAGTCATGAAGTAATTTGATTGTATATAGTCCTAGCTTAGGCCATATTAATGCTAGTTTACCAATGTCATTACCGCAATAAATGAAAGTGCTCGGAAGCGCTTTGACCCAGAAAGAGTTACAGAAATCTTTATATAGCTTTGCACCGCTATAGGTCTTGGAATTTTGAGCAGACATAGAGGGACATTACTTGGGCTTGAGCTTGAGGCCTTGAGACTGGTACACGGACGAGTATTTTGAATGGTGACCACGATTAGTTTGAATGAGTCGAATGACCATTGTATATTGCCAGCCAATTATGAATTATGCATATGCATATGACGTAAGATATGCAGGTATATTGCAATAATTTACTCGCAGGTCTAGGAGTAATCAAGCGTAAGTAGAGGATAAGTAGCATGATGACTGCCACGTACCGCAACGCTAGTGCCTCCGCTTGCAGCAGTACAAGTGAGGCCGGCGCAGCAGGCCTTCGGGTTAGATAAAGTGCACAAGCTTCCCGCCTTGGGGCAAGGCTTGCCGTCTTCCATGAGCTCGGACGCACCGACGATGGCGGCAACGAAGGCAACGGCGAAAGCAACGGTCTTGATGAATTGCATGTTAGGAAGACCTGTGGACCCAATCAGATGCGAGCCATCTTTCAAGACTAAGCAGCTTACTGCTGAAGAGAGGTGACTGAGGAGAGTGCACTGAGGATCTACTGAAGACGCGATGTTGCTTTTAAGTGGCGTCATCTGTACTAGAATCCTTACGGACAACGTTCTCAATGCTAGAGCTTCGCTAATCTTTGGCATGGGGCCAGTTGCGGCCTAAGTAAGCGTAACGCGTGAGTAATGGACCAGCCACCAGACTAGCGCCCCTGTCGAATATGAGCATGAATGCGCTATCGACACCGCCAAGACGGTCCAAAGGGGAACGCCACGGCGCTAACCCTGATGGTAGTTGGTCCCGATTCTGACGTCCTCATTCTCATCGTTCACTTTAGTAAATAGCAGCCTTCATTCTTTGAACATTTGACGCCCTCATGGTCCTCATTCTCACGATGCATTTTATGGCACTCTGGCGATTCAGATACTCCGCCAGTACACACCAGACATCACAAGTGAAACAAACCTTGCAGGATTAAGACAATGCACCGGGTGAATCGCGCGGAGTGCAAACACCTTTGTACGTACTTCCCTAATTGTCCAGTCCAGGGACCTTCGATGACATCAATCGGCCAGGTGCCTCTGATGAGTAAGAAACACCACACATAGCTGGGAGAAAGCCTTTGCAGTTCCCATGCGATGCGACGGGGGCAACCAATCGATCGTAATACATGCCCATCTGAGATACGCCACTGGGAAGCAAGCTGCCCTGCAGTCTACCACCATGACTAGCGATCCCACAGCGTCGCCTAGAGACCTTGACGTCCTCATCGTCGGTGCAGGTTTCAGCGGAATATATCAGCTTCACCACCTTCGTAGCCGAGGCTTCTCGGTAAAGGTTGTCGAGGCTGGCGGCGATATGGGCGGGACGTGGTACTGGAACTGTTATCCGGGTGCTCGTGTCGATTCCGAACACAAGATGTATCAGCTCTCCATCGACGAAATATGGAAAGACTGGAGCTTTTCGTGCAAGTTCCCGGATTGGAAGGAGCTCCGACAGTATTTCTATCATGCAGATAAGAAGCTCGGTCTTCGTCGAGACATACGTTTCAACACCCGGGTGATCGCCGCAGATTTCGACGACAAAGAACACCGGTGGAATGTAACGACACATGTGGGGGAAACCATTCGTCCCCGTTTCCTAAGCATGTGTACTGGTTTTGCATCCAAGCCATACGTGCCACCTATCAAAGGCCTCGAGACCTTTCAAGGGATCTGCCATCATACCGCGCTTTGGCCACAAGAGGGAATCGATCTGAGAGACAAACGGATCGGGGTGGTGGGGACGGGGGCGAGTGGAGTCCAAGTCTTCGAGGAGGCTGCTAAAGTCGCTCAGCATGTTACTATCTTCCAACGCACACCGAACTATGCATTGCCGATGAATCAGGAGATTTTCGACGAGGAAGCGCGGAGGAAGTTCAAGGAGAAACAGGCAGAAGCGTTCGTGATACGCAGGACCCATCCTTCGGGGCATGACATCCCGTACGTAGGCGAGAAAATGTCAGAGATGAGTCTTCAAGAGAGACAGGAATTGTACGAGGGGCTATGGGTGAAGGGAGGATTCCACGTGTCGAAGGGAGGGTTCTCTGAGGTTGGCTTCAACGAAGAGGCTAACGATTGGGTATATGCATTCTGGCGAGACAAGGTTCGCCGACGCATCCATGACCCGCGTTTGAAGGAAAAGCTAGCACCGCAAATTAAACCCCATCCCTTCAATACGAAGCGACTACCTTTGGAACAGGTCGATCCTCTCACCCGAAGTCAGTATTTGAGGATAACTGACGCATAATTTGCAGACATACTACGACGCTTTCAACCAACCTAATACGACCCTAATTGACGTGAATGAAACACCCATCTCCGAAGTCACGCCAAAGGGTATAAAGACGGGAGACGGAGAGGAACACGAGTTCGATATCATCGTTCTTGCCACCGGATTCGATAGTATCACGGGGAGTCTAACGCAGATAGACATCAAGAGCACTGAAGGTGTTCCTCTGAGGGAGAAATGGTCTAGCGGTTTGAAGACGCATCTCGGCTTGATGTCGGCGGGTTTCCCCAACATGTTCTTCGTCTACGGGGCCCATGGGGTGACAGCCTTTGGAAATGGGCCAACTTGTCTTGTAAGCACCAATTTGTACAATCGAGATATCTGCGGCTAACCCAGTGTCCGCTTGTAAGGAGCAACAGAGCGATTGGATTGTCCAATGTCTCAAAGATTTAAGGGGTGGCGGTACCACTAAGATCGACCCAACAAGCGAAGCAGAGGCGGCTTGGACCCAACGCGTGAATGATCTATGTGCAAAGGGTTTATGGACCAAAGCGAAGTCCTGGTGGACGGGCGCCAATATTCCCGGTAAAAAGGTCGAGTGTTTGAGCTTCCCGGGAGGTTTGCCGCTATACACGCAGCTTTGCCAGGAGAGCGCAGCGAACGGATACAAAGGCTTCCTGCTGAGCTCCGTCGCGCCGAAGTTGGTAACCATTGGGAACATTGCCAGGCTCTAGCGCGGATGAAATTGACGCGAACGTATTTAAATGTAGTAGTCCGGCAGCCATGTCCAAGATTGAATTTTGAACGGTCTCTGAACATTGAAGTTGAGGAAAGGCGTGACATGGCCCCGTGGTCGTGTGAAAAACGCTCCTGCCTCCTATCCTGAGTCTATATGGTATGGCTGACCACTTCGCGACAGCTTTCTTCTCTACCACCACCATCATCCCAGTTCTCCTTCTTAAGCTGTTTAAACTCTTTTCAAGTTTTAGTCATGCACCCTATCCAACTTTACGATACTGCGATGATACCGGGCGACGCCGTTGATCGTCGCGCCCCCATCTCCCTGAACTCGGGCAGGCCCCTATTCGTTTCAACCACCGATCTTGAGAGGAACGATTCAGAAGAGACCATCGTCCCAGGCACTCCGAAGGCCAGCATCTCTCTAGGAGGTGAGTTCATAACCTGGCACAGCCTGATACTACTTGCTCATCCAATTTGTGTCTAGACCAGTACATACCTGATTCTTTCACGTCCATGTCAGAGCTTTGCCAGCTAGTCGACAGGCAAAGTTTGACATTGCAAACACTTGCCGCCAATGTACGACCCCTTTCGAAGATTGCTCAGGGTGGCGTGTGTACCCCTGAACACCACATGCCAGCCAGTCCTTCAGACAAAACGTTCCTGTTATTGTTGGCCACGCCCATCGCGCCAGCTATTTGCTTGCACGCGTGCGAAGCGGATGAGAAGACCATGTCTATTCTTCAGCAGGCTGTTGAACACACTTGGAGTCGAGGTGTCCCGAACTCCAATTTTCCCGACGAACAGACGTCGACGAGTGGCAGGGCTATGGCTAGCATTTATTCGGACCTCAGACGTCGATTCCCGCACCCCCAAAGCCAACATGTGCCTGTCAAAATGCAGAAGTGGGTTCAGCGGGCACACAACACTCGTTACGACGAAGAACGTATTACTGTCAAGGGTGTCATGGACGCTGAATCGCGTTTCCAAATCCTCAACCGCAGAAGCGAGCTATATCGGCAGTACGCCTCAAGAATAGCAAGTTATGCTTCAGATATCATTTCTAGAAGCATTGCAGCGGGTCGAGGTCGCCTAAGGGATGGATACGGAAGTCAGGATGAAGACGATGAATTGGCGAACATGGTCTGAGTCCCGCGATGAGGCAGCGTCAGGGGGGGGGCGAACAGGGGGGGGGGCTGTTTATTTTTCATTTTTCAGGTGCTTCGTTTCTTCCTTTCTCTCTCCATCCCTCATTTCATCTTGGATCATCGTGCCTTTTGGCTGCTTCATGACACTTGATACCACTTGGCCAGTGGTGTTGCGTTTCCTGATGTAGACAAAACCACGGCGTACCTTGATGCGAACCCGCAGTGACTTGCACACGTTCATTCCATGAGAACGGGCGAGTGCCAGCCACTGCGGGGTTGCTAGATGAAATGAGGGGTGGGTAGTGATGGGAAGAAAGACACTGCGTGCCATGTTTCCCTCAACAACGGTGGGCCGTCCTGTTGATGGAAATATTGTGCATGACCCGCGTTACGGTGCGTTTTTCTCGCCCGCTTTCCACTTATTTACTTCGTTTCTGTGAGCCTCGACTGCGCAAATTATTCGCTGCAAGGCCTCTCTCTCAGCGAAGTTTCTTGAAAACACCGAAGACCCGTTTCAAGACCATCGGCGCCGCCTTCAACTTCCAGTGGCAAGTCTTCTAGGTTGAACTGCGCCCTTGTCTTCCTTCTTCATGTTGAACTGTGTCACCATGTATATCTTCTGTGTTTTTTGTGAACTTGATCTGTACTTGCATGTTCCCCTGTTGTATCGCTGCTATGTATGCTTTGCCAAAATCTTGATTGCGGACTCTCGTTGTGTGACTTCACCTCTAAACCAGAGTCCGCGTTAGCAAGAATATCAGAGCCTAGAGGTTGTTTATGGTTTCGCCTGAGTGAGAGCCCATCCACTCGGACCGATCTTGTCGAACGCGTTTGTGCAACTTGTGACCGTATATGTCCATGTGTGTTCTTACGCTAGCAGGAGTCGGTGAATTATCACTTGCGAACGGTCCATGCCTCCGATGGTGGGTCTTATCATTCCACAACTGCACAATTAAGCACTTGACGGTGCGTGGCACAGGTAGGACGGGCCGTATTATCGTCTCATACTCATACTCATAAACGCCGCTGAATCTAACTACCAGTACAGAACACAAGTGATCTGGGGTACTCAAGCCACAGTCAACTCTAAGGGGCGGGCTATATCGATAGAGCCTAAAAGACAGAATCCAACTTCTGAAACAACGGGATTCTACCGAGAAGATATAAAAATAAACTCCACGAGCCAGGCAGTAGGCCGATGTATGCGGAGCTTTAATTACAGGTTTACCACCGAGTTGAAGACCTGAGATTTATGTAATCATCTTCGCAAATACCGCCCAAATGGGTGAGCAGAGATCCTGAACATGTTCCTTTAGCACCAAATAATGGGCCTTCTTGATGCGTCGCTCTGGTGAAATGAACTACCGATTATCACCGCCTTCCGAACGGAACACCCTCGATTATGGGAGTGCATGTAATACCATCATTTTGTAGTACAAGTGAAGTCGCGATTCGTAGATAGGGAGAATCCTACTACTCTCCGAGAACTCTTTAGGACTGTTGGTTCCCTACGCGTTTAGCAGCTCGGCACCCGTCACAAGGGTATGGAACTGCACTAGTCGTGAATGACTGATCGTCGAGAAGCCTGCTGCCATGAGGAAAATTGCGACAGGTTAGGTTTCTGACATACCTTTGCGCGCAGGTGGTCTGGCATGGATGTTCGTCAAGTGGATGCACCGGACTTAGAGCACAAGTTCTGCTGTAGCAGTCCAGCTGCACAAGATTGTCGCGGTGAGCACATGAAGTCAAGCAGCTGTCGAGGCGGCAAACCTTTTGACGGCGACTGATGATGAGGTGCCCGCAAGAATACAGCGTAGTTAGTCGAAGGATGAAGCACATTATGTTTATGCTGTTTTGAATGAAGCAAGCTGGGGGTAGCCTTGCTTGAGGGTTAATTTATACCTCAGGTTCGAGGTTCAAGTCTTCATCGACGACGAGCTGAATAGGACAACACAGCAATGATTTGCCGGCGGACGTGTATGCTGTGGCGATAAGACGATTTAGTCCGAGGCAACATGACTATCTTCTTCCGCATTCCGTTCACATGGTAGGTTGCAACTCTTGTCTGCATTGAAGGGATCCACAGAATCCACGGATCGTCTATGTTCAAAAGTGAGGGGAATGATCAGCGACTTCGCAAGAGCCTGTGAGAGAGACTTGATTGGCTTCTATAAGCCAATGTCGAAGAGAACTTTCTGAACTCACCGGCAAAGGAGACGTGCTCTGCATTCCGCCTCCTAACTCATCAGGGTAGGATGCATATGGCTTTAAATTTGTGTAGGTGTCAGGTTTGGGTAGGAAGTAATGACTGGTATTTGTGCCCTCAGGTGAGATGGGCAAAGCACTGAATTTTTGTGGACCGTTTTTCAACCTTGTGCTGGGCCAGACAGAAGTAACCAAACATGGACAAACAAGATGCACTTTATCTTCATGCCAACTTGTTCAGTCGTAGACCTCGGCCCAAGACAACGCTGCGGTCTGAGTCTGTCTTGCGGGCAAATGTTGGTAAGCACAATTATACTACAATCCCACGCAGCACTGGGTCAGGTGTTCTCCGACCATAGGCATTAGGACCTATTCGAGATCTGTCAGATTTATGTCATAAGATTTTCGTGGTCCTCGCTATAACTCCGTTAAGTGTGTGTCTATTTCGGCCGTGCCCACGAACTGCACACACAGAAGAAGAGGATCATCACGGTGACCGTGTATTCACGAGGCTTGGTTCTCCGCAATGCTCAACAATTATATCTAGACATACTGGGTCCGACCGTGCTTCCAAAGGACCCCATGGCTGTAAGCTATTACTTGTTAGCGAAGGCTTCCCCTGGTGCAATCAGCTTCAAGCTGGGTTATAAAATAACCGGGGTGCATTCTGACCCTCTTCTCGATTTGGTTGGAAGTTCGTTGTGAAAGGTCAGTACCACAGGCTGTTGGGCGATGATCGTAACAGATACGGACTTATGAACACCATGAGAGTAAAGCATGTTTTCTGCTATCTCTACTCATCTAAGATGACCCAAATAGCTGCTCGCAGCTTGTCTCCCTGAAGATCTGATTGGGTACGGTATTTCTGCTTGCTCTGTTTGACAGCGATCTCAAACACCACGCAATTCGAAGGAATCTATGGTCTCAGGAGATTGGTCCTTTCTTTCGCTCCACAGAATTTCTCCTCCTTTCTGTACCGCTTCGGGCACCATTCCCGTCGACGCGTTTTTGCTGGGATACTCGTCCGGAATGAGCTATCGATCCCCAGTCCAAGCACTAGTTCATTTCTATCGCTCAACACCCGGCTCGTAGGCTCGTGCCGTTTCTTTTCTGCCTTTCCACCCTCTACGTACGATGTTCCATCCACTGTTCGAAGATTCGCCAGCTTCGCCTGTTCTGGGCCTTCCAGGCTCTCGATGCTGTCGGAACTCGCAACATACGGTGCGCGTGCCTGGCATCTTTCCTACCATCCTGCCACACAGTGGCATACGCAATGGACGTTTGGATCGCCAGGTCGTATTTGGCCCAACACGATGGCCAGGGAATCCTTCAAACAGCCCTTCTTGGCCTCCGAACTGGACTTCAGTACGCAACTAGCTAGTTGGAGGTCCATAACTCTCATCATATGCTTCAGAGCATAAGTAAAGTAGCAACACCACTTCTGATTATTCTACTGTTATCCGATGGATGGGTTCACCGCTACGTATCCGCCATCGATAACTATCTCTTGGCCATTCGTATAGCAGCCAGCGAGCGACGCAAGGTATACCGCTGTTCCGGCCATCTCCTGCGCGCTAATTGGGAGATGAAGTCAACGGTGCAAAATTGGACTACAAGCTGTATCGTACTTACGTTCCAGCCCTCTTTGCGGGTACAGGATGAACTCCCATCCCAATCTTATCGACTTGCTCTGGAGTTATAGTATCAAATGTCATCTCCGAAGCATACACCCCTGGGGCAATGGCATTCACACGGACTGGAATGCCCTTTAGTGCGAACTCCGTCGACAAGAGCTTCGTGAGATGCGAGGCGGCGCCCTTGGCGCTATTGTAACAGAACTGGGCGGAGGCACAATGAGAGCGGGCGTCAAAGGGAGTCATTATTCATACTTACATGGTTCTGAGCCACCTTGATAACGCCACTTATACTCGTTGTATTAATGATGGAGGAGGTGTACCCACTCGCTTCCTTCTCCTTCGTTCCCTTCGCCAGTAACCCAACAAATGCCGTGCTAACGAAAAATATGGAAAAGGTGTTAATGGTATACAGATCTGCCCATCCTTCAAAGGACTCGTTGTCGAAGAGGGCCCTTCCCAGTGTTTCAGCACTCTGGTGCTCGGGCGCAGAGAGATCGTTGAGAAATGGAGATGTAGGTCCAACCTGACCAGCACTTCAAATATGCAACGATCACATATCCTATCGACGTATGCGAGAAAATCAAAGACGAACTTGTTGACCAAAATATGCAATCGGCCTTCTTTCTGTTCTATATGATCCCGAGCAGCGCGAATGCTCGTCTTATTGGTAGCATCCATCTGCAGCCTGCATCCCCTTCAGGGGGATAATTGGATTGCTGGAAGAGGACATACGGTATAATGGCGCCAGTTCCTCGATCCCATACATCAGCAGCCTTCTGTAAGACTTCCAGACGACGCCCAGTGATGTACACTTTAGCGCCGTTCGCAGCAAGTCCATAAGATATCATGAGGCCTATCCCTGTGCCTCCGCCTGTCACTACTGCTACGAGACCTGTGAGGTCGTAAATTGCTTTTGCAGAGAGTGACATGGATGACGGAAGGTAGGATTAGACACCGTACGTATCTGTAGAAGAGTTATAGATGGACCAATGCGAGAGGACGGCCCGTATCCTGAAGGTCGGACCGCTCGTCCACATGGTGTCATATTATTCTCTCGTACCAAGCCTTATCAACGGAGACGAATCTACGCTATATATAGCGCTCTGCCGCTTTCAGGCTCCTCTACATACCAGCGCCGAGACCTTTGGCCAGTTCTAAATTCAGAGACGAGGTGAGCGTTCACATCGTGAAGCAAGGATCCGGTAGAGACGTACTGCTCATGTCAACGATAGCACCAACAAACTCCTTTACTTTACCGCCCCACTCTTTGGGTGGGCAAGTGAACGATGTGCTCTTGGGTGAGACGCTAGTCTTGCCACTGCCACGTTCGCCACTGCCACGTTTAGATAGGTCGCTATTGAAGGGAGTATAATCAATGGAGCGCATAGCTACTTCGCCACGATCACCGACGGAGCGCTTCTTTGGGCAGAGCGAACCTCCCTACAATAGGAATATAAGTTGGCCACCAATACTGTGAGGTGGGCTGCGTACACAGGCGAGGGGTGGCCATTCCTTCTTCCAAAGGCTGTGCTTTACTTCCATGCCGGGCGTCCAGCCGGTCCAGCTTTTGAGCCAGGACCAGTCGATCTTAGCCTCAACTCCAACATGGGGGTCGACGCCGATCTTGACGACGTATCCGAGCTCTGTGCCGCTAGGAGGACCCGGAGCCGCACCACTCTCGAAGATCGTCTTGCTTGCTTCAGCCTCTGCCGTCAATTTCACCTCCACACCAAACCACGAATCGGCTTTAGCTCCCCCTTTGATAGTCATCGCGCCGACCATGATCTTAGGTGTGACGCCAATTTCTAAAGACACCTTGGACTTTGCGCCCCCAGCAAACTTGGCCCCGATCTCTGTATAGATAGATACATGGTTGGATTCAATCCACGGTATATCAGCGAACGGCGTACCTGTGGCATTAAAGTATGGTCTCAATCCTCCTTTTTCCTTAGACGGCATCGTAATGGTAGCTAGATTGTACTGGGTAAGTGGAGGAGCACATGAATCACAAGATGGGACAGCACCGTGATTGAACCCATATTGCAACTTGTTGGTTAACTGAAGAGAAGCTTCGGCGGAGAGCTTCGCCTCGAGCTTGATGGCCCCTAGGAGACCTATTTGACCCACCCTGAAGAGACAAATTAATAGAGGCCCCGGATGCCATGTCCATAACATACGTACCCAAAGTTAATTGCGGTTATTTGAGGGACCGAGAATGGGCCAAATTCCTTAGACCAAGTAGTAGAACCCTAATATCAACCAGACTTTCGATATGAATATATATCGTCAAGAACAAATGGAGTCTAACCTTCAGCGCGACGTTGATGTTGTTTTCGTGTCGGACATTCAACGTGAAGTCTAGAGCAATCATTAATAAATATAGAGATGGCCCAACAGGAAGAACGTCACCTTCCAGGAATCCAAGGAGGTTCGAGAAGATATTGTTTTTACCATAGCCGCAGCCACCCCATTGCCCTTGGCCCCACATAAAAGTATCTATGGTCCCAGTGATGTCCAACTCTACTTTCGTTTCCACACCCTTGGCTTTAGAGCCTAATGTTTCAATCGGGCATGACATCGCGTGCCCTTTAACCTCGATTGAGCTGAACGCCTCGGAGGCGCTGCCCCATCCTTTAGGCGCACTCACAATTGACTTGAAGTCTTTGCCTTTTGGAAGAGCAATGAGCTTGGCGTCTGCTGGCACTCCTTTCAGTTGAATATCTGGTGAGGTAACATGGATCTTTTCTGGTGGTCCATCTGGGGAGAACGGGGACACGGAAGCCTTGATGCTCGTGAATTTCCAGCCACCTGATGTCGTACGTGCTTGGAGATGGTGGTTTCTCTGAGTCTTTATGCTATCCTGTAGCTCTGTGAAGCGTTAATTGGTTATCGCTATATCCTAGCAAGAAGGAGTACCTGAGACAGCCTTCTGGATGAATTCTCCTACGGCATCCATGTTTGAAACATCTTCGGGTATAGCAGAATTGATATCGGCCCCAGGAACACTGGCACCGTACTATGCGAAGTGTGTAAGAGTGGAGCTTATCGGGGGCTAAATTGGCATACCATGACGAAGTGCACGTCGCCATGCCTGAGAAAATCTTTAGAAAATAGAGAAAACGAGAAAGAAAGAATCCGCGTACTTGGAATAGTCAACTTGGTCGAACTGGCGAATGGATTAGGGCAACTTATGATCGTTGTGATAAGAATCATCACCTTGTCATCGATATTGACAGCATAAACCTGGGGTACGCTATTGTCTCGGCGAGTTACCCCGTGGTGCTCAGAGACAGACTGGTCTTCGTGAACCCAGAATCTGGAGATTCTAGCAAAGGGCAATGACGAACACTAGAGAAGAAGCCAGTTCAAGGAGCAAAAATAGTCTTTTCTCCAGAACTCACGCTCTCGGGAAGTCGAACATGTTTGTCGACTGGTCCAGCACCGCCGAAGAGATGAGCGCATCCAGATCCCTCAGCGTCATCGCCTTTGCAGACGAGGCGGATATCCTGGGAAAGGGCATGAGGGTCGCAATCCAATACGCCCATCCAGCAGCGGGAGTGATATCCGCGATGGCATGAGGTTTGGAGAACTATAGCAAGGTTAGTCCCTCGGAACAGGGTCATGGCGAGGCACTCACCAGCTTTACGGCTCCCGACTGCTGCTTGTGGTCGGGTATGTCGTACGCACATTCACCTTCGAAGCAAGGCTTGCTCCAGTCATTGTGGGTGCGACCAGCAACGAGTGTGGCCGCAAGGATGCCAAGAGCGAAACCGGACTTCATCGACATCCCCTGTTGATCGGTTTTTAGTAGAACATACCGGTTGAGGCGATCCAACCAACCGACTTACGGGTGAGAGAACGTCCAGGAAAGAGACGACCTAGAGGAGATCGATGGCATGCCGGTGTTGCATTGCTTGTCTTTTGTATGGGCACTCAATCGTCATCCTCTCAGTCCGGTACACACGCGGGTCCCAACTTGGCTACATCCTGGTATGTGTCGGTGTAGCACTATACAAGTTATTGGCTAATACGCCCATGGTTTACAATCAGACTGTTATGGAGCAATACTAAGTGTCAGTGGCGCAGTGCCAATGACACGAACTTGCCAAATTGAGATCTGTTGACTGAGTCGGAATCAACAATGACAACTGACCAGCCTGAATTTACCAACCGTAGTGTGATTGTACCTGTGGTCGACTCCGGATAAGAAACCCGTTCACACTGTCAGAATGCTGCGACATATGTCCGGGACAAATCGGGCTACCCTGCTTTCTGTCTTCGAAACTACTCGTATTTCGGGGTTGAGGTAGTCAATGCTTGGACACGTCATACCTGGCCAGCTAAGTGGACAAGTTCCCTTCTAAACCATACAGGCAATCGCATTCCCAAAGTCTACAAAGAATTCCCAGCCTTATTCAGACAAGGATGAGATGTTACATGTAGCTATGCGGGGCTGGAGCGTCGTTGCGGGCGGCCAAGCCTAAACCACCTGTAGTAAATATTCAGACTGGGTAATATACGACGAACAGGCACCCTACCAGTTCAGATGCAATGTGCTTGAAGTGGACAATTCCTTCTGCGATGCAATTGAGCAGGCTCGATGCCAATCCCCACCACAGTGCTTATGTAGGGTGCTTTCTTCTACAAAGGAAATGCGAGCTACTGATGTGTGTCAGACGCAACTCTAGAATGTGGGGGTCATGTTCTAGTGGTAATGTCGCTTGCTATCCTGGCGACGCCGTCGATGCGTATATAGATGTCTGGACAACCAAGGCATTGACCGTATGATGCGTGCGGCCAGATCCTGATCATACCACCCATGCTCCAGACGTATGCTATGGAGCTTTCTCGGCAAACGAAAAGCAGCGAAGAAGTGCGAGAGATTGTGGAATCTGTTTGGGCTCTCGGAGAGATCGGCGAGATAAAGGGATTTCAGGGATGGGAACGTTATGAAACGCATGAGCGCAAGGAGCTCGGAAGGGATATCCGGGCCGTCATTATTGATCTGAAGAGTCTCGAGCTGCGCGAGTGACAATCGCGGGATGGGGTTGGGAGGGCGGCAGACGCAGGGGTCAGCTCCGCTCCAACGGAACATAATCTTGAGTGAGGTGAGGTGATGAGAGACGTGCAAAATTGACAAGACTTCATGTACGGCAGACCAACCCGCGGAGAAGCGATGATGAGTGTAGTCAAGATATGTAAGGTTTGCGTAGAGGGACGGGGCCCATGACAATCTGATTCCGTCAACAGTAACGCGTCGCAGATTGGGAGCAACGCCGTTGAATAGCCAGTATTCCTTTGAGTCGTCGTTGGCAGGGTAGATGAGGTGCATTTCTTCGAGCAAGGGTGCATGAACTCGGGACGTATACGCGCAGCATTCCGATAGGGCAGCATTCCAAAGGAATGGTGAGTATGTTGCGAAGACGATTTCGAGTGACCTCCATCTGGGAATCAGTCGGGAGATCGAACGCATGTACCATTGGACAAGGTTGTAATCCGATCGCTGGAGAAGTCGGTGCCCGGGTCTTGATGTGTAATACGGCAAGAGTTGGACATCTAACGAACATGACTTGGCGCGATGGATCCAAGTTCGCCATAAGGTCTCGTACGGCGAAAGGCAAATCCTACGCCACAGCTTGGGCGTATGCAGAGCGATACTTCGCCAAGCATGGCAAACTTGAGATATGTTCATTGCAAACATATCATCTACTTCAGCACCAGCGATAAAGATATGGGCGAGTAGCTCCGTCGGGAGGAAGTGTATGAAGTGCGCTCTGTTGTACGGTGCGGCATATTGAGACTCGGAGTGGTTGACTCTTGAACTACATGAGACATGACCACTTAGCTCGATTGATTGAAGTTATCTGTCCTCACCTTCGTGCAAATATTCCCTTCCTCACGGCGTCGAAGAATGAGCGTGTCATCGTCCTGTCCCCCCTTCGTTGTGATCGTCCTGTGAGTATGGGCATTCGTTCAAGGTCCTCCGGGGGTTCATTGCGTTGTATATAACCAGGACCGATTAGGGGCTGTAATAGATTGCGGCTGAATCAGGCGAGCAGGGTGCAGAGACTTGGGGGGGGAAGTGAATGATGAGAAATGGAGGTATTCGTCTTGTTCTTGGAAGCCAGTTGCCACGGAGGGGACATGCGACAATAGAAAGAAGGCAAAGGAGAACCAAGCGAGCGTCCTCTGCCGGAATTCAGTCCCTTCCTTGACGTATATGAGACCATCTCAGCACAGTCTAGCACAGACATCGATTCGGACAAAGCAGAGTTCCATCCAAGCCCTTATGGCTGTTCTAGGACAACTAGGTTCCCACGCCACCAGGCAATTCAGCGCCAAAACTCGGAGGTTGATCAAAGTTGACGCTCACTGTCAACGACGCCGCGCCCATATTCCGACAATAACTGCGACAATGGACGAGGCACAATCCCTTGACGAGCTCGCCCGTCTCCTTGAAAAGATTTCTCATTCACCCTACAATGTATCCTTACACTCTCAATATATCCGGCTCGCGGATACAACGGAAGGCATGGAAACTGAGGCATTGTCCGCTCGAGAGATGATGTCCAACTTCCTGCTTTGTTGTGAACGGGTCTGGATCCCTGTCGTGGAATCAAAACGCGCCACTGCAGACCTGAATACAGCAGAGGGAATATTCCAGGTACTCGACTTATACGTTCGTGCCGAAATGGACTACCTTTGTATGTAGAATACCTTCTGCTGTGTTGCTAAGCTTTCTAAACGGCATTAATAGCTATACCTTTACTACTACAACACCTCGAATTTATTGTCGAAAAACACGCCCAATTTAGTTTCGGTGCAGCTGAACGACCTGAGGGGCTTGGAGAGATTCTTTCAACGGACTGGACGCGTGAGGAGATATCCAACATTGTGGGCAAGGGAATAGAACACCTCACCCAGGTCAGTATGAATGCACATATCCCACGTCCCTTCCTTATTTCAAATTAGAGTCATCTACTGTGGGATATCCAGCGAGACTGGGAAATGTCGCAGCTGGAAGCTTCGGTTACCGAGGACCGGGCTCCGTTAGTTGAGCGTGTTCAGCTCCTGCATTTGACTCGCCTACGTCAACCACATTCAAGTGCGTGCCTCTCTATATTCGTATCTTGACTTCCATTCATACGCCAACAATAGCACTTGAGGATACTGCTCAGTCGTATTCGACGTTTACTACAAACTATAAGCCACCAGCAGAATACGAGTCTTTGCTTGTATCGGCTTCGAAGATACGTTCGCAGGGCACCAAAGCCTACGAGCGTCGCGAAAGCTTCGAGACAAATCTCGTTCAGAGCAACAACTCTCTTGACACCTTCGCGCGATACATCGCTGCAGAACGACGCGCAAGATATCCCGATTTATTTGTCCTAAAAGGAGTCTATGAACGTGCTATAGCACAAGCAGCTAAGCAGCAGTTCGAAGGTGATGCAGGTGCCGAAGCGGCATTGCGCGCATTCTGGATAGGCTACTGCGATACACTGGTAAAGCTTTGCATGGGCTATGTTGTTGCTTAGAAAGTATTGACCTCGTATATGAAGCGCCTCCACGAAGCCGCTGACGAAGAAATGGAGCTTCAAGTCTTCAAACGAGCTACTAAGAGTGTTCCTGGTTCTGGGGAGGTCTGGGCAAGATATATTCGCTATCTGGTGCGCGTTTTCGCCTCTTAATACACTCGGAACGCAAACATGACTCTCATAACAGGAACGTGTCGTGAACTCTCAGGACGTTCCAGCCGATCGTGACTCAGCTTCAGGTAACTACATCTCATTTAAGATGGTAATTTTACTCCATCGCAATTTGCCTAGACGTGTACGACAAAGCCATGTCAACGAATTTGATTCAGCTCGATCCAGAGCAGATTGTCCCTTTGACATTGGCTTGGGCAGGTCATGAACGACGGCGAATCGAGGCTGGCGCCGCAGGTCCGTATCCTGGTCGTCACTCAGAGCTGCTTTATCTCACAAGCATGGGGACACAGATGAAGAAGCTTTTGCCACTCTTATTAATGTCCTTCAGCAAGGCATCAGCCTCGTTCGAAAAGGTACTTAATCCACTGGCATTCTTATTCTGCTTTTATTCATACCACGAGCAGCATCGCTTTCCGGAGACCCGAGGTTTCGTTTGGAAAAGAACTTGGCAGACATCGTAAGTCAACACATCGTCAGCCTGTTAGCATCTTGATCTCTAGTATGCAGTACCTGCGGCTCGCCGACCTCCCGGACCAGGGTGCAGAAGTATGGCATCAAACAGCTAGGCATCTCAAGTCTAGCTATCTTGCATGGACATCGTACATTGATATTCTAATGTAAGCCCCCAACTCTCTGTCTCCTTTGTTTATGAATTCAAAGTGAATGCTGTTAGCAAACAGGACAAACACGACACGGCAAGAGCGGTATATAAGGATATACACACGAAGAATCTCGATTGGCCAGAGGTTATTTGGGATGCTTGGCTAACCTTCGAACATCTATATGGTACTGTTCAAGATATTGAATATTGCTTGGATCGGATTGAGAAGGCACAATACCAGGTCAATATGCGTCGTGCTAAGGTAGCGTTATATCTGTCCCCGGTCGTTGATCATCACTCATAGTCGAGTTAGGAAGCCGAAAAGGCATCATATCAGGCGGCGCAGATGGTGATCGAACCAGCAGCCAATGCCCCCGTTGCTGAGACCATCCAGACCGAGTCTGGTGCCAGCGGCCAGCAACAGACCGTCGCAATGGATGTGGATGTCTCTCTCCCAGAGTTAGATTCGAGCAAGAAACGGAAAGCCGAAAACGAGCCGACGCCTCCGGCGGAATCACACAAGAAAGCCAAAACTAGTAGGGTTGCTATTTTGTCGTGCTAAAGCCTCAGGTGCTGACACTAGGTAGCAGCACCACCGCCACCATTAAAGAGGTACAAGGCACATGTGATTGTTCCGTAAAGTGCTAACTGGAGACTTTAGGGACCGGGAGAACTGTACAGTCTTCGTGTCTGATCTTCCTGACGGTGTGACGGAGGAGAATCTCACTACTTTGTTCAAAGATGTGGGTTCGACTGCGCTACCCTTCAAGTCCTGACCGCTCATTTCGATGCCTTAACCAGTGCGGGAAAATCCGAGAGGTCAAGATAACGAAACTGCCAAGCGCCCTAGTAGCTACTGTAGAATTCAATGAACGGGTGATTCAATTTTTGAATGCGTTTCTGACGCGCAACCATAGCTTTACTGACAGTAGCGTTTAGGACAGTGTCCCCGCTGCCCTGACGAAGGACAAGAAGCGCGTGCTTGAGCAGGAAATTTCCGTTCACCTTGCATGGAAGTCAACACTGTATGTCACCAACTTCCCAGAAAAGTCGGACGATGCGTCTATCAGGGAGCTATTTGGAAAGGTACGAGATTATCCTATGTTGTGTGTAGCTGACTTATTTTCCTCCAATGCAGTACGGAACTCTCTTCGATGTCCGTTGGCCCAGTAAGAAATTTAAGAACACTCGTCGGTTTTGTTATGTTCAGTATACATCACCAGTCAGTTCGTACGTTCATGCACTGTGACTATATGCTCACGTATTCTTAGGGGGCTGCCCAAGAGGCTCTCCTCCTGCACGGCCTCGAGTTAGAACCTGGGTTAGCACTGAACGTCTACACATCCAATCCTGAACGGAGGAAAGAAAGAACCGACCAGGATGCGAACGAAAAGGAGGTTTATGTGGCCGGGCTAAGCAAGTTCACCTCCAAAGACGATTTAGTGAAGATCTTCAAAACGGTCAGAACATCTAATTGAGACCACGAAAAACGCTATCCTGATCTTCATTTCTCTTAGTATGGCCCAGTCAAGGATGTTAGAATGGCTACCTTCGACGATGGACATTGCAAGGGCTTTGCGTTTATTGAGTTTGAGGACGAGGTACAGCGGTTGTACTTCGTCTGATCAACCATACTAATGGCGCTTTACACATAGGGCCATGCGCAAGCAGCACTTGCCGCAAATAACTACGAACTGAAGAAGCGGCGCATTGCTGTGACGATGGCCAACCAAAAAGTCCGCGCAAAAGAAAGGCGAGTTCCTCCCACATCTCGAGTCACTTTCAGACTAAACGTGTCCGACTAGGGGTGGTCTTGAGTCTGGATTGAGTAAACGTGCAGACGAACGTAACCGCTCTGTGCGTGTACGTGGTCTCCCACCCGCAACGCAGGAAGGGTTGCTACATCAGACATTCGAAAAGCTTGCTCCCATCAAACGCGTGGAAGTATTCCAAACAAAGGGAGAAGCTGTCGTTGAACTCCAAAACGCCGCGGTCTGTGTTCATTCCACTATTTGGTAGGGTTGGGCAACTCACAATCCAGTTGTATAGGACGTAGGTAAATTACTGTTACGCACCGAAGCTGTTGAGTACGAGGGACACGTATTGCAACTCTCCGAGGAGCTATCGGAGCAAGCGGTAAGGTCTACTGCGCCTTTGGCTAGGGCAGGGGGTCTGTTTGTTCCTCGCTCAGCTGCATCGCGGCGGCGAGCAGGTTTAGGACATTCCCGTGGTACCAAGAAACCTCCAACCAATATTGGAGCTGTAGCCTCTGCCTCGAGCTCCCAGTCTTCGCAAGGAAAAGGGCAGGACGACTTCCGCAAGATGCTCGGTTGATTAGTATCCCTCTTATATCAGTATTGGAGCAGCCTCCAGCTCCATAACGAACTTGTACCGTGATAAGATAGGAAAAGGCGCGGCCAAATCCTCTACTAACAGATCTGATCTGAGCAAAAGGTAGATCTCTCGAAGTTTGGAAGATCAAGAGAAGTGCTACCTCCATGATTGTGGGGCGACCGTAGAGTGCAATACCATCCTGACCAATTGGAATATAAGACGTTATTATGAATGACTTGTAAGTATCGTGCGTGGAGATATGTGAGTGTATGGTATATAGTGTCATGAGCATTCGACGGAGAGCGCTACTGGCACATACATATAGTGTCATGAGCATTCGACGGAGAGCGCTACTGGCACATACAGTCATTAACCGCCGTTTGGGACAGCATCACCATGTGGGACAAAGCTGTAAGGGGACACTCCTATTTTCTCTCCTTTCCTTCATCCCATGGACTCTTACCTACATTCCCTTTGTTCCCCTTCGTTCCTTTTCGCTCCCTTTCCTTTCCACTTCCTTTCCACCCACTCCTTTTGCATCCGAGCCGCGTCTGGTGACTCTGGAGTCTTCCACACTTCGGACACTTCGGACTCGCTCGGACTCGTTTCGGACACTTCGGACTTGCTCAGACTCGTCTATTGTTAGGGCAACACTAATACACTATAAAAGCGTACGCGGACCCAACAAGAATTGGAGTAAGGAGTAAAGAGTTTGAGAGTTAAGAGAAGAGGGTTGAGCACGAAGACACTGACTCAGGCACTAGTACTAGTGGTAGTCCCAAGAGAACGAGTTATCGTCTCTGGGTGTTTATTAGGGTACTTATATACTACTATACATGCTACGTCCTCATGTCTATCTACATGCTGTGTCCTACCGTCTTTCCATGGAATGATTAGCTCAGCTGCATGGGGTATGACGCTTATTGACTGCGCCCATGCAGTAGCGGTGAGGCGCTGACTGAGACTATTAGTAAGACGGCCCGGATGATGTAAATAATGTATCGTAAGTAGCTATGCTTGGGTAATACATCATGTGCCCAATAAGATAAGGAGAGATAAAAAGAAAAGAAACATTGGACCATAACATCTATATTCTTTGGGGCTTGTCCGGGTTACCTCTATCCTTTTCCCCCACTTCATTACTCTTCACCCTTACTTCCCCAAGTCGCTGGCACGACTCCTGTGCATTTACCCTCCACTTCATTATCACATGTTTCCTTGTACCTTGTGATATTCGCTCGGACTTGTGGCTGGTGTACTGTACAGTTATCCTGCATTCCTCTCACGCTACTACAGTATATACTTTGCTTCCTAGCATGGAGAATCCTTATCCTGTTCTCTTTGGATTCTCCCTCTGCTAGGTGAGCAGCCCTCTCATGTATTGTAGTTAGTCTTATTCATTATCTTTGGATTCTCCCTCTGCTAGGCTCGCGCTGTGTGGCCATCTTGAGGTTGCCCTTACAAAAGCCTCGGAACACTCATTCCACCTCACAATCAACTTCGGACATTCGTCTAGTTAGTAGATAATTCTCTTTATAATTGTATCCTACTCCTCTGAGGCAAATTTAGAAACTATTCATTGGATAGTGTGAAAAATTAGTGTTAAAAAGGGAATTCATAGTTAATCTAGCAAGTAATAGACAGAAGACTTCCGTCAGTACACCGATATACATCCTGTGTAAGATACTGTAAAAAAGATCAGGGTGTAAAACAGTTAGAGTACCGATGATATATGATATGAAGGATATTGAAAAGCTAGGTCCCCTGTGTTGGAACCGACCCATACTATCACTGCGCCACCAATGCAAAGTGGACCCCCTAATGCAAAAACATTTTTTGCTGCCCATCCTCTGTCCCACAAATCACCAAAAAATCAGTTTAAACGAGTACAGATACTATCAACCTTAGTAAAAGATTTAGAGTTCCTTTGTCAATATCCTCATGATGTATGTAGGTAGCCAATGGTTGTTTGCATTTGGGTGCAAATCGCAGTCCAGCGAGCTGGCGGCATCGTTCAGAGCTGAAAAAAATGTGTCGCGCGGACATTGTCATCATAAGATATTACACCAAGTTTCTACAAGATCGGCTAACTGGAATGCAAGCTACAAAAAGGAATTGTGCAGTGGGCATAGTTGGCACGGACAACAGCGATAATTAGTTCAAACTCTGTGGACGTGTCTTACCCCTGACGATTGACGCGACTGAATACTGCTTATCTCACTAATTCATACTATACCACTATCCCAGCTTACAACTTCTATCACCCTCATAATGCTTCATAGTTCTAGTCATATTAGAGTTTAGTACTCAATTCTTCTCCTTGTCATTCCACCGCTCTTGAGGTCTCGCGCGACACATCTGACACGACTTGGACGCGACTCAGGGAATCGGCATAGCGGCATGATGGCGGAGTGCAAATATCGCTGACAGATTGAGACAGAACTGTGTCTTGGCATTTTGCACTAGAGGATCCATTTGCACTGCGCACTCCGGCATGGCTATAACCTCTTGAATTCTGGATAGAGCACCTCTGGATTATTTATTAAAGTAGATTACAATGTATACTACTTGACCACTCATGCCGAAAGGGATCCAGCGCGAACTTGTGGTCGTAGAATTTCGTTTCTGTGAAAGAGTGCCAAATATTTGCACATCTAGCGCAGTGATAGTATTTGGAACAAATGGCACATTGCTTGCGTCTGTTTGCCTACGCACGTGTCCGACAGCTTCCTACAGTCTATGATAGATAGGGCGTCGTGATAATAGTCTGCAGTTCTTAGCTATACAGGACAAGACAGGCCCATACCGTCTGCTGTAATGCATTAGCGCAACAATGCGGCCACTGCTGTCGCAAGCAAGGTTTTTTAGGTGCCAGCGGCACCTCACTAGTGATATATGATATGAAGGATACCAGAGCTTAGGGGCTAGCTGTCACATCACACTTAGACGTTGATAGACGCTGGTTGAGAAGACTAGTAGATAAGATAATCCTATGACTATATCGGGATGCTGATGATTCCCATCAAGTGGGAAGCTGATAACGAATTTTAGAGCTGATACCCCTCATCAAAATGGAGCACTGTTGATGTTAAGGCTTCAGATATATATTCAATAGGGTACACATATGCCTCAAAAATCCGTTTGAGGATCAATGCGGTACTGATCGATTCCGAGGCGCTTCAATTTTGGACTGTCCCAAACGGCGGTTAATGACTGTAGTGCCCAAATCAACCTTGTCTTGGACAAATCCATACGATCAACAGCAGGGTCTGGCGTCCGTCGTCAAGCAAGGTACAGTAGTCGTTCTCGGAACCTTTTGTGTGTTCGCTTCTGACCGACTATGGAAATTATTATTGATCTTGAACCAGGGTTCTTGCAGGGTTGAGTGGCTACCTTGTTTCCGTCTACGCCTATGGAAAGTCCATAAACTCTCGACTGGCCGATAGCAGCATGTCGACCCTTCTTTGCTTCAATTTCTTCAACGGCTTTGGGTCCCATTGATATAAGATCACTCAGACTTCTGGAATCCATACCCGCCACCCCGCCTCCCCCTTTCCGCGACGGCTTCTTGCACACAATGACGGATTGGATGTCCCCACAAGTCGTGGCCCAGAATGCGGCTGCTTTCACCCAGTTTATGCATGCACTCTTCGGAGTCTACATGTTCGTATCTTTGTGCCATCTATAATTCGTATACTGAATCGTAAGATCGTAAAGGTGGGAGTGGTTCTTGTCACTGGACTTCGATTGGCAGTATCTGTCTGGGAAGCGGAAGTTCCGATGGCCTTTGGTGAGTTACATCTTGGGCACCCATTATCAACAACTAACGCGATTCGTAGATCTTCTACTTTGCAGACCGATACCTCCTCTTCTTTGCGCTGATTGGGATGTGAGTAGCACTGGTCTCATAGGTTCTGTTTCTATCTCATCATGATTCATCGTGGGTGATTAGTCTCATTGCCCTCGACACCACAACGTGCGTACACCAGTACCTCACCCCCAGAACGCGTTCTAACTCTTGAGGCAGTCCCATAGATTGCCAGGCGCTTTACACGTTTAACCAACTGGCAGGCGATGCCGCCGTCGGACTTGCATCGATCAACTTGTCCATTCGAACGTTTGTTGATTCCCCCAGACTCTATCATGTATCCATTCTGAACGGGCGCGTTGTGTAGAATTGCGGTTTGGTCGCGGGCGAAGTGGGTCATATGCCTCTTGGTGGTGATAATACTTGGTCACTGGGCTCTGATTTTGCAAGGTGAACTACAAATACTAGGAACTGAGGGCTAAGAACTGACCTGCTACATTGCGAAGGTGTTCTTCTCGACGCCGAATGGTCAGACGAGGCGAAAACTTGCATCATAACTTCAACGGACAACACTATCCTCGCGGCTACGTTCATATACTCCATGGCATTCGACTTGATCGTCATGTTGCTGACTGCTTACAAGCTGGGTGGCATGAGCAGAAGGGTCAACAGCGAAAACCACCACGTCAAGACATCGATGTCTACCGCGAGTCGACTCGGCAAAATGATCTTCGCCGATGGTCTTATTTTCTTCTTCATCGCCTTCATCGCCAACACCCTTGCCAGCGTCTTTATGATCCTGAACCTGAATCCAATCATGAGCGTCATATTCAACGTTCCAGCAGCCGTAGCTTCCACGGTGGGACCTTCGCATTTCCAGTGATAGATCTTGTTGCTGACCTTTCATAGATTGTCTCATGCCGCGCTGTTCGCCGTCTCACGAACTTCAACAACCCCGGCGCTGAGATTTAGTATGCTTTCCAAAAATTCCTTCGCCTCAGGATTCTGACATTCTGGCAGTGGCGCCTCGACAGGACAGACAGGGTCCAACGTTGCTTTTCGCAGTGGTCCTGGGGGGCCTCAGGTCACTGTGCCACGGAACCAAACTAAATCAGGTGTTCATGTCCAGGTTTGTACAATTGTCTACTGCACCTATCCCGATCTGACGCCACGAACTTTACTAGATGGAGACTTTCACTCGCGCTGAGGAGGGTAACAAAGACAACTTTGACGACGACGCGAAGAGGCAGACGGTCATATTCATGCCTGACGGGCTGACAGGCGATAAACGGTCCTACACGGACGTAGAAGCCAAAGGGAGGCTATGAGGGATATACAGCTCCAGCCGGCTATGAGGCTATGTCCTGGTCTAAACCAGCATGAAATTATGATCGTTTTGTAATGCCAAATCTCACTTAGCCCACCGCCCACATTTGCTACACTTACTATTACCCAGCAACACCACGAACGATACCTCGGAGCTCTCTTTGGATGTGCATAGTATATTCCAGCTGTATTGTACATTCGCCTATACACATACATTTGACATTGGCATCATGAAACTCGGATAATTGAGTATTTCGCGTGGATATTTTGGTATCTTGCCCCTGTATCTGCCTCGCTGCTAAAACGTTCCCCATTTAAGGTAGCGCCTATTCGCTCCGAGTCCCACCAACACTGTCGACCCTCTATTGCTACACTATTAATACGAGAGAAGCACAGTATGCCTACTGTGGATCCTCAAACCAATGAATACCTTGAAAGTACATCAACAACCTTTGAGTGGACAGTCAAAGGATTGAAGAACTTGTTTGATTCCACGTACGCCAAATGTCCTTACAGCATATGGAACGTTTAGCTGCAATATAGGATAGCAAGGGCGAGGCGAAGTCAAAGGTGACCAAGTCAATGAAGTTTGCCGGTGGTCGTTGGCAGGTGCCAGTAGCCTTATTGGTCCGAACCAGCTCTCGTATTTAGCCATGGATTTAGATTCTCTTCTACCCGAACGCAGGGCCTTCGAAGGACAAGGAAGGGGCAGAAGCTGTATCCGGGACTTATATCAGTCTTTACCTGTGTTGCGAGGTAAGAGTGCGTTTGCTTGCGTTCAATAGCGAGATACTAAACAGGAGACCCACATAGCCAACTGTCGAGGAGAAGGAGAAGGCATTGACCGACGGAAAGTAAGCTTTTTCTTATCTATCACGTACGAAACACGCAGGAAACGGGCGACCTCTGACACGCATTACATCTGTAGATGGGTTCGGGAAGGCAATTATAAGTTCTCATTTGAGCTCACTAAGTGAGTTACGTTCGATCACCTTAGAACACTTGGCACGAGCCAAACTTTATCGGTCCCCTTAGTCTCAATAAAACATCGGTGTACAACGTGAAGGAGGCACAGAACCATACATTCACACAAGAGGCAAGTCGCCTATGCTTTTCACAATATCAAGGCTTCTCATGGTAGACGCTAGACCGCGAACTGGGGATGGTAAATCAACATAACAAGACTCCAGCTACCGAATGCAGTACCACTCACTTATGCTCATACAGGGCGCAGTTCGCCAAACGCGACGCGGTATACTATAACAACAACCCCAACAGGGTACTCTTCATTCGTTGATACACTCCATGTTTGACTGATAGCCTATTCAGAACCGTGATGCCTTTGTTATCATATGTACCATCACACGGACACCCAGCCCGCCAGCTCCTCATTCCCCAATGCGGAGGAAGCCTGTACCAATGGACCTCCTGCACACGGTCGGTGCTTTACTCGATGACCCCACGTACTCCGATGTGGAGTTCATCTTACCCCGGCGCGGGCAACCCATACAATCTGCGAGGAAGATATGGGCATCCAAACGCATTCTTAGCAGGGCAGAGTACTTTCATGCTAGTGAGTGTTGATCATTGCATTTCACCGACGGTACTAAAGTTCGGTTAGTGTTCAACTCTGGCTTCGCCGAAACCAACGGTGATAACAGCGGCCTCGTGGTAGAAGGGACTGGCCAGTCAGAAGAACCTGTTACAGTCGGAAGCAAATACTGTGATTCAGATGACGAGGACGACGACACAGAGGAACCAGCTACACCGACTACATGCGCAATCCCTGAAGACGCCGATGGACTTGTCATAGTGAGAAAGGAATCTGACGACGTAGCTACTGGAAACGACGAGGACATGGAGGAGGGCCGTTTGGCACATGCTGATGACGCCTCCTCTTTGACCAAAGACGACTCCAACAGTGAGCCGAGCACCTCGACCGAAGCTCCAGAACTGTCATTGGGTACCACGAATTGCCTCCCTTCAGTAGAGCAAAGTGGTGATATTGGCCCAAAGAAACGACGCGTGATCGTCAGGGATGTTGCCTATACTACTTACCATGCAGTCTTATATTGGGCAAGTACCTGTTTTCTTGGCCGAGAAAGTCACTCATCCGAGCCGCATTATAGCTTTACACGGACTGGATTGTGTTTGCGCCCCTCTCTTCCTCCTTCTCTCTGCCGCACGAAGATGCAGCTTCTCCCGTTACTCCTACAAATAACGTGCATCAAACGGTAGTCCAAGGAAATACACCGTCCGTTGGGAACGCCCGCTCAGTCCTCGCAACGTCGAGAAGGCAGTGGATTGCACAATGGATAGAATCAAATCCAGGGAAGCTGAGGCCTTGCTCAGCGAAGGCTGTATACCGTATCGCCGATCGTGGGTGTCTCGAGCACTTTGCTTACAGCTATCGTCTAACGCGTGCGAGAAATCAGGATTAAACCTCGTCGAATTGAAAGAACGGGCTTCGCAGGTACGCGATTCCCACTTACCTTTAGGTGAATTTCCAAAGACGCGACCGCCGTAGCATATATGCAAATCGTTGACTGCCGATAACATCGCATACGAGGTATTCTCGCCGTTCGCCGCATCCTTTGATGATATACGTCGAGTCAGCCACATGCATATCCCTGTACTTTGCCTTACTGACATTAACTGTCGCTGTAGTTTGAGGTGGACTTTTTCCTCAAGAATTGGGCCACTATCCGTGATTCCAAGGCGATGAGAGATGTCTGGCATCAGATTCGTATTGGTCACCATCCAGGTTTCGAAGAAGGTGCGTGCTTTATCCACACAAATGAGCCCGACTAAGCGTGCATCCTTTGAAGTCTGGCCCGTTATTGTACAGAACCTCGAATTCATTCCGCCAAGCAGCTCATGAGCACTTACCACAAGTTGTATTTGTATGACCCCTATGCTGACAAAGCTTTCACACGATCGACTGTATATCAATCAGATCGGACTGAAATTTTCTTTGTGCGGCAGCACGGCCATAATCTTCCCCATGTTGCTCATAACTGCCTTGTCATTATTTTGGCGATATACGCGGTTGTTCGAGTGTCAGGCCGTGTTCTGAACAATCCGGACTTCTTAGTACCCATTAACGTCGCTCTCTTTCTTGCGAGGAGCGAGGTTGGGTTGGTGGTTCGTACATACTTCCTTGATGTGATCAATAGACTCCTGGTATCATCAAATACGCAGTTTTTCTCAGTCATGATCATATCGACTGGCGAATGTCATAACATTATGTGCAATGCGGTCCATTAAGCAATGAAACGTGAAACATAGATCCTACGGACGTCCTGGACGACTACGGCGACAAGTGTCCCTCCTTGATCCCGACAAGTTCTAAGCCAACACGGGGATATTACTCGCTCTCCGCAATGAGGGCGACAATCATTCTATTAGAGGGACACGTAAGATTTGCGGAACGGAACGTCCTGCGCAAGACTCACCGGTAGAGGTAGTAGAAGAATGACAACAGGTAGAAGCCCAGCTTTATGAAGCTCTCCCTTTTGTGGTCCGGAATGTTGCGGAAGATCTCTGTAGCGTCAAACATGTGGTTATTCTTTTGTATTCTGTGTCGCGTGAGGTAAGTCCGGATAAGCGAGGAAGAGTGAAGGGTAGCCATACTTCAGAGCGTTGAATACGACAAGGGGCAGGTTCAGGCCGAAGGCTATCCATTGTCCGCTCAGCAGGAAGAGCACGGTGAGGAAAGCATGAGCTCCGTTCTCCGGCAGCACGAACTATGCGCGAAAAAGAAAGGTATCAGAAGCAGTGAATGGCAAAGGAAGGTGCGCGCCGACCTGATTTAGTTTGTTGCAAAGGTCTATAGGATTTATGTAGTCGCATTCCAAGTCGGAGAACATGATGATCTGCAGGTCGGAGTCAGTGCTCTCTTATTGTTGCAGTAAGAGGCGGCGTACGAAGAAAACACTAGTGAAAAGCAGAGCAGCAGCCATCAAAACCGCGAATAGGAATAACCAGCCTTATCATCGTTCGCAGCAAGGGGGTCGACGTGAAAGTCAGCGACGGTGGGTAATCCAGCCAGTAGAAACAGGACACACCAGCTCCGCCCATGTTGAAGTCGTATGTTGAGTCGTGAACTTACAAAAATCGAAGGTTTAGACGAAACTGCCCTTGGGCCGTGGTGGAAGCTTTGCAACGTCCGTACACGCGCCACGTAATCATATATGGGATTATTTTCCCAGGCGGGCGCTTCTCGTCCATTTGAAATTGTCTCGGACCTTCCAAGTGGTAACTAGATCTACCCTTGAAGGTAACGGGACTGCTTTTATGGCGTGACTGTTTCTATCCCCTACCTCTGTAAGCCTAGGAATATAAAGTCAAACTAGCTTCAATTTGACTTCACAATGCCGCGGGAGGGAATAAATGTGAAATTGCGTATGGACTGCTCGTCATTCATGGTCCCGGCATTTTCCTCATCTAGAGTGCATCAACGACGTTTGCGGGCATGCAGCAGACAGCGAGACGTGAGATCAGATGCCTAGCTTGACCCAGCACTTTCAGAGGAAGGGCGGAGCAGAGGATGCGATGTAGGATGATAATGCTACCGGTGCAATGCACTTAGCTTTTACTGAGTATACACCTGATTTAGTGTGTAGTAACGTCGAAAACCGGCAGTGTTATTTATGCACCATTCCCACATGGAATGATGCTTAGAACAATTCGACAGAATCATACACGAAGTTGGGGCTAAGGAACCCATCGCCAGAAGAACCACTGATAACGTTGATGGTAATGGTGTTGCTGCCAGAAACTAGAGAAAACAGAGTTAGCAGGGCGCTCGTAATAAATACACAAGATGTTACCAAGTGTTCCGCTGGGGATTGCAAAGTCGTAGACCTGGTTGAGACCCCTCCATGTGCCGCGAGTGACCCTACGAGAGTGAGTGTATATGTTAGAGACCGCTACATAAGAGCAGCATAATATATTGTGATGTTACTAACCCTCGGGAATCAACGGCCGTCGGCGCTGCATTATTAAAATTTCAGAAATGAATCTGGTAAAAAACGAGATCCACAAACCAGCGGGTGCATTGGATGTGAAAGAGTTCACGGTTATCTGTGGCCTACCGCCGGCAAAGGCTTCTGTAGTGCGGATTCGCAGGGTTCTGGCACCTTCAAGATGGTTAGTGTTCATGTTACTTCATATATCCCAGTTCCCACAACGTGAACGTACCTATCTGGGAAGACGAAGCGGTCCACCTAATTGTCGTGGGGTTGTTGACCTAAACGACTAGGTGCTCAGCACCAGTGACACATCGAAAGTTATAATGACGTACCGCCTTGAATTGGGCCATGGGGAAGTCGGGGATGGAGCTGCTTCCAATAGTGAATGTTGTTGGACCCCATGAAGACATTCGCGAATCAGACCTAAAGGAAAATAAATTGACACCCTGTGAGGCATGCGAGTCCACAAACTCACGGATGCATGTGTTCGATCTTATCTGCATTCTTAAAGCCCGCAGGAGTACCGTCCACAGTGCCTGCAACAAACTTGCTGAGCCTATGAAACAAATTAAGGGCAGACACCCGCTTACCGATGCTCCAAATCGTAGACGGACGACTTAACGAAGATGTCAAAGTTACTGAGGAGGTGCGCCCAGCAGAGACGGAAACCTGTGGCTTGGTTTGAAACCTGAAGGCACCACTGATGACTTCTGCACTTACACTGCCTGTGCCCGCTTCAAGTTCTCCTTGGAATAAGGTAACGGTATATGTGCCAGGCTTCATCAAGGTCCTCGTGAACGAACCGCTATAAGCACATTCGTTAGCAGAGTAAATAGATTTCAATTTGACAGCACGCACCCGGAGCCTGATACCCAGTATTGATTCGCAGAATTCTGAGTAATTCGTTAGTACCATTCGTACGATATTCTGCTACCGCAGCGGACTGACCTTGAACCCGATAGTCACTGCAGGGCCCGAGAGTGTACCAGAGTAAGTACCAGAGACTGTGCCGCGGCCGGAGGCAGCTACGTAGCCCTGAAGGCCGAGGGAATCCATGAAGGAAGTGTCTAGATTAGCTGAAGGAGCGCCACCAGTGGTGACTGCCATAGCATAAGGCCCGAAGAAACCTGTGCGGTAGGACTCGGCTAATTACCGCAATGCGTCAGTAAAGGATGGCTGCAACATTCTGGCTTCGGCTTACTTTGCTCGTGGTTGCTGTTCATATACCAGTATAGCTCCTGCTGTGCACTTCCTTGATTATTGATATCTTCGAAAAGATGCGAGTTAGCCAGGGAGGTAGATGCAGCGTCGAGGAAAAAGCTACCTCTGAAAAAGGGACCGCCTGAAGAAGTTTCGTAGCTGACGCTGGGGATAATCATGAAGACACCAACGCCCGATCCGGTTACACCATGGACCTAATTGATGTCAGTACGTGGTAGACGATACCGAAGCGACAATTTGTCTACCTGGTCCCGAATGAACGGGATCTGTGTGAGAGACAACGACGTCAACCTGGTGACGAGGTCGCAATGGTTATTATACGCACGCTAGAGTAAAACTTGGATCGAGTCTGGCCATTGATACTGAAGACGTCGGATCCTTCGACAACAGCTCCTCCGTTCATCTAGCAAGAAGGGCTTTGAGTTATGGAGCGGATACGTGGGATCACACGACATACTTCGGCCTCGGGAATGCCATTAGGCAGAGCGGACTTGGACAATCGGGCAATGAATCGCAATTCACCGACGTCTGGTTCTTGAGATGCGAATGTACCTACCAAATGCAGGCCAGTGTTAGTACTGCATGACTAAATTAGATGAACTCGCCATACCGATGTAGATGGTATTGGTGCCAGAACGAACAATATAATAATGCGTCTTTAATAAAATGAGATGACCATGGAATACCAGAGTGAAAGATGTCTCATACTATAGTGCTAGTCTTGATAGTGACTATAGCAATATTGTTTGCGACTGAATGGGTTACGGTGGCAGAGCCTACGATGAAGGTCATTAGCCTGCCAGCACATGTTATATTACGCCATACCTAGTCCGGAACTGAGTTGTGTGAACTTGCTCGAGTCTTGCAACTGTTTGCCGTTGAATACAAGGGAGGTAATGTCCCCATTGTTCGAGTTAACTGGATACAAGTTACTTCGTCTAACTCCTCTGGGTATATTGATCAGCATATACCTGTCGTGACAAGACCAGCTCCAGAATCCACTATGACATTTGATCCAGAAGTAGTGATTCCAAATGCTGCGAATGTTACTGGGAGTAGCGAGGAGAGTATCGCCAAGAAGATGGCAAACCTCATTTTTGCAATGCAGGTTTAGGTTACGACATGGCATAGTAGGCATGTCTCTTTATATATCCTTCACCGGGAAAAAATGCAGCGGGAGGCGGGCCATATGTTGGAGTACGTTTTCAAACGCAATTCAGCGGTCTTTCTTTGAGAATGACGGGCGGTTACCGAGCTTGAGAAGGAAGTGCCTCCATACTGATGCGATTGGTTGCCGCACTAGCATGATCAACAGGTGGCCAGCTTCTTCCTATAAATCGTGGTTGTTTCCCAGACTCAGAAGAGGTCATGCCCGTAAATCTTCCGTTGTGGTAGGGAAGCGGCCCGAACGCGCATCTACGGCCCACTGCGTCCGATCAGCGCAAGGTCTCATATTGTGGTCACGACACACGAATGCGGAGCCGCCGTGGAGGCAGAAGAACACCACTGTTTCCAAAGATGTTGAATATTATTATCTACCTTGTTCGAAGTATCGTGCCAGGGTCCGGGGTCTACACTGGATCTATCTGCAATCACATTCTCCAGTTGCAGAAGAGGGACACCAGGCTTCGAGAAGCGTGAGGCGTACAGGGCTTTTGATATAGGCCGACGAGACAGAACAATGCACGATAACATGGCGTTCTCCGCAAGACATAGTGATCTATTTGTGGCTAGGATTCCCTGTCGGCATTGTATGGCGGGAGTTGGTCTGGTGCACGCGGGAATGGTCATCTCGGTGTTGCCACGGTCCTGCATTTTGGTCTTCGTATACTTCATGAACGCCAGAATCAGCAGGGACGAAGAGTGCTTGCTGTTCATATTCGTCCGTAGCGTCTCTCAATTCTGGCGGAGTAGAACCGGGGAGGCGATCAGTCGGCTGAGGAGGGATGCGGTGCAATAGGCCGAAGCTATGAATAGTATGAGCATGAGAGACATGCCAGCAATTGGGGAACAAACCCAAAGACACAACCCAGTAAGCCCTCTCCTCCCCAATGCCGGTTCGGAACAAGGACAACCTCGCGAAGGTTGTCAAAGTCATGAGAATACACGTAAACCCTAAGTGGTTTGTCGACATGCTAGAGCAGCGTGGTCAGTCATTACTTGGCTGTCAAATAAACATACATACAGCTTCTACAAGGTCATAGAAGTCTCCTTCCGCACTTAGGGCGCCACCTGACCACCCAATGATCCAGTCGCCGAATGGTACGAGACCCGCGCTTTCCGCAGGACTTCCTTCTAAGACATCTAGGACATGCCATACATTGTCCATCGCGAGGTCAGGCTGGCACATCCGCATGCTAAGGCCAAGCAATGATGGCTGAAGTGATGCTTCGTTGCCTCCGGGTGAGTCCGTATGTGTGAGTGCCCACTGGCGCGAAGGCATTATAGGAACCACTACTCTGGACGATGAATTCAGAGGATACTAATTCATAGAGAACCTGACGGACCTCTTGTGTCCTGGCTCTTGCTGTTCCAAACGAGAAGATTGAGAGTCCTTTCTTCATAGTCTTCGACTATCTTCTCAAGCTGCGACACGTCTATGTTGTAGTGTAAAGAGAGTTCGTCCCCTTCGAAGCCTACGATGAAATCAAAGAAGGGCTCGATCGTGGTTTTTGAGGCGGGCGAGGCGGGCGTTACACGGAGAACATGCAGCGCTTTGGATGGTGGCTGGGCTTGAGATGATGATTGTGAGGCCCCCATGGCACCGACCGAGATGTGGGCAAGTCGCGGTCACGACAGCTGGTGACCACGCGACCAGCGCCTACTACCGAGCGCCCATTTACTTCCCACCAAGTAAGTACGATGGCCTTTTAGGCCCGTAGCAACGTTCTTCGGCTCAGAGAATCACCACCCTCAATCTCACCTTCGAGTCAATATCAACGGAAATAATTGTTGTATCAATTTTCATAAGGGAGGCTTGAGAAAACATCTCCAATAAATCAACGCGACTAAGTATCGGGGTTTCACTCAAGACCAATCGCTAGTAATTTTTGGTTACGATGCAAAGAGGTATCACGTTGAAAGCATTGTGGGACAGATTAGCCCCGACCAACTCCCTTCACCGAGCCAAATTGATGGTGGTGGTTGCGTTCAATCGATGGCCAGAATCGAGTCAAAATACATCCGAATCTTGCAGATCGTGCTTGAGAGTTGGGTTATTTAAATCCGAACCCTTCACAAGAGATATATTGTATCCTATCTGAGAGATTCCGTCCTTTCTTGAAAGATAAGGACGTCGACCAAGTTTGACCGAAAGGTACGCACAAGCGACGTCGGCCACTATCACTACGTAGGTGCCTGTACGCGCGTGAATACAATCAAAGTTTGCACCGAGGCCGACGGGCAGGCGGGTGCGCGCGGAATCAATGTAGACATTATTGCGGTGGGATAGGCTCTAGACTCGCCATGTGCCACTCCGACGAGACATGATGGGTCACAACCGAGATAAAATCAAGCAACACGTTCGTCCTCAAGTACCGTAACATGTCAATGTATCGCTCAGCGAGCGTCGGATGCGCATTATTCCCATGTCAATCCATGTTACTTACTGACAAACGCCTTCCAGCTTCGCGTGCGAAGCTACTGACAGAGAAACTGATTCCGTGTGGTGAGAACTAGCGAGGCAGCTGGATTGGCTTCCGGGCCATAGATGGCGGCAGGGTTACGCCGTGAAGCACCATGCAAAAGTGTGGTAAAGGCCTTGTAGAAAAGGGAGATTCTGAGCCTTCGCGGTTCCGGCACATCGCTATCACACCCTAGTGGACATGGGGTAAGAGATGGGCATGTAGATGCCAAACTTCCACCACGGTAGATTTTCCGTTTGAGGCGTCATTTGCGCGCCGATGCACGGAGTGAACGGGTGGTTCTAGGTTTTGGCTCCACCATGATGGCAACAGTCGTTGTGGATTAACGGCGTGGATAATTAGAATCAATTCAAGGGTGGACACTTTTCGAAGCCTGAGAGGGTGAACGACGTAAGCTCAAGGGTCTGTTTAACGAGAGCCAATACGAGCATATGCATTTGAATTGAAGGAGCCGCGTGGAAGAAGCCCTTCTGAACCATTGTTTCACAGTAAATTATGGTAATTGTTGGGGCAAGCCAAGCGATGCGGCATAGCGAAACGAAGGTCTGACGTCTTCTATTGGTGTCCTGCTGGGAAGGACAGTCAGAGCCTGGCTATCAAATCAGGTAATAATATAGTTGGAATTCCGTTGAGCTTCCATGGTACTACCGAAGAACAACCGCCGGTGCACGTAGGGGCCCCGCAGAAGAACGTTGAGGCATGCCCTTTAAACACTGACATGCCCATATAGAGGGATGTGTATTTCAGGAAGTGCTACCTCGAGTGTAATTCTGCTTTGCCTCTATTAAGCCCGGATAGGACCGTAGCTCTTGGATTGTACGCAGCAGCAGCATCGCCGTACGAAATTCCCTAAATGAGAGATTTAAACGATTGCGGACTTAACTGAGGGGGTGACCCCAGTCGTGACCTGATTTCATTGACAAGTGGCATTTGAATCCGGTGCCCTTGGGACAATGCGGCCGTACCTGTCACCGTGCATGATCTTGTATGATGCGCCGCTATAGCGTCTATAAGCGTCCATACCTGAGTGTTTTCAAGTTGCATTTGCCGAAAGGAGCGGTAGATGCTGGATCTTAATCATCTGCAGCAAAACTGAGGAAACAGTGAGGCTCGCTGAAGATCCTTACCTAGAATTCTTGTCACTGAACCGGGATTCAATCCGTGGCTTTCCGGGAAGAAGGCCTCGCCAAACACATGGCTAGAATTCGAATACTGCTGGGTGGTTCGGTATTTTTGTTACGCGCTATCGGACATCTGCATTCATCTTGAGGAAAGGGCAGGGGCTGTAGTGAAGGGGCACTGCGGCTTGTTCCTTGGTGCTTCGCGCTTTCCAGAAAGTACTCACAGTCGCTGTTAAAAGTATTAACCGGAAGGATCGGCGCTTGTAGTGGTTAGCGCTTTAGCGCCAAGCGTGATGCTGATGCGTGACACTCCGCGTGACAATCCCGGGACCCATTCGTCGTCGGACTCGTTGTCCACAATTTTCCGCGAAGTTCATATTTTCAAAGTTGGCCCCGACGACGACACGCTCTCCAGCAACGGGCGCGCGTACCACAATATATTAGCCCAGGTCGGTTTGCGCGCTATGCTGTGCGTTTATCGTCAAACCCAATTCTTCCCATTTACTCATCCGACAGCGACGCTTCGTACGTTTCTGAATCTGCAGCTGACTTATGTCCTGTTGTCGCCGGCTACTTTTTCAAGTCCACTTTCTCAATCTGATCAATCGTTACCCGTCATCCCGCTACACCCCTTCGAATGCAATCTTGCCATCAATTGCTACCGCCAATACACGCCGCTACTCGTCGGGCCTTCTTCCTAGTCGGCAAGGAGTGCCCAGCCAGACGCGTCGCCGACAAACGGATCATGTCGTCGTTGAGGACGAACGAGGACATCTGGAGGCCCCCTCGTCGGAGGGGCAGATGGAAGCCCGCCCACACATAGACAACTTGCTTGAATACGAAGCTCTGCGTTGTCAGGGTGGTGCTCAACTGGATGGAGCGCGTATTTCATGGGTGATACTACTCAACGGAGCCATTGCGAGCGGCAATTCGACTGCTATATCTCACCTCGTCGCCGACCTGGTCAATGGTTCAATTGGGATGCACCAGAACCGCGTGGCCGTCTTATACGCCTATCTGGCCAGAGTGGACTCGCAGATGTTAGGTGCCAAAGAAGTTTATCTGCTCTTACAGGGCCTCTCAAATAATCCCTCAGCCATACGCGACATTCCCCTCCAAATCGTTGAGAAACTCACGCTCTGGTTGGTGGGCATACCCAATTCATCACTCCATTACGCGCTTCTCTCAGACATTATTCATTCGCTCCTCCTCTCTCGCCTCGGAGACGTTAAGGCTCCTACGGGGGCCCGGATGATCGGCTATCGGCCCCCTTCTATCGTATACGCTGCCTTCCGTCTCATACGTAGGTGTATGACGAGCAAAAATTTCGACAAGAGAATCATCAAACTTTTTCGGACATTGGCACAGTCGAGGAATATCCCGCCAGAGGCTATTCAGACGAATGACAACCACACGAACGATATCCACTACATTGTAGCCGCTGCTCTTCTCAGGGCGTCGCTCCACTGGGGCTGGAAGGGCCTTGGCTCAAATATACTGAAGGAAATCCTGCAGCATCGGTGTCGATACCCCGAACATATCACGATCTTGACGGTGGATGCGTTATACAGTCTCATGGACACTCCGTCTCGAGATGATGTTTCCGCGTGTCGGTCGATATTGGCAGCGTTCCACCATGGAGTACCCAACGCAGTCGTTCCTGACGGTCTCATTCGACAGTTTTACAAGCACGCATGCGAACACAATATGCCCCGCTCCGCAGAATCGGTGTACGCGCTCTCGCGCTCTCATAGCATTGCCAAGGCACACACTTATCCACCTCCACAAGGATCTGCTCTACCATGGCTCATGGGTTATCTGACTCATGTCAGCAAGAACGAACACTTGGCACGTCAATTAGTTGCGCAGGTAGTCGATGATTACGAGCCGATCCCTCTCCAATTCCGTGCCAGGTTTATTTCGTTCGTGGCTATGAATGGATCTGCCACCCATGCCCGCAACCTGTGGGAAAGATACGCCGTTGGCAAAGATAAGGACGCTATACTGGCGCATTCTGGGCTTATGTTGCGCATGGTGGATCTGTTTTATCATCTATCCACCCGTAATGATGGGCAGCTCAACGAAGATGAACTCATTCCACGTCCATCGGATGTTGAACCTCAGATAGACGAGGGTAATGCCTATTATGACCGATCAAGCGCAAGCTTGACTGCTTTTACGGACCGAGTACTCTCGAGCTTTGTCCGGGCCCACGAACCTCTTGCGACGGCGCATCATTACACGCTTACTTCGCTGGCTAGGGCCTTCTTCATCCTGGGACGATTCTCCGAGGGCTTCGAAACATTGAAGAACATCTGGGACCGGAAGGAAGTCCCCGACTCCCATGACATCAATGTCGCATTATCTGCTCTCGCTGTGCGTAAACCACGGGCGGCGGCCAGCATGATGGAACGGATGTTAGAGAAAGGGATCCGACCTGATCCAGTATCCTTTGGGACTGTTCTCCACCATGCGCTGGCTCATAACGATGTGGTCCTTGCAACCGAACTGATACACCGTGCCCGGGACGTCAACGGGGGGAAAATCACCCTCAAATCGGTCACGTCACTTATCCGCGCAAGCCTGCGAAGGGAAATGGACGTTAGCGAACGCCGCAGTAGTTTGACCCTAGTGCTGAACATTCTCAAGGCGCTCAACGATTCAGGATTCACCCTTGCGCCTGCGGTGGGTAAATACTGCATGCGCATAGCCCTGGACGCGAACGAGCCCGGGATCGCCTTCAAGTTCTGGGACTTGTTGTTAAGGCGCAAGACTCAGTGGACGGACCAGGAGCAGCGGTTTTTGCGGGAACGATTAGCCAGGGCTATCCGTAGTCATCGACAGCACGAAAAAATCAGAGATGCGCAGAGTCGAATGATGCTTTCCCATCTACGTGAGAAAAGGAGGGTTCGACGAGGACGGTAGCTTTTGGGCTGTCCGTGCGGCGTCGGTGTATAGCGGGGGTGTTGTTGAGGCGGTACGCGATGGAAGCATGGTAGTCAGGTGTTGCTGTAACTCTGAGTAGGAGGAGGTATATGTTCACGTGGATTTAAGATGCCCCCGAAATGCTAAAGGTGCCGTCCGACCGTCAAAAGAAGGAGAAGGGGAGATTGATCTGATCAAGATGCATCCGGTCCTGGATGGCCAAGTTGTTGGAAGGGCTGTGGGGTAAGACCGGGATTTGACCGGTTGGGGATTTTCCTGGGTTAAGGACTCGTGATCTGTGAGCATGTCGTAGAGATTCAGAAAATCGAAAGTCGTCGTTTGTATTCAGGGAGAGGAGAAAAGCGCCCGAACGGTAAACACTGACACGCAATCGATAAAAACCAAGGCTGACTCTCCGTCAGAACGCTGCCCCCTCCCACAAATGCCTGCTGCGCGTCCAAAGAAAGAGTCCCATTCCGCCACGCCCCCTTCCGACGACTGCAGCATCACCGAAAACAGCAAGAGTAAACGAAAGTATGTCCCAGATTGCCCGACTTTTCTCCGCCCCCCTCTTCGCACTCTTTTGTTTCACCTTTCTCTTACCTTCACCACCACCACCGTTTTCTGTCCGCTATGTGCTTTCTTTCTTGTTCGCTATATGTGCTGCACATGCTGACCTTCTCCTCGTTGTTCCTAGGCGCCAATCTCAGAGTACGCTGCTTCTTTGATTCCCGTTCAGAGCCGTCATTTAGCATACCATCCCCCTGACAGGCTGCGACGCTTGCAGAGCACGCAAGGTGAGGTGCGCAAGGGAGAACCCAGACGATCCGAAGCAATCATGCAAGCACTGCATCACACTGGGCATCCCCTGCACCTACGACTACCAGCCAAAAAAGCGCGGCCCGCCCAACCTGTGAGCATTTCTTGCCCGGCCACGTAGACTTCCAGGCCTCATATGACCCTGTCCAAAGCTACCTACGGCGTCTACAAGAAGCGGCCGCTGCGGCGGCTTCCACCAATCCAGACGGTCATAGCGAGCCCGAGGCTTCCCTTTCGCCGGTGTCGACCACAGTGGCCAGTCCCCCTCAGAACATTCTATCTCCGTCGAATGGTCAGCGGAAGAGCCCCCCGGCCTTCTTGGAGCCCTCGCTCAGTCCCATGGCCTCCATTCCGTCGGCGGCGATCCCCCCATCACGCTATCCAATCGCCGCTGATACGTACCATCCACACTACCCTTCCCCGCCCTATAACGGTATGGCAAGAGAGTCTTCTGTCAACTCTAACGGCAACGGCATGCTCGCGTCCCCCAAACACGAAGAATCGCAACGCTTTTCGTCCCCTTCAGAGCAATTTAACACTTATCCTTTATATAATTGGTCGTACAAGCATCAAATGAGTCAAGTTCCGCCCCCATCTGCTATCCCACCGCTGTCCTATCAATATCGCCCACACCGACTCGAGGATGTCGCCCCTCGGGATACTATCTCACTCATAATTGCCCTCTTCTTCGATTTTGTTTATCCTTTGACACCTTGTGTGCACAAGCCGTCGTTCATGGCAGATCTTCATTCGCGGAGGGAGGAGCGTGACCCTTTGTTTTTCGCACTCGTCATGTCGACCGTGGCCTCGACGCTTGTGCAGGTGCCTCGATCATATCTTCCAATGGAGCGCCCCGTTGTGAGAAAGCTTGCCCAGGTACGTGATTTGTTGTTTTACCCACTGCCCATCCGTCAAACCTTATCGCAACGCCGCAGACATGCCATGAGGCCAGTCGACATATTACCGTCGCATCGTATGACCCACCTACCTCTATGCATGTCGTCATTCGTTACTTGTGAGTAATATCGGTTCGCCTTTCGCCGCACACAGCACATCAAGCTAATGTATCATAAAGTGATTGCACATATCATTTCTGTGAAGGGCATGATGCCACACAGCATGCCGCATTCGGCGAAGCAGCCCATATTGCTGTTAGCTTGCGGATGCACGAAGAAGCCTCATATGATGGACTTGATCCCATCGAATGTGAGGTCCGAAGAAGGACATTCTGGCTGCTTTTTGGAGGCATGTCCACGCTTCTCATTACCTTATCTGATTGTATCTGACTTACTGCCACAGCGGATAAATCGATGTCGATCCTTTTGGGTAGACCAATATGTCTTCGAGATGAAGATTGTTCTGTGCACTTTCCAAAAGAGTTGGATGACGAGTAGTAAGTACCGGTACCAAACAGGACCGAGGTTTTGCCACGCTATCCCCGACCAATTTTCCTGACCTGTTTTCCTTTCCTAGCATCACCCCCAGCGCATACCTCCCTCAGCCTCACGGGAAAACGGCTCTTGTTTCCGGCTTAAACTATATCTCGAGGATCTTTGCTCTCTTGGGTGAAATATTGGTCCGAATTCGTGTAGACAAACGGTCGCCTCCTCAAGGGCAATTCGCCACGGCCAGGCTGGAAGAAGTGCAGTCCCTTCATCAGAGAATATCGGCGGCTCTTAGTCTCGCGCCGGAGCCCCTGCGGTTGAAGCCGATACAAAAATCAGCACATGTTCCTCATGAATATAGTGGTGCGGGTTTCCGGCAAGCCACCTTCGCTGAGGTCAAGGACTTCTTCGACAACCCTAATGCTTCTCGGGCCAATGCTCTCAACCCCTTCTTGGTTATGCAGGCCAATCTATTTGTCACTCAGGTTCGTTGTGCATAATGTGTTGAAACGTAATGGGGTTGTTGATGTCCATTATAGCAATTGGTCCGATTCGTCATCGAGCAATACCGGGACGATTTAATCATCTCATTGCGAGGCGCAGTTGACGAGCAGCAGGTGGCAGAAGACAGGGAAGCTGTAGCAAGTGATCTTCTCAACATTCTTCACAGGTGAGGACCATCGTCCCGCGATAGCGCCACAGAGACTAATTTAGCCTTATAGCATTCCTATCCAATCAATAGCGACGAACGGTCCATCCCTTGTATGTATAAGCCATCGGTAACATTGAGCACATCTCTCACCACAACCATCTAGGTCCACAAAGTCCGTTTCGTTGCCTCTACGCTTTTGGATGCAGTACGACGAGCAGAGACGGCGCCGGCGTCGGCTGCTCGCGCCCACGCCTATTTATGTAGGCTGCCTATTCTTTTCCTTTTGCTTTCTGCTCCTGACCTCAATCTACAGGGGACTTTTTAAGTATATTATCCGAAATCGAGCGGAACTATTTGTGAGTCGACCTGAACGCATCTTCTTGTGCTGTCCCTAAAGTGCCTTGTAGATTGGACGACGACCGAGATGCCTCTTCCAGCGGAGAAGGCATGTTACTGGGATAATTTATTCTTGGATGACATTCTACTTGTATATGGATCCTCATTGCCCATTGTCACGGCGAGCGTGCCTCGTCGACTAACGGTTTTCTTTTCATCGAACCGTGGCCCCAAAAAGATTGCATGTTTAAAATATTTACATATACCCCAGTAGTCGATCTATATCAAAGTATCAATGTATACATTCACTGTGTTTTTAGCTAACTTGAACCGTCGAGTGTATGTACGTACTCTACTTACGCCTCCAATGTATTATCCACGTAACTTGGGATGTTCCCACGGATTCATATCATCTTGTGAAGTTCGCATTGTAATTTTAGCAGGTTCTACGCCACCTTCACATTGTACAAGCCATAAACCACGTAATGTTTTGTTGTTTTCTTGATTCCATCAAGATTCAGGCCTGAATCAACTTATACAGGAGGACGCCGCGTGTTGGTCCGCGAAGTTCAACATGACTGACCAGGTCCTTGGGAACAAGAGTATACCAGTACAGATTACAGAAGGTAGCTTTATCCACCTGCCACCTGCAACTGTTCTTCTTGGCTTACAACACATGCCATCTTCTACGAACTTCCAGATGAAGCCGCTGTGTATGATCGGCAAATCCGTTTGTGGGGGCTTGAAGCACAGCAGAGGTACATGCCTTCTATTTAGCCCCGCCCCACAGGTTTCGTCGACGTTACGGATGACCACACACTCAATACTCCGCGGGGCTAATGCGATATCCATCATAGGATGCGAAATGCGACCATCGTCGTGGTATGCCTAAGAGGGACTGCCACGGAGACAATCAAAAACATCGTGCTTGCTGGCATTGGAAAATTAATTATTATTGACGGCGAAGACGTCACGGACGCGGACCTGGGTTCAGGGTTTTTCTTCAGAGACGAAGACGGCAAGAAAGTGAGCATGATTTGTCGATAGTTATTCTTTCGAAGCGCTCATCATGTCTCGTGGCGGCAATTTACTGGCTTTACCTCGGCGTGGGATGTCTGATAGAGAGTCGATGCCGCCAAGGCTAGAGTAGAGAGCCTTAATCCCCTTGTGAAAGTGGAGACGTCCCAACCTACTCGGTTTTAGAACGGGAGGTCGCGGACGCGACGTTACAGGACGCGGACCTAGTATGCGTCACGGATTGGCGACGGGACGGCCTGGTAGGAATACCTTGCGTCTACAGATGCGCATCCCTGGTTGTACGAGATCTGATTGCGCGACCCTTCTACAGATACAGCTCAACGAAGTGTGCCGTCGGCTTGGTAAACCCCTCTATGCTGGCGGCACATTTGGCCTCTTTGGCTACATCTTCTGTGACTTGCTGAACCACGAATATATTGCCCCGTGAGCAGCTTTAATTTACGATCTCTCATGGTCCGCTGACTTCGGTCCCAATTGGGTCTGCTTCGCGACTTATAGAGACCGGTCCGTGACCAAAGATGGTCCCAAAAATGTCAGGATGACCACGGCGTATTCAACGCTGCATATGGCACTCCAACACAAATGGTCGGGGTTAACGAAAAGGCAGACCAAAGAGCTAAACCCCGCCGTTGTTTATGGAATCCTCGGTACGCACGCTTCTTGTGACCCCCGCGCTCATCAGACATAAGATCACTTACTTTTCCATCACAAAAGCCGTATGGGAGTTCCAGTCACTCCACGGGGGCAGTCTTCCAGATAGTTCTGAGCACGCAGACGAACTGGAGGCAATAGCTAACAAGCTTTTGTCAGCTGCCGATGTCAACAAACAAGTAGCTACCGCTATCCCTCGTACGCTCATTGAGTATGTCGCTTTTTCCAGGGATGTATGCTCCGCCCTGTGATTTACCTTGCCTCTAAATTCTAGAACACTGTCAACGACCGCTCAACATGAATTTTCCCCTGTTTGCGCGGTGGTAGGTGGCATGCTTGCGCAGGATATCCTGAAAGCCCTCGCGGCGCGGGAACCGCCGATAGCAAACTTCTTTACCTTTGATGGGGATACTGGCGGAGGGACCGTGTGTCGTATGAATATGCCCTGAAGATGAAATATCGAGGCGGTAGTAGCTACACATCATACGTCAGCCTCGTTACGGGCCGAATGACTGTTTAGTGTAGCAAATTTTCTGTCTAAGGGCGTTCTCACTCTCTCCATTGCATAGCTCGACACTGCGGAACCTACCCGTAGGTAATTTACGGTGCATAGCTCTCTTCCCTCCATGGCCGAAGTCAATGGCCTGCATTCCGACGATATTTTATGCACTCAAGGATCCCATTTCTTTTTTACTCAAACCATTGCATGGGCAAGCTCGCAAGTAGCACAGCGCTGTCCAAGCTAGCGACGTTGAATCTCAACTTACCTCCAGCTTCAATTCTTGGATCCCGTGATGGTGGCACTGCGATTGCCTACTTTGGAAATATGAGCCACAAGTTCTGTTTTGGGCGCTGGTGGTTCTGTATCCTCACCTCATGGCAAATTCCTCACGTCGTGTCCCCGTGCCCCACCCTGGGCCTCAAGATTATGCTGCCGTGCCAACTAGTCCAAGATCAGTCATGAACAATAACTCCTCGAACTACTATGCAAATGCGAACTATACTCAACAACTACCTTCACGAACACCTTCACGGACACCTTCAAGGACGCCATCATCCGGAAGCAGAAAAGTACGGACAGGTAGAGGCGCCATAGCACACGGAGTGGCTAGTGGGCAAATTGGAGGCGGTTATGGCCCATACTCAGTGCGTCTGAGCCTAGCTGATTTTCCTCAACGTCCTAACCTGCTGCGCCCAGTACACACCTGCACCAAGCGCAAATAGCGGAGTGTACACCGCCTCACGGTTTAGTGCGCCACCCTCAGACGCAACGATAGCACACAACGCCGGAGAAAAACAAACTATACTACCGACAACAACAACTGTACCACAGTATCTCTGGGACAGAGACCCCGACGTGGACGACGATCTACATAACCCTGACCCAGCTCGAGATGCGCGTGAGAATAGATCATTCACAATATTCTCGGGAAGAGGGTGGTTGAACGCAATAGCGATATTCGTGCTCGTCACTGGGCTCATTGTCCTTTTCGCTGGGTATCCAATCATCTCATACGTGAACAAGTCTACCTTCGCACCTGGGGGATTCAACATTGGTGGCATCAACGGAACAGGACAAATACCTGTTCTCCCCGGCCTCCCGAAACTCATTGACGACGACACCCCACAAAACGTCCGCAGTCGTACGGGCTCCGATGGGAAAAGGTATAACTTAGTCTTCAGCGACGAGTTCAACACAGACGGACGGACATTCTACCCCGGGGATGACCCATTTTGGGAAGCAGTGGATTTGCATTATTGGTGCGATTACTTCGTGCATGGAATTCGATATATTTACTTACTCTAGTCATGTAAAGGCCCACCGGCGATCTTGAATGGTATGATCCTAGTGTGCGTATCCTCACTATGCAACCAGGCAAATGCTGAACTGCAAACAGGCGATTACGACGGAAGATGGGAAGCTCGTCATCACCATGTCGCAGAAACCGTCGCACGATCTCAACTTCGAGAGCGGTGAGTATGTCACCTCGAGCATAGAGGTCTTTTCGTTGACCAGGTTGTTCCCACAGGTATGCTCCAATCTTGGAACAAGTTCTGTTTCACCACCGGCTATATCGAAGTATCCATGAGTATGCCAGGTTCGCCTAAAGCACCAGGTTTATGGCCAGGTACGTCCTATCATCCCCAAGATTGTGCGCGTGAGTGACGGAACAACGTTTAGCTGCTTGGACGCTAGGCAACCTGGTACGATAGCTGTCTAATACTATCATACGGATTACCGCTGACTTCCTCTCACGCAGGGGCGTGCTGGATATGGCGCAACTACTGAAGGTACATGGCCGTACAGCTATGCTGCTTGTGATGTTGGAACCTTCCCCAACCAAACCGCTAAGGATGGTACACCAGAAGCTGCCGCTACCGGGTCACCAGGCAACACGGAACTTTCCTTCCTCCCTGGGCAGCGTTTGTCCGCTTGCACGTGCCCTGGCTCAGATCATCCTGGCCCCAGGACAGATGTTGGACGAGCCGCGCCGGAGATCGATATTATCGAAACCCAGATCGACACCAATCTCTGGCGTGGGGAGGTTTCACAGACGTTCCAGGTCGCCCCATTCAATTACAAGTACGCGTTCGACAACACAGAGCCAGCCTCCGTCATACACGGGAGCGACACGCATTATAATAGTTATGCTGGCGGGGAATTTCAGCAGGCCGTGTCAGCCCTAAGCTATATCGATGATCAATTCTATAACAACACGGCGTACGCTCCTTATGCTTTCGAATATTGGTCGAATCCGAACAGACGCGACGAGGGCTATATTACATGGTATAGCAACGGCGAACAGACATGGACGGCTACAGCGGCTGCCACGGGTCCTGATCCCGTTTCCCAAGTCAGCGCTCGAATCATACCTGAAGAGCCCATGGTATGGCAGACTGTTATTTCGTCTATTTTGTAACGCTCATGGCTCGTTTAGTATATCATCCTGAATCTAGGGCTTGCTCCTAATTTCCAGAAGCAGGATTTCAAGAATCTACAATTCCCTTCGAAGATGTATGTAGACTACGTCCGAGTATATCAGCGGGACGACGTCAAGAACGGTGTCACTTGCAACCCGCCATCTCGCCCAACAGCGGACTACATCGACAAGTGAGTGAAATATGTTTGCATTGGGTAGATGTGTGCCTGATACGCTTGCCTCAGTCACATCAACGCGTTCTCAAACCCGAATCTAACGACATGGAAGGACGCGGGGTACACCTTCCCTCGGAACTCACTCTACGATGGGTGTTAAACTGCATCAACCACTTCGACTTTCTGTTGCACGACACGTCACGATTAACGCACCAACATTTATATCATCGCACATTATGACCCTTGAGGGCCAACAGACATTATTATCTATCTCCTCTATGCTAGGCTTCATCTCATTGAACAAAACGATGTAATTTTTCGTTTGTAATCCATACCTACTTGGCCTCTGCGTGCGGTGTACTCTTGTCCTCCATTGTACATAGAAGTTTGGATTCGCATCCAGTTCAACTCACTTACACGCTACTTTTTTGTCAATGGATTCATCGCATGGCTCTACTTGCTAGGCCCACTTCGCGTGAGACAGGGCATTCAAGCGCGCTTACACAGTCCGGCCCCCCTCATTTCTCTGTTTAGTATTTACTATAAGTCTAGGTAACTACGCATTTACTCGATTCTGTTTTCAGGCTTGATGAAGATGCTAGCATCAGGCCTGGTCACGAAGACTCCGCATCCATGTCCATTGAGTTAGGTCTGGATCGCATTCAACGACTGCTGCAATATCTGCCGCCATATACCCGCCCAACCATTCACGTCGGGGGCACCAATGGCAAAGGAAGCGTCACCTCGATGCTATCGTCTATCCTTTTGGCATCCAACCCGCCGCTTTCTGTAGGACGATTCAACAGCCCTCACCTACTTTCCGTCTACGACTCAATAGCTATAAACGGTAAAGAGGTGTCGCCAAGAGCATACGATGCCGCCAGAAGTACCGTTGTCAGCGCGGATAAGGAGCATGGGACAAGGTTAACCAACTTTGAGCTGCTCGCCGTGACGGCACTCGTAATCTTCGAAACAGCAAAGGTGGATATTGCGGTGATCGAAGTCGGCCTCGGAGGACGCCTGGACGCCACAAATGCCATCCCCGATGATTCCATCCTCGTCTCGGCAATGACTACGGTTGGCGTTGACCATCAGGCCTTCTTGGGCAATACTCCTTCTGCTATTAGCTCGGAGAAGGCCGGTATAGCGAGAAAGAACAAGCCGTTTATACTTGGTAAACAGCAATACCCTGAAGTGTACGATGTGGTGGAAACAATCGTGCGAGGTGTAGGCGGAGATTTGATCCGAGCTCGTCAGGTCACCCGTCGAGAGTGGAATGTCCATGTCGATGGGCAGCGTTTCGAGACGACTTTTGACGGGAAACACTTCAAAGCACCCCCTGGACAGCCTATCTCATTGGACATGCCATATTTCCCGGCCCCCATTCACAGCCAACTTCCTTTACAAGGGGCACATCAGCTGGACAATTTGGCGATCGCTTCAGAAATCGTGTCTACTTTGCTCATTCATCCAGCGTGCGCTCCCTTGGGCTTCTGCAAGCACATCACCGCCGATTCAATAGCCAAGGGAATCAGGGAGGTCGTATGGCCCGGGAGGTTATCCTTCCATATCTATTCAACGAAGGAGATCAAACCCATTGTAGTTCTGGTTGACGGTGCACACAATTCTGCTTCGGCCGCTACGCTCTCCGATTATATCGCGCATCTGCTGTCAATGTCAGACGGTTCAAACTCGTCAAAGACCCGGAGTATCAACCTAACGTTTATCCTTTCCCTCTCACACTCTCCCCCTAAAACCCCTCTCCAAACACTGTCGCCCCTGTTTCCTTTGCCTGCACTCGGCTCGAAGCTCACCCTCAATCTGAGTGTGGCGGCCGTGGATTTCACGCCTCCGGATGGAATGCCTTGGGTGAAATCCGTACCACCCTCTGAGATACTGGAGGTGGTCAACGGCCTCGTCCCTGACACAACAGTATGGGCACCCTCAGACGCTAGTACACATCCGCTAGAAGATGCTCTATTGTGGGCATCGACTCGCTGCGATGACCAAAGCGAATCTCTGGTGGTTATCTCTGGGAGCCTGTACCTAGTAGCAGATTTCTATCGGTTATCTGGCAGTGATCTGAACTTGTGAGTAGAGAAAATCAGCGTTGTAGAGTATCTATCATGTATGTATCGCCATGTTACGGCTCATGTACCCATGAGACACACGGGTTTTTTATCTGTTCAACTTCATATGCTCGGCTCCAGTGCCATCCAAAGTCCCTTGCATATCTATCTGGAAGGCTAGGTTTGGTCTGTGGAAGACGACAAATGCAGAGACTTAGGCCAATATTTACTACGACATTTGCCAGCTTATCTACATTAGAGGTCGTCGCTCAATTGCATTTGTTGGTGTGAGTGAAATGTGTGCAACGTCGTGGGCTATAGCCGCCGGGGTCCCATAGATGGACACCTGGCTAGTCAAGACGACGCTGGTCAGTTGAGATAACTAGTTACGGACTTACAATAAACCATGAACTCTTGCATCCTCTTTATACGTTGCCAAGCGTTGGTATATAGGTGAGTACCAAACTTGCTAACCACACGAATGTGCACAAGTGGAAGTCCTGGCCGCTCGGTATGGGTGCATCAGCTTAACACAGTCTCGACAGTACGATCTTGTCAAGACTTGAGACTTTGCAGGGTATTTCTGGAAATTTTGAAATCGAAGTTATCCGGATTAGCGCCCATGATTTTGGCGCTCCCCGAGCTAGTATTGGTACCGAAACGGCGAAGCTCACCTTGCCTTCCCCCACTCTGCATTCAGTACGACATCCCAGTGTTCTCATTCCCGTGCCGAACGGCTGAAACGCGCGGTCTGCGCCTTACTTGAACTCACTCACCTGGTACCTAGCTTGATTGCAACCTGGAACGCCTGCCGGGAACGCGTATATATACTACATGAGCATTATCAGTCCATGGTTGGTGCTTCTGCTTTCACTGATCATCCCAACTAATATTGCACAGACTTGACTTCAATCAATGGCATCTAATGTTCTACCGCACAAGGATCGAAACTCAATAAACGAGCTCGGTAGCGCCGCGAATGGCACTAGCAGAAGACCACCCGCAAACAATCGAGATGCTTCTGGCCAGAAGCCGTAAGTTCTCACTATTGAATTGTGTACAAGAGCTCAAGAAAGCACAGCTGGAAAAACCCAACTGCCACATCAATTCCTGTTCCAGGGCAGGTTCAGCGACTGCTCGACCCCTACACTCCCCGAAACGCGTTTAGTGCCAATCGTACAGCCTTGCAGACGATTACCGCGGGACGTCACAGTAAACGACAGCCTCCAAGTCGAATTGATATCCAAAAATCAGCGTCGTCTTTTGTGAGAGGATACGGTCAGTCGCTTTACCCTACGTAGCATCTCACCCTAAGGAAATGGATACAGGCAAGTCCAAAGGGAAGCAGAAAGCAGTTCTTGCTCCTCAGCACGATACAGTGGATGTGGACGACGACGAAGATCTCGGCCAGCCGCTATCGTTGTCGGCGACTCGCGCACGTTCCTCGCCAGATCAACTTGACTGCATTCAAAGTCGTCACTTTCGAACGCCAACAGAACTCGAAACGCAGGTTCGGCTGCCACCTATTCATCCATTTGACGAAATGGACGACAGAAATGCTGCATCATCTAGCAAAACACCGCATATCTCCCATCACCATACCCAATCATCTTCGGACCCGATCGAAGAATACCAGCCGTCTCCACCTCCAGCGCGGCCTCTCTCTACGTCGGGTAGGGTTCAAGGAATGGTTTCGAAGATTAACGCCCAGAATCAGTCGATTGGACTAAGCGCGCCGCATGTCGACCTTGCGAAGGAAGAAAAAGCAAAGACGAAGGATAGAATGAAACCTAAACGTGGCCATGTGTGCTAAATGACCCGTATTGTATTTGAGCGAACACTGACTCTCGGCGCAGATTCTTAAAGTCGAAACTGCCCCCCAGGTTCAACATCCGCGCCTTCAAGTAAAGAGGGCTTTCATTGGACTCCAGGAATACGGGGAGAGGCAGACATCCTTCCAATATTCGTCCAAACAACTGATATTGACAATTCATCGCAAACCTTCAGAATCTCTGGTCTTTGCACTGAACGGAGAAGTCTTCCGCCTATCTGTAAGCCACACCGTTCTCTTAGCATTTTACCTTTATGAATGCCATCTTCACGAGAAGATGTCAAATCGCCAGGCCGAAGAACCCTTCCTTATGTTTAGCGCAATACGTTTGGGGTATTCGGGGAGCCGTCTGCAACTCGGCCAATCTGAGGAAGGTGGTTCACATTATTCAATCATGACGACACAGTACTCACAACGACTAGGTAACGTCGACTTGGGGCGTGTTCTTCTGCTTTTCGAGGATGACCAACCGGGACTAAAAGAGAAAATCGCCGGCCTAGTCGAAGTTACCAGAACATTAGATGGCGCTGAGTACCTCGAGTAAGTCGCATGTTAGCCGTATCTTCGCAGCCTCTAACGAGGTAAACTGTCAGCGGCGCTGGTGCCCGAGGCATATTTGAGAGAGAAATGAGGCTTTTGGAGGATTTGAAGCGGCGACGATCTTCGGATGGCTTGGAGGGTTCCAAGACGCGACGGACGGTACCTACCACTAAACCCATATCAGGCATCAAGCGGAAAATAACAGATGAAGATCAAGTAACTGAAGGTCCCCCGCTAGGCCCTCCCCGTAAACGTTCTACCTATCCAAGCGAGGATGTAGCGTAAGCAGCTTTCTCCTTGTTGTCCATCGAATCCTTACCTCTCGCAGCGATCACAGCCCGAAGCCAAGGGTGGAAACTCTGGACCCCCGCAGACGATCTGCCCGACAGACTCTGATGGCAGATGGTCTACCGCGTCAACCTCGACCTGACCCCGATGATATGTTAGTGATATCTCTTTGGTCATCCACGACCTTGGGCATAATTGTGTTTCGCAGAATCTTGGTATATCCGCCAAACACCACAGGCGCCGTGACAATCAAGAACTCGGACCTCGATCGATTACAACCTGGGGAATTCCTCAATGATACCCTAATAGAGTTCGGGCTGAAGTACGTGATGGTTATAACCCTCCTTCATCTTACTCACTTCTGTAGATTATGGCTCAAGGACCTTGAGGAATCGCACCCAGAATTGGCCAAAGACGTATATGTCTTCAGTTCTTTCTTTTACAAGAAGCTGAAAGTACGCAAGTAAGCACGTTCAACCTTGAAAGAATTTATCTGCACGCTGAACTGTGTCGTTCTAGTGTCGAGGACGGTTATCAGAGTGTTCGTAAATGGACATCCAAATTCGACATATTCCAGAAGAAGTACATTATTGTTCCGATAAATGAAAAGTGCGTACGGTTCTCCCCTTTCCACTGTTCTTTCATTCATTTAGGCAGTCTACACTGGTACCTTGCTATAATCTACGAACCGGAGCATATATTGCTTCCACCTGTTGCAACACCCCCTCGATTTACACGTAAAATGGGTCGGCGTAAAGCTACTGATGCCCCCATGAATAACGTAGTTCTCTCGGAAACACCACAAACAATGGAAGAAGACCTAGCCGAGCGCACCAATGAAATGTTGATATCGCCTCGCAGTCGATCAAAGACACCCAGCGATCTGCAGGAAGTTGTGGATCAATTAGAGCCCGAGTCAGAGGGTGAGCTGATAGGCGGAGGTCATATAGGAAGCCCGTTGACCGATATGGAGGACCTCGATTCCGTGCACGGAACTGGTGGAAGGGATAGGTCACTAAGCGCGTCTGAAACTGGATCTCGATTCATACTGCTAGATGAAGATACCACTATGTCAAGCGATGAACCTCCCATCGAACCTCAGCCATCCGTCGAGAGTGGATCCAATCATATCATCATTGACGAAACGCCTTCCGCCGGCCCTTCTCTGCTGTCGTCAAATGGTGTCGGTGTCACTCAATTTTACGGTACATCTTCGAAAAGACCGGCGCCGAAATTCACTACGCCCCCAATATTCCATAGTGTCGATGACCAGGCCGGTGTAGACGCTACGCCTGAGGTACAAATGGGAGATCCTCAACCACCTAGGTAACTCAGGTCTTCGTGTATCATCAACGATAGCTAATTAACTCCACCACAGAACGTATATCTTTACTTTGGATTCCCTCGGGACTCGCCATACTGCAGTGTATAAGACCCTGAATACCTACCTCAAGCTAGAAGCGAAGGACAAGAAAGACTTCGACCTGACAAGCGAAGGCGTTGGTATGCAAGCACTGGTTTGTTGAACAGTATCGTTGAACATTGCGTAGTTTCATAAAGGCATCTCTTTAGGTACCTTATCAACCCAACCATTGCGATTGCGGCGTTTATCTTCTTCACTTCGCGCAAACGTTCATGAAGGACCCAGGGACCTATTGCAATACCATCAAGGTACAAATTCACTGTTGTCAGAGCAATTTGAATATTCAATCGACATGTTTCGAAACACAGCATCGGCGGGGAGCGGGTTACGACCTACGCCAACGACAGATTGATTGGGACGATGCTTCTGTAGGGGACTATCGTGAAAAGCTTGCTGCCCGCATCAAGGAACTGTCCGTTATATGGAAGCGGGACAAGGGTGTGAAGAACCCCGATGCCCAGGAGGCGCAAGCTGACCCATCCACTCGAGCATCTTCTAGCAAAACCAGCCCCGAAATAGATGTAGTACCTGATAGCGAAGGCTCAGATGAGGACATTGAGATCGTTGGAATGAGCCGGGTTCGCACAGGAGGTAAAGCTAAAGGGACAACTAGGACTAAAGGCCGCTCGCAGGCTTCAAGGCTACGTGGTTGAACTTCACTAATACCCATTTGATATTTCCTTTCAGTTACCCAACAACACTACGCACTGTATCATGCATATCTTGTACTATATACTAATTAGAGTAACGATCAGCATCACTATTACTAAACTCGCAATCGTTAATGTAGACAATGGTAGAGCAATAGATGTAGCTAAGATATGCCACTGCGATTGATGTGAATCGCTAACTAAGGAAGGTCGAGTGGAGTTTGCCAATTGGCGTGAAGCCTAGTAGTGCGTAGATGAGGCGGTACCTCCGAGGGGTGTCCAGTACAGCAGTGGTAGTGAAGCAGTCCAGTCTGCGCGCGTGTGGCGTCTCGTAGCGAGGGTTAGTCCGACCTGCTGCACACCTCTTTGACTTCGTTTGTTCGTCTTTGCCTAAATGCCTCGGAGAGGAGAGCGGTCATCCTGGACATTGGGCATCAACGTTTAAGCGTCGACTCTGTGAAGGCCGAGAGTTCACGGATTTCTTTTGCTTAGCTAGAAAGAACGGCTCGGTAGTTAATTCGGCCTCTGTCTGTGGATGATGGGGCAAGATGGGGGATGTAGACGGCCTTCAGACCAGGATAGGAACCGCTTCCTCGTCCCACTGAGTCGAAGCGATCTAGGCGTAGTGGGGGAGAAATTGGTATTCTCGGCAAGATTATCGGCCGTCGCACCAAAGAGACGTACAGATGGGTCCATAAAACATGCGATTAGCAATGAACGATTGTGTATACCGCGAATAATTCTCACTCCAGAATCCAGATTGAAGGAAGAGCTCCTGATTCGGTTCAGGAGCAAAAGAGTTGGGAAGGAAGGTTCCTTGGAGAAACACAGGATAAACCCAAAATTCCATGTGCGCGTGGGCAGGCCACGGTATTCGCCGTAGATCATGGCTGCTGAATACTCGGGTTAAGTATGGATTTTTCGAAGGCTGCGTTGGAAGGCAGAGATGTTCTTTGAACCGGGAGAAGTATGTACGGCGTTCAAACTGAATTACGATCGACGATTAGAAAGTCCCACAGGGCAGCAATAATACCGCCGCCACTTACGACCGAGCAGCCTCGTGTTCATCGGTCAAATCGCGTACAGGGAAATAGGTTTGAAGCAGTTTGAGGCCCCACTACTGAAGATCATCAAACCCCGAGCAATTCCTATTGTGGTGGATGAACATTTCAGCCTGAACAGATGACTGTACTACGCAACTTGTATGTGGTCCTTGGCGTGGGACCTACACGCATAGATGTAAACTCGAGCCATTTCCAGAAAGTGGTGGAAAGGGTTTATTTTCGACCCTTCCACCTCCTTTGTTACTTTGTACCTCATCGGTTCGGGCAGGGGAGGATCTGCCGATGCGGGGAAGTATTATCGATCGGAGGATCAGCGGATAATCAACCTGAAAACCTGGGGTAAGTACAAGAGTCAAATCTTTTAATGGAAACTTAGGGGGTCCCATAACCATTCCCAATATTGCAGAAAAAGTAACCAAGGAAAGCCTGGAATGCGCCGGCATTCATTGATTTCGCCCAGTATTGTGCGCGATTGTATCCGACCCCGAGCGATTTTCGTGATCCCATTCAGTCCTATTTCTGATGGACGAGTTGCCGCTCGAACGGGTGGCCCGTTGAATCGGAGCCGAGAAGAGTTTCACCGCGCACCTAAGCGCACCCATTGGACGGGATCATGACTTCTTTCTATGTATGTGTTCGTCGAAAGACTCCGAGTCGGGAGTAAGTACACCGCCCATCGTAGAAGATTTAGGCGTCGGCCCAGGACGCGGGTTGGGCCCAAGATCCGAAAGAGGCACAATGCTGGCTGTCATTGGCGTCCGGCAAACCTGGAAAGATCGATTTGTATTAGAAACCTGCACGCGGTTGTAGTTAAGGCGCACCCGCGCCCGTCATATTGCGTCCGAGTCCAGCTTCAGCTAGCAACCTTTAGCAAGGCGATCCCGTTTGAAGGGATTGTTGCTTTACCCTAACTCAAAACACCGTCAGGGAACGCTAATAGCTGGTATTGGGCCCGCAGGGTACATATCCTGAGACACCGGATCATGCAAAGGGCGTTGGTGCTGACTATGGAGGCAATACGATGGCTAATTTGCAAAGTCAGGATTCAGCGAGCACACGTATACGTTGTGATGGACAAAGAAAACAAGCATGATTTGTTCGGCATGGGACACCGAGGTAAACAACCGCCCGGGGGTTGCCATCGTTCGTGTATGTATGTGCATCGCGGTTGCAATAAGCAGGACCTATCGCTTTGGGCTAACCACACGCATCAGCTGCATAATACGTTCTACAGAAAAGCACCGACATCGCGACGGATGGGCATCTGAATTGTTGGATATTCATCACTATGGGTGTGTCTATGTGATGACTGAGTAGGGGTACAATAATGATATGACTGCAGTGTATATTACGCGGGCTTCCCGGGACGTGTTGGTTCCAGATACACACGACTTTGTTTTTGCGGGAGACATGAGCATCATCAGAGGCGCTGTCTGGGTACAAAACGCGACTCACACACACCCACTATCTTCCCCTTGGGAAAATCAATTATGACGTCTTCGTTTTCGTCTTCTCCTCACCCTCTCCACCCTTCTCGCCCCGGCTCCTCACTTCCGCTTGCTGTATCGCGCGGTAGATATCTGCACTATCATCCACCTCGAGCCCGAATGTTTCTATTATTGGTGGTACGGCGTCGCGCGAGATGAGAAGCGGGTGGCTCGGAGTCGGGTGAGAAGATTGGGCATTCTCCTTGACACGGTATCGTTCGTACAAACGATCCAGTTCTTTGCTGGGTTCGGGTATTATGCTCCCGCTCTCCAAGAGAGCTTGCACGTATTGCGATGCCCTATACGCTGTTAATTTGGATTTTCGTGAATACAAATAAGTACAGGGTGTTTATCGAGATACGAAACGCGAACCTTTGTAATGATGCCACGACCGCCAGACGCAAAAGAAAAACGGAAGGTTGGGTATGATTGCTATACATACGGACCATAATACACGGTGAACTTCTGTGGGCAGAACATAGGGCGTCTTTCACGTACGTATAATCATAAATGGTGCCGTGAGTGGGGTTATGAGCATCCATGTTAGAAATCCCTTTCTGTGATTCGGACCGCGATGTTGTACCAAGGTCGTCAATTGGGATAAAGTTGTCGGACCGTTCTGGATAGAGGGCGGGTAGAGGAACGGTATCTATTTAAACCGCACAAAACAGTCATCGGTAACAACTAGAACCTCCCCAAGTATATACAAGAGACATACCTTCAACGGAGGCTTATTCTTAACATCATCCTGCGAGTGGCCACCAAAGTCAGGATGCCGTATTGACGGCCCAAACGACGGGTCGATCCCCTTGAGAGCCAATTCCTCAAAATCTATGCGGTCCAAGAACCGTTCACCAAGTTGATACACCCTGACCTAAAGCAAGAAAGCAAAACCAATAAATCACCGGCGTACGCTTATATCACGAAGAACCCACCTTCCAAGACCCTTCTTTGGCCTTTCCGAGCTTCGCCCACGCGTTGGATGCTTTTGCAGTGACCCATCGTGGCCAGCCACCCTTGGGACTCCACGCCAGTGAGCCATTCTCCGCCCCCTCCTTCTTGTTCGTCCCATGCTGCGCAAGGTCGGCAGGTTTCGTTATTTGGAAGTGGTAGTACACCAATGACTGCCGCAGCGCCGCTGTATCAGAAGCCTTGGACATCCTCGTTAATGGAAGCGCGATAATGCGAATTGGCCGCATGGCCTTTACTAGCGACCCCATTGTTTGAGGTGATGGAAGAAGGAATAGGAATGCTTATTTGCGGTGCAGACGCGTTTGAGCGCACTCCGTCACTGTAGCGGCATCCAATTCGGGAAGGAGACAGGGGCTTCTACGTTGAGTATACTCATCTGCTCTGTTCCTTCCGCTTTATTACTCATTTCCTGTTCCCATACCCGAACTCTAAGTATTCGATGATCCAACAGCCTCGGCGCTTCTCGCGTTCTCACCATTTTATATCAAGATCGAAGCAGGTAAGCTGGATGGCTACGCAGCTTCTTTCCTCTCTCCGTGCCAGAGGTGCGCTGTTGGAGATTGCTCATCATTGACATTCAAAGTCCTAGGCAAATTTGGGTGGCGGAGGACGGACAAGCGTGCGCTGGGTGTTAACCACAAGCTGGGCCTATACATGGATCTGGTAGAACAGTATCGAGTGTTCTCGTCGATTAGTTGATGATGCCCGTGGTCACGTATTAATCATAAGCTGTATGTGTCATGTTTCTCCATTGGCGGTTCGTGATTTTACCCTTAGGTACTACTGGATACTATTCCGATCAGCATGCATGAGGCGCCTTTCTCTTGTCACAAATTCAAAACCCAAGTGATAAAGTGAAGCCCCCGCTGACGGTCCAGTGATTGTCCCCCTAATGAAAGATTTATCCAGTTTACTGCGCATAGCACCCTGGAGAAACTGGAACTCACATTGATATCAAACTTCCATCCTGGAAAATGTTTGCCATATAAGTGCCCTCTCGCACCACAAAGAAAACAAACATCACGCACCTGGGGTAACCGGGAATTGGGAAGGATTCTTATGAGTGAACAGGGAAAGGCCGCAGATTTCAGTGATGCGATGTTCTTCGGAGTGCTGCAAAAAGGATGGCGTTCAAGTTAGCAGTTGTACGCATGTGGAGCACCCATCGGTAGGTAAATATTGCTCACCCCCGCCCTATCGATTCCGAAATGGACAAGATCAGAAGTGACGCCTGTTTGCCTGGACAGGATACGGCTGAAACCCTGCTGGTATTTCGCAGTGAACAAGAATGCCTCGTTTCCTTGATTCTTCAGCATCTGCATCGATTGGCCGTAGTCGATCGAGTCTGACAAAGGTGCAAGGTGAGCGGGGCGTTTGGGGCCCGGTAATCGGGTTTAACTAGGCAAACCATGCTTACAGTTGTAATTATCCTCTACTTGATTCCCCGACCCAGTGGTGGGCAGCTGGGTCATAGCCACAAGGTTCGAATTGCTGGGGTATACCTCGAGGAACATGCGATCCCAAGTGTCTTGGTTGTACGTGTCGTAGATCTTGACGAAGCCGCTGTGCACCATAACGATGTAAATCGACCCGCCCTTGGCAGAGAAGGTCGGGTCGGTAGGCGCGACGGCGCCGGCGGCATATGTGTAGGCGTCGATGTTCCAAGTCACCGTGCCAAATTTGTCCGAGTCACCTATCTCGGCGCTGTTCAGGATATTATAGCTTCGGCTAACGGCATGAGTGCGTTCAGTAAAGAGTAGATGGGCTTGTATAAGAAGACCTACTGCCCAAAATACATCGTTCCAGGAGGGGGTACTAGATCGTTCAGCAAGCTCGAGGGCGGCGCAGCCCCCGGGCGCTCTTGGTTGGCTTCATCATCATCTCGAGCTTTGGAGGTCTTGTCCATGATTCTTGCGGTGTCGCCAGATGGCAAGACTCGTCGACATCAAGCAGAATTTATACCTCTTGCACGAAGCTATTCGTAGTCCGATTAAATACACCAAACTCTGTCTACGACACCCAGTAGTCGCAAATGAATGCATCGTCTGGGGTACTCCGTGAATTGGCTTCCGTTAAAAATGGACATGCACTTTAAAGGCCCACGTTCATGGTCATGGGGCGACGGTGAGCGAGTAACAAGACTCTGGGGTTCAACTCAGTTCCTCATGAAACTACACTAAGTATCGATTCTCTCACCGGACCGTCTTGTAAGCTTTAACTCTTTGCCAGGCTTCCGTTCCTTCGCGCTGTAGACGCCTGATCGATTGATTGCATTTGCTGAGGAAGTAGACATTAAACTTTTTCGTACAGGCCATTGCTCTCAGCCCTGATACAACTGGACTCCGACACTTTTCTAGAACGAGACAATGAGCATGAGTAGACTCGAAAGTAAGCATCTTGTCCCCACACCCCATGCGTCCTAACCCCAGGGACTCCTGCTTTAGCTCTAAGGATAGACCAGCGTATCTATCTGGCTTTTTCGATACGACCGATGCGTGATGTCCTGAACGGTCGGGGGTGGCACTATCCCTCATGACTAGCGTTTGTCCCATTTGCTACCGTGTCCACGAGTTTCGTTTTCTGGAAATAGTACTACACCAACGCCTGCCTAGCGTAGTATCTGTCGTGTCCCTAGTTTTGGACATCCTCGTTGGCGGCAGCGCGACAAGGCGGATGGATTGAGTGTGAAGCTTTGAAGGCGAATGCTTACTTGTGATCGAGACGCCACGGCGCGGGCATGACTAAGACGGAGCCCAATTTGGGAAAGGGGCCCCTGAGATCGAGGTCACTTCCCTCGTGGTTCATATTCAGGTGCCCCCAAGTAACGAGCAATGCATTGTCGGGTGATTCAATCCTACTGATGTATACGCGAGACCTTGGAGCCGTATAAGTATTAAATAAGACCTTGAGAATGCATGTGGAACCTACACCTGGTTAATCAATGACTAAACCATGTAGTACTCCGACAGTGAGTACTACTCGAGTGGTCGCTCGGCACCTGCAGTGGATCCACAACTTCGCTTCCTCCCTGAAGCTTAAGGCTTGACTTTCCGGTTAATGTTGAGGTTATCGCTGACTTATCGCCATCTTATTCCCGATCGAAAGCTTGAAGATTCCAAGTTCGCTTGGGTATTGAGTATTGAATATTGATAGCTGAGCGCTGACAAGTCGGCAGTACGTGCAGTCTTCCAGCAAGTGAAGTGCCTTAATTTTACATTGGTGCCAAGGCTCACATACCAGCTCCCGAGGAGGTACACTTCACTCATTGCCCTAACGGAGCTTAGCCTTGACACTTAATTCTTGTCTTGGTCCCTGCTTCGTCCACAGATGCTATGTACATGCTTATTAGATTAGCACTTGCTAACCAGTTCTGACTGCGACCGCCTGTAGCGCTTGTGTAGCGCGCGACTCGACGAAGCTCAACTAAGCGCCTGACTGTGGTGGGGCGGGTGGGAGCAGACGTGCAGCTCCAATCCTACCTATTACAATCGTACCTGACACCGAGGGCACCGTGCTGCCTGGGAGGTCGAAGTATCGAGTTCATAATAGCCTCGAACCATGATTGTTCCGCAGTACTCATAGTCACAGTCGCAATCACAAGGGCCTCGTCAAGTGGCGGAATGGCGGAATTGGCGGAATGAATTATATTAATAGCCAGTATCGGTGAATCCTGTGGCCTATCGTGCAAGTCGACTTCAACGCTCGCCTACGGCTCTAGTAGCGGCGTCCCGGGAAATCATGGAATCACATAGACTCGAGGAATCCGCAACATGCCGATACACGCAGACACGCAGACCTCAGAGTTCTTCCGATGCGCTTGGGCCCGGGAGTAGCGTTGGGCAGTTGAACTTGACTTCTCGAACTTCTATCTCAAATCTATCTCTATCTGAAGGGCGAATAAGGTCTCGGGCATAATGGACCTGCCAAGGTACTCGACGGGTCATGTAAGGATTGACAAGCACAAACGAAAGCACAAGAGAATCATTTATTTATAAAGAAGGAAGCGTACGAGCAATCGATCCGCATGGTGAGCCGCCGGCAAACTTCGCAAGCATCCGATTAGATTACTCCTTCCACACTCCCCCACCCCGCTCACTATCAGGGCGGGTTACAGGCTCTCAGGATCCCGAATAACACAGCACTTGGTATATTCTAGATCGCTATACTTAGTTAGACGTCGCCGGCGGGAGTCACAGATGCATCGACGATGAATCGATTTGTGTCGATTGATTGCTGTACCATTGCGCGGTCGACTATCTATGTCTCTTGAATCACTTCTATGCGAGTACCGTACCTCACCGCGAGTAAATCAGCCTACGCGCGAGTCTACTATGAGATAACAATCGACGTGCGAGTGTTCGTAATCTCTCGTTTACAGCTAGCAGCGCGTACCTCTTCGCTCTGCCTATCCCCGAGAGCGATGGAACGCTGGCAGCCAACAGGAATCACAATAGTGCGAATATCCGTGACGAATACGGATGAGACGGGTTGAGTTATGCAAGTTCAGTTCATGTGGTGGGTGGGATGTGCGAGTGGCTGAGGGAGGTCTAGATCTAGGAGAGGTGCACACCGGAACGAGAGGAGTAGAGCGTTAGAGGCGTAGAAGTAGAGAGGAAAAACATCACTCGGGGTTTATGCATCCCTCCTGACATACTCTCATCAATCTCACATCCCCCCCCTAACATAGCATGCAAAGTAGCTTGGTATACTCTCTCTCTCTTTCATTGAAGTATGCGTATGAACTACGGGACCAACCGCGCCGACGGCGGGCCCTAGTACACAAACTCGTGATGCCGTCATGTCTCTAAGATGTAAATAAGTGAAGTGTAAGTAAACGAAGTGTATCAGAGTGGTGGGACGTCTATTCTAAAAGCCAAAGTCAAAGCAGATCAAACCAACGTATGTGTGTGCTCCCGCGTCCTCGAACGCCGAACGAACAACCCGTGGTCGAGCACATGGGTAATTACCCATCGTGCATGTGCATTACGACTTCTCGTTTTTCACTGCCTTCTTCCCCGGCACGAACAGCCACGCGGCGGTGATGAGCAGGCGCACCCCGACGCCGACGCCCAGCGCGCCGGCGGCGCCGAGCTTGAAGAGGATGGCGCGGGAGACGAAGGCGCCGAGGAAGAGCGAGGAGGCGGCGATGAGCTTGTGGTCGCGCGTGATGACGCTGCGGCGCAGAGAGAAGAGGCGGGGGTCGGACATGAGCTCGACCCAGACGGTAGTTAGGACGACTGGATTGGAAGGAAAGGACGAAAAGGGTTAGTACGAGACTTTGAGAAAGTATGTATAAGGGAAAGTAGGACGCACTCGTAGTGGTGAACTGTGTGTTGAGGCGCTTGCCCATGATGCCCTGCACGCCGAGACTCGCGCTCATGAAGCCGATAGCGACGAAACTGAGGGTATTCGTCCACGCCGGATCGCCTCTGTCGTCGGCAATGCTGCCCCCAATCCCGCCATTCGGCCCGAGGCCCAATATGCCCACACCGCCCTGCCCGCTCTTCCACGACGCGAGCGCCGCGGCCATCGTGAAGAGCGCCTGGATGAACGTGCCTAGGACGAGCCACTTGCGAGTCTGGTTGCCCATCTTGTCGCCGAGGCGGCCGATGAAGGCCCCGAGGTTGAAGGTGATGAGGGAGGTGAGGGCCTGCTGGTCTGCTTTGTGGAAGGAGGCATCGCGGAGGGAGGGGGCGCCCGGGGTGGCGGAGGGGGTGAACTCGAAGAGGCGCGCGATGGCGAGGGCGAGCTGGGCGAAGTTGCCGGTTTGGAAGCCGCACCAGACGAAGATGGCGGAGAAGGAGATGCAGTCACTGCGCACATATGTGTGTCATTAGTCTGCGTTGGATGGAGAAGAACAGGGACGCACATGAACCCTGTCATGAAGCAGAAGGCGGCAAGGGGGCCTGTGGACTGTGCGGGATCGACTTCTCCGTTGAGGTGGTCCCATATCGAAGAAGAGGTCGTTCTGGTCTACAAGGGGCTCGGTGTGAGGAAGGGTGATTGAAAAAGAGGGGAGGCACCGACGGCGACACTGTGGTCATAGTCCGCGGACTCTACTTTCTCGATCTGAGCAGACATGAATCACTGACAGCAGGAAGGGCCTTAAGGAGAGTAAGGGTGGCTGGCTCGGGTCTTGCTCGCACCGTGCGGGTTTTTGAGGACGGAGCAGGAGTTAGAGCGCTCCCTGCGAAGAAAATTGGTCGATAGCGCGATTGGCTTGGCGTGTTCCTTGTCACGACAGATTGGGTACGCGGTAAGCCGAAACCGCTACACGCTCGGAATCGATGGATTCAATTCGCGCTGTGAGAAGACTCCGAGAGAACTCGCAGTCAGCCAAGGAGCCAGAACTGATTCCTCTTATCAGCGCAGACGCTCGCATGTTCAGGACAGCGAGCACGAAGAAGTGCTTGGGTTCTTTCGTTCACGCGTTCAGTTATACTTGCCCTTGGAACATAGATGCAATTCTCGGCGACCGCGTCTGGAAAGTGGAAGGTTAACTGCGACTATGGGTAACTACAGGCCTCCTGGAGTACAAGCCTCGAGGACACAAGTCAGCAGTTCTAGTCCCAAGCATCCGTGATCCGGCCCAAGCTCCTCCTTAAACGTAGTAAATAGGACTATATAGCCACCAAGGATGTGGATGTTGGACATCCCATTATCTGCGAGCTCGAGCTCGTTGACTTATGCACTGATAGATATGTGCGTAGGGCTGCCATTGCAGTGTGTGCATTTAGATTTAAAGCTTCAACTAGTGCTATACCGATGTTCACCCCAAGACTAAAATGAATGACACTCTCAACCTGAACGGAGCACCTGTAAATTATCCCAAGCCTTGGGCTTCGACCTCTAGTTACTATCATGAACAACTCTGGCTCTGAGATCTGACGACCGTGACAACAGCTTGGATGATAGGCTACGCATAATTGCTAACGTGCACACTTCTCAAGTCTCTTGTCCTCTCCTTTCACCCCTGTCCTCTCTTCGCCACTTCTCTCTTCACTGACCCTTGTGAATGACCGGTGACACATCAATTATCAATATCTCAAGCTTCATGTGCCCTTACCACCAAGTGACATAGTATCAATGTTCGGTTGTCTTTTCATGGTACATAATATATTGCCATTCCACCAAATGTATACACTGCAATAAATAATTGATGAGGTATATTATTTACAAAACCTGGACAGATGTGCGTACACAGCCATTGAGAGCCTAGTTACAATATCTTTGGATAAAGGATAAGTACAGAATTCAGTCTTGTTTCTTGATCTTTGCCCATTGGCTACCACAGACAATGCTCTGGTGATTCATAGTGATGATATGGCGCTTTGAAAGGACTGTAACACATGGATGGGCTGTGAAAACATAACTACGGTAGGGATAAGGGATCCACAGAAGACGAATCATATCTCCGTTGGTTCGCCATTTTATCCAGTCATTGTGTCTGATCAATTGACTAGCACCAAGTGAAATGTGGTCATTCCAGACCTGAATTGTCCTGTCATAAGATCCTGACACTATTTTTGTGCCATCTGGGGAGAATGCAACAGACTGAACCAAGCCATCATGGCCCTCCAATGGATCACCAATCTGCTTTGCTGCTTCCACATCCCAGACTCGGATTGTCCTGTCATCAGAGCCTGACACTATTTTGGTCCCATCTGGGGAGAATGCAACAGACTGAACCCAGTCATCATGGCCCTCCAATGGATCACCAATCTGCTTTGATGCTTCCACATCCCAGACTCGGATGGTCTTGTCACTAGAGCCTGACACTATTTTGGTCCCATCTGGGGAGAATGCAACAGACTGAACCCAGTCATCATGGCCCTCCAATGGATCACCAATCTGCTTTGCTGCTTCCACATCCCAGACTCGGATTGTCCTGTCATCAGAGCCTGACACCACTTTGGTCCCATCTGGGGAGAATGCAACAGACCGAACCCAGTCATCATGGCCCTCCAATGGATCATCTATCTGCTTTGCTGTTTCCACATCCCAAATTCGGATTGTCCTGTCATCAGAGCCTGACACCACTTTGGTCCCATCTGGGGAGAATGCAACAGACCGGACCCAGCCATCATGGCCCTCCAATGGATCACCAATTTGCTTTGCTGCTTCCACATCCCAGACTCGGATGGTCTTGTCGCTAGAGCCTGACACTATTTTGGTCCCATCTGGGGAGAATGCAACAGAGTTGATGCAGCCTTCATGGCCCTCCAATGGATCACCAATTTGCTTTGCTGCTTCCACATCCCAGACTCGGATGGTCTTGTCATCAGAGCCTGACACTATTTTGGTCCCATCTGGGGAGAATGCAACTGACAACACCAAGCCATCATGGCCCTCCAATGGATCACCAATCTGCTTTGCTGCTTCCACATCCCAGACTCGGATTGTCCTGTCATCAGAGCCTGACACCACTTTGGTCCCATCTGGGGAGAATGCAACAGACCAAACACAGTTATCATGGCCCTCCAATGGATCACCAATCTGCTTTGATGCTTCCACATCCCAGACTCGGATGGTCTTGTCACTAGAGCCTGACACTATTTTGGTCCCATCTGGGGAGAATGCAACAGACTGAACCCAGTCATCATGGCCCTCCAATGGATCACCAATCTGCTTTGCTGCTTCCACATCCCAGACTCGGATTGTCCTGTCATCAGAGCCTGACACCACTTTGGTCCCATCTGGGGAGAATGCAACAGACTGAACCCAGCCATCATGGCCCTCCAATGGATCACCAATCTGCTTTGCTGCTTCCACATCCCAGACTCGGATTGTTCTGTCATTAGAGCCTGACACCACTTTTGTCCCATCTGGGGAGAATGCAACTGACCAAACCCAGCCATCATGGCCCTCCAATGGATCACCAATCTGCTTTGCTGTTTCCACATCCCAAACTCGGATTGTCCTGTCATCAGAGCCTGACACTATTTTGGACCCATCTGGGGAGAATGCAACAGACTGAACCCAGCCATCATGGCCCTCCAATGGATCACCAATCTGCTTTGCTGCTTCCACATCCCAGACCCGGATTGTTCTGTCATTAGAGCCTGACACCACTTTTGTCCCATCTGGGGAGAATGCAATAGAGTTGAGGTTGCTTTCATGACCTTCCAGTGGTTTACCAATCCTCTCCCCTACTGTAGCATCCCAAATGTAGATTGTACCATCTTCCAAGCCTGACACTATCTTGGTACCATCTGCTGAGAATGCAACAGCTTTGACTGTGCTTGTCCCTTTCATCACATAGCCATCACGGGGCCATCTGTGCCCTTGTCCACTAGTCACCATTGCTGGGATGCAATATTTATGACCATAGAACTTGAAGGCCTTGGAGGATAGGGGAGCCAACATAAGCCCAGAATAGTACACCTGGGGTGCAGAGGACATGTATCCCTCCCGGGATATCTTCTCAAATCGGATGAAGTCCAAAATGACTGGTTCAAATTCCTTGAAATCCATGAACTGAGAATAATTAAGTGAAGAATCTCATGTGAAGGGAGATACAATTCTTACCAATGCCCATTTGTGCAGCTCACGTAGAATAGCACCAGGGCCATTCTGCCATGTACTCATACAACTGTGAGCTTCGAGCCAATACAGAAAATTCTCCTCCAGAAAATGTCTGAGCTGCAATTCAATTTCTAAGGTTATCAGGAAAGAATTTAGAAATTGATATGTTTGATAAATTATAGTATACTTCAACTTACCTTTCTTGAAACCTTGTGAAGACTTGAAGTAGTCCTTGTCATACCACATTGTGATGTAATGAGTGGCAAAGTAGCACACATTATTCAAGCAGATCTCCCAAGCAAATTGATCTATCATCTAATAAAATACTTGTTAATTCACTTATCCAAAGGCAGCACCTAGTACTTACAGTTCTGAATGCATGTAATGGCAGACATATAGTGATTGCAACCAGTAGAGCCCAAAGTAGAGAATGGGAAACATTGTAAGCCAAAACTGCAACAGAAATTACAGCAATTCCCACAGCAATTTCCATAGTGTATATCTGCTTTGATTGAGGCTTTGATGGATGCACCGTTTGTTGTAAGTGGTATGCCATTGAGTGGCATGCATATTGAAGTCCAGGTGAAATGTACTCTGAGACTCTTTTCAAACCAGGCATGTCTTTATTCAGAGCATCAGATCTAGGCAATTGGCAGATATTGAACTTGAGTCCATCAGGTTCAGCATTCATAATCCTGAAACATGCAAGTGCAAGCTCATTGTGTTTGTCATGACTGGTGATATTGATGAAAAACTCTTTGCTAGCCTGCTCATCCAAAAGAAACTCTTTGAAGGATGTGTGGTGGGGTGTAATTGCAGCATTGTCCTCAGGTGCAGCTCCATGGAGAAATGAGCTTAGCCAAGACAATATTACATCAACATCTGTTTCTTGTCCTGGACGTAGCACTGATGCTATTGCTCTAAACACCTGCTGAGGTTGTGGAGAGCGCACTAGAAGAACCCATGCCATCAGCTGGCGAAAGAACTCCAGATCATCCTTGTCTGTTATATGCATACAGAGGATGGCATAGTAAGAGCCATATAGTTTCATGCCAGGCAATTGGTGCAATTGAGAAAGAATCTTCTTGAAGACTGTTTTTGTCACTCGCCCTGAGTGATTTGTTGTAAGCTCACGACAGAGCAGTGCTGCACATTCAAAGGATGTTTCTGAAACATTGGCAACCTCACTAACCATCCCCTGAAGGGATGTTAATTTCAGCCTATCTTGAATGAATTTCAGAATGTCATTGACAGTGCCTGGTTCCTCATTGATATCGTAAGACAGAGCAGAACTGCCCAACCCCTGTGCCAACTTCAAAGCTTCAGAAATAGGACGAGAGGTGAACAGGAAGCGGATGGAAGATGTGAGGCTTGATGCCAGTGATATCAAATTGTTTAAGATAGACACAAGCTCATTGAGGTCCTCCTTGGGACATTCATCAAGAGCATCAAGGGCAAAGACAATTGGCTTTGCACCATAGGCATGGCTTAGTCCTTGTTTCAGCAGAATCTTGTATTGGTGATCTGTGTTCTTGGTTGAGCGATCTTCTGGGTTGAGACCATGCAGATACTTGAAGTAACCTTCATTGTGCCGGGCAAGGTGCTTCACCCATGTGGGAATGAGTGATGGTAAGGACTGATTCTTGAAAGCAAAGAATGGAACCACAGCAGCATGACTATCTTCCAAGGTCTGTGCAACTGTACTAAGGATAGTTGACTTCCCTTTTCCAGCAGCCCCTCGGAGAAGTAGCAGCCTCTCAGCTGTTTGGTCTCGGCCCCATTTCTCAATAATGTCAAGAACTGCAGTGCGTGTGCCATCTAAGCATGATGCTGGCTTTGGTGTATTGCTTGCTAAATGCAATTCAGCCAGAATTTTGTCCTCTACACACCATCAGAGCAAATCCCACTTGAACAATGTGACATGACTTACTCTGGTGCATATCATCAAATATGTTGTTCAATTTATGGTCCATACTCTTCATTTGGACTGTGAGGCCACCAACAGCATACAGAGTCTCAAAGACTGCAGCCTGTGTATCTTGTTGGTGGGCAGACTTCAGCCCATCCAAAGCCCTCTTGAGTAGGTTGGCATTCTCCTCAACTCGGGTCTTCACAGTGTCTGTGAGGGTCATCCCAACTGGTAAATAGGTATCAGTGCATTGCACACAGTCAAAATGAATGATAGGACCTACAAAGATCACATCTTCCAAGTGAGCAAATAAAGTGAAGACAGTTGTAAATGACCGGAAATAAGGCCTGAAATGCTGCATGCTGATTCAACCGTAGATCACCATGTTTCTTGACATCCAGATCTCTAACATGGCCACAGACGGCACCAATGTCTTCCAATAAGGAGATAATATAGGATTTGCCAACAAGATACTTCTCAATAACCTGAAGATTGTGTCAGTTTTGATAGTGACGAAGGTACAGACAAACTAACCGAGGCAATGGCAGTGACCACCTTAAAGGCAACCTTGACAAAGGTGTTTATCTATAAAGAGTTCAGTGAAGGTTCATAGGGTAACTATTCTGTAGCTCTCACCTCTGCTATTGCAGCCCCAATTGTTAAGAAAAGGCGCAGATGCTCGAAGGCTCTGCACAACTTCGGATGAGATTTCAAACGGCTCTCAAGGGCCCTGATCTCAGAATCAGCCTGCTCCTCAGAAAGAGTGCATGAAACGTTGAACGTAAAGCCAAGAACGACGTCCGTTTGTAACCCAGAATCCGCAGTATGTTTAAGCCCGACTAGCTCAAGACATCAATTTCGCGCGCTTGTGAACATCATGTAAAGCCCGTACCTTCGCCATCCAGTGAACGAAGCGGCACTTGAGTGTACGCGAGAAGTATCTGGTTCTTATCACTTGTGCTCTCGTAGAGCTTGATCTGGATCGCGGTGCTAAGTTTGGCAAAACTGAAGAAAGTCGGAGATGTATGGTTAGCCACGCAAATCAACGCGGTTCAAGCTATGGACCCACAAAATCATGGGGAAGTCTACCACTTTCTCGTCCTGAGCACCCAGCCCATGCAGCTCGAATTTCGCATCCGAACGGCCCTCGATGGACAAGACAGCGTAAAAGCGACGCTTCTTGTCTTTCTTCTTACCCGAGGGCAGATTTCGGCTCTCAATGACTGCGTTGAGGAGTGTGAGCCAGTAGGCCGTCGGTGAAGGTAGACCACTTACATTTAATCGCGACGTAGACATTCTGTTCTCCTTGCGTACTCGACATTGTTGTGGTTGCAGTTGAGTTCTGTGGGGGCACCCAAACCATGAGGCGATTCTGGCGAACACACGTCTGACAGGCTGTGTGTAGGAGCTATAATAAGCATGCCTCGTGGCTGCTGGCACTGCCGTGGGGTTCACCGTATACCTCAGCGCCAAACGTTAAACCAATGGCCGTGGAATCAGGCATCAAGACTACAGCTCTGAGAGAGAGCTTTTCCGTTGTGCAATCTCACTGGTTCAACCAAAATAACCACGTTTTGATTGATTGTACTGCATACATGTTGTCGGATACGTGCGCGTCAATGTCCTCTAGACATTCGCCTGAAGTGCAGAGATGGGGAACCGAGGCCCTTTGGTGCCGGTGTCAGCGTTCCGATGGATCGCCCAAACGTACCGGCCAGTGCAGCGCGCTGCTCTCCTACAACGATGTAAGTCATCCATCCTCTAACCAAAACGAACGGATCGTGGACTCACCGTACCGTAGCCTCCCGTTACATAGAAAAGAACCCTCAGAATGGAATTGATGATGTTCGCGACGCGTCTACGATACGAAAAGCTTGACGCCGGCCAAAGTCCCTTTCGCGCGTCCGCAGGGTACGCTCGTGACTCCATGGCAGGGAAAGTGATCGCTGTCGTAGAGAATGGAAGTCTCGACGGCACAGCAGGCTCTTGGCCTGGCTTTGACGTGGACGATTGCTCCCAAAGCTATCACAGCCACACGTTCGGACTCGAATATTATTGCCTATACATTTGACAGCGGACCTCTCATCCCAGGTATTTGTCGAAGCTTCGAAGAGACGGCTGGAGTTGACTTCAACTGCTCTGTAGATATATATTGCTGCTTGTTTCGTGAATATGATACTCGGTTGACCACGAAGCCGAACTAGACTCGCCTTTGGAAGACTACTGCTGGTGTTTCTCGAGGACAAGAAGACGGAGCGACGCGACTCCTCTCACGCCAATATCTACACCAAAGTCAGAACGTAGCACGGATTCTATATGGAACGCGTACCATTGTTAGGACGAAGGATACGGCCGCGGTTATGACCCACCATGCGTGCTCTCCTCTGTGCTGTATTTCGTGGCGCAGGTTGCCGCAACATCCGGCCTACGCTCAGCCGTCCATTTGGGAGAAATGGCTTCGAGGAAAGTGTGAATGCTGTGTCTTGGTTCAATGATAGAGCCTTGCTTCCCTCAAGGTGCCCCTTCCCCCGTTATCTTCCCTACCGTGACCGCTGCGCGGTGAATCGATCAAGTAATGCTTACTCAAATTGAGGATGCAGACTCCGGGGGCTATGACTAGAGTCCCCATCAGTCCGTGCTGCACCATGCGCAAGAATCCAAACTCACATACATTTCCGGAGACCAAAAGCACCATGTCGTCAGTATCTCGCTCTGGGGACCTTCAACGGAGGACTCGATCTCGCCTAGGCAACAGGCCTTCGTTCTGCTTCCTGATCTTCAAGTATCAATGCATCGTGCATCATGTGTGTGTCCTCTCCTTCTATCATCTGCCTGGTGTATTCTCACCCCCTGTGCACACACCCATACTGATCGTTATCGGCAGTCGCCTTAACCTTTGTATCGGTCGAGCTCATACGTAGCATGGGCCGCGCACACGCGACTACAAACCCCTACAAGGACGTGTTCATCCCCTCGTCTCCCTTCGTCGTGCGGGCCATCTTATCTAGAGCTAAGTTGGAGCCACGCTGGGGACCGTGCTCAGACAGTGCACACATCGCGGGTCGACTGGAATCGAGGTCGATGCAGTTGTTACTGGCGCTGGCGTTGGGTTCGGGCGCGACTCATGATTTCAGCCATCCATCCTTGCAGCGTCTTGTAAGTCAGACTTCGATAACACGCGCACTTGACGTGTTGGCAGTCGCACGAGCAGTAATGCCATAAGTCTGCCACAGTTTACGGCTTGCGGTCCGAGGCTCCGAGTCTTGAGGCTCTCCCCTTCCTCTCCTTCCTCGTCAAGTCTGATCTTCGTATATTGTGTGTGTGGTCGAAAGCGGATCTGGGACGGTCGCGCGCTAGCGCGTCACCTTCATCCAGACAAGGCAAATAGTCCAAACCAGGCGCTACTAGCATTAGTCGCTAGTCAAGGATTGGAGCTTCGTGTTTCATATGTTCTAGGCGCCCTTGCCAAATGAGGCGGGTGGTACGTGGGTGTGTGTTCCGGGTTTGGGTTCGTTGCGTTGCGTTGCGGCGCACGATGAGTATCAGTTCCAGGCAGGATTGCGAATGCGGACCGTAAATCGCGCGCGCCGACGTCCAAACCATCGTCGTTGGGCGAAGAGATAGTGTCGTGATCTAACCGTTGTAGGGCAAGAGCCAATGCACTAGGATGCTGGACTTCGAGGTCTTTCCATTCTCGCCCTTGCATATCTATCGGCGCACTAGCTATCTTCCTTGTTCCCGTCTCTTCTCCAGGCTGGTAAGTGAAGGCGTGTCAGGCACAGAATAAGAATAGACGCGCATGCACATTGTATAATACTGGCGCCCACTCTTGACCATCACGACTTGGCAAGTACTTTAGGGCATCCCCGCCATGTCAATGCTCCCGCTTTCTTCAAAGACTACGCACACAGCCTGCAAATTCGCGCAACTCGCTGAAAGGAACAAGCACAAGCACAAGCTCGAGCACAACGCTGCAGCGCTTCGGTTCTTCGGTCCGCAGGCCGCACGCACACGGGGCTAGAGATTCTCAAATTCGCAAGATAGTAGCCTTCATGTCTTACATACATACTCTCTTCGTGTCAGCACCTCGTCGCTTCAAGCCGCCTCCACCGTACCGCGCTTGATATCTGATCCCTACGTCGTGGGATCCGTCTGCCGTTCAATACACACGCGCCGTCAGCCCACTATCCTACCGCACAACACGTACCGAGCCACCCACCTTAGCAGACGGCTGCACGACATACGCATCGTCGTACACCGTCAGCACATCCAGCGCGCCCACCGCCGCCTCGAACTTGCGGCCGCTGCGCTCGAGCGTGACGTGCGCCGTCTCGACGCCTTTCCGCGCCCAGTGGTTGTTCGCCCACGACTCGAGGAGCGCGACCTCCGGCGTGACGCGGTAGAAGTGGTCCGAGCCGACGCCGTTCTTGACGGTGATCCAGAGCTTGATGGATTGGCTCGAGCGGTTGGATACCCAGACCATGTTGTGCAGTATGGGCTGTCGCGTTTGTTGGATGCTGGATCCGGACGATGGCGTTCACGGTGACTTGGTGAGTGGATGGGTACACTGAGCCTCCGAAGTGGCTTACCTTGAGCGGCAGAAGCGTTAGAAGTTGCGAGCTGTTGAAGCCTGAACTGGGGACTCGTCCTCTCAGTAACGGCCTCCTTTTATACAGAAGGAAATGCCCAGATAAAGGTAAAAGACGAACGCTCGCAGTGCACCTGTGCGCCGGCATCGTGATATCTCCTGCAAAAACAAGACGAAGCGGCTCCACGAAGAGCACCCTGTCATTCATTTCCAGAAGTCAATAGCGCGAGAAATGTCCCTACTTCGTTCAATTGAAACCTCTGGCTTGGAACGTCGGCAGTGCGATACCTTGCGCTTGGGCACGAGAAGATTCCGTGATTCGTCTGGCGTTCTGATATTCGAGGGTGCCGGCGGTGCTATATCTCCTGCTCAAACAAATCACGAAAACCTCCGCGGTTGCTGTCGACCCCAGTCATTTTGTGGCTTATCGGTAATCGATGGCACGCGTGATCGCTTGCATATCGACGGTAAGTGACGCTGCTTCGTGCTGATGTGCCCAGAATCTCAGTCGATCAACTGACGTTTGGATTCTGGAAGAGGAAGAGGCCGTTGTGGGAACGGACCGTGTTCAATTCAATGCAAACTCGCACTCCCGTTGTGAATGAAACCCCGGCCTCGCCCACTTCGATATGGCAATGTAGTCTTGTCGATCACTCACCTGTGTCTGCATCTCATCCATCTCTGAGGCACGTCGAGCAGCGGTTGGAGCCGCGCTGAAGTGTGGACTTTCTGCTCGCTCTGATCCGTGGTGGTGACTCCCGATGAGAGAAGGCTGAAGCTCGGTACTGAAGCTTGAAGCTCTCGCGCTGCCTCAACGTAGTGTCAGCTATCGGATTGGCTCTTGTAAGCGGCACTGGTGCGCAGATGGTAGACCTTTTATCCCCTCAGTATTGCTCAGATACGCGCTTTATGGCGGTTAGTTGGATTGAGACTGGTAGTGAAGTGGGTTATACACAGTGTCCTTGTATTTGTAGACCTATATATGAGGAATATATGCAGTCCAATCAATGACCTGGTAAGCATCGGGCGGGAGACTCCTAAGCAGAACAAATGCCTCCACAATAAGAAGTACCCGAGCCATAAAGTAGATGCACAGTCCCACAGCGGCGAGGATTCTCATGGGATAAGCAGGGTAATATTGCAGTCTTTCAACTATAAACATGGTCATGCAAGAGAGGAGGAACCATGCTAGGGGGATGGCGGTCACCAAGACGGACGAGGCTCTCCAAATGCGCGCCTCCGCAGCGCTCGGGAAGGGAACATGCCAGGCGATGCAGTGGATGGCGCCGAATAGACTGCTCGAGAAGCCGCACATCGCCAGCGACATTTTGTCGCTCCGGGTGGCCAGCGGGGTAAAATGAATTTTGACGAAGGGGTCGACATTGTCGGGGTCGGCTGGTTCCTCGATGATCCATGCATGGGCGTAGAAGAGCGCCGACACAGTCAGCGCCGACCTCCATATGAAGGTGGGGGCACTAGCCGGGGCGTCGCGCTCCTCTGTGAGGATGGGGTGGTGCACGTCCAGCGGCTTGTCCCACCAGAAGAAGTAGAGCAGCGCGCTGATAGACGCGTAGGCGAGGGTCATCACCTCCAGCTCGCTAAACGCCAGACCGGAAACAAACCGCGCGCCCAGTTGGATGACGAACCACGCGACCTGGGCGAGCGCCAGAAGCTTGGCCAACGCGTCACCCTTGCTTTTGTCCTCGATTTCTTCGGCACAGAGCACCGGCCAGGCGATAACGGGGGTGTGGCTGCGATGATTGAGAGACGTGTCTTCTATGAGTGATTGCACGACATGTGGTCGCACTGGCTGCCCATCGACCAATACAGAGCATCCTCCCATGAGCACGAAGAAGCCGTGTATTCTAGTCCATACCGAGCCTGATGATCAATCATTACCGTGTTAGCTGCTTCTTGATCACAAGCGAACGATACTACAGTCCTCGCCTTCATTCCCATCATAGGGTTTCCCCGCCTCGTGCCTCTGCGCCATGTCTCTCGTGCCCGTCGCATCCAAACCAGCAGCGCGGGCACGAACTATCTGGTTGGCGTCGAACCACTGGTGTGCCGCCCACATGACCACCAACTCGGGCACGAGGACAGTCCAGAGCATCAGGAGAAGGCGCCGCCGTAGCATCTTCCAGCGCGAGCAGCGAATACGGCGAGGGGGGATGTTTGGGTGGATGGCGACCCAAGTGCAAGAGAACACTAATGCCAGGCAACTCCATACGATGTCCACCGTGGATCGGCCGATCGCGAGGGTGGTAGGCTGAAATGTGTCTGTGGCTAACGAGTGGGGCAGCGACATTCTTGATGGTGCCCTTGGACGTCAAGTACTCAGTCAAGAAGGTTTCGAGATATCAGTCTCTCCTGCGGTTGTCGAAGCTTAAACTGACGGAGAGATCCTTGGCCCTCCTAGAATAGAAGACTCAAGAAGATGGGAGTGGTGGGAGTTGATAACATGTCATATACTTACCTATGCTCTGTATTAGACCATGACCAATGTTGAGTGCATCCGAAGTGTAAGAAAGCCTAATCTTGAAACTTTTGTCAAGCAATGCTCATTCTTTGGGTGGGAATGGCCGTCCCAGACTCGATGCTACGGGAGTCGAAAGGAGTCAATGGAATCTGGATCATGTGTAGTGTAACATCAATTGGGGCACATAGGTACGCTGGGGATGGCAGTGCCTCGTCGGATAGATAGCCTGCTAATTGCAGTTACGAAGAACAACTCGCTGAAGAGTAACTGAGCACATGACAAAGCGACAGAAAAGCCATGCTACGCACTTGTGTGCTGGATCGAGTCCTGCAATCCGGAAGAAGTAGTCGCAGTGCTCGTGAACGCCCTCGCCTTCACCGTCCGGTTGAGCAACACCACCGCATGCCCAGCGCTTCCAACACATGGAACAGGATAGTCACCGTCCCCATCATCTGTCGCTGGTCTCGTGGTCTCGAACACTCCATGTCCCGCCCTAGCCTCTCTAAGCTCTCTAAAATCGAGTTGGACGAGGGTCGGGGCAACCAACAACTGTTCAAACTCTAGTTGTCCACTTGATTACATCAACCACTTTACCTCTCCTCGCTCCTCCTTTATTGATTATCTTCCCGAGGCGCCAGTACTTTAGTGAACGAGGCCGTAGGTCGTTAGTCTCGTCGTCGCCTCTGCCACCGCAAGATATGTTGAAAGCTCGACGGTGTTCCTGTTATGGCGAGGTGTACAGATACTCACGTCTGAGCATGTCATCCACACGCCGAAATCCTTGATCGTCACTTGAACGGTATTTCATCGGACCGCCGCGACACGAAAAAATGAGAAGTGTTTACACATTTGGGCAGCTGTCGCGATAGTGTCGACAACTGGCGGCCTGGGACTCGGCTTTGATGGATGATGGTCGTCAAGGCGTGACGCACACATGGTTCCGAGTCACAGTGACGGGTGACACCAGCGTGCATCATCCAGGCTTTTTTGTCGCACGTCTGTCTTGTTCACCGACTCCCATTTCTAATTAGCCTGCCTAGCTAGAATCGCCTCCCGCCTTTCTCCAAGGCCTCCCCGACGCTCGCTACCCACCCACCCACACTCTTTTTCACCCATATACATATTCTCCACATCTTCAACTTCACTTATACATATATTCAAGCAACAACAACAACAATATCAGAATAGACATCAAGATATCCCTATACCCCAATGGCACCCCGGCCCCCGTATGCCACAGATATCCCGGACGAAGAGTACGATAGCCCGCAAGCACAGACCAGGCGACTCCGCCAGCCCAAACCCCAGGATCCCAGCGCCAGATCCTCGACCTACGATGTGTACGCTTTATCTCTCCATGATGTAGCGCGTGCAGCTCAACTGATTGGCGAAATACTACCAGATACAACAACTACCTCGCCGCTGGCGACAACAACCCAAACAGCACCCCTAACCCGAACGACCGCAACTCCGGCGTCGGCGCACTCGGTCTCGGTCTCATGACTGCTGACATGTCGGACGACGACGACGATTCCGACGACGAGCGTGACCCGCGCCCGAACGCGAAGCAGCAGCAGCAGCAAGGGGGGAGACAGGCCGCGCTTCTCGCTGCCACATCAGAAAACAATAATAATTCACGGTCCATCAATGCCAAGTCACCCCCGCCTATCGCAGCGCCAAGACCAGGCTATCCCGCCCCCATAGCCGCTCTCAACCTCGCCAGACCCCCGCCTGCCGCGTCCCCACCCTCCCCCCAAGGCCGCCAGCCGAACCCCTTCGATCCCCCCATGCAGAACCCGTTTGACGACTCCAACTCCCACAACCACAACCCGATGAACAGATCCCCCGTCTCACCAAACTTCAACTTCGAATTCGCAGATTCAGGTCCACGTCGTCAGCCCCCTGGGATTCAGATACCTAATAATGCGCGTAATGTGCCGCCCCCGCCTGCGTCCCCACGCATGCCGAACACCCCGCACCCGCTCCTCCCGCCTATGACGCCCATCACCCCCGCGTTTGTGCGCCCGACCCCAGGGCCCCCGACAGACCGCGATGTCAAGTTCCACGCTGAAGCGATCATCAGGAGCGACCACGAAGGCTCGCTCCTCCCCAAGCGCGGCGAACGCGGCGACGACTTCTGGCGCCGCTTCAGTATGATCGCGAAGGTGGAGAACGAGAAACAGACCACTGAGAAGCAGAGGTGCGTTCTCGTCCTCATTCCCTTTCATCCCCCTCTCCGCCTTCCTCTGCTTTCGCTTTCCCCTCTACTTCTTTCACGCTTCCTTACTTCAATATCGATCTAATACTAACTTCTCTTTACTCGCAGTCTCTGGCTCCGCAAGACCCAATCGGGCACGAACCGCCTCTCGCGGTGGGTCTACGTCCTTGGCATCGTGCTGCTCATCCTCATCGCTGGCGGCATCGCGCTTGGGGTGTACGCTTCGCGCAAGGACGACGACTCGACGCACGAGCCGCCGACGGTGTTCGGCGGGGCCGCGAACGAGGCGAGTATCCCGGATGTGGGAGAGAAGAAGGAGGGGAGTCCGACCGTGCGGAGCAGCTTCCATGTTCAGCCGACGAGGACGCTGGATAATCGCGCGGGCGGGTATGCGCCACAGGAGACTGGTGTGGTGGGCAGGGATGTGCTAGGGAATGTGTCGGGCGTTGTTGGGGGGATTGGACGGAGGGTCGAGGAGAGGATGGTGAAGACGCATTTGAAGAGGAGGAAGCTCGCGCTTTGAGATGAGTCGAGGGTTTTGGCTGTTGACGTTGAAGTGTTCATGCGTTTATGCGATTATGGCAATGCATCGTTCGAATTCAATCTGATCGCCTTTGCGTTTGGCTTTAGACGTTTGACTCTTCTGTTCTGCTGCCCCTTCGTGTGGTTTGGCTTCTTGTGTGTGTGTGCGCACGCGAAGGGTGTACGTAGGGACTAGCAAGACTCGAAGATATACCGATCATATACTGATTCTGGATTCTATGTGCTTAGTTGCACTTTAAATTTTGGATATCTTGGATTACCGTATTACATTGACGTCGTTCTATTCTATTTGCATTCCGCACTTTCATTCCGTATCATATCATTATTGCTCTTCTTCTATGTTTATATCCCTTGACAGAGCCTGCCGACGGCTGTGTTTTTCCTTTTTCCTACTGACTCATTCGCCTGCGTCTCTCTCTATACACCACGTATTTCCTGGCTGTCTACCCACTCTGCACGAATGACCCACCTCCTCGCCTCCTGGCCCCGCTCCGGCGGACCTTGTGCGCGGTTATCTACATGCGCAGGAAGGCTGCCTTTCGGACTCCTCAAGGCAAAGCGGGCAAGGAACAGGCTGGTCATATGAGTACTTACGTGAGTACACGAGTACCCTCCCGGTTTGATGATCTAGAATGGTATGAGGCTGGAGGCTGAGGTTTGTGAAGTTGCTAAATCCAAAATACGGTTCGTGAAGTCCGGTTCTTCGATGACCAGCGGGCCGCGTGGAGAAAGCCTGCAAGAGCTGACATCCCGTAGTACATACCATCATGGTGGTACCTGCGAGCCGTTGTGGCAGTAGGCCAGAGCTCCTGACCGATCTACGCGTTACGCGAAGGCTTTAAGCTGTCGCGCTATCGCTACTGCTTGTTGCGCTATCTTCCACTGGTATGCCTCGTTTCCTCCTCGCTCCAACGCAGCATCTCACAACAACCTTGAGCTTTACAGAACTCAACGGGGTTCAGAAACGTGACTGCGTCGATCTGCATCGTCCCCCCCCCCTCCATACTCGCGTTCACCCGATGCAAGGAGTCCAGACCACCTGACCCCCGGGCTCGACGCGACAGAACGGCACTTTGGGGAGCGTGGATTGAGGGTCGTCGAGCGGACACGGCGAAGGCCCATGGCACCATTCAATGGGAGCGTTAAGAGAGTAGGATCAGCTGTCACGAGCATAGAGGGTGATATGTGAGCTCAGGCGTGAGGGCCTTGCATATCAGCGAGTGCGTAGTAGGTGAAATATGTATATGTGCTTGGGCGCGTAGGGGTTTGGCGTATCAGTGGATCCTTTCTTCCCGGGGTCTTGTGTGGTGTCTCTCTGCAGGCCTCTCGCGTGCTCCCAAGACGTCCGTTCGTCGTCACCAGCCCACAATTATGAGGCATCGACAAGGGCCCTGCCTTGGTAAGTACCATCTTCGGCAGCTTCGAGGCGAAAAGGAGATCAATCACTCATATTCAGGTTGCTACCAACTGCTCACTGAGTACTGATAGACGGTTCTCCACCCTTCCGCCTCCCCATATCTCCCGATTTAAAGTGTCGATCTGACAATATTCCAAGTTTCCGATCAAGTTCCCGGATTTGCGCAGGGGCAATCTACCAGTCAGAACCGTGGGGACGTTACGCGTTATCTGATAACAGAACAACCAACCTCGACAAGTCCAAGTTGTTCGAACTTCGAACATCACAATACGATGCATGGTCCGGTGTCCTCATCTTGCTCGATCAGCGATCTCACCTGACGGATGTTTGATACTTACTGTTACTGCTTCCATACGCGCTCGCTTCTCTGCTCTAGGGTGCTTCACGCTGGCACCGCTCGTTCACGCGCTCAGTGAGTCCGAGTCTCGTGCCTGTGTCACTGCTCTCCGCGTCTTGTTCGCATCACACAAGCCTCGGTGAGAAAAAAGCTTCTGTCACGCTTCAAAGACTCGGGTCGTTTGATAGAGGTGAGTGTAATCCCCATCATGGCAGACCCCCGCTCAAGTGCTGTAGGAATTATTGGTGCTGGTGCGGCTGGTTTGATCACCGGCTACACCCTACTCCAGGATGGATTCGAAGACATCCAGCTGCTCACGCGCGACACGACAGTGGACACTTGGAGGTATCTGGGCAGAAGAGCGTGTCTACCCTGGGTTAACAATTAACAAGTAAGTTTAGAATCACCCTTGCAGTTCATGACTCTCAAACCTTAGTGTATATGGAGAGTTTCGATTCTCACCGCTACCCATGCCCGAGACTGTTGGCCGGCTTACTGGAGAGGACATGCGGTCATATATGTCTGCATTTGCTAACGAGTTCCTAAATGGCCGTATTCGTTGCAACACCGAGGTCCTTGAAATCAAACAACACGATTCTGGTGACCGCTGGCTCGTTGAGATCGAGGACACGCGCTCGCAGATACGTCAAGTACTGAGGTATGCGAAGATAGTACTTTGCACCGGAGTATGTTCTTCATTTTATCAACGCAGTCTCGTCAATTTTCAATTTATATAGGGCTGCAGTAGTCCGTTGATGACGAAGTCTCTCCAGCAGCCGCGAAAGTGTCCGAATTCAACGGTCCCGTAAATCACTCCTCTCAGTTTCGCTCGCAGATGGTCGATCTACTGTCAATCGTTAAGCCGATTGATGCCAATGCGCCTGATTCAGCGGGGCGGATTGTGATTGTTGGTGGAGGCAAGTCTGCGCAGGACATTGCAGCCTATCTCACGAACGAAAACCGCAAAGTATCTGTCGTATTTGAACGAGCGGACGCTGTCCTGGGTTAGCAAGGGCCTGACATATACGGGGATGCGAAGCTTTGTTGCGACGAAGGGTTTTCCAATGCTTCTCGGCTCTAGGGTTCAGCGGAATTACCCAGTCCACCCAAGTGAGGCTTTTGCAATCGACCGTTGCTCTCTTTGCCAGCCCAGACGGCTATGCAGGGCCCTCCATTCAAGCCGCGATCGCGTCAAGTTCCGGTTCCTTCACTTCTGTGTGGCAGAGCGGAGATGGGTACGCATATGGCGTAACTCACCTCGTCAATGAGGGAGCAGATACTGCGGCGACGGATATGGCTGAAAGCGAAAGCAGAGATAGGTTGAATCGAGATTCGGTGGAAGCTTCTATCGATGAACTAGTAAGTCACGACGCCCGTTCCTTTCGCTTTTAACTTATCCCGTGTACAGCTTCGCAGGCCCATCTTGGGAGCTTCCGAACATGATCAGCTGTCGGTCTGCCAGTCTATGTTGATCAACACTGAGCGTTACATCCCTGAACCTGCGCCACCATCTACCGCCGTTGTAGATGCTGCGATCACGCTTTTTTCTCAGCTATTGCCGCTTCAAGACTCGTCGTCGTCCCCTAAGATCATTGGTTCCATGGTGGAATCAACCAGGCCTAGGTCGGAAGGCCGCCGTGTCCGTCAACTCAGCCGTAGCGCTCGTCCTTGCCCTGAGAGTTGCTGGCTCCCTCGAACAGGAAGGTCCAGAGAGTGTTTAGGCAGCGGACAGGTCACCGGTTTGCTTTCGTCTTTCTTGAAGATAGACGCGTCCTCGTGATTCCACACATTGTAAAATACTGATCGCGGGCCTCTTGTTTAGGAGGCCCTGGTTGATGGCGACCCAGTCCTTCGCAAGGCGAGCAGCGAGTGCATCGGCAGACTCGCAAATATCGCAGGGACCAACTTCCTCACGAATCAAATGAAGTCTCTCGTAGATCAAGTCGTTAACAATCGGGATCCCTACGGACGCGTCGGGCGCGCCCTCGCTTTCAGTATTTACACATTCGTTGGCGGCATGACTGCTGGTCCCCTACTCAAAACTACGGTCAACGTTTTGATGTCCCTCAGCAATGACCCTCATCCTCTTGTCCATTTCTGGCCAGTGTCACTTATGCACCGTCCGTCTCAGGGACCGCAGGTTCGGCGATCATCGATTGGGAATGGAATGCCGGTTAGGCCGCGACTTGGTGGTGGCAGGTGGCAGCTGGAAGCGGAGAGGATGGCATGGCGAACGTTCACATTCATCAACCATCGGTGAGTTTAATTTACTCTTGGCTGTATCTAACGCTCTTTCAGGACGCTTGTCGATGACGCTTTCTGCTGGGCCTCAGCGATGAGAGCGGGTGTACCACAAGCGTCATGATACCCCGGGGCAACACTCCGCCCAGCTCAAACCAATCTTCGCATGGATCGAGCAATCGCAGAAATCAACGCACCCTGGCCCATGCTAGCCCTGCTCTTCTAGAGCCTACCCCTGCCTCCCTTTTCAGCAGACTCTCTTAGTACGTGGACCTCACCAATACCCTCTTCCACGTCTGCCCTGTCTTCCACGTCCGCCCTGCTGGAAGCTCCCATTTTGCCCCATGCCAGCCATGCATCTCCATTTCTTACCCTTACTCACGGCCGCCAACCGATGCTACTGATGATGGATGTACGAAAGCCGGTCGCGATCGCCGCGCCGTGTGCGTTTTTCGTTTTTTCAAGGAGCAGAGAACACTAGAGCATCAACTGATATCCGAGGAGCCGCCCTGAAAGAGGCGGACGAGTTCTAGCGCATATCCACTCACGCACCGTGCCACCATTAGGGATCGTAGCAAAATCAGAAGGATGGGTCGTGTCTATCTACCCTTCCATCTACGACCGCTTTATCCTCAATGGCGACGTCGCACTGGCTTTGATATTGTGGAGGAAAGAGAATGAAGTGGACGCACCATCTCCACGACTATCACTGCATCAGAAATCACTACACCACGCCACCAACAGCCAACAAGTCCTGGCTGCCACTCGAGAAGTCCCCCTTCTCTGCGCAGCCTCTCATTGCTTCCACTATCTGTACCTCTCCCCGCTGCCGCCATGGTGCTCCCCGCTCCAGCACTCCAGCACACAAGTACTCGGAACTTCGGAATTAGGAAACCTGTGGCTGAGCCTGCTGAGCCTGCGAGCGACAACATGAATGCCCGATGCGTATCTGAGTGCGTGTACGGGGGCGCTGTCTCCACAGTCTGCGGGTCGAACGTAGCGACCTAGTTTATCATCAAGACGTTGACTTGGGACACTTGAATTGTCTGCATAGTCGGTGAATGGGTGAATCGAGAGGCAGACGATGAGGGCGGTGGACCGGAAGAGGGAAAAGAATACTGGGGTGGTTCGGGGAACGAACTATTTTTCGCTCTGATTTCAAGCTCCAGTCTCCATCGTACATCCTGGATTCATCTTCACCCAATATCCCCGTCTCCTCCGCTTCTTCCTAACTCGTTCTCACAGCTTTTCTTTTTTTCTCCATGTCTTTGTTCCGTCTCTGCTACTCATCATATAAATATGGTAGCCGTCTATGCCTTCGGGTCGTGCGGAGCGCACGAATGTCTAAGTCAGCGTCCCCTTCATCCACGAGAATACGAGGCCTTCAACGTATCCACGAGTGGTCCTACATCCTGCTAGCGTACGAGTGGCCGTAGGGCCACAATTTCGCTCCCCTCCGTAGAAATGGCTGGTAACGCCTGAGTCAGATGCTTGGCCCTTATAAGTTCACGGTGGGAGCTCGTGGTGCATATGGATCAGCACATGCTGTGGCACTCACGTCTCGCCACTTTACCCAGGTATCACGGCAACAGTGTTGTCGCTTCTCAGGAAGGACGGCAATACATGTGGATGGCAAACGGTAGATTGATGTTACATGGACAATTTAGAGATGTTTATGTACTTAGGAAGAAATGGCCTGCGCTTTTTTGATATCTTTCCAACGAGGACCTACGGCAATATCCTGTATGTCAAGAAAAATCCGTTTTCGGGTCGACATCACCATCAAGCACGGGTAGAGCACTATAATGTGGTTTCTGAACACAGGAGGAATCCAGAGGATGCGGGCAGCTCGGGAGCCTTGATTGCCCGCATGATAAAGCCATTCTCCACGGCGAAAAAATAGACGAGGCGGGGGACATCTTTGTTTGTACAAGGCATCATTGGCGTGCACGTAACTTCCATGTCCTTTTGCTGTGTTGCTGGAGCCCGTAGCAGAGGAGGCCGCTGCGTCCTGCAGTTGCCGCCTTGTTGCAGCATCCCAGATGCGGATCGTGTTGTCGTATGACCCTGACACAATCTGCGCCCCATCAGGCGAGAACGCGACGGAAGTGACCTCGTCTTCGTGCCCAGTGAGCACATCACCAACTTGCTGGCCTGTTGCAACATCCCAGATGCGGATCGTCTTGTCGTATGACCCTGACACAATCTGCGCCCCATCAGGCGAGAACGCGACGGAACTGACCAAGTGTTCATGCCCAGTGAGCGCATCACCAACCTGCTGCCCTGTTGCAGCATCCCAGATGCGGATCGTCTTGTCGTATGCCCCTGACACGATTTTTGTCCCGCCAGGCGAGAACGCAACGGAAATGACACCGTGGTCATGCCCAGTGAGCACATCACCAACTTGCTGGCCTGTTGCAGCATCCCAGATGCGGATCGTGTTGTCATATGACCCTGACACAATCTGCGCCCCGTCAGGCGAGAATGCAACGGAAGTGACACGGCTTTCATGCCCAGTGAGCGCATCACCAACTTGCTGGCCTGTTGCAGCATCCCAGATGCGGATCGTCTTGTCGTATGACCCTGACACGATTTTCATCCCTTCAGGCGAGAATGCAACGGAAGTGACACGGCTTTCATGCCCAGTGAGCGCATTACCAACTTGCTGGCCTGTTGCAACATCCCAGATGCGGATCGTGTTGTCGTATGACCCTGACACAATCTGCGCCCCGTCAGGCGAGAATGCAACGGAAGTGACACGGCTTTCATACCCAGTGAGCGCATCACCAACTTGCTGGCCTGTTGCAGCATCCCAGATGCGGATCGTCTTGTCGTATGCCCCTGACATGATTTTTGTCCCGCCAGGCGAGATCGCGATGGAAATGACACCGTGGTCATGCCCAGTGAGCACATCACCAACTTGCTGGCCTGTTGCAGCATCCCAGATGCGGATCGTGTTGTCGTATGACCCTGACACAATCTGCGCCCCGTCAGGCGAGAATGCAACGGAAGTGACCCAGTATTCATGCCCAGTGAGCGCATCACCAACTTGCTGGCCTGTTGCAGCATCCCAGATGCGGATCGTCTTGTCGCATGACCCTGACACGATTTTTGCCCCGTCGGGCGAGAATGCAACGGAAGTGACCCAGTATTCATGCCCAGTGAGTGCATCACCAACCTGCTGCCCTGTTGCAGCATTCCAGATGCGGATCGTCTTGTCCCATGACCCTGACACAATCTGCGCCCCATCAGGCAAGAATGCAACGGAAGTGACCTCGTCTTCATGCCCAGTGAGCGCATCACCAACCTGCTGGCCTGTTGCAGCATCCCAGATGCGGATCGTCTTGTCGCATGACCCTGATACAATCTGTGCCCCATCAGGCGAGAATGCAACGGAAGTGACCTCGTCTTCATGCCCAGTGAGCGCATCACCAACTTGCTGGCCTGTTGCAGCATCCCAGATGCGGATCGTCTTGTCGCATGACCCTGACACGATTTTTGCCCCGTCAGGCGAGAACGCGACGGAAGTGACCTGGCCTTGTGCATGAATCACTAGGGGTTCTGTAGGAGGCCATATCTTTTCACGGCCGTTGGTTACGGTTATGGGAATGCAAAACTGGGTTTCGTAAAGTTGCCTGACTTTTGATGCTTCAGGGGAAAAAGTAAGTCCTGAGTAATACAACTGTGGTGCAGAGAGCATGTAGCCATTGCGAAAGCGCTTCTCAAATTTGATGAAGTCCGCTAGGATTGAGACGAGCTCTCCAGGCAAGTGTAACTATTGATAATTAGTCAACAATGAAGAGTGACAATGGAATACATCACACTCACTGATGCCCACTTCTGGAAGCATGGCAGCATCCCGCCTGGCCCATCTTGCCAGCTTTTCATGTAGCTATGGATCTCGAGCCAATACAGGAAACGATTCTTGAGAAAAAATGAAAGAGCCGTTCTCAGGTGATTAAGTTCTTCAGCCCGCGATTTCTGGGTATCGGTGGGGGTGACCTGCTCATCAAGCTGGCCGAGGGATTTGTCTAGGTGATACGCGGCACATTGACACGCATACTTCAGCTCAGGATCAAGCTTCTTGGCCCGCTCCTGGAAACCGTCGATTTCGCTGTTCAATGCATATGATGTGTCAAAACCGCACATGTTGAATCTGAGCTGGGCATTAGTGATGTCGAGACATGCCAGAGCCAGCAGTTCTTGATGGCGTGGCCCGATATCGACTGAGAAGTCAGGTCCTTTAGGCACCTTGACTGGCTCGACAAGGAAGTCGCGGAAAGAGGTATGAAGGGGTAAAACGGCCACTTCATTGGCGTCAAAGGTGCTTCCACTAAGCAGAGAGCCGAGCAAGGGAAGGATTGACTCCAAAGCTGACCGCTCTTCGCCTGACTGCAAGGCAGACCACTGCCCACATGGCTTCGAGGCAGACTGCCTTTCACGAGACAGGGTGGCAGCGGCAAGCGGCAGTAAGGTATCGCGGTGCTGTGGTGAGCGCACCAGGAATATTGATGCCATTAGGTGCTTGAACGCTTTCAGCCGGAGTTCGTTTTGTGGGTCGATGTACGCCTCCAGGACCTGCTCGTATGTTCCATACAGAGTATTGAAATCCCCAACTTCTAACTTCCTGATGAACCGTTCCCTACTCACTTGTGGACCCGTCAGCTCGGCACAGAGGAGAGCAGCACATTGGAACAAGCCCTCCGCCACATCTGTGACACGATTCACGAGGTGCGCAACATCAGGCCATTTACCAAGTTTCTCATGAACGAAGATGTGGATGTCCTTGACAGTGAGCCATTGCTCGTCATCAAGTGATATTCGCTCTATGAGTGATGAACGGTCGAGCCCCACGAGGATATCCGCATTTGGCCGGCAAGTAAAGAGAAAGCGACAATTTTGCGGAAGATCGGATGAAGACGAAAAGATTTGGTCGAGAAGGTTGAGCAAGGGACGCAATTCCAGACATTCATCCAGAGCATCGATAACGAAGACAATGGGTCTATGGCTATCCGCATGCTTCAGCCCTTCAATCAATAGAGCCTTTACTTGATTGTCAAGGGGAGAGCCTTTAACGTGCTCCATGTCGAGGGTACGCAAATAACGCAGATAGTGGGGGTCGCGTGACGCGAGGCCCCAGGCCCATGTAAGAAGAAGTTTATCGATGGAACGATTGGCCACTGATCGATTGAAAGCAAAAAAAGCCACATTGGCAAGAGACGACTGCTGTTTCTCGACGTTTCCGAGGGCTCGTGATACGGTGTGGATAATGGCCGACTTTCCCTTGCCAGCAACACCATACAGCAGCAAGGCGCGCTGAGCCCCCGGGAGAATGACCCACTTTTGAATGTGTGTAAGAATGGCTTCACGTGTGCCGTCGGCACAGGACTTCGATGGGTCAAGCCCTGCATCGTCCGCGTGGGGAAGCGAATTCACGAACAAGTTATCCTCTACGTTTCGTCAGATTTAGTTGTTTAGAACTGCATCGTACCCACCTATTTTGGTGACAATATGCAGTATGTCGCACAGCATTTCCTGCATATCCAGATCCCGGCTATGCTCAAGACGCTGCATGATGGTCCCAAGCTGCCCTTGAAGCCTCTTGATCTCTCCTTCTAAGTCGTGCAAGTTCGCAGCTGATGAAGACGATGAGCCATCATAAAGCTCCGTACAATGGAACACTGACCAATCTTGGTTGGCGACAGCGAAGCGACAAAGTAGAGGCATCGGTATACTGCTGGAAACACGTATTGATAGACTTTAGTTTGGTTCGGGCGATGTTGGTATAGCTTGCGGTTGTCCCAGTCTGCAACGAGCATGCAGGCGTCACCGACAGTTTGTAACAAGCCGGTGACGGATTCGCGGCGCTTGACGTAACCGTCGCATTCCTGAACGGAGGAGTTGAAGTCGATTCGCGCAAAAAGATGATTGAATTCTTACCAAGGCAATTGCTTCCACTAGCCCTATGATGACTTTACCAGCCGGGGTCGTAAGCTGGGTTTCATGGATAAGTCAGTTGAATGCACAAAAATGGAAATGGGCTACCTCTGATAATGCTTTCCCAACTCCGATGAAACGCTTAAGATTGGCGAAGGTAGCGAGAAAGATAGAGTTGATGGGAGGGAGATCGCCAATGCTCGTGAGCTTGGAGTCAAACTCAGAGTGAGTGGTACGCTTGAAAGTCATAACGGGGTCCTCTTTCAAGGAGCCCAACAACTCGGGAGACGTCCAGGAGACTTTGACTATCAAGACGGTCAGCACATATAGCCAGAATATACGTCAGGTACGAACCATCACCATCCAGGCAGCTCAATGGCACCTTCGTCTGGGCAAGTAGTTTCTCTTCATCCTTGTCAGTCACATAGAGCCTGATTTCAACATTCGTCGTAGGCTCAGAAAAGCTGCGCAAGATCAGAACAGCCACAGCGTCCAAAACGGCAGAACCTACAAGATCATGGGTGGGTTTGCCATCGATTTTGCTTTCTTTTTCTTCCCGAGATTTGCAAAGCTATCCATCCTGATAAGATCCGCGAAGACGCATAGACAGAGCACGAAATCTCACCAATTCGTAGATGGCTTAGGCGTAGCCTCCGTATCCCTCTTTGCAATTGCCTTGTGCAACGAATCGATTGGGTATCCCGCATCTTCAAAACCCTCGATGAACACAATGGCGCGCACCGGGCATCGGGACTTGAACACCTTGAAAGTTGTTTTTGAGAGGGCTATTGGACCGCGGCATCCAATATCTTGAAGAAAATGGTAAACAGTAGTCATGGGCAAGACAGAGGGACTCACAAGTGATTGCAGTGTAAGTAGACTCAGTGTTGCTCTGCGTCGTCGCCATCTTTCGAGTCGATGAGAACAACGAGGCAAGCGTCTCTTTTGAGCGGACATGCGTACATTGCGTGGCATACGCAAGGCATACGTGAGACCCAGCTATTGGTGGAAGCTCACCGCCTTCGGGCGCTCTTGCCATTGCAAGCCAGGTTGAGCATAACAGAGGATGAAACACATCCGTTGATTTAGTCATGTAATATTTACCCCAGTAGCTGAGCTGTGAGCAGGAGGGCCGTATGGAGGCGGGAACTGATTTCCAAATACAGCAGAACGTCAGTGCGTCGGCCAAAAATCGATTTCTCTTGCGGACTACAGATCTTCACGCTCTTTCGACACTGGTCTCGCCTTTCGCCGCATCTAGCGCGTAGCCAGTCATCTTCGCGACGGCGACCCCCAGCCCTCCCCGCTGTCTCAACAACACCAGTCGCGCGAGTAGAGCGAGGAGAAGCATGATATATTGATATCGATACGGTATCGATAGGCGCTACAATACGCCCATGGCCCTCTCGCGCTGTCGATCCGACGGCTCGGAGGTTCGAAGGTCGAGCACGAGGTCTACGCTCCGTCACGACGAGAGGTTGGGAATGCTCGCCGGAATGCGCACTCTCTTGCTTGAGCGTCCCATACCCTTACGATGTATCACACTGATAGTAGATGGAAAGTGTACAATGAAGGGTGCCGGTGAGTCGTTATCGTTATTTGTATGAATGTGGGCGCAGACAGAAGACGACGTAGGCGTGGAAGAAGGTGCAATTGGTGGTGTTCGGGGACAACAAAGGGGAGACTCCGGAGGGTAATACCACTCGATGCGAGGCGGGGAAGTATTGACTGTATCGGAGCAAACGGAGACGAATCACTGAAGCGACAGCACGAAGGTGTAGCCGTAAACGGCCAGATAACGAGTGGTTCGAGAACAGTGGGACGGGGAGGTATAGCTGTTTGCAGATTCGCTTTAGCGCGAGGAATCTCGTGCTCTTGGGATGCGGACATGGAGATGATATGGACGCTTGGGTGGAGAAGTCAAAAGAGGGCGTGTGAAGCCTGTAGTTTGAGAGGATGGAAGCCACTGCACAAGTGGACGACCTGAAGACAAGCCCGCCGCATAAGGCTTGGTTCCCTCGCCGTCTCGCCATCTACATTCACCATCTTGGATCGCCTTGAAGTCTTCACTCTTCAGTAGAGGGCCTAGGCTCGTGGAAGCGAGCGAGATGATTGAAGCGGGTCGACAAAGATGTGAGCGGGGAAGTTGGAGTTGTGGATGGACGCGGCGAGTGCGTTGGCGATTTTGAATGTTGAAGATGGAGGCTAAAGAAGAGTTCGTGGAGTCAATCAGAGAGATCGACGGCGTTGACGAGTCCCCAAACCTTGAATAAATCACGAGATCAGGACTCCAATGCCCCAATACGGAGACAGATACAACTGCGCACCCAGGACGTTGGACGGACTCGGGATTCCACACAAGGGCAGGGGCGGAGCGACCAATGAAGTGGAAGAGAACGAAGTGGGGGCGAATTCTCCAGATGGTCACGATGAGATCCACGAGGAACGTGGGGAATTCAACTCCGTGCGCCAAGTTGGTGGCGAAACGGGAGCGGGGGCGGTACGCGAGGATCACCACAGGAGCAGTGTCATCCGATGACCAGCGGACCGCGTGGAGAAAGCCTGCAAGATGGAACAACTTGGATGTGGGATGGTGGTGATGTGGCGTAGAGGTATGGTAGTGCACGCAGTGCCCGAGTCGATTAATCGATTTGTTGTGAATGCCAATTTGGGCAAAGCGTTCCCAGTCAGAAACGATAGACTAGCCCTCCGAATCGCTATACAAAGCCGCAAAAAAGAGGCGCAAGTGTGTATTCCGTGGAGCTCAAAGTGTAAACTAGTTGCCAGCTGTTTGAGGAGGTTGGCTCTGCCAATTTACTGTTCGACGGCCGCCAAATCCGCCTCAATACCCACCCACCATGGAACCTATTTGGTCTTCGATCATCCTTCAATCCACTCGGGTTCGGCATGCAGTTTATGCCTACGAAACCGAAACCAAAAACCATCAGCGTCGTAGTTCGGGCGTCGAAAGTCTACTATCTTCAAGGAGGGAATGGCAGAGAAAAGGAGCTTTATGGATTCCATGTCGCCATCAGATATGTCGTTCAACTGTAGGAATTCGATCTTCGTCTCGCAGAGCCGATCAACGGAAGAGACTAACAAGGATAGCTCGTCAAGCGGGTCCTGTAATCGATGGGCAGTTGATTTCAGCATCTGAGAGGAAACAAAGGAACGCAGACTGGACTGACATACGAGCTGAATTTAAGATATTTTATATTTCGGCACAAATCAGGGACGAGGATAGGCCACGCCTTGTTGAACGTTAACGTTCGAACACCATCAGCGAAGTTGCCATTGGTGACCGTTCGGTGAAACTGCTCGACAAGATGGGATATTTCGTTCTCCAGTAAACGTCTGATCATGGGGTCCCTGTAAAGTAGTGTTTCGACACTTCCTTTCGTGTATGGTGAGATAGAGACCATGGACGCGAGATCCAGCGAAGTGCTCGAAGATGGAGAGCCAGACTTCTGGTGGAAGTGTGGGGACCATCTTAAATCAACTTTTAACGGTGAGGACTGGCAACTTGTTTTCGTTCAAGACAGCTGCTTACCTGAGTAATTAGTAGAGATAAAGTTCATAGACGCCGTCACTAGTCACTTTCCGTGGGCGCTTACATCAGGCACTCAGCACTTGCCCTCATTCGTTGCTCATATGGGTTTATGAACCTAACCGGAAACTCGAAAGCTAGCACCATGGGTGCCATAAGGGCGCAAACGACACCCTGCAAATGTTCCTTGTTTGGCATTTATTCTGGAGTCTGCACCGCCTCTCAAATGGCAGACCTTGAGCGGATTCGTCTCCCCGTGCCACACCTCGGCATTCCTCTATTCACCCTTGGTCAGGCGACACTCTGCTCATCTTTGTTATGGTGACTTACACACAAAATTTACTGGCAGATCTAGGTCCGCCTGAAGGAGCTTGAACATTATCATGTCCCCAGGAGCACCTCCGATCGTCTACAACCACAATGAAGGCCGAGGCATCTTCAATGTGGTGCGCGGTGACCAGCAATTCACGACGACCTTGGTCATGAACCTGATGGCCCCCGCCATGTCTTCGGTGGATGGCGAGGCTGTTCCAGTCATGGAACCTTACGGACACGCTATAACATACTTACAGGATATATTCGTCCTCTTGGACCACCTCCCTCGCACTTCCTCCGTTGTATCACTTCGCGACGAAGTGCGTGGGTTTTTGCCGGTCGTTGCATGTGTGGCAAAAACAACGGAGATAATCCGTGACACTTGCCCTCAGCTACTAGCGCACGCTTTCTTCGCCGATATGGAGAACCAAGCATTCAAATACACCGAGGGGCTGGAGGAAATGAAGGTAGATATCACTCGGTTTGCGTCTGACCTTGGCAAGCGCATGGAGTCGACCTTGTGGCGGGAGATACTCCTTCTTATATTCTCCCGTCGTCGCTGGACACCGCTCTGCCAACGCGTCAAACGATACATTCAGTCTAATCGAAGTTCATTGGAGCACTTCCTGTACTTCTTTTCAGCGTTAGTCCTCCTTACTTCCTCCCCATCACCTCCCGTTTGGCACCCAACTGATCACTGCCATGACTATGAAGTCACTGCAGGCGCCTTGTGCGAGAGAAGTACAGAGAGCTAGGAAACCTCATTCAATCCGCAGGTCTAGGTTCGATCCCGCCAATACATCAACCAGAAATACGTACCATATGGGTCCGAGCGCCAGTCGGGACAGATATCTACGCCATACCTTTGGATCTGTGTACTTCCTGGAAGGTGAGCCATTCTAATTATAAATCACTTTGCCCCTATTCTATAGCCGTAACGGAACAATCAATCAACCGATTGAATAGGACTTCAAGCTCGTTATTCATCGGTACTGCGACGACGGTCCCGGTGGGGAATACATCCAGAGGAACGACTGGGCGATGGTCGAGTTGGCGGCGAACAATATCATCAATAAATCGGGCGTGCTGCGTAAATTCCTCAAACCAGGCATGCGCTTCGACGTCGGCATCATCATCAAGTTGCCCCCAGCGCTGAAATGGCGCACGTGTCCGCAGTGTGGATGCAACAACAGTCGAAGCCGCCCTAGTAATGGATGGATCCAGTGGTGTGTATTCTACATTGTTCTCTAGGCCCACTGAGGCGGATGAGTTCCAGCAAGGGGTGCGATAAGTCGTTCCTCAGCGTGTTCTCGATGTCTGCATCCAAACGGCCAGACCTATCTGCGGAGAATTTCCAAAATTCATCCGGATATGACATTGGACAGCCGTCTCGAGCATCACCTCGTTCCAGAAGAGATGCTGAGATGTACCCACGAACCAAATTCAATCGTACATTGGCGCTGAATCGGAGGTGGCCTTCCTGGTTCATTGATGTAATAGGGATCTAGGAATGTTCTCTCTTAGTCTATCCTCGATCAGCCTTCAGGATCTTGAGCTTGAGCAACTGCATCATGCTTCTATAGCCTGTATGTCCAGGTATTGCAGAGAGGAATCATTGTATAAAGTACGTATCCCGTAGTTAGAGGCAAGATGAGTGGGGAAAGCAGCCAATAAACTTTCGGAATCAATGTTAGGCTTGCGTCATTGAGATGAACGTACATATAAGTGCTCAATCCAGTATATCCGCACGGAGAACTATTATCCATCCGCAGTATTTCGATGTTCAATATTCACTACCCGAACTGGAATGGTCGTGAGCTGATATTCTAGCGGTGCTCAATACCTGACAATTGGGCTGCAGATCTTCCCGCCTTCCTACCAAACACAGCACCTGCGATAAGCCCGCTTCCCCCAGGGTAATTATTATAGAAAAGACCTCCAACCATCTCCCCTGTACAAAACAATCCTTTGATCGGGATTGACCTAGAGTCAGATTCACCCACACGGTTGGAGAGTACTTGAGCGGTATCTGCATCAATCGCCAGACCACCAAATGTGAATGTTATCCCGCATCCGACTTTGACAGCGGTATAAGGAGGTTCATCTATCGGCAATGCCCAATTAGATTTCGGGAGGGCGAGTCGTGTTAACGGTGAGGATTGCGTTGAGACGCCATCTTTGATTGCAGGGTTCCATCGCTGGGTGGCATTCGGCTGGGTTGAGGCGTTGTTGTACTGTGTCATCGTCTGCATAAAGCTCGAAGGATCTTCCAATCCCTCCTCCACCAACCGCTCGGCCAGCTGCTCCAATGTCTCCCCTGTGATTCTCCTCACGATGCCCTCCCCATACTCCTCTTCCCTCAAGTACTTCACACCCTTGCTATCCCAAATCTGGAACGCCCATCCCCCAGGCTGCTCAAGAATCGCCCTCCCGAATTTCGCGTAGGTGTAGTTACGAAAGTCCTCCCCCTCGTCGACGAAGCGCAATCCCTTGGAATTGAGCATGACGCCGAGCGGGTAGCCGGATTTCGTGAATTGGTTTGTTAGGATTCTGTTTCCCGAGTCTGGCGGGGCATGTGCGTCCCAGCAGGTACTGTGGCAGCCGGACCAGTCGCCAGTCAGTTTAGCATCTAGAGGTTTGACGAGGGTGAACCCGTCTCCGGTGTTATATGGGGTCCCCCGGACCTGCGAATGGGGTGTTAGATGTCCATTTCTTTTCGCAGTATTCATTCGCGTTAACCTTGGCTCTCTCCCAGTTACCTCCAAGATGTTCCACACGCATCTCTCTGTTCGCCTCGAATCCCCCGGCAGCCAATATGGTCGCAGGGGCGTGGAGTTGAACATCCTCCCCATCCCTCCGAACTACGACACCCACCACGCCGCCATTATCAGTGAGCAACCGCGTTGCGGGCGAGTCGAACCACACTTCAACGCCGTGCTTGGCAAGTGCCCTGCGATGTGCCACAATCAGTCCTTTCCCACCATCCTCCACGCTAAGGACCATCCCTCCCCAGAACTTCTGCTTTCCATTTATGACATACGCTTGGCGGTTAAACGAAAACACGAACGGCACTCCAACCGATGTGGCCAGCCACTCGATCGTCTCGCGCGATCCGTCGACGACGGCCCTCACCAGTAGTGGGTTAGGTTTATTGGCACCGACACGCATGATATCGGCCGTGAAACTGTCGGCGGTGTAGGGCTCCATGTCGATGTTATCAACTTGTTCAGCGGTGACATTGTGAACGAATGGCAGAAGATCGTGGAGGCCTCCGTGGACAGTGCGATGCGCTCCAGCCGTGAAATAACCGTTCCCTCCTACCCACTCTTCTGGGGCCTTTTCGACCATGAGAACTAGAGATGCGATAAATCAGCCCATTGGTCGCGTTAAATTTGAGCTTTTACCTTACCTCGTTTGCATCCCGCTTCCGCTGCGGATATGGCAGCGCAGCTACCTGCGTTGCCTGAGCCCACCACTATGCAGTCATAGTGGTAATCAGTCATCTCGCTGATGTGTGAATACATCCTGGCTCATGAGACCCAGATAGTATTCCGAGCCACATGCTCGTGAGATGAGTTGGTTAGAAACGTCTCAAGCAATGCACTGTTTATTCTTGGGATATCGGCCCCTGACTTTACTTACGTAATCCACCCTCTTCGAGGCAACGCAACTTTGGAGACCCGGGAGTCTCAGCAATGGCGAACACAGACCCCGGTCGTCCAAGTCCCTCCTCCTCCGCCATTCCACCACCTCCAGGCTACACACCGCCTACCGGGAACCTCCCTACCGACGTATACAATGTACGTTCGTCGTGACCCAGTACCCGATTCAACTAACATTGCCTGCGCGAAGGAAAGAGCATCAGAAATATAGGCCAAATACCATGCGCGCGGAATAGTCTCCTCAGTGGAATTGCCAGCGGAGTGGGCATTGGCGTAATTAGAGGCCTTTCTGCAGGTACTGTCTCCACTTGTTTATTATTCACGTCCGATATTGATGTTGGTCTTGAATTGCTTCGAAGGACCCCTTGTTGCTGGCCATTGGGCTATGGCGACGTTCACTGTGATTTCCCTGGGCTCGTGGTATGCGTCTTATCTATGCGTTATGTCCACGTTCAGCTCACGTTCGAACGCAATTTCACCAGGCATGTCTGTCAGAGACAAATTCGCCGGGAGCAACAGAATGTCCAGAAAATCATTGAATCGATACCACAGCGAAGTCTAAAGAATGGAGGCGCGACAACGCCTCGAGCAACGGAATAGAAATAGGACCTAGCGCAAGCATTCTACATCTATGTGGCGCTGGTGTGGGGGCTCTGCGGTCGAATCATGCTGACGAAGCCATGCTCTAGATAGAATCATATACCTCTCAGTATATAGCTTCCTCAATCGTATGGCGCACGCACCCTCATGAATTGCCAATGAATCGCCATTCAGGTTCCCAAGTATCCTTGTCCCACTCCTCCACCAGGTCCTTCTCGTTCTTCGATTTCGAGTACAGTCCCACAGTCAGCCCGCGGTCATTACGTGTGGAATTAAACGGATTGAGAGCAGGTAGTTGGCACATACCTTAAACTTAGTTTGAAAGAGAGTGAATCCGTCGCGTAGAATGACTACCTCATGTGGGATATCATCGCCCTCGAGGATATTCTTTCTCGTCTCCTCATAGATCTTGCACGTATCACTCAGTTTGAAGGGCAAGTAGCATCCTGCTGCTAACTCACCCGTGCTGCTTTAGGCCCCCTGGTCAACTACTCGTTTAGTTCTATCCAGCACAAGACTACTTTCGAGTTGATGGCGTACCGGACTTGCGATAACGCGCAATGAAAGACCAGCAACGGAACCTCCTTCGTCTCCTTCACCAGCTTATCCACATTCATCAGGAACTCGCCCGACGGCATGTTCACGCTATGTTTGATATGCCCGCCTACCCGATCGTCGTCACGGACATCGACGACGATGAAGTCTTTCTTGGCGACTTTATCGCTTCTCATGAGAGCGGCGAGCTCCTGCGAGTTGGAAGACGTTAAAATTATCCATGATTACTCTGTTCGATCAAGTAGAGCTCTCGTACATCGCATTCAATGTAACGGACCATTCTTCGCAACGCAGAAAAGTGAAGTTGAGACTTCCTCACGAAATGATTGACGCATAACATCATAGGCGCGCAGCCACACAAAGAATTAAGCGATGGGATGTTAGTGTCGAGGACTTTAGTACTGGCGTGTGTAGAGTAACTAGCTAAATCGCTGACATATCTATCAATTATATATAGGCATTGGTAGAAGTCTAGGCAGTTCATCAGTGAAAATACCCCATATCGCGATGGGCTTCCTTACCTATCTGCGTTGAACAAGAAGTTGTTGGCGATGTCTTCGCCTTCCAGGAATCGTGTCGGGAACACCACTGAAGAGGTTTTCGCATCTTAGCTGACGCTATTAACATGGCGTCAAACTCACCTAGATGGCCGTTCAATTCGTTGAGCAGCTTCTCCATCTCGTCTCTCTCCCACTTCTCGAAAGGCTCAGCACCACGTGCGGGTCTCCGGGCTTTCGTGTCGTTTCCCAAGTTACTAGTAGAAGCTCGGGGCTCCGAGGGCTGTTCTCCGCTATCCTTATTTTGGCGGGGCGCATCCCCGGAGTCGAGTTCGTTCACTGCGTCTGGGTTTGGTGCAGCACCTTCGTCGCCTGTTTCTGAGGGTACTCGCCCGACTGGTTCTGGAGAAAGGTCGTCGTCGCCAGGCTAGAACATGTTGAGAATGGCACTGGTAACGGGATGGGAGGCACATACGGCTTTGTTCAGTCGCTCATGGTGGAGTACAAACTCTTTGTATTGTTTCCAGGTAGTGACTATGTCATCGGGAATGGCATGGAAAACTTTGCGGAAGATTTCAGTCTATTTCACTGTTAGTTGATGTACCTCACCGCTACTGAGTACAGCTTACATTCCGTGAAGCCGAAGCGACCCAAATATCCTTCCAAAATGCGTCCGAAATTGGGTCCTCGAAGCCATTCACTTTCACCTCGGGGCGCGGCGTAATTACCGTCCATGTTTTGTTGTCAAGTTTACTCTCCAGGTGCTTCCGGATGGCTTCACGGGCTGCTGGGGCTGCTTGCTCGGACGCGTCGCCATCAGTGTCGCCAGAGCGAGCATGTGGTATCTCATTATCAGTCCTAACATCTTTGGAGGCACCGGCTGGAGCCCCAAACAGTTCGCCGTTTTCTGTTCTGGCTTGGGGCGGGGAATCGCCGTCCTGGATCATAAATACATTTCTGCTGCCCTGATCATAGTACACGACTCACTGAATCCATTTGTTGGAATGCGGGACTCTTCTCCATTACGGTGCGCTCTTCGATGGTCGGTACCACGGAACTGGTGAAGCCTGGCTCTTCTTGACCACGTCTACTGAAGGTCTGTCGTTCATCGTCCAGGCTCTGGTCGCCTGTCGTGTTGCCTACTTGATTGGATGCCGTACCTTCTTTCCGCAGAAGTTCTGAAGCGATATCTACCGCGGCGCCGACAGCTATCACACACATTAATGTATCTCTTCCACTTGACACGAGGTCATCGCTTACCCTGGCCAATTCCTTGCCCGGTGACTTGCGCAAGGTTCCCAAAAGCCGTTCTCCGCTCTGACTCTGTTACACGAGTTACACCTTCGTCGTCGCCGTGTTCTTGTTCATCGTCTGGATCCCACTCGTCTTGTTCATTTGCCGGTTTGACAGGTTCATTGGCCATAAGGTCGTCTTCATCCAGTGCATCGACGTCGACGCCTAGATGCTCTCGCATCAAGCGCACACGAAGGGAATGAGCAAAGCGGCCGACTTTGAAGGGCTTCCCAGCCATAGTGCTACAAGTTACACAGTCAGTGAGCAGCAATATCTCAAGATATTCACAACCTTACCAATCCAACAGGTCCGTGTCTCTGATTACTGCCGCGAGCTCAGAGTCGCGATCGCCTCGCTGTGACCGTTCGTTGATATTCGCACTACCGATGATGACCCAACGGTCATCAACGATACATACTTTACCATGGATGTACACCTGAAGAGAGATGCAGTCAATGGTTATTCAAATTACTTCAGGGACTGCTGGGCCTACCTGCTCAGTCGTAAGTACGCCCCCTCGCATCTTGGCCCAATTTCTCAACGAGAACACGGATATATAGTCATCAGGCTATCGCCAAAAAAAGTCAGCCTCATTGCCAATGCCTCAACTAGGATGACTTACATTAATGCCTTCCTTCCTAAGACGGGCAAAAATCGAATTCGGTCCCCGCGAAAGAGTGCGATTCTGACACTCCAGTATGATGCGGATCTGAGGTTTTGGCAAATCAACATAACCCATAATCGAGGCAGAAACATATCTGCACATACCGCGCTGGCATCGCTGTGATCAACGGGGAATGTGAACCCAGGAAGCAGAGGTATCAAGATACAGCACTTCCACGGTGTGCCTTCTCGATGGGCACGGATGATCCGGTGGACTAAAGCGTCACCTATCCTATTCTCTACCTTCACGTCGTTTACGACGGTACTAGGAGCCTATTAGCATTTTAATGAACCCACAAGTATTGCACGCACGAAGTGATGAAGAACTGATTCTCAATGTAAACGAAGTGTTCCGAAAGTTGTATCGCTGGAGAACACCAGTCAGCACCAGGCCAACAGCCTCTCATTAAGCTCGTTGGGCTTACCCTTCAAATACGCATGTTCTATAGAATGTTCAATACGACCTGGCGTCCCCAGGGACCACGGGCCTGCAGAACGGCAAATTTGCATCTCACATGTCCCGGTCAAAGCTAATGCAGCCAGTTCGCCAGGTTTGAATTCTGGCGGCGGCAAGAGGAATGGCATGACTCTCGAGTGGTTCTGCAAACGAGTTCAGATAGACCGTCGACTTCATCAAAACACGCGAATCTCACCTTGATCCTCAGAAGATAGTTCCACCTGAAAAAACACTTGTTAGTCTAGATGGGCCCTTGTCAACTGACGGAGTACCCACCTTTGGACAAAGTGACGAGCCAAATCGCGAGCCGGCTCTCCGACAACTTGCATGCCAACATCATGCCTAGAGTTAGCAATGCATCCCCTCGTCAGGACAATGGCAGACATTCAGAATGAAAACATACCAAGGCATACGAGGAACCTTCGACCGATCGTACATGTCTTCTTCGGGCTTATTCAACGCATGGAAGTCCATCACGCGCGGGTTGCTATAATCCTTGCCTGGCCAGATTTCCGACGCGCCCGTGTCCGAGTCGATATCGTCCACCAGCACATGCTGGGGGGTGTCCCACCTGAATACGATATAAGCACCGTTGAGCTATTGAACGCACTCAATAATCGCAAAGCATCACTCACCGGCCGAAGCACAAATCAACACCGCCCGTAAATGCTATCGTCTGGTCAATGACACAAAGTTTCTCGTGCTGACGCCGATTGTGAGTGAAGGATCTAATCACAAAAAATATCGCAAACGTACATGAGCCCAATAGAACGTTCCTGTCTGGAAATGCGATGGCGACCGTTGGATCATCACATTCGGATGAAGAGAAGCCAATCTCTGCTTCGCATAGCTGCGGAACTACCATCAACACCCACCCGATTGGGCGCAAAGAAATATGCTTACTTGCTATCCGTAGGTGTTGTGCGATTCGATACTTCTAGGCTGATGGGTAATTGTTAGATACTCAACTCAAACATTAAGCAGGTAAACGCCAGCTTACTAGAGAATGATATAAATCTTCACTCCTTCTTTTGCCTTCCTCTCAAGAAGGCGATCAAGCCGATAGCGTTCCTTATTCGGCCGCCGCATCTGCAACTCTGAGCACCACATTTCCAACTTTAAACGCTATCGGCGGTTATATACATTGGAGATAAGCTTACCTGGGGACAGCCACCAATCATGGATGTAAATAGTCTCTTTAGCCAGCAGGATTGCTCGTGATAGGTTCCAGAAGTAATCCCGCTAGATGAAGGGTAAAAATAGGTTTAGCTTTTCGAGAATGACATCAGCGAAAGGTAGGCATACCCCGTCTACTAGCCATTGAGCAGCAACATTCAGGCGGATCGGGGCGAAGCTGTCGAACCGATTCCCTCCAGTCCAGTGAGACGTAGCCTTCACCTTCTCAAACGCCGCGATCCATTGCAGCATTTGTCGCTGCACCCACCAAGGAAGTCAGATTCACATCATTCACACCCGCACCAATAAACGCGACACTACGCACTTCATTCCTCGCAAACAACTTCAGCCTCGTTTGCGAATTCTCAATGAAGAACGTATGTTTGGACACGTCTGCCGCCGTCGCCTTCTTCTTCTTCTGCCCGGCCGGCGTTCTCGCCCGCGGCGTCCCTTCTTCGTCAGCCTCCGGCGGGCCTAGCGGGTTCACATTCGTTGACGGATCCAGCATTGGCGCGGGCACGTTAGACGACACATCAGACGAGGTAATGGATCTGTCGTCGGAATCTTCCTGTGCTTCATGGATACCGTGCCCGTTCCCATTAGGCATGGGCGGATGCTTCTGCTTGCGCCCAAGGGAGAGCACCCTCGAGAACTTGCTTTTGATCGACGCTACTACCGATTTATTGTCAACCTCCGACTGTGCATGAGGACGTGGATACGCATCGGGTGGCTTGAGATGGCCTTCGCCATCTTGGTGAAGCAAGTTCAGAGGGTGTCGGTAATACCGTTTCGGACGTTCGAGCTTGAAGTCTTGATCGAAGAGGAAAACATCCCAAACGGTAAGCTATACTCAGAAAGGTGAATAAATGAGTGGACAAACTTGAGGGGCTTCGTTTGAATGTAAAGACATACCTCGCCGGGTTCATGCAAGACCACTAGGTAGCTCTCGCGCACAACACACCACCGTTGCTCCCTCTTCTCTCTCCACCCAGCCGATTTACGACCAAACCCACCCACTTTGTTGCCAGTATCTTCAATCCGAAGATATCCCCCCTTATACTGCGCACCACCCGATTGTGCGAGAGAAATGAAGAGTGCGCTTATTTCGAAGAAACCAGATAGTCGGTTGGCGGAAGGGTGGAACATCTGGCGAAGTGGATGATCAGTACGCTCGAATTATAGGGGAGATATCAGGATGCACACCACTGCACGGATCAATTCAATGAGGTAGTTCTCGAGGACCTCTCGTTGCATACGGGCAAAGTCCGCTTGTCCTACTTGTCCATCACGGCTCTCCCTCTTTAGAAACTTGAAATACGGAAGACCTTCGATGCATCAGTACACGCAGTCCAGTTATAGAAGCAAAATACATACTTGTGCGCGGAAACTCAGGAAGGTTTTCGACATTCCGATTGTACGCGTTCGAGAACGCATAGTGATAGTGCAGGGAGATGAAGTCTTGCAGCCTACGATGCACAACCCATCGCGCAGCGCCATTTGCATACTCGCATTCGATCCTATAGACAGACTTGTTTCCATGTAAGGGGTGTAAGCTATCACTGACGCGTATTCGCAATCGGTGCAACAATACGGGAACACGTCTATGGTCTTTCTCGTCGCGCTCAAACCACAACCTCAGCATCAGCGTTGAGAGCCCACCGGTAATCAGCTCATCCGTGATGTTGACTGAGTGATGCGTTACGGCAGAAGGCCCTGGTGTCCGAGCTGGATGGTGCTTGTCTGAAACGACATTAGGTAGGAGCGATTTGAGGCGGCCCCAATTGGCGAGTCCAGGTTTGGGTTTGTCTTGTGGGGAGTGTGGAACGGATGAGGCGCGACGCAACCTGGATGCAAACTTTGTGGAGGAAGGACTTGCCAATGCTTCCCCTTCGCTGGCAGCGCCAGGGTCCTCGACGTCTCTTGCCTTCGACTGTCCATCCCCTTTCGCCTGGCCATCCTCCGCAGCCTTCCCCTCCGCAGCCTTAGCCTCCTCGTCCGAAATGAACGCAGGCTTCTCTTCTTTAGGGGACTCCGAGAACCACCTCATTGGATTCCAGCTTTCGTCATTGATACGACTATCCCTCTTCTTGCCTTTACGGTCGCTCTGTTCGGAACTCGCGGTGTATTCGAGGACGCCACGAAACTCCTCCCTCCGGGTAAACGGGAAATACTGGCCCTCTTCTTCGACACCGTTTGAAAGGATGTCGCGGGGCTCCGATTGCTCGACCATCTTGCTATTATTGCGCGAAGTCGCAGGTGAATTAGGAAGGCTATAAGTGTATGATAAAGAGCGGGGAGGGCCCGTCCTCATGGAGGGTGTTGTTGGGGGACTCTTGAATTGAGTGCTGTTCCTCTTGGTAGAGTGCGTCCCCTGGTCATTCTGGCCAAGTCGCGGAGTGGAATTGTCTCCCGAATTGTCCAGGGAATCCTCGTCCTCGTGATTATGATCATGGTGGTGGTGACGGTGCTCTCTGGCCAGTTCCACAATCTGGCTGAGAGACATAAATGAGATGGTGGTCGAGGAAGGAAAAGGAAATGAGAGTGAACTGGCTGATTGGCCTCTTATAACGAAACGTAAAATGCCCAACGAAGCGATGTACCCCAGCGTGGATGATGTCACTTCACAATGTTCACACGAGACAAATTGCCATTTATGGTAGTAGAACATCAGGTACTCTAAGTCACGCGTCCGACGTCTCAGCCTTCTTCGGTGCATCCACATCTGCGCTCTGCAGTGCCCCATGAGGACGGGGAACTCGTACACAAAATTGAAACTCACCTTCGCGGCTGCCCTGGCGTCCCCTAGGTCGACTGGGCCACTGCTGTCCCCATCCTGAAGTGAACCGGGCTTTTGAGTATGTTCCTCGCCATCAGAGGGAGGTGGAGCAGCAGGCTCCTCAGACTTCTCGGTAGCTTCATCGGCCTAAATGCTGATAAGCCCTCTATCGACGCCACGGAAGGCAGTAGCGTTGACGCACCTGAGGTTGCTCGACTTCGGAAGCATCTACCTTCGCTCCATCGGCCTTGGGAGCGTCATCGGCCTAGGGTAGCGCCATGGGTACACAATTGGACGTTGATGTATGCGGAGTAACACTTACAGTTGCAGCCTGCACCGAAGCAGTAACGTCCGCCTCTTGTCCCTCATCGTCCTTCATTGTGACTTTCTTCGGCTCAGCGTGACTGTCATGAGCATGCGCGGCGTGTCCTGGCGCCGTCTTTCTCGCTGACGGAGAGACAAGGTAGAGGAACTAAGGTCCAATGATCAGTCTCAAATCGGGCTTGAGCGGAATTAACGGAATCAGCCTACAGCGGGACCAAAAGTGACCAAAGACCCAATCTATGCCAGCACATTCAGCATACAAGTCTAATTTCAGGCCTCCTACTCACAACCCACGGCATGTCACTCGACTTTTTCTGCTCATGGCCGGGACCATGCGACGAATTCCACCTTCTCCCCGCAAATCTGCGCGTCGCGACGGACGTCTGTGACCGGAGGCTGGCACGGGCACCAGAAACCAGGTTCTGTCTGGAGAGGCGGAGCGTGGCTTGCATTTTGGACGCGACGGATTGAATGAGAGTGGGAATGAAAGTGGGAGGGAGCGAGGGAAGTTCGGCGGGAAAGACCGGTAATGGATGACATCATCCGAGAATGGAATTTGTCCCGCGCTCATTGTGGAGTTCCCGCGCCCGCCGATTGCCATTTATGGAGTGCGCGCCCCTCAATTAATGTGCCGAGAACCGCGCTCATGCTGTGGAACGGGGTGCCGAGACAGTATACATTGGTAACGACAGATTATATACAAGAATACATATAGACCCCAGTTGTCAGCACAGGCCACCGAAATATAGAACACGAAGCGAACACGGAGAGAGAGCGGTTTAATGAGAATACAGCATATCATGCGACTGAGATACCAAAATTACTCCTGTCCAGATCGACCCTGAAGCGACCGGGGAACGTCGCTTGGGCTCGAGGTGATGAACCTATTTACCACACTAAACCAGACTGCAAATGCAACGAACACATGAAAGGCCATTCTAGGCGGAGTGCACTACTAACCAGTAATCTGAGGAGCATGCAGTCATTTGAGTAGCTGGGGAAGTAGAAGAACGCCTGGAGCGTGGGGATGCCGAACAGGAAGCTGGAGATGACGATGCCGACTTGGATACCTGCCATACTCACGATAAGCGAAAACGCGGTGGAAGTATTTGTGTCCAAAGGGCTGACTGTCGTACGCGTAACGCGGAGAGGGGGGGATTCGTCGCGTATGGGCTTGAGGGAAAGCTGGGAAAGTACAACTCTATGAAACGAGCGGGATTGGCCCTTGTACTAATCATTGATCCCCCCTCCACCGCCGGACATTGTTATCGAGATGCGCGTAATCTAGAGCCTAGGATGCGTTTGAGGTGGAAGCATTTCCCGGTGGAGTCTATTGTAGTGGCTCAGCCAACGAGGAAGGTACGGTAGTGCCCCTGGGTAATAAAATATCGTCATGAGCGAAAGAGGACGAGAGTCTATATGGCCAGACGCCCGGGTGCAGTGTAGCTCAAGCACAATAGATTCCATGCTACTTCGGATGAGTCGAAGAAATCCCAGCTTGGCGCCGATTCACAGTTTTGCTAGATTCGCCATGCGACGCCGTGGAGACCAAACAATGCGATCACTCCCAGAGCCGATCACAATAAATTTCGCTTTCTCATTCCGCGATGGTCAGACGTCGCATCCCAAAATCTCGCGCCGGAGGCAAGTCCAAGGCACGACCACTCGACAGAAACGCAGGGAAGATCAAGAAATGGGACAAGCCTGCCGACATACCGCTCGACGAGGAGGATGAGTGTACGTGTGGTTGCGCGCCTTCGCATTAAGTGGAATATGAATACTCTGTCTAGTCCATCACAATAGGGATAGGATTTTGCTGGACGGGAATGTTGACCAGGGCGAGGAGGATGAGGAGGATGAGGTCTTTGGGTTGAAGGGGATGTCCGACGACGACGATGAAGACGACGACGAGGGACATCATGGAAGGGGACGGAGAAGACCTCGATGAAGATGACCACACCATGGACAAACCCATACCAGACAAGCGTCGCAAAAAGAAGAAAGGCAAGAAAGCGAGCAAATCCTCATCCGATGAAGAGAGTGAGGACGAAGACATGGAGGAGAGCTGGGGGCGTGGCAAATCAGCCTATTACTCTTCGAACGCGGCCGAGCTTGACTCTGACGACGAGGAAGCGAACGAACTCGAAGAGCAAGAGGCTAAACGGCTGCAAGCGAAAGCCCGAGATGGAATGCGAGACGAGGACTTCGGGCTACTCGACGTACATGATGTTACTGCAGGCGCTGAGTACGTGACCTCAATTGTACCATTTTATGCAGTTACTCATGAATCGGACAGTGACTTCGTGGAAGCTCCTGTGGTTCCATTGCCGAATGTCGGGCAAGACAAGAAATCTCTCCTTCGGCACCTGGAAAAGACCAATCCAATTACCCTCGCACTGGCAAGGGACTGGGATGACACTGCACGAAGCCTGATCCGCACACGAGAGAAACTCGAAACGTGCGTGTTTTGCAGATGCACACCCATGCTGGTACTGATCATGAATCGCAACGCAGACTGCAAGCGGAACAGCCAGATGCCCTGAGCCTTGGCATGATCCATCTTCATTATCGTGCGTGATTCCATTTATCTACCCGTCGTCTACATTCAGCACGCTGATGCTCCTGCAGAGACCCTCCTTACATACACAAACGCCCTCTCCTTCTATCTATACCTTCGTGCTAGCGATAAATACACCCGACAGCCCAAGCTCCTCGATGACCACCCGATAACAGGCCGCCTCCTGCTCCTCAAACAGTCTCTGGCAACGTTGGAGGATCTTGACTTCGCGGCTTCCGACTCTGAAGACGACGATAACGAAGGCCTTGATGGCGTAGATATGTGGTCAGACGCCAATGAACTTTGGGGCCGTGGGACGGATGGAAATCTGGAGGCGGGTGAACTCGACGACCTACTGCGGGATGCAGAGAGCGCAACAACGTTCGGCGAGCATAGATCCAGATTGGCTGCCTCCAAGCGCGACGCCCCTACACAAGAGCCTCCAACCAAAAAGCGCAAGACGTCGAAATCGAAATCCCAGCCTGTTGCGCCCGTGTTCGACCTCGTCGAGCCCGAATTTCCTGTGTCCAAGAAGCACGCCTCGTCGTCGTCCCACCAGCCCGACGATGCTCAAAACATGTATGGTGAACTGTCCTCACTCGATCATGCGGATGCCTCGGACAAATCGGCGCGCAAAAAGTCACTTCGATTCCACACGTCGAAGATCGAGACCGCGAGTGCGCGACGCCAGGGTGCGAGGAGTCGTGCCATGGGCGGCGATGACGATATCCCGTATCGAGAGCGGCGCAAAGAAAAGGACGCTCGGATGGCCCAAGCTGCCGAAAGGAACGGCCGGGGTCAAGGTGGTGCAGATTTGGATGACGCAGAGCCCGCCCCCCGGAACGCAGATGCTGGCGAAGCAACGGAGGATGCGGATGGGTACTATGAGTTAGTCAAACGGACATCAAAGGCGAAGAAGGAACGCAAAAAGACAGAGCATGACGAGTCTGTCGCGGCTGCTCGGTAAGTCACAATCGTCACAATGCAAACCAGCTCATCTTACCTGAACCTTCGTTCCTCAGTGCTGAAATTGCTGGGGAGGAGGGTACCGATGGACCTCGGTCACTCACTAGAGCCATCCTCAAGAACAGGGGACTTACACCCCATCGATCGAAGAGTGTTCGGAACCCTCGTGTCAAGAAGCGACAGAAGTTTGAGAAAGCCAAGAAAAAGATCGCCTCGCAGAAAGCGGTCTACAAAGGAGGGCTTGATGCAAGTGGCGGAAGATACGAGGGTGAACGGTCTGGTATCTCCAAGGTTGTTAAAAGTATCCGTCTGTCGTAACTTCTGGTGTTGGCCAAACTCTTGGCGGCCGCTCTCCTTCGAAAGACATCTTACAGCTAACTGCAAAATCGCAGACGCTCTTAAGGGGAGAATGGCATGTTGACGCGTCATGTTGCAGGTCCCAAAAAGTAGGACATACCGTGGACAATTGAGTAATACATTCTTCGCCTAAATAAGGAAGGTTGAGTGCTATAAATAAGCGTACCAGCAGGCCACAGCGAGAAGTGCTCGCTCCCCTTGAGCCAATGACACCTACGTCATCTCCCAACGGCCCTTTCCTTCGTAGTGCTGCGACGACGGTCAATATCACGACCCTCAATAGGTATGACGCAGGACACGTGCAACCCGCAACTTCAACAGCTTATCATTCTGTTGATCATGTCCAAATCATGATTTTGTGCTCCAAGCGTGAAAGTCATGAGCGTCGGTGTCTACATTTTGGTTCCAACTTCCATATCCAACCACAAGGCTCTACGCCGCCTTTCCTACTTCCCTTTCACGCTCTATAACCCGCTCCCTCAATATTTCCTGCAGTTGACCCATCTCGACCTGATCCGCGCGGGGGAGCCTTCAACCCCCTTCCTGCCCCCGTTGGCCAGCATTAGGTGAGGATCCCCATTCGTCACTGAGTAGCGTCGCCCGTCGGTCGCTGATACTGCTACAAGTGACATCAGTACTGTTCAACAACGGAACGGGAGCAGAGGGAGGCTGTGAGATGGCCGCCTTGGTCACAGGGCATATGGAGAATTGGCCTTGGAGAACCATGACTGTGGCCTCCATTACCGTAGCCTGCATTGATGACGCGGACCACTCGCTTGTTCCGAAGTACCCCCTCGTTGTAGATACGTCGTTGAGCGAGATTATGACCGTGTAGCGTCTTCGTAGCTCGTTGGCAAGGTCACATTGCTCGTGATTGCTCAGCTCCGACCGTGGGGTCAGCTATAGCTACTGTGCGAAGCTCGAAGCCGTTTCGAAAACGTTCACCAATGAGCAGAGCAAGGGTGTGTGATAGCAAAGCGAACTGAGTCCAAAATATACAACTTAAGATACTTTATATCTGAAACCCAAAATCAAAGGTTGGATGAAGGCACAGTACCAAAGAGCTCCTTCAAGAATGCATCACTATTTGGTGGACGACCAAGGAATGCCTGTGATAACAGTGTATATGTGTTAGAGAGAGAATATTGCAGGTTGCGAAGATAGTTATCTCTTACCTTGAGGGAGTCAAGCTCCTCGCGACTGCCTCCAGGTCGCAAGATTTCGTCAGCGTATTTCTTCCCTCGGCTAGGGTCCAGAGGATCGGCTTTGAATACCGTAGCTATACACAAGGCAGAGATGTTCAGGATATACTAAGTAGGAGAGAAGGGGCAAAGTACTTACCGTACATGTCGGCCGCGAACACCAGAGAGTAGGTGTACCTAACAGCAAGTAGAACACGGTGAACACTTAGTGAGATCAAGAAGTTCTTCAACACATACCCGTAATAACCAGCATCATATCCACCAGTGATGTGCCCGAAAGTGCCTTGGCCAGGCGCAGGCTTATCCGCCTTCACCAAAGAAATCTTCTCGCGGAGGCTGTTCCACAGAGCCGAGTAGTCGGCGCTCTCTAGAAGGTGGTTTATTCAGACGATGTATCAGGCAATGTCTCGTAGGAAGTGCGTACCTTTGTCAGTATGGACTTTGATGTCAAACTTCGCAAAGAACAGCTGGCGGAGGTAGAACAGCCCGACATTGACGTAGCGACTGTGTACGGGGATGAGGAAGCGTGCAACAAGATGATGAGTGAGCAGAAATATTACCTCTTGATGATTTTTTCGATAAGTTCAGGGGACAGGGGTTTCTTCGACTCATAATGGCTCGACATCTGCTCAAGGACCTTGGGCTCCCAGCACCAGTTCTCGAGCATCTGCGAGGGGGCTTCGACAAAGTCTCTCGCAACACTAATCAAACGATCTTGAGTGTCACATCGTTCAAATTCAAGTCGCCACTGTGTTCTCACCTGGTACCATGGAAGCGGGCGTATTTGGTGTTGCTGAGCAAGCCGTGGAATACATGGCCCATCTCGTGGAAGAAAGTCACAACATCGTCGTGTCTCATTAAGGCGGGCTTGTCAGGGGTTGACTTGGCTAAGTTGGCAACCATAGCGGTCAATGGGTAAGACCGCTTTCCGTCAGGGAGAGTGTGTCCAGAGAGTAAAGGCCACACAGCAGCATGGGAGTACTTAGCCTCTGATACGCAAGTATTAAGATTCAAAAGAGAGATAGAGATAAGTGAAGACAAACCACGGGGGAACAAGTCGAGGTAACAATACCCAACGAAGCCAGACTCGTCTTTTGCATCCTTCTTCCAGACGGCAAAGTGCTGAACATCTAATATCGCTATATCAGACTGAATGGCTTAGGCGCTGCGTATGCCTTACCAGGATGCCAGATTGATGAACCCTTGATCTCCTCGAAACGGACACCGAGCAAATTTTGGTAGATATCAAGAATGGTTGGTACAACCACGGAGACGGGGAAGTATTCCTTGACAAGAGAGTCGTCGAGATCGAGGCTCTTCTCGATGTAAAGGCGATCGTAGTACCTAACGCAGGCAGTCAGCGCAGGTGGTATTGTTCTGAGGGGAAACGTACCTGTAGTCCCAGAGGTAAAACTGGCCGTCGAAGGGGTAACCTTTCTCCTCGTGTTCTTTCTTCTTGAGCTCCAGGAGGATTTCACGTTCCTTAAGGCCCACGGGCCGAAGCTTGTTCTCAAGATCATCGAGGAACTAAGAGGGAATCGGTCACACGACCAAAAGTATTCCGCGATGGGACTGCTTACATCGAATACTCCTTTAGCATTTTTAATCATCTTAACCTCCGTAATGTAGTCAGCCCTTGTAGGATGTCAGCAACATCGTAATACTGAGCTATAGTTGGCCGTACCAAGTATCATATCCCAACAGCGCCGCGATCTTACGACGTAGCTCGAGAGCCTTGTCAAGCAACGGGACATTGATAGCTAAACGAGATTCGTGGGCTTCTTGGGCGCGTTTGCGAGTCTCGGGATTCTCGGCGAATTTGAACTGTCGAGAAACGATTTGACAAGCGATACACGAGTCTGGAGAAGAAGGCTTACGACGGGGAAGATGTCTGGAGTCTTGAAGGTTACATCGTAGACTTCTGAGTCGCCCTCGGTGCGTTTGGCGTAGCCGGAGACGACATCATGAGGAACACCCTTGAGTTCGGCAGCAGTGAAAGTAATGACGCCCTGGTAGCGAAGTTAATGACCTGAAACACCGACTATACCTGTGTCACATACGTTTTCTTCGTTGAAGTTTTTCTGCGTTCAATTCAGCCAAATTGAACATGCATTAAGATGTACACGGAGACATACGCTGAATTCAAGACAGGCTTGTGACAGTTCTTTCTTCAATGCCATAAGCTCCGTTCTCTCCTTCTCAGGCAGAGCCAATCCAGCGCGTTTACCATCAAGGATCTACCATGTTCATTGGTTATAGCCTTATAGGAGGTCAAATACAGCCAGAGACGCACCATCTTCTCAACGAGACGCTGATCCTCACCCGATAGCTTATCCCATTGGCCAGATGCCTTGATATTCTTCTCGGCGGAAGCTTTGGCCTGGAATACATCCAGACGCATGGACGATTCAACACCGTAGTCGCGGACGAGGACCTCAGCTTCATTAGACGCATCGCGAAGCTCCTTGGATGGAGACACGTTTTGGTAGAACGACAATGGCTCTACAACGGCATCCAAGTCTGTCTCAGAATACGCCAGGGGTATCTAGGCAGCCACGATCAGTCGGGTAGATGATATCCCTTCGGCGACTTACGATGACCTGCAATGCCGGAGATCAGTACATCTGGCTACTCTCAGAACCGCTGAGGAGGACGCACCGAGTCAAAGTTACAATCCTCGGGCGCAAGTGCGCCAACCTTGTCATCAGTAGCCTTGTGCTTTGCGATAGCGTCCTTGGTGAGGCTTATGATGTCCGCGGCGGTGTGGTTCCACGATGGGGCAGCCTGGGGCGGTGTGAGAGACATCGGGGAGGAGTTTGGGAAGGTGATGGTTGAGAACAAGCTTGATCTACAGTTGATATTTGAGGATGGCCTGGCATATGGTCGTCCAAAGACGCTCAGGCTTTTGTACCTTCGATGCAGCGTGACCAGCTTGCCTCGGATATTTCCACCTGACATAGGCCCACAAGTCATGGCCGCGAGTCCCACAGCGAGAACTCCTCCCCATTGCAAGGTGCTTCTACGCCGAAGAGAGGGGATTTGACGCGAGATAGCGGATGGCAACATGCCTTGACCTGCAAGACGCGTCGGTCGGGGAGAAGGAAAATAGGAAAATTAAGATGGTTGACGCTAGAAATCAATATCGTGTGATTTGAGACGCCAGGGATGCTGGTCGCGCGCCTCACGCTGACTCGTAGCGATGAGTGCAACACCTGTGCGGTTGAATGTAAAGTGGAGGCCGCCATGAGCGTCGGCTTTCGGACATCAACGCAGCAACATTGTTTGTATTATAACGGACATACATGGAGCAGACGATATTCTTGGTGATGGTAGCAATATAATATAGAGTATACAAGCCAAAATGAATAAATACTTGAGAGGTTCGGGGATGTAGATGTGAATTCTATCTTTCTAGTGTTGCTTTGCTTCTTCTAATACGGCGCTGGTCATCCCGCAACCTTCGAGCTGATGATATCGCCCTCCATGTCGTCTTCTTCGACCTCGGCGTCTTCGGGATCTTCCTCAATGACCCGATGGCCATTTCTATCGTGATTAGCCTCCTCGCGCTGCATCTCGTCTCGCATGACTTGAACATCGTGGTCAACTTTAGCAGCAACTCTGTCGATTCCAGCCTCCGCGAGCGAAACATGAGCGCGGTGCTTCGCTAGGTGGGCGGAGCGCTTGGGAGCACGCTTAAGGCGGCGACGAGCCACCATGACAGGGACCGATGATTTCTGCAATGGGTAAGTAAGTGTTAGATTCAGACCAGATTAGAATCATGTTACCTGAATGAGATAGTGAGAGGTGGACCCCAACAAAATCCCCTTCAGATGACTCATGCCCCTTGAGCCAACGATCAGCATACTGGGTTCGTAGTGGTCGATAACGTCGAGCAACATGTGTCGAGCATTCTTCGCGTGCCATGCTTGACAATGGATGGTGACGTTAAGTTTAGTCCTTGAAAGAAGCGAGTTGACTTGTCGCGCCAAGATGTAAGCAAATGCTTGACGCTGGAAAAGAGAGTTGAAGTCAAATTTTTTGATCCAAAACTCGTAATGTCTTACCTCCTGCTGGCTCTTGACCTTCAAGGCTCGATCGGCGGCATTGGGAATGAGAGGGTCAACTAAACCAGGTTAGCCTCAGCGCTCGGACAAGCGTGATGTACTCACTCTTGGTGTCCGTCTCAACGACATTGACGACCCACATCTCGTCTCCGTCTCTCAACACTGTGCCAATACCCCACTCAACGGCGTACCTACTCTCTTCACTCATATCGCTCGCAACGACGTAACGTTTGCATCTGCGACCAATTTGGGCCAATTTGGCTTCAGGATCTCCCTGAATGATGGTGATCGTGCATCGGTCTCGCTGGAATACAGGCCGCGAGGTCGTAGAGGGGAGCGGATCGTGGTGTCTCGTAGATTTGCGTCTGCGGGGATTGCGCTTGCCGCGCACCGATGGTGTGGAATTGAGAGTGGATGGGAAGTACGGTTCGGGAGGAACAACGATGTTCACTCCTTCACCAGTGGGGTCAGGGTCGACATCCGCGTCGTCTACAAGCGTTGGATTGTTATCAGGATGGGCCATAGGCGTAATAATAGAGTTCTGCTCCGTGTTACGTTCGGTTACCGTATCAAACAGATCAGCCTCGCTCCAGCTCTCTTCTTCGGTTTCTGCGTCCGTCTCACCGATGGTTTCATCGCCCGAGTCATCGTCACCATCACCGTCGCGCACGTCGTATGCCGAATGACGGGGGCGAATCGAGGAGGTGTCAGAGACATCAAGATCAGAGATAGCCAGAGGTACGGGTTGCAAAGGAGGCGATGTCTCTCGGCGGCGAAAACGACGAAAGCTGAATGGAGATTGGGAACGAGCACGGGACCTGCTTCGCGAAACCGACGTCTCGGCTGCTACTGCTGAGCACGAGCGGGTCGCCTTGGCCTTGTCCTTGTCCATAGTACGGCCCCTAGGTTCTTTCGATTCTTTCGACTCCTTTTCCTTGCCCTTATCGTTGTCATCGGAGGGGCCGTTGACATTCGTGGTACTATTGTTCGTGCTGGTGCGAGAGAGAGATAACGACGAGAGACCACCTATCATAGAGCTGAAGGACATCTTGCTAAGCGAGCCTGTGTTGCGGGCGTTCGCGTCGGAAGCCTTGGAGGACGAGGTGGACGAAGACAGGGGCGTAGAAGTAGTGCGCTCGAGGCCGTTGATAACAGGACCGTCCTGGTCAAGCTGCTGCCCGGACGACCTGAGCGACCATCGTTTCGGGGTGGATGGCCGAGACGAATGCGGGGAATCCAGGGTTTCTGATCGCGTGAAGGGAACGCCTCCGCTGGACGTCGCTGGCCTCCGGGGCTCGTCGGGCAAGGGGATGCTTCGCACAGACGCTGCCGGACTGGCCAAGTCCAGCACTTGGCCCTCTTGCGGTGTGGGCAGCGGCTCGCGCTCGGCTTTGTCGCTGGTGCTCGACCCAGGAAACCAGCCTCCGCCTCCTCCAAAACGCCCACCGCTGCTCGTTGGTCTGTCACTCCCTGCTGAGCGCCCGCTGCTGCTGCCTGGTCTCGCCACTCGAGTAATCCAGCTTCGGCGTTTCGACTGTGCAGCGTCGTTCGTGCTCATGGCGGTCGATGGTGGTGGTTAAGTGTCAAGCAACCTTTGTATGACTCCTATAGGGTCTAGGCCGGAGCACAGGCGGGCACAGGTCAACCGACAAAGCCAAGCAGTATTTTATTCTCTTGGCGCATTATGTCCTCTTCATCGCCTCTCAGAAGAAAACACAGGAATGCCGTAATATTCAGAGACGCCCGCAGGGAAGATGTCGGTCGTCTGTGTGGCATCGACTGCCACCAAATATGGTGTGAATTGCTATAATACTTGCTACATCAACGTATCTAGATCAACCGTGCATCTGCACGACGCTGCTGAAGCGATGAAGCAAGCGTTCAATGGTCCGTCGGTCGTGTGACACGGAGGAACAATCGCCATTCGCCAGTGATGAATACTACATAACGACTGCGGAATGTCGTTCTGGCATCCAGGGATCTAACCAGACGTGGCAGGCGTATCGCTTCCTGGAACGCCTCGGACGTCCTTTGCGGGTGCACTGCCGGTTTCATCCTGCTGCACTTCCTGGGACTCGCCTATGGTGTGCTCGACTAACGGGGATTGTGGTCCAGCGGTGCCTTGACCATCCACGTTCATGTTTACTTTGTCGACAGCGGAAATATCATGCAAGATATCAGCATCAGCATCAGCCGTCTGAGCGACGTCACCAACAACCCCATCCGACAGCGCCTCCGGAAGCACCTCCAACGACTCAGAGGCTACTTCAGTCGAATCAGTCGAAGGAATAGCTTCCGACATCGCAACCTCCGCCTGCTCTGATTCGCTCTCCACCGGTTCATCAAACACCCCATGTTCATCAACCCAAGGCTCGCCTTCTCCCCACACAAGCCTTGGCATGCCCTTCCGCTGATCTGCAACCGCCTCCGTGTGCTCCCTCCCAGACCTCGCAACCGACCGCAGGAACTCAATCCTCTTGTCGGGGCTCCTGAAATTGTCCGGATTAATCGTCGGCGAGTGCTTCTCACCGCCATCTTGCTCAGGGACGGAATCGCTGGTGGTAGAAACGACTGCATCAGGAGACGCGGCGGGGGAAGTTGAGTCCAATGTCGAAGGGGCGGTGGCTTTCCTGAAATCCAATTTGTCCCAAAGCTCTTCAATGTTCTCCAGGGTAGCGCCGGACGGCAACAAGAAATCTCTGTATTGTCTGTCCTTCGCGGCCTGGTACCGTTTGAGAATATCAGGCTGGTTGTCCGCGAGAGTCGAGATAGTCCAGTATATAGACCCTACACACGATATCCAGACATTATTAGCTTCTCCGCTCGCTGATAGGATCAGTTAATACGCACAGTCAGAGTCTTTGGGAGCTTCCACCGCTTTTGGACCACGGGTGCGTAACTCATCCAGATAATTCGTCGCCGTTACCTGTATCTGCTTCATAGGCGCTGTCTTTTGGGATTCAGCAGACCCTTCCGCATCCAACGGCTGCACCCATATATCCATCCTGCCTTTACCCTCCAAGGTTTCGAACGTACATTTCAAGCTCTGCAACAACCCTTTAAGCACACAGCGCCTCACGGGTAATTGATATAGCGTATCTCCTCACCTGTTTGGGGTATGTCCTGATAACCTCGTCGGCGACAATCTCCAATAATGCGAGGCACTTCTGAAAGACACGTTCGCCGACTTCGGGCGAGCCGAAGAGCCGCTCATCCATTTCTTCGAGCGGGACGTATTGGAAGCCGAATAAACGGGCAGTGTTGTGATAAGCCACGAGAACGCCGTCCATGTTCCCGATGCGTGCTTGGAAGCTGCGGGGAATATTGATGTTGATTATTTGAGGATCTGAGGAGAGGTGCGAAGCGGGTTCGCGAGGGGACATGACATACCTGTATTTGAGAAACGCGGAGCGTATAAGGTCGTAGTATTCTCTCTCAAAGCTCTCCAACGGGCCTTGCAAAGTCCGGATGAGATAGCCCGAATTCTCCTGTGAAATATTAGTATTCCTTCACAACTCCAAAGCACATCACAAGTACAGCTACATACCTCGTAATTCAGCACGTCCATCCGTATAGGGAGCGCTGCACGGGTCTTGATGTCAAATACCCCAGTTCCAGGCAATCGAGGATCCTGACAGTCAAGCTGCGAGCGCATAACGAAGCTGTTGGACTGCACGTATCACAAACATCATATATCATAAATAGAGACGAGAAAATTCGGCTTCGATCAGGTGGGTCTTTCGACCTGTTTCAAAGAACTCGAAGACGTACTTTGGCGTAACGATATGCCTCGCGCTTGGGGTTAACCTCGGGGTCGGATGGGGTAGACCGTAGGTGGGTCTTGAATTCCTGCGGTGACGTTGTGAGGAACTTCTCGAGGAGAGTCCCCTATCGCATTGCAAAGGTAAATTGAATATTTATGTGGTGACGGAGGTAATGTTAACATACCATCCAGGTCAAAACATTCCGATCCGTTGCCTCAGGCGAGTCAGAGTCGGAGTCAATCGCATACACACCGTCCCTGTAGTTCAGGATGACGGTCGCAGGCATCCGTTGGCCTGGTGTGAAGGATTTCGCCTTCGCGGTTTCGTCAGACGCACATCATCAAGTTTAATTCAAAATATAAGACTGACCTCGCTCTGAAACGCAGCGCTTAGATTGCTCGTATCGACGTGTTTGTCTCCCGATATTAGGAAGTATATATGGCTCAGGATCTTCGTTAGCGATGAGGTCGACCCAGCGAATGTGCGGTTCTCGCGCTTGGCGAGAGTGTATAGATCCTGCATACACAGAGCACAATAAGCACGGGACAGGGAAAGCGGGGAGCAGTGGACGCACATCATCCTTGGAGCTTTTGATAAACCCTGTCAAACGTTCGAACGCGAAATCATTGACTTTGGGTATCTTTTCGAGCCAAGGTGTGAAATTATAGACGTGTGAGCGGGGATCTTGGAGCCAATGGACGCCTGGGCTGGAGTAGTGTTAGGCTATACGGAGGGTTGACAAAAAATTGAGATCGTACTTGAATAGTACACGGTCCAAGCCATGGGACAGTCGAGCAATAGGTTGTTGTTCGGAAATGGGTTCCAAATCTATAGCAATGTTGCTGGCTACTTCATGGATTACGGCTGTCTACTCACCTGTAAGAGCGTTTTCAATTTTAGAATCTGCGAGCAGCCCTTCCACGCGTCGCCAGTATGGTACCAACGTCTGACTGCTCGTGTGTGGCGCTGCTTCGCGTTCTTCAGCAGGGACCGCCGGTTCCGACTTTCTTGCAGCAATGGGAAGGGGAGCCAGCTTGTCGCGACCCCAGTCTTCCTTCCAGCTTTCTGCTTTCAGCTCTGAAGTCGGATTGTACTTCGTTGATTCTCCCCCGTCCGTCGCAGGAACTTTTGCCTTCTTCGCCTTCTTCTTTTTCTTCGCCGGTATGCCGGTCGGTATAGTCGCCCTCAGAGAATCAATGAGGTTGCTAGAGGTCGCTTGCTGGCTCACCAAGGCCTCGTGCGACTTGCGTAGGCATTGGGAGAAGGTCAAGTTAGCGGTCTGAGAAGAGGAGGCGGTCTGAGTAGCACTATCCGGGCCAATCCACGAGTTCAGCAAGCTAGCTGTACTGGATTTTGAGCGAGCGAGCCTTGAGCATGACGGGGGCCATATCCTGCGGGCGCAGTGCATTGTCGGGATGAGCGCGAGCGTGACAAGGCGCGACGGTCACGCAACGTCGCCGGTCACGCACAGGGTCGTCACTTAGGCTAACCACCTCTTCAAGCAATCCCTCATGCCAAACTTATTTACGAATTTCTTCCTGTGGTTCAGCGGGTGCGTGCATCTCATATACATGCCAGGCGGCTCGCTCACGGCTCAATGCAGCCTCTTCTTCTCCAAAGCGGCAGAGATAGCCGTAGTCGGGTTGCAGGTATGCCGTCTCCAGCAGATAGATAACATATAGAGATCCTCCATGGCTGACAAGGAACCAAGGCATCTGGCAAGACCTCTTTTCTCAATGTGATAACCTCAGGCCAGGTAAGAAATCACCGCCTTCTGTGCAGTATGACCTTTGGAGCGAAACTTGGAACACAGTGGAGCGAGGACGTGGTACCGACGGTGGCATTCAACTTTAGGAAAGTTAGGAAAGGGAATGTTACGATGAAGATATGGGATGTCGCTGGTGCGTTCCCAGCCTAGTCGCCCTTCTCTTCCGCGCTCAGCACGGCTATCTATAGGACAACCCAAGTTTCGTACTATGTGGGAGCGATACTGCAACGGCGTCGATGCAATCCTGTAATTCCGTCTATCTCACCGTATTTCTTGCATACGACGAACTTACGGATGGTCTAGGTTCGTTGTAGACTCAGCAGACGTTCGTCAATTCCCTCCGCAATATCACTTCAATTTACCCATTCACTCTCGTAGACGGAGAAATTCAACACGGCTAGATTCGAACTCCATCAACTCCTAGGGCATCCATCCTTGAGTGGGGTGCCCCTGCTCGTCGTATGTCCCTTTCATTTCCATATCTTGCTTCGACTCCTTATCTGACACCCGTCGTGCCCACCAGCTCGGAAACAAGAACGACTTGGAAGGACATGCCCCCGTCAAAGATTTGATAAAACAGCTGTCAGTAACACGCTCTCTACGTAGCACTCCAGCCGACCTAATGAATCTGGAACAGGCAACTAGACAAAATCACTGACAGGCCCGTTTCGGTACGATCATTTCCTCCTTTCTCTCCGCGTGCTGTCACACTCAACCATAACTCACTCGGTGTTCCCTGTGATCCCTGCAGTGTTACTCAGTAAGTCCATTCCCCACGTTAACCTATGAGTCATGCTTAACCCCCATCTAGTGCTCTATGAAGAGTCAGCATAACCTGTGAGTCTCACCCAAACTAGAAAACTAGATGCGTCGAAATGATGGCTGACGCGGGTCTTAGTGATATCGTCCTTCAATGGCTTGCCGGGCGAAGTCATTGACTTCCCTACGCCCGTATATTGTAAATATATATATTCTAATTGTATTAAATATCGTGACAATGGCTTGTACTGGGTGATTCAATGATATACTTATGGACACTGGGTTTATCATTGCCTATACATGTTGATTCCATCATCATAATTTACCATTCTTACGACATTCGTCGTACTTACGGGCCCCATCCTCCTTATGCGTTCCCCATCACTCATTATCTGCATAAGTCATAATCATATTCGTTCATAACCATAATTCGCGTCTGTATACATCTCGACCGCGACGCGAAGCGAGACAAAAACATAATGTAGAGTAGAGATTAAACAAATAAACGATTCACTAATTCACTAATTCAGCTTTCCTCGGAACACGAAAAGTAACAATCTATGCAGTCGGTAGTAGGTCGTAAGTGGATAGAGATAGAAGCGCGAGGAGGGATTACTTCTTAATTGAGTCTCGCTTGTATCCTCTACTCAACCTCCTCCGCGCCCACCTCCGCCATCTCGCCAACACCGACAATCCCCTGCCTAACCTCTCCACACCGCCCCAAAATAACCGCCATCCGCCCCACCGCCTTCTCGCACTTCTTCACAACCTCCTCCATTCCCCTCACCTCCTTCACCCGCTCGTCATACACGCCGCGCCATTTCTCCCGCACGTCCCACGCGGCCAAGCGGAGAACCTTGCGTGTCTCGCGCGTAATGCGGTAGGTGTGCGCTTTAATCCACACGTCCTCGCCCTCATCATCCTTCTCTTTAACGATGACCTCTCCGCCCTTGCCCTTGGCGCTCCCGCTCCCTACTCTCGCTAGATAGCCCGCCGCACCGGCATCCCTCCGCACTTCCCTCCCAACGCGCCTGCCGACGCTCCTCGGCACGCTCCTTGGGAGCTCGACTACAACCCATCCAACACTCCCCAAGACGACGGCACCCACGACGGGAGCGATCCACTTCCTCACCTCCTCGTCCCGTATCATGTCGACGACCTTCACGGAGGCTTCGAAGAGGGAGCGGATGCCCATCAATCCACCTAACCCTAGTCCTCCAGCACCGAGTGAGACACCGAGGCCAGAGAGGGAGAGAGAGCCAAGATGAGAGGATACGAGCGGGAGTGTGCCCAGCGAGACGCCGAGGATAGACAGTGCTGTCATGGCGGCTGCATCTTCCTCTTCCGCAACCTTCCCATTCTTCTGGCTCTTGTTCTTGTGCGAAGAGTGATGCGCGAAACAGCCGCCGAACCACTCCCTATAATCGAAAAGGTCCTCGAGGCCTACCTCAAGGAGCTCCTCCCGACTCGCCAGTGAGAGGCCCAGCCCGCCAACAACGCCATTACCCGCTCCATATCTATACACCGCCTTACTTCCTCCTCCGTGCACCGCTTTATGATGTTTCTTGACAGCGGTGGTCTTCTCCCTGGCGAACATTGCCTCCTTCCTGAACACCCTCCTTCTCCTCTCCCTCTCTACCTCTTCGGGCAATACCTTCTTTCCTACTTGTCCAACCCTGTCCACGCCCTCTTCCACAACACCCCTCGCCTCGTCTTCCACGTCCCGGACCGCCTGGTCAAGCGCTTCAAGCATCACCCTTCTGACATCCCGGGCGTATTGCAATACAGACCATACACCAGGGTACTCGGGCAGCGATAGTGTCAATGCATTGCTGTTGGCATGGGCGTTGGGGGTGATGGCTTTGGTAGCGGTGTTACCGATAGCGAGACGACCTGGCAACTTCCCTTGTTCGACCATCTCGAGGGCCTGCTCGAGGACATCCCCAACGCGCCCCTCGACACGTCGAACTCCACATTCTTCAACATCCTCCAGTTCATCCTCCATGCCGCCCTCATCCTCCTGCATCTTCTTCACCTCCGCTTCTTTCCCGACAGCCCCATCATTACCAGAGCCTTTAAGGAGACTAAGGACCCTGGACTGCTCGCCCTCTGCCTCGATGCGATTCGCCTCGAGCAGCAACTCGACGTCGCCCAAAAGTCCCTCCAAGTACGTCTTCGCGGGAAGGAGTTTACTGGTCACCCTCTTCTCGAGCACGAATTTGCGTAGCTTGGCTTCCATACTCTCGAACGCCTCGTCCGCGTCCCACTCCTCTCCCTTTCCGCCCTTTCCTTTTACATTGACCATACCCTTGGTTCCTGCCTCTACGAAATGCACGAGCATTCCTCTGCCCTCCCACGTCCCAGGCGACAATCCCTTCACCTGTCCACCCACAACACCCCTACACCTCTCCTTGTCCCTTATCCCTCCAAACTTATTAACCACCACGAACACATACCTCTTCTCCCTCCCCGCCGTCCATAAGAACTCTTTCGCCGAGAGTGTGAAGTGATTTTCGGCTGACACGACGAATAGGATAACGTCGATCTCGGTGTGTGAAGCGAAGAGGGCAGTGGTTTTGAGGGAGTCACGGTTGAGACCTGGGGCGTCGATGAGGGCGAGAGAGGTTACGGGGTTGGAGAGGAGGGAGTGGGAGCGCGACTGCGAGTTTTGCGAGTCTGAGTCTTGCGAAGAGCCGTTGGAGGGAGCAGCACCATCGTTGATATACACCTTGATCATCGTCGCGTCCGTACCCTCAGTTGCAAGCGTATCCAACTCCTCCAGCGTGTGCCTCGTATACGTTTCCTCATCCTTTACATCATATGTCTTGCCCTCCTTACAAACATGCACCTCTTCTACACCTGCATTCTCCTTCGCATCCTTCACCTCGCAAAACGCCGCTGTACATGGCTGCTGATCCACCGGAACGATCTCCCTCCCAAGCAAGCGGTTAACCACTGTGCTCTTCCCTGCATTCAGATCGCCCGTCACCAAGACCTTGGATAGGGGGCTTTTAACGCGTTGTTCAAGGTTGGTGAGGTGGGCGCTGGCGGCGGAGATGCGCGAGCCGAGGAGAGAGGCGATGGAGGATTTTTCGAGATGGGAGACGAGGGAGGCGGGACTTGTCGTAGTGGTTGACTGACCTGAGGGAGAGGTGGAATCAGCGGAGGCGGCTGTCGTGCAGGAGGGAGCCGAGCGAGAAGAAGTGAAGTGGGATGAATGGTTGAGTTTCAGGTCCAACCGAAGGACGTGGAAATCTGATTCAGTAGGCGGGATGAGGAGCGGGTCTGTCTCCACCATAGTTCCACTCATAGTACCCTCCTCCGCATCTCCATCTACGCCCTGTCCTTCAACGACGGTGTCCAACGAAGCGAGCGACTGTGATGCTGCGACCTCTATGGGCGAAGATTGTGAATCTCCTAGTGACTTGGGAGCGTCGACGATAGAGGCGAGGGTAAGAGACCTCGAGAGTCCCTGCCTGCCGACAATAACCTCAGTCTCCTTGCTGGGATCGTCCGCAAAGGTCATCGAGCGGCGCGGTTTCTGCCTCTTCTCTCTTTTGAGCTGGGGATACCGCACGACCCATTCCGACTTGTTCAATTCCTGCAAGTCGGTGAGGATCGTTTGCGATTTGTGGATGGCCTCAACGAGTCTACATGCAGCCAGTCAGTGCATTATCGCCAGATATCAGTAAAAAGGACTTGCGTGTCTCGTTGGTGGACATAGGCCAGCTGAGCGTCGTCGACGTTCATCGCAGACATTGTGATTGCTGTGACAAGTAACGCGTGACAGTTGATGAGCAACCCGCGAACTCCCGGGAGCTGACCCACCCGGTGACCCGGACGCGATGCCGAGTTCAATATGTTTTCCTCCGTCACACGACGCGCGAACTGGGCCCTTCGCCACGGCTCGAGAACATGGACCTACGGCCGACGCGGATTCAAGACGGTCCTCCTCCCAGCGCGCCACGAAGTTCCGCCTCTTCATCGTACCTCGCAGGGGGCGCGTCTCTACTCGTCAACGCCGCGAGCTGAAGGAGCTGCTGAAGACAGCATCCAGCGCGATGCTGCGGCCGACCAGTGGCTTCAAGCACTCGAGACGGCGGCAAATGCGCAGTGGCTGGACGTGCTTCCCGCCGATCCAGCTGACAGACTAAGGCGGGCGTATGCTCTCCTCATGCAGGTAATCCTGTACCTTCACCGCCCGCAGAATGAGATTGAGCAGTCCCTCGTAGTATGTTCCTTTCACCTTGACGCGTGCATCATAGCTTACAATCAAGGAAGGATTTCATGCAAGCTGAAGCAGAGGCAGGCTCTCAGATCTATCGGGCACGGCAAGCAACAATCACCCTAGCCCGTGCAGTCATTCGAGATATAGCATCAATACCCTCTACGCAACCTTTACACGTTGATCATCCGCAAATATTTGCACTCTTGGGAGCCCTGATCCCACTTCATGACTTGTATCTGGCTGGTCATAATCCCAAGGACGGCAAATCGCTTGACTTGCAAGAGTGGACTGCATTTTGGGAGAGGGCGCAACCGATACTCCTCGACCTAGCTTCCAAGTTGGATGAGCAAGGGTTTGGGCTGGACAAAGAGGAGTGGGAGAAAAAGGACGCCGAGCGAAATACGTAGCATTGAAATCCTCAAAATAAGTAAAAATTGCAACAATTAACGACGTATTATGCAGGTGAAAGCCGCCTGCGTGGCAAAAGGGATACGAAAACGAGAAGGAATATGCTCAGAGTAGCGAGTCTAATTTTGAGAGCACCTCCAGCACGCCAGCGATCAACTCAAACCCAACGTCTTCCTCCCCGGAGTGCTCCTTCCGTACCTCTTGCATCAAACCAAGTATGCACTCTCTGCCAGTCGCCTCCGCAGCCCCACCCGAAGCGATCCTAGTAGCCTGTCTTCGCCTTCCTGCAGCGGTCGCGCCTTCATTGGGACCCCCACTTCCAAATGGCCAACAGGAAAACTCTGCAAGAATATCGTCGCAGCGTTGGAAAGCAGCTTCCCGCTCCTCGTAGGTCAGCCGGCCGAACGCGTTGTCTAGTACACTCGCGGCGTACGCAGCACAGACAAGGCAAACGGCACGCATGGCTCGGCATTGCACGCCTTCCTTGTCCAGCGCGGTAGGCGGGATAGTGGACGTCGTTGCGGTGAGGAGTGAAACGGTGCGGTTGATGATGCCTTCTTTTGTTCTGATATCTGCAACGGGGTGTGTAGCCATATCGAAGAGGAGGAAGTTGCGTTTCTCGGTACGAAGAACACCCTTATCCACAAGCCCCTTCGCAAGCCGTTCGCGTACTTGTTTGAGTTGATACCCAATCTTCATCACGTTCCATGTTTCGCCTGCGCATGAGAGATACGGTCATTGCACGCAGACGCTGCGGAGTAGGCACTCACCGCTGAGCAGGTCAATCCAACTGTTAATCCCCATTTTCTCTTCTGTCGCCTTCATCATCTTCAACGTCTCGTCCAGAATCGTCTCGCCCGTCTGTCGATCGTCGATGATTTCAATCAGGCGATCGGGGAGTGGCACGCGTCGTCGATTCGGGTCCTTGACGAGAGCAATCCTCCGCCTCAACGCCAGCTCGATCAGTATGCAACCTCGGAGCGCGTATGAGATATTGTCGTTCCAAAATGATAGGTAGCCCTTAAATGAATCTGTTCGTGAGAATGCAGTCTACTTCGAGGCAGCTGGCGGCCAGAATGAGCGGGTGTTCCAGTAGCAATGGTATGGGAACGACATGATACAACATGTGCGTAGGGATGCCCAATGCCGACGGTGTCTCAGCAGTGGATGCACGCACGCGGTGGCTATGTAGAGGGCTGCACTAAAAGACTGGGACACACACCTGCTTGTCCTTGATACCAAGCAACAGCACCTCTTCCATAATAGTCAACCGCGGCATTTTGCCCCCGACTCGACTTTCATCGTCGTTCGCGCCCTCCAGGTCTCGTGGGTCAAAGGCGATTTTGTTGCCTCCCTGAAAAGCAGAGCCAGCATGCGAGTTGGCACCGGGGCCAGAGCTGCTGGTGCTCCTGGTCATGGCGGGCGAGCCGTTGGAGTACGCGGGCTCGTCGTCATCTGCGGCCATGGAGGACGATGCCCCGCCGCCTACGCGACGTCGCGAGAGACCCGAGGAAGCCATTGTGGAACTTGTGTATGTTCTGACGTTGGACGAAGGGAAGATGATGGCTGCGCTCAGCGCTGCAGCTCGATACGGTCATCCATCATGGAACATTTTAGCGCTCGCTGTCTCGGCTCTCGCCGTGGCGCTTCTTACTTCCAAGCTTGATGCTTCGTTCCAGTAATTATGCCACCGTTGTAGGCATTGAATATAGCAATTACACGGTTGCATGGTTTATCCTTGTTCTCGTGAGTAACAGATATAATTGCAATTATCGGAACGCCGCCTGGACCGTTGGTGAACATTGAAAGAAGATGCCCTGCCGTAATGCACCGCCCACGCCCAGATATTCCTGGACTTTGTATCTCACATTGCACATGTGATGGCGTGTCAGGAGTATGATCTAGTGGAGAGGTATTTTGTATATAGGCACAGTGTAGGCGTCACTTGTGTACATTGAGGTACGAAGACATGGACACGCTCCCGCCCCCGTCCGCAAGCCAGGCATATTGCCATGTCTCCGCTCTGGAGTCTGGGGTGATACACCTTCCAGACGAGATGTTCATGACGCCCGCCACCCCAGGCAGAGTCACAATTGCCCCCTCGCTGTCATTCCTCGTCAGGCATTCCGAACGCCCTGAGAAGTTGGTATTCGATCTTGGTATTCGGCGAGATTGGGAGAATAACCCCCCCAGGGTCGTGCATTGGATCCAGAATGGGCATATGGTGGAGGTTAGGCAGAGTGTGGTGGAGTCGCTAGCCAAAGGAGGGCTCTCGCCTGACGACATTGATATTGTCTGTCTCTCCCACTGCCACCATGACCACGTCGGAGACCCCAGGCAATTTCCCAGCAGCCAATTCCTTGTTGGCGCGCAGGCGAAGGGACTATTTCACCCAGGTTTTCCGGCGGATACTAAGGCGCTACATCACAATAATCTCCTCCCCGCCGACCGCACGACCTGGTTAGACCCCAGCGACTGGCCACCGTTGGGGCCCTTTCCCCGTGCGCTCGATTTATACGAAGACGGAAGCGTGTACGTCATCGATGCACCGGGGCACCTTCCGGGGCACCAAAACCTCTTAGTTCGGACGTCTCCAGACGGCGGGTGGTTGCTTATGGTGGGAGACAGCGCACACAACTGGCGCCTTATAACGGGTGATGCTGATGTCGCGATGCACCCCGATTGGCCGCATGGATGCGTTCACAACGACCCGAAACAGGCCGATGAGCATATAAAGAGGATCCGACGCATGATGAGGATACCGAGGGTCCGAGTTATCTTAGCCCATGACGAGCCATGGTACAGAGAGAATGTGGGAGGAAGTGCATTCTGGCCGGGGCAGATTCCTTCGTTGTGATATGCTGGGATGGATTTTGGTATCTTTCGCAGAGGGAATGGTAGGCGAGGCTATAATGATCCAACTGTGTATATGTGGCGGGTGGCAAAGAAGTACGACACGGCGGTTTGAGAGGCTGGAAGTACACGTTGAATCAAACAGAGCAGAAGAGGGTGAGGAGGGTTAAGACGCATTCCTTTCTGCAACTAGCAAACTGAAAACAATGATAATTACGATCCCCAGTGCGATGGCAATCCCCGTCATCACAAAACGTGCAATTGGAAACATGCCTTTGGTCAAAGCTTTCTGTATAGTGAAATAACGTATCGTGCCTAAAATTCACAGAGGTGCCGTCAGGTCTGCGTAGGTGCCAGGCAGAATTATTTACGCACCAGTGCTCAGAACGACGAATCCAAATACTAGCATAGTGGCTCCGAGTGGTACAGCAAATGGCCTCAGGCTCCTTCCCACATGGACAGGGCTTGGGAGACTCGGGTCATCGGTATTCATAGCAAGTTTAAAGAGTTGTATCAGGGCTTGTAGCGAGGCCTTGAGTGTTGTGCTCAAAGGACATATGTATTCAACGAAGCTCACCGACTCCAGTGGATGCAATGGCTAAGCTCGTCCGAACATAGGCCAGAAAGGTCCGTTCTGATGCTAGATGGTCTCTGGCTACACTACCAGAGTTCTCCAGCACTGCCCTTGGCTCAAATTTGAGAAGCGATATTGAACTTCGTTTCTTCCCCTTCTTGCGACTCTGTCTTCGCTTCCCTAGAGTGGTTGAAGCTTCGTTCAAAGCAGATTGCGAGGAGCCAGACGGCGCATTAGATGCAATTGTGGAAAGTCGAGGGCTATCATTAGGACTTTCTGACGCGGGAGATTCAATGACTATGGGGGTAGACGGAGGTGCGTCAACGGTTTCTGGTGGTGATCCTGCCGGAGGGGACTCCAGAAACTGCGAGACTCGGCGCAGAATTGATTTGGTTCTGGCTGGGGGCGGTCTAAGAGGCGTACTGGATTGCACCGAGTCATTTTCGAAATTGTGCCAGACGTCCCCGGTGGTGGTCATGATGAAGGAGGGCGGGCGCCAACAGTAATCTTATCATATGCGATTTCGATCATCAAAGTTTTTCGATCACTGGTGGATCGGCTAGTTATCTCTGTTTCGCTCTTCCGCGATGTCCTCTGCACGCGCAAGAATGGTCGGCGAAGACATCAAAGAAAAGTTTACTACCCTGCTCAGCCAAAATCCTTCCCTCACGCCGGATGAAGCGATGAAACGGACCGAAGCTATGATGCTTGCTAATAATCCGTTCCAACCACCAACTGGCCGCCGGTGTCCTATCAACGACCTGCCAAACGAGCTTTTGGGCCACATCTTCTTCCTTGGTGCGTACGAAGACGACGAAGAAGAGGACGAGGAGGAAGATGAAGACGAGCACTCTGACGACGATGATGCGTTTGACCTTGCTCGCAGGTGGGAGACGTCGAGCGAAGGTCCTAGCGACGATGCGTCCTCTGCGCCTGACGATGCCAAAGACAAGGATGATATCGAGATGGGAAGCTGTAGCGACTCCTCGGGCTCATCCTCGTCGTTCTCTTCAGACGACGACGACGATAGACAATTACCTTTCCAAGTAGTCGCGTCGCATGTTTGCAGCAAATGGCGTTCAGTCGCCTTGTCTACTCCTTCTCTGTGGAAAACAATCAATATTTGTCCATACGACAGTCCCTTTGACCGCTGCCGAGCTTATATCGAACGGTCGGGAGGGCTTCCGCTCAACCTCGATATCGACCTTACTCTGGAAGAGTACCAAGTCGACATCGAGGGTGATGAAGACCGAGGGGTAGAGGTTGATGTAGATGGTGATGACGAAGGCGAAGGCGAAATCACAACCATCACCATCACACGTTCCGGCAGTGTCGTTGCTAGAGATGATGGCTCCGACAATGGTACAGGCGATCCCGCAGACAGTGCGTGCTCGGATAAGGATATCGACCTTATCCTCGACATCATATGCCCACATTCAAAGCGATGGCGAAGCATAGCAGTAGCAGCTACTCACTACAAGTCATTACACCGAGTACTCGTGCGCTTTGACACGCTCCCTCCGGCGCCGCTCCTGGAGGAGTTGCAGTTGCAGCATCTCGCAGAAGAAGATTTAGATCCCGAAGCAGTGTTCAATCCTCCTTCTCTGAAGCTTCCGTATTTTGTACCTTTCCAAGGCAAAGCCCCAAACCTCCGAAGTCTGTCTCTCTGGGGTATACATTTCGGTTGGGACGAGGCTTGTCTTGAGGAAAATAACACCGCTACGACCATAAACTCCCAAAAATCCCCTCGAACCACCCTTTTTGACAGCATGGAACAGCTAACCGAGCTCGAACTTGCATATCACGTTTCTGACGTCCGACCCTCCTTCGTTGCATTTGCCTCCATCCTTCGACGATCGCCCCTCCTCACAAAACTAGCTCTTTCTGCCTCCGGGCCTGCTGGGTCCCCGAGCGATTGGTTCATCCCTGGTACCAAAGTCCTCCAAAAAATCGCCCTCCCCAAGCTCAGCGAACTCGACTTGCGCTTTCATGAACCCGACTATGCTGTCGGTCTTGTTCAAGCCCTCGATATGCCCTCACTGCGTCACCTCACAATCGACTTCGACTCGGCGGACTACACGGACTTCGTGAAAGTCCTTGCTGGCCAATCAATCAGTGATCGAACGGCACAGCTCACCGGCGGTCGCAAGCAGCGCTCGATTCTCAGTGGGTTGGAATTTCTCAAAATATGTAGTCTTCCGTGCGACAAACGGCGCCGGGACCTATTGCTCGGGGAGCTGCAAAATGTAAAACATCTCTTCCTCAAATGTGCGTCAGAGGACGTAGCGGATATTTTCGCGAGGCTACAGAATCCGAATCCTTCAGCTACGTCTTCAGAGGGATCAGAGAATCCGGTCATGTTCTGCCCTCTGTTGAAGACGCTCTCGACGACCGACATCACTGGAAAGGAAATGATAGAGGTTGTCAGAGCGCGCGCAGAGGCTGGTGTGCCTCTTGCGAAGGTGTGCATGTGCGAGGAAGACATCGTCACCCCGAAAGATTCAAAATGGCTATATGCGCATCTCCCGGAGGGCTTGGACATGTTTGTTGACAGTGACGAAGAGGAGGAAGTAATGACTGATGAAGAGTGGGAAGATGAGGGCGCCGACTTCCTTTGACCTTTATTATCCGTAGAGTCTACCTACATATCCATAACTAATTGATTAGTCGGTCTCCATGCTATCCCCTCTATCGGCTTGCTCCTGTATGGCACGTAAGAACGCCTCCACACTCGTCCCTGCCTCTTCCGGAAGACCAAGTCCCCTTACCAAACCACCCAGCAGCCCAGTCCGTAGTGCTTGGTCGAAACTCGCGACAGAAGCTCGGAATTGTGGCGAACTAAGAGGTAATCAGCAACGGTCATTTTGAATAGGCGGCTGACGCACTGTATTACTCGTTCGAGCACTTCGGTCGAAGGGGGGAGAGGTAAATCCGGCGGAAGGTGAGGGAAAAGCGCGGGGATCAACTCTGGACGAGATGTGAATAGCGGCCTGAGGTTATCAGGCGTCAGAATGTCGGTGAGGGAGAGTTCTAGAGGATGTTAGACGATACAAACGAAGGCAATTGGGACTGGCTCACCGGGCGCCGAGGGTTGTGTGCTCCCAGACATGGATTGAACGATCCGCTGGATTTGGGCAAGTTGTTCTGGGGTCGCCTGGGGCACTTGTGAACTATGTTAAGTTACTTGTTAACACCAAAACAGCATACGAGATGGATCAAATTCACGTCGACGCCTGGGCAGAAGAGGCATCTGAGCTCCAATCAAGAGTGTGCTCTGGGTCTTGAAGGAGGCCGTTCAAGTTCTCTACGAACTTGGCATCTCGTTCGTCTGACGCATCCTGTTACACACATTAAACGATGCTATCAACCGGGGCATATCCTGGGCTTCACCTGCAACCAGAACTATATTATGCAGTTAGTCCATGGGGATCTCAAAGGAGTGTAAACGCCGCACAAAGTGTCTTTGATTCGAAGACGAGAACTTGAGCACGTAGACGCGACCCGAGGTTGCTTGCGAGACTTTCACGAATGAAGCATCCGTAGGGAAGAGAATGAGATCCTTAAAGTGCAAACCACGTTAATTGCGTGACGAAAGGGATAGAGGCTGGCGACCGACCTCCTCGATTTGATTTGTGGATCTGTTCTTCCAGATAAAGTGCAGCAACCCGTCGTCGCCGTTCGTAAGGATTATTGCGCCTTTAGTCGCGCTGGGTTCCACTCGATTCGTCCCTTCGTTTCTGAAGGCACGACCGGCTTTGAACGCGAGCAGATATTCGGACATGGCGATGGCAGTTGGGAGAACGCGTCACGTCCAGGGCGCTTATGATCAAGGGATCGCTCCCACACTCACTCTCAAGTATTTCGTTTCCTCGACCCACGCCTGACTTCATTAAATCCGACTCTCACTTCTGGCACGACAAGCTACTGGCCTGCCAGGCTCATGTCCTTCTCTGACGACCTCGACGTTCAAGGAGGCTGGGATATAGCCACGCCTACAACGGGGGACATCGTTCAGGACGCAATAAGAAAGGAGAAGCTAATCAAGTGCGTTGGTTTCTTCGCTGGCTCTTTATCGCCTCACTGAGATTTTGGTGGGACTTTAGGGATATCATTGCGTCTCAAGAGGACCTCCGTGGTCAGCTAGTTGAATTCTCAACACCATAATCTGTGACTGAGTGGGCCAACTTCCAGTCATGCTTGAGCGGGTCAAGGCAACGGATAAAGAAATCAAGAAGCTCACTACAGAGAACGAAACACTTCAAATGTATATCGATAATCTGACAGTTCAAATGGCGAAGAGGCGATAGGACAAGGTTCTAATATACCTTTCATAGAAACTATCATATGACCAGTGGACATGTTCTTCACGGTGGGTTTAGGAAGAGCACTTGGGTAAAATTGCCAAAATACCACTTGGGAGGGCTATATTGTGCCCAAGCCTTCTCACCGGTTTGGAGCTGTTGCGAACGACATCCCTAGTTCAGCCAAGCACGCGATCTCTCATGCGAATGGTCAAGAAGGACGCGGACCTTTCTCATACCAATCACCCAGGCCCCTTCTTACGATTGAACCATCTTGATTCTTGATCATGCAGTCCCCATCGCCAGTGATTGCAGGGCCTCCGTCTGACTGCTGTTTTACAACAGTACAGCACGTCGGCACCCCTGTCGGGCAGACTATCACCATAGCCGGTGTACCGACCTATGTCTCTACGCCAAAATCCAACTTGAAAAAGGTTATCTTGTTCTTCCCAGACGTGTATGGACCGTTCTACGTCAACAACCAGCTGCTGCAAGACTCATTCGCCGCTAACGGTGCGTTTGTAGTTCAGAATAGTCTATCTATTATGTTTGCAGTGACTACAACTGCTCGTTGGCTTAGGCTATTTAGTGCTTGGGGTGGATTATTTCCTGGGTGACCCAGTTCAGAACCATGACGGCGAACAGGGTTTCGACAGGCCTGCTTGGTTTGCAAAGGCACGGGTGAACGCCGCCGACGTGCTCCCTGGTTGGATAGACGGAGTCAGACAGAAGTATGGTATGTGTCCAGGTAAAACATATATGATCCAAACTTCACATCGGCGTGCCGGCATAGGTGTCCACGGAATTTCCTACAGCGCCGTTGGTAAGTCGATAGACACTACGGACGTTGACGGGTCTCAATGGGTACGGCATTATGTAGGTTATTGCTTTGGTGCACCTTACGTATTCGAGCTCTTAAGCGGGGACATGGTCTCAGCTGGTAAGCCAATACATTTCATTCCCGGCATATCTATAGCCATTCATATCATTGAATAGGTGCGGTCGCTCACCCCACGCTTATCAACGAAGACCACCTCTTCAAGATACAAAGTACGTATTATCGACGCCACAACTCAACACATGAGCAAAATTTTCTGATCCTCCTTTTTCCCCTTCGTCACGAATAGAACCCTTGCTCCTTTCTTGCGCAGGCTAGTCCACGCTGGTCTTTTCCCGTCCGTGTGCCTCGCTCTAATCATCTTATCTCTTCCGGTCACATACGAATACAGAAATCGACCATACCTTCCCACTGGATAAACGACGAAGGGCTGAAGACATCCTCATCGAACGTAAGGCCAATTATCATTTCCAGATCTTTTCGGGCGTAGCCCATGGGTTCGCAATCCGTGGAGACCCATCCGTCGAGAATACTCGTGAGTGTCACCCAATCTTTGTTCACCGGTGGGATCGTTTCCTCGATAATGATGCTTGAAATCTTAGGTTGGGCCAAGGAGCAATCTGCGAAGAGCATCGTGGAATGGTTTGATAGATTTAGTAAGCTGGCATTGAGTGCCAAATCATTGCTTTGATGGTGATGGGGAAGGCAGCAAACAACAGCCATTCGGCGCAGTGGTCTCATGGTCAATGTAATTATGTCACGCTTGATTTGAAGATGTCCAATAATACATCGAACACAATACAGATCTTGGTAGTTGTAAGTACATCTACAGTTGATACATTCCGTTCCATCCGCACGCAAACAATATTCACAGTATAGATCGCAACATATGGCCGCCAATTTCGGGCGCTCTATCGTGTCCCATCGCGCTCTTGATCACTGGCCGTACATTTCAAACATTGACCTCAAGGTCACCAAATCCATGGTCCTGGGTTCAAAGGCTACTTTGAACGGCAGTGGATGCGTATTTGCACTTTCGGTGAACGCGAGTGAGTCAATGGGTGAAGATGGGTTGGCAGAGATTTTGAATGCCCAATGCATCAAGGCAGCGTTCAAAAACACGGAACTAAATCCTCCATTTAGCGATTGACAATGACATACAGCTGTACGTGCATGCGTACCTGTGCGCGATGTATTGGCCAGGGCAAACGCTAAAAATGAATTTAACACCGAGGCCGAGCAAGTCATGGGGGGCGCTGAACTTACCGTCTACCCGACCCCCAACTAAACGTCCTCATATCAGTTCGTAACTTTCCGTCTTCTGTCAGCCATCTCTGGGGGTTGAATGTCTCCGGCTCAGGGTAAACGGCGGGATCACGACTGATTGCCCTATAAATATCATGCACTCAGCGGTTGCTCCGAGTGAAAAACGGTGTGTGGGGAGCGCGTACCAGATGTTCCCCATTACGGTAGCCCCCTTGGGAATGCGGTAGTTATTCTGGGGTATTATCTTCTATGTCAGGGGTGTGCCAGATGTCAGGGGTTTGAAAGAACGTACCCAAATGATGTCCTTCGTGGCTTTATGTGCGAATCCTGCAACAGAGTTGGGTCACTATACATTCGGTCGGACAGCGAGGATAAGAATCATTCACCCCCTGCAGTCACGGGCCTCCATCTGAAGGTTTCCAGAACGAATGCGGTTGTTTGTGGAAGCATGTTCGCATCTTCCATCGTGGGTGCTGTTAGGACACGTCAGTCTTGCCCTAGAATCTGACGAGAACAAACTTACGTCGATCAGAGCCAATGACGGAGTCAAGTTCTTCCTGTACCTTGGCCTGAGCTTCTGGATGTAGGGCTGCCGCCATTACTGTTATACTGATAGCAGATGCAGTCTACCAGCGCGTGAGAACGAAGAGACCGTTGGTAATGATCAGATACCTACCGTGTCCGACCCCGCACCAAAAAGGGCACCAGCGAGGTAGGCAACTTCGTTATCATCGAGTTCGAGTTCCGCTTGGCGTTCCAAGAGGTATCGCCCAAAGCAGTACGAAGCCTCGTCTCGCTCCTATTTTTGCTTCAGCCACACTGTGCAGAAGGTCTGGCAAAGACGCTTTCTCACCATTTTCTCCCGAACAGTGGCTAATTGACCTTTGAACAAGGCAAGCTCCTCTTTGTGTCCATCTTGTAGTTCGCGTAAATATCCGGGGATGTATCTGTATTGATTTTGTGGGTCCGGTGGTCAGCAAGAAGCACGAGGTACGTTAGGGTAGTGGACCTACCGTAGGAATGGGTAGATATCGACTTTCCAGAGACCAGGGCGCAAGTTCAGTCCAAGGCGTGTTAAGCAGCGGTTTACAGCCTGTACACCTGGGTCATCGTAGCCCTCTGGATGACGGCCATAAGCGAGCGCCATCACGACAGAGGCAGAATAACTACAAGTCAACACCAAATATAAACTGTCAGCCGAACATAAACACGTAGAAGTGCCTTACCGTTTGGCATGATCCTGGTGATTGGAAGGATCATCAATGAGGTCTAGGATGTGATTGCGGGCGTTCCGCATTAACACTGGGGAATACGTGGTAACCGCCTTGGGTTGAAGATGAGTGTGCAGGGCTCTACATCGAAGCCCGCGAATAAGATCAAGCTTCTCGCCGACAAGCGAGGAGCTTCTTACCTTCGCAGTTTCTTGAAGCGTTCGCCGGCAGGTGTCAGCAACACGCGCATACCCCCAGAGAGCGTTTCGCCAGCTGCGATAGATGCTGGTCGGTCAACGAGGAAAGCGCCCTCCTTCTCCATGATATCCATCGCGGCCTGCACGCGGCCGACTACGATGATGGTCCTCGTTCCCTGCCGCAGCGAGAACACTGGTCCGAATTCCTTGGTCCATTCCTCGAATTTGCGATACGCGCTGTAAAGCAGACTCAGGGGCTTGCTTCAACGGTCGAAACGCTACGCACAATGCGTTCGGTAATACATTGCCGAATAGCCAGTGACCTCGGGGGCCAGGAGGCAAGTCGCTTGGGCGCTGGGCGTGCTTGTGGATGACCGCGAGCGCGGTAATGCAGAGAATAATGGCGGCGATCGATTGGGGGTCGAGGGGTAACAGCGACATGGTGGTGGGTCAAAGGCGAGCAGGGTGATTGGAGAATTTATGGGTGGGCGTGTGGCGTTAAGATCCGCATATGTCGAGTTGCAGTGGAATTTGGATTTATCTATAGATCCGACTCTCTTTTCAGCCAAAGGTGCATGTGAAGTCTGGTGACGAAGGCATTCCGTAAGGGGTGACCAATCGCGGCCCTGTGCTTCGAACTTGCTATGCCATCGGATGAGAACCTCTACCCCGTAAATGGTCGTATCCAGCTCTCCGTGAGCTCGCGTGAAGGCAAATGCCCCGGAAACGGTAGCCACAACTTCGATGATCAGCCGGGTCAACACATCCACGGAGCATTTGACAAAACCATGCGAGAACCCATCTATTGCTGGAATACGATTACAAACTTGTAGTTACACATTGTCCGATGTCTGTCATACCGCTTTATTGATTTGTTTTACGACCCACCCACATACTTGTTTGTCTTGCCACTGAGCTCGGCTTGCACCTGCAGCGCTCGCGGTGCATCGTGCTTCGGCATCATCACCTCAACAAGCTGCATCTTGTCTGCCTTGGCAAACTCTGCGTCGCCCAGCAGCGCTGTTAGCTCCTGCTTGTTGTTTACGGTGTACGATTTCGACAGGACGCCGTCTGCGTCGCCCAGTGTGGAGAGCAGCGAAGTCCACTTCCAGTTGTTGATGTCATTGTACTGCCTGCATGGAGCGAAAGAAGAACTCGGCTAAGGACTCGAGCAATCAATCGAAGAAGCCAACGTACCGCTCCCAACCATGGAGGAACCGTTCGATCGTATACCCCTCGTTATTCAGTACGAATACGATGGGCTTGACACCGCGACGCATCATCGAGGAAAGTTCTTGCACGGTCAACTGCCTGGGGCACGTATCAGTATGAAAGCTCTGGACATAGCGAAGAATGACTCACAAACTGCCGTCGCCGACGAAGAGGATGGTACGTCCAAGGCCCAGATCGCGCGCTGCAAGAGCAGCTCCAAGTGTACTCCCTACATCGCAAGCGACGTCAAAACATTGTCCACAACACCGGCGTCGGCTGTTACTTACCAACACTCCATCCGATGCTCCCCCACAAAATCTGACTGACGAAAATTGACTTCTCGGGTAATGGGACATCCAATATCCCGAAGCTCGATGTCCCGGTTTCTGCGACGATAACGTCTTGCGGTCGGAAGAACGTATTCATGGTAGGCCAGAACCATGCTTGGGAGATTACGTCGTTGTCTTCCTTCGGAACGTCGGCTACGAATTTCGGTACGTCGTATTGACGTGCGCCTTCCTGGTATGGGTGTAATCGCGCAGAAAGCTTGGGGATGAGTTCCTTCATGCCAACATGGGCGAAGTCCGCATATTGAACCTTAGTCCAAGTGGAATGAAGCTAATGGCGAAGGTGCGTTAAGAACATATAAATGACTGCAGAGTACGTTTTGATACTGACCTCAATGATGTTGTCGGTGGGGATGCTGTATGTGAAGTTGCCAGTGTTGAAATCGGTCTTGAGAGAACCGATACTAATGATGAGTTTCGCAGATTCGACTTTCTCCTTGATCTCTGGGTGGCTGATGGAGCCCACATATATCTATCAACGAGCGTATATCAGATATCACGATATGAAATAGAATGCTGGAGTACTCACACCGCCATAACGCTCATACTGTTCACTGACAGCAGTCTTGCCCATAGGTGCCGAATATACCGGGAAACCCGTCTTCCTGATCATTTCGTCGAGTTCGTCCCGTACGTCATGTCGTATTGCACAAGCATCTACGAGGAATATGGCATCATTGTCAGCCGCTTCCACGAGCTTGACTATCTCGTCGAGCACGAATTTCTCGACGTCGGGATCGTTGGGAGGAGGGGAGCGGGACAAGGGGATCCTGAGCTGGGCAGAGGATATTTTGGTATACACGAGATCAGTAGGGAGGGTGAGATACACTGGGCGGGCCTGAGGGAAAAGAAGGTGAGTGCCTGCTTCCGAAGGGAAAGAGAAGAAGGGGCATACGCTGGTGATGCAATCTGTCAGCACACGATCTATTTCGGCGGCGGCGGCGGCGTTAGGATCCTTAAGTATGGCCTGCGAGATGGTGAATTGTTCAGCCGCCTTTTCGTAAGCATCGAATCTATTGGAGAACGTGAGTTAGCGAAGGGATGGGACACTCGTATGTGCGGGCCTACCGTCCGTCTCCAAGGGTATGGTGAAGCATGGGTTTGGACTTCTGTTGGACAGTGCTGGGAACGCCGACTATGTGCAAGACAGGTACCATCTCGGAGAAAGCTAGAAACGACGCCAGACATTCAGATTCACTACGACACGAAAAGAAATATGAATATTCACCTCCAGCAATACCGTTCATCGCGCTGAGTTCGCCAACACCGAACCTAGGTATAGATGCGATAAGTAAAATCGCGTCCGATCATACGCGGCTGAACTCACGTTGTAAGGATAACACCAATGCTATTTGACTTGACTCGGGCGTAGCCATCTGCGGCATACGCTGCATTCAGCTCATTGCTATTTGCATCATGATCAGTAAGTGGCAAATGCTTCCGCCCGGGAATGCGCACCAGTTCCCGATCCATTCTAAAGGATATAAGTATCAGACCGTGTAAATGGATAATGAGGATAAGCGCACCGATGCTAGGATGATCTTCGACTAGATCCTAATATTGCCGATAAGCGATCATTGAAGCTGTGATGCCGTATATTATTATCGCACCAAGAATCCTAAATTGAAGTCTCCCGGTACTCCGAACATGGACTGTCCGCAAGAATGTTAGCATCGTTGGGTATCTATCCAGAAGGTATTCCACTGACATTAGCGCCAAGTTGCTCGAGCCTGGCGAGTAGGTAGTCGCCGACGCGGATTTTCTGGGAGCTATCCTCCTCTGTGAGCGACTGGAGTTGGATCTTGAGGCGGTTCACCTCGTCTTGGAGGGCAGCCACTGTTTGAGAGGCCATTGTGGTGGTGGTGGCGGTGGAAGCGGAAGTTGTAGGAAGATGAGTGCTCAGCGAAGGCTTTAAAGGGGTTTATAAGCCATGATCACACTCCACGGCGATGTTCGTGACGAAGATAGCAGCTTATCACGACAGGGTCTGGGTCGCTGCCATCTGTGAAACTGCTATTTTCTCCGTGCACCAGCATGCAAACTGCGCTGCTCTGGGCTCACGATATCGCTTCACTGGCCTGGCCATGCGTCCATTCTCCCAGTATCACCGCCATAGCTCGAGGCCAGCAATCTGATGGACTGTGGGAAGTAGCACGTGCTCGGTGTGTTCGGCGCGAACCAAGCGCATCGTAGCTTGAAGTAAGTCCTTGAACGAGAATGACCAGAGTGCTGGGTACGGGCTTCTTGCAGTACGAGCGATACGACGTAGCTCTTCTGCATTTATGAGCTTGGAACCAAAGCAATCCATCCTGACCCCTGTAGAGTTAACTTCGGTCTTCCTTGGCACGTGATGCATCGCGTCGGGCGTGTTCAATGAGGCCTGAACACTGTCGACGTTCGGCACCACATTCATACTCGCGTCATGTCCACTAATGCGTACGCAGATCTGCCGAGATACATCGCAAACTACTACCTGAGCGAGAATCTTGGTTCAGGGTACTCTGGTGCGTTTCTCTGTCCAGCGCATATGCACATGGCTGATTTCAGCTCACTTCCACGCCCTACGACGATCTAACGCGTATCATTAGGATCAATATATAGAGCCCATCATCTTCATAGCGGCAAGGTCGTCGCGCTGAAAGTCCAGGACGTAAACCATGAATGTCCAACCAACCGATACGAGCGCCGACTCTACCCCTTGCTGCAGGGAGGACTGGGGATGCCGACCCTGTACACAGCGGGAGTGGAAGGGAAATGGGACTATCTCGCCATTGATCTGCTTGGATCTAGTCTCGACCAGCTATATCGGCGGAGTAAAAAGGAGACCATGGACTTGCGGAGTGTGTGCTGCATTGCAATGCAAGTCGTGAGTTTCATTGCTCATGCGAATTCCAATCGCTCAGACCCACCGGTCGTCCTGGAACCACCGCGCCCTTAGATCGCTAGGCTAGAGTTCATGCACTCGAGGGGGGTCCTTCATCGCGACATCCAGCTAGGCAACTGTGTCGTCGGTCTCCCCCCGAACGAAAAGACAATCTATATGATTGATTTCGGGTTCTCAAAGCAGTACATCGATCCCCACACTCGGCGACACATACCTGATAGCAAGGCCAAGCGGGACTTCATCGGAAATTACTGGTTCAGGTAAGTCCGCCGCGTCTCATCAGTACTTGGCTTTAGCTACTGTCTAGCTCTGTCGGGGTCCACTGCCGAGGCAAAGGTAGATGTGCTTCCAACTATTGATAACCTTACTGAATCGTCATGGTTATAGTACCCTCCCGCCGAGATGACTTGGAGGCTGTCGCGCTCATGCTCATACACTTACTCACTCCCCGCGGGCTTCCTTGGACGAGGAACGGCGTTCCAAAAACCGACGAAGAGCACGAACGGTTGAAGCGAAATAAATCCAATGCCAGACCGGAAGATCTATGCAGAAACCTTCCCGAAGAATTCGAAGACTTTCTTCGGTATTGCAAGTCATTAAAGTTTATGGACCGCCCCGACTATGAGAGATGGATCGATGAGTTTCGTGACCTGGCTGTAGACAACGGGTTCTCGGATAGTGATGAATTCATCTGGCCGCCGCCGCAGCCCCCGATAACTTCAGTAGTGAGTGAAATTCGCCTGCTCTGGGCAGGAACCACACTGAGCCGTCCCAGAAGACCCCACCACCATTCTCTCCGCTCAAGCTGCCTCGGACGATCGTCCCTGGCCGGACAGTGGTTGCCCAAGAAGTTGAAAATATCCTCCGGGGTCTCGGTAACCTTGCGCTGGTCCCACAACCAGCGCTGCAGGATAAGAGTCCAATGCGAGCTGAAATGAATCAACGGGCGGTTGAGAATGCCTACAAAGAAGATTCCGTTCATCGTGTCGCCCCAAAGCCAATACGTGTGCACGCGGTCATCGAAATTAGCTCGGGTTCTGAGGATGAGAAACCCCATATGCTTGGGCGCACCCCAAAGGCATATCGCTTAGACAGACTCGCCGCGAAGTTGGGTTCGGCGACGGACAACGCGCGACTTGCATCTATCGTCCTCGAGTTTATCCAGGTCTTGAAGGGATATAACAGCTCGCGGACATTGACCAAGGAAGGGTTCGCCTTCCTGGATGCTCTGCACAAGCAGTTATCCGACCCCTCTGTGTTCGTGCTCCCTATGCGGTGGGTTATCTCCTTTGCTTGGCGTCCCCATGTCATCGTCGCTAACTACGTATCGTCTAATAGGACTTCCAGATCCCGCAGCAGCAACAGCGGACTTCCTATTGATCAGAAGCAGCCCGCGCATGTGAAATTAGGAGTCGTGGCAAGACTCAAACGGGATGTGCAGAACGCGTCAAGCAGTCGAGCATTAGCCAAGATGGTCTCAGATTTTGGCACGGTGACGAACAAAAGTTCAGGGAGGACGATAACAAAGGTATTTGACATGAAGAAAGGGACTCATGCGCAGACGCTGATAACCTTGCACCTACATAGGACGGGTTCGCTTTCCTTGAAGGACTTGCTGCTAGATTAGAGACCTTGGGATAAGATATAAATGCTTGTATATTTCTGGCATATAAGTGTACGTTGTTGAAGAGGTGAAATGTTGGGGCAAACGGCATCAGTTTCATTTATAATCGTGAGTGCAAACCGAACTAACCAGCCCCGAATGTAAAGGCATCCAGAAGGACCAGAACAAGCTGGCCGTTTCTTATTCGCTTGACTGAACTTTGAAAAAAACGGAGACTACCCCAAACAAATCAGCCCACCGATCCGGCGGTTGCCGGCATAATCGCCTCCCCCCAATAAAAAGTCTTGCATTGAAGGCACGTCAAGTCGTCTCCTTTCTCTTCCTCCTCCACTCTCCTGTACTCTCCTTTCGAGGTACTTCCCCCAGAGACAGCAAAGGGAGCCCCCAGCGTCGTGAAATGTCGACTAAACGCGAGACAGTCGTTGAACAGAAGGCGGTCATAGTGCCCGACCTTTCCATCAAGGATTTGCTGTCTGCAATTCCGTAAGTTGAACAATTCAGGCTCGAGGTCGACGGGAAGAGGAGTACTGAACATCGTTGCCAGCGAGCATTGCTTCAAGCGATCGGCTTTCAGATCCTCGTTGTATATGTGAGCCCTTTCAGGCATGTCCGCACTAATCACAAGCCTGACCGCTACGCCGCCGACAGTGTCTGGGACTTGATTGTCATCACAGCCATTTACAAAGCCACGAACTTCGCCGACGCGTTCATCACTCCCGAACAGCTCTCGCTTCCCCACCCCTCCCTATATCCGTTTGCGCGTTTCGCTTTGTGGTCCCTGTATGGCTTCGGAGTCGGCCTCTTTGGAACAGGACTGTGGGTCATTGCCCACGAGTGCGGCCATCAAGCGTTCTCCGAGTCCAAGTTCATCAACAACGTCGTGGGATGGATTCTTCACTCTGCGTGCGTGCTGTCGAAAAAATTCTTCGCGCTTGTCACATGATGCTGATCTCCAAATAGCTGGGGCGTTCCATACCACTCGTGGCGCATCACGCACGCTAAGCACCATGCTTCTACTGCACATATGACGCAAGACCAGGTCTTTGTCCCTCGTACACGGTCCCAGAGAGGTCTTCCTCCTCTCAACGCTGCTGGGGAAGACTTGCTCGGTTCGCGCGTCTCGATGGAGGTGCAGAAGGAACTCTGGGATGCTCTAGGTGACTCCCCGATCGGTGCACTGTTCGGTGCAGCCAGCTACTTGGTGAGTTGATGCATGCAGGATTAGTATACTGTCGGGCGTTGTACTCATGCTTTTTAGCTCGCGGGATGGCCTATGTACCTCATTAGGAATGCCTCTGGCCAATTGAGATATCCTAAGTTCACTAATCGTAGGCATCATATCGTCCACCGTATTCTCATCGTCGATCATTTACCTGGCTTTAGACTACAACCCCTCGGCCGTCATGTTCTCCCCCCATCACTGGTCCCAAGTCCTAGTATCCGACATTGGCATTCTCTTTTGGCTTGGAGCCATTGGTTACAGTATTTTTACATACGGTTTCGCCACTGTCTTCCGCCTCTACCTCGTCCCTTACCTCTGGTACGATTCTTGCTCACTTATCAGCTTGGGTCTATCTCATTTCTGTTTGTTTCTGCAGGGTTAACCATTTCCTTGTCTTGATCACCTTCCTCCAGCACACCGATCCCCTCCTCCCCCATTACCGTGCCCCCGAATTCACCTTCCCCCGTGGTGCTCTCGCTACTCTTGATCGTAACCTCCTCGGCGATTGTGGCGCCATTGCGGCATGGATTGGCGCGCACGCCACCCACGGCATCTCCGAGACCCATGTCCTCCACCACGTCTCCAGCAAGATCCCCCATTACAACGCTTGGGAGGCTTCTGATGCCCTCCGCAAGCGCCTCGCTCAGTCAGGTATCGAACTCCAAGGTGCCCCTGCCGGCTGGGCTGAAGTCTATCGTATCTTCAAGGAGTGCAAGGTATGTTTCCTTCCTACCATGAAGAGTGTGTCTATATGACAATTCATCTGTTTCTAGTTCGTTGAGGATGAAGGTTCTGTGCTCTTCTACAAGAACGCCCGCGGTTTCGCTGCTGCTCGTCCTGCGTATAGCGACGCGACTGCTTCCGATTCTGGTGTCGATGTTGACTCCAAGCTATAGAGGATTATAGGTCTGGTTTCCCTTTGGGGATACGAATCATACGATATAGAGAATACGTCAAAGAGGGTGTATATAAATACTCGTTTGCTTTGCTACGGAGGAGCATAGAGCTTAGAGATAATTCACTTCGTTTTGCATCATAGAGAATTGAATCCCATCTCTTGCAGTCTTCTTGCACATTATGAATTCTCGATAACTTGCGCAAAATGAGAACCGGACCAATGGACCTACTATCATGATCTAGTGCTTGTTTTTATCACAATCCGATGAAACATCGCGTTGAAGCCATAATGACAAGATCTAGGAACTCGGTTATTTTCTCACTCAACTTCGACCAAGATTAAATACATAAGAGACTTCACGAACGTAGCCCAGATCGCCCCCACGGATTCTGGCCATCGCTTCAAGTCACTTTCCGTTGTCCGATGATGGCGAGGCGCTGCGAAGGGAAATAACTTCACGAGTCCAAAAATATGCAAATCAAAAGCTATTTTAGCTTCAAAACACCGGGATGGTATCAAGCTGAAACTATGGCTTGCACCTGGTGACCTGGTGGACACTTGAAGTGATGGAGACCTCAATTTCATTGTGGTGTGGGCGGCAACAGCCGAGAGAAACATTCTCAGCGATCACCGCGCAAAGACTCTACTTCTCCATCCCCATCATGATGGGACACCGCTTCAGCCTCGGTTCTGGCGTCAAATAGTGTGGTGACCATGCTGCACCGTCGGACAATTTCTCACTTCAACACCCACCATCGCATCTAACGACATGGCTGGCAGCCTTTCATCCAGTGAGCTGGAGCGCACATTCGGCGTGTTCTTCATAGGATATGTAGCAGCCATGGTCGGCTATGGGTTCACTTTCTTCCGTGGGTGCGACGACTCCGGGACGGCGATATCGTGCTGATGCCCTGTGTGGACGTTTCAGAGACTTACGTCTATTACTCTCGCTATCCTCGGGATCATTGGGCTATCAAGTTGACGGTAAGATTCCCGTTCTTCTTGCTGTATCAGGGTCTAATGGATCGCTTAGGTTACTGCTCTAAGGTATGCATGCTGCGATGAGTGTGCTGAAAGTAGTTCTCAAGATATTGATATCGTTCTAGCTTGCTGGATACAGCTGCTTCTGCATTGAGTACGTTTCGTATCAATATTATCTGGTTTATATAACTGACGTTGGGCAACGTTTCCAGTATCCCAAGCGTAAGCCGAGTCATCTCATCTGCGCTCGCATGAACTCAACCCCATGCTCATGTTCAGACTGTATTTCTATCTTGTAAACCTATTTCCGTACGAATCAGGCCTCGACAATGCTACTCAGTACGTCCGCTGCCTTGGCTACATATTATCATCTGACATCCTGCGTGTAGTACGTTCTCCGTGAGTTACTGGCGGGTCAATCATCTTCGTCGTTGTTGCTGACTACGTTGGTGGTCAGACGGAAATTGCCCTCGCAGTATGTAACCAAAGTCAATCAGCTTGGTGTGAGCTACCGGATACTGAACGAATTTCAGATTATAGCCAAGTGGATAGTGCAAATGTTCGTTCTGCATTCCTTCATCCAGGATCTTACTTACCTTGCATCGAAGGTTTTACGCTTATCGCCTCTGGACCAGTGAGTAATACGTTGGAGCTCTCAGGTATATTCTCAACGCTCCTCAGTATCTACGAGCGTTCAACGCCTTGGCCCGGCTGTGATTGTGAGTCCTTATCTTGCTCCAATCGAACCTCGTAAATGACGAAGCATGTAGGCGGTGATGTCTACTGCAGCGCTAGGTGGATCTTCCCGTGGTTTGATTAGTACGCGCCCCATTGATTCCGTTTCATTATTTGACAGCGCTCGGCTTGGGTAAGTTTTGACGCTGTTAATATACCGCGAATCAGTCTAATGACCTCACCTCAGTTATGGCGGCTGATCTGTATGTTCACTACACCCGTGGCAGTTCCTTTCCTCCTCATCCTCCTTTCCAGTATCAACGATCCCAGGATTGCCCACCTAGCGAATGAAGGACCTCAGGTGATTCGCTTGCTCACGTCCTATCTAACCTGTACCAACTTTTGCACCCCATAGGCTGTAGTCGCCAGCTGTCAAGCACTCACCTTCGTAGCAAGTCTACTGACGTTTGTGCTCCTATGTTACCATCTCCGCCCCTCCCACACTGCAAACATGAAACCGTGCGTATCCGGCCTTCCCACACAGCCCTTGCTCATAGTCTCCTTGACTATACAGTATCGAAGGATGGTTTGACAACATGGTTGCCTACATCATTAGCCGCGGCTCTGCTGGTACTTTGGTTCAGCTTGGTTTCTTCATTACGGTGTGTCGCAAACAAGTCCCTCCGAGACCAACTCCATTGATTCGAGAATCTTAGTTCCTGATTGCACCGGCGAATCTGTACTGGATCCCGTTCCACTTCGTTGCCAGCAAACGTACGTCCCATACCTTGATCGAATGTTGACACTGAACATCTATTCAATCGTTAGTCTTCATCAACGGCCTCCTCACTATGTAAGTTGATTGCAGACTTCTCTTTGCACCTTACCAATCGTATCATGGTGTGTATTAGGCTCAACTGTCGCGAGGTGGTTCGCGGGCGTGGTGTCAACGAAGAGGAGACTGTTGACTCCAAGAAGGGCTCTGCACTCTCCAGCTCATCAGGCGAGGCTAGGAGCGGCGGCGCTGTCCGTTTCAATGTCGATGGCCACAAAGTATGTCCTTCTGAGCAACTCCTAGGGAACCACCGTCTGATTCCTTCATGATAGACATCTCAGCCCGCCATCAACATCGAAGTTTCTCGCACCGTACAACAGACTGATGGTCAAAACAAGATATTGTATGATCTTGCCGATAATGTGCGTGCATACTATTTATCGTTCTATGAAATTTGTTCCCCGTTGATGCAGTCTCTGTTTATCAGGGTTCTTTATCCGATGGAACGGTAAGTGGTTGATATGTCCTCTGAGAGGGGAGTCACTGATGAATGTGCTCCATGGCAGCCGGATAAGCCTGAGAAAGCGTACGCCGTTTGAAGCCTCTGGATATGACTCGAGCACTAGCGTTTCCAGCATTCACCATGTTCCCATCTTTCTGTTCCATATGTGACAACATCTTGTTTTGATCATTCACTCCTGTACACTAATGTTCTAGATACGCCTATCATGATGTAGTCCTTGGATCACGCTAAATTCAGCAGAGATACGTCCCCCATCAACGCTGTGGCGACCGTTGAGGTCATTGCTATCGTTATTCAGAAAGCACCTGCTAAGTACTGGACGTGTTCCGTTTACGACGACGGGGCAGGCACTGTCTTCGGCCAGAATCGTTCGAACGATAGTCTGGCAATTACTCCCCCCGGGCCCTCCGATACTGATCTGCAAGCTTACAGGCAGTCGCAGAATACTGACCGATCATCTTCGACTTGGGCCGCTTCACCGTTCATGAAGCATCGCTGAAGAGATGAATTTCCTCAGTGCATCTACATTATCGACGATTCCGAGCTCACTACCAAAACCGCCCCAAATATGATATATTCGCAGTCACGGTGATAATCACTGTCTGCATATATCCCTTGACTGAGGTCTAGATTTACTGGATCTTGTAGAGAAGGAAATGGGCAGCGCTCAAAGCAAACACGACCAAACGTTTAAAGCCTTCCAGCCACGTGGTGGCCATCTCTCAGTCAACGCTCACCCGCAAACTACAGATGCCTGCACTACCGATCGAAATTGTTTACTCCATCGTGGATGAATTATCAAACGACAAGAACAGCTTATTGACCGTCCTCCTCGTTTGCCACGATTTGAATAGGCAGGCCCTTCGCAGCCTTTACGAGGATCTTTCATTTGATATCAGGACCTCTCATCGGTCGTTGGTCTCGTTGAGAAAGCTATCGCGTGCCATCGACAAAAACCCAGGCCTCCAGCACACCAAAGGCTTTTCTATTTGCTTTCCAGATAGCCACCTCCCTGCGTATCGGCAGGCTTACCGTCTCCTCGATGATGTGATCCCTGCACTGGCGAACTTACGTTGTCTATCCATGTCGTGCCCCCTCGGCGACGTCTTTACTCCTGCTACATTGCGGCTTGTTATGTCGACAGCACAACTTACCCATCTATACTTGGATTGCGTGCTGTATTCAGATGATTTTATCGACTTCCTTGCCGACCATCCGAGTCTGCGATGTCTCGCCCTGTACGCCTTCATGGATGGTGGCGGAAGTGACGCGTTACCCGCCGGTACGCTGCCGAATCTGCGCTCACTCGCGGTGCCAACCGACCCTTCTGTTCTCGTACGCTTCGGGGACAAGCCGTCACTGAGTGACCTCAGTCTCATAGCAAGTGAATACCCCTACCAGACCATAGATGCGAGACCTATTGCGGATGGGTTCGCTACAATACGCACGTTGTGTACCGTTGGCATCGATTTCCCCAGCGTCTTGGCCTTGATCCCTTTACTTCCAAACTTGGAGTATTTGACTGCTAGTGGATATCCAGTACGATGGATCCCTTTCAATTCTTTATGCCACTGCTGACCTGGATATATTGCTCTCTTAGCCCTCGAATAATCACGATTTTACTGGACTCGCATCGTCGAAGCTGAAATATGTGCAGCTTGATTTTCTGTCCGACCCGTTATTTTTCTCCAGCGTCTTTTTTGCTGCCGTCGAGACCCTGCTTATTGTCGACGTTCTCACTAAGATTGACGGGAAGATTGACGGGAAGATGAAGAAATGCCGGAGGGTTTACCGTAACTCAAGTAACAATGTCGTTCTCGCAGACATCGTAACGGGCAACTGGCAACAATGGTGGGAGCCCATCGAGAAGGACTTACAACGCCAGATTCGTCTCTAATTTGACTTTGTCCTCGTCATGGTGTCCTACTGTTTAGCAATCTAGGAGAATCAACGAGTCTTTGCAGCTCTTGGTTTAGATCCTCAAGCCCGTCACCCTGTTCGTGAATCTGGCGTTGGGGTCGTATCCCGTAGCCATTGGCCGAAGCCATCTTGACGGGCATTCATACCCAAGACAACGAGAGGAGCTACAGAAGGCGCGAGGGGACATCTAGTCCCTCCTTTCCGTCAAAATCAGCAAGACGCAGACTCCGGGGCCTTAACGACATTGGTCGGCGGCGGCACAATAGAAGTTATCGATGACAATGACCAGGGTTGCTTGGTCTGCGCCATATGTGCACTGACGCAGCCGCGTGAACTTTGGACAAAATCAAACTTGGTCAAACTTCCGCCAATTACGATGTTGGCATAATGGGGATTTTCTCTGGGATAGCAATTGATCAGATGCCCAAGATATCGGCTTGGGCGACTGTCGCCGGCTTGGACAAAGCACACGCAGTCTCAGAGGGTGAGATTTGCCACAGAATTTCCTCATTTGCCATTTACAACGGTACAACAGACACTAATATCAACCGAAGACCACTCTGCATCCTGCCACCAAGGACAACGCAAGTGGGAAGTAAAACCAGCACCTGATGACAATCAGAAAGTGCATTACGATAGATGCAGCATGGATCATTTACCGCTTAGTTCCCCTTCTTCAAGGTGTCGACGGTGATGGTGCCGAGGGCACCGCTGTCCAAGTTCTGCCCAGAGTACTCGATCATCCACTTGGTGTTGGAGCCGCTAACGGTCCAAGTGTTGGTTTTGCTGCCCCAGGGGCAGTCCCAGTAGAAGTGGCGGACCTGCTTGTCGCCATCGGCAGGGTCGACAAGATCGAAGGTTCCGGTCGTGCCTTCGGCGGCATCTGATCTGCCGCAGGCGTTGATCTGGAGCTTCTCGTCAGGCTTGATGATCTTTCCTTCGTAGTTGCTTGCTGAGACTTCAGCGTCTTTGTCACCTGTGGAACCCGTAACTCGTCAGCGACCTTGCCGGTGGGGGCGAGATGCTGATCCTACCGTCAGCGTGAAGCTTCCCCCAGGAAGCCTTGAGGTTCTTGATCTTCACGTCTTGAGATCCGACGTTGTGGATGATAATGATGACCCATTGTGCGTATGCCATGATCGTACGACGGTAAGAGCGAGATTTTCTTAGTAAAACGATGCGGTGATGATGATGGTTTTAGATTGTTAGTAGTGCTCGCCAACCACCAGTATTTATACTAGAGGAGAACCTCATGGATTCGCCCAATACCGTTCACCTCCCCCTCGACCCGAAATACATGCTAGCGTACGCCAGGCACTGCTCAGGTGGTCACCGTCGCCGCACGTTGGTACTCCATCTTAGCTTCAAGCTTTCAATTACCTGACGGCACGTTCCCTTCTTATGCCCTCTGGTTGGTCCATACCCTGTGGAGCCTGAACAGAATTATACTCATTACCTTTCATTTCTCTCACCGACTCTTCCATGAAGTTCCATCCCCAACTTTTCGATAGTTTGAAGGCGCATAATCGCCTAATCGTATCACATCTAACGTCGAAATACGGCACAGGAAACCATCTGCGACCGATTAGTTGTACGCAACACTCGGGCATGAGTTGGGACCTTGTTCTCCGACCGATGAGACGTTCTGCGTAGAAATTTCAGGATACAGACACCCACCCCATTGGAACCAAGAACTTCGTCCGCTCAATACACGCAGCATACAGCACAAGAAGCTGCGTGGCGGCCGAAGTGAACACAGGAACACTCGAGCTAAGTTCGAGTCCAGTGAATTCTAACAAGTGTCCGATTGATCACTTATAAAACCTTCTGTGTAGAAAATGGAGTGCTCAGACACCCAAGACACCCACCCCAATCGAACCATGGAGGCCGTTCTCTCAAGACAGGCAGCGACGGCTGAGGCAATTGGACGCTTCCAAGATTCTTCTACCAGCGTCGGACTGGTTGCTGTAAGCGCAGACTGGAGGTGACTCTGACCTCTTCCTGAATCTATTTTGCAGGGGTCTCCATCTACTCGTATCCGACCCCAAGCTGATAATGTCGTCCTCAAAAGTCCCTCGCAGGCCGGCGACACACTCAACGACGTTATCCAAGATACAACCAGGCGCAATAAGCTGGTGAGCTTTCTAAACACTGTCTTCGACTATGTAGATATCACTGATGGTCACGGGTAGATCAACGACAATAACTTGCTCAAAGGAATCATCATGGGCCGCGACGGCCCCGTTCCCAGCTCACGGGAGCTCATTGTCCGCCCTGACACACTCAGGGCGATCATCAACAATAGGGCTACTATCGAAACCACGACGGTGGAAGCTGAGTTTACCGAAACGCTTATGGAATCGAATTACAACTCTGCTTCTGTGAAAGTCTCTGCCCCATTGTAGGTCACGAAATGATTAATTTTGAGGATGCAGTATTAACTTTGGTGCTTACAGCATTACGGCTAACTCGGAGTATTCTGAGAGCTCAAGCTTCAAGAACACAGAGACAGAGAAGTCGATGTACACCTCTTCTCGCTACCTCTTCCCGCAGGGACGCATCGATTTCACTACACCTGATTCTGGTTTCGAGGATGTAATCAAACTTAGCCCTCAGTTCACAAGTGGTGTCCAAGCCGCGCTCGCCAAGGCTACCGGGACTGAGAAGAGGGAGGCCCTCCAGAACCTTTTCCAGGAATACGGACATGTATTTCGAACCAAGGTCCAGATTGGAGGCGTGCTTTCCGCCCATACCATGGAAACATTCTCCAGAAGTGTCCGTCCTCCGTGCTCTATTTGGGAGAGACAACTGACAGATTTTGTACAGGAGAACGAGACGGAAGTGAAGCAAGATGTTAAAGCCGGACTCGAGGGTGCCGTCAAGGGCTGGGGTGGGGGCGCCACCGCTGGTCATGGCAACACACAGGGCACGATCACCACCTCTCAAAACAGGAAACTGAACGTGAAGTACATAGTGAACGTATGTTATCCCGCCTTTACTAGTAGCAGCACCTATGAATAACTCGGCACCAGGGTGGTGATTACACCAAGATCCAGAACACCGAGGAATGGGTTGCGTCCACGAATCTATCAGAACACTGGCGGGTCATCGAAGTCACTGAAGTTACCGCTGTGGCCGATCTACTCCCCCAGCCCATCAGAGGTCAAGTAAAAGACTTGCTCAAGCCTCTCCTCGGAAAGTTAGTTTTCTTCGCTTGTTGCTTCGCTTCATGTTCTCAATTGCCTAGGTGGGTTGACGTTGAGAAGGTGCCCGGCCTCGAAAGTCTTCCGGTTTCTGTCTATCGTCCAAAGGGTGCTATCCCTGCGGGGTGGTCTTGGCTTGGGGACACGGCCGATGCAAGTAAGGCACTACTAGTCAAACCAACACTCCCCGCTAGGTCAGGACGCAATCCCGCTCTCACGAGCTTGCATGAAGGTCCTGGGATGACAGAGCAACCCTTCGTCGACCTTCCACAATATCAGTATCTTTCAACTTACTTCGGCAGCTTCGTACAAGAAACTCCTCCTGGATCAACGCTTCGAGGATTGAGACCTGACCACATCCTCCCCGGCCGCTATGAGATGGTAATTTCGAAGTTGTGAATATATTCCAATTGCTGAAGTCTTCCTCCACAGCACGGCGACACTATCAGTACGGCGGTCTATGTCACGGTATGTAGACTAGTTAAGTGCATTTCTATCTGAATAAGACTGATATCCTTGTTCCCGCAGCGTCCCGTTGATGTGCCATTCCCAGAAGACGAATGTTTTGACCTGAAATCTCTGGTTCGTGTCAAACTCCCTGGCTCCGACAATCCACCCAAGCCAAGGTGGGCGCTGAAGAAAAGTATGGTCCTTTTCGACTCTGGTGAAAAGTAACGAAGAGTAGAATCTTGCACACTGACACAGAGCAGCCTGTAAAGTATCAAGTACTATGCTTCTAAAACTCGAACTTGTTGCTGCCACCAAATCACCTTGTACGCGAACTTCTATGAATCTATTTACCATCACAATGGCGTAAAGCACACATACACACACCGTGCGCTGATCTATAATTTTACGCTGAGACTGATGAAAGTAAGGTATGTGTATTCAGATTACTTTCTCCGGTACTTTTCTAATACCAAGCCAGAAAGTACTAGAGAAAATAAACGGTTTCCTTTCAACTTATTTTTACTGATTCTAGCTTAAATATATGGATCAGTGCACGGTGTGACACTTGTCTGACCTCCTTGCCAACTATTTCCCGTTGATTTCATTTGGAGAATAGAATATATCTCATAGGCACATTTCCCAAATATACATACATTTACGCAGCAGTTGGAATGTATCAGCAAAGGTGAATTTCAGCGATGGAAGGATCGTGGTCGCTAGGTCTGGCGGTAACAGTGGTGGCGTTGGCCCAGTTGTTCACATGGATATGCTCCACGTCAACGCCGCGACCTTTGATAGCATTGGAGACGAAGATATGATCCAATTGCTCAGAATTTTGATCGAAAAGGAAGGTGTATCGTTCGACGGGGTCAACTCCAGCTATTTCGTCCGCTTCGAACAGAATATCTTGCAGCGAAGTAAATGCGGAACGCGTTTGAACGTATTCGTTGAAGTCGCCTGCAACCACAATGTTGGCGTTGGTGTCCTCCGCCAGAATCGTTCGAACGAAAGCCTAGCAATCACATTCAGTGAGCAATATGCCTTAGGATGAAACGCAAACACACTGACAGATACTCTTTCAATCTGGCTTGTTCTTTGATTTACGCCTAGGTTGACTGGCGGACGTGCATCACCTTGGGTAGAAGCACTGCCACTCTTCGAAGTGAGATGTAAGTTGACCGTAAAGAAGCGATGACCTGAGGTAGTTTGCCATGCTGCCGCAAGAGGTTTACGGGAGTCAATCCAAGCAGGGTTCGTAGGGTCGACCCGTCCTGGGTTAAAGCTAGAGAAGCGCACATAAATATAAACATCGAACATGGTAAGTCCGTTATATTCTAACCTGAATGTCAGACCGTCAGAAACGTCTGATACTACTGCCGTTGAGTCAAGAGACCCTCCAGCTGGGGATCCAGATACGAGTTGCAGTTTTTCCGGTTTAAATCTAAGAGTAAGTTACCGTAAGAAAGCCAGTGTGCTTGACACACGTCTGGGCACTTACATGTAAGCCTGTCTGATATTCCCCCCTGGTTCTCCACCATCTTCATTGTTGATTGGCGCGATCTCGATGAAGTCATAACGCACGCCACTGATGGATGCAATGGCAGTTGTAAGGGCGGACAAGGTGAGATTACCAACGACGATGCCATCGTCAGTGGACCCTGTATTGTCTTGGATTTCCTGAAGGAACACAATGTCGGGGTTCCGGAGGAATGTCGCGATATGCTTCGCAACACCGTTGACGTGCGTAGGGGATCTCGGTGTCATGTTGTCTACCTGACAATAGTAGACATGAGGTTAGCGTTGAATTTCCGAAGAAAGGCACTGGTGATTAAACAGTAGTTACATTATAGTCTCCGACGGTAAGAGTACATTCATCCGTGTCTGAAGATAATATGGTCGTCACTGGGACATCTGCAGTCGGGGTAGAGATGATGGATGGGGCGGACAGTGGGAGGACATAGAAGAAGCCAAATCTAGTTAGTTATGATGAGATTAGTAACCTTCGTAGTCATACTGGTGGACGGGATTCAGATGCTTACTGAAACGCAACTACTCCCGTGATGTCTGAGAGGCCAACTCCGAGAAAGGCTTTCGGATTTCTGGTGCCATCCAGAGGTCTCCCGACGATGACTGCCTCAGGATTCGCATCTGGACGACCGTCAGGGCCTGAAAACGGATTTGAAACAATGAATATAATCTCATTCTTCAAAGACACAGAGAGAGAGAAGAGCCCCTACCGAGTGTTATAGTGAGGCCTCCTCGACTATTCAAACCCGTTACCGCCCAATCGCCTCGTACCCATATTTCGCCAAAGCTATTCGGGAAATCCAAGGCGACAGGTTTTGGGATAGTAACGAGTTGTCCTTCTAGGCTCTCCCAAAAGTCCATTCCGAACTTATCCGGCTGTAGTGTCGCGTCTGTAATATCAATGCGACTGCTATTGTTAGGGACGGCGAGGAAACCGTCGCTTCCGGTATCAAGTGCGGAAAGTTGCTGAGTAGGGGGGCTTCGGTCTTTTCCTATAATCACCGGTACGACAGCATTGTTTTGGGAGGCGACCTCGATTTCGGTCGGATTGTCGATCTCCGTTATGGTTAGGTCGTCGGGCGAGTTATTAGAGCGAAACTCAGCAACACGCCCCGACAAGGATACCATGTCGCCGATCGCGACTTGGGCAATGACCGAGGCATCCTGCGTGAAGATACTCAACCCATTAGAGACGCGAGGATCGGCCACAGGTGCACCAGAGATCCAAAACCCGTTGGGGCCCTATCGCGAAAAGGTAAACGAGGGGGTTTAACCGCACAAAGGTGAGGGAAACCTACCTTTGCCGTCACTATTCCGGTTAAGTTGTGGATAGTTTGTCCGACCAAAGATGATTTGAACGCGGGGCCTTGAACATCCGTGACTTGGGTGCCAAAGACGTTGGTTGTAGCCAAAAATAATCCTAGATACAGGCCTATGGGGGTGGGGAACATGGCGAAGGTTACCGGGAGTCCAAATCCTCCAGTATAGACGTAGAGGCTGCAGCCAAAGCCATGGCTAGAGGGCGTCGTATATATCAGAACCAGCAGAGGCTTCGCACGCGATTCCGCATGCCTTGACGGACGTGTTATTTTTAGGACTCCAGACGGCTTTGATTAGACGGCATAAAATTCAATGGATTCGCTGTTCTCAATGACAATCCGTGGCATATAGCTAGTCCAGACGTTTGATGTCCATTTGATGCAAGACCAACGTGCGTCCCCAGAACGTTGGGGTTTCCGAGTTTATGGCTTCAAGAATAGTGACCCGGTTGATGCATCTGTTCGTCATGCATTTCCTCGTAGACCTGCCCACACTTGTGAGTATCTTGTGAGTATCTTCCTAGCTAATATCATTGATATTCATCAGTGTGGAATCTGAGGAAGGGTTACAAACTCACTACTTCTTCCCAGCGTTCTCCCAGACTGTCAATTGATCGGCTGGTGTACACACGCGAGACCTGTGTTGAAGAGTTTAAGAGCACCAATCAAAGTGCTAGCCTGGTAGCATTAAATCTGATAAGATTCGGCACAGATCATGATATGCACATTGCGGGGCACGGTGGGTATACTGAGGGTACATACAACTTTTCTATCGACACAGCCCTAAACTCCTAGGCTCCGCAAACACGTATGCGGGCAACAGAAGGATCATGGTCACTAATTCTTGCATTGAAGTTGGGCGCCCAGTTGTTTACATGTACGTGTTCGATCTGCGGGTCACGCAGCCTGACGGAATTTGAGACGAACATATGGTCGAGTTGTTGGGTATTTTGGTCAAACACGTAGGTATATCGCTCAGCCGGCTTCAGGGTGAGCACGTCGAGTTCGGTCATGAGTTTCTCCAGCGGGCTGAAGACTGAACGCGTCTGGACGAATTCATTAAAGTCGCCAGCAACGACGATGTTTGCAAAGGGATCCGCCTTCAGGATAGATTTGACGAAGCTCTGTAGCAAAGGAAGAGAGAATTACATTTCAGTGAACCAACGAGTGATAACAGAGCAGAAGACTGACTGAGACTAGTGCAACTTGACTCGTACGTTGGTCGACACCCAAGTTGACGAACGGCCGGGCATCGCCTTGAGTCGAAACACTGCCACTTTTCGATGTAAGGTGCAAGTTGATCGTGAAAAGTCGGCCTCCCAAGGGGGTATCCCAGACCGCTACCAGTGGTTTGCGCGATGAATCCCAAGCAGGGCTCGTCGGCTCAATTCGCCCTGGGTTGAACCTAGTTTACTTGACATGAGAACCAGGACAGAACGAGGGGTAGGAACCATACGTTAAGCTCGGGCGCCCAAGGAAGAATGGCGGCGGTTTGACTTTAACAGCATCAAGAGCGCCCCCAGCTGGGGAGCCAGGTACGAGGCGAAGCTTCTCAGGACGATAGCTACGGAACACCCGTCAGTAACAGGAAACTTGGGATGGGGTTATTGTTGGACGCACAGGTAGGCCGAGCGAATATTCCCGCCAGGCTGCCCGCCGTCCTGTTTGTCAATAGGAGCAATTTCGATGAACTCGTACTGGACTTGGCTGATGTTGGCTATAGCTGCTACTAGACGCGAGAGGGTGACGTTGGCACTAACTACACCATCGTCCGTGGGGCCAGAGTTGTCTTGAACCTCCTGAACGAAGACGAGGTCAGGTGTGCGAAGGAATGTGGCAATATGGTTCGCAATGCTAGGGAGATGCGCCGAGGTGGGAGCTAGATTCTCAATCTAAGGCAGATCAACCAGAAACAACCCCAGACCCCCGGAACTTCCACATACGTTGTAATCACCGATGGTGAGGGTACATGATTTGCCAGCTGGTGATGTCAGTGTTGTGGGAGACGCCTCTTCGCTGGGTCTGGAGATAATTGTTGGGGCAGTCAAGGGAAGTATATAGAAGAAACCGAATCTACGATTATAGTGAGCGAAATATTCGTTTCATTCCGATTCAAGCTTACTGGTAAGTGACAACCCCAGTAATGTCTGAGAGCCCTAGGCCGATTGCAGTCGCGGGGTTCTTCGTCCCATCTAGTGGTTTACCAATGATTACCACCTCAGGATTTGCATCCGGTAGACCATCGGGCCCTGTGACAGGCAGGTGAGACCCCACTCCAAGGATGACATGGTGTCAATGGACCCACCAAATGTGATGGTCAAACCCCCACGTTCGTTCAGCCCAGTGACCTTCCAATTCCCTCGCACCCAGAACTCTCCAAATCGATTCTCGAAATTTAGTGAGAAAGGTTTGGCAACCGTGACTAGCTGGCCTTCAAGACTCTCCCAGAAGTCGAGACCGAACTTGGTAGGCTGTAATGTTGGGTTCGAAGAGTCGAGCCGGGTGCTATTATTTGGCACGGAGAGGAATCCATCCCCTGAATTGTCTAGCGAGGAGAGTTGCTGGGTGGGTGGACTCCTGTCCTTGCCCAGCACCAAAGAAGTGACGGAGTTATTCTGCGAGATTATTGAAATGTTACCAGGGAAGGTGATCTCGGTCAAGGTCAGGTCATTGGGCGCGGTTGACGAACGAAACTCAGACACCAGGCCAGATAGGGATACAAGATCGCCGACAGTCACCTGGCCGAGAATCGTGGTATTCTGTGAGAACACCATGAGCCCATGAGAGACGCGAACGTCCTCCACAGCTTCTCCAGCAATCCAGAAGCTCGTCGGACCCTATGGGGATCCTCCTTAGTGCCATTGCTCGCTGCAAGTACGAAGATGGTTCTTACTTTGGCAGTAACGACACCAGTAACATTATGAACGGTCTGGCCGGCGAGAGGCGATCTGTACGCGTTCCCCTGGATGTCAGTGACGCTGACGGCAAGGGAAACGCCTATGGACGCGGCCAGCAAGCAACACCGCGAAACTGAGTTGTACATGGCGAAGGCAGTGAACTGGATGTAATGTTCATTCTCGGAGAGCCTTTATATTAAATGTCGTAGATTTGACAGAAAGGCACATCGCACCACATGGTACCGACGAGAACTGAGAAATTGGCGTCGAAGTTTGAGAGGCGGCCTACGCTTTGGGGATGCGACTCGAGGTACAACAGGAGGAGCAGCAAGGTAGCCTTATCGCTTCACACGACAAATCATAAATATAGGCCACGTGCCTCCTCGCTGGGCTGAACGTGCGTCTTGGCCCTTGTAGAGTACGCGCGGATTCCACTCCAGGTGATATCGAGCGGCTCTAAGAGGCACCAGAATGAATAAGAGGAACATGTCCCTTGAATTGACGACCGTAGTCGGGAAAAGTATATAGATACAGCGAAGTGCGAGTCGTAGAATACAAGGGTATGAGTTCACCGGAAGGTATGATTGAAGATATCCCATCTATCCCTTTAGTTTGCGGATTTGCATTGGCCATTTTGCTGGTCGCATTGTCCGACAGAGATGCCAGCGGCGCGACCTGCGGCAGAGTTGGCGAAATTTGCGCATTTGTTGTGTTGGATATCGCATGAGCGGTTGAGAGCCGCTCCTACGTTGAGGAAGTCATTAGATCCCTCAACGACGAAACCCCTTCCGCCTGCAGTCACTGCGGGGGCGGCCTGTCCACCAACTAAAGAAAGACCTCAATAACTGTAAAAACCCAAAAGGCTTTGATACTCACGAGCACCAGCGAACTTCTGAAGGTTAGCAGCAGCTCCGGTATTAGCTCCTGAACCAGTATTCGCTCCAGCGCCAGTCCCTGCATTGACAGGTGCAGCTGTGGGAGCGGGTGCGTCAACACTAGAAGCACAAGTTTAGTCTACTAAAGTGAACAAGGCGCGAGCTCGCTCACTTCACTGTCACAGTGACAGTAGCGGTCGCTGCAGCCGGGCAATCCACGCCAGCCGTTGCGGTCTCGACGGCGTCACCCCTTGGGAAAGCAGAATACGTCAATTATAATGCGACCAAAATGGGAGCAAGAGCTTACCCAGCACCGGCACCTGCATCGGGAGCAGCAACGCCAGCAACAGCAGCTTGGATCTCCTCAGGTGTTGCATCAGGAACAAGCAAGTTAAGTGTGAAGATGCAGCCGTTGGCGTCGTTGGCGTCGTTACAACTGTTTCCACGGGCGGTGGGATCGTTCAGCTGGCCAGGAGCAAACGTCCCAGCCTTCAACGCATCCAGAGGATCTCCACCGACGCTAGCGATCTGCTTAGCAAGTTCCAACGTGATCGCCTTGTTCACCGCAGCAGCGTTCGGGGATGCAGGATCCTGGAATAACATCGATCAGTACATTAGCTCAATTGGCATCCATGTAGTCATCTTACCTGATGTTGCGAGATGGCAGCGATTTCGGGGTTTACGGCCGTAATGGACGTACAGGGCGCAGTCACGGCTCCAACTGATCCGGAGTTACGCTCCAGTGCGCGGAAGATCAGTGCGTCAACCTGGCCCTGGATATCGCCGGCTGCTTTAGCGTTGGTGAACGCCTGGTCAGCGGTAGCTTGCTGCAGGCAAGTCGCATCCTAGATGAAAGATGTCAGACGTGCCCCAATTGGATTTATACGAGATGCGACATACGGCAATACGACCAGCGCCATTAGCTGCTGCTGCATTACCCAACAGACCGAAGACGGGATCGACGATTCCGTCCGGATTGTTGAGGTTCAAGCTGCTGCGGACAGAAACCAAGAACGGTTCATGAGAGTGTTCTACGCAACAGCGTTAACCTTCCGCAACTTCCTCGGTAACATGATAATCTTACCTTGGGGTACTTCTCGGCGAACAGGTGCGGACAAAGCAGCCCAAGAAAGGTAAGCAAGAACGAGTGTGGTGGTCTTAGCGGAGAACATCGCAGAATAAATGGAGTATTGCTCGGGACTGAGAATTTGTGGAAAGAGTTAAGGGAGAAGTGAAGCGACGCCTGCGAGCTATGATGGACGTATATCAGAATAGCACTTCGCGGAAGATGGATTAATTGAACTGACAAAGCAAAGAAAGAAAAACAGGTCGATGCCTGGTTTGACTAGCAAACCCGAGGGAAGAGAAAGAAGATGAGGGATGTTAGAATTAACGGCGAGCACTCCCGAGTGTTTTTATACCTTTGTGGGACTCTAGTGAATTGTCGAAGGAGAACATACCGTTGCCAGGAACAACCACCGACATTCCTCATCACCGAGTAGTAAGCTGTAGCAAGGGTGGATTTTCCATCGCGGGAATGCATCAAAATAAGAACATCACAAAGTAAGTGGTTGTCTTGGTTTCCCTAATTTCTGGAAATTGGTGTCGAGGTAAGCAATAAGGCTCGGGCCTTATTGCAAGGATTTATCGCCGAATGCAAGCCTCGTCGACACCACTGATGCCGAAAGACAAGAGCTCCACCTCTGCTAGTCCTGGATGCGACACAGCGGCCCACGGGTAGCCTGGGTAGCCCTGGCGATATGCCCGAATCCTTGTTCTGGATTCCAGTTGTGCTTGCTTGGGGGACCCCGCCTCAAGGTGCGTAAAGCGTCAAGTTGATAGAAGCTCGAAGGCGAGCCCTGAGTCGGCCTTGATGTGTTTTACGCGATACACGAGTCAAAGGGGTGAGTCAACGATGCACGTCGCCGTTGTGCGCTCGGAGGAATTGCGGAGGATATACGATAGTCACTGCATAAATCTAATAAGATTTGAAATGATATATAGGCACCGATGCTCACTTTTTTGATGTCGGTTGAATTCTGTCTCTAGGAACCGATGGCCCAACGAGACGGGTCGCGGTACTTTAGCTATTTCTCATTAAAATAAATCTACCGTCGTTAACATCGAGCGTGGAGGGGCGTGGAGAGGATATAAGTGGCATCCCCCGGATGTCAGAGCTACGTTCGTCATTCGGTCTCCGCAAGGGCATGCGTGGGTGATCCTCGTTTGTGTACAACCGGAGGCTCCAGGGAAGCAGCTTGCGTCTGGGATTGTGCATACTCACCTTGATTACCGATCTCTCAGGTCCAACGGGGTAATGATAATGTCTACGAGTAATATTTTCACCTTCAAACGCGAACAGAAGTTGAGTCCTTCTTTGACAAAGAATGTAAGTCCTGCTCTAAGTAATAATTGAGCCTTTCGGATGGAAGAACCAGAATCGTCGCGACTTACGCATTCCCCAAACATGTGTTCTTAGGTCGAGAAATTCTACATATAGTAGATTTAGAAAGGCCGTACGACACAGCAGGCCATAGTGAATACTTACCGACGTGTAAACCATCATACAACTTCTTCATTTCCGCCCGGACTTTGGAAACGTCATCTTTGGTCGGCGTTTTCTCCGTCAGCACCTTAAGCTCTTTCTCGACGGCTTCAATCCGTCTGACATGGGCAGAGACCTGACTATAAATGAATACGGAAGTTGCAACACAAGGGGAACAAGGTCGACCTTTTCGGTGCTAAGCTTCAGTTCTTCTACACTGGCTTGAAGCGCGGCCGATGCTTGCTGATACTCTTCAAGCAGATGATACGCCGCATAAGACGATGCTAAAGAGAAACCAAATAGAAAGCCAATGATCCTGTAAATGTGATTCGATTAGTAGCGTTCGGGCTGAGGCAATGGTTGACCGGAACGAACCCTCCTCGGAATCCACCTATTGGCCTCTTTTGAACGGATGGGGCACCCAGCGGCGCTTCATTCCTAAGACCATGTGTACTAGAGAATGAACGGTAGTTGGAATGGGAAATGGTCCTTCGGGCAGTCGAGATACCCCTCATAATGGACATCGGGAGGAAGCGATACAACTCCGTACTGCAGGCGCTCAACGTGATGGGAATTAGCCGCCGCGATCACACGCTACTGCATCCGTTCCTCAAGGTTGCCTCAAGGTGCTCAAAGCCGACTCAAACCTTTGTTCTTGAGTTCTTGACCGATCATGGCAGGGAAACGCAAACTCGAGGAGGAGCCTTCAGGTCGTGATAAGAAAAAGATCAAGATAAAAACTGCTCGCACAATCGCTATACAGAACGTTTCGAGTTCTTCGACCGCGTCGGTGACCCAAGCATCCGCAAATGCTGGACCTTCCACATCCAAGGGTGAGTATTGCCACCGAACTACCATATACTCTACTGACGTTGTTATGTAGCGCCTGCGCGTCTGCCTGGCTCTTTGGACGTTGAGAGATTCGTAGAGGTGGCTATAGCCGTACATCCGAGTCTCGGGGGTCAACTGACCTGACTTCCTATGTTCAGGCCAGGGCTTTTGAGATAGATGCCATGCATAAGGCTATGAAGGCAGCGTCGTGAGCCCCACGTGCAGACAATCATATATTTGTTGTGAACTCACATTCTCCAGTTCGAGCGGTACACAGAGGGCTTGGCAAGCTCTTCCCCGTCACCTTCGCAGAAGAGCCGCCAGTCACGATGTCCGTCGTGTCCCCCTGCGTTTACGAGATAAAGCGATAGCGGAGGTAGCTCGATTCATCTTCGTTGATGATGTCGACTCATTCGTGTCTGCATCAGATGGACACGGTGAACAAGAAGAAAAAGTCATTACCGAAGCAAGGAAAGAATAAACGTGTGCCGCGTACCGAGAAATTCTTGTCGCGCCAGCGTGAGTATTCGTCCGTTTCGTTGTCTTGCTCACGGTGAGAATAGTCTCGAAGGTAGCAAAACATGGCTAGAAACACATATATGGCATGCGAAACGCATGAAAATGGAAGATATCTGGGGCTATCGCTTGGTTTGTTCTTCACTATTTCCTCAGGCGAAACATACCAAATCAGCCATAGGCTATGCAACCAACAGAAAAGGCATTCCGGCCGTCACACCGGGCGGCACAGCACGGTTGTATCATTCACGATGCGTCCTACCTTGGCCTGATTGAAATCACCGGCGCCCTGGGCCCTCTTAGTGATCTGCTCTTGCTCTGCTGCGACCCGCAAGGGCAGCCGCCTGGCGCTCAAAGGTCCAATACTATGCCTATTTTCTGGGAGAACAGTTTCTGACTCCTTTCACCAATAGATATACGGTTGGTTCGCGGGCCCTAGACACCCACCTTTATTCTCCCGGGCAATATCCACTTGGGCTAGCTTGCCCTATAACAATCATCTGGAAACCAGTGGATTTACCAAATCAGACAGTCACTCCCAAAGCCAATGCTCAAGATAAGCCTGCTGAAAACAACGAGGAGACTCGAAGGGTCGAACATCCATCCCCAGAACCTGGCAGCAAGAGAACAGTCTGGTTAATGGTGCACCCCTGCGTCTTTGACACTGCTTTTGGGATCATCCAGTCGTGTGCTTCTCTTACACTGGCTCGTTTGAAGGAGACGGGTAATACTTCTATAGAGATTGAGATTGCAGACCTGCGAACCCAACTGAACATCTTCGAAATCATGGGCCCGAAATCTAGTCAGGTCATCAAGGGTGCACTGAGTCCCACTGCCGCCGGGCAGAAGGATGACTTCACATCGGTATATGAATTTTCTCCCGCTTCTCTATAGTCCATTGATCTGAGCCTGACGTCCAGTTCTGGTCCTCGCTAGGGGACATCCAATCCACCGGATCCCTCGCTCCTGGTATGATTATCGGATTCAAAGTGCACGACCCTCGACTGAAGTGAGAACATATAATCATTTCGCCGATGTATCATATTCATGTTTACAGATTCCCGCCCAAAAATGCTAAGCCTAGTCCCGTGGATATTCCCCACCAATCCTCTCCGATGAAAGTATTCCCCTCAGCGGCGCTAGCCCGTTGCGAGATCTGGGGCGAGACGATTAGGTCGTCTTTGAAACAACCGCGATACAAGAAAAAAGACATAGATGATCGAAAGGCTCAGGCACGTCGTTCCACACGCGTCAATGATAGATGTGTGTTGCTGATATTATGACAGAACCTCATCCCAGGACAACCCTTGGCGCCGCAAAGGCAAGACGACCGCATACCAGTACTTCTGGTACAACGATCGCTTGGCTCCGTCCAGTCTGGTACACATGGCTGGATGCTAATTATCCCCGCTGGATGGTCGATGCCTTTCTTCTCTTCGTTAACGTTTACGGGGAGCCGTGTGGGTGGCCAGCGCGAACGGCAAACACAAGCATTTGAAGCCGGCGTCCCATACTTCCCTAAAGATTATCCTAGCATCCCTGCCCACGGAGAGCAAATCTCCAAAACCGCAGATGAAGAGGAGGCAAGGTGGAAACGCACTCCCGCCGCGAAGAAACCAAACTTCGAGAAATTGGGAACACGCAGCCCTTGGAGACCTGACTGGGAGGTCGTGCTAGGACTGAAGGAGCCCAAAAGTCAGCTTGTCCCAACACAGCGGGAAGCTCCAGGACCCGAGCACGAGGACTTGCAGCCATCGGAGGATGTGGAACGCAAGGATGCGGAGGATACTGCGATGCTTGGGAAATCTCCTTGGCTCCTTCGTGGCGCATTGTTGAAGTATATGTCGCTCGTACCAGACTTCATCAAAGAAATCAACCGATTGCGGACTAGACGTTCTGAATCCCATTTCGATTTCAAGGATGCAGACTTGTTGCTGCGTTCTGCCCTCGTTCCCGTACAACTAACGCCCTGTGGCCGCGGCGTACTCAAGGATATGTCTATGATATACATGCTAGAAGATCATGAATGTGAAGAGGCTCAGAAGCATGTTGGCTCCGATTCGGAAGAAGGCGGGGAGGCCGTTACCTGCGACAAGGTTCGTTGCTTACTTGTTTGGGAAATCATTGGTTAATTCCTTCGCCTCCCAGGGTGCAATCATCGGGTATACTACCACTGGTAACTTCTGTCTTTCTCGTGGTAGGGGTCATAGCCTAGGTGCCATCGCTGCGATCAAATACCAGGCGCTAGTTGCCCAGGCCAGGAGGTAGGGATATCTTTCTAGTCTGAAGCCACTCACTATGCTCACTAAGACATAGGTTGTCCCAGGGAGCACCTGGGAGCGCTGTTGTATCTAGATTCTTGGTGAAGGGCCGGAATAGGGATGGACAATCATCGTGGCTTGCCCATCTGGAGGCCAGCGACTTTTCACAATCCTGAATACTTGCATGAGGTCTAGTCAATTTGAACCTTACAAATTATACATATGTGGGGATGACAATTACAATATAATACTGTCCATCGAGCCCAAAATAGTCTGTTATATTTTCCACTTGTCGACCGCGGCTTGAACTAAGCGAACCATGTCGTCTCGGGCCTGCTTTTTAGCACTATCAGTAATGCCCTCTAAAGCGTCAATGGTCCCGGGAGAAGCTTGCAAGGGATCGATTTCGAGAACGTGCCCATCCTTCGTAGTTAGCGCCACTGTCGCTGAGGGAAGTGAGCGGATAGGTTTGGGCGTAGTGAGGTTATCGAACACGGCGGCAGGCAACACAGCCGGCGGTTTATTCGAGAAGTGAGACGGTTGATGATCATGAACAGACTCTGAACTCGTCCGTGAGTGTGATGATGATGACGCTGCCGAAGTAAACAGGCTTGCTTGGGAATCCGTCCTGGAATGGAAACTGCTGCCGGACGTGTCTCGACGGATGATAATGCTGTTTGCTTTTCTAAGCGTTCTCTCGGGGTTCCCGCCGGTCGCAGGCTTTGGATCACTACCTTTAAACCACCCCATGCCAAACTCGTAAGGATTTGCGAGCGGTGAGCCGTTGACACTCAGCATGCTTTCATCTTTACGAGGTAGGCGTGCTGGAAGCCCCGGATACGCAGGTCCTTTGGAAAGGAGAGAGGGATTAAATGTTGGAACGGACGGAACGCGAGACGAAGGCAGTGGTTTGCCTGTCTTGACCGGGGAGGCTGGGCGAGATGAAGGGACTCGAGAGAAACCAGAGCTGATGAAAGGGGGCTTGGGCTTGGACGGACTCGGGGAAGCATCAACACGCTTTGAGGACCGAACCTGTGCAGTCATGTCTTAGCGGGTAATGATGCAGAGGCGGCTGTAGATGAGCCATACCATCTTCGGGGTTTTGGGCAAAGGATGTGTTCGCAATGGTTGCACGCTGCTCTGCCTTTGAGCCACAGGCTTACTCGGTGAGGGCGGCATGAGGCGAGCTGTTGGTTGGAAATGGCTTAGAATGGATCTAGTTGCAAGAATAGGGAACATTACCCGTCTTCATAGCCCTCGATGGCTCACCCTGGTTACTCGTAGATGCTGCAGTTTCTATCGCTTCCTGGTTGGCCGCCCATTTCCGCTTCTTGATGGTCTCACTTAGCCCGCCGCCACCGTTCTCGACGGCAGCTGCCTCTAATCGCTGCCTCTGGATCCCCTTCAATGCCGCCTGGACATTGCCGTTGTATTTGGCACCAAAGTCACGCATCTTCATTCCTCTAACAAGCTTCGGAATTCTTATGACATGACCTTCTTGGTGGATGTTGAAGTTCTCCAGCGCATCCTCCAGCCACGCCTGAAACTGACTTGTCCGGTGCGCAACTAAGGTCCGTATCGTGAATGAGTCGGATGAAAGTGATGAGAAGGTAAATACCCTCTATCTCCAAGTTCGCCAGTAGCTGCTCTTTTTCTTCCTGCGTGTACCGGGGCTTCATCGTCCTTGAGTCCATCTTGCACAACGGAGAGGCAGTGGTCTGGTGGCGGAATCAACGCAAAGAAGCGCGCATGGCATCGATCACGTGGTACGCGTTTGACCTGCCGGTTTTGGCGGCCCGCAAAATACGATTTCTTGAATCGCACCATGGATGAAAGCTGGATATCTGTAACCTCAACTTCGGGCTCCTCTTCTCAAAAAACTATGTCCTCCTCGAAAAAGGATATTTTTATGGTCATTGGCGGCAGTGGCTTTCTTGGAAGGCATATTGTACAGCAACTTCTCGACCGGGGCGACATAGTATCGGTATTCGACATCGTACAGCGGTACAGCGACGTCCCCTTCTATTCAGGAGACATCAGTGAAGAGGAGCAAGTGGCCGCTGCTCTGAGAAAGGTACGTGTACTAGCTTTACTAGGAACATGGGGCTGAATTTTGCGTTGTTAAGTGCGGAGCTACATGTATAATTCATACTGCTTCTCCACCCGCTGGGCTCAGCGACCCGGCCTTGTATTGGAAGGTCAATGTGGACGGAACCAAGGCAGTTATTGCTGCTGCCCAATCAGTGGGCGTTCGCAAGCTAGTTTTCACTAGCTCTGCCGGTGTTGTCTTCAATGGCACAGACAATATTGATATCGACGAGCGACTGCCCTTTCCCGACAAACCCATGGACGCTTATAATGAGTCCAAGGCAAAAGCCGAAGAGGCTGTGCTCGCTGCGAATGGTGTCAACGGCCTCTTGACTGTCGCTCTGCGGCCCGCTGGAATCTTTGGGTACGCTTGTCGTCGTAAATAGATACCTACCACTGACCCTCCTTCTCTAACAGTCCGGGGGACCGACAAGTGATGGCTGGTTTGTACCAAGTCTACGAGAGAGGTCAAACACACTTCCAGATTGGTGATAATAACAATCTGTTTGACTGGACCTACGTCGGCAATGTCGCTTACGCCCACTTGCTCGCCGCTGACAAACTTCAAGAACCTGTTGTTGCTACGGACTGTTCAAAACTTTCGCCGCAGGAAGAGGCCATCATTAGTTACCCCCTTCCATCCATCGAGCACACAACTCGAGGGCAACGAATTCCGACCTCGGAAGCTCGACCGTTAGGCCCCTACGTCACTCCACCTCCAAACGCAGATAAAATACTGGCCGCCTTCACACAACCTGTACCTCCGAAGTCAAATCGCCCCGTCGTCCGTTCACGCTTCGATGCATTGTCCGACACTTCGGTTCTTCGCATGAAAGCTGCCGCCAATGGAACCTCCCCTCTACAGGTTGCTGGGGAAGTCTTTTTTATCACCAACGGCGAGCCTTGCTACTTTTGGGATTTCATGCGCATGGTGTGGCATCGTCTTGATTCCATATTCCCCGAGAAAAGGGCGCAGAAGAAGAGGGCTATTGTTTTGCCAAGGGTCGTGGGCATGGCAGCTGCTACTGCGTCAGAATGGGTTGGATGGTTGATAGGCAAGGAGCCAACGTTCACTAGGTTCAAGGTTACCTTCAGTTGCGTCAATAGATGGCACAACATTGAAAAAGCAAGGCGCGTACTCGGCTACGAGCCAATAGTGGGAGTAGAAGAGGGCGTGGGCAGGATGGTAGAGGTGAGTGCCCAGATAACACATCTGACTTAGCAAGCAATTGTCTGACGGGCCTCGTTTGCTAGTGGTGGCAAGCTGAGTATGCGGCGGGCAATCATAAGATCGCTCATAAATGATCAGGTCGACCGCAATTGACCCCAGGCCTTGTCCACGTCGGGACGTCACAATGCATCCTTCATAATGCATTTACCTCATACATATTTATACCCGTGCTTCATACATAATAGTTATTGACTTGTACTTTGAGATATAGGACGGATGGAATCCTGCAAGTTGGTGGTAGCCTCCATGTCAGTCCATTCATCAAAGAATCATAGCAAGAGTGATCTCATATTACGACAGTTCGGCTGTCGCCGTCAGATTGTGAGTTTTCTGTAAGTTTTACAGCAACTGTGAGGCTTTAAGTTGCTCAGTAATGCGCAGCAGATCGTTCAAATCCTCTGTGGCTGACTATTTGTATTTGCGCGCTGCCGCTAATCGAACCTTGAGGTTAGGCCAGACGATTCTTGGAGAAGGATTATCCTTATTGAAAGAGCAATTGTATGGCATGATCACATCCTTTTAAACGCGTTGAAATGCTTACGTCCTCTATACGTCCCCTACCACTGGAGCCAATGGACTACGCTCGGGGTGATGCCCCACCTACAGGCTGCTGCATGCTTCAGAGCAATTATTGCGATAGCTCACGAAGCCACCCATCTCCAGCACATTCGGATCCTCATTAAATCGCCTCGTTTATCGCCGGGCGCAGTCCAGCCATGATGCAAGATATTAATGAGCTCTCCAATGGACCCCAAAAATGGAGGATTGACGGTATAACAGGCCTCTGACCCACTTCTAACCGCTGTAAACACGTTCCTACGCTCTACTGGTAGGTGGGCCTGCTGTATTGTTGCCACGCGAGCCCGGCTGCGAGAAACTAATGTTTGCGTTCATGTCTGGAACGCCATTTCCTCCAGGCAGGTCTATTTAGGTTTAATCGTGCTATAGCAGAATCGGAGCGAACTGTGGATATCAGACTGTCCGTACTCGTCTGAGATCAGTTGTCAGTTGGCCCGCGTGTGTTCAGCCTGCCAGGTATGCTAAGTCCATTTTTGCGCACATTTGCTAGCTGAGTTGGCTTTCCACACGTAGATAACTGAGGCAAGCTGCAACAGGATCCTTCTGCAGGGTGGCGCCCGTGCGTTGCATGCGAATCTATAGAGCCCGCAGGAAGCTGCTTCTACGCTGACTGCCACTTCCTCGTGCACAAAGAACAACGCCACACCGACATCCATCATCGTACTTGCTTCCCGGCTCCCCTCCTCACCCTCAGGCTTCTCAAATTGGCAATGCGTCTAAACCAAGAAGCGCTCGGCGTATTCAGATGATAGACACCGTGCATTGGTGCCGTGGAGAGTTTCAGGCCCAGTGGAACGCGCCTGCCGATTCCATTCACGGAATCATGGATGTTCAAACGTTCTCCCTTGAAGCCCCACACTATTGCCCATATGTTAGCTACTCGATTTACACGGATTTACCCCACGATGGCCCAGATCAACAACATTCGACCCTTTCGCGGCGGACAGCCACTTGACATCTGGAATGCTATCGAAGCATCAAACTGATTCAAACATTCTTCCGCGCTTCTCACGAGCTTGGAGAATCTAATCAACGACCACCCTTCCTTCGCCTAAGCTGTGCATGAGGGTAGTAGGGGTAGGTTATGGACTGTTGTGGTATCCCTGTCCTCGCATTCTAGCGTGCATCTGTGGCGTGGCGGTATGGTTTGACCGTCTTCCCTGGATGTCCGAGTGTTGTCTCAGCGGCGTACTTATGCCTTCCTGCTCAAGATCATATGGTTACTGCACTCAAACCTCGCAGGTTGAGCCTTAATACGCTAGCAACCGCGCCGATATTACGCCTACGAGAAATGAATGGCCTCAACAGACGCATACTTTGTCAGATGATAATGCCAAGGCCTAGCACCACCCATCATAGTAGCGGTGGAGTTATCGTGAGGCCCACCCAACTGTGCTTGTTGTAAGTGTGTTGCGCATCAATCAAGATCATTCTGACAATCTACGGAAGCTCGAAGGCTTGATCGGATATGCTGTATTGGGGCGTTGTGGGTATCCCTGATATCTACCCTTCGGAGGTGCGTCTCGAAAAAGTTACTGTCATAGAATCCCGATTCGGAGACTTCTACTTGAAGGGTTCAAGTTTGTTTGTTTAATGATGACGCTAATATCGATATCCGCTAAATTCTACATTTGTCAGACGTCGGCTTCGTGGGGCTGGCCTTGATCCATATAGCTTGTCAGTACCTATTATTACTGCGCCTCGACGCTGAGTTCGGGTTTCGACATCGGTCATTTCGTCTACTCCGAGTACGGCAAGGCGGGGCGCTCTATTCGTGGCCAGCATACACGACTTAGGCTCCGACTAGGTCGTAGCTCTGATCCTGATATGTATCAGGCTGGTTGGAAAGCAACGGCTTCTGATATCCCATGGATGTTGATCAAACCATAGATCCAGTCTCAACGGAGTCCATGAACCGAAGCTCTTTCATGAAGCCCCGGTTATCCGGATTGAGGACCGCCGGCTACTTCTGACCCCACCACGCTCTGTCCTCCATTTGTCGTGAGGGACTGCTCCCATTCGGTCGGTACTTACAGAAGCGAAATGAGGGACCTTGAGGACCAACGTTTCGGCCGACGATCGCCCATTATCTACACCACCAGCCACGATTGTCAAAACCGCATTGACTAGGCGACACACACGCACACATTTCACCGCCCCTCCTCTTCATGTCGCGCGTATTACCGCCGACTTATCCTCATAAGTCCACACATACGGAGTGATTTCATCTCACCACCAGCACACGTCAATTACCACCCCGGTCAATCTTCCGAGGAAACTTCTTTTCCCTTGTTATCCTCCTGGGTCAGCCTGGGCGCGATGTTTTTTTAATCTCTCTGCTTGCTAGCCCGTCTCTCATGGGATTACAGAGAACCCAACGCATATCCGGAGAGCCGATCACGTCTATGCCTTTTGACCTTCGCGCTTGTATGTAAGGACCCCAATTCTGCTAACAGCCTCATCTCCCCAGTTCTGTCATTGCCTTCGATGCCAGGCTTACTATCTCAACGTGATCATGCAGAAACTCGGAGCCTGGCGAACCACCAAAGAGTTAAGTAATCAATTCGGCCACGGTCTCATTCATTCGATTATCCCTTATCAATGTTCTCCCTTTAATATGCTGGACAGCCGGGAACCGTTGCCGCCAGTTCCCCTTCGCGCCCACCCCTCTCTTGCCTCTCTGGTCCTTCCCCGTCCTTTCAACTTTCCTCATCAAGCATCAAGTCGCCTGCATGGGCGTGTAGAGCCGAGAACCTCGGTTAACTCGCCACGCACAAGCTTCACCAAGTCCTACCTTTCTCTGCCTCATGCATCCCACTCCTTTTCATTCATTTTGATCCCTTTCTCACACAAGCCATGATTAGATACACACGTCTTCTGGATTCGGAAGCCTTATTATCTCGTTAACGTCATGATGGCATGTTTGTTCCTTGAGATTGAAGGTATTCTCCGGACGTTGGTTAAAATGCTTTCATATCGGAGTCGCGCTTAGTGCTCTTGCATTCGGTACCTTCACGCCGATAACCGCGGTTGCTTGAGCCTTGGATGATTGCCACAGAGACGTGGCTTCTTACCGCTAAGTACCTGCACCCTTCTGTGTCAAAATAGAAGGCGTGGATCCTCGTGTACGAGACGACAAGTGTTAGAGTATCGTTTTTCTATACAGAGTACTGATCCCTAATACGTATATCCGCAATATTGTTTTTGTATCGCCGAGTATCTTTCACCCCCACCTGTAATGTAAGTTTTATGAACTCATCATGATTCATTTATGGCATCGCTCCCGCAGAAGCGCTAATGTATGACCTGGCCAGAGGGCCGGTGGGACGATAGTAACATCATTTTTCTGTAAGAAGATGACTTCCCTCGGGGAGCAGGGGGCGACTTATCCTCATCTCCGTTCCATGTTAGCTGTAGACAACTTCGAGAAGCGGCTCAAGTAAGTAACTTTATGGTATCGAGCACCTCGCGTCGCGTCATGAGGTTATTCCTCCATGCGATAGCCAGGGTTCTTAGCAATTCGAAGTTCAGACAATTCGCTGGATTTGTAGAAATTTCTCATTATGGCTTGAAAACGATGAATGTATACAATGCGTTATGATGGCTATGTACAGTGTGTATGTGCGAAAACAGCGGAAATCCAGATAGCGTAGTCATGCGTTGTTGCAATTAGTGTCTGAAGCGGTCGATTGTCGATGCTAGTCACGAAATATAGGTAGTAAGTGTGATAGAATGGAAAACGAATGTATATGCCCGGTGCCGCCGCACCGCTCAAACCTCCCTCTCATAGAGTCCCAAGTATGTGTTGGTATGCACCTCCACGAGTCTTGCAATCTTCTCGACCAGAATCCCGACCTGACCGCCCAACCCCGCAATCGTGGGATCTCCGAAGGTAGGTTTCGAGGGAGCCGTTGAATCGGTGCCGGAGAGACTATTGGGGACCAACGAAGGGATGCTGGGGCTTGACGAAGTCGAAGGCGCCGCCAACCGGCCCAAGACAACCTGCTCCATCACGGCCCCAAACACCAGATCCCTCAACTTCCTCCTCGTCATCTTGGCCAATACCGCGTCCTTGCGCATATGCATAGACGTCCACCGTTGCGCCAGTCGGATGGTTTGGGTGTCTGGGAAGAGGTTGGGCGAGGCGGCGGCGAATGAGCATGAGGATGGGGTAAAGGGAGTGTACGGGGTGGGTGGAGTAGGCGGGGCAGACTCAGCGAAGTTGGTCAATGGGGTAGCTGGGATAGAGAATATAGATGACGTGGGCGACGTTGCTGGCGTCGAGCTTGTGGTACAAGTGCCCGAGCTCGTGGCTCTCGCAGAAATGGACGGCAGAGCAGATAGCAATGAGGTCGATGGCAACGTCGGCTTCTTCCTCTCGACCACCCTTCTTGCGATTTGCAGAACGACGTCCTCTCTGACATGATCAACTCGCTGCTTCTCCAACTCAAGTTCCCGCTCTCTCTGAAGCTCAACATCCACGTCGTGTGCAGAGGTACTCGCTGATGTCGAATGCGAAACGAGCTTGCCTAATCGCGAGCCAGCGATATCCCTGATTTCCTCATACATCCTCTTCATTTCTTCGTCTCCGGGTTTGGCGCTTGTTGTAATAGAGGTAGCCGATAACCATGGTGTTGTTGATGGTGGCAATGCAGGCGTACTCGAACCCGGGTTACCTCCAAGAAAGGCCAAAGAAGGGGTCGCCGGAATTAACGGTGTACTGGGTAACGATGGTGGGATCGCGGAAATGGAAGTTAATGAACTCGATCTGGAATGCGAGCGGGAGGAGACGGGGGGAGCGCAGAGTTGCTTGTACAATAGACCCAGCATGTACTCTGCGTGTATCTCGTCAACATTGGTGGCCAACTGCACTACGCGAGCTGAGTCGAGGAACATCGTTTCAGGGAGTGAAGGGAGAGCGGCCGACGCGTAGTCGGCTTCTTCGGAGGCGGAGGCGGAGGATGTCGATGCAGGGTCTTGCACGGGAATGTTGAAGACCAAGTCTACGATCCCTCGAAGCACAGCGACATATACCTGTTGGTTCTTCCTCATATTCTTGTACTCTACCGTCCGTTCAACCTTCGTCGAGCCTGTGCGAGATTCATCGTGTATAGAATTCGAGCAAGCAGCGGCGTCAGTGTCGCTGAGACCTTCGTCTTCAGAGAATGCAAGGGGTGAGGAAGAAGCAGACAAGCGAGGGACAGCAGATGATGATGACAAGGTATTTGTCTCAGATAGAAGAGATGTGTTACGGAGCAGGGGGTTGAGGAGCGGGGTCGGGTGGCTCAACATAAGTTGATGCGCTGCGCGTAGCCAACGTTGCGTAATCTCTGTGTCCCCTATGGACGACGAAGGGTGAGGAAACTTTTTTGTAAAGGCTTTCATTTCAAACTGGGGAGCCGTGTGGATGAGATACGGTCGCAACGATTGAAGTTGGTGATTAGCCATGTCCTAATTCGCCATGTGTCAGAGAAAGGTAGGCACGCGAGCAATGGAAGAGACGCACCAGTTTCATGAGCTCTAGAATATCCATAATCAAGCGCAGAGCTTCTACAATATGCTTGCTGGACTCGGGGCGTGTGAAAAGGAGTAGGTTGTCTATTACAGAGTCTCGCATGGGTGCGCAGTGCGACTTGAGGATTTCATGCAAAGCTGAAAGGAGGCCTGATGGATCAAAGCGAGACGAGGATGTAGACGATAGCTGCGACGCGATCAAAGCTGGGTCGAATATTTGTCGGATGTAGGAGGCTTGCTGGGCAGCACACGGGGGCGAAGATGCATCGTCAGATGCTTCATCTATGAGATTTAGAAGAATTTGCCTGCACTCTTCCAGCAGAGGTCGTATGCGCGAGGGGGTGCGGCAGGTGAGTATATTGTGGGCTGGGTTGAAAGCCAAGACGGGTTGCGACGATGGACATTGAATCTGCTTGCAGGCACAAAGAATTCTGGAGGAAAGGATACCGTTCGCAGCAAACGAAACACACGTGCAGCCCAACTCGAGCTCCCTCTCTACTGCCCTCCAGTAAGCGTCCGCCAGATCCCTCTTCCTCCTGGACGCTGTGGGTCTGAACTGCAGGCCCGGGTCGAAAAGCAGGTCATGTCTGAGATGGGGGTTGCGCAGGATCTGAGAGACATCGAGCTCCTTGAGGGTGTGTCTGTTGATAAACGGGAGGACGGGGGGAATGGGGAGGGACGGGGAGGACGGGGGCGATGTGGGGGATGGTGGTGGTGGTTGAAGAGAGAAAGAGGTCGCTGTTGCCGACAGCCTTTGTCGTTTGGCGTGACGGTTTGTGTTTGTGACAGACTTGCGTTTGAGCGAGGGGAGAAGGTGGTCCATTGCGAGTAGAGAGGAATCCATTCAAGGCGTTGTATATTATATATAAATATAAATCTCAGTTCCAGATCTCATCCCACGGCGCCACCGTTCGGGAAACACAATAATATAAATCATTATTTTCAGTGTTTATTTTCCCACGGCCTTAGCTGACATGCATCTCGATCATGATCGTCGTCTTGCATTCATCCCGATCGCTGTGTTATGTAACCAAGCAACACGTTGGCTCAGCAAGACCCAGCACGTGTAAGTAGCGTGTACTACTCCTGTACGCCCCCTTCGCCGCAGAATATCAAAGTGCAGGTCCACCAGGAGCACCACCGTCCCATACACACGGTACCGACGCCGCGCTCTCACACCCATCCGCCTTCCGACACACATCCATCATTCCGCCGCATGGTACATGTGACCGTCGCACACCCGTATTAACCCCTCCTCGTTGAACAACCGGTATTACTCAATAACGCAAGCCACCCCCAGCTGGACGTTATCTCCGCACCCGACGACGAATTGCAGGCGGCCCGATTCCCCCTTTAATATTTCTGCAGTCTTACACCGTGTTGCCACGAGCACGGCGCGTGCAGCCGGTGTCATGAGGTTTTGGAATATTAACCCAAGCACGATGAGAAAGGTGTGGCGTGCACCATATGCATGCTGATTCTCAAAAGACGAAGAGTGGCTGAGTGTGGCAGGCAACTGAGTATCCCTTCTGAAATCAGCCATCGTAGACTCGGAATGGTAACCATTGCTTTTGAATATTAGTATGGAATCGTCTTTTGCATTCCAGTATCACTACCGTGCCTCTCTAATTTATTATCTAGATTTCCAATGCACTTTAAAGTAGTATCACGAGAGCGCAAGCACTTTTCCAATGTTTTCAACAATGCTGCCGGTCAACCAGTCGTACCTTACCCAGTGCCAGCGCAACGGCGGCACACCCCTTTTTCGTACCCCTGGCTTCGTACCCCTTAGCGCTAAAACCCACTCATCCAACCAACCTGAACATTTCAAAGATATCGCCCAATCTCACGGTTAGAATTCGGAAAGAAAGTGATACACGCCTTCGATTTTACCTGCGAGCGTGCATCCTGCTTTCTCCAACAAATTACCTAATTCGTAGCGGCATAGGCACACATAATCCCGCCTCTCTCGATTCGGACCTGTGTTGATACTGTCATCCAACCGTTGTACATGCTGCAGCCACTATCGAACGCGGTAGAAGCAAAGATACGTGGCCGCCGCGTACGAACCTATGGCAGTCCGCCTTCCATGCGTTGGAATAACGCAGTCTCTTTACCCACAAAACGTCGCTGTCTACATTACCACCGCCATCAGCTCCACAAAGAACTTTCCCATCATAGCTTCTCATCAGCTCGCCGTGTTACACACTCCTTTCGAGTTTTCGTTACGAAACAATAGCATGAAGTGACTTAGCAGTACCTCCTATTGACCATACCAAAGGTACTCTCCTATGCTTAACATTTCGATCGCAAAAAGGCAGGCAACCAATGACTCTAGGCTTGAACGATTGAACCCTGTCCAAGCCCCTCAAGTTCTCCCCAGATACTTCCACCTCGAGCCACTCAAAATTCAGGAAACGTACAAATCTCTCCTCCACCCCCTGCCCCCTGCCCCCTTGAAAGGTACAGATCGCTACATCGGCCTGAAAGCCTATCCAAGCTCCAGACCCACTGTCGGTATTTGATACCCTCAGCCACCACCACTACAGATACACACATACTCTGACATGCCGGTCCCACAGTCCGCGTCAATGACATTAGGAGGAAGCCTATTGGCGAGGGTCGAGACCGTTCCCACCGACGGCCACGCAAAATAATAACATATACTTCGCGGAAGTGATCTAATCGCATTCAAATCGAGTCAACTACACACATCAAGCATCATCAACATCATGCTATTATACAATAAATGTTTCCAATTATCATTCCAGGTCGTCAAGCCACTGAGAGTGGTGGTGGCAGGAAACGTGGAACGAATCCTGGAAAACATACTTACCTTTCAAGGCACCGGAAATTTGTGATGTCCTAAGATCAGACGCACCCAACGGGTGCCTACTTTCTTGTTTGGTGTGTCGTCTTTCACACGCATGCAAGGTAAAGGCGCCCCAAGGCACGCATCTAGCCATTGATCTGGATCACAATGTTTATATTCACCATACTTCAGACATTAATGGTGGACTGAATTTTCTGATGATACGGTGTTCGCTAGTAAATCATATCATCTCTAGCGCATGACACGTAACCCGCTAAACCAGGCTTGTTCAACGGTGGGGTGATCGGTGATGGTCGGTCCAAGGCATTAGCTACGTCCCCTAGTTTGGACAATTTGCTGCATTTACACGTTGCCCAACCTCACAACTGGAGGCTGGCGAAGATCAGCATGGAATGGCACCACGCTTCTCGAAAGTCACCGCGATTTTGCCCATATCCACAATAACTTAACGTTACAACGGGTCAGAAAGCCGGATTTCCCCATTCCATCTTCGAGGACCTACATTCGCTCCTGAGTCAATCGCCCTCGGTTGAATTCGACACTGTCAATCATGAACATAATTGGTGGCTGGGTCAGCCCCGTGAAAGAAGTGAGGAGAAATAAAAACACAGCCAGCGCGACCGGGTCGTCTGCTGTTGGCTGCAGCCACCGATACAAGCTTCTCACGGCGCTCCTTTGCCCAAACGTAGTGAGAAGTAAATCTCGTGCCGGTAATCAACCGAGAAGCCTATTGTAGCGAATAAGACGCTAACGGACCCAGGTCCCAAGAAACATTATTTGTCAACAAGCGGCGTATACACATGGCACAAGCATGGCTGCGCTGTCAACGTCTCGACAGAGCTACAAGAGAGCACTTAGACTATTGGAGAATTCACATAAAAGAGCAAACGTCATTGGCTGTCATTTTCATTGAGCGAAAAAGAAAATAAAGTCCGCCGGATATCGAAACCATTCCGCATGTCAACTTGGCCAGGCATGTCGTCGACTGTCGTCGAGTCCCCGGGTAAGCCAAGGCGGCAACTACGGCACATTCAACATAGGCACACAATGTAGCTTTGAGCACATACCCTTTGCCACATCATGCATCGATCAACTTTACATCGTCCGCCACACTGGCATCCGCCACCGCCGCCGGTTTCTTTGTGGCTTTACGCGCATAAAACTCGGCAACAATCTTGGGGTTAATACGATTGAGCTGTTCTTTAGGGAAGATTCGCAAAAGAGACCATGCAAGATCCAGTGAATCAAAGATAGTGCGAGCCTCATACGCTCCTGGTGATAGAAGAAATGTCCCGAGCAAACAAGGAAAGAATGGAGTGAGCGGCGTGAGAAAATGGAGAAGAGAATTGACTTACCCTGCCCGACGAATTGATTCTCAAACTTTTCCAGGAACTCTAGGGCGAGTTTGTCTTCCGAGGACAAGGCCTCCTCACCGACTACAGCTTTCATCGCCGCCGCATCACGACCGATGGCATATTTAGCATACTACGGTTGCGATCAAACAGTAAATTAGTTCCGGTTGTTTTAGGAATGCGAGACCAAGTACGCCACAGCGACAGCGACAACGAAGGAGAGTATAAGAACAAGAAACGTACTAATTGATTTGAAACATCACCATGATCCTTCCTAGTCAACTTTTCGCCGATGGCGCTCTTCATGAGCCGAGAAAGTGATGGCAAGACGTTGATTGGAGGGTATATCTGCCGGTTATGTAGCTGCCGGTCAACAAAGATTTGGCCCTCAGTGATATAACCTGTTAGGTCAGGAATAGGATGAGTGATATCTACGAGGTAAAAGCTAAGTCAGTATGCGATGACTAGCATATTCGATTGATATTACTAACCATCATTAGGCATGGTGAGGATCGGGATTTGAGTGATGGACCCATTCCGGCCTTCAACACGCCCGGCTCTCTCATAAATTGTTGACAGATCAGTGTACATGTAGCCCGGATAACCACGACGCCCAGGGACTTCTTCGCGTGCTGCGGAAACCTATCGCCCAAGTGAATTTAATTGAAGCACAGATCGCGAATATATCACCGGGCGCACCTCTCGTAGGGCATCAGCGTATGATGTCATATCTGTGAGAATAACAAGAACGTGCTTCTCCAATTGATAGGCATAGTATTCAGCGGTTGTGAGCGCGAGTCGTGGCGTGATGATACGTTCGATAGTCGGGTCGTTGGCCAAATTCAAAAATAGTGTGACGCGATCCAAACTACCATTGGATTCGAAATCTTCCTTGAAGAAACGGGCGGTCTCCATATTCACACCCATAGCTGCGAAGACGACGGAGAAATTGTCTTCGTGGCCATCGTGGACATCTTTCGTAGGTCGCTTGACCAGTCCCGACTGCCGCACAATCTGGGCTGCAATCTTCGATTTATTAGATCGGGCTCGAGAAGGTCAAGGTCCGAATAAACGTACTTCATTGTGAGGCAAACCTGCCGCCGAGAAGATAGGAATCTTCTGGCCACGAGCGATTGAATTCATGACGTCGATGGTGGATATGCCGGTTTGTATCATTTCTTCGGGATATATGCGGGAGTAGGGGTTGATTGGCGAGCCTTGACCAAGCTTTTAGTTGTACGCGTACACCTGGTCGAGCATCTAACTCACCGTTGATGTCGAGATAATCTTCGGCGAAGACTTTCGGACCTTGATCAATGGGATTGCCGGAGCCGTTGAAGATACGACCCAACATATCTTCGGCTACAGGCAATTTCATGCTGCTCCCAGTGAATTCTACACGTGTGGCCTTTACATCGACGCCAGAAGTTCCTTCGAACACCTGCACAATGGCTTTCTTTCCCTGAACTTCGAGGACCTGCCCTCCGCGCTTTGACCCATCTGGGAGTGTAAGTTGAACGATTTCGTTGTACGACGGGAACTGCCCATTGCGACTGAATCAGATGGCTATGTGCGATGGAACATTGACGACTGCACACCTTCACGTTGTCCAGAATAACTAGGGGTCTGTTTGAAAAGCATCTCAGCGCCATCTTCAGGCGCAGTCAAGGAAGCAGCTCACCCATTGATGGCAGATACGGTGCGGTAGTCTGGGCGAATTCAGCGAAGAGGACATGATATTAGCAGCCATCTCGTCCGTACCCAGATGCGGCTGAACGCGATATTCTTTGGTGACTGCGGCAGCATTGATAGCAGCCATCTCCTGATCGCTCATTCTTGGATCGGACGCCATGTTCTACGGCGAGGACAATTCTCTATCTGTTGCAGGGGCCTGAGAGCGATGCTGCTGTAGGTAATGGTATGAGGGAGAGCGTCGTCACTTGCAACTTCGAGGCCCTGCAGCCATGCCTGCCAAAATAGGAACTCCCGATCATTCCCACGTCTCCGGAGCGGCACGACTAAAGTACTCTTCCTCCGTGTACTACCCAGCGCCAACATGTATTTGCTGTTCAGATATACATATTATACAATACAAAAGCCAAGTATATTGACATCCTAAAGTCTCTTGATTAGCTCAGGGCCGCTTCTTTCATCGCCTCTATCCAAGTCCGAGATGCCCCTTGAATTGTTGCCTCATCTTCTACAGACCATTCTGTCTCAAGCAAGATTTCTTCCACCGCGTCGGTCCCCAATTCGAGCGCGGCACCCTGCAGGAAATTGTAAAGATATTCGGCCGTATCCGCCCGCACCTGTGATATTATCAGTATCAACCAGCCGAACTGAGAAAAGGGAGACTACACTTGGAAAGCGATGTGTCAAGAAAAGTCCCAAGGATGTCGTCACGTCCATGTAAATTTCTTTGAACCTTAGAAGGTGAACAATGCTAAAGAGTGCACGTCAATAGGAATACCAAACAATTGATAGTTCTCTTACATATACATCGATTCATGAATTCTTTGGGTGCTCTTGATAGCACCAATGCTTCTACAGCAAAAAGAATGTAACTCTTTAAGCCTATTAGAAGCTCAGTAACGAAGATAACGGCAATAATCCGCACTTACGCTTCTATTCCCCTTTGGTGCTCGTTCAGTCGGTTCAGGCTGTCCCCCTCTAGAAGTACATGTATAGCCTGCAAGGCGGGCATTACCACCGAGTTTAATGCTGCCCGCGATTTTGCATAAGCAAGAATGTCTTGCACAAGCCCTATAAGGCCATATGTCGCCGGGGAAGATGCAAGCGGAAGATCACTACAATAGGTGATTAGGCTAGATGAAACGGGGCGGTGCTTATCTCTTCGTAAGCGGTTATGATTCACACAGAGCGTCGAATAACCCACCGTGCTATCTGTTTTACTCCCAAGGCTGAGGAGAAGCCCGATCAGCACCTGACTTCTGTATTTTCCTACGTCTAGAAATCTGACGGCCTTTGGGTACAGCCAGCTCCCATCTCCCCAGCTTGGGTTGAGGTCTCTGTCCGCAATTATCAGAAATGTGATCACTCTACGCAGGGTACACTCACGCTGGGAACAAAGACTTGAATAAATCCTCTCCTTCTAGACGCCATTGGGTCTTCGCCACGGGCGAAAGCGGCATATACAGGAGGCGAATAAAATGCTCCCCAGATTCCTGGCGTACGTTGTCCAGCCGCTCCACTCCTTGTTTGAGAATACCAGCAATCGCTGCATGATACTTCGAAGGCGGTAGGTAGGCTTCGAGCTGTGATTCCTGCGTGAAGGATTGGAACAGCATTTCCGAAATCTCCGCGAGCCCACGGACGCAAGAGAGTCGTATCCAAGATCCAACGTCGCCTCGTTCATCGGAAGTATAATCCTTCATACCCTCCAACAGCACGCCATACAACTGCTGGAAGTCCTGAGAGGATATGTCTACGTAAACGTAGGTTTCATGATTCTCATCAGAAGATGATATCTGACCCACATGTCGTTATATTCGAGATGATCGTAGAAATAATCTGAGATATTGCGTTATAACAATTTCTCCGGCCTTCGACGTTATTCTTCATGGGAGAAGACTAGCATTGGTATGGTTAGCCCGTTTCTCACGTAGGCGTTCGCGGCTTACATACCGCTTGATCGACACATTCAAGAATAGCCTTCAACGCCTTAGGCAGGGCATTCGGGAATTTGTCGTAGCCTATAGCTCCCAAACAGAGCCCAAGGCTCTGTTGCACGAACGGAGTAGCCGACTTCAGCTCGCGGATCAGCGTATCTAGATGCTTGACGTGAGCATCCTCTTCGCAACCCGAAGTGGGCAATAACTTATCTCTCGACATCTTGAGCGCTATCGGCGAGCCGACTGGTGGCCCCAAGAGCGGTCGCTGCTACTTCCTGTACTTGCGAGCTCCTGTGTTTGATTCCATAGTCCACGATTCCGCGCCAATGTGGCACAGAGGATTTAGTATCCAATTCGATTTCGCTAAGTGTAATGGTGTTCGATATTAACGAGCATGCGGCTAATGTAACCAACTCGTGCCGAGGGCCCATCACTGTTGTTTTGGGGATATGAACGAGATATTGGAAAATCTGTATAGTGGATGGGTTATTGAGACGCCAGATCCTGAAGTAGACATACGCTGCGCATTTTAATTTCCAGGTCATCGCCTTGATACGACATTCGGTATGCAAGTGCCAGCTCAGATAAAGCCAAGAGGGACCCGTGAAGATCACTGTCGTCGACGGATTCAAGGAGTCTACACTAGAAGCATATCAATGAGGAACATTCTGCGATATAGTTATCCCTCACTATCTTTGCTTCGGCCCTGGGTCCATACTCCTTGATGTCTATGAGGCAGATGAGTTGCAGTGACTGCGCTCCTATCTGGCGCATAGCAGGGTCCCAATGACGGATTGTAACATCGATCAAGTGGTTAAATAGGGATTCTCTGTAAACTTCAAACCTGGTGGAAGTCAAGGTCAATCTTCACTCTCACTGCATTTGCACTTACAGAGCAACTGCGGGTGCAGCTGTGAGGAATGCGGTACGTCTGGTGCTGACTGCATAGAAATCTGTCTCTCGAAGAACATCGATACCATGAGGTATAAAGCCCTGTTGTATGATTCAATGACACCCAAACCCCAACGGGGAAGACACGACATACCGTTCTTCCGACGTGTTCTTGGAACGCAGCGCTAGCTGCACGGCGAATATGGATTTCTCGGTCAAACACTGCCACGATGACCAATCTCTGTGCAAGGTGTTCGGCGTGGGGTTTAAGAAATTGGGAATCTTGCGACCTCGCCAAGGCCCATAGAACATACGCAGCACCATCTCGTACGTTGGAACCGATAGAATGTGCGCCTTTTCTTATATCAAAATACAGTGCCTAGATGACGGTATGAGTTTGACTGACTGGCCTTCGGTTCGCTACCTATTTACCTTTGTTGTCCACTCTATCAAGGTAGGAAGGTGTTGATCACTGACAAGACTTCTACGTGCCATCTCTGCACATGCCAGGCATGCGCCGTGCCAAGTGCTCTCTGCGACAGCTGGGAGATCGTATAGACTCGCAGCTGCAATAGAGTGTATGGCGAAGTGGGACATAACAGTCTCAAGCACCTGATCTTTGAAATCAGTTGGTAGTCGCTCTGATATTCGGGCCACTCCTTTGGCTGCCGTCCAGCGAACGACGGTATTCTTTGCAAAGGGTTAATGTTCCAGCTAAATCGGATCGTCGGAAGGTTACCTTGTCCTTAAGACTCTCAAATAGATGTTCTAAGACAGTTTCGACTTCTTCGGGAACTTCAAAATCATCCGATGTGTCCTCATCCTGCACCTCATCTTCCATCTGACCTAGAATACGACCTAGAGGCGATTCAGCTACAAGCGCAATGAATACGAAGGGCACAACCTTTCTGGCGCGACGGTTTTCCAGGTAGAAGGCGCAAGGCGATTCGCGATTCGGCTTTAGTCCTGAACTTGCGAGTCAGCGTATTGGTCGACAGAGCAGCGTCATCGTCGATGATTTTGCCGAGACGAAAGATATCAGAGGTGAATGTCCTGACTTCTTCAGCAGATGCCGATTTAGCCACTTCGCAGAGTACTTGGAGGATTCCAATGCACTTGGATTAGTCGATCAGAAAGGGTTGATGTGGGATGCAACGGTGGGGGGACTGACGAGCACGGGATCCTGTGCCGTTTGTGCAGACGCTAGCGACCAGCGCAGGAAATCGTGCAACCTTTCACGGGTGTCCCCTCTAGAGTTAACCAAGCGTAAGGGAGAAGGGCCTAAATACTAATTTGTGGGGGCGGACCTGACATAAAGACGCGACAGCAGCAAAGCGGCGCCGTCTCGTTCTAATCCGGTTTTATGGAGTTGGCCTCGTGCTTGCTCCTCTATGATCTGAGCGGTTCGCCCCCTCTGAGCTACTTCATCAAATTGAGAAAGATCGAAGGGAATCATGCAGACAAGCGAAAGCCACAAGAACACGATATAACGGAGTTCCCATTCAGAAGGGACATGGAAGAACCCGTTTTCATGAAGCATGTAGTCCCTTGCGATACCCAAGTCGGCGATTTCGTGGGGGAAGAATTTGACTAGTTACGATCGTTTCTAAGTAAATGATCGACGTAGAGAATGAACACCCACCCACCTATGTTCTTGTATCCTCGAAATCTTATATAGCCATATAGGTGGCGACATAGACGATTCATTCGCGCTTTGGAATACTTGATCCCCTCCTGCATCACGGTGGCATGTGCATGCGCTTTCACGGCTTCAATAACTGGCAGAACGAACCGCTCCAGATATGGATCCAGTAAGTAAGACTGCTCCTGATACCCAAGCAGCTATATTCATACGCGTTGGAAAAGCATGGTAAAATGCAACGGGATCGCGCACGATGTTTTGCATTTCGTCAAATGATTCCACTCGATGGAATCCTCAGTTGAGTTGGCCGGGTCGACATGTAGGTCCCAAGAGAGGAATTCTTCCTGAAGCTTAAGTAGTTCATCGTGCTTTTCGAATGTCGAGAAGTGTTGTGGATTTCCATCCCCTTCCTCCGCGTCCATGATGGCTAACGATACGGTGGTGAGCAATGAATAGTTCAAGTTGAACTAGTCAGGGGTTCCATCGAATAGGCGCGCACTTCGGTGACCTTTGATCATGGTGCTTTTCCCGATCATTCAATACTCGGAGTACTCCCATGACAGGCCAAAACATCAATCGCGGGCTGAAGCGCAAACGAACGGAGCCGGCTGAAGGCACTGTGAGTCTCTCCAGAACACTAACCATACCCCCTCTGACGCTGAACAGCAGGCAGACTTAGAGCGAAAATTCGCAGGCAAACTGGTATGTTTCTTCACGCTGGCCGGGAGCCCTGGGGACTGAATATCTTCAAGCATCATGGCATCAAAGAAGCACGGAAGGCCGCAAAGAAAGCCAAAACATTCGAGACGCAAAAACTAATCAAGAAACTCAAACATTTGCGGTCAGCCGCTTCAATCAGCTGAATGCCTTGCCATTGAATGAATTGGGATGTCAATAGATCCGTGCCTGGCAATTCATCCACGGTCCAAGATGCGGAAGCAGAGCTGGAGGCATTGAAGGTGACATCGCTGCCCTGCTGCCAGCGATACGAGGGCTAATATCTCTGTTTACTCCTAGGGCATGAACACCGATACCTTGGCGGAGGTGGCATTGCATTCAAAAATCAAGAAAGACAAAACCCTATGCTCCAACGAGTCTATTCAACCTTCCTTGGAGCAGGAGTTCTCTCTGAGTACTTGGAGCGCGTCATCTTCGGGAACTCCATCAGCGAAGGTACAAGCTCGTATACTCAGCTCAAAATATCTTGCAGTAGAAAGCACGCGTATTCTCGAAGCACTTCGGTCCGTTGTCAACCCAGAGGAACGTCCAAAGAGGGTAGGTCAAGACCAAGAAGAGTCAGCAGACTTGGACACCTCAACGCCAATAACGGAGGTGCGCCACTCCCTGGCCACAAACGCGGGGCACGAGGCAGAGGCAGAGGCAGAAGATACACACTCCGAAGCTGCAGCCATATCCGACGATGAAGGAGAAGATGAGGAAGGCTGGGAATCTGGAACAGTCGGCGGTGATGAAGAGGATTCTGGTGAAGACCTTGACAGGAGAAGCAGACCCGCCCCTGGCAATGACATGGCCGATTCTGATAGCGATTCCGATTCGGACAGTGCTTCGCAAGATATGCTGCATAATCAACCCACCAAGAAGGCGCGGCAGGCTGGTAAAGAGGCGACTCCCGTTAACAGCGCGTCTACTTTCCTTCCCTCTTTGTCCGTCGGTTATATTCGCGGCGATTCTGACGACTCCGACGTCGATGGGAGCGACGCAGGTCAGCCAGATATACAACCAAGAAAAAATCGGAGAGGGCAGCGCGCTAGACGAGCGTGAGTTTTCTCCCTTCTTATCCAACAAGTTTTTATCTCTGACCGGTTCTTCACACAGCATCTGGGAAAAGAAATACGGAAGGAATGCGAACCATAAGAAGAAGGAAATGGAGACTAGTTCGCGGCACACGAGGCCCTCAATACCGCAAACTTCAGGCCGCGGTCGCAAGATGGGCAATAAAGTTATACCCGATGGGAGCGCAAACAAAGTTCACGCCCTGAAGTCTCGTACTTGGGGTGAAAAGCCGTCACACGACCAGAAATTGGTGGCTTCTAAGTCAGCCACCCGTCAACTACCAGCCTCTCAAACTCAAAGTAGCTCCTTGCATCCATCCTGGGAGGCAAAACGCAAAGCAAAAGAGCGGATAGGGATAGTCCCGAGTCAAGGCAAGAAAATTGTATTTTCATAGAGACGGTGCAGCATTCGACAACAATGATCAGCAATGATGAGCACGACATATACATATATACCCCCGTAGATAAGTGTCAACGCCAGTTTACCCGCAGGTGTGTCTTTTCCCATTGACAAGGCGGCATTCTCTAGAGCACCAGCTCTTGTTACATTTCCTACAACTTGGATAATTGTTTCCAGGTTTCCTGCAAGTAGCGCAGTGCATTCTTGTTGCGCAAAATTGTGATTTGCGCTCCACAGCAGCAAGTGTTGGGTCGAGTTTATTTGAGACAGCTTGCAAAGGACGTGGACTGTGAAACAAGCGACATTAAGCCTGAGGGTACGGAGACCTTTGACTCGACTTACCTTGGTAGATCTGGGTCAGAAGACGGAGAGGAGGTGCGGCTAATTGATGGTACAGAGGCATCCGAGCCTGACGCCGAAAAGTCATCTTGCTGCAGTACCTCTGATAGGCCCGTGCTAGAGGGCTTACCGTGCCTCCTGTGTCTGGAGAATCGGGATAATAAGGACGGTCGTGAAGGCGTTGTGCTAATGAAACGCAGCGATGCACTGGCGGACTTGGTCGGTGCAAAAGAGCCAACAGCATTGCTAGGAATAGTGGACATAATGATAGTTGGCTGCGCTTTCGGCAAGTCAAAGGATAGCTTGGAAGAGGTAGAGGATGATACGGAGATCAAGGAGACGGCACGAGAGCGCTTCCTGACCGACGAGGAGGCGAAAGGAGCCTGTGGTGGCCGCAGAGGTCAGTGTCGGTCGCAATGATAAGTGGTCACACGACCAGGATACGGACCTCATAGTCGGGACTGTGGCGGAAGGGGACACTGGTTTTCCCAGAGTAAGTGGAAAACATGGTAGTGGGACGATGGTGGGTGCTATCTCACTGCTCTTTTGTGACGACACGGGCCAGAGGTCTTTTTATGCTCATGTCAGTGGCAGCGGCGGGAGCAATTGGGTATCAGACGCACCAGTTTACAGCAAAGGCAGATCGAGATTGAGAAGCTCCTGGGTGGGCAAGGGGACCCCCTTTGAAGTTTGCAGGCAGATGCGGTATCGGTCTTCGCAAATATACGTTTGCAGCAATGTCATTATTCGGAGAATCGGAGTTTCGTCCAGAACTCCAGTTTCAGACTCCGCGACCACGAAATCGCAATGCCGGCTTGCTCCCGACGGGACGATCCCGAACCCTCTTCATTGGGACTTACCACCTGGATCTCCATCTTTCCTTCCAACCCTCATGGCGACATCATGATATCAACTTGCCTGCTGCTGGATAACCATCCATTTAGCCGTTTAATGGGCACGCGATCACTCAAGTCCGAGGCTGACGTCGGGTCGACTCACACGCCTACATGGTGTACGTAAAGACTCCATAAGTCAAACTACATATGAAGGCTCCAGAGAGCCGACGAAAGGCCTACATCAAACCTGAGTACTTAGTACGACAAGATAAAGTCTGCAGCCGCCCCAGATCGCGAGTGCCCTGACAGGCCTTTCAGCGCTTCAAGCGGCCCGCCCCCGGCCACTTGGCCATTTTGCCTGCGATAAATGGAGTTTGAACGTCACTTTGAGGCTTGTTCGACTATTTCAGTGACTAGAAATCCGTCTGCTCTTCTACCTTCTCGGAGGGAGGGAATGAGCTTAAGGTACGGCACCAACATCGATAACACTCTGCTGACCACCACTTACGTTCAGCATCAGTCCATAGCCTTCGATACGACTCTACATTACGAGCTTTCGCACCACGGGGATATATTGGAGAAGAGAGCGTGGATCCAATCCCTCGTGATGACCCCAATGCTTCTTCTCTAAACAGGCAGAGCTCCGTATTTGTACGGGTCCTCTGGCCCTCAGCGTGCTTTCGTTCCCATACTACCTACCCATGGCTGCGAACGACTCCAAACAGTCTATTGGCAAAGAAGAAATCTTGACCGATGACATACAGCACACTGACGAAATTAGGACAAGCCCTATTCCTAAGAGGACACCTCTGGAACGGCAACAAGCGTTGAAGGCAGCTCTCGAAGTTGATCCTGGGGTCAAAAGATGGAGCCTAAGGGCCATGCAGGTGGGTTTCACTTGATGTTTACTAATGCGCCCTCTGATCGTGACCGCGATTCTACTAGATGTATCTAGTCACCCTTGTAGCTTGTTGCTGCTCTGGGGATAGTGGATTTGACGGAACCGTACGATACATGTCTGATAAGAGTGTCAATGTTGTTTCACTGACCTCGAATATCATAGGTCATGGGCGGTATCAATAGTATGACACAGTATCAGAAGTATTTTGGGTTGACGGGTGTAGGCAAAAGCACCAGGTATGAATTCCTCCATCCACGACGATGTTAATCTATCTCAATGATAATCCAGCATCGTGTTCGGGATCTTCACCATGTTCGTCGTTTCATATCTACCATAGCGATTCGCTCACTAGGACAATCGATCTACCACCAGTGGTTCAATCTGGTATGTCTTGTTGATCCGTCGAGAAACGTTCGTTGTTAAGGCTTGCTTGCATCTAGCGGAACCATCCCCGCATGTGCGTCAGAAGTCTCCCTTTTACTACTCCCGTGCTGTTATCTGACGGCAATCCAGCTTACTTCCCCGATAAATTTGGGCGCCGCTTCTCTATGTTCTTCGGAAACGGGGTATTAATGTTCGTGCATTAGGCGTCCATAAGGCTGCCACGCATGTGCGTTGAAACACGATGTCTGAGCTGACGTCGTCTTGTAGTGTTGGTGCCATCTTAACGGCGAATGCCACGAATGAAGGCATGTTTCTTGGAGGGAGATATCTCACAGGTTCGCTCAAAATGGTCTTTATGGTTCACCAACATCAGTATTCAGTCACCGTTTACCATAGGTCTGGGATCGACATGCGCGGGCGCATCCGCAAAGTCTTTTCTTGCTGAACTCGCCCCCCCTCATTCGCGGGGGGCTTATCTCGGCTTTCTAAACTCATTGTAAGTCACACAGTGCACCTTCAGATCATATGCTGACCGTTTCCGTGAAGCTTCTACGTCGGCCAGATTTCAGCTACAGGCATGATGGTGGCAACAGGGAGATTCGATAGTGATTGGTCTTGGCGCCTCCCCTTGTACATCCAGGTATGGTCTCTCGATGCGCGAATATTCGGCTTCTGATCTAGACATCAATATCACAGGTTGTCCCCGCGGCACTCAACGTCATCTTCGTTTTCTTCTGCCCGGAGTCGTGCGTGCCGTATTCCCTATCAGCTTCTCTTCCTTCTCACCTTCTGATCTTCTGACGCGAACCTTGTTGTATACTCTGTGTTCCCCGCTCACCCTCAAGACCAAGATGGTTATACAGTGTTGGGAAAGAGGCGCAAGCGCGGAGAATCCTTGCGAGATTCCACTCCAGCACCGGTGATCCCAATTCTCCTCTTGTTTCGCTCGAAATGGAGGAGATAGAAGAGAAACTCGTCGTCGGTGGTAGTGACAGTGAGTCGCGGTCTTTCCGTTTCCTCCCTGAAGCGGAGTCGGGTTTCCGGGCCTAATGAGGTACACTCAATCACTCACCACCGTGCTGTTAGAACACTGGTGGGATTTCCGGCCCCTCTTTAGGACGCGAGCGGATAGATACCGAGCGTACATGGTTATTTTGATTGGTGAGTGCCGAAGTGTGCCACGGAGTAGTCATGGAGTAATTCCTTCCCATTGCTCTCGCTGTAGGATCCTTCGGTCAGCTCTCAGGGAACGGCCTTATTACCTACTTCTTGCCGATACTGTTGAAGAATGCCGGCATCACTTCGCAAGACCGTCGTTTGACGTTGAATTTTGTAAATAGCATTACTTCTTAGTGAGTGACATGTCGTGTCGTGTATTTGTCGACGGCTTATTGTGCCACCTAATAGCATCGGCGGTAAGCTTCTGTGTTGTTTGTTTGGTTTTGAGTGTTCGAGGGCTGATGATACTTTCTAACGGTAGCTTTGTCGGTAAGCTTCTCGAGTCGCTGCTGTAGTACACGTTGCCGTGCTAAACAAATTATCCCTTTGCTAGGGATCCTTTATTATTGACCGGATTGGCCGTCGCAAAATACTACTTCTATCAACGAGCGCAATTGTCGTCATCCTAGTTGTAGTCACTGGTCTGCTCAGCTCGTCCGGAAATGCTGCCCAATCCAACGCCGGGATTACCTTCGTCTTCTTGTTCATGATATCTTCTCATTTGGATGGACCCCGATGTAAGTCGCATGTTCCCCTTGAATCTTGATTTGCTGACAACTTGCCTAGGCAAGCCCTGTACCCAGCGGAAGTGCTCAGTTACGAGGCTAGGGCGAAGGGTCTGGCGTTCCTTGGGATAGTCTCGCAGTGTGCCCTCTTGATCAATACCTTCGGGTAAGTTGATCATAGAGTTTAGCTTGTGCCTTGACGCTTACAATGGATTGACAGCCTCCCTGTTGCTCTGGAGAGGATAACGTGGAAAGGCATGTCGCCTCGTTATACGCATTTGGAGCGACATTAACCCTCTACTGCAGTCTATGTGATATTCGCTATTTGGGACCTCTTTGAAGTGATAGTCATCTATTTCTTTGTCGTGGAGACGAAGGGTTTGACGCTGGAGGAAATCAATGAAGTGTTCGAGCAGCCGAACCCACGACAATATAGCACAGGGGTGAAGCGATGAGCCGAGACGCGAGAGGGTTGTGATGGAGACATGCTTTATTGAATACAAGTGTACAATATTTTGCGTATCGGTGCAGAACGAAAGTACTTGATCTCCGCATTGATGAAGTGCTCCACTGCCCCAGTGGTCTCTGTGCTCAACAGTTACAAACAGATGGAATTTGGGCCGCAGCTTGAAGGAGTCCACACGACCGCTCTTTTTGTCGATCGCCTCGATTATTTCGTCGTCGTGCCCAGCTGACTTCAACATTTGCTTCTTCCCAAGTCCTTCACAGTCGCCAGCTTCTCCCCGGTTCCCGGACTTCCTTTGAAGTCACTTCGAGGCCCTTTTCACCATGGTGCGTGCTCTCGAGTCCTTTGCCGATGGTAGCCTGGATCTCACTCCGTGGTGTTTGCTATCAGGGACAAATTCTCTCTTCACCAAGTAAGAAGCTCTATTGCTAGAGAAAATCAGCGACGATGGGCTCACTGTGCATCTTAAACAGTTACGACGAAAAGATCGGAGACGGGCAGAAATGACAAGTTCATGTACTCAGTTTCAGACATGCAAGGATGGAGAATATGTGAGAGATCTTCTGTTTCTCAGAGGGTTTCTCTTGACCCCCTACCGCGCTCGTAGCCATGGAAGATGCGCATGCTACTTTACTCCAGTTGGAAGAAGGACCCAATACGAACGCCTTTTTCGCTGTCTACGACGGTCATGGGGGTTAGTCGTGACCATCTCTCACAATTCCGCTGATACCGATATCTGCCTATCCTCAAGGTAGCACCGTCGCTCGGTTTGCCGGGCAGAATGTACACAAACGGTTATTGTCCGAGGAAACATACCAGCAGCGACAATATGAAACCGCTCTGAAGAAAGCCTTTCTTGGAACGGATGAAGATATACTTGCTAGTGTGTTTAGGTGCTCCTCATCGCGCTCCGATGGACTAATGGCTTCGCTCAGACCCAGCACATACTAAGGATCCATCTGGTTGTACCGCAGTTGCTGCCCTTGTCACAGATGACGGGAAAATATATGTCGTACGTGTTTGATCGATGAACCCCAAGACACCTGACATTTACTATAACCAGGCCAATGCTGGGGACTCCCGTTCCGTCATCAGTGTCAAAGGTGAAGCTAAACCGCTCAGCTTCGATCACAAACCCTCCAACGCAGGTAAGGTTTCACCTTCTCATATCTAATGTCTCCATCTTATCATTTCGTCAGCCGAGGTCGAACGGATTACCGGCGCTGGTGGTTATGTCGAATTCGGTCGCGTTAATGGTCGGATCTTACTTACGTTCTCTCTACGGCTAGATCTGATGGCACCATTTCTCTAGGCAATCTCGCTCTCTCCCGCGCTCTGGGTGATTTCGAATTCAAGAAAAACTATTCCCTCGGCGTCGAGAGACAAGTAATCACCGCCGATCCTGACGTTACCTGCCATGAAATTACAGAGGAAGATGAATTCCTTGTTCTTGCTTGCGATGGTGAGCATTCTGCATGTTTCCACACCATCCTTCACTGATCACATGCTTAGGCATCTGGGATTGCTTGTCTTCCCAGCAAGTCATCGACTTCATCCGATACCAAATTTCGGAAGGAAAACCCCTGCAAGAGATAGGCGAGCTTATGTGTGATCACTGTCTGGCCCCAGATACTTCCTCTGGGACGGGTGTCGGTTGTGATAATATGACAGTGCTCATTGTCGCACTTCTACACGGGCGGACACCAGAGGAATGGTACGCCTGGATAAAGGAACGCGTACAGAAGGGCTACGGCTACAATACTCCCTCAGCACTTCCTCAACTATATTCACAAAGTCGACTCATGTCCTACAAGGCCCGACGGGAAGCTCAAGAGGCTCGGGAGCGCGAGCGCGAGCGGAATCGGGCTGAGAACCCGGATGATAGCAGCAGTGGTGTGTCCTTTCTGGTCAATCCGCTGAGCGGGTTCGCTCGGGTGCTTGGTAGCACAGGTGGTATCTCCTTTTCCCCCGACTCGAACATTATCACGGATGGAGGACCGTTGATGTTCGCAGACAACGATAGCGACGACGATGACGATGAAGAAGATACCGGACGATCGTTCTTCAGCGAAACCCTCGGTATCGGACGCTCAGAATCTCCCGATCCTACTCGGGCATTGAAGGCAGGCATAGACGAGCTGGAACTCAGTATGCGGGACGGGGCAAACGATGGAGACGATGATACCGCCATGGACACTGACGAAGAATTGGAATCCACGTTTGCGAATGGCGCGAAAGCTGGTGATAGCTCTTCGCAGGGCGAGGCGCCGCCACCTCCGAAGCCTCTACCGAATGGCACTGCCAATGGCCCCACAACCCCAGTAGAGCAGCTGAAATCCGAGCCAGGTGGTGATGCTGCACCCCCCGTTGTAAAGCAAGAAGGCCTTATGGATAAAAGCGAGGATCCTACCAAAGCCTGAATAATCCATGTCCTTCGTACTGTATTTTTCTTTCTTCCACTTGCAAGTTTTGCTTCTCCTTCTGATACCTTTATTCCGGGTTGCTGAGGTCCTCCGCGCTTCGTGTTATCTATTACTAGCAAGTTTCTGCCTTTCCAACGATATCCCTGTAGTAGTATACTGTTCACAGGCATAGACGGTTTCATACATAATACCACACAGCTTCTGTATCGCATTTGTAGTAATGCATCCACATATGTATGTCTACAGTCTGTAATATCCATCTCTTTGCTTGCTCTCTCTATCTGTGTTCCATCAACTATCCTCAGACAACACCAGCAACGATCACTAACTCTCCTTCGGTAAGGCATGCGAGGACGGTGTCATCGCCCACTCGCAGAGCACCAACTCCAAGGAGTGATCCCGCCAAGCCATTTCCGATTTTTAGAACAGCCTGTTTCGCCCATGTCTCCTGCAGAGGCGCCGCACGATAGATGTACAGATTGCCACCACGGCCGGAAGACCCGTTCTCGAATGCGAACGCTGCTGTCCACGGGATGTGATATGTGAATCGCGTGTCCTGCTTGGAAGCGAGGACGAATGCAAGCGCGGAGAATGTGGAGATGTGATCCCATTCTGAGGGCGAAGATGAGCTCAAGGCAAAGACCGCGCCGTCGACGTTGTTCTTGGTGACGATGGACGGGATGCATGATTCTGATGCGCCGGGAAGGGGAGTAGATAGGACCGTCACGGGAGCTTGGCGAGTGTCAGAGAACCAAGACGGGGTTGATCCATCGTCAGTGATCCAAGTGACGACGACGTTTCTTCCTACGGCCGAATCGACCTCTTCGTCCATCTCGCCTTCGGCCAGGCTAGGCATACCCTTCCCTAACCCCAAACCACTGGGGTCCTCGCCCTCCCTTAGAGCTACAGTGTACTTCTCTAGCGCTTCTCTGACTTTCCATAATTCAGAAGGATCGAGGGTCTCGGGAACGTCAATATCGGTTTCATTCGGTTGGGCAGCAGCGGCGAATACATGTTGCCACTTCAGGTCTTCTTGTTGTTTATCGAGATGCAGTGTCAGGATCCCGTACGAACGTTCCCCTTCCTTATCCCACGTCCAGTAGCTGGATGATGGCTGGATGTTGTCCCACACCGATTTATCAGTGTAGGAAGGCAATGGTAGAGTGCTCAAATCGCCTCCTTTGACTTGTAGGGTTATTGCACGAGGCGAAAATGACACATTGATGTCAGATTTCGGTATCGATGCTGGTAGTGGGAAGGCCACGGTGACGGAGTCTGAGGCTTGCGTCCAGGAGTACGGAGGAGGCCTTTCTGGGGTTGGTTGTTCCACGTCCATGTTTTCGTCTGCTTGCGGTATGGGAGCGATTTCTTCAGGAGACGGAGTGTATTGCGGCTGCGGAGGCTGGTCGATCGTTCGATAAACAGACGATCCCAGCAACATGAACGCATTTCGTTCGGCTTCGTGTATGACATATATCGGGACATCGTCTCCGCGTCTGCGCCATACGACATTCATAGGACGTACTTGATCAGGTTCGTCATTGAAAGGAAACGAAAAAGAGATCGCCCATATATCGAATTCAACGTGAACTTTGCGTGCTTTGGCCGGGGTGGAGGTCTCGGCTTCAGTGAGAGGTGCATGGTGCCGCGATGAGAGGATCACTGTCACACTAGAAGGGAGTGAGATTGTTGCGTCATGTATTTTGAATGGTATGGGTGCCGAAGATTCGTCCGATGGGATGGGCAACACGTAAACCCCTCTCAATGTGGCTGAATGGCCATCCAACGACTCCAGGATATACAAGGATCCATGTCCGTCCGAAACAAAGATGATGGTAGATGTCAAGAATGCAGCAGACGGATATTCGCTCTGATATTGTTGCGTGTCCTCGCTTTGCACCGGAGTAGGCAACTCGTAGAGAACATGAAACGAGGGCGCCAGGCTGTCCTACTTGCAGAATAAATAAGTCGATGTTGAAGGGAGGGGATCACTCTGGAAGCGCACCTCATTTAGACTAACGGAAATGACTCTCCTGGACGCATCAACATACAAAGCACGGCTGCCGTCCCTCGGTACGGTGATGTGGTTGTGGGAGATGCGGCTCTGCACTTCCTGGAACGACAAGGGGGATTTTCCAGATACAGTAGCTTGGGTGGCTGGATACTGAAGGCCAAACCTGGAAACATAATCATCTTGAGCGATAAGACTCAACCGATATCCTTCAAATTTTGAGTTGATGAGAGCCCGATTCACTTGCATCCTGACAGTTGTAGAACAGGAGTGCTCGGCGCTTGTTATTCGATCGATCGTTTATGTTAGGCGCCACGGTCCGGCCTGCTTTAATCGGAACCTCCAACACCGGCGAGTGCGTCCCACGGAAACATTTCAAAATGCGGGCAACTGTGCTTTGTCGCGAAATCCATGTCAGGGACAGGCGCGCGACAACGAGGCGGCCCTTGAGACAAAGCAATATGGTGGACAAAGAAGTGACAAGTCGCCTTTACTGTATCTTCCGATTCGTCAAAGGCTGATACAATATATAACCCAGAATCGCGACGCGTTTGATAAAGGCCGCGCTCTTCATCCCATCCTACAGTGCAGCCATGCTCGCACCATATACGCCTCCAAGTCTCGTCGATAATCAGGCATTCAACGCGGGGAACCACCATCGTCCCAATCTTGTCTTTACCAATGTCCGACTGGCTCACCCAGATCCAGCAAAGGCAAATCGTCTGTGGAAGGTCGAATGCAGAGGCGGACGTGTGTCAAAGGTCTCCGGAATGGGCGACAACGTAAAGACCACATCGCTAAAGTATTTCACATTCGACTGCAAGGGGGGGTTCATGTTACCGGCGTATGTCCTTTGTGTACCTGTGGTGGACAACGACGACTGACCGTTCGAGCATGCGTACTTAGCCTATGCCACCCACACATACACCTCGATAAGTGCTTTATCATGTCGAGCTGTGGTGATCTCCACACAGGGTGGGCATTGCACGATTCTACGATATACCGTCTGCTCATGGAAGTTCATCTAGTGATTTTGTGGAGGCGATGGCTCTAACTGGAAAGGCCAAAGCCTCGTTCGACAAAAGAGACCTCTACTATAGAGGCGCTCGACTTGTCTTGGAGAGTGTGGAATGCGGCGTTACTTGCATGCGTGCACATGTCGAAGTCGATACTATCGTTGGGTCAAATTGTATTGACGTTGGCCTGCAACTGAAACGCACATTCCGGCCTATCTGCGACATACAGATTGCTGGTGAGCCCCCTCCTTTACATAAGACGATAGCAAGCCACTCATCATCCCCAGCCTTCGCGCAGGAACCTCTATTTGCCGATCCTGATGACGAAAAACCAGGCCCTAATTTCGACCGTCTCAAAGAAGCTGTTGCACTTGATGGTGTCTCCGTAGTCGGTTCTGCACCATACGTGGAAAAGAACCTTGATCAAATGAAGCGCAACATCCGCCTCATTCTATCGCTTGCCGCTGAACATGACCTTCACGCAGATTTCCATCTCGACTACAACGTCGACCCTGAATCTGAGCCCCTCATCTACGAAGTCATCGACCACGTTCGCAATAACCGCTACTGGAGTGGAACCAGGGCCGATGGCTCTCGTCCCAGTGTGGTGATCGGCCATGCGTCTCGGTTGCAGCTGTTCCCTCCCAGCCAGTGGAAGGATCTAGCGAAAGAGATACAGGATCTTCCTATCCATCTCGTCGGACTGCCTCAGTCAGATATGTACATGCTTGGGCGTTCAGATGCAAAGAAACCCCTTGGTCCACCAAGAAGTACCCTCCACGTCCCGAAGATCAAGAAGGATTATGGAATCAAAGTAGCAATGGGAGTCAACAATGTCGACAATCCGTTTACCCCTCAAGGTTCTTTGGATCCTCTTTCACTCTGTACATTTGGTGTCGCTGTCTTCCAAGCTGCTACCACCGAGGACCTGGAAATATTAGCTGTATGCTCTCCTCCCCCCCGCTAGTCTTGCCAAACTAAACAATCTCATAGAGTTCAGTAACCTACACCGCGAGGAAAGCAATTGCGATCGAAGAATCTCATAAAGCCATCTTTCCATCCCGCTTCGACCCAGCCGACTTCGTGATTTTACATGACAATCACAGCCTTCAATCCGCTATCTTCTCGCCCTGCTACGACAGAACCACCATTCGCGCTGGTCAAATCGTCTCGCGCCGTCGAACGCACAAGTGGAACATTGGCGTCGGGGACATAAAATGGTATCGACGCACTTGGCCGGAACGTCTTCGTTGGGGAAAGTTATGGTGCCCTCCATATGCTGCCTACCTCTGGTACAAAGGAAGACGTGCGCATCACCTAACGTCACTTCCTTCGTGTTTCTAACTACTCTGCAGTATTCCGCCCAATGATTTCGGTCTATCCAAGGGAGTACGAGATGAACTTCAAGGATACTGATTCAGTCGTTCTTATGAACGCTGACGAAGACGTCAAGGAAGACGACAAGGTGTTGAGAGAGTTCGGGATCAAGTTAAACCGCATGGACAAATACCCTGACTGGGTTATACTGCAACAAGGCGCGCCGTAGGTGGCTTTATTTAGCCTTTCATCTCCGTTGCCTAATTACTCCCGTAGGCCTTCGCTGTTCCTGAAGCCTTGGATACCTTTGAGATACCAAGATGACGATTGATGAGTTGATTGATTGAAGGGTTTATGTTATATAACGACACTGTAGTGGTACCATTCTTCAACGCCTGAACAGCTTGGTGTCGCGGGTTGCCATCCGAAGTCATTGTAGTTCGCCAGTATCAGTTCTCGAAGAGTGATAAGAAGGCTTCGAACTGTCGGAATCGATCACTAATCCTTCTTCTTGCATTGCAATCTCGAATGCCGTGTCTAACAGCATTATGTCCGATAGCAGTGTGTTGGAAGGTGAGAAGTGAGAGATTACTAGTGGACCCACAATATCTTACCTGGATGTGTCGCCCAGGGGATCCGTAAATTCAGCCCAGTCCTCGTCAACATTGATGTCCAGGGTTGCGCCGTCTTTAAACATGATTTTGAAGCGTCCTCCTTGTGAGATACGAGAGCCATAGCGAACACACCATCCGATCGATGGAATGAAGCGAGTTTGAAGGTCAGATGAAGGTTCGGCGGTGTCGCAAAGGAAGCCAGACAGATTCGGTCCATCCAGAGTAATAAGGCGTGGGTCTGCCGTCGTTGTGTCCGTGTCTGAGGCCAGTGATAGAGAAACATCGTTGGGCTGTGCATAGTAGCAACTTTTGAAGGGTATCTGTTGTTGTCCTGGTTGGTAGCTGGTCTTTACTGGTCGAGGAATGAGGCCGCCAGATAGTGACTGAACCACCGTCGAGAGAGGAGAACGCATTGTCGACCCAGAAGGAATAGAAAGAACTCCGTCCCCACTTTCATTGTTTTCGTTTGCAACAGGTACAACCGGCGCATTTTCGATAGTCTCGCATTTCTTCAAGAAGTCAGAAAGTTGGGCGAGTGCATCGCGCTCTACGTCCGCTAAAGCACGATAATCAGAAGCAGAGATATCAGCCGGATGCTTATATCCAATTAGGTCTTTCTTGAGCCATTCGCCTCCTTGATCTGTGTCAACATAACGGGCGATCTCCAGTGAACGACATTGGCGGCTAAAGCGGACCCTCATCGTTGGTACAGCGTCCGCTATGGTGGCCGGCAGTTTATGTGAAGGAGAATAAGATCTAAACAGCAGTTCAATGTCAGCGGGAGGACCGTTAGCCCATAAAGTACATCTTGCAACGGGAGTGTAAAGGACGAGCTGCATATATGCGCCATCATTATAAGGATGTAGTTCCAGCTGAGTTATATTTACCTGGGGAGTTCGCCTTTTGATTTCCTCGACCGACTTCGCAGCATCGTTGAACTGTTTCCAGTAAGCTGTTGGCAAATCCTCAAGGCGATATGATACGTAAAGCTGGTTAAGCTTCCACGGCGTTGACATATCGGGCATATTGTATACGTCAATCTACGAGCCAATGATTGGGTCAACGGTGCACTCGGGCTGCTGTAGACATACCTGAGCACCATTCGGCTCAATTATCAGCACCGCCCATTCGTCCTGGTGTGTGACATGTCGGCTCTCTCGGAAGTCAACGAGTAAAGAACGACATTGAAGTACGGTGATCCGACCATGGATAGTTCTGTGTGTTTGGGGTGCCAAAAGATCAGTGCTGAAAGGAAGAGGACGAGTGATGCCTATAGGGAGGGGTGGTGGTGGTGGTGGTGGTGGTGGTGGTGTCGCCTCAAACTAGACTCAATGATTGGAAAAATCGGAGAGGGAAATATTTACCTTGGTATTCCGAGATGTTTGCATTGGACGCAGAATCGGAGTAATACGCCGTTGAGGGGGGTCGAGGTTCTGGAGGCGCGACGAGACCTTCTGGAGGAGAGCCGATGGTTGTGTTTCTGGTTTACTAGCTGGCTCTGCTAGGGCCACAGCCCGACGAGGAAATGGATCAGAAACGACGCGTCTAGACGCTCCACCCCCCTGAGTGGTTCGAGACGCAAGTTCATCCGCAAGCAAACTGCGTAAGTCAGTATTTACGACATTGGAGTGGGATATCGCTCGCTTAGGTTGGCGTGAAGAAGGGGGTCGAGGTGGGAGGGAAATGGATTGCTTTAATTGGAGGAAGGTTGACTTCTTTGAGGGATTCCCGTCATTCTCCGAAAGAAAGATCGGTTTCGCGGCTGCGGATGAGTGTTGAATGAAGGGATGAGTTCTAGTTCCAAGGGCTTTTATGCGAGAGCCAGGCGACTAAGTATGCAATAATGAGCAAATATGGTAATGATGGCGGAGAGAGCTTACAATTCGAAGCAATCCATCGAGGAGATCCAATAGCTGGGGGCCTACGCCCTTCGCAGAACCTAGAGCCTTCGAGGCTATAAGTATCCCCAGGATAATCGATAACAGCAGAAGGATCGTACCGTGTAGGAGGGTGTTCCTGTTATGCACGCTACTAACACGCAGCCTAGCGACCACATGTCGGTTGGGAAGCTATACGATCCCCTTGATGTCATTTCTCTTCAGGCAACGGTGATTATCTATTCTCGTCAAACGATAAATGAAGCACTTACGGAGAACAGTACGCAACGTTTCCACATACGCCTGACATATAGGAGGTAGGTGTCCGCAATCGTGTGGCGTGTGCGAAACCGGACAGTTTCTGTGTCGCGAAGTTAACCCATGCATTCAAATTTTTGGAACACCGTGAGCATACCGCCTTCTTGTCGTGGGTAATGAGGATCGCGCCCGGCCAAACATTCCTATGTAATACAAGGCCCTCGTGCAGGTACGCGAGCGCCGATGCGATACCTCCGGCAACTTCGAAGAGCAAATCATTGCCAACATGAGGCATCAAAGTTTCCAAACTCCCTTCGGCGCAATATTCCAGGACATGATAACGAGCAAAAGGGGTTCTGAAGACCGAAAACAGACTGACTATTGACGGGTGATGCATTTCGGCATGGATCCCTTCGGAATCAGACGGTTTGCAGAGAACCTCCGTTGCAACTGGCAGCTGGGACGCGCTAAGCTGCATTCATGATTGCCTAGAAAATAAGCTCACCTCTTTTAATATTACCCGCTTTCCTGGTAGTCGACCCTTTTTGCATGTTGCCAAGTGCGTACTGCTCCCGATTTGCTCGACTAAATCATAGTCCTATCCCCCGATTCAGAGGATGAAAAAGCAGCAAAATTACGATACTCACAGACAACATCGCACTTTCAAAGAAATAAGAGATATCGCGTCGAAAACGCGCTCGAAAGGTCGACGAGGTCGACTGAGCTCGGTGCAGCGCAGGAGACATCCACGGAAATTACTGCAGAGGGGATTGGCACGTGCAACGAGTCAGGGGTTCAATGAGACTCAATGAGGATAAACATTTTGACTTGAACAGTCACATATGACATAGATCATAGATTCATAGGAAGACAGCAGTAGCTCATATTTAGAACATCGGAGTCCAAGCATACTGGGTACGAAGTAGAGAAGCATGGCGTTCTCAGAATTCACATTAAACGTGGGTGATTTAGTAAGTACAGGCGCGTCCTTTCTTCCATCTATTTGATAGGCCCCGAAGAAGGGTTGTTACCTTTGGGTGGCAGTCCCGAGTAGGGATTTTTACTTCATGATTGTATTCCGAGCGTTGTAGAACCTCGGACGGTGGGGTGGGAATATCTAGTGTATCATCGGGCGTTCGTCTACATTTCCGTAATCGTTGTGAAGTCCGGGAGCAGAGGTCGCTACAGATGGTATTCGGTGAACGCCTTTGAGGGAGCATCGGCCGAGAAAATATGGGTGTTTTGGGGCGCTCTAACATTGACCACGTCTTCGACGCAAAGTCATCATCGCCTTCATCTCGACTGACGGAAATATAACTCGAAGTCGAGGTAGTCGTAATAGAAAACCGAGAGCTCTGAGAAGTCGCGTCAGCGTTCTGTAGGCACTATAAGGAAACCATCCTCACCAAATGGTGCTCAGCTGCAAACACTGAGAAAGCGCGGTTGTATCGCATCTCTATGTCTGTCACCGAGGGAGTATTGAACGGCCCCACTTCAAAGTCTTGCTCGAAGCGGTCGAGACACGGGTAACCGTCATGAGCCCTGCTCAACAGGGATCCGCGTATATAAACGTCCGCGCCGCCAACAGTGGATGACGTCTGAGTGCGCACACCGTGTCTGGCTCGCTTGGACAGTGATAGGCGACTATGACTTCCAGCGAAGAGATATCGATGCGTATCACGGAAGAACGCTAGTGTCCTTGGCGTCTCGGACAAGACATGCGTTGACGAGAGGGTTTTTAGAGTGATTACTTGCGACTGAGCATCTAAAGGTTCGGAAGGCGACATTGGTCTTGAATCCGGAAAGTAGTTGGCCGAACCGAGGAGCTCTGCTCCCGAAAATACTACTAATCCGTCTTCGGGATCCCAGATGACAGCGAAAGTGAGAGCTGTATCTGGAGGGATAATTTCGGACCAACGATGGTTGTTCGTTGGTACATCCTATATATACAATAATGAATAACGCGTTCAGTTGTAAACAATACGAGGTTCATACCGACGATCGACCGGGTAAATGGGAAAGTGGAGCTGGCTTAGGAGTTGGTTTAGCTGAGTGTTTTAGTATCATAATGAAGAACAACGATTAATTGTGTTGCGGGGGAGGGGAGTTTTAGAGAAAGTCGATGCAGCGGTACGAGCGCAAAGATGGGCGCAAGGAGAGTGAATCAAGGAGATCAGATAGGGCTTACCTTGCGAATTTTGTGAGGGCTTGATATAAGCCCCCTCGGAGCACCCAACACATGTTGTAGCCAACACGTTTCTTACAAACGCAAAGTATACATAGTCGTCATGCGAAAAGACCGTGCCAGTGTATTCCGATCTGAGTCACTCCTGGGAAATGTCATAATGAGAACGCGACACGGCGGCGGACTTTTAGAAGCCTGCCTTTCTCATGGTGTTCCATGACCTTGGTCCTTGTCTCTCTCTTCGTAAATAACGAAATCTAGCAACCACCCGCCAATAAGTTATCGCTGAAACTCTCAAGTGGCGTTTCATTTACAATGACAGGAATGCAGGCATGTAAATTTGTTGAGATAGAGTGGGAACAACGGGTGCAGAGCCCAAAGCCACGGCGGTAAGTAAGTTACAACCGTGAGTCCTTTCAACTTGCATTGAAGTTCGCCGTCGGAGGGCGCTAGATCATGCTTCATGGCCGTTCATGCACTTTTAGGGAAGACTCCTGATCGAATAACACGCGAAACATGAGGATCGATCGGATGTGGGCAATTCATTGCTCACCGTCACTCGAGTATGCTTTGGGGAACTTGTCGGCGATAAAGACATTGACCCTGCTTTTGTACAAGTCAAATGCCTGTCTTTCACATAGTGCAGAATCTTACTCAAGACGTGTCGCAACTTGGCCTCGGACCACCACCACTCCCGCTCAGTAGGTGCCACGTCTTCAGACACCGAAGATATGTGCTTTCCAGCACAGTATCGATCAAATACGACATTTCCCTGTCTCCCAATGTCGACTAGGCACGCTGGAGGTACCGACTCGAGGATTTGCGTTGTCAGACCTTTCAGAGACCCCATAAAGAAGGCGGACAATTGCATGTAGGTCAAATTCGTGGCTCGGTCTCTTACAACTCGAAGTAGGTCGAGCATATCGGCGTTGCTCTATAAGGAGCCAATTAGACGCATTGGGAAAGGAGAAGGAGAAACCTCACCTGTGCCGGAAACATTATTTGGAGCCACCGAAGTTTGTGCATCAAGCGTATGCCAGGGAGGAGATATTCAGCTTTAGATGCGAAGCAGCCTAAGAATTCAATGTGTGCGAGAGCCTCTTCCATGGCGAGGGACGGAGCGTGGTCGAACGAGGAATTGTCCGACACGAGCATTAGACTCAAGTGAGTGACCTTTCTTCCTGGTAAAATGTTCATAGCCATTGATGAGGGCACCACTAATTCCTTCAGCCGCGGCAATGCTTCAGGGGATAGGTTGATGGTAGTCGTTGTCAGCACCAGGTGTAGATGTTCAATAAACGGCTGGCTTTCAAGGAATGGCACCAACGCCTGGAGACCCGCCCGTGGATTCTGCCATACGAACTTGGTGAGAAAGAATGGACAATGCACTTTTGTCAGAGCCGTAATGGAAATATCCGAATTGATACAAATTTTGAGCCTCAAGTCCTTGAGACCGACCAGATACCGGAGCGTGTCATGCAGGGAGAAATCCTCTGGAGGATTGTTGGAATCCGCTAGATCGATGGTAAATTTCTTTACTTTCGAGGCGAGGTACGAGTTCGAAGCGATGCGCCGTTGAAACTTGTGAAACCTGGGCCGCAGCGCAGTTTGGGGTTTGGCTATGAACTCGACGGAAGAGTATAGCCGAGGTTCCGTACAGGCATAGAAGCACCGTGATACGGAAAGCAATGTATGAAGCGTTGCTCGGTCTTCGACCCAATCAAGAATTGTCTGAAGTACATCGTCTGTGAGTTTGTCCATTGACGGTCGTTGAGGGTAATGATTACACGGGCGGCTATGTGGTTGCTGGGCGGCTGTTTGGTTCTGAGAAGTCCGTCCAAGTTGCTGAGTTAAAGCTGACGATTTCAAGCTTTGGTGGGAGTACGTGCAACGTCGACAAAAAACTGGCAATAAACTGGCCAAAGCAAGCGCGTATCATACACACAGCTTCCTACATCAATAATTGATATCAACGGTGATTCGACGTTTCATAACGGGGCGAATCACGCCTCCCTTTACCGCCTCCCTCGCACCAATTACATACCGTGGCAGATAACGGAAGGCGTAGCACGTTGACATTTGCATGCTACAAGCTTGTCGGACACGGCATGGCCCTGAGACAACTAGAAGAGGCGCAATATAAATTGTCTAGAGCATGGACATCCATGAAAGTTGGAAAGAGCATTATCCAGAGGGTCAGTGCGATCGCGCCTGATCGTTAACGATACAAGGGTTGGATCCGGCGGACGTAGCCTTCGACCCGCTCCTGTTTGTCAAACAAACCTTCGACGGAGGGCTTAATTTGGAGCCCGACTCTTTCCTGTTTGTCGGAGATGCTACAATGTTGAAGCGAGTGTTTAATTATCCTCCATGGCATTAGGGAATGCTGAAGGCAGGATATCCGAGGCATCCTTACATACCAACTACTTGAATTCACAGGTGGAGACCTAGCTGTGATTAGGGACAATCGATCCCAAGAACTTGGTGTCTCGGTAATTTGGGGGTAAGTAATTTTGCTAGCGAAGTGGCGCATCCTTGAATCAGTTGAGGCAGTTCGGAGTTCACCCTGTCGGTACATGCGAAGATCGGCATCCCAGCCCAGACGTAGGTCGAGGATATATCCTGACACATCCGCTAAGGTGGCTCGGGGGCAGTCGGAGGGGGGATAGAGAAGGATTCCGTGCGATGGCCCTACGTACGACGATCGCGCGGGAGGTGTGAAGCCGGTAGACCTTATTCCACGCGTGAGGGAGTAAGCAGCAACTTGATTGACTGCTGGAGAGGCATGCCGTGCAACGTGAAGCTTAAGATGTACGTTTGGGGCTCCAATGATTGGGTTTGTTCCCTTCTCAGTAGAATTAGTCAGACTCGTGGTGACATATTGGCAAGGCAAATACCCGTTGCAATCCCCAAAAATGTAGGAACACGGAATGTTGAACTACCATCGATATGGGAGTCGGAGAGGCCTCGACTCGGAAGCGCTGTGGTCGCAATGCGATCACGTGTGGCTCCATCTCCGTTCAGGGGTGCGCGCGACCTGGGCTCGTCGAGTCCTAACCTTGCTTTCACTGGCATGCAGCATCCTGAAGGCTCTCTTGCAGAAAGCTCCAGGTCGCTCGCTTCTGGTGTGTCTGGCCCCTTGTGTACTTACTAATTGAAACCTGTGGACGGAGGGAATGGCACGGAGAGCAACACATGTAAGTACACAAAACCAGTACAGTTGACAACGTTGTCGATAAGCCTTGAAGTTGAATTCTTGCTCTTCGCCGCCAATTCTGACTTCTATGTACAGCCTCTGTTAATGCAAGTATGAGTATGGACCCAACTGCTGTTGCATGTCGCTGTACCTCGTCCTCAACTAGTTTCAGTCATGGTGATGTCCACCACTCCAGCCGCCTGCATGAGCCCATGCCTTCTACGTAAAGGTGAGCGAGAAAGGGCACTTCACCCACGAGTACTTGTCATGACCGTCTCTCTGAGCCCGCACCAGTTGGCAGGGGTCGGGAGACTAGAGGTACGTTCTTAGAATTTGTACAATCGTCGTCGAGCCGACCGTTGTATTTCTTGTAGGCGAGGGCCAGGATGCTACTACTGTAGTACTGCTTTCCCTTCGTAAGTTCTGTCGACACCGCACAATCAGTGGCTTGTCCGGCGGCATGTATGGCCAGAACCGTTAACCAAGCTCTCGAAAGGAATGCGCTCACGGTCGGAGTCGCTTACCAAGGGACTGCAGCATGAAAGGCGGTATCGCCAGCACCGCGGCCTACGCCCTTGTGCAGCATCGCGACAAATTCATGGACACCCCGGCCCTGTTTCCAACCTATCCACCAAAAATGTCGGTCCCCGCCATTAGCAATGTCAACCTTGGTACATCTTGACTCCCCCCCAATACAGAAACTTCTCGCGTCAGTTGCGTGAGTGTAGCCATTCGTTCAAAATATTAACCTCGGTGACATAAATTCATATTAGTTCAAATGATATCTTCGGGAACATTCGTCCAAGCTGCACACGCCAACGATAGAACGATGAAGTCACTCATGAGCAAATTGCCTGACAGCTGGGCGTCGGCCGCTGCATAGAGCTCTCCAGGAATTCCCAGCCTTCGTGATATAATTTCGACGCGTCTCCTTGACGTCTCCTGGGAAGCAAGCGCGTTATTTGCTATTATTTGGTCGCGAGCGATGGCCCAGTTTGCAACTCCGAGACTACGATCAACTCGAACTTGGTTTACCAGGTAAGGTGTCCAGCGACCTTTTTGCGTGCCCTAAACCATCAACATTTCTATCATGCCAAGGCTTTGATTTCAAGAAATCCCACCCGACAAACACCCCTCTCATTTTACAGCCCAAGGATCCGCCGTGCTATCTTCGGTGGGTTGTCCCTGTTCCATGGAATATACGCCGGCCACCTATCTTTGAAACAATGACAAAAGAATCCACTATCACGGTCCGAACCTTGCTTGCTTTGTCTCTTGAATGAAATAGATCTGGCAGCACCGAAAGATTTGAGTTGTAGCATCTTTCGTGGCCGGCTTTGACATTTCACAGGTCCACTACACATACTTACGGGTTGTTTACAAGCTCGTATCGTCTGTACATTCCGAACTAATGGTATTCGGTGCACCATCGGTGTTCTGAAGGTGCGAGGTTCTTGCTTGCTGTCACTGAGCGATGATATCCATATTCATATTCAATTGCGTATCAGCCCCGCTCAACAATAAACGCGGTTGACATTTGCGATCGGACCCTGGCGCTCCATCCATGGAACCTTTTCTCCTTGTAAGACAATGCCGTCGGTTTGCACTAGCGAGTCAGGATCAGGTTTGATTCAGGACAGCTCAGGACTGGGTGTAACGACGATCTCAAATTTCACATGAGAGGGATCTCGTCTGTATGCCTTCAGAGATTAGGTTGGAACTAGATAGTGCTTGTCTCCGCGATGGCATGAACATAGGAATTCCAGCGCCAAGGTCAGATTTTCATATTGTTTTGTGGCTTTAGACTACTTGCAGACGTCAGTCATCTCATATGCCCCTATATCGGACAAAGCGAGCTCATTCTCTCCCTCCTAGAAAATGAATATTCTCGTGGCATCTGCATTGTCCTTACCACTCATTTGCGCAACCCTTAACCGATAGATTCAGGGATATGTCTCACCACAGAATGGCACACTTTGGGGGCCAAGATCTCATAATCTGCCACTTCTCTTGTTCGACTCGACGGCTTTATAACCGAGCGCAAATTCTGGGTGGTGCTCAGGTCGTTCTATCGCTTCCTACCCACCCATTACTCTACCTCTATATCCCACAATGGCCCCCACCGCCTCCTTCATACCCGATTCAGAGAGGGCACCCTCGTCCTTCATACTTCCCGATCTTGTCTCTCATTGCAAGTTCCCTCTCACATATCACCCCCAAGGCGACGAGATAGCTCTCCAATCCGTTACCTGGCTCGATGCTATGTGTCCCGACCTCTCTCCCAAAGCCCGAAAGGCTCTTTGGGGCCTTCAGGCCGGGGAGCTCACCGCTTATTGCTACCCCGACTCCACCGCCGAACGTCTTCGAGTCGTCAGCGACTTCATGAACTACCTCTTCCATCTCGACAATATCAGTGACGGTATGATGACCCGTGAGACCGACGTTCTGGCCGATTCAGTCATGAACGCGTTGTGGTACCCCGAGGAATACATGCCCACACACGCCAAAGGGAAGGTGCAGCCTGCTGAAGAGCTCAACGCTGGAAAGATCGCCAGAGAGTGAGTCCAGCCGCTATCCTCAACATTCTCGCCAATTCTCATCGTTTATTGCAGCTACTGGTCCCGCTGCATCACAGACGCTGGGCCGGGCGTTCAAGCGCGCTTCAAGGAGAGCCTTGAGCTATTCTTCGAGGCTGTCAACGTGCAGGCTCGTGCCCGTGACGCGGACGAAGTTCAGGACCTCGAATCCTATATCGACGTTCGCCGCGACACTAGCGGCTGCAAGCCCGTCTTCGATCTCATTGAATACGCCATGGGCTTCGACCTGCCAGAAGAGGTTGTCACCAACCCCATCATTAAGGCCCTCAATCAAGGAACCAACGACCTCGTCACCTGGTCCAATGTAAGTTACACGTCCATCCATTTTGTTCTATATATCTGACCGTTACCTCTCACAATAGGACATTTTCTCCTACAACGTCGAGCAGTCCCGCGGTGACACCCACAACATGATCGTCATCCTCATGACCTACCACGGCCATACGCTCCAAAGTGCCGTCGACTATGTCGGTGACCTCTGCAGCAAGACGATCGACACTTTCATCGAAAACCGCACAAAAGTTCCTTCGTGGGGACCGGAGATCGACGTAATGGCCCAAGCCTATGTTCAAGGCTTGCAGGATTGGATCACTGGGTTCGTAATTGCACTAGTACTCTTTATATTTATCCTAGAGCTAACACACTACACCTTGCCCTTGCCCTTAGTTCTTTGCACTGGAGCTTCATGACCCACCGTTACTTCGGCACCAATGGCGCTGAAGTGAAGAATACGAGGTTTGTGAAGTTGCTGCCGTTGAAGGGCGAACCCACGGTGGCCTAGTCTTCTTCTATTGGTTGTACCTGACGAACCTTCTACGACACGCTTAAAAAATTTGTATCACAACCCCTTCTTACGACCCCTTCGACTTTCATCATGTCTTCGACCGGATTGATTACTGAGTTTTTGGTATATTTCCTTCCCGTTTACGAATTTTTACACCATATCCCTTAGATGCTGTGTATGTCCATAGAATGTGTATTGTATGTATATATATATATGACAAGCGAACTTGATTGAGACGACCAGCAGTATCATCACTTCATTCACCGTGGACCGTCTAACATATCGATCGAACTTGGGTTTGATCTTCTCCCCGAGAAAGGAGGTACCCTCACATTGCCATGGAGTCGTCATAGTAGCATATCAGGACAAGAGGGTTGGCAATATGATATACTTGGAACCTACTTGCGAACACAGCAGCACGGGTACAACACGCAGGTAGACGGGCCTACTGTTCATGCAGCGAAAGGAATCATTGTCCACATTCATAAGAACTGATGCTTACACTTATATATCATAGCGAAACACTGCTCCACCAAGCCGTGGACGCAGCGCCTGTCCATGGATCTGGGCAAACCGTTCGCATCCCATGATCGACACCTCTCTGAACGTCCCCTCACCGCAATGATAGTCTACCATGACTTCCGCGCGCCGACTTAACGTCTCCAGTATAGCATCACCTGATACCCTTATACAATCGAACAGCCGCAGTACACCCAGCCTGGGTACGCGTAGTTTTACGGTCCCTCTGCCCGATGACTCGTAATACGGCGCTAGCAGCCTGATGACGTTGTCCGACAAATCCGAGGCGACGATGCTGAACTCCTCCAGCTTGTGGAGATGATCAAAGATATATCGGAAGTCTTTCGTGCGCATGTCACTGCAATCCATATCCAGCACCCTCAGTGGGGGATTCGACCTCTTGATCAGCTTCCTCAGACCCATCCCTGTGGCCCGATCACTCGATGGCGACCGAGAGAAGTCCCCGCTCTCGTCATCCGAGTCGCCCTCGTCTCCTTCATCGACGTGTGGCGGTAGGGGGAAGTCGACGTTGAGATAGGTTAAGTAGAGTTCGGAGAGTGTGGGTGTGTGGATACGCGACAGAATGGTGCGCGTCGAGCATGTGCTGCGCAAGCGGAGGACTTGAAGGTGGGGGAGGTAGACAACAGGGAGTTTCTCTTCTACAAAGGTTTGATGGCCGTCTTGGCCATCACTGTCTTCGTCTATATCCCGTCTCAGCGTCCATCCCATAAATACGAACTGTTGCAAGTTCGGACATGCGGCAAGAAAAGCCAGCAGCGCAGAGGGCTTCGTATACACCTCGGGTAGTGCATCGCATATGTGTATTATTGTCAAATAGATGGGGTGAATGCGAGATGGTGATGGAAGGGCGTCGACGGCGACTCCCAAAGTGTTCTGGCTAATGTCTAAGTTGACGGAGTCTTTGACGCCATCTTCTTCAGGGATTCCCAGTATTGCGCTCGCTATACTGCCACTGTCGCCACGCACGGAGATAGCCAATTTCGTCGTCCTGCCTACATTCTGCAAGAGATACACTCCATGGGTGTCTGGGCCAGTCAAAGCAAACGAACGCCACCGCTTCTGCGGTTGAGATAGAAACGGGGAGAGGAGGAGGAGGATATCGTCCCTCTCTGCAACGTTCACCTCCACATCAAACTCCAGAGGCTCACTCTTCATCATCCAGTATAGCGCGTGAGTCTGGAGAGCGCTGATATCGCGCGCGCGGCTATCCAATACAATGAGCCGCCACACTGATGGTGCGTTGAAAACGATGGACCTCCAAGGTTGACATACGGAGGCGACGGTAGTGAGCGGAGAAAGACTGTCGATGTGCGCAAGGTACGTGAAGATCTCGATTAAGACTTCAGATGGGAGGTCTTGGATGGACGTTGGAGTACGAGCGGGACATTCAGGGTAGATTAGCGGCATCGTTTCAGCTAGAGAACACGGAGATTGGGAGGAAGGAGGAATTTCATTAGCGGACCAGAGGTTACCGAGCGGTGTCCGTCTCCGGTCGATCACGTGGAACTCCTTTACTACCCCTGAGACGCCTATATTGACTGGTCGCTGGCGAAGCATGCTCTCAATTCGTCACGGCGCCACATCTTCCTCTTTACAAACTAGTGTGCTACAATCTTCGCAGCTTAAGCTGTAGCGCTACGATAACGACCATTACAGGATACGAACCGCACGCGGCCGTAGGCACAGTCTCGGGTTTCTCGACGGACCTGCAGAATTAAAGGTATTTCTTCGATTGTGCGGCGCGTCTCTAAACATGTAGCAGTGACATATGTCCATATATTATAGACCATCGCCAAGCTTTTGTGTTCTCAAAAACTCTGAAACCATCAAATGCAAGGGTTGTGTGGGGCGCAGGTTAAGCGCAGGCCCGTTCCGTTTTGGAGACGTCGGCGAAATGCTGGAGCCTGTGCGTGGTATTGTTAGGTGTTACCGGTTCGTTGGTTCTCCTGGACGCATCGAAGGCAGGAATGAGAATAAGTTTACGCCCTTGTACACCCCCCGCTCTACATGGTCCGATGGGAAAGACGGTCTCTCCAATCGAAGCAAGCAGTTGGAGTTGGGTCGTTTACTAAAGGCCTTACATCTGAGTCGCCGATCATGTAGAATGTCTTCATTGTACTTAGGCTATTTGTATCGGACGAGGGCTCGATGTACTACATGAGTGCTGAGGGCGTCTTGATAATATTGGAGATGCGCGGGAGGTTCTGGTAGACGTCCAAGTTCAGAATAGTGAGTAATCTCGGCCACCAGCTTCTCGAAGAGAAGGGAATCTCAGTCTGGGCCGGTACCGGGGTGCACGATGCGTGGGCTTATCTATGTTGACACAAGTTCAATACCGCACTGTCCATCACGTTGGAACTCTTCCTGCGTTGTTCGCTTCGTTCATGTCAGTGTTGCATTGCAAGGCCAGAAGCATGGCGTATAAGCGGCGGCGACGTCCGTGAGTGGTATAGGGCATCAAGTGCAGTGAATGCGGTGTTATGATATACTCGATTGATATCAATTATCTAAGTTTTCGGTGATGGGAACGATGCACTTATGTTAGTGCATGCTGTGGGAAGTAAGTGGCGAGCGTGAAGCGAGTCGGCAGAGGTGGACAGTACGCAGGAAGGTATCCAGCACGGTAAGCGTCGATGACCTGCCAGTGATGCATGCATTGCATGGGTTGCTGCATCAGTTCTGTCAGTTGACTGTCAGTGAAGCTAAGGTGCACGTGCGGGCGTTGTATGTTTTCGTCCCAGATTCGGAGAACATACTTCCGAGAGGCGCCCGCATGCCTGGATAAGGACATATGACATTAAGAATGGAAGCGACTGCAAGGAACGGCCACGGAGTCGATAGGATCTGCGGAGGTCACATTCAGCCTTGAGGCCACCTATTGAGGAAATTCCAAAGGAGGAGTTCCCTCTCTGATGGCTCGGCTGGAAATGGCACCGAGGCCCCCCTGTAACGTTACGCCCTTGACGAGTTGGAAAGAGAACGTTGCCAACGACATGGCTGTTGAAGGGAGACGAGAATCGATAGGTGAAGGAACGAGCGGGAGATGGGTTGGCAACATGGCGGGGGCGCGGGAAAATTCTCGGTCAGTCGGCCGGCAGGCCTCGATCATTTCTTAATCTTATTCGGCAGCCCTGACACCTCCTCCAACTCCCACATGGACTTTTATTATGCCAACTTCCCTTCGTCCCTCTTCCTCCCTTCCTCCTCCCTCCTCCCCCTCCAGCCCGCCCATCGTCGCCCATGAGCTCGGCGCGCAGGTACTCGTCCCAGACTCGACCAAAAACATACCAACCCACCCTCCATGGCCTTCTCTCCCTCCCAGTAAGTCATACTCAGCTCGAACCGTAAATCAGGGCCATTTAACGCGCATTGACACTAGCATCGGCTGTGCCACCCTCCACAAGCCGTGGGCAAGGTCAGGTCATGCGGTATGACACCCATATACAAAGTTCGCCTCGAGGATGTTTTGAATAGGAAGCATCTGCCACCTCTTGGTGAGTTTTGTGGCAGTTTCCACTTGGCATAAGCTCAACGCGCATATAGGCTTGAAGGATTTCGAGGTACGCCTCAGATAGCGCCAGAACGTGCGATTACTGACTGATATCGAAGGAATGGCTGCTGTATGTCGAGCTATGCCCGGAAAATCTGTGCGTGATATATTTTCCTGGTTGCTTAATTGCTAATTTGCCAACAGTTACTTTGTGCTATGGTTGCGAGAGTACACTGTTCGCTACGAGCACTGGGTTCGAACCTGCAAGACACACAGAGAGTCTAGCGATTATCGCGTATCGTGGCCCTTAGAATCTTCATCTCAACTTGCCATGTTCTACGCCCGTGCAAAGCAGACCTTCTTCACCGCCAACTCAGATTACGAACTTAACGTCCCATCCGACATCCTCACGCCATTCCATCTTCAAAATGGCTCCCTTCACCCCGACCCTGCTGTTTTTGGCGAAGTCTCCGCGGAGGTGAACAAAATGCTGCAAGAAAGCTTGGATAGATTTGTCCTCGCAGCTTATAATAACGTCGGAAATAATCGAGTTCTGTGTGGTATGATCGCTGGTGTAACGTTCACACTGATCGGCGGCCTCCCTCCCCTCGCCGCCAACTTCGCGCTGGGTGCATCCCGGTGGCTACGCCTTGTTGCCATCCCCGGTATATGGCTAGGACTCACTATCTTCCTAGCTGCATTCTATGGGGTGTGCCTGGGGATCTACATTTTTGGTGATTTCCGTCAGTTGCGCAAGTTCGAGCTAGCCAGGCCACCAATATCACGTCCCCAAACATTGACGCATAATCTACGAGCCCGACCTATCATTTCCTCCCCTTTAGTCGCCCCCGTCGCTCCGCGGCATCCTCCTTCCACTCCTCCAACACTCCCAATCCCACCCCCACCCCAGCCGGCCCGCCTCATTATCCCCTCACCACCCGTTGCTCACGTTAACGACTCCAACCCTATCCTCTCACGCTCACCCCGTGCCCGCACTCCCAGCATCTACTCCAACTCCTCCTGCTCCTCTTCCTCTTCTTCATCCTCTCGTACATCCTCCGAATCCCCTGGTGCCGAAATCCACATTTCGCCAGCTTACTATGACCCGGACCCGATCGAAGGCCCTGCAACAACACCCATCTCCCTCGATGTCAACTACGAATTCCCCCCAGGCGGTAAATCGGCCCACGACATCGACGATGATATGACGTCGTTCGCTACCACAGCCTCCTTCATACACCCCTTCGATTCAGTGGGTTTAAACTCGATGGATTTCGAGAAGCATCCACCGGAGGATCATCAGCCTATATCACCTTTTGATTTCGATTCGTTGCCCTCTCGGCGGTCGGCGGTGGTGATGATACAACCTGAGCGCGCGCCTTGGGGTGGAGCTTCGAAGTTTTCGCTGAGGGCGATGATGGCTGGGATACAGATGTGGTGCACGGGGAATAGGTGGTTGCTTTCCGTTGATAATGTCGCTAGGGGTGTGGATTTAGAGAAGGGGGAAGGTGTAATAGCTCCTGAGGGTATTAGCGAGAAAGAATCCAGGCGCAGTAGTGTTCATATTTCCGATCCCCCAATACCACCACATCTCCCCCCACCTCCTCACCCACAATCCTCACAACAACCTCGATCTACACAAGACCCACCCACACCCACAGAACTGAAAGACGCAATCGTTCATGCAATTGCGCACACGCCTGTAGAAGCACGCGTACGGACTCAATTCAAGTTAGTGAAAGCCGTACCGGCGTTCGCATCGCCGCTAACGAAAGTCTTGAACCCGATTGTGGTGAGGGGACAGTGGGAGATTGTAGTTAGGTCGGCGGCGTTGGCGTTCTTGTTAAGTTGGGTGGTTGTGGGGAGTTTGGTCGCTATTCCCGTGCGGAGATGAGTGACTCGCATACAGCAAGTATTCGTATGTACTTCACTCGCAGTCATCATCTCACACCCGGATACATAATAAATAATGTCGCAACCTTAACATCCCCCCGTCATTTTCCATACCCCTCTGTCTTACATGCTATCTCCCTACAATAATGGTCACTCGCTACTGATCGAAATACTCCGAATACCTCGCTGCTTTGTCTCCCCGTGTATCCTTGCTTACTACTCACTTTCTTTAACTTTGATACTACACTACATTTGCATTTATGCCTGATGCATTGTCCTGTACTTATATTCCCCCTCCTTTTCCTTCTCGTTTCTGTTTCTCATCTCGGGTTCTTCGCTTCCCAGTACACTTTGCATCACGCGCTCCTGCATTTTTTGTTGCTTCCTAGTATTAACCGCTTTCGTCTCTCCTTTCCTTCCATGTTGTTCCTACATAGCGTTCTGGCTAAACATCAATGTATTTTATCCTCATCGGTACCAATCAAACTCTACGTACGTACAATTGTACAATTTCAGTTAGTCTGAAAGCTTCTGAATCTGTGAGTCCCATCATAGACGACACAATTACATTAATAGCCAATAGGTGGGCCGTGGCACCGCCGAGGGGGCGAATTGCAAAACCAACAGCCAGGCCGGCCAACGCCAACGTCCGGTGCTGAGACCGATATTATGAATATACTTTCCCATTAAGCCTCGGACCGACGCGGCCACGGCCTAAACGGATCATAATGAAGTTACTGGACTTCCTTCCCCTCAGGAGTCTGGAGTATGGCGCCTGTCAGATTATTATGCTAAAGTGCCATTCGAATCAAGGATTTCATCGTCGGTGTCAAGGCCGTTAACGCAGTGAGCGCGCCCGGGGGTCGAGACCGTCAGGGCACCAGAAGGCAGCCTGATCAAGAGAGAAACTTCCGAATTCAAGAGTCAAGTTGAGAGGCATATGGCAGGAGGTTGACAGACAATTGGACGTTTTCGCCATGGTTATCATAATCATAGCACAACTGCCATGCCGCGGATGCTGGGTGTCGTTGTAGCTTTGACACGACGAGACAAATGGATATCAAGGCGATTCGCAGCATCTACGCCTCGCAGTTGTGTGGGTGGTCAGAAGAGAAAGAAGCACAGACTCGTATCAGCTTCGGTGGCGCAGTATTATGATTGCATCCCAAGAAGTCAAGCTTTATTCGTCACATTTAAATCGGTCCTCTTCTGTGTCTTTGAAGTCATACGTGGGCAGTGAGCAGTAGTCAACGGGAATGGGATTCAGGGATTGCGGCGCGCTGTTCTCGGAGGGAAATAACTATGCCCTGAATACCCCCTGGATCTCCTATCTTACTTGGTGCCCAACGGGATTCTCCATCCCGCCTAAAACATCCCGACTAATCCTCCTTACCACCTTCTTGAGAACCACTGTCCGCTCGCAGTAAGGGTTATCTAGGAAACTCCCTACCCCGAACTCTGAACTGCTCTCGTAACAGGATTCCAAATACAATATATCTGTATGATCATTCCTGCCAAATGCCGCGAGCATGCTGTATTGAATCTAACCTATTCAACCGGCTCTATTACCTGTGTGCTTCAGAGGTACTTATAAAAGTCGCTGCGATTCATTCCAATGACCATTACTGGCTGCAATGCCCAACTTAATCCCTGCCATGTTGCTCGGGGCAGTCCTGGAGACTCTTCTCTTTGGTTCGTTCCCATTGCAACCTAATCTATCCTTGCCTGATTCGGGAGTACAGGTGCATACCTCGTGGTGTTTGCTACCAGCTGCCTCACATTTTTTACTTCAAGACGCCGCGGATGGCTCAAAGGATCTTTAAACAAAGGCATACTCACCGCGGATCTAGCCATGTTTCTCTCAATCAACGCTGTATGTCATAACATGGGCTTGCCGTACCGTACCCGCTCAGTAGCTATACTCACTTTGACTTCCCGCAGCACTGGGCCCTGGGTATCGCCCGCCTATTTGAGGCGTTTGTGGATGATCGCACCACTGCCCTAGAGTACTTCCAACTGATTTCCGAGAGGAAGCGCGTCGCGAAGGTTGCCTTGTACGTCTTCCAGTGCCTAATCGCAGATATGATCATGGTACCACCACTCCTACTGGGTCTACGTTAGACGTAGGGTCATAAGCTAACGTCTGTACAGGTTTTGCGACTATACTACGTATCCAGCAAATCGTTAACTATATGTGTTTTGCCTATCTTAATGACATCTGGCCTAGCCGGTATGGTCATTTGTTTGGAAATTCAGAACTGGGCTCAACTCGTTCCTCCGTAGTTGCTGGGAGTGGACTGGTCTGGCAATTGGCAACCGCCCAACCCTACCGAGATCCGTTCACTTCTGGCCAATGGGTATGGTGTTGCTTCACGCTTACACTAGCGTCAGTACTCTGCTTCATAGTGCTCTTTTACCCAAATGATTATTGACTTACAGCACCACGATGTATTCAACTTGTGGGTTACTTTCCTCATATTCCTAACCGTAGGGCCGCTGCTAATCAATCATGGTGTTAGTGGTAATCGCCTATAAGCTTTGGTCAAGCCATAAAACGCTCAAGAACATGAATGTCAACCCATTCATCGACTCTCCCGTACCAGTGAGCCCAAAGTCGCTGAACGTCATACATACAGATGATCTTGTTCCTTCTAGCATGTCATCCAGATCATAGTGGAAAGCGCGGCCCTATATTCGTAGGTGCCTTAATTACAGACGCATGGACTGTCTTCACTCCCTCGTAGGACCTGTACATTCGTTTCCTTCGTCCTCTTCTTAGCTCGTTCGAACGCACATTTCGCTGTTCTAGACATGGTAAGCCTGCTGCTACTCAGACTACCACGTCCTCACGAATGCACTCTCCCTAGACAAGCCCCGTTGTGGGGCTTGTGCTCTGCCTCATAGTCGTGAGAGGCCGCATCCCAGGCCACTGCCCGCTGTACCCTCCCACAGAGTCGGTGGTCACGCTGGGGAACACAATGCCAGTAAGTCGGGATCGGGATCGGGATCAGACTCAAACGCTTCCGCCCAACCTTGTTGTGAAGATTGATGAGACCCGCATAATCCATCACGATAGTACTCTCGTGGCTCCTGACAAGACAGAGCAGGAGGAGGATGCGGAAAGTACCGCTGAGGGACATGGCGTAGAGGCATGCTGATAGTCCTGTGTTATGTTCAATCAATGTTGCTCAGAAAGCGCAGCAGTATATGATTGGAATCACCTCCACGGTGTCTCCGATTCTACTAGAAGAATATCATTATATATCGTTGTCGAATCTCTTGCATGTATAGTATATACGACCGTCATTGTCGTGGGTAGTAACAGTCCTAATTAACACATATCGACCTCTCAACTCATGATGCAATTCGCGGCACATATAATTCTACGCTGGGATACTGGGGCGTTGGTAACCACCGCCCCACTCCACCTGGTGGGTATTTAAACGGTGGATGGCACCCAACGTCTATTTTATTAAACTAGGTGTAGGCCAGATTTGGGGTATGATTATACCACGCCGCAGCCGCATGTTCTATTCAGGCCCCAACAAACATCCTCGTCTCCATCGTGTGCCCATTAATAACCATCTAGAACGTCCGCCAGACATTAGAGTGAGGGGTCACTCGCTGTGGCGTCCTAGCATTATAGCCTCGCGCATCAACATTCTTTTCATCTCGGCTAAAGTGATAGTGAAGTTGGCTTCTTCAGTTCAGTGTCTATCCGGGGTGAATGTTGACACGCCTTGGGGGGGGAGTGCAACGTTCGACCTGACGGCTTCCCGGTGCCCCCGTCCTTCTCAGCATGGTCTCATTCCTGGCTCTAGAAGCTGAATTACATCCGATGTGGGTTAGATGCGTTGATGGGAATGAATTGAGAATAAAACGCACCGTTACTTAAGTGTCGTCTACAGACTGTGAAGCGTGTTGGACGCACCTTTTGAACGACAGGTGCTGCATGCAGTGGGACGCGGTGGGGCAGTTGGGGTCTTCAAGAGGCTTTAATGAGATATGGCTGCTACCATAAAGAAACAACGCAAACACTATCATAAACGTGTGACGCACCATGCGAGGTGGAGGCAGACAGTGTGTGTTTGTGTAGTCCGCGGATTATAATCGATTGTAAATTGGCGTGACGAGAACGTGTTGTGTTGTCATGATGTTCCATTGCTCGTGTGATATAGAACTGGACGTTGTCCGTGCCTCGAAAGAGAGACTAGGACGACGCGCCACATAACTTCAGCGTGAGACGAATAACGCCCGCGTGAGCTACAACACCCCAATGCATGTGCAATAGCGCAGCGTCCGTATGAACCAGTGGGTGGACACGGTGCTCATCATACCCTAAGCCTCTTGGTAGACATGTGAAGGGACGAAGAGCTTGTCGTCATTTGCACCCGGGTGCGTTCTGCTTTCCGCGTGAATGAATGTTGAATGATGGTACAGTGGTATTACAAGAAGTGATGCGATAAAAAGATTCGTTGACGAAAATAGGAATCCCTGTGTGCCAGCCAGAGCTATACATGACGCGCTCAAGAGACCGGGCTCTCTCCCGTCTCGGGCACGGGTTTGAGTGATCGGTATGGAAGACGAGCCACTCCGATGGCTACTTCCGGGAGCCCGCGTTCCCCATCACCATCGCCTTTTGCATAGGGCGATTGCGAAGGGAGGGCAACAAGGATAGACACTTGTACCATTGTTTCGGTTGGGGAGGGTCCTTCTGCCTTGCTGTCGTCGAGGGCGCCGAGTTTATTAGGTGCCTCTGCCTGAGAGGGTGCACGTATGGGGTTGGACGATAGGAACATCGACCAAAAGGCTGATTCATTAACCGCAATCAACCGTGGTCTTGAGGCCATTTCTGCGCGTGTGCGGTCAGCTTTGAGTCGCAGAGATAACGGCTGTGTGGCGTAGATCGTGTCAGACTTTTTCGTTTGGAATCGGGGGAAATGGAGAATGGAACGGTCATAAAATCGAGCACAAGTGCGAGCTCGACAAAATTCAAAGAAAGAGTGCTGACCTGAACCTCCTCCCATGTCCCGCCCCCACATTCTACCCAGACATCGTGCAATTTAGGTTTCTTTGTGAGTCGGCTATGTTTCGAGCCTGGAGCTCTAGGAGCTGCGACGAGTCCCTCTTGGATCGCATGATTAATGCGCCTTTCTAAGCGTCGCCGGATAACAAGAGAGCGAAAAACGATAAGCGCAGAGATACCAAGTAGAAGAAAGAGTGTTGCGAGAAAAGTGAATCTAGGACCGCAGGAGATGAGACAGAGGATTTTCAGAGGCTTTTGGGAGGCGCACGTACAAATATAGTTTAGAGGAGACGGGTATCGCCTCGCCACTCTCAACTTCAGCCATGTCGCATGAGTGTTAGGTGAAAGCAAAGATGATTCCAGCTCACGCACCCCTGACTGAAGAGATTCCCCAGACACGTGATCTCGCCGCTCGATTCGTTTCCGCTTTTGGCCAACCAGTCAGTTACCCTCAGCGACTCAGGTATGTCTCTCGTCGCCAGTCGAAGCTTTATCTGACAAGGAACCACAGCGCCCATAAAATCTCCACTAATTGGGCAACCCAGACGAAACTGTCAGAAGCTTCCATTCGGGATATTGCCAACCGTGACGGACATTCACATCGACAATCATGGTCGAGCTCACTGATGATGCGATTCTGGCGATTCTTGACCATATCGAGTGCCGAGCTGTGTTACGTACATTGCTTCTCGTATCCAGACGGTTTCATACCGCTGTCGAACCTCGGTTATACTCGTCCATCGAATTCAACGCGAGCGGCCCTATCACCCTGCGACACAGACTTGACGGCCTTCGACGGCGTATCGTTTCAAATCAGTATCTCGCTTCGAGTGTGAGGAAGCTCCATGTCACAGCCCTCAATTCCTCTCTATTCACGTTAGAAGAATTCTTCCATCTGGACGACATGCTTCGCTATCTGGACGGTCTTAAGGACTTCAAGCTAAGACTACGCTCTCCTCCGGGGGCCATCCTCGCGACCTTGGTCAAAGCGCCTTGCCCATTTGCGCTCACCAAGTTCTCGTGGATGAATCGAACGGTAGACGCGGGAGAATTTTTATATCTTGAAAATCAGCCATCCATCGAACACCTACACATAGCTACACTCGCCGTAATTGGTACCATCAACCTAGTACCTGGAACGTTACCACGACTGAAGGAGTTAGTGGTACCGACACCAATAGCCATGGCCATTTTGCCAGGAAGGAAAGTCACCTGCTTGACAATCAACGTCTATTCCCCATTCCCCAACCAAACATCCCTGGCCATGGAAGAGGCTCTTGGGCACATCGAATTCCTAAACTGCACCACGCACAAAACGGCGTTTATCCTTCCTGGTATATGTTCAATGCGCAAGCTACGGTGGTTTCAGTTGTCTCTTCCGCTAGGGGTAAAAACCATTCGCCTTCTTTTGCCTTTCATCTTATCGAGTCCGCACAGATGATGCAACCCAATGTCATCAAAGATATACAGGAATTACTGCAAAGCATAACAGACCGGGCCACGAATTTGACTTACTTCCAATTTTCCGCTTGCCCCTTCCGGGGATCTATGAAGGACCTAGTAACTTCGATCTTCAAGTCAGTCCCTCCATCGTGTCTAGTCGATATCGAGAGGGGGCAAGGAGGAGTATTTGAACGCTACTATGCCGGAAAGCACATATCCTTGGTGTTTGAAGATTGTTCGCCTACTTCAGCAGCGTGGTGGTGGAACGAGGACAAGTTACAACGGGTCTTGGGTAAGAGTCCGTGTCCTTCGTCAGACGATTTGCTGATTTGGTCAAAAGCAGAGTCAAAGGCTTTGTTGGCTGCAAGCTCAGAAGTATAATCAACGTGCGCCATTTTCTGTGGGAGTTTAAATGAATCATATTCCCATAAAACCGAGCGCTGTGCCCCTAATGTCACTGGACGCTTAGCTCAGGAGTCCAGGAGTCCAGGACACGGGTGTGGCACCCGTGCCAGAAGCATGGGCTACATACGCCGATCATGAAAGTAAGTTCGAGGGTCTAAACCTACATACCACCGTGGCTCTAAACTCTATACGCGCGCTGTTCCATCGTTCCCCTCATTCCCACTTTATCTCAGCAAACTTGCATGCACACCTAGCGTCGTATATGAAAGACCACTTGGGGCTATCATATAGCAGCCTCCACCTTAGCTGCGTGTTGCCAGACTTTGTTACTGACCAAGGTCGCGGAACGCCATGAGAAAAGGTAGGCTTCTCAAGTCCAGCTTCTGGGTCCTGACATTTCCCAGGAGTGACTGAAATAGAAATTACTGGCATCTTCCTTTCTCATGACGACTACACATTCCGTTTGTAATAAACGTGTTGGCCGTGCCATGTGTAGGGTGCCCCGAGGCCCCTTTATCAAGCCCTCACGAAATGTGTTAGGCAGGCCCTAGCTGACCCCCTAGGCTCGCCCACCTTTCGCCTACCTCCGCGATCGTACCGCAGCGTCGACTTTCGCTAACTTTCGTTCCTCCGCGACACAACCGATCATTTCTATCTTTTCCTTCGTTATGGTGATGAAACCTTCAGGCAGACCAACACCACTCTCCCATTTTCCCGGCCAAGCGACGGTAAGAACCTCCATTACTTTGATACTTCCCGGATTGATGATATTAATACACATAGGACGAACCAGCCAGCAATCATCGCTGGTCGGAGGTCATCCCGCCAGATACAGGGCTCACTTTTGCTGTTATCTGGGATCCTGAAGATGGGCTTTTAGCTTTCTCCGGAGCAGAGCTCCTAGGCAGTTCAGCGAACTACTTTCCGGACTCACGACCAATTTCGCCTTCCGAAGCCCTAGACGGCCAGTCGCAAGTAATCACGTTGAAGACGCTTTCGTCCGGGAACGTTTTGAGCGAGACGCCAGCGACACTCGCATTCTTCCGCGACACACACCGATTTCTCTTTGCAGGGAGTCGAAGTCGTTTGTCGTCAGCGAAGAGGCCGAGACACGGTGCGCGCACTCAGACGTCATCTACTATCGGCGGCATGGACGTTTATCTGCGTGGATCCTTGCTGGGCAGAGCCCACAAGGATCAAACACATTACTCATGTTTCGACCTTCTTGAACAAGAGTTCGAAGTCAAGCCCTTTAATGACCTCACGAAGACAGATTCGACAGAGAGCTTAGAGATGCGATATAACCGGGCGTTCTCGATATTCCAGGCCCAGCACAATTTGGTGACTACGTTGGCATTGCAATACGAGATAGCACTAACGAGGAGTACATTTCAGAGTTCTCGGTTCTCGACTACGACTACTTCGACTTCGAGTTATATTTCGGTCAAACGAAACGTCGGCGACGAGGACTTTGCGTCGAAGACTTGGTCGATATTAGAGCGCCCGAGCACACCCATCTTCTCTCGACCGACGCTCGCGCATAAGGAATGCCCCAACGCCGACTGCGGAGGCGTCTGCGTTCGGGCTTCGCAACGTTTACGAAAGTACAGACGGAAACGCGTTGATGAGGTAGACATTCCCACTCCACCGGCTGAGGTGCTTCAACGCTCCGAATACAATCATGAAGTAAACTTTCCTACACCAGACTGCCAAAGGGTAACGACACCTATCACGCTTCTTAGGGGCCTGTCGAATAGGTGGAAGAAGGGGCACACGTGTACTTACTAGGTCGTCTATGGTTGATGTGAATACTTGGAGAACGCCGCGCTTCTCCATTTCGTACTCAGTAGGCTTAAACTCCGTCTTCAATTTTAGCTACTATATAGTACATAGTCACCTCCTGTTGCCCCTTCCGTGGGTATCACGTACCTCCTAATGTCCATAATGAACTTTGAGCGACTCGGAGGTTCCACAAGAACTCTCGTTGTACACACGACTCAAATCCATATACCTTTTTGGAGTTGCTGGATTTATATCACGCAGGAATGAAGTAAGTCGCAAGTCGTGGTGGATGGCTTGTCCGTGCTTCAAAGATTGGTTATTAGCCTAAATATTCACGACCGCTTACAAACGACGCGCGGTCAGTAGGCCGCAGGGACGAAGAATCGAGGATGTCCGACTAGAACATAAACATTCCTAAATTATCAATCTAAATGTATCCCTTGCCGTATTGCTGATTCCTTTTGTAAATGCTGTATGTCCGCGACATGGTTGTAGTTCCCTCTCCATACCCCCGACTCGTCTTTTTCGCCCCAATGGAATGTATGGAACGTATCTACTTCATATCCTTCTTCCCATCGTTGTCGGACGTAGGTGGCGTTGAATGGAGGCTCCCATATCCACCACTTCAGACAATACATTCTCGTCAACCAAGCCGCTATGATAGAATGAATGGAATGCTGTACTTACGTGATCGAGGTATAGAATGTCTTCGCTGGGAGGTACGACAAGATGTATCGTGGTTGGCACCGCTATTTCCAAGAAGCAGTCGGTTTCGAGAAATAGGGCCAATATATCCATGAAATCGTCGCGATGTCGCCCAGGAATGTAGACAGTGTCGGCAGAACCCCCCACGAGACGTGTCTTCCCGTCAGTAAAAGACGCCATCCTTGAGCGCATCGTTTCCGGTACTTTGTTGAACGCTCCCATGCAGACCGCCGAGCCAACATGTGGGTCACTATTAGATCTGTGTCAAAAACCCGGTAGAGTGTAGGAATCCTGAGATACGAACCCCCACCTGCGAGGAAAGCGACGGTCAGCTCAGAGACGGCTAATACACAACAAACCCAAAAACATACCACCAGTCTTTCGCCCAGCCTTGCCAACTGGCAGTCACATTCAAGGTAGGGTCGGGAGATATCCTCGCGGGTGGAGCATGCTTGCCTCCATTCTCGTCCGCCTTTACTTGAGGATTAGGTACAAACCTCCCCCACGGAGAATAGTACCAGAATTTTGTTTGATCAAACAGTTGTAACCGGGGGATATTGAGGAGAGTATCAAATGGCGCCCATAAGTAGCCGTCGTAGCAGTTGTGCTCCATCATGGCGGTATAAAGCATGTGATGAGCCATCTAAGGTATTGAGTATGGATATGAGGAGAACCCTCGAGGTGGGGGATTAAAAGGTAGATGACGTACTCTTCCTGCCATTTTATAGAAGTTAGGGTCCGACAAATCTTCGTCTGACTGATATGAATCAACCATTAGATCGTACGAGTGCGAGAAACCAGCATCTTCCCGACTTGCAGGACCAATGAAAACCATCTGTATCATAAAGAGCATCAGTCTGGTCGATAAACAGGGAAATCATAATCAGCAACACACATTAGGGAAGTATTCCGAATAGACTTCTTTATAATAATCCAAGTTAGCACCGTACCGTGCATGGCTGAAGAACACGATTAGCAGTACATTATCGAAATGGTGATATGTGCGGGGCTTGTCGTAGGAGGATTGCGACCGGAGCGGTTTTCGCAGGCAAGTCGACGTGATGGGAGCAAGTTGGCGATGAGGTGCGGCGAACTTCATCGAAGAAACAGCGGACGGGCGCATAGTCGCGACGGCGGTAAAGGCCAGAATAGCAGTCAGACCTACGACGAGCAGAGTTTTCCGCCAAGTATTCTATTCTGCCGTCAATCATGAATCCGAATTCGAGAATATGACGATCACCTTCGTAGCTTCCTCTTCAATCTCTTCCCGAAGTGCATCGGGAGCTGATAAGAAGGTGATGCCACCATAGACAAGCAAGGAGAATGCTACGAGAAGGCCCAAGGATGTGTTTGAGAGTTCTAGTAATGGCGTCATTAGCAGTATAGTTGCATCAAACGACCAGAATACGGCTAGAGTGAATGAGCCTTGGCCTTAACAAATGTCACGTTAGATACTAATATTGCGGGTACGTAGATGAGACCTACAAAAAATGACTGATAAACTCAGTATGCCCGACAGTGCTTCCATGACCATGAGGGACAACACAGGCACCGACAGTGGGAGAAAGCCAGAAGAAAAGAGTTCACTTTGCCGTACTTCTGGGACGGTCGACGGTTTAACCAACGCGATTATTGAGTGGATCACAGCGCCCATAATGAATAATGGGATGTTCAAGACATCAAGGTCTGACTGTGGGTGAGTATTGTAAAGCTAAGGACAGTCATCAACTCGGCGGGAGCCCATGTGTAAGTCCAGCGTTTCACTTACGTGCTCGGTGGCGACAAACACCATGGCGGTGAAAGCACCCAAGGCAAAGGAGTGCAGCCCCATACTGACTTCGCCGAACAACGAGATCTTATTTAACAACTTAGACAGCCGGTCGTACTTAATTGTTATTCACTCACCAAGACGAAAAAAATGCCACAAGACTACAGGTAATCGACAATTCCAGCGCCCATATTTATGAGCGAGATGCGGACTCACCTGCAATAAGAGACCCTGAAGTTGCGTGACTTCGACCCTCCGAAGCAAGCAAGCAGTAGCAATAGGCAGCAGCACCGTCGTCACCGGGATTGCCACACGTTGAGCCTGCGTATAAGGGAGCACTCCTTCCGAGGTGTATATGTGGGAAGTGAACTATGCCATCGTTATACCGCCAATCCGAGGCTCAAGACGACTACGCGACCTACCAAGTAATCAAAGGTTGCATGCGAGCTCGCGACAGCAAACATTAGAATGGAAGGTACCCATGCGGTGGGTCTCCATAAGCCCCCCACTCTCGCGTCCGACCAACCCTCCTCAAACGTCGCTATACTGCGGTACGCTACGACGCCAGTTCGTTTTCGAAAGAGGTAGCATCCAGAGAGAATGAGTAGTTTCAGGACCGCGACAAGTGCAAATCGCGCCGGTGAATGAGAAATCGCGTGTGTGCTTGCGAGGTTGCGGGCAAGCTTTTCCTTCAAGGGCCAGAGGAGCGCGAATGCAATCTAAGAGGGTATAAGGCACAGAACGTGTGCGATAGAGTAACTGAGACTGACGACAAGAGTGAATTTTCTAGGTATCCTCCACTGTGAACATGCTTGCAATAGAGTGGAAAGAGAAGGAGGCATACGGACTCTAAAGGATGTACACCGCCCGACAGTTCTATCCAAAAATAAGCGCCCCGTAGTTCTTGATGGTGCTAACCAAGTGCTAGCAATATTTTTGTTACTTAGAACTCAGATACGATACGACATACAATTGATTGAAGCTAGTACATACTGCTAGGAAAAGATACAGTGGAACATGTAAGTGACACAGATGCTATATAAAAGTCACAGCGATGCCATTGTTTTTCAATCAGAAACCTATGGTCGAGCCTGTTTCTTGAGAAGTTCTCTACGGCCGCGTACACCCTGTCGCAAGCGTTCAAGAACCGGAACAGTCGTCTCCCAAGATATGCATGCGTCTGTCACCGATTGGCCATACTTGAGCATTGACGGCCCAGAGGATGGGATATCCTGGCGGCCTTCCACGAGATTTGATTCAATCATTACTCCCATGATCATATGGGATGTGTCCTCGGCCTCAAGTTGATGTGCCTATTTTTATACAGGTAAGTGGTGAACCACTCTGTCAATGATTTGCTTGCGGCTAAGACTCACAATGTTGTCGGCAACCTCCACTTGCTTCTGATGCTGCTTGGAGCTATTTCCGTGACTGCAGTCAATCTGGGGGGCGATTGGAAATTGTTAGATCAACATCATTAGAAGGCTGGCATCGTTTGGCGTACCATCACTTTTTGCGCCAATCCAGCCTTCGCTAGCTTGGCGCCAGCATCGCGTACGAACTCGGCAGCATAATTGGGGCCCCCTGCACCACCACGGAGGATCACATGGACATCAGGATTGCCCTTTAGGATGCGATGAGTATTTTAGATGTGGTGAGCGGTGGGCGCAACCTACCGTGGTTTCAACGATACTGCTAAGCCCCTCCTTACCCACAGACAAGAAAACGTGGCCGGACCGAGCAGCACGGCAGGCATCAATAGCGATGCCCACGCTGCCATCAGTAGAATTTTTGAATCCGGTGGGCATGGAGAGCGCAGATGTGAGTTCTCTGTGCACCTGGGACTCCGTTGTACGAGCGCCTATAGCTCCCCAAGCCACCAGATCAGCGGTGTATTGGGGCGTAATTGTATCCAGGAATTCGCAGCCGGCTGGCAGGCCCATTTTGGCAACCTCTAAGAGCAACGAACGTGCTATTCGCAGGCCCTTGTTGATCTGGAAGCTGCCGTTGAGGTCGGGGTCATTGATGAGGCCCTTCCAGCCCACGGTGGTTCGGGGCTTTTCGAAGTACACCCGCATGATGATGAGCAGGTCGTCCTTTGCATCATCAGCATACTGTTTGAGGAGTTTGGCGTATTCTATTGCTGATTCGACGTTGTGAACCGAACATGGGCTAAGAGGTAGTATTGTCAGGCCACGATGGATTCGATATAGCAAAGGTAACCTACCCGACTACGACGACAAGTCGGTCATCGTCGCCACGTAGTATATTTTCTGTTGCTAGACGTCCATGGAGCACGGTTTGAGCAGCAAGTAATGTCCTATTTCACGTTTATTGACTGGCAAACTTGCAAAGAATTGGGTCTCGAAACATACAATGGTAGGTCCTCTTGAAGAATTTGGGGAGGAATGAGGGGCCTTGTAGACTTCACTCGACTATTCTCGAGGTGAGTCAGAGCATCTTTGAAAGACAAGGCCATGTTGAGATCGGTGGCTAGATGGGAGTGATGGTAAAACCGCAAATGAGCACGAGTTTATATAGGAATGCTGAAGGCTAACCTATCGGAATGATGACTCACTTTGGGATGAGAAGAGGGACATCTCGCTCGACCGATCTACCGTTGGATCGGGGCGGTGGGTGGATTGAATCTACGAGGCCCAAATGATGAGCTTGCACTGCTGCAGCAAGGGCGAACCGGTCGGAATTATGGTTCAGTACGGCCGACTCTTCTTCGGCGTGGACCAGCTATACGGATTCAGTGCAAGGCAGAGATGGACCAATAGGAGTACATGTTACAGAAATTTCCTGCACGTGACAAACCAGAACGTGCTTCGTCCTCTCCACCACTGCCTTATCCTCGGAAGCAAAACCCTCGCTTGTCAACATGGATTTCTCTAGCTTCAATGCCGCTGAACAGGCTCAGATGACCAAAATCATCGAGAAAAAGCAGGTGCGGGCTCCGTTTTCCGTGAAAAGACCCCCTTCTCAAGGCACGTAGATGCAAGACTTTCTCAGAATGTACTCCAATCTGGTCGAGAAGTGCTTCAATTCTTGCTGTAACGACTTTACGAGCAAGGCGCTCTCATCAAAAGAGGTTCGTTGCCGCTTCTATGCCGATATACGCGCGTCCAACCAGTCTGCTAGGAACAATGTGTGATGAACTGCACTGAAAAATTCATCAAGCACTCAGAGCGGGTGGGATCTCGGTTCGCGGAATTGAATGCCGGTGCGTCTCTACCTCAGCTCACAGAAGCACATACACTGAAGAAACCCACGTCTGTGGTATCTAGAGGCTTTGAACCCCCCAAAGTAGACTGGTATACATCTACGTACGATTCTTACTGCTTTTTGACCGTTTTCTATCCATGTTTAATAATGATACCCTCAACTCTGCAATTTGCCCAGAGCATGGCGCCAGACGTGGCGAAAACTTATAGCCGAAGCCTCACTACGGCTATCTGGCGTTGTCAGTCAAGGTTCCTGACGCATGCCATGAGGGGCCCCAACACAGTCCGCAACACTCGGGCATTATGCCAGTCGGACATTGTCGTCCACGTTACACCCGCAACACGACATAGACTCCATTAGCGTCGTCGCTACCGGTGGTGGACGGTCATGAGCGGGCTCATGGATGTCTCAGAACCGCTTTCTTCCATTGAGGGACAAACGTACTCACTAATCTTGCCCCAGTTTCGTTACCCCTGCGACTGAAGGCTCGAGCACTTGGTCGAAAGGTAGATACGAAATGCACAAATGGCAAGGGGACGTAGGACACGATCTTCTCAACACGGAACCATCGCAGCCGCGCTTCGCTGACCCCGCCTCGCTTGATTAGCTCCCCCGCTAACGCAGCTGGCTTCCAAACTATCCGGCCCTCTTCAAGTCAGTGGGCCAGTCCGTCTTGTCGCTTGTTTCTTGGGCAGTTGGGCCGCGTATGAATGGCCGAAACTGAACGCTTCTTTACCGGCTCTAGAAGGACGCCCAAGAGGCTGTAGAACATGCGGAGCCAGTCCTCGCGATCATAGCCTAAAGACTCTTTCGTCTTTGTTTTGAGGCCGCCATTTGTGATCAGTGCCAATTCAAGTAGATTTATTATCTTCTAGTGCGATTGCGTCCTTCTGGGAGGTTAGAGAGAGACACACACGGCATTGGGCTACTAATCTTCAATCGCCGGAGACCTATTTGAACAGAGGCATAATGGCAGGATTGGGCCCGTGTATTTCTATTAGAAAGAGTCGATTAGTCGACTTCGTACCTTTCGCATACCCCCATTGCCTCCAATTGACTTTTCTAGGATGATTATCGCAAAGACCGGGTACTATGCAGGCATCGTACATCGTTAGCAAATCCTCGCGTTGATGAAACTAAGCACGCCACCAGCCTCTAACAGTCCCCCTCCTTCCCCGCGTTCGAAGAGTCTTCTTGAAAGTGCTCTGCAATTCACCGCCCATTCTATAATAGTACGCTATACTTTGGACGCTCGTCGTTCGCTTGCGCGTCGCTCTAGATTCCCCCTGGCTTCTGTCCTTCTATCTTTGATACGGGATTACCCTTGCACATTGTCGCATAATGAGCACTTCTATTTCTCTCATATTGACCGTGTAATCCCACCACCAGCGGCCATATCAGGATGCATACGCCTGATATAACACCAACAAACGCCATATCATCCTTTTTTTAAGCAGCAGATAAATGGCGAACTAGCTCAGTTACATGACATTTACTCGAGTCTGCAAGCAAGCACTGATTGTATGGGCCAAGACCAAAGGGGGGAAATCACACGCCAAATGCTCTATCACCCCGCACGGCAATTATCGAACCTAGCCCGACCATATGAATAGCCGTAGTAACTGCACCTCCGGACTTCTTCAGCTCAAACTACGACCTTCAGAAGCCTCTGCCCATAGCGTCGCCTCGCCCACCTTCACTACTCTATTTATCTCTGATTGACGAGGACTATGCCTATCGTGACTCCTTTGACGAAGCTTCTCGGAATCCGTGTGTACGTGAGAGCTTGCATTCACGTCGGCTCGACGCTTAACGCTTCTATCTAGGCCCGTGGTGCAAGGAGGCATGCAATGGTATGTTATCCTTCCTCTTCCATTGTTGCTGTTTCTCGGGCGGGATGTGGATCATCACCCGCTATGCCCTTTGCTGTAGCGAGAACAGGTCGCTGATGACACACCAACCTTAGGGTGGGCGTACCTCAATTAGCTGCAGCTGTCTCTAACGCCGGGGGTCTGGGTATGTGCATGTCCGATAACCGCTCAACACCGTGAGCTAACTTGGGAATAAAGGTATCTTGACTGCACTTACCCAACCCTCCCCGGAGGCGCTGCGAACTGCCATCAGAGACACCCGTAAACTCACCTCCAAGCCCTTCGGCGTGAATATCACGTTGCTGCCGAGCATCACCCCGCCGGATTACGCTGGATACGCGAGGGCCGCTGTCGAGGAAGGTGTGCGGATATTCGAGACTGCTGGAAACAACCGTAAGCACCGTACACCATGAACTCATCGCACGACGGTGGCTCATGATGCCTCTGATAGCTGGTCCCATCATCAAGTATCTCAAGGACAACAAGTGCATCGTCTTGCACAAATGCACCACCATCAGACACGCTAAGGTATGATTTCGCCGATACTGCCCAGCTAGGGTATTAAGTGTACGACGTTACTAGTCTGCTGAGAAACACGGAGTCGATGTGTTGAGTGTTGACGGGTTTGAATGTGCCGGCCACCCGGGTGAAGAGGATATTGGAGGCCTTGTTCTGGTTAGTCACTTTCCTTTTCTTTGTTGGGACCTCGCTCAACGCATCAATTTAGCTTGCTAGAGCCGTGAAGGAACTCAGTGTACCGTTCATTGCTTCAGGCGGTATCGCTGATGCCCGCGGGATTGCTGCCGCCTTAGCTTTGGGAGCTGCTGTGAGTGATTACATCCGAATACCGAATTTGTTACTAACACTTACTTTATAGGGTGTGAATATGGGTGAGTTGTTAGCTTCTTGATGTGCATCTGGTGGTTCACCCCGTCCTCGCGCAGGCACACGGTTCATGGCTACGGTTGAAAGGTAGGGTTACTCAAAACTAGGTAGGAATCCGCGCTGACGTGCCTTCAAGCCCAATACATCAAAATATCAAGGACAAGATCGTTGCATCAACCGAGAGAGACACCACCCACATTTTCCGCACTCTACACAACACCGCCCGTGTTTTCAAGAACAAGGTCGCAATGGAGGTAGTGGCCATTGAACGCCGACCGGGCGGCGCCAAGTTTGAGGATATCAGAGACTTGGTTTCTGGCGCTCGTGGACGGCTAGTGTATGAGAACGGTGATGCTGACTATGGAATCTGGTCCGCCGGTATTGCCATTGGGCTCATCAACGATATCCCAACCTGCGAACAGCTCCTGAACACATTAGAAAGCGAGACTGAGGAGATTATTGGTGGGCTACAGGGATTGGTAGTGTCGAAGTCGAAGCTTTGATGCAGTCAATTGTAATATTTTACGGATCAATGTACTTGCGGTTCAGCACCTTAAAAATGTTCACTTTGGTGCTTAATGTAAAGGAAATGATAGGGGTACGGCGCGACTCACAGCATTCCTTGGCGCGATATTCGTGTTAGTAGCGGCCAGGACGCGTGTCGCGAGAGCTTGCGATGGGGGCCATACTGGTGTGAGTATTTGAGGCGCGTCGTTTCGTTGAATGAGGGTCAAACGCGCTGTGGATATGATTGTGGCACCGCGTGACCGTGTCTCAGAGCCCCCGGAAAACTAATTGCCAATTTCGCTGATGCCGAGTGGATGCCGGGGCATATCGGTTGTTGAATCCGGGGTCCTGCATCGTGTTCTGCCTCGTTTCGGTTCATGTCAATTCACTGTTGAGTTTCGTTCACGCTTTGTATTTGCTCTGCTGTCCAGCTTTCCACCTAGAACTCTCTTGCCTTCTTCCTCATCGTCGCCAACATCGCCAACGCCGCCCGTAGCGCTCAGCCATCATGAGCGTCTCCGTCTCGCCGCCCTTCGCGTCGTCCTCCGCCAACCTCAGGCTCACCGTACCAAAGGGCCCCTCACCGCCTCGGACGCCAGTGGACCATCTCAAACCGCGTTCATCGTCGTCGACGTCCTCAGACGACTCTTCCATTATCGATGACCTGTCCTTCGAGTACGTCTTTGACGACGAAGGCAACTATGTTCGACTTTCGAAAGGAGGATCGGCCAAGTCGAATCACTCGACACCTCCTACTCCAGCTGATCGTCTGCCACGCGACTCAGACCCCCCACCGTGAGTACTGTGCCCTTTCAAGGATGTCATTAATTCAGTACCGCTGGGAGCAGAAGCCAACCCAACTTGCTGCTGCAAGTTAAGCCACCTTCACCCATATCCCTAAATTCGCCAATTCGACGCGGATCTCTGTCGCGGTCTGAGAGTGCATATCCGGTTCTAAATGGACCTGGCGTGCTACCCTCCGACCGCGTGAATTCAGCCGCGGCTACAGCTAGATCTTTCCAAAGGGTCGCGTCTGGCCCGGCTCTCATCAAATCTGCTACGTCTTTCGCTGGCCAAAGTCAACCAAAGGGTCGACTTGTTCCACGACGAGTAACCATGGAGGATCAAGAACCTCAAAGTAGAAAATCCTTCGAGGACTTACACATCCATAACGATGAGGAGCCGCGACTGAAGCAGGAGGAAAAGGAGAATCGTTTAGATCCTTCAGAATACCCGTACGTGCTCGCAATAGCTGCAGCCTCAGCAAGGAGGAATTCGCCACCACTTGCTACTCGTTCAACGTCTCTGTCCGGGATGCAATCACGTGGTGCAGGACTCTCTCGTTTGTTGCCTGCGACGCGTCCATTAGCAGATGTACCTGTCCCCCAGCGCGCGTCGGACTTCCAGATACTTCCTGGTCCCAACAGACCCGGCCGCATCTTGAAAGGTCTCGGCTCCGCTGCTGCCAAGTTCTCCGCCGCCTCCGGATTCGGACGAATCTCAGAGACCGAGGCTTCCGTGAATGATTCTGGGGACCGTCAACAGGTCGCATATCCCAATGACGATACAGACATTAGTGAGTTCGCCATTGACTGACTTACAAGTACACAGTTTGATTTCTCCAGTTGTCGACGACCGCGCTAATGGTTTGGGCCCACCACCTGTGTCTGCTCCTCCTGGGTTGAGTAACAACCCTTTATCCCATCGCCAACGAAGTCATGGCGCAATTGGCGGAACTTCCGCACCCGCGATCGAGAAGGCCACTAATAATCGGCCTCGAAGGTCAGCTAGTTTAAGTGAATCATCCGGTATGATTAAGCGGTTTCCAATTTGTGTCCTTTGTTCTAAATGACAAATATGTAGCGCTTGAAGATAACCCCTACAACTTCCACCAGATTAACTACCAGCAAGAACAACTGTCACATGTCAGACCGGGGAGCAGTATGGGTCTCATTCATCAATCCACCTCGAGGGCTCAAGGGCCTGATAATCGGGAACCCGAGCCTTCAGACCAACAAAGTCAGTACCCTTTCATTACCATATTATGTCAGTACCTCACGCCACCAACAGAATACCTTCGCGAGGAGAAAACGAATGGTCGTGAGTCCCTTTATTTCTTCGCATTGTTCAACTCTAAGTAAGGTTTATAGGGCGTACTCCAGATATTCTCCACGAGCATGAGGAACGCCAATACGCCTCACAGGTCGACGGGGCAATTCAACAGTCCCATCTTCGCCCGACCTATACACATCGACGCCGTGACTCTGATACTGTACGGTCCGCCTACACCTGTAGCTCTCCTACCGTCGTCGAGGCCGCAAAACCTACGGCTCTTGATCAGCCCCAGAAGCGCCTTTCCCCCGTTTCTCGAAGCTCGTCAGCGGCGGGAATGCACAGGCGTAGTCCTACGGCTCCGGAACCTCCAACAACAAGCTCGACTATGGCACCACCCAATGGCACCGTGGGGCAATTTGGTACGACATGGGCGTCGGCCGAGAAGAGAAACGCTGCCAATGGTCAAGTGGATGTTGCAAAAGGTTTGAAGAAACAGTCCTCCATCCCAACTCAGCAACAGCACTCTCGCCCCGCTCCTCCCGCTCCTCAGCCAACACTCATGACCATGAACGGGCAGGGTAGCCGTCAATTCACGGTATGCCCTACTGCGCCCTACCCCGTGTATCTGGGTGCTCACTCAGTTTTATAGGTCAACAAGAAAACATATGCTCGGTTAGATTTGATTGGCAAAGGGGGAACCTCGAGAGTCTTCCGCGTGATGAACGCTTCTAACGAGCTGTTCGCTCTCAAGCGCGTGTCGCTGGACAAGACTGACGCCGACGCTCTGCACGGCTACATGAACGAGATTGCTTTGCTGAAGCGACTGGACGGCAACTCTCGGATTATTCGCCTATATGATAGTGAGCTGAAGGCTGGACCCAACGGTAGCAAAGGCTACCTACTTATGGTCATGGAGTGCGGAGAAATCGATTTAGCAAGATTGCTACATGAACAGCAGAAGGAACCGATGAATATGGTATGGATAGCTTACTACTGGCAACAGGTGAGATAGTACAGTTTTGTACCGCCATACCCGTTAGCTGATTCCGTTGACAAGATGCTTCAAGCAGTCCACGTCATACACGAGGAAAAGATTGTGCACTCGGATCTGAAGCCCGCCAATTTTGTACTCGTCAAGGGTCAGCTGAAGCTCATCGATTTCGGTATTGCTAATGCCATTGCCAACGACACGACCAATGTGCAACGTGATGCCACGGTACGTTATCGACGACTGGCAGATTTAAAAACTAAACTCGTTAAATAGGTTGGTACTGTAAATTATATGAGCCCCGAGGCCATCGAACTGCCCGACGGTATGCGACGGTTGAAAGTTGGTCGACCAAGCGACATATGGTCATTGGGCTGTATCCTCTATCAAATGGTGTATGGTCGTCCCCCATTCCATGATTTGGGCATGTATCAGAAAATGAAGGCAATTCCGGACGTAGCACACGTCATCGAGTTCCCCGAATATTCCACCCCATCGATACCACCATCACAGCAAACTGGGTCTTCGACTCCGCCGAAAGTGTTGGAACATCTCAAGCGACCCGTCCGTAGGGATGTGATCGAATGCATGAAGATGTGTCTACGCCGAGTCCCAAAGGACCGCGTTACCATTCCGGATTTGTTGGCGCAGGAATGGCTAGCGATGGGTGATGAATGTATGTTGTTTCAACTCCTATGGTCTCCTTTCATTGCTGAATGAGTCTTAGCACACCAAACCGCTGCTCCAGCACCGCCCAAGCTCGCGCCAGATGAGACCATCATCAACCCTCACTATATGCGTCAGCTACTTCAATACGGGATCAGACTCGGTCAAACAGGTGACGCCAATCTTGATGACGATGCACTGATGCAGGACGCTGAGGTACGCATCTATTTTCCCGATATTTTCCCTAAGTGCTCATGCTCTCTCTGCCATTAGCGACTGATTAAAGAGCTACAAGCCTTACAGCGCGCAGCGTCTTGATATTCCTTTTGGTCCTTTGGTCTATTTTGTCGACAACTTGTTATGCTCTGTGATGTATGCTATGTCATTCGTGTGTAATTCTATGGCCACTTTCTTTCTCCCCCTCAATTGCTTCCTGTATCACGGGGAATCGACAACCGAACCCAATATTTTGGTTAACCATCCATATCCCTCATCAACATCCTTCCACTTCGCACGTCTCCGGGACACATTTATTATTACTCATGACATACTTTCTCCCTCATTTCCGTCGCACCTGCTTTCGATAACAAACTTGCATGGACAACCACATAACGCATATGAGCGTGTATTGACCCACACTTGGGTTTACTTGATCTAGCAATCAATGTACCTCTTTATCGTACCAGCAAATCCACCCCGTTCCGGAAAGCCTTCGGCGTCGTTGGTGGTGCCCTACATTTGCCAAAGGTAATTGGCAATGAAAACAAGTTCAATAAAAGTTGTTAATGACAACCGGTCTGCACTGGCAATGGGTACAGCTCGTAGTGAGGGAGGACTCCGGAAGGGCTAAACTTGGTGCACCAGGTTGAACAGAAATAGCAGCCGTTTGGGTGTTCCTCTGCCTCGCCAACTTCCGTTTCGTCGCTTCGGAAACACGCTGTAGGGCAGGTGAGATATATCTCTTTGCATTTGGGGACGGGACCAGCATACCATTATTGTCTGTCGGACATCTTTCGCTTCTTCCTTGAGCTCCTTTGCTCGGCCAGAGTTCATCAAGGAGTCCCAACAACTTCTCGTCTCTGATAGCAGTTGATGATAAGCAACCGATACTCTGTAGAACAGTGGTGAGTGATTAGCCCGTGATTAAAATGGCGCTGGTCTCACTCTTCATGCATTTTGACGAGCATATCGTACTGTTTCTCATCGAGACCATGATTGGAGATGAAGCTTAACTCTGCCATCGTCTCGTCGAGCACGACTTTGATAGTGAGAAGCCGGCGTTTCGCAAAATAGGATTTGGCTAGTGCGAATGATGAGCAAAGGCCAAACATTACACGTTCCACTCACTGCTAGTAGGCCTGTCTTTGGTCAAGGATTTCGAGGTATGAGGAAGATTGTAGGTGGTGCTACAGCCTGAACTTTGCGCAGAGAAAGAGTTGTCGACTGCATGGATATTGTTGGTCCCAATCGAAGAGGCCGTGGTGTCTACAGAGACTCCCATAGTGCTAGAGTATCAGGTCTGCGAATGGATGGATGGATGAAACTGAAGTAGCCAAGAAGTAGCCAGTACTCGCGGAGTACGGTAGCGGACACACAGTGCCAGAGGAGAAAGAGAGGAACACACAAGGAGGGGCAATAGGAGTTGTTTTTGTACTCTGCCCATGCGCGTAAAGGCGGGCCAACGTTCCAACATTCATATTCAACGTGTACAATAACACCTGCCCGTCAGAGAACAATGAGCGTGTTGATCCAAGTGGGTCCAATCTATTACTTCCAGCGTCAATCCGTGAGAACTTGAACCTTGAAACATTTCTATTGTTCATTCACGAATGGCCCCATCCTGGCCAGTCCTAAACGACCATGGCCCAAAGCTCAAGTACTGACGTTCCTTCTCCTTCGGCAGGCGCCCATGCAGAAGGCGGAAAACTCCTTGAACACGAGCTTTTCTGGCGCGATCACTACGACTGGCTACTTTCAAGAGGCTACCACCTCCGATCACGGTATAAACCTGACTGGAAGCCATCATGGGAGGGGACAAAGAAATTCTGGGCTGTTTGTACCGATGGCATAATGCCTAAGGTACGAATTCGATAGTGATTGCTAGCTCGATCTTGGTTCTCATTGGTGCTTTCAGCACCCGAGTGTACTAGATGCTGAACGCGAGTCAGACGGCGAGCTGCTGATGCTCAAACGCGTGCAGAGGACCTTGCATCCGCACGAGGCAGTGATTGGGCAATTTTTCTCTTCAAGCCCGGTTGTTACGGACCCATCCAATCATTGTATCCCCATCTATGAAGTATTGGAAGTGCCAGACGACAAGGATGTAATCATTCTCGTTATGCCGCTTCTGCGACGGCACGACAGTCCAACCTTCGATACCGTTGGTGAGGCCATCGAGTTCTTTCGTCAAGTTTTCGAGGTAGGTTACGTGAATGACGCATCATTCGTACTGAGGACAGCATACCTAGGGACTCCAATTCATGCATCGGCATCACGTAGCTCATCGGTAAGCAACGTTCTCCTCTCGTGAATATGTTCTGATTATTGTAATAATTCAGTGACGCCGCAGCTCTAAACATCATGATGGATGCCAGGACCCTGTACATCGACAGATACCACCCTTCGCGGCCGAATTCTAAAATTGACATTAATGGAGCTCCAAGGCACTATACCAGGACACAGGTTCCAGTAAAGTATTATTTCACGGACTTTGGTCTGTCTCGACAGTACAAACCAGAAAATCTCCCTGTAACTGAGGAGGTCATTTATGGTGCTGACAAGACTGTCCCGGAATTCGAGACCCTGGAGTCCTGTGATCCTTTCCCAACCGACGTATATACCTTAGGAAATATGATTAGGGAGGAATTCATCGAGGTAATTGCGGGATCACCGCTCCATAGTATCATTGTCGCTCATTACGCTTATAGGGGTCCCGTTTCGACAAACGCAAGCTTGGCTTTGACTTCATGAAGCCACTCGTCGCCGACATGACCCAAGCAGATCCAACGAAGCGTCCCACCATGGACGAAGTCGTGGAACGCTTCGAAAAGATTCGAAAGGACCTAACCCCGTGGAAATTGCGTTCTCGAGTGGTTGAAGTACCGGAATCACCCTTTTCAAAGACTTTCCGCAATCTTGGGCACTGGAAACGGCGAATATGGTTTATGGCGAGACGTGTTCCTCCAGTTCCTGCACCTTCATAGTATACCCGGGCTGGTCTCCCCCGTTAGCTACTCATTGTGAGCGTAACTTGCATATTTACATTTACATTCTCTGAAGAGTTGACATGAGTCCTGTACAAACCATAATCGGGCTTGGACAGTCGCTTCCCATCTTGATTCTTTGAGGTGCGTTTCCGATGGCCCCCCTTCTGTCTTTTTGGCTATTTCGACAAAATCGATTTGTTGTCTGCCGCTAAGTCTGAAGGGTTCTCTCAATAATTGTGACTTTTCATGCAGGAGATCTAGAGGCCCTGGAGAAGACTCGCGAGGAAAGATTCAAGGAGTCACCTTCCTGACCGTGACTCTCGTGAGGGCCGCCGCTATGGTGTACCAACCAGTGTAAGTATCTGTCGACTAACCACCTCATACCTTCACTTCTCAGCATCTAGCTATACGCCATTATCACGCTGATGTTCCGCAAAATATTCCCTCGCCATGGTCATCATTGATCAGCCCCGACACGCTGACCAATTTATCCATATTTCCGCGTATACCAGACATAGATATCTTACAAAATCGACCATGTGCCAAATAAGAATATATTAGCACCCATGTCCATCTCATCGAAGTGTGCTGATACTTTCCACATGAGGACTTCGGCAGCGTAAGGTTGATGATAAGGCACACTATGCTGGGTAACTCTTCGTCAGACTTGTCATAGTGAATCATGTTCAACCGCACGTTCATCCGAATTGATATAGCGGCCTGCACGGTTGTGCCGTTTCGGAATTGTGGCACATCAGTATCGTGCGCAGGCAGCGATAGTGGCGTCTTCCATCGTTGAGTTCTGCGACCTTGTTGGACAAAGTGTGCAGCGCCGTGCAGATAGTGGTGTTGTAGTTGGACGACGAACTTGGGTCTTTCAGTGCTGGAGCTTGAACACGTGTGAGTGGATCCAGCGCCCATGCAGCCTGTTCATTGGCTGCTCATGCTTCCATCAAGTAGTCGTTGTCTTAACATACCTGGAACAGCTTCTATGTGCTAGTCAGCGGGAATCGTCCTGAACAAGTGTAATCAAGCTTCAGCCCAGTTGATCAAGGCATTGTCATTATGCTCACTTTTTGCCCAGGTCAGATCACAAGAACAGACGATGGTCATCATTACGGGGGCTGAACATTATTTTATCAGGCAGATATGTCGGGAACCTAGGCATAACAGAGCAACGTTTTCCACGTGAGTTCAACGTCGGGAAGTCTTCCCGTTCGTGTTCAGTTTCCGACACCGTGGGGAAATCTGGTCAATGTCGCCAGGCTCCATCAGACTTTGGCCTTTTCGCTGATTCGATGTCGTCAAGGGACTAAGTAGCGGAAGAGTGTCACTGAGATTAATTAGCACACCGTGCGCTGATCTGTAATTTTACGCTGGGACTGATGAAAATATACTAAACATATTCAGATTACTTTCTGCGGTACTTTTTGGCTCAATATTGAAAAAGTATTGATCAGAAATTGCCTTATTTGGCAATTTTCGCTCAATACCCTATTAATACCAGGAAAGTACTAGAGAAAATAAACGGTTTACTTTTACCTTATTCTCAACAATCCCAGGTTAAATGTACAAATCAGTGCACGGTGTGTAGAGCCCTAAGGCTGCTGTGGGTCAAAAGAATGTGCTTAGATGGGGTTATTACTAGCTGCCTACATGCATAACGTTGAAATGGATGCCCAGGTTCACCTGGACGTTCACTACAACCTGCGGGGTAGAAGCCTCTGGGCTTGGCGTCGACTGCTCTGCCCGACAATGAGACAGTTGCGGAGGAGCAGATTGCGTTTGGTCAACAACGGGTTGTACTTCTTCAAAAGCACGATGTGCGTGTTGGCTGTTCCTCTGTTTACCTATCCCTCGTTTCGTTGCGTCGGAGACGAGCTATGATATCTATAAGATACAGAGCTTGAATTCGAAGAATAACGCTGACGGACCATCACTCTACGATGGACATGCTTCGCCTGTTCTTTGACTCTCTTCGACTTGTTATAATTCATCAGAGAACCCCAAAAGCCGCCAGTCTCTGCGTCGAGTTCATAAAAATCGTGCGAAGCTCTATGAGCCATTATAATGAGCGTACAATGCATATAAATGTAGCCTAAGGCCCACCCTTCGAGTAGGTCGACAAGTTGGTTGTACTCCTCCTCAGATATGCCTTTGTCAGCCACAAACAGCAGCTCGTCCATTGCTTCGTCAAGGCGGCTTTTAGTGGACGCAAGTTGGCTCTTTGCTCCGATGGAGAAGGACCAGCGACCTAAACGGGATCACAATCAGCAGAGGACGAATATATCATGTCTGATACTCACTTCTTCTTGTATAACTCATCGTCGTTGTGTGAGAGACATGATTGTGGGTTGTCCTCGTTGTCTCTTGAATATTGACAGAGTTGTCAACCGCGTGGACGTTGTTGATCCCTACCGAACTGCGTGTTGTGGGTGTAGTTATCGCCATGGGCTGCACGGTAATTATGCGCAAAAGAATGAAGTAACCTGTACTATTTGCGTTGGCAGTGATGCTCGATGCGCGCTGACAGTACCGAAGGAAAGAACATCTGGGTGTGGCCAATCTTTGTACTTTATATGAGCAGGCGGTGAAGGCATGTACGTACCGCCCCTTTCATGTAGAACAACAACCAAACGTGACAGTTGTTGGTCCAAGTGGGTCCATTGAATAGTTACTTATCTCCAGCGTCGAACCGTGAGAGACTCTAGGCTCTTTGCAATTGTTCTTGTGCTTGTTGACTTACTCTATCCTGCCCTGCTCCCAGAATCGCCATGGCTAACGGTTCGGACACCAACACCCCTCCACCTCCTACCGCGAGTCAACCCAGAGTCGGAGGGCAGCTCCTTGCAAGCGAGGTCTTCTGGCGCAATCACTACGACTGGCTCCTTTCAAAGGGCTACCTCCTGCGATCACGGTATCGGCCTGACTGGAAGCCTTCATGGGAGGGCACAAGGAAATCCTGGCTTGCGTGTACAGACGGCATCATGGCAAATGCAAGTCACCACAGTCGTACTCCTCAGTCTTCGTCTTGACCAGTACTTCCAGCATCCCAGCGTTCTAGATGCCGAACGTTTGTCGAATGGAGAACTGTTGGGACTCAAGCGCGTAAAGAAGAGCTTGCATCCATACGAAGCGCAAATCGCTCAGTTCTTCTGCTCGGGCTCCGTCGCTACCAATTCGGCCAACCATTGTGTTCCCATTTATGATGTATTGCAAGTTCCAGATGACGATGACGCGATCATTCTGGTGATGCCTCTTCTTAGAGAACACTACAGTCCAGCGTTCGATACCATTGGTGAAGCTATTGAGTTCTTTCGTCAGATTTTTGAGGTATGCTGGATGGGATGTGTACTACCTGCTAATAATGATCTCGAACCTAGGGACTTCAATTCATGCACCGAAATCACGTAGCCCATCGGTGAGTAATGCTCAAATACATCTGGGCCTTCTCAATAATATTGCCCAGCGATTTAGCATCTCAGAACGTCTTGATGGATGCCAGAACGTTGTATACAGACAGATATCACCCATCAAGTCCAAATTATAAGCTTGATGCCAGCACCGCCCCGAGACATTATACCAGAACCCAAGTTCCAGTAAAATACTACATCATAGACTTTGGTCTGTCTAGAATGTACCGACGGGAAGACCTTCCGGTCTCAGAAGACGTTATCTACGGCGCTGACAAGACGGTCCCGGAATTTGAGACCTCGGAGTCATGCGACCCTTTCCCGACCGACGTCTATACTCTGGGGAATATGATCAAAGAAGAATTCATGGAGGTAAGGGATATAATCCACCGCTTTCTGTCAAAATCACTCACCGCGTACATAGGGATCCCGCTTTGACAAGCGCAAGCTCGGCTTTGACTTCATGAAGCCACTCGTCGCCGACATGACCCAAGCAGATCCAACGAAGCGTCCCACCATGGACGAAGTCGTTGAACGCTTCGAAAAGATTCGAAAGGACCTAACCCCGTGGAAATTGCGTTCCCGAGTGGTCGAAGTGCCGGAATCCCCGTTTACAATGGCTTTCCGCAATCTTGGTCACTGGAAACGGCGGATATGGTTTATGGCGAGACGTGTTCCTCCAGTTCCTGCACCTTCATAGTATACCCGGGCTGGTTCCCCTCGTTAGCTACTCATTGTGAGCGTAACTTGCATATTTACATTTACATTCTCTGAAGAGTTGACATGAGTCCTGTACAAATCTTAATCGGGCTTGGACTTGGACAGTCGCTTCCCATCTTGATTCTTTGAGGTGCGTTTCCGATGCCCCCCCTTTTGTCTTTTTGGCTATTTCGACAAAATCGATTTGTTGTCTGCCGCTAAGTCTGAAGGGTTCTCTCAATAATTGTGACTTTTCATGCAGGAGATCTAGAGGCCCCGGAGAAGACTGGCGAGGAAAGATTCAAGGAGTCACCTTCCTGACCGTGACTCTCGTGAGGGCCGCCGCCGTGGTGTGTCAACCAGTGTAAGTATCCGTCGACTCGACGAACCACCTCATACCTTTACTTCTCAGCGCTCAGCATCTAGCTATAGGTCACTATCACTCCAAAGTTCTGCAAAAATATTCCCTCGCCATGGGACCTAATCAGTCGAGAGATTATTGTAAGTGGTACGACTCCGAGATATCCTTATAAGCAGATATCCTATTCCTTCGACATCACGACACGACATATCCCGCACCCCATTCACGACCGCCATGTCTTCAACCCCAAAATCTGGGGCCAAAAAAAAAGTACAGAGGAACGCAGCGACTCAATCATGAAATGGTCGACACGAGTAGTTCTACTCGCTTTGTTCCTCGCGCTCTGTAGTTGGCTGGACACCATAAAGGTCAGTTTGTGTCTTTCTTGCGCGTTCTATATGCATCCGAGCTTGCTGATACAACCTCGCCCACTCTGATTCTTTTTCTGTTATTATTTACCTAGGATCGGTGGTACGTTTTTGAGCCTACCAAACTGCATGCACTCGCCCAGCTGCCCACCCGGACGACATAGGCGCGATGGCGCACCATATCGTCACCAATCTCACCGCCGAATACCCTAGCTCCCGCATCCGCATCAACCCCAACGAACGCGAATGGGTCTTCAACAATGCCGGCGGCGCCATGGGCGGGATGTACATCATCCACGCTAGCATCACGGAATACCTCATCATCCCTGGCACGCCTCTGGGCACCGAGGGGCATTCTGGGATACACACGGCCGACGACTACTTCTATCTTCTCTCTGGCGAGGGTATACCCCGCGGGGAGCGTCAATTTGATGCCGAGAGGTGTGAGGAAGCAGTATAAGATGCACAAGGGCTGCTTTGCTCTTGAATATGCTCGAGGTCTGTATATCGCCTCGTTACTCATCTAGTCGCGTCCCTCACACCTTGATTGTTAGGATGGATTCCCCTCATGTTGCCATTCGGCTTTGCTGATGCGATCATTTCCACGATGGACTACATAAGTGTATACGACACCGTTCGCGCGACGGGCTGGGAGATGATCAATAATTTGTTCATTGGCAAGATATGACTTGTCACATTTTCATTCATCTAACACTCGAGTTATGCGTGTGTATTAATGACAGTCTAGTGTTCCAATGGCACCAGTACAAGCTGGGAGCGGCCATGGTCTCCTACGCAAACAAAACTCTGTTTGATCTATCCCTCAATTTAATAGTTAGGGGACAATTCAGGAGGCTGAGGGGAAAGGAAGGGCTTGTTGACTCAGCGTCCTTGAAATATGACTACCACCACTACAATCACTTTCTACGACATTCACGCAAATGTAGATCCTGTACCAACTATGTCGCCCAGCACCCTTCGCGTCAGGTAAATTCACGACGTCAAATTCACCCATCTATGAGTCGTTACTTCTACATCAATACAGATACGCTCTGAACTTGAAGGGCATTGCATTCAAAACCGTATGGGTTGAGTTCCCAGACATAGAACAAGTCTGTAAAGGACTCGGCGTTGCGCCAACTGGGAAGAGTCGAGACGGGAAGCCTCGGTACACGTTGCCTGCTATCAAGGATGTTTCTACAGGGATCGCGCTCTCCGACGGAGCCGAAATAATCGAGTATCTGGACAAAGCGTATCCCAACACGCCCACACTCCTGCCTCGAGATACCATTGCTTTGCAACTCGCGACCTACAGCGCTCTAGTGCCCCGCTTTCTTGCAATTTATCCGCTGTACGCAGCGCGCGCTGTGCGGTTGTTCAACCCCGGCACCCAGCGCTGGTGGCGCGAGACAAGAGCGGTGCTGTTCGGTAAGTCACTGGAAGAGGCAGAGCCGAGGGGCGAGGAGAAGACGAAGGCGCTGAATAAATTCATAGCGGATTTTGGGGAGGTGTATCAGTGGATGAGTCGAGGCGACGGATCGTTCTCAACGGGTGATCGAACGGTGTCTTTCGTCGAGTTGACGCTGGCGGGCATGCTTAACTCATTGAAGATAGTATTTGGGGAGGATAGCGAAGAGTGGCAGAAGATTGCTTCGTGGAACAACGCCAGTTGGCTACCGTTCCTCGCGAAGTATGAGCAATATCATAAGGCTGCCGGTTAATTGCGATCGTGGAACCTAGATGTAAATATCTTCATTTACCGATACCGATATGAGGAATCTGCTACAGTTTGTCCAGTTCCTTGAGTTCAAAGCGTGGTTCTGCAGACAACGTATATTTCCGGGAGAGCAATAAATAAGAGCACCGGATAGCACGGGAATGTAACACAGGATAGGATAGTACAACGAAGATAAACCGTAGAGTAAATGATAATATGACTGGTAAGATGACAGAATCGATGAGAACCTTTTACTTCCTTCCATATGGCGTGTCGTAACCAACCTGCTTGTCGATGGTGATCTTGACACCCTCAGCAAGGTCCTGGTCCGACGGAGTTGGCCTTGTGTTAAGTTCGCCCGAGTCCAAGCCACTCTTGACTTCCTTCACATCAGAATCATTCCACTCCGTTTCCGGTTTAGGGTTCCGCACATCGAGGGTGTAAGTGTGAGTCGGGTTTCCAGCAACAGAGAGCTGATGAAGAGACAATGTGTGGTTGGTAGGGTTGAAGTTATTGGAGCGGATAGCACCGCCGCGCGCGGTGGAGGCAGTCGAAGAGGTGTTGGCAGCGGAAGACGAGGTTGGCGTGAAAGTGCCTCCGTTACTCAATGGTCCCCTGATGTTCAAGATGATGCGGAGTGTCATGGAGGTTGTCAAGACGGCAGCCATGCTTGTGATGATGGTCTTGATGGGGTCCTCCGGGCCAGTTGGTTTCATGATGAACCAGAACAGCGTGGTGACCATGTTTACACCCCACACGGACTGAACGAGACTTTAGGAGGGAGGGAAAACGGAAGTAAAATATACCACTCACCCCATAAAGGTTGAGCCCATCTCGCAACATAAGTTTCCAAGGTGTTAGAGGTTTTCCCTGGGGGCCGCTGAGGGAGTCAATGGAACGTTTGATCGCGAGAACGAACTGAGATACACGTGAGAAGTTTTCGACAGAGTGAGGCGTTCGAGACTTACCGAAACGGTGTAAAGGAGAGTGGGGAGAAGCCAGTAGATGCCGACCCAGTTGTGCTTTGGACCGGCGATGCATCCTTGACCAGGTTTGAGGGGAACGGCTACAGCATCGTGATGAGGCCAGCGGGCGCGCTGAGATGGGAGAGACGCCCTTACACATGTAGAAGCCGCAACACACGGCGGTTACAACGATCTGGGCAGCAAGCAACGAGCCCATTCCGTACAGCACGGTCCTGCTTTTGTCGTAGATGGCATAAATCCGGGTGACGTGAACGACTGTGCTCCCGATAAGCACCTTTATTTCAGAGACGCTGATGGTACTCACGAGAGGCGGCGGCGAGCAGAATGGCTGTGCAAATCGGTTCAAATAGATAGAACTTCTGGCATCTCTGTATTTGCAAACATTAAAACTGAATTTCAACAACTGGGGCGCATCATTGACTCACATCCTGCGTCCATTGAGTATCAAAGAACGCGACGCCTAGCCAGAGAGAGGATCATCAGAAACTGATACAGCTAATTCGCAGTTAACTCAACGTACCAACGACAGTGAATTCAACGGGCATAAATATCCTCAAGAAATGGAAGATGATCTTGAGGAGGGGCCATCCTTCTGACCTGAACAGCCTCCAAGTGCGCGGGGACAAGACGAGAGTATCCCAAGCAGCCACCGTAAGGGTGCACACAAAGAAGTATTTGTGGGCGCTCAGGTGAGAGGGTAGATTGAGTGAGTCCGGTAGCTGGATGGTCGACATGGGGGGAAGAGTGAAGGGGACTTGGAGACAACGATGGGCAACGACTTGGTTATATGGTGAGATCACGAGATCAAAGTTCCCAGGGTCGACAGCAAATCAAAGTTTGATCATCTTCCGCCCACAGCTTTGCTCTCCACCATCACCGGCACCCTCATCATCACCGTCTGAAACGGTGTGCTGTACCCTGCTGCACCCCTTCTCCTCCTCGTACCTAAATTATAATCGTCCAAACAGGCTGTTCATACTGGAAACCAAGAATACTAGTTCTGCATCCGGTCTCCCGTCATCAGTGTCCTATCAAAATGACTTTGATGATCTTTCCATGGCACCGCTGCATCTCATCTTTGATGTCTTGATGTCTCTGGTGTCTCATGTGCAACGAACCTGGTGGGCTATCCCATTACGAACTCACGGCTGCCAACTGTCCACATTATATACCTCCAGCCTTCGGACTTCTCCGTCGACAATCACTCCCGACTCATTCGCAATGCACGCTCATCCACCGCGCTCCCGCTGACTTCGGTACCTAGACCGAGTCCATTGCCACCTTCGACGCCCTTCCGGATAGCAACCCATCAACCAACACCAGTGCTGGTTACCCGTCCCGGCGCGTTAGGGGTTACGCCGATATATACTTTGAGCTCGGTAGACGCCTTTGCCGAATTTCTATGGCTTCACAGCGCAGCCTGGACATGTCGAAACTCCAATTTAACGGCGCCTAGACAATTGTCGCCATCTACATTGCCCAGAGCCTCAATATCCAGAAATGATCCACCATGTTCGCCGGACTACGTATATGACTCCCTCGTATCAAGTTGAGCGAATACCCCGAGTATCTTCTTTAGGGAAACTCCGCTTTGCGAGCTTTGTATACATTGCGCCCGCTGGTCGAGATCAAGCTCAAGCTCCGTCTGTCAGAAGTACATCAAAGGCGAAATACCGTGCGATGCCTTTGCTCGCGGTATATAAGACTTCTTGTTTCTTTTCGTTCTATAGTCGCTGCTAACCCACCGTAGACGCCCTCTCCTGCAACTTCTATCTTCCTGCGTTGCGTTCACTTGTATATCGCGAATAATACGACATCCGCACAGCATAACAACCGTCAACGCTTCGCTGCATCATCTCACTCGTCCGCAATTTCCCCCTGCCATCATCACCGTCACTCCACCTCCCAGTAAAACATACCTTGAACCACCATGCTCGTTCAAGATACTTTCAGCCGCATGAGCCTTCACCACGATGTTCCTTTCAACCGACAATACATCCTACGCACCGTGGGGCGCGTAGTGTCGCAGACGTACCTCTGTTCCAAGAGGTTGATACTACTCCGAGTCTACGGCCTCTTATTGGGTGCCACCTCCAGACAGTAGGCGAGGCCATGTGCAACGCTTCTGTCGGAAGCCGCACCCACTTCCCCCCGACATAACGTCATCTCAACAACAGCCAACTACATCCTTACGCGACGTCGCGTAGCCACCCACCCACTCACCCATCAAAATGATAACGATCTCTAGCAGTGTCGACCGTGCTGAGCACTTCAGCCAAATGCTCCCAAACCTACCATCGTATAGTCCCCGTATCACAAACAACAACCGGCCACACGTCGCCGTAGCCTTGGAAGGAAATTTGGCGGACAGAATTGGCGGATAATAATAAATTATCATAAGGAGTAGATGTATATTTGGTTCCGTGGATTTTTCGTTCGAGGTTCTCACCTGGGTTGTTCTCATTTTCTTTGTGGCTTTGATCATTGCTTCCTATGTTTGGGTGCCGCCTCTGATTGAGCTCGGTGATCTAGTTCTTTCAGCAAAGTCATCAGACCGCAATGATTAGGGCGGAAACGCCGGAAACGCGAGGTGCACGTCGAAGGGGTTGATTTTGTTGATCGAACAGAGACACTGAAGAGAAGGGTGGCGCAACGCCTATGGCATTGTGTGTCCAAAGGGTATGGATCAAATGGATCAAGGAAGATAGCGATAAAGATTGATGGGCTCTAAGTAACTTGGTGTGTCGCGGGCTTGTACGGCATTTATCGAGCTGCATCGTATCTATACATAGAGCGTTGTGGGTTGTGGGTTGCGGGTGGGGGTTTTCCGACATAGCATCATACTGTTTGGGCCCAGAGGGGAATAGAGCAAGGTAGATGGAGGGCAAACTAAGCAAAGATGAAGCAGCGCTGAGCAGGAAAATTACTCTAAACGCGTGTATATGGTTTAATCAACATGGGCAACACATTCCCTGCCTCTGGGTTACTCTTGAGGAGAGGTCGTTGCACAATGGACGCCTTCTTGATTATTTCGCTCGCTGGTACGGCCAGTTCAAATGTAAAGGAACGAATCAAAACGAAAAGAAGTGCCTTCATTCTAGACAAACGTGAGGTCAGTCCTTCAGTATTCAATATTGCGTACTCACTCGACTAGTGAAAACCGATACCCAATGCAAGCACGAGGGCCGCCGAGGAATGTCATTTGGTTGCTCCATACGCCAGGAATAGCGCTTGAAGCTTGCGGCGGCGAAAGCCAGCGGTCGGGCCTTATGTGGGAGAAAGGTGAGATACCAAAACGTTGACCCACTGGAACGGACGCACTTAAATTGTTCAGCATCTTCGCCCCATATAGGCTTGTAAAGATTCAGAGCCGAGATGGGTATCATGACGTTCTGCCCTTTCTGAATCCTATACGCGGTTAGTCAGCAAAGAATAGAACTGAAGGGGATCTAGTTTACCTGATGGAATGGTGAATATTTCCATAGACATCAGTAACAGGTTGACTCAAAGGAATCTCATCGTCAACGGTGGCCACGCGACCAATTGCTGGTACAGGCGAATGCACACGGAGTGTCTCGCGAACGACACGGTCTAAATACGGCAAAGCGTTGAGTTCGTCCATGGTTGGCGTGTCCGTTTCAACACTCCAGAGTTCCTCGCGCAATTTAGTCTGCATCACAGATTCCTGAGCCAGCGCAAACAAAGCCCAGGTGGTCGCAGTGCTGTCAATCATAGTAAAAGAATGAGCTAATAATAGAGATTGGCAGTTGACGGAAAGCTTACCTGGTCGTCTCATGTCCAGCGACAAGGAATGTGGGTATTTCTGCATGCGCGTAATGAGATGTAGACGGCGTGAAGGCGACAGGAAAGTACGAACGGGCTAGAACATCTTCGTCTTGCAACCTATGTGACTCCGGAATTCCGGCTGCTGTGTTAGCTCGAACCAACAAGGAGAGCAGGTTACGGGAGCGAAGGCTACGATCTCCGATCTCCTTCTCAGACTGCGCAACAGCAGCCTTACTAGAATTGAGCAACTCTCTGCCAATTCTTCCCATGACAACTTGAGCTTGCTCAGCCACAGCATCCCTCGATGTCCGCTAAGCACGATCATCCCGTTTAGCAAGGCCTGTCTCCACCATGGCAGACTAGTTTCCGACTTACGAGATAGCGGAAAACTGGGGAAATGACTCTCAAGACCATGACGGTCCGGTTGTTGGTGCCACTGTGAAATATAGTAGAGAAGGCTTGACTGAGTTCGTTCGGGGTTGCATTCTCGTTCAGGGCGTCAAATGTATAATTAAATCCTGGAAGCACGGTTCAACGGGAATTCAGTATACGGAGGCCATAGCTATACTGACCTGCGAGCCCGATAACGTCCAAGGTCATTCGGCCCAACCATGACAGGACGTCAATGCGGCCAGTGCCGCCTTGTCTATTGGCCTCAGAGGCCCATAAATCACGAAGCTGAATCATATTGTAAACCTGAACGAAAGTGAGAAATGCATGTCACTCGCCTGAATGGATTTCTGTACGAAAATATCCGTGAGATCTCTGATTTGCGCTGGCCCGAAGGCCGGATTCTAACTCGACGTCAGTTACGTATCCTGTAATGATGAGTACTACGCATTTTACCATGACCCTACGCTGCGCGAGGAACCGCCGAGTTAGATGATTACGGCGTTGCCTGAACTCTGGTCGGTCGCGCTTACCTGTTTCCTGTGCATCTCGCCTTAACATGGGGCGTAAGTCCACTTATCCTACATGATCGTCGAGAAGGAACTAACCTTCCGTAACCAACACCCCTGCAATGCGTGTGGTGAGAACATGCGCGAAGAGAAGGAAGCAGAAGGTACGCTTCACGAAAGCCCGGCCCCTGAATGGACTGACACGGGTGCAGTTCAATAGAAGTGGCGGGTGCAATGCGGGTGCAATGCTCAGCATCTCTAAGGGCATCGCAGGGCATGTATAACGCCACACCCAGTGGAACAGAGCAGTCGTGAAGCAACCGAATATGTAGATTACGCACCTGGTCCGACGATACGAGAGAGGGCTTCTCTTGCTGGCATAGGCCGCTCGTATATATCGTTACGCATGAGAACGTGGCTCTGGGCCTTCGGGTCAATCGTCCAGAGTCGCGCAAACTAGCAAAGTATGTCAGTATAAGGTGTATAGATCATTGAAGTATTTGACTGACGTTGAAGGGTCCTTTGAACTGAAAGGTTGTGCCGTAGACGTTGACCCATTCACTTGCGCTCGGTGGCTATTTATGATGGTGAGAATGGACCACCAGTATACGAGGAAATTACTGACCCCATCGAATGCTTCGCGTATGCTACCAAAGAACCAGCTACGGCTCTTGGGTCCAGGTAGTGCACGTATCGGTGATGTCAATTCCTTGTACGCCACCGTGCACAACTTGTACACGGCAATGGCGGCAGCCATCACGAGCACGGGGCCGACTATCTGTAGCATTGATATGATGAGTTTCGTTACTTGACAAGGGACGGGAGTGTTGCTGTTTCGACGATAATATGGTCCTTCTTATATCGTTCAACGAGAGAGGCCGCTGAGTTCGAAGGGTCCCAAAATAGCCCAATGCCGGGTCAACGTCACGCGGAAGATCTGAACCGTCGGCTGCGCCGTAGCTACCTCATCTCTTGCTCCCATGGTGGGTGCTTCCGTTTTACCGTCCTACCATAACTGAGGCTGTACATTGCTCTGGAATCGCATCGGAGAGATTCCAGGGATATCTGATAAGGCGTACATGATCGCGTCACCTAATACACGTAAGGGATGAGCTTGTAGGGTACTTGTTTCTTGTACTCCAAATAGTCGTTCCCAGCGATAGGATCCTCGTCAATTAACTTCTCCTGATGAACGGTAAAGAATAAGCCGGAAGCCAGCGCGTGCAAGCTAAACTCATCCACGAACCTCAATGGAAGTCTTAACTACCAACGCGCCGAAGACAAGCGGCAGGCAGACGCAGGGAACATACGACCAGAACATTGGGATGTATAAGAGTTGCTGAAACAGTACGCCGCTGTATAACGGATGCCGAACATACGCGTACGGGCCAGTGTTGACGATCTTTTTTGGTTTCTCCCGAATCTAAGATATAAGCACGCTTATTAATAAGAAGTGCGATGTGAGACAGGAGACGAACGCCAATATAATGCCATTCATCTCCGAGATGGTCAAGCACGACGCGATTGTATCTGGTCCACAGAACTAGGGCCAATGAAGCCAAGGTTCTGATCATGGCCTTGCCGCCCACTCCCAGCGCTAGGTCGGCTTCCATCGGGAACGCCACGTCTTCCATCCACGCTGGTTGTTGAAGGTGATTATACGCGACGGTGGCGACGTATACCAAAGGCGGAATCATCTGGACGGATGCATGGAAAGGGGTGATGAGGCGGCCGAGAAGGCTCGTGGGCATGGTCTTCATGTTGCCCGCCTTCTTGCCCGCCTTGATGATGGACCGAGCGTGGCCAGCGATGATGACCTGGGTGGCGCATACGGAGGCGACAACGATGCCCTCGACGCCCTGATTATGAGTAAGTTGAAGATTGAGTCCTGCGAGGTACATGGTTGGGGATGAACCGTGCGTTGACCGTCAGGGTTCCCGCGCCCAGTTTATGTACCCGCACAGTCCGGTCTAGTCCATGTCGCGGAGGGCGGGGCTGCAGGGCGGGATCATAAAAGACATGTGACGTCACGTCTGGTGACTCAGCGGCACACTTACTTCCGTAGTCCACAACATGGCTGACAACATCACAGATCCAAAGATATTCTCAGAGTCATGACTGATTGCAACCATCGCCCCTCTTGCATTGACCATCTCATTTCCAGCCACAATGCCCGCCCAGAACCAAGTAGAAGTTGAAACGCTAGCGCAGTTCCGGAAAGAAGTCTTCGAAGAGGGCATCATTGCTGAAGGTGACACACTTGGGACTGACGATGAGACTTTCATGTGAGTTGCGTGGCTTGCTCTATGTTTACTTTATTTGACGACCGCCCAATAGTCGATTTCTCCGGGCCCGTAAATTCAATGTTAAGCTTGCCAAGAAGATGCTGCAGGATTGTCAGCAGTGGCGCAAGACCGTAGAGGGGGTAGGTATAGATGAGCTATATAGGAGAATAGACCCTTTTGATGTAAGTTTCCGGACGAAACCTCTATCCTCATATTAACGATATCGTTGAAAGTATCACGAACGTAGAGCCGTGTTTGATTGCTGGCCGATGTGGTTTCATAAGGTAAGCCACAATACCTAATGTTAACTAAATTAATCTCTGACTAGATCAATTATAGACAGACAAGGTTGGCTTCGTTGCACGCCCTTTGAAGATTGTCGCTGATTCATATCTATCATCAGAAAGGCCGCCCAATAAACGTACACTTCTTCGGCGGAATGGATCTAAATAAACTCTACAAGGAATGCACACCGGAGAAGCACTGGCAAACAGTTCTCGTCAACGCAGAGTCACTTACCCGAGAGATCCTACCAGCCGCCTCCAAGTCCGCCGGACGTACCATCGGTAGCGTCTTGGTAATTGTCGACCTCCAGGGATTTGGGTGAGTACTTTTAGATCCTGAGTATAAACATAACCCTCGCTCTATAGCTGGAATGCTAAATATATATTATTGTTTCTCGGAATAGATTGAGCCAGTTCTGGCAGATGAAGAGTCTAGCCCAGCAATCGTTCCAAGTCTCCCAGGATTACTACCCCGAAACGTTAGTCCCATACCCTATCTCCGAGCAGCTAGCTAACAGCCAGATCTCCCTTCACCCCTTCAGCATGGGACAGCTCGCCGTCGTCAACGCCCCCTCCTCCTTCACCTTTATCTGGGGCATAATCAAACCCTGGTTATCACAGGAGACGGTCGACAAAGTACAGATCCTCGGCGCCGACTACAGAGAGGAGCTTTTGCGGCTTGTAGACGAAGAGGCATTACCAACTGTTCTTGGTGGCAAGTGTACATGCGCGGATGAGGTAGACGGGGCTGATGGGGAGAAGAGCGCCTGTCATCTGAGTGGGGCGGGGCCGTGGCTAGACGACCGCGTTGGCTGGGGTCCTAATGCGCAGAGCGCGGGGAGCATACGAACCAGCTCCAGCGGTGGATCAGCGTATGAAGACGCACAGTAGAGGGACCTTGCTGCCGTCATTAGGATAATATCACACCAAGTACTTAATATATGTTATTCAGTTACGTCGACATCAATATCAAATACCTTAACCTACCAAGTCTGAGCACAGACGAATCAAAAGCTTTCGCCAGACACGAAGTTGACTTTGGGTCATCACGAGCTAGTGTAGCCACCAGCAACGTGATAGGATTGCTTGCACGGCGCGTATACATGAACCAGAATCATGTCTATGTCAAGGCAGAGCTCGCGCACTTGGCAGTGCCGATTGTAGGCGATGTAGAACCACCGCAAACATACATCGTGGCTCATCCCACTGCTCCAGAGTGATGTCAAAGACCAACGGACGCGCGTCTAGCAACGGACTGAAGACCTCATTTAGCACCCCCTCCTGCTCCGAAATATCATTAAAGTGCGCTGTGAAAGAAGTAAGTTGGTGAGTGAATTTGACATGCTCCGATGTACCGTCCTTGTGGAGGGGCTGCAGCGCGTGGTACAATTCTTGGTAGTCCGTACGATTAGCGTATCGGGGTCCACCTATCATCGTGCAGCTGCCTTCGACATTGATGTTCGGTTAACCGAGAGGCATGACGACTCCCGCGGGCTCTGGAAGATGGTGATTGTCAGGCAGGAGGGCCGGATGGACTGGCCAAGGCGGGGGAGGTCGGAATCCTGCAAAACTGGAGGGAGGCAAATCAGAAGACGAAATGAAGGATAATAAGCTGGGATGATATATACTGGCTAGGGAAACCGCTGACAAGCCGTCAGGGAGACACGACACGTCAGGAAATGGGAATTTATCGTACGCGCAAGTCAGAAAATCGAGATTTGGCATTTCAATGCGGTTCAGTTGCGCTGTCGAAACGTCTCCTCGCACTAGCCTTAGTTTGCGGAGCGCTCCCAGGACAACTGGTGGGGGCTCGGGATCTATCAGCTTTGGGATAGTTTCGGGGCTGCGAATATAGCACGTGTCGAGCGATAGTTCCTTGAGCACAGCGAAAGGATGTTGATCAAGCCCAATACATCATCCGAGACGATTCAGCATGCTAGACCAAATTTCTGAAGGGGAGCTTCGGCTATTGAACCCATGATCCCCGATGCGAACGATACTGGGAGCGTTGGGCCTACTACCAACAGATTTGTAAGGGACAGTGAACGCGGGTTCACGAATCGATGGAGATTATCCGGAATCCATGTTGGTGTATCCGGAGTATCGTTGGCCCAGTTGATAGCGAGATCGATTATATATTTGAAGAGGTGCGGGGCGGTAAAATGTAGGAAAGAAAGCCCTGGGAGAATCTCAGTTTCATCGCGTGCCATGCGCAGCTCTATACTAAAGGTGTGGAAGATGCGAGGCCGAGAGATATCGTTCGACGCCCAGCATACAAGGGAACGTGCCTTCAAGGCAGGCAAGATCGATCGCCGGTATTCCCGTTTGTCGTCCTTGCAATCGTCGAGAGACGCGACGATGTGGGCGACTAGCTCCAAGGAAGCTGCTTCGAACGAGTCTGGCGCTGAGATGACTCTACTAGATCAATACGATACTATCGAGCGTTGACCGAGCGGTGATGTTATATTCAACATATGTTGTGCCCATCGAGGAGAATATCAGAACTTACTTACCTGTCGATGTGACACCGTCTCAACCGCGAGGGGTAGCAGGATAGGAACGCGTCCGAAATTTGAAGTGACTGACACTGGCAGCATCCACAACCAGCGCTCATGGAAACGTCGGAAGGCTCACTTACCGCTTAGAAAGGGCTCGCAATTTCTGTAATTGGATTATGCCCCTTCCTAATGTGACTTAACCGTATCCAATACGACCGCATAGCATTCTATGCTTTACAGGAGTTTTCAAGCTAAGAAAAGTTGAATTGGAGCTCCTAGGGTATTTAGTTGGTGCTGATCATGCTTGTGGGCGCACTACATTGCGATTGAAACACCTGTTGTAGTCTTAATCATGGGAGGCACACTAATGAAGCAGTATTACAGGAATAAACATGCCGGAAACAAAGCACTGCCAAACGATTCAACGAGAGGCTGACGAGGATCGTGACCGCGATCGCGATGCAGCGCGCTTGCTAGGAACTCTCCGTCTACGGTCGCGAGAGCGAGAGCGAGAGCGAGAAGAGTCCGAGGATGAATCAGAGTCTGAGCTAGAGTCAGAAGAGGAGCTGGAGTCTGAGTCTGAGCCCGAGCTACTGCTTGAGCTTGAACTCCTGGAGTTGCTGGACCTGATTGTGCATTGATCAGTCCTCCCTCTCCTGCAAAACAGTCATATATAAACGCACCGTCTCGCTTTCTTTTTCGAAGGCCCAGCTTCTTTCTCTCTCTCCTTCTCCTTTGCCTCCAGGATCTTGTTTGCAGTCCCACTCCTGTTGAAATAGGAAGATGAGACCGACCGGATTCAACTGACACATATAGCTCACTTCGTCTTGAACTCTTCTGGGACTTCTGCTACTGTCTTCGCAGATGCATTGAGTTTTGCGAGCAAAGCAGGTTTCTCCAGTAACTTGGTGCGTGACGGACGAGAAACATACGGCCTAGTGGACTTGCATTGGTAGATGAAATGTCCTATGGATGTCAACGCGCTATGAGCCAGCAGTGCAGCCAGAATATGGGACTCTGCTTGCCAGTTTGGAGACACTTCTGACATATTGTCGAGGACGTCGCCCTGGGTTGATTGGCCGAGTTTCGGTGCGGTGCGTACTTGGACATTGTTGACTTGCAGTTGACGGCAACTTGCTGTAAAGTGACGGGCGAACTGAACTACGGTAAACAGATCCAAACACTACTTAGGGGTACAGCCTTCCAGTGGCTTTCATCAATGATTAATGACTCGCTGCCAGTCAGTTGCAGGCTGAAGTTAGATTAGGTTTGGCATTCAAGTATACTATATTCACAGATGTCTCACGAATCGATTCAATCGCTACCACCATGGGAGGGAAAGCGTTCAAAAATCTCCAGCCTTCGGCCTTCCCTCGCATGCCCCCTCCCGTATACCGCGATCTGAAGGCCCGTATTCAGACAACGCTATCCAAGCTCTACGAACTCGTTCAAGTCCCCATCGAAGCGCCAGAGAAGAAAGACTATGGTGATCTAGACCTCATTGTCGCGCATCCCAAGCAGAAGCCAGAGCTCGCAGCAGACAACTCCGATACCGTGTCTCCAGATATCGTGCACGCAGCTATAGGCGCGAGGCACTCAATATTCATGGGCGGGTATCGTACATCTAATTATGCTGTACCAATCGCCCCTGGGCAATGGGCCACCTTAGGGTGCGGAAGCAAGGAGGAGGAATGCCGCCTGCAACTGAAGATGGATCTCTTAGCTATCAAAGACGAAGAAGACGGAGAAGAGATCGAGAAAGACGGAGAACTATATTACCAAGTCGATGTACACGTCTGCCCCGACGAAGCTGAGTGGAAGAGGAACGTATTCTTCAACTCTCATGGTGATATGGGCATGATCCTGGGCGTCATCATCCGTAATCATGGCTTGCATCTTGGGGTGCACGGCCTGAAGGTTTGTAGGAAGTGCAAATCAACTCATTCTCTGTCCCGCTAAAGCATTCACAGATGCCCGACCCACCAAATAGCCCGCTTCACTTGTCTGATGACTTCAGTGATATACTGCGCTTCATGGGGATTTCCGCGACATTGCCATTGACCAGCTTCGGCACGCGACAGGAAGTCTTCCGTTGGATAGCAGGGAGCAGGCTATTCGATCCTACTCGTTTTCGATCCACCGGTACTGGGTTTTCCAAAGTCAAGCAAGAGCGAGCCATGTATCACGACTTTGTCCGGTGGGCCGAAGAACTGTCCAAAGTTGATGTAGGAGGAACCAGGACAAAGTTCCGGCCTCGCGGTAATCATCAAGAGGTCCGCAGCGAGGCTCTAGATTTCTTCAGCAAACGGGAGGCCTTTGAAACCAGAGCCGCAGAACAGGCCACACGCACTCGACTGAAGAGCGTATGGTCTGGTCACCAAGTTCGGGATTGGGCTAACATGGGGGAACATTGGAAGGGCGTTAAGTTGATTATGGACGCCGTCCGCGCCGAGTTGGGAGGCGATGCTGGGATACTACAGACGATGGATAAGGAGGGCGAAAAGTTCTTACGGTCAAAGGTGATTGAGACACGAGACCGGCTCGGTTTGATTCCGTCCAGCGAGGTCATTGTTGATGCATCTTCGAAATAACTCGTGGCGAACCAGGGAGCGCAAAAGATGTTATGATTATTGCAATACCTAGACTGGTAAAAATGTCAAATGAGCAGTTCCTGCGATAGTCGACTAGCAAGAGGGTGATATTTTATGGGAAATATACAACGCTGGTATATCACTTGCACATATCAAGGCCAACTTTGGAGTTCATGATCAGCGCAACAATAAGCCTGCGTGTGCAAGAATCAGTACGGGACTACGCTCGGAAGACGCGACTAAGACTGGAACTCACCCGTACAACCCCAGAACCTCAGCAAAAATGAGGATGAGGATCATAGAGACGTAGACCCTCGATTCATTGACATATGCGCGAACGCACTGGGTATGGAGCCTTTGTAAGTATGCGATATATGCAATATGCAATACACCAAATGCAAACGCACCGAGTCGCCCACGTAGCCAATAGCATATCCTGCCGAAAGCCCCGTCATTCCACAAGCCAGGCCAGCGGCAAGATGGACGAATCCAGCAAAGAGCGAGTAATTGCCAGGGTTTACTGCAAAGGCAAATACGAGCAAGTGAGCTCTTCGTATCAATGACGAGCAGAGCTTAGGTGACTGACTTGTTCCTGATATGAGCACTGACACGACGAGGCCGTATACGGCAATGATACCAGACATGACTACAGGGATGAGGGCCTGCCGGAGTTTTGTCAAGCATTCATTTAGATTGTCGATGGTGTTGAATGTGTACCTTCATGATTAACTCGGGTCTGAATGTCCCCAGACCAGCGATGCCGATTCCTGACTTGGAAGTTCCGTACGCAGCACCCACAGCTACGTGATTTCTAGAGTGAGTTGACCAGAAGACGAAGTATAGAGTACAATGCGTACTGCTCAATATCATCTTGATTCCACGTATTTAGACCTGCGCTCGACATGAAGGCATCATAGTAGACTCACCGCTGACGCAACGCCCGCAAAACCAAAGAAAGGTGCAAACGGTGGGCACAACGACATCTTGGCGGATAGAAGGAGTTGAAATGAGCGAAGAATCGATTGAAACAGAGATTCAGAGATTCAGACGGCGTGTGTAGCGGAGGTCACCGTCGTCGTTGAGGAGGTCTGCTCCGTTATGATCAGAGTACGGTTTGGGCGCTTATTTACCTCGGGATCCTGCACGACCATGGACTGTAGTGCCGTGGTACCTATCTACGCAACGGAGTTCTCTACGAACTGTAGGCTTTCGTATCTCAATTATTTTCAACGCCGCGAGAGGGACTTTGAAGTTTTTTGAATTACCAAAATGCATGTATGTAGGTATTACGAAGCGGACGCGTAGACTGCACTCGCCACATGTTCCTGCGCGCGTCGCTGAAGCAATGTGTACGGTCAGGGCGAAGTTGACTACTTCTTCTTGACACTCTTGATACGAATCTGCTCATTGCCGACAAAAATACCCTTGGAAAGAAAGTAATTCAGCACCCGGAAGCAAAGAAACAGGGGGGAGCACATACCTTTCCTTTGTACGGCTCAGGCTTCCTGTAACCGCGAACCTTGGCGGAGAAGAGGCCGAGTTGATGCTTGTCCGTACACGAGAGTACAATTTTCGTAGGCGTCGGGACTTCTGCTTTGATGTGCGCGGGTACAGGCACATAGACGAGATGCGAGTATCCGAGCTTCATGTTCAGTCGCTGGCCATTCCCTCCATCTGCCTTCCCTCTGGGATCGTCCTCTAATATCACCCTATAACCCACACCAACGAGATACAGCGGGACGGTGAATCCCTCCGTCATCCCAACGATCGCGTTGTATATGAGAGTACGCGTCGTCCCCCACATAGCCCTCTGCTCCTTAACCTCCGGGTCTTCCACCACTATTGTCATGGTGTCATTCTGCGGGAAGTCGATTTTCATATAAGGCCGTAAGGGGACAGACGTGGTCCCCAGTGGGCCTTTAACGGTTATGCATGAAGTGGAAGGAGAGAGAGAGACGGTTTCGGGAAATTTTATTGGTTCTCTTCCAATGTGAGAGACGTGGGCTTGTACCCTCGTCGAGGTGCTGAAGGAGCGTAGGGAATGGGCCAACCGCGAGCGAGGTAGCATGGACGGAATTCTGAGTGTGACTTGGGCGCTAATAACCGCGTTCCGAATCGACTCTGCTCTTTCCGACGACTAATTTTACCGAATTTATTATCTTTGGGCCCACCAGTCCACCGGGAATCCAAGAAGTATCTAACGTCTAGACACTACTAATTCACGGCACCCAGGTTATGCAAAACTATTAATATATCAATTCTATTGATACCAGTGCTCCCATTGAACTCGAATCCAATATGTAGCACACAAATTACGATAAAGATGCACCGACGAAAGTTGGGGCGACACAAACGCCATCTTTCGTCCGTATCCTATGTATAGTCTTGGTAGTAGGATTCACCCAAGCCGCCTCCCTTGTATCCAGAGTCGTGAAGCCTATTTACAGACACGCTTCTGTTAGATACGCCAACCATGGTGAGAGAGATTCACATACCAGGTTGTATAGTTTCAAAGATCTTCTTCTTTGGATTGAGTTGCGAAAGGGGGGAAGCATCTGGCGGATGATAGAGCTTGTTAGCAATAAATTAGTGTGTGGTAGATATGCAGTTTACTTTCGAATTCTGCTCCTTCAAAGTAAACTCGGTCACCGACTTTGGCGTTGGCTGGTGGCTGCACAATTTCAATACCCCCCTCTTTTCCCTCCTTTGAGGTCGCCTACATAGATATTGTGAGCGGGAGCGTGGTTATGGTGGAAGAGGGATATGGACGCACACATAGCACCATAGCAAAGCTCTTGACACCACGCATGTTAGCAGGCTTGAGGTTGCACTAATATCAAGAGTGAGCTCCGGGTCCACATCATGACTAGAGTTCACGTACCACTGCAACTAGGTACCTGTCGCGCATCTCTTCGATTGGAATATAGTTCACCAGACCAGAGACGACAGTCCGTGGGCCAGTGTCCTCGCCGAGGTCGATTTGCTATTGCGTCGTTACTCAGGGTGTCGCATGCATGAGTTAGCGATGTGACCCACCTCAACATACAAGCTATCAGCATCCGGGTGCTTTTTTACTTTGGAGGGTGGCGATGAGTATGGAACCATGCATGTCAGAATTGATTATGAGCAGATACGCACTGTCCACTATATGTCCAACGCGCAAATCGATCATAGACGGGACAGGTTCGCCAGCATCAGCAGGCTCTGCGGCAGCTCCCTTCTTTGCCGATTCAGAACCAGCATCTTTCTTTTTCTCCTTCTTCTCTTTCTTCTGCTGTTTCCCTTGCTCGGATGGGGCAGATGAAGACGCTTCTGCTGCTGCAGCCTCCTTAGCCTGAGCCGGTTTGTCTTCGGCAGCAACGGGATCCGCTTTCTTCTTCTTCTTGGAAGGCTCGACTGTGCGTTCGGGCTTGGGTGCAGAGTCAAAGTCGAATGATACTAGTGCGAAATCGGGGGAAAGTTTTTCAGCAGCTTGTCGGACAACTGCCTGTGACTGAATATGGTCGAAATAGCGTGTCAAGGCAGGTGTCGAGTAGTATTTCGCGGGTTCTTGCTTGGACTAGGTCGGCAACAATGAGAAAACTGTGCACCATAGAACGACCGGTGATATATACTCACGATGTTAGGGTGCAATGCACCGTAAAGCGCGACGTCCGCTGCGGTCAAGTAATTGCTGACTGCGTACGTCCGCTGCAGCAACTGCGAGTTCAACTCCTGCGGAACCGTCAACAGGTAACCCGGATCGCGTCAAGAACACTGTACGTACCGACAAGGAGGCGTCGGCTGCGAGTTCCTCGCGTCCGACCTTCTCAACCCAGCTGACGACCTCTATCTGATCCTTCTCCGATGAGCCTGCGAGTTCACTCCCATCTTGGGTCGCGCTGAGCAGAAGCTCTTTTACTGGTGACTTTACGGTGTCGATGGCAGCTTTGAGCGACATGAAGTTGATAGTGGAGAGTGTCCTTCCAAAATTTCTATATCGATGGACGGGATTCTGGAAAGGGTGTATCGCGCGAAGACAACTTCGAGATGCAATAATGGTGCACATGAGCAGAGATCCTGACTAGTTCGCTATCTTATCTACGATCAAAAACACTGTTCAACTCATCTTATCTTATCAAGAGATACTCAAAAGACTCGTTCATTTCGACATTTTCTCCTTCCGGGTACAACGCGGGTCAAAATGATTACTGGCTGTTCCGTGATTGATATCCGCCTTCGTCAACTTCCCAATTGCTCGCACCAATCAATCCACCACTTATCGACGTGGCCGCATAATCAGGCGATCCGGATCAGTGCCCAGGGGAACCTTGGTGTCAGTGGCCTGTACTGATCCCGAATCCATCAATACTTGAGGGCATCTCCACCGTTCCTGCGCGTTCTTAGACTAAGTTCCGTGCTTCCAGACTGAAATATATCGTGAAAGGACAAAGACATCGATGTGTTATGGTAATGTGTGATACCTATTTCGACTACAGAATTTCTATGAGTGGTACTGTGATCATTACTGGCTTCCAGATTCCCTTTCCATATCCATCGAAAATCAGTGATTGGGAACTCAAAACGGGCTCAACGAGGCCAACGCAGATACGACTGTCCACCTGATATTTGAGGGTGTCCGATCGACGATCGTTTCTTACAGGCCTCATTATGTCTCTCCCGATTATCGACATCGGCCCCTTCCTCAAGTCTTCGGATCCATCAGTCCGTGAGGCGACTGCAGCTGAAATACACAGCGCCTGCTTGAACTACGGCTTCTTCTATTTGAACATATCTGCCTACGCCGACCCGTCCGAGCCAGAGGAACTTACAACATTGGCCCGAAGCTTCTTCTCCTTAGCTCAGGAAGAGAAAGATAAGATTTCACTGGGCAGCAATGACAAAGCTAGAGGTTAATTCTTGCGATATATGAGGCATGCTGACCGTGTCTCATGCGTTCATTAGGCTACGCGCGTTTGAAGGAGAATGTAACCAACGGTAAAGCAGACAACCATGAAGGAATCGATTTCTATCGTCCGGTTGAGAATCCTGATAAATCTAAACCACTCTGGGGGGAGAATTTATGGCCGACGATCCCTGCGTTCAAAGAGAAATACGAGCAATGGATAGGGAAGATGAAGGCACTTGGCCTGATTGTGATGGAAGCGTGAGTGCCACGGCTGGTCCATCATAGCCAGATTAAATTACGGCGTACAGGATGGCCCTTGGATTGGGCATGACTCCGGATGAATGGCAGCAACTACGGGGTCAGGTCGATGACAGTTTCTGGGTTATGCGGATCATAGGTCTGCCGCTATGTGGTCGTTCTCTTTCTTTCAGAGGAACTTACGCTTGTGCCAGGATATCCTCCACTTCCTACCGACCACGATGGCTTTTCATGCGGTGCCCATCGGTAACGCCAGTTTGATGCACGTATGCATGCGTATAGCTGACAGTGCCGCCAGAGACTACGGTTGCCTCACGTAACTGCCTTCAATCACCTGCACTGATTTCGTATTATTGAATGGAACCTGGAAGGTTCTTGTATGCAGACCCCACACCGAACGCGCTCCAGGTCTTCCTCCCCAAGCGGGCTGCAGAAATCATCAATGGCACCAGTTCTATCACAAACGGTTTGCCCTCCGAAGAAGGAGGTGAAGAGGGTGTCTGGATAACGGCCGATCCGATACCCGGGTGTGTGGTATGCAACATTGGGGAAAGTGAGTATCGTCGTTCCATTGCCAATGCATGTGGCCAATGATGTATGGTACACGAAAGTGTGGGAGATTTGGACCAACGGATTGTACCGCTCGACGTTGCACCGAGTGATACACAGGAGCTCCAACTACCGGTATGTGTCCTCAGTACTCGACGTAATCACCGCTGACAATGATCACGGTTTGTAGGGTTTCGTGAGTCTGTAGTCCTCTCATAAAGTACCATTTAATCTTGCTTCTAGGATCCCTTTCTTCTTCGAGCCCAACTTCGACGCCAATATCAGCCCTTTAGCAGCAGCCGCTCGTATCAAATCAGCCCAGCCATCTACGGTTCCCAACGGCGAGACCAAGGAATACAAACCCGTTGTATATGGCAAGTTCTTGTTGGGTAAAGTCACGAACAACTTTGCAGGAGGAAGCAAATATGATTAGTTACAATGATAGTAATAGTAGTCGATTCACTGTGGGGGACGATCCTGTGAGTATATAGTCCTGCCAGGAATTTGCCCACCACGAACAAATGGTCCCTTGGTATCTTGAAGAAACCCGCTAGCAGGTCCTGCCAACGGCGGCGGTTGCCCTGGCCCGAGCAAGTTGTTGCCGTTCCGTTGGGGATCGTACGGAGGCGACTGCTGTTTGATCTTGATACCGTCTTCACCTGCTGGTGCTGGGGTGGTCGTGTGAGAGTGGCCGTTGAGGCCAACTGAGTTATTGCGCGATGATGATGGTAACGGGGACGGCGCTTTGGAACTCAACCTTTCGTCTCCTGCAGGTCTCCTAGAGCGCAGCGACGATGCAGCGGGAACGGGATCTATACTACCGGTACGAGAAGCGCTCCTTTGAGATACGTCGTCAATTTGCAAGGATGATGACCGCTCTTCGTATCGGCTTGAAGAACCGTTGTGAGACCTGCCATTTGTGGTGGTTCTTTCTTTGGAGCTGGCTTTTGGTACGAAGGAGATACTCTGGTCGTCTGAATGAACAGCTGAGGGGGTGGCTGAGGCAGCAACGATAGATGGCGCCGCTGAGGGTCCGACTGAGGGTGCGCCCACCATGGCTGGGTCCGCTTCAATAGCTTCCAACTCCTTGGCTTCTCGCAGCTGGAGGGCCTCCACAATTGATATAGGGCAAGGTATCGTGTCTATGACCACAGTCAACCACTTGACCGAATGAGACACGAAAGGATACCGCGTACCGCGTAGGAACATGAACTCTTGATATTGCTGTGTCGCCATTGCTAAAGCCCGATACTCAGCTCCGTGGCGCAGGTAAGGACGGAACAACCCAACATACACATATCACGGTAGAGGATTAGGTTCCTTCTGCCCGCATCAGCTTGCTGCCTGCCTGCTCGGGCAAGCTTTTTGATGAACTCCTCCTGTCCAAGTCGCTTCAGCACGCATTCTCGCGCTTAGAACGAGGGCATCAAACGCACCGCAGCTAGTGAGACCAAGAACAAAGCCTCTTTGGAAAGAGCTAGGCTTCCTGTCACTCCTGTCATGCAGACATCAAGTGAGTAGGATCAAGGTAGTGGGGTAGGCTACGCGAACCGACCGTCGTTCTGTATGATGTTCTCTAGCCTTTGCTGGGGGAGAATCGTGTCGCCGACAGGTCTGTTTGATTTTACGGCACTCTTTTTCGGTGTGGTGCCATCGTCCTCTGTGTCGGAGTAGAGCTGGTCGACGCCCTCTTCGGCTTCTGAGTCGTCGAAATCAAAGCCATCTGAGGAAGGCAACAGCAGTACTGGAGATGCCATGAAGTTTGGGACGCGCAGTTTAACGCTGAGGAAGGTATGTATTTCCCCCGGTTGACGCATTCCGCCATCAGGGGAGAGCTCCCAGGACTCGGGCCATGACCACAACTCAGTGTAAAGATATCAAGGACGCAGCACACCGGGGTGGTCACCTTCGACCATCAAAATCATAGCATCGAGAGACGAGACGAGCAGAAATTGCCAATTCAGAATCAGTCAGAAAGTACTTCTAAAACAGGAGGACGGGATAGCAAGCTGCTATACGCAAAGTATGGTCGAATCAAAGTATGCAGCTATCTAATTGCTTGTAGAGTCTTATTGTGTGCAAATCTAGTATGCAAACAATGCATCGGAAAACTGACGTCCAGAAGAGCGCTTCTGGAGGTTGGGGACAGCTAGGCCCAGAGAAGTGGAAAGTATCCTACTGCAACCCCTCGTGTGGCTGGCTCAACACTGGAAATTTAGCTTCGTCAAAGCGACTGTGAAGTCCAGTTTGTAGTCACACAATATGTTACGCAACCGAACACTTTCTCAGACAAATCGACATGTCATCTAGAGCGCAAGAGCAACAAGAGCAGTCATGACCATCGATACACCGATGATTGAAGATGAGAACGAGGTAAGTGCGCCATTGTTCGCCCCAGAGCCAGCAGTCGACGCGCTCTGACTGATGCCCAAAGATGTATTTCCATCTGAATCATCCCAAGTAAGCGTGGAGAAATCCAAAGACGGATCGGAGCAACATATTTCTTAACGGAGGATGCGCACTTTTTTAGACACACAATGCTGCGGAAGGTAGGATAGTATCGCTGAACGATAGATACCAGTCTATCCGTTACGGCCATGTCATTGGAATCGAGCCCGAAACTGAGAAATTCGGCATGGCAGCCTGCTATAATGCTGCGGGTGGCAGCTTCAAGCGTTGAGTTGGAATATGACGCCTGCGGACATAAGTCGGCCAACCAATTATCGACTGGCTGGACGATGGAAGCGTTCCCTCCGTTCAGCGCAAGGGGTATAAGGGCTGAAGGACTCAGACAATTGGCCGTGTTCTGGTCGGTGGCGATACCACCAAGCGCGGTTTGTCAACTGTCTGACAGCAACCTAAGAGATAGACAATAGTGCATTATTAGTCGAAACACGGTAATGAACTGACTGAGCGGTAACCAACCTCGTGGTGAATGCGAACGAGAGGAGTGCCGGAGACTTCAACATCGTGAAAATCTCGTAAAACAAAGTCGCAGAGCATCAGCTGGGATGGTCGATGACCCGCAAGCTATACGGTCGTTTTTACGGGCCTCATTTGTCACGGTCGTCCCTGAAAGTGAGTCGCGATCAGTCCGTTGCTTCTACTCATCATGTGGGTATGCAACCGACTTGAAAATGTATCCGCTCTAACTAAACTTTGTGACAATCGGAGAGCTTACAGCGAAATCTCGAGATGTCGATATTTTGAAACATCTTGGCCTTCCTTGCAAACATTTGCGCATCAACAGGAGGGTCCCACCACTCCCGGGACGAAATGACCATCGCACCTACCTCGTTTCTTCCGTTGGTAGTTTCTCATCCCAAGCCCGTTTCTATCTGATCTGTCCAACAAGCTCTTACTCTTCCTCTCTAGTCTTGATGAGCATCACAGCAATGGAAAGCGGTGGCGCTCCTTCAAGCTTCAAGCTTCATCATCCAGTCCGCTAAGGTCTTGACTGGCTCATGGCTCGTGTTGTATATAAAGCGTGGTAGGAGGGTTCCAAGAGCCGTCGCTTCGATCCTCCCCTCTCTCGGAGGTAAGCGCCACCACCTTCCCCAACATGGTACGCCAACTTACCGACCGTTTGTACAGAGTGTGTCTACACGATGAGCCTGCCTTCACCATCACCACTCCAACCGTTCTGCGAGGTTTCAGCCCTTGATGCAGGCTTCCTCGACCTCCCAGACGCAATGTTCATTACTACGGAAAAGCCAGACGAGATTACGAAGGTCCCTTCTCTTGCCTTCCTAATCACCCATGCTTCGTCTAAGAGGCAAGTCCTCTTCGACCTTGGTATTCGCAAAGACTTGAATACCGGATACCCGCCAGTCACCTCCAATTGGATCAGCGACTATAACATAGATGTCCCCCAAGACATCATAGATTCTCTCGCAAAGGGAAATCTCTCCCCCCGTGATATAGAAGCAGTCTTATTCTCCCATATTCACTGGGACCATACCGGTGACCCTTCAGCTTTCACGAAAGCGACGTTTCTCTTGGGAGACGAGACTGAGACCCTGCTTCGCACGGGCTACCCTATCGACCAAGAATCCATGTATGCCCATGATCTACTACCACCACATCGTACGCAGCTCCTCAAGACGGACACGTGGACCCCAGTCGGTCCGTTCCCTCGAGCGTTTGACTACTGGGGAGACGGTAGCTTGTACATCGTTGATGCCCCGGGGCATCTTCCCGGACATCTTAATGTTCTAGCACGCACTTCAGTAGACGGCGCGTGGATATATCTTGCGGCGGACAGTGCTCACTTCGTGGAGCTTTTTACTGGGGAAGCGAAAGTAAGCGTTGGCCACCCAGCGTTTGGACCACACGGGTGTGCGCACTCAGACAGGGAATTGGCGGAACTGCACATTTCTCGAATTAGAGAGCTTTGGGGCCTCCCAAACGTACTAGTGCTCTTCAGTCACGATGCACAATGGTACAGGGAGAACCGCAATGGTGCGGCGTTCTGGCCAGGACACATTCCCCCTCTATGAGGAGTATATACAGTGCATAGAACGTGACAATCTTTAAATTAATAGTGTCGATGATTGTAGATATGCCTTCCACCAGGGTCGCCTTCGTACGACTTGTTTTCCATCAGATGATATATCCGCAATAGTTCTAGAATGATGATACAGCTTAACACTGCAGGATTATATATGATACGTATCATGTTTGTTCGCGTACCAGTAACGCTAGAGCAACGTTGGGACGTAGCGTGTATGTTGGGCTATGGATTTTTGCGTTGACCAGTGTCGGTTGTATAAACCGGTCGAGCTCATGCAGCAAGTCAGAATTCGGGGGTCCGGGGTCCGGGTCACGGAAAGGGGTCCACACGTGGTCAGTACGTTTATAGAGGCTGCCTTGGTCCAATCGTACGAAAGGGAGACACCGATTGGTGTGCTTCGATGTTAGAAGAGGTTCGATGCAGACGCTTTGACTGACCTTGGTCCAGCCAAAGCTGTTGACCCCAGGCCTTGGAGCTAGCAGGCCTAGATCAAGGTAACAAGTTCGTATCCACGTTGAGGCTCTCTTAAGGTGCAGAGTCGGCCCCTTGGCTTTGAAAGACATGGTGCATGAGCGTCCGTTGGCGTCCGTCAGTCCACTCGAATGTAACATAGAATAAACCTGTATCCACCAGCTGGGAAAAAGCCACATCCAACTTCGTGATCTCGAGTTCTCCATCTACCCCGGTGCCCTCATCGTCTGTCGTGTATATGATGTTCACGGTGATGCGCTCCAGTCTTCGCCGCTCGTGGATTTGCTGAAGGGCCCCAGACATGGCTATGTAATCCTCAAGCTCGGGGGAATGGTGCGTCCCTAACGAGCGAGGATAGGTGTTGATTTTGACGGTGAGATGCCGCAAAAGATCAGGAAATGGGATGTGATGGTCGATACAGCCCTCTACCCATTCCATAACCTCGAGGTATGAGGCGATCGAATATCCCTGGTTAGTTACGTCAATGGTAAGTCGAGAGGGACGGATAGAAGTCCCCAAGCCGGGCATCCAAGTCTCGGGCTCCACTGGACTCACAAATGAGCGGGCAATGGCCGTGAAAAATATTACCGTATCAAACGTACCATGCAGAATGAGTTCGGACAATCCAGCCGGAATCCACGACGGTATATCCCAAGGTCCTGCGTGCGTACGGGTAATTTCCAAACGTTCGAGGTTCGGACACTCGATGAGATTGGTTGGGGGAACCGGAGCGTTTCCGATCCATTCGAACAGCTGCAACCTTCGAAGCGATTCCAAATGTATTTGAACCGGGGGTACTCTCGTCGTTCCCGTATCTACTATCGTGCCATGGTCATAGGATGTCTTTTGTATGAACAGATCTTCAAGGGTCGATGAACAGCAGGAAAGGCTATACAGCAAGTCAGAGGCATCCTTCAGAAAGCTCCAGCTTTCCAGGTAAAGTGCTTTGAGTGGAACGCTAGCAATCAGAGATAGGATAGCCAGCGCAAAAGGCGCAGGGACGATTGGTGGAGGCGCAGAACGACAGTTACCAAGGCGTAAGATTTGCAAGCTCTTGAGTCGGAGGAGGCAGTCTGGCATCCATCCAGGGGTAGTGAGGATGCACTCGTCCCACTGGATGGTCAGGTCGACGATATACTTGCTGAGGTGGGAGGCGGTGAAATGGAGGAAGCCGAACCGAGTGTGGAAGTTATCGGTCCGTACCACTACTCTGCGGAAGACCTTCGGACGACATATGTCGTTCCATACGCGACAAACGAGGGAACAATCATAGAGGGTAGGAAAGTCCCCGATATCGTCGAGGAGGCCAATCATCTGGTGGATCAATTCGTTGGGCAGCTGTTTCATATGAGTCTTGAGATCTTGAGAGGCTTGGGTGAAAGTGGGATAGAAGGAAACCAGAGAAAAAAACTGGAAGCGACGGCAGGTTTTATCATTAGATCCTCAGCCCCATGCCTCGTCATGATGGGCCCAGATCCGGAGGGCGTGTGCGATTCTCAAAAAATGCTTCATATTTCTTGCCGAGTCTGAGCAAAGTTAGGGACATGCGGTGCCCTCGCCGTGACTCCGGTTATGAACAACGGATGTCTAGATGAAGATCTAGATGAAGAAGCTAGCACAGGGTCAGCGCTGTCGTTACAGTACCGGTATTTTTACTTCCAAGTAAGTATTTGGTTGTAGGTGGAGCTCAATGGGGGCGCTGAGTCGGCGCCGATGATTGATCCGGATCCCACGAAGGGGCTTACACAGGCTCCTAAAACCATCCGCTCGTATCGTAAGTTTTTTTCGAGCACGTGACGGGCGCTAAGGCGCCGTAAACAAGTACAACGTCAAGCGTACTCGAAAACTTTCGATAGAGCGGCTGGCAAAATATGCGACCGAGAACGCCGACTTTGTTCCCAGCCCGCTTGTTGCAACCCAGTGGTCACTTGTGACAGTTATCCAACGGCAGACGTCGGCAGACTCGATTAGTACCAATTGGGATAAGTCACGCAACACTAAGCCATCCCCTAATTGTTATCTCCTGCGCTGCACATCCACCCACCGTATCACCACAAATGTCCAACGTAGATATTCTGTTCAATCAGTGATGTAGATATATGATACAGATATAAATCTATTGATGGAATTTTGATAACCACACTTGAACTGATGGTTTTAACCACCCCGCAACTGAACAATGTGCTGAATACCCTTCGTGATGACTTCAATACAAGCCCTGGTGAAGTCTTTCTACTGTTCCTTTGCAATACTGCAAACGGCGAGGATCAGCGTGGCATTTCTGCCGGCATAATTGAGTACGCACCCAAGATCTTGACAGCCATGGAGAGCCATCAGAGCTTATCAAGAGTGTTCTTTGATAAGGCGAAGGAGTCGGTTGTTCGCCGGTGTACGAAGGAAGTGGCTGAGCTGTCATTGAAAGTACATAACGGCCATTTCAATGTGAAGACTATGACGGAGGAACAAATTCGTGCGTACAAAGTTGGAGAGGCAGTCGAGAAGATCCATAATGCTGGTGAATTATTCTCACTGCTGATTGCAATAGCCCGAATACCCACCTGAGACAACTGAGCCATGTTCTGTTTACCTAGCAAATTTAATGGCGTAACAACGATCATTGTAGGCCTCAATCCATCCACCTGCGCCATGACTAAAGGCATCCAGAAGGATAGAGTCTTTCCTGATCCTGTCGGCGCGAAAGTTTTCGAGTACGCTTGACGTTGTACTTGTTTACGGCGCCTTAGCGCCCGTCACGTGCTCGAAAAAAACTTACGATACGAGCGGATGGTTTTAGGAGCCTGGGGCTTACATAGCTCAGGAATCCGCAGTGGGCCGATGCTCAATGAAGAAGCGACTCCAAATTCCGATGAAAATTGAGTGGCGGTAGAACACAATGAATTTCATTGCCTTACGCATTGCTCAGTTGCTGATGGTAGTGGTACATATACAGGATAATAACAAGCGACTAATCAATGGGGATCCTAACGCTAGCTTTATCTTCGGCCTTCTGCACACGAACGGTCAGAATGCCATCGTCAAGTTTAGCGGCAACATTTTGTGTATCAACTGGACGCGGGAGCCAGACAGTGCGAGTGAACGTCGAGCTTCCAGTGAAAATTCGTTCAGTGGAAATTTGATTGCCCGATGGCTGAGTCGGCTGGCTAACAACAGCGTTTGTTTCATGAGGAGCTGCTAGGTAGGCGGCAGTAAGTAATCAGGCACAACTGGAAGTATTACTAATGAGAAGTGAACTCACCATCGGTATTTTCTGGAGCAGTTGCGTCGGTTTCAGGAGCAGTGGACCTGCGTGTAAATTTGCCCTCGATTGTCAAGCTCCTACCTCCATCACCGATCCTAACTTCAACATTCTCCTTCTTCACGCCAGGCAAGTCGGCTTCGACAACGTAGCCATTGCCCTCTTCCGTCACATCAATCGCAGGTCTGGATAAACCGAAACCTGCTGACTGGAAGAAGGGGTCATCGAATAATGCGCGAGACGGTGAGCCGTAGTATGCGGGGGACCGCGTTAGTGGTTCCTCGAACATACGGAAGAATGGGCGGAATTCGCGAAAGAAGTGGCGTGCAAGCGACATGATTGTCAGTTCGTTAGTGTACTGTGAGTGTACTGTGGATAGAGACGGAGAACTCACTCCATTTATATAGGCTGATTTCTGTGTTTCTAGTATCGGCTAGAACATGAATGAAAGCTCTGGAAATGGTCATTGACTCGTTGGTGCTCCTGAGATGATTGTTAGGAGGCCGGTAATTTCTAGAAGCCTCGAGAACAAACACCAGTCAACACCAGCCCCGAGGCGAACTGTGTTGAACCGAGCATTGAACGTTGAACAGTTGATCCTTGTAGGAGCAATGAGCGATCCGTGGCGAAACCATCAACATGCACAGAACAGATGCGAGATCTCCGGAATGAGGTGGAAGCTGAGAGTGATGTTGATTTGTTACTTTGTTGCTAACTATGCATCTTGTCTTGGTTCAACTTGGGTTCGACTCGATCTAGGGTTGACGGTAAAAATACTGGTCTGTTACGAGTCGCCCGGAGAGATTGAAATGTCGTGTGAGTTCAAAGAGGCAGAAAAATCCCGCGCAGGGGGTTACAAACTTCTTGTACATATCCGAATCGGAGGATCAACTCCCCGGCCATTCCACTACCCATTGAGCAGCGACAGCGTGCTCTTGATTGTCGTCATCTTCAAATTTGAGTTTATAAGTGGGCATGTACTTTGATGATGGTGCGTTCTATGAAACCGTGGTTAGCGAAGCAAACAACAGATTAGAGCCCACTGACTCTGCCTGATGGCTGCATGTTTTGGGGTGTTGCGACGACCTCTGCCCGATAGAAGCAGCTGGTGTCGGGATATAATGCCATCACAGTCGAGCCTGCCGGAAAGGCTTGATAGGCCCCAATGTGTGACGCACTACCAGATTGTGCATTCGGATCTGGAAGTGGAATAATTGCTCTCAAGGTTGTGTTATACCGGCTATATCTACATGAGTATGGGCGTAGGAAGACAGGGCGAGATTGACCTACACTCCGGGTTGCCCGTCTTCCTGAGGTTCTGCATCCTGCACTTCGTAGCTGAGATTGGATCAGCATTATTCCTCGACGTACGCTTGATGCTACTTACCGATTTTTGTCGGCATTGATGCATTTAGTCACGACGGCTAAAATCCAGGTGTTTTCGTCTGCATCGGCGGCCACACCTCCGGTTTTTCCGGCTGAAGGATGGAAGGCAACTTTTCGGCCTTCTTGCAGGGGAAGTTGTGCAGCCAAGGCTTCTCTGCGAGCTTTCGGATCCCGAGAAAAGGGTATAGGTTGATTTGGCCCCACCGAGTTACGCGGGGGAAGAGTAATGGAGGGGCCACGGCCGTTACTAAGCGAAGTAGCTTGAGACCCCAGAGCTGCGGGAGATGTGCCTCGTGGGCGCTTCCGTTTTTCTAAGGGTAAATGACTCAGAGGACAGCCGAAGATACACATTAACGTTTATTGATACCTGGAGGCAGAGTCTCAGGTGCTTGACGTAGAGCGATAAGCACGCTCAGTCTCTCAATGGCTTCCTCAATCGCCCTGGGATCAAGGTTTGTCAGCGCATGAACAGATGGCGCCTCGTCATATCCTACTTAGCCTCGCGTGTCGCGGTGTCTTGAATATCGTGAAGGCCAGCTTCAAGTTTCTTGTAGTTGGACTTCACGCTGTCGAGTCCCTCCGCGGGTATATGGTCATCAGTGGGCCAAGTCGTTATCAGTCGGTTGACACGGTCGATGGTCTCTGCTGTAGATGGGTTGCCATAAAGCGTCGTAAGAGCTGTGAGGCCTGAGACGGCATGCGACCAACAGTCTATCTCTGTTAAGGATGGCCTATTAGTGGAGCTATAGATGAAGCCACTGTGAGAAGACTGACCTTCCGAGGAAGCGGGGCGACTGGATATCATTCGCCTCCTGTCCATGATGTATAATAGTTCGTATGCAGAAATAGGGACTGCGCCTCAGCTTTCAACTGGGGTCAGTGAGCCACAAGGTGCGCCAACATGAAGCTGTTATGAACAAGTTGAACGTAGAACGTAAGTATGATTCAAACTCAGCGCTATCATGGGTTCGGCGCTTGAGCTTCTTTGTTCACCACAAGGTCACCTTCTAAAGACTTTACTGACCTTGTATCGCATTTTGATATCTTTATATCACTACAATGATGCTATGTACAGCGAATCGGGCCAGGGCCTAATACAATTTGCGGTAACTACAAATATTCATACACGAAGCATTGAACGACAACAGTAGCGACCGCGCCTATGGGTGAGTCGGCTGATTCGGAGCAGCCAACTTTCGTAGTGATACATCATAAACAACTATGTATGGATCAACCCTCGCGGTAGAAACCAGCACTGGATCCACGTACCTTCTTCGATTTTCTTGATATCGTATTTGAGGCTATCATATCTTCTACGAAGGGTATCGTTCTTCAGGTTCAGCTGGGTAAGAGATAAGTGGCGGAGGTTTCAGCAACGATGCGGGGGAATTAGGCCAAAGCACCCACCTGGGCGAAACCCGCGAAGATTTCTTTCACAAATAGTGAGATTTTGATAGGCTCTTGAAAGTTGCCTAGCGTTACGGCGTTGACCGCAAGGCGGGACTAATCGAGTATCAATTCCGAGAAGACGAGGATCTTGAAGATCTGAGAGTTCACCAGTTCATTGACCAGGCTGATCAAACCATGCAGATAATCCTCGGCTGGCAGCACAAAGCGGCCAGCCCATTCTTCTTGAACTAGGGCAGAATTCGTGGTCAGCGCGAGTTGAAGGAATCATAACGTTGTCTTCTACGCACTGCCGAGATTAGATGAGACTGTTGATAAGGGCATCAACGTTCCATCCGTGAGATATTGCAGCAGTGTGGCAGCAAAGACCGCCGTTCGAAGTGAATTAGACCACATGTCCTTCCATCTCCAGAACTGGTCCTGTGGTATTATTTCCGCAAAGCCAGCGGTGATCACTGCACAAGATGAGAGGACGGGGCGAACTGTGTCAAGGAGCTTAGGGACTACAGCGACGCAGATAAGATGATTTATTCCCTCGGTATGAAGGAAAAATGGTCAGGTACTTTCGTCGGATGGGGTTGAATGTATTTTGTTAAACAATCCGACCATAGTTCGCGTCTTCTTGTCGAATACGGTTACTTGATCGCGGATTTTCTAGTGCAGAGGGAAGGGTTGGGATGACGGCGTATGGTGTAGCCAGTGTCCTTGTAAGTACCTCCCTTAAATCGCTGTCAAAGTCAAGCGAAGCGTTGATAGTTTCAAGATCGTTCGCGTCCATTGAAGTCAAGCTGTTGTCGTCAAGTGCAACAAAGAGGCTCATTCAGGGGCTACTGACTTTCAGCAAGTCACGGGAGCACGGGAGCAGATTCAAATTACTGCACTCGAAACGAGTCAGTGTACTCCCTTCTTGACTTTGACCACTCACGACTGTACTTCCAACTTCTGCTCCAGGCCCCGCTCTGACAGAGAGACGCGTAGAATCGCCTCTATTATTATATGGCACCTGTGCCGTCGGTCGACCTGCGCGCCGTTCGAGAACGCCTGAATACGTTTCGCGACACACCCGTCGATAACAATGGTTGCTCGGACGTCGACCTTCAGCTCATATATAAGTACTTGATCGAACATGAAGCAACACAGGACGCGCCACATTGGTTCTGCGAACAAGCTTCGCCGCTGACAATCGACGCTGCCACATTTCTGCTTCGATTACGCGCATACGATAGCGAGAGCGTGCTTGTTTGGCTCAATAAACTAAAGGAATGCCTACTGGGCTGTGCAGGGTGTGTTAAAGGGCTGGAAGAGGCCAAAGTTACAGCTAGGGACACGTGTGTTCGATTGCCTCTCGTTTTGTACCAAGAATGCTGATGTATCTGCTAGTTACTTCGGTGCTTACCCTCGTCAAACAATGGACGCTTTCTTCCAGAACCTCGAGGGGTGGCAGGCCTCTATCATCTTGGAATCTCCCGCACAAGACGATTCTAACTGCATCTACCAAATGGTTTCTAACTTAACTATCCTCGAGAACCCTCAGGTCCTCGCACGTCTCGACTCGAATCCACCTACGCGCCGGTTCTCTGCATGGCCTTTGAACCCGCCTCCCGTGGGATTGTTCCCGCTCCTTGTACATAAGAATCCACAGCTTCGAGAGTGGGCGCGGCAATGTTTAACTTCTCAGAAGATCCCGATGACTTTGGCCCAATTTGCTCCAGCGTATAAACAAGTCGTTACACAATTAGTGGATGTTCTTGACACCGCATCACCCGACCCTTCCTTCTTCACTACGGATCAAGTCGAACTCTGGAAGGGGTTCCGTGATTTCCTCTCTCACTTGCCGACGGGAGCCTTACTGCCCTCTAGTGGCCAGACTGTTGACATTCGCCGAGTTATTATAGCTCACCTACATGATTCAGGTCCACGTTCGTTGAATGGCTCCCTGCGCCTTTGTGTTTGACCTGATAATTTCTCGTAGAATTTGTCTATGTTCTCCACTCGTTTGTGTTTCTCCTCAAGCGACTGGGGCGAGATACATGGCGTGGAGAGAGATCCGAATACTCTTTGGTTGTTTTCGACGCTGTTAAAGACAACGATAGCTTCCTGGAGTTACTGTCTTCTGCTGAACGTCCTCAGTGGCTTCTGAGCTACTTCTCGGAATTCATTCACGCGGTCCGAGAGGTTCCATCCTATGGCGAAACACTCGCCAAAGCTGTGGACTTTATGTGCGAAGAGCTGCAGCACGAGAGATTCCGTGACTCTCGACCAGCCATACTCTTAGCTGCTGTCCAAGTTAGTTGGTTCTCCTCTTTTCATTACCAAATTCTGATCACGTATGTTAGCTCCTCACTGCTGCCTATCGAGGGTCGCTTGCGGCTGTCGAAGCAAGCGCTGAGTCCTCAGACAAGGCCCCTGAGGTCGCAAAGCGCCTGGACACTGTCCTTAATGTCCTTGATATTCATTCCGAAGCGATCATTGCTGTGGCCTTTGATCGAGCGTATAACGATGGCAAGTGGGAGGATGCACGAAAGGGATCCCGAGAACTCGTGAAATCCCTACTCATGGAAGATATTCATTGCCTCAATCAAAGTATCAAGATGAATTTCTTCGGGAAAAATGCGTCTAACATCTATCCCATGCTTCGACAATCGTACTGGGACAGAGCGTTTGGATGTCTGCAAGTTGACGACCACGCTAGTTATGGGTTGATGATCCAAGCCGTAGCCGCAACTGCGCATCTGTCTCCTTTGCACAAGCCCGCGTTGGAAGGATATCGCCGTGACAAAAAGGTAGCACCTCTGACACCTAACGACCGACACGCCATGGAGCAAATCAATGCTCACCTCCTCGCTATTCACTCTGGTTTCTCCAAAGCCATAACGAAATACACCAACGCCCACTTTTCCGCCGACATTTCAAAATTATTCCGCGTTACGGAAGACGTCGTGCCCAACCTCATACTCACGATGATGTCCCCCGTTAAATTGGTCAGCGAGTCTGCCCAATCTATCATCTTTGCGGCGTTCGATGTCGATGGTCGGCCGGAGGGGTTTCAAGCTTTGCTACGCGACTTCCCTTTGCCTACGACCAATGCTCTGGTTACGTTCCTGCGCAGTTTCATGAAGTACGCCAATTCCATTCCGGATGCATGCAATCTCGCCACTGGCTTGGTTAGATGTTTTACCGACGTTGTGGAGGCTTTGTGCTCCAGTCTAGACGGTCTTGTGCATAGCCAAGAGTTTCTCAAGGCTGGGGGCAAAGGCGAGATGACCTCTGCCCTGCTGCACTTATGGATTTCGATGGTTGGAGCCAACTGTGTTATATTCTCCTATGCACGGACTTGGGCGACATTCTATGACAGCAACAATATGGTCGAATGGATGCGAGATGCCCTCATCTTTGGCCGCGATTTGATGGCCCAGCGAGTCGTTCTCGAAAGGGCTATTCTATCAGCTGCGAACCCGACGGACCCGACAGCTGACAGTAAGAAGGTCGCGGATGTTCGAAAGAAGATGATTACCGAACTACAGGCATTCTTACCCCAGCTCGCCAAATGGCTCAGACTCACGGATGAGGAGTTGTTGTATCAATCCTTTTCTCTTATTGAGTCCGTCCTGGATTGCTTCCGGACCACCGACACGGAGCCTAGCGAAGACGGCCTTGTGAAATTACGAAAGGTCGTTTCGGATGGTCGGAAGAACGATCGCTCAGCGACTCGCCTTGACAAAGGGCGGCTGTCAAAATTAGAAGCATTGTTAGAATGTTTCGATGACGATGACGATTCTGCCAGCCCTCCCCCCAAGGAAATCGAAAAATCCAAAGTATCAGGCTCGTCAGCGCCTCGCAAAGCACCCCATCCCGTGGTTAAAACTGTTCAGGCCAAAATTACGAAGCCAGTCGCAAGTTCATTGAAGATAGCTAAAGTCAGGGAAGCGGCTCGGCAGTCCTCGACGGCTCACTACTCGAGCTACAAACTTGAGGACGACACGCGTGTTCACCCATTCCGTAAAGCATCTGGGTCTTCGACGGTTTCTAGACAACCTGATGTCGCAAAACCACGACCTCGTACGGAACCAAAGAACGAGGCTGCGGGTGCAGTGCATGAAGTCAAAGACTCCTCTTCAGAAGACCCCGACAGTGACGAAGATAATGATAGCAAAGGTATCAACTCACTCATCAAGCAAGAACGCCAGGCTTCCACCAAAAAAACCGCGGAGAAGCGCAGCATCAAAATCATCGATATACCTGGAGTTGTTCATCGGCCCGTGCAGCGGCCTGCCAACCAAGGCAAATTCAAGAAGCTGAATCCCGATTTGTGGCCCTTGCATCGAGCCATCTTGTGCTGGTCTTTTGACGACAAGAATCCTGAGCCCCCTCAATTAAGGTCACGAAGCAGTCAACTCTCTGTCCCCGATAAATTCGATGATTATAATCATTATTTTCGAGTTTTCGAACCTTTATTGCTTAGGGAATGCTGGGCCCAGTTTCAGCGGTCTAAAGATGAATCTATGGAGAACATGGAATGCAGCATCAAGGGGAAGGACAATGTGAATGATTGTGTTGACATCGATATTTTATTGCGCGGAGACGTCCCCCCTTCTTGGAGAGTAGTGGAAACCGATATCGTTCTATTGACGAACCGTGCCAGCAATCGGTCTACCCTGGCGCGTGCCATGTCTACTATCAAGAACGAGAGTGGCATTATCGCCAAAGTACGATGCTACTTTGCAAACAAACACGACGATCCTGGTCTACAAATTGACGCCAGCAAATATATTTGGAACATCTCTCGGATTTTCAGGTATGTTCGCGAGTTGTTCAGCTGTTTCGGTTGTGCGTTGACGGTGCGTCAGTTTGAGTACAATTAATCGCGAGTACGCGGCACTTGTGTCTCTACCGTATTATGGTCTCCAGGACTTGTTGTTGTGGCCGCGTCTCCCAACTCTGGCCAACCCGAAACAGAGCGATATTGATAGTGCCATGACGTCGCTCCGGGTCAATCAACCTCAAGCTATTGCAATCCTATCCTCGCTCAATTCTTCTGGACTCTCTCTCATCCAAGGGTACGTTCTTTGATTGGACTATTTCACCCCTCTCGACCTCTCCAAAGTCCCCCAGGTACAGGGAAGACGGCAACCATTTGCGGCCTCACAAAGCGGTATTTATCCCAGCAACCACAGCCCATAAAGACGCCTGGGGCATCCAAACGCTCAAATGAAACACCTGTGGTTGGTCCAAAAATTCTGATTTGCGCACCCAGCAACGCCGCCATCGACGAAGTTGCCCGCAGGATCAAGGATTCTTTTACAGGGACAACCTACAAGGTCATCCGAATAGGTGCCGATACAGCCATCTCGAACGCTGTCAAGGATATATCGTTGCATTCTTTGGTTGACGAAGCCATGGGTGCCACGCAAAGTGCACTCGACGAATCCATCGAGAACATGCGGCGAGTCCAATCAAGTTTACACGGACTGAGGGCATCAGAGCGGCAGATTAGAGAAGAGATGGAGGCTGCACAGGGCAACACAATCCGATTGGCGGAATTAAGTCAACGGCTAACTTCTCTGAACAACCAACGTCGCACACACCAAGAGGAATTCGGCGCTGCCCGTCAGAAAAGGACGTCCACTAGGCATGCATTTGACGCAGAGCGGCGTAGCGTTGTCACTAAAATCATCAATGAGGCCCACGTTATTTGTTCTACTCTCTCAGGAACTGGCCATGAAAGCATCCAGGGCTGCGACTTTGGGCTGGTTGTCATCGACGAAGCAGCTCAGGCCATCGAATTGAGTTCTCTCATACCATTTCATTTCCCATTTCATCACTGTGTATTGGTTGGCGGTATGTATGACACTCAGCTCGCCATCTGCATCCACCTGATCACGTTTTAGACTCAAACCAGCTACCTCCCACCGTAATTTCTCAAGAGGTAAAGATGCTCTCGTCTAAGGTAGTTGAAGCTGACAAGGCGTTAGGCGACACGTTTAGGATATAGCCAGTCCCTATTTGTCCGGATACAAAAGCAGAACGTTGAGCGCGTGCACTTGCTAAGGTATGTCCAGTCGTTTGCCTCCCCAGTCTGTTGGCTTATCGCCCCACAGCATACAATATCGGATGCATCCAGAGATAAGTCAGCTTCCTAGCCGCGTCTTCTATGATGGCCGGCTACAGGATGGACCCTCTATGGCCGAAAAGACAGGGAAACCTTGGCATTCTCATCCGAAATTTGGTATCTACCGGTTTTTCGACATTAAACGCGGTGTCGAAGAACTCGTCGGCCAGTCCCAGAAGAACATCAGCGAATGCCAGGTGGCTGTTGCTTTGTATGGTCGACTTCGTCAGGAGTTCAGTTCACAGAACTTCTCAGTTGGGGTTGTGACGATGTATAAGGCCCAACTTCGCGAGTTACAAACGCAGTTCGAACGTCGCTTTGGGAGGGATGTAGCGAAGTGGGTTGACTTCAATACTGTAGATGGATTCCAGGGTCAGGAGAAAGATGTTATTATCCTTTCTTGTGTTAGGGCTGGTCCTGGCCTACAACGTGTCGGATTCGTCGCAGGTGACCTTCTAACTTTGCTCTGGCCCAATCTTGACTGACAATCCGGCAGATATTAGGCGGATGAATGTGGCTTTGACCCGCGCGCGATCTTCTGTCTTCGTCCTAGGCAATGCAGCGACTTTAGAGCGTAGCGACAAAACTTGGGCCTCTATTGTCCAGAACGCACGCGAACGGGAGCTTTTGATTGACGTACGTCGTGTAACAGTACCAGGATCCTGTGGCATTGATCGTAATTCGTCCAGGTTGACACCTCTTTCTTTACCTCGTCTACGCTAGCAACTACACCCCGGGTCCCAGTACCGTCGAAGAAATCGACGGTCCCCAATCCAGTGATCCCTGATGACCTCGTACCGCCGAATCAATACAAAGCTCTCCAAGCGCACTCAACCACAAATATCGGCCAACTCCCTACAAATGCTGACAATAGGGGTACGAAGAGACCTGCTGAAGAGACGCCTCAGGAGCAATTAAGGGATACCAAGCGACCTTCGATAACGCCAGAGAATATTGAACACTCAGTACGGGAAGGGCCATCTATCCCTCGTGAAGTTCTGCAATCTTCTACATCCACACTGCAACAACCCCGACCTCTTGCAGTCAAACGTCAGAAGGCGACTAATGCAATGTTCATAACAAACCAGTTTAGAAGGAGTAATACTGTACGTAATCTCTTCCCGGAAGTATATGGACCTTAAGTACTGATGCGCTCACGACGCTTGTATCAGGTATTACAATCCGTGAAGAAACCTAAAGGACAGTAGCACATGGATTTCGCGCATCTAGCATAGATCTTGCATTACAAGCATCATATTACTGTATTTCTAGCATAGTACATGAATTATTTTTCTGTATATTTTATAGGCGGGAGCTCCCAACGATGTGGTCCGAAATAAGGGATTGCGACTAGGAGCCCATTACTGTCAGGAGCTGGTCTCGAGAACGAACACAACGATTTGCCCAGTGAAGATAACCAGCTAGGGTTGATCATGGTTAAGCCTACACGAACGTGATATGTCAGCACCTGGGGATACAAACCAGACAGAAATCCGACCTTTGAGCCACGCGCGCGAGGTGCGGACAACCTCTGTATATATGATATATTGAGGCGGCGAAGCGCTCGCAAGGACCGACGAAGGGTGGAGGAATACATCCTCGTCGATACCTATGGCGCGATATGGTATACCCTTTGCCATAGAATACTGTGTCCCAGACTCAGTATTTTGGTCTACCAAGTCCTTTCTGATAGCAACTTGATCAATGAATGCGCCAGTCAGTAGTTGTCGCAAACTCTTCAACTGTGAAGATATTTTAGCAGGCAAAGGAATAAACGTATAGATTAGTGTACCTGTAGATCGCTTGGAGGGGGGAGCTGAGGCGTAAACATTGCAGATGTTCCGAGAAAACTGGCCTCTATAATGTTGCTAATCTGCGATCGTAGTTTATGGATTTCTTCCATCATCTAATGCTGGTCAGGAAATGAGATGTGCCAATACATTATCCGTACCTTTAACCGAACAAAATGGTCGGCGCAGAACTTGTGGCCCCCTCCAGCATACTCATAGGCACCGACAACGGAAAGAATTTTGAACGCATCGCTTATCGAGTTGCCAAGAGACGAGTGGGTCTACATCACCGTCGGAATAATGATAAAGGGGGGATATAACGAGATGACTCACAGCCATCGTTTGGAAGTACGCTTTCCGTCTTGCACGTACAGCTTCTGACGACGAATCGTCTCCGTCATCATCGGTGGCTAAACCTTCTTCGTGAATGAACGGGTCACCGACTGCCAACGCAGCCACCACCGCGATAACATACGGGAGGCAACCGTGTTGCTGACCACTAACCAGCATCCGGGAGAAACGTGGGTGCAACGGGAATAAGGCCATGGATTTCCCCAACGCTGTGATCCCCCCGTCCACCGCACCCGCGCCCGCACCCGCGCCCGCACCCGCCACAAGTCCTGCAGTAGGTGAACATAAGGCACCCAACATTATCAGGAGTTTCTCCGCTTTTCCCAGCATATTGCGATCAGGGGACGTCGGGAAAGGGAAATTAGCGACTACATCAATATGCATGCTTTTCATCTGGAGAACGATTCCTTCGATGGGGGTACGAAGGATCTCAGGTTGGGTAAATTTGTCGAAGTGGTGTTCAAAAAGGGCGGAGGAGTACAGGCGATAACAGTGACCCGGTCCAGTGCGACCGGCTCGGCCAGCACGCTGAGCGGCAGATGCTTTGGAAACCCACGTAACTTGGAAGGACTGTATTCCGCTCGATATATCATAGCGCCGCTGTTAAGGTTGAGCGCCATCATCTAAACCAAAAGGACAAATTATGGCGCTTACTTCTTTCGCTCTCCCACAATCAACGACGTAGCGTATTCCTGGTATCGTCAACGATGTCTCCGCTACGTTCGTTGATACAACAACAAGACGAGAGTTTGGTGGCGGTGTTTCAAAGACCTTCATCTGTTTGTCACTTGGAAGCAGCGAGTAAAGGGGGACAATATACATGAAAGCTGATCAAACTTTGACATCACTTGATTGGCCTCATGGTTATGGAAGGACTTACATTCGGCCTCGGCGGCACTGAGACCCAGTTCCTCGTCTAACGCTCTCTCATCATCGTCACTCTCTAAGTCATCAACATCGAAGGCGCCGCCTTCATCGCCACTAGGAATTACTTCAAGTGCATCGAAGCCCAATTCCATTTCTTCTGCCTCGACGTCAGCTGCAAACAGATCAAAATGTGGCTGAGGTTGGTTGATAAACACCCTACCCTGATTAAGTGCTATATGCGAGATCGTATCCGTAGGAGATATGACCGCCGGCTTGAAATTACGGTTGGAAAGAGCCCTCTTCCCAAACATTCCCTCCAGGCGCCTGCACACGCCATTGATCTCATTCTGGCCGGTCAAGAATACAAGAATTCCTCCTGGTGGTAACCTAGTGTGGATCTTACCGACTTTGCGAATGGCTTCGTTCACGTAGTCCGACGATGTACGTCTGCTGAAGTGGATGGTGACAGGATGTTGACGGGCCGCAACATTGATGATGGGCGGGGGCGAGGGAAACAACGCCTTGTTTTCCGCGAAATCGCTGACCCTCAGTGTTGCGGACATGATAACCAAGCGCAGAGGCTGACAGTATCGATGAAAAGAATCCAATGAAGCGCGAGTCGAGACACACCTTCGCACCATCTTTCCCATCTTTCCACATGTCTTCTCGTAGTTTCAAGACTCGGCTTAACACACCGATCAAAATGTCCGTGTTTATACTCCGCTCGTGAGCCTCGTCGATGATGATTACAGAATACTTTGTCAAGAGGAAGTCGGTAGCCAGTTCACGTAGCAAGACACCATCTGTCATGAATTTGATTGATGTATCCGGAGAGACCGTTCCGTCATATCGTATCTGGTAAGAGACCTTCGAGGATGTCAAGGAAAGTTCGTGGGCGACGCGTGAAGCCATGGACATAGCAGCGACTCGACGAGGTTGCGTGACCCCAATCATACCGGGGTTATCTATCCAACCATATCAGTGAATCATAGCTAACGATTTGGCTCAAAAAGATTTCGTACCGCTCCCAGGCGTCCCGAACCCAGCTTCATACAGAAACTGAGGGACCTGCGTTGTTTTTCCACTACCTGTTTCGCCACAAATGATGACGACGGGATTCAAGAGAATGGCTTCCATGATGGGTTGTTCCTCCGCTACTATTGGTAGAAGGAGGCGAGATTCTTGGACTTCCGAGGGTCTTTGGATGGTGATGTCTTTGATTCGAGTCTGGCTCTTCAGCGAGTTTACACGGGAAGCGAAGGAGGTGCTAGGGAGTTGATACGATTCTCCAAGAGGACCATGCTTTCCTTCTGGCCGTTCGACCTTTCGTTTCTTGGCTGGCGGGGGAGCGATGAAATCCTCGGAGGTCAGCGGTGGATCTGAGATTGTAGGCTTTGGCGTTTCGTAACCCTTGGCAGTCTCTATCTGCTTCATTGCCCACTGCTTAAATCCAAGAGAGCGCCCTTTTGCCTTAGGAGGCTCCTCCACTTCGCTGTTGTTGGAATCCTTACTCTCCTCACTGCCCGAAGAGGAAGAATCGTTTTCAGAATCAGAGCTATCGAAGGACGTGTCCGAGTCAGAGTTGGCCTGACATTTGCGCGTCGGCATCCCTGTCCACGACTACAACGATATTCCGAAGTCAATCAAATCACACTGTTTGAAGATTATTATAGATACCTTGTATGTCGACGGTTTGGCCTTCCTGCGAGGAGAGGATGGTCGATCTTTACCACTTTGTAGCAATGCACTGCCTACAGAAGGAGGATCGTTTATGACCGTTTTTCTCTCATGTTCTTTTCCCTCCTCCTCCTCCTCCTCCTCCTCCTCCTCCTCCTCCTCGTCTGAAGAACCCGCAGAGAAATGTTCATACCGGTCAAGAGGACGTTTTCGCGATCCAACCTTGCCGTCTACAATCTGTCTAACTTGTTTGTCCTCTGATCGTTCTAAACGCTCTTGATGAGTAGTTGGCTTTCCAGTGCCCAAGGTTGACGAAGTGTGTAACGCGAGGCTCGACGGCAATTCTGCTTGACTCTTTCTGGACGCGTATCAGCAGATTGGCACAACCTTCGGCAACAGAACGCACGTTAGCTTCTCAAATATATGGACCCGCTCCTCCTTTTTCAATTTCTTGTCCTGTACGAAGCGATCAGAGGCTTGCACCACAGGGAGCTTGTCCTGGCCTCACAATGTACTTTTCAAGCCTACGTTTCTTCTTGCTGTTCCAAGTCGATTCTGACTCAGCTATTAGCTGGTGAGGGATCTCAGGAGTATGCTAATGCAGTGTAGATTTCCAGAACCCACCGCTTGCTTCAACTTTTCCTTCTGCTCTCGTTCTCGCTCCTCGGCCGTTTTGGGTGCCAGTATAGCAGCATTGGGGTCTGATTCGGTTTCTGGCTGCGACTTTCGACGCTTGGCTGTATTTTTCGAATTTTGTCGAGCTTTGGCGTTATATCTGGTACGGGTAGGCGGCCCCATTTCCCTCGTGGTCGAATATTGGTAGAGTCAGCAGCCCGATCATCAAAGTACGGAAGAGATATGGGCGCTTCGTGGCGCTTGCTCCGAACGATTGATCTACACACTGCCTCAGTCTGCCTGTCTCAGTAGAGAATCATTCGAAACGCGAGTAGGCGAGTAATTCAGTCCTATGTTCTACCCTGCAATCTTGTCGAACGGTTTCATGGCTTCAGGCTGATAGTCTTGCTGGCCAGAAATGTAAATAAATCCGTCTTACCCGACCGCACTCAATGCAGGCGTGTCGAAGCACCTGAACGTTGAACCCCATAGCCTTAGCTTCAGCGCTCCGCCACCAAAGACCATGGAACATAAAGAGATTCGCATACTCCCCTCCCAAGTCTTTGCGAACCCTTCGTTCCGCTGCCGGCAGCGAGTTGCTCTTTTCCAGCCCAACTCACGTCAAATTAAAACCATGACGGTCACATCTACTGGTATGTCTTACTCTACATCCAGCTCCTTTTACTCATAGAACAAGGACGACAAGTGACGGCAGGAAACCCAGCGATAGCAAGACCCTTCGCCATTATGCAGCTTGTTGGCGGCGCACTGCTTCTCATCACGCTCGTCACTGCCATACTTGCTAAGGATGTCAAGCGGAATCTTAGCTGGATCAGCTTCTGCTCCGCTAGTATTATATCGTGTGTCGCCTACGACTTGCTCTTTTTCGTTGGACAACAAACTGGCCCGTCGCCCGACCGTGGGCTGTGTCTCGTCCAAAGTGCACTGGTACACGCAGTCCCAGTGATGTGGGTATGACTGCCTGTTTCCATATGCATAGTCTAATCATGATCCAGGCAAGCTGGGGTGAACTTGGCCTTGATCGCTCATGTACGTTGCTTGGCCAGTCTACACGGCCTCCAGTTGATTACAGCCCACTTCCAGACCTGGACCTCCGTCCGCGCCGCTGTTTATCAGAAGAATAGGGTTTCCCGCTGTAATCTATTCATTTTGGTAATTACTACCTCCATCGCCCTCTCCATTTGCGTCTCATTATCAAGCCGAATCCCAGTTCGTCGCATTCCCGTATATCCTAACGATAGCACTCTTCCTCGGCTTCCTAGTGGTACGCCGCATCCCCTTTCATCCAACCGCATTGCTTGACCCCGCAACCGTAAAGTTTGCCATCCAACATCCGCAAACAGTCGAACGGGACAACATGGGCGTTTATTGCAAGATTGTATTTGACGGCGTACCTTCGAAAATCACTGCAGGAATTTCTGCGGTGTTGATGCTTGTGTCCGTTATATTCGAAGGTGCAAGGATTCGTAGTTTGTAGCCGCCTCGATCGATTGCTTATGGTTACATCACTCAGTAATCGTTGCAAGAATGCTAATACGACACTGGAAGTTGCTTTGCCACAGTGGGATGCCCCGCTCGTTTGTCATCCGTGTACTGGTTTTCAGCGCCGTCGGGGGCTTGGTACTGGTGTGCGTCTTTCGAGCGCTCCCGCTTCAAACATGTAGGCTTATCAACCATCTCAGCCTGACGATGGTCTATGTAGTATCAGATGGCGGCGGCACGGGCGCCGATTTCATTATGGCATCTCGTACGCTACTCCCCCGCCTTTTAACATGACAGCTTCTCATTGAATCCTGCAGTGCCTCTAATATCAAGCTTAGTATTTGGGACACAGGAGGTGCGTCCGTGACTGCCCATCCGACCTCAGTCCGACTCACTCGCGCCATTCAGGACCTAATACGTGCGTGGATGTTCTGGAGGCCACCTAGACCTATGGCAGTGAAGCCCATCCGGGCACGAAACGACAGTGAAGGAACGTTAGAGTGATTATGCCTTAGCCATCTTACGGCTTAACTGGTCTCGCGCCGGCATGCAAACTTGTATGTGATTTCTCAAACTTTATTGAAGCAGGACGTTTGAAGGCTTTTCCTCTACTGTATGAGTGTCGGAATTCTGATCATGTCGACACGGACTTGTATGTAATATCTTCCATCGTTTGTTCAAACACCATCCACCCAAACAGAAGTATTTTCCTCGAACGCGATGGCCGGAGCATGGTTCAGCTCTGACTTTGTTATAGTTCGTCGACTCCGAAAGTTTCCAACCCGCCCATCCTCTCGGACCCTCCACTCTTGAGTCTATCAGTTGCTCCTGTCGTTCCGCGCCCAACAATTCCAATAAGCTGTCGAGGACCCTCCGTTCCGTCACCATTACGTCTTCTTAGTGGGGCTTGGGTCTTATGGTCAAACCCCAACCAACGCGAACATGCTACTCATCATTTTGACTAACTTAGGCTGTAACTTTACAAGGAGATTATGCCCTTCAACCCTTTCCCTTGCCCAGGCCGATGTGCCACCTGGCTTTTCCAAAAAATCTCGCCAGTGATACTTGACGGAACGCCTATTTGGTATTATTATAGTAATACTTCCCACCGATCAGACTCAGAAATTTTGTGTGCAGGCACGTTCCAGCCATAAATTTAGAACAACATAATGTCATCTTCTCCCGCGCTATCCAAGCCACCGACGATTAGATCCGAAACGCGGTGCTCGTAGAAGAAACATCGTTGGAACACCAGAACCTATCGGAAGTCGTGTCGTTGGCCGTGCAGAGTCAGTCCACAACATCCCGGCCTGTCTCCGATCTGCTTCTTACTAGGCTCACGACGGTTCGTGAACCAGTCGGCCTGGAATATCTGCAACTTGGCCTTTATCATCAAGTCGCTAGGTATGTAGGGGCAAGTCTTCCTCCGATCAGTCGATCTTGATCATCAATCTGTTGCTCGCAAGCATCGCCTGAGTGTACAGGCCGACCATAGCAAGGCAGGCGCACACAGTGCTATTGTTCTACTTGAGCACCTGTGGATATTTGGAAGCTGGTATGCCCTTGCGCAGTTGTTGAATTGATCGCTAGCGCGATTAATCGATCTATAATTGTAGCGTACGGCGGCTCTCGCTAAGTGGTAATACTTCCTACTTACGGGAAGAGAACAAAGCAAGGCGGAATAATCGACGCCGGATTCGAGAACACCTGAAACGCGAGAGGGACTACTCATTGCAACTTCTCGACACACCTAATCCCGATGATTGTTTACAACATACCCATTTTTAGAGTGGCAAGTATCTTGGAAACTACTACACAGAGTGTATCCACTGGTGGCTTGGACGATTTGTGATGTCTGTTCGATCGTTTCGATCAGGTCATCGGCCAGTGGGGAGGCTTCACCGCAATATAAAGCCGTCAGTGCAGTCATCTTGGTATGTACCACCACGTTGTGTACTCTACTACTCCTCAGCTCCCCATGGAATCACTACCTCACTTGCGCGATGTGTTCCCTGGTGAGGACCGACCGTCTCTCGACAACCGCGGTCAGCTAACAAATTCCTCTTGGACGTAGAACACTTCAGTAACAACTCTTCTGCTCGTCCCACGCCTACGGTAAACCATTCGACTTGTCACGAAGTCTCCGTGCTGACAGGTGTAATCGGTAGAACAATGCTCCGTTGGCGAAGGGCAACACCATACCTCACAATTCGCCAAGTTCAAATATGCGGCCGACGGGGCACGGTCCGATCAACCACTCTAACGTAGCAAACGCTACACCAAAGCAAGGCGCACATAACGGTGGCGCTTCCAGAGCGACTGCGCCCTCATTCAGCGTGCTAGACAGCGGCACTTTGGACGTAGTCTACACTAGCTACAGTGTCCCTACCAACAGCTCGTGGGCTGCCATGCAACGGCTACCCCCTGAAGGATCATCCGCCGCCAACATCCCCGTGCAAGGGACGAATCCCGACCGTCGAAGGCACGTCTGCCCCATTTGCTCGAAGCCATTCGAACGGTCAAGCAGCCTGCAAACTCACATGCATATTCATACGGGAGAAAGACGTGAGGATTTTCAGTTAAATATTCACGAATAACCAGGCTCAACCCCCTTTAGCTTACATATGCCCCGTCGAGGGATGCGGGCGCGAATTCAACGCCAAATCTAATATGCTTCGGCATTACCGTGCGCACCCTCAGCGCTGAAGACTGGAACCTTAAGCTTTTAAGGCAAACCATTTGTAGCGCTAGGGCTTGAATTGTCTTTCCCTCCGTCTTGTATCCACTATCTGTATATTTATTTATGTATGAGTCTGAACAACTATTTATTGTATGCGTTCACCTTCGTCAACTCAGGCCTGATTCTAGTAGTAGACATTCCTGTTACGTTACATAGAAGCTCATGCTGGGATTGAATTGATTCGTACATGGGGTACAGGTTGAGCGCTGGATAAGTGAGGGCGAAGCCGACGAAGGCAGTACTCCACAGAAGACGCGTGCGCCAGGGATAATTGTATATTAAAATATGGGTATGAAGTCCTGGATACGATCCTTTGCATCCTGTGCAATGCACTCCGCTATCCACGTCAAATTACGAATCTCTTGCTCTTTTAACTTCATATAGCTGTAGAAGACGCCATACTGGAACTGCTGGAGGAAAGACTGTTTGTTTAGATGGACCTCCATGTTGAAGAATCGATCCTCGAGCTGCGACATGGTGCCGTGACTTTCACCGTTGGCAGAGGAAGAAGCACCGTCGAAGAAAGAGCGGTATTCAGAGATGTTTTCGCAGACCACCCTCACTTGGTCTATGTCGTCAGCTTTTGCAAGTTGATTGTTGCCTTCCGGGAAGAGACGGCCAATGGCGGGGAAGAGCTTGGCGCGTTGTTCCTTCGACAGTTCCGTACCAAAGGAATTGATGGTTATGTTCACAGTTCGACGGTCGGCCTCGAAAGAAAGGAGTCTCTGCATTACGTCCGAGGTAGGCGAACCTAACGATGAGCAAAAGTGATGAAAGTCCTCCAAATATGCTTTGTAGACTGTGTTCCGGATGATTTCAATATTGAGATCATCTAGATCCGATGCTGAGAGACAATCGCGAAAGTACGGGGCTAATTCTATGTCAACCGAGGGCTTAATTTGGAGGATCAAGTGAACACACCGAGGGGGGTTTCGACAAGGACGCTTTGATACAGCTCCTCCACGTTGGTCGCGACACAGAGGGCGGGCATAGTGTCAAACACACCCAGAGGGTGACATCTTTCCAACAGTTCGTGTGTGTCTCGCTCATGCAGCGTTCCGGTGATCAGGAGGACGACATTATCGATCATGTATCCGTAGCTATGGGAGGGATGCGATCAGCTTGACTCGCGGTACAAACTGTCGCACACTGACGTGATATACTCTAGGAACTTGCTGAGAGGAGCAACAGCGTTGGTTCGTATGTAGTTGAACTGGTCGACAAGGATGCCCGTGGCCCGGTCGGCGATGGTAGATGTAGACAGAGGTAACGGTTCATTGGCAAGGAAGTTGCCATAGTCAGTAGCTGAGAGTTGGGTCCTGAAATCTGAAACCAGAAAGGGAGCAGTAAGTATCACTGTTTCTACGCAAGACCGAAACGACGCACCTTCCAACGACTCGCACTGGGTCAGGTTGGCATAATGACTCTGGGAGAGGATGCCAGCCTTGTAACCGCGCACTATGGCTTCCAAGAAACCGCTATCAACCTGCAGAGCCCGATTCAGTGATGATTTTCGTGGCGTGTAGCTGAAACGAGCGTACGTTGAACAGCAGAGCTTCCATCGTTCGTGTTGGTGACAACCACGCAGTTGAGCCTCCGAACTCGTCTGTGATGACCGCGTGTCGCCGTAACAGGGAAATAGTTCACACGCCCTTTCCACCTCAGCGGCCATCGCCCGGCGGTCCCTGACTCTCACTCTTTCTTACTTCCCACCACCATCAACACCACGCATGGTCGTACCCCCACTCGACCCATTGCGCCATAGAATATACAGTTGACGACACTATCATCTGTAGTACTATATATAATCGATGCTCCAGTAGCAATGAGCGGCCGAGCTTATTCTCATGGCGTCTGAGAAAGAGTCGCAGAACTCTCAAGTTCACGAAACGCATTCGATTCCTGCAGATTATGACAAAAGGCAGGACAAGAAACTCATTCGTAAAGTGGATTTCAGGTAATTATATGCGCTCTCAACCTCACTTTAACGACTAACTTGATGTCCGTAGACTTATCCCAATCTTGACATTGTTGTATCTTCTGAGCTTCCTAGATCGGTACGTTCCGCTGAACATTCGGCGACTTCTATATACTAAGTTAGCATACCTTTAGAACAAATATAGGAAATGCGAGGTAATTATGTGGCCGCATCTAGTAGTTTTGTTCGATATTCACGATTTATAGAATCATTGGATTAGCAGCGGTAACCTCTCCATAACTGGTTGTCTTGGTTGTCTGCTAAAATAGATCCCTGAAGGATCTCAACGTCTCGCCTCCCGCGTACAATACTTCCTTGGCTTTATACTTCATAGCCTATGTAGTTTTTGAAGTTCCTGCCAACGTGCGTAGTAAATCAACCACTCTTCTTGGTTGCTGATTGACGTACTCGTCCCACAGATCGTGTAAATATTCCCCAGTCTCTGATAACGGCTACAAGCTCAAATAGACTATCTACATAGTTTGAAGCGCTTCGACCCTCAAATCTGGCTTCCGACGCTAACCCTCCTTTGGGGGATAGTCAGTGTCTGCCAGGGTTTGGTAACCAACCAGGCCGGTCTTTTTGGAATACGAGTCTGTGAGTATACATCATCTCCACTCGCAATCTGATCAAATGCTTACAAGTTGCAAGTGTTGGGCGTTACGGAGGCCGGCCTATTTCCTGGAGTCATCTATGTGTTCTCGGTATACTATCGCAGGTACGCTTCATTTAAATTTGTTATTTCTGGCAACATAGTTGGATCCGATGGACATGAATAGGAGCGAGCGAAGTTGGCGGGTAGCTATATTTTTTGGTGGTGCTGCTCTGGCAGGTGCCTTCGGAGGTGAAGGAGGGCTTCTACCCCCTGTCACATCGATATCCTGACTCAAACGCAACAGGTATTTTGGCGTATGCCATAGCGAAGATGGACGGTATTGGTGGCCGCAAAGGATGGCAATGGTGGGTACTCCCATTTTTCACGGGGGAAGTCACACTAACACCTTCCATCCCCGTTGCAGGATATTCATTATCGAGGGTCTTCTCACTGTAGCCATTTCCCTCGTGGCATATTTTCTGGTTCCGACTTGGTCGTACAAAGCTAAATTTGTAAGTCTCCGCTGTAGCCAGAGCGATACGGCATACCGAAGTAAATTTATAGCTTACCGATTCGGAACGCGAACGTTTGTTGGAACGACTGAGAGCCGACTCGGACGCAGGAGACAACGAGAAATTCGAGTGGTATTATGTTCGCCAGGCATGGACGGATCATCTCTGTTGGGCTTATGCTCTGCTGTTCCACGGCTTTGCGTTTGTCTTGTACTCTCTCAGCCTTTTCCTGGTCAGCCTCTTCATTACTTACGCCTTTGGTGGTCCTAATATTTCATGACTTAGCCGACTATTATCGCTGGGCTAGGTTTCCAGAGCTGGCAAGCTCAACTGTACGTGTTGAACCTATATGCATGTTTGACAGTTGGCTCTATTCCTTTCTCCTACTAGATTAACGATCCCGCCCAATGCATTGGCCAGTCTAGCGATCTGGTTCACCGTGTGGATATCTTCGCGTTACAATCTCAGGGCCCCATTCATCATCGGTGCTGCTTTCGTTGCTATTGTTGGTGCGCACCGCCTTCTTTCTGCCAATGAGACAGACGCTGAACGAACGCTATAAAGGGTACATCATCCTGCTTACGGCAAAAACATGTGAGTTGACGCATCCTTGATGGCTAAGATATCGCATTTAATCCAGCGAAATGGTAGCCGGCGGTCAATATGTTGGTGTCCACTTCGCCGCCGCGGGTGTCTACACTGGGAATGCTTTACTTCTAAGGTAAGGTATGGGATCTCTTGTACTTTAGCATGGGACTCAAGCCCCGGAAATAGCTGGCCCGGTGAGAATGTTTCCGGTCAAACGAAGAGGGCTATTGCCGTTGCGATGCAGATAACCATCGGAGATATTGGAGCCGTGGCCGGTGTCTTAATTTATCGGCCAAATTTCAGTGGTCATCACTTCAGGAAACCCCATATCATCTCCATAGGGTACTTGGTCTTTGCTGCGGCGGTGGCTGCTTACCTGTGGATCTGGATGGCTCGAGAGAATGCCAGGCGCGACGAAGTTCTTCGAAAGCTGGCTGATGAAAAAGAAGTCAAGCAGGAAAGGAACCGTCGGGCTGGAGATCGTGACATTTATTATCGATATCATGTATGAGGAAGAATGGGGGGCTGAGTGTACACGAGTATGTTCATTGTGGGTTCCACCTCTATTAGTCAACTTCAAATGAGTAGCTAGGATATTGTGACGAAGATTATGTTATGTGTAGAGTAGACATGATTGTTTGGCTGATTCGTAGAAGTACCTGGCGTCGTGAATGCAATGCAGATTATGGATGAAGGGAAGGGATGGTCGATGAAGGTGAGAATAATATGATCCGTGTCCAAAGTCAGTACCGACGAGTCCAACTGGTTGTGAGGGGAATGGAATAGCGTGTACATGGTGAGCAAGTCGTAATTCAACTGAAGCGTTGTGAATGACATGAAGCAAGTTAGTCGCGGGAAATCTTGCGCCTCTGATGGCGCACGGTCGTTTTGTCAATATACTCTTCATCATCTTCGTCGCTGTAGACCACATCGGCATACTCAGGCCCGTACAGGCTCAGCCTTCTGTCGTGATCAACTTTTCGCAAGTGCCGTAGCTGCACTGACAATGACCGGAGGAAATCATTCTGTACTGTAATTGAGATGTATGATAAATCACTATCATCAGAGTGCGCACCTTCTGAATGCGTGCACGGGCCTCTATTTTCCCTGCTTTGTCAAGTGAGCGTTTCTTGCCTTTGTACTATATCACACATAAGTCAGACTCAATGGGCGCGCCATTACAATGCGGTACGGACCTTTCGCTCTTCATCCTTGCAAAGTGCTGTCAAATGAACGATCCACTTTTGTAAATTCGTTTCGGCCTTCTTTTGACACTGTTGCTGCATATTTTTCATCAAGAGGTCATCGTCCATCCATTCGTCATCCGATTCCCCAATGATAGCTTCGTCGTCAGAGTCTGGGACCACGTAGGACCGGGTAGTGAAGGCAGCCTCTCGTCTAGGACGCTTAGTTCCGCGAGGCGCTGAAGTTGGGTCATGCTGGGTGAGTATCGTTTTCGAGGCTTCTTTCTTAATCTTGTATGTAAGCGAGCTGCCCTGTTTCAGTGGTATAACAACTGTGTCCGAGAGGTAGTCGTCTTCACTGTAATAAAACTCAGCACCGCGCTCGAGCTCATTGTACAGCGTCCAGTTCTAGACGAAGGCTTCGTCAGTATATCGGAGTAACATGATGGAAGTGGTGTATGTACGGGTGCGCGTCCTAGACGAGCTAATAGCTGGAAGTGCTTGAAAGTGAGAGGCACGGCGCGAGCTTCTGGCCGTGGCACATGAGCGTCAACGTAGCCAAAGAAGTAGTTGATGTCCTGTAGGAAAAAAAAGAGCCATGAGGTGTTGCATTTTCGAGGCTATGCATATGATCTTACGGGTGCATTATCATTGATGATGGCGTGAGTCAAGAAGACGGCGGTGATTCGACTTTGTGTTCCAAACTGTGTCTTGACCCAACGGCCGACACTCAAGGGATCTGTTCGGATAATAGTCGTGAGCACGAGACACTGTCACCATGCATTCTCCCATACCATTAGGGTAAGGAAGCTTGTTCGCGGAGTCGTTTGCGTAATTGTACATATAGAAAGCACGTCGTCGAGATCTCGAGGGAGCTGTTTCATCCTGCCGTATCATCACGGACAATGTATCTTGCCCGATGTGACCCTATGGAGAACACGGTTAGTCAAAGCTGTTCAAAAGAGAATGGAAGGGCTTGATAAATCTTATCAGGCACATTACGCCGAAGAAAAAATAGGTAATGGGTAGAAAGATACAAAAGAGGCTGAAAAGCCATACCAGTTCGGGCTCTGATTGAGTGTTCCCCATCCCATGCCCTTCACAACCCTCTACTTCGTCGTCGGGCTTGATCTCTGGTGGAAGCGACGGCTGCATCTGCTGGACAAGTTGAAGGGACTCCCTGCCAGTTGACGAGTCAAGCATAGTGTAATCGCGGGACAATTTAGCATGGTAACGTCTGCAAGCATCCTCGTCGTCCCAAGGTGGTAGATCATCCACGTCAATTTGATGCTTCTCTAGCACGACCTTCGCAATGGTTTCGCGGACGTAATCGTACCGCTCATACATTTTCTTGATCATCTTGCCCTATGAAAAGGTTCGTTATCAATGACTCCCACGACGATAGTGGATTTTGTTATGGTACACACTTTGCATGCCACTTCCAACATCTTTTCCACGACTTCTTGGATGAAGTCTTTGGCACCGATGGGATCCAAGCCCAGTCCAACTGCCCCGCTACGTTCGGGGAGATTGTCTGATTCCCTTTTAGTCGCTCGGTCTTTGCTCCTGGGCACGCTACTATCTGATGCACTGCTACTCCCAACGCTAGTATCCTCTACATCCTCCGTGCGCACTATCCGCCTCCCATTCCATCTTACCCACTCCATGACGGGAGTGAATCGTTCTACGAAAGGGTTCAACAACACTGCCATTAACTCAAGGCGAGTAGGCCCTTTCCCTAGGCCTAACTCATCGAAACGGAGCTTAAGGTTTTCAGTCGTTGAGAGATGAGGGGTATTGGCGGTATACGGGTAACCGGGGGCATGCGAGCAATTGAACGCCTCTTGGATGAAGATGGAGCAAAGGAGAACGTGGCGAGCAATGTAGTCCTTGGAAGGGAAATCAGCATATAGCTGCCTGAGCGTTAGCGCAACGGAGTTAAGGGCGATGGAACGAGTGGTTGCGAATAGTTTGATCAGCTCCTCGACCAAGGTGCTAAATTGCATGTGAGCATGGAGTGATTACTGCGAGCAACGGATTCTTACGAGAGATCAAATCGTAGTTCACCAGCTTTGTCTAGCCTCTGAAGTGCTAGATATGCGGCTTCATTTGTCTTGGCTTCCATGCAAACCTCGGCAGCTACTGTACGACTCAGGAACATTCTGAATACAGGGATTAGTGGCAATCCATTTATAGGGATAAATATGACATACGTGGGATCCAATCTACACAACTCTCTCGCATTTCGGACGATATCATCTGCACGAGTGTCACTGGAGGCTATGGGCCGCTCAAACATCTTGCGGAAGACGAAATCGCGATACTAGACAGGCATATGTTAAATTTTCAAGAGAGCAAGGGGAGTATATGCTTACCTTGCTATCCATTTGAAATCCATTCGCGACAGCAAGAGGCAACAAACGAGGCTCGATGGCAAGAGCGAGGGGGAACTGTGCCATGATTGGGTCCTAAGAAGCAAGGGGAAATGAGCAAGGGGATCGATTCGGAGGCCAGAAGCCAGGGGCTCACCTTATTCGTGAACGGCAAGAACTATATGCACAATTATCGAATGGGATCATGGAAAGGTAAAGCAGCAGCACACACCTTGTACTTCTCCAAGATATCCTTGATTGCCTCCCAGTTCGTTGTACGCACAGAAGGGTGAAATCTACTCTCCCTCAAAAAGGTTGCGAATATAGATCCATCGTCCTCGTTCTTTCCTACAGGGATTTCCCCATACTTTTTTGTAGCGAGTTCCATGAAGTAAACGAAAACAGGCAGGGGGACACTGCGGACCCAAGTGGTCTTGATGAAGTGACCCTGGGAGCGAAAGTAGTGGTGAATGGCGAGCTGGACAAGGTACCGAGACATATGCGCGCCGCTGGCCAACAGAGTCTGGTTGACCAAGCAGCATATATAAGTCGAATTCCTGACCAGAGACCTCGAGACTACTCACATTCAAGACACTCTTATTAAGTATGCGCCCCCGCCCGAGCGCATAGAACAGGGCCTGTGTCTCGCCATATCGAGCCAGGAAATAATGGGCTCTGATGAAGTTGTCTTGAGAGAAGTTATGAAAACGTTTTGATACGAGAGTCAAAGGGGTCGGGTCGTTCAATTCGTAGAAAACGAGTTGGAGAATTTCATCTGGGAAAGTCATGAGTTAAGGACCGTGTACATCGCATGTTAGCTTACCGCAGAGACGATCCATGGCGCCCACGGAAGCTTCGGGGACGACAGGGAGCGGTGAAGATCCGATGCTGATTGAGCGGAGAAGAAATGCACGTCGCGCGGGACGATGGTGACGGTCGAGGAGGAAGGAGCAGTGCTGTGGTGGAAGGTCGAGCAATGGCTCGTTCCTTGATTTGTCCGGCGTGCCGGCCCAAAGATCGGAGATCCAATATTAGCTCGTATTTGGTACTATTTTTAGACAAAATCTAATCTCAATGCTACTAGAACGTCCTTTGGTGGTATCCTCTCCATATTCGCCAGGCTAGCTTCCAATCCCTCACCTGCAATCGCGGTTCGAAAGCGTTGAAATCAGAACTCTCGAGTCGTTCGAGGAAGAGCGCTTGGGGAATCTAGACATATCATGTGGCGGAATTTCATTGATGGACGTGGCTTAGAAACAGATCAAAACTCAACCACTCACACCGGTCAAGAATACGGGCATGGCTCCCCTTGGCACTTTCCCATCGTCGAGTTTGGAGAGCATGTCTCGTGCTGTAATGAGATGGTCGTTTGCAAGGACGGCGAACTCGTATACGGCGTCGACGATCCCTTTGGCCTCCTTTCCCCGTCGGAAAACTTCCTCTTGGCTAACACCGTGCTTTGATGTAATCTCCGCTGGTATTGTCATTCGTCCCTTGGAAGCGTGGTAGGGCAGTCCACGTAGAAGCGTAACTATACCTTGCGCAACTCCAACGTGTGACGCCGCGTGTGATAAAGAGTCTAGCGAGTTTGATGGAATGGTCAAGAGGGACAGGAGAGCATAAAGTAGAGTGGACGAAGTTGCTTCGGCATGATCGGTGAGGGATTCGGAGGTCAAATGCTCTGGTGTGTGTAATTCCGCATCCTGAAACGCTGTCAGACTGAAAAGTAGGAGGTGGCAACTTATGTACAAACTCGAGCGTCAATCAAGCGGTTGAGATGGTATCGTTGGATTTTGTGTTGTCGACACACATCAGACAGGGCTAGCGCTATGGGGTGTCTTGGTGGGCTATTCTACACCCCAAAGCAACCAGGCGTAAAGAAATGCTTCGAGATGCAAAACTGGAGACACACCTCATAGACACCCTTGACAGCGTCCCTCCAGAACTGCATCCTCATCTGCCCAATTACCGGGTTGGAAACCGAGTCCCCAATCATTGCTAATTCCACCTTGAACAAAGTTCAATCACCTTACGGCGTTTAGAGCAAACCGAGAACGTGCCGAAAATGACCTTAGCGCCAAATAACCATCCTGCAGCGACCCCTTTGGCCAGAACTGGGAGATAAGGAAAGATTCGTAGTCGTGTTTCCGGAGAAGGTCGCGACAGTATTCGGTTGGATTGTCGTTCCCAACTGTCGAAAGCACCCGCCGAGACGATGTTACACGCGTCTCCGCCGATCGGAATGAGGTTGAAAAGGATTTGACGAAGGTACGACGTCCTGCATGTTGGCAAAGCATGACGGAGACCTCTTTGAGGTTCCCTTGAACCTTCTGAGGACATGCGTGAGAATAATATGGGCGTCTAACTTACGTGCAAGTTGAATGGACCTGTCCTTGACCATTCTCCTCCTCCCTTCCCCGCGTCACCACACAGAGCAGAGCTCATAAGGTGCGGTATAGCCCACTCTCCCGACTGCCTCACTCGCTTGCTTCCCGCCACTGCAGCGATACATACACCCAAATCTTGAATCGACGTTCACTACTATGCCCAGAAAAGATCCCATTATAATCACCGACACGCGTGTCTTCCTTCAAAGGCTGTCTAGGCGTGAAACAAGAACTCCGCTGCCACCAAACATACTCCATGAAGTCGGTAGACTTACTTTCCACGCCTATATGCTCATTCTTTCACCCTAGTTACTTCTACATCTGGGACCGCGAGACCTACCTTACATGTCACGAATGAACAAAACTATACGCAAATTTCTTCTCGAAAGAGACTCGTATCGGAAGAGGACCCGCCTTTCCTTCCCACGACTATTCCTCCGCCAAATATGACTTCCGAATATCGTAACATCGTACTCTTTTTCAGTGGTGGAGAGTGTACGGTGGGTATCATAGGCTCAAAGTGACTTGTATGCATACTTACTACAGCAAGGATCTGCCACCAGTAGACGGAGACTATGCCTTACTCCTTTTCTCTCAAGATTAGATCCTGCTCGGTATGGACACAATGAGCCACGATGGTGGTTCTACTCACTCGGTTACACTCCACAGGACAAATGCACCTGGACAACTGAGCGGCAGGGCTTCAATGTGACCAATGCCCCATTATCAAGGTTCATCTATAATGTAGGAAGATAATATACCGATTGCCGGGACCATCTGATAAATCGTACAGAGCTCATCGAGAGGATTATCGCCCATGGATGCCCTACCTTGAGTCGCACTGAAACCCACGATTGGTAGGTCAACCGGAGAACAACATTTACTGCAAGAACTGGGTACACAACACAGACCTCGAATATTGTGCAGCCAAGGCACTTGCTCGCAATAAACCCGTATCAGAGCGTTGGAACGTAGATACTGTTCCTCTTCCCGAGCGGAAGGCGGTAAGTGATATACCTTTGATTCTCTCCGCCCGTCTAATACCCTCCTTCTATCATCCTAGTCCTGGGACAAGAAGGCAAAAGAATTAAGGGTTCTCATGCAGGCGCGGTCTACCTTTCTACGACGACAACTTTCACCAAATCCTCCACAGAGTGCACAGAAACGGATAGATTGGTGTCGTAAATACAATAATACTGCCCAGGAGATGTCCCCTCAATGGAGGAATGTCCGTCACATCTCTTTCCCCATGTGGATTCATTAAAGCCCAAGCTCACAATTACATCAGCCTATGGAACTTCCAACGGTGAGAGAAGAAAGAGAAGCAGAAAGTTGCAGGGAGGAAGCGTATAGTGCACTGCGTTGACTTGCTGAGCATGGATTTGATTCAATTGACCCAGATGAGTGAGTCATTGATTAATTAAACATTCCGCGTCCAACAGTATAGTCTGCTGAACACAGAATGGAGGCTCCTCCTTAAGGAAGCCTTAGAAGAAGAAGAATATAACCACAAAGTCAAATCAGTCTACTATACTACGCAGCCGATTCTAGGGTGCATCAAATGTCCTAATCGGTTCTTCGACTCAGACGGGCTCGTGGATCACACTTCCTCGAAGTACATTACGAACTAAACCGTATTTATGTGGTGCTAATACCAGATAGGCATCCCGAAACGAAAGAAGAAACGATGGCTATTCTGACGAAGAGCGGTCGGAGTCGTTGTCACGTATGTGGATCGCATCGTTCACTCCTGCTGGCCCTTAAGAGCACTTGAAGAAGAAGTAAGTATACGATGACACTCAAACTTGTCTAGACGACCACTCAATTGCACTGCAGGCTTGAGATCACCTCGGCATCCTGATTCACTGTCAACATAGCGAGCGGATTCTTCTTCGTTGTTTTACCATACTACCACATGCCCACTCTCGCGGATCGTCAACGGATAGATTTGTCTTCTTTAAACCACAGGACATGGCCGTACGTTATGTTACCATCGTTTCGCAGACATCAGATTGCATAGGCATATGCATGCTCCAAGCAGCAGATAAGGCGATAATAACGTCAAGGCCGTTTACGTATCTAGCTAGCCACTAGGATGTAGCGTAGGTTTGAATCATTTCCTGGTGACGATCTAATCAGCCCCCCGACTAGCAGCTGGATCGAATATACTGCACCAGGAGTCTAGTGGGAACGGCTCCCACGAGCTCGTTGACCTTCGTACCATCCTTGAACACCATGAACGTCGGTAACTACAGGGACAAACGCAGCTCGTTGAAGGAACGGAAGATCTGTGTAATAACGAGATTCTTACCGATCTAATGCCAACTTCTTGGCTGATATCATCGCATTCATCAACGTTGACTTTGTAGAACTCCACGCCCTGTCCTGCTTCCCCAGCGAATTGCTGGAACAGGGGGGAGATCACTCTGCATGGACCACACCATGGGGCCCAGAAATCGATAATGACTGATTTGCCGCCGTTTATCTAACGGATGATGAGAGGTCTCGGTATCAAAGGTCGAATGTCGAATATTTATGGTGCATACGGCTGCGTTGAAGTCTGCGAGTTTTGTTATTTCTTTGACGGACATGGGTGGAGGTAGAGCAGAGGAATAGTACAGCGCAAGACCTTCGGAATCCGGCTATACACACGAACGATCACGCGACTGGGCACATGCAACTTAGACTACGGTTCAGAAAGTGTACGGTTACACCGAAACCTCCTGAGTAGTAGTTGGGATATGCGATGTCCGAGATGAACCACTGACGCCTCTGCCATACGGTAGCCCTCTCGATGTCCAATAAGATGACGGCAAGATGAAGGCCGATGCAGTGAACAGAGAGTAAATGATCAATTATTCCGACTGGGAACTCGAGCGTTCTATTAGGGTCTACAGGCAAAGAATCAGGATGAAGCGGATGCAAGAACGAAGGCGCGCACATACTTTCAATGCAGTCGGGTCAGCCCCTACGACGGTCCCTATATTTGAACCTTTCTTGAACGCCATGAAAGTCGGCATCTACAGAGAATCCAAGAGGATTACTAGTGAGTTTGGTGGGGCACGGCAATCCAGGACCCAGATGAAAGACGGGCTACTCACCGCTCGAATGCCAACTTCTTGTGCTATATCCGGGCACTCATCAACGTCCACTTTGTAGAAGTCTACCTTGCTAGTCGTCGTGGAGAATTTCTCGAAAACTGGGGATATGGCTCTGCATGGTCCACACCAGGTAGCCCAGAAATCGACCAAAGCCGGTCTGCTTCCGTTGATCTGTGGGTTATGAGATTGCCATCAAGGAGTCGAAATATGTAGTTCTTCTGGTACTCACGGCCTGTCTGAATGCTGGCAGAGTGGTGAGGGCCTTTACAACCATGAACGTCGATTCTTAAGTGAGAGATGGAGGTGACGACGAAACAACTCCGAGTCACGTGTCTACTCCCGAAGCCGCCGCGATCCGAGTCCGCTCGTCCGTTCAATACTACTCCAGCGAATTCACCAGCGGACTCGCGCGTACCATGGCTTCGCGGAAATCAGGCCTCCAGAAAGAAGTCCTTGCTCTATACAGGCGGTTTGTACTCGCCTCTAAATTCCAATTATCACTAATTCCCAATGTACGAAAAGTGCTCTACGAATGGCATCCGCTAAGCCCCCCTCTGCACAACCCAAATTCTTCCTCTTCGTTCGCTTCACATTCCGCCAGCAATCTGACTCAGTGTCCTCGCGTGACGTCGCTGCAATAGAGCATCTCATAAGGAAAGGCAGGCGGCAGATCGAGGCGTTTGAGGACAAGTCGGTAAAGGATTGTTGGGTGTCTGCTGAGATGAAGCATTGGGAGAGTACACATCGCGGATATACACCATGGACACAGAGTTGATTTCTACACGAACTGTTGCTGAGCACTATGATCTTCACACAGAAATACCGCTAAGGGCTCGAGAACATGGTGAGTCGTGCGAGGGAGGAACATCGAGGTCGATAGCGACAGGGTATTATAATCTAATCTAGTTTGCCATGATCACGACCTCTTCTTCCCACTGGATGGACCCCCAAAGAGCGAAGACTCCACTGCGTCAATCCCCTCCGGGGCTTCTTTGGCAAGGAGTACCTCCGTTTCCTTCTTTCGCCTCTCCGCCCGACGTTCGGAGCGAGTTTTCGCCTTTTCTGTAGCCAAAACGGCAGGAGAATCTTCGACTGTGATATCGACGGCGTTGGATTGTTCGACTGGCGTCTCAGAAAGCGCTGACGGTGGCGCCTCAGCTTCGATCGTTGGCTCTGTCGTCGTAGACGAGGTCTCTGCAGAGGTCTCTATAGGAAGCTCGGATGAAGGTGCAGTAGTCGCGTCTTCGACTGGGGCAGAGACAAGTGAATCCGGTGCCCGCCTGCTTTGTCGCCTAGCTGCCTTGCGCAACGATCGACCCTTTCGCCATTCTTGCAGTTGATGCTTGAGCACTTTTTCGTCCTCCTTGAGAGCGGAAACTTCTTCAACCTCTGCTTCCACAAGTTTGATTGCTCCTTCGTAGGCTAACCGCCGTTCGTTCAATACATACTTGATACGAGCCATAGTTTTCCTGCACTATACATATACGGTCAGAGGCACGCAGAAATGAGGTTTCGTTTGGCAACCGTACCAGAGTAGCTTTTTTCGTTGAACCCCAAGCAGACGGATTCTGAATACCCATTCTTCGTGCCTCTTCCTTCTGCGTCGCGAGCAAGTTTCGTTCTCGTAGAACAATGTACCATAGCGTGTGCAGGTCTTGGAAACTCTTCAGCCTCAGCTCAGACGCCTTCCATGCACGGCCTAGCAGTGCCGCATGCTGAGTTCACGCGTACGAAGAGGGGGGAGGATTCTCGTGCTCACCGCTGGGAAACAGCGCTTCGCCCTCCGGAGGCTCAACAGTGCGGTAGGTGACATTCTCCCCGAGATCATCCTCCACTTTCCTAAAGAAGCCGTATAGTCCGTGGTCTGGCTTGACATCGACCTGATACTTCTTTATTGCTCGTCGGGGGATTGCACTAATGGCAGTTGTGGAATCGTCCGGGAGACCGCCCGGAGGCGCGATGGTGAGGGCGTTGTCTTCGCTTGAGGCAGCTTGACTGGCAGTATCCGCGACGCGTGCGTACTGCCGTACTCCAGAGGCCAGGCATTGTCTGAAAGAGGGAGCGCGCCCCGGCGCTGTACGAAGCAACGACAACATCTGCAGAAAGTTGTGGCCGTCCAGCGCTAAACCCACATCGTCCTCATGATCAAATAGGGGCTACTCCTAAGAGCTCCAGCACTGGTTTGCTCTGAGGTTTGGACGGCTCAGATACCGACTAAAGTGAGCAAGTAAACGCATTTTCTCAGAACTCTCTCCGGATGGTGAAATAAATTCATTGCATTTATTATTGTCAATATGGCTACCATAGAGTACTCTTAATTTTACATTCGTTATTTGTTTCCCAGACTTTTGGATAGTTCACGAGTCCCAGATCGCACCGAAAGCAGGGATACCTCTGCTCATCATGCCATAGACCACCTTCCTGGTGAGCTTTTGATTGGAAATGACACAGACGGCCTCTGCATCGAATTCGCGGACCAACCGGTACACCAACTTTACCATGTCTGGTTTTCCATACTTGCGTGTATCTGTGGCGAGGACTTTCAGCATCATAGGAATCATTTGGTTGACCGTAAATGCTTACCGTATATCACTGCGTCTGGAGAGGCAGCGAGAATAGAGTCCACAAGCTTGTTGCCAAACGTCTTTCGGACGTCGGGCGAGGTCCATAACAGACGGATGGGGACTCGCTGCTCGAGAATGCAGGGAGCACATGGGCCGATGCCACTTCCGGTCGCCACGAACACTACTCTTCGGAATAGAGGGACGATGCGTAGAACGCCACATGTAGGAATACCGCGGACCCAAAGCTCCTTTGGAGGGTCAGCGATCTGCTTGCTAGTCCAATCGCCGGCCTTGGACACGACAAGCGAGTAGCCCTTCTGACCAGGTTCGGGGACCGTAGCGAATCCATGCCATTCGACTAGAGGGCTCTCTGAGATGCGGGTGAAAGTCCCAGGTACGGGAGTGACTATTTGATCAGCGGGTAAGTGTGTAGGTCAAGGTTGGGAAGGGAGGATCACTGACCGTATTCGAAGTAGAGTCGGACAGCGTGATTCGACAAGACCTCGGCACGAACGGGAACCTTCCTCAACCTGATCCAGGGGAGAATGATAGAGCCTGTGTGCTCGTTTAGCTTATGTTGGTGATGATGAATTGCCGTCGAACCTACCCGTCATTATTACTACCAACCAAAATGGTGGCGACGAGACCAAGGCAGAACCGAGGGTTTGATCAGGGGCTTTGAAATCATTGATTAGGAGTATCACCTATAGACAAGGTTGTGGGTAATGAGTCAGTTGTCGACTAGAGTGAGCTTACCTGTGCCCAAACAAGGGCAGTACAGCTCCATCCGAGAAAACGATGTGCTCGCTCGAAATGGTCATGCTTTGAGGTACGCAGAGTCGGATAGGCGAAGAATATTATGAGTAAGATTATAAGTAGGATCCAGTACGTTATAGCCACGGTGGCGATTGAAATCTAGAGAAAGGTTAGCCAAGCCCGATGTTGCTCCAGAAAGTGATGTATCATACCTGTCCTCCGCGAACGAGTTCCCTTGTAGCCTCAACCGTGAAGAAGAGGAGCCATACAGAACCCGAGATAGCACATCCTGAGTGTAGGCCACCAATATGGTATACTCTAGCGCAAACTCGACGAATTGCCAAGGGCCATCTATATAGTTGTTAGCTCTCTCCCAAGGCAATGTTATTGAGCAGACGTACGAAGTCGGGACAGCACAAAAGACATTGAAGAACGCGTTGATGACGTAGTCTTGCCGCATGAGAATAGCGCAGAAGAGGTTGGCGATTACGATTTGACCGAGTTCAAGTGAATTGGCGCCGCCTTTGACAAGTGTTGCGATGAGAATCCCAAGATTGACGACGAATACAACACCGAACAGCCGCCTGTAGAGAGTGAAAATCTGGTGGCGTAAGTTGCGAGTGTATTTTCCTTGCGTCTTCTCAGGAATTTCGTCGTCCTCGTATCCAGCCCACGCGAGCCCTTGCTCAATAGTAGAAGATGTCTCAGAACTGGACGCCAAGGAAGGCTTCGTTACAGCCGCTTGAGCAAGAACGAGATCCAGTGATTGTGGGTGGCGCCGGTAGACGGGTGGTGGCGCGGAGATCGCTTCCTGGACGAATAACAGTTTCTCGACATTGTTCTGCACAAGATCGGCCTTTTCCTTTTCGCTGCTTGAGACGACGACCTTCTCCACAATTGATTTCTCTGTCGACTCAAGAGCTTCTAGGGCGAGGCGCCGCAACTCTCGTTTGTCAGTCTTCTCATTTCTATTTTGAGCGTGAGACGGGAATGTCTGACGCTGTCTTGGTAGTCACTCACGCAGTACTGGGGAACATATCCATCTTGATAAATCGCGATGGGACGGCATAATATGGCTGGATCTTGGCAACTGCTGCTTCTACTTCTTTGATTTCCACGGTTGAGGGAGTATAGAAACCCCACAGAGTGTCACCAATCAAGAGGGCCGCAGCATTCTTCACCCCAGCGCACGTCTGTGGAAATCGTAAGCTATTGAGGTAAAATTAACCTCATGACAAGCGTACCTCCATAGCTGCGGACACACCGTCAAGCTCCACCCGGAATCCCTGTGTATATTGGTGAGAAAATGAAGACGAAATGGCAGAGAGAATTCTCACCTTAATCTTGACTTGGTCGTCAATTCTGCCAAGGTGTTCTAAGCTACCATCTTCGCGCCAACGTCTAGGATGGAGTGTGAGTAATTTGGCAATTGAGTCGGCAATAGCCCTCACCCAAGGTCGCCCGTATTAAACATGTACGACCTAGTGAACCATGAATGTGAACCATGTCAACGTAAACAAACCAGGGTATACTTACCCATCGTCCATGAAAGGATCTAATTTATATCTTTCCTCCGTCTTCTCAGGCAAATTGACGTAGCCTTTGGTGATTCCAGCACCACCAGCCCACATAAGACCTGTCTTCCCGATAGGTAATGGCTCAAGATTATCTCCAAGGATATACACATTGTTGTTAGGGGTAGGTTTGCCAATGCTCAGGGGTTTCCCAGCAACATGAGGATGGACAGTATTGACGATAGTTATCTGCAAATGCACCATTTAGTGTGAGGACCAGTTGAGAAAGCAGTTGCGATTTACCTCGGTGGGACCGCAGCTATTATAAAAGTGACCAGAGGACGCCCACTTATCTGCCAAAGCTATGCCATAACGCAGTTGAGTGGCCGGAAGAAGAACATCGAAAGACAACACTTACGTTGTGGGCAAACCTCTCCGGCAACCGCCACAGCTTTGATGTTGGGATAATCCGATGGATCGTGGGGGACAAGCATTGAAGGTGTTGCGATCACGATATCCACAGTTTTCATTGTGGCACGCCATTCCTTTGAGGATTTGCCTCGGAGACAAATGGTACAACCGTTAGAGAGGCTCCCCAGAATTTCCTGGCATCATATCAATTGGCTATATCAAATAACGCGTCTAGGAGCTTACCCATGCTGCCATATCAAAAGCTATATTCATCAGTTGAGAAACTCGGGCTCCAGGCCGCATTTCTATATTCCCGGGCTCAAGGCAGACCACTGACAGAGGATGAATATCGTATAAGCCACGACCGTTCCTCCAGACTCACAGTTTGTAACGTTGCCGTGCATTACTTCGACTCCTTTAGGTACCCCTGTTGTTCCTGCAAGGCCGTTTAGCCTCAGATTAAGAGGGTACCGTACTGGCACATACCGCTTGTGTACACTATATACGCGCTATCTCTTGAGGTCGATAGATCGACGGGTTTTGTACAATGGCCCGATGATACTTGACAGACCGCATCCTCAAGGCAGATGGTCTGGTGGTTTGCCACTCGAGGGAGATATTTGCGAAGGGTAAGGACGAGACTGGATGCGGAGTCGCGAAGTACGTGTGCAAGCGTCGAATCAGCGACAATGTTGCCATCTAATGGGACATATGCAGCCCCACTCTTCAAAACCGCAACGATACCAACGACCATGAAGACCGAGCGCTCAACAAGTAGACAGATGCGAGAACCAGGACCAACTCCCGCATCTCGAAGTTGCCGTGCCAAACAATTTGCCTGGCGGTCGAGTTCAGCATAGGTCATGGTGTCCCCGAAATTGTCGACAGCAAGGAGCTGAGGATATGAGAGGGCGTGAAATTCGAAGGCATGATGGACACAAGAAAATAGCGATGGCTGAGTCTCGCCAAAGCTGTACTTGTTGAAAAAGTCTCGATCGGAGAGCGAGAGTTGATCGAGGACTGTATTCCGTGGGTAGGAGCCCATTTCAGCGTTGGACGAGATGGAGACAAGAATACAAGACCCAAAGGGCTTTCTTTATACGACACTCTAGCGTCATTACCTGTGGCTAAATTGTGGCTCAATAAGCATAGAATAGTTTATCCGGGGATTGTAGGAGTACCGTATCTGTCGAGTCTTCTAGCAGAACCACAAGGAAATAAATTGGAGATTTACAGGTAGAACGAGGAACCTACGTCCGAAAAGGCGCCGCCGCAACGTAGTGCTCTACGCAATAAGTGGGGTGATTGGTCTTCGCGAATGAGGAGAGGCCACGGGGCACTTCGTGCGTCGATTTGACCAGTGATTGGAGCTTGCGGTGAAACGAACCGCCGTTAAAGCTGCGTTTTTCCGCACACAACAGCCAAGTGAAGGGTATCATCGGCGACATTCTTTAACAGAGCCTAATCCGCATGGCAGGTGTCGAGGAAGATAGAGTTCGAATCCGGCATGCCAGTTTATGACGGAAGATCAGTGGATCAATAGCGAGACAGTTGCAGGCCATTGAATCGTCAGATTGTCAACACATGAACGACAGAGCACGAGGGGGAAAACAATCATCTCCTCTCTCTCACCTTCCATCCAAGGGAGCGAACCTCGCACGAACCACCTCGTCGATGCTTCCAGTGGGAGCGGCGCATACTAATGCGGCAACCAAGCCAGCAGTTAACCCGGCCCGAAATTGTTGGTCGCTAACCACCGAGATAATGGCTACGATGGGCGAAATGGGGCAGTCTCTTTCGGCGTCGCTGAGCATATATTTAGTACATTAAGGATTGAGTGATTAAGACGCGAGATGGTTGGGGGGCGGGGGTCACGTTGCAAGCCGTTGACAGCGATCGAGGCTCGAATGTTGTCGTGCGAAACCTTGCATTACTTGCTGGTTCGGTGGGAACGAACATGCACGTTCGGTGCACCGACACCAGCATAGCGCGACGAGGATACGGGGGAGGGGAAAGGATTGACGGGGGACAGGCCACCAACTGATTTAAATGGCCTGAGGAAAATGACGTAAGGCTGCTCGTGCAAATGTCGGGAAGGAGGGTCACTCACGCCAAATCCAAATCCAAGTTTCTCCGCCTGCGCAAATTCGGTCTTTGCACTAGGCTAGATAAAAGATAGACAGAGTAACCGAATAAGACCTCCTCAGTTCTGCCGAGGTCTTATCTTGAAAAGTACTGTATTGAAATAAATACCCGAGACGACACCTTGGATGGTCAAATGATTAGAAGTTGAAATAAATATACATTGTGAGTCCAATAGTAGCAGTCAGTGAGAGTGAACGATGGGCGACTATCGGAACTGTTGACGCTCTATGATAGACTTCTGCCGAGGATTTCTTGACACACGCCTTGGGGATGTTGAGGACAAGCTCAAAGGAGACAAAGAGGCTAACTCACCAGTAATACTCCATAACCTCGCTGTGGCCCAGCTTCCGAAGGAAATTCTCATCGTGGGTGATAATGATGAGTTGGAAGTTGGAGTGATTCTTCCGCTCGTTGATGATACTAGAGGGGCGTTAGCTTGGAGATTGATTTCGCAGGGAGATCGGGCTTACTCTACTAAGCTCGCCGCTAAAGCGTCGATGTTCTCGGTATCCAAGGCATTTGTGGGTTCGTCTAGGGCCAATATGCCGCAATTTTGGCCGAAAGAATCAGATAAGGCAAGACGGATAATGATAGATGCGAGCATCTTCTGCCCCGCAGAACATCTACCGCGCATGTCCATTTCGACTTGATCTTTCGTCATGACCACCTGCAATAAGAGCATTGTTAGACCGACATATCATGCACAGGTTATCGACGGACTCGGTAATTATAAGATCGTTTAGATGCCCCGCCTTCAACGTCGGAGCATATCTTTATACCATCGATATCTAGGAAAAACTGAGGTTCTGCGGTCAGGTAATTCCATTCTAAATATACCTGTTCCCTGGTACGTTTTGTTCCACAAATGCCGCATCGTGTCATTGACTTCTTCCATCTTCAATCCGTGGTACTTCATGATGGCGCTGTAGGAGATGGGATCGAGTCCGTGAATGAATAATGGCTGTAGGAGACGTACTTGTCCAGTGCTTTGGCGTACTTTTCCAGGTCGTTGTTGGCCATTTCAGACATCTGCAGAGAAGGTTTACGTACTATCTACGAACAAAGGCTGCGAACGAACCTTCACCGATATAAGTTGCTCAGTATACTTCTTGTAGACCCCCATATACTCTTTCAAGTCCTCTTCCCATCCGCTGAGTTGTGCTTTATGAGAGCTAAGCTCTCCTGCAACGTGAGAGAACTAGAGAAACCCGAATTGAAACTTGGCCACTTCGACAAAAGTCCTCATACCTTGCTGTGTAGGTCATTCTCTTTCTTCTTAGCTACGTCATACTTCTCAGTAAAGTTGCGACGAGCCCGAGCCGCCTCTTCCATGTCGTAAGAGTCAATCTCCTGTTGTGTTTTAGCAATGTCATTCAACAATCGCCTAACCCGCAAGTTCTCCCTCAGATTTGCTACTGAGGCACCACTTTCGTTGATTACTTTCTCAATGCTGGCAATCACGCCGCGTATCTGGTCGATTGAACGAGCGAGGTCTTCAATTTCCTTCCCATACTCCTCAACTTTCTGATTACAATCTTCTAGTTGGCGGGCACGCTTATCGCGGACGTATCTAGAGGACTGAATTCTCAAACTGGAACAATAGTAGGAGCTCAGACCGTACCGTTCGACAGCTTTGTTGGTCTGCGAAAGCTTATCACTGCTCATGTTAAGCTCCTGCAGATGGCGTTGGGCAGAGGCGATCTTGGCATTGAGTTCACTCCGAGACCTTTCATACTCTTGTTCGAGAAGGTCGATGGGAGCTTGCGCATCAAGGATCTTGGAGTCCAGTTCCTACAGGAGTCAGGAGTCAGGGGTAAGCGATACTGGCCACAATAGAGGGGGGCATTCACCTTGAGCTTGATATTGAAAGCCACGATCTCTTGTCTCATGGTCTCAATGCGTGCTTCCAGCGCACCCTTTTCTCGAGCCTTACTCTGTAGGTCTCGTTCTCGAAGTTGCATTGTGTGGAGATCCCCTTCGACCAATCGGCATGCGTTGTTCTGTCGATCCTTGTCTGTGACAAGACCCTGCTTTTCCCTATCATTGGCGCGGCTAGAGTGAACGGCAAAATTGGTTGGACGAGGCTACTGCGATGGTCGAACGAAGGGGATACATACATATCTGCCGATACGGCATCAATTTCGGCTTGAACATCGTCAGCAGTCTTGGTAGATCCCGTCGACATTAGTTCACTCTCGAGGAATTTGATGTCTCCGTTCAAGCGTTCGATTTCCTTTTGAAGACGCGAAACATTATTGGCATATTCTTTAAGGGCATGGAGATCCTTGAGCTCGCGCTTGATGTCGTTGAGTTTGCCCATAGCCTAATCTAGGTAAGAAATAAGACCGAAAGATGAGTGCAAGAGCCGAACCTCTTCAACTCGCTTAGCTAAGTCTGGTATTGCAGCGTCGTGTTCCTTTATCTGGGCCTCCAAAGCGGGCACTTCTTCGGTTTTGAGACGATTCCTCGAGGCTTCAAAAGGCCTCAATTTCTGCAGGCGATCAAGTTCCTCTTCCCAGTCTTTCGTCTCCGCCAGGTTAGTAGCGAGGGTCTCTGGCGACGTCCTCTTGATCTGTTCTTTGAGCTGGAGCGATATTTAGTTCCAGATCGATGCTATGACAGATAGACTCACATATCGCTCGAACACCACAAGTTCGTGATCGTCCATATGGCGATTACAAGTAGTGCAGACTTTCTTTTGCATACCAGCCTTGAGCATATTTTCATAGATCGCCGTGGCACCGGTCGTTGAACTTGATATTCTTAACCAAAGTTAGTAATACGTCTCCTTCAGTCAAAACTACCTACTGCTTTCGATGGTCTAATTCAGCAGTAGCCTCGACAATGGCAACCTCCAGCGAGTCGTTATCAACTTCCGATCTGAGTCGTCTCTCCAAGGCTGTCGGGGGAGTTTGACTTGTCATGTTTAGGATATCGAGGAGATCACTCACCTTTCAATTCGTCTTTCTTGGTTTTGAGTTGAGTTTTCGCCATCGAAAGGTTCAACTCCGCTGAGTTTAGCGACGACTTCGAGTCGTGGACTAGTGATTCTTGTTCTGCGTGTTCGCGTTCCTTCTCCCTGCGAAGAAGATAAGCCCCTTGCGATGAGTTATCACTGAAGTTGCTTACACAGAAACTCTGTCAACCTCCCGTTCCATTGCCTCGGGCCGAGCATCGGTACCTATCAGTTTGCGGTACTTGTTATTGGCAACTTCCAACGTGTTCTTGAGCTCAGCAGTCTTGCTCTTAAGCTCAGTCCGCTTCAAGTCTAGTTTCGCCCTCGAGTCCGCCTGTAAGCTCAGAGCCCGAAATTCAGCGTTTAAGCTGTCCCGCTGATCCTCTAGGTGCTTCGCTCTCGTCGTTTTCTCAGCAATGCGTCCGTCATAGTTGGCACTTTGAAACGTCGCTTTGAGCTGATCGAGGCGAGACTTCTTTTCTTCTATGTCGCCGGAAAGGGTACGGAGCTCGGATTCGACCACTTGCGTGGCGTCTAAATCTCTCTCAGCACCATTGATCGAGGATTGGCGTTCAGCCTAAAGAACAACAGTCTACGTGGTGCCAAAAGTAATTGAAGAAAAGTATACACACTATGGATTCTCGAGCATGAGTGCGCTGGAGTTTAAATCCTTCGAGCTCGTTGGTGAGCTGCCTGGATTTGTTGTTGTATTCCTCCGTTCGCGCTTGGCTTTCGGCCTGCGGTGATGATATTCCATGAAGCTGATATATTGAATTGATGGATCACCAACCTGAAGTTTCTCAAACTGAGTCCGTTGCCTTCGTTGGATGTCATTCAGCTTTGAGATAAACTCAAGAACCTTCTCTCTCTCCAATGGTGATGAGTCGAAACCACTAATTCCGTGCTGCTTGCTAATCTCACGAATTTGCTCTTCCCGTTCAGATATCCTGTCATTCTGTGCCTAAGGATAGGTGAGGTCACCGTGCTAGCTGACGATGACCGCGAGTTTACCTTGGCTTCCGCCCGGAGAGAACCTTGCTCTTGAAGCAACTCGACATGCTTCCGCCGTGCGTTAGACAGTTCGTCTTCAAGGTCTTGCTTCTTTCCATCTTCTGCCTTTTTCTTCCGCTTCTGCTCAGAGATATGGCCATCGAAATTCTGTAATCGCGCTTCCAACTCTTCGTCCGTGCCTACCGTCCACCATGAAGAGTAGACCATATCGAAAAGGGCTGTCAAACTTACCCACTACTTCCTGGATGTTCATCTTGGCCTCGTCGAGTTCTTCTTGATAGCGGGCCTGCGTGGCCTGTAGAGACTCTATCTTCAGATAGACCTCCCTGAATTTCGTCGCGTAATCGTAGAACTTCTGGTTTGCTATAACCAATTCATCGTATTCCCTTTTGACCTCATCATAGTGAACTTCCTTGGAGGCGATGGTTGTATTTAAGTCAGCTATGCGGCCCTTCAGCTTATCAGCGTGAGTCTTTTCCCGCGATAGTGATTCTAAGCGTTCTTTCTCTGCCTTTAGGTCAGCTGCACGGTCCTTGCGAAGGCTCTTGATTGAGTCGAGTGCCTTTGTATATCTACATAGCGATGAGATATGCCCCTCGTGCTAATATGGCCGGACAAACCTAGTCGCCTCAAATATATCATCGAACTTCTTCTTCAATGCAGATGGCTCAGCCAGAGGCCAGTAAGAGTCCTCCTGGTGACAGAATATAACATTCTCGAGGACAGACTTTGATACCCCCAGGAGTTGAGGTATCTCGGCGTCAATCTCGGCGCACTTGGTAGAAATGACCCCTCGCTGTAATTACAACACATGAGCACGATGAATGCAGCACATTGTGGGTAGCGTACCTTCGAGGCTTTCTTTTCGCCGTCATCCAGGGCCAAGATACTTTCTAGTGTCTTCATTGTTAACCCAGTCTTCTTAACAGTGACGCTTAAGTTCCTGACGGCGAGCATTCGTGTGCCATTGGCAGCACGGAACCGTAGTTTGACTTGTGCTTTGACTTCTTTTTCATTGGCCATCTTGGGGTCGTGCACGAATGCCCCTCCGCGTGTGTTTGCTGGCTGATCGCCCGTCGTCGCATACTTCAAACACTCGATAATTGTGGTTTTGCCACTCCCATTGTGACCAACGATAACAGTTACAGGCGAGAAGAACTCGATGATGGCTAAATCTTTGTCATCGAAGGCCCGGATTCCGCGAATAGCTAGCTTGCCGAGGCACGCCATGCCAGCAATATGAAGAAGTGGAAGTATGTGCTTGAAATGAGTCGCGCGGAAACGCGAAGTGTCACGAATGTGATGCGCCCACGTGATGGTGAGCACGCGCCACAGCTCGAATTCAGAATCAAAGGGGCTATGCCACGGACTGCAGTTGCCAGTAAGTTGTCAGTCGCTAGCAGCGGTTCAGTGCTGACCGCAGTGTCGCAGCACGGCTCGCTGAACCGATAAAGGGCGTCTGAAGGAGGATTTTGAGCGGAAACGAAATCGACTCTTCGGACCCCGTAAGTCCGCCTCATCCTTCCCGACGATTTTTAAGCTAACTTGAATACTTTGCTCTTCCTCGTTATCAGTGCCCCCCATCAATTCAACGATGATACAAACCTCGCCAACCCCTTCGCTGCCGATCGAGTTAGTTATTATGATTCTTCAGCAATCCTACTTCAAGAACCAGAAATCTCGGGCCCCGGATTATATCACCTTAGCTGCAGCTGCATTGGTTCATCGATCGTGGACATCTGCGGCGCAAGCGCTGTTGTTCAGACATATCACCTACCTGAAGAGTAAATCTTTCATGAAAGCTCACGCAGATCCGGTGTCCATGCAGCATCTCTTTCAGCATGTCCGAATCCTGGATATTGGACTCGGGATACCGACGGAGTCGGAAACAACGCCCGACTGCGACATAGATCATCTCCCTGCATTGCTTCGTCGATGCACAGGCCTCTACGAACTAGTGCTGAGCATTCGATCCTCCCTCTCTTTCGAAGGAGTCACATTTAGTAGGATGAAGGAGCTCGCAGACAGTCGTATCATCCGCCTACGTGCACTCAACATAACTTGTAGCCCTCACTCTCCCATCGTCTATCAGCTACTCTCTTTATTCCCTACTGTCAGCTTCCTGTCCGTATGGTCCGAGCTATCCGGAATGGTTCCAAGGAACATCAAGGCTCGATTCTCCCTTTCCGAACTCAAGATGGCCAGAGCTATGCCAGAGGATACCTTGGCCTGGTTATTAGAAAAGTCGCGGGACACACTCACCGTCTTGGATTTGCGAGATCCTCCGAGCAGGCCTGCGTTAACAATCCTAGAATCCTACGCCCCCAACATCCGCTCGCTGCGGCTCATGATCCAGACATCGCGAATGGCAAATTTCGTTCGCTCATGCGAGTCTCTGATAGATCTAACCGTCTTGAACTTGCCGATGACAGTCGAGTTTTCCAAACCCCCTCCTTTCCTCCGCTCTTTGACCTTCGTCAACCACGCTGGTTCGAGGAGTCTCATGAAACGAGTCATTGCAATGGTCCTCAATCTCCCTAATCTAAAGCACCTCACATGTGACGAAGCTAGTTCACCGATGGATCGAAACTTCCCCGAGCTCAAGGTAGTTTGTGAAGAACGCGGGGTCATGCTCCATGTAACAAACATTTTCTACGAGATGACGGTGAGTCCTTTGCAAGTATATGTACTACTCACTTCAGTCCTTATAATCCTTTAGGTCGAAGAGCCTATCTTAGTTCACAGATTCCCCCGCCGTAGATCTCTATCGAATTTTTCTGAGATGAACAGTGGGACCGTGTAATTACTGCGTTGCTGTAGGAATGTATAATAGGAACTCAATGTAAGTACTTAGTAGAGGATATGAAGTGACCCGTCACAGGCTTGTTGAGATTTTGATTTTATGTAAATGTCGCTCGACGATCTAAAGTACGTCAAGGTCAAAACTCACCCAACTGCGAGAAACCAAGCGGTCTCGACGCAGCCACTCCTCGCTGGCTCTATTGTTCTCTCGAACCAAGCCTTTGCAACCGTCCTATTTGAAAACCAAAAAGGCCGTCGCTGCGATCACTGCCTCGTCCTGAGCGAGACACTGCGAAAGTGCTCAGGGTGTGCCTCTTGCTGCTACTGTGACGCTAATTGTGAGTCAACGGTCATATCTTGGATCAGAATGGATCCTTTCCGACGAAAGTTTAGGCCAGACCCGACACTGGCCGTCGCACAAGAAACTCTGCAAGCGATGGAACTCCTTCGCGTCCTCAAACGAGTTCCAGGCTTTGCCCCCTCATGAGAGGCTCGACTGCGTCTTACTTTCGTATTTTGCTTCTCCATTGAGTGCGAACGACCAGCTAGCTATCTTCAAGAGCCTGCTTCCTGGGCCAACACATCATTCACCTCCACCAACGTGTACCCCAGTCGATGGCGCGGACGGCCTCTACGATCGTTTCGGAAACAACAACTTCACAATACACTCCCATCTCAACTCTTTCGCTCATGGCATATTCCCGTTAGCCAGCAGACTGTTCAATCATTCATGCACTCCAAACGCCGCCGCCAGGTACAAGCTCGTGCGAGGACAGGCGGTCACAATGGAAGTCGTTGCTCTTCGCGATATAGCTGAGGGAGAAGAGGTACTGGGCTTTGACGGCCTCAATACTGAAGTTACTCACCCTCGGTTTCAATAGATTTGTATTCCATACCTCGATCCTGCCCTTCTCCAGACTCGGCAGCAGATCTTCCAACTCACATATGGCTTCCAGTGCACCTGCATCTCCTGTGAGGGCCTCAAGTCGGTCGGCCCTATACCCGATGTCCCACAAGACCCAGCTCGTCTTGCGGCGCTTGAATACCGACTGCGTACATTCATCGGCGTTGATGACTTAGAACACTGCGTATTGCGCACGAAACCCATTACCCAGTCGCTTCCGTCGGAGATTCGCTGCTTCCTGAAAGAAGATTATATCGAACATTTATCCGGTGTATTCAGTCAATCATCTCATGATGGACCATACGACCGGGCCCTCGACTCTGGCACAACTCTTCTGGCGATGTATCTCTTGATTTATCCGGAGAATTACCCACAAATCGGTAGCTTCCATCACCCTGCTGCGCTTCCTCCTGCTGACTCTCCACTCAGGCATGCACGCGCTAGAGTTGGCGAAGACAGCTTGGAACGCCAGCATGCCAATGAACGACATAGTTCGGCGACAGCACGCCATGGCACAAGTGCGGGCGTGTCTATCCGTCAGTCGCAGAATCCTTGGCCTATATGGTCCCGAGGGTGATGGTGGAGGGCCCCTGGCGGAAATCACAACTTTACAGCAACTTGTCGATCAGGAAGGCTAGAATGTTTCCGATCCCTTACACACGTCGCGCATAGCACCTTAGCATCGTACCGCATTCTACCCAGACGTGTACATGGAACCGAATAATCGAAGTGCTCTCTGCGCGTATCGCCGCCTTAGAGCCGACGGTCAGCGTTCTAATGATGGGTTCCTGTTCGCCAAAGTCGAATCCATGAAACGATGCCAGGTTATCATCTGTTATCATTGGCAAGCACTTCGTTATGCTTCGAACCAGTGCCAGAGGCCAATAGCTTGATGTTTTACGCCGCTACTCGCTGATTCTTGATGACCTTGGCCTCCCACAGCTCTCGACAATCAGCTAGAAGGTACCCGGCACGTCTTTACTGACAATTTGCTTTGAAGGCTACTATGCTCGATGTGAGCCAGATTCTAGCTAACCGGTAAGCAGTCTATGGACGTGTTCGTAAACCCACTGCATAAGAAGGCACAGCTCAAGGTCGGATCCCTCCAGTGGTATTCAGTTCTTTCCTCTTCTATTATACGGCCCGTTCGGTCATGCCGTCTTTTCGCGTCCCTTCGTTCATTCGACCCCAACACTCTTTTAACCGCCTTCGCTCTTTCCATTTAGCCCCCAGCAGCAACACACCCATAGAACAACAGCTTGCCGAAGCACTACCTCCCTCCCATTTCACCAAGCAGTATGGAAAACCTGACCAAAGGCTGCAGAAATCAACCCGACCAACGATCGCGAAACCTCTCATACCCCGTGGCGGTGTAATCTCCTTGAGCACCAAAACCTACATGTGGCTAGCGATCATTCTATCTCTACTCTTCATCGCCGCCCTATCTTGCTCCTTTGCTGGTGCAGGTCCTGAAGACGATGCCCTGAAACTGATACTAAACGACGTATTGACGACCAGCGGGCCAGGCGTAAGGGCTACAGTTCACTTCGACCCTCAATGATGCTAAGTGCTTTTGTCTAGATCGTCCTTACGGGGGAGAATGTCGATGTCGATGTCGACGAACCTTCCGTTACTATCCGCTGGGCCATTTTGGCCTGTGGAGATGATTATACCCTTCCCGGATCTGTTGGCTTGCACGGTAGCTCTTGCGGTCTACCTGCGATGCCTTTGGACATCTACGTTGATAGGTAAGCTCAGCAAGTCCTATCGCACCGCGCATCAAATATTTACTACCTGAGCAGCGATAATGAACCAACCGCTAGGTACGATCCCTCGCAAATACCGTACAACCGCGATTCAGGATCGCGCCGGAGGTGTGTGCACAAGTATTAGTATTGATGATAATATGCTCATTGCAGCCTGTCTAAATTCTAGCATTCAGAACCTGGTCCAGTTTGACAGCGACCATGTCCTGAACGTTGAACAGGCGCGCTTATACCCCTTCGATACCTATTTCTTATCCAGCACCTTACGCATAGTGTCGCCTACAAATCAAACTCTTCCTATTCGACGACTGGCAACCATCGACGAGACATCAAGCTTCCTCGTGAAAACGGTCGATATCGAGAGCTACTCCAATGCCGCCAATAACACGGAGTCTCCTAGCAGAGACATTGATATGTTTATCACCCGCCCCGGGAATGCTCGCGCCTTTACCCTCCTGCTTTTCGGGGTAAGCTGGATCCTCACCCACGTCACCATCTGCCATGTCATCATCGCGAGGATGCTACGGGACGTTAAGCCACTGTTGAAGCATCTCATCTCGACGGGGGCCATCCTTGTCGCCCTTCCACAAATAAGAAACAGCATGCCAGACGCTCCCGGCTTGGACGGTGTACTCATTGGTGTGACGATATGCTCCCCTTTCGTGTCTTTTCCCTCATGACCTCACTCTCTCAGATTGCATTGGGTTCTTCCCCCAAATGGTTATAACGTCGATATCTGTCATTTTCCTACTGATCATCCTTGCCGCTCGAGAATACGATATCATAGGTCGGGGAAGGAGCTCTTCTCGCAGTAGTGGCTCGCATAGCCTTGCGATGTCCTCCAGACCTCGACCTCCCCCGGTTCCCAGCCAGAATGCAACTTCGAAGGAGATTTCGCAGTATGATCTCCACCGCATGATCAAACATCTCAAAGGACAGTATGTCTTCCCTCCGGTTCAGCCAGGGTCTCCGCACAGGCTGGACACATCTCGTGATCTACAACACCGCCGATCGAAGACACTGTCTAAGATCATGGAAGCTGGGGAATTACATAGACATTAAATTAGGTCCCATGTACTAGGCCTGAGCGGTCCGAGTGCAAGGTCTTGCAATGGAATCATTGTCTTTGTATCCGTGGCGTTAAAATGCTTCGTTTATTAGGAGTACAAGAGACTCGTCTATTGGCACGTCAAACGTCTTCGTGAAAATACCAAGGCCCACTAGAGTGGTCCTTGTTGTGCTCAGGTGACAGGGGGGGCCTGGGGTTACAACGGTAACTTGCTCTGGGAATTGAATATTGAGCGCCTACTGAAGCGCCCGAAAGTTCAACTCATCGCCGACCATGTCTGATACCGAAGAGAATGCCTCCAGTCTTGGTAAAAGGCCTCGTAGCGACAACGAACCTACAGAAACTGCGACTCCCGCCCAAGCTGATGTCGAAGAGTCTGACGATGAGGACGTCGGACCGATGCCCATGACCGGGGTAGAAGTACAGAAAAAGCGAAGAAAGGGTGCGTGTTCTCGTTGCCTGCACCGCGACTGGGCCTCAAATAATGTAGAAAATGGTCAGTTCTACCCCACGAGCGACTTTTCCTCGAGCATCTACCCAGTGCCGACCAATATTACAAGAGTTTTATGCACCGAGATGTCATCAATTTCTGCGTAATGACCAAGTAAGCTCATTCAATGAAGATGGGGGAACGAAGTAAATAAGGTCTATCATGTAGAACGGACTTCCTCATTACCTCTTCTATTGATGGACACGTCAAGTTGTGGAAGAAGCAGGACACTGGTATCGAGTTCGTGAAGCATTACCGCGCGCACCTCCGACCCGTCACTGCGGTCTCTGCTAGCGCCGACGGTCAGATATTTGCAAGTGTTTCTGAAGATGGTACAGCGAAAGTGTTCGATGTTATCAATTTCGGTGCGATCGTTGGTACGCGTACGGCACTCAGCGACTAACTATTGGCTCAGATATGATCAACATCATAAAGCTAGGGTTCACACCTTCGACCTGCTGTTGGGTACACCGTAGAGGTCAAGCACAAGCCCTGCTAGCTGTGTGCGTACTTCCTCTTTCGCTTATAGATATCTGGTTCTATCCGACCTCATAGGACGGATTCTGCATCGGGTAGCATCAAAATTTACGACGGTCGAGGGAACGACACCCCATTGATGTCTGTTGATGACTTACATCGTTTCCCCGTGACGGTCATGGCGGTAAGCGCGTGTTCTATCTGGAGACCTTGTTTACCCTGCTTACCGTGCCCGCCTGATAGTATAGCGACAGGTACGATACTGTCATTTCTGCCGATAACCAGGGGTTTCTGGAATACTGGCAACCGCGGGAGCCTTTTGGGCTGCCAAAGAACGTTCCGGGACTGTGGCAATTTAAAAGCCAAACAGACCTATACGATTTCAAGAAGGTACGACATCCTCTTGGCTCGTACTCAGGCCTGCTCAGATAGTTGGGAGCAGGCAAAATCGACACCAACATGCATAACGCTCTCACCGGACTCATTGTCTTTCGTCACATTCTCTCTGCCAGACCGTCAAATCAGGATATTCTCTTTCCTTACCGGCAAACTATCACGGAAGTACGACGAATCGCTTACAGCTATACAAGAAATGCAACAAGCTGGGACTGCCGTGTACAGAGTCGAGGATATGGAGTTTGGTCGGCGTCTTGCCGTTGAGAAGGAGCTCGAGCTTCCTGGTCCTGATGGTCATGTCCCCGGGACTTGGATTAATGCTATTTGGGATGAGAGTGGGTCGTTCGTGATTTACCCCTCATTGTTGGGCATCAAAGGTGAGCATTGGTAGCTTGATTGCTTGCGTTGGTCATGCCTGACGTCCACCAGTCGTCAATGTGGTGACCAACCGTGTTGTTCGCCTGCTTGGAAAGGATGAATCGTCACGATTCCTCAATATTTCTATCTACCAGGGCGCTCCCGCCAAGCGGACAATCACTACAATGGTCTGTTCTCCCTCGAATAATATGAGTTCGTCTATGTCTAGCTTCTGACACGATATATAACGAATCGTAGGCAATGGCCGCCTCTGCGAATCCCATCCTTGCCGACCGAACTGCTAGGGACCCCCATTTATTCTGTACGGCCTACAAGCGGCAACGATTTTACCTTTTCACGCGTTCTGAGCCTGAGTATGCCATTTCCTTGCGACTGCGATCCCCGTTCACTTAATGGCTATAACAGGGATACTAAATCTGGCGACCGCGATGTCTTCAATGAGCGACCGACTCGAGAGGAACAAAGCATTGCTTCCACTACTACCACAGCAACAAACAAAGGTCCATCGCCTGTTGCCGATACGGCCACCATCCACACTACCGTCGGAGACATTCATCTTCGCTTGTTTCCCGCACAAGCACCAAAAGCGGTGGAGAACTTTGTTGGCCACGCTCGCAGCAGTTACTTTGAGGGTGTCATCTTCCATCGTGTCATTCCGAAGTTCATGATTCAAACTGGGGATCCTCTTGGTGATGGTACAGGAGGGACTTCTATTTGGGGTAGGGAGTTCGAAGATGAGTTCTCGGACGATCTAAAGCATGATAGGTGAGTTCGAACGTTACCTTTGCATTTCGGACATGGCGCTGATGTATCTTTTAAGACCTTACACTGTCAGCATGGCGAATGCCGGTCCGGGTACGAATGGATCGCAATTCTTCATCACTACAACTGCAACGCCCTGGCTCGATAAAAAGCACACCATCTTCGGGCGTGTTATATCCGGCTTGGAAGTCGTCCATGCAATCGAAAACGTCAAGACAAACAAGACAGACAAGCCCTATGAAGATATCAAAATCATAAATGTCGATGTAGAATAAGGGCTGTTCGGAGAAACGCATGTTTATAGTGCTACACGATCGAATGTCTGTTCTGAGTGGCTCACTTCAAGGGACATACCCGGCAGAAGTGTGCTCAGCCTTGGCCTAAAATGATTGTACAACCTCTCCTTGACTACTTGTGGCGATAACCCTTCGTCCAGCCCATGGGGGGAAGAGAACTTCAGTAAGGTATGCTGTCGTAGTTCACTTGATGATGAAGCCAGGACTACTTCGTAGACGTCCAAGCCAATCCCACTAAGGAACGTAAATGAGGCTGGCTCTGGAGGCGGGACGTAGGCAACGGGATATTCCAAGAGGATTGCTGCCAGAGGTATCATCGTACTTGGATGCGATACAGGTAGCTGTATGACAGACTGGCTGTTGTACAAGTCGCCCGAGATGCGCGCATCAAGTTCTGAAGTGATATATTCCAATATTTGGCGAAGATCGCCGGGCATGGCACACTGAAGAAGAATTTGTTAATGATTTGGGTATTGTTGGAAACAATGATGCTGGGAAATACTTTCGCTGGAGGCTCGGGACCGGGCGAGACAAACGTCACCTCTACGAAACTTGACTCCTCCACCACTGAATGACTGGGATAAGGCGTATTCGGGCGAGCAACTGTGCCGACTACGCGTTTCAGCCTTCCATGAGCTAGCCTCGCATGAACAAAGAATGTTTGATCCGAGGAAGACTCGTGGATGATGAGCAGGCTGTCGAATATTGGATGAATCTGGAGGTTGAACAATGATGCTACCATGGTTCATCAGCAACAGTTGACTCACTTGACGTAAGGAATGAAGCAACGAAGCATAAGTGCTAGGTGCATCCTGTGCCGATATTGCATCGACGAGGTAGCCTGTCCTTTGACATAGAAAATGAATGAATTGGGTGACGTGGTGGCTTGGCTTTGAGGAATTTACCGTATAGATGCAGCCACCAATACAAGATCCACCGCAATCAGTGTTCGTTTTGTAGATGATAGCTTGGATAGAGCTGGCGAAGCCCGTAGTTTGTGCTGAGTGATTTTCACAATATTATGGAACTGCTGAAGATCGAACGACATCGAAGTTTAGAAGTACAAGAAGTAATGTAATTATATGTATGACATTTTCCATATAATGTCCCTCGTAGAGTTACAATTTGGGCGGGGCGGTTACTTCTGAAACACTTCATAGAGTGCTTTGCCACCATTCGTGATTAGTTTCGAGATAAAGGGTATGAATTCCGTGAGGGGGAAGGTGTGGGTGGCCGAAGTGGGAAGGGATTGATAGGAAATGGCCAAGCCTTCCTTTAACGAGTGATATGATTTATCGCTGTCGACAGCCTGCAGCAGCTTGGTTACTCTCATATCGAAAAGGTTCTCATCATCTCCAACTACTCTCGCTTCACTTCTGGCGCCAGGGAAAAGCACGGACTGCGGAGAGGAGTGTTGGAGTAGATGTAGCGTTTCATCGTCGAGGGCAAAGAGGGAAACAAGATACGAGAGAAGGGGGATATGTATTCGAGGGTGTGGGCTCTGGGAACGTTGTGAACGGTGGGAGAGCAACGCGGAAGGTTCTGGCCCCTCCGTTGCAACACGTAGACGGTGTCGGGATGCACGCTGCTGGAGTACCAGTTCCCAGTGTTGCCTTTGAGCCAGCGCGGAGTCTGGAGAAACCAGATGCCACACTGAGCCTTCATAGTCCGCATCCCCATCCACAAACGCATCAGCCGTCGTAGTCAGAGACGAGGCAGCATCAACGTGATCCCATGGCACCGACGGACCGCGCCCGTTGGGACTAACATCCCTCGAGCGTGGCTCTGACAGACCAGAGTACGAGAAATCTGTGGGCGCCGAAATATCCGAGTACTGGCTCGGACTGTGTGGCGCTGAGGAGGGATTTGGGAAGATGTAGATGCCGCCCAGCTCGAGGTCGTCAAGTACAGGCTCAACTGGAGCCAGACCGGAGAATACTGCCGCCGGCTCGGGCTGCAAAGGTGACTGCTCTCCTCTGAGCCGGTAATACTGCGCCATTTGGGACTTAGAACACGATGGTTGCGAAGAGGAGCACACGCCCTGGTTAAGCGCCCGCGTAGCTGCTGTGTTGTTCGGCCAGCCCCTGTCTGTGTACTCTTTCGTTTCAGTCCGGGCAAACCTATGCAGTGGCTTCATACAAAATGCTGGTCTCTCTAAATGGTACACTTCAAGTTCAGCTGCTGGCATAGCTGGCTAACTGTATCACCCTACTAATACCTTTGTCACTGCGACAGGTCGCTAGTGAAGGAACAAGTCCTCCACCTCAGTTCCCCTCCTCTGCAGGACAGCTTTCCTTTCCATTTCTGCCGGATAGACCCTTGCTTTCTCTTCTGCACCATGGTTGCCTCGAGTGAGTGCCTAGCCTAATCCCCCTGATTATTCTAAGCGTCGCGACCCTTGCAGGAGCAGCCTCGCAGACGGCGACCAGCAGTGACGAAGCTCTGCTCAACGTGTGGATCTACTTCAATTTGGTAGTGAATACCATTCTTTTGCCTGTTCTAGCGACAACGTTCCTCGTTTCGAAACGAGCAAAGCGACATCCCACCTTGGTCAACGTCTGTATGGTGTGGATCCTTTCTGGGTTCTTCTCTCTACTACTGTAAGTAGCGGTGCATCCCTTGTCCTGGCGCCACAGTAACATCGACTTTACGCCAGTTTCTACGCTGGGCAACATGATCTCAGTTCACCAGAGCCCGATAAACCACTGTGCGTTGCCCAGACGTCACTCCTTTACGGCATTACGCCAATGTGTGTTGTGAATACTATCGTCCTCTCTACGATCACATGTTCTCATACCTTTTCCGCAGGTGGTCCGTAGCTGTCTTGATGATGGTGATCCATCTGAACATGGCGTTCGACCGATGCTGCCGTAAGGATCGACTCGTTGGATGGAGGTTGGTCGTGGTATGTTAACAGAGCAACGCGTTTCACCCCATCAGCTCTAATGATGGGCCATAGATGCTTTCCATGCCCTATCTCGTTCTCCTCGCATTCTTTACGGCGACTCTGACAGTCAGCTGAATTCCCATCAAATACTAGTATTAAACCGTATTTACCCCTCTTTCTTGACAGATCTCCGCTAAACATCCCGAACGCGTTACTCGGAGTCGAAGACGGCTCTACTGCACTCTGCAATACACACCGCTGTAAGGTACTTGCATTCTCGTAGCAACGGTCAAATACTCAATACACTTTGCAGTTTCGATACCATGGCTATCTTTACGGCGATCGTATGCCTTGCCATCACCTGTCTACAAGGTACGTCAACACATCATGTCTCAGATCGGATCATCCCCGTTGCGCAGTCTCTCATCAAGATTCGTCGTGTAGTACGGCTCGGCACAATCCTGTATCGCAATTGGCGTGCGATCAGGAGTGCACGTCGAACAGACGGATCCGAAATCCAACTTCTCCTCCGAGTTCTCATATTTGGCGTATATGTCTTCGTTGGCATGATGTACGTCTTAATTGATATCCTGATTGTTGCGAAATAATTAACACGTTCCCTATAGTGTCAATATATTTTCGATATTTGCAAAGTCTTCCGCCTTCCCCGATATTTTCGCTGCAACTAGTAAATAGGCATCTTGACTATAACCTCGCATCAAATTTACTGAATTATATGGCCTTTTTCCAGTTGGAACAGGCGTCTTCCTCATTTTCGGTACACAACCTGTGCGTACTGGTTCTGCTCCTCAGCCCCTAATGCACCCCTAAATTGCACCCCTTAAAAGGATGTCCTTCGCGTTTGGTGCTTCTGGTTGAAGGAGAAACCAACTAAACTGGCGCCTATCTACATCTCCGGGGAACCCAACTGCGGGTATAACATAGATCTTACCAGATCAGCATCTCCTAGAGGCGCAGAGAAGGGAGGGTTTCCCGGTGAGAAGCTCTCCGAGATACATTTGACACCCCCACTACCTGTAGCTCTACCTTCGTCAGTCCATTCAAGGTGGCATTAATCTAATTCTCAAGAGAAATCGCTCCTTGTATACGTTAATCTTGTACTCCCTTCGTTTGTTGTTCGACTTACAGGACCACTGTGTTTACCACCTACACACTAAATTATTGATGGATAGAACACAAACCTATGTATTATATATTTACCTGGACGGAGCCAAAATATTGGCATAGATGACTAGATTTCTCCACCTCGGGCACAGATACCCAGTAGCACATGTTCATAACCACACACACTCCAAAATCACTCTGATGAACGCCAAATGTGGCAACAATGGTGCACCTCATACCCACGTCTTCCCATGTTCCACTCATGTTCGAAGAATATCGTCAGTCTGAAATCACAACATGCTGGAGACCGGATGTCCAACGCGTCATGAGCATACCTGAACAAAGAGGACCCCACAATTACTTGGTTATAAAACTACTTGGATGCGATGTTCGACCACACAAACAAATCCAACTACTTATTTTCTGACGCATCACACTAATGTCACAACCTGCTTCTCGAGCACAATCTCGGGCTTCCTCGGTGGCTTCAGACCATGAAGGGGGTCCGCAACAATCTGCGTCTGCTCGCCGTCGATCCCGCAATCGCCGAGGTCGCAGCCGTACCCCACGCAGCCTCTCCGCATCTTCAGAGGATACCGGACCGCATGATGTCCCTCGTCGAAAGCGTGGCGGCAAGAAAGGTGGTCTGCCTGCCGTAGGAGAAGTCGACGAAGCCGCCGGCGCCGTCGGTAACACGGCTAAAGGCGCGGTTGATACCGTTGGCGACGTTGCTGGCAGTGTTGCTGGCGGCGGCGGTGGCGGGGATAAACCGCTGAAGCTACGGTTGGACTTGAATCTAGAAGTCGAGGTCACCCTCAAAGCTAGAGTGCATGGTGACTTGACACTGGCCCTGTTGTAAGTAAATGAAATTCCGCTTTCCCTCTGCCCAGAGTGCTCAGTATGGATAGGCGGTAACTGAAATGCGCCATGCAGAATGTAATGTTCATTCATGAAGTAGTATACTTACTTCAAGAACTTAGTCACGGCGTTGGGCTGATGAAAACGTCGTTCCTTGGACAGTTGGACAACTTGGTTTCATCAGTACCTCTTAGATTGCACGATATACTGTTACTATAGTACAGGTTAAAAAAGTCAACACCTTGCTGATTATTCGCTGGTTGGACTTCACCTCACTCGACATAAGTAGCATAGAACCTGGGTTGGCCTTCGGAAGCTCCTAATCACCCTAATCCCTCGCCAGAAGTCGAGGTGCAACATGACGTGAAGAGATAGGTACGGAGTACTTCGCAGCCCCTGGTACATCCATGCGGCCGCTCCCACGTTGCGAATGCTGCGTATATGGCTCGCCGCTATTTGCATGCCATGGTACGAGGCCGGCGGGAAGTACTCAGGCTGTCTAGATGAGCCCGAGCACTTGTTGCAACCGCCGCCGTTCAGGATCGAAATCAGTTCAGGGTAGGTGTAATCCTACAATTAGGAGAACGCTGGATTAAAGAACTAATGGTGTGCGTACGGCCCGAGAGACGCGAGTCTCAAGACTCTCAATCGACGCGTAGAAAAGGCTGGAAAAAATCTAAGCGCCCAAACTGGGGCAGAGACACCACTCGTCAGTTGTGTTGTCACATTAATCCACATAATCCACACTACATCAGGAAATACCCCAAAGGGCCCCCGATTATAAGACTCACAGTTTGAATCAATACCCAAGCATGCCACCGTCAACCCAAGCATCATCCCCCGCTTCTGCTACTGGTGTAAACGGCCACCACAATATCCCAGGCGAGCGAAGCCCGTCGTCTGCTGGAGGCCACCAGGTACAGCACCACGCGCCTCGGCGCAGGCGTCGCCGACGAGGAGCAAGGTATGACTGACCACACTATATCTGGTGCACTAATTGTTGGTTCACAACACACCAGTGCGAAAGGAAACGCCGTAAAAAAAGCGCAGTTGGCTGAAGTTGATGGTAATGAGGATGACAAGAACGTTGGGGCGATCAGGCTGGATCTGAATCTCGAGGTGGATGTGACATTGAAGGCTCGATTACGTGGAGATTTAACACTGTGTCTAGAGTAAGTGGGCATTCATCTATGATATAACCTGCAGGGGAATGATGTTTGCATTCGCAGGGCTTTCTGAATGGTTTGGTACCTCTACGGGAGTGCAAAGATGCATGAAGGACTCACGCTTTAATGGAATAGCTCCTTGTATCATAGTCGTGGATATTCGTGTAATGACTGTCGAGCCGTGCTGAGATGTGAATGTGGCAGAGAGGCGGTCGATTTGGTTTATGCACCTGGAGCTGAGTATCGCAAGGCCTCTAGCTCCGCGATGTTTCGATCGCCTGCGACCGTGGCCTCGTGTATTGACTGTACAATGTACACCACGAACGGCGTGAAGAGCCACCAGCCAAGGGTCTGCCATTCGGTGAGACCCATAAATAGACACAGGCTCGGCGGCACGCATGTTATTGCATAGCAAAGAGAGTATGAGAGCAAGCTGAGCGAGTAGGGTTGCGCTTCGTCGAGCAGGGAGCGTACGCGTTCGGGATGGAGGAGACCGTAGAGATTTATGTGGACCAGGAGGTTTATTTGAGTAAATAGAGACGCGAGGGGGAATATTCCGGAGGTGGGGCTTGGTGCGATAGCAAACAACGGGCTGGCATTCGATGAGTTGAAAAAATATGACAGATGCCTGCGGTGATAGTTCTGGTTTATTAGTTGCTTCCAGAAGAAACCAAAACGTACAGCAAAAGAGAAAGTATTAATGTAATGTCTGCGCCCAAGATGTAATACCAATTCGACGTAGAATTTTGGCGTCGAAGACCATGTATCAGTTCTTCCTGCTCTGCAGTAAACGTGTTAGTAAGTTGAAGGCAGAATAAAAGCATGGCAGCCAACCTTGGTCGTCAAGAACTTTGAGGGCAGCGAGTCGTCCTCGTCTCTGACTTTGAAGGGAATCCGCTTTCTGAGGTCGTGGAATGTGTCCGACATGCGGAAGCGGAAACGCGCGTGGCTGTGCCGTAGCGATAAGATTACTGCCTGTGAATTACTTACGTAACATGCTAGCCTCTTTTGATGCCAGTGCGCTCAGTCATGTCGCCTCCACTCCTCCCCGTCCATGCGCTGAGCTTTTTCGACCGCAATGCTAGCAACGAAGCGCCTACCTCTCAGAACCGTGGTCTCTACCGCAAGGCTCTTTGCCACCGAATCAGTCTCGTCCTCAACAACCGACTCGCTGCCCCCACCGTCATTCAACAATCCTCCCAAATCGCAGCCGACTCGCCTTTATCCCCGACCGCGATCAGCGGTGCTAGATACCCAGAAGCCGTTACAGAGTCTTCCGTCGACCTTTGGCCGCAACCAGCTTCTGCCCGTTTCCTCCTCCACTAGAGCGTTGCTGGAGAGTATTGTAGCTCAGTTTGATGCACCAATCAGGTATGCCTTCGCTTATGGCTCTGGGGTCTTCGAGCAGGATGGATACACGACAAAGGAGACTGGGGAGAAGCCGATGCTCGATTTCATGTTTGCAGTAACCCATGCATCGCACTGGCATTCAATTAATATGCACCAGAATCCAAGTCATTACCCTTTGCATGCGCGCACCTTCGGCTCGTCGTACGTCAGCAGGATAGAGGAACTTGGACCGGGTGTATGGTTCAATGCATATGTGCCAATGAACGGTGTCGTACGTGCATTCATCTTTCCTTGAACGCGGAGGCTGATCTCATGCAGACGATCAAATACGGAGTCACAACGGTGGACAACCTATGTTCCGATTTGCTCAACTGGAACTCGCTATACCTCGCTGGTCGGATGCACAAACCCCTCCGAATCATCAAAGACGATGCGCGTGTGCGGCTGACACAACAAGTCAACTTGACGTCCGCCGTTCGCACCGCGTTGCTCACGCTTCCTCCATCCTTCCCTGAGAACGAGCTCTTCGAGCGCATCACCTCAATCTCGTACTTGGGTGACCCACGGATGATCCTTCCTGCCGAAAACCGCAACAAGGTCGCGAACATCGTTTCCAGACAAGGGTCGCAATTCAGGGAGCTGTATTATCGGCTAGTAGTCGGCCTACCTGGCGTGCGATGGCGGGTAGGGGAGGGTGTGATTGAGCAGGAAGACACAGCGAAGGCGCGGGCGGCCCATTTGAGGAAGTTGCCTAGGAACTTACTCGATCGATTGAAGAGCAAATATGTTGGCTTGCCAGAAGATGAGAGCACTTACTGGGTTCAGATGGCTGAGGATGAAAAGCTGCCTCAGACATTGATGCAAGGTATGTACGCTACATTTCAGATGGCTTTCAAGCTGATCTATCGGACAGAAATCAGTGGTATCGTTCGGTATCCCGCTACGATCCAATCTTTGAAGGGTCTTGCCACTGCTGGACTGGGCAAGAGTCTTCGATACAGTGCTGCGAAGATCAGCAAGTGGCGCAAGAGCTCATAATTTTTGCATTTCTCTCCTGGATGCAATCTCTATAGACACAGGCATACACATACGTTAGACATCTGTATTACCCCATTACTTATTGCTCCCAGTATCACATATTTTCCGGTAAAAGGTTTCTCTGAAGATGAGCTGCATGCAGCTGAAAGGCGCCCTTGTGACCGTGTTGTTGACCCTTGACGTGGAAATCTTTCTCACCAATATTTCGTTGATCTTGAACTTGTACCCATTCTACGCTACCCCTTTCATCTTTCCTACTCACTGAGGCTGACTGCTGTCCAACTACTTTCCTTCATTTCCCCCCTTTCAGCTCTTTTCCTCATAATTTCACTGTTTACTATTACTGTCAAACATGGCATTCAACGAATTCGGAGAAGATACTCTGGCCAGCAATCCTGGCGACGGCTTGGACTCTGAATCTCCCCGCCGCAATGCTTTCGAGCTTTCTGGACCCTTGGTCGGCGACGAGGCTGACGATCACCAGAATGTGTTACTCCTGCAAGAGCATCAACAGCCCGATGAATATGACGAAGAAGCGGCCATGACGCCGCAAATGCCCCCGATTTCCCGTTCTACGTCCAGCAAGATTACTCGTACGGTGGCCATCATCAAGACGCATGCGTTGAGCCATAGATTTGACGTCGAAGCGAGAATTCAAGAAGCGGGCTTCGAGGTGGGTGATAATCCCTCCTTATCATCACAAATGCACTGACTGCAGAGTGCTTCGTGCTAGATTGTGAAAGAACGTCAAATGGTGTTCGATACGGAAACAGACCCAGAGACCTTGGACGAGCTGTTTGGAGAGGATGCACGCTCCCTGGCCGAGTAAGTCGAGTAAAACAATAGCCCCTTCGAAACTAAACGTGTCCGTTGCCAGGGGGCCGGTTTGGGTCTATGTCCTTGAACGTCATCGTGCCGTCGAAGTTTGGACCACCCTTATGGGTCCTCGCGATCCCAATACTGCCGCAGTGCAGGCTCCTAATTCTCTTCGCGGGCTCTATGGCATATCCCTTGCCCAAAACGGCTTCATGGGCTCGGAAGATCTCGAGATAGCAGAGATCCAAATTGCTTCCCTATTTGCTTCTTCTCCCCCTTTCCCCACAACCGACTTGCCCGCAGGGAACGAACGCTTTGATTCCATCCGCTCCATGACATCTTCTGTCCTCGAAGCCATCCGTCAGAATGCCGCAGATGGCGACGAATACGCCGCGTCGAGCGTGACGCAACCCTCTACGGCCGGCGGGGAAAGTCGAAGCACTAAGAGCGGAACCAGCAGGAAAACCAGCAGGGCATCGTCTTTCCGGGCTCGGGATTTACCTGCCACCCACGCTGAACCCGACATCAAACCCCGGATGTCCCGCGCCTCTGCGCTCCGTGCTGGATTGCCTGTAGAGAAGACACATGTTGGTCCGCGAGCGCCTCTCGATAAGGAACGACTTGCAAAAACATTCGCCAATGTTCCCGGCCATAAACGAGCTCAGACTATCCAGGTTGCATCTACAGCCGCCCCGACCATCGCACCTCGCATGACTCGGGCGGCATCTCTCCGATTAGGTTTGACTCCGCCTGCTCCTGCTGCACGACCCCGTCCACCCGTTGCTCCCGTCTCGAAAAAGTCTAAAGATACCGTGGTTGAGGAGAGTGCCGCTGCGAAGAAGGATACCTTTGAGGGTGTGCCTGGTCACAAGCGAAGGGAAAGCATTAGCGTCGCCTCTGCAAAGCCTCCTTCTATTGCACCGCGTCTCAACAAGAGCGCTGCGCTGAGGCAGACGAAGGAAGCTGCTCCCCCATCCTCTTTTATGTGTGCGTAAAATATCTCAAAATATTCGCGGTCGATCCGAACTGATTTTCTCCCGTTCTTGCAGTTAAAGGTCCCTCCACTCAGAAGTACCCCGGCTCTCGCAGTAATTCCGTCGCTTCGTTCAACGATCCGCACTCTCGTCCTGCGTCTCAGTCTTCTGTCCGTGGACTTGCTTCTCGTCCATCAATGTCTCGACCTGCTTCGACGATAGCCATTCGGCCGCCGTCTGCCACGCCCAAACCTACCGTTCGATCGAATGGGAAGGTCCACGAGCCGCTCACTACGAAAGCCGTAAATGGCGCCCAGAAGAATGACACTCCTTCAGAACCTGCCGCTGCGCCCGTGAAGCGTAAACCGCGCCCCAGCAGCTTGGCCGCACCGTCTATCACCCCGCGACCCAACAAAAGTGCTATGCTGCGTGCCGCTAAGATGGAGGCCCAAAACGCTGCTGCTAACGCGAAGGCCCCAAGGAGGAAACTGGGCCCCGCTGTCGCCTGAACACGTCCACGTATATGGGTGAAATTTTACAATTATGGTTTTCAATATCTTTCATTTCTTATTGATATCTACTTGCTCGGATATATTTTACGTCTTGCTCGATGCAACACTGGGTTGATTATGCTTATCTGGCCGTTATACATCTACTTTTTCCCTGTGCAATATGTGTTCCCTCTGTATGTTGAAGTATTGTATATCATATTGTAAGTGCTGATTCCTCAACCAGATCGATCAGGGGAACTTGGAGGCCGTTCCTTAATGAACGAATGGCATGCCAACGAAGGTCATCGCGCGATTCGGCAGGCCTGATGCAGGACTCAGAATCGGGATCATGTGATCAGCAACAAACTTACTTCCCGCTTGACCCGCGCTGCGCTGACTGGTTACCGTCAGGCGAATCGCAATGACATATTCTACCCGCCATCTTTTATGAACGGAAGCTATCCACTGAGGTCACTGGGAGGACTTGTATCCGAGCTATATAAGTCTGAATGTAACATCCTTTGCTCAACTGCACAGTGCTCATGTTCCTTGCATCGCCTTGTCCAATGCCTGCCCTTACGTTCGTCATTCTCACAGCTTTCGCTGCATTGTCGTCGGTAACCGCTCAATGTAATCCCGGACAATTCACTGCCGCCGGCGGGGTCTGCACAGATTGTGCTCCAGGGACATTCAGTACTGGTACGTACTACAGAATTCAAGTGCATCTGCTTCGCATCTAAACGACAACATACACACACATAACAGATGGGTCAGCAGCTCAGTGTAGCCAATGCCCTCAAGGAACTTTCAACAATGTCCCTGCCGCGGTCGGATGTTGCTCTTGCTGCTCCGGGTTTTATCAGGTAACAATGCCCCACCTGTCACAATCATGATCTCATCTTCTCGTGGACTTCCGCAGGACAATACCGGCCAGACCACATGTAATCAGTCAGTAGCCTTTCGATCTCAGTCACGAATTCGACTTGAATCGCTCGAAACATAGGTGCCCGGGTGGTCAAAACTCCCCAGTTGGGGCCACGAGTGCGGGTGATTGCGGTTCAAACACAGCTGTTTACCCGGCTGTTGGCAGTTGTGCACAGACTGGAAACAGTAGGACTTGTCGTGAGTCTTCAGCTTATCCACCGCTCATGAACTTCGTTGATGGACATTTGTGTGATAGCGGCGACCTTTGCCGGCAGTCCAACGAACAATGTAAGACGCCGTCGTTCCGTAAGTTGGTCGGAAGAAGCAGCGTGTCCCAAAGGCCACAGGCGCTGCAATGGCAAATGCACCGATATTTCTTCCAACCTCTGGTGCGGAATGCAGTAAGATAAACCCTGGCGTCCACAGATCTGATATAACTCCATAGGCACTGTGGCGCTTGCGCCGGTACTCAATCCTCGAGCGGTGTGCTCGGACAAGACTGCTCCGAGATACCATTCGTCAGTGATGTTCGATGTGAACGGAAACGCTGCATCGTTGGTCAGTGCATTTATCATCTCAAGACCCCTTCCCTCCCCCACTAATGCGACGTTGCCATTAGAGAGTTGCTCAAACGGAAGGTCGCCCTCTCTTCAGAAGCGCAGTTGCGTCTGGCCAAGATCTGGACGCCGCATGGGTCAACTCGTCCGGTAAATTTACCGCCAGGACATTCCAGCCTTCGTCAAGCCGCACCTATACATTTCAAACACCATCGCCCCTTTCACACACGTATAACTAACAAGACACTCCCATGGACTTGTACAATCACATAAATCAAGAATTACAACCATATGTATTATTATCACACCTTTGGACATGTATAACACCTTATCTCATAACATCCAACACCTGTACAATGCGATACTACTTATCCTAATGACTAATAATCAGGTTCCTTACCAAAGAGCAACCGTAGAATTCTCATGTTTGATTGAAAATGGTGGGGCACAATACAAAGGCAGCTTGTCTTCCAGATGAATATCCGCTCTCCTCGTACACCACGCAATTGCGCGCCGACCTTTCTCGCGAAGGTATACACCACCGTCATCTTGGGTCCAGATCGAGCGCTCGCCAGAGATATTGATTAGTAGTCCTGCTCGGTGCTTTCTCGTGCTTTACATCAACGATGCATGATGACTGGCATTTGGTCGATAAAACTACAATGTCGCACGCTGTATGTCGCCTCATGTGCCCATGTTCGTAGCAGTCCTAGGTCTACCGGAACTACTCGCAGAACTAGCCGTCGGTGCTCGTCTCCTACCGCTCGAGAATCCCAGGCTTGCAGCCCTGGTAACCCCTCGTCTCACTGTTGCTTCGGTCAAAGAGGCACCGGTGGGGGCTGGAGCTGGAGCTGTAGAAGTAACCTTCCGCACTTGACCTAATCCGCCCAACGCCCATCCTACTTCAATCCCATTCTTGATGCTCCAAAGCCAAGCGAGGATAAACACGGGGGTGCTTATGAGTACATTGAGGACGGAAAAGATGTCGGGGTATCGTGAAGGTGCTGGGAAGATGAACTCAGCAAGATGAAGCAAACCAGCCGCCCCGTAAACAGCCTGGAGGTAGGTGTATCAGTGGGACGTAAACCAAGGGCACAGTATACAGGACGCACGAATGACAGTAGCTGTACAAATGATTTCGAGGGTAGTCTTCGAGGATCATATCCAATTAGTTTGTTCCATAGTAGCACGGTTATTATATACTGAAGTCCAAGACCGTCGCGCTTCAGCAATGGCCACATACTACGTAACACATAAGAAAACAAGAACGGGGACGCGCCGAAAGACAAGACGTACCTAAACACAGCGATGTTGTTCACCAGCACTCCCCACCCAAACATGGCGGAGCCCGCGGGTGCGCCGCATAGGAGTAGGGTGAGGGGAAGAAGGGGTAGAAGGATAGTTTTCTCGTGGACTTGGAAAGAGAACAGGAAGAACGACATGGCCGATGTCAGGAGTGCGTAGGGGAGTAAAGGTAGCGTCGGCGAATGTGTCGAGCTAACTGAACTACTGGTGTCATTGGCGGGGTCTGTTGCACTGACCGATGTTTTGATGGCGGTCCGGATGAGAATGAACACACCAGGCAGGAATGCCAGAAGTGTGAACACCGTTGAAAGTTTGACAAGGACGGCTGTACTGGCCCATCTCTTCCATTTGAAAACCACGTTGGATGCGCACCAGAAATTGGCAACTTTGTCTTCGAAAAGACCACGAGCAAACGGAAATATCCGTTTGATTGGTTGTAAGATTGCCTCGAAACGCGCAAAAGGCGGGAGGAAGGGCAGGAAAAGTAACACAAATGAGGCTGTGGTCACGATCGCAAGCCGCACAAATAAACGCCATCTATAGACGGTGTCAAAAACTAAGCAGAGAACGAAGACAACACCACGAACCCTGCTCTGGGGCCGAGATATATGCATTTACTAAGCAAATACGAGCCTATTGCTGGTGCATAATACAATGACATCTGCTTGAAGCCCAGACTCAAAACGAAGCAGACGGCACCAAGTACGTCTTGACCTTGCGCAAAGAAATTGAGCGCAAGGATAGTAAGTCCTACACCCAAGCGTGTTCAGCCTATACCTATAATAGAACGATGGAAGAAAGATACCTAACATGACAGAGTTATATTGAAAGTGACCGAAATCGATGAGAAGGAGCGCGGGTTGAAAAAGGAGAGTTAAAAACGATAGGTTCTAGTGGAATTGCAAGGGTCAGTTAGCGAGAGCAATCAAGAAATCAACGGCGCACTTGGGTACGATTTGAGCGACTAGCTTGCCATGTCTTCACAAACATGAGCAGGGCGGGGACATATATCAGTAGATCCCAAGCCAACACAGTTGCTCGCATGAAAACTTTGCTCTCGGACGTTTCAATACCACGAGAGGCGTCGAGAGCCACCCACGCAGGGTTGATCCAATATCCACTGGATGTGCTATCAGTGCATGCGGGCTCGCCGGGCTTGCTACGTACATTTTGCCACATATCCAAGAGACATACGCCGTGAGCGGAGGGTAATCAAGGCCCCAGTACTCAAGGTCATATGTGTACCACTGGCTGGTATGGAGATGGACGGTGAGTTCCATCCAATGCCGCTGGGCTTCATAGTCGCCGAACATCGGGGGTGTAGCCTCCCCTAAAGACGCGGTTCAGTGACGCATTACAGCAATGGAAGGCAAAGACGAACCGGAGTACGACCCCAAGCCAATGCACCACTTGAGCAGCGTGCTGACTGCCACGAGGGCCGGCGCGACCCATTCTTTCATGTTACGCTTGTGCATCCACCTCACCCACATGCGGCCCATGCTCATCTCGACGTCCTGCTTCTCGGATGCCTCATGCTTCCTCCCGTTGCCAGTCAACTCTTTGGCCTTATCGGAGTCAAATAAGGACCTCAAACTAGCGCTAGATGGTCTGGTTGAATAGTACGATGTAGTCCGGACACGCCGTTCCAGTGATGCAGAACTGAACAAGGACACGGGGGAAACACCTCTCGATGATGACGGGGATAATGGAGGAGTCCGCAACCAGTGCTGACTCTCCGAGCTTTCGAGTAGGTGTCGGCGCGGTGTTGGAGCTAGGATTTCTGGGGAAGCATGCGGCTGCGAGTCGGATCTGTCGTTATGTTATTCAGCCCGGATCGCCATCACCGTGGACGATGTCTACGAACTTTAAATTGAGCCTTGGACGGGTAGGAGATTGTTCCTGAGGACCCGTTTGGCTCCTTGAGGTTGTAGTGGAAGAAGGGAATGGCTGTTGGCTGGGATTTAGGCTTTCCATGGCCAGGTGACGGCTGTGGTGGAAGTGTTAGACTCCGGAGTATTCAAGGCGCTTATCCCCAGTAGACGCTCGTTTACCACCAGCCCTCAGGTCCGCGACAATTGAGCATCTTACAGTGGCGTGCAAAAACGGTGAACGATAGCGACATTGTTTACAGACAAGAAATCTACAATCTACAGCGGACAGCGTACTCTCTTACGGTGGCGAACATCAAGGGTATGGTTGTGACGCGTGACTCACCGCCCCGCCCCCCGCCGGCAAGACCAGTCCACACCTTGCGTTGTAGATGTAAAAATAGGAGCTCAAAGGAGACACTCCCTGACGAGAAGAGGTGGAATGTCAAATATTTATAGGCTATGTATAAAGGTACCCATACGGTCCACTGCTCAACAGGCAAGTGCTTGATTTTGTTTGGTTGAACCATGAGGCAACAAACTGTGAGATGTGAGTACATGATATACCTGTAGATATAATCACATTAGGATGCATATCCGACTTTCGCTGGTGATGGGCCTGCCATTGGATGGTAATTCCAATAGTGAAGTCGGGTTGAATAATTCAGTTGAGTTTGTGTGGGGTCAGGGGGTGCCGGTCAGGGGGTGCCTTTACTCCAGACTTGAGAAATTGAGAACGAAGAGCAGTATATATGTGCATAAAGCATCATATGCCAAGTACGCCAAGAGAGAGCCAGACTCAGACTTGCCTATAGGATCAGTGCCCTTAGGATGTAGTCCATGGATTCATCAGTGAGATTCAGTCTCAGGTGCGGCTTTGCTTGCTAGAAAACGAGGCACCGAGTGAGCCCGACATGTCTGGCGATGAGGTGCCCATATGAATGCCGCTTGGGCTCAGTGTTACGAAACTTCGCAAATTTAGCTCATTAGATTCTGTTCTTTGAAGCTCAGCCTAATATCAGTGTGCCGATAAGTTTTTGGACGCGTCGTATGCGCGAATGGTGAACCATAGCGAAATTATTTACAGGAAAGTCTATTGGTCGGGTTGTTGTATATAGACAGACTGTAATAGTACAATACTCCGCTAGTAGCTGACCCGTGCTTCGCGTCCGTTGTATTGAATCGAAGTATCTAAGTATTTCATTGATATCTGTAGCTCACGACGAGTAGCTAAGTAGGTTTCAGGCAATGTTCTACTGCTACTACGATCAGATTCAGACTCCATGAAGACCATCAGGGTTTGAATCACAAAGATGTCGGAATCCAGTATCATACAATGTTTCCGGCCGACATAAATATTCAGCCTCGTACATCTTGCTCTCTTCAAACTTCTCATGAAGGCCTCCTCCTGTGGGCTACTGCTTTTTCTATCGTCTGCCAGTGCGATGTGGTTTCTTAGCGTTGAACCTACGGTGATCAACCCAGGTGGATCGCTAAACGCCACTGTACGCGTGGATGGCCAAGACCCTCCGACCTGCTTTCTCTGCATAGGACCCAGCAACTACGACTTGACTGGCGGACAAGTACGGCTATATTGTCCTGAAGTACAAAAGATGACTGCTACTGGGGCCGAGAAAACATCAGTTGCATTCACAGTTCCGAAGACATCTCCAGGGTAAGTCTAATTCTCCCTTTGATGAGTGCTCGATGGACCAATCAATCATCCGCTCTTAGCCAGTATCGGCTTTACGCATCAAAGCGGTGTGTACTCCGACCTCAACCACGGTAGAAGTGCGCTGACGAGGGAGAAGGACGTCAGCTTCGGGGCCCATCGTTGAAGGCGATATGGTCCAGGGAAGCAGCGAGCCCTTCAAGGTCACGGTCGAAGAGTAAGCATTTATACGCAGTATAAAAGGGACTAAGCCACAACTTGGGGGATAGCATCTCTAGCGGGTTGAGTGCGTCGACTCCGACAGTCATCGAGACTGTGACCACAGAAGCCCCATTGCCAACAACACTAAGCACGGAACGCGGCAGCATTCACGCTCCACCGGCGGGCATTATTATTGCGGTGGGTGTACTTTGCGGTATTGTTGTGGTAGTTGCTCTGCTCGCGGTGGGTGTATGTGTTTGGCGACGTCGGAAAAGGGCCAGAAAGAATGGTATTGCGCCATATCCAGCCAAGATAGGCAATGAAGTAGCGTACTCCGACACATTCAAACCACGGGGATTTCTACCCAACGCGGCACCCATTGTCGAGCCTTCGGATAGGCGAATCAAATACCTCCAGGATCAGATGCGCATCATAGAAGCTGAAATGATGAAACTAGAGCGATCACGCCCTGACACGACCAACAGACGATCAGACGAGTTGCTGGGTGATGCTAGTAGAAGACACAGCGAGGGAGAGACCATCAGTTCTTGGACGGTGGTTGGGCATTCGTAAGTCATAGGCGGCGAGAGGCACGCTTGGAAGCGGACCGGCTTTTGAACGCTCAACACTCGGGCTGGTGGACTTGATGTATTTAACTCACAGCTGTACTGAATGTTCAATCTACGTCTAAATCTTCACCTTCAAGCACTATTTCACCGTCGTTCGACAATTTCACGTTTTTCTTGGCCGGAGGGGAACTGTCAGCAAATCATACCGCAACTACAAGAAGCAACATACCGGATGCACTGAAGATTTCCCGACATATTTCGTGTGAGCTTGAACAAAGTGAGCAACGGAGCGTTCAACATGCCTAGACACCTACTTCCATAAGCAACCAGGTTGCCTTTAGGATCGGTGAAATCGACCCTTGTATACGCTAGGGATTTCCCTGGGTGATTAGACCGCATGAGCCTCACTCGGGTTGTCCCACTAAGCTAAAAATACTCGCCCATTGCAATTAACGATGCTTTCATGTGTAGGACGTCGCCTGGCCTGCCAGCGGGTTTGACGAACGACGTTTGGATATCAGTCGATACACCGGTCATGAAATGGCCCTTCGAGGCCACGGCGAGAGAGCCAAGGGTGTCCGTGAGCGATAGTATGAGGCCACCATGAACAGTCTTGCCAATATGTCAGAGTTATACATATAGACGACGAATGCGCTGGCATACCCCGACTCTGTTGACTAAATGGCACACGTGAGAATCAGGTTTATGAGTAAAACTCGACCACAGACTGTTATACGGTTCAATCTTCAAGGAAGCTTCCACCGAGCCTGGGACGGCTCGATGAACGACAAGCTGACATTCCGGATAAGCTGTAGTCTTTCATCCCAAGCTAGAGATCAACTCACATTTGGAAAGCATGTTGCGTCGTGCCCTGCCACCAAAGTATTTGGCCAAATGCACACCGAAAACAAAGCAAAGAACCACACCTTGGTGATCAATGAAGGACTTCCACACCTGTGTTCTGTCACTCAGTTGATTATCACATCAGGAGCAACAGTTTGGACTTACGCGACGGGTGAAACGAAGACAAGCAGCCATATTCCGAGTCGGATGTGGTAGCAACTGGGCTATGCAGGGTCCATCACGACGGTGACTCCCGTGACTGCTTTGGTCCGCATGTGGGTATGTCAAGTTGCTTAACGTGGATTTCACAATATTCGGGCTCGGACTCGGTCATCAAGGCTCCCGGGTTCAAATACCCCATATGATGATTGCTGGTTGCTTTGACCCCACAGTGCAACCCCTCCACCATCGAAATGCGCATTGAGGAAGGCTTTCAAATCGTGAGTTGAGAACGTTAGCCGTAACCGATGCGGCACTCTGAATAAATCTCATCTACCTCGCAGCCCCCTTACAAGGAGGAGAACGTCTATACGTCAGACCCTGTTCTCCGAGGCATACTTAAGAGGACATTACCCCCAAGGTACTACTAACGGAACTTACTCGAAGGAGTTCGTCACTCACCGTTGAACTTTAGTGTCTTTGAAGAAATCAACCAAGACCTGGTTCGATTCGGCAATGAGGTCCTCACTTGTAAGGACTGTCCTTGGCGGACAAGGGACGATTTGGCTCACTAACTTCCCCTCTAGCCATTCGAGACATGGGCACGAAAGTGACACCACCAAATCTCGTCCAATATGATCAATGGGGGCGCAGAATCGACGATCTACAAACCAGCGAGGGTTGGCGGGGCCTGAAAGCCATAGCCCAGAAAGAAGGCATGCCTGGGATATTCTACGAGAGGACATACGGAGAACATAGTCGCTCGTACGGGTTTGCGAAGGTGCTTCTCATGAGTGGTGACTCCCACATGGTAAGGCAAACCATCTTTGCCTGAGGACAAATTTAGCTGAATCGTTTTCAGGTATTCTGCCCCCTCAGTATGTCTGATGGCGCCGCTCGAGGTAAGTGAACTAGGCCATTTGCAGCTCGCCTTTCTTATTCGTTTCTGAACTGTTACGTTCAGTGATCGAGTTAGCTGGCTCACCCGCAATGAAAGAGCACGTACTACCGAAGCTCATCAGGTCAGTCACTGGCCCATTGGACATAGTTAAAGCCGCTAACAGACAGCCTCAAGTCGTGATCCACAAGTTGCCTTCACCGCTGGGCAATGGATGACTGAGGTTAGTATTCAACCTCCCTCGTGTCTTCTTCTCCTTTCAACACTTAGCACAGCGGCCAGGCGGGTCTGATGTATCTCTTACGGAGACCAAGGCAGCGTACAGTGGGCAAAGTGGACAATTTGGGCCAGTTTATCATCTGGACGGTTTCAAGTGGTTCTCGAGTGCTACCGATAGTGACATTTCTGTCGCGCTGGCCCGCACGGGTTCTCTGCAAGATGGTTCGAGGGGATTGTCTCTGTTTTTGGTTCCCCTGCGGCTTCCTCTGCTTCGCCAGCCTTCTGATGCCAAACCATCAGCTATCAGCAACAACATCTTCGTTCACAGGCTAAAGAATAAATTTGGCACCATCCCCGTACCAACGGCTGAACTGTCTCTTCAAAATACAGAGGCCTATCTCATCGGTAACCAAAATCAGGGGGTCAAGCAAATTACCCCTGTTCTCAACATCACTCGATTGTATTCTGCTACCGGGACTGTGGGTGGACTTCGCAAATGTCTTTCTATTGCCACTGCGTACGCTCGCGTTCGCGCCATTCATCAGGGCACACAGCTTCTGCAAGATAACCCCCTACATGTCGCGGGCTTAGCGTCTATCAACCTCGTGTATCGCGCTCTTGCTCATCTCTCCTTCGGCGCAGTCAGACTACTCGGCAAATCGGAATGCGGTGTTGCTACTCAAGACGAACTAAACAGATTGAAGATGCTCACACCCACGGCGAAGGCCTTTGTTGCCGAGCATGCCGCCACTGCTATGGAGGATGCGATGGCCTGCCTTGGTGGAGCTGGTTATATGGAAGAGAACGGGTTTGGCCGCCAAATCCGGGATGCCTTGGTTGAGAAGTAAGGCACCAACATCACCTCATTAGTGCTTACTCACTATGCATAGGATATGGGAAGGCACTACGAACATCCTTGCCCTGGATATCGTTCGCGCGGCGAGAGACCCCTCCGTCGTATTGTCGTTTGTCAACGTAAGATCATGACTCCTCATCCGCATTAACAACGCTGACACTTCATTCAGTGGGGTAAAGGAGTAATCGCTTCTTGCCCTGAAGCTTTGGCTGCCGGGTATAAAGAAGCGTTCGATATTCTACGACCTGCCTTAGATGAGCTGATCGACGCGTACAAGCAACCAGTGCCCTCCCTCATGCCCCGAGCTGGCCTCTTCGTGGTGGGACATGTTGCATCAAGCGTGTACCTCCTCGAGCAAGCCATTTGGTCCAATGCGGTCAATGACAGCCAGAAACATGTGGATTCTGAGGTGTTCAACCGTTGGGTCATAGAGGGGGGCTTAACAAAGGCTCTTACAGATTTAACTCGGGCAAGGAACGCACGTTCAGACCGCTTGGAATCCAACTATTCTATCGTATTCGACGAGCAACCATTGAAAGGGAAATTGTAATGTACATGGATGTATTTGTTATATCTATCCTATGAAGATGAAGCCTTGGCGTATGGGACGATATGGCATCTGGAGGACACATTTAGTTTGACATAACGTGCACTTTAGAGAACACTTACCCAAGCATACCCCGACCTCCCCATCCTTGCCTTGGTGTCAAACTGAGGACGATTGTCTGCCCCGTTCGGAGCACGCGGATCTGAATGACACGCTGTCCAAACTAGATCAGCGATGAATAGGACAACGTCCATGATCGCCACATACATTTTCGCTCCCATTGACCAGCTCAGCCAGTGGCTGGAGTGAAGAGGAGGAGAACGATGCCTTGGTCAATGTACCGAATTTTGTGATGAGGTCCTCCCGTTGCATACCCTAGACATTGAGATGAGTTCCGTGTTTCACTAGCGTCGCGCATACTCACCGATTCTGCAGCTGGGCTACCAGGAGCTACACCATCAACTCGTGCGAATGGCTCTGGAACGTCGATCTTAGTGGGAGATTCAACGTTGGCGTTATCCTGCCCGGCGCCAGCGCTCGGAGAGTAGACTGTTTCCAGAACCTTCCCTATCTCATTCGTGACATCTTTGAGGTCGTTCCTAAGCTCGATGATGCGCACCCTCGCGGTGCGCACGGCCCACACATCAATGTCTGCGCGAGGAAAACCATCCGCATCGACAAGCGGCGACTGTATGGTAGAGTCGTTGGCTTGGAGGATGGCAAGTTGGGATTTGATTTCTGATTCTATATCTTCTTTCTTGGATATCAGAGCGCTTGCCCTATCGCGGGGATTCTCAGTGGCAGTCGGTAGGGTGAAGCCCATGATCGTTAATGGAAGTGGTAGCTGATTAGATAGGCGCCCGAATTCATGACGCGTTTCATCCCATTGTCTCGACTCATTGCATAGGGCAAGGAGCACGAGAATTTGATCAATTCTCGGCTAAGTAACTTAAGTTCAAGGTAGTCATCGAGAAGGTTGAGGAGAGACTGGTGATATTTCTAGGTAAACAATTTATTACAGTTACACGATGGTTTGATATTGTGCACTCTGGTGCAGTTTTGATGAGAGCATCATTGATGTAAATCGCTACAAAGTTCAGGCAACGACTTTTCCCTTGGTGATAGTATGGGTGTCTAAAGCACGCATAGCTTCCTTAGCGGCTTTGATGCCACTCGCCATCATGGCACCAAACGTCGGTCCCATCCGGTTGCAACCGTCGTGCTCAGACAATTCCATACCTGCGGATGAAGCAGTTAATCAGGCTATCTAATCTTGCCCAATAAATCCGGTAGCACTTACCAGTCATGATCAAACCAGGTGCAACCTCGCGGGTATTGTTGACGATGGCGGGTTCAGCTCGGTTCATATCCAAGCCCCTCATATTTCCGAGTTCCTTGAGCAACCCAGCACTAACGAGTCGTTTCGCGGAGAAGGCTCCCATTGGGCCATCGTGACCCGTAGCGGACACGACGACGGGGGCGGTGATGGTGTTGGGGTCCATGCAGGATTGCGTATCGTGGTTGAGGGCGACGAGTGTCCAGTTAGTGACGACACCGCCAACGCGCTGCCTGCCCTGGAAGTCCTCGCGGATGACGAGATCTTCGACGGCCGTAGCGTTCATCATGACGACGTTGTCCATGGAGAGGACGCGGGATAGCAGCGTGGATGTAAAGAGCGCAGCATGCTTGACGACGACGAATGCACCTTCGTCCTCGAATGGTACGCCGACCTCTTTGAGGAAAAGGTGCGCTGGTTTTCTGACCACCTAGAGGTTCCTTTGAGTTTGAGTACCTTAAACTGCGGTAGATACATACCATAGGTGTCATTAATTGGCCACCAAGCCAAGCGCCTCCGCCTGGCGCTACATTGGCCTCGACGATAGTGATCTTGAGATCTGGGCGCGTCTTTCCCAAGTGGTAGGCACAAGATAAGCCGGCGCTTCCAGCCCCCACAATGACCACGTCCGATACGGCTCGCTCGTACATAGTATCGAAGTACCTGCATGATATATGAATCAACCACACATGAGATTACAACGTAATCTTACCGTTTGATCATAGCCCGAGACACTTCCGCTTCTTCGATTGGTGCGAATTTGTACCCGCCATCGTAGTTTTCGGTGGTGTCATAGTTGTCTTGGGAAGGGGCTTCGAAAGGCATATTGGCAGCAAGCGACTAGAGACGAGACAAAGAGTTAGTGAATTCTCCCAGAGCCCCTCTCCCTTATAAACCTCTGGGAACAGTATGGTGTCATCGGAGCATAAGCCCACAGATACCAATTATTTGGGGAACCTCAGGGAACCTCGATATCCAATAGAAGTCGAGGTCTCAATAACACGGAGACAAAGAAGGTACAGAAGGAGTGGGACGAATCCCCACACGCATGCTGCAGAGCATGTGTCGTCTTCAGACAGAGAAACCGATGGCTTGGCGATAAAAAAAAGCCCAAGCAAGCAGAGGCAAGCAGCTTATCAAACATTGATTCGACGGTACATTCCTCGCGCAGCGATGGCACGGTGCTGCCTGGCGCATTGAATTATGGCAAATACCACCGCCCTGGGAGATTTGCCTTTCTGGAAATCTAGAAACGTTGATAAGAAGCTGGAGCTTCGACTGTCCCATGCCGGCCATGCCACCTTGCAGAAGGTTGCAGAAGGTTAGATTCTCGACCGTATGCGAATCAATTTACATACGAAGATTTGGACTCACGGAGAACCAAATTACAAGATAACCCGGAGCCGGTGGGATCCAGCCGAGAGGACACATCCCGATTACAAAAGGTCTCTCCGTTATTAGTCAACCTGTTCCTCCCTATCGTTGACACGCCGATGGTTAAACGATAAGCTTAAGAGGTACTGCTGGGAGCTGAAAACTGCAAGAACGTCGATTCATGTGCAAGGTCTCGTATTTAAAGAGGAGACAAGCACCACTTGTCGGGTAACGATCTATACCATTGCGTCTGATACGACAGAGATCTAATGTTATCAGCAGCTGCTAGTGAGCGTCCACGGAGTTGAAGGAGAAACGAGTCGTAGACATACACTTCCTTTGAAAATGAAGTCAAGTGATTCTGGCATCGCGACATAAAAGTGTGAAGATTGTCAATACGGTATCAAAAGAGAAGCAGCGTTTACTTACTGGTTTGCAAGGCTGTGCCACAGCGCGGAAATCATGCTCATCTGCAGAATACCTCGCACGGATGAAGTCCCATCAGCCCATTAACAAGGGGAAGCACGCGCACCAATTAGATCATCGTTCGCTCAGTCAATTCTTCAATCTCTCATCAACCAATTCATACCCCACCTCATCGTTAGCCATTTCCTCCTCAAGCGCTTTCCGTATCCCGCTCTCCGAAACACCATCATACACCACCGCCCGGCCATCCATGTGCATCTCCCTCAGCATCTCAATTACCCAAGTCTGGCAGTCCCATTTCGGGTTATTCCTGTGCACTGGAATCTGAGTAACCCATAGCTCGAGGTCGTGCAATCGACTCCCGCTGATCTCCCCGACTTGAAAACCACCGCGGTAGCTTCGGGATTTCGTGATATTGGGGACATCGAGGACATCCAATGCAAAGGTATCCGTGTTGCCCTTCATATGGAATATACGCGCGCTGCTTTGGTCGATGTCGGTGACTGCGGCAAGGGCCCAGTGTTCTGTGCGCCTGGTGTTCCCAGATATTGCATACTGGACGACGAGTAATGGCAGCCGTGAGCCTCCAGTCATGACTGGAGATAGGACTAGGTGACATCAGTGGAAAGTATGCACGCCTTTTATACCGTCGTTGATGCTGTGATGAGACGTGAGCTTGGGCTCCCCCAAGGCAGTTCAGATCACGAAGTTACGTTTTCGAGCTCCAAAAGGCCCGAACAAGACGCGAGAGAGGCAGGAAAGGATTACTTGGGTCTCCAACATACAGGTCCGATTGTCTTTAGGCCCGGTTGTTCGCGCATGATGTCGGTGGGCTTCATCATCTGACATCAAAAGCGTCACCGACAGAAGGAGTTAGAAGCAAGCTAGTTGAAGGCGGCGCCTAAAACTGTGCTCTGTGGATTCCTATGGTGCGGGACACCTAAACACCGCCAATTTGGGACAACAGAAATGGAGGCATGATTTGGGCCCCGATTGATTGATCCTTTAGCCAAATGATAGTATTTTATAAGTAGTTTAACTTGTCTAGAGCGATTGTCAAGTACGTCAAAAATGAGTGAGTTATTTCCTTTGGCTGTGGGTGATTTTGCGCGGTCACGTGTATGAGTATATATGGTAATTCAGGGTCCACTGATAACCAGATATGGTAATTACTGATAATCAAAACGATAAGATAAGATATAATGTATCAATCTTCCCTCTCAGAAACACGGCGATGTGACTTATACTTTGTTGAACTGAACCTGCGAACTTCGATTTGAGCCTCTTTCGCTCCCATCCCTTGATGATATGCATTCATCCAACGGTGCATGCGGTGCTCCCATTTCCGGATAGTTTCAACTTTCACCGATTGAAGAGCCTTGGGCATATTTTCTTTCAAGGTCTCGAAGGTGTAATTAATGATTGCCAATGGCTCCCGGAAGACCGAGCTTTTTCCTCTCGGCCTCGATGGATTCCACCAAATCCTCTCCATCAAGCTCTGAAAGCTCCTCCTCGGAGTCGGATTCGCTGCTGGGTGAAAACTCGAAATCGGAATCACTGTCTGATTCGCAATACTTGTGGTTCACGGTTCCATCCCAATCGCAAACGTCGCTTTCATCGGAAATATCCTCGATTCTTTTTTTACCAGCTCGCGCTCGGGCTGCTGCTGCGAATTTTGAGTTCTTCTTGCGTCCCATTTTTGTACTGAAGAGTAGTGGAATTTAAAATGAGTTTCTGCGTACTAGTTAACTACACTGCAATATGTCTTTATTGAATTTGATTCGCATTTTACACTCCTTTTATGGCCTGTAACCTCCTGACTTCAACTATATCCTCCGTAAGTTGCCGCTCAACGAGCAATTTTGCGCTTGTCCCAAATTGGCGGTGTTTAGGTGTCCCGCACCATACTAGGAACTGGCATCACAAGAAATATAGGGTTCGTTGCTGCACACAGTTTACGATGGAAGATTGACTATACATATTCCCGCGTTGAGGAATTCTTCGCCGCGAAGCTCTGAAAAGAATATTTACGACCGTTCGAATCTATATTTTCTGCCGTCTATCCTCCGCTGTTCATATCTCTTGACATTCCTACCACAATTCTGCGATGATCTTCACTTCGATCCGGTCATTTCTGAGGACAACTTGGCGATTGCCGAATATCTTCGTACGACGCACCCGGCGCGGCGCGTATACGAGGAAGTATTTGCCCGCATCGTCTGTCAATATACGGCGATAACGTCGTTCAAGTTCGTGCAGCCTCGTGCGTGTCTAAGTGCATGTCCCACGGGCTTCACGGTGGTGAGCTTGTTGGATCGAGGGGTGTGGAACGGCCGGATGATACAGTTCGGAAACCCTCGACTATAATGCAACGTTAGGGAGGATTGCAACCGGCCGGGCAGAGTGGGACCAAGCTGAAAGGGGACCAGGAAGAGCCTCCTAGCTCATTTAGAAGGCTTCTGGTCGTTCGGTAGAGTAACGCTCTTCCTCCCTTGGTTCGATGCTATCGAACAGTGAGGCACAGCGTTGAGTTCTGGTACATAACACCCGCCGGAAGAGCACGTTCTTCGCCAGGCCAAGAATGGCTTGCACTATTGCCCAGTTGTCGATCCATGGACCCCCCGAAGTGCGAACCCCGGGAGGTCACCACGAGGATGAGAAACTTGCCGAGTCGGATACACTGGTCGCTTACAAGGATGGTGATGGATCACTGAGGAAGGACTAGTGGTTGATCCGTGAACGCAAACTCGTTAACCGACATTGCTACGTGACGTCCTTCGACTCGATGCTCGATTCCTTGGGGGTCAGAAAGGCCACTGGATTTCCGATATACGGACTTGTTTTGTCGCCAGGCCGATGCTAGTTCCATCCAGCCGATAATACAAGTCCCCGTTGCGCACATTCACATCGTAATAACTCGTTGATATTGGTCGGAGCCGGTGATCGTTGACATTGAAGTAGACTCCTTGTGTTGAGTGTTGAGTGTTGGTGGCTGGTGGCCTGTAGTACGGCGGCGGATGGATTTCTGTGCCGTTTCGGTTCTATCGGTTATTCGATGCGGTACATCGTCGGCATTAGGGCTATGCACATACGGTGATATGATCCCTGTGGGCCACCTAGATGACTTCCAATAAGCTTTGGAATTTGAGAAGGGTATGAAACGCGCACCGGGATATAAGAGCCTACGATTGTACTACTTGTGTAGCGGCAGGTGCACAGATCCATGGGCTCCACCACCACCGTTTTAAGCCACAGCGAGCGTAGAACAACCCGTCGGTATGTGCCGGCCACCCGTTTCCGGTCCTGATCCTCCTCGCCACCATCCTGACCTCTTCCCCTCGCCACCAGAAGCATCATGCAGTCCAACTTCATGCTGGGGGGCGATCCCCTATCTCTAGACCGCATCCGCTCCGTATTGGTCAGGCTCGAAGATACCATCATCTTCTCGTTGATTGAACGTGCCCAGTTCGCCCATAATCCCAAAATCTATGAAAGGGGCGCGTTCTCCCATTTGAAGGAGTTCGGCGAGTTGAGTTGGCTGGAGTGGTTCTTGAAGGAAACAGAAATCTTCCATGGTGAGTCGCATGTGCAGGAGCTCGCATGATTCACGGGTTGAGCCGTCGTAACTCTATAGCCAAGGCCAGACGGTACACGAGGTAGGGACACCCAGCCTGGCCCTTGAATAGTGTTGACGGTGTCCTCTGAATAGCCCTGACGAATACCCCTTCACCGAGAACCTGCCTGAACCCGTCCTCCCCGCCCTCCACTTCCCCAAGATCCTGCATCCGAATAAAATCAATGTGAACCCGTCGGTACTGTCGTTCTACGTCAATTCCATTGTACCTCGCATTACTCGAAGAGCCACACTGGCGTCGAAGCGGGTAAATGGAGACGCAGAGTTGAACGATGACGGGAATTACGGCAGTGCAGCCACCATCGACATAGAGGCCATGCAGTCAATCAGCAAGCGCGTTCATTACGGTCCGCTCTCAGTGCTGTACACACCTACCCCACATCTGACCCAATTGCCTTGCATAGGAAAATTTGTCTCGGAATCCAAATTCCAAGCAAATCCTGCAGCGTTTATCCCCCACATCCTGAAGCCTAATCCTGAGGCCTTGGATGCTCTTATAACCAAACCTGAAGTAGAACGTAAACTACTTCAGCGTCTGCGGAAGAAGGCTGCAACCTACGCACAGGATGTCATTGGCGAGGACGCGCCATCGCCCTGCGTCGACCAGCAAAATGCGAAGTTAGACGTCGACGGGGTTGTAGACTTCTATGAGAATTGGTTAATCCCGTTGACGAAGAAGGTTGAGGTAAATGTCACTTTCGTGATACTTCCCTCGATATATCTTAACTCGCTCGCGGCGATGCTAGGTAGACTACCTTCTTTGTAGGTTGGACGGCTTATCTCAGGAAGATATCGACGCTCTCATGCAGAAGAGCCCGAAAAACAACTTGGCACTGTAATTGTAATCCAGCAAAGTACTCCTGTACTCCAGAATGATGCGGTCCAAGGAATGGTATGTAGGTATCAATCGATCAACAACAGAGCAGAACGCATAGGCTAGGATCCGTATTAGAAGCTACAATGATACACAGGGTAAATAGAGAATAGGGAATATGTGAGCAATAAATCAAGAAAGAAAGCTAAATCAGTGTGAGATCGGTGTCATAAAGACTGCCGTGTAAAAAATCCAGACCAGCGGAAGGAAATATCAAGTCGTATCTACAGGCCCAGTTCTATTGTTCCTACAGTCAGCATGCGGGGATGAGGGGAACACAGCGAAGACTTACCTTCGAACAGACGTATTTGCTCCTTCTCAGTTATATGACTAGTTGCACGACGAGCAAGGAGTTTCTCTGTCCTATACTTCTCGTATAACACTTCTTTAGTGTGTATCTTCAACACCTGTTCGAAAGCACGAGTTAGTCACCCCTCGGAAAGGTCGGGAGATGTTGCAGGTACCTTCAAATGAGTGGAAAGCACTGCTGTTCGTAAAGCTGCAAAATCGCAGTGGTCAGGGTTCAACACATCGATCGTCCCCCAACGGTATTTCCGTACAAACACCCCCTTCAAGTCGTCAGGGGGTCCGTCGAGGTAAGCCGAATTACGCCTACTACTCGCGATAACAGAGGCAGGAGTCATCGGTACAGTTTCCGTATGCTGCGAATGTCCATCGTCTGAAGTCGCCGCAGGTGTCGAAGGGGCTACGCTCGACACTTGGCTGGCCGTAGATATCGGTCGTGCGCGACGAGCGGTTGATTCTGGAGTGATGACAGCAAATGGCATCATATCCGAAAAGTCGGTTCGCGCAACGACATGAGCAGAGAAGCGAACATTGGCCACACTGTCTGTTTCGATGTCTGGAAGTATAGGTCGAGTGACATCCAATGCAGCTTCAGAGAGGTCGCGGCGGGATCGCGAACGTGACAAGGCGCGGTGTTTACTGGGACGTAATCTGACTACTGGTCGCGAATTTCGCTCTTCTTCGTCCTCTTCCTCACTTGCGTGCGCGTCCCCATTAGTAGGTGGGTTGGCCCCGTTGGAATCGGTAAAACGGGTTTGCCGTTTGGGGGTGTCCGAGGGTGAAGTTGTCGAAGGGGTGGCAGGGGCGAAGACTCCGAAGTCGAGGCCCGCACCACGTAAGCCTTGTCGGACGGCTTCTTTGACTGCAGCAAGCTTGTCGTCAGTCAAGGAGTCTGCGTGGGCAATTATTGGTATAACGTTGCAGCGGGCAGAAATCCTGCGAATGACGCGAATTTCAGCAGGAGACATAGTCAATGCTGCGTCAGTGTCATCGTCGTCAGATTCGCCTGAGACGTCCGGGATCAAGTCTGGAAGATGGTTTGAAACGGTAGCTTCTGAGCGAGAGCGCGTTGGGAGAGAGGCGGAGGCACGACGAGCAGCGTCAGTCATGACAGACGTTGGGTCTATCATGTATATACACCTGGCATAGCGTAAATATATTCAATTCTGGCGAATATGGTTATTACTCACAAATGAATGTGTTGATCGCCTTTACTTTGACGTACAACCTTAGACTCCTAATCGCTCGCCGCAACGCTACTTAGTCCGATGTGAGGCTTGAAGGCTGAGTTAACTCACTTCGCTCATGGTATCCGCATACTGCGCGTCAATATATTTCATAACCCCGTTCACCTGCCTTTCCAACTTCAACTCGCGTCCCTCTCCAAATTCCAAGCCAGGTGTGTCGATGACAGTAAGGAGAATGCGGTCGAACTTGGATTCACATATTTCCACGCAGGCAGTCTGGATGGACGATGTCGGCTTTGTGGTCCCACGAAGGAAACGGTCGGCAGCGGCGCGTTGATCAACTGTCGCGGTTGGTGATACGTCTGCAGTTTCCAACAGCAGGCGTAACAACGACGTCTTGCCCGTGCCTCTGGCTCCGGCAACCTGGAACGCAAGTGAGCTTCCACCGTGGACGCGGAATGTTAGAGTCTTCGAAGCTCACCATGAGATTGAACGTAGGTGGTACACGAGCTCTCTTCTGGCTGTAACGACCAGATATGGAAGCATGCTCATTCTTGTGCCTGTCAAAGGCCGAGGGTGGATTGGACATGTACAAAGAGAATATGGGCCCATCGTGTGGTTTTCCTGGAGACCCGCGAAACGGTTTATGGAATGGAATTGTGGAACTGCTATCGACTCCCTGGAAAGATGTTTTGACCGCACCTTGTTGTGGATGATCGGGAGGTGGTGTCTGCCGAATTGAAGCCACGTCCACGAGGTTTTTGGGCCATGGGATACCTTCGCTGTTTAGCTCGGGAAGCGAAGGAGAAGTGCGGATCTGGGAAGCGTCCTGGGCCTTCTTGCTCGACCTGCGTCGGAAGGAAAACATATGGAACGGAAGAAACGAGAGTGGTGGCGCGAAGGAAAAGGAGAATCGTGCAAGGCTCAGCGCTGGATTCTCAAAACATACAGTTTGTTCAGGGTCATGTGCATCCCAACCCAAAAGTGGCACAGAAGCCTAAGCCGTACTGCCACCAGCTGCCAAAAATTAGATTTACAGCCTGAAATAAGGCGTCGTGTACTTCAAGTCTATATTTCGATGGGACAACATTGTATCGAGCGAGCTACCACCAGCTAAAACTGAAATATGAACAAGAAAAAATACAATCATTGTCCCATTTGGTCACAGCTAATACCCTGAGACAGAGAAGAAGGGAACTGAGCAAAGCGTAAAGAAAGCACACGGTGCAAGGAGAATCAACAATACCGTAACAAAGATATTCTACAATCTTGAAGAAATGAATGATACAAATTCTTTCCCCCTTATACACCGCTGGTCATGGGGATGTCCTCGTCCATTTTGGCTTTCTTTGATGGTCGCTCAATCTCGTCGACGTCCATTGCGCGCTTCGACTGAAGGTCGTGTTCGTCGACGTCCATATCAACACGCACTTGGCCATAGGCATCGGCGGGTGTAGGAGCCATGCGTGACGATTGGGCAGACGGGGGAGAGCCCGGTGCCGATGTTGGTTGACCTCTGGAAGCTCCAGAAGCTCGCCGACCCCCTTTCCTACCTCCATTGCCGCCCGCAGAGTCATGCACGTAGTTGCACGGAAGTTGTCTACGAGCGCAGCTCGAACAAGCGGGGTGGGCACCATCACATTTAGTCTTGCGTGCTGATAGAAACAAAATCATCATTAAACGACCGTTGATATTTTGGTGAGGATCATTTTTGACAAACCTCGGCAGAAATTGCATGCCACAACTTTTGGTCCGGAAGTCGTGGGCGCTCGGTTAGTTTTACCAGGGACTGTGGCTGATCTCTTCCTTTGTGCTGCTTGTTGATCGGATGCAGGTCGAATGATAGGCAATGTGGGGGCAGACATAGGCGCGGCCGAGGGAGGTTCTGGCAAGAGTGTTGCGATGTGTGGTAACTCGTTGTCCGCAAATAAGTGCCGATTTTCGGGAATCAAGGGTTTCGACCGAGATGACGACGCCACGGATGATGGCGGGAGTGATGATGGAGGTAAAGAGGACGGAGAAACATCAGGGACTGGCAAGACGGGCGGTGGAAGATTCTCTATTGGGTACTTGTCCACGTTGGAACTTCGTCGTGAGCGAGATAGCGAGGGAACATCAGGGGAGAGTGATGGTTCCTCATCGGGAGACCTATCGTCCGCACTATCGCTCTCACTCTCATCGGGTTTGGACGTCTTCGCGTTCCCCCTGCGTTTGTTCTGTGGTTGGTAGTCACATGGATTGTTTCGTTTGACGCATTGCCCGCATGCCGGACGACCGCCATCGCACTTCAGCTTCCGAGCTACGTAAGATCAACGATTAGACGCGGATCAGCATGAGGTTAGGGCCCAAAGAATTGGGTATGACATTCAACTCACAGCGACAGAAATTGCATGCCACCGTTATTTTTTTGGTCCGTTGCCTGGAAGAAGCTTCTAAAAGGAAAGGTTAACGCGGAGAATAAACCGAGGCACTTGTACCAGCTCACTGGGGGCAGAGCCCGAGGCCCTCGAGGAGGCTGCGGGAGTATTGAGGTCAGGTAGCGCTCTGTTCATTGGCACGCCACGCATATCACTGGGTAGCGATGGTGCACGAGACATGGACAATGAAGGATGTCGCGCTGGATGAGGGGCAGTATCAATAGCCAAAATGGGCCGGGTAGCATGAGAAAGAACTGAGATAGTGTGCGGCGGGGTTGTAAGAGTACCCTGGATTGAATGTTGAGAAGTGGGCCGCTGCAAAGGTTGACAGTCGATTCGAAACTTGTCAAAGAGATATTCGCGGGTGTACTTTTGTAGAGTCTAGCCAGACATGAAGAATGCGTCAGAGACGTTCTAGCAGATGAACCGGAAGAACTATTACCTCCATGTGATGAAAGACGGCGGCGCGAAGTGGTACAAAGTCGTTGTGCATGGGGTCCAAGACGTCCATCGAGCCCCATCGGTATGATCGAATGTACTTGCCCCGAGGTAGTTTAGGGGCCGAAGGGACGGCGGACAACGGTGTGTACTGGATGACTAGCTCGTGTCGCGAGGGGGCGACTCTTTGAACACCGTCGCTGTGAGAATAGATATCGGGTGAAATGAGTGCATATGGCAAACGCAATAAAGGAGTGACGGGGGAGCCAGGAGGTGTAATGTTGGCAGAACCAGGTCCATTTGGGTGACCGGGATATCCGTTCGGCTCATTCTTCATTGAAGACGACGATGATTGAAGGTGATCATCGTTGGTGATGGGAGTATCCATATCAAAAATACCAAATCCAATACCAGCGGAGGCTAAATCTCGCCTAATGGCGACCTTAATGGCGGCAAGGCGGTCATTGGAGAGCATGTCGGCTTTGGCGATCACGGGAAGGACGTTGACTCGGGCCGACAAGCGTCTAATGGTGGTTATGTCTGACGGTGGAAGCGTTGGGCGGCACAAGAGCGGGAGGTTGGTGACGGGAGGTTCCAGAATGACCGGTTCCACGTCCGACTGGTGGGAGAAGCTGTTCGTACGGGCGCGAGGTACCAGCGGAGCGGGCGGGCCTGGGACTGATGGAGGCACGATGTCGTCTGGGTCCAGAAAATATATACATCTTAGAAGGCGGGATAGACATGAGTCCCTTTTCGGACAAAGGGCTGTGAAACGGCAACGGAAATGTTGACTACGCACAGATGTATATATCGATCTCCCGTCAAGGCCTTGCGTTCCTGATGGATGGTAAATCAAGTAAAACGGAGAAACGGGCGGGGGTTGACTTACGTCTTCGAATCCCTCTGCGAAGCGAGAGTCGATGTACCGGAGCATCTCCACGACGAGCCTCTCGGAAGAAACTTCATCTCTGAAGTCCAAGGAGGGGGTGTCGATGAGAGACAGAGTCAATTGCTGGAAGCCGTCGTTAAGCTCGGTGTTGACATCGATGTCGATGGATGCTGTGCGTATGTGATTGGTGTGGCCGCTGCAACCTTGAACGAACTTTGCGACGGCGGCGAGCTGATCCTTGGAGGCTGTCTGGGCGATGTCGCTCGTGTCCAGCAGCAGTCGAAGAAAGGACGTTTTGCCTGATCCGTTTGAAGGGGGTTATACACACAAGCACGATGCACACTACTCGAAGAGCACGGACCTCCTCTGCACCCGGCGACCATCAAGTTGAATTCTGGGCGGGAATTATCTACAGCGAACCGTTTAGGCTACAAGCGCAGACACTGAGGCTGTGATGCAGTCCACTGACCTTGACGATCATTATGGACGTCTGCTCCGGGCTGGGCACCGTTGGGGGCGCCATTGAAGATGGGCTTTGCACTGGCGTCGTCGTCTGGGAGTCTTAGCCGGGAGTCATTTGGAGAGTTCATCAGGAAAGGGGGAGGAGGGGACGGGAGGAGGGAGAGGAGGAGGAAGGGAGGAATCCGGTGGAAGAGACCGCTTGCTCCAGGTTTTGGCCGCAGGCCAGACGGGCGCGGGGCTGATCCAGAAAAGAGAAAAGGTGATGGAAGCTCACGGAGCCGACAGGTCGAACCTCGCTTTCCTCCGATTGGCTCGGTGGGGTTTCTGGATCAAATAATTTCGCAGACGGATAAATTATACAGGAAATGTTACTATACTAGCAGTTATGTAAGTCGTGAGTTATCCCATTAACCGAGCCAATAAGTCCCAACCATATGCGTGGGAGCCGTAGCCATGCGCTTCCACAACTCGTGTCAGGGGCTATGGAATGCATGCCTATGGCAACAGATACGTAAACTGAAAACCGGATCGGCCTATCATCCATCAACACTCCGGCCTCATTATTGCTGTGGGCAAATCCACATACAAGATTACCTCCGAATTATCACCCCTCTTCCCCCCTCCGCCTCGAGGGTCCCATGCTCGAATGCCCTTCGTCCTCGTCCTCCGAGCCTTCGTCGTCGTACTGTTGTGTAGTTTCCGAAATTGGTGTCTGTGGTGGTGGCGAGTCGCCCTTCTGGGAAGGTGATGCCGTCCCTGATTCTAGTCGTCGGGATTTGGATCCCTTAGGCGCCCGCCCTGGTCCGCGTCTTCGAGGCTGTGCCTCGTAAAAGCACTCCTTATTCCGCTGCGTGCAATTATAGCAGGACGGGCGCCCCCCGTCGCAACGGAGCTTCCTGCCTGCCTCATAGTCAGTAACTCGAGCAGACCGCCGGTGTAATTTGCATACCTCTGCAGAAATTGCAGGCAACTTCCGTCTTCCTTGGTCCTCGGGGATGACGTACCGCCGGCGTGCGACCCCTTGACGGACCCTCTCCCTCTGTCACAACCTCGGGTGTTCTGGATAGCGGTGTGGGCGGATCGGCGCTTTCACTGCGCGTGCTGCTGCCGGCATCCCTCCTGGCAAGCAGAGGCCGAGTATGCTGTTGGGGATCCGGTTGAGCAGACGGATGTGTTTCGTATCGGGCGGCAGATGTGCTGGGGTAAGACTGACCAGACCATGACTGCGATACCCCGCCTTCAGGGTATGGATATGAGGCTCGTGGCGGTTCAGAGTGTGTGAGTCTTGCCCCTGGCTCATAACTAGGCGCTGGTTGTGAACACACAATCGGCTAAGTCTACGATTAAGAGACAGAACTGAGAAGGTGCTCACGATGAGGCGGCGGTCGTATTTGGACCGGACGCGGAGGCATTGGAGGAGGGCTGATACGTGGCAACCTATATCTGGGCCCCTCGCCGAGCTCTCTGTAATGTTGCGCGTGTTGCAGCGATGAAGGACCCGCTTCACCCTCTTGCCACACTGATGGATGCCTCGGCGGCTCCTGAAACTGGGAGCTGGAAATGAACGGTGGCTGCCTAGGCGGGGTGCTCGAATAACCTGGGCTAGGGCTCCGTTGACCGATGAGGGCAGCGGGACCAGGCAAAGGGCGAATTGGATCCACGACCGATGCACCGCGTCCATGGCCAGGATGATAGTGGGGGAGGCCGCCAAGGGGGATTTGGGGTGCCCCCGACAAAGGCGGCAAGGTATCATCGTGAAATCGCCCCTCTCGGTGAGAAATGGGTTGTGGAGGCTGGTCGCGCCTTATTATATGGCGTCGCAAGCTTGGAGGTAGCTCACTGGTGTTCTTCTCCTCCATATAAGGAATGAAAGTTGCCTGAAGGAGGAGAAGCTTCTCTGTGGAGGCTAAGTGAGAGGTTGGAGACAGAGAAGGGCGTTCGATGCTTGAGGGGGGGGAGCTACGGAAGCATATGGCGGCAAAGAGGCAGAGTCTGCAACGTGGTTTGCAGAGATACCGAGGCTCGTGGAGGAGTAGATCGCTGAGTCCTGTTTTCCAAGCGGTAAAAAGGGATTTCGAGATGGATGGTGGATAGGGGTTTTATATACTGAATCTTATCCATCGATTTTGAGAGTAGCCCATGTGTTTAACCGTATAGCAAATTCACGACCATGGTCTGCATTCCTCGAGCCCAGAAATGGCGGTTTCAGGAAATATCGATGATAGGAGGTGACGATCTACCTGAGCTGACCTTATACCTTAATTTTTACATAACCTCAGCCGGTCCGGCGACTGTCCATCAACTTGCGATCGAGTCACACAATTCTCTGCCTGTGATTTGCTACCGCCACAATGTCCAGCCTCAAACGTACGCCTGCCGCAACACGCCTCTTCTCCTCGTCCCACAGATGGCGCGACGCCCCCGTCATGAACCGCTACAGCAGGCTCGTAACAGAGCCAAAGGACCAAGGCGCCAGCCAGGTGCTGCTTCCCTTTTCAACACCCACAACGTGGCATCTCAACATCATGTTATAGGCAATGCTTTACGCGACCGACGGTATCAAAACCGACGAGGACTTTAAAAAGGCTATGGTGGGCGTGGCTAGCGTGTGGTGAGTTTTGCACATCAGCGACGCGTGGTTTCCAACTTAAAGCCGCGTGTCAGGTATGAGGGCAATCCGTATGTTTTCATTCAACTCCACCCAATGGCAGAATCGTTGAACAAGCCATAAAGATGCAACACCCACATTCTTGGGCTTGGGAAGGAAATCAAAGAGTCCTTGAACAAGGCATCACTGATTGGTTACCAGTTCGGCACGGTCGGTGTAAGCGATGCTATCAGCATGGGCACATACGGGATGTCATATTCCTTGCAATCACGCGACCTTATTGCGGACCAAGTTGAGACAGCTGCAGGAGGTCACCATCTCGACGGAATGGTTGTCGTACCAGGTTGCGACAAAAACATGCCTGGCGTCCTCATCGCTCGTACGTTACAAACCCCTGGCGGATGCTAATATCATATCTGACATTATTTTCCGCCCAGTCGGCCGCCTGAACCGACCAGGTATAATGGTTTATGGCGGCACGATCCGTGCTGGTTCATGTGACGGCATGCCCCAGATCGACATCGTCTCCGCGTTCCAGTCGTACGGGAAATTCCTGCAAGACGGCAAAACGCCTGAAGCTGAACACTTCAGGTACAACACAGTTCGCCATGCTTGCCCCGGCCCAGGTGCATGTGGAGGCGTAAGTCTTATTGTTATTCTAACTTCACCCCCTCAACCCCAGCCCCTAATTCTAAGTATATTTCCGTTAATTACGATCATTCATCGTATATTTCGCCTCCGTTTCAAACACAAATTAACGATCGTCGTTTCAACCCATGTTCTAGATGTATACCGCCAATACGATGGCCTCCGCTGCGGAGGCCCTTGGCATGACCCTGCCTGGCTCCTCCTCTTTCCCGGCAGAGTCAGCCGACAAGCACACTGAATGTGCATCCGTTGGGGAACACATGTACAACCTTCTCGCTAAAAACATCCTTCCTCGGGACATAATGACACGGTCTGCATTTGAAAACGCAATGGTATGTAATGTTCATTCCCCTTTTCTGATCAGTGGCTGAACTCAGGGTATCAACAATTTGCATGGACGCTCCTAATCGATTTTTGATACCGTGAAACTTTGTTCTTTGATCTTATCGGACGGCCGGAATTTTATTACATCCGCTTTGCGGGGTCATAGGTGTTGACTATGATCTTGGGCGGCTCAACAAACGCCGTCCTGCATCTAATCGCTATAGCTCATTCAGTCGGGATCCACCTTACCATCGACGACTTCCAGAAGGTGTCAGACCGCATACCCTTCATTGCCGATATTAAGCCAAGCGGCAAATATGTTATGGAACATATATATAAAATCGGTGGAATACCTAGTAGGGATCCTTCCTCGGTTTTTCCTCGACTCCTTTAACGGTTTAAATTTTTGCTTGCAGAAATCCTTCATTTCCTGCTCAAAAATAATTTAATTGACGGGAACAACATCACGGTGACAGGTCGCACCCTCGGGGACAACTTGGAACGGTGGATACACAAGTATGGCGAGCTGACCTTCCATGATCAAGATGTCATCCGTCCTCTCAACAATCCAATCAAATCGACGGGTCACATCAGGTATGCAATGTCGTGTGAAGCTCCGATACTTATCTCTCTCGTTCTTGCCCATTTTATTTTTCTCTGTCCCCACTTCGAAGCCATCATGACGTTAGCCTTGGACCTTCTTCGCGCCGTAACGAGCGGCTACATTCTATGTGCCTTCACTTCGATCCCATTTCCCGTTGCTACCACTCACGCTCCTCATTCTTTGGGAATTTTTACTAACGACGTGGGTTACTAGGATCCTGAAAGGCAATCTTGCTCCTGGTGGCGCTGTGGCCAAGATCACGGGTAAAGAAGGTCTTGGATTCACAGGAAAAGCCAGAGTATTCGACTCAGAGACGGACTTTGTAAGCGCCATAGAAAGCGAGTCGATTAAGAAAGGCGAAAAAACCGTCGCCATTCTCAGGTACCTTGGTCCGAAAGGAGGCCCTGGTAAGTTTGTTCTTTGTTCTTCTACGCACATGCGCCGGTGGATTTGGCTGACGAAGTCTTTCCTTATCCGTTGCTTTTGTTGACAGGAATGCCCGAGATGCTTAAGCCCACGAGTCTGATCATGGGTGCAGGTTTGGGCCTTGACGTCGCATGCCTTACTGATGGCCGATTTAGCGGCGGGTGAGTACTTTCGAACTTTATTTATTCGTCCTCGTTCCCGCGAGAGCGCCCTTCCATGCTGCGTGATATCTGCTCTTCTCTTTAACAGCTTGCTTGCCTCGGTCACAGGACTGCATTCTGATCATCAAATTCTTATTGAATGCGATTTGTTTTAGATCTCACGGTTTCTGTATTGGCCACGTTGTACCCGAGGCTCAGGAAGGTGGACCGATTGCCCTGGTGCAGGACGGAGATGTTATCGTTGTCGATGCCGTGAAGAACACCATCGATCTACAAGTTTCCCCTGAAGAACTCGAAGCGAGGAGAGCCAAGTGGGTCGCGCCCCCTCTGAAGGTCTCAAAAGGTACCCTATACAAATACACCAAGACCGTCACAGATGCAAGCAGGGGGTGCATTACGGACGCCTGAGAGTCAAGAGGATGAAATCTACGAAGGGGTGGTTAAAAGTAGCCATATACTATTAATACTCGGCGATATGCGATTAAGCTCGCGCCGTTTTCTTGATAAGTCTTTTCTTCTCTGCCTTGGGTGTTTTGTTTTTGCGCTTCTCCCTTGCTTCAGCTTTGGTCGTCTTTTTTCGTTCCTGCCGGAGCAATTGAATTGAGTTGACCAACAGAGATAAACTTTATCTGGTTTCTCACCTTTTTTGCTTCTTTATCTTCGAAGCGATGTCCTCGTGGTTTGCGCCGCTGATCTCCAACAATCGGAGCATCCGAGTCTCCTTCGTCGGAGTCCTCATCTTCGGGCTCACTAGAATCATCCTGGGAGACTGACGAGTCGTGTCCACCGGGTACTACGTCAGCAACATTTTCGTTGACAATGCCGAGCGTATTGGCGTAGATGAGCTGCTTTGCCTCTCCTCTCGACACCGCCGCTATGTCCCTCTCCGGGTCCAGTACGTCGTTCAGTGACCGTGGAATATAAGAATGAAGGAAAACCGAGTCCTCGTGCTTTGATAGGGACGCCTGTCGCATGTCACCGTCCCCGCCTTCGCCAACGCCATCGTGGGGTGACCCATCTTCGCGAGGTTCTGGGTTGCGAAGCCAATTTGTCAGGATCTCTGCGTCAGATACTGGCTCCCCGTCACTGTCTGGGGATAGCCGATCTCGCGTCACAAAGTCGAATGTTCTTCTGAGGCCCAAACAAGTGACGCCTAACCTTCCGAAGAATTCTTCTATGTTGGTGATATCGCTTCGTAAAAAATCGAAAGCAGACGGATGGTCGTGTTCGACACTTTGCGAGACGTCGATAATGAAGAGGTGGGAGTCGTGGTAGAGAATATTGTACTCTGAGAGATCCGCATGCACTAACTTGCACTGGTGATAAAGCTGGCGAGTGGTGAGAACCAGCTCCTGATACAGTCCAGGCAATGCACCCTCGGGTAACTGAGCGTCTTTAAGACGAGGGGAAGGCCTAGAAGACGTTATGTCAGGTTAAGGAGAATCAAGCCTAGCTGGGGTAGACATCAAGTTACCATCCTTCAGAATCCCCAAGGAACCTCATGACAAGGACGTTCTCCCGCACCTCGACAGGTTCAGGGCATCGGATACCGGCCATCGACAGCCTCTTGAGATTCCGCATTTCTTTCTCGGCCCAGAGTCGAACCATCTTTCGTGGATTGTGTCGATTGTACCCTCGACGGAAGCGGAATTCGCCAGCCACATAGCGGTCTCGATCCTTGAAGACCAGAATGGAAGTCTTGAATATCTTTACCGCAAGATGGACGGCTTCAGGTGACAGAGCGTGGTAGACGTTGGCCTTCAAGATTACTTCATAAATAAACAAAATGATGGAACCTGCGCGAGCTGCCAACTCTTACTTCTTTCCCCGTGCTGATGCAACCGTTGATTTCTTGCAGTATGCCACGGCCAATCATTTTGAAGAGAATTATCCGCGTTCGAGGATCCAGGACTTGTTCAGTGGTAGCACGGTCGGCTTTGTCCTTCATGTTTGCGTACGAGCTGGGACCCTTTCGGTTCACGCCTACACCCATATGCTGAGAATATGGCGTATCTATCTTGGATATCCGAGACGCATATTTGGACAGCGCCTCTAGCTGGTCCGCCGTCTTGTCTGGCGAATGAGAAAGTGCGGTCGCGTTTGACACGGCTAATTTTCGACTTTGTGGATGGTTTACGGCCGGCAGAACCGCGACTTTGCTTGAGTGATCGATGGAGGATTGTGAACTCTGCGCTACTCCAGCGCGCACAGCAACATGCTGGCGTAGTCGGTTATACTGCTTCGTGAAATCTATCTTCGTCGTTCAGATCTAAGCTACGGTATTCCGATTGACCATACCTCGTTCAGCGTTTTCCCAATCTTCATCTTCGACTCGAATGCTAACGTCCTCGCCAATATCATCATCTAGATCAGATAGTGGTTCATCGCTGGATTCAGGCCAATCTGCATTATCTTCATCTATGTATGTATGGCCATCTCTGTTGGTAGAGTCAATGGGCGCATCGGCGAACTGCCCTAGTTGAATAGACATATTGAGGTCAAGGATTTTGGAGAAAGGGGTGCTATATATTTAAGGTTTGGCGATCGGAAGTACTTTGGCATTGGAAAATAATAAGCATAAATAGATACCTATGTCACCGAACGCCGTCTGGCCCTCAGTGGAACCTTTACAATCATCACTTAAAAGCTTCGTGAGATCTCAAGAGGATGACTGGAGGAGATATTACTTACAAATCGTTGTTGCGTGATTTCGCTTCACTTTTAACTAAAGGAACACGTTAAATAAGTTGAGGAATCTCTACGAAAGGACTTACCTCCACATCGTGCCCCCAGATGACAAGGATGTCACCGTGGACAAGCGACACGGACATTTGTTTTTCTTTCTCTTCTGGAGGACTTCTAACGACGCTTGAACCAGAGAGCCTGTCGTATCGTCTTGTTTGCTCTTTCCTTTCCTTGTAGATACCTTACTGCGAGTCGTAGAGTCGATTTCCTTGATGCTAGCCGATGTTTCGGGTGTAGGCAGGGCACAGAGCGAAATCAACGCACTACTGCCCAAACACTGGACGCAAATAGCATTTTCTCGGGCCTTCAGGACTTGCGTTTGCTTGAAATTCGGTTGAAGACATCATTCAGCATAACGATTCGCAGAAACGCTCACTTTCGTTGTTCCTGCGCTCGGCCAGGCAATCACCGTGACATCAGGCGAAAATCGGCTAACTCTGAAATCTCCGCGTTGTTCAGCAAGGCGAGATAGGCGTTCTGCTTCGCTCGTGACAGTTCCCGATGCTTCCGACCAATAGAGCTTCTTGACGCCCATACCCAAGAAATCGGCACCGACCACATACGAGAAATGTGCATAATCTACAAGGTATCAGGAAATAGAATAGCAGGCGTGGACAGGCATACCCAAGCTTCCTTGCTCCAATAGGATGTCAGTCTGAATATCGCGGAACACACGAGTTGCATCTTGTTGCAGGCTGCTTCGATTGTGCGTGAATATATGTTTGATCAGTATGGGCACAGAAAGGACGGATGAATAGTCGTATGTCGTTGTGCCGCTGTCATCTACATGTAGAGGAGTCAATGGGGGGCACTGAAGGGGTGTCGCAAAAGGCATCGCATCCTGGGGCTGTCGTATTTTCTGAAGCTCTAGGGCGTATCCTCTTCCCAAGGGTTTATCCTGGCAGCGTGCACTGTCAGCACAGTACAACAACTGCCGTTTGTCAACGATACCTTGCAAGCTCTGCTCAAGCAGATCCGGTGTCTAAAGTAGACCTGAGGGTTCAGACGTCCACAATCCATGCAAAACCAACCAGATGGGAAATTTGCGTCGTCATCAACCTGACCAGGCATGTGGAGTAAGTAGAGGGGAATTAGACAATTGTATTTCTGGCCGACGTCGCCGAATTGAGGGTACGCTGTGGTATGCTCGTCCCGTCTTTTTTGGTAGTGTTCCGAGGACACAGTTGTAATCACTTCGTGCTGCAGTGGATGTGAGTCATTCCGCCACCAAGGTCTCAAGACCGCGTCGGTGTTGTCAGACAACAAGTATTCACCTCCAGGCGACCACTTGAGCCGGAAGCGCCAGTTGAAGCGGGTGGTGGACCGCCCTTTTACGGGTGTTTCCTGTGGTATAAATTCCTCCTGATCGAGGGTTTCAATGACATTTCCTGGAAATGTTGGGGAAAGATCGACCAACTGTGACTGCAGTAACTTGATAGAACCCTAGTATCACCCAGCCATAATCTTGGCTGAGCACAATAGGAAGTTTCTCGCGTGGTGCAACAAGCACAACAGGAATCCCTCTTATATAGGCATTAACTAGAATCTCTATGTCCTGAGGAAGCCCGGCGGGTATCGGCTGATTGTTAGCGCTTCCCTCCACGATTACCTGGGATTTGGGGTCGGGTGAGGGCGCGGGTGGGAGTTCAGACATATAACTCTCTGTCATCGCCCCAACCGGCGTCGGAATGTCTTGCTTGGGCGAATTGACTGATGTTTCCATGACTTGTGGGGGTGGTGCAGGCGCTTGCTGCTGATTGTCCGCCGGCTCACCTGCAATTGCCTGGTATTCGAGATGAACGGGGTAGGGTGTGGACAACAATCCAGACGTAGTCTGTTTCGTTATTGCCCTGGCCGCTGCCGAATCCTCTTTTGAAGGTGCATTGACTGAAGCTCCTATGCCTTGGTGGGGTCCTGTAAGAGCTTGACGGTCGTTCGCTACACCGTTTGCAATCATCTGGGAACTAGGCTCAGAGGGGAAGGATGTAGGAATAGTGCTGGGCATAGAATTCTTGACTAGCATCGTAATGCCTAGTGGAGTATCTTCTGCTTTGCTTAGTGAGATCTCTGGAGTCTGAGCTTTGGGAGAATGATCGGGGTGCTGGAGAAGAGGGAGTTCTTCATCAGAGACTTCTTGTGATTGAGTGATTTCTTCGGCCGTCGCAAGGGCTTCAGACAAGTCGTCCTGGTCCTCGTTGTTGTCCTGGATGAGTGTCATCGGCTCGTCTTCAGGCTCCAGAACGGGGTCCACGCGTAAGTGTCGCGGAGAGGCAGGTAAGGGTTTCGCTGGGTATAAATATTCTTGCGTCCTACAGAGAGGATTAGCGAGCGAACGTGAAAATCCGGAAGCTACAACTACATACATCGACAATTCCAAAGTCATCATATTCTGAGACTCGGCGCTCCATGTTACACTGACCTGATCTTCGAGCAGCATTATGGGACTTTCTAGGGACTTCCACGACAGTCCGTTGGTGGGTTTCGAGAGTTCCGGGATGACATGCACGAGGTCTTCTCTACACTATCGAAGATCAATGCGTTGCTCCGAAACGAAAGACTCATGGAAACAAAGCATACCGACGCCCATACACGAGGTCGTAATTCAGGATTGTTATCACTATATTCGACGGTAGCATTGTGAAGGCCTCGGTCCTTGTCTTCAGAAGACTTCGGCGGCGTAACAACTTTCCATTGCACTTGACATGCGTTGTTGTCGGCATCTGCGAGGGATTGTGAGATTGGAAACTGAGGGGAAAACTTTGATTGACCAACACTTTGCGGAGCGCTTAGTTGGTTTTCGTCGTGATGTGCCAGCACTGCGCAGTACTCCTGGGTCAACCACTTTCTTCGGCTTCCCAGGCCGGTGCATGGGAACCTCGAGATTACTGGGGCCAGCGCTGACCGGTACCATGGCGGTTGCTGCAGCATAATCGCCTACAACTGGGAGCGAATCTGGGTTCCCACTTTCTGTATCGTTATATGAACTCGGTTACGCTGAGTATATCGGCGGAAACTACCTGCTGTCGTCGGTTGCCCTACGCAAGAAACGATACCGACTAGAGGGTCTGGAGCCTCAGGAGCAAGCACAGTGGTAGCGGCCCCCCTATCCTTCTTGATAGACTGCTTACGCGTTGATGGCGATGGCTTTTCCTTCGTGGTCTTGGAAATACGACGTTTCTTTGCAGCCGAAGGTCCGTCAACGGTTAATTTTGCCTGACGTTTTACCTGTTTCTTCGCAGGCGGGGCGCTAGGCGATGCGGTCATAGTTTCCGCATGTTCTGCCTGCCCAAGGGCAGTTCGTTCAGTTACTGGTGTGATCCTGGCAGGCATATCGCGTGTTTTTGGCTGCTCAGCCCAATATCTGCAGCGGAGTGGTTCGTGGCAGATCAAGCACAAGGCCTGCTGCCGCTTTCTCTATTCCGGCTTCCTGTACACAGTAACCAGAGAGTGCCCCGTTAGAGTGTATCTTGCGTAGAAATACATGGCAAAAATGAACTTATGATGATGACTCTGCAACAGAAAACGTCCGTGCGGGCACTCAGCGTGCTTTGCAGATGGGAGAGCACACGTAGCCAGCCGTGTCAAATTGATTCTTCCGAGATGCAAGTTCGATTCAACCACAAGTTTGTGATCAACATCTAAACCGACAAGTGCTCGGGTTTGGAAATATTTTCCCGCCACCTTCGCATGGGTGGGCGCTTACTCGATCTCTCAATTTCTTCCTTTACACGGTCACTTACACCACTTTCTTGAAGTTTCTTCGATGCCACGACTCAAGTCCAAGCCTCACTAATTCCCAAATTAACGAATATTAAAGTCGTGGTCTACTTAGAATGTCACGATGATTGTCCACGGGTTGCAACTGGCCTCACCTTGACATAGTTTGGAGAATCCGAGAATTAATTGAACTCGTGTTGATCGTAGCACCAGTGCGCAGCACCCAATGGCCTCCTACAAAGGCTCGGCAGATGTATAACACTCTTACTCTTCTAGCATCCCGACCTTTCCTGCCTATAGGCAACGATGATCCTCCCAAGTGACAGTACCGACGATAAGCTAGCTGATTTAGCAAGCTCTGAACATGCCGCACCCGACGCACCTCCTCCTTATACTGAAATTGCCTCACCAGAACCACCCGTGGAACGCCCTTCTGATATATCACATCTGGCAACTTTCTACGATGTCCCACCACTCCTGACCCGTGCAACTGGGTATACGCCTACATCGCCAACGGGCTAATTCAAGACCAATATATCCTCGACCCATCGCTGAAGGTGCCGAATGTGTTGCTCTCGGACTCAGTGGCGGGTACTCACGAGAGTGCGAGGGATACTTTGAATTTGAGATCACAGACTGCGACGATCGATGCAGTAGCCAGGATTGTTGATAGCGGTGGCAGTGGTGTCATGAGGGATGGGGATGCGATGCCTCGGAGGGTTAAGATTGTACTTCACTCGAACACTGGCACCATTATGGGGAAAATCGTATGGCAATCTCACTTGAACTCTTGTTGCCATTTATTAATTATATCGTAGTTATCCGTCGACGGCTCTCCGCCTCCCAAATTCCACCTCACAGCGACGTCTAATACCGGTGCTCTGTATATCCACATCCCCCGTTCCTTCCACGGCCTCATATCTGCCTCTTCATCCACCGGCAGCGTACATCTCTGTCGCGAACTCATGGGAAATGCCACGTTGACCGCTGATGGGCACACGAAGAAGTGTTTCGTTGGCGATTACCCTGACGTCGACGACGATCGCGGAAATGACGGGAGGAAAAATGAATGGGACGAGCTGAGCTTAGAGAGCAACCATGGAGCGATTGTCGTCGAATACGCGGACCAATGGGAGGCGAAGGAGAGGGAGAAGGAAGCGAGGGGGAAGATGAACGAGGGCAAAGGTTTATTCGGTTGGCTTTTCGGGATTTAGCCATGTAATCAGACTCTGCAACTTTCCTCCGAATTGGCGCACTGTGCCCTATGCAGTCACTCGAGATCGTCAGGATCGCCAGGGGCCGATGGGTGTGCTGCAAGATTTCGCTAAGGTCTAAGTGTCACTTACCCATACTACTCACAGGCTGTGGTCACTTGTCTTCTTTACGGCGGTCACACTGCTCGCGAAAGTCCGGAGTAATTCCTTCATGGACGTGACGCTGTCGAAATTCGGAAACTGGTGAAAGTTAGTAGACTTGTACTGGGCGTCTTCACAGATACTCAGCCTTATGCCGTCGGATCCGGGAAACGAGCAATGAGGCCGGTTCAACGCTGCCTACTACGAAAATGTAACCTCGAGAACCCTACACCCCCGCGCGAATGCATCAACTCAGAATCTCAGATGGCACCAAGTAACTACGGTTGTCTATGAACCTTCCCCATGGGCATGATTTTGCTCACATAGTGCCTCATTGATGGCACGCGAGCAAGTTTGGATCGTCAAAATCGAAGTGACTCTTAGTACGCGAAAAAGTAACGAAACGATACATGATAGGACCTTTTGGAACGGAGTCACAACCCGTCTCAATGTTGAGATGGCTGATCGTAGCCTATGTACTCACCAGGCCGTCAAGCTCAAGTTTCATTTCGATTGTAGTGTCTTGAACAAGTCTTGGACTTTCTTGTCTGTCCCAGAAAAGCACGTGATTGTGTCCCATGATCACGACCACTGCGATGTGAGCATGCACCCAGTCAATAACAATTCTGATTGCAGGCCCTTGCTGCAGTGTACAGCAGGCTAAAATACCCCCTACATATACCCTTCGCTACCGGTTTCGTATCGCAAGCATGAGGATGGGAGCACTGAGGGAGGTCAGGCCGGAGTATGAGTTGTCGTAGGGAGACGCAAGGCTGATTAGCGATGGCGCTGGGCTGCTATATGTTATGCTGGGATATAAATTGTACAGGCAAGGTCGTAATTCGAGGGTATCTCACTTTGAGATAAGACGTTTTCGCTGTGAGTTATTTCGTTCCTCTTGGGTAGGGCCGTTTTCAACCAACCTGATTTCTAGAGTCACTCAGTGTCCTTGAATAGTATTAACCCTTCCAATGAACATGAAGACATATTACATTTACCGATTGTTGGGCGGTGGTCCCACTACGCCGTACACTTAGTAAGATAAACCTCGCTATGGCGTGAACGATGCCAATCCTGGACAGAGTAGACGACCTACTTGCTGCCCTTTGTTGGTTTACACTGTTGCTCGCGGGGGTCTACTAATTCGTGGTTTCGATTTCGAGCGTGAGGGCATCCCGCTTTGTGCTCATACTTCAGCGTAGCCAGGTTATTATATCATCCATTGATTCGTTTACAAGCGTGTAAGTGATCTTCATTAGGGCCATTCTTCCCCAGCGGATCGTAGCCTTCCCCTTATCCATTATTAGACGACATCAAAAAGTCTTCTGAGCACCACTCAAGTACTCCAACTCAAGAGACATGGGGCTGAAGTAGATCTCGCTCGTGGCTTTCTGAATACAGACGATCGCAACAAGAGCGTGGCGAGATCTGGTGCGAGCGAGTTAGCATCTAGATATCTATGTCAACTCGAACCCAATCACCGTACCACGTTCATGTTCATGGGGATTCCTTTGGCGTCGAATGGGGCGCATGGGGTGCCTCAGACGCCCAGAATATGCTAGTGACTTGCTTCGTCCTCTGCATGCGTTCATAAATTCTCATACAGGGCTGTTATACCGTTCAAGTCGTGGGCCAATCTCACTTCAATGTGGTTAAACTAAACCGCCCGACCATATAATCAAGGGCATTTGCACCGAGAATTCGATATTCTCGTGCTGACTCCATCAACGGAGGCTCCACCCAAATAGATACAGTGGGAATCAATGGGTCCATCTACGACAAGTGACAGCGTGGTGCGAAATCTTACCTCGGGCTCTGTGCTGATTTTGATTTCCCCGACATGTTCATGGGCCCCACGATCCTACCCCACCTGTGCCGTGAGTCAGCCCTCTGAAAGACATGTCCGTCGATCCCCTCTCCATATTATTTATAGGGGCTGCAGGTGGCTAGATCATCAACTACATTCCATACGCGAAGCGGCTTCTTGAAGATAGAAGCGGAGGGAGTTGTCATAAGCGAGTAGTCACCAAGATAGCGCGTCGACGTGTATCTGGCGGCATGCGATTCTTGGTGTGGTCACAGGAAAGTGTCAAGACGCTGCTATGGGGCGAAGGGCCACCTCTGTATTGCGATGCCTACAAGAAAATGGGGAACCCGAAAGCAACTTCTGGTACTATCAAACGCAGAATATCATCTCCAACAGGTATTGAATAGTTGAATAGTCGCACACGTATCCTCCGTTTGTCCCGGGGTGAACTCGAGTTTAGCTAGGACTTACCTCCTATGAGAGCACTATTATTAAACGACTTTTATCAGGGTGATGGCCGGTCCCAGTGGAAACTTTAGTGTACATACTTCAGCTGTGAATTTGCTCGTTGGAGCAAATGTTGAGCTGTATCTGGAGGTACGATGCCGGCAAGTACAGATTTCGCCGGTAATTGTGCTTATTTGTTTCTAACGTCGAAGCCTTCCGCCACCCCAACTTTCAATCTTGGCAGTGCTTCCACCGCCAGAGAAAGTATCTAACCGAAGCAGATCACCACCGGCAACCAAGCGTCCGCCATATGCACATTGCGAAACGCCTTGCGAGAGATGTTGCTCCCGCATATCATGATGACCCTCCGCAAAACTGCAAGCGCAGCAGCCTTACCTATCTCCCCGAGCAAATATTCCCCATTGTCGCATTGCGCTCACGGCCAACTCCAGAATATATTATACGTCTTACCACTTCTAGAACCACCGGTCACCCCAGAAGTGTATCGTGAATTGTATCTGACATAGGTACCGTACGGAGCCGAGTAATCCTTATCATCAAAGCATGAAGGTTGTTACAGCATCAAATTCCTCTGAGTCTATCACTAGCGATCGCGAAATGCTACGACCCTGGTGTGTGGCCGCCCCCATCTTCTTTGTACGGCGCATTGGATATAACCTGACCGTTTGTTCACCCAAATTTATAACAGACGCCTGGACCTCGGTAAGGCGTTACTGCCGTGCTCTGATCGACGGAGCGATCGATCGATCTACATCCCACTTACAACCCGAGTCCTGTGGGTCAGGGACCCAATGTGAGGCGGTGGCTGAGCCCGACGCACGGATTAGGAAGATGTGCATGCAGCACACTCGAGTTAAATCTTACTCGGAAAAACTGTTGATGTATTATCCCACAGCTGCGTGGTACACCCCAGGAAATATAAGTACCGTATCTATACTCTCATCGAGGATCATCCTACAATGACACCACGGGCCGCTACCACTACTACCACCTCCACAACAACTAATCTGCCTGAGCAGCTCGACGTTCTGCTGGTCGGTGCCGGCTTTGCCGGCATATACCAACTCTACGAGTTCCGCAAGCGCGGGTACTCGGTCAAGGCCATCGAGGCGGCGAGCGAGCTTGGTGGGACTTGGCACTGGAACCGCTATCCCGGCGCCCGCGTAGACACCACTATCCCCATCTACGAATTCAGCATCGAGGAGGTGTGGAAGGATTGGACGTGGAAGGAGCGCTTCCCGGGACAGGGCGAGTTGGAGGCGTACTTCAAGCACGTTGATGAGAAGCTGGACATCAGCCGCGATGTCGTCTTCAACACTCGTGTCCTCTCCGCGAAATTCAACACTACAACGGACCGCTGGGCAGTCACGCTCGACGATGGAAGAACGGTGCACGCACGTTTCCTTTCCCTCTGCACCGGCTTCGCGTCGAAACCCTACACCCCAGCCTTCAAGGGCTTCGACACCTTCAAGGGAGTCAAACATCATACCAGTCGTTGGCCTAAGGAGGGAGTAGAGGTTAAAGGGAAGCGGGTTGCAGTTATCGGCACCGGCGCGACCGGTGTACAAGTGATCCAAGAAATAGGTCCCGTCGTCGGGAACCTCACCGTATTCCAACGCACCCCCAATCTCGCCGTCCCTATGTTTAACCGCCCGGTAGAGGCAAAGGAACAACAACAGTTGAAGGACGAAGGCCTTTACCCCATTTATTACAAACGGCGCACGCAAACGTACATCGGCCTGGACTATACTTGGACCCCTAAGCCGCTGGTTGATCTCACTCCAGAAGCGAGGCGGATCTTCTTCGAAGAACTCTGGGTGCAGGGGGGCTTCCGCATATGGCTTGGCAATCACGAAGACGTGGGCACCGACCCTATCAGAAACGACGAGCTCTATGCATTCTGGCGCACGAAGGCGCTAGCGAGAATCAAAGATAAGAAGATGCAGGAGAAGCTAGCGCCGGCCGTCAAACCACATCCCTTCGGCCACAAACGCATAAGTTGCGAACACGTTAGTACTAGTTTATTTGCTGGCCTAGCAACGATGCTGATTCGTATTTATCTTCACGTCTAGTCGTATTTCGAGATCTTCAACCAATCTAACGTCGAATTGGTTGACATGAGCGAGACCGACATCGTTGAATTCACGCCCAAGGGCATTCGTACAGCCGACAGCGTCGAGCGAGAGTTCGACGTTATCGTTCTCGCAACGGGATTCGACTCCGTCACTGGGGGCATTACCCAGATCGACATAGAAGGACCGAAGGGCACTGTCCGTGACAAGTGGGCGCAAGGCCTCCGCACCTACCTCGGGGTCAGCACCGCCGACTTCCCCAACATGTTCTGGGTCTACGGCCCCCATGGTCCTACCGCCTTCTGCAACGGTCCTTATTGCGCCGTGAGTACGCTTCCCTCCTAGATCCGCATTTCTGGCTTTGATACTCACATATCAAAATTACCCCGTGTTCGCGCACACGTTCCCCTACAGGAGATGCAAGGTGGCTGGATCGTTAATTTCGTCGACAGCGCGAGGAAGAATGGTTATACCCGGATAGAAGCACAGAATGATGCGGAGGAGGAGTGGACTAGACGGGTGCAGGAGGTGACGCCCGTGCCCCTGGATAGCAAGGTCAAGTCGTGGTACTTGGGGTCGAATATTCCAGGGAAGAAGGTCGAGGTGCTAAATTGGGGCGGAGGAGTTCCCCAGTATTACGAAATCGTGGAGAACACGGCGAAGGCTGGGTACAAAGGGTTCGCGCTGTCGAGTGTGGAGGCCAAGTAGAGCACGGTATCCTGTACAATATGAATGTAATATAGACACCGTATCGGCTTCGGGAGACCGATGCAGTAAGGAGCTTTCGCCTGTGACGGTCCGGTTTGGTCCAGTGTCAAAGGATTGCAAGCAACGCAGGTGCGCGGAGATAACGTGATATTACTTCTCTGTGAGTAGTGTAGCAGTAACATGTCGGGACCGTGGGCGGCAGCGCTTGATTGGTAGCGAGTGAGCCGTGATTGATAAAATGAATGCCTAGCATGGGAATCAATCGCATAAACGACCAGAGGCAGAATCAACTACCAGCGCGTACTAAATCATGTTCGGCGATAGGCATTCTTGAGGGAGATGGCGGTATTCAAGTGGAAGACACGAAGGGGGTATAAATAACCTCGCTCGTCGTCGTCAACCCTCAGCGAACCCCCGCTGTCCAATCCTGTAAGCAGTTTGTTGACTTTCACTTGGGCACAGATACTAACTCACTTTATTGGAACAGTTCGTCAGGTCTCCCAACCGTCACTCATTATCACTTCCAAACCCGGAGGCCACCATGCGTACCCAATTCCTCATCGCTGCCCTCGTTGCTTCTTCTGCGCTCGCTCGCCCTCTTGACGCAGCAAACACATCTGCCGTGTCGTCGGTTGTCAAGGACATTACCAGCGTCCCCAAAGCCATCGAGCTAGTCGCTCGCATACCCGCTGAGGCGGAGGATCCCAAAGTGGATGAAGCAGGCGTATTCGAGGTCTTCGAAGCTGCATATAATGCCGTCAAAGAACTCCTCCGCAAGCTCAAACCCAAGGTCAAGATCCCTGGCTACACGCACTACGTTGGTTAAATAGGCCGCAGCCGTTACTTACAACATACAAAGTACAATTTATCATGGCCATCTGGGTAATAGAGAAGCATGAGCGTAATTCCTGCACTCGATAATCGAGAAGCCACAAGCGAAATACACATATCTCTTGAATTGAGTCTTAGATCATGCTCAGTATTTTGCCTAAGTCAGTATAAAGTCCACGTAAGTCCATTTTTTGATGGAATTCGTCAGTTTCCGTACTTTTGATGTAAAAATTCCGGCACCTTCCTCTTTTGATCTTGTGCGGAAGGTCCCGACGAAATCTAAGTCAGTGAAAAGCAAACTTACAGTGACTTAGTTTGACTGGGAATGGGAGCGTAAAGTAATAGGATTCAGACATTGCTTATGTAAGGGGAACTAATCCCAGGGGCGAAGATGCATTAATCGAGAGAACATTAAGGCTCTAGCCTAAGAGCAGTTGCTCAGGAAGTGACAAAGGGGGTATCCTGAGGGTGCTGAATGTCGGATAATGCAGTGGTATTTAGATACGAGACGAGAGACTTGGAAGAGCATGAATACTGGTGACAGGCGCTGGTGCCCCCCTGTCTTCAATTACATAATCTTTTTTGATTTCGATGGCCAGTTCAATTGTTGGACTTCAACGTTTCGACGTTTCAACTCCTCCCCAATGTCCACTTATTTCTTCGACAACCGTTCACAACACTTGGGGCATTCAATGCGGCCCCGAATTGAAGCTCTCGACATCTCTTCTCGCCGTAACGCGCCCCGTGTGGATAACAACTGCTCCAACTCTCTGGATCCACGCGCCTGGCAAACAGACTACTGGCAGGATTCCCATTCCCCTACGCGCTTCGCTAACTATTCCGACTCTCATACTCAAGTTCAAGCTTCCAGACCACTCAATACACGCAATCATCATGCCATGGACACGGAGGGGGTTTGTGAGTACCTTATATTTCAACGTCAATGTGATGCCTCCAGCCAACCAGTTGTATGTATGACTCAGCTATATCCTCGTATCCAAACGATCCCACCCCTTCTTACATGTACCAACCAACTACCCCTGCCAGCCTCCATGAATGGCTTTCTACCCCACCCCACCTACTATGCCTGCCTCCAGATTACATATATATATTGCATCATGTTTACTATTAGTATGAATTTATTTTATTGCCTGAGAACGGTTTTGTACTTGACTTAACCTGACCATCACTGACCGTGAGCGACTGTTGCGTTGAACATGGTGGCCTGACTTTCCATGACTGACTTAGACACTAACAGACTTGACTTGACCTGTTTTCTTCGATACCCGAAAGGGACCCACAAAATCATTTTCAAGTCATTTTACGGTAAATATTCCGGCCTAGGTCCGGCTAAGTCATTATTTTATGACTCACACAGACTTAGGCAAAACACTGAGGATCATGTCGGACAAGATCATGATGGTCGAATGAGCGTGACCAGTGAAATTTTGAAAGAGCGCCCGTCCTTCATACAAATTAGTTCAAGTCGATATCTTACTGGGGCCTCAGTAAGCGATATCCCAAGGCCACAATCAGCTGGGGAAGAACGGCCCACAATGAAGATCACTCACAGCTTACGGTCGATGCTCCAGCAACTTCAGCAACTTGATTGCACCGAAGTACGAGCGCAAGTCAGAAGGAATCCCTAGCACTCAGAATCGAAGTGTTGTTGGAAAACAAAAAAACGCGAGCAGCATTCGCCTAGCAGATTGCTGACACAATTTACCCCCAGCTTCACCATCTCCAATATCAATGGACGCGACAATGCGTCCTCGTATCTGCGCGAGAAGGAGTCGCCTCTTTGACATTTGGAGAGGCTCAGGATGGCCACGGCCAACCAGCTCCAAGTAACCACGATGCTTTGTTTTCCGATCCTTCGCCCCTTCCACGACCACAAATCCACACAAGTTCTTTGTAGCATGGATCGCGGGTATATAAACCGTCGGGACCCCACTGGTCCTACTCCAGAAACCCATCATGGACTCGAACAGTACGCCTTCAATGTCTGCCACTTTGATGCCACTAACCGACCCCTAGTAGATTCTCCGGAGCAAGTTGCGTATCGTGAGATGGAAGAAACCGTTCGCAAACTCGTGGAAGAGTTCAAAATCCAAGATCAAACCTGTGCGTGTTTGACTGCACCTGAGTACGCCTTGTCTCAATTATCCCATCTTCAGCGAAATCGCGCGGCTATGAGACCAGCGGCATAATAACCGTGCTGCATAGTCCTGACGAACTTCCGACTGCCAGCACTTCCGCGATATATACGAGCCAGCCTAGAGGCAGCCACTATTCGGTGGAGTGTCTCTTGCGCGGCGCTGCAGCGAAACGCGAGCTGATCGAGTACCCAGAATTCCCGAAGGAGATCTACCGACCCTCTGACTTGGAAGAATGTGCATATAGCATCGTAGACATTCCAGGGAAAGGCCTGGGCATGGTCGCAGCACAGGATATCGAACTCGGCGAGCTCATCGTCAGTGAGCGGCCTCTGCTAATCGCACCGCGCGTCATAACCAGTCCTAGTCGTCTCTCGTTCACCGATGATGCCACAAAGGAGCAGCAACAGGCGGCTGTGTACTTCGAGACGGACAAGCGCGTATAAGCGCATGAATCACGACGACCAGGCGGCCTACACGAAGCTGCACAACGCCCACCTACACGACGGAAGCGGACCCCTTCTCGGCGTCTATAGGACGAATGCGTATGGTTTATTCGCCATGCAAGGTATGCTTGCTCCATGAACGCCAGACATTTCTGTTGACCGCTCGCTCAGGCGATACCTATGGTGGCGTCTTCAAAGACCTCTCCAGGATAAACCACAGGCACGCCCAGATCTATTCTCCACGTGCGCCTGTAACTGACACTGCATTCTAGTTGCTGCCCCAATGCGGACAGAAGCTTCCACCGCGCCACCCTCTCGATGCAACTGTACGCCGTGCGCACCATTAAGAAAGGCGAAGAGATCACCACGTCGTACTGCAACCACCTTGCTCCTTATGCAGCACGCCAAATATCCTTGGCGCCGTATGGAATACGCTGCGACTGCCCCGCATGTGTCGACCACGTCGAATCCGACAAGAACCGCTTGCGCATCAGCCGCGTCCAAGATGCCGTACCCGCCATCGTCAAATGGGCTGCCAATCCGGCATTGCCAAGCGATCTCCTGCTCACGCCGTCCTTGAAGATGCTGGAGCTCCTGGAATCGGAGGGCCTGGAAGCGACCCCGCAGTACCTGCTAGTCCTTTACCAGACCATGCTCATCTACTCAGCTCTAGGCACTTCGAGCGTCAACGCGAGATGTTTGTTCTATATGGAGAGGTGGACCAGGCTGAAACGCTGGGACGTCAAAGGCCGCAAAATTAACTATGCAGAACAGGGCATACGGGATATGGAGAAGATCAGGATCGCTAGTTTTGCAAGGCGGCTCCTTTCGCCGGGGGACGAGGAAGAGGCAGTTGTTGTCTTCGATACAGATATATCAGAAGCGGATTAGGAGTGGTGTATTCTTGTGTATAATTATCCTTTCTGCGCTGAGAATTGTTTATGAGCATAGGTTCATAATTGTGCGTTGTTGGAGCATCGTTCGTGTTGAATCGCACATGCATTTGGCGCTTGCCTTGCCTTGTCTACAGTCGCATTGTCCAAGCCGGCATTGGGCGCTTGAGCCACCTTCTTTGTTCCTCCTCAGAAGCGCATATAAGCTTTCAGAAGCCTGATGCCGTCTCCTCACCCCCATCACCCACTACTAAAGCATCGACCGCCACAAAGTACACCCCCCGTTACACGTCCATCAAATCGTCCTCAGCCGACATCGACTTGGTGTCCGAAATGGCCACCAAAGTGAAAGTGCAGGAGACAAATGAGGAGTTATTCCGCCAGATGGAGGAGAAAAGCCTCAAGCTGATGGAAGAGTTCAAAATCCAAGATAGCACCTGTGCGTGTTCCCGTACGAAAAATAAAATTCCTTAGTCCCAAGATTAATATTGCGTTGTGTCTAGCGGAATCGCGAGGCTACATACGTGGTGCCGCCTTTAAATATCAGGTGGTCCCAGTGGGGCAACCCACGCCCGATGAAGGCGCCCTGGTATACACCACTCAACCGCAGGGCTGCGAACCCGAGGCAGGCATGGTCGAATGCATCCTGCATAGCAGTGCAGCGAAGAAGGAGTTGGTGGACTATCCAGGCTATCCAACCCCGATCCCCCGTGCAGCAGATTTGACGGCGCCGTGCCCCTATCGTATCGTCGAGATCCCGTCGAAGGGCCTGGGTATGGTCGCTGCAAGAGACCTGCGTTTCGGCGAGCTTATCATCAGCGAGCGGCCCCTCCTGATTAGCCCCCAAATCTCGAAGATAGACTTTATCAAATGGACGAACACGACCACTCCGAGGCAGAAACAGGAAGCGGCCTGTTTCGAGTCGGAGAAGATCTACAAGGTAGCTTTTGAAAGGATGGACCCAGAGGCCAAGGAGACGTATATGAAGCTTCATAATTCGCACAAACATGATGGAAGCGGCCCCTTACTAGGTGTCTCGAGGACGAACTCATACGGCGTGTTTGCCTTACAAGGTAATATACTATGAATGCTTTCGGTGTTGGGATGTTGGGCTGATGAGATGTCTAGGGGACGAGTATGGTGGCGTCTTCAAAGACGCGAGCAGGATCAATCACAGGTGCCATCAATCATATTTAGCAATATACATCACTTTCTCAATGCCCCTTCCCCTAGCTGTAGCCCTAATACTATTCGCCACTTCGATCGCCCTTCGCTTGCGATGCTAATGGTCGCGGCGCGGCCAATCAAAGAAGGCGAAGAAATCACTGCGCACTACTGCGATCCGCTTGCCCCCTACGCCGCTCGTCGAAAGTCGCTTAAGCCGTATGGCATACGCTGCGATTGCCCCGCCTGTCTGGATCCCGTCAAATCCGACAAGATAAGATATCGTATCAGCTGTGTGAAAGATGCAATCCCCGCCATCATCAAGTGGGCAGGCAACCCCAAGCTTCCCGACCATCTCCTACTCGGGCCGTCTTTGGAGTTGTTGGAGCTCATGGAGGCCGAAGGGCTGGAGGCTTCGAAGGCCTACGAACAAGTGCTGTACCACCTCTTCCTCATCTACTCGGCTCTGGTTATCAGGGGTAAATCCGAGCCCAGCGAAGTTCGGATCTATCAGGAGAAGTGGATACAGCTGCAGACCATGAGGCGCCGCGATAGGGAGGACGTCTGCGCTCAACTTATGGAAGACACTATCAGAGTCGCGTTCGCGGCCCAACAACACCTAGGCGAGATGAAGATGGAGGAAGTCGAACCAAGGCGCGACTGATCCAATGTTCTAATCTCTGTACCGAATTGCAATATGTACCAATAAATACGAAACCAAACCATCAGGGCTAAACGTTAAATAAACCTTGAACCTTGAAACTCTCAGTAGAGCGAACGTAACTAATGCCGATCTAAAATGAGTTAGCTAATTGAACATTTGAACATTCGTTCGGCTAACCCATACCGTCCCCTTCTATAACATTACGGATATCAGTGTTATACATATATAAGGTTCCACAAATGACCGATCCAAGCGACAATATTCATTAGCTATAGTATATCCCATCCACGCACGTCGTCCAACAGCATATAATGCATAGGTTATTCATTGCGACAACATCAAAATTACTGTCCTGCAGGTAAGAAGAGCCAACAGTAATAGATGGATAAGACGAACATATATGATTATAGTGACCAGTTCCCTGATTGTAACGAAGGTTGTTGTGTCACGCCTTGTGAAGATGAGAGGGCACCGAAGGCTACCTCGTAATCTTTTCGATTTGTTGGTTGAGGCGAAGATGCCTTCTGGGTGCTCTCAGCAGGAGACGACGATGTCGACTGACGACCGAGTGAAGAGCTCTGCAAGGATTTCTCTGGAGCAGGAACCGACGATGTCGATAATTGTCTGATTTGCCCGACCCCCATCCCATATGTAGACTGCAGTGAGCCGAAGGCAGCAGAATAGTCCTTCTTAGTAGTAGAATGGCTCTGTGGCATAGTCGATGATGGTATAGATGGATGGCCGAGTGGTGAGCTCTGCGAAGAGGGTTTCGTCCGAGGCGTTGGGGCAGGCGCTGATGAAGACGCTAATTGACCGCTTTGACCAACACACATCCCATATGTAGACTGTAGCGAACCAAAAGCAGCGTAATAATCCTTCTGAGTCCGAGATGCCGAGGCGCGAAGAGGCGCTGTGCTCGATACGGACGGTGCGGTTGATTGTAGGGTGCTGGTAGAAGGGGATGATATTCTGCTAGACATCGTTGTGATATGAAGGTGATTTGAAGTCTGAGAGCTGATGAGATGGAGTTCTAGTATCTGTATCTTGTGTTGTAAACTCGACATCGAGGCGGCACCATTTTATAGAGACTCGCTAGGTGAGCGGTTGCGGTGCACAGTCGCGTTTCGTAGCTGCGGAAGCGAAGTGAAGATGGTCACGGTGATTCAGCATTCGAATTGGGTTGATCAAGGAATCTAGGGCCGTAGTGTGAATCATCCATCGAGTCATGGTCACCTAAGGATGATTGGCGAGGCATGGCCATTCAGATCGCTGTGAATGCGGTGAACAGTACAATAATTGTCCGTGATTAAACGCGTACCTCGCTCGTAACATAGTTAGCGCCAGCGAAGTGACGATTCCTTGACCGTCAGCACGCACGGTCATTCATCGGGCGTCGCGGCAGTCTCGTGCCTTGTCTCCCGTTAAACGTCCGCTCATTTCATTCTTAACCTCCTTGAGGAAAATCGAAGGCAAAATCCTGTGGAAAGTATGCGTACCCGTCGGGTTTCAGGTCTGGAGGTCGGTATTATGCCTGATAATCTGCCTTTGAATGATGAATATTTGAATATTCGAATCTTAGAGTCGACGATAGGCTGTGTGGTGAACCATCCTCTGATAATCTGAGTGCCGCGAATCCAGGAAATAGACGTCGATTAGAATAATATGATGGGTAAATGTAATCCATGGTATAGCTACATAACAGAGCAATCGCCCTTGCTGTCCTGAGCCTCAGCTTCCTCCGCAGCCCACTTTGCCTTCTCTTCCTCGGTCAGCAACTGTACGAGCATTCAGTATCCATTACGAGGATGAAGAGTGGCCGACTTACGCCCTTCTTGGCACGCGCCTCCATCGCCTTGCGCCTGCTCTCTCGCTCAGACTTTGCCCGCCTTTATAAATACAAAAGAGCGTAGATGATGGATAAGATGCGACAGGGGTCCAATGATATATAGATTACGAGTTAAGCCATGGAGAATACAGATCGCGGGACGAAGGACATAGGATCGATTATTCGAGGCGGTTTATTGTCATTATTAGAGTCGTGTGTCGACAGAGAATTAGTTGTGATCGTAAGAGCGTCGTTAGTATTAGAGGAGGAATTGGTCGAAGTGGGTGAGAGCGCAACCGTCGTATTAGCCAAAGGAGCCAAAGAAGTGGACCTAATGCTACATGAGTGTGACCATTTGGAAGAAAGCCGCTCTACTTACCGGTCTTGCTTTGAAAAGGGGATTCTGGTCGTCGATTTGGACTCTGACGGAGCTGGTGTCGCCTTACTTTGGGAGGAAGTCGTAGCGATAGGAGAACGGCTAGAACTGACGTTCTTGTTACTGCCTAGCGAAGGTGCTGATGCAAAGGCGGTCTTGACAGCGTTCGACTTCTTGGCGTTCGCGTATAAGTCGGCCAGCGATCTCCCCGGAGAAGAACCCAGAGTGTTCCCGCCTGTCCTGCTGGTACTACTATTGGGCGGTGCAGTGCAGCTGTGATCGGCAGGGAAACGATGCGATGGGCAGAACTGCTGCTTGCATTGCTGAAGGGGCGGTGATGGGTTAGTGCAGTAAGCAGTAGGCAAATAACAACACGTACATTGCATTGGATGGGCGCAAACAACGTCTTGCCACACTTCGTCCGAGCACACACCGGACCCGATTTCTTCTTGCCCGTTCTCCCCGTCATAACGGAACAATCGCGTGTCAGATGTTGCTCCATACGAATGTTTGGGTCTTGGTTTGGGGGAACCGCTACTGGTTCATTGCATAATGGACCTGCGTTCAAGTTCGTGGTCAGTTCGCCACCCGGGTCAGCAAGGAGGTCACATACAATTGGGGGCAACTCTGTCGTACTTGCTCTCATCGTACTCAGGGCATTTGTGCGCCTCGACTTTGAAATGCTCGCCGCAGTAGGATTTCGAGCAGTGCTGGCATTTGAAAGGCAGAAAGTCGACGAGCATGCAGGTTTGCAAAGAGCATTGCTTGCCGACCGACAGCAGGTGGGTGTCTCGTTCGGAGGTCGAGGTGGCCATGATTTCGGATTCTTGGATGAGATGGGGGTTAGGATAAGGAATGGGTGGAGGTGGATGGCCTTATAAAGAGTCAGAGCTGTACGCGCGTCGCCTGCTTTGCGATCAGACCAAGCTGGCTGGCCACAGCCTGAAGTTTAGTCAGTGGTAGAGCTTTCCAGAAATGGTTGTGAATTCTCACGTGACGTCTATATATGTCGCGTCCGGTTGTCCACTCAAAGACCGTTGAACTGCAGCTATGGTGGTATTTACACTGGTAAATCATTTGCGCCCTTTTGATCCAGAGACGTTGATATATTCTTTTCAGATTAGACATGGTGAATCCACTGACAATCTGGTATGCAAGCTATCGTCTCGCCCGTTCTTCCCTGACGTGAACGTTCTAGCTTCCCATTTGGGCTGGCTGGAGAGACGCTCCTCTATCTAATCACGGTGTGTATTCCTCCTGCACGACTGCGCTCATTTTGACGTGGTAGTATACAGGGATGAACGTACGAATTGGATATTCCCTTCCATGAATTTATTGGCCAAGACGAGCGTATGTTATAGCAAGCCAAGGCGCTGGGAGCCTCTCTTGCAGACACGCAATTCACGGTTATCCACACATCCGACCTGAAACGCGCGCTCATGACTGCAGAAGCTGTCCAAAGTTACCAGAAATCGGACCCTAAACCTCTGCTCGTTCCATCAACTCTCCTTCGAGAACAGAACTACGGGCTAGCGTCGGGAAAGCCGTTTACTAAAGACCGCCTCCCAGGCCTGTCGCTTGAAGACCATTTCGCTCGGGGAGTCTACCCTATCATCTATAATCGAACGGAGAAATATCCCGAAGGCGAAAGTGCGATAGATTTGTCTAGAAGAGCCGTCCAAGCGGTGGAAGATATCTTGTTACCGTATACCCAGCAAGATAACCCGGAAAGTCAAGTTCACATCGCTATCGCGAGCCATGGTATCTTTATTAGTGAAGTTGTAGAGGCGTTGCTACGAATGGACACCGAGTCCGGGTTGCAGCATTCTCCTAACCAATACAGGGGCTTGTCGAACACAGGATGGGTGCGAGTTCGCGTAGAATGCTTGGTGAATTATCTCGTTCCATTACTGTTGGATCGGGGCTGACAAAAGCCGCGTCAAGCCTGCAACGGAAGTATCTGCCGTGAGTAGATCTGCGCGACCGTCGTTGAAAGTGGAGGTCACGGACTTCAACAGAAATGAACACCTGAGCAGCGTCGTACGTGGATGGTGGAGCTAAAAGGGACACGGAAGGTGGCTGATGCGTTTCGTAGGTTCGCCAAAAAGGTGGCATAGGTAGCGCGGCCCATGACCCGATGCAAAAGGATATACGCACATTCTTTGGAGGGGGCTTATTGCGCAAACCTGACAATTCAGATTGACCATACATGGAGCTTGGTCTCGGGTCATTACTTGGATGTTTGGCATCTAAGCTCGGATGTATAGGGTATGTTGATTATACAGGCAATAGCGATGCTGTTGTAGCATTATACAATGCGGGAAGCACGTTTGGAGCAAGATACATAGGTAGATGGGCTTAAACGTTTATAAAAATACACAGATGTAGACCTTGGCGTCGATCGTAAGCTATTGAATGGAGGCAACACAGGCTGAGGATACTCACCATCAGAGCTGACGAGGTCAGTTCTTGATTTTGCCGGCAATTAGCTTCTTCTTCAAATCTGCCAGCATTGCTATTTGCTCCTTTGTCTCTACCTGATCCCCACCGTCAACTTCGCCCCAGAGCTTTTCGGGAGGGTTAGCGCCCTTTTCGCAGAAGAGCTGAAGGGCGCATATTGCCGTGCCAGTACGTCCCCAGCCGAAGCCGCAGTGCACGAGAGTAGACTTATGCTTCTTGTACATGCGGTAGGCATCGTCGACCTGCTTCTCGGTCGAAGGTTGGAAATCGGGAACTTGCAACCACAGGTACGTGATCCCAGCGGCCTTCAAGTAACCTTCTTCCTTCGCGCTGTATTTTACGTGGTTGAAGGAGATCAGGCAGTCGATACCGGTCTTCTTGAGGAATGCTGCCCGAGATACGGTCATCTCCTGGTCTTCGTCCTTGCCTTTGTAGTTGGGCGCAGAGGAACGGTAGAGCTTGTGGCCCGACGCGACGTACTTGTCAACCTCCATGAACCTGAACCACTGAACCTTGGCGGCATCGTCCGCAAGCTTGGTGTCCTTTTTGCCCATGGGCCATTTTCCAGAGTTAGGTAGTCCAGAAGCCATTGGTATGTTTTTGAATGCAAGTGTCTGACACGAGAAAGAATGAGCGTCATCGTAGAGATAAGGAGGAGATACGCACGAGTTGGGACTTTACTTGGGTCTACTGAGCGTCATTGGACGATTACCATATTTATACCCTTCTCACCATAACAGGTGTCGGGGCATCTCACGGGAGAGCGCATGAGCAAGACGCCCGTCAGTGTCTAGTGGCAACATGGTAGCAGGAATAATGAAAATAAGATACTCTGAAGTGTATGCAGTGGCGGACTTAGGACCATTCCGACCAAAGTCCATCGTGATAAGGTTAAGCAATTCTGGCTGGGTTTCTAAAAATTCTTCTAGTCATTCGAGGAGGGGAGGTATGTTGGGTTAGTTCCGCGCCACGCTAAATGTTATTTACTAGCAAAGTGGTTTAGATGGGGGGCTGCAGCTCGGCCATAATGCCGTGTTTACCCCACCAAACTAGGTAAGTAATGATAGGTAGCATGAAAGGGCTGCAAGGTCGACGTGGTGCATCGTCAATGACTTTCAAGGGAGCAAAGGACAGCAACAAACGTTATGCATCCGGAATTCATGACGTCCCATAAGGCAGCAGTCTCTTCTTCAGTTTTGGTGTTTGCGCTCCCGACGAGTACGCCGTGTTCCCCAATCTATTCACTCTGTCGGAGCCTTTGGACACATTCAGATGCGCTCGCGCGGCATGACCCTTGAGGCCAGAGTCAGCGACGGGAAATCTCTGGCGAAGGACAGCACTCAACTCGTTTGAACGCGTCGCCTGAGCCTAGGGAGCGCCATCTTTTCTTCGTTCCTGAGTGCGACTTCATTTTGTAGCCTGCCTGCGGCGTCGATGAGGCCGAAAACAGCCGGGTCACGGAGGGGAGTAGTGGTCCATTAGGAACAAAGAAACGATGCCCCCCGAGCAGAAACATCGAATTGAGCAGCGAAGGAGAGAATAATGAACTTTGAAGGAAAGGTTGCGAGCGCTTGAACAGACGCCCATACTTCATTGCTAATACCACACTTCGACCGCTCGCCATTATCCTCGACAACACCGCCAGAACTTGACCACGATGTCCGACCTTGAGCCCACTCCCCAGGATGATGCTGACAGGGTAATTCACGATTCATCGACGATCGGCGCAGGCTATTCATGGTTCTACTTAGATTCGATTGAAACGACTCGCGAAGCTCGCCCAGGCTTCGAGCTCATCGCCAACAGCATCCGGGCAACAAACGCCAGCGGGAACTAGCCCCGCACCTTCTTCTTCAAATGCGGGACAGGCTTCACGTCCGCCGCCCCCACGAAAGACGACCACACCATTGGCGCCACCGAAACAAATAGAACCTGTCCCCGTGCCATCCAGTCGAATGAGGAAACCCGCTCCGAAATTCAACATGGAGGCCTGGGAACACGAAGCAATCGGCACTATCCTCCAAGTAACATTAGACGTAAGTTCACTTGTCTATGTTTCACCCCATTTGAGCTCAAGTCTTTCAGCAAGAGACTGCCTCTCGAAGTGGCCATGAGATCGTGTGGCTCAAGCACCTTGCAGAGGAACTAGCTTCTGAGGAGCCTGGTAGGCAGCTTTCCATCTTACCCCCTTGACATTCACCTCATCACAATCCACCAGGGAACGCTTGTCGGATGTCCATGAATAACGTGGATAGGATTCTCATTGCTAGACTTGAGTTAGACCCTCAGCAAATGTCGTACGTGGCTACTGCTTTCTGTCAACAATCTTGACTCTCAACGACGTTTACAGTGATGATCTAGAGTATCTTCCTGTCTTGGTTTCTCTTCCACGCGACCAAACCATCTTCGAATACCTCGTTGGATCTTGGAAACGGCTTAATAATACTAGATCGACCCTCCTGAAGCGGGGGTATGCTCCAATGGATACCGAAAACGCATTAAATAAATTGGAGAAAATCCGCGAGTTGATCATAAGTTACGCTGGGCTGACGTTGCAAGAGCCCGAAATGTTTCCCCAACCTCAAGGGTAAGATTGTATTCGTTCATATCAGTACCTCGTCTGACGGTTTCTAGTCGAGTCCTTGGTCCTGCCGAATTAGTCGGTCCTTTGCTGTCCCTTTCTGCTTTATCCACCTCCATTTTATCTGGCTCTACTACACCAACAACGACATTGTCCCCAACAGAGGTGGAACCCTTCCTCCAAGATCTTGCCCGACGGTTCGAGCCAGATAATGAAATTGACGGCGTTCTCGGAGATGTCGTTAAACATCTGGTCTGGCATGAGTCCCTTTTCCGCCCTGAAGGCCTTGGGGGAAGCGATACCAGCTGGCGTGGGGTAATTGCAGGTCTGGAGGCTTTGGTTTCAATCAAGAGTATTGCCATGATGATCACCAGAATGGACGAATGGATACCTGCGAATGCCACAGCTGCGTCTATTGAGCAGGGGGTGGTGGAGGCTAATCCTGGTCAGCATCGCTGCCAGTGAGGCACAGACCGAGAAATAGTACCGTAAAGACTGCCTTGATTCCCGTTGCAACTACGATGGCTTGCGAGATAGAATATTGGAGATTTCCATGTGAGATCATGACGGCTTTGTGTATTGTTAAGCAATGTTATCAAGGGGATGTCAAAATTATTCAAGTACCCTTCGGGAGACCACTTGTTCCGCTCGAGAACACAAGATACGCGAGGGTGTCGCGGTGGGCAGGGCGAACAGAGATGCGAGGGATATGTTCATTTCGTACGTGTTCCTTCAACTCTGTGAAGCTGGTGCGGCCACTCGCACGACCACCGAGAACAAATATTCTCCGGTTGGAAATCCCTGCCTCCTTCGAAGCAGCCAAGGCCAAGGGGAGATATTTCGCCTGCACGAAAAGACATGTAGCCCCGGACAATTTCAGCGAATGCTTCAGCTCAAATGGCGTCGAATAGCTGGAAATCAACGCAAAAGGCGTCGTGATCATTATCAACGAATGAATCAAGGAAACATATTCCTATCAGAAGGCTTCAGTAATATCCTAATAGCGGCGTACTGATTGGTCTCACCATGGAATTGTCGGACATGATGCCGACCATCTCGCCATCGTCGCCACGCAGCCCCAGGCAGCCGGTTTCAAACGAGGCTCCCAGGGCAGTCGCGCCATCGTAAATGTCGGTCACAAACTCACGATGTGTTCGGCGGTGGCCATTCGAAGCGTCGATGAACAAGGTGTAGTCCGGCCAGTCCTTCTGATCCGGGCGACCGAACAATGAGTGGTGGAAATTAAGGTCCTCGATGGGGGCGGGCTGGGGGTAAAGCGACTTGATATACATGGCCAGGGAGAATAAAGGGATCCATTTCAACCTGTGAAGTATTTATGTGCAAAAGTTGCGGGGAAGGCAATCTGCACCCGGTTTGGAGTTTGCCGTTCGCCGAGCGTTAGTGCTGCACATGACCTCGCGCGTGTGACAGGGGTAAACAGGGGTGATGTTATTATTGAGTTACAATCACGAGAACTGGTGCTACAGCATAGGCACTGCCAAGCACTACTCTTGGTTCAAGTATGACTTCTTGCCAGCGCTGCCAACAGCGAGCCCCTTGCCAATGGCTCCGGCGGTTTTGAGAGCACTCAGGCCGTGCAGCTTCACCTCAGCAGCCGATTGCGTGACCTTCTCCTTCTTTGCGTTCTTGGCCGCAATAGCCTCTTCGCTCCAGTGCTTTTGAACCACGCCGTTGATCTCGTCGGCGGCATGCTGGCCCACCACCTTAGCCACTTTGATAGCGCCGTCGAGGATTTTCCCGCCCACTGTATCTGCTGGAGCAGCCGCAGCTGGAGCGGTGGGGATCGGGGCAGCAACAGCGAACGCAGCGAGGGCGGCGAGGATGAAGGAGACACGCATATTGTTCGCTCTAAAGACAGCATTGTAAGTTTCTTTGGACTGATCGCAGGTCAGCACATAGGCGGTACGAACGTTACAAGCAAGCCTCAGCCTATGGTGCAATGTAAGAAATCAGCGACTTCCCCCGAAGCCCAAGGAGATGCGCTTACTGGGGACTAGTTGAGGAAAGAATTTGCTGAGGAGACATCACTACAGTGGGCTGACTTAAATATGCACTACCATGATAGACCGCTCGGACAGGTAGCTTGCCTGACGCTTGTCAATCTTGTCAGATGCCGCTGCTAAATTCTAGTTTCGCAGGCACACTAGAATTTTGCGCATCCTGGCTGGTTGAATGGAGTCCAGGACAAGGCTAATGATCTACCAAAAGGAAACTAACATACTACTCAACGACTACCGCCGCCCACCTGGCGTTCTTCGCCCCTTTGCATCATCGCATCATTCCCAGCAATCTTCTCGGCCGCTTTCTCTGCTTTACCTGCTCATCGATTAGATGACATCAGTTCCTAGGTGAAGGGGAACGAACCTTTAAACTTAGCCGTGAAGCTGGGTCCAATGTGGCTTGATTGAACATCAGTATGTTGCCTAGTTCCTGCCTCGTTCATGCTGTTTTCTCAACTATTGCTTGCGAACTCGGTGCGGCTTCTGTCGCACGACCAACAGTGGTCGACTCATAACTTCCCGCTTCGTCAGCGACACTATTGGGGATCGAATTAGGAGTGAACTCTTTGAACTACGCTTCGCTTTCTCTATGGTTACGTTCGCCGGTCCCATGAACGCTACCAGCTATTTGATCGCCTATGATGTGACGGCCGAGTGTTCGGTCGTCCCTGCTTTCTTCCGGAAAATACTCTGAGCGCCGCCGTAGGTCTGCCTCTGCTTCACCTCTGCGACCTATCATTGTGACACCGTAGCTCCTGGTATCGCCTACACCGCCGATTGATTAATCTACCTCGGATCGATTCTGACATTCTGCTTGACCGACGGGCTTATCGCCACCGAACCGTGCCTGGGGGACAGTCTTGAACGCTGCTCGAATGATCAGAGGGGCAACAGATCATATGGCCAGGGTACGTACCAGGAGGATTTCCAGCCGATATGTTATTGTCGAAATGAGGTAGTGATGCCATGATTGTGAAATGTAAATAAATTCGTTATCTGGGTGTACGCTACGCTACTTGTACTTATACCGTACAAAAAGGTTTGTCATGACGAGTATGACGAGGAGGCTGCGTTGTCGACGAGTTCGAGGGGAGTGTGAGTCCTAACTAGTCTCCTGAGGCGTGGGGACATTGCCTCCAGGAAAATTAGCGCCCTAGATCAAGGTTTATGATGCAGACTCATTATTCAGTAAAAGAAACCTCCTTCATCTATGAAGGAATCTCCATATTGATGAAACAATTAGTACCAGGATATATCAAGTCTCTCAACAAAATATCCTCGGACCACCGGCTCTCTGTTTCTTGTCTATAACGATATCGTTTACTGTGGGTCCACGCGTCCTCCTCAGTGATTTGGACATAAACTGAAGGGAGATAGCTAGCTCAATTGTGGACGGATGTGCAGGTCCTTGACTTGGAACCGTGCACCCGCGCAGCTATACGGGGTTGTAGGCGGCTGAACGCGGTGAGTTAAGAACTACGGAACGCGTTGAAAGAGCCTGATGGAAAAGTTCTGTTCTAGAACAATACACACACTCAGATTGCGAACATTGTGCCTTGCACACTCTCCGAATTAGTGTCCCTTGAATGGTGCACCATCTCTTATCTTCTGTGGTCAATTTCTAAATTGACTTCTCTTGCAGGCTGGACAATGCATTCGTTTCTCTGGATGACCCACCGGAAGTATATCTGGCAATTACTTCGGATGATTCATCTATCGTCTACTACAAAATAAGTCGGGGTATCGTGAAACCACCTCTGTAAAAAGTACACTGTAGACATGTCTATCACACACTCACCGTCTCACCGGATTGGGTGCTTCGACTTACTAAATGCTGAACGCCAGCACGCGGCGAAATGGCAGAGAAGTATGCATCGTGGCCGCTTATCCTCCATCGTAACGGCATCTACTCCCCCCATCCTTGAGAAAGTTTGTACCCGATTAGCCAGAACGCAAACCAACACCAGAACTCAATGGGACAACGATATTTCCGCACTGGTATAGATACCAGAGACGTACCATGAGATGTGCCGCAGACATTTGCCCCGATGGCAGAGAACGGCGTCAGCCCCAATGTTATGTTCGCAGAGGAAAAGACAGGTTGGACGGGGTAAGTCTCTATCGAGGCCAGCCATAACATCCCACTGTTTATCGTCTTCAGATACGTAGAATGGGAGAAATATCCTGAGAAGAAGCTACTCGCGCAGAACATATTGGCTAGCCATAAGTTCTCCCCCATTCCTGGTTCGTCCAAGTTTTGCCACAGACGGGTCAATGGTTGGCTCATTCGCTCATAGAATTTCAATTCGTTCCCTTGCCTGACACAAATCCTGTTCTAATCGGACATCGCTGGAAAGAATATCACGAGGCCCTTGGACTGAAGTCCATCGTAGATTTCTCCTGGAAGACCGTCCTCAAGGAGAAGCCGGATTTGATCCATCTCCTTGACTTTCCTTATAACGGAGAAACCCGCAGGGACCAGCTACTGACTGAGAAGTTAACGCCCAACAAGTATCATTTGTGCGTCGATGTCGGTTTGCCATCACAGGGGATTGTGTTGACTGGCTGACAGCATCAGGAACCACGGTGGCGTACCAGACATCGACAAAGATGTGTACGAGCTCGAAATCACCGGTCTAGTGAACCGACCGATCAAGATATCACTCAAAGACCTCCAAGATATCAACAAATTCCCGTGAGTTGATTGATATTCTACCGGCATAATACGACATGTTTGCGTCTCTTATAGGCAAGAGGAAGTCACCGTCACGATACAATGCAGTGGTACACGAAGAATTGAACAAATAAGGGAATATCCGGGGGACGGCGATGAGCTCATTAACGCTCCCTGGGGTGAAGGCGCCATGTGCGTATCGCTCACAAATTTATTTCGTCCATACTGACGATGGGGAACTAGTGGCACTGCCGTCTATCGAGGCGTTTCCCTCAAGAAAGTCCTTAAGATTGCTTGCGGTGGCGTGAAGCCGGAGTGTAAGCATCTTGAATTCTTCGGCGCTGATACATATTTCAAGTATGTTATCATGCACAACTCCATGAATAGGGTGCAACGAAGCTAATCGCTGTCGCTGGCGTATAGGAAGGGTCAAGTATATAACTACGCTGTTTCGGTCCCCTGGCGCAAGGTTCGACAATCCGATGAGGTCATACTAGCTTGGAAGATGAACGGCGTTGACCTACCGAAGATCCACGGTTATCCCTTACGAGTTGTCGTGACGGGGTATATCGGAGCCCGAAGTTGCAAGTGGTTGACTCGCGTCAACGCAAGATCGGACGAGAGCGATGGGCCAGTGCAAAGCAAGGAATATCTGTACTACAGTCAACAGATCGGTAAGCAGAATGCCAGATACTCGAACGGCTTTTCTATCCAGCAAATGCCTGTTTCGTACGTGGAATGCTTACGCTTTTTTATTGACGCGTGACGATTCATTGTCTTCGTGGCTACAGGAGCGCTATAATTAGTCCCGTCGACAAGCAAGTCATTATTCACGATGGGTTCATAACACTTCGTGGTTGGTCATACAGTGGTGGGGGAAACTGGGTCGAGAGGGTAGAGGTCTCTCCCGATGGGTAAGTCCGTTGACGTTTCTACGGCAAATTCACCGAAGTCTAGTCAACAGTGGTCATGTATGGTACGCAGTACCTCAAGAAAATATGACTGAAAAGCACTACCACGCCTGGCGACTCTGGACGATTGATCTCCCTGTGGAGCCTGAGGGCTGGCTCGAATTCTGTGTACGCACCTGGGACTCTTCGAACAACACAGAGCCGACCTTCGTGCGGTCGGCATGGAAGTAAGGCAGTAGCCCGACAATAATTTTATTGTTATCTCATATTTTCCTCCGCAGCTGGGATCTACACGTAACCTCATCCTGCCATCGTATCAAGATCTACAGTGTCAACCGCTCTAGGCCTGCAACCGCGCAAAGGCTGAAGGAGATTGAGGACAGGGGCGAAGAGTTTGCGCCCCTGTCTAAGCCGCTGGAATGGTCTTTGGAGGGCGAGGAGGAACGTTTCAGGATATCCCAGCGCTTTCCCCGTGAGCCGGAGAACTAGCCGTCATCCTTCTCTCATGCTACGTTATTGCTCCACAAGACGCAGGCACAGAGGTACCAAAAATACCGTGGGCCGCCCGTGCATCACTGTCGATTCTATTCATAGCTTGTGGGTATATATAGCCGTAGCAGCAGCGGATGTGCGCAGTCTCCATCTTCACCCAACCCCCACATGTATTCGATGTCGTCAATCAATGTCACAGAGCTTTCAGTTCCATCCAAGGCGGTCACCGTAAATTCGCAGCCTCAAGCTAAGATGTCGATGGGTACGTTTTCCTCGTCACGCATCTGCATGGCAGCATCGAGTATGCATCCAAGGTGTCAGCCAAGACAACAAAAAGGAGGCTACTCGTATGAGGGGCGGGGGAGCCGGCAAGGTTAGTGATAGCCGTAGCTACGCGGCTATCGACATACACTTACTGCCGTTACTAGGATTGTTGCCTCGGAATGGTCGGCTGCTTCCTTTGCTTTGAATGCTGCGAAGTAATCCTCCTGTTTACTTGCTGAGATTACTTCTCTAATGATTGATTCCGTTGCTAGGGATGCTGCGAATGCGTTGCAGATATTCTTTGTAAGTAGTGATCAGCACCTGGTTCAAGTGTTGTGACTAACGGCTCGAATATGCAGGTTGCCCATGCGAGATGTGCTGCTAAATCGAGTAGTAGAACTTACGTACACTAGAATAAATATCGCCACTGCAACCTACCCTATTGGCATTAAGTTTCCGTAGCATCATTGCTGCTAAAGAGAATATCAAATTCTGAGCGCACTAAACATCATCCCGTCATCAACATACCCAAACATACCCAATTAGCGCTCGTGAATAGCCTTCTATGCCGATCCGCTCATTCAGGACGCCAAAGTTTCAAACTCACCAGGTTTTGATTGGTCGGAGAGCATTGAATTAGGTTAACATTTGACTGTTTAGTTTGGGGCTACGCCGTCGCCTTACTTCCTCCTGTCAAGAGCATCCCGCGATGTACGACGAACGTCAACTTAGCTGTAGCGTTTCAGAAACTAGTAGATGACCTCGTGCGTCGCAAGATGTCGCTATCGACGATCGTTGGCATGTTCGTTGTGGTATAAAAGTAGAATATAGTCTACAATGTTTCTTCAGCGAAACGACCAGCCTTGTGAGTGTCTTATTCATTGAGATATAAACCGCACTAACCAATGCAACAGGCTTGTCATTGCCCATACTCCTGGTAGTCACCTAACTCTCAGTCAGTCTCCGCGTCAATGTGATTGAACATGCACTAATTTTGCTTGTAGGGATGAAGTCTGTCTTTGCCTTAGCCATCCTTGCCGCAACCTTGGCTGCTGCCAAACCAGCCAATGACTGGAGCAAGCCTTGCTTTGACGGAGAGTGTGCCTATGATCTCCCTGGCACCAAGGAGACCGGTTCCGCCACCTTGAAGCTCGTATGTGATTCAGATCTAGGATTAGAGCTTCGCTCATCGTCAATAAAAATGCTAGTCCGGCGCCGCGAAGGCAATTACAGACATCACCCCCGCAGCTGGGTGGATTGTCCTCGACTGTGACCCTCATGCACTCTCGCAGGAAATCCGCCTCGTTTGCAAGGGCGATGACGAAGCTAGCTGTGGGCACCTGTTCGAACACGGGCCCGAGCACAAAGTCGTCCGTCTCCCCGAGAGCGTAAGTAGTCAAATCACCGTTCCCGTCCTCGCCAATTAATTGTCTATCTAGTGCGGTGCTGGTCCTTTCGGTAGGATCGTTTCCGCTGCTGTCGCTGAAGACCAGAATGTCCCCGGACACGTCCAGTTGGTCCGTCGGGATGGAGTTGAACCTCAAGTGCACGTCCTTCAAGTTGACGATAGATGGGATTTGGCCGACGTCTCCAAGTATGCCACTATATTCCGTGATCTCGTTATCCGAGCTAATGATTTTCGTACTAAGGACCGGGGACATTAATTTCACTTTCCTCGGTTCTTCAATCACTGGCCCCGTTGGCAAGATGAACCACGAGGAATTCAACGCGCGTGACGTCCACTTGTCTGTTCGTAGTCCTGATGGATGGAGTGCTTTCTTCACCAAGGCCATCGCCGCCTTGAAGTCGGCAGCCAAGGAAATCAAAGATGGTATTGCTGACAAGACCAAAGTCGAGATCGAGTTGGAGCAGATCAAGCTAGTGTACGATTCAAAGGGCGAGAAGAAGCACGACATTCTCCCCAAGAAAGAAATTGACTGCGGGTGGGGCAAGGCCTCTGTTGCGGCAGACATCACCGCTTCATACCAGATCCACGCCCATGTTGGTGCTGCCATCACCGGCTCTCTCATTCCACCGAAGGTGAACGAGATTGCGACTCTCGCCGGTAAGTCCACACGCTTGTTACTTCGTCCCTCGTCGTTTATCTTCTCCCAAAGGTTTCAGTGGAGACACCAAGGTCCATCTTCATATCAAAGCTGAAGCTGAGGCCCAGAAGACGGTCCCCTGGCCTATCTTACCTCCAGTCAACCCAACTCCTCTTCAAATTCCAGGGTATTGTATTTTACTACCTGTAAAACCACAATACCTAAGCGCGAATATCCCAACAGAGTCATCAGCGTTGGCCCACACATCCAGGTTGATGCGTCAGCTGATGTCGCCATCAAACTCTCTGGTGATATCGACATCGGTGCAGACTTCGTTATCAAAGATGGTACGTGGCATTGGCACTCATTTTCCGGTCTCCAGTATTGACGAGTGAGGTAGTTGAGTTCTGGTACCCCGAAAAGGTTGAAAAAGAAGTACATGAAGTCACCGAGAAGCCGAGCCGTAAGCAACTGTCAGCGTCTTCACCGTGCTGGATATTCACTCCTTCCTAGCGTGGAAGCTCAACGCCGATGCCACCGCCAAGGGCTCAATCACTGCCTCTGTTCACATCATTCCCAAAATCTCGCTTGGTATTGAAGGCCTGTCCGGAAACGCAAAGGCAAACGCCTTCGTCTCCGTCGATGGTTATGTCACCGCCGAAATCAAGGGTGAAGGACATGCGTCTGCTACGAAGAGGTCTCACTCTCGCGATTTGGCCCTGCGCGATGCGGACACCGCCGGTGCTGGTTACTCTGGATCGATTGATGTCAAGGCTGGTGTCAAGATAAAGGGTGGTATTGACGGAAAGATCCTTGATCTCATAGAGAAGACGCACTCCATCGATATTTGGTCCACCGAGTGGCCCATCTACAAGGTAAGTCGACGAGACGAAGTATCTACATCTAACTGACCATGGCGAAGAAATCTTGGTCCGGAGGCAAGGAGAAACGCGAATTCTCCGAGATTTCTTCTTCTGCTTTGGTCTCCCGCACCATCGATTCGGCACATGCCGCCGCCGGCTGCCCTGCGTTGAAGCCCAGCCTCTTCACCATCAGTGAGTCGGATACTTTACGATCTGGAACTCGTTTACTCATCATCCTCTAGAGAAATAAATACGCCGGCCCGTCTTGCAGAGGGGCTTGATCAAGCTGGCTTCTACTTCATGTAGATAATGACCTAGTAGTCGGGCGTTACATACTACTCTATACGGTATAATACAAGCTAAGCATTTGATCGTCCCACAAGTGCCGCGATATCGCTCCTGTGATCGTCCTTGTTCCTTCATCCTGTCGAGTGCTTCCCCCAGAAAAGTCCCAGGGTAGGGCTGATGAGTGTGGAACCAGCGGCGTAAATCTGCCTTGCGTCCCAAGCTGTCGCAAGATATCGTTAGACTCGGGATTAGCTCGGGCAGCAGCGTGACACTGCTACGAAATGATATTTCTAGAACTCCCAAATTAGGCAGGTAGTAGTGATACCCTTGCTAGAGCATTGAGAGCCTGCAGGAGTTCACAATGCTTCAGATAACGACGTTGATATTTGGGACGACGCTTACTTTGAATAACGCCACCGCGCCCTGGGCCTCGCATGTATTATTCGGAACCAGATTTGATTCCTGGGTAATTACTTACCTATAAATAAGGACACTACAATGCACAGAAATCGACTGACATCTCAATCATGGGGACCAGATCGCCTCCTTTGACACCCTTACTTGGCCATCGATGGTCCATGCGGAATGCGCTTGCCAGTATACACAGAGCCTCGACGATGCGCAGGCCGACGTCATCAAGCTCCCCCTCACGCTCTCTGCAGCTGGGGGTCGCTAGGTATGTAGTTATTTGACACCATAATCATCTCTACGCAACAAATCACGGACCGACAGGGCTCCTGACGATACCCCTCACAAAGTCGATATTCCGATTTCAAAGACATTTGTTCCCGAAGACCGATTGAAATTCGTTGGCCTCTGTGGTGCGCAGATCGTTCGAGACGTCCTCATCCGGAACGGGGTTCAACACGCATTCGCGTATTCCGGAGGGGCAAATATACATCTCACGGACTCGATTTGCACGGATGGCCGCATCAAAGTATTCCTACCACGTCATGAACAAGGTGCAGGACACATGGCCGAAGGTTATGCTCGAGTGACGGGGAGGCCTGGTGTCGTTTCTGTTACGTCTGGCCCAGGGGCCACGAATGTGATAACACCACTACAGGATGCTATGAGCGATGGGATACCTATGATTGTTATAGCAGGGCAGGTCAGCGCTAAAGATCTGGGAACAGGTGCATTTCAAGATGCCGACATCGTTGGGATGACCCAACCGTGCACGAAATGGGCGACGATGGTGGAATGCGTCGAAGACTTACCGGCTTACGTTGATGAGGCTTTCCGAGTCGCTACTTCGGGTAGACCGGGACCAGTTCTGCTCAGCATTCCAAGGGATGTTTTCGAGGCTACTTGGCGGGATGATCACCCTATTGTCAGGAATATCACCCTACCATCATACCCTGCCCAGATCAGGCCGCCTCCGCCTCGAGCATCGGAGCCACCAGCACCTAAAATCTTTGGGGACATCAGCGAGGCGGCCACGCGTATAAACAACTCTAAAAGGCCACTCATTATCGCTGGTGCGGGCCTTTTGTCGTCTCCAGATGGCCCCCGTATCTTGTCAGAACTCGCCTTCCGAGGCAACATCCCCGTAGCTACGACTTTACACGGGTTGGGTGCCTTCGACGAAGACCACCACCTCAGCCTGCATATGCTAGGCCTCCACGGCAGCGTATACGGTAACTATGCTGCCCAAAGCGCGGATACCATAATTGTGTTGGGAGCCCGCTTGGATGAACGTGTCACTGCCAACATTGATGGTTTTGCTGTCGCCGCCCGAGCAGCTGGAAAAGATGGTCGCGGGGGCATCATTCATTTCGAGATCCAGCCTAAAAAGTCGAACAGGATCATCGACACTCACATTTCGGTGGTTGGCGATGTGACCGAGAATCTGAAGATACTCGAGCCCCTCATTGAACCACGCGCTCGTGCCGGTTGGCTTGATCAGATTCAAACATGGAAAACGGAGTTTCCCTTCACTTATGAACCGAGCGCGCCAGGTCAGCGCGTGAAGCCCCAGGAAGTTATCGAGGAACTAGACAAGCAGACCAATGATATCAAGGACCGGGTCCTGATAACAACGGGGGTTGGACATCATCAAATGTGGGCTGCCCAGTTTTTCACCTGGAAGCAACCGCGATCGTTGATCACTTCAGGGGCGCTGGCAGTACGCTTATCAGATCCCCTGTCACAGACTCCCCTGTTCTGATTCTCGACTTGTAGACAATGGGCTTTGGCCTTCCTGCAGCAATTGGCGCAAAGGTGGCCGACCCCACCAAGATTGTTGTAGATATAGATGGCGATGCATCATTCCTCATGTCCGGTTTGGAACTCGCTACCGCGGCGGAATATGGCGTTGGTGTAAAGGTGCTAATCTTCAACAATAATGTGCAAGGCATGGTCTATCGTTGGCAAAGTAGGTTGAATAAACCAATACCCCCACCATCTCGCTGATAAACATTGCCAGAGATCTTCTACGGTAGCCGTCACACATTGACCCGTATGGTCAATCCAGATTTCGTGATGTTGGCCCAGTCTATGGGTGTGCATGCCATCCAATGCGAGACAGCAGAACAGCTTCCGACAAAGATGAAAGAATTCTTGGAGTATGATAATAGTCACCCAATCGTAATGGTGTGTCAGGTGGATGAGGAAGAGGAACTATACCCTATCGTACGCCCTTCCATTCACCTTGCTCCTTTCTACTATGTGTCTCATCTATTCGTCAAGGTCAAACCTGGTAAAGCGCTTCATGAACTCACGATGCACCCGTCTTTGCCATCAGTTCAAGCTTAGATAACATATCATTCATCACTCGGGTGAACGGAATATCATAGAGAAATGGGATGATGACCTAGACTTGTAATATATATGAGACGAGCCTACAATGTATCCTTTTAGATGTAACAATGCAACTCTTGATGTCAGGGGAGGATAGGGAAGAATGATAAATTGTCAGGGGTATTTCTGCCACAAGATGACTAAGGTCAGCCGTTGAGAAGTTACCACCAAGAAGAAGTGGGCTGCTCAGTACTCAACATAGCCACGCATACCATCAGAAATGGTGTCAATCCCTAACTTACCCCTACGTATCGCTGTAGTCCAGTTCGCCCCAAAGGTACTACTTATATTTCATCAATGGTTTGCCAAATTACATCGTTTTGCTCGATAGATTGGCCAAATTCGAGGAAACATAGGTAGTTTCGCCCTCTCCCGCTTGTTCACCGAATCAACTCAACTGTGTGTGTGATTTGAAGCCCGAGCGACGGAACTATGCAAAACGTGAGTAGCGTTTCTCGGGGTTTACATAGGAACGATTCTCATAACTAGTCTCTTCTGCGTTGTAGAATTGAACCCAAGTCGGTCGACCTTGTGAGTCCAAAGCCTCCCCGCCTCGAGTAACACTCCAAAGAGACATAATACACTTCGAAGGTATGCCTCCCTGAGATGATTTTTACAGGTAGGAAAGCTTTGGTGCTATAAGTAGATCACCTGAGCGATGGCCGACAGGATACACATTTCCGGATGCGACTTCAATTTTACCGGTGCTCGAGGAACCCTCTTCAGGTCCTACTTCCAGATTCTGCGCTGAATTAGCAGAAAGACTCCGCTGCTACGTAGTCGCGGGGTATCCTGAACGTCTTCGCCCTGAGGTCTCTTCAGGCGCTGGCGATGATCAGCATGTCGGTGCAAACAGTGCTGTCATGTATGGCCCCAACGGTGACTTGATCAACAATTACCGTAAGACCAACCTATACGAGACAGATACAACTTGGGCCAAAGCGGGTAAGGGCTAAATTGCTCCCTTGCGTATATACTGATACTGAAGATACATCTCCAAAAGGAACGGGCTTTGCTACAATCAAGCTCCCTCCTCCTCTTCGAACAGTCTGTTTGGGCATATGCATGGATCTTAACGCGCAGCCACCATATGACTGGACAATAGAAGAGGGACCGTACGAACTCGCCAGTCACTGCCTTGATAGCAAAGCCGACCTACTCATCTTACTGAATGCATGGCTGCAATCGGAAAAGAGTAGCCAAGAGGACGATACAGACTGGAGTACTCTTAACTTTTGGGCTGCAAGGCTACGACCACTCTGGGCCGAATCTGACAATTCAAACGACAAACCTGTCCTCAGTCCTCCCGACGTACGAAGAACCGTTGTTATAGCGTGCAATCGAAGCGGGGAGGAGAACGGTAGAGCCCTCGAATAGCTCATGGACTTCATCGCCACTGACGAAGATTGCATGTAGGAGTCAAATTCGCGGGCAGCTCAGCGTGCTTTGACATGAAGGTCGGGTCAGGTCGTCCGAGATTACTGGACGCGATGGAGAAAGATGAGGAGGGAGTCCGTATCTGGACATTCCCTCAGTGACTTGCTACAATGGAAGGTTCTGCCTCTCGGTTAATACATGTCCCGCACAGAAATAAGTGACATTACTACTCCCATCAACGTCGTCTAGATGGGTGAACTGATCGCTGGCTGTGGCAGCGCTACTGGGACAAGCAGTTTATGCTGCCTTACATCCGGAGAAAGCTTGCTTGAGCGTATCCATCACTTCTTGTACTTCGTCGTCCTCGTCGTTGCCATTTGGAGAGCTACCCCAAAGGCGAGGATCTTTTAATGCAGACAATGTCTGGAGGAGAGAGGCAATCCTTCGCTTATACCCATCCTCCGTCGAGCACAATGAATGAGCAGAAAATTCCAGCTTGCGTGCAGATCGATTTAAGACATCATTCCTACCAAAGACTCCTTAGCATGCATAGGCAGGAGAGCGAGATCGATTTACCTTACGGCTGCGCTTACAGGCTTCTTCGAGAGTTTCGTCCATATAGAGTTTCCATCGCGAGTGGCAAAGATCTTCTGAAGGGTCCCATATAGTCGACCATATGTCTCCTCCCGCATATTCACCTGAACATATGATGTCAGCCAATTGCTCCACGAGATGAGCTACATGCCAGTGACCTGGATTTTGGTTGAAAACGAAGCGTCCAGCTGGACTTCGATATCAGCCATATTCAAAGGGGAGGCTAGCTCAAATGAGTGGGTCGTTTCGGTAGGGATAGGGTGCACTTACAAGCCCGCTCGGTGGTCTCATCAGAGATATCTATGGCCTCTTCGAGCTCTGGATGTTGTGGGGGAATCGGGATCGGCGGAGTGGGCGACCTCTCGGGGACGGCCGGGAGAACGTTCTCCTGTAATGGGGTCCTGAACGGCGGTTTGTAAGGTTTGTTCAGACGATATGCAGATTGAAATGGCTTCGTCACTGTGCCTTGTCCATCATCTTGGTCGGTCTTCTTGATAGACGCACGCACCTAATGGCGGCGGTGGTTCGAACCTCTGTTTCTTTGGAAAGTCGCTGGATGATTCGTCTAGATTTCGCTTGACTGAAGGCCTGAAGTCATTGTCCTCGTCGCCATCTCGTAACGTCGTTCGCCATAAAGATTCTGGGCGAGGCGGAGCCTTGACAATGGGGGCAATAACAGCCGACTGGAGTTCGACGGTCAATATCTTTCGCTGCCTGGTCTTTCCTGGGTATTTGCACACCTGCCATTCAAATTGAGCATGTCACCAGACGTATCAGAGAAGCAGGCGTCGACCCACATCACACATTTGGTCACAATATTGCTTTGCGACCCCTGGCTCGCTGTCACTTATCATCTCACCGAAGTAACGGCAAATGGACTGTCGGTTTTTAGTGATATTCGATCGTGAATGAGAACCACTCTACTCACGGTATGTCGACAGGTTGTGGTATTCTCGGCATATCTGATTAACTACAGAAGCTCAGATGCATTCATTTAAGCGATGATGGGGTGAAGCTTACTGATTCGAGGCTCCCAGTTGATCGCTGACTGGGTTCTGGACCATCGCTAACCTTCGCAACTCGGGTCGCATACGAATCGGATACGAACTTTCGTGCACGCATGGCATCTTCGCGAGCTAAGCCAATATACTTGAAAGAAGGCTCGGTTGGATCTATATCTTGCAAGCTTACAATAATACAGGATGCATTTAGCCGGCTGTAAATCTGGGTCAGCTGGAAAGGAAATAAACAGTGTCAACTACTTACTTGACCGTCCCGACCAGCGCGACCTTATGACCGATGAAATCACTGAAGACGTGGTTTGGATAGGCACACGTACCAGTTTCTTGATAATACCCTACATCGAGTAAGTAGTGAAACCGGAGTACACGAGGGTATAACGCACCTTCGAAGCTTTTAGGGAGATCGTAATGGATGATATACCTACGTGTGTGATTAACTCAGAGGGGAGGAGGGCCAAAACCCATGTGACTGCACCTAACATCGCCTTTGTCGATGCCCATGCCAAAAGCAATTGTGGCGCATACCTACATCCAATTTGGCAATCATCAAACAGACCATCGCGCGAAAGTCCTCACCACGTCTACACCGCCTTCGCCATTCCCGCCAATTTCCCATTCGCTCAACGTCTTCGCTAACGTATCACGGCTGAAGAATCTCATCACTACAAAGATAGGCTCGAAACGCACTTGGACCTACCCTATGCGAGCGTGATACGGCCGTGCATTGATGGCCCGCCGTCTGAGATGAGAGGCAATCTCGTCGCAGGTATTCCGCGTTCTACAGTAGATTATACCAGATGAAGGCCGCCCGCGGCGCCGATATAGGGTGTGGATATACTCGGCGATGGCTTCCATCTGCGAGACTGAATCAGGGGCTGAAGAGTATCGCACCTATGTCAACGGGTAGGCAAATCGCACAATTGTAAGTAGCTTCCCTTCTCACCTCATAAAAGAGATTTGGACGATTGAAAGGGTGGATTGCCTTGAACATGTTCTTCTCAGACATCCTGAGCGAACGGATGATATCCAACTGAACACTAGAGAACATTAGTAAACTATACCTGGATGGTGCCACTTAGTATACACACCTGGGCGTTGCCGTAGCGGTCAATGCGGTGATAGGGACTTGACTGAAACATTGTCGAAATAGAGGGCCCATCCGTCTATAATCCTCGCGAAAGTCGTGTCCCCATTCCGACACGCAGTGAGCCTGCCCAAATGATATCATCGGATACTTGGCATTAACGCTTTCGACGTACCTCATCAACCACCAGCCTATTTATTCCGGAAGTCCGATTTAATGCGGTGAGGATATTTCGGAAGACACTCGTACATAACCTCTCCGGTGTGACTTCAGTTAAGAGTGTAATTCCGATTGATTTTCTATCAGGATCAGCCATACCGTAGAGCAATCGAAGGTCAGAATATCCGGACAACAAATCAGCTTCGATCTCAAGAAGATGAATGAGTAGCGTAGGCCAGGAATCCCGGATCCACATACCTCCTTCTTCTCGTCGTCCGAGATGTCAGAGTTGTATGCGCAGACTTGGATATTCTTCTGGCGCAGCTGGTTGACCTCTTCAAGAAAAAGGCACGAGTCAACGTGAAACCGACTACAATTCGCCACGCTTACGATTCTTCATCAAAGCTATTTAACGGCCTGTCAAACGTTGGTTCCGCATGTACTCGCTTATATGATAGACGCACCGAGCAATGGAGATACCACAATAGTAACGCCGCGCTGGACGGAGAATGGTTACCATGAGCAATGGTTTCCATGTATAAAGCAGAACATCGGGAGACACACATTTACAGCTATCGCCGGTATCTGAAAGCATAAGCTCTTTTGAAGAGGTTGAGCGTACAGAAGACATAAAGTCATCGAACGCGCACCTTTCCCATCCCTGTCGGAGCTAACACGAAGACATCACTACCTACCATCCCAGGTTATCGATGATAGTCGCGTGTAGTGGGCTAGGGCACGCACCTCGACATGCGGCACGAATGATCTCTTCTTGTTGACCTCGGAATTCTGGGTAGCCGAATACTAGATTCCTTCACTAAGTCATCGTCCTTCTCGCGACTAGAGTGGCACAAACCATCTTTAAGAAGACTATTCTCGGATCCCAGTAAGTGATCTGATGCAGTGATAAAGATAAATGCTTGCACAAACCGTAGAGGGTCCGCTGAGGGCGAACTGGCCATGGAAAATGATGAATGATCGACGTCGAGTTTGAAGCACTCGACGCGTCTGGCAAGTAACGCGCCGAGTTTGTATCACGTGCCGTTCGTTATCCCATGATCGTACGTGACAGGACTTCTCAGCCAATCTTCCTTCTCAACTCCCACCAATGATATTGATTGTCGCGCGTCTACCCCATCTGCGTCGATTACGAGCGGGGACTAGTAGCCACTAGTGTGGGGAAGTCTCGTATACATTGTTCTCATGCACTCATGACACTGATAGTCACCTGGTCCGATGAGATCTCAAATCATTACCACCTTCCCATGCATTGTGGACAGACTGGGCATGCGTGCGACGAGGCTGGCCTTCGTGCTGGATAGGTGTGTCAATGTATACTATACTCACCCTGTGCATGCACCGTACTTACGAAATCCGAAGAGAAATATAGGCGTATTCTTGACACCTGCATCAAGCATGAGGCCTTGAGGTATCCCTCGGATCCGGTTGGATCGTCTGCCGACTCAACACAGCCACGACGAGATTGCCTTTCCATCACCTGGAACTTGGATCTTGTGTGAATATGGAACGTTTTCTTGGACGGTGCTCAGCGAATACATACAAACAACAACGGAGGTAAACAACAAGTCGCGGAACCTTTCTGAAGATAATGGAAATGATCATACAGATTGACAATAAGACGGAAGCTAGATGGAGAGAAATCGAATCCGGGTGGTGGCCGTAATGGGGCATGAGCAGTGAGGACTAGGCCCCGGTGTTGGCGTGGCGGAGGATAACCATCATACCATCAGAATGGGCAGAGAAAATGGCATCTACGGGTACTTGACGAGATGAGTCTGGAGACAGAAGGGCGTGAATACGAGGTCGAATTACACCGCGAGCCCGAACGCTGGGGGCCCGCGCTCTCGACGTGGATCCTTGGCGGTGCCTCGATGGAGGTGGTTCCGGCATGCGGGTTCTAGAGACCAACGGGGATTCAACACCGGATAGCATTTTATAACGTTGTTGAACGTACGAGGAGTCTCTTCCTTCTGTTAGAAGCGTGAATTTTCCATAACCAAAGCCCCCGTCGCTAGGTTGGCCACGTTCATTTACCCCCCATCCCTTGACGACATCCATCCAGCTGCGCACGATCTCTTCGTCCTTCTTGGCCACAAAATCGAAAAAGCTTCGACCCATGGCAGTCGTTGTCGAGAGCAACAAGTCATTCGAACAGTAGATGATGGGGCAATTAACAGAAAACCTGTCAAGGATCAACGCGGTTCTGAAGGATTGAAGTGGCAGCAGATCGAAGTCTAGGTCTTCATTTACGGCTGGCCTAGGGGATGGGGATCTGGAGGGGCTGTCTGATGAGCTGTCATCGCGCCCACGGGATCGACTCTTGCGTGGCCTTCTCCCTCTTGGTTTCGACCTGCTCCTGGGCGGGGAGTAGCTTGGATTTCGGCGTGAGAAGCCATCGGACGTGAGGGAAAGGCTACGTCCTCTGGGCAGAGGAGCATCGGGGGGCATCGGTGATGGGTCATTCCATCGCTGCGAACGGGATTGAGGACGGGTCAAAAGTTGAGTAGAATCCTTACTCTAAATTCGAAATCCCGGGCATGGGGTGTAATGACAGTAATCTCCTGCGCTGTTGAAGCATTATGTAACGCCTTCGCGCCGGGCGTCGCAAACGAGACACTTCCTATCCAAAGATGTCAATACTACGTAACGAACGGCAAGGATTTTTCAAAGGGAATATACGGAAACACGGACCAACGAGAACATTGTGAACGACAGTTCGAGAGATGCCGCACAGGACGTAACCCTTGTATGGGTCCTTGTGTCGTAGACGGAGGTACGCGATAACCGCCGCCTTATCTTCTTGTATAGTTTGACTGTGGAAAGCATGAGTCATCTTGCTCTTCCACCGAGGCAGAAACCCGTACTAGTGCATCTTCTGGACTCTAGGAAATTCGTCTGGATGGACGAGCTGGAGGGAAGGGGTGCCGCGGAGATCCGCTGGTTCGTAGCCTGCCCTCGCATTTTTAGTCCGCGCGCAAATCTTCAGTAATGCTGAGCATCATGCCCGCTCACCCAGCAAATCCGTCACCGACTCGCTGACAAAGACCCAGTTCGCCTGAAGGACGGAAAATGCTCAAACGTAGTTAGCGTATAAGCTGTGAACTGGTCTACCTCGGGGGCAAAATCGACAATGCCGACTGGTAATCATCAGCAAGGATTCTACAGCCGCTGAGGGGGAGAACATACTGAAGGAGAGATGGGAGTGTGGGGCATCCATCCTTTAGCGCGTATCGGCGGCGCAGATGATGGCTTCCTGGACGCTGTTCGCGGGTGGTGGAGAATAACAGGAAATGAGAACACGGGTACCGTACACTTGCAATAGAAGGACGTACTTTAATAGGGCAAGATTGCAGTCAGTGGGTGAATCTAGGGTCCTGCACAATGCAACCCCAGGATTTGGCGCCGGCCTCAGGGAGAAAGGGATAGAACGCGATTCGTGAGACCGCGACTCTGACCCCTTTGCATCCCAAAAAGGGTGGCTTGCTTTGATCATCTACCATAAAGGCTCCTCGCCTCAAATGTGGTCGACGGCGCGAGAAATTGCACCAGGCGACACGGTCATTGCCTGGCTGGTAAGGCATTCGCGCTGATCCTCCTTACGGTTGTTGCTGATTTACTGATTAACGATCAGACAAGAGACCTCATACAGCCTTTGGTCGTTACGCCGGGGAAGGATCTGAACATTAGGTTTGGTTATTATCGCCACGACGACCTTGTCGGAGTCCCCTACGGCTCCAAAGTTGGTTCTCGCAATGGCAAGGGCTTCATCCACGTTCTCCGGCCGACACCCGAATTGTGGACCATGGCCCTCCCACACCGTACCCAAATCTTATACTTGGCCGATATCGCGTTCATCACATCCCATTTGGACATAAAGCCAGGCAGTCGTGTAGTAGAAGCAGGTTGGTTCATAGATGTCGAAAATTTCCACTTTTGCTGTAGGCTGCGTGCCGTAAGCCTTGGCGCATGCTTCCGATTCACTTACGCGACAACCCCCACAATATTTCGCTTATTTGGACCAACTCCTGGATCTAACTCCCCATTTTTTTGCAGGTGAGCGAAGCGCAGAACACTTTTATGCCCGATTCTGAATTGCCTATTTTGGATCAAGGTACAGGATCGGGTTCCTTCTCTCATTCTGTTGCCAGGTCAGTAGGCAAAACCGGACACCTTTGGTCATACGAATTCCACGAGCTCAGAGCCAGCAAGGCAAAGTCAGCGTGGTTTCTCCCCGGACGCGGCCTCGTGCTCAAACCACTATCATCTTTTGCAGGGAAGAATTTACCCGACATGGCCTCGCGGACATTGTGACATTAACCCATCGAAACGTCTGTAAAGATGGGTTCACGGTGGAAAGTGCCGCAGATGCAGGTATGACACATGGACCAGTAGATCTGAACTTCCACCGACTCTAACGCCTCTCAGTGTTCCTTGATTTGCCGATGCCATGGTCCGCAATTCCGCAAGCAAAAAAGGCACTCCGAGTGAGTTATCACCTCGTGTTCTACAGCATTCTGGACATTGTGCCGTATTCCCCTGCAGAAAGATTGCCTCACAAGGATCTGCTGTTTCAGTCCTTGCATAGAACAAGTGCAAAGGACAGTTACCGCATTGAATGATGCCGGGTTCACAGGTTCGTCATTTAAGCGGAAATTGCAATGAGAAAAGTACTCTAACCTCGATTGGCAGAAATTACGATGTATGAATCGCTTGTGAGGCCACACGAGGTGGACCAGGTGCCACCCATGCGCTCGGTTGATGATGCCTGCGAAATTCTCAAGAAAGCCGAGCAAAAACGTGAAGACAAACGTTTGCGGCAGATTGCGGCTACGAGGCAAAACCTGGCCAACAAGCGGAAACGTGAAGGGGAGGCAGATCTTGCTGAAGAGGAATCACACCACGATACAGCCAGTGGAAAACGCACGAAGACAGATGAGATCGACGACATCCCTCAGGAGCCAATTTCCCTCGATCGCAATATCGCGGGAAGTAGCGAAGTGGCAGATTCGACGAAGCCGACGGCGAAAACTACTGTATCGAAAGCGTTTCCCGAGGTACGCGGCCATACATCATACCTTACGTTCGCTTGCCTTCTACCCGCATCGCCGGAAGTTACAGTAGATGCCTAACTTTTGGATTACATGTGTACATAGAAAGTCTGAGCTTAACTGTGTATGTGTGTACTCGACGTCACTTAGACAGATCTGAGAGAACCCACCATCGAACGCGTGTCGTACTAAATGGTTCGCCGCCGTCTAAGAGGCACTAGGGATAGTCCATAGGGGTGGATCGAATCCCAGCTCCACCTCACCAACAGGGCTGACGGCGATTTCTACACAAGGCCACTTTCCAGAAGAATCATTGTTAACTGGTGTGGTCATTCTAATGCTGTCATTCTCATGTCTCCATGCTTTGGTTCTTAATGTTGGTTAGATGTCTGAGGGAGGGGATCATCTTCATAACAAGATGGACGAGTTAAGGAATATAGCTGACAACAACACCTCTTGGAACGACCCATCGAGACCTCCATCCATGCCACATGTGTTCCCCATCGGAGAAATGGGTGCCCGTAAGCAACGCGTCTTATGCCCAAGGGATTTCAATGGTAGAGGATATAGCCATATTAAGCCTCGCGCCTGGGTAGCCGCGGGCGTAATACTCGACTGGATGATGGCACTGGCACGCTTTCATCCAAACCTTTTGTCCGTCGCTTCTTCGGCAGCGGGGAATCGCTTGCCATGGACTCGTCTTCGCTGTCGCTATCCTTCTTGCATTTCTGTCTGGAGACACGAGCAGATGATCGAGTCGCGCTTCGCTTTAGAGCCTTGCCGTTGTGGGTGCATGTGGATTTTGCCATAGCCTGATCCGTCGTAGCCTCAGTCTCGGGCGGTAAGGGCGATTCGGAGACATCATCCGCGGCAACGGATGTTGTATCCATCCTCGCAGCTAATTCCTTCATAGATTTCGGGACCAAGTTTAGCTGCGATGTGTTCGAAGTCGTATTCACATCCACATTTGGTTCCTCATCCGAATCGATATCCATTGTCTTGAATATAACTGGTTCGGGGTTTGCCATGTCCTCATTTTCACTTGTATTGACGCCGTCGTCTGCCTCATGGGGCGCTGGGCGGAGAACGGGAGGATAAGAGGGGAGTACGGGATGAAAGTTCCTTGGTAAGTGAAATGGTTGTACCACATCGTCTGCCCCCACGAGAAATCCCCCCGCCTGATCCGTATCCTGACGACGAATAAGATACATAACAGGGACAAAGAATGCTGTCACATACATGATCCTTTTCGATGACCATTTCACCTTGCACTGGCTGGTGGTGATCAGCTGGTGGGATTTCATTATGCGTATTCTGGTATTGATTCTGTAGACGTTGCCGTATTTGCAAAGCTTGGATGAGGCGTTTCCATCTCTTCACTACTCGTTCTTCGCGTTGCTTGTGCGCCTTCTCCTCAAGTTCCTTTTCGGCTTCCCAATACGCCTATGAACGTGCATGAGACGCTGAACCCAAGGAGCTAAATGGAAGGTACCTCAAGTAAGACGTCTTCATTTTCAACAGCAATCACTACGCCCTCAATGACGGGCAATGCTCTCCTGTTTTTGAAGTCGAAGCGAGTCTTTTTGGACATTAGTATTATCCTCCCGGCTACGACTAAAGGTACGTACCACAGCTTCTGCATAATCCAACCCTAGTTGTCGTGCGATCTTTGCTACTCCTTTGACTATCGAAGCGCAGATCAGTATTGACCACACAGAAATCAACATGGACACTCAACAGGGAACGTGTACTCCGCCCCTGGGCAGCATGGAGGGCACATACAGATCGATATTTCCGAAATTATTCTTCGGTACGATCCCCTGCAAAGACCATATGTTAGTCCGCCAAGCATCATTCTAGAAGATATGACTTACGTCGATGACCGGTGGTGGGACATACATTTCTGTTTGGCCCCTCGCATACAAACCCTGCATGACCTCTCCGTTGCCCGCTCCTGCCGTCTTGAGGGTCTCGATCTCCCTTAATTTATTCACTGTCCCAGATCGCGCTTTCACCATCTTCAAGGGCTGACATCCTGCCTTCACCACCCTTCCTTCGCTTCGAAGCCAGTTCTCGCTGCTCTTTAGATCGACTACAGCGGAGCGGGGATATACAGGTTCGCCCCGGAACTTGCCTAATTCTGGCGTGTCTGGCGGCTCTGGGTATATAATCTGGTTCTGGTGTAGGTGCCGGGTTAAGACGTATCTAGAATCCATATGAATGAATACTCAAGGAAGCGCTCGCAACTCATAGAAACACATACAGCGGGTGATCCTTGAAGCCGGAGATTGTAGTAGGCATAGCTTCCTTCATTTCATTCGCGTCTAGCTCCTCATCTTCGATATCATCTCTGTGCTGACTTGTGTTCAGGACCAGGAGAGTGCACAAGAAAGATAACGTACCAAACGGTACGGTCTATGCACAATGCTCAGTACTCGGTTCCACCACTCCAGTCTCCCTTTACCCCTACCTTGACCTTGCACTTTCGAGACCTTGGCTCCATACTCTCTTGCATATCGCCGGGTGACATCACGAGCGTACCCATCTTCTTCGAACGCTAGGACGTAGGCCATTCTGTTCTCACTAACAGCATACGAAAATGTGGGACGGGCAATCTTCTGTGGTGCGGGGGTTCCGAGACTCCCAAAAGATGATGGGCCTGGAGGCGCACTTGCGCCAGGGCTTGGGTCGAATGCTTTCCTCTTGTTTACGATACATCGGACAGGATCAACAGCTAACCAACGGCCATCTCCGCGAGAAAACACTTCTGTCCAGAATACAGGAGGGGTTACCGAAGGCGAAGGAATATCTGTAGTTGTGCTCACTGAGGGTCCGTGACAACATGACATGGAGCGCACTCACGGTTTCTTGCAAAACTCGATGCCGCTGGGGAAGGTCCGCCAAGACGATTTCCCTTGGGCTTCTGCTTGCGCAGCTTGATGATGGGGTTCGATTTGGCTTGGGATTGCTCCTTCAAGTCGCCATTGAGAGACTGACCTTGTAGCTGAGTTGATTTGGCGTCTGAACCAGAACCAGGGTCGACACTCGAAGCTTGACTTTCAATAGCCTTCCCCTTGCCCTTCTTCGTCCTCGGTTTTGCTTTGGGTTTGTTGATATTGGCCTGCCATGGTACGCTTTGGATGCTAACAACCAGTCTTGTAGGAATACCCAAAGAACGGCACAGCGCTGTGAACAGTTGCGCACTTAGATCTCGAGAGCCTTTGCGCATGAGAGCATGTTTCATGAGGCTTTTCGGAGTCCTGATAAATTCGCCGTCGTCGTCTAATATATCTTGAAGCGTTTCATTGTCGATGGTTGGTGATTGATGCAAAGATTGAATAAGTTCTGGAAACGCTGGTGCCGGTGCCGCGGGTTTCTTAGCTGCAGGCTCGGCCAGGGAGCGAAAGCCTTGAGCCTCAAGGCCTAGTTGGACATCCTCAAACGTTCTGTTGCGTAAATGGCCTTCAGGCGTCACCTCAAAGAAAGACTCGGACCACCATTCTGCCAAACGAGTGATAGAGGCCTCGAATAGATATCCTCGTCTCGCCGCATCCGGTACACGAGATTTGTGTATCATAGCAAAACTATTTTGCAGAGGTAGTGGGGTCAACGAGAGTAAACGCGCCTAAAGTGTCGTGGGTTATATAGGACGATGCATAATGATATAAGCTTACTTGCAGCAGTTCATCATTAATCCAGTGATTTCGTATCCACCCATTAGCAATGAGACAAATGGTATGGATCTTGTGACAGTGAATTCGCGTAAGCCGCTCCGTATGCGACAAGCCTTTTCGCCTAGGACGTTCGTCGGGAAAGCAGAGTGTTGAGCTGAATGAACCTACTCACTTCGTCGATGCCTTTGTACTGGTCGCCTTAGGTTGCAGAGTAATCTCTAGGTGCTCTGCCTGAGGAACTTCAACTTCTTCCCAATCAAGTTCGTCGTCACTATCATCAGAGGATAAGATAGAATTATTGATTGGATCCATAGTCATAAATATGATAAAAAGGATGCGATAGTGATGAAGCCGCCAAAGTCAGTAAGGCGGAATGGTGGGAGTCAAGACTCTCCACGGCGTCTGACTCGCGTCGCGTACCGTGCCACCCCTATCTCCTAGTAGGACCCGTCCACTCTTCTCTCCACTCCCGGGCCATTCCATCTGTTTTATGTGGAGAACTTTGGCCTCTGCGGCTTGCGCATCATGAGCGACGAGTTTGCGTTGTTGGGCGACTTGGGCTGGGGCTGCAATAAACCAAGACTCGGAAGACTGCTTGTAATGCGTCCGTGAGAGAGATCGCGTCGTTGAACCGTAAGAGAGCTCGCGTCGCTCCCGCGAGGGTAGAGGGCCGACGACCTGGCCTGGGTGAGCTAGTCCGCAGCTAACGGGCTGGTGACCCGAGCAGGGGAGGGCGTCGAGGCCTCGTACGACGGGGGGCGCTCGAGCGCTTAACGTAGATGGTGACGGTTGGAGAAAAGAGTATATATATTACGTCACTGTCAACGTGTACGATAACTACGCTATACGATACCTACAGAGTCCTTGTTCCTACCGATGGCTACTACTTCGGTACCGCATCACATTGCCCCCCAGGTATCGTATGGACGGTATGTTGCCTTGCGTGTTGACTGAGCGAATGTTGTACATAGTAGGAAGAATAGATATTGATTACGGTGTGGTGATTCGTTCGCTTAATGGTGTTCGTTGTAATCGTTCGTAGAGAGAACGTTTCGACGTCTCTGTCTTTTGTTCCGTTGTCGTGCTGACCGCTGCGTTCGTTGTCGTAGTCGTCGGTGCAGTCGGTGATGTTTGGTCTGGCGTGGGTGGTTGTGTAGTCGGGGTGGATGGCGGGAGTGTATACAATCGTAGTGGGTTATCCCATCGGTTTACGGGAAGGGGAGGAGGGGCGTGAGGATTACTCTCCTCTGTCTCGGCGATGTTGAAGAGGTCCTTGTTTACTAACGCTCCAGTGACCTTTACGCTGTAGCGTCCTTCCGCGTTGACGGCGAATCCTCTCGCCACCAAAGCTTCCGTTATTGACTGGAATCGTACCCAGTAAACGGGTATGTTTCCATCCCACGTGCGAATGACTGTATCGACGTTGATCTCGACGTGCTGGTCTATGTGGTGCAAGAGCGCGAATAGGTCATGTGGCGATGACTCTCGGAGATCAGTGAATCGTAAACGCCAGTTTTGCGAGACGCAGGGGGGGGAGGCTTGGTATAGGCAATTTAGATATTCCTCCGTCGACATGGAGGATAGGTGGTCGTTCATGGCGAAGCGTAATTGTCTGAGTGAAGCGACGAAGGATGCTTCCTTCTTTTAAAGGTGTTCATGGGTCAATAGGCAGATTCCCACTGTTGGCGTTTTGTGGGTAGATACGTCTACTGCGGTCGTCCTGTGACTCGTGCGTCGTAATCTCTCCGTAATTCCGGTGCATTTCGAAGGTCGTGTTCGTTTAGCCAGGAGTCTTCCGCAGCATCTAGACCTTTCCATCGGACAAGATATTGACGCACTTTCCCAGAGCGACTGGACGTGGTCCGATGACCAAGTATTCTATCGATTTCCCATTCTTCGGATGCGGGAACCATGTCGCGTGTGGGAGGTAGCACTTCCCTTGTCCCAAAGCGTGCGTCCGAGGGGATGTAACGCCGGAGATGACTTAAATTCACAACAGGGTGCATGGGGTAGTTCGTCGGTAATCGTAGGCGATAGACGAGAGGGTTTATCTTTTCTAGAACTTCGAAAGGGCCTATCATTCGTTGTACGAGTTTTCGTCCTGTGCCGGTTGCTTCAATCAGTTGTAGAGTGTGAGGGTTGACTAGAACAAGGTCGCCTGGTTCGATGGCGCGAACAGGTCTGCGCTTGCGATTGAAAGACTTTGCTTGACGTTCTTGAGCCAACACTAACGCGTCTCGGGCGAGTTGCCTGTGGTGTTGGAGTTCCGCTACGAAGTTGGAGGCACGCTGGCTGGCTAGTGGGCGAGGGACGAATACGGAGTCGGGGACGAGACCCGAGGTTCCTATCTGCGGTTCGTACCCTAGAAGTAAGAAGTCGGGGCGGTGTCCCGTGGACGAGTGGGTAGAGGAATTGTACGAGAAAGCTAGTACGCCTAGCCATTGGGCCCAACTTGCCCGATCCTTCGCAACGTAAGCACGCAACATTGTTTCTACTTGAGCATTGAGGACTTCAGTCTGGCCGTCAGTTTGAGGGTGGTGTGCAGAGGATAGAACAAGGTTCGTCCCATAGTAGGCGACGACCGAACGCCAGAATGAAGACGTCCATCTTTTATCGCGGTCGCAGATAATTCGAGAGGGCAAGCCGTAGATATTCACGATCCGACCGATGAAGTGTAGCGCAAATCCTACTTGGTCGAGCTCGTTGTAGGTGGGGACGAGGATGGCATACTTCGTTAGTTTGTCCACGAAAGCTAGGATAGCAGTGTACTTCTCCGGGCCAGACTCGGGTAATCCTGTGATCATGTCCATTGAAACGGTAGCGAAGGGACGGTGAGGAATGTGCGCGGGTCGAAGCCCACCTTGTGGGCCTTGTCGGTTGATCTTTGTCTTCTGGCAAACGTCACACGAGGCGACGAATTCGGTGGCATCCTTAACCATGTGGGGCCAGTAGAATAATTCTCTCAGCCGAGCTATAAACCTTTTTTCTCCGCTGTGCGCGCCTTCTTGAGGAGAGTTGTGAATGCAGTTGAGGATGTCGTTTACTTGGTCATGGGGAACACACAGGCGATAACGCCAGTCTGCATCTACAAAGTAGATGAGACCATTGTCGCTGCGTTGAAATCGCGAGGGAGTTAGCAGGGTGGAGGGGTTGGCATCTTCGACACCCTTGTCACGGTAATAAGGGTCGTGTGAATACGCTCGTATCCACTTCTTTAATTCGCTAGGGCTGACCGCAACGAGTAGGTGGGGTCGTAATACCTCGACATGGCGTTCATCGTACGCGTTATCGAGGGTATTTTCGAGGGAATCTGGACGAGTCCAGTGGTCGGAGAGGAGTGGATGGGTAGAGAAAGGGGTAGCGGGGTACTCCGTAGAATCTGTATTAGGGTCTGTAGCGGGTTGGAGGTCGTCCGGGGGGGTTACGGACGAGGGCGGCTCCTCTCGTAAGCGTCTTTGTTGTCGTGTCTCTACGGCCAAGGCGCGCGAAAGGTGCTCTTCAACGATTGCTTCCTCAAACCACCACCACGTAGAGAAGACTGAATGATTAGCGCTTTCCCTGCGATTCTCTACATCCTGAGCTATTCGTCGTTTCTCTTCATTGGGAATGATGGCTTCGATGTGGTCTTGCATGGGCGAGAGATGAGGAGGTTTACGAGGGAGGCGCGAGAGAGGATCCACATTTGAATGGACACGTCCGGGGCGATGGATAATTCGTAGTCCAGGGTACGCAGCGAAAACGGCCCCCCAGGCAGCGAGGCGTCGATTCGAGTTTTCGTAGGCTCGCGCCCAGGTTAGGGCAGAATGATCGGTGATGAGTGTAATTCTTTCGCCTTCAATAAAGGGCTGAAATTTAACTAACGCCTCCTTAGCTCCTAAGGCCTCGCGCTCTGTGGCGCTGTAGTTACGTTCGGCCGACTTCAAAGTTCGGCTCCAGTAAGCTATAACTCGTTCGACGCGGACAAGCGTATCGTCCAGAGACGAGCCCCACATTGATGCGGGGCCTGCATCGTCATGGCCACTGGGGTACACCTTGACTAGCGGCGGAATGGGAGCGTGGGCTTGGTAGGCATTGGATAACCGTTCGTATGCCTTGGTACCTCGCAGGTCGCCAACCCTTATCGTTTGTACTTGTTGCAGGCTGGCGCCCAGTGCGTAATCAGAGGCGTCAGTGTATAGCCGGTATGGGGAGCCTTGAATGGGGTGTCCTAGGACAGGGGCAGCAGCGAGGGCGTTGCGAGTGTTGACGAACACAATTTCATGTTCTGTATTCCAAGTCCAACGTACCCCCTTCTTGAGAAGTGTGAATAAAGGGGAGGCGATGTGAGCGTAGTGGGGGATGTAGGCGGAGAAGTATACGACCAGCCCCAGGAATCGCTGCAACTCTACAACTGACGAGGGGCGTTCTAATTCGATTACGGCGGCAACCTTTTCGCGGTGAGTGGACAGTCCTAAGCGGGACACCTTTTGCCCTAAGAGGAGGATGGACGAGAACCCAATGTAGCATTTAGGCGGAGACAGGGTGAGTCCGACGTCTTCGATGGCGCCCAAGACGGCATCCAGGTGTTTGAGATGGTCAGCCCATGACCGTGAGTAGACGACGATATCATCGATGTACACCAATGCGAAGATCCAAAGAAAGGGGGATAGTACCTCCTGCATTAATCGTTGGAAGATGGAGGGGCCATTTCGCAGTCCCAGTGGCATGCGGCGAAACTGAAATAATCCTCGATGGCAGCGGAAGGCCGTGATAGGTTTGGACGCATCGTCCATCTCTATTTGTTGGAATCCCGCCAGCGCGTCGAAAGACGAGATTACTTGAGATCCTGAAAGAGATTGAATGATTTCCGACTGGCGAGGGATGGGGAACTCGTCGGGAACTGTTTGCGCGTTTAGTTTACGGTAATCGATTACGAGTCTAGGTTTGCCGTTACGATATACTATCATACACGGTGAGCCCCACGGGCTTTTGGAGGGCTCGATTACTTCTTGTTCGAACCATTTAGCGAGTTGGGCGTCGAGAACTTCACGCTTGGCAGGTGAGGTTCCGTACATGGGTAGAGAGATCGGGGGGACTCCTGGCTTAAGAGGGATAGTAGCCTTACGCTCAACCTTCCCTAGACGGCCGTTTAATCCGAACGCTCGCGAACGTCTTCGTAACACGTCTTCTAATGCCGGGCGTACATCAGGGGGTATGTCCGGTCCTAGATGTACGGCTTGAACGACGTCTTCCGACGAAGGATCGTCAGGGGTGGCCGTAGTTTTGGGTCCCCACTGTTCTGAGAAGTGAGATGTCGTGGGGGAAGGGGGAGGGTGAGCAGATGTAGAGTGGACTTCTTGATAGGCGTCTATTAATTTGCTTACTGCGTAGGCGTGAGCTTGCATTTGTTCAAGGCGAGCGCTTGAGGCGGGTGTCTCGAAGTACTCGTCTGGGTCAAAGGCGTACCCTAGGATCGTTCCCCGCTTCACCTGAAGGGGACGCATGGTGGGATTGGCGATTGGTAAGAATGGGAAGATGGTCGATACGAGGGTCGCGGGAGAAGCGAGAATATCATGTCCCTCCTCTGAGAGGACCGTGTTTTCTACGAACCAAGTATTCTTCGGTCCGTCCGTATGAGGGAGAAGAACGGGGACATTGGCGCAGTGTCCGGGCGGGATAGTTACGTTGCTGGCAGCTGTCACGGATGTGGGGCGTTCGTCCTGGTAAATTAGAGGAATACGAGAACTGGACCGACGGCTCTGTTTCCTTTGAAGGAATGTCGAGCCGGTAAACGCTTTACGCACGTAGAGACCTAGTCGATAGAGTTCCGATGTTGACGCGTTAATCGGGACACGTCCATTTAGCGCGTAAACGGTACAACGACCTGAAGCTCTACGTGTTACAGCCAGCTCGTAGGACGTCATGAAATCTTCTCCAAGTAGCAAGGGCACTTGCATTCCTTGTACTACGTACGCTTCTAGTTCAAATTGTATGGTCCTTTCGTCTTTCGTGACGACGTAAAGCTTCGTTGTGATATAGCCCAGAATGACGGCGGAACAGGTGAGTTGTTGTAGTCGTATTTTGGAGCCGGTATTGAGGGTAGGGCGGGAGGACTCTGGCATCGCGTCGAAGTAGTCTTGTGATATTAGCGTAATGTCGGCTCCTGAATCTAGACGAGCGAGTACGTCGGGGGCACGAGGGGAGGCTATCTTAGCTACAAATTGGAGTGATCGTATGCCTACCGCGTTGCGACCTGGAGCTCGTACGCGGGCTTTCTTTGCAATTAATGGAGTTGGAGGTGTTTGGTCCATGTTTCCAATGGAATGTTGACTGCGGTCTGTTTCATCGGCTAATCCCAATGGGGGGTTCCCTCCTGCGGACTGAGCGTTACTGACGTTAGTCGACGCTGAGGTGGGATCCTGCGCCGCATGGCTGGACGACGGTGTATTCCGTAGTACTTCCTTTCCCTTGTCTAACCTTTTAGACACAAAACGTCGTCGATAGGCTCGGTTTATTGCAGTAGGGGAGTTCGCGTGAAACTCCTTGGCTGCGTTGAACGAGCTTCTAACCATTTGTCGATACTCAGTAAGTTCAGACGCAAGGTAGGCGGAATCGCTGTCTTCTGATTCTTCCAATTGTAGAGAAGCTACATATGCTTCATATTCTCGATCTACTACACGAAGATCCTTAGGCTCGAGTTGTCCTTGCGATCGTAGTCGTTTGGTGATTGTTACCCACATGGGGTAGTGCGGGCATTCTCGATAAAAATGGAAGGGACTGGTACATAGGCGACATTCGCCTGGAGGCTTTGCTCGGCTCTGCTGGGAGTCGTTTCGGCTGAACGAGTGGCCTTCGAACGTTTTCCCCTTTGGCCAATCGAAACGCAATTTCTTAGAACTCGATTCTGGCTTAGTGGCCCTTTTCCGCCTGGTATCAGCAGCATGAGCGCTTGCTTGTTCTTCGTTAGAGTCCGAAAGTGGGTCGTTAGAGGGGGTTTCGGTATCCGAGGGCTCGTACGCAAGGAACGCGGAAGCTTGTCTGGGGTTACTGGGGCGAGTATTGCGATCATTGTCTAGACTCTCCTTGCGCTCCTTTTCCCAGGCGTACAAAAGTCGGGGTTCTTCAGAGCTTACTCGTTCGAGGAGTTCCCGGATGGTCCTTGAATGTTCAGTGAGAATGTAGGTGCCCCATGAGCGGGGACGACGATCCAGCACCCGGCTGCAGACAACTGCTTCATTTTCTGCTTCGTCCGGGTACAGCAATTTGGCGTAGCTGATTCGTCTTAGAACCCATTCGATGGGGAGTTCGTTTCTGAACTCGCGTCCGCGTCGGAAATACATACGATCGAATTCGAGGCTTCGTTCGTACCGCCATTCTCCATGCATGAACTGTTCTCTAATGTAAATGAGAAAGTTCGTCATGTTTTCGGTGCAGGTCATGCGATCCGCTATTGAGAGACCGTTGAACCAAGTTCGAGCTAGACCTGTGAATCGGAAAGGGGCTGCGCGCGCTAGGTAGTCGGTGACCCCTGGTCCCAATTGCTGGTAGTACGACAATTCGCTGATATAACGAATTATAGAAGTTGGCGAGCCGTCCCATTCCGGGAGAGAGTTCATGGGAATCTTGGAACTAAATTGCCAATGAAATTCGGGATTGGCTCGTGGGAGAGGAGGAGGGAAGATGTTTCCTTGTGGAGGGGGGTCCGGGGGATTTCCTCCACCATCTGGATCGCCGGGGCCTCTTGGAGGGGGAGGACCCGGGCGTCTGCCTTGATACTGCCAGCCATGATGCCCCCCAGGGGGATCGTCGGGGTCTCCTCCGTCTCGCCCTGGCCCATCACCATTCCCTCCTGGCCCGTCTCCATTTCCTCCAGGGCCATTCCCATTACCTCCCGGTCCTCCACCGCCGAATCCGCCTGGACGTCGTCCTCGTTCGTAGTCGTCACTCGGGGAACCTGAGCTGTGCCGAGGGTGGGAGGATTTGCCGTGGCGCGAGGACGGGGATGTAGGATGTTCGTCTGCTCGTCGATTTGACGTTCGTGTAGAATGGGAGTTTCCTCTGGATGTAAAATAGTCGGGCGCTGACGGGGGCATCCACGACGGACCTTGTAGGTAGGAGGAGTGGATTGGAGGGGCCCGTTCGGAGGACGTGGCACGACCGAAGGGAGGCGTGGTCGTTCGAGAGGGACTGTGCGAGGGAGAAGCCGGCAGGCTACCTGAAGTGAATAACGGACGCAACGATGGCCCCCCAGTTTCCAATCGTCTGGATGTAGACGAAGGGTCGTTTAACCGTCGACTTCGCAACGCTGCGAAGCTGACTCCTTGCGCGTCGTCTACGTTACCATACCCTGGAATGTGGACGATAGATGGGGCCGGAGCGAAGTGCACTTGAGCAGAGACGGGGGAAGTTATAGAAGGGATGATATTCGGGGGTGTAGTAGTTATGACCTGCGAACGATACGCGACGATGGGAGCTGGGTTGTCGTGTAGGTTCATGTCTTGTAGCCACAGGCGAACGGGTTCCTTGGCAGCGTCAGGAATGCCGTTGCGATAATCATCGCGCTGGAGCAGTTGTAGGACGTTTGTCCGCGGCGAATTCTTAGCGAACGCTTCTCTAACCTCAGTGATGGTCGAATCTAAGGAGCGCACGGATATATTGTCCAGCATTCCCAAGGACGAACGAAGCGTGGCCAACTCAGATTCAATGCGGTTGTGCGACTGTTTTAATCGATATACGAGGACTCCCCAAGTGGCGGGGACCTGATAAGCGACCGCCGATCCATCGAGGAGGCGAGTGCATTTGAAATCGGTGTCAAAGACAAAGGCGTGCGGGTCGTCCTTAAGGAGTGCGATTTCTCCTAGAATTTGATGAACGGCAAGGATGATGTGCCCGAGGCGCGTGAGGTACGCATGGGGGAGGGAGTAGACGTCCTGACCCCGAAATTCGATTTTCTCAATAGAGGGGGCGGTCGTCTCGCTGAATAGGGTTTGTAGCTCCTCTTTCAAGCTGCTGAGCCATATACCCTCGTTATGAGGCGTGAGCCAGCGGACGAGTATGGCCAGTAAGCCTTGTTGGAAGGACTTCGGTCGACTGGAGAGGGAACCGTTATGAAGACCGTAGTCTCGGAGTAGCGCTTCCCCGTCGAATTTATGGGTATGATAATGCATAATGGACGAGTCCATGTCTTCGAGCCGTAGGTCGATCCAGGCACCCGTTTGTAGGAACATGTTAGGGGGGGAAGGACCCTTGGCCTCAAGAGCTGGAGGAATAAGGGATGCCAGAGACGGGGTAGGCGAATTGGGGAAGGGAACCTTGTTGGGAGTCTTCTCAGCGGTGGGCGAGTACGAAAGATCCACGACATCCGGTAAACGGGGGTTGTTGGGGATCTCAACGGGGGACGAGCCTACGGGAGAGGGGAAGGCTTCAGAGGGCATATCGTGGGGAGGAGTAAGGGTGGCTCGTTTACGACGGGAGCGGCGTTTCGACGACGACGTAGGCTTGTCCGTTCCGTCTTCGAGAGTGGAGGGCGAGGGAGAAGGGAGTCGAGGGAGAGACGAAGAAGCTGTACGCGTTAGTATCGTTCGCGGGGGGAGAGCTGTGTCGCTGCGATTCCACGACCGGGGAGGATGATAGGTGTCTTGATTATCGGACGAGGAAGGGTCGGATTCACTCATAGAGGGAGCAGAGCGAACCTGGGACTGCCTGGGCAATTGATGTTAGTTATTTAGAGCTTCTGCGCCTACGGGGCTTCCCGAGTGTAGTCAGCGTATGTTGGAATTCGTCATACGCGCTAGCTGTTCGACTCCGATTTTCCGGGGTTGGGACGTGGGGTTTCCCCGGGGCCAGTCAGCGAGATCAGGAGATCGATCACCAGACTAGGGCGGGTAAAGACTTAAACGATTGAGGCGGAGGGAGTAAGAGTAGAACGGTACAGCCTCTTTCAATCGTAGGGGGGACACAACGACGTGGAGATCTCCACGGAGATGCCACCATTGTAATGCGTCCGTGAGAGAGATCGCGTCGTTGAACCGTAAGAGAGCTCGCGTCGCTCCCGCGAGGGTAGAGGGCCGACGACCTGGCCTGGGTGAGCTAGTCCGCAGCTAACGGGCTGGTGACCCGAGCAGGGGAGGGCGTCGAGGCCTCGTACGACGGGGGGCGCTCGAGCGCTTAACGTAGATGGTGACGGTTGGAGAAAAGAGTATATATATTACGTCACTGTCAACGTGTACGATAACTACGCTATACGATACCTACAGAGTCCTTGTTCCTACCGATGGCTACTACTTCGGTACCGCATCACACTGCTACAGTTACGCTAACCATCATGTACAAGTTTCTACGTAGGGCAACGCAAGGGCTGCACTCTCTGAATAGATCCACACCTGACATGAGACTGCATAGTGTGAACGCGAGTCTACGGTCGCGGACTAGCTCGATCTTGTATTCATTGAATATTCCAACGTTAGATAGGTATGTCATGAATCTCTGGGTACACTAAATTACGAAGTCCCCTTGCACTGTTCTAACCAACGCAAAAGTTGTTGACAGTTGACATAGAATTCAAGGCAAGGCGAGTGGTCTTAGTAAGGGCTATACATTCGACGATGACTTTGCAGATTAAGACAAACCATCTGGAACTTCATGTCCCAGATCTCCAGTGCGCCCCTGCTCGAGATAGAGAAGCAGATGTCCATTATCTGGACTGTCGCTAATTGCATCCAAATGAAGGGAATGCTAGAGGGACATGCATGGAAGCGCCGGGGCCCCCATGAACATAGAAGCGCCGATGAGCGTGAGGAGTGGTCGAAGTTCCTCAAGAAGTAGAAGCTCAACCATATCTGCAATTGTACATGTATTATTCACAAGTGATGTGGGGTACTTGGGCGGGTTCAGCGAATGTTCTATCAGCGCATGGTCAACAATACGTCTCTCAAGGATATGAGACTATATACTCTGGGACATCTCCACCACCATGGAAGTGTCGCCCTTTGAATAAGTTGACGCCTTCCTTAGGCGCGATAAGGCTGACGAGCACATCAGGCTCAAGACCCAACATTCTTCCGGCCTCGACGTCCCACCGGACGGGATGTCGACGGAGACGATGGGGAGTTTGGTGTCCGTCTTTCCGCGCCGCTTCGTCTCTTTCCGACTGTTCGTCTACGTGTACATTATTCCCTGATTCTTTTGTTCGTGGGGCTGGGGGGTAGCGCGCGACTAGTCTGAGTCCAAAGAGGCTTATGAAACGCGTGAAGGGATCGCTTCGCTCCGCTGAGTGGGATGTACGCGGTATCGATGATGAGTGAAAAGAACGCTAGAGCCATTGGCAATGTGGGAGAGTTGGCGTGCCTCACCCCCTATCACGCTTATTTCCGGTCTCTTAGACCATGGGTAGCACCTTCACTCTCAACCATCCCGATCTCGCCGACAGTGTTTCGTTCTACAATAAATCAGTGAGACACCTCAACCCTGGTTGTCAATATCTTGAAGTGATGGTCAGACTGTCAGTCCCTCAGGAAAGTATAACATTCACCACAATTTCACCAACTGGTCATCGTAAATGTCCGTTCGATACCTGACAGCAAGGATAGCCCAGCAGGTGCTCGTCCTCAGTGCTCAGTACTCTTACAAGTTTATAATTTTCTCCTAAGATCGATGAAGAGCTCATGGGCTCCGTGGGGGCGTTCAGCATTGATCAGGTCTGATTCGAATATCCTTTCCAAGACTCGTCGAATAACCTCAACTTCAGCTCATGGAACTTGCTGGGCTGGCTTGTGCGCAAGCGTTAGCAACTGTGTACGACCGTACTCGGTATCCGAGAGTCCTGGTTTGCTGTGGCCCGGGCAATCAAGGTTGGGGCTGGCAACGCTGATCATGCGCGCGCCGCCGTTCTAACACTAAGATACAGGCGGAGACGGACTTGTCGCCGCTCGCCATCTTGGTACGCCCCGAATCGATTATATCCGGTGCGTTGTCAGTAATGCCTACATTGCTAGGAATGTTTGGTTACACGCCAACGATTTACATGCCCAAGGTACGTCTTCCTGCTGTCGCGCCCCGGCCTGACTGAAACTACGTCCCTTAGCCTGGGTCCAAGGATATTTATAAAGTTAGCTAGCCTTTCCACGCGCCCCTCAAAGCTATCTTACAGAGTGTATAGCGCCTGAAAACGCAATGCGACAACATGGGCATCAAAACTCTACCTCCCTCATCGGACGCTGAGGCTCTTACAACAGCACTCTCCTCTTCGGACGTCATTCTCGACGCAATATTTGGCTTCTCGTTCAAAGGCCCCGTCAGACCGCCGTTCGACGAAGCACTGCCGTCACTCACAAACTCCAAACTCCCCATCGTCTCCGTCGACATCCCTTCTGGGTGGGACGTCGAGGCCGGGAAAATTGAGACGCTGGGTCTTGAGCCCGATGTGCTCGTCAGCCTGACCGCGCCCAAGGAAGGCGTAAAGCTGTTCAAAGGCCGACACTTCCTCGGGGGCAGGTTTGTCCCAAAGTACGTAGTCTCGTACCTTTCAGAATCGTATTACTGATCTGCATTGATAGGATATTCGCCGATAAATATCAGCTGAACCTGCCCGAGTACCCCTCGTTTGCCCAAATTGTGGAATTCACGACCGTGGATGGATCGCATCGTTTGTGAATGATACATGTACAATTACAGATAGGTCTTGATTGAGCTAAGTACATACTCACGTGGCGACCTTTTGTTGCCACCTTTTGAATGCATCTGCAATAGATTCGGCGGTCCCGCCTCGCTTCTTCAATTTCTTCCACTTCTTGAGAAACTTGGTCCACTCCTCAGCAGGCTCGTCGTCGCCTCCACGTTCATCAGGATCGAGGTCGAGAGCCAATGGCGGTGTCGGCGGGTACCGCTTCCACGCCTGTGCCTCCAACATCCCTTTCATCTGTATGCAATTCGAGACAGTCCATATAACCGCCATCTGCCTCTCTATCTCGGGCATGGGCGCGCTGGAGATCTGGGACATGAAGTTCCAGATGGCTTGGGCATCCTGGGGTCGTAAGGTGTTTCTGCCGAGTGTCACGACAGTGTGTAGGTCAGCGTTGCGTAAGACTGACAATCGCTGCCGCTCCGTATGCAGAGAAGGCGTGTTGCGGTTGATTACCCTGTCCCTCCAAAAGGCCGGTGCGAGCTCCAGCAACGGGCAGGACTCGTTGTACGGCTGCATTTGAACCATTAGGCACATATTGAACTGATACATCGACACATCGAGGATGACTTCTTCGCCCTTGACAGTCTTGAACCATATCCAGTAATGATCGTTTGGGTCGTCGCCTTTCCAAAACACGCCGTTCTCTTCCTCGAAGAAAGCGAATGTATCCTGACACTTAACATCTGCCGCTCCCCAGGCGACACCAAAGTCGGCAATCGGTGTACCATGGTACCTGAGACGCACTTTCCTGCCGCCTTCCGTGGGAACCGAGGTGTATATCTGCGCGAGAATGGCAAGGCATATGGACGTGGCGATCGATAACCCATACCCTTGAAATGTAAGCCTGCGAAATAGTTTGCTTCGCACGAACGGGGTGTGAGCTGAGGGCCACCATGACTCGGAGGAGCTGCGCTCCTGCAAGGGTATTTCAGGGATCTCCGGACCGAGGATGATCAATTTCGCTGCCGTATTGTCGGGGAACACTTGGGCTGGTACCCCGGGATTGGGGTCGTTGAGAATTCGCCGGGTCGCCGCGGCATGCAGGGGTTTCATCGGATGGCTATGGGCGAGTGCAGCAAGGAGCGCCAAAAAGGGGTAGAATGTTGAGACATCGATATACTCTGTTCGTTCTGGAATGCTCTATTCAGACCGGAATCAAGACGTATTTATCACTTACTGCAACCGGATTTGTGCCGTGTCCAGTCCTTTCGCTGGCATTCCACAGAGCAGTATGCGGCCTGGTTAGAGGGTTGTCAGAATACTTATCAATTTGCGTCTACAGGCTGAGAATGACCTCCATGCAATCTGTGCAGAGTTTTACGGTTACGGACTTTTGGCATTGTGAGCATTCACTCAAGGCCCGTAGAGGTAATTGAACTGTCGCGCTCATGGAGGTAGTCGTGGTGAACGAATGAAACGGGAAGACAGGGGCGTGATTTATCGATTGATCCCTGAGCCAACTCTCCCACAATCATCACAGCTTCTACTCCTACTCCTACGATCTTGACGACGATGTTCAAGTTCAAGCGAGGGAGAAAAGAAAGAACTTCAAAAGTCTTAGACGGACTAGATGCCCCTGCTTTGGCCCGCTATATCACATCGGGAAAGTGTAAAAACATTACGCTCATGGTAAATACTCTTCATGCTTCGTATTTGAGAATCACGTCAATTTATGTAACTCGGTACGAACTTAGCTGGGTGCCGGTAAGTATAGACCAATTGGTGATATCGAGCATGGAAGCCAAATACAATACTAGGCGTCAGCACCTCAGCGGGCATTCCTGACTTCAGATCTCCAGAGACAGGTCAGATTCTCCGCGCACCATAATACCATAATGTAGTAACTGATAAGATATTCCACTTCAGGGCTCTACGTGAGTGCGCATTTCGAAGCTGTCGTCCCCTTGTCCTCAATCTATATGCCCAGGCCAACCTCGCAAGGTTGAATTTGCCTTATCCAGAGGCAGTCTTCGAGATCAACTTCTTCAGGCGAAACCCTACTCCGTGTACGCTTCGGAGTCAGTGTGCAATAAAGAGTATTCCCCGCTGATGTGTTTTATAGTCTATACATTGGCACAGGAATTGTACCCTGGAAAATTCCGCCCAACAATCACGCATTCATTCATCAAGCTGCTCGCTAACAAGTCGCTCCTCCATACTTGCTTCACGCAGAATATCGATACTCTAGAACGGCGTGCAGGAATTCCAGCACAAAAGATCATCGAAGCTCATGGGAGCTTCGCAAAGCAACGCTGCATACGATGCAAGATCGAATTCGATGACGACTCGATGAAGGAGCATGTCCTGCTCGGTAAGGTGCCCAAATGCGAAACATGCGGCGGCTATGTCAAACCCGACATTGTATTCTTCGGCGAAGATGTGCGTGTCCATGTATTTGTATGCAGGCCATACGCTCATGTGTATTTCATCAACTTGGTAGCTTCCGCCCGAATTCATCAATGCGATTCCTCGCCTTGCTGATTCTGATCTTTTGATTGTCTTGGGAACATCCCTCACTGTTCGTCCATTCGCTTCCTTGGCCGGAATGGTCGAGAAGGATTGCCCGCGAGTGCTCATCAATCTGGAGCGGGTGGGCGATTTTGGGAGCAGATCGAACGATGTCATACTGCTGGGGAAATGTGACGAAGTTGTTCGAGATCTTGCGAAGGCGCTTGGGTGGGAAGAAGAACTGGAGAGGGCATGGGAAGAGACGGCTCAGAGTGTCCAATCTGATCCGGCGAAAGTCCTCAAGCCAGGCCAAGAACAGATTGACGTCGACAGGCTCGCAAACGAAATAGGCAAGACTTTGAATATTGACGAAACTGTCGTGGACGAAAGCAAACCCCAGGACAGCGACGAGAAAGATAAGCAAGCAGGGAGGAAAAACAGCGAGGAAGGGGTAACACTAGAATTACCTGCAAACCCACCCACAAACGAGACTACAGACACCAGCAAAGCAAACGACTCCATTGCGAACACGGTCGCATCATCAACCGTACTAACATCATAAATAACCCCTGTCCTGTATTTACGCCGTCAGATTCCGGGAAGTAAATAAATTTCCATCCTGAAATGAAACCCATTGTCTGTCCGCCTCACATACTACCCCATTGGCTCGCACAGACCTTGCATCAGCCGAAGTCCCCACAGAGGCGCGCAATGATACCACTCATGCGCTCTATTCGTATAGCCACAGTACAAGGAAGCGGCGTTCCACAGGTTTCATCGCCAGTGGGCGTTAGTGGCGCCCCACAGCTCAACCTTCTTCACGGCCAACTTCGATTGAATCCAGGTGAAAGTGGCATGCTAGGATCTCAAAGAGACCAGCAGCTTTCAGATGGACCAATTCCTTAGGGCGAAAGGAGAGGGGGGAGCTTCCCGAGAGCTCGACCGCAGTTCGTACACTGAAGGTTTGGATTATTTAAAACACGAAAGCCCATAACAAACTGGTAAGACAACACATACAACAACAGAAACTCACAAGAGACCCTTAATGTAATTGTTATCCTATATTGCCGTTGCTTGGGCCGCCAGCAGCGGAATATGCGTTCATTATAGCTGCAAAGGGAGCCGGGACCGCCGTCGAACCTTGGAGCGCAGGGTCCGTGATGTACGACATATTCTGTATATTCTGTATTTGTCTGGTATCGGAATCAACGTTCGCTTCATTCTGTAGGTTCGGAGACTTTGCGGACACTTTTCGCTTGCCCCGCGAAGAGGATGAAGCTGTCGGTGGGGGAGAAGGCGCTCCACTGTCGCTTCCGCCGTTTTCTGAAGATGAACTAGCTTGTCCAGTTAAATGGGGAGGATAGTAGGAGCGAGGTGCGTCCGCTGCGCCTGCTCCATCGGCTTGTTTCTGCCTCTTCATCTTTTCATAGACGGACGGGTAGTATGGGCCTATAGGGTGAGCAGCATCATAATCTTCGGGCAGAGCGGGTATAACAGCAGCGTGTCGGCCCCCCAAGGGTCTGATATGTGAGTTAGAAAAATGAATATATGCAAGTGCAGGGCCAGACGCACCCTCCTTCTACAAAGTTTTGCCATACATAGTCCCGAAGTCGGTTCGCATTCGGGAGCTCCTGGATCAGATGTTTTATTGTATTCTGGCCGAGCCCGAAGAAGTCTGGACCAGACACAGAGTTCGAATGCTGCCGGTTGCGTATGGCGTTGGCCTGCTTTACGATGCTCGACCACGCGCCCGTTGCGGTTCCAGCAATGACAGGACGATCTAGCGTATCTGATGGAACTATTTGGAACTTCGGGCCATCCCCGCCATCGAGAATCGTGCAATGATAAACGACCTCATGTGCCGGGTCGATGGTCGATAAATAACGGCTATAGAAAATCTATGTTGAGATGCCCATCCAGGGAGCCTTGAGTAACGTACCGAGTGACTTCGTAGCCAACGGGGAAAATATACCGTTCCGTGTGGAAATGCTCGCGCATGCAAACCTCGCCCAAAGATATGACAGTCATTATCCCGACATTCAGTGGTAACATTGGCTTTCCAGATTTATCCCTCGGTACCGTTGGAATGCTGAAGCTTTTAGTGGTCACAGTATGAGCCTTGAGTCTTTTAGGCTTTGTGGCACGAGGTGGATCGGGCGGTGGCCGTTGTTGTGGTTCCTGGGGAGGAGCAGGTGGAACGAACCCGGGAGGGGGGACAAACATACCGGGAGGCATAGCGATGGGATATGGGTAATAGAGGTTGGGATAAGGGAAACTCGGGGTTAACGGGGTTGCAGAAGACGGTGTGGTCGGAACGGCGGACAAAGGGCTCATCGTGCCATATAGGAAAGCATACGGATTTATACTGGAGGACGGTGTAGCCGATGAGGGGGATGAGGTGGCGGGGGAAGTCGACGCTGTTTGGTTAGATGTGGTCGCTTCTTGCTGGTTTGACGACGTCTTGATAGAGGGTATTAGACCCGCGCTGTGGGAGGGTAAGTTGGCTGGAGGTTCCGAGGATACCTGGTTAGCATACTCTTCGGTCAGGCTTTCCCTTGAGGTCACGTCGACCGTATTCTTCACTCCGTGATTCTCCATCAGCGTAGGATCAATCTGCATATGAGACGTCGTGGCCGAGATCAAGGCAGCGAGAGCTTGACCTGGCGGTGGAGGGATGTTAGGCACATAGAGTGATCGTGCGGGAACTGTGTTAGTGTCGATTGCTGAAGGTGTCGGTTTGCTTTGCTCCGCGTCCTCATTCCTCTTACCAGCAATGCCCTTGCCCTCTGATTGCGTCGCCCCAGCGACGGCGCCCACACCATCTGTGGACTGAAGGGCAGCTTCGCTGGCACCGTTAGCCAAAGAATCACCGTCTATGCGGTCATCTCGCTGTCTGAGTACGATGTCGCCACGCTCTGCAAAGTTGGCCGTGTTGGCAAGCCTAATGAGTATACAGTAGCTTGTAAATGAGGTACACGCTACCTTGCGCGGCCTCATTTCCAGACACACCGGCCTCAACCCTCCCTGTTGGTCGTGGCGACGGGTCAGACGCATTGGGTGCACTCCCGGCAGATCTATTTTGGCTAGACGACGAGCGAGTAGTTCGCCTGGTGTGAGGCGATGCAGCCTCCGCTTGCGATTGAGATCAGCCCAAAGGCTCCCAAAGAATATAGAAGACTCACAGATGGGTTTGCGTCGTGAATGCCGCCCTTGGTTGATATTGTCTGAAGAAGTTGGTTCTAGGGACGCGCTCGTTCTTTGTCCGTCTTCAGGGCATGTATCAGCATTGTACACGACGTTCAGATAGTCGAAACTTAAGTTCGACGAACCTGTTCCATTTTGTCCATCAAGTGGCTCAGATAGCGGGGATGGTGGTATCGTTGGTAGGTGTGGGGGCGTGGCTGAAGATGAAACATCGGGTGGTACGACAAAGCCCGGTTGCGATTCAATTTCGGCAATACGTTCAAGCAGAATACTGGAAGATGTACGATCAAACTCGAGAGAAATTGAGCTGGGAGGGCAGCTGGGACGTACTTGCGTTCTTCTCGCATTCGAACGTTGCGCTGCAATTCCACGGGCGAATCCTTATGTTCCTCACATCAATACATCTGTTCAGGGACAAGACGGTTCGCAAAAGGTTCTCTCTGATTTGTAGAGCATTGGCGCGTAACTCATTCCAATACCAGCCCACGAACCACACGAAGTAGACTATTAGAAACGAGGATAACGCGACCACTGACCTCTAGCTCCATGAAACGACGCTTCAGGCTTCTGTATTTGTCGCGTATATCTTGCGGTTCCTTTGATGGAGAAACGAGAGAAGAAGGGGAATCCATCGTGGCTGGAATAGAGAGTGAGTTCTCTTGGGACATTGGACGTCCGCGCCTCGTTATAACTCTGTCGTGGCGCCAGGACAAATGAAAGCTTCAAGATGACCGTTCGGGAAAGAAAGTGCAAAGCGGGCTTTGTTTGGATCCGAGGCTCTCGCTGACTCCTGAGCCTATAGGGGCGTCTCACGGCTCACCTCAAGCCACCGTTTCCTACAATTTCAAGATGAGTGGATGTGTCTCTATTCCATGGAAAGAGGTCAAAGGTGAAGAAGCAATGCTCCTTGACCTATATCTACCTGAGGTCCATCTGAGCCCCGAAGCTCAAACGCGTCTACCACAGATCCCTGCTGTGATCTATTTCCATGGTGGCGGTATGACGGTCGGCGACAGGAAAAGTTGGTTCCCTTTGTGGCTACAGCGTACGTTGATTCTTACTGATGTGTATCTGACACCAACCGATCTGTATGATTCATGAAGAACGTATCAATTCTGCCGGAATTGCCTTCATATCGACAGATTATTCTCTCCTACCGCCGGCATCGGGGCATCAGATCGTACGAGACATACAAGACCTCTTCGGATTCCTATCAACTGGTCAGATGAATGACTGCTTGAAGGCTGCTTTTCCGCAGACAAAGTTTCTCATCAACCCAAATGCTCTCGCCGTAGCAGGATCAAGTGCAGGAGGACTGTGTTCATACCTGGCTGCCATCCACGCATCCCCCCGTCCAATCGCTTTGCTCTCCATGTACGGGATGGGAGGCGACTTTCTCGTAAGGACATTACTCAAACCCAGTTTCGTCGCTGACCAACACGTGTATGATTAGACACCTCACTACCTTATCCCGAAATCGAAACCGTTTTTCCGAGGTCGAGAAATCCTCGATCCCAAAGATTATGAAGAATTTCTCTATCCTCGCTCTGAATCCCTCCCCAAGACACACTGCTCACCTCTGGCCTATCACGACAAAAGTTATGTCATCCCTGGGTTCCCCGCAAATCCCAGAATGCTGCTTTCGAGGCTGTATCTGCAAATGGGCACCTACCTAGATTATTGGACCGGGGACCAGAGCCCCAGGGTCAGTTCGCTGCTTCGCGACGTGCTCAAACGCCCTCACGAGGAAAAGGAACTTGAGCAGATAATCCCCTCTCCACATCGTGGACTCTTTCCGCAATTCAATGTCTCTTCAGATTGGCCTCCGTCTTTCTTGTGTCATGGTTCTGACGATTCGGCCGTCCCATTGGCAGAATCACAACACATCTACGATCAATTACAAAAGGCTGGCGCGTCAGTCCAGCTAGAGATCGTTCAAGGCAAGGAACACTCGTTTGATTACGAGTTCGGCGCGGAGAGAATACACGGAGATCTTTTTGATCGCATTAGCCGCTTTCTAGTATTGACACTAGGCAGCAGGGAGACGGGCTGTTCTGATGTCATCCTGTCTTAGAAGCTCCTTAGAAGCTCGTGTCTCGTGAAAACAGGCATGGAATGTATATGGCTCATACTCATATGTTGTTCCTCACGGTTCAGATTGGCATCCGCACGGCGCGTTTATGTAGATTGGACCACTGTAATACTCGCCCCTTTAACGAAGATAACTTGTAGGGGGCCCCTGTCGCTCACTCTAACTCAAAGTTGACAATGCCACAGTTAAGCAAGATGAAAATTAACCAAGATATGTAAAAACGTGCGCTTCACGGATGGTGTGAGGTATACTGAAAGTCTACGGCGCAGATCTACGAGACTCGCGATACGTCGAGGACTAATTTCCCAGTAGACACGCCGCCCGTGAGGTCCCTCTGGGCCTGCTGCGCGCCTTGTGCAGTGAAAGGGTATTCTTTATAAATACGTAGCTTCAAAACACCCTTGGAAATGAGGTCGAAGATTTTATTTCCGTAGTGGAGTGACTCTGAGGGCGTGTACGTATAATTGCCCACACTGAACCAGTCACGTCAATTGTGCTTCTTGAATTTGAAACTAGATTCACATACGTCGGCCGCAGGAGTTTGACATTCTTCTGAACAAGTTTGAGAGGAGGGAATGGAGGAACAGGGCCAGATGCATTGCCGAGAGAGACGATAGTTCCCTTTCTCTTGATCATCTCGAAGTCCGCGTCGAACCTGCGGAAATCAAGTCAGCCGAGACTACTTGGTAATAAGTAGGGTACTCACGTATCTTTCCCAACTCCATCGAAGATAGCGTCCACGCCCTCGCCGTTCGTTAGTTCCAATACACGCTGGACAGTGTTCTCATTCTTGTATAGAATGACGTAGTCGGCGCCATTTATCTTGGCAAGAGCTGCCTTTTCGGGAGTCGAGGTCGTCCCGATCACTGTGGCACCAATGTGTTTGGCGTACTGAGTAAGGAGGAGTCCTAGTCCCCCAGCAGCGGTGTGGATAAGCAAGGTATCACCCTTCTTCACGGTATAGGCTTCATCCATAAAGCTGACCGCTGTAAGGGACTGCACGAGACCTGCAGCTGCTTCTAACGTAGACACAGACGAAGGTACCGGATACACAAACCTATACGCTTTCGCGACATAGTTCGAATGGGACCGCAAAGAGTTCTATCATATTCGAGGATGTCAGGACTCGAGCAGCCGATTTGGATAAGAGATCCATACTACTGCGACTTTGCTGCCGACGACGAAATTACGAACTTGATAGTTGGGGTCGTTGAGGACATTTTGGTCTGTAGGCAAGGCTACAATTGTGCCAGCAGCCTCTCCCCCCAAGACGGCTGGAAAGGACCCGATGGGGTATAGCCCCTTTCTTTATCAAGTCTAGTGTGAGTCTTTGGACGGTGAGTAGGGGTTACACTATGCACCTGAAGTACGTATCAACGAAGTTGACACCACAATACTGAGGTTGTCAGCTTATTCAGAATTCTTTCTGGGATGGGAAGGCCATACATACTTCTATCTGCACCATACTTGGGTTAGCGATCATCCGGACAGAAGAACAAATACACACTTACTTTCACGACAATTTCCTCGGGCGCAGGCTTGAACGGTAATGTCATTTTTTCGAGGACATCGAAGTCCCCAGTCTAAGTTTGTCTGTCATCAGTCGGCTTCTCTGGAATAATCGGAAATATAAAAAGACCTTAGCAATCGCAATAGCTTCGATGGTGTTCGGTATAGAAGTCATTGTTCTCGGAGGATACCTTGGTGGTTAAAAGACGCGATGAAAGGACAAAAGCATTGCACCCCTAAATATTTGTCTGCCCGGAAACAGGGCCCTCCGGTGGCAGCGAAGCCGGACGATCCGGGAGAGTGCTGTATCTACTCGTCAGCGGTACCCTTCATGATGACATGGCGTGATGGATTATGAATGTTAATGTCGACATGGAGGAGGGACGCCATGGAATCGGTCTCTCTCTCCTTCTCTCTTTCTGTAAATGAATAGAAGCTGCGCTGTGACGAATGGTCTTTCTTCGTACCTGTGCAGAGAATGATTGTTAGTGGAATGGTGGGTGGAGGGTAGTCGGCAGCCTACAGGACGCCGTTCAAAGTTTCGACCCTGTCAAGACAGGGGTCCTCCCTCGACATTGTTAGCGCTTACTTATTAATAAGACATTTTTAAACTCTCAGATGTAATTCTGGTCAAATACTTAGGCAGTACACTGTCTATTCCACGATAAGTGATATAAACACAAGAAATTTGAGAGCCTCACAGACCGAGAGTCCTTCGCTTTCTCGGTCAACTACTCTTCTGCCAAAGAGAGGTGAAGGGGCATCTGTGTCCCTTCATGCATCTTGCCTTTGACCATAGGAACCATGAGTCCAAGTGCCATCCTCATTATCTCTATGTCTTTGGGGAAGACGATCTTGAAGTTTTCGACCACTTCAACAGTGAATGCTTGTAGCTCGATGAGACTAGACAAAGCAAAGATGAGGACCTTCAGCTACCCTTAATAATACCCAGTGACTTACGTAAAACGCCAGCCAATACATCCACGGACTCCAGCAGCTACAAAGGGAGGTCAGTGTACGGCAATGGTAATACGCCAGGCGACATACAGAATGTCATCCTGAATGAGCATGCACGTTAGAAAATAGAGTATACAAAAAAGCGTAGACGCACAAATTTGCGTACACGCCGATGTTGATTTGTTTCTCTTTTGGGACGTCGAGGAACCTACGAGGATTCCATTCATCTGCGTCATCTCCCCACACAGAGGGTAGTCGGTTGTAAGCACAGACAGACAAACGGAAGTCCTGGCCCTTTCTGATATGGAGTTCCGTCATGGTCTGTCCATCCTCGGTAATGACAGGCAACGCTAAAGGAAGGATGTCGTCTCTATCTGCCGTACGAAACAAAGTGGAGACGATTGGATGGAGCCGTAAGACCTCCTGCGAGTGCAGAATGAGTAGAGTATTCTAAGAAGGTGAAATGGAGTAAACCTTGATGCAAGCGTTGGTAAATACTAGGGAGTCGAGGTGGGCCATGGTGAAATCGGTGCCACTGGGCAACCTTCCACGGAGGTGCTGAATCTCTTCCCTCATTCTCGTCTGATCTTCTGGATGTCTACCAAGTTCGTAGAGAAGCCAAGAAAGTGTTGCGGCGCTGGAATCGTGCCCGGCAAACATGATTGTCCTAGGCCAGGAAACATCATCAAACTGACATACACAAGAGGAAGAACACTGACGCCATCTGCGACAAAATTTCATCTTCATCGAGCCGGCAGTTGGGATCTTCAGAGACATTAGATCTGACTATGATATAGTGAGCAAGCGAAGGGACTTGAGATTAGAATTGACTTGCACAAAATACTCATCACGTCTCGCGTAGCATCGTCTTCCATAGGTATCTTTGCCTTCTGATCAATCAGTCCCTTTGCAATGCCCTTTGTGAGCGTCTTGAAGTTGCGGAACCGGCGATATTCTTTGCTTGGCATGTATTCCACCAACTGGAGGATGGAGGTCGGGATGTAACGCCACAATGCTTTGAAAAGGAGATCCCAAGCAGGGGGGAAGGGGGTGGTATCGGCGCTAGAGTGTAAATTTTATAAGAATTCAGATTGTAGATAGCAAGTCACTTACAACAGATACTTCAAGGACTCAGATAGCTCGCTCTGCGCGCCTTCTAACGCGTCGAAGTGATAATCAAAAGCCGCTACGACGCGTCAGTTATAAAATCTCCTCGTAAACAACTGCACACACTTTCTCCGATTGCGTCTAAAGTGCTTCGCGCAAGCCAGTGTGACACATTGATAGTCTGATCTCCGGCTTGAATCGAATCCTTCCATTTCTGCGTCATCTATAATGTTATTAGAGGACGTGATAGTCGGAAAAGGCGGCTCTTACACGTGAAGCGGTGCTTTGGAAGAGAGGGAGGAAGCCCCGCAACTGTTGCGACGTAAACGCCGGGTTCATGACTTTCCTATGCCTTTGATGCACTTCGCCTGTCATGTAATCAGTGTCGGCATGCATGATATCGTAGGGCAGATTCAGACCTGATGCCCATACGATGCCCCGACCCATTAAGTTGCGAATAGATTGATTAACATCGGGTCGCTTAGGGTAGCGATAGCCAGAAGTATGAAGGATGTGCTGGAGCACCCGGGGATCGGCGGTCAAAACCTCCTGTCTCTAAACACAACATCGAACAGGCAGTCAGAAGCGTGCACAACCTTTTGAAGGAGACATGTCGTACCCCCCAACAAGCCTTAGTTTTAAGGGTGGCGCCGTATTCTCGAGTCCATGCAAAATCAAGGTCGCCAGCTTCAGCTTGCACCCGCATTTCGGGTTCATGTCCTTGCCAGAAAGAAATTGTGAGCAACTTATCAAACGACGCAGCTATTTCCAAGTTCGAACCTACCTAGTAACCACGAGGGTGCTGGTGGCCCCCTCAACTTTCTAACATTGTCGCGCTTTCGGCGAGCAGACAAGCCAATAGCAAGAAGGACTGCTGCGAGAAGGGAGTAGATGAGAAGGCCCATTGTGGGAGACTTGCTATGCCTGCATGAAGGTTATATAAGTCTCGTGGAGCATGGAAACCACGGTGGGTCACCCGAGTGTATCTCGCGATTTGTGGCTGCAAGTAGTCGGCTGACAGCCTAAGACAGCTAACGGGGATGTGCTCGTTGGGATGCAATGTGCAATGTGCATGCTCCTATGTACAGGCTCACAGAGAAACGAGCCAAAAGTCGGGGAAATCAGATGAAGTGGTACCATGAAGATTCCCCGACCACTCCAGAACTCACGAAGTTTGCAAGAGCAACAGGGATTTTGGTCTATTTTGGTTGTTAAATGTCCGTTTTTGGCCAGGCCTGACAGCTAAGTAGGGTTTGTCTAGGGCGCTGATATCATTTGCCTTCAAACAGCAGGGTGATGGTCTCGTAGACCGGCGGCATGAGCGTGAGGGACTGTCGGGCGACTTGAGTTGCTGTATCCCGTTTCGTTTCTGCACAGAGGCGGAAGAAATGGTCAATAGCGAAAGCCTCGATTTGAAAACGAACAAAGTGGAGGGAGCAACTAAAGCCTACACACGGGAAAGCATATTTACAGACCATGAGCGATCAGTCACCGGTAGACGGTGTCTATCATCTAGGCTACTTTCTTCCTTCTACTTATACCTTGTCAGGGGCCTTGAAATCCGCCAACCAATCTTGTACGAAGATGATCATCTCATTGTGGATTTTGAGGATTTCGGGAGGTTCGGCGAACATATCCGCTAAGCCGTATTCGTCGTAGTGATGTACAGCATCTGCGAACAAGCGCAATGATAAATCGAATTGCCTCACCATGGCGGGAGGGCCCTGAGGGAGTGGACGCACCAGGTATCAACTTGAATGGGCGCAACGCAGTGTCTGGGCGTGGTTTGGCATCCTCGCTGTGAGGTGTGTCCGGGCGCCAAGGGTCGACTATCCGTCCCCCACTTAATCAGATTAAGTCGCCAGCAAAACAATGAAATGTCCTACCCTCGCCATCAATAATCGCGAGCCTGTCCGCAGCGATAGCGAAGTCGCCAAGGACATTCACAGCAGTGACGTTTGGGAAGGGAGGTACCGTGAAGTGCTTTCCCGGCGGATAAGCCTAGCGGGACGGTTATATTAGCTCGCTCAATAAAGGTGCGGGGGACATATGGTGGCGCACTTGCTTGCAGATCTTCGACTCGTAGTCCAAAGTAAGTAACTTCGAGATGATGCGCGGCGTTCTTGGGTCCGGAGGTGCTGTCTAGTTGATAGTCAACCAAACGTGCATATACACGAGGAAGTAATTTAGCGGCATACGGTGAAGTATCCCCATTGAGTGCAGACTTGGAAAGTCCAAAGCCGCCAGTCTTGATCGAGCCCGATAGCTTGGTATTGGGAATCGTCAAAGGTTCCGAAGCACTAAGCATGAGGGTAGCAGGGTAAGCAGTAAACGTTAATTTAGAGTGGTGTACGCACCTCCTCGACGGTGGAACGGCAGCGGGAAGCAACGTTCTAGGAGAGGTTAGTCTAAGTTAAGATTTCAAAGGGAGATACGAACGTCTTTAATGTATTTAGCATAATTCGTGAGGGCGAAATCAAGGCTGAGCCGTCTGTAATGTGTACCAGCCTTTCTCGCGCTCCGAAAGGGAGGTCAGTAAAGTTCGCCATGCCCTCAGGAGCAGTGTTGACAGCTGCACAAAATGTATCAAAGCGCGTACTGCCAATAGCAGGGTTCCAATTTTTCGATTGCCAAGACCCTAGGGGACTCTATGGATATAGAGTGTAAGTCAGTAATCCCGCCTAAAGCAACGAACCTCACCTCAATGGTGGAAACAAAGTCGACGTCGTGTTCGAGGTCTGCTAGCCCAAATAACCCTTTCAGAGGGCGAGCGAAGACTCGAGTGGTCAGAATAGTATCGACAATTCGAATCGATTGTTCTATATTGCGCATGCAAGTCGGGTCTGCCGCCCGTCGAATGATGTCCATGTATTGCCAGTTGGAGAGCGCAGCATGAGTAACACCGCTGGATGCAATAGCCCCAAAGACAAGGTCGGGGTACAGGATCTTCATATGAGCAGCACGAGCGCCTGCGTAAGAACCACCGTAATAAATCCAAGGCGTCTTTGGAGCAGTGAGGTCGTCCTTGATTCCTTCGAATTTAACATTTGCCATGAAGTTCGCAGAGTCCGCAGCTGGCAAAATATTGGATATTGACCGAGGGTTACATGCGTTGCAACATACCTGCTTGCTCGTTACTCAGGAATCTACAACGCAGTTAGACTCGGGCGTATATAATAATACAAGGTAGCACTTACCGCAAGTTGTCGGTCGAGAAGTCGGGGACGGGGATAGATTCGCCTGCAACAATTTGCCTCCAGTCACCCGTTCGACCAGTGTATCGTCCAACATACCGTAGTAGCGGTGCTCTAGTACTACTCCCAGTCCGCCCGTGGCTTTCGCCAATATCTCCACGATCCCTGTATCCAAGAACTGCAGCCTATCTTCGCCGCTGGTTTCGCCGCCGTCAAGGACGATAACAGGACCACCCGAGGTGAAGTGCCTCGAGTTCACCCAGTACCTCTGGTTGAACGTCCCATTCACACCTCCGAAGTGGTCTAGCGGCTGCTCGAACACCTGAACCGGGAACTCAGCCAACGGGTTCAGCGATTCATTCGAATCTTGAACACGCAGCGCCGCATTCCCTAGCGTCTTCGCTTTGGCCTCCGCATCCAACCTCCATAAATTCACGGCTTGTGGGCCCAAGACGCGTACGAGGTTTGGCGATGATTCTAGCCCGAAACCGGTCGACACCAAGCTCGACGCGAGTATTGCGATAGCAATCTTCATGGTCAATCGATGCTGAGGTGGCCATATCGGCATGATGGCGTATAAATACTCTGCTGAGAGTCAGAGCATATGGCGAAGAAGTTCGTACACGCGTTTGTCGTTGGGCGAAGCGCCGCCGGTCCGAAAAACCATCCGAACCTCCGAAGAAGGCCAACCACGTCACATGTGCGACTCCGCCCCGATGCGCACCATAAAAGGAAAATGCCGACATCTCAGCTATATGGCGTGTGCTTCGCACTGCGTAGCACTTTATTTCAGTGTTCGATGCGTGCATCATGAGTACAACCATGGCGGGCAGTTAGCACATCGTTACGCGTACTTGCGAGTCATCGTCGGCCACATTAGAACACCGTGAATTAATAATAAATATGACCCTGTCTCCGTCCCGACGCGTCCAGGAAGAAGCCTTTCACATATTCTCACCCTACAGAGACGTATAAATACGCACTGAATACTGAGCGCTGCGCATTGGTCTCAGAGGTGAACAAGAAGCCCCTTCTGTTGAGATTCTCCACAATCATTTAATTCCTCGTCGCTCGTTAACATGTCCCCTCTCCCTCACCCAGAGCTACACGTCCCTCACTGCCCCAAGGAGTTCTGGCTGACCTACCACCAAATATCTAGGTGCAACCGCCCATCCACTGCACAACTCATCGAGCTAGAATTCAAGAATCAGAAGCTGACCGACTTAGAGAGCCTTCTCGATCACGTTTTCCAGCAGGGATTCGTCGATAATAAATATAGAACCTCCACTTGGTGGGAACGTCGGGATGGAAGTCGTGTCAAGTCGAGCTTAGCCATCGAGGAGTTGTTCAAGCAGGGCGTCGGCAAGTGTCAAGATAGTGCCCTTCGCCTAGTCATTGGTGTGTTTTGGTTGATGTCGAGAGGAACAGTATACTGAGCAAGGGTGTAGCGGACATGCCTCCCGCTTTGTGGTTCACCTACAACTATGTGAACAGTCCAACGGGACACGTCGTTGCTCAGCGCATCAAGTTCGACGCAGCGCAAGTCAACGGGGCGCCCTTCGAAAAGCTCGCCCACGTCACCAACCATATTTTCAGGCAAGGATATCTTCCAGCGAAGTTCCGCAGCCTAGTCCATTGGGAAGGCAGCTGCGGCAAGAGGCTTTCGGAGGGTAGCTCGTTCCCTGAGGTGTTTGCGGAGGGCTTTGGTGCTACCGAAGAGCGTCCCCTTCGCCTTGTCATTGGTAAGAAGATTCAACTCAACCAGCGAATATGACTCAGCTGTTACTGCAGATAATGGGCTTGCGTGCAAGTGCGCCTGCGGCTGTCGGTCCAGCGAGACGCATTCCCAGAACGCCCAATGGAGCCACATTAGATACACGTAGTCGATGGTAGTCGTCGAATGCCGAAGGAAATATATCGTGTCGTATCGTATAGCACAAGCATCCTAATCAAAATTAATCGAATTTTAAAGTTTCTGTAACCGTAGTGTCGTAGAATATCGCCAGAATATCGCAGTGCCACGCTAATCGCTGATACGATTACGGAACTTCAGGGCAGGTGTGGTCGCGTGGTCTACAGGGTCTTGCCCTAATTGTGATTGATGTCCTTCATTCAGCACTACCACGGGCTCTGAGACCTCCTTTGAGAAATCGCTTTCTTCAGCTCACCATCACATATCCGCAATCAAAATGCCTCGCAGACAACGCCATTACTCAATATTCACCCCGCCGTCGCTCTCGATGAGTGAGCTCGTCAAAAAGACTTTGGATAGCGACGCGACGGATATGCTCATCGACAAATGGCTTGAGCATCGCGGAAACGGGCACGATGCGTATTTCGACTGGTTTCAGGGCATCAGAGAACGAAAGTGTGCCCATTCGCATATGAAGCAAATGCTGCTCTGGAATAAAGGCGAGTTCGTACCCGAGAACATCTTTTGCCGCACCGTCGATACCAGGAGGTTGATTCCACTCGACCGCACGTGGACCACACATGTCTATCACCATCGCTCTATGCAAGATCGGAAGCTGTCGATGATGCCGGTCGTTTTTACTATGGTGCGCATCACGCATATATCTGTGTCGTCCGAGTCTCACTACGGCCCACTCAGCTGCCGGAGCTTATGATCCTCAGAGGGATGCACGACGTGGGCTGCGATGAGATATACATCATAGTGACAGATCTCAAGCGGCAGGAAATGGACGATGTGACCGAGTATTTCAAACTCGTCTGTCGACATTCCTTTGGTCGCACCTGCAAGCCGCAGATGGAGAACCAGATTCGCCATGAGCGTACGGAGCATTCTTCTCCATGTGTTAGCTTTCCTTACATCGTACTATGATGCAGACATGCGTTTATGCCATACCCTCGTGCGACAGAGGAGAACTCCTTGTTTTCCTCAAATCGATCTCACCCTCCGTGCAATCCTATTCGAAAAACGACCTCGATTCATCATTCTCTTCTCCCACCAGACGACTTCCTACTCTCAGATCCTGTTTACCCACGATCTCTTCGTCCCGGAAGCAGATATCTACCACGACTTTCCGTCTGGATGTCCGAACCCCTGCTGCACCGATGACTGCGAAATGATACGATTCCCCCGCCGTGGCGTAGACAGTGCATCCGTCCTTCATATCAAACGAGGGGGAAAGTACGGCAAGCGAATCAAAGTACGAGAACTTTGCAATTGGATCGACTGTGATGTATGCTTTAGCGAGGAGTCGGCCTCAAGTTCGATCTCAGGGACTGAGGGGTCTGTGAGCAGCAGTGAGGATAGAACTTCGATCAGTGGCGGTCATGAGGGGGAGGGAGACGGCCGGTTCTTAGGGTTTGTTTGCAGCAAGTGCAAACTTGTGAAATATTGTTCTGTTGAGCACCAGAGATTGGACTGGGACGAACATCGAAGGGTCTGTATAAGGGCTCAGGTTGTAACTTAGGTTCTTTTTTCTTCCTCTTTCTCGAGCTGTATTCTATGAAGCACTGTACTCGTCTTACACTGTATGCCGTGGTGGTTTGATGCCCTATTCGAGGGAAGAAGCAATGGTGCAGGTGCAGCTGCCGTTACATGGCCTGGATTACCCCATTTGAGCGGTTCTGTCATACCGAAATGCGACAGGACAGCCACAAAGCCATGCAGGATAATACACCTCGCTGCCTTCGCATGCGAGGTAACTCTATTCATAAATACAAAATAGTATACAGTAGATAATGCATATTGGGTCCTTGATGATCATCATGAGGGTCGTAAAGGTGACAGAGACAACGTTGGAAAGCAGCCTGCATTCATTCGCGAAGGATAGTCAAGATGGCGACACGCCCATCTTGAGGGATTCCATGGTTGACTCCTGTCACGCAATTCAGCATGTGTGAGGTCGGTCGGTGTTTGACATACCTTTCTTCCCTTCTTCTAGCAGTCCATGGCGCCATTCGACATGGGCTTTCCACCAGATACCTTTCCAGCTACTTCCGGACACAGCCTTGTTCACCAACCAGTCACGGCCTAGGTTATATCCGTTCGGCACGATATCGTGATGCTTCCTAGAGTTCTAAGAGATGTCGTTAATTTCACAACTCCCACAAACCACTCAGAATAGTTACCTCTTCCTTGGAGACCCTAGAATTACGTCAGTGACATAGCGAGTATCGGTAGATGCACACATACCCTAGAAACCACGCCCCCGAGTTTGCCATTGTCCCGTTCTGCTTCCAGGCTCTAAAGTGGTGCCCCCCTGTGCGGTCCGTGTTTTAGACGGGATTGATTGGGCGCGGTTGATCATGAGCACGGACCTGCTAAGCTCTCCCAGCAAGTCCCAAAGACAGGAAAGTAGTGCTGGCGAGCAAGGAACTGCTCTGGCTTCCTGCCGTCACCGTCGCCCAAATCGGCGTCATGGATATTGCCATAATGAAGCCCCAAACACTCTCTAGAAAAGCCGATGGACCTGAAACGAAATAAGAACAGCGCTGCGCAAGTGATGATGATGAAACTCACTTGGAATAACTCTGGAATCCGTCCTCGGTGAGAATGAAGGGGTCGGAATGCGATGAAATGATGACATTCAGTGGTTCGCCATATCTCTTGGTTGTGAACTACGGAGTTTCATAACTAGTTAGATCAACGCTTCAAATGGCTTACATCTAGGAAGCGGCCGCCGTTCAGCCTGGGATCTATCCATCCATTGATATTGTGGTCGCCCTGTGGTCCTTCAAGTGGTTGCTGGACTGGCGAGGCGAGCACAGAGATAATCCAGCAGAACAAGAGCCATAGTCGAATCATCATGGTGGTGGTGGTGGTGGTTGTTAAGGTTGCATGCCAGCCGCCATCACGCCAGAGCCACACCTTTCGGAAGCGGTGTTAGACCCGTACCACGGAGGTAATCAGTAAAGCATTTGAGGTCACGTGAATTACTGTGCTCAATTTGTATCAGCTCCTTGCTCGCTCGCGTTCAGAACTCATCAACTCAACCATGTCCTTCTCTCTCCAGGCACCTCCTCCTCATCGTACCGAGACGAGCGCCTTCGACGACTCCGATGCAGATACGGCGTCCCAACGCTCCATTTCCCTGTCGTCGCCCGCACATTCCCCTCGACAGTCTACATCTTTTCCATCTAGCACATCTACGAAACGGGCATCCGAGCCGCACACGCTGGACACGGACCTCAGCTCAGAAGCCGATGATCTGAGCTTGTACAATCGTCGGGAGAGCCCTTCTACATCCGTGGCGCCTTCGATTTACGACGACACCTCCGCGCTCCCCACGTACCCTCCTTCGCTCCCCGGAGACACAGACTCCATTGCTTCGACGTCTTCACGGAAGGCTAGGCCAGAGTCCTTGCTTATGAACTTGTCAGCGCCGTTGGTTCTGGGAGTTGCCCTTGTTGATTTCAATCATCTGGTGCGTCTACCGTCTTGTCTTCCAATCAATCTAATTCGGATTGTCAAAGGTTGGTCCCAGAATCGAATGGTTCAAGGGAGAGATATTTGAGGACGAAGAAGTAGTGAAGATACTTCCTTTCCTAGCGTTGCCAGATGGTGCCCATTTGGTTTGTCTTATTTCTTTGGACCCTAGGGCCGTCGATGACCTTCCCCTGCTAGAGTGCCGAGGACTACTCCTACTTTCACCTGGTCCCGTCAGGCAGAAAGCCAACGACTGTTTTCGGCATTTCGTGCGTCGTTTTGTTCTTTACACGAACAGCCGATTTATGACCGTGTCAATAGATGTAACCAGCAAATTGCTGCGTCTGCGTTGCTAGTGAAGACCCCGGATGTCACGCGCTCAACTGTCCAGAAAGCTGTCGTTGTTCTCGCTTCCAAACCCGTGTTCGGGCCCATTCGGTAGGCACACGCGTGTCCGTGTCCAGGCCTTTGCTTATGGAGATTGCAGGGATAAACTGGGTGTAATCACGTCAGCTCTGTTTGCTCAGAGGTATAACTCAACTCGGTTTACTTTACCATTTATCCTTCATTGAACTCAGCATTGCAGAGATTTCAGTCAGACGGACATATTGGACGACTTCCATTCTTCCCTCGAGGCGCCGCTACGGTCACAGTTGACGGAGAGCGGGTTCTATATAGGTACTACGATCCTCTCAATATCAGGACGACGTTGACTCACTCGAAAATTGTGACTAGGTACCAACCTGTAGGCTGCATACCATTGTCGGTGTGTTCATGCTGGCTAAACCTTCCTCTAGACGGGAACTGGTAAGGACATTTCGACAGAAGGTTCTCATCCTCGTCAAAGCGTTGATGCTTCAGTCACGAGTAAGGCATCACATCGCTTTTGAGTGTATTGGCTCCTCATTATCATCAGGTCATGTTCTATGGCCATCCAGTTGAAAGGTTATGCACCTATCAATACTCACTCGTTGCTCTATTCCCAGGTAAGCCTTAGCGTGAGTCTGAAGATATAGCAATTGACATCTTCGAAGGCCTACTACAGACTCTCGACGACTGTGGTTCGCCACCTTTAGCCGATCGCGCACCAACATTGACAAGACCCAACTCACTGAAGACTTCTGATCACAAGAGCATGATGGCATATATGGGTTTACCGCTCGATCTTTTTGGTAAAGACGCGATTTTCCAGCCGTATCTTCCGCTACAGCAGTTGGACATGTTGAGAGAGACCAAGAGTTGGCTTTGTGGATCAACTAATTCCATCGTTACTCAACAGAAGGAGGTCGATCTCCTTGTTAATGTCAGCGGTCTCATCGGATATCCTCTCCTGCGTCGGGTTTGCTGACGGTATGTTTTGTGTGCTTAGACGGAAACGGGGATATTTGAATTCAGGAATCCGAACTTGGAGCGGGCTGTTTCCTTGACGGCGGCTGACCGCAAGTGGATGGATTCAATTGTGAAGGATGTTAATGAGGGTTGGGACGATGGAGACCCTAATAAACCTGCCAGCATACGGTGCGTATTTCCGCAAATTCAGCAGGTCCGCTCTGATGATCGCTGACGATGACTAGATTCAAAGGCAGCGACGATTACTTGCGGAGCAAGGTAAGTCAACCAGTTCAAGTCGTGTTTCCTCCTCCGCTGATCTCATCTTTCTTTAGTTCGAGGAGTATATTTCCGCCGCTCTGTCGTCTGTTCGATATGGCGACTTCATGGCTAAAGGAGAGGGCAATGGAGTCATTATAACGGGCGGCATTGGTATGATATTTACCATTTGGCGGACTCGTTCCATGTTGATTTATTTGATAGGCGATCCAAAGGCTACTGATGATTTCAATCCGCTGTGGATATCCGAATTCAAGAAGACTAATGCTTTCGAAGTGTGGGATAGAGTCACGGATCCTATGTTATTCGATATCATAGAGCCCAGGTGCGTCTTGTCCCAAAATTCACCTCGTCACGCTTACAAACCGTCACAGACATCCATGCAACGAGAAGCCGACGGTGGTGTCAGACCTAGGTCTACGTCTTCAAGAAGGCATTCAGGATCTCAAACTCGACCAGCAGCTAGCGCCCGCCCGCGACGCTGTGGCTCGAACTTTCGTTGCTGGGTCAACGGGTTTCTTCAAAGCCGTGGAAGGTGTCCGCGGACGATGGCAACAGGGCAGTCCGAGCTCTACATCACTTGTCGATGAATCCAAACAGCCTCGCGCAAGCGCATCTATTGACGTACCTAAGGCGGCTGAGGAGATACAGTCACCTGAAGCCACCCCGAGACCTCCGACTATGGCGAAACGGGCTTCCAATGCTTCGACGAACTCCCAGTCAAGTCAGAATTCGGCATCGAGTACACAATCGGATCCGAATGCCCCTCGAGCATCGTTCGCGTCTTGGGGATCCGGGCTCGGCTCGTTCATCTCGTCGAGGACTTCGAGGTTTTCCTTTGCCCGGGCTCCTACCGAGCCTGCACCAGCGCCTGCACCAGCGCCGACCTCACCTCCCGAAGTTACGTATCCCACACGACGCGACTCCCTACCTCAGTCTTCATCGCCACCTCCGCCTCTTCCACCTCTCCCTGTAACTCAACCCACAAAACCCATACTCTCTCCTCCCAATCCGCACAATACGTTTGAACCTACCCTCTCGCCGGTACCTGATATCCAGTCACCCGATGGCATTGGCCTCGCATCATGATCGCCCTTCATAAATCCACTAGCATTCACCGCTTTGTTGCTTGCATTATAGACATCGAATGAAATACACTCCTTACGATTACGCATCCATATCCATAGGTCAGTATCACTCTGTTGATCGGAGTTTACTGTCCTCTCGCTCTTAACCACCATGTCCAGCTTCTTTCCATATCATACTAGCCACGAGTAATATCCAATATGGAGTATTCCGACTACTATGCTAAGATAAAGGTGCATTCTCCATTGCCACGGCGGTGCCCCTCAAGCGAATACTATCGTCGTTAAAGGCGCATTGTTGCCCTACCTGAATAGTTGGGGCAACGGTTGCTCGCGGCCTGGTCATGTTTCTGTGCTCAATTTTGCAACCACAGGGAATTGACAACACTTGCAGGCGGGATAGCAGTATTAAGTGCTGGCGTTGAGCATCCGACGTTCGCCGCCTACGTTTCCCTAGTCTTGAATTGTGTAGGTGACTACCATTATCTAACATAGTCGTCGTAGGAGTGCAATACTCAAACGTTCGATGTACATCGCTGAACCAAGAAGCTCCCACACATACGCATATCTCCAAACTCAAACTCGACTAACTCGATCTATGGCTGAGCACTGTATGCTGGCGGTAACACTACGCGGCGGTCCTGAGATAGAAACCTCACCCTGTCTTCGCGGAGTTCAACAATTACAGGGGGGTAAGATGCAGATGAGCTGTGGTACTCCAGGCTGCTGTGTGGCCAAGGATCACTATCATTTGAGTGCGGTAGGAATACTAGGAGCTGCTTTCCTGACCTGCTCTCAGAGGGGCTTAAACGCAGGATTGGGAGTATAAAGACGTTGATAAGAAAATGCTCTTGGCATACAACGAAACCTCGGGCGGACGAGCTTAAGGCATGCACCTTAGTAGCTGTCCACAAGCCATTGCTAATACAAGGCCATCGTGCGCAACCACGGATGTGCAGGAGCCTACTAGCGTCGAAGAACCATCATCAGCGCCTCTACTCCGGCCATTCCCACCGCAAGTGTCGCTGCTTCTATCGAGAATAATAAGGGCGTGAATTGGCTATCCATTCAGACATGAGTAAGAGGCCCAGATCTCAAGAGGGGTCGCTACTTACATGTATTCCGGTTGCGACGACCACCTACAATTCCGTCATTGATGTTCCCGTTGTAGGTATCTCCACTGCCCACATATGTAACGTTGAGGGGCTCGTTGATGTTGACCGTAGTGATCCCGGAGCTGCGGTACAGTAGGCCCAGTGATTTAGGCCCAGGAGAGGCCCCAGGGAGGGCATTCAGTTCTTGATGCTGCAAGTGCATTGAGGGCACGACCTGGTGGTTACACGAAGCTGAAAGGTCGCCGTACAGTTAAGGGAAACAAGGAATACACAACAGACATTCCTCACGTGGTGTGTTGCAGGGCGGCCTATCGAGCAGCATGTGTAATCTGCATATATTCTACTTGATCATATTCATATAATCGGGACCTAGTTCTATGCCCAAGGTGAGTGCTAGTGTTGCAAGTGTTGAGCTGATCACCAGAAATGGCAGTAGTACAACTTTTGTCATGGAAAATTGCGATGAGAATTGGCAAGAACCAAACAGACCGTTGACTCACTCACAGCTCGCTCGAAAGAATGCGGCGGGGCTAGTGTCGAATACGCATCATTAATACTGCTACTCCGGCCAACAGCAAGTGTCGACTCGCTCCTGTCAAGCATCAATGCCTCACGTGGGAAGAACGTGGTAGTATATATCAACCAACATGAATTGCGGCGGACCCGTCAATGATACTTCCCTTGTAGGTGTCTCCATATATGCAGGTCGGCTAGTGCGCGGCCGTCATAAGAAATCAGTTTCGAGAGACTCAAGCTTGATAAGGAAAATAAACAGCTTCACCTTGCACGGTCGACCTCGCCCCTAAAGCTCCTAACAGGACCAACCGCCGACCCAGATTTGTCCACAACAAACTGACGTCCGGACGCGACCTGAACCACAGAGCTGATGCAACTGAGCAGGGTGTACCGTTACGCCTGCTCAGATGGGGTGAGTACTGAGTGCGCCAAACACCTTTCATCAGGCGGCCGTCAGTTTATAAAATGAGCACTGGATCCCCTCACAACACTCGAGCCCTTTCCTTTGGTTTCTTCCACCCACTGTACACCACTGGGGTCCAGAAAGCAAACAGGAGGCCCCTTTCCACCTAAACATGAGCGATTGAGTTTCACTATGCTTCCGCGGTAGAGAAGGATGTTGGCGAACATGATTTCGTCACCGAACATTTCGCTATCTAGAAAGAAACAAGACAGAAAAGGTTTGCGTACTCCCAAGTCATCCAAGGCTTCATCGTCGGAACGATGAAGGATAGCGTAGACGGAGACGTTAGCTGGAGATGCTCAAAGATGATAGTTATGTAGAACATCCAAGCTAAGTACAACGTATGGGTTCGCATCGCGAGCATTAAGCGTCATGACGGAGTGTACCGTGCTTCCGGCCGTTGAATGGCGGTAGCTTCATTGGGTGAGATGGCATTCACAAGGACTCTAATCGCAGGAACTTGTACAGAGGTATGGCCCTCATCAATGGGGTTCTGTAATTCAGTGTGCATACGAGGCAAAGTGATAACGAAGTAAGACTACGGGTTGGCCCTCAAGGGTCCTGAAGAAGGGTGAAATACTTTACACAACGGCGGCATCAGGGAGAGAGGGCAGCCTGGGGCCTATATTCCTCGAAAGGGTGCCCATAGAGTTTTGTCATGGCTTCTTTGTGCGCTTCAGCGGTTCGCCAAATACGAGCCATACGGGGATCTCGCCGGTACCATTGTTTATGATCCAAGAAGACGGGTCGGAATCTACGTGATACCAAAACGTTGCCATCGTCGCTGGGTGAAGAGGATTCCGCGTCTTCATCAACATCCATCGCAGAAGTGTCTACGACGTCGACTTCTGGCTCCTTACCACGAGACTTTTTCGATGGGGAGACCGATACGTACGACCGCTGGCGACGGGGTGTCGAGATTGTGACAACATCTTGTGATGTAGTAGCTGGCGGAGGTGCAATAGCTGGCTGTCGGCGAATCGTAATTGATCGAGTGGATGGCGTGGGTGGGTCGACGGGCACGTCAGAGGCGGATGGCTCAGCGGCGGTTTCAGACCGAACGGGAGGGTCCAATTTCCTCCGCTTCGCTGGTGAAGTGGGAGTGGATGGCGCAACGGTTTCTGCGGCTGGAAAGAGGGCTACTTCGTGTTTCTTGGTGTCTCTCGATGGGAGCTCTCGGAGAGCTTTCTTCTTCGACGGGGATTTCGTCGGAGACAACGAAACTTGTGTCGGCTTGGCTGGGGATCTAGATGAGCTGGCCTGGAGTCTTTGCATCGCTGCCCACTCGTCTTCGAGATCGGCTTTCAGGTCTCTGCATCTTGTTTTGAGGATGTTGATTATATAGGCATAGCTGTCATAGTCGATCTCATTCTTTTCCAGGAATTCAGCCGATTGGATGGTGAAACTCGAGATCTACGTAGAGGTCATTTCGCAGACACAGTATGACAAGGAAATCATCCTCACTTTAAGTACTTTACATGTCCAGAAGAAGATGGTGCAAATAATCACTCGCCTTGAGGTATCAGGCGCGTACTTTATAACGATCTGCTCAACCTTGTGCATGATGCGAAGCATTGTTGGAGACTCCGAGATACTGTACACTCGGAAAAGACTTTCGTAGGTGATCCCAGTGGAGTTCCTCGTATTTTTCAACGGCCTGGGTGCACCAATGGCGGATTCGATGATACCAAGCGCTTTCTCGAAGTCGCTTGGTTGAAGGCAAGAGGCAAGCTGAGCGTCCTGCTTCGTGACATCCCCATTGTTCAGCCTAAAGTATCGTTCGTCTATGATTTCAGCACTCCGTCAAATGTACATACCGAGTGGATGCGATATAAGCGCAGATAGCAGGTAGACCGCTGCTCAGTGATCCTAGCGTATGACCAGAACCAGGGGTTGTCTGAAGTCGGGCGCGCTGTATCAAGGCAGCTGCCTGAGCACTTGTCTCTGCCCTGCTACACATTTGTCGAAGAAGTCGCTGCTCGGGGGCTGACATTTTAGCAGTCGTTGAAGATTAGGTTGTGGTGGCAGTTGGTGAAGAACCTTGAAGCTTGACGCGTCACGCGGACACAGAGCACACCTACCTTTGTCACACAATAGACAGGGGCTGACAGGGGTTGACGGCTGAAGCCAAGTGTTGTTACTGTCCTAAAGGATAACTACGTGCACGATATTAGATATTAAGTTGCTTGGTTTCCTTTCTGCCTTTCCAGAATGGTAGGTAGACCAGCTAGCTTCATCTTGACTCCAATCTCAAACAAATAATCAAGGCACTAGCAGGAATAAAGCATAAGGAAAACAGTCTTTCGCAGGCCCAGTGAAAGACGCACTTCTGTCTGAGTTTTGGCCTTTTGCCAATCCAGGCCTAATGGTAGAAATTTCGATGAGTGAAGGGTAACCCCGCATAGTAGGATATAGTGCTCACCCCATACATACACGCCATGGCGACGGACGAGTACACCTGCTGCATCGGGATATTCCTCCATGGCAGCGGCCATGCTATCCTTTAAATCCTCTTCATTCGGAGTATTCTCGATGATAGGAATCACGAGAGTATCAAGATACGAGAGTGCCTTTCCGACGCCACCTATCCTCACCCCTTTAATCATCTATGCCATCGTAGCATCGTCGTTCGAGATCAATGGATTGGACATTTAGGACGTACCTCCTGATGAGATATCGTGAAGACTGGCCCCTGCCATAGCAAGGTGGCCATCACCGCATGCTGAGAATGAGTATGGATGCAACTTCCTGCATTCCTCAAATCGAAGGAATTCCAGAATAGTGGCGTGCAAGCGGACTCCTTCAAGTCCAAGGCTGGTCGACGCAGAAAGACACGATCGGTGTGCGGCGACGGTGATTGTACTTGAGGGTATGGCAACACGAAGATGTGCGTCGGCTCTATACGTTCTTTTTGCACGCCCGATGGAGCGATATATACTTTGTCACTAAATGGATATGGCGTGGGTGCTGGAACGCTCAGCCAGTATGCAGGGACCTACTTGTCACGTATGCAAATGCCACCTCCAGTTCCCGTTACCCAACCGATGTTGTAGAATAGTCTACACAGTTCCGGTATCAAGTTGGCAGGCTGAAAGCGGTAGTGCTGTTAGTGCTGATTCTCGTAGGTTATGGCAAGAGCATGATGTCTGACATGCGAAGGATCCTGCGAGATAACAAGGCTATCAGCTTCGGACATGATTGTGAGGTCGAACGCTACAAAGTACTTGCACTTGGGATCTGTTGATTTTCATGCGAATGCGTCTTATCGCGTCATCATATCCTGATCTAGCCTCAAATTGCGATCGTCTAAATCTTGTTCTAACAGATGCCCAACAGGATGCCCTTCTCATAACTTATTTGAGGCTCCCGCCCTCCATCTAACTCCTTCCCAACTGCGATACCCCAGCCAGCACTTCCAAGTACCGATTACCTTACGTAGCATCCCCTTCAGCTCGCTATCCGATCCGGGCATTACCTCGACCTGGACCAACTCTGTCTTGAGAAGCACGGCAAGATCATCGAAAGTGAGCCGATCTCCCTGGACTCGTAGATCCTTGTTTTCAAGGGTAGCAGGAAATGCACAATGAACCCTAGCAAGGAGAAATCAGCCAAAGGCGGGAGACGAAGAAATGGGGACGGACCAGCAATATCATCTTCAGCAGTGAACGGAATGATCGCATCCCCTCTAGCTATGTCTCTTATTTAATTAGGTAGCACTCTACTGAGTGTACTTACGAAGACCGAGTGTATGGCAGCCCGATAGATTCGAGGTGATGTACGAAGCGAACGTCCGTCAATCCCAAACGTACAGGCTAATTATGAGTGTAACTTCACCTACGAAGGCCATTTTTGAGGGCAAGTGGGCCTTCCGTGGCGCCTTTACTAGACATGCCAAACTCTAATGACACGAAAAACTCGACGCCAGCAGCCTTTGCAGCATCTCCAACCTCATCTTCTGCGCGTCAAACCCGCTCCAGTCAGCGTTGAGATCACCACTTCGACACACTTGAATCTCCCTAAGCTGAACCCCAGGCCTCAGCTGAAGACGTTGAGCTCTGTCCCACACATGACTATGAAGGACCTGAGCGGACAAAAAACTTAGGTACTTGGGAGACCTGCCTGAGTGTGTAGCCGAACAAGAAAGTATAAACGAACAGATCTTGTGGTTCCGGAATAGTGCACAGTGGCTTTACCTTCGGCGTATATGTTTGTGCTTTCGGGTTTGGGCTTTCGGTATAAGCCGACGTGCCCCCTGAGCTCCTATAAACCGTCGACTCTTGATAAATGAGGCGAACTGCGAGCCGCCTCGAGGCAGCATGGCATTGATTGATTTTGGAGCGCGTGCACATCGTACAGGTGGCTGCGCGCGCATATCCTGATTATTTTTCTCATTGGAAATCACTTACCACCAGCCACAACAACGGGGATGAGAGATGACAATATGAATATTCCACGGACCATCATCCATGAAAATCTAGCTCAGGATATCTACCAAGAGGGAACTAGCCCATGAATGCGAATATTCTTGAAATTCATCCTGCCGGTTTGCTCACCCGGACTTATCTGTTAGGCCGCCTCAGGTTGCCCGCCCGTGAGTACTTGTGTTCCCAATTGAGTTGTGAATTTCGGGAATATATGGCTCATGGTATGCCATACTGGGCCGAAAATCTACCTCCGCTCCGAAGGCACGGATCCATTCCGAAAGCACGACCTCCGAAGCGTAAAACCCCGTTCCGAAAGCACAAGCACTAGTTCCGAAAGCACGATCCAGTACTCCGAAACCCCAACGGAAGCTGTTCTGAAAACCTGCAAAGGAAAATGTGTCACACACCTTCAAATGTAACGTGCCATGCATAGAGCTGATTTCGGCGAAAGCTCAGCTTGTTTTTGTCCGGCGGTGGCCTACAAACATGACCGATACCGACGCTTATGTAAAACGTTCCCGCGCGCCGTCAAATGTTCGGTTTGCATTTGGTTTGCATTGTGCACTTGTACTAATCTATCACCAATTGTGGCTTTGGCGGACATGAAACCTTCGCATACGATGGAATCTTCAAAGGGCCAAGGAAATAGCTATACCCTTCCATTGAGATGACCTCGTGGTACACAGAGATCCTCAAGAGACGAGTCGTGATGCTTCGCGGACACAGGCAGAGAAGTTCCCAGCGGTCCGACCGCTTGTTTGCGACGTTCCTATTGTACGGACCGTTGGATTCTGTCAGGTGGGAGCATTGACCCCGTGGACGACATCTGAATCATTATTCTTATTGACGACTGAATTGTAGACAGCGTATCGCGTCTTTGTTCTGCTCTTCGCCATCTAGTCACCGAGCCTTAACGTGGACACCAGTGCTATGGCGTTGAAATTGGCACTCTTGATTCACCTGTATTCTACGGTTCTGCAGTTCGCTCACGCTCTCAACAATGGTTTGGCTCGGACCCCACCCATGGGCTGGAATCCATACAATGCGTTCTTGTCAGTATCGTTTCCAATAGACAGTTTCATAATGGGCCTAAATACCACATCTATCTTTAGATGCGACACGACCGAGGCGCAGTATAAAACTGCAGCTCAGAGTCTCATTGATTTAGGTCTTAAAGATCTTGGATACGAGTACCTTAATCTGTGAGGCCGAAACGATCGTCTCTTAGCCGTGCTTATCACCGAATACAGGGATTGTGGATGGCAAGGGAAATCACGAAACATCACTGGGGGGTTTACATGGGATACCACACAAATTCCTAATGGAATCCCTGCTTTGTCCAATTTCGTCCATAGCCTAGGGCTCAAATTCGGCGTTTATAGCGACGGGTACGTTGCTATTTTAGCCCCCATGTTCATTGACCAACCGTCATATTTCGAAGGGGCTTCTTTGCCTGTGACTTTGTCGGCGGGACTGCCCACTATCTTGGGAGCTTGGGACACGAAGTATCTGACGCCGACAGCTTTGCTTCTTGGGGAGCCGATTATCTCAAGGTAGGAGGGTATGAGCACCGGCTTTCCTTTGATTCTGACTCTCAATCACGTCGAATAGTATGATAACTGCTACGCTGTCAGCGCCACGGACTTTGTGGATTTCGATCCCCCCATACAAGTAAGCTCCAGAATCCCGATTAATCATTTAATAGAAAGCCATTGACCGTGTGCACAGGTTGAAGTATGTGAACTACATGATTTGACGACCTATCTCTAAACGTTTTCATTTTCAGCCCCACTTTACAGCCATGCGGGACGCTCTCGCCCGTACCGGACGTCCTATCGTCTTCTCCGTCTGTGAGTGGGGCGTACAAGATCCCGCTCGCTGGCCTGCAAGCACAGTCGGCAACTTCTGGCGAATTTCGTGAGTCGCTGCCTCTCGTTCCTCAACCGTACAAATCAATATCATACGATATTATACAGGAACGATATTGGACCTCCAGCTTCATGGGATAATTTATTCCGAATTATCAATCAATTGGTTCCAATCACTAGTTTTGCGGGACCTGGCGCTTGGAACGACCTAGACATGCTTGAGGTTGGTAACACCGGGCTCACTATTGCCGAACAGCAGACCCACTTCGCATTTTGGGCCGCCGCAAAGTCAGTGGCTAGCTCTGTATGACTACGGAACGAAGTAGCTAACATCTCATTAGATCCCCGCTCTTTATCTCCACCGACTTGACCAAGGTGTCGCAAGACGCGCTCAGTATCCTAACAAACAAGCGGATCATTTCGCTCAATGTTTGTATTTGTCAGTTGTCTACATCCCTTTTATTGAGTCCTCGTACAGCAAGACGGCCTCGGAAAGTCCATCACCTTTAAGCGACGATACACCAACGATCACGACGTATGGGTTGGTCCTCTGTCAGATGGATCTACTGTTGCGGGTATGCATGTAAAGACCGACCTGGCGAGGCCAGCTTTCTAACCCAGCTGTAGTATTCATCAATTGGCAAAATAGCGCCCGGTCTCTGAATGTCAGCCTATCGGACATCGGCTTCTCTGCAGCTACAGTTGTCGATCTGATATCTGGGACTTCGCGGGGAAGCGTTGTTAACTCGTAAGCTGATGGGCGCTCATTATTCTATAATTTACTCATCGTATCTTGTGCGGCTAGGTTCACCACTACTGTGGCTGCCCATGGGATAATAGTCGTGAAGGTCACCGATGGTGTTCCTGTAACCGCTCCCAGTTTCACCATCTACCAAGCAGCCTCCGGTGTTCTCTCCGGCGGGGCATCTGTCAGAACCGTCAATTCAGCAGTGTCCGTTGTAGGGTTCGTGGGGAATGGTGGCACCCTATCACTCCAAAACGTTGACGGAGGAGTTTCCGGCGGCACGAAATTACTATCAATCGACTATATCAACGCAGACTTTGTCTTCTCCAACACGGGCTGTTCCAATTGTCGAAACGCATTGATCAGCGTGAACGGCGGTACACCGGTCACAGCGCAGATGGCCATCTCTGGGCAGGTAAGTAGTCTCCGACTCTTTTCCTGCTGATGTTCTGACGAAGCAAACAGAGCTGGGATATCCTCTTGTCAGGATACTTGGTGTCTGTGTCAGGATTTAGACCCGGGAAAACGAACACCATCCAAATTTCGAATCCGAGTGCCTGGACACCAGACCTAGTCCGCATTGGTGTTTCTATCTAGCTACAGACTCCAGAAGTAACGATACATGATGTGAACGCTGATTGCCAACGATACAAACGGCCAAACGGCCCATAAACGTGTGGGTCTCGGCGGTCCTTGAGCACCTGCCTTGTCTATTGCGGCAACCTCGTCCTCTGTCAACGGACCTACTCGCGTCGGGGCTTAGTTCTTGTGATCGGCTTTTGAGAAGGAAAATAATCACCTAGGTCTGCAACGGCGAGATACTCTTCAAGATGTTCTTTCTTGGAACTAGTCCTTGGGGCACAATCAGGACTAGAGCTGCGCGACTGAGAGAAAGCCTTACGTGACAATGACTGCCCCCTTTGCGCGTACCCAGGCGAGGAGCACCTGTGTCGGGGTGGCGCCTAACCGCTGAGCAGCCTTGGCGACCGGGGCGTCGACTGGTCCTCCGGGAAATCGAGTTATCGGTCTATTGGCGGGAAACAAGCGTACCAACGGTTAGTGCGCGTCAACTGGGAAGCTGGGTGTTCGTACGCAAGACTACTATAAGCCTCAATTACTATCCCGTGCTTTGCGCAATATTCGAGGGTTTCTTTGTACTGCGGAAGGTTGTAGGGGTGGAATTGTATCTGAGGAAACGTATAGAGTTGAGTGGCGGTGGCTTCACGTATTTGATAGGCGACGTTGACCGCACTCGTACCTGGTTGACTGCTGGAAGAATCTTGGCGGTCTTGACTATCTTCTGCAAGTTTTCTACAGTGAAATTGCTCACACCGATACTCCTGGTATGATTGACGATGACTGTATTGTGCAGTTGGACGTGTAGGTACTCACCTGGCCAGACCATCCTCTTTAATTTTCTCGAATTCCTTCCACGCGCTCTCGAAGTCCTGGTTTGGGACAAAAAAGGGAGTGTGGATGAGATACAAGTCCAACTGCTTCAACCCAAGCTACGAGTATCGATGTTTAGGCAGGCGCAGCCGAAGTTCAATAGGCCAAGACTCACGTTGTCTAAACTATCTCGAATGGCGGATGGAATATCTCCTCCGTCGTACTTGGAAGTAATATAGAGGCTTTGCCGATCGAGCCCGCTTTCTTTAATTGCGTTGCCGACGTCCTTCTCCGTATGGTAGACTGCGTGCCATTGAATGAAACCACTTTGGGCACTCGGATAGCATGGCTAGACGTACCTGCAGCAGTATCAATATGAGAGTACCCAGATTCTATGGCCTGTTCCACGAATTCTGTGACCTCCTTGTCCTTCCAGACGCTGCCGGTGCCGAATGCGATAGCAGGAAGCTGATATACAAGGTTACAATTATAATCTTTAGCGCCAAGCCTCTACCGCGAACAATCACTGACCTCGTTTCCGTCGTTCAGTTTGATGGTTCCGAACGACATTTCTAGTGGGCAGAGTCCGCTTTCAACGTTTAGACCAGAAGGGCTTATCTTTCTTGATGCTCTGCTGCTTTTATAGGGCGTATGGGTACATGGTTGGATTACGTCAGGATGATCCCGCCATATGATGCCTAAAGAGCGTAAATCCAGGTTCTCTCCAGTGTCAGAACCCGCAAAGGGACTCGACTGCCTGCACTTAGTATGATAATGAAGATAATTGGCCCAATAGCGACTCAGAATTTTTGCTGGGAAGAGTAAGAAGTCTGATCCACCCATAAGTACATTGGCAAAGTAACAAGGACATAGGGTAACTTTGTTACTCCCTTCACGTTTGCGTGGGTGACACACAAGGATGAAGAGAGGAGCTCGTACGAGTGGAAGTAGGAGGGATAGCAATAGACAAAACGACGAGTGTTACGTATGGTCTTACGGATGGGTTAAATGCTGAAGTATAAAAAGAAGAAATCGACCGTGGAGCTAGTTTGATTTCAGCCAAAATAATTGAAGTCAAGGATATATACTTTCACTGCACGAATCAAATTCTACGTAGCGTCCGGAATATGTGAATATCAGGAGATACCTGCAAAACAAATAAATTATCTTGGGCATTGTCCGAAAGGGCCTCAGTAAAGGTCCCAGTCTTTCGTCAACTCGGGTAGACTCTGTTCTACCAATCCCTCATGCGCGGCCATGGAGATGCAAGCAGCATGATCCTCTGAGCGCGTATGGCCGGCTATACAAGAGTCTATGGTGGGATAGGGGCCGTCATCGTTCCACTCGCAGATGCATCGAATATAAAGGCCCACTTACGAACAACACACTGTCCCTTGATACATTGCACCGAGTCTGCGTTCCGAATTTCCGTGCAGTCTTTGCCCGAATATTCCTCACGGTCGTCATTTGGGCACCCACCACAAGACCTATTACCGGCAAACATCAACTATCATAGGCACTCTATCAGCTAAGCAAAGGACATACCAAAGGTCGTTCGAGATGACCTGGCATTTGTGGCCGATTTGGGTGCGAACGCCGTTGCGAATCCTGTAAACTGGGCAAGCACGCTCCCTGGGTGTGGTGCAAGTTGGGATGCCTGGTTCTGACCGTCGGATGGGGGCCGCCGCCGAGCTAGGATCATCGATGAAAGTGATGGCTAAGAGCGTCATTAGTAAGTCGAACAGCCCGAAAGACGTGGTACGTACGACAATTCCGTCCGTCCATGTAACAACGAGGGAGCGGCGCGTAGAGACCTTTCCATGGGGTACATGACGTTGCGCCGGGAGGAGAATACGGAGAACGGGTCGGACACCTGAGATGACATCAGCGAGGGATACCCGGTTGAATTGAGCTATCGAACTTTTGACAACTTGTCGATGCATATTTATTCTGCAAGACGCGATGTGAGACATAGCGGACACAAGTCTCATGGTTTAACTTACATTGAACCAACCAGCGCAGCATGAACAGCATCCAGTGGCACCTTGAACCGAGTTGAAGGTGCCTTGCTTGCAAGCCAATTCTGAGGTTGCCCCAGATTTGGCGACATAATATCCCTAAGCAGAGTGAGCTAAAGGACAGAATGGATGATGGAGAGGAGTACTTACGGCCCTGGCCTTCGTACAAAAAGGCTGGTTGTACCCTGGGTTGCCGATGAGAGTCAAAATTCATGAGAATAAGACCGTGCATACTATTGGTGTAAGTCCCCGCTGCACACTCCCGACACCTGTTCCCAGATACGTATGTGCCAGGCGCACAAAAGATCGACTCCGCGGCTTCCGCAAGTGTGGAGAGATTGATGATCAGCACGACGCACGCGAGCCAGCCAATAGATGAAAGCCAAGCCATGTCGATGAAAGAGTGTGAAGGCGCGTCGAGACAAGTCGTTGTGGATCACCTCTTTATATCCAAGAAGGGGGAGATAAGACCTTGCTTATGATTCCAGATTGAAATTTTCGATAAAATAAATTACAGGGCTCCGAGGGATCATACCCCTGGAAAGCTGAACTATATTTCCGGCGTTTGTCGTCGTTCCACCAACGTCAAATCGGGTAGATATAAAGAACTAGACAATGCTTTCATTAATGAGCAAGCCACAAAAAGAGTTAACTTAATGAAGCACTCAACTCGTATATTATCGTCGGAAATCTCTCATCGCAGTATTGCTGTTGCATTCGGGAGGGGTGCTTCCACCTACAAATTACCTTGAAATAGGAATTTCAAAATAAAATAAGCAGATGAAACGCGGTAGCCAGTGACTCAGCTTGCCGATATCCGTCTCTCTGCGTGTATGACGAGTAGAAGATTATACGTCAGGTTGGCTGGAGAGGAGTACCATGGCCGAACCGAGGATAGCCGTTACCATGTTCAAATGTCACAAACGACGTGTGCCTTCCGCTGGACGTCGACCATGTATCGCATTTGCATGGACATTCGAACACTGTCGTTGTAGTACTAGACCCTGTGACTTCAAACGTGCGTGAGGAGACATGGCCAGGATCTAGTTACCTTCCCTCTGCAGCTAGTTGTCTGGGCTGTCGCCGCACTGGTAATTTTGACCGGCTTTTCCGACGACGATAGCCAATTGATGGTGGAATTTGTAGAATCGTAGAGGAGCCCTGCCGGAGGTGGCAAGCCCGTCCATCTGTAAGCCACTGATGAGAGCGTCGTTCAGAATGCTAACCACATGGACAAGTCTAAAGGAGTGATCGACGATCGTTTGAAGAAGCGCCGCGTCACGGCAGGAGTTCGTGATTCAAATTTGAGTTTCCGACCACGCGGCGCTCAGATCACCGCGCCGTCCCTTTTGCAGCCCGGATTCCGGCCACCACGATTGGCCTGATCCAGATTTCGACAGTGTCGCTGTTCCTTTATTGGATGGTTATTGGGGCCACTAACCACCGCAAGTCCAGACGACCTGTGTTACGACCTGTGTTCTTAACCGTAAACTTCGCAGTATTTCTTTCATCCCCATTTCGGATTTCTCTCGGGACGAAACGGCTCAGGCCTTAGGGACTAGGCCAACCCTTCGAGCTTCATCTCGTAAAGTATGCTGGGAGCGACCATAGGCGTCACCGGTGGCACCGCGACCTGACGATGCCAACAGTCGTGCGGTGGTTGTGCACGCCCAACGACGAGCGGCTTGCTGATTGGGTAGAAGATGTGGTCAATATTAGTACTGGCTCGCAGGGACGGAGGACAATGCTGACTCCAGTACACTCCGCTGTAAATTTGAATTTGAAAGATGATGCCCCGCCGACTCAACGAACCAAGACTAAGCAGGGTACAACGGGACACTCTGCGGCGGGATTCGGTCATACTTCAACTTGCCAGGTCGTCTCATCAACACCATCGTATCCCACAAATTCCATAAATGCCCTCCCTCGCCCAAAGACCATCATATACGTAAAATAATCCGTGCATCGGTCGATGTACATGATGCAATTCCTACATTACTTTCTCCGGCTCTTATTATACAAACACTCTGACTTCCAGACACACCCATAGCATTCGAGAAGCCTCTCCGCGAGTATGCATGAGTGCAATCGGTCTTGATTTTGTAGTTGATGGGTTTCAAACCCAATCTTAGCATAAATCCGCGAAAGAAGTTGAGGAGGAAGGCTTAATATTCTGAAGGCGTACGAGATTCATTCAATCTATCTGCTTGTAGATGCACATCTGTTCCTCCAATGACATTGAGGTTACACTCTGCCCTCGGGAGACCACACTGGGTTATTGACCTTCACGTCGCCGACGCCGCCTTCAACAACCCCGTCCAATGTGAGCTGCAAATCGGGAGAGATTGGTACATCTGACTCCATTGTCCACAAGGCAACGGCGATAGTGCTAGAGAACATAAACCCCAGATCAGATCGTCACCGTTGAGTGAAAGGCGATGACGTGGACTGACTTCCGTCCCCTGTAATCCAGAATGCCCTCGTGAACGGGGAATTTGGCTTGAGGGCTAAGTATAACAATTATGCAGTTAGCGTACATGCAATCCACGAACAAACGTCGGGCTCCTCACCCGAGGTTCCCCACTCTCTTCCCCATGTGCCACCCGTTCACGAACAAGAGGGCTCTATACGGCTGCCCGAGCGGCTCGTTGAACGTGAACGACAAAAATGCATCGAAGCCCTGTGGGATGTTCAAATTGAACGTAGTCACGAAGAATCCAACCCCAGCAGCAGATCCGGGAAGCCCAGACGCAAGATCGCGTGCTTTCCACGAAGATGTATCGAAGCCGGGGAGATGCCAGCCTTGTCTCTCGCCGAAAAGCCCTCCTTCATTCATGATTCCTCTGACCTTATCTGGGAAACTGTAGTCATCAACGGTTAGAGCAACCCCCATCCAAAACAGAAATGGAGGCATACTTCGTATACCCGCCGACTTTCCCTTGTACGCGCCACTCGGTGAAGTTGCCTGTATCCAGCTGGAACCCTCGCACGCCGCGAGGACCTTTAGAGGAACTTGTGTCCGCTATGCGATCGTTAAATCTGGGTTGGCAACTGAAAAATTCCGAACTACTCGCCGCCTCTGCTTTCATTCAGTCCCATGTTGTCCTGGGGAGTAGTTCAAGCTGGGAAGAAGAAAATATAGTCCAACAACCTGAACGATAGTGAGAACGTTGTCGCCTCTGAAAAGTGCGCCTGGAGGAAACGTGAATCTGTCGTCCGTTTCTTCTAAGATATTCTGGTTGTTAGTGGAACTAGACAGTGATCAGCGATGGCGTAGTTCTCGCGTTTATATTTACTTACTTCCCGTAGGATGTGTTGAGGAACACATGGTTAAGCCAAACGCTGGCCGCAAATGCTAAACTTCCACTGAGGAACGAATCTTCATGAACTATTGAGAGCGCACCTTCTCCACCATTAATGGATAGATTGACAGATTTCTCGTCCCCAGTGGCGTTGAAGTGGCCGCGCCATAGAACGATGTTCTCGCAACTATTCGAATTAGTTCAGAGAACATACACCATGAATAAATTTGACTCACAATCCGTAGTCGCAGCCGTATAGTATACGGCCATCCCCGTAATATGGTTTGTAAGGGATGTTGGTCGACGTGTGGTCCGCAACTACCCACTTCTGGTCAGAGAATCCAGCTCGAATCTCGGGCAAGCTATCGGAGAACTTCCATTTCCCCAACTTGGGTATCTTGATCTCCCTGGTAGTTGCTTTCAAGGTCGATACGAACCCGCCTCTAAATGTCAGCTGAGATGACGTCCGGACGTCCACGTCGACCCGTTCGCCATTCCATGTGACGGACCGGACGTTACTGGGCGCAATCACGCTCAGTCTGACGCTCTCGCTGAGGTCGCCTTTCAAATCCAATCGGGAACCCGAGATACTGGCACTCCGGACGAGGTGAGGGCCGCCGACAAGTATGGTGGTGTTGGTTCCAATCTGCCAGAAGTTTCTAAGAGGGTCAGATGCCTTTCCCGCGATCGTAGGAGCCCAGAAGGTAGCAGCTGTAGCAGTGTCGGAGAAAAGGACCAGCTGCTTGTCCGAGTCCCACACAGTGACGGGCCCCTCGATGCCAGGGAGGAATGATACTGTCATTCTTGAAGATGACAGCGACGTGGTGAAACGGACGGTACTGGATGGTGGTCTGGTTCCTCTCCGTGTACCACTGAGCGTCAAATCCAATTCGTGTTCTTGAGCCGAGTCACCAAACAAGAACAAGACATCGCGCCCGTCGATGGCGCCCGCGAAGAAGACCTGGGCAGTGGAGTACAGGAGGCGTGATGACCCAAACACATAATCAGTGACCACAACTTTGGATTGTCGACCGCCCAGGGTAATCGCAGATGCAACACGAGGTACCTGTATGTTGCCCGCCGACGTCGACACGTTCAGCTTGAAGTCGATGACAGCCCTATTGCCCAAGGACACGAAATGTCAGTATTATTCTAGTTAAATCCGCTCTGGTCCTCACGTCGATGTCACGTCTGCTTGTCTGAGGATGTAGAATCTAGCTTTCGTGTCCGGGTTACGGAGCAATGTGGCAAACGCTGCCGTGGAAGTCGTCGACGTAGCCCCGGTGCTCGTATCGCCTACCCAATCCGTCTTGTAGAATTCAGGCGAGCTTCGGAGGAAGAGTCCCTGCCGTTTCAATTCGTCAAATTTAGACGTCAACTGCCGTGATTCCTGGAGGGATGCGCCGTAGTCATATCTGACAGGATCTCGGTCAGATGTATGAATAAGGACATGATCAAACCCATACGATGTATAAACACCACTAGGGCAGACTATGTGAGTGAAGTCTTAGTTGGATTTTGCATATCGACTTACTGGAAGGGGATAGCGCCCCATGATGTGCCGCTGTATCCTGCGTAAACAACAGTGAGAAGACTACGCACGAAAGCATCACTTACCCGTAGAACATGTAGTAATTGATCAACTTCGCATTACTCGCCCAAAGCTGTAGATTGAAAACTGATTGGAAGTCTGCACCAGTCAGCGTACGGCATGGTCCATAGCCTAATGAAAACGCATGAGACGGGACACCATGAAAGGGCGTGCGCATGCGAAACCTGGTGAGGTCGGACCCCATGCGTCAAAAGAGCCACCTTGGAATTCTGTCAAAGTCACAAACAATCAGTGCCCTGCGGGTGATGTTGAAACGTTGAAGCCTTCACGAACCGGGAATGTACCACGGCTGCGATGGGTTTACTTCAGCATGATACTGTGGATAGCCCGTCGGCACGTCATGCCAAACAGTGGGATGGGAACAATCGTAGCGCTGGGGATAAGCGTCCACCCTATACACGTGAGTGTTACGCGGGAAAGTGGGAGCGTGCATGGATGGAGGTTACCCATAAAGGTCCACAGCGCCCTAAGTAGATCAGTATGAGCGGGAGGCTATGGTATTTGAAATCGACCCGATTTCCTTACAGTCCCATTGATGAAATTTCTGCCTTCTCCGGGATCGTTGTACGTGAGGGGCACGACGATGGAAGAGGCCCGGTAAGCTTCTTCTAGATCGACAAAATACTGGGCATGCCCCTCAGGGGCTTGTTGGAACTCGTTGTCTAGTAAAGCTTGGGCACGGGAGAATCCAACACAGGATAGATGTGTGCTCACCAACTTGAATGGCTTCGATGCAGAAATGTCAAGCTCATTCTAATGGATACTTCAAGCAATTAGACTCGCCTATCACAGGCCCTCCCTCCGTGATCTGATTCGGCACAGTGACCTCGATGATTCCCTGAATGTAGGCCTGCCACGCCGCTTTCCAGTCAGCATCGCCCGTACGAAGATTGCCCGCAACCTCGCTAGTGGCCCAATGGGCGATCCCTATTGACAGTCATTGCAACGAGGAATACACATATCGAGCTGAAAAAAAACCGTACCGCCTGCGGTTGTTTCGGCATTGATATAAGGGCCCGGTCGCAGAACGATGAAGATTCCCGCGTCCTTGGCAGCATCAAACAAGGGCTGCAAAGCACGGAACCCACCAAAGTCGACCACGCCGGGAGACGGATTGATCAACCCCATGTGGGTGTACACGCTGACGGCGTTCAGGCCGGCGGCCTTTGCTTTTTGGAGGATATCGGGCCATAGACTGGGAACGGGCAAACGGAAAGTGTGGAACTCTCCCGAACTGTGTGGACAAAATCAGTCAGTGGTATTCCTATCCGTGGTATATAGGATCGTATACGTACTGTATGAAGACGCGCTGATCCCCGACGAACAAGCTATAGTTGTCGAATCTCACTTGGTGTGGCAGTGACCGAGGTGCTATCCCAAGAGGATGGTTCGTGTTGTCCGAAGGGGCCCGTGAAAATGATGTTCCCCTTGTGCAGACGATGGCGAGAAAGGCAAGCAGAAATAGAATAGGCCAGGCACGACGCGACTGCCCTTTGGCGGGTAAATGGATATCCATATTCGAATCTGTGTAGACTTCACAGTGCAGCCGGCGGCGAACAGGAAGAACTATCGTGTTTTCTCTTCACCTCGTCGCGTCCATTTATACAGGTGTTCTCTCACTCGTCCAATCGGTGTCTCGGGAAGTGGCTCGATGTCGCTTTTGGTGCGACGGGGAATTCACGGAATCTATGAGAGGCTTTGTTCAGTACCCGGGCCGTCAGTACAACGATGGTGCAATGTCGAAGCTGTTCGCATTGAACTGTGTGCATAAGGGGGAGATATAAGACGCAGCGAAACACAAGGTCGAACGTCAGGCGTAACTCATGTGCACCAGAAGTCGAAGAAGCATCATCGCCGGGCCACTTGATCCAGTGCCACTATTCGTGCTAATTGTCTGACAAAGCTTTGAAGGTCGTGGTATTCTCTCCGAGCATGGATAACCCTACGTGTATTGGCCCCGAGGCAGGATTTGCTATTGCGTGGTTCAATACAGACCTAAGCCCTACATTCCCACATACCTATATTTGCTGGGGTCGGTTTCCTAGTAATGTTGACGTCGAAATGCGTGGAGGCAGGGATGGGGATGATGTGAGCGCATTGGGTGGCAATGAGGCCGCCGTATGCGACAAGCTCTTCCGGCGTAATATCAAGCTTCTTTTCCGCCGCGCGGTCATATCGCCCCGTGATCAGACACCTATAGCCATCACGTATGAGGGCCTGCAGAATGCAGATGCCAATGCATCGGAATGATAAGTGGAATAGAGATACTAGTGGGCGCGACTCGCAACTCACATGTCTCTTCGCAGTACTGTGGTCTCTCGGTGCCTCCTGAATTGCAGTTTCCAGCGCGGCGGCGTCCTCATCGAAGGACGGCCGGCTGGGGTGCGAGGAGCTATCCGGGGTCTGCCCCTTATATTTCTTAACTGGTCGGTTGTTGACTGTGCAAAAGCCGAGCGAATGAAGCATGGCACTCACAAGGACGTATAAAGCACATAATGAATGCCTCGCCCAATGCATAGAGGGTCAGGTTGCTTTGGCTACAAGAGTGGATTGTTTCAACAATCTACGCCAATGCATGATGCGAAGGGGCATGGAGAATGAGATAGCCCAAGACTCGAGCAGCGATGAGGTGTTTATCGTTGTTTAGGGAGGAGGCGGATTGTGGCATATGTGGTACGCGCCAAGGGCATTGGGAGTGGGCAAATGAGCGGCAACGTTGTCTGGGGCTGGCAGGGGCTGAGCCATGCATGAATATTGAGTGTTGCGTACGTTGAACGTTGAACGTTTGAACATTGAGTTGAAATTCAGTGCGAAGTCCATCTCTCTCACACTTCTGTCCCTGAGTCGCGACACCAACACGTCCTGGAAGGTTTATGCCTTCAAGACAAATGCGGCTACTCTCACCACTCTCCGCTCTCTCTCGATAAACACCATCTATTCGACCTATCCTATCATTGGCGGCGAAGCAGTGCAGCACACTACACCGACCCCGTCGACTTCTTCGCCTCGTTGAATGGTCCCCCTCTTGTCATCGATCATCCCTCGAACTCGGAGAAAGACCGCAAGGATGATCGCGGAAAACTCAATCGGCCTCTTAGTGTTGCCTGCACAACCTCGAGGCGCTTCGACAAATTCGACTTGGGAGGTTGGGAAGAATTTCCGAAACTCCCGTCCGGACAGTGGGCGCATCTCTTTGGGTTCATTGTGTTGCTTACGGACTCTGGACTTTTAGAATGGCTAAATGAAGCATATGCAGTAGGTTATGTACGTGAACAAGACACTCGTGAACTCCGAGTTTGCGCGACGAGAGCGCGCGGATGCTCTGGTGAAAACGCTAAGTATCAGCATCAATCCATGCTATTTCGAGCTCCCCCTGCATCACCGATGATCTTTCCTTACGCTCACTGTCGGCTATTCTGCGACCTTTCTTCCTTTATTTTCCTTTCCTTTCCTTGCCACTACGTCCACTCCCCGTCCCGTCCTGCCCTGCTTCTTCGCTTTCTTCGCTTTCTCCAGTCCATTTACCTGCTCCGCATTCTTCAGTGTCCCCATACATCATGCATCAACAGCCAAGCTCAGCCCGCCTAGCAGCATCAGCACGCATCCCTCCTACCGCATCCCTCCTACCACATCCAGCATCCAGCATCCCCCATCTCATCTATCTCACCTCACCTAGATCCTGCTCCCCCGACCTAACCCTTCACCCACATCCACGCAACCGCCGAAACCACGCCATGCCCGCACGACCTAGATCCCAAACCCCAAATTCATCCGGAAATGCGCGTAGCAACCATCCCCGCTTCCGCTTCCGCCGTCGCGTTCGTCCCAATGGGACCACGGGAGGAGGACTGAGGCTCAGAGGGGGGCGCCGCTCCTCTACTCGAAAGATGCCGCACCGCGTACACGTCGTACCAAACCAAACACTTGCATTCCCACAACGCAATCAAAATTCCTACAATGCAATCAAGATGGACGATAGCTATGATTCCCTATGCAACTGCCGAAACCGAAATCTAGGTGTCAATCGTGTCATTCACCTACGTCTTTCAATCTTGGTCCAACAGCCTCTCTCTCTCCCCGTCTCCTTCCCCACCCCTTCCCTCACCCTCACCCTCACCCACATCCCCCTCTTGCCTTCTCTCAAACACCCTCTTCACCCCACCCACCACCCTCTTCACCCCACCCACCACGCGCTCCCCAACCCACTCCGCCGCCCTATACACACCATGCGGCCGCCCGTCCACGCGGTCCTCCCTGACCCGATGCTCGCCGTCCACCACCACCGCAAGCGCCGCGCCCGTCGCCACGATCGCCGCCAGCGTCGTCGACGCGGATATCATGAATATGATGATCACCTGCAGGCGCGCCGCGTACTCGACGGACGCGCCGCCCAGGATCGCGCCGGTCATCATGCCCGGGATGGAGATGATGCCTAGGACGCTGTAGAGGGCAGAGTGGGAGCGAGGGTTGGGAAGCGGGAAGTGGGAAATAGGTAAGTGAGAAGTGAAGGGCACGGGACTGACCTCATGCGGTTGACGATTGGCGCCAAGGCTAGACGCAGGGCGTCGGTGGCCATGGGCTTGCACGCCTCCATACGCGTCGCGCCGAACGCGAGATACATCTCGACCTTGTCGCGATTTTCCCTACACACCTCCTTCATGAGCCCCATCCACTCACTTAATCTACGAGTCAAATCCGGCTTACTCGACCTCTTTGAGCAGGTAGTTCACGGATACGACGATGCCCGATATGGTGTTACCACACAGCATGCCCACGATCGGAACTGCATATGCATATACACACCGCGCTTAGAAGGCGAGGAGACGTCTGGGCGATGAGGGTGGGGGGCTCACTGAACTCTGCGGGCTCCCAGAAGGGGTTCTTCGCCATGGCGAAGCGCGCGCCGATGATGGATATCGGGATGCTGGATACGAGCATCCCGGAGAGCGTGGAGAAGAACTGTGCGGGTGCGCTGGTGAGTACGCGGGCATGCGCCTCGGGCGGGTGGTTACCATGTATTTGTGCCGCCGGTCTGCCTTGTTTACGACTATCGCGATCATGAGCATGAGTGAGTTACCGTCAAAATGCGCACGTCATGGCGTGAATGCGAACCTGTTTCGAAGGTACCGAGGAGGTTGAGCAGCACTGGAAAGACGGACGAAGAGGATCAGCAAGACATCCTACCTACCGCCCCCGCGCGCGCTCGAGCTACCAAAACCAAAACGCCGAGCAGAGTGAAACGAGAACCGACCAGCGAAGAACGCCACGACCCACGGGCTATTCGACTCGAACACCTTCCTCAATATCACCGCCACCAGCGATAACTGGACTACGCATCGCGCTGCGGCGCTGAGGAGAGATGTTCCTATACCGAGGCCGAATGCGAAGGAGGTGACGACGTCGAGGAAGACGAAGGCAAAGGCGATGGCGACGTTGGTCCAGTTGAGGGTGCGCTCTGAGGGCGGGGCGGTGAAGAGGAGGAGGTCGGGCAGAGAAGTGGCGTTGCTGGCGAGGAGGGACATGGTTGTGGTCGTCGAGATAGAATTCCAGTGGAGTGGGTGTCGCGATAGGGGCTACGGGCGCTTCTTCCATAGAACCAATGAAAGCCACCGGGTGGCTTTCGCGGAGCTTGCGGAACTCGGTGGCTTCCCGGTCAAAAAGCCTGAAACTCACCGGCTGGTGGCTTTGGGCGTCTACTTAGAATTCACTGGTAGCCTCTCCTCCAAGCAGCAGGCTAGCTGTATTATGCTGCGCATTCACAGCTGCGCATATGAGCTTATTATGCCGCAGAAATCAAATTTGTGCTCCATCAACAGAAGGAGTAAATGCTTGTCAAACCAGCCACCAGTTTGCGCAAGTTGAAAATCACTCGATTTGGGCTTTCGGTGGCTGACAAAGCCACCTGGGTGGCTTCCGCAAACTCTCTACTATCACGTGTACTGTAGTGCAAACACACATAGATATGCATAACCAATTTTAAGTTGTTGTAGATTCCATGTCCTATGCTCGGACATGAAGTATGTTTGAGAAATAGACTTCATTGAGCTACTGTAAAAATCTCAAGGCATTTGAGAAGTTGCAAGCCCATTTCCGCGGGCAAAATGTGACGTGCAAATAGTCATTTCAAATTTGACTTGAATGCTGTGGAAGTAATAACAATCCCACAGACTTCTGATTTTTTTCTTAGCTAGTATAGTAGCGCTAGAGTCTGAATCTAGAGTCCCTTGCACTCGTACCTACTGGTTCATGCACAGGAAAACCAGCAACATTTTGCGTGACAAAGAAGCTCCTATTTGCCCCTTGTTTTGCAGATCCATGTGTTGCCGAGCGAGCGGCCGAATGCATACGGCGGCACACGGCTGCGCTGCTGGGTCTGAATGACGCGTGACACACTGTGACGAAAAGTTTGCAAATCTATGTTTTTGGGTACTTGTCGTACCGGCATCGTCATTGCTCTACTACTCGGAAAGGGATTCACTCAAAAAGTTGATAGGTATTTAGACAAGATGAGCGACAACCTCTCGTAGCATGCCGGGAGTTGTAGGGACATCCAATCTGGAGCACCGGGTTGAATTGTCCAAAATTTTGCAAATCTGTCTAAGTGATAGTACTATCACTTAGGCAGATTTGCAAAACTTGAGACAAATCAATGTGGCACTCCTTGATGGATGGTCAGATAATCTTCGGCATGCTATGGTAGGTTTTCGGACATCTTGGCTAGGATCTCATCAACTTTTTAAGTGAATATCTTGTGGAGAAGTCAAAGAATAGCGATGCCGGTTCAACGAGTAGCCCAAAACATAGATTTGCAAACTTTTCGTCACACTGTGTCACGAGTATTTCGGACTCCGTCGCAAGGCCGGGCATGCCGCTGTGTTCGGCAGCGCGGCAGCGATCAAACCAATCAGAGACGCGCAAAGCATGACATATCGGAATTTGAACTTTACATGCAAACAGGGGCTCCCTTGTCACGCAAAATCTAGTTGATTTTCCTGTACATGAACCAGCAGGTATATAAGCAAGCGGTGATGGCAGACAAATCTCATACCACTATGCGACCTACAGAAAAAAATTCAAGTGTATACGCATGGTACAGCCGTCATATTATGCAAGTAGATTCTGAAGTGCCCATTTTTGCGTCACATTTCGCCTTCGGAAATAAACTTATAGCTCTCTAACTCTCCTCAAACTTTTATAGTAGGTGAATAATGTCTATTGCTCAAATGCTATGTATGTCCGAAGGTGAAATATTGAATCTGCAAGAACCTAAAAATACTTTTGCAAATCTATGTCTGTTTGCACTATAGTACACGTGATAGTAATGCCGATGTTTGATGTGTTTCGGTTCCCACTGGCTTTGCACCTACAGTCGAGGACAATCAAACACATCAAATATGATCGAGACAGATTGAGAAATTTTGGGACCAAACCGAGTTCAGATTCAGGACCAGACAACCTGAAAGAGCTCAAAAAACGATGTCCGAAGTTTTTCCCACGAGTATTTAATGTGGCCAATTTTTTTTGGGAATTTTTTGAAACATATACTACCCTTTTGAGCAACTTTTGAGTCAATTTAATGATGAACTAAAGATTCTATCGCTAGTCGCGCCAACCGCGATGACTGGGACCCAGTATTTACATACTATATGTCATATTTAAAACTTTGTGAGTTGCGGTGTAATGTAGAGGCCGGTTATATCATTCTTCGAGGCCTTGGAGGCCTTCCACATCGTTTCATTGATATGATGATATCCAACGGTGGGGATGACACAGCTGCGCCGATAACGTGATAGCGCCAAGAGGGGACGCCCAGGGGTCCTTATCTCACGTGAGCAAGTTTGTTAATTGTTTTCTGCCTCACCCGCTCGTTAGATATCAATTATTTATATTGTAAAATGTCTAGCTTGAGGAGTACTATAAAATGGCTTATTCAAATTTCACCCATCTTTTTTTTTGCGTGTGGCCAAATTTTTGAGAGTTCACTGTTTTTCGGCCAATGAACGGCTCGATAGAATTCACTCGGACCACGCGGGATATATTCTAATAGATGCCTATTATCATTCTAAAACAATTCCGGGGGTAAAATTAATGGTCAATATTTATTTGATGTGTTTGATTGTCCTCGACTGTAACTAACGCATACCTTCCATACCATACCTTTTTAACACGCCAATGACTAACGAGGCCATGCATCATGGCTGATTTCAGCACCGCCCATGCACAGCTTCCTCTGAGCCCTCCTCTTGGACTGCCCCTCGCACCACCAGTCTCATCAACTTTGCCCACCGCCGCCAGTTCTTCCTTGTCGCCGTTGCCACTCAAATCCAAGTTGCCCCGCGACTCGGATGGCTCTACCACCGTTCCCCCCCACCGCGCGTCCACGAGCGCCCAGACCATCAACATCACCACCCTCAACGTCACATACGGTGACCACTACGGCGGCGCCATCCACAATGGGTGCATAGGCGGGCGGCGCAACGAAAACTATTTCGACCCACCATCATGTACGTTTGCACTCCCTGACATCCTGCATACCGTGCTCACACCGCGTGCACAGACGCTCCGCCGCCACCGCTGCTGATCGCAGTGGACAGCGCGGCGCTCGGGCTTGCATTCGGCGTGGCGGGCATAGCGGCGGTGTTGATGCTGCTTCGACGTTAGTCGAGGCCAGGGAGCGGGAGCAGTGCGAACACTCGTCATTTCTCTGTGTACTCTATTCTCGAATCTCGATGGGGCCTGTATGTATCATCTTTAGATTGGGGATGCGCAAGCCGAGCGAAGGACAGGGACGACAGGAAGAGGAGGGAAGAGGGCGATGGGGAACACGATTGAATATTGATGATCGACGTGATCAATGTAGAGAAGTTTGTCAAACCCTCTTCGTTGATATGCCCTACTATTCCGTCTCCATCTTCGTATCTTGTTCCCGAGTCTTTACTTGGCTTGCCTGCGCACCCATTAATCCCTGGACCATCTGTCCCGGCCCTCATGTACGAATATCGAAGCCAATGAAAAGGAATCACAGCTTGTATCTGACAGCCAGACTCATCCGGCGCAGACTCTCCAGGTTGGGCCATTCGGTCGATGTTGAGGCACGGAAGATCTAGTGAACGGTTACTATTGTAGGTGCGAAGGGAAGTTCGCGGCGTGAATGAAAGCGAGGACTGCGAAGATGTGTCCACCAAAAGACGAAGTAGTAGGAAGGAGGAGGAAACCGAACGTGCACGTGACGAACCGACCGGAAGTGACGCGGAGGTGACGCGGAGGCGGCGCGTGCGCACTACCGAACTCGACTCTCACAACACAACACAACTGCGGGAGGAAATACGCTGGGCTTGTGTTCATAGGTCAGTAGCACTAGAAATAGGGATGTTGCGGAGATCCGAGCGTGCCAGCGCCCCCGTTTCGACGAAAGCGTTCGCGAATCGTGGAATTGCCATGGACGGTCTGCACTGTGCAGGCTGACAATTGAGAACGCCGAGTTTTCGAGCTCTACGTCTGTGTGTTCATGCTGTGACGCGTGAGACTACTTTGGGTTAACGAGTTCAACCCACGGACGTCGCTCTTCCTGATTCTCCGAACTGTGCTTAGCGTTGGCGTGGCCAGGTTGGACGGAATCGTCGTCCGTGATTTGGTTCGCGCAGACGCCAAACTTGGAGGTTTTTTAAAGGGATTGGGTTCATGGTTCCTACTCGCAATTCTATCAATTCTATGGTGAGCCCTACATTACGAGGAAACATAGTTTCTGACTATGGTGTCAGATTCGGCATCTTTAAGCCAAGCTATCGCTAAGTCTACGGACGCGGTTGTCGAGATACATCAACGGTTTATACCTCTCTTCGGCGCCCGACCTCCGTTACTACCGCTCTGACTTGGACGGCATCGCCCAATATGTCACCCGCGACGTCGACGCGCGGGCAGACGCTCTGGCAGGCCTCTAGAGCTCTAGTTCGCATGCTTGATCCATATAGACTCGTAGATATCAACGCTCCTTATAGCAGGACTCCAATGTCGCGAAACCCTCCCTCGATATCCTCCTCTTCACCTCACAGCTATCACGTACGCTGGGTATACGCGGTATGCGGTACATTACTGCTGTTCGGAACCTACTATGCGACGGTCTCTACTCTACGGGGGGTGGCTCCTGCGTTTGCGAGGTCGAGGCGCGGCTTGAAGGGGAGTACCGTGCTCGTGTGAGTTGCTTGTTCCATGTTCCAGCCGACATTATTAACCTATGCGCCTAGGCTCTATAACGGCGGTGCACACGAGAAGGAGATCCTCAGCCGGGCCTATCTGCGATTGATCAAGCACGTCAACTCCACCTATAAGGTATGATATATGAATACTATGCCACCACATATATGCGGTCTGCTGCTGGGTATGGGCCCATAGCTGTGCCGTTGCTGTTCGCGCGTACGAAGCGCTCGCTGGGTGTCCAGGCCGGCGCAGCTACTAGAGAGAAAAGAAACCTGACGATGCCGTTGCAGGTAGAAGTTCAACGGAAAGTAAGACCACCATTCGTGCGGAATGGAATGCCGGCTCACTGGTCTTGAAAGAAGGCGAGCATTTCATGATCACCGGTAGCAACGGCGTCGGCAAGTCTTCTGTGGCTCGCGTCCTCCTGGGTCTCTGGCCTCCCCGAGGATTCAACTCACAGACCAACAGGCCGTCGGACAAGGGGCGTAAGGGCCTATTTGTCGTCCCAGAGAGCGTATATGGTCGCGGAGAGCTTGCTGGATCAAGTTATTTACCCGCATTCTTACGCTGAGTTTCTGGAATCAGGCAAGACGCCGGATGAGTTGGTGAGGATCTTAGAGATGGTGGATCTGGCTTATTTACCGGAGAGAGAGGGCGGGTGGACAACGAGGAAAGAGTGGAGGGATGTGTTAAGGGGCGAGAAATATTAATAACGGGTAGGCTGCCTGTTCTGATCTGGCTTTGGAACTCTGTGGCTGGCTGGCCGTGGAGATGGGTATGGCTAGGCTGCTCTATCATCGCCCTAAGTTTGCCGTACTGGACGGTGTGTACCCTTTCCTTCCATATACTCGGGTGCTCGAGCTGACGAGTTTCTTGCAGAGTGCACAAGCGCTGCGTCCAGCGACGCTGGGGGCCGGATGTATGAACGTGCAAAGTCACTTGGTATCACCCTGATCACCATATCTCTCAGGTACACTCCTCTTCCACCCGTCGTTCTTACATCTTATAATTTATAATCCAACGCAGATGTCTCTCCGGAATCATAGACCTTCGCTGATGAAATTCTTGCTGACCCTAGTTGGCGATGGTCCGCCCGTTGGACCCTCTCGCGTGTGGGAGCGGCGGAGCGTGAGGTTATCTCGCTGGAGGCCAGACTGGCGGAGGTGGGCAATTGGGAAAGAAGGGTGAAGGAACTTGACGGCTTGCTATCGGCGCAGGAGCCTGCAGACGGCGGCACGGTCATCGTGTAATGGTGCAGTGTGTAGAATAACCATCATGACATGTACTGATCATCTACAGTCAGTCATACAAGCTCTGGATCATGATCGGACGGAGCCGAATCTGCCTGTGTGGATGGGGCTAAACTTAATGTTGATGGTTCCAAACCAGACGGCGTCGTCTTGATGGTAGATGCCTAGGACGGTGCAGACGTCCCGCGACTGGGAAAACTCCTTTGCGCAGCACAGGCATATGAGCACAATTTTCATTCATATGAGGGCATTCTCGTTCCCGAGCGTCACGGCTTCTCCAAGTAACCACTTTCGAATCAAATCCACGGTGCACGAGGGCTATAGAGAGCCCTTGACCCTCCAGAAGGCAAGGAGCCACCTGACGAGTTACCAAGTAGCTATCCGAACCTATAATGAATCAGCAAATCACCAAACTTGGCCGACTCGCTTCCCATGGCCGGGAATTCTGTCCCAGTGAGGAGATCGTGGGATGGGGGGTGCTTAGGTTATTGGCGGAATCGTGAAGAATTATGCATTATGCACAACACATGGATGCGAGAGAAGACGCCAATGTGACGCAGAGGAATGGATCGTCCATCGTGCGCACCCGGACCATCAGCGTGCTCTGCATGAGACGCAGCAATGAAATCTACCCCACTCTTTGGCCAGTGTTATAGTAACGAATGGACGAGCGTCAAATATCTCGGTATGCGGTATGCCATGTACATAGCATCTTCCCACCGTTTGGTGTTTTTCAATGTTTGGATTGCTGCATCTGAACAGTAACTTCCAGCTAGGATAGGACCAACTTCCTCAACGCTGATCTGCAATTTCGAAACACGTTTTGCTTCCCCGAAGAGTCTTCATCACGCTCACGTTCACGCTCACGTTTGGGCGTAGTCCGGCCTGGCAACGCACTGGTTGGTAGTCCAGAAACAACCGCCGGTATGCAGCATTGACATCTTGCCTTGTGCTATCGTTTGCGGTTTGCATCGAACGTGGCCTCGAAGTTCGCGCGCATGTGGATCATGTACGAGTCGGAGCCGCCAAGAAACTTGACATACAATTTGGGCGCCTACTGCAATCGCGTTCCAAAAAGTTTCAATCATCATGCACATGACTCTCTCATACTTACCCGGAGTCATTCCCCGCGAAATATACATAAACGCAAAGCTGAGTTGGGCGACTGGGGATACTTCGAAGCTCACATTGGGTGACAGGCCCCGATGTCTGGCGCGTTCCTTTCAACTCGGCGAGGAATTGATCATTCACTATGTAACGCTGACAGTAAACCGACCAGGGTGTATTACCACTGGAGCCCTACTAGGATAACACGGCGAGCGCTCTGAATATGCTTCTATCTCCATGCACCGCGCTGATTTCGGGTGCATTCCGCTCTATGCTACGAGGAATCAATTAATCACATCCAAGCTTAACACACCTCCTGATCTCGGATGCACTCAAACCACAAACTCAGCCCAAAATCGGTAAGTAATCACCTCACAAAGCCAGAAGCATTACTGATGGGCTGTGTAGTTATTTACACAAAGAGCTGCAATGTCCTGGTTGTCGACGCAGCTGTAGATTTGGCTAACACTCCAAATCCTCGAAGAACCCAGTCAAAGCTTCCGGAATTCGTGTTCAGGAGGTGCGGGGCAATTGTAGTAAATCAGAGTCGAATCCCCAAGCTCGCCCGCCGATCCATCGCGTATCACGCCGAAGCTAGTGCATGGAAAGCCCTCGTCCAGTCGTCCAGGCGTGTAGATCAACATCAGAATGCCGAGTATGAATAACGATGTTTTCTGAGACCCAACTCACTCACGGACCCCGATCAGCCACCCATGTTGGTGGGGGTTTCAATCTCACTACACAGTCCGACGTTAGACTGCAATGCACAGAGCCGGTTACAGCCCAATGAAGCTCACCAAAGCTTCTACTTCGGAATACCTGTTTTCACGCTGCTATCATAGGCGTCTACGGGCTACGACAACCCTCATCATGGAATCGTGCCTGAATAAGGATAGAAAGAGCAAGTCGTAAGCTACTCAAATCCATTGGTTAGATCGCATCGGAGCAAGGATTTTTCTGAGGCTCCTGCGCTCGGTTCCACTCGACGGTCTCCTACAGCCTTTCTGCGTGGATATAAAACCACAAGTGACTCGACAATCATGGCGACCACTCGGTTGTTCCATCGTCTTTTTCCATCGCGTACTCCCAGGAACTATGTTTTCGCTTTCTGCGGCGGACAACTCGGCGCAAAGTGATTGGCCTCGCTGGAGTCTCCCCGCCACCGACCCAGATTCCCCAAACTCTGGAGCGGGGCCTCCCTATCAGAGCGCCGCGATCAACGTCAACGGCCATGCACACAACCGACTACCTTCCGATTACCCGAACGTACCTCTTTTTGGCTCCAATTTCTATCAAGCACGCGCGCCACAGCCGACGAACCCAGGGATCTGCAACTCAGGTATCCCAAGTGAAGCTTCGGAAGCGGATCGTGGTGCGTCATATGGTCCCATCTTCCCAATAACTAAGCAAACAGTCGTTTTCTTACGCAACCTTGAAATTGTAGTCGCGCATAGTTTATATTACGATCAAGACACTGAAGCTCGCGTAATCTCCATCCGAGATCCCTCAGGTACGATACGATGACCTCCCTTTAATGTCAGGATAACTCTTACACAGCATCGTAGCATTTTCGATTGAAAACAACGAGTTATCGTCCACTCAGGGACCCGTTGTGAGACCAGTGGTAGCCTCACAAGCCACCATAGATGCGGCAAAGAAGAAGCGTCGAGGACAAGCTCCGTTCGCCTGCCCTCACTGCCCAAACAGCTTTACGACAAAGAAGAACCGCAATTGTAGGTTTCTTCCTCATATCTGTCGTCGTAATTGACGATCCGTTGTCTTTGAAGATCATATTCTCTCTCACATGGGTGTACGTCCGTTCGGCTGTGATGTTTGTGGTTTGCTGTTCAGGGCGAAAGGAGACCTCAGCCGTCACAAAAAGTCAAAGAAGCATTGCCATGCCTTGCAAGTTCAATCAGAACGAGCCGGACAGTCTTGAGGCAGTTACATTTAGCATTATCTACACACCAATTGATCACTCCATGGTATGTCTCCATAGTATGTAAGCTGTCTGGGACATTGTTGCTATATTTGTCTGCCAAAGAGGCCGTCAAAGGGCACCTAACACCATGCTTATTGGGCGACGCGAGGGCAAATCACTAGTAGATGGACGTTGTAGCCGTTCTCTGCTATATTTATATAAGTGCTATGTGCGACGACAGTTCCGCAAATGCGGAATTCCATGCGGATTCAAACATCCAGCTTTAGTCACCGGGGAGCGCAAGGGATGGGTAGTAACCGGGAACTCTGATCCATAATTACGAAGGAGTGTCCCACATATCTGTCACCATTCTGCATACACATACCTCATGATAGGCTCAAGCCTAGCCGATGTATTGGACGATCGGGGATAGATACTCTCATGCAAGGGGGCCAAAGACCGCCCTTGCGAAGCCCGGCCTTCTAATACAAACTTGAACACAAGATCGATTTATCGCTTCATGCCGCCTTACGCCGCCTTCCCCGGTAACCTAGTTAGGAGTACTACGGAGTAATCTTACTTACGGCAATAGCGTTCGAACATTCAAGGTTCCGCCACGGCTACCCCCGTGCCCACAGCCGCGGGGAAGGATGGAGTTGATCCTCCCACAATCTGGAACGGCTGCACCCGGGTGGTTCTCAGATCACCACAACCTTGTCCAGGCGCGGACTTCGCATGGTACGCGAACATCCACTGGTTGTCTTTCTGGAACATAAAGCTGATCATGGTGGGAGAAGGAGAATCAGGATCATAGATGGCCACTGGTCAGCGCTGGCGTGTGATCTATGGTTCTGGGCGATGGCTTACTGATGTCCCGGTCCGTACACTTGCGCTGCGTTGTTGCGTGTAAAGACGGGATTGGGGTTCTGAGAATTTGTGCGAAGGGGCAAGTTGATGGAGGTGAAGAACTTCGATCAGCGATTCTGACGGATGCAGGATCCCAGAAGTTCACCTTCGTCCAGCTGCTGGCGACTAACGGATCAGCCCCAGTTCTCAGGGTCAACATGCCCAGTTGCTAATGTATCCAATTTAGTTGCAGTCCGGAGTGCGCACACATGTGAGCAAAGTGGGATGAGTAGACTCACGTAGTCGTCCGTGGAGCAGTGAGAAGCCGAGTATACGATCTGTAGCATGAGAATGTTAGCTCGCCTGGGATAGCACTGTGATGGGAGAACATGCACGTACGTGCGTGACTCCTCCGACGGTGATGGCCTCTGAAATGACAGATTGAATGAATGGGGGACCCTAGATAGAGCATACGAAGGTTCCATACCTGGGCCTTCTTGTACAGGCGTTGCGGCGATTTCCTGAATTTCAGTCAACTTCGAGTGGAAAATAGAACAAGGCAGAAGACGTACCCAAGACAGATTGGGGCAGCTAATCTGTACCGCCGGTCCGCTCAGTGCCGTCGGCGAGCTCATGGGGGCAATGTACGTGCATTGTGTCCATTGGGCCGCCGTGGTCTTCCCCGAGAATATGAAATAGAGGCGGCTGTCCAATTGAAGGATACTGCCGTCCACGGCCCAAGCGTTAAAGTTCGATGGAATGAGCGAGTTGACGTAGGTATAACTTCCGCTCATTGGATTGTTCGCATCTGTTCCGCCTTGTAGTACATGAAGCCGATGAGTGTTGTCATCGCCATTCCCAGCGACAGCATAGTAGCTAATAAGAGAGTTCGCTAAGTTGGTATGAACATCAAGCCGGCATTGCAACTCACATGTACCATCGACCATTCAGGAACCTTTGGGATTCAGTATGAGCCACAATATGGGGATATTTAAGGCGCTCACCAAAATTCTGGAGCCCTGTATTCCAGTGAGTCTCGTTCTTGGAAGACAGAGATCGACATTACCAGAAGTCAAAGTTCCTAACCTTACGCATTAGTATGGATGGACTTTGAGACATATAGCAGCTACATACCTCCCACTAGTCGAGTCGCTAAATATAACAGAAGGTGATGCGGTCTTGAGACTTTCGATCGTCGTGGCCGACCTCATCTGAATATTGGTATTCTGAGTCGAAGTCAGGAAATACCTCCCATTGATGAAGCGCATGCATGGGTCAGCGCCTCGGTTTTGGTTCAAGGGATTGCTAAATGTCCCCGCGCGAGCTTCGAGAGTAGTGTTCGTGCCGGGAAGAACCGTGGCGCTCGCTAGTCCAATGAGCAAGTAGTACAGCGAGAAGAGGCTGAATACGAGCATGATGATGGGCGTAGGCGTACAGTGCTTGCAGGCCCCACTCACCGTCACTGTGTTGATTTTAAGAAGCGGGCCAGGCTACAGACGTTTGAGGCGGCCCGCTGGTGCTAGTAGCAGGCTTGCCGCCAGGCGTCCCAGCCGCGAACACATGACTGGATAGAACCCTTCTTCTTTGAAGTATGACTACGACCCATGTGTACCTGCCACCGACGGCAAATCGCTACTCAATTGTCGGCGAAATGTGGGTGGACACAGCGCTTCGTCCTGCACATGGTGGTCGGTTCTTGGAAGGAAGGACGCGTTGTTTGTGCATGTTGCCACGGCCCTTTGAGATACACCATCAGGCGCCCGCCACCCGTTCCCTCATATGCCCAACCCGAATTCCAGTGTTATTACCGACTATGCTCCCCCGGTCATCCGCGCGCCCTCACCTCCAAGCTCAGTAGGCTCGGATAGGGTGCTTCTGCCAGACTTACCGGATCCAGACAAGGATTTGACCCCCGCAGAACTCGAACGGAGAATCGAAGAATCACTGGGCTTGCACAGACAAAGGCATGAAGAAATCCTCGCCGAAGAAGATCCCCTCATCCCAAAACCCAAAACAGAGGAAGAAAAGAATGGTATGCCGTAGCCACCAGCTTTCGTGATTCCTGTCTTATTGGCTGTAAGAGCGGCACCAGAAAGCAATGGAATTCCTCCGAAGAAAGGTCGCTGAGATCGTCGACAACGAGCTAGTGGACCAGACCATCCTCCGTGGCTCACGAGTCGGACTGGAACCTCTTCCATCTTCTACCAATATCGACACCATTATGCGGAATATGATGAACACGTCTTTGGGGAATCAAATGGCAAATGTCGCGCCGGGACCTTGGATGACATCTTCGACAGAGTCTCAACTCGACGGCGAGGAAGCAGCCCATCAGTCGTTCGTACACAATCTCAATAACAATATGGCTCGTAGGGTCAAGCGTAAATAAATAAAGAGGGGGGACGTCTGTTAAATAATGTACGTAGTGGTTCCGTGTTGGCAATGCTATGAATCTGAGAAATAATCTGGCAGTGCGTCTTCGACACCCTTGATGAGGTCCTGTATACTTCGTCGCGCAGTCATCCTGCATTCGTGGTGCATGTATGTGGCGCTCCCCCATCGGTCAAACTCCTTCTGCACTTGTCTCAGCCTACCCAGAATATCTGCAAGACTGATGGCCAAGACAGCGTCGGTCCTCGTCTTCTCTTTCCAGAATTCGAGCCACGACTGGGAACAGCCTTGTTGGTGCCATGTTGCCCCACAAGTCGACGCGTGATCGAAGGAGGGTGGGCATGAGCGCAGCCCCTCCCATAGACTAGACAGGCGATAGTACCCAGATAGCAACCTCAACCGTTGGGACGAGCTGATAACGAGTTGACCCCCGCTGACATGCCCGTCCTCCGAGGGTTCAGAGAGGTCTGAATTTGAGTTGGTTGTCGACTTGGGCCTCAATGGAAGCCCCACCCCAATCTCGTTCGCCAAGACAGCCTTGTTCATCACCTCCAGATACGCAGGACCTTTCAAAGCTCTGAGGCCAAGCTCATCGGAGAGCGTCATCGCAAGGTAGGCATACTGCAACGACGAACTCATCAGCTGCTTCAATAGCGTTATCATCGTGTTCAGCAGCCGTTCGTGAGAGCACAGCTGTGCTAGCTTGATTAGACGTGTTAGTTGGGCAGTATACTCTATGTTGGTAGCCGTCAGAGGGGAGTGAGGCGTCGAAGAGTCTGCTGAATGTGGGAGGAACATGTATGAATTGGGGTTTGGAATCGCATTCAGAATCGGCGAAGGCTTTCGGGTGACATATTCTTGTATCACGTCTAATGACCAGGTCTCAATCGATTTGAATGAATATTTGTTGGCAACTCGAGCGATTGCGATTAGCTGATCGAGATCGGCTCCGGGGGATGTCACGATACGAAGTTCGTGTGGTCTGCTCGGGAGTAAGCGTGGCGTTTAGGGCAGTCGAAAACTCCTTACAGAGCGTATAGAACCCATAAGAAGTGTCTGAACTCTTGGACCGTCTCGCCGACAAGCACGATGGGAGTTGCATCAGAATAGCCCTTCGGTCACATTGTCTCCTTGTGGCAAAGTGAACATCGTCGCAAATGATGAATTGTCTCTAGCCAGCATGGACCGATGAACCTGTCAAGTAGTCTTCAGGTCCTTGCATTAGGTACACAAACGAGCACTCACGTTGAACAAGGTATCTTCCACCGCCAAAATGCAGCTGCCGTCCTCCATGTAATACATCGGATCCCTTTTGTATTCCTTCTCCGGTTGCAAGCTGAACCGCCGCTGAGACGCAGAAATGTCGTCCATCTCGTGTTTCACCGTCGAACGGTCCCCGGATATTTGAGGAGAAGACGAAGAGGCAGCAGGTAGGAACGAGGCGAAAGCCTGGCCTATGGTGCCACTTGTCACACCAAACTGAGACACCGAATTATGGTCTAATCTCGCACGCTTATTGCTGACCAGAGAGTCATGGCCATTGGATCGCCGTCGCGACGGCATGTAGCTTGACGACCCAGAGGGCTCATTCTCGTCGATGTTCGGTGAACCGCCTGACATGGCCGTAAGGTGGAAAGAATTCCGAGATAAGATAACAGAATGTACATGAAGAAAGTATAATCAGATAAGATAGGCTAGGGTATATCACTCTATGAAGCTACAAGAAACCGGGTTACAATTTTGCGTTCGGTAGTAGAAAGCACCGGTGTAACCTGGATCTTAGCTTCCGGCGCAGAATCTTTCCACTGGGCGTCTTGGGTATAGCGTCTAGGAACTCTACATAACGAATCTGCTTGTAGCGGCTTTTACGGGCAGCTACGTGCTAAATCATACAAAAGGTTAGCAACAAGCTTCATGGAGAAGCGCTTCCTCACTTACGGCCATAATAGACGACCTGACTTTACTCCCAAATTCAGATGCATCTTCTTTCAGCCGCTGGCGAGCATCGGCTGTAAGCACGACGTATGCAAAAGGCACCTCCCCGCTGTAGGCATCTGGTGTGCCTACAACAGCACAATCAAGAACATCCGGATGCTCTAGAAGACATCCCTCTAGCTCAGCGGGCGCGACCTAACATCCACAACTGAATGAATACCAACTAGAATCAAGAAGTTGCTATTCACCGACCTGAAACGCCTTAACTTTAATCATCTCTTTTATTCTGTCGAGAATGTATAATTCGCCTTCGGGGGAAATGAGGACCTGGTCGCCGGTCTTGACCCATCTATTCGCCAAGGTTAAGTGAGTTCAATCGCGAAATTTAAATGTGTGTACGTACTCGTTAATAAAGACGTCTCTAGTCCTGTCGGCACTTTAGATGAGCCGACAGCAAGCACTAGTTTGTACTACAAAGTGAACGACGTACGCGGCATCGTCATTGTGGTACCCCAAGGCAAGAGAAGGGCTAGAGACGTAAAGCTCGCCGGGTTCACCGGCGGCAGCCAAAGATCCGTCGTCTTTCACAACTATATGAAATTTGCCGCGATTAAAAATTAGGGCTGTATGAACACGGTGAGGAAAACGAACCTTTGGCGCGGACACCTGGTAAAAGCTGCCCGACACTTCCAAGCGGACCTCGAGCTTGTCGGGCAGGTAGCATAGATATTGTGGTAGCCGTTTCCGTCAATCCTATTGTCCAAACAGAGTTAGAGAAGTATGAAGTAGAAGGAAGGAGAATAAATCACCGTATATTTGCCCCACCTGCGCTTCCGGGAAGAGGTCTAACAGCAACGAACTCATTTCGGGGGAGAGTGGTGCGGCACCACACAAGACATGCCTAACGCTGCGAAGGTCATACTTTCTGACCGCTGGATCCTGATCAGATGTGGTGTCAAACATGATTTATTGTTCGGCAGACTCGGTCGCTTGCCTTCGTCAAAGCGACAACTTGAGGGGGCACAAGACTAGAAGATGAAGTTAATCCGACTGGCTTCAGATGGCGTGAAGCTAAGCCTACAGAAGATGGCTAACTGCATAGCGGACAATGCTCTCCATCATTGAAAGCAGGCTATATTTCTGAACAACAACGAGTGTCATCTAGAACGAAATGAGCAGAGAGCGAGTAACTAGAGGAAACTACTCACCCCCGAGAACAGCGGGAAGTGGAGCTATGGAACGATGTGTGCCTATTCAGAGTCGAAGAAAGAAGTGATAACTTACGTTGCAAATTAGCCCAGCCACGTCTGTTAGCATTGTTGACTTGGGTTATTTGTTCCTTTGGGAAAGAAAAATAGCACCCACGGTTCAGAGGTAAAACTGATCAGAGGGTCAGCTGAGCCACTAGAGGCAGAGAAACAACAGACTCATGAGACTTATATCACCAGGATTGTACCCACTCCCAGTAGATGCGCTCGCCCCGCTGATGTTATGCACCGTCATTTGGATTACGTTTGCTATAAGCGCGTAATGGGTTATAGAAACCGCCTAGCGATATCTCAAGCAGCAATTCGACATCGTCCTAGAGTATATTCACCTTCGGTGGACCTGTCGTGCCTGATGAAAAGCACAAGACGGCCACTTTCGATTTGCCTTCCCCCTTCGACAAGATTCGTTCTACGAAAGGCATGGAGCACTCTGATGAGCCTTCTGTTGTTAAGTCGGCGAGTGACACGAAGCCTGTTGGGATTGGCGCATCGAGCGTAATTATCCTGTCGTCGGGAAATTGGATTGTCTTGGCAGCGGCAAGAACGAGGTCGAGAGAGTCGGAATGGACAAAAATCAAGGAGGCTTCTGATTTCTTCAGCTGATACACGATTTCCTCTCGTGTAGAATTAGGACTGGCGCCACTGCATTTGCTTGTCAATAGCAATCAAATCTCAATGAATCAACGGACGTGAAAATTCCACCCAATCTATGGATAGCCCAAATAGTCGTTGGGTAGTCTGACACGGCAGTTCTGTCAGTGATAGAGTATGTGGCGGACTAATAGAACCTGGCCCACCGACATGATTTGGGCTGCAAATCAACGCTAGAAGGTGTCAGGAAATATTCTGCTGACTTTCTACGAGCGCTTCTCACCAATATCATTATCTCCTGCAATAATGGATTCAAAGATCAACTAACGTCGACACTGCAAAAAATAAAACCTCACCAAAAGCAAATCTCTGCTGTAGTCCATTCGCGAGAGCAAAAGTCCGTTCGCGAAGCTGCGGAATATGTCAGAACCCTTACGGCACTCTAAAAACTGGTTTCACTCACCTCTGTGTAAGTTATAGAGCGACCTGATGACTCCTCTATGAGACATGGGTAGTCTCCACGGCGAGGGCAGAGGCGGTGTTGCGTATCCAACAGAAATTGAGGGATGGTTTGGTTATCAGGAATAACGTCGGGAAGTGCGGTTGAAGCGGAGAAAAGCATGGCTGATGGTAAAGAGAAGGCAGTTCCTTGCAAGCGCGGTGTGTATATTACTTATAGGAACAGGGACATGCGAAGCAACATCCTACTCCATTTACAGGCCTTACGGGATAGAAGGTTGCAGAGACAATTTATGGGTGGGTGCCTTCTCGTTGGGATTGCAAGCGTGATCCGGGATGGACGATCGTGGGCTGATGGCCGGTGTTTCTGGGCTTACACACACGCCTCATCCCCTTGGTTTATTAAGTTGTAGAAAGATGACGCGAGCCCTGGGTGGGTGCACCCTCGTGATGGAATTGGTCCTACGCGGAAATACAGGGAAATAGCACTGACCAAGTGGGGTAAGACAGGCTTTGCCGAGTCGGTAATCTCTTGTTTGGCCGGTCCGGTAACCTGCTTGTATCTGATTGTACTCGTTATAGACACCGGTTTACACGTCCAAGGTGCACTTACAAGTGACTCCAGATGTGCGGCGTACAATTAATTCCATCGAGTTTAGTCTAGCCATTACCCAAGTTCATCCGAAAGTTGCGCTCGCCCCAAGTACGCCTTTATCCAGTGACCACGAGGAATTCTGGAAGATGCCTGATTGTCAAAAAGAGTTTAAATTGAACAGCACTCGGAACTCTACAAACGAGATAGAGCACCATCAGGATTCTTGACCTCTTTTTTTCTAGCACTTCCCAGACGCTGATGATCAGCGCCGAGCCTGATATCATCTTCCAAGATGTGCCGGTTATCATACCACCATCTCATCACAAAATCCTTTTCCAGATCGCCCACACCCTCCAGGATCTCGCTCAACAAGGCCTGATTAAGCTCTTTGCGTCTCGCCTCTCTGTCAGCTAATCGAGCAGGTGTCGATCCTAAATCAAGGTGACGTTTCCTGCCTTGAATAATTATAGCCCGGATTTCGTCGAGGACACGGGGCAGCAGATCCAAAGGGAGGGAGGGAATAGTCGAGATTAACATCAAATGTAGCCGATGTCTGTGGTCGTCATACGCGCCCAGAGACTGTGACCTCGTGCGTTCTTCACTCAGATCCCGAATGGCGTTGAGTAGAGCCTCGATGCAGTACCACGTGAGGCCGTATTTCTCAGCCGTGCTCGTCGGCTCTTCTGAAGTAGTCGCTTTGACACTGGCGCTGGCGAATCTTACGACAGTGGAGAATGCCAAGCGAAGCTGATGGACATTGAGTTTCCCTTGTCTAGAGCTCTAGAAAGAAATAAACCGGGAGAAATTGGAAATCCCAGGCGAAGCCACGGAAGTTTGCAAAGATGGATAGTGAGAACATACCCAACATTTTGGAAGGAGATTCGAAGGGGTTATTTGGGCGAGGAAATCAGCATATGGTCCGCAGATTGTGGCGTGTATTACCTCGATCAGATAGCTGGTGTATAGCGGCAGCAGACGGACAGCAATGTTGGTATCTATATTAGTTGCGAGCTTTTGAGATTGTCTTTCCGACATGTCATGGCTGTTCGCCGACGGGTAAGGGTCGATGTCTAGGAGAGATAAGCCGAAGTGAGATGGGAAGGGACTAAGCTATATCGACATACCGTGGGGCGTAGCCAGAAGATCCTGTGCACGAGAGCTGAATATAGCCAACAGCACGGAATGTGCCGATTCGTATGCTTCCCGATGTTCGTCATCTTCTAGTATTCTAGTGTGGAGTGAATTACATGTAAGTTAGGCTCGAGTACCGGTGACTAAACGCGACTGACGGTAAGCAGATGGGTAACACCCAATCTTGCAATGAACCTGCGCTCAAGACTGGTATCAGTTGCTCGATCGTGGCCAGTACAAAGGCTGTCTTGGCGCGGCGACAATGGACCAGGACCTGAGTACGGAGATTGTGCAGGCCGGCCATCGCTCTTGGACCTATTTCAAGTTCAAGGAGATTAATCATCATGTCCACCAGCGGTTCGAGTAATGAAATGGAGGATCAATATTCTCATGTCCAGCGCGCTCACCCGTGGAGATAACCATCTCCTTCGAGTTATCCCGCAGACGTGTCAAGGTGCCACACTCGAAGGAAGCGTGAACACCTGGATGGGGGTAAAGAATCCGGCAGGACGTGTCGGAAGATGCCTGCACATTCTGGCGGAGAAAATACATAAAAAGTTCAGACTTACTTTGGACGGGCATCGTAGTTCGTATCTGTGCACAGATTTCCCGGGTCCATGCTTCGACTTGGCTACGCCTACCCGGGAGTTGATCATCTGCGTCGAGAAGGAGTTGCCCAGTCAGATTATCCAGGGCAAGATAGAACGTTTCTTTGAGCTCTTTAAAGCCGCCTCCCTGATCGGCTGACACGAGCGAAGCAACCCCGCCGAATTCGTAGATGATAAAAGAAAGGTTGTATAGTGACCGGAGCGTCAGTAGTGCCAAATCCGATGGCGCCGTATTCTTTGAACCGTCGAAGGAGGGCTGGTAGGAAGTAGGCGACACGTAAACGGCTTCTTGCAGAACTTCTTTGGAGATCATAACGACAGAGAACAGCATCGTCTTGAAGGTCGTCCAGATATTCGTAGAAAGCGCTTGTATTTCCGGAGCTGTACGACGGTGTTGGGTTTCGTTACAGCATAGATGACCACGGGAACTTACTCATTTCGTCACTCGTGAGACCCCCTAGGAGTGATTCCTCCCACCCATTCTTCACCCTGTCAGTGACGTTCTGTAGAATAATTAACACAGCGTCGGCAGCAACCAATCCCTCCCTTGGTTGCACGTTCATCAAAGTAGATATTGTACGCGCTGTTAGCCTAGACAAAGGGCCGATATTCACGAACAGAGGGGATGCCGACATGGCCAAGATACTATCATTAAATGCCGCCTGTGGGAGAATTGAGCGGATGGAAGCATGGTCTAATTTCAAGACGCACCGACACTGAGAGTGTGCCGTCCTGCGCCAAGGTACAAGATGCGTCCAGCTTTGACAAGTATGTTCCTGACTGAAATGTAGCTTCTATGGAAGAAGCAAGCAGGCGGGAAAGAGTCTGATGGGGCCGTCAGTATCGAGCCAGATCTCAATGTTCTTTCGGCGTACCTGCAAGGGGATCGCGCGAAGTTTGTCCGATGGGATGAGGGACGCGCATTGGGACATCATTATGAGAGAAAGGGAAAGGGCGTCAACTAGAGGCCGGGTGAGATGGCAAAGACATAATGTAGTCGCTAAAAGTACCTTCTTCAGCATCCACCATCTTTCTGAATTCCTTCTCCCAGCCGGCGTCTCCTTCGAGGTACGAGTATCTGTCCATGGACTCGGCAAGCGCAACTACGGCTTCATCCTCGACATTCCCCTTGGCCGTACTTCCTTCGAATGTAATCCGTCTGTGGTTGTCGTCCCCCTCCTTGGGAACAACTACGCGGAGATCCTCCATCCCCAGCAGGATACCGCAGCAGCACGCCAGACGCAGGATAGGGTGCCCCCCTTGGAGACCTTTGAGAATCGCACCGACCCATTGTTGTATCCGTGTAATGACTCCACGTGAAAAGACGTTCGCAAGTAAGCCCCATCCAAGACTCTGAGATCGACGCTCCTCCAGTTCGGCTTCAATGAGCTGATACTTAAGGTGAAGTGAGTAACGAAAGGCGGTAGATAGCGTTTGGAGTCTCTGGTATGACAACGCGAGAAACAGCGGACTCGACACCACTGTCCCAGCTAAGGGCGTCGGCAAGGGCGACGCGTGAGCGAGAAAATGAGACAACGTCGCCTGGATCTTCTGCAATGGTATCTTCGTGCCTCCAGCGTGAAGATGCGTCAGGAAGTTGGTGTATCCACGGTCCATTATCGTGTCGCGGCTTCGTGGAATGAGCGGAGGTCTAGCTTCCCAATAAAGGTATTCGTCCACTTCCGGCATCCCGGCATTCCACGCCATCTCTCCTAAGTTACCCCTGAACTGTACATAAAAGGTTGAGAATTAGCTGAGTAGCCATAGAGCAGATAGATATAGCAGGCTTCAGCCCGCAATGACTACACAATATTTAACATGATATGACTCAGTCTTACTCAGATGCAAGCTCTAGCACTAGAGAGGACGGGCGCTTAGACACATAAGCGCCAGGAATCGGTCGGCTAGAACCGGACTTAGTCAGATCGTCCAACAACGGACTCTTCATCACACCCATAAGCGACCCATTGGCTTTGCATTATACCCACAACGAAGGATTTTCAGCCTCTGCATCCCCCGCTCGCCGCTCGCGGGGCTGAGCTATGCCATCTGCTGCTGGTGCTCAACCGAAATCCAAGGTAAAAGCCAAATGGACCGCCAACAGCATGATCGGTGAGCGATTCGGGCCACACGACTCGAATCCCGTTGACCAGGTCCGATTTCCTCTTTTCTCCCCGCAGCCGGCGCTGGGGGCGGTCTGGTCGCGAGCGTAGCTACATGTCCACTAGACGTTATCAAGACCAAGCTCCAAGCTCAACGAAAGATTCAGGGCCAACAGGGGTACGAAGGAATCTACGGTCAATTTACTGTCTATCTAGCTTGCGCTTTCACCCCAAATTTAATCGGATTTCAATAAACAGATACTGCTCGCAATATTCTCAGATATGATGGGCTACGAGGGCTTTATCGCGGGCTAGGACCGACAGTATTGGGCTACCTTCCAACTTGGGCAATATATTTTGCCGTATACGATGGGATAAAGTCATACTTCGGAGAACCTCCACTAGCGCTCCAGGCTCCGTCGCGTCCTTCGAAGCCCGCCGATACCCTGTACCCGGCTGCACAGGCTAAAGGGTATCAACCGGTCATGCGCGAACACCCTTGGTCATTACACATCTTATCAGCTATGACCGCGGGAGCTGCAAGCACATGCTGTACCAACCCACTCTGGGTGATAAAGACTAGGTTTATGGTGCGGTAATCATGTATGTAAAACCCTCGCCGTTTTGTTCACGCCGTTGTGTTAGACCCAGACTCGAGATGAGGTGAGGTATCGCCACACCCTCGACGCGGCTCTTACGATATATCGGACGGAAGGCATCAGAGCCTTCTACCGCGGCCTGCTTCCTAGTTTGCTTGGGATCGCACATGTTGCTGTGCAGTTCCCCTTGTACGAGCAATTAAAGGTGTGGGCCCGTAAGTGACTCGAGCTCCGTAGCCTTTCCGGATCTAATCAACGGCCTACAGAGGGGGTATCCGACGTACCTTTATCTAGTCAGACTATTCTTCTATGCTCAGCCATTGCTAAGATGACTGCATCTATCGCGACCTATCCACACGAAGTAGTCCGAACAAGGCTTCAAACACAGAAACGACCTATAGCCGATGAAATGTCTTCAGATGGTATGATCAAGAGGCATCCGCGAGGAGGGTTCATCGCTACTACTCAGAAAATAATCACGAAGGAAGGCTGGACAGGGTTGTATCGAGGACTCAGTGTAAATCTCATCAGGACAGTACCGAACAGTGCAGTAACCATGTTAACGTGAGTGCTGACACTTATACTGTCGGTATGTACATTAATCGAGGCATTTGTGGACAGATACGAACTGCTCATGAGGCACTTATCCGAGCGGACTACATCATATTAAGCCTGGCACGGACGGTTCGTTTACTTCTGCTACTATTAGTCTTCTCGAGCTAGCAACCTATAGAGCGTTCCGCTCGGTAATCGTTATGTATGATATAGGATATTCATACCTAGACGCAACTAGTATATCGTGTACCACAAATTCATGCTATCTGTGTGTAAGTATACTGCACTTCGTCGCTGCTCGAACCTACAGAAAGTTGTGTCAACCTCGTCGGATTTGAGCCACTCAAGGTTTGTTCGTTTACCAGGCGCTGGACATACGCTCACAACGTCATGCGCTAGCTAGTAGCGATGCATCAACGAGACAAGGTGCACACACAGACAAGGTGCACACACAAGATTGGCATGAAGTTGATATCCACGACCGTGTCCGGGGAATAAACCCCCAACGCAGACGTCTTCCTCCTATGTGACCTGGCATTGAGTGGATAACGGCTCATTTTTGAGAAGAATTTCACCTCCTCTTTCTCTCCTACTTGTTTCTCTTCGTGTTCTTAATCGATGTCGACTACCCAAAAAATTTGACATCAACACACTGCACACTGCTTTGAAGCATCCTCCACGAGGGATTTGAGGTGTCCATTTTCCACCATATGGATGAGAGGTCGTTCGAGGGTTCGACCCTCCTCGCCTTGCTCGCTTAATTTACATCCACGAGGTACTAAACGTGGCGGCTGGTCCCTATACACGCGGTTTCTTACTTCCTGGTACGTATAAGCCTGGTTGATCCGAGTCCTCGTAAGCATGGTTTTCGTGCAGTAGATGGCAGGCTCGAATCCAGTTGGTGTTCTCGATGCGATGGCTTAGCAGATTATAGCAAGATTATAGGCTTACAAACCGCGCCAGAAATTAAAAAGTAAACGGTAGATTGCATAAATCAAATTGCTTTCATAGAATCGTAAATAACGACGCGCAACAATGCAACAAAAAACACAAATGTAATACTACTCAACTACAGTACTTCGTATCTCAGAGCTAGAGGTGCTAGAAAAAGGAAACATACCAGAAACATGCCATAACGTTTCCGAGTCTTGCCATTTTCATTCAATAATTGGCGATTGTCAGAAAGCAAATTGTACGAGAGAAACTACGAGTGAATAATCTCATGATGCAAGCAAGTTATAAGAAAGCTGGAAACTGGTATCAGATGGTAAGGTGGACAATAGGTGGCAAGTTCGTGAAAGCGAAAGAGATGTGTACTAGAGGATGGATGTGGAAAAATGAATGAGTGGATGTCGTGCTTTTGCAATTGTAATAAGTTCTGGATGTGGTACACGACGGAAACGATAGACACGGAAAAATAAAAATAACTTGTAGGTAAACGGGTCCAGTCCAAATCTTTCACAGTGGGGATACGGAGAGAAGTAGGCGGGAGGTTGAGGAAATAGGTTGTGAGTGGGTCGGCAGGACGGCGACGAAAACAAGCAAGGAGCCAAGGGGGCAGGCGCTTCGATACAGTGGAGGTACGTGACTGTATCGAAGGTCTTTGTGGTGAAGTAAGATGAAGAGCTTTCGCCAAGAAGGTTGGACGGTTTGAAGCCGCCAAGAAATAGGACACAACATACACACAAAAGCTGCATCCATCCAACCAAAACCCAAAAGAGACGAGAAGAAAAAGCAAAGCGATAAGGCCGAGAATACATCATCTGTGATCCTGGATTGTGCCTTCTTGATCGCTTAGCGTTTCCACTTTGACCCCTCTCGACGAGCTGACGCTGCGCAAATCTCGTCCTTCCTCTGCCAGTTCTCTACTCAGAACATCTCTTTGCGGGGCTTCAGGTTCTCCCTCTTCAACTGGCTGATCCGCGAAATCCGGTTTCCGCAACGCCGTCCGAAAGGCTTGGGCCATGATTGCAGCATCCGCACCTGAAAAGGGTCCTTGGTCCGCCGAGTTCGCCCTACTCACCTCAGAAGCCCCGTCGGGAGAGACGATACTTGGAGCTCGCTGACCGACAGACGATGTTTGCCTGGCGACACCTCCAGCGAGCAGAGGGGACTGAGGGTTTCCGGCGGGGTGTTCTATCATAGGAGATGCCGAGCCCATGGAATTTCGGTTTGAGCCAAACTCCGAGTTTCGTCTTCGCATTCGCCGAATGATGAGGAAGACGAGAATGCATGTTGCAGCTATCGCGAGAAACCCAAGGATCACGATGACCGCAATCGCCCACTTGGGAAAGGACGAATCATTCGAGCCTGGTTGAAGGGATCCATTGGACGATCCTGTCGCAACGGGGGAGGTTCCGGTACTTGTTCCTGAGAAAGAGGTCGACGCCGCCGAAGCCGACGCCGCTAGGGCTGATGACGAGGACGATGCCGCAGCAGCAGCAGCGGAGCTCGAGGCAATGGCGGCAGCAACTGAATCAGCAACCGTTGTTTCTTATCATGGCATGGTCGGTTAGCTGCAATCAAGCAAATGGAGCGAGGTAATGACTTACGAACTGCTCTGAAAGTCGACTGTGGGAGCTGAGAGCCATCTAGTTCCTTGTCACTTCGCGTGATAACCCAGTAGAAGGGATATGAAACGTTTCGACCATCCCATTTCAGGCCATCACTTCCAAACCATGTGTCGTTCACTTGGGCAGTTATTGATCCAGCTTGGTCTACGGGATTGATGACGTTGCGAAAGTGCAGGAGTTGTTGGAGCGAGTCGCCACGGAAAAGGAATATGTCTACTCGGTTGAACTGCGTGAGCTCTGGTCGGCGTGAATTCCCTGTGAAAGATTACGTCTAGCAACGTAAAGGAGTTCCCAAGAAAGGTCAACGTACAAACAAAGGTTGCCCATTCATGTTGAGGAATGAGCGAGTCGCTTGTAGGAAAACAAGAAATTATATCGTTGCCCGACAAAAACTGACACCGTGATTTCGCCTCCGCTATTGTCACGTCAGAAACGCGTTGAGTGGGAAAACGTAGCTACGAACCGACTTCGGCCTGGTCAGTCACCAGCTGCCTGGCCCACTTGGACGACGTTCCGGTGGCCGGCTCTATTCCATAAATCTCGCTTATCCTGCGTCTTTTGGGTGATCTAGGGCGTTGGGGTGGGGGGGAGGGCGAAGGAGGTGATACGGAGACGGCGTCGACAGCAGCAACAGTTTGGGCCGGCCAGAGCTCGAGAAACGATGGAGAGGATGGCATTGAAGTAAGATTTGTGGCACGAACGATGCGAGGAGGATGAGGGAATTGGGACACGATACGAGATTATTGGAAGTGTGGAATGTAGGCGGTCTAAAATCGCATTATCTGACGGGCTGGGCTATGGGGGTCGGGCACACCGCAGGGAATTAGTGGCGTCGCTGCTGTTGGACACGACGGCGACGACGAGAGCGACGAGGGCGGGGATGGAAGGAACGGCGAGCAGGGCAAGAGCGTGGTGACCTTCAACACAGATTCAGAAGCAACTCCAAAGTTTCCCACAGTATCTCCGAAGGACCCCTGTCACCACCGTGAGAGAACTCTCAATTTCGTTGCTTTTCACATTCTCGAACACACAAGGCCAAAATCGCCGTTTGATTGTGCCCGTACGGTCTTGCGCTGATACAGCGTACGTGAAACCCTGTGCTGTAGTCCCCTCTTTCGCCTTCCTTTGCCCAGTCCAAAATTTGGCGACCACGCGGTGACAAGGTCGACGCTCACGAGGCCCTGGCACCAGACAAGCATCATTGATTCACGAAATTCGGCGGCGTCGCTGATTTCTGATCCTGAGTGTCTCAAAGCAGCTCAAAGCCCCCACGTACTACATAAACGAATCATCATTGGAGTAACTCTTAATGGGCGCCACTGGCCGTGTGCTTGCGGCGGTCGAAACGGGGCGGAAATGTAAAGCCGTCATTACACCAGTCGAGGCATCGGTGCCTTACCAAAAGCCTATTGGCACGAGGTCAACAGACGGCGTGCTCGCACAGCATACTATTGATTTCTAGTGTACACTACGTATCAATACATCCTTTGTGTAGTTGAAATCGAGTTCGGACTGAGTTCAGGGAGGGAAAATGAAATGGCGCCATAAAACATCAAGCTAATGGACCCCATTGACCTTGCCGTTGGCTTTGGGCTCGGCCAACTCCAAAGCTTCCAGACGATCGTCTCTGGATCGTTCGCTGGCCTCTCGAATCGCCCATGACAACTCATAGGAGCGACACGCATCTGTCAACCACGTATTTAGCAAACGAAGCATGTCACGCTCGGGTTTGTCCCTTTACCTTCATACGAGCTGAGGATTTCAGGCGGGGAAGAATTGGAATCCTTCACGTCCTCAACCAAATCCACAAAATTGGAAATCTAGAGGTGCGATTTAGAAACGAAAGCTGCGCATGCGGCGAGATCAGCGCACCTCTGAGAAAAAGGGATCGTCGTCAGGAAACCTGAGTTTCGACTCGTGGTCGTCGCCAGGTTGGCGGATAATCAGCACGGGTTGCACATACGGGTTAACGAGTCTAGGTGCGCAATTAGGCAGGGCAAATATAGGGCTGCCAGCAACTCACTTGAGTTCATAACCATCAGTATATACCTCGAACTCGCAACTATAATTCGAGCCCTGAAGCGCTACCATATGCGTAAAGCTGCCAACTGCACCGTTGTCGTATTTCCTGTATCACATCGCAATGACGGTTAGGGCGTTAAGCGAAAATGGAAGCAAAGGCAGGCTCACCATGTCGCCGCAGTCACCCTCGGGATCCTATTGTCTGGGGCAATCTTGCTTTCGTCAATCTTCATTTTCGAAAGGCGACCAGCTTTCTCGTCCCAATCGAGGGAGTGCGCAGAGACAGAAGAAATATCGACATCTCCGCCAAAATATCGAGACAGGTCACAAAAGTGCGTGCCTTGCTCTACGATGGGGCCGTAACTGAGTGAAGCAAGGTGTCAGGTTGAATACATTATCTAGTGAAGATGCGGTTACCTTTTCGACTTGTCCCACCAGTCTGGTTTGTTGATGGCTTCGTAGGCTGTAGCATACCGAGCTACGGTAGCCATGACGGTTAAATCATTATCTTGAATGATTTGCTTCATCTTCTGGACTGCTCGAAGATATCGAAGCATGTACCTGAGAAACGCTTGGCAAAGGACATACGAGAGAAAAAGAAAGACCAACCCCACTGAGCATAGTGTCCTTGATTCACTGAGAACTTTACTGACTGTGAACACGTCGTCGATTTCGGACAATGGTCCTGTGGCCACCGGCTTCTCGACGAAGATGGCAACCCCGGGAAAGTCCCTCAGAATTTGCATCTCGACATCACGTCCCGGTCTCATCGTGCCCCGGAATTGGGCAGGACTCCCCACAACGAAGGCGCGGGGTTTCTCTTGATTAACCATAGCCTGCGTGTATTCCTCGAGGGTCCGGAAAACCCGAGTATCCTCGTACGCCGAAACGACGAACATATCGCACTTTTCTTGTATGACAGACAGAGCCCGTTCTATATTTGGATCGATGATCGCGTCGACCTTGAGGCGTCGCCCAAGTTTACTATGTGGCGACTTGCTAAGCCCACATCTCCGGGTGACGTAGGATTTGACTCACTGCTCCAATCTGAACGAATGATTCCAAGGTCCCTCATCGGAACCTGGGCAGCTTGTCAGAGCGAGTCCGAACAAGAAGGGCCGATCAACACGAACCAAACATAATATTTCCTGCGCCAATGAAAACGACTTTGAAATCGGCCTTGCCCTTTAGACGGACTATCCTGACCGCGTCGGATTCAATTAGGGGACAATGAGGCAATCTAAGCAAAGCAAACACACTTGTCCATAGGGACGAGACGGGCGGGGTCAATTGAGGGCCTCCTTGTTGGTAAAACCGGTCGATTGTGCGCCATCTGCGAAAGCCGCCTTTCGGAGCGACGATGGTGGAAGAGTGCATTTGGTGCTGGAGGTTGTCCGTTCATGATCTTCAATCGGGCGATCAGCAGGGGAGTACCGCGAAGAAGGGGGGCTTACGGAGGGTATTTAGTTGTAGGATGTCCAGGTGGTGAGCGCGTTATATAAGGTTGTCGGTGAGCGTGACGTGGTGTACGGTTAATACGGTGAGTGACTGGGTCTGCCAAATTACTGCGTGTGCGCATCAGCGCAAAGGGGTGACGTAGCAGTGGAGAACGCCCCCTCGGGGCCTCCACAACTTAGCAAAATTTTACGAGCGTGCCCTGCTCTTCAAACTGCTCCATACTGTAAGCGCCCATGTACTCGCCCCTGGTCCACACCAAGAGGCGCCTACACCGTTTGTGCACGAAGGGTTGCGTCTTGGATATAGCCCTCTTCAGAACGCGTCCGTGGCACTCGAGGTAAAGCACGTTGCGACAGGACTGTACGATAAACGTGCAGACCGAGTCTTGCTCGTAGGCCGACAAGGGAATGAAAGGTTCTATCCGGAGATGGCGGACAGATAGAGCACGGTCACAGTCGGATAGAACAAAGCGATGGAAAGATTTCAATGCATCCGATGTCCGAAGGTGAACGTCGACGAAAGGCAGACATGTTCGGCTTGCTAATAGGTGGAGCCGGCGTGATGTGAGTAGCAGAGTCCGGTAGGTTCCAGCACCTCCGCTCGCGTCAGAAGCAACGGCAGTGGAAAGAAGAATCAGGATGATCTCATTAGGTAGACATTCGAGTGGGAAATGAAGTCGTCTTTTCTTCTTGGAACCGCGAGATGATTGGTGGGATAACTGATAGTGACTTCGCGGTGATGGGGAGTAAGGTTTGGCGAGGAGCGAGAATGCCAGTGGCAGGAGAACGGAAAACCCAAATATGGTCAGAGCTGGATCTGCAAGCAAATCGGGCATGGTACAGCGTCGCCTGAATAGCAAACGATGTAGACGACGGGCGGAGGGTGCTGAATGATCTGGGGGATTTGACAAGGTGTAGTTGATGTTGCGAGGTATTTATTACTCGTCTGCAAACATCAGAACCTCGCGTACGCAGCGCGCTGATCATGAGGTGCACGTGTTGCAAGCTGTCGTCGAAGCGAGAGCCTACAAGTCAGAAAAATAGGTAATGAGGTTGCCTTGCACATCCTTCGCCTTCGTTCTTGTCGCATCCAACGCGTTTAAGCGGCATTCTTTGACCATCTTGTCCAGACCCCCATGTTCCGGAATAGAATCGTCGACGATGGCTTGGAACACGCTCAGCGCTAGGGAAAATTGACCCGGGAGGTCAAACCGATAGACCTGAGCTGCCTTTCCAAGCTTCCCGGTGTGTATCTCTATGATAACGCGCTTCCATGTCTTTCTCCAATTTTCTCCACAACGGGGGGCAGATGTGCAGGTGGTAGCGTGTTCAAAGTGAGGGGGCGTGTTCGGCAACGAGCTGCATTCCTGTACAAGATTGTAATACCCATTTAGAAGTCTTATAACGTGTTTGTTATCGGCTGGCCATTCATGTCGTTTCTTGCGCAGAAGGGCGAGGTAAGTCAATCCGAGGAGATCATGTAGGCCGTGTCGTTGAAAGACCTCTGCAGCATTGAGTAGCCCAAATCCCTCACCAATTGATCGCCTCCATTGGCCCAGGACGATATCCAATAACGGCTTGTAATCGCACATGACAGCTACGGCAGTCAATCTATCAAGCATGTCGTACGCGCAGCCCTGATGGATGTAGAGCGCTACCAAAGTGTTTAGTGCCCACTTTTCCATTGTAATGAACTGGTATTTGTGCGATATCGTCGCCAGATCGATGAATCGATGTTCTTGTGGTTGTGTCTCTGCAGTAGCTACCAAGTCAGCAGGCCTGTTGCGGAGATAGTCAGATCTTGATTCCCCAATCCCACGGGTCTTGTAAAGCTTCAGATAACACTTACAGTGCATACAGCGACCAAAGCAATGCACGGAATTGACTTGCAGTGATCTCTGGCAGGCGTATTGGGGACTCGTCGCTCTGGCCGTCCATGGAAGATCTCTCCACCGGAATGGTGGAGGCCCCAGATGATTCGAAGTTGTTTTCAGAAGGCAAGGAAAACATTCCGCAGAATACTGATTCGTCCTTCATGAGCATCGAGCGATGGACCTGTATCCATGAAACTAAGCAACCCGCTGAGGGTTATGAGATCAGAGAAATTACCTTGAAAAGAGTGGCCTCGACGAGGAGGATGACATTTCCATCGTCTATGTAGTATTCAAGGTCTCTGATGTATATCGGCACAAGGGATTCTTCCATGAGAGTGTGAGGGAGAGGGTGATAAACGTCTGACTGACCTTCACTCGAGACTCGTCCAGACTGGCCCCTGACTAGCACTAGCGCCCGTAACGAGAATGTCACGACTCCTGTCCAACTAAACTCTCAAATGACCATCAACGACAGTGAATTCTCCCCTTCGGCTTTCCTTGACACCGTCGAAGGGGAGATCACGCTCTTTAGGTCGATAATGCGTGCAAGACCAGTTGGAATCCATCGTCATTTCCATGTCCTGACCATTCGCAATGCGATCTACAAAGACACAGGTCGTCTGATACCCCCGGACGACATATGGCAGAAATTGAGGAGTTGTTGGGATATGGACGCGCTGGAGAATATTGTGCGTTGCTTTAGCCTCTCCCCAAGGCTCCCATCTTGAACTTGCCCAGGACATAGAGGCCGACCATTATCTCGAAGCGTCGGGTTCGAACAATTCAACTCCAAGCCAAATCCCATCACCTTCGCCATCGGACAATCTAAACGATCACCAATTCTTTCGGGAAGAATTTTCCTTGCCTTCAGACGAGATCACGGAGTCCCTCATCATCAGGCGACGTTTGAGGAATACACCGTCGGAGCCTTCCACTCGCAGCCCGTCTCCAGTCCCCCCACCCAAAAGAAAGCGGACGAGACGCAACAACCTTGAAAGAGCGGGACTTGTGGCGGAAAGTGACAGCAGCGCATTGACTCAAAGTGGTGATGAAGGTATCCCCCCTACTCCAAGAGACAGTGTGATGACAGGAACAGACGCAGGCACAGAGGACGGCGAAGAGGACGAGGCAGAACAAGACGCATCACCATGTAAGTTCTACCAATATTTACCTTCCTTGCTGCTTAACATCGGCCTTAGCACCGTCATCGTCGAGGCCTGCTCGCGGCCGTCCGAAAGGGGCGAAGAAGAAGGGAACAGTATCAACTCGCGGACGAGCAACTAAAACTACATCTCGGGGTACTACCAAGAAGAAGAAGCGGTAGATCACGCCTTTAATGATATTGTATAGTCCAAGTTGGTCAAATATTATCTGAGGTCAATTAACCCAATCAATCGACCTCCATCTTGGGAATATTGACGTTGCTGTCTTGGGGTTGTTGAAAACTTCCGCTGTTCTTCCTTCGCTCGGTTAGGAAAGCATCAATCTGTGCTTTCAACTCCGTATCTGTGCAAGATTCTGAGGTCAGTGGCCACCAGCAACGACGTGAAAAGAAGGCATACTTGGTATCACGTCTTCAATGGAAAGAGGAGCCCGATTGAACGGGTCCTTGGAGTCCGACAGTAGATGTGACTTAATCGTGGACCGGTCGAGTGTGGTCTTCGATGAAGGCAGGATCACCGGATCACGCATCACGGTGAACATTAGGGGATCTATGCAGTCATCAGCATCGTTCATTGTGGAACGTACGTGCGTAAGTCTCACCCAAGAATTCATCAGGAACCTCTCCAAGGTCCTCCTCTGCCTCAAGCGTCGCCTTCATTTCCTCGACCTTCACAACGAACAAACGCAACTTCTCGATCTCCGTCACCGATTTCAACGTCCTCCGGATGGCAATGTCGGCCGCGCGCTCGAAGAGTTCTTTCTTGTAACTCCTACCATCACCGGCGACGGCGCAGACGAACTCGGGCTGATCTGCGAGATTCAGAAACACTTGCAAGATATCGCTGAGTAACGCTCGTGGATTGAACCGTAGTTTCTCGGCGTCCCGAACCTTCAAGTCCTGGCACCTAGGTCCGGCTAAGGCATCTAAATTGTAATCTAACATTGCAGCAAGTCGATCGACGATCTCGGGCATCATGAAAGGCGTTTTTGTCTGAGCAGTGAATAACTTCAGAAGCTCGACAGTTGAGCGCCCCAGCGTCGTGTAGCTCGATGCATGGCGTTCTAACGATCGAAGTGTGCTTTCGCGCTCCCGACGGTGTTCCGGTGTTTGGCTTTCCCATGTTGCCTTGTCGTCCATCTCGACTTGGATGTTGTGGATCTGAGTGAGTTCACTCAAGGATTCATCCAGAAGGTATGTTACGTCGTTGATCATGAGGTTGACGAAGCGAACGAATTTGTCGACGTTCCTTAGGAAGGGTTGAGTTAGGCAAGAGCAAGATGAGAGTCGACTCACTTCGCTTCCACGTTCAAAGCTTCTCTGTGTACCGGGTTGTCCCAGATAGCCTTAAGGACGAATGATATGTTCCGACTACGAAGGTGTCAGATAATGGACAATAGCATTATTAATACGAGTGGCCCACCGTGCGTCTATTCAAGTACTAATTCACGATCAAGAACTCGAAGGGATGAAAGATGGCACGCACTGAATTTATCATAGAACTGAGAGCTAGCACCAGTTTGCTCGACCTCTGGAATACGTTAGTTCAAGCATTCGTCGGAGAATGAGCATGTACTGCACCAATATAGAAATGCATCAAAGCCGGCATCAGGTGCTTCAATGCCATGGGATGAGTGTTCAACATGCTTCCCAAGATACCGTTGCGTTCTCGACCATAAGGCCAGATTGCCATGAAGAGAACCTGTGAGTTCAATTAGGACATGCTGGTCATCACACGCAGATGCAAGTTACATCGTTGATTTTGGACTTGAGGAAAGGGTTCTTGATATACCACGTAGATGTGAGGAATGTTAGGATAAATTGCATGACTTCGGTCTTGCCTGAGAGAGCAAAGCTCTCTGGTACGTTACTGTCGTTGATCGACTTCAGCACGCCTCTCGTTGATCACGACAACAGACGCACCGCACGGCGAAGACGAGATAATCCACAATATCCTCGACCAGATATTCAGGCAACACCCTGAATGACATGGGCACTTCTTGTGGCAGGGGCAATCTTTACGGTCGTTGTGAGAGTCTAGATATGATTGAGCAGAGATCAAACGCACTCGACGACGGGCGATGGATGGGTCTTCCTAGGGTCAGCTTGTCGGATTAACCATACAGAGAGGAAGGTTGTGAAGCCGATCGATTGGAAAACGAGCTCCGGGTCTAAGAGCTGTACCTCGAACGAAAGTTGCTGCGCCTTGACTTTGGTTATTTCATCCTAATTACAAGTCGTTTGTATTGGGTATTGTCTGTGTCTTGACACGCGTACCTTTGTGAGTTTGATGGCAGCTTCTATGCGTGCTTGTCTTGGTCCCTGGTGTCATGGTCGAATTTAAGGAGCAAGGAAGACAGTGACCAAACGTACATTCCTCCATGATCCATCACCAGTCAGCATATCTAGATGCCGTTGCATCTCTTCCATGACCTTACTGAGGTCGTTGTACGTTGATATTGTTTTCAGATATCCGTAATGCGACATGGCAGCAGTCAAATAGAAGATATGGGAGATGAAATTCGGGGAAGGGGCTAGGTCGGTGTCGGTGGATGTATTAGACAGAACGCAAGATAACGAGCTCACTGTTTGGACTCTTATTTTTTCCCGCCCATTCGTTGGCCTCCTCGCTCGTGGCCTTTATTCTGGTCTCATCGCTCAGATCCATGCGGGTGGTGTTCGCATAAAACAAGGGATCGATGCGATTCATCTTATAGTGGGACGCGAGCGATCGAGTTAGAAGGGTCGATATTGATAGTGAAAGCACACACTTTACTGTAGTTAGCGTCGATGAAGGGCTCAGCAAATCGATACAGCAAACTTTGCAAGTTGACCACGAAACTATCCGACGCGACAGTGTCAGGTTCTACCTGTGAAATGTAGTATTTGAGGTATACGCAAGGGAATAAAATGATGGGACCTGCCTGCATGCCTGCACGCTTGACATTGAGGGATATTACAGTGTAGAAGTATTGAAGTACGGCATCACGGGATTCTGGCGATGCTCTGACCAAGGTGTTGAACACTTGAAAGAGGGAGGACTGTCGAAACCAAGTATTTTAGATCAGGGGACCAGGTGCAGACAACTGCGTCCTTGCCTGTAGATTCTTCAATGCCCCTCGCAGGCTGGCGTATGTACCTTGTACATCGGTGCCAGCAAGTCTTTCCGGGTCCGAGAAATATGTTTGACCGATTCCAGGCTATCACATCCGTCAACATCGTCCCAGAGGCGCCTCAAACGCAGAGGACCTACCCATTCGCGCGTGAAGACACCTAATCTACATAAAGGTCCCAATAACGACAACCACCCCCGAAGGCCTTCCCATATTTTTGGCCTTCTTGCCATTCCATCACACATATGGATTACACGCCTTCTCATTCCGGCCATTCTTAACCCCCGTAACTGTGGTGATCTTGCCTCGGTGGAATCTCGATCTAGCTTTCACTGCTATCTCAAAGTAATTTCCATTCCCAACGTTCCTCACAGTTGCTGATGACCTCGCAGGTATCGCATTACGCATCTGCCCCTTATTCCCTCTGTTATATATCAAATAGTGAACAGCCCTAAGGCTCAGAAAGCCGACTGGAGCTCTGTCATATCCATCAACTCTGGCGCCGCGTATCTGCCCCCGGATTTATCGGAGAAAGTTCCAAAACTCTTAAAGAAAGAAATTCATGTATTCGAGGGTAATCCCTTCCTAATCCTCGCGTCGTTGCCTCTCTGACCATATCTATCCGCCCCAGGTTATGGGATGTCCGAATGCGTATGTTTACCTTCGCCTTCAAACTCTAGATACGAGATCTTTACCCTTTGTGCCTCAGACGATTGCTGCCATTGGTCAACCGTTCCCTGGCACATTGGATGGGAAGGCGAGGACTATCATCGGGTCAACAGGCTTGCTTCTGCCCGGCCTTGAGGCTCGCACCGTGCGCGAAGACGGCACAGAAGCCGATGTGAATGAACCTGGCGAACTGTGGCTTCGTGGTGGCAACATTGCTCTGGGATACTGGAACAACGACAGCGCCACGAAGAGTACATTCATCGACGGCTGGCTTCACACCGGTGATTCGTTCAGGATCACAGAGGACCATTATTTCTTGTGAGCATATTCTCTTCGCTTGACTATCATGTAGCTACTTAAATGACTCATTGATGGATTATAGTTTTGCGGACCGGGCGAAGGTTAGTCCGAGAGTGTTCTTTGTTCAAAAGGTCCTCAGCGTATCTTTTTAGGATACATTGAAGGTCTCGGGCAGTCAGGTATCACCGGTGGAGATTGAAAACGTCCTCCTCGAGCATCCCGATAAACTTATTGTCGATGCCACTGTCGCTGGCGTCAGCGGAGGGCGTACTTCTGACGAGAAAGTGCCTCGTGCGTGGGTTGTCCTGAGCGATGCTGGGAAAAAGCTAGGACCCCAGGGGGTCATCAGGGCACTCGAAGTATGGCATGAAGCCAACCTTAGCAAATATAAATGGCTTCGTGGGGGAATAGAAATTGTCAACAATGTTCGTCCTCCTTTCTGTGTTTTGTTGCAAACTACTGATCTTGTTGACCCCCTCAGATACCCAAAAACCCTACGGGCAAGGTCCTACGACGCGTATTGCAGGAAAAATACGAAAACAAGCTAAAGAAGAAAGCGAAGTTGTGAGCTGCGTTCGAATGCATCATTCCATATAGCAATGACATTGTATCTACTCTTGGTTCGACTTTATATAAATGTGTACATGTACAATCGCTGAGCCTGCAGCGTGTACTACAATTCGTCAAACAGTTGCGGAAGGTTACCGATCAATCTGTCCCGTAGATTGACACAACTCTCGAGCGCAGCCAGTGCGCACGTCAAAGGAATGGATGTATGTATCCAGAGCGACCTGCGCAAGATCTTGTTCATAGCTTGAATTCTATTTAGCACGTCCGCAGAGCCAGGCTGCGTGGCTTCGGCAGCCTGTGCTGCTTGTGTCCACACCTCCTGCCAGCAGGTCAGGCATTCTCCATGGTTATCACAGCCGCTATTCTCCAGAGGCGGTGCGTTGCTGCGAATGTGTTCCCAGACGTTCACGAGTGAATGATAGGCAGATAGATATGAGGTTCTATCGAGGCCTAGGGTGTCTTCGATGCATTTATGGACATGCGGTGGTGTCTTCGAAGAGTCGAGCCCGAGTAATGGGTTCGAGTTCGATAGAGGTTTTCTTCTTCTCTCGCTTATAATGATATGTCGATATAGTGCCATCCCTTTCAGTCTCCGTAGACCGTGCTTCTCCGCGATAGCCAGGATTGGCGGAAGATAGAAATCGATTGGGGACGAAAAATCTAGCAGTCGCCGGGCTAGTATGTCCATACTAAGTTCGCTCAGACCGTGGTGCCCAGTGCGTAAAGCGGTATCTGATATTCGTGCGCACAAGGACGATGAACCTGTGTGCAGTGGCCCAGAGACTTCTAGGCACTGTCTATAGATATGGGACAACGCCCATGATTCGAACGACACGAAGCCGTACTTGTGCGCCATTTCTGCGATGTTAAGGAGCCGATTCATGGGGAGAGCTGAGCTAACACCCTCCCTATCGCTATTGGCCTCCAGTGGGTGGAGATCATTTGGTCTTAAATCAAGAATGATAAGGTCGGATAAAACAATCTTTTATCATTATTCGAGTACTCACAAAGCATACAGCGCCCAAAGCAAGTCCCGGAATTGCTCTGCAGTATCCGTGAGGGCGACAGGAACATCGCAAATGTTCTTGTTGTCGCCGAGCTTAGGTCGGGGTGCGGGCATTTTGAACATTGACTCAAAAGCGGACGTATCCCGAGCCAGGACAAATCGATGAACCTCCACAAAGGTCAATGTCAGTGTCGGTATGGTCGCCGGTCAAGATTTTCATGACATCTCTTACTCTGAATAACGCATTCTCGACCTTGAACAGACAGAACCCGTCTGTGTTGCCATCTGACTTGTAGTAATCTTCATCGAAGGCGGTGGCATTCGACGGTGGCGGATACAGAAGCGGGATGATAGGGGCCTCCTGTTCGATGTGCGGTATCGCTCCGACCTGCTTTGAAGGAACTGAATAGCTGATGTTGTCGATTCGCGGGCCCCTGTAATTAACGATGATCTTGAGTAATAGACGAAGGGGCTTGGATACTATGTCGGTGAATGACATGCCACGAGCCATCATTGCATGCCCGAGAGGAACGTCGAAGGAGCTATAAATCAAGGGGTAAGGAGGTTGCGGTAAACGGTCACTGTTGCTCTCACATGAGTTTTTAGGAGTTCATAAACGAAGGCCTTAGGGCATAGGTGCTCAGGATGATGGATCGATACACGCAGATGTCTGCCTGTTCACGAATCACAGAACCTGGTGAACACGAGCCCCACACGTGTGTTTCATAACGTTTCTTTTGAAAGCAAGGGTTCAGATTTCCTCCCGGTATCCCCCCTTGTACTTACGGAGAACCGGTAGGAATAACCCCCGCACCACAGGGCTAGGGTGTGAACGTTCTGGTGGTAATAGACCCGGGCTAGCAAGAAGTAGATTCTAAAGGGTCATTGGACTCTCAGATGATACTCCCTTTTGCGTGAATAATGAAGACACCACCTTATCTACCCTGTTGGAGGCCTCATGCTGTGAATTGCGCCACAGAAGCCGTTCATAATGTACATGCATAATCCGAATCGAAATTCCTCGAGTCTGAAGATGGTTGGAAGTAAGTCAAAGAACTCTCACGCTCAGCACAGAAGGGCAAGTTGAGGGCAATCGCTTTGCGATTAATTGAACGTGCCAACCAGTACTACGGGCCATTTCCACGAATCGGCGGAAAACAGGCGAGTCTTCATTAATGATGATATACAACAATGGGTATATGATGTTGTGCAAGATCTGACATACGTATATGTAAGTGCTCGTTTTCACAGATCGAAATGGTGCCACAGGTTCTCTCCCAGTGCCTTGGATTTGTGCTGCAACGCCTCCAACGCTCCGCGTCTACAACCCGCGCTCATGCAAACCTCCAGGATCCTATCGTTTTCCAGTGTCTTTACCATGAAGGTGAGCCGCCGCAGGACATCTACGTCATCAAATGTGAGTGGCCAGTCTGCCATAACCGACCATCTGCTACGCCACGTTGATATACATATGCGATGATCATGAGCTGGGCATTCAGGTGACTGTGAAAAGGATATCGGCTGGGTTCGTTGGCGGTTCCAGTATGATGTGAGAGAGTAGTAGCCCTCAAGAAGATGTGTGCGCTGCGACAGAGTAAGCGTTGCTTGCATGTCGTCGGGAAGTGCATCCGGGAGGTACGGAGATGCGAGGAGTAGTTGCGCGTAGTAGGCGTGTATCTGGAGCAATATCAACCCATGTTTCTCGGCGAACGTTATCGCAGGTGCGGGTGGTAGGTCATGTCGATGTATGCGATCGGCCCATACACTTTGCGTCATTTTCGCTAGAGGAACGTCCCCGCAAGCTAAAGCTAACCGCAGGATACGTATGAGAGTCGCAGACGACGGGGGATTTGCGGTGTCTCGCGCGACGAGTAGGAGTGCGGGTAACAGACCCTTTAATGCCCACGCACTCAAGGAACGAGCGTCGTATTGGCGAGAAAGTTCCGCGAGGGAGAGAAGGTCCTCCATGGTAAGTCCGAGCGGGTTTGGAGGTGTCCTGGTAGTTCCAACGTTAAACAACATGGTAGATCAATGATTGAGAGTTTCACGGACCGCAGAGAAAGAGAGTACAAGAATAGAGAGAATTGGTCGGCGGAATGCCCGTGTAGCAACACAGGATTCCATGGTGTTCGCCCAACATCGCCATCAGACGTTGCGAGCAGCTTAGGGAGTGCAAATGAGTGGTCTACGAGTAATCGTCGTGAGACCTGCACAAGCTATTAGAAAGCGAACGAGTGGCAACATTTTAACCCAATGCGCACCTTGAATGAGGCCCCCTCCACGTCAAAAAAGTAGTCCTCATCCTCGCATTGTTTGAAGTCTCGAGCAACGACCATGTTCTTCTGTCTGGATATTGGATTGTGAGCCACCCCCACGCAAGGCCATGGTATTTAACGGCCAATTTGTTGATGAACATCATTGACGATTCTCCAGAGCAACCATGATCTGTGGACTGCCCTATTATCTGGCTGTCGGCTTCAAAACATAATAGCCATTGGAAGAAAAGAGCAAGGCACTCATAATTGTGTAAATTATAACCTTAGATGACAGGGAGCGCTCAGTGCCGTCTACTCATTGTTGTCTCCAAAAGTGGTAGGCAAGGCAACCCCTATTCACCTTCAACGCGGCCATACAATGTCCAGGTAATTTGAGGATAACAACATCCCGTTCAACCTAAAAACGTGGCGACTTTCAAGAACCATGGGAATCGTAAACTGGTGCTGTACTAAGATATAAGAGCTGGGGAGTCCAGGAAATGAAGGATTATGAGACCAATACGGATGCAATAATGATGGCGAAGACATATCCAAGGCATAAAATCATGAATAGTCAGTTGATCTACAACTATATCAATAATCTATACATAGGCAATAACCGCAGAAGCGGAAGATACAAATATGATGAATATACAAGTCCATAATGAGAACGGTGTAGCAGTCCATATAGCGGACGACCTGTATCACAACGAAAATGCCAAGAAATCAGATCATCTGAACAACAGTAGGGAGGGCGTAACTCACGAAGCTGGTCGTGCGGTTATCTTTGTCGTTATAACGGCGACAAGTCCGTCGATGGCGTTGGTGCCGTTGAGGCCGACAGTGATATAGTGGTTGATACCATCGCTACTATTCGATAATAGTCCGGAGACATATTTAATTTCGCTCAAATATGTGTAGCCACCCCAAAAAGTGTTGGTGGTGTACGTCGTAGTGTTTGTGAGTTCAGCGGTTGGGACAGTTGTATTGGTCATGTTCCCCACCAGCCAATCTCTGATGAAGGAGCGTAAGCCCATCGCGGATGGCATGATGCAGAAGGACGTATGACACACCGTCCGAAATTATAGCCATTGGCGACTATATCGTGTCCGACTACCAAAAATAAGAAGGTTAAATTGATACAATGGCCACCTGGAGATGTTACGCACGAGATATTGGCAGTTCGTAGGAGACGGCCATGAAGATGGAGCCGCTGTAATGATGAAGTCAGCCCTTGGCGCACCAAGTTACACAGCAAACGCACCTGTTGCCCTCTGGCCCATTCTGCACCCAATAACGAAAGTGGTTTCCGCCTTCTATTGACTCTTTGCATGCTCCTAACGCTGGGTCCCCATAGTTCCATCGAATGACAGCGGTTTCGTTCACTGACGTATCTCGGAGTGAGAGGACTTCAGATGCGAGATAAATCTACATACGATAACCATGCCCGTCACCCAGGTTAGCAGCTTGGTTGGAGCCCATATGCTGTCCTAAGCATTCACTAGAAAATCCAAAGGAACTGAGCCTCTGTCAGTTTATTAACCGAGGAATGCAGTATCCATGTCCTACAGAAAGAAATTCAGGAGGCCACCGTCCGTCTCGGTCTCTTTGAGGACCTGTTCGTCTGAGTTCCCCGAGATAATGACATTCAGTGGTTCACCAAGCCCTTCGGGAAATGTTACGGGTATTTGCTATCGTCACAGACCTGTCAATCACTGACAACAGTAAATCCTCAAGCAGACACTCACCGTAAGCATACTGCCACCTTTATCTAAGGGATTATGGAAGCCCTCGGATGGCACATCTCGCGTGGCGCGTCTCCAAAACCAACGAGACGGACTCCAGGTCGTTTCGGCGAGACAGAACCAGGGAAGACATAGTGATACCAGAACGAGTCGTGTGGTCATGATGGTTGAGAGAAAGCTGAGTCGCGCTGATAGCAAGCGGCGAACGGCACCAGCGTCGAAGTCGCCGAAATAAGATGAGGAAGAGAAACAAGAGTTGGCCAAGAATTTAATTCCTTCAGGTCCAAGGATCGACGCATACTTATGGTCATAACTGGGCCGTGGCTTATGTAAGCAGTGCTCCGCTGGAACAACCGCGGTTCGACCAAATTCCTTGAGACTCGAGATCAAATGAGGTAACGTACACAGATGAATTGCAAATGAGCTGCTATTTGGTACAAGATGTTGGACAACAAGTATAAGCAAGAGATGAGTTTGCAACGCCGATGCTGCGGAACTATATGATGGTACAATGGTCGCCAAGTCGCTAAGTTGGCTTGTAATAAACAATGGTCAAGAACTTTTTCCTATATCTGGTCGTGCATCCGACCGCCAACACGCCATTCCTTATCGCGCTGGTGCTAAGGTGTTGCAAGACAACATGGCTTGGTACGGGCAAGACGGATGCATCGTCCGCGAGTCCAGGACCATCAGAGAATGGATCCAAGTGCAAGGGTAAGGCGGTGGACGACGACGGGAGCGGCTGAGATATGTTGGCCGCCGAAGGCGGTAAACTCAGGGGACTGGGCGTCGGCGCGCCTGACGCAGTTGGGGTCTTGTTATGGCTCTGCGATGAAATGGTAGTGACGGTGGAAGGTTTGACTTTAGGGGAATCAACGGGGATCGAGGGGGACGCTGGGAGTGGGATATGTGCAGGGACATCTGATTGCGAACCAGCATTTGGAGCATTTCTGTTCGCTGTGGCGAGATCCATTAACGCCCCTGCAGAATTGAAGGTTCGCCCAGAATTCGCGGGGTCAGAGCCACCAGAAAACGGGGGGATTGGCTGGAGGACGTCTCGTCCACGATCTCGCTCTCGTTCGCGTTCTTTTCGTCGGGTGCTCTTCTCCCTTCCGTCGCGCCCACGAGCATCCCTATCCCGGTCTCTACCCTCTCGATCCCGTTCACGGTCTCTTTCCTTTCCGTCTCGCTTGCCGCTATTAGAACCAGAGGGAGTGGCACGCCCACTACGACCACCATTCACTATACCAACGCCCGGGCTTTTCCCATTAAGGATCAGTCTATCTAAGTGCCGAGGTAAACCCGGGGCGGGTGGAATATTGGGTGCTGCGATAAAGCCCGTTTGATGCGGTGCAGCTGATGCAGCAAGGTAGGTCTCCTCTTCTCGTGCGGCTTCTATGAGTTCAGGTGGGATGACACTCGTCCAGGCAGGCGGCGCGTGCTTATTATGCGGGGTGTCCTGCGATATGACTGGGTGCGGGATGGTAGGATGATTATATTGAGATGGGTAGGAGGACGAGGAATCATCACTCCAAAAACTGGGTCCTGCCTGCATTTTGTACGGATGCACAGTTGGGGGAGAAACCTTGGCAGCAGGTGGTGCCGATGTAATGCCTGGCACTGGTATAGGGACGGCAACGTAGTTCGCAAGAGTGCCTTGATCATCGACGGCGGTAGGGATGTCGTCGGCAACACGCCAAGTCTCGTCGACGAGAAAACGAATGTGGTGAGTGCCAGGAAGGAGAGATACGTTAGCTGTAAAGATGGTGTTATTATTTGGGCTGCAATCGTGTCAGCACAGAGTATCCATGAGAGATCAGGAGGTAGCCTCACTCCGGATCCATCTCCTGTCGACCTTTCCAGTCATCATCACCTGCTCTAGCTAGAAGCACATTTTTACCCCCACCAGTCCATGTGATCTTGACATTTACCGGTTCGTGGATGGGATCAGCCTCCGGCTCCAGGGGAGCGTCCTGCAAAATCTCCCCGAGACCATCAGCTTTCCCGAGGGCCATGGGTATAGTTGAATACACGGTCTCCTGTACGAAGGGCTGGGGCTGATGGGTCGGTAGATTCAGCACCGATGGTATGGATGGATGATAGTGAGCGCCGCCAGTGCGACCCCGCTGCTGATTCGACGGTGGCATAAAATCTCGAGTGTCATTCCTCGCCGAGCGGTAGTAGTTGCCCTGGCGCTGATTTGCCGGCATCGGGTACAAAGTCACATCTGCTGCTGAGAAGTCCTCAGGCAAAGGCCTCCTTCCCGCGGCCGCATCTATATCTGCGCCGTTCCCCGCATTGTTCGAGGGGATATTGATTGGATTCGACTGTGGTTGTCGAAGGGGCGCAGCATTCGTGAATCCCAACTGGGCGAGATCCGGGAGCTCCAGTGATCTTTTCTTCTGGCGTAGAGATTTGTGTGGTTGTTGCTGGGCCCCCTCTGGTGATGAGTTCCTGGGCTTCACATTCGAGTTAGTGTTGCCCATTGCGGAGGAAAGAAGGAGTGGTCAGTGCTGGTCTCGATTTATCTTTGTTTGGGATCAATCTCAACCACAAACAGCCATGTCCGACAAATCCTCACCGCCACCAGAATCGGAGCCCCTGCCCTCATCGGAGAGCGTCCTCCTCATTCCAGAGGCTAGAGATGGCTTCTTTGGCTACTCGGAGGAGAAAATTCTCAAACATGTATGTTACGTGCCAGGCAAACCAAAATTTCTGCAATGATCAGTTGCCGATGCGCGTAGATCGAAGAAAAGTTCCTGGCGCATCGAAGGGCTTCCGATGCACCATCTGACGGGACATCGTCGTTCGTGGGCAGCTTCAAGCAGATTCCCATCAGCCTCCCAGCAGCGGGGGAAGACTACTCTGCTCTAGCGTTGTCTGAAGATGAAGCGGATCATGGACCTGCCAACCCAATGACTGGTCAGAAGCAAGAGGCGGTCGTCCCCCCAGAACTGGAGGCCATGTTTCAAGATTTTCGAAAGTGCTTGAATCTTCGTGACAAGTATATGATGAAATCCAGGCAGCGTTTGGGCGACAATCCAAAAGATTATGATGGTCATTTTCGTGGGTTCGCAGACGGCCAGGCAGACGTGTCTGGCCCGCGTCCTGGCACAGCTATTCGCGATATTCGTCCCGCAGAAGCTTCCTTTGAGAAATGGAAGATATATCCCACACCCCCTCCTCCTCACTGGCACTGGAAAGACAAAGAAACCGTTGTTAGTTCCAACGGCGAGTATACCACCAGCGACGAGTTCGTATTCGCGGACTGCCATATTCCGGACATCCACCCCTGGAAATTCAAAATGGACGAGAAAGGTGTCTTCCAAATATACGATAACCCGGACCAGGACGAGGCCAAGGAACCGCTGTTTTCCGTGCCAGATATACGAGAGTATTTTATTGACCTGGACTACGTTCTGAAAGTAATATCCGATGGACCGACCAAAAGTTTCGCCTTCAGGCGGTTAAAATACCTTTCCAGCAAGTTTACGATGTATACCCTCTTGAATGAGAGCCAGGAACTCGCAGAGATGAAGGTATGTAGCTTTTTCATGTTCTCGACACGGTTATTTACAAGAGGATCACCATAGAGCGTACCCCATCGGTTCGTTACAAGAACCTATCTTAATACCCAGGTCTAATAGCGATGAAGTGACTTTTATAATGTCCGCAAGGTCGATACCCACGTTCACCACTCCAGTAGTATGAACCAGAAGCATTTACTTCGCTTCATCAAGCACAAAATGAAGCGCAGTCCTCAGGTAAGCTTTCCACCGTAATTCCTTGGTAATTCGCTCAAGCAGCCGTGGTCCAAGGATGTCGTAATATTCCGAGATGGCGCTGAGCTGACTCTGGAACAAGTGTTCCAGTCTCTAAAGTTAACCGCTTATGATCTATCCATCGATACCCTTGACATGCACGCCCATTCCGACTCGTTCCACCGTTTCGATAAGTTCAACTTGAAGTACAACCCTATTGGCGAGTCGAGGCTTCGAGAAATATTCCTAAAGACGGATAATTATATCAAAGGGCGATACCTCGCTGAACTCACACAGGGTGCGGGGGATTTACTTCTAATTTCGAACGCCCAATGATACGACTTGGACGTAGAACTTATCACTGATCTGGAGCAAAGTAAATACCAAAACTGTGAATGGCGCATTAGTATATATGGACGCTCTCGCAATGAGTGGGACAACCTCGCCAAATGGGTCGTCAATAACAAGGTCTACTCACATAATGTTCGCTGGCTAATCCAGGTCCCCCGACTGTACGATGTGTACAAGGCCAATGGCTCGGTTAATACGTTCGAAGACATCGTCAGAAGTAAGTTTTTGGCCCTGATACGTTTAATCCTGTTGACGAACGTCTGGAAAGATGTCTTCGAGCCCTTGTTTGAGGTCACCAAAGATCCTTCCTCACATCGCGAATTGCATGTGCTGCTGCAACGTGTCATTGGCTTTGACACCGTCGATGACGAATCTAAAGCTGAACGACGTATCTACAAAAAGTTTCCTTATCCACGCCTATGGAATACGGAGCAATCACCTCCCTACTCCTATTGGTACGTGTGCTACTCAACTGTGGCGCAAACATTAATCCACTTTATCACGCGGATCAGGGTGTACTACATGTTCGCCAACATATCAAGTCTGAATAACTGGAGATACTCCAGAGGCTTCAGTATGTGAAACTTGTATTCGCGAGACAATTCTCTGACTCAGAGTTGGCAGACACATTCGTATTCAGACCACACTGTGGCGAAGCTGGAGATACTGATCATTTAACATCGGCCTTCCTTACTTCACATTCTATATCTCACGGAATCCTCCTTCGCAAAGTTCCTGCCTTGCAATATCTATTCTACCTCAAGCAAATCGGGCTGGCGATGAGCCCGTTGAGCAACAACGCATTGTTCCTCACCTACGAGCGGAACCCCCTCCCGGACTTCTTCAAGACTGGGCTGAATGTCAGTTTAAGCACAGACGACCCCCTCCAATTCCATTTCACCAAGGAACCTCTGTTGGAAGAATACAGTGTCGCCGCGCATGTAGGTCTCAGTTGGTCACCATCCACAGCCTCACCCTTACTATCTCGATAGATTTATAAATTCCCGCAGAGTTCCCTCGCGGAACTAGCCAGAAACTCAGTTGTCCAAAGTGGTTTCGAGATGGAGGTGAAACGTCACTGGCTTGGTAACGACTGGTATCTCCCAGGCGCTGCTGGCAATGACACCAACAAAGTGCGAGCACCCTGTTTTCCATTATGCATGTGTAGCTCAGTTCAATTGTAGACGAACGTCCCAAACAGCCGTTTGGCTTACAGACACCAGACACTAATGGAAGAGCTAGAGCTCATTGGAGCCATCCAGCAAAAGGCCTAGGAAAGGCCCCAGATGTAGACTGAGACCTCTTGACTCTACCTGAGCATTGCAACATAATACAACTAAACTTCAAATCGGCGCAACATGATTGGCGCCTGACAGCTGGAATACCCCTAAAATCCGGACGCGTACCGTGCGAGTGATCTCTCGATCGCGTTGGCGAGGCAAGGCACAATTTGTTGGTGCCGCAAGACTGTCAATCTAGGCTGATCCCTGGCGCAGCGCTTGAGTTACTGGTTGGACCTACATACCAACGGCGGGTGCCGAGCACTTAGATGTTCGGTTTGGCTGCTGGTATAGCTTGGCGGTCGAAATGGTGGATTGGTAGACTGCCATTTGTGCACCTGTTAAATGCCAGATGTACCAAGGGGGACTTAATTGTACCACGTCAACCTCGGGGACTTTTCAATCTCTCCGAACGTAGCCGCCATTGGCCACAGAGAGCACTTGAAGGTGTATCAATGTACATATTGAGTGACATTTTATATCCCCAATATGAATGAAACTAACAATGCTAGCATACCGGCTAATGAGTTATGCTTCACTCATTTGGTCCCGGACGACAGGATAGGATTCCCCAGAGACTAGACACCTGGGTACAATGCAGTATAAAAGTGGAATATAGTCTACAATGTTTCTTCAGCGAAACGACCAGCCTTGTGAGTGTCTTATTCATTAAGATATAAACCGCACTAACCAATGCAACAGGCTTGTCATTGCCCATACTCCTGGTAGTCACCTAACTCTCAGTCAGTCTCCGCGTTAATGTGATTGAACAACACTAATTTTGCTTGTAGGGATGAAGTCTGTCTTTGCCTTAGCCATCCTTGCCGCAACCTTGGCTGCTGCCAAACCAGCCAATGACTGGAGCAAGCCTTGCTTTGACGGAGAGTGTGCCTATGATCTCCCTGGCACCAAGGAGACCGGTTCCGCCACCTTGAAGCTCGTATGTGATTCAGATCTGGGATTAGAGTTTCGCTCATCGTCAATAAAAATGCTAGTCCGGCGCCGCGAAGGCAATTACAGACATCACCCCCGCAGCTGGGTGGATTGTCCTCGACTGTGACCCTCATGCACTCTCGCAGGAAATCCGCCTCGTTTGCAAGGGCGATGACGAAGCTAGCTGTGGGCACCTGTTCGAACACGGTCCCGAGCACAAAGTCGTCCGTCTCCCCGAGAGCGTAAGTAGTCAAATCACCTGTTCTCGTCCTCGCCAATTCAATTGTCTATCTAGTGCGGTGCTGGTCCTTTCGGTAGGATCGTTTCCGCTGCTGTCGCTGAAGACCAGAATGTCCCCGGACACGTCCAGTTGGTCCGTCGGGATGGAGTTGAACCTCAAGTGCACATCCTTCAAGTTGACGATAGATGGGATTTGGCCGACGTCTCCAAGTATGCCACTATATTCCGTGATCTCGTTATCCGAGCTAATGATTTTCGTACTAAGGACTGGGGACATTAATTTCACTTTCCTCGGTTCTTCAATCACTGGCCCCGTTGGCAAGATGAACCACGAGGAATTCAACGCGCGTGATGTCCACTTGTCTGTTCGTAGTCCTGATGGATGGAGTGCTTTCTTCACCAAGGCCATCGCCGCCTTGAAGTCGGCAGCCACGGAAATCAAAGACGGTATTGCTGACAAGACCAAAGTCGAGATCGAGTTGGAGCAGATCAAGCTAGTGTACGAATCAAAGGGCGAGAAGAAGCACGACATTCTCCCCAAGAAAGAAATTGACTGCGGGTGGGGCAAGGCCTCTGTTGCGGCAGACATCACCGCTTCATACCAGATCCACGCCCATGTTGGTGCTGCCATCACCGGCTCTCTCATTCCACCGAAGGTGAACGAGATTGCGACTCTCGCCGGTAAGTCCACACGCTTGTTACTTCGTCCCTCGTCGTTTATCTTCTCCCAAAGGTTTCAGTGGAGACACCAAGGTCCATCTTCATATCAAAGCTGAAGCTGAGGCCCAGAAGACGGTCACCTGGCCTATCTTACCTCCAGTCAACCCAACTCCTCTTCAAATTCCAGGGTATTGTATTTTACCACATGTAAAACCACAATACCTAAGCGCGAATATCCCAACAGAGTCATCAGCTTTGGCCCACATGTCCAGGTTGATGCGTCAGCTGATGTCGCCATCAAGCTCTCCGGAGACATTGACATCGGCGCCGACTTCGCTATCAAAGATGGTACGTGGCATTCCCGCTCTCTTTTCAACCGACAGTGTTGACTGGCTGGTAGTTGAGTACTGGTACCCTGAGAAGGTTGAGAAGCCAGTCCATGTAGTCGAGGAGAAGGCCAGCCGTAAGCAAACGTCCTCAGCCTCTTCTCTATGCCGAGTATTCATTCCTCCCAGCGCTCAAGCTCAACGCCGATGCTAACGCTAAGGGATCCATTACTGCCTCTATTCACATCACCCCCAAGCTTTCGCTCGGTATCGAAGGCCTGTCCGGAAATGCAAAGGCAAATGCCTTTGTTTCCGTCGATGGCTACGTCACTGGCGAAATCAAGGGTGAAGGACATGCGTCTGCTACGAAGAGGTCTCACTCCCGCGATTTGGCCCTGCGCGACGGTGACAGTGCCGGTGCCGGTTACTCTGGTTCGTTTGATATCAAGGCCGGAGTCAAGATAAAGGGTGGTTTCGACGGGAAAATCCTTAGTCTCGTAGAGAAGACTCACTCTATTGACATCTGGTCCCACGAGTGGCCCCTCTACAAGGTAAGTCAACGAGACGAAGTATCTACATCTAGCTGACCATGGCGAAGAAATCTTGGTCTGGAGGCAAGGCGAAACGCGAATTCTCCGAAATTCCATCTTCTGCCTTAGTCTCTCGTACTATCGATGGTGACCACGGGTGCCCCGCGGCCAAACCTGCTCTGTCTGACACAAGTGAGTCGAAGGCCACTCACAATGGGGAGCATTTACTCATAGCCTTTCAGAGGCCTAGATTCCTTGGACCCACATCCTGCGGTGCATGGTAGTGTCGATATGCATGTAAAGACTGACTTACCTTACGGAGTCAATAATACTCAGTCTTCTATGCTGAACTTAATCTGGGAATGATGCTAAGTACATAAAAGTGGTGAGCTCTCTGATTTTCGCACCGTTTGCAAGATCATACGGATTTCCTTTGAATCACTTATGTATTTATCCAGACCTTCGCACATTACTCAACATCAGTTCTCATCAGAATGCGCCCAAATCTTCCGCCGCACTTCGGCCTTACCCCATCTCAGGTTCCTGATTGTATCCGGCCTCAAGTGATGTACGCTCAGAATCGAATCATCGGTCACACAAACTGCGTTATACGCAGCGCGAAACTGCGGATCAGCCAATGAAAAGTTTTTCTTCGAACGCCCACTGGTAGTACTTATTGGGTCCTAATGAATTGATCTCAGCGCACCCCACTCTCTTTTTCTCTTTTAGCCTGAGACTACGTTCATTCAGTCGCCACAAATCAATGTCCCCCACTTTCGACAGCACTCTAGGCGCAGCGTTTATTGGGTTCGGTTTCTCGTGCCTCGGATACGGGTTCGTGCTCTCGCAGATCGTTAGTTACTTCACGCGCTATACCGCCGACAAAGCGGTATACAAATTTCTCGTGAGTGACAGCCCTGCTGGAATCAATCTTTTATTGTTCCTAATTACAATGTGACTCTAGGTCGTGGCGATATGGTGATCACACTTCGATAAGCTGCTGAAGATACCTCCAGTGTCTGACTCCCGACTATCAGGGTGTTGGAGACTGCCGATCAAATGCTTGTGGGACATTTCGTCTACTTCTACACGATTTCGTATGTCAAGTATTACCAGGCCACCCCAAGCAATTACTCACGGCGAGCGAGACTAGAAATTTTGCGAACCCCTTCGCTCTCCTTGAGGGGACAGTAGTTTGGTGAGTGTCGCCTCTGATCTGCGGTTGTCTCCTCCCCTCACGAAATCCCAATCTACAAGGTCTGTTATTGTGAGATTTCACCATGCCATGATAAGCATCCCCTCATTGCCCCTGCCGTGAACATAGCTTCAACTTACTGTCGGAGTATGACCCATCCCTCCCCCGTCCAACACGTTACTGATATATAATTACAGGCCCTGGTTGGAACGATAGTGAAATGGTTAGTCTTCTTCCTTCTCGTCCAATGATATCTTCTGATCTTTCTGTAGCTGCTTCATACTACGAGTGTGGCGGTGTGAGAACCTTCTTTACGTCCCTCGATCAGTACCTAAAGCTTGCATCTCAGTTAGCCGACATAATAAAGCAGCCACATTGTGCTTGGTCAGTCCATGCTCTCTATTGCTGGACCAACGCCGACTGAACCCTTCTGGTAGCTCTTGCTCGACTTAACACAATTTGGTTAGCAAGTTCAGCCAACATATTAGACTCCTTGCTCATCCTTCCTTGGTCATGGTAATTAGCTCTGGCCATCGGTACGCAATCTCGATCTACTTGTCGCCTGGTTCACGCTCGTCAGCGCTCATCGCCTGTGTAGTCTATACGATCAAAGCGTAAGTGCATCTCCTTTTCGACTGGATATACTCAACACAATTTCTCGTTTGTCTAGATTCCAGCTTGGCAGTCTCGTCAATGTCTACAAGCTTAGAGTATGCATGCGTTAAACAACCCCTCCCGTCCATCACCTTATGGGTGAATACAGATTCTAGGGATTGTTTCCTTGTCCTTTGGCCTGGCGACGGACGTGATGATTGCTGCGTCTCTGTGCTATTTCCTCCGGCATTATCGAACGGGCCATAGTGGGTACGTGATGGCTTTACACAGCCCGTCATCTGCCATTGAATTATTTGCCCAGGACGGATAGTTTGGTGAACGCACTCTCCGTGTACGCCGTCAACACAGGTGCACTCACGAGGTAGGCTGGCTCATTCCCATCACCACTGGCTTTCTGGCACTGACACGTAGGGATTTTCAGTGCAGTCAGTCTTTCTACCCTACTACTAGTACGTCCATCCACTAGTGGTGGTACGTCATTAACATGCTATGAAGTACTGGACAATGCCAGAGAATAACTTCTATTTCATTGCCGTCTATTTCTCTTTGAGTAAATGTGAGCACCACGGTTGACCACTGGTGTTTAGCTAACGTACTCGTTTGAAGTCTACGCTATCTCGTTCATGGCCACGTACGTTCTCCGGATCCGTTCTGACACGACACTCACCTCCTACGCTTTGACAGGCTGAACACACGTAAGATTATTCGGGGACGAGGATCGGATTATTCTGCAAAGGACGGCGGGAGCATTAGTACTAATAGTGCCATTGGATCTACCGGACTAAGGATGGTGATTGAAACTTCTTCGACTTCTGGTGCAGTTGAACTGCAGCCGATGAGAAAGGTACTGTGTTCTTGCCGTACATATATGGCCCTAGTTCTGAAGGCGGTCTGCAGCTAGCGTTTGCGCACGACGAGGCGTTCATTCGGGCTCCTCCCATGGCGTTTTGAGTAGATAGAAATCTATATTCTTATTGTATATTATTTGTGCCCTCCCATGGCCTTGTGCTTCATGTCATGTTGATGCCACGCTTACGGCAAGCGAACTCCTATTTATGGCAACGGTTGGGCTTCAACCACTTCGACGCTGCACCTTCGACGGCCCGGCCACTGAACAGAATCGCTTGCGCATCCCGCGAATTCTCCGTCGACCACCAGAGCTGGTCAGCAGGCGTCGAAGCCAAGGCGGCCCCATTCCACTTTCCGGGGCGCCGGTTAGACGAGTAGCAAGAGCACCCGTATAAATGGACCTCAAGGTGAAGGGAAAATGCGATAATTCTTCCTGCTCGCTGCAGTCCGAAGCACCCACATATCCGAAGATGGACCTCTATTTACCGGCCGAGCGGCAGGCGCGTCGTGTCTGGCCTATTCTTCTTCTGATTTCCTTCCTCGCTACTGTGTTCACAAGTGGAACACCGTTTTCGTGGGCCTCCTTGGACACGGCGAATCATCTTTTTGAGATAGTATCTCGGTCACCATCCACGCCTGATCTCACGGAGCGGGCACTGTCGCAGCAAGTGAGATTCGACAACTTCAGTTTGTTCGTCGGAGATCAACGAGTATTCATACAGTATGTGTACCGTGGTCTATGTTCAGTAGAGGAATAAACTGCTAAAAATGTAAACTTAGTTCGGGAGAGTTTCATACTTTCCGTTTGCCCGTTCCCAGTTTATGGCCAGATATCCTCCAAAAGGCGAAGGCCGCGGGCCTCAACGCTATCAGCGTGTACACTCACATGGGGTTGATTAATCCATCTCGGGGAGTGGTAGACTTTGATGGTTTCCGTGCTCTGCAACCTTTGTTTGATGCCGCCAAGGACGCGGGGATCTTCATCGTTTTGCGACCAGGCCCTTACATCAACGCTGAAACGACCGCAGGAGGTGAGGTCTCAGCATTATATTTACATACTTCTTTCGGACTTATTTCAACAGGAATCGCTCATTGGGCCACTAGTGAAGTTGCCGGAAATCTTCGCACTGGCGCTGCAGACTGGAAAGCAGCGTGGCAGGATTACATCCAGGGCATCATCAAGGTTACTGTGCCTAATCAAATCACAGAGGGAGGACCTGTGATAGGTAGGTCTAAACGCTTGAAGTATATAATACCTCCAGTTTAACACTATGTCTGTTTCGAAGCCGTTCAAATTGGTGAGTCCACATCTACCGTGTATTGGATATTCCCATACCAAAGATTTGCCAGACAACGAGTTCCAACAAAACCCTGAGGGGCACGCACAGTACTTTGTCGACCTAGAAGAAGCCTACCGGGCTTCTTCTATCGTCGTGCCTCTTACATACAATGATCCCGGACAAGGCAGAAACTTCATCAATGGCACTGTAAGGAAATCTCGTCCATCTCAGATATAATCCTCGCTTATACTGATTTGCACAGGGCGCTGTGGACCTTTACGGGTAACTGTTACACAAGACATGGTCTCGGTTTCCCGCCTAATGCTTGCGTTCATAGGCTAGACTCTTATCCCCAGGGCTTCGATTGTTCTAATCCCACCGTTTGGCATGGCGTAACGACGAACTATCAACAGTATCATGCTTCTGCAAACCCATCGCAGCCGTGGTACATTCCTGGTCTGTAATATCTTCAACACGAACCACGGAACGCTGAAAACCTTGTTCGCTTTAACTTCAACAGAATTTCAAGGCGGTTCATTTGACGCTTGGGGACCTACCGCACCCGGTAATACTCGCATCTTCCCTCTCATGATGTCGTAGCTCATGCATTTCCATCAGGCTACGCCCCATGCCGAACGCTGACTGGCGCAGACTTCCAATCAGTTTTCAATTTACAGCTTTGGGCAAGTAATGCCAAGTTGATTAACTACTACATGTTCTACGGGTGAGTAGTTTCTCTCACATAACCATCATATGGATCAACTATGATACAGAGGCACATCATGGGGCGGCATTGCCTTCCCGTAAGTTGTTACACGAAATTCATTGAAGTTTCGTTCTCATGCTCCATTGATTTAGGGGTGTCTATACATCGTATGTTTTGATTGTGTCTTCATTTTATGCGTCCGACCGAATGCAATTAGATACGACTATGGCGCATCCCTTGAGGAATCACGACAATTGACATCAAAATTCGATGAATTGAAACGACAGGGACTCTTCCTCCGAAGCTCACCTGAATTTTACAAGACGGATTGGATAGGTGATACAAGCACCGGAGCCACATCTGCCACCTCTACAGCAGTATTTGCCACACTGCTTCGTAACCCGGACACCAAGGCCGGGTTCTATATTCTCAGACAAACAGACGCTACATCAACGTGAGCCCGAGCACTGTTTCCAATCCAGAATTACGCTCACGTTCCGTCTCCTCGGGCAATAGGGCTGTCACCAATTTCAAGCTTAACGTGTCGACGTCGGCGGGCAACATACTGATACCGAATGTTGCATCTGCCATAACTCTTGGTGGCCGGCAGTCCAAAGTCGTGGTGACTGATTATGCGTTTGGGTCATCACGACTCTTGTATTCCACCGCTCAGATCTTCTTCGCGGGCGCCATCGACGGGCGCGATGTTTTGTTCTTGTTTGGGGACTCGACTCAGGAACACGAATTGGTGCTGACGCTGGCCGGTACGCCAAGAGGGCTCAGACCACAATCCAGCGCCGTTCATTTTGCCAATTCATCATTATCATCATCAAGGACAACAGTATCATTCTTACCTGGCATCGAAGGGCTCGTCACTGTTTGGGACTCGGATAAGCAGTTGGTCCTTTTCTCCGACACTGCTACAGCTGCTACCTTTTGGGCCCCTACGATCGCGGGAAAGGCATCTGATCCTCTTAAAAACTTCTGGCAGATTGGAACCAACACCACCATACTTGTTGGCGGCCCTCACCTCGTCCGGAGTGCCAGTATCTCGGGTTCCCAATTGGATTTGAAGGGCGACCTCAGCGAGAGCGTCAGACTGAGCGTAATTGCGCCCAGTAACGTCCGGTCCATCACGTGGAATGGCCAACGGGTCGACGCAGACGTCCAGACGTCATCTCAGCTGACATTTAGAGGTGGATTCGTATCGAGCTTAAAAGCGACTACCACGGGGATCAAGATACGCAAGTTGGAGAAATGGAAGTTTTCTGATAGCTTGCCAGAGATTCGAGCCGGATTTTCTGACCAAAAGTGGGCGGTGGCGAACCACACATCAACCAACATTCCTTTCAAGCCGTATTATGGGGACGGCCGTATATTATATGGCTGCGACTATGGATTGTGAGTCAAAACTATATCTTACGTATACCTTCTAAGATAACTTGAATAGCTGCGAGAATATCGTTTTATGGCGCGGCCACTTCAACGCCACCGGGAGCGAGAAATCCGTCAACTTATCTATCAATGGCGGAGAAGGTGCGTTGTTACCAATTTAGTACGGTTCGCTCCCCAACAATAATGGGAATGTAGCGTTTGCGGCCAGCGTTTGGCTTAACAATGTGTTCCTCAAAACATCCTTTGGAAAGTAAGTATCTCTAGGTGCTGGAACTACTAATCCACGCTGATAACCCACAAGTTCCACTAACAACCGGAATACCTTGGAAGAAACAGATGATAAATTCACATTTCCTCCGGGCGCGCTTCTCAAGGGTGATAATGTGCTCACTATTGTTCAGGTAAGCCAGATCACGCGTACTTCTTCTCCGCTTGAACTATTGCACAGGATAACATGGGATTGAACGAAACCAGAGGCCGTGGGTGGTGTGCAATCCTTTAAATAACCGACTAACATCCGACATGGTGCAGTGGACACAAATTCCTCAAAAGGTCCCCGCGGCGTGCGAGGGTTTCAACTGGATACAGGCAACTTCACCGAGTGGCGTGTCCAAGGGAAAGTCGGCGGGTATACGAAGTATGCCTTCATTTCTGTTTTGGATGGGGGTTGCTCTAACCGTTTATGATCACAGTTTCCCAGATAAGGTCAGAGGTATTATGAATGAAGGAGGGCTTTTCAGTGAGAGACAAGGCTGGCACCTTCCCGGTTTCGATACATCCGCATGGAAAGAACGCGATCTCGCTTCTGGTCTTCCCGGCTCTGCCGCTGGTGTTGGATTCTTCGTAACCAAGTTCGATCTGAACATCCCGCGAGGCTTTGATGCATTTTTATCGTTCACATTCAACGAGCCGCTCGGACAACCGTATAGGGCCCTCTTGTTTGTGAACGGTTGGCAGATGGGGAAGAGAGTGGGGAATCTTGGGTAAGCCCCATATGTGCGAAGAACTGTATCCATGCTGACTACGAATTGGTTATCCTCAGCCCTCAGGCTAAGTTCCCAGTACACGAGGGCATTCTGAATTACAGGGGACGAAAGTCAGTTCCTTTAGCTTGATGATGGCATGGTCTGACCCTTCTTCAGCACGATCGCGGTTGCTTTGTGGGCAATGGAGTCCAATGTACCGATCACTCCTGATTTGCAGCTCACGTTTGATGGTGTCGTTGAAGGCGGCGTGGGGAATGTAAAGGTCAATAACCCGGCATGGTCTTCAGTAGGTAGGGTGTAGCCCAACGTAAAGGCTTTGAATTGATGAATCGATCTTGTACTACGGACATGTGAATATACACCTTTTGCAGATTGAATAGGTTAAATCCTTAATTTCATCGCCAGCGGTGCTTTCACTCCCTGATTCCGTCCCTGTGCGTGCCCCTGTCCTGGGCGACATCGCGTGACATGTTGAGGCAACGACCAACGATGGTTAACTGGCTCACTGAACTCAACCACGACCATGAAAATTGCGGTAGTTGGTTCAGGCGTCTCTGGCCTCGCTGCAACTTGGGTAATACTCCCTCTGTCAACCACTATTTGAAGACTGATGCCAATGGTTAATACTTGTTCGAAGGCATTGAACGAATTCAGTGGACACGAAGTCCATCTATTTGAGGCAGACGACCGTGCAGGGGGGCACGCGAATACTGTACAATTCCAGAATAAACGCAAAACCTCGTCGGTGGATGTCGACACGTGAGTTTATAGATTGATAATGACTTTGCGGCGTAGTTGATCTAATTCTACGGGATAGCGGTTTCGTAAGTGGGCCCTTGCCTGCCGATGCGGCTCGGATATAACAAGCACTCCTCTAGATCGTCTTGAACCCAAGCACTTACCCAAATTTTCTTCGATTCCTGGGGAATCAACCAAATGTTCAAATCCTGCCAACAGAGATGACTTTCAGCGTGTCTCGCGATAGAGGGTACTTCGAATGGGCTGGTGATAACCTCGCGACAGTATTCTGCCAACCCTCGCGAATCCTTGACGCCAGCATGTGGCGCTTGATTTACGACGTACTCCGATTCAATGCCTGCGCACGGAGGCTCATTACGGGGGAGATGGACAACGAGCTTTCGATAGGTGATTATTTAGAGACGAACGGATACTCTGACGCCTTCAGAGATAATTATCTCATTGTAAGCCCTATCCCACTCGGAAGCAACGCAACACGTTGCTGACTGCCCCCAATAGCCCATGACGGCGGCAATTTGGAGCACGCCTCCAGACCTATGTGCAACAGACTTTCCCGCTAGACCATTGGTAATAATCCTCGAATTTGATTTGGGAATCTACTCGTGCCGACGCCACGTATATCTAGGTTCAGTTCATGCATAACCATCATCTTCTACAAATCACTGGGAAACCCGCATGGTTAACCATTGCTGGCGGAAGGTAAGTCTACCTGTCGCATTCCAACGTAGGAAATTTAAGAGTCTCGCCCACTTTCTAGCAAGAAATACGTCGATTCCATCATCTCGAAGCTACCGAAAGAACGCCTTCATCTATCGACACCCATCACATCAGTCTCGACACATTGCCACGATGATGGACAAGAAGTAGTCATGCTACAGACTGCTTCAGGCCACGAACTAGTGTTTGACCGTGTAATAATGGCCTGTCACTCGGATACTACTTTGGCTGCATTGAAAGCAGGCGGGGGCATAACTTTGGAAGAAGAGACGATTCTCAGTCGAGTTAAGTGGAATAAGAATGAAGCTGTACTGCATTCGGATATACAGGTAGGTCCCCCCTGCAAACCCAGCTTCATAGGCACTCATGGCATACACAGTTTATGCCTAAAAGCCGTTTAGCGTGGTCCTGCTGGAATTATCTCACTTCGTCTGTCGTCGACAAGTCGGGGCGTGTCAAAGCGAATGTTGACCAAGTTTCTTTGTGAGTGTTTCTATTTCACAGCCGAGAGCACGTTGATAACGCTTCGTAGAACATGTAAATGTGACATTGTTCTTCCATGGGCCTGTACTTATTGTGCTTTCAGATAGCATGAACCTCCTTCAGCACATCAGCGAAGAGAAATTCGGTCCCGTCCTGGTGACGCTCAATTCCCCGACACCGGGACCTAGGGAAGACAAGGTAGTGGGGCGATATCAATATGACCACCCTGTGATCAGTGCTTCGGTAGGTATTCTTCCTCCTGGGCCGTGTCTTCCTTTGCTGACTGTGGAATGGTAAGACTATTCTCTCGCAAGAAGAGATGCCAAAGATTCAGAACAAGCGCGGTATAGCCTATGCTGGAGCCTGGCTCGGTTATGGATTCCACGAGGATGGGTTTACATCTGGTCTCCGAGCTGCTGCCGCTCTCGACGGAGTAAAAATGCCCTTCAATATCTTGGAGCCCGATAGAGCCCCGGAAGACGCAAAAATCTCCTACCTATTTGATTTGCTCGAAATGTCGGGCTTGAGGAGAACATTGGGATTTTTTGGGTGCTTCTGGCTTGGAGTTTGGGTAGGTATCTTGGGTGTGATCGTCGACCTATCGCACTTGAACGAGACAAGAACGCTCAAGCCAAAGCAAGAGTGAGGTATGCATAGAATTAGGTATACAATGTTTTGGTCAATACGCAAGATTGTTTTAGATCACCAATCGGTAAACTACAGATGTTGGTATAAAAGCAAAGCAAAACATGCATGTCCAAGCAAAAACGATGCATGACTATCGAACGAATCATTCATAAAAGCATATAGAACGTCTATAAAACAGGATGCCAGCTCTACTTGGCTCGCAAGTTGAATGTAACCTTGTGCCTGGTGGAATCTGGGTCTTCAGTTGCTGACTCTGGGGGAGGGGTGTCTGAAGGAGTCGCATCGGCTGTGGCAGAGTCATTCCGATGGTAGGATATCCGAGGAGTACTGGCCCCGCTTCGGGGCTCAGTATCTGCGAAGCGCACGGAACGTGACGGTGACGCCTCTCGAGAGGCATGCAAAGCCAATACACGATCTATTCTATTATTTCTGAAAGGGCCCGAGTTTCCAGAATCGGATGTATGGGGTCTGGCATGATCTACCTGCCGTCTTCGAGGACGAACGTCACTGAATGGCCGGCCCCGTGGTTCCTCTGCAGTGTCTTCGAGGATCGGGAGCGCGGAAATGTGGTCGTCTTGTGGCAGGCCTTTCCGAGCCGAAGTCCGTCTGCGTGCTCGACTGCCGAGTTTCGGAGCATGCCGCATGAAGGCCTTGCTTCGTCGTTTGCGGTCGGATGTGTTGGAGGGTTGGAGAGCCATTGCCGAAGCGGACGCTTCTCCCGGATTGCTACGGTCTGATGCCCAACCTTCTTCGTCCTCCCGATCACTGTGACCGGCGTGCTGCTCGTTGCCTGGATGAGCAACAGCGTGGATAGCTTGTTTAGCTCCCTCCTCGACATGCCTAGCGTCTTGTGCAATAGCATGGGCAACCGCATCGGCATCCTGTTGAATTTCATGAGGTGCATGACGCAGCTTCCTTAAATATGGCTCGATTTGTTGATGCATTAGATCCTGAGGCCCGCGAAGTAGTGATCGCGTTGTTGGGAGTTCGTCGCAATTAGCATTGCGGATGACTTCCACTTCAACCTCTTCTCCCGGGCCTGCTCGTCTTTCCACGACTACATCGGGGCCTTCTTGCCATTGCTGTAGAATCTCAGTCCCGTCGGGCGGAGTCTCTTCTTTCGCCTCTTCGGCTTGTCTAGCCTCCTCTCTCTTTGTATCCTCACTAGAGCTTTCTGACAAAGGGGGCTTCTCGGCAATGTCTGTGCTGCCGCTCGTAGAGTCGGTGTGTCGTGCACGTGGAACGGCCAGCTCCGGCTTAGCCGGGAGAGCACCAGACTCAACATCGGCATCCCTGTTGACGACGATATCTTCGCCCCGTTGTACGTGTCGAGCTTGGGTTGTCCAGTCTGGAGGTGCATGGCGTGACCAAGTAAGGGACACGGAATGGACTCGACGCCCGAGAGAGAAGGAAGGAATAGATAGGCCATGGATCGTTATAGATGTCAAAACCATGAATGCAGTGATGGGTTGGATGGAGTTCGCCACTAGCTCCGTTTGTTCGTTATCTGAGTGAGCGTTGTGGAGGATCTCGGCAGCGAGGGTTGAGATAAAAACAGCACCTGCAAGGTAGTTCAGTAAATGTGAAGTGGTTATCATAAGGAGTACACACCGATGCCAATGGGGCCGAAGTGTCCACTAAAAAGGGCCTCACGGAATGTTTTCACGTCGGGGATCCACTTATACAATGCTATCATAATTGGCAACCGCCTCAAGAGCAGAACTAAGATGGCGATTACAATCAGTCGCCAAACGGTCAAAGTGAGCTCGGCGTCTTGAAAGCTGCTGAATGGCATCCACGCGCCGACGAAAACGAAAGCCGCTATGTTGAAAAGAAGATCGATGACGGAACTGAATGACGTTTCTTCGGTTTGCCTGTTGAAGAAGCCATCCCATGCGAAGGCGGTTCCGCAAGCGAAGGCAGCAAGCAGATCATCGGTCCCGAGAAGCGTGCAAACCCCGATCGTAAGCAAGGCCAACGAGATATATTGGGCAACGTATGAATGTCGATCGATGAGGTTGCGTCGTTCACAGAACTTCATGAGATGTCTGAATGCGAACCCGAGCAACCCACCGATGACGACGGCCATGATGATGCTATCTGGATATGTTATAGATCAGTCTTCCTCTGAGATTTGTGGAATAGTCGAACTCACATAGCCAGAGGATGAGGAACCAATCGCCAACAGCTCTGCCAGTGTTTGGGGCATCGATGATAAGGTACAGGGAGAGGTATAGGAATGGGAAGGCTGCTCCATCGTTGCATCCACTCTCAGCAGCCAGCATATGTCTGAGATGGGCTGGAACGTGTTTGTCTGCATACTTTCCACCAACGACGGCTGCGGCGAGAATTGGATCGGTAGGCGTAAGGCAAGCGGCCACTGCCAAGCTAGACAGAAAGTTCAAGCCTGGCACAAGAGCATAAATGAGGCCAGCCGAGACAAACCATCCCTAGAGGCCAAGGGCAACAAAGAGCATATGTTTAGTGACGACGGCCAAGAACTGAGAGAATCCGGACGTACCCAGGTCATGACTGGCACTAAGAGAAAGAACATGCTCTTCCAATGGCGCGCCATGTAGGCTTTTGGTAATTCGACACCTATAGCGAATACACCGATAGCTAAGACGACGCGAGTAAACTCTAAGGTGATCATGTTGGTAACCTCTGTGCTGCCGCCCCAGTGACGGGGATCAAAGATTCCGGCGCCATAAGGACCTGGAAATAGCGCTTCGGTCAGTCTCCAAGCCATGGACCAAGATGCTCGGCACAAACCTATGATGACACCAAACAAGAACGCCCAGCACGCCTCGCCGATATATAGCTGCAGGGTGAATTCAGCACTGCTCGATTCCTTATCTTGCGCACCACACACCTTTTCTCTCAAAAGCAATGAAAACATGCCGAACTGTTCAGAAGTAAGTTATGGGTGGCATCCATAAGGTGCTCGGCACTCACAATGACTACAAACCCTCCCAGACATGCATAGGCAACATGGGGAATCGTGACTTCAAACTAGCCAACTTGCGTTAGTGGTGAAATGGGCAAGCAGCAGGGCACGAGCGAGTGGCCGAACGTACCGGATGGAAAACCATGGTGGCGCCGTCAAGAGTCCTAGCGGGTTTCACGCCGTCTATGCACTAGCGTCAAATGAATCTGCCTGTTCGTCGTGGAGAACGGTGAGCTCGACGACGATGGCAAAGCGGTTCAAGCCTTGGTCTCTTGGCAGAGGTGTGTTTTGAAATGTTATTATAGGGGCTAAATTCTTGGGTCAATGCTGCTGAATTGAATTGTCTGACCTAAGCAGTGGTGATCGCTTTCCAGAGACTCGGAGCTCGCGCTTGCCTTGCTCCCAACCGCAGTACAGATTTGCGACGACTCACTGCACGGCGAACGCGAGGGCTCAAACAGGTCTTGCAGTCGCTTCCGCCACTTCATTTATACTGAAGCTGACTTCCAGAGGCAATCTGCATTGAAGATCCGAAACATTCAGCCTCGTGTGGGGGGACTTGCGTTATCGCCTGAGGTCTTGCCGAAAGACTGAGGCATTCTCCGTGTCCACGGTATCCACCTCAATCCCAGGGCACTTGATGGAGCAATCTAACGCTCTTCCTGATATAATCTATGTACAACCTCGACAGGATTACAGAACGAACGGTGATTAACCGGCGGTTACTCGATCGCACCTCAACTTTTCTGGACTGCGCACCCTCGCGTTGGGGGCTCCCATTGCTTGCGGCTTCGCTACAGGTGCCCCATCATAGGTATTATTAGGCCTGGACCTGTCCTCCGCGTCGGACGAATAGCAATACGACGCCTTTTTCGTTGCGACCTCTGTTCCCTCAAAGCTGAACTGCGATACGTTGGGCTAGATGCTGCGCGCATTGCATCTATCGACTTCTACTTGGGGTGGTGCGGGGCTATCGCACAAACCCCTCTGCTCCTCAGGTTGGAGACACCGATAGATTGACCAAAGTCAGGGCTCTCCATCCAAGACTTTGCAGATTTGCAGATGCTGCATCACTTCTTCGGATCTGACGCCTCTTCAAATGCCTCGTTGGCCTCCTTGATGTGAATGCAAGAACTCCGCAGAACGTCAAATAACAGTATCCTTTATGAATCCTGATCACATCGTTGCTTCGACACCCTAGCGTTGCGCCCTCGACTTCTGACGTTCCTGAACAATTCTATAATACGATACTTCTGTACTTATTTTTGACGTGCACATCCAATGGAAGGTATTTTCGCAGACTATTGCTGTAATGCATATCAATTTGCAAATGTCGTCTCTGTGGATTGGTTAATCCGGGCATACAGTATGTGAGCGCTTAAATCAGTGTTGGTTGCTGATTGGTCCGTTCATTGTTTAACCTACTTTTGTTCCTGGCCACAGGCGCACAATGGCCCCGGCCAAGGACAATTGTGCGATTGCCCATTAAAATAGATGGACAAACGGCACTGCCCATTCGCCGTCTCCCCCGCTTTGACAGCGGTATCATATACCCTTCATCTCACTTCTTATCCCCCCAGATTCCCTTTTCCCTGGCAGAGCCATATCCATTCACGATATTCCTCACGACTCCGCTATGAAATCCTTCATGCTATCGACGTTTCTACTGTTCAGTTTCTGTGGACTTGCAAGGGGACACGTAGCCGCGTTCCACAAAGGTAGGGAGTCATCGATCCAGCTCTTGCTTCCTGTGGGTCACTCACTGGGCGCACACACATGTAGGAATGTACTGTTTGAACGTGAGCATATTCTGCACGGGCCGCCGAGTCGTACTCCTGGATTTAATTGATCGGTCGGGCGCTGTTGTACATAGGGCACCGAACGGGGTGTTGTCAATCAAAATAGTGTCGACGCTGTACAGCCTTTGTTTAATGTGCGTGCGCCCAATCAAGGATTTAAGCCTAAGCATCTGATGAAGGGGGGGCAATGGTAGCTTCGAAGGGACGACTGGTGGTTCCATCATGTTAACAACGTACGCCCACTCCCAGCTGCCTTGCAATCGTACCTTTGAGCTTACGGTCTACATCATAGTGCGACCAGTTTCCTCCCGCTCCAGGGGACTTTTTGGAGCTGTACGTACGATGCTCGGCGAGGACTGATCGCACCACTTACGTCCACATGTAGGCCGGCTGGGGGAACGTTCACCGTCGAACACGCTGTCAATCAAGCTTATACCTCGCTCTCATTTGGTGGGAGAAACACCGGGGATTGGGTGAACGGTGAAGCTGTTCCAAACCTCGGCGACTCTAATCGCGCAGCAGACGGCGAGATGCCTTGTATTGGAAATCCCAACCGTGTGTACCCATACATTCATATTGTTTCACATTCACCGACTTACGGCGGGACCAGTCCATACGCAGAATGAATCTATGGCTGCGGGAACCGCCTTCGCAATCTCATATGAGGTGATTATTGTAGTTGCTCCTCGGACGGCAAGATGCTCATAAATTCTCAGTCGGATATCACCCGAGTCACCCCGGAGAACCTCGTTATCTTCACTGTTGCGTATAAGTGAGACTCCTCGAAGGTCATGGTGCGTTGCATCGGCTAACCTTGGTATCTTTCAGCACACCCTGGAGGCGAGTAGCAACGTACTCCGTGCCGGCCGCAATGCCAGCTTGCCCTCCCGATGGGTGTATCTGTGGCGTAAGTCATCTTCTTGCACTCTTCGCTCCTCGATATCTAACTATTACTTCCAGTGGGGCTGGGTGAGTCTAAAAGTCTGTCTCGAGGCTCGTAACTAATAGTCGGTGCTACGTCGGAAACACCAGGTGCCAAACGGGTGAGCGCATACTTCGCTTAACTTTATATCACAATGAACTCCTCTGATGAAATACCAATACTTCAGATGCGGTGAACCCAACATGTACATGCTACCTTATCGATGTACCGTCACAAATGTCTCGCCCACCTCTTCCCTTCGCCTTGCACCGGCTCAACCAGGCGTATGGTGTGAAGATGATCCCTCGAAATGTACCCGCGGAGCGAAACAGATGATTTTTTGGAATCAAGCCGAGGGTAATAACATCGAAGTCAGCGGTTCAGATCTATCTGGGCATCCCCGCTCACCTGCATACAATGCGAAATTGGGATTCGCTGATGGTGCGTCCGTTCTACAGTTTGGGGACAATTATTAAGTGGTGTATGTGAGTAGGTGCTCAGAATGATATCTTCGTTGCGGATTCTGCGGCCTCTGTGACTTCTACATCCACTGTAACCACCTTTACCACTGTACGTGCAACATCGACAGCGCCAATCCCCACGGGGACTTCCGACACCCCACGCCCCACAGAAAACCGCGCAATCCACACCGCGATACCAACTGCCCTCCTCCCTTTATGTTTGTGTTTTGTTTTGCTCTCTCTCTCTTCGTAGCATTCCTTGCAGGCTGGGCCTATGGTATACTTTAGAATTAGACCAGCGACTTGGTTCTGTATGTAACATTTGTATAGCATAATGCAAAAGTAGCGCGTGTATCATTAATCAACGGCAGCCTTTGATGCACGCCTTGATGGCGCCACTGATATTCCGACCACCCAGGAGGCTTGCAGGAGGCTTAGAAAGACATAACGAGCCGTATTTGAAATACTGCTGCAGAAAGCAGTATTCTTGTCATAGATCAATGTCCGAGTATAGGGAACTTGGGTAGAATACTACCGAGACACTGGTACTCGGAACTTTAACTTTGACTTCGATTTCGATGGTAATCTACCATGAAGTCATGTGACATGCTGCAATTTGGCATCGCCACTACCCCGCTTGAGTTGCTGACTACCTTTCGCGCTACGCCGTATAAATTGCGCCATATCCGCCTCGATGGCTTCCATCACTCCTCGCGCCTCCGGATTCTGGGAGGACTCGCGCTCAATGGCGTCCGGTTACTTTTCAGACGACGATGACGGCGACGGCGACTCTGACCAGCAAAGCCGTCTGCTGGCTGGTGATGACCGTGACTTCGACGACAGGACGCGCCTAGATAAGACCATAGATCGTATTGGGATGGGTATGCACCGAAATCACTGCGAAAGGCCACATGTATTGATGTTATGCTACAGGAAGTTATCAGTGGACTCTGCTGTCGCTTTGCGGTCTCGGTGAGTAATTCTCATCGTTCTCTGCGTGGCTTTTGCGAGGATTCACCATGCCATGTTGCTGGGCCTCTCTTATTTACGCACCAACTTTTCAAGGTTGGATGGCCGATAATGTAAGTCAGATTGCTGACAACTGTGCACCCCTTGACTTGTAGCGTAGATGTGGATTCAAGCAATTGCAATCATCCTGCCTAGGGTTCAAAGACACTACTCTGGTACGTAGAAATAGTCTCCAGTGCTAATACGACTGACCGGGGGACATTACGCGTAGTACCCGACTCATACGTTGGCGCTCTCTCTTCCTCAATGTTTGCTGGAATGATGTTCGGGGCCGTCGGTTGGGGTGCATGTTCGTCGTCTCACCCCACATCCGGTCGCCACGGTTGTCCTGATCATTGATGTAACAGGCTCGGATCTGATGGGCCGCAGTGCAGCGTTCAATGCAACGCTGTTCTTTACAGCCGTGTTCGGCCTACTGGCCTCCTTTTCGAGGTCATTCCTGTCTCTGTGTGTGCTTCTCTTCCTTTTGGGAAGCTCTGTCGGTGTAAGATAACCGGGTCGCTGCCCCTGCGTTCACTCTTGATAACAACTCAAACAGGGCTCAATGCCTACCGATGGCACACTCTTGCTTGAACATATGCCCAAAGGCAAACAATACTTAGTTACTGCCCTATCTGTGTTCTTCTCGTTTGGAGCAGTCCTCTCCGCTGTCGTTGCGCTCCTGGTAGTTCCTCAACACTCTTGCCTATCCTCCGGTCCATGCGACCCCGACGTTGACAACGTCGGCTGGCAATATCTTCTTACGGCACTTGGGACAATAGTAAGGGGTACCTTCAGAATACGCTGCTCACCTTAACCTTGTTACAGACGTTATCGATGTTCCTTGCGCGGATGGTGTTCTTCAAACTTCACGAATCCCCTCGCTTCTTGGTGCACGCGGGGCGTCCCCAGGAAGCCCTCGAATCGCTACAGATGATATCCCGCTTCAACGGCTCAGATCTCACGTTGATGTTAGACGACGTTGATGACCAACGCCCTGAACGAACATCTTCGCCGCAGCAAACAGCTGATGAGCAAAGCAAACAAATTCCACCTACAGCACCTCACGACTCTAGCTCATCCCAAGTGCCTGTAGCGGATTATCAAGCCACTGGTGAAGCCACTGTCAATCTTGAATCACATTCCCTCTTATCCTCCGCAGACCCGCCCACTCCCAGCGAGCCTTCTCCGACAATACATTCGCCCCGACCGACTCGACCCTTTCATGACACTGACAAGGAATTGGGACTTCCACCCAGTATATCACCTCGTAGGGAGTCCCGCTTTACTTTCAATGACCCTGCGCAAGCGGAAGCCACCGACCCTGTGCATGACCCTCCGCCAGCACGTCCTCGTCCTGCTCATAGACTATCCCAGGCCTCTACGCGTACGCGCCGGCGGTCGTCGTATTACGATAACAACAAATACTGTGGCAAATTACCAAGGTGGTTCAGGAAGCCGCTCTTGGCGTGGTTAGACAGAGTCAGCATGGTCCTAGCTCCAGAATGGCTCAGAACTACTTTGTTAGTGTGGGCGGCCTGGTGTTCGATGTCTCTCGGTTCGTTGTGGTCGGGAAAGCATATTTGCCGAAGTGTTAACTCGTTTATAGCTTATACCATGTTTAATGTGTTCCTCCCGAAGCTCCTTGAGTCGTCGGGGACCGCTGGCGCTGCCACGGGCGAGAAGACATTGGAAGCATCTCTGTGGGATGTTGTTATATTTACCATTGGGGGTTGTCCCGGTGCCATAGTCCGTATCCCAGTCTCTGATAATGTAACATAACCCGCTGACGCTTTTCGTCGCTTTCAGCTAGGCGCCTATATGATTGAGTCGCCGTTAGGTCGGAGGTGGTCACTTGCTTCAAGTACCTTTGTGACTGCCTTCTTCTGCGTCATCTTCGTTGGAGTCGAGTCGCCGTGGGCTGTTCGAGCGAGCACGGTGGGCATAAGCCTCAGTGCAACGGTGCGTGTTGACATCATAGCAGTTCTACTGCTTATTCACCTTTGCGCCGTAGGCCATGTGGGCTGTGCTGTATGGGTATGTCATGTTTCCCAGTATAACGGTTCGAGCCCTCATTGTTTACCCCAGATGGACGCCTGAAATATTCTCCACGAAAGGTAACCCCTGTTCGTATTTGGAGCTGACTATTTCTTAACGGTTTTGTCAGTGCGTGGAACAGCCTGTGGAATAGCGTCCGCCCTTTCGCGAATGTAAGTCTTCGTCATATCTCCACCATGGAATAACAAATGACCCTGTATCCAGAGGTGGCATGATTGCTCCCATGCTTGGAGGCGTGCTCCTCATGATAGATCGCTCAGTGCCCGTTTACACCAGCGTTGTTACATTCGTCCTAGCGGGATGTTGTGTCCTGTTTTTAAAAGGAGATTCGCCAGAAGGAGCAAGTGGAGGGGTGCGAAGTATCTTACACTGACAGCTTCTACGGACAAGTTATATCTAATTGCTGTGCCTACCGCTGTCGTGTGCTCTGTACGTTAATGCTGGATAAGTGCTACTCTTAATTCGTAATCGCTTCCCTGCCGCTTCCTGGTGGAAAAGTGGATGGCAACGGGATTCCGCACCTTGAGGCTGCAACGCACGCAGCGCCACTTATGACGCTTCAACACGACCAATCTCACTGAATAACTAAGATGGATCTGCGGAGCACTGACCATTATAGATGGACCTTCGATCATAATCGAACCATTGGATTTTTTGATGGAGAATTCGCGGGCCTTTGGCGGGGACTAAGCACCCTGCCAATACCCCATTTGCCTTAGAGATGCATCACAAGTGTCAATCTGTCGCAATCGTGGAGCTGCGTTGACCTGTCCTTCGTTCATTTCCACGCTGCGTTTTGGCTGAAAAGGGAAGGAGAATTCTGCCAAAGAAATGAATGATGAACATACTCAACTGGCTACAACTATTTACTGCGTGAAGCCATCCGTTTGCTTTTACCTGGCCGCTTGTTTCCTCCTGAGCTGCGTTTTGAGCCTGACCCTTTTGGCCCCGGACCTCGTGGTCCTTTGCCCTTTCGTCGAGAACCAGATACAAAACTGTCAGTTGACTCCCGGGTGTTTTGCTTGCTTCGCCTATCAGCGCCGCCAAAACCGAATTTTTGGTCCCGAGATTTTCGTGATACTGGGCCTTTGCCACGTTTGGATGGTCGGTCTGAGATGGCGTCTTCTACGGCGACGTCGAAGCCATCGTCGTCCGCAGGTTTGTCCAACATGTCACCACGTTCTGGAAGAAAGTTTGAATAATCAGTAAACGTAGCATGAGGTATAACGCAGGGATTCACTTCTCTTGAGCCCTTTCAGCCTCTCATCCATTTCCTTGCGTCCCCTCTCTCTTTCTTTGAGTTTCTCGATCTGAACCTGTTTACCGAACTTCTTCCCTTCCCGCTCGCGTCTCTTCTCTTCACTCTTTTTGATGCCAGCGCCCTCGTCCAGCATGTGTTGCCTTATTCGTTCCATATGAGAATCAGACTTCACCATCTCTGCGAAGTAGTCCGATGGGCGTGTAAAGGGGAGGTTGTGTTTTGCAGCCAGAGAACGGGCAGTGTTAGCGCCGTGTAGGGCCTGTTTGTAACTGCCCAGCCTGTTAGAAAGGACCGACAGACTTAGGTAGCACTCACAATGCAAGCTCTCTATTAAGATCGTCAGAAACATCGACGTCAATCGTTTCTGGGTAACTCAGAACCAGAGTCTCCGTCCAGGACATTTGGGGATCAAGTTGAATAGTTTCCCGTATGCGTGCCATTGCCACCTACAAGGATTCATAGCTGAGTGATTTAAGAGAGAAATAGAACTCACCGTGTCGTCGATTTCGACTTTTTGTTTCGGGACTACATCCTCGTCTAGTTCGCCACCGTCGAGTTCGTCCAAGGCTATTTCCTCGTCTTCATCGTCGGCTACACTAGCGCCTGCCTCCTCCCCATCAGAAGAACCCCCTGCCTTATCCATGTCTTCGTCACTAACACCTGCACCCTGCTCACCCTCCTCTTCATCTCCAACCTCTTCTTCAGAATCTTCCCCGTCTTCCTCTTCAATCTCAGACCCGGCGCCATTATCTTCATCCTCCGAGTCACTCCCAGCAACCAACCCGAGCTGAGCGCGATCAAATTCATCCAGTCCATCGTCGCCCAATGCACTCATCAGCCTCTCCATGCCTTTCTCATCCACACCCCCATTATCGCTGTCGTATTCTTCGGAATCGGAGGATTCAGGTTGCTGTACTACTTTTGATCGGCTTTTGACAGCCTTTTTGGAGGAGGAAGGCATTTTCGTCAAGTTTACCGTTGGTTTACTGTTCACTGGCGAAAGAAATTTCACCAAGATCATGATTAGCGCCCGCACGTGGGACCCCTATTAATTACCTCTAGGAGTCGTATGCACGAGTACGCAAGGGAGCAACCCATTAACCAAATGAAATCCATAATCTAACAATAATAGTCCCTTAAAGTATATATACCGCTGATTCTTGGCTTATAATACAGACTCGGATGTAACAATTGGAAGTACTTGGCCTTCGGTGGTCGATGGACACTTAAGCTCAGTTTCCGAGCCGATTGATGGGAGCTGGTACTCGTCCCTTGGCCCCGTTATCGCAGAGACTTTACTTCCAGAAGGAAATGCCCCCTGCATCTGTTTAACATCATGGGTAGACAACAGCATAGCAAACCCCGCACCTTGCTGATATCCCACTCCTTGTTGAAAAGCGGCTCTTCCTTCATGTCGCTCGAGCCTCCAACGCTCCCTTGGAGGCTGAGCTAAGCACAATGCCTCCCTTTACGCCTGCCCATCCGCTTGTTACTCTATCAACACCTCTTGTCTTTGCGGGCTCCAAGGCAGGAACGATCGCGGAGGTAAAAGGGCTGCTCTCTGCGCCGACGTCGATTTTTGTATACATGTCCATCCCCAGCTCCACATTGACGTCGGACTTCCCAGAAAAGGCCTCAACATGAAGATGAATCTTCGGCTGAATATGGCTATTAATAACCGCGCGCCCGTTTGTTCCATTAAGGATGCTGATATTGGTGGCTGTGGACATATCGGTGAGCACAGTATGTCAGTGGGAATTCAACACGCACAGGTTCGAGTGAGGTTCGCCTTCGTCGAACTCTCCGCCGCCCTTGGCGGATACCATACCTGCACTGCATAATGGGGCATTGATTTAGTCATAAGTGGGTGCTAAAGTGTACGATACGTACCGTCATCGAGCACGAAATCCATGGTAAGGTTCACACTAACGGGGAGACCAATCACTGCCTGCATATGCGCTGTGACGTCGAACGATGACTCGAGTTCCAAGATTCTACCACGTAAAGATATAAATTTGCTTTAAGTGGAGCGGCTATGTAACTCACCCAGGTACACTGATTGGTTTCATAGTTTGGTGCCATAACTCCACATCCTTCGACACAGTGCTCTACAGTAGGCGTGAGGGGGAAAACCAAACATCCTGCTGGTATGAGACACACCACTAAGGAAGCAAGGATGTTGAAGTGGGCGCTGGCGCTCCCAGAAAACCCTGGAGTATGACGCATCATAAGCATCCGAACGATGCGACGTGTAGCGAGTTGACTTGCCGATAAACGACGCGAAGTTAGTGATCTTAGGGGGAGCCAGAGTTCCATTGGCAGCGAAACCGGTGTATATCGTTCCGTTGAGTCCATTACCCAATTCGATCCCCAAGGAGGCTTGCTTCCCTCCGCAAGCCTTCGAATTCGACACCATCATCCGCGACTGTGATTGACTAGCTCATCGGGAAGAATTCCGAAGAAGAGTGAGTAAATATGTGATGCGGTGGATGTTTAATGACCTACGTGACCTGATCCTGCATGGTCATCAACTGGAAAGTCTTTGGGTGAAGCCTTGCCCTTTCCGGAATGCTCTTGGTATCAGAGCCACCTTGAGTAATGGTCAAATTTGTCTCGATAGACCGGGCTTGGACGCCCGATCCGTCCTCAGCAGTCATAGAGAAGAAGATGTTCCCCCAGCTACATGGCAGGCGGAGTCAACGATCGAACATGCACACTGAGAGCAACGCGCACCGTGACGTATCTATCTTCTCGAAGTCTGTGTCCAACTGCAGGGCGTAGACGTTGGGCAGCCCCCGGCCACGGCGTTCGAAGCGTCTCGTGAGATGGCCTGGGATAGATTGCTCGCTGGAGACGGCCGCTGCTGCAATCCGGGCAAATGGTCCCCTACCGCACTGCGGATAGGTCAAATAAGGTCCACAAAATTTGCGTTGGAGTGAGCTTACGCTTTCTGGAAGACGGACGAGTTTATTTGTAGGACCTCCGTGTTCGAAGAGGTGATGACACGGCGAAGTCTCTGACGCATCATCTTCACATACGAGACGTATATCCTGCCTGAGTAACTGAGGATCGCAGGAGAGAATTATCCATCCCGCAGCGGGTGATATGTCCTTGATGACTTTGTGAGAGCCAGTCTGCAAGTTAATAATGGGTTAATAAACAGGCAAATGTAATGCCAAGGCTACCCACAATCTTGATTGCGCCTGAACCAGCGGACTCTGGAAGGTCATAAGCGCATTCCCCTAGAAAACAGGGCTTGCTCCAGTCGTTACTAGGCTTCGCGACGACCTGAAAGGCAACGGCAAAGGCTACCCAGAGCGTGAATGCCTGCATCTCCGTGAGCGCGAGCTGCAAGGAACGTGGGGGATTGCTACGTGCACTACTTCGCCATTCTGGTCCTGGAATCCAACTAACGAGAGACTAGCAATGTCATTAGAGTACTAGATACTACCCCGCTGTAGGTTACCGTTGGCAGATCGCCTGAAGTAGAAATGTCTCTTCGGCACGCTGGCATTTGCTTTCGGCACGTCTCGGCACGATCAAATGAACAAGCCTTTGGTTGAGCTTCACCAACGCCATAATTCTCAAACTCGTCAACCCAGTTCGTTCACCATGCCGACTGATAATGAACTCAACTTAGTGCATGCACGTGTAGGTTTTATGCGGGCAAGAAAGAAAAAAGAACAGTCCGTCATATAGGTTATGAACAGGTGAGGCGAAGAATCTAAGAAGAATTCCACTCTGGGTGTGTAAATACCTTGTAAATGTAATTAGTAAGTATATTTACCTTGTAAATGTAATTAGTAAGTATATTTAGAGTACTTATGCCTTGTGTCCTGGGCAGGTACTACGGCAGCCACTATGCATAAATTCCAATACTGTAACAGTAAAACGCTGGGAACTATCAGAGTGAGAGTCCGATCGATCGATCAGATTACTTAAGATTACTAAAGAGTGACATGGGCGTTTAGATAGTCAGCTGACTAATCCTTATAAGCTCGGTTACTCCACCGTACCGCGGCATTGTGTTTCAGACTTCCTCTCTTCTGGCATGGCCCGCTGGGATCATAACACGAGGCCTGTGCGTGTAGGCACTCCATGGCCAATTCCACAGTGGCCGACCTGGCTCTGACTCCGCTTTCGGCCAGTCTCGACGCGAATCAATTGGCGTCCGAATGTGTCTTCCCTTTTACCGCAGGCACAAAGCACCTCCGCGCCATGAGATCGCGACTAATTTAATGCCCCAAAAGGATTAGAGATGATATCATCGTACCCTGGCCAAATTTGGGAGTACCGGACCAGACGACTTGCTGCAGATACACCGCTTGGCTGTTCTCTGACACTCTCGAAAGGCACTGACTGAATATTTCAAGACTATCGCAAAAACTCCACTCACATGACGTCAGTCTTCTCACGCATTCAGAATTGGGGGTATAAACCCAGACGGCGAGACAGAGCAAGCATCGAATCAGCAAAAACAACTTATGCTTTACACTGGACACCACGACGAAATGCTGCAAGAGGCAACTAGCAGCGGACGCAAGTACTTCACTTGAATCGTGTTGGCTCCAGCAACTGATGCTCTACACAGGAACCCAAGGCCAGACGATGCGCGATTCGACGACGCCCAATCCTCACACGCAGCCCAAGTATTAGACATTGCATATGCTGACACTAATACAGCGCTGATTAGCCTTAGGAACAGCGACACTATTGGGTTAGCACCAGAAGGCACTATTGGAAGCGCTGGAGCTGCAACACCTACCCCAAGAAGCCTGAGTTCGACGAGCATGAATGTCGCGGGCAGAAGTCATGAGCCTGGTGAGTATCACGTGGCCGTTTCGCACGTGGACGATCTGCGCATTCCCAGCAAAAAAAAGCCAATCGCGTTCAAACGTTGAACATGGCTCATTCATAGATTTCTCAACTCCCGGTCCCTCAGAACGTTCGACGAGTGCGTTGCGGATTTGTGCACCGTTCTCCGCTTGCTGATTACTGTTTTTTTCTTTTCTTTTTTTTTTCTTTTTCATACAAGGTCTTGTCCACGATTGGAGTCTCGCAGATACTCAATCTGCTGCAAGGTCCCCCAGGCCAAGGGATGACATTGGAGGTATGCCCGGCTCACACTCTTTGCCTGATCGCGGGAGGCGGGCCCCCCCTCGCGGTCGCCCTCCATCCCGAACCGCCCATTTTGCACGACGTCCGCCCCATTTACCTGTCGCTCAGTCGAGCATCTACGACAGCGCGTCGCTGCAGAGTGCTCAGGATCCCTCCCACACAAACATGCCATCACCAGCCTCATCGTATCACTCATCTCCTACGTATCCGGCGCCGCCAGTACCTTACGGTCTCCAACGACAATATGTGAGCGGTTACACGATGTCCCCCCACACACCCATGAGCATCGGGCCCCTCCCCCTCCTTCGCTTATGGGTTCCCTCACACCGACAACATGATGACTCAACCAATACACGCGAGTTACCCATCCATGTTGCAGCCTCACCCTACTTCAATGTACCACTACCAGCGTGGTTCACCTGACGGTGGTCCCGAGTTTGCATCCTCCTTCCCAAGGCGCGGGCCCTAGTCAGATGTACCAGCATCCGGTTGGTCCTCCAGGAGCGCCACCTCCGCCCTTGTCACCTCAGGACTTTCGAACCCTCCATCATTCTCCGGGACCAGTCAATTCCATTCCTTACAGTATCACCCCCATACACCCCCATACTCGTATCCCCCACAATCATTTCCATCCAGCAACTTTCAACCGCAATATCCTTACGCACAAGCCTTCTCCACGCCCTCCCCTGACCGCGAGCATGGTACCTGGTGGTATGTGCATCCCCATCCCCAGACACCTCAGTATGAAGGACATCCACCGTACGCCGGTCATTACTCGAATTATCCCTCACTCCAACCAGATGTAGACCAACGATATAGCCAGTCAAAGTACCCCTGCTTCAACTCCTTCGACCTCCGGTGTACCCTTCCAATCAACTCCGATCCCTCACGGAGAAAGTGCGCAACCACCCATTTCAACGCTCCCTCGCTCCCCTACTTCACCCGCTGATCCACCGCCGCTATCCCCTGCACCAAGCTCTCTGGATTCGCGAACAGGTCCCAATCCGCTTTCAGAGAGGCACATTACTCGACGTTCGTATCATCCAAATCCGCCTGCCCATCGATCTGAATGGGTAATGTGGGTGGGAAATGTACCTTCCGACGCAACCCACGATGAAGCATGGCGATTCTTCACAGCTCCAACGGACACGAGAGATCAAAGTTTACCTAAGGATAATGGCGTTTTGTCCATTTTTCTTATCTCCCGATCATGCTGCGTCTTCGTAAACTTTGACAACGATGAGCATCTACGGGCGGGTATCGAACAGTTCAACGGCGTCCCACTACGGCCGAATGACCCACGATGTCCCAAGCTCGTCTGTCGGGTGCGCAGAATGGATGACGACCTCAAAGCTGGCGTAGGAGGTCAACGAGGCAGCGGTATACATATGCGGTGGATAAAAGAGCAGAAGAAAAAGCGTATCGATCACCAGCCAGCCGAAGTATCCTCATCGGAAGACCCGCCGACCAGTCCATCGGAATACTTTGGCCAGGCCTCCGTTTCCAGCGATGAAGACGGGCATGTTCCGCGGATGACCAATACTCAAACGAGCAGCTCAGGAGGATCATTCGCTTCGACCACTTCCAGTATGCTTGCCAAACACTTTCCGCAACGCTTCTTTATACTCAAGTCATTGACCCAAGTGAGTTTATTTGATTATATCTTGCGTATGATGATTAAACCCTAGAGCATCATTAGTATGATTTGGACTTGAGCGTTGAGAGAGGTCTGTGGGCTACTCAGAAGCACAATGAAGGCATTCTGGATCAAGCGTACCGTTCCAGCAAGGACGTCTTCCTGATCTTTGGCGTCAACAAGAGCGGTGAGTTTTATGGGTATGCTAGGTGAGTTTCATAACTTCGGGTTGATGACCGGTATCTAAACTGATCTCAGAATGGCTGGCCCTCTGCGGCGCGGTGAACCACAGGTATCTTGGGCATCAAGAACAGATTCGTCGGCCTCCTCCCGATCACCTTTGTCTCCATCGGGGCTACAACAAGAGACCATTGCCGAAGAATCAGTGACACCTGCTTCGCAGGCGAACCACCAGTTCCTCTCGCCAGTGAGACAAGTTGCTAACTCTCCTGGGGTGATCACCCCTGATTCCCGCGCCGATGCTCGCCCTCACCCGAAGTCGAATTCTGCGCCTCCGGTGTTTGGCCATTATCAGCAATTCAGCGGAACTAAGCAGCACACTAACCTTAGCCTAGATCGTCTGGTCCGGACCAAGGTTGCGGGTGCTTCATCAGGCGAATTTTCTCGGGATTTTGAGTTGGACGCGGGAGCACCACAGAGGGCGATTCGAGACAGGCAAAGTACGGAGGAGGGATCGACGGGTAGCAAGCTTCATGTGGTGGAAGAGGTGGAAGAGAAGGGGGCCGAAGATGACGGACACGCGGCGGAAGGACAGGCTCCTCCTGCCGATGGGGACTCAGCGTGGGGGGACTCTTTCAAGGTAGATTGGATCTGCACAGAAAGACTACCCTTCCAGCGGACCCGGCTCCTGCGAAATCCTTGGAACCACGACAAGGAAATCAAAGTCTCTAGGGACGGGACCGAGCTGGAGCCCACCGTTGGGCGGCAACTCTTGGACGAGTGGGAGAAGTACGTGCAGGAGATTGCATCAGGCGAGTTGAGACCTACTACTGGGGGGCTAAAATATCGCGTGGCAGCCAACCAATCCACGCCTTCATCTTCATCTATTATCAGTGATGTTTCCCCTGCCCCCGGTACCCCGATGGAGCCCAAAGAGCGCAAACCAAGGGCGTCATGATCATGACACGAAAACACGATTCCGACCAAAAACGCAGCACAAACTATACACACGCCACCTAGCGCACGCAATTTCCTTAATCGCATCAATCATATACAACATGACAGTCACCTTCATTCACGAATCAGGTACTGTCACTTAAGAAGTAATTTACATATATTTTTGGGACCTTGGAGGGACTCGCAATTTGTCCATTCGTTGTGCTTTGCGCCTTCTCGGCGATGTAGCATAGATAGAACCATCATTTGTAGCACCACGTACCACAGCATTATACACGAGCGACGTAGTGCGCTGGGTTTTGCCATTTTAAAAAATGTCTTCACAGTCGACCTCTGTATTTCTCGTTCGGCCAAAGGTGCCGAAATAATGACTGGTCAAATATGACTAATTGTCGTGAAGAGTTAGATTTGATCAGAGAATCGGTTGATAATGATCCACGACCTACCGCAAGAAATACTGGAGGATACCCTAATCCTTTGCGATCCATGCGACGTCGCTGCAGTGTCGCAGACGTGTCGGCAATTTAGAGATCTTATCTACTTCTCGGATGATAACCATCTGTGGCGGGCGTTGTATCTCTCCCAACCCCTAGACGATCCTCGCATATGCGTCGACCAAGCAGGGAGGCCCACTGGAAGCGGTGAATTTGATTGGAAAATCAATCTACACGCCATAACAAGAGCGAGATTGACCCTCAATGATCCCAAACTTCTCCGAGAGGGCGAAATCGTCACCATCCTACGAACCTTGCTGAAACTCACCACCAACACTCGGCCAATTTCTCCATCATTTTCCAACTTGTACGACGACATCTCTCAGAACTTACTATGGGTTGCGGCACATCTCCGCAAACATGACGACTATTTCTTGGACTACGGGTTGTGCTCCGACCTAGATGCGACATCTGAAGAAATTCAGCTTCGCAGCAGGCTGCATGCGTACTTTGGCATAACTCACGGCGACGTCAGGCGGTCTGCTCGCTCCGCGTCCCGTGCGTACGTCTATTCGCTCCGCAATTACTCGGATGCAAATCAGTATGGGCCGTATATGATGGATTACAGTCGGAAGGTCAACTGGGTGCATATCCAGGCGATCCATCACATATTCGCTCTTCATACTGTGAACATCCAAGAAAACGACGTCTTCGAATACGCTATAATTCCCATGAGCATGCCACATATCCAGCCGATCGTTGAGGATGTTTCCGACTTGGATGGGGAAACAGATTGGGCCCAGGTCGAAGGAGATTGGATTTGCTCGTTCTGTTTCTGCGACCACCGAGACCTACTAGGTAATCAGTCGGTGCTCCTACCACACCATGATGCTGACGCATTTATTTTGCGTAGAATTCAACCAGGCAAATGTTCAGGTAAGCGCATCCTCGCAATCCTATCGATGCTTCAAGGCAATGCTGATGTCATTGAAGACCGAGGAGACGAATCCATTAGACCCCTCGTTCTTCGAAAGCCCGATGTTTCGAGAAGTATTCAGATCCATGACCGTGAAGCTGAAAGTCACAGCGATAGATCCATCCATCGACGGACGGCGACCTACTATCCACTTCACCGGAGGCATGGGTGATCCAGCCAGCGGGTCGATGACAGGCTTTGTGGAAATGACGTCTGAGGCTGCTATCAGATGGCACTTTGTGAGCCTATCAGCTACGTGGAAACTGAGGGTTTTTCTGAGTAGCACAAATAGGTCTCTGGGGAAGCAGGCAATAGCATATGGTGGTGAGTCAAATTGCTTATGTGTAGGATCACTGATAATTACCAGTCTGGCACAGTTCTGAAGGAATACAAGTAGGTTACATTTGAAAATTCTCCATCGCAAGCTTGTCCTCTAATATCTTCGCGAGGTCGGGGGTGTGCGGTCCCTTTATGGTGTATTGGGGACTTGGACGACGATCTTCCATGATTTTGACGATCCAGTTGGTATGGTTGCAGTGCTAGCAAATCTGGCTTTCGTTAACCTCATTCAACAGGCCCATTCTGGCTGAGAAGGCTTGTCGGTGGTGGTCGACGGTAAACTTTAGGCGTCACTTATCGGAGAGATTAGTTAGATGATCTTATCTTATCTTATCTCTCGCGTTACATAAATGGCACGACGTGCAACCTGAGTCTGGTCTTGTTGTCGACGACCTCAACAATGTCAGACCAATCGCCTCCGCCTAAACCCAAACCAGGATCGCTGCGCGACCGAATCGCCGCTTTTGAGAAGTCTAGCGCGTCGGCAGCGCCTGCGCCTCCCCCACCACGCCCAAAGCCGGGCGGGGTCTCTTGGAAACCCAAACCGCCATCACCACCATCGTCGCCCAAATCTAACCCAGATGGAGAGAAGAAGGCTGGTGGTATGTCTGCATCAGATGCGAAGGAGAGCATTGGAAAGGGTGTATCCTTGAAGGAACGAATGGCAGCTCTTCAAGGTAAGGGCGGGTTCGGTGCACCAGCACCAGCACCTCCTACAGCACCGAAGCCAGGTGTGGAGAGGCCAAAATGGAAACCTCCCCCGGTCGTGTCGCCTCCTGCGGAGGAAGGAAGCGATCCAATCGTTTCCGAACCAACAGTGACTGCGGATGTTACCATCGAGGCCCAGAAGTCTCTACCTATCGTGAGTGAGGACGCGTCGACACCCCCCGCGCCTCCAACAGATGAGGATGAGAAGGATAAAGAAGCAGTCGATCCAGACGAGGAAGAGCGCCAGCGACGTGCTGCTATCACTGCTCGCATCGCTCGTTTGGGTGGTGCTCGTGTTGGTATGGGACCCCCCATATTTGGAAGGCCAGCCGTACCAGCCAAGAAGCCATCTCTTCCTCACGAAGAGCCAGCCGAACAGAAAGAATCGAAAGATGAAGAACTTACTGTGAAGACCCTTGATGGCATCACTGGTATGTCCAACACACACATATATATTGTATAACATAGATTTTCATCATTCCCATAGACGAGCCGGTACAAGAACATGCGATTGATCCATCTAAAGAACGCCATTCAGGTAAGGGATTTTCTATTTATCGTGTGACCATCCTTCTGACGCTATCCAAGTAGTTTCTGAAGAAGGAAGCAGTAGTGAGGGGCTTCAGCCTCCGGAAGAGGTCTCTCCTCCTCGAGTACCCAGCAGTATGCCTGTCCCTGCTGTGCCTCGTAGAGCTGCACCTCCGAGGAGGAAGGCCAAATCTCCGGCTCCTCCTCTTGAGGAGGCCTCCCCCACCCCCTTGACTACTGAGGATGAATCCCAGGCAGCTATCTCAGACGACGTCACTCCTGCTGCTGCTCCTGCGCCCCTCTCAGAACCAGCCGCTGATCCTGAGGAGCACGGTCTGAAGCTACCCTCATCACCACCTATGGATGCACACGTCGAACCGGTCACATCCGAAATGGGCCCTGTGGATCTGCCTAAGGCAATGCCTGGTGCTGATGACAAGGAAGATGGGACTCCTGCTGCCGTTGACATGGATAAGACAACATCTTCCATCGCCGATAGGGATTCAGACGAGGCTGACCCGCCCAAGGCAACTCTGGCTAGCGCTGAGACCGAATCGGAAGAGCCAGTTGCTTCTACCCCTGCTCCAGAGAAATCTGACAGCCCCAACTCACCGGAGGAACCTTCTTTCTCTTTTGCAAAGGAATCCACTCAACCGGAAGTAAAAGCGGAATCTCCCCTGCAACAATCAAACCTTGAAGTGCATGATGAAGATGAAGAAAGAGCTGAACGCCGAACTGTCGATGCCGATGACAAGACCCCTTCCCCTATTTCCCAGAGGGCCTCAGTAGCCATCGATACGCCGTCACCCACAGTTGACCTTGCAGCAACTTTTCCGCCTTCTGATGCAGTCGCAAGCCCCGCCACCGCCTCTCGTGAGGAGGAAAGTCCAGAACCCGTAGTTGAACCAGCTGAAGAAGAGGAAGAGGCCGCCCGTAAAGCTCGTGTCGCGGCTAGGCTTGCAAAGATGGGGGCTGTGAATCCCTTTGCCCCCCCTCCTCAGAGAAGACTGTCTCACGACGTTGTTTCTCCTCCACCTACGAGTAGGTCGACAAAGCCCGCCGATGAGGGCGTCGCAGAGCCGTCTACTATACCGCGCTCGCCGCCTATCGTACCGGAACGTGACGAAGATGTGATCATTCAGAAGGACATCTCTCCTGAACTCTCCGAGCCGTCCTCGCCAGCACCTGATACGTCAAAGACGCAGAAGGAAACTGAAGACGGTAAATATTAATGTTTCTACACCGAGGTTGCTTGTTATACTTATCTCTATCCAATTACTCGCGAATGTATTGATCCATTAATGCTGGATCTTTATAGATATACCCTCAAATGTAACGGAAGACGCGAAATATCCCATTGATGCTCCATTACGTTTGCTCTCTGATGAACACAAGACCTCCCTCGAGAGTATCCCTAAGCCTGACATCGACGCAGTGGAACATGGAGCCATCTCAGATGCTGCTGACGCTCGTGCATCTACAGCATCTGCGTCGTCACCTGATGCAGTCTCTCCGCCCGTACAAGCGTCCCCTAGGGAGGAGACGGCGCATCATCCTCATCCTCCCCACCCACGACGCTCTCTCCCTCCTCCGCGACGGGTCTTACCGCAATCTCCCGACGATGTACGCGACAATACCCACGTAGTTGCATCCCCTGACGACCCTACGGTGTCCCCTCCGCCCCCTGGCCGTATTGAAGAGTCTAAGCGGCCTACGAGATTACCTCCGCGCACAATATCCGATGATGAGGAGGCAAACGCAGAGGAGGCACACCAGTTGGATAGTGTTCACGAAACATTCCCCCGTTCCAATTCTCCATCCTCCGGAATTGAACAACTCCCAACTCGCTCTGAAATAGGTGGTTCACGGTCCCGTCATTCCATACCACCGATACAAACGCCTCATATGCAGCTTGCGCCTGATGAACCACAGACACCGTCTCAAGCTTCTCAGCCTGACGATGAAGCGCTGCCAACCGTTCCGCGCTTCCACCCGTCCTCGCAAGATGGCGACGATGAGCAATCACGTCCAGAGAGCCGGGGGTCACCGATTGAAGGATTGCAGTTGGAGGAAGTGGAAGTTATTTCCCCTGTACCTCCCCCTCGCTCGTATCATGCAACTCACACACCCTCTGAACTTCCACCAATTGGCATGACTTCGCCGAATCGCGAAATACTCGACGAAGAGGAAGGAGGTAGAGTCTCGTATAATACAACCGTATCGCGGCATCTAATCGTATTTTTAAGATCCTATTGATCCCTCTTTCCACAGCCCAGTTAGCCCAAAGTCGTCAAAACCTAACTTGCGAGCCGACAACGAAGCTTCGGAGATCGAGCCCGCCGTCGACGATGACCAAGCCAGGCGGCGAACCATTGCCGAGCGCATGGCCAAGCTTGGAGGCATCAAGCTTGGAGGCGCACCCCCTTTGATGCGCAGGCCCCCGCCTGCACCCACAGCCTCCTCAGACCTCCCCGAGGAGGGAGAAGGGCCCACTCCTACTGAGCCCCTTCAAGAGGAAGATGAGGAAGATGAACAAGCCCGAAGGCAGCGTATCCTCGCCCGACTTGCTGGAAGTGGCGGCATGCGACTTGGAATGATACCACCATCTCTGCCCCATCACTCCACCACTCGAACTGAAACCGAAGAGGAGCCCGCCATTCCTGCGCCTCCTCCACGTCGTGCCGCTCCCAACCCTGATATCGAATCCGCTCCGCCGCCCCCACCACCTCCCCATCGTGTTCCCCACTCAGCCCGATCAATTCCTGTTCCACCCGTGGACACTGATTCTGATAGCCAGACTTTCTCGGACGCTGTTCAAGTCGAAGCCGAAGAAAGCGAGCTCGAGGAAGTCAGCCACGAGGACGCAGACATTCCCCCTCCCATTCCAGTGAGAATAGGCCGTCATCCATCAGTCGAATCGACGAGTACTATGCGGGAACAACCCAGCAGGAAGGCATCACTTCCCCCCGCGCCTCCGACTGGTCGTCCCCCAGTACCCAGGGTCAACCTCACTACGCGAAGGTCCTCTACCGATCATAGTCATCAAACACACCAGACAGCTGTATCCCAGGGCGACTATGTCTTAGTGTCAGATTCAATGTCAGATCCCGAGGAAGTAGCTCCACCACCTCCACCAAGGCATACAGTCAAACATTCTGCTTCCCCCCACGGTGTTCCACCTTCCTCTGCTCCTCCTCTAGACCTTGGTAACTCCCAGTGGGAGCTACCTTCTATCCCTGCCGCCTCTATCGACTTCGGCGAAAAGGAACCGGATCTTTCCTTATCCAACTGGTCAGAGGACTCGGCTACATTCGCTACTTCACCCCCACCTACTTCGGCACCGCGTCCAGAGTTTGTTCCCGTCGTTGGCCACCAGCATCTCGCCGATGATCATCCACGTTCTTCTGAAGAGTTGATGATGGTTTGGGGACGCGTCGGCGTGCAGATTTGTGAAGTCGCTACGATGCTTTTCGAGAAGTCAAAGAAGACTTTGATAGGAGATGGATCATACCCCGGTTTCATCCACGCTGTTTTAGGCGAGGTTCCAAATGCTGCTTCTCCTCGAGGACCTCTGGACTTCGGGAGTCTTATTTACATGCAAACGGCAAACGCAGTGCAGAAACGGCTCGCGGAAATCATGCCAGGGGATATTATCTTACTGGATGATGTCAAATTCAAAGGGCATAAAGGATTGCAGATATATCATCAGAACGTCGGGACGGACGAACCGTTGATCGCGGTTGTCAATGATTTTGAAGCGAAGAAATCGAAAGTGAAGGTATTTCAGGCGAATCAACACGTAGGACAACAGGTACGTTTTGTGTTGGATGCTTCTGCCATTTGCTTTGGAATGCTTATTTTTGTTGTAGACTGTTGAATCTGCGAGTTATCGATTGGAAGATGTGAAGAGCGGGGTTGTAAAGGTTTTCCGCGTACTTGAAGCATGAATAGTGCGTACTACAAATGTCAAGACGATGAGGGGCGCTGAGCTTTTTGGATACAATGCCCAACTGCAGCTTGGATACCAATATTTAATGGGTTTTGAGGATTCTCGTACGGAACTATTGCAATGTATAACACACGAAACATGTTCTGGACGATTTGACTCTCGGCTTTCACTGAGCCCAGTTGTGTTGTACGCCGCTGTTTCGGGGTAGGTCGTAGATTCATACAAAGCCTACTGGTAGCACACTGCGGAGTCTACATCCGGGGTATCATGATAGCGGTATTAATGGGCCTTGTGACGGTTCACTAGTAAGGGCTCACTGGGGCATCACGGACCCCGAACTGAAGGTAAACGGAGTACGCGAGCTACGCATCATAGATCCCTCGGTTATTGTTGAGTCGGATTTTTTTCCTGCAGGATGTGCTACGTGCTGACAAGTTGCGATCCGGCATTGCGTAGGTATGTAATAACCAAACATATTGTAACTCCCTTGTGCGCCTTCAACGTTCAACTGGAATGGATTGTCGCTCCCTCTACACGAGATCATAGGTGCAAACGTAGCCGTGCAAATCAGACCTCCTCTTCCCCCTATCCTGATTCGCCAAGCCTCCTGTCTGGTTCACCATCGATAACATGATGCCCGGTTTCGAATGTATATGAGATTATGTTACAACCGCGCGTTCAACTGAAACAGCGGCTTGGGACACACTTGAACCTGTAAGCAAATTTTTTCAGTCTTTGAAAACTACGCTCGTAACAAAGCCAGACACTAATCAGGCAACTTGTTTGGATCGTCACTCCCTCAGAGCCGATTCCATGTGAGGAAGGCACCGTGACAGTCGCACGACCGCCGCGTTCCGGACAACTGGAGTATTGTCTCAAGATTTCGATATGTAAATTCCTCTCAGAAACATCCCTCTCAGAAACATCAATCGCTGAACCCATACCCTCGTAGATTTCGCCTCACGGGACATTCTATCCAAAATGCAACGCACTCGACTCATTTGTTAAACTTCATCCATCTTCGTGACGCCACCCCTCTCACTCAACCTCTCGAGTCTTTTTTCTTCTTCGTCTCCTTCCCTTTGGCCTCTCCCTAGGATCCGCCTCACCAAAAGATAAGGCCAGAAGATTCGGTGCAGTATGGTCGCCTCCTCAGGTTTCTCAGTCCATTCCGCACTCTGGAACGCCATGATTCCCCAGATAGTTACCGATGTCAGTATCAAGGTCCCCGTAATGTAGTGATGTGCCGTTTGCCTGCCACCATCAGTTACTTCTTGGATGTTCATCCCGAAGACCGTCTATATCATGGTGGAAGTAAGTATAAGTAAGTAACCTTCGCACGTATCGTACGCTGGAAGGAATCAAGGACTCACAGCGAGGAAGGTGGCGGGGAGGAACAGCATGGTGAGATATGCAATCTGCTTCATAGCTGCGCTATCTTTGACGGCTGCTTGCGTGAGGAGTTGCATACGCCTACTATCCTTGATGGTGACCGAGCTGAACACCTAAAACCCACGAACGTCGGCTAAGTAACAGACGGAGCACCGAGCAAGTATCGGCTTACCAAGTTCATTACATTCTTCAGTCTCTGGTCTTGCGATTTTCTCCCTTTCTGCAAGCGCTCTATCTCTGACAAGAGGGTACGACATTCTGCCTCGATTCGGTTTCTCGAATGCAAACGGACCTCTTCGGTGATGGATTCCGAGTCCATCGCCGGGTTCGGCGTGTTGAGGACGAATCGCACCGTCTTGGCGAATTCAGTGAGGAGTTCAGAGTGATACAAATGATGTGCACGAATGATATGTAGCTCTTGGGTCAAGGCCATCTCTGACGTTTTGATGACTCGAGATTCCTACGCCAACTGGCTTCAGCAATCCACTCTTCTTGGCCATGAAGAAATGTAGAAGGGGCCCACGTACCAGCCAGCAAACGTACTGGTATAAAGTCTCCAGTGCTTCGTCCCAGGCATAAAGTGCGTGCCATAGATAGGTAATGAGAATGAAGGTTGGATCCGGAGACGTGGAAAAGAGGCCTTGCCAATATACTGACTGTCCTGCGAGATGGATACGCTGAGAGAGCTGACGGGCGGAGGTACCTAGATCCTTGGGTGGTGGTGGTTGGAGTCCTTCCTTTGGTTCCTGTGGTATAGCACGAGCATGATGGACATGACCATGTCGATCAGTTACTTTCTTGGGGTGCCCGTTCTCTGTTTGCTCCCGGCGGGGATGGTACGAGATGATAGTAGAAGATTTAGAATCTCTGATGAAGTGTACTGAAAGAAGGTCTAGGAGGAGAATGCGATGGTCATCTCTCGCCACTAAAGCGGGGTGGTCATCATCGTTATCACCGCATTAGAGGCTACGGCGAACTACGTACTCGTTCTTACCACGAGGGGTTGCTGTACGTCTATATGTTGATCTTCACCTGTACAAAAAGATACATGGTATACGTTGAGCCGTACCCACTTTGCCTAGCGAGGGCGAGAGCACCCACCAATGAACGTGTCTGAATCTAATGATGCGGAGGAGTGTTTCGGGCCCTCGGAAGAATAGACGTTCCCAACGCTGACGATTGAACGAAAAGTGTTAACCCTCTTTGGAATTGTGCTCAAGGGATTCGGTGAGACGGTCAAAAATGGTAAGGTGATTGTAATGTCTGTATCGAATGCGTAAGTAATTCATGCCAAGTTACCATGTGTATTCAAACGAACGGTCGCCCTCCTTAGGTCGAATGTCTTCCTGGTACCGAGATGGTATCCAATTTAGAGAAGAAGAGAAGAAGAATGGTTCGATGTTGTACCTTCGTAGATTAGCACTTGATAATAGGTCAACAACGCGAGTACTTACCTTGCGCCCAACATCTGAAGGACAGGACCAGTCATATTCTCCACAAAGAGGCATCGAACCTTCACGTCTTTGTCTCTCTACAAGTCTATAAGCACAAGCAACGGGTGTGATTAATCACAAATGTACCTTTTTAAGTAGGTAACGGTTCCAAAAGTCTTCGACCTCTGCTCGTGCAATTTGAATCGGTTTGCGACCATGGAAGATGCCATTGCGATCCGTATCCACTATATACAGAACAGAGCCCCTGGAAGCTTCGGGCGATGCAACTGCTTCATCGATTTTCGCTCTCTTCGTTTGGTCGCTTTCCCAGTTGGGGAAACGAGAGCGAGGGTAATCCTCCCAGCAGGCTCCTTTACAGCTGGAATGGTCGCATGGCTCTGGGACGGGCGGTTGCTCAGAGGAAAGTTGTTCAGGGCGGATCGTCGAGCCCAAGTCCATCCATGGCCAGGGGCCCGAAGGCGCAGCATGGCGATGTGGCGGTAAGGGAGCCCGCTCCACTTGATCTGCATCCTGCGGCATGGGAAACTGGGGAAAGAACGAACATGTCCTAGGCGCGGTTCACTTTGATTTCGCTGCACAGGCGGCAGAAATGACAGAAAAGCGCTTGAAGATCAACACGCCTTCGTCGCCCTAAGAATATAGCGAAACACACGTGTCTCCGTAGTAGATAGCTAACGTCGAATTCAAATACGCCCAAACGTTCAATATCCCAGGCTTCAGTGCTTCAGCTCTCAATAGATTCTAGAAATGACTCGGTAACAGTCCAGTAACAGTATTAGTAGCCCGTGGGGAATGTAGAAGATCATTGCAATTCCGTACTCGAAAGCGCTCATCGTTCCCAGCAAACAGAGCAGCGAGTTCCACCAGCTTGGACGGTTAACCCACGCTCAGATTCTACTTGAAACGTCCGTCTATGATTCATTGGGGGCAAACTAAGAAGTACGGCTCGTCCAAGCCAAGGCGTCGATTGCATCCTTCTTAACTCACAGCAGCGGTGCGGATTTCATTTTGTGCTAATCCTCGCGGCCTCCAGCCCGCAAGATCTATAAAGTGCAGGCTAGTGCACACGCGCTCCGAGTATTTTACTACGACGCTACGATGTGTATATCCACGACTGCAACACAACCCGACAATTGCGGGTGCACAATCTTCAGGGACCTATGGAACTGGATAATGGGAATTTTCTCTTCCATCCGTACGTTCTTAACATGTCATGCACGGCTGTTGATGTTCATTCTTGAGGAGAACACGGAATCGACGGACTTGCGAATTGCACTGAATATGTATTTGGTAAGCTCGGAGATGTGTACAACCTTCTGGCTGACTGACGAGCGCTGGGGACTTGAAATAGTTTGGGTGTACGAGCATATCAAAGACATTTCAGCGACAATCCTCCACGGCGTGACACACCTTTGTATTTGTCAACCTTTGATAATGGCGGCTGAAGCTCACCGTCTTTCTAGCAACCGGCCATCCTTATCTCTCGCTGATCTTGCTATTGCTCATCTGCGTGGGACCCATCCTACTGCTCGTGACCCTCGTTATTTTCGAGCAAGCTGTACAATACATCTTGTTCTTTTTCGGATCGCTCCTGCATGGGTTTGGAGGTGAGGAATCATTGATCAATTTGAAAGCATCTAGACCCGGATATTTGACGCTTGCACTTTCTGGGCATAGGTTCCCCGTCGCGCTGGTACTGGAGAGTTAACGACCGACGGTTTCCGTCTCGAGACAGATTCTTCCTCCGAGTGCAATCTTACTCGGAAAGATATAACAAGACGAGTACCGATCGCCAACCATTCCTCGTAGTCCGTGTAGTGGCAGCTTTGCTGTCCATATACTTCATCGTTGTTATTTGGAAAAGATGGTGGTGATCAGAGGCTGCAGTGATAGGAGGTTTCAGCTGTCCGTGCATCCAGAATAGATCTGTTTTATGGGTTTATGATATCTGAGAGCGATTTAAAGCATTGTCGTAAAGGGCGACTTAGCTAGATTTGTGGTGCGAATTTCCTAATGTCGACACCTTGGGGCTGCACCCGCGATAAATTCGTGTAGTGGCTTCTCGCCATCATGAGAACATCGAGTTCAAATCGGTGCCACAGAACTTGCTAATAGTGTTCAGGGACCCCACTTGTGAGCATGTAGGTGATATACGGGTTTGTGGCGGTGGTTTGGCGTGTTGGCTTTCGAGTATGCTTCTACATAAGTATCGTACCTACTCAGGGTATGGGGATGCGAAGTTTACCTACACTAGGTAAGTGGCAGTCGATTTTTTGGGACGAGTACTCCGTTAACGGAGTACGAGGTGGAAGAACCTGTAAACAGGAGATGCGCGCGCGATCCAGGTGTGCGATCCGTATCATGCCGGAGTATAAGGTGCCACGAAGCTGCTGGGATAGACATGAGGGATGCCTTGAGGACCACCCCTTCCAATCGAGCACACTGATGTGTGTACCACTTATGGACGCCACAAAACAAAAGCTTTACACGAGTCAGTCAACTGACAATTCCTGTTAAGCAAATCTCACGACCAATGATTGCACCACTGATAGTGAAATTGAGACTGTCTCCTTCTGAGTTAAATCCTGCGATATATCCAGAGTGCATCAGGGCCGTATAATTAGTTCTTTCGCAGTTTCGAAGAGACCTGGTTTGCGGCTTACGCGGATGAGCCTGAGTATTACAATTGAATGGTGGACAGTGTATTTCAGCGCTTCTACGCCTCCAGTTTTATCGGGTCAAGGACCGCAGGCGCCGTATCATACTCGCCTCGTTGGCAATCGTGATTTCTGCCTTCCGCTTCGCCCCGAAGTGATGATGAACATCGATAGTACAAGGAGAGTTTGCAGCGTGTTCATGAACATGAACATAGTGGTAGATCACGTGGAGCCTATGGGCCGAGTGGACAGGAGATTATATTGGTCAACGCCTCGTGTTGTCCAGCCGTTCAGCCTTCACCTCCTTCCACTATAATTTGGATTGAAGGCTGATTGGAGGGACCCGAGGGCCTGCTAGGCTTGGGTGCTTCAAAGCCTATCGGTCACGACCCAGGTGAGTGTTCTGAGTTCAGTCACATATGTTTGATATCTCACTTACCTCGTCACCTCCAGGCGTCTTGCCCTCAACTCGTGGCCTTGCTACCTACAGGCTAACGGACCTCGCATCCCCTCTCTTTCACCCCACCACGATCCTCGACCTGCTCCCATCCGCAGCGTTGAAATGGGCATCTTCACCAAACGGTGGGCGGCGGCTCCCTCGACGCCGAAAATTAAGAGTATCTCTCTCCCTGATGATAACGATATGCCCGCATTGGCTTCACGACACACATCGGATAAGATCGCTGCGCCCCCTCCGCCGTACAGCAAGAGTGGTGTAGAATCGAGACCATCGACACCACTATCCGGAATCTTCAGGACGCGGCGTAATTCTCTACTCAAAGGCTCTTCCAAGACGGTATCGGCGAGTTATGAGGCATACTGTACGTCCGCACTATGACCTTATTCAAGCCGCCCTTGTATAGATGGCTTACCTTGTATCCCAAGTGACCCTTCCTGCGAAACAGCATGTGTCAGGATCACCTGAACGGGGAACAGCTAGTATGTTCTTATATGTAACGGCCATGAGAAGCTAAGATCCAAATGATTTATCGTAGACAAATCGTCCGAAGGCGGGTCCTTGGCGCGGGAGCATCGTTTGCCGATGGCTGGTAATTATATTCGTGCACATTGCAGGCCCAATCAAATGCTCAATCGGCACTCGGATGCATTTTCAGGTTCATCCAATGTGACTGGAGGCAGGCTTCCAGAAGGTAAACTGAAACCAAAAGTTGTCCATGATAGCTGGGGTGGGTACTCACAATGATTGGATCCGGTGGGAACGATGCTCAACGCAAACGACAGTTCTTCAGTCCGGGTACAACACAGGGACGCAGACCATTGTATTTCCCTCGTCGTCCAAGCCCTTGGATGGTGACCTATCGTTTGGTGGTACAATGCAGGCCAGATCCACTATGGGGAAAGTTCCCAGCAAATCGTACCCACCCTCGAAAACGGGTGACCATAGTAAGTAACTGTCAACCTAAAGTGATGGGAAGTGCTCAGGGATTACCAGTGCCAGCCGATGAATATACCCGTCGGAGGCACCACTCTTCTGCTGGAAGGTCGTATTCACCTCGTGAGTAGATTTATACAGATTGCGCGTCTGACCTAAAGCCGGAGTCCCTGTAGCGGCGTGTGTACCATCTCGCAGGGCAGAGACGCCAGGCCCGGGATCTCGGACAACGACCGTCAAAAAGGGTTCGTGTCCCAGTTCTTGTGTAGCCAATACGGAACTGATGATACGTCGCCATTGTAGTCCCAGCCAAAGTGGAGGCGATTGCATTGAGTTGGCCCCTGCTTAAGTACAACCCAGCGCGCCATCGACCACTGCTGTACTTCGATATTGCCTTCGATCCAGAGATACCCGGTAACATCCGGGCGAGGAAATGGGGCGAGGGCGTTTTCATGAACCTCACACCTGCCGAACAGGAGATGTCGATATGCACGCACGACGTCGTTACGGATATGCACATTGTATATCCGAAACTTCCGTTATGGCCAGTCCATGTCCATCGACTCGATGGTATACGCTGCATTGATGTATTTGAGGCCATTTACAAGGTGTTCAATAAGCGTTTGCGGAAGGAAGAAGCGATACCAGCGGAGCACATACACGCATACCGCCCAGCGTTTGAGCAACGATGTCGCGACTCCCCGTGTTTGACAGAGTATGAGAAGAAGCAAGGGATGCGCAGAGTCGATGTCCTCAGAGGGACGAGGATGTTCTCGGGCTTGACGCAGGCGAAGGACGGAAGGTGGATATTGGAGCTGGCGCATCCCACTGGTGGGCATTGATCGTGATATCGTGCTTTCATCGCGTCGGTAAGTCGTGCGTGCCGTTATGATGTAGGGCGCCGTTGATTCACACTACTACTTAGTTTCTCAACATCGGCTTCGGGCTTTTTGACGGACACAGCAGGTTCCCTCTTCACGATCATTTGTATCTTTGCATTAACTTCGAGTTTGTCACCATCATTCCTCCGTACTAGCAATTCGTGTATATTAGCCTCACCAATCGCATTGTATACCATTATATAACGTACCGTAGCGGTATCAGAGACAGACTTGGATGATGCCAATCTGAGTCGGACGTGTCAGCTATTCCATTGGTCTGAAAGCCTCTTCGTTTGTCGGCACTTTGGGGAAGAAATGGCGAGCAGAAACTGTTTGGTCGCTCAACTGCGCGTGAAGGCCCGTTGAAATGCTGAGGGACTTTTCGAGGGGGCCGCCTGGCTCTACAGGGGTCGTGAACTGGCAACTTGGGAATTATTTTTGGCATCACGATTTGCAGTCGATACCAAAAGTCCATGCAAATGCTTTTCATCGACATCTCTTGACGAGTAGACAATAGTAGAGAGCAAGACAGTCGGCGTGACTGCGCCTTGACTCAGAGCTAGTCAAGTCTCACAGCCGCGCCTATTTAGCGCCTCGTGGCACAATCGCATTTGGTATACGTAGTTGATGCATGTGCATCACGGGGTTGGTAATAGATATAATAGCTTGTATCGTTCGAATGCACCGTAACCACGGAAGTAAAATGAACTGGTAAATGAGCCATATCGCGGCTTTGGGCTCGGGGAGGGAACGCTTCGCGGGATCGAACTTTTCACCCTTCTGCTAGTTTGGAAAGGCAGCGACTTCCATGGACCGTGTCACGACGGTTCAAATTGGCTGGTTCATCCTGCGCCGGGGAAGGACTTCGGACGAATTCCTTGAAGGTACTTTGAATGTCATGGGAGCGCGAACTACTCACACGTTGTCCACACGCACAATAGCACTAGGCAACTGTGCTTCTATCGTAGGCTCACCTCCGGTAGCATGACTAACTGCTTGCCATGGCCCAGCTCCTTAGTACTATTGAGGGGTCCATCTGATGATTAGAAAACCGGTAGGGGATTAGTACACCCTCCCACAAAACAGGCACGTCGGTACGAATGGGGAGGCGAGAGAATGTTGGTGGGAGCCTTGTCCGGGCATTTGAAACTTGCGATCCTCCCATCAGATAGTAGGGAGGTTGGAACGAACGGGAAGGCTACCTCTTTAGGATTAATTGAATGTGCCACAACTAGCACCTGAGGCCTGAGGATGTGGACCAACCTTGCTAAGGCGCGGCGCGCAGCTGACAAAAATAGACAAAAGTGGGGTCATCCTTGCATAATCTGTCGTACGGAGCTTCTAGGGTTCCGCCGTAAATATCTTCAGAGTCGCGGGGGATCGTCGAGTGTGCCAGGGACACGGTAAACAGAAGGCACCGCATTGGCGAGTGGCTTGGGAACATACAGCGCGGGAGGAGACGTCAAGACGTCAAGACCACGATCGCGAAGTTCACATGAGAATGCTCTCTAAGGATAGAAGGTTTTGATTCGTGAGTGATATTCAGTGCGGAGGTATGTTCGCCTCACCGCGAGAATGATGAACAGGAGTGAAGAAGTCGCTTGGTGCGATATTCCGAGTTAGTCTTCTGTAAGGAAATTATATTAAAATATCTTGAACTGAATAAGTCAAGTCATCGAGGAAGTATTCACTTTAGGGCAAGGGCTGCCAAGGGACGCGTGAGCAACCATCAAATGTAGAATGACAGGCCGAATCGATTGCCGCACCATGTTAGAAAGGGAAATGTCCGTTGCCTGTTGTCCTGCTAGAAGCCCGTGGCGCAGCACTGTGGTTAATCCTCCTTAAGCTCCTTCAGCAGACGAAATGCCACGTGGAAAGGTATTGTCATGTTTGATTCCCGTACATCATCCTTCAATCTCCACTTGTCGAGATGAATCTAGAGATAATAGATTATAAGGTCTATGTACACCGGTTAAGCGAGCTCGCGTCAAGATTTTAGACTCCTCCGCAGGGTAAGGGAGTTAACTGTGAATGTCGCCTTATAGCCGAAATAGCAGTAGCAAAGCCCTGAGATTAGAGTGTCGACGACGCTAAAAGTTACACCGATAAATGCTTTCAATCGGGAGGAAAGGCGCGGTGATATAATACGGCGAAATCAGCATATAACTTCCACTAATAGATTACCGGAGACTCGACGAAGTGCGATTGAGCATTTTAGGTGGCCTTGACTTCGAGCCCGCGCTTGTGCTTTCTAACGTATCTTCGAATGCTTGGCACACCGAACTGCATGCATATGAGTCGGCTGCTTGGAGCAAAGTCAGATCGACATACCTGCACTGTCGGATACAACACCAGTAGCATGAATCCAAAGGACCAGCCCCATTTCACTGCCGTAGGGAACGGCTCGGAGAACTGTCCCTTACTCCACTTCGCGATGACAAGGAATTCAGTAATGACCGTCGCCAACAACAGCCAGACATGCTGGCCCATTCTCACGGCCTTTCTGGTCAAGGACGTCAATATCAGTATAAACGAATGTCGGAAAGAGGACAAACCGTGGGTCATTAATATACTGGAACAACTCTCTGACGGCTGGGAGGGCGCAGAGGAAGATGAAGGCCAAGCGAAGAATGATGATGGGGTGATCCGGTTCCAGCCACAAGAGACTCTACGAAATCAGAACAAGTCCAAAGGAAGGACCGCGTGACATACCTTCAAGTAGAAGGGGTTTAGTTCTGCGGCAAGGAATACCGCCAACAACAAGACAACAGTCGAGTAATGGAGGAAGTCGGTGGCTGTCCCCCACTTGAACGCCGTGAAGTCGTGTGGGGAGAATTGGCTGAGCACCCGTCGTGCTTTCGAGCGAATACCACGGTGCTGGCGGAGACCACGCCATTCATAGGGCTTCGAAGGCATATTAAGCAATTTGAAGGAAACGACAACGTGTAGATTCCACCTTGACTTCGAAGTATTGGCATGTTTTCATCCCTGTGAATTGCCGTAATTTATTACAGTCGCAATGGGCGGAGTATGCCATAAGTAGCATACCTAAATATGTTCCAATCCAATTGCAGAGTAAAACATCTAGTATCCACTGTGTACCATCTTAGCAGATGTTTGCGGGGAATAGATGTACTCACGTGGTCCCACCAACACTACAGATAGTGAGATTCATCTTAAAGTGGACGTAATATTAAATACCTCAGCAAAATTTGGTAATTGATGCTGCAGGCTGTACTCGGCCAGCTCAAACATGATGCTCAAAATCTGTTTGGCATCAATAACCCGACATTTGGTGACAATTGATTGAACGTACCCAACAAAACCAATAGTCACGTAAGATCATTGCTTTACCAAACCATCCTGAAAAGGTTAAAGAAATCAGTACCCCGCTACCATAAGAAAGTGGTGTCGGAAGCGAACCAAGGGCATGGGCAACACAGAATATATCAAGTGCATTCTTGCAAAGGGGCGTGAGTATGAGAAACAGTGTGGTAATGGAAGGGATCCTTACCCAGATGGTCCGAGGAGTCAATGTACAGTCTTCTGCGTAGCTCTTCTCTGGTAGAGGAACCCCAAGAGCGGGGTCTATGTAGGTCATCATCGTCCTCGCAGATCCGAGGTCTTGAAACAACAGGAAAACTAGGGCCAGTTCGTATAGAAGGTTTATTCCAAGAACTACACGCCAAAAGGCGGGGTGTGGTCGGATGAAGGGTCCATCACGGAACTGCAACATTGAAAATACGAGGAATGATGATATTGCTGCATAGACACCGCTATATTGATACGGTCATTACGGGTTCTTAGATTGCGGGAAATACTTACATGCGACGCTTGTCGCGACCCTCTTCCAGAACGTCCTGGGTAGTAGCTGAGGCCGACGAGGACAATGTCAGCCATATGCATCGCGCTATTAAGCAGTTACCCACCAACGTATGCGAGGATTATGAGACCAACAGAAAGCGCAGTTAGCGTGATGGGTTTGTAAAAGAACCTAAGTATCCAATTGGTTTGTAGTCACAAGTTTACTACAAGAGTGCGCGTACTCAACGCTAGTATCATGTCGCTCCTGGAAGGGCGTTATGCGCGTGTATGATTCCGTTCGGTCCGCCTAGAAACTAAGTTGTAGCGCCTGTGGCCATGTTCTAAGGCTATAACATACATCGTACCCTATTAGGCATAACAGCAAGTAAGCCAGCGTTGGAAATATAAGTATTTTGATCCTTACATCGCACAGGCACACCGTCGATCCCCGGTATTGGTTCAGGCTCTACGACAGGCGAAAGAACAGCATCAGAATCCTCTTGGGGTGAGGTTACTTCGTAATTTTCTTTGGCAGAAGCCATGACGGTCGGGATTGTGCCACAATCAGTCTATCGTGACGAACCTTCACAGCAATTATTTCAAATGTTCCAAAAGGTGTCAGTGAGGGTACGTCGGGACGCGCATGTGATGATCAACTTACCGCGTTTAGTCTGATGTTGGTTTAAATACACGGTCTCTGCTTCGAAGATTCCGGAGGCAGGCGCAACTCGTGGATGTATGTAGTATGGTGATGTGTTTGGAGCTGAGTGAGCGCTCATTGCAACGGTGGCGGTTGTTTGGCGCTGTTTGCCAACAACCATCAACTACCTACTACCACGATAGGACTATATACTCCTGAGTTCCGTACGTCCTTTCATATATAGTGAGCGATCAGGCAAACGCTGGTGGAATTCCTTTTAGAAACAGGTCACATTGTTCCTCACGGAGTTCTATGGAGATTTGACGGAACGACCGGCATCTTATCAAGCCTGGCACCCATCAAGAACATGGAAGACTCACCGAGCCGGTCACCCAATCAGCCAATCTTGACAGGCCCGTGTTCCAGGTGCGATACCCTCTCTTTCCCTTCTCTATTCTGACTCTTAGCCGTTTATGACGGAATGCAGTCTGGGAACTTACTTGGAACGATAGGAAAGCTTTGGCCAATCGCCCGCATGGCCTATCGCCTTGTCATGATCGTCCAGAGCCGCCAAGGTTCATCGATGTTCCCAAACAGAAGAGGGCCACCAAACCGTGGAATCAGTACGCACGAAACCAGATTGAGTCGACACTTGATTTCTAACCTTACTTGAGAGCGTTCGTTGAACAGGATAATGTATATGATCCTGTTGTGGGTAGCTACTTCTTCAAGAAGGCCAACGAAAGCATCCACGTGCTCGTCGACAATATGTGCGAGAGATTCCACAATCGCGAACGCAATCGTGCAAATATCGAAAGCTAGACTTTCAACCAACGCTGAACGAGTGGCATGAATCACATATCGAACGTAGGTGTTCATGGACGCGACGGCACTCCCCCGCCGGTACCCCACTAATGCTCATCGGACCGCGTTCTGAACTTAATGTCCACCCTGGCCGGGGCCTGTGTCCATGTCATCATTGTAGCCCGGTTTGGTTCGCTGCCTGGACTCAGGGATGCCAGAGTATGTGCATCATCTTTGAATTTGAACTCCTTGATCATCCTTTGACCTCATAATCAATACTGCGACCTGGAGGCTGGAGCCGGAGATGACCATGCATGATGTGGGTGTTTACACACCGACTGTCAATCTACGCCATTCCAGGTCATCTCTCTAATTCACGGATCTTCCGACCTATTTTACCGTCTTCCAAGGTCGTCAGTGGGAACTGCATTGGAGTCCTTGTAATTATTTATCTTCCTTCCTGAGATCACAACCGATTAATATAATCCGACCTACCTAAATTGACGAATCCATTTCAGGCTACAGCTACCCAAACGTTGGGAAACTTGGAATAGTGGGCGAACATTCCCGGCATGTTCGGACTAGGGAATGCTCTGCTCCCATTTCATTGTCTTCGATGCACGCTCACCAATAACGGTGATAAATCAATCAAATTCAGTCGAATGCGCGTTAAATGTTCAGGCCATCGCCTGAGAGGCAACAAATGTGTATAACGCCACTAACCTTTTCTTAGCGGGAAGTGAGGAGGACGTCCAGCTCTTCTAATCAGATCGTCGCGCAGCCCTCCTCCCCTACATGGGGCCATATCCTGGAGCGAGGTGAGAAGCAATTCCGAAGAAGGAAGTTTATCGGGACTTTGCACACGCCATTCATACCGCATTTCTCAGCGCGTAGGAGACATGCGTTAGGGGCCTAGTCACACATCCAGATACGCTCAGGGACCAGATAGATTAGGCAGGTTACATCTTTCTCTCATGCTGCATTGGATTGATCCACTGATTCTTGCTAAGCCCATTTGAATAGAGGAAGAACCCACGCACCGGGGTCAGTCATTCTCTGGACCACTCTTAGGCGGCTACCATTGCTGTCATTGTGATGGCGAAGTATGTTACACAGACAAAACCCCGGTCTCTTCCATCTCGATCGACACATGTCTCGGCATTCTACGTGCTGGCGTTCCGATACTCAAGTAGACCCTAGTTCTCGTCGCTTCCTGATCCTGGTATCTCTAGAGACGATGGTTCGCTGAGTGGCATCGCAGCCGGGCCAAGGGTCGGCGAATCGGAAACAAATGCAGCTTTCCGAGTCTGAATGTACGTGAGCCTTCAGATGCAAAAATACTCGCGGTACCTTCACATGTGGTGGCCCGCACCCCCAGCCTGCTTGTTTGGGATTAAAGATGAGCGTTCCCCCAGGCATGTTATATTTGCGTGCGGTACCCGAAATCTAGAATGTTTATGGAAGGCGGTATACCCAGGACTGAGCCGCATTGGTAAATGCCCCATTTTGAGTACCTGGGCATCCTTTGTTTACATACACGTATAAATCTGTCAGTGACCTTTGGTTTGAATTTGATCTGGCAGATCGCTGGATCTTTCGATACGTACTTAATGGCGCCGTGGGTCGTACGGGAGGTTCAATTCTCTCTGAACCCGTTCCCCTCATTGCCCTGCCATCATGAACGATTCCTTCCAGCAAGGCTTGCAACTCAAGGGCGAAATAATGGACTTGGAATTCACCTTGGACACTGATCACAGGTCAGTGGTACCGTTGTATACGTCGCGGAGTCAACCTACCGATTACCTCCAAATTCATTCTGCGCTAAGGGGGCTAATACTGCTTGTTGCAGGAAACGGCGGAGAAACCGGACGACTCAGAGCTGCCTTAACTGCCACACATCTAAGCGCAAGGCATGTGCTATGTCGATTTCCTATTTCGCTTCGCTCACTCGGAGTATTCAACAGTGCGACAGGAAGCGTCCTTGCCAGCGTTGCATACAATTAGGCTTGGTACATCACATGCATAATGTTAACGCATATTTCGACTCATTCGTGCTCGGTGGTCCTGCCAGACTGGCCTTTGCGTCTACGAGATCGATGACCCCGCGTTGAGGTAAGTCGCTTACGGACCCTAACGAACCGTGGGTTCTCAGCGTCATATAGAGATGATCCGTCAGTGGACGAAAACACACGTTTGAGGAATCGCATAGCTGAACTCGAGAGTCTTGTGCGGGAGCTACGAGGTACGTTATCTTTCAATTGAATCCAATGCCATCTCTGATCAGGGTGTGTAATAGGGAAGCCCCATCCCAGATGGGCTGACAGCAGTTTTCGTGAAGGCGACCCCAGTGAGAAGTGGCACTCTCGGGCATCAAAATCCCATGCTATGACCACCAAGCAAGGCCAGTCATCGTCGGGCACCAATAATCATGGGCACAGCATGCGGGTTGGTACCTCTGGTGTCATTTCTTCCATGCTGACACCGATCAAGACTGAATCCCCGGCGGAAAGCATGCAGGCGCATTTGTATCGGTTCTCCCCTTCACCTGGTCCTCAGTCGGTACGGTACCATACGTTCCAAGCGGGGGGGCGTTCACCTTCATCGTCTTCCTTCGAGGGTGATACTCGACAGTCGTTCAGCGCGTCCTCGTCGGGAAGTACATCCATGCCATATCAACCCTCTCCGTATACCGGACACGCCACCGGCGGCGAATCGCCCTATTCAGATACCAGGAGCTGCCAAGATCATCGTGGTAATGGTGGCCAAAGCTACCCACTGATCGATAGCAGGACATACGCGCAAGGTTACGCATCGTCTAGCGATCCTCACTGCCCCTGTCGCACGAATCCCGCAACAGGGCATGCCTATATATCCTTGTCCCAGCAACTCCAAAGCACCATTAATTCCGTCCGGCAATACAGCAATCACCCTCCTGATTCACGGTGCCTCCTTTATCGACGCATCCTGGAGCTTCATAACCAGTTACAGTGAGTATCTATCTCGGCCTGTTGCTATTCCGAAATATTAGGTGATCTAATTTCCTAACTCTGAGAATCAGTGGGAATGATCCAACCGACGCCGCGGGCCCCTCCTACGATAACCTTTCAAATACTCCAACGGATAGCGAAATCATGACTCCGCTCTCTGCATCTAGCGGACATGCGTCCTTCCATACGACGGGATCATCTGGGTCCGACGGTGTCTCCCCTCAAGAGTGGAATACATTAGCCGCTGCTGGCTATAATCCTTACTTCCCAATGGCTTCGGGCGAACACCATGCCAATGTATACAACCACGTTATTAGCTGATTGCTTCTTTGACACGCTTCTTCACCACATCTTGTTTGGCATGTTCGCCTTGTTATCGAATACGTTCTAGTAATAGTTGTACCATTATTTGAAGTTTACTATACTATCGTGCTCCAGATGTAATTATTACGATACACGTGTCATGTTGCCGCTTCCTTTTCTAGTTGGAAGCGAAAGACACGCTGAGAAGGGGGTTCCGATCTCGTTACTTTATTTTGCTCCAGTGTCCATATATCCCGTTCCACGAATAAGACTCGGCCGTCTCTTCCCACAAGCAACACGGTGGAGAGGCGAGTGGCGTAATGGCTGGCGTTGCTTCCCTGAGCTGATTCTAGGGTAATTGAGATGGGCGCGACATGGATGGTCTCCCGAAGCTGCGACCTATGTTGCACAGGTTGGGGGCTTCGCCAACTTCTCGGAACAACTCCACATGTCAGAAATGCTCGAAGAAAAGCAAAGGGCCGATGAAGAGAGGGTGATGGCCAAATGAAGATGGTACCCACGCAAGCATCTGGAACAAGCGGTCCGTAAGTTGAGATTCCTCGCATTCCGGAGTCAATTCTTCAATTAGTGATTTGAAGGATCGGATGCCGTGTTGAACTTTGGGCCATTCTTGACCGTCTTGACCATCTATACCATTCGAAAAACCCCCGCACACTCGCTCCTGCGGAGTGATGGGACGCGATGTTATCGCCCCACCGCCTCCATGATTGGTGACTAGCGCAGCATCGTAGCATACCGTCCGCTTACTGTCGCCGTCCGCCTGAGCGGCTGCAGGAGCGAGAAGAAGTAAATTGAATCCGGCAAATTGAACATCCCGTGGTATAATTTTCTCGACTTCATCTTCGAGGGGGTGAGATGAATCTGATAGAAGGAAAGTCGACACCAGGTGGCCTCTGGAATAAAATTTTTGTCCGCTCGGTGGCTCGGTGACGTTGGTCCTATCACAGATCATTAGAGTACCTTGGAGAGAGTAGAGTTTTCTGATCCTCACAGTAGTGCCACTCTCCCGGTCCGATTAATACCAAACCACGTCCCACCGGCCAGTTCATCTCGGCCAGACAAAACTGTGTCAGATCGGAGGCCTGGTCCAGCCCGATGACCGAAGGAATGCCAGTGGGCGTTCTCGGTGGGTCTGTCTAAGAATTCATCGCGGTTGGTACACAAGATGCTGACGCAGTCCGTTTCAACGACACAAAACTAGCCAGTATGTCAGTGCAGAACGTACAGTGCGTAGTTCGGATGCTCTAGAGTCCAGAAAGTGATGCACATTGGCCTCGCGACAGGGATGGCGTGTGTGCAAGAGGGGTAGAGTTTGATCGTGTAGAACAGCGGTAGGACGATTTAGAGGAAAGGTCAAGGGTCGGTGGTTCTATGTGACCACGCTGCACCTGCAAATGGGCCGCTTCTTGCGTTGCGGCGAGGTCAGTGTGAAAATCTGCTCAAAAATATCGAACATAGATCATGCGCACGGCTGTGAGCGAATTCGAGCGGGGAAGCTGCCAATATTGGATGGGAGTTCGCAAGGTGCTGGGCGCTAAATTCACTCTGACCCTTGTTCTGCTTTTGGTTACAGTCACCATGATGGCTGGGACCAATATCATTGTCTTGGACAATGGAGCGAGCACAATCAAAGCTGGATTGGCCAACAGTGACTATGAGCACCCGAGGTGGATTTTTCCTTCTGCAAACCAACGACACCACAGTCCTGACCACAACGCACTAGAATCATCCCAAACGCCGTCGTCCGGTCCAAAGGCGACAAGGCGACGTACATTGGCCATGAGTTTGAGCAATGTCAGGATCATGCGTCTCTGCATTACCGGCTGCCTTTTGAAAAGGTTTGTTTACTTGGAGTCATTTCCGTTTTTATGTCCCGTAATCATTGCCTGCAAGTTATAGGGCCTGCTGGTTGACTGGGATGCCCAGAAAGCCATTTGGGACGGCCTATTTTCTAACCAGTGCCTAGGGGTATGTGGGCCCTTGTCACCCCCAAAAAAACAGGATAGTGGACTTATTTCGACTCAGATCAACACAACGGAGTCGTCGTTATTAATCACTGAGCCGTATTTCAATCTGCCGAATATGCAAGAGGTCTACGATCAGTTCATGTTCGAAGAATATGACTTTGAATCATATTACCGATGTGCACGTAAGTTGCATCGTTGATCAATTCTCCCTGTCTATCATCGTATCCTAATTCTACCCCTAGCCGCGTCTCTGATTCCGCATGGGAATCTTTTCTCCGAGCCAGATCTACCTCCCGCAGAATGCATACTGATAGTCGACTCCGGCTTTAGCTACACTCACGTGGTGCCTCTTCTACACGGAAGCGTAGTTTGGCGTGCTGTGAAGAGGTAATCAGCCGGCCTTTATTTACTTGGCACTGGAATGATAATTCCCTCAGCACAGGCTGGATGTTGGCGGAAAGCTTCTCACTAACCACCTCAAGGAGCTTGTGTCCTTCCGGCAGTGGAACATGATGGACGAGACATATATCATGAATGACGTCAAAGAATCCTGCTGCTACGTCTCGGTTGATTTCAGGCAGGACCTCGAGGCATGCCGGTAAGCCCATTCACGCCTCTCCTTTCTGCTCGCAAGCTCACGAGCCGGCCAATGGCAGTGTGAACCTGCAGTCCAATTCAATTGTCCGTGAATACATTCTTCCTGATCTGACCAAGGATCGTAGAGGCAGGCTTCGACGAGCCGGCGAAACACTTGCTGAGATAGATCAAGTGCTCCTTATGAACAACGAACGGTTCACAGTCCCCGAAATCGTCTTCCGCCCAGATGACATAGGTGAGCGATGATCCTCTGTTAGAAGAGAGCTCCACTTAACTTGGGACATGTTGCATATGCAGGCTTAGAACAGCCGGGCTTGGCTGCGGTTATAGCCATTTCTATCTCCTTTCTTCCTCAAGACCTTCAAGGGATGTTTTGGTCGAACATAAGTCTGATCGGGGGCAATACTAAATTTCCTGGCTTTCGTCAGAGGCTGTGAGTGTATTCTCCAACACATTGTCCGCGTGTGTGTGCTCCGTGTGCTCATTCTCTCGACACCCATCAGAATTGATGACTTACGTTCCCTGGCACCTGTTGAATACGATGTTTCAATAGTCGACTGCGTGGAGTAAGTCATGCGAGATTCTGCGGTCAACTTCCCATGCTGATAGGTGTGCGCGATCGTAGACCGATCACAGAGGCGTATAGATCAGCTTTCGCGTTCGCTACTAAATCCGATGGCCAGCTTTTCAAGGCCGTGGCGGTGACAAGAGAGGAGTACGCCGAGAGTGGCAGCAACGCTTCGCTACGAAAATTCGCCACGAGCGACTGGCAAGCTGGAGGTATTGATCACTCCACGTCCGAGGCGATCCAAGCCCGCCCAGAGGAAGATCGTACGCCACAGCTCAAGAAGCTTAGTCGCACGCGAAGTAAAACGGTCCCCAGCACTTCTACATCCCGTCGCCGATGATGGGTAGGTTGCCTCAGTACCTCAATGTTCCCATTTGCGGACTATAAGAATAGATAGCTTCCAAGGGCGACATACAATGGATTACGTTTACTGTCAGATTCGCCTAGCACCTGAGTGCTGCACGCAAAACAAACCTTGTTGTCTAGGATCTGTGCCAGCCAAACTGGTCCGTCTTTATGCTAGGAAGCACCCCATTTCCAACGCCTGGGCAAGATTCGCTTTTGAACAACGGCACTCTCCCTTCGATTTTAATTGCCCTGCGCCGTAAATATGAACATTCAATGGAAAGTCCTTCTCTAGCCCGTTGCTTGAACGCCAGGCCGGTTTGACTTAACTTTCGGCACACTGACATTCGAACTAAAAACTACCGCACGTCCGAAGGAACCTATGTACTGGCCCAGGCATCGGCAAGTCTCGTCCCCCACACCAATGCCAGCAGCAGCTTCTCAGCAAGGAACACATTCGTATCGGCAATCTGGGCACTATAGTTTAGCCGTTAGTTCAAGGCCCTTCATCAAACCGAACGGGCGTCCACATGCATGCCATTTACCCATTTGTGAATGTACGTGGGTAGAACATCATTGCTTTAGGCATTGTTGATAGAAAATGCAGGCGATGGGTTTGTTGTGGTCCCCAAAGCGACCTGTTTTAATTGACAACTAGTACGGCAGAAGAAAATAGCGTAGCAACTATATGGAATCAGAGACTGTAAAACAAGGACCATCCTGGTATACACAACTGTACATCTCCTGCACGACTGTCATTGTTCAACCAATCAACCTGTCAAGAAGCAGGGGCTGCCGGCTGAGCTGCAACTTTCTGCATTATCTCCATCAGGAGGGTTTGCTGTTCAACGTCCAAAGAGGTAGTCGCAACTTGATAACTCGACGGATTCTTCATTTGGAAGGCTATGAAGGAATCCTTAGAAGTTTGCCACGCCATGGAAAACGTCAGACTTACTAGTCAAAGCATGTTTGAAAGAAGCATACGGATCCACGTTATCCAATGGACTTATGAAGCCAAGTTCTTCCTCAATATCTGACTCTGAGGACACATCGTCGTCGTCAATGTTTTCGGCTTCCTTCTTCTCGTTCTTTTCTCGTAGCCTCGCGCTCTAAATCAGGGTGATTGGTGATAGTCACTTTGGGATGGCGACGACGCTTACCTCTCGTGCCAACATTTCCAGATACTCAGAATCTTCGTCCCAGACGTCCTCTGAGAACGATCTCGGTCAGGGTCCGTGTATTTGTGAAGGGAAATAACCGACCGTCATTGTCCTCGAGATTAAGCAGTCTCTCCTCGTCGCTCAATTCGCCATCGGACTCGTTCTGGTAATCGTCCTCGAGTTCTTTGCGCTCTGATAGACACATTAGAGGAAAGATCAATGAACCCAGGGAACTGAACGAACGAGCGATGGCTTGAGGAAGACCCTTGAAGATCTTCAGGGCACCACTGACGATGGTGGGCCATCCGTCCGTCAGAGTCGGGGGAATCGTAACAGGTTCCATCTCCATCAATGCACATAGTGCAAGGATGCTTAACTTCTTGTCATGGACACGAGGAAGACGAGTATCAGCACTCGAAATAGCAGCGAACCATTGGTCAAAGAAGGCCCTGGCTTTACCGGGTCTGCTGCTTTCCATCAGATGGAGTGCAGCCTGGGGGTTGTAAAGGACGGCATTCACGAGAACCTCGAGATTTGCGAGACGAAGAGCGTTTGTCTCACATATGTCCATGTGGTCAAGAGCGGCGACTATTATCGGTTGCAATGCCTACGAAGTTGGTCAACACTATTAGAGTAATATGCATGGTGGCGGATGACCCACATCGTCGATAGTGCCTCTCAAATTTAATAAAATTGATTCGGCTAGCTTTGATCCGTTGACACGGTCATTCTCGCCAAGTTGTGGAGAGGTCATGGCAGTAGTGTAAATGTCCAATACCATTTGCCTGTAATCTGGCCGAGATTTGAACATATCAACGCCGAATGAAACGAAGTTATCCAATGAAGGAAGCATCTCTGACGAAAGCGTTCAACGGATTATCAACGGGGCACTGAGATTCGGGGAATTTACCATCCAAGAAGTCAACAGCTTCGGCTTTGAATAGCTTGTAGGTCTCTTCGAAAATAGGCCACATATTGGGGGAGATGGCTCGGGACTTGAAGGTGAGACTATCAACAAGGTCGAAGGCATTATCAAAGAGATCTATGCATCACTAGGTGAGATATCTTAAAAACAAACAGAGCCGAGGACTTTACCGAGTAATTTGTTTTGAAGGGTGAACATAATGACAGGTATAACGACTTCTTGGACTTGGGCGAGAATTTCTGGGGAGCTCTCGATGGAGGAGATAACCTGTAAGGCATTCAAAGTTCATAGGTGCGTAAGTTAGACAAGCATTACTCAAACCTACTGTGCTTATGGTCTTGGAGACGCCCATTGCAGCGAAAGTCTTATCCTCGTCCACTTCAGGAAGGGACTCCAAATCTACATGCTGGGTACCCGTCTCCTCTTGACTAGCGATTTCTTTGCAGAGACGTAAATACGATTCACACTGAATTTGTCCCACATGTTATTGAAACGGACAAGTAGTATGTGCAGAAGACGTACCAAACGTGCAGTAAGCTGAGCAGCAACAGGAAGCAGCTCAGTCTGGAATTGCTCCACCATGACTTCCATGCTTCGGTTTAGGATGTCGAGGTCGGTATCATCCGATAGCTTCAGAAGGTCTATCGGAAACGAGGTATGTGAGCCGTGGTCGCTATGTACGGCACAGCTGATAGTCTACTCACCTTGAATAACTTTGCCTACTTGGGGTGCAACGGCGGTCCTGACTAGATAACAGTAGTTGGCACTTTATCAAGTTGAATCAAGCTAATAGGGCTTACCACTTTCGTGGGCTACAACTAGCTGCGTAAGGGCCAGTGCGGCTTGTACACGAACAGGGAATTCGGCATCATCAAGCGCATTGGCAACAGCACGGAAGTGGACGTCTAGGTTCTACGCACATATAGCCATCCGTAAGCATAATGAAATACTAGGTAAGTATTGGATCTCACCGCGTCATTGGACCACTCCAGACCAGACTTCGTAAGTGTGCCAATGATCTCGCATGCCTATCGATGTACACGAGGATGGTCAGGATTATCCAAAGAAGAAAGCCAAAACCTACGATAGCACGGAGATACGGCTCAGGGGCAGAGAATTCGTTGGTGACATGCTGCAACACAAATTGTTCCATATTCGATTTGATTTCAGGGTGCCTCATGATGAACGGAACCAGAGCTGCGGTCATGTTAAGCACACCGAATCGCTGGGCCGGAGGCGGATTTCTGCCACAGAAATCTCAATGAAACGTGTATAAATAGAATATGAACGGACGTACGATTTAAGAACGGTGTTAACGAAAGCGAGGATGGGCATAAGCGTTGTCTTTGTGCGATTGCTCACGAGAGAGAAGAGGAATGTAGTAGCCGACGACACGGGGGTAGCGTAATTTTCATATTCGTCTAGTTAAGTTCAGTAAGAGGTATGGGAGTAGACGGGAATTACTCACCGACGGAAGTTCGCACAAAATCAATAGGATCGTTCGTCCATAGTTCCTCCTTCGCAGCAGTGAATGAAAGCTGAGGGAAAACAAAGGAGGAGACGAGGGATTCAAAGTGTGGCTTCAGGAGCTTCCAAGTTGACTTGGGCTTCACGCTAACAAAATTCGTTAGGCTTGAGACGAGAATTCTCAAAAGCAACCACACCATTCAGTAAAGAATTGGAAGATTTGGTACTGGCATTTCTTTGAAAGCCAAGCCCGTCCAGAGACGAAAAGCTCGACCTGACGAAGATAGATATTGAGGATCTCTGGAGCAAACATGGTCACAAAGTGGTCGGCGAAGGTCTTATATTCCTTCTTCATCGTTGACGGCAGTTGCGAAGGGTTTCCAAACCTACAATATCGTGTCAGAAACTCACCCACGAGACGCAGATGACCTTGATACCTGTGGAATAGGCGGAACAAAATGCCATATGCCCATTTCTTCACTTTCCACCATTCGCATCGTTCGCGCTCTTCTTCGTCAGCTGGAACGGCTACTTGGGGAACTTCAAAATTGATAACTGCAAACAAGAGCTGGCCCCACGGCACGAGGCTGTCTGCACTTTGTTGATGTGTAGATAAGTTTACAATGATAGAAGTCTTGTATGTTTTGAGAATCAAGTGGAGCATCGTTGGGATTTCCTGCGATGATGGATTGATATTGGAGGATGAACTCGAGACGGACTGAAGCATCTGAGCGGCGATTTGGACGAGGGTAGGCATCAATTCAACGACAATACCAGAGAGGATATCGCTCTTCTGGCGAAATCTTGACGGGCGTTGAAGATCTAGCAAACACAAGCGATAGGACAGAGTACTCACCGGAACGCCCTAACGATCTCCAGTGAAGCAACGCATCCAGCATGAACTTCTCGCACCTCTGAGCTTGCTAAGAGGCGCTTGACTTCAGCAAGCAACCCTGGCCAGTTGTCGGGATAGTCATTGATCACCAATGTCTTCAGGGTGTTCGATAGCTGAGCTGTGATGCCATGCGGTGGTACTGCTGAGAGCAGAGGAAATATGGCAGCCTTGAGCGATTGTCGATCGGACTGTGCGATAGGTACGCGGTCCGTCGCTTTATCGGGATTATAGTGCGTGATAACGCGATTTTTCAACCAAACCGTGCAAGCTTGACGGATTGCGCTGCATTATCGCGAAAACGTGTATTAAAGTCAAATAGGCCTCAAAGACGCGTCGAAACACGTACGGATCTACTGAATCTGCTGCTATGATTTGAAGAAGGGCCGTGATAATACCCTCCTCGTTAGCAACCTGACATGAACACCACGAATTGAGTTCTAATCAGACACTTCATAAATGGCGACATTAATGAGAAAGGGTACCTTCCGAATGTCTAGTTCCCCTGCCTTTCTAACATTCGGATCAGGACTAAATGTCGTCGCAAATAGATTCGAAAGCGTTTGAAGATCCATGGCTGGAGTGGGCGTAAAGAATCAAGAAGGTTATCTCAACGTTTAGCAAGGAGACGGGTATATGTACCCCAATGGCACAGAGAGCGTGATGAAAGAAAGAAAAAGGCCTTTCACCTCCTTCACTCAAACGGAGGCAGATCAGTGATCTGATTCATTATTATGTAATTATCGATGTTTGGTACTACCATTGTACCGCAGTAGCGTCAAACACTCACTAAATACATCCCAGTACGGCATCATAAAATTTGCAGACAGGCTGTCGACGGACCCATACCACAAGAGGTCTCTACATAGCATGGCCACAGCATAGCTATGATTTTGAACGTACATGATGACCCTACTACTAGTTGTATCTATATTCATGATCTACTTGATAGGGAAAATACGAAAGGCCTTATTATTGTAGAACAAGGATCAACAGCTTTCCTTTATGAGTCACATTAATTAGCGTGCCATCCCTTTGAACAAGAATAAGTGCGGTAGACACGAATTCACTTTGATGTCTCTCGGTTATGGGCCGTGCCCAATGGCGAGGAGGCCAAGCAACCGCCCAGAAGCACTTTGCCTGATTGATTCGGCGGAAAGAAATTGACGGAAGAATGGAAGAGGGATTCAAGGGTAAGGTTCCTCAGAGCAGCAATCAGCAACGCAAGACAAGTCTGCATCTGATTCGTTGGACCTGGGGCAAACATCTACAAGTTCAGCCAGGTAAACGTCTATCCACATATCCATAGATTATAACGAGCTAGCCCTTGTTACCAGAGCACATCATCGTCATGATGAATCTAGTAGAAGTCGCCAAAGTCCAAACATGAGGTTGACGATGAATCCCACCACGAGACCCATTTGCATACGTCGCCTAAATGAAACCCTCGTGAGCAGCACTCGAGCAAGAAGTAGACGCCACTGACGAAAAGATTACGCTTCCTTCTTGTAAATCGCGGCCATTCTCCCAAATTGCGGCCGATCGCGTCTATGTGTAATAGATATAGATAAGAAGTAAGATTGATAGAAATGCAGTACCTTGCGCATGAAGAAGAATGGAATGAGCGGGAAGAAGAAGCCGGCGACGAGACCCTGAAGTATGGACGAGGTCGCGGAAGCTGATGGTGAAGAGGCTAGAGAAGCCCCAGAAGGAGAAGCAAGGGAATCAATCCATTGCTCTTCTAGAGCGCGCGCGTGCTCTGAGTCTGATCGCACGATAAGAAAATATATCCCAAGTTGATTGAGAAACTCACATTCTTCCTCTGTCTCGAAGTCCATAGAGTCGAGGTAGTTAGCGTTGGAATGGCTATGGAATTGTTGCCGAAAATTGTTAACATCATCCTCCGAGAAGCCCAGAGCGACAAGACGGTCGAAACCGCGGGCTGGTTGCAGCTGCCCTGACTGAAGGCAGCGATGAGCTCGGTTGTCTTGCAAGATTCTCCACATACTTGATCCATGCTTTCCTCCGCTTCCTCTTCCAAGGGATCCATCTTCGGGCCTACAGAACAATGTATGTACACATGTTCGTTTGAGCCAAAAGGGAGTATCGTGTCATCCGATGCTCGCTTCTGCCGTTCTTCCAGCAAGGATAACCACTCGTATAACATGATACCATCTGTGAGCAGTCGTCCAGAATGGATGAGGCGAAGCCGCCTGTCCGCCACCTGTGGTCGTAGTACTCGAAGCTGTGACATTCGCCATAAGGTTAGAATGAATCCAGCATAACTCGCCACCAACCTTCTGTTTGACCCCCTTCACTGAGTCGGTCGCATTGATGTTCAACCGCAAGTCAGGGATTCCCTCCGTAAATCGGAAGACGAGCTCCTTCGATGTCGAAAGAGAAGGTTCAGGGTTGGTTGGTTCTTGCGCGCGTTGCTTCCCCTTTGCTTTGTCGCTAAGAGGCATCTCGTTGTGGAACGAGCAGGAGATGTGATGCTACAGTGGACGCTGACTGGCGTGGGAACTTAGTTGTGGCAGGTAAGTTGTGCATCCGAGATTCTATCCACGTAACATCGTCAATTGGATTGTCGTGACCGGGTCGGATGTACGTGTTGCCTGTCCGAAGTGGGGAAAGGGGTTGCGAGGCACGTTTGATTAGGAAAGGAAAAATGGATTGCAATTCTCTTGCTTAAATTTGGACAATGCGCTCGGAAATACTCACTGGTATCCAAAACGGCAAGGACTCTGGGAAAATGAACAGAGTTTCAAGATTTAGAGGTAGACCGGGAGTCCAAATTTGCTCCGCCTGCCGGGAACTCGGGCGACAACTTACGCGTTATGTATACTACTTACCAAGCTTGGATATTTTGAATATGTACGAAGGTCTGACATTCGGACAGTTTACCGGATCAGCCAGCTGTTAGATTACCTGTAACAACGGACAATGCAGTGTATGTGGTTGAACTATGTGATTCTCTCTAGGGAGATGTGTTCAATAGTGCAAGAGGGCGTGGTACATGCTTCTGTTTTCCTTGACCACAGCTCACACTGACATCTATGAGGCTTCAGACTATCTAGTGCTGGCCCACTGACAAGAAATCCAAGAAATCGTCCCATAGCCCCCGTCGAGGTCGCCGCCGAGCTGGTTCAGCTTGCTGCCGTTGTAAACGTCGCAGACGTGCCGCCAGATGCATTGTCTCCCTTGATTCCGACTCTGGTGTGCGCCTTATCCTGTCATCGATATCGGCCATCCTCCTTCTGTGCTCCGCAGCTTGTCGTTCGCTTTCTTGCTGAGCCGCGGTCTCAAGGTCTTGTTGCATCTTCTTGAGCCTTGCTTTATCGCTAGCGTAGCACGACGCTAGCTGTTGTGAGTCAGTTTGGACACGCAGCATTTCTTGATCCAACTCGGCCGTTGCTTGCTCGAGTTCCTCTCGAGCCTGGTCGTCCTTTTGCCTTAATGCTGGGAAAGAAATACGTATTCAGTGAAGACGAGTTGTGAGAAAAAGGGAGGCCACCTTCATCCATCTCATCCTGCAGCCGCCGCCGTTCTTCCTTGAATTTCATCGCCTGTTCGTGCAATTCGCGGCCCAGCTCTGCACCAGCGGTAGTCTCTGTGATAACCCTTTGCTCATCCACTAACTCCCTCTGAATGCGCAAGGCCCGAGGCGTCTTGGACGCGACACAGCCAACGATAGCGTGGGCCGACGCGGGTGTGTCGTAGTGGCGCTTAAGCTGCGCACCCCGCTCTAGCACAGGCTTGAAGAAATCGTCCTGAGACTTCAACTCCTCTTCACGGGCCTCGCCAACATCGAGAGTAACTTCACCCCACATGTTCGTAACAATGACAACATTCCGCAGCATGGTTTCGCCACATAATCCTCTGAACAGCTTGAAATTTCGGGTTGAGGTGCCGCCCATGCGAATATCTGAGATGCGGTGAATGTAGATGGCTCCGGATAGCATCACGCCGCGTCGATACCTATATCATCGGCATGATAAATAGAGCACAGATAAGTCTAAATATCCGACTCACATGCTGGAAAGAAAGGCTGCGATCATAGTCAACACTTCGGTGTCGGTCTTCGCTGTATCATCGAACCCAGGCGTATCTATCAGACGAACTAGTCGGTTTTCGAGCCAGAAAGGCTCTGAAGTTTGAACAGCGTCCGTACATGACGTGAGGCCTGATCCGACGCGCAGTGCGGAGCCACTAGCCACGTTAATGAACTATCGAATGGTGAGTCGAAGTAGCGTCCTACGAAGGATAATATATTTACGCTCGTTTTGCCACTGCCAGTAGCTCCCATCACGCTGCTCCCAGTCAGAAATGTACGAGGTGTAGAGGTGTCACTCACGCAATAAATACCCCTTGAGAAGGTTTGGCGCCTGGTCCTGGCTCTTGTAACTCGGGTTTGGTTTGAATAGACTGACCTGCGCCCATTCCTGTGATGCGATGCGTTCCTGCTGGCTGAGACGACTGATGTCGCCAATTAGGTGACTATCCATGGGATGAAAGAAATCACTCACAGTCGACACTTTCGGTTGAGGAGCCAATCGATAACGATGAGAAGTTCTACAATCAACAAACCATTAAGATTGAGGACAACCCGGCAATGTCACGGTTTAACACATACGTGGGTGTGGGCGTACGTCGGTGTTGGGTCATGGTAGATTGTGTTGGGAAGCCGATGGTTCAGTTCCCTGGAACCAGTAGCCTCGGCAGCACGATGTCGGTTTTATGCAGTTGCACGGGGATTTAGATCATGTTGTATCTTCAACACTCAAGTGAAATGTAGAAGTGGAGCTGCGGAACCCAATCAACACGGCGCAGAACAGTTGCGAAGAAGCAGCTACACGCGCAACCAACGCGCATTTTTGGAATGTCAAGATAAGGGTTGTGGTCTTAATTCAGCGTCCTTAAACCGTCATGGTGTTGGCCGAGGTTGGTCTTTTGGGTCGAAACAGAAGAAGCCTGGGGAGTTCGAAGTTCATGACTGGAGATTAAGTCAGAATGGAGCGTGACACTAGTACCAGAAGTTCATACTGCATCTCAGTGTTTTCCTCGACAGCTTCAAGCGATTCTTGACCCTGTTACAACCTTGTTACTGGTTGGTCCAAGTGGCGTGGGACACTGATACAAAGGAGGTTGGTTGTGGTTCAACCATAGTTAGTTGAGTTTTTGATTTAGGACGTAAACCCCCTTGCCCCTCCGCGATGTTGACACGAAGCAACCCCAGAAACGAGGCCTCTATACATATACCAATCACCGGGCCTACTGAACATTGGCAGACGAGATAAGGGTTGTGATTAGAGCGATAATAACCCTTCTCTTGGGCTAAGTTATCCTCCAGTTACATTGGCTTTCCTTGCCACGATCATCTAGACCAGAGCATTCCACCACCCCACAAATCATCACAGCAGTACCGTATAAGGTACATGACCCGAATGCCTGCACACTCCGCAGTCGAACCTCGCTCTTTCCGCATGTCCCACCCAGCTTCTGAATTCAGAACATGAAGTGCAGCTGTGAGAAGCCATATCTATGATCTCCCGTCAGGAAATTACAGTCTCGGACGACTTAAAACACTCACAGCTCACAATGGTGGGTCGGCCTCTACTTTCACCACCAGTTCATCTAGCATGCAAAGCAATCCCAGTTCTAGTAGCGCTGCAGAGCAGATAGACATCTTAATCGCGTAGGTCTCGTCGTTCTCAATGTTTTGTGATGCTCATTTTCATTTTCCAGCGTCATGGGAGCGACGGGCAGTGGCAAGACGACCGTTTGTCTTATATCCAATGGTCAATTAATTGAACCTTCTGACCGTAATCCCCGCTAGTTTGTCAATATGGCCAGCGGCGACGACCTGACAGTTGGGGCCAGCCTGCGGTCATGCACAAGTGACGTGCAGATATGCAAACCATTCAAAGTCGACGGTCGTACAGTGACCCTGGTAGATACGCCAGGGTTCGACGATACGGACAAAAGCGACACAGATGTACTCGCCATGATCGCTGCTTTTCTCAATGCATCGTAGGTTAAATCCCTTTATGGCCGCTCAAAAATCACTGAGACAATTTGTAGGTACGAACAAGGGAGGAAACTAGCTGGTCTCATTTACATGCATCGTATATCCGACTATAGAATGGGTGGTTTGTCCGCGCGAAACTTCAGAATGCTCCGACGTCTGTGCGGAGATACGACGCTGAAGAATTTGGTAATCGTTACGAATATGTGGGGAGATGTGTCTCTTTCCGTTGGTGAGGCTCGTGAGAGGGAGCTTGCCACACAGGACAAATTTTTCAAGCAAGCCTTGGATAAAGGCGCGAAGATGCTACGTCATACCCACAGTTTTGATAGCGCAATCAACATCCTTCGATACGCACTCCGAAACACCCCACTCCCTCTCAAGATCCAGGAAGAAATGGTTGACGAAGGCAAGGACCTTCCTGAAACCGGCGCTGGGGCTGAGCTCAACGCTGAGTTGGAGAAGTTGATGAAGAAGCACGAAGAAGATATGCGTGCGCTGAAGGCTGAGCTGGAGGAAGGTGTGTATGACATTTACATTATCTTATTTTTATCCAGACTAACGCTTAGTTAAACACAGCTGTGCGCCTCAAGGAGGAGGAAACGCGGCAAGAACTTGATGCTGAGATCGTCAAACTACGGGATGAAACAAATCGGATTAAGCTCGATGCCCGAGACATGGCGTCTAAGTACGACTTGGAGAGGAGCAAACTAGAAGCCCAGATACGGAAGAGCGCAGAGAGGACCGCAACGCAGCAAGCCCAGATGAAGAAGGAATATGAAGGGGAACTCAAAAAACTCAAGCAGCAGGCACTGCAAAATGCAGGTAACACCGAGGACATCTTGGATCTGCGCCACAAGGTCCTGCAATTGGAAACGCAGATAGCCAACATGCCTCGCCCGCGCCCCAAGCCCTGGCCCTGCACAATCATGTAATTACTACAATGTTTTCTGACGGAGATTTAGTGTGTGTGTGTGTTACTATAGCCCTTCGTTTGAGTTTGTTACTTTGATTAAAGTGGGTTTGGGGCCTTCAGGATTTCGTCTTGCGCGTATAGGTGACCTTCCTTCTAGAGGCAAGATCCATGTTGCCACCTTGAAAGCGGTCCCCCACTTGATCTGGAGCGACGGAGTACACGGCGACTAGGGTCCGTTTCAACTTGCTAAATCGTGGACCTCGTAAGGCAGCATGCTTGACTGGTATATGATAGTGGTGGATGAGGAAGCTACTGTATTCGGGAGGACCGAGAGATTGTATCGTCACGACTATGAGGGCTCAAGTCCCGGATTCCCTCCGTATTAAATTGTAGAAGGAGCGCTATTGATGATCAGACTGGGCGTTCAACGTTTCCTTTTCACGTTGTTCCCCTTTTGCTGTCTTGCTCAGGCATCAGAGTTATGTAGCACGTCTAACATTAGTGCGACGGGCGCTAATTAAATAAGGTTGGCAGCGCGGGAAGAAGTTGACTCAGCAGCGGTGCCTCGGCCACTTGTCCCTCCATCTGAATCATTGCACTGCTCTGTATTCTGTATTCCACCGACACATACGTACCCTGACACTCTCATTTATCCGTCAAGATGCCCCGAGCAGAAGGTATGCCTTCAGCGCACTTAAGCCACCTTGTCTCTAATTAACATCACAGTTGGGACGCCAAAGTACTTGGCCAACAAGATGAAGTCGAAGGGCTTGCAGCGCCTCCGTTGGTACTGCCAAGTTTGCGAGAAACAATGCCGCGATGAGAACGGATTCAAATGTCACGCAGCATCAGAGTCTCATCTTCGACAAATGCTGGTCGTTGGCGAGCATGCTGGAAAACACATCGCAAACTTCTCAGCAGAATTCCAATCTACATTTGTCAAGCTACTATCCCGGAGGTGAGTCGTCAGATTACGGCCTTTGGGGAGTTGTGCCGATTTATCTATGTCAGGTTTGGTACAAATCGTGTCCGAGCCAACACTGTGTATCAAGAGTATATCGCTGACAAGGAGCACCTACATATGAATTCGACACGCTGGGTCACGTTAACGGAATTTGTGAAGCACCTGGGTCGAAGCGGCGTGGCCAGAGTGGACGAGACTGAGAAGGGATTGTACATTGCATGGATTGACAATAGCCCCAAGGCACTCGCTAAAGCTGTACGTCAGACATGCTTGCTGCTTCGTGGTGCTAACCTCAACGTAAACCATGATAGGAGGCCAATATGAAGAAGGAACGACTCACGACTTCGGACGAGCAACGTGAACGCCAGCTTATTGCTGACCAGATAGAACGTGCCAAAGCAGAAGTACCTGAAGCCGGACCATCTTCCGTTCCAGCAGAAGGTCTCAAACGAGACGAGACGTCAGAGAAAGTTGTTTTATCGTTCACCCCCAAGCTGGTTGCTCCTTCATCGGAATCGTCGTCTGGTGGTCTCAAACTCAATCCATTAAAACCATCCATCAACCCATTGAAAGCGAACCCTCTGAAGCGACCCAACCCACTGAAAGCCGCCGCCCCAGCCGCCAATGGAACATCACACAATGATAAGAAACGATCTGCCCCCTCCATGACTGCTGCGGAGAGGCTTATCGTCGAAGAGCAGGAGCGTAAACGTCGGAAGATGGAGAGAGAAGTTCTCGCGTGAGGTTAGATGTACGATATCAACTATTCATCTGTCCGTGGCTTGCTCATCGGACAAAGTCCCAAGGCTGCCATATCTTTGACGTTCCTGGTTGTAGCTTCTCCTGTATAGTATGTTGCCGACATTAATTCCACTTGCTACTGATTTGTACTTTACACGTTCGGACCAGTTACGGGCCTTCCTAAGCTTGGTGCGGTAATACAACCACTTTCATTGCTCATCGAGGGCATTGGCCATGTTCCTCGCTTCTTCTTGGTTGCCTTCGGTATTTCCCGCTTCTTTTCCGCCTGGTCGAAGCTCAAACTCTGGTGGACGTACACAGAAGCATAACAACACGCCAGAAGCGCGAGAATCAACCAACGTGCCCTGGTATACATAATGTACAGGTATCTTGAGCATGCTGGAAGCACGCCAACTCAATGGCGACCGACAGGGCCATGATGGACTCGCAGTACAATCCAGTCGCGACTGAAGAGGTAGCGACTCCTTCGCTATCAGAAGCGGGCGACTCGAAATGGTTGCCCTCGAGTAACCCGCTGATAGTACGTTTCTTCCCAGTTCTCCTTTATTTCGTTGATCATTCTTGCTAGGACACCCCCACTTTCGAGGACCCGCCTGGCTTGAAAGACACGCAAGAACCTTCATCAGCTTCAGTCCAATCTAAGCCTTCTCGAAAGCGAACGCTCACTTTTGTGATACTTGGTATATGTATATGCATCATTCTCGTGGCTGCGGTTGCGATTCCAGTTCTTTTGACCCATTATTTCAAAAAGAGGAATCAATCGTCCGAGAGATCCAATACAAGCACATCTGCGACACCGACGCCCTCCCCGGTTCTGCCGGATGGCCCGCTTCCCACCGCTGGAACGGATGGCTCTATCATCCGGATGGATAACGGCGAATTGTTCATATACTCGAACAACTACGGCGGAGACTGGGCTACAACTCCTGATGACCCCTTCGCACCAGGAGGGAAAGCCCAAAGCTGGTCAAAGAGAATTGGGTCAGAAGAATGGGTATGGGGAACCGATGTTATAAGGGGTGTCAATCTTGGGTGAGCATATACATCTTTGCATACTCGTACGCGCTGACTAGTCTTTGACCTTTGATAGTGGTTGGCTAGGTGAGTGAATCACTGTAACGACGAGGGCATATGGGCTCACAAATGCATCTGTGGCATACAGTCACGGAACCCTTCATTGTACCCGCATTGTATGAAAAATATGCTACCGTTGGCGGTTTCGCGGTCATCGACGAATGGATGCTCTGCGTAGCAATGGGAAAGAACGTTGCAAAAGAGCTAGAGAATCATTATGCCACATTCATTGTGGGTTCTACCCGCTTCTTCTCTGGTTCCGTACTAACTTCCCCTCAGACTGAAAGGGACTTCGCCGAAATTGCCGCCGCTGGTTTGAACTGGGTCCGGATCCCTATCGGATTTTGGGCTATCGACACCATGGAACACGAGCCTTTCTTAAAAAGCTCCTCTTGGACATACCTCCTCAAGGCGTTGGTCTCCCTTTCTATGTCTTAATTTCGTCTTTGTAATATTTCACTGGCAGTATCGAATGGGCTCGAAAGTATGGCCTTCGTATATATCTCGACCTCCACGCTTTGCCGGGGAGCCAGAATGGCTGGGTATGTGGCGACCAGTCTATTACTTGCCTGCAAACTAATTGTCCTACAATGTCAGAATCATTCCGGCAAGGGTGAGTATAGGTCATCTTATGGTGTGACGATGCTGACTGTCTGTCAGGCGGTAGTATCAACTTGTAAGTGGGTATTTTACTTCTTTATATCCTCGACCTCACTTGCACGCATAGCATGAACGGCGTTATGGGAATCGCCAATGCCCAGCGAACTCTCACGTACATTCAAATTCTTACCGAATTTGTTAGTCAGGAACAATACCGAGACGTTGTTTGCATGTAAGCCTTCGTTCTCGCGCTTTTGGGATAGCGCATCCTGACGGAACGCCTCAGGCTGGGTATCGTCAACGAAATATTGTGGAAAACAATTGGGCAAACCTCTATAGAAAGTTTCTACTACGCCGCGTACGACACTATCAGGAATGCAACGTACGTCGCGACTGTCGCATGGTTATCCTTATTCTGATAGCTGGATTCAGTGGGCTTGGGACCGGAAATGGGCCCTATATTGTCCTGCATGATGCTTTTCAGGGAGTTAGTTCAGGCTAAATAACTCTACTCTCCCATACTGACAGATTTCCTAGCTCAAGCCTTGGGAAAAGTAAGTTTTTGCGCGCATTCTGACTCACGTCTCTGCAACTCCAACACCCTCCAGCTTTCTCTCAGGGTCCGACAGAGTTGTGATTGACCAACACCCAGTATGTTGCTACAGCACCAGTTGTTGGCAAACTAATATCTCTCTCTAGTATCTGGCTTTCCGTAAAGACGGTGCACTCACGTACGTTATGCCAATTTCATTCCTGGACAATCATCTATATTATCATGCAGACTTGAAGAGATGGTCGATATACCATGGTCGGTGATTCTGTCTTGAATCGTGATCTCGTTCTTAACTTACTCTTAGTGAATGGGCCATGGCGACGAACCGTTCCTCGAGAGTATTCGGCGTCACAGTGGGCGGGGAATTCTCTACTGCCATCAACGACTGTGGATTATGGTCAGTGTTTATAGATTACGTATTGTCTGAGGATTGCTGAGGGCAACCACAGGCTAAATGGCGTCGGCTCAAGTCCGACTAACACAGACTGCGCACATTGGGATGACTGGGAAGTAAGCCCTGCCAACCATATTTTGCGGATATGAATTAATTCATCGTTATTAGCATTACGACCAGACTACAATTGATAACCTCAAGAAGGTCACATTGGCTTCAATGGACGCGCTGCAGAACTTTTTTTTCTGGACGTGGAAGATAGGTAATTCCACTGTCCTGCAGAAATCTTCTAGTCCTCTCTGGCATTATAAACTCGGGTTGCAGCGGGGTTGGATACCCAAAGGTTAGTTTGGCGTAAGTTTGCGTTATCTTCTTGACTCAAAAATGAGGATGGACGGCAACAGACCCCCGTGAGGCTGTTGGACACTGCGCATCAGTACTACAGACCTCGGATGTTTTCGACGGGCGACATCCGTCGACCGCGATTGGAGGAGTACGTTTGACCGCCGAACGTTTCCACCTCGATGTTAACACATTGCCTTTTTAGTCGGGAGCAGGGACGCTCTCTGCCAACCAAGCTCGTGCATTCCCTCCCGCTACCCTATCACCCTCCTTCTCTGGCACTCAGATGACTCTTCTACCTACATATACAGCGACGGGTACAGTCAAGACGCTCTTCGCGCCCACATTCAGTTCGGCCCCTTCTGCAACAGTTGGTACTGGCTGGACGAATGCCAAAGATCAAGCGTTGGCATATGTGTAAGTTCCTGGGATCTGTCGCCTTGATAATCTCTAACAGGCGGGTAGACCTGTTGCGGGATGTGATTATCCGGAGTGAGTCATGTGTCTGTTATCCTCTACCACAGTTCTTGACGGACGTGTTTTATAGTGCTTGGGATTCGGTTAATGCCTCTCTTCCAAACACACGATGCACAGGAACGAAACCACGAGGCTAGAAATGTATCGTGGACTAACGAAAGCACCAATGGACATATATTTAGATTTAGATTGATGTGTGGTTGTGCAGTGGCTGTAGTATCTTGTTTCTTATTTTTCGGACACATGCAATAGGCCACGCTACCTCCCTACCGTTCGATATGTCGAGCTATCATAGTAAGCTCGCGTGGCGCAAAGCTAGGGAAGCATGCAGTCTATATGGGCCTCTGGCGCTATCGCTACAGGCTATCTTACCAGCAGCTAATGCATTTGAGACTGACAGCTATCACTCCGCGACTAGTTAAAGCACTTTGAGATATAAAGCATGTCTTGTATTTTCGACGCTTAGCAGTCTCCCCCAAATACTTGTTGGTGAGTATCCTAGCTATTCGAATCAATCAATCCGGTCTTTGACGTTCAGTCGGACACACGTGTCGCTGACAATTTCTCCACTCTCAGGCTTCAGCACACGATGCGTTTCTTCGTCATCCTCCCCCTCCTTCTCGCTGCCATCGCTTTGGCACGACCCGTTGAAGATAACGAAGATGGCTTCTTCAGTCCGAAGAAGAAGACCCCATCGCTCAAAGACGGACTCCTTGGAGCGGGCGCGCCCGCTATTGCTATTGGGAAGGAGACATCTGTGTGATCTCCAGTCATAATCCGTGTATTATAGATTATCTATTCATTCATGCGTCGGGCTCATCATCAGACACTTTTTCTGTTGAGGTACAGTGTCATCTGACATATGGACATCCCCAATTGTGAACTTTCTCCACTGACATCGCGACCGAGTCGCTATTTTTAGCTTGCGGTCCGTCTACTATGCATTGCTCGACCTTACGTGTTCGACCTGATACTATGGTTCTTCGACGCAATCGTAGTGCACAGTGACAGCGCCGGTGCGTATTTTTATCCTACTAGCGTTCTGCCTGGTCCTGGTGGAGCGGTGTTAAACACTCTCCTGCCAGATAAACTGACGGGCTACTTTGATTCCTCAGGAATCGTCCCGCGTTCTATAAATCTCTAGCGTGGGGCCCGCCCGTATGTACAGCATGCATCATGCTTCCCGGGTATAATGCGCACCACTTCTTTTGCATGAGAGATAAAAGGCTCGGAGCGTTCGAAGCTTCTCCTTCGTCACTCAGGCGGCCTCTCTATCCGAACCATGGACACGAGCAAAACGATAGCACCGTACGACGAGAAATCCAGTGCCGAGATCCAGCAGTTGGAGTCGTCAGCAGACAGCGTAGCCGATGGAAATGCCTTGCCAGAGTCTGGTTCGCCAGAGCGATTGCTTGCAGAGAAGAAGTTGGTGCGGAAGCTGGACACGAGACTTCTTCCTACTATCTTCATCATATTCATCATGAATTACATCGACGTGAGTAGCCAGCCAGATATGCCAGGAGGACTGACCTGACATTGAGATGACAGCGGAATGGTGTGACAACTGCGAGGCTCCAAGGAATGCAACAGGATTTAGGGATCTCAGGTAGCCTTGCTCGGTGAACTGGCGACTAAGTCGCTCGCTAACGCTCTACTCCTCTGTAGATGTGCAGTATGCTACTGTCATCGCCATCTTATTTGTCTCCTACTGCCCTGCGCAGATTCCTTCAAATATGGTATGTCGTTCCACGTTGTTGAGGTGACTCCATAGTGCTAATTCGACGGTTGACAAGCTTCTGAACGTTGTAAAACGGTGAGTTGGTTTCCACAACACTCCAATCCAAGTTGTACCTAATCATACACCTATCAAAAGGCCATCATGGTACATCGGTGGTTGCGTTGTACTATGGGGGCTGACTAGTGCGCTGACGGGGGTTTGTGACCTTTTCCCGGCCTCCGAAGTATCTCACTGGTGCTTCTAGATAACCCATAACTTCGCTGGAATTCTTGCTTGCCGAGTCTTCATTGGATTACCCGAGGTGGCCTCGATGATTTCACCCCTTCACGCAGTACACTAATAACCTCGGCTTGACAGGCTGCTTTCTACCCCGGTGCTATTTATTTACTATCGCGGTGGTACACGAAGAAGGTGAGTGAGAGCTTCCTATCTTTGACAGGGGTACTCCAACACCCCTTTGCCTCAAATTAGGAACTTGCTCTCCGTTCCGCAATACTGTACGCCGGATTATTGGTTTCGAATGCATTTGGAGCGGTGCGTGTATATTTAGCGTCACCTTCGTCTTTTCTTAGATTCTAATGTGGACAATCTAGCTCATAGCCGCAGGAATTCTTTCAAGTATGGAAGGCAAACGCGGAATCCGAGCCTGGAGATGGTTGGCCTAATCTCTAGTATCCCAAATTATCTCATTAATACTCGAATTAGGTTGTTCTTCATAGAGGTAGCGTTCGCCCGGCTCTCCTTTTCCGCTTCCTGTTGATAATGACTTCGCGAAGGGGTCCATCACTTGCACCATCGGGTTCATTAGCATGTCAGCCCTTGTTTTGAATATGTTCGGGTTCTCATACTGACCGTTCTGTGACTCTAGGTGGGCACTACCTGACTATGTCAGCACTGATCCATTGATTCGGTGGAATGGCATATGCTGACAAACGGATGCCAACTAGCCTCACAACACTAAGTGGGTTTCTGGATTCGACAAGCGTCTAGCTCAAGCACGATTGGCTGAAGATGCTGGCGAAGCAGATAAAGATACTGCAGAAGACTCGTACGTTCATTGAGTCCCTTCGCTTCGTATACGGCGACTTACGCCCATCCACAAGCCCTCTGAAGGGGTTGGTCATGGCTTTAAAGGACCCAAAAGTTAGCATATTTGCTATTATGACCACATCGCAACTCCTCGGACTGAGCTTCGTCCAATTCTTCCCGACGTACGTGTTTGTCTTTACTTGGTGTATGGTGATGAGGTTAACGCCATTCTGTTACAAGTCTCACCGCAACATTGGGTTTCTCAACGACGAACACATTGCTTCTGGCTGCGTATGTCCCTCTCCTGATTGTCCTCACACATGCTATTAATGTTTGCTTCAAGTCCTCCTTGGATTCTTGCTGGCATAGTCTGCTGCCTTAATGCTTGGCATGCTGGTAATTCCATTCCTATATTCCTCTTTACCTCTTCGTAACGCAACCTTGCTTGCGTAGATCGGACCGGTGAACGATTCTTTCACATTGCTGGCTGGTGGTGGGTCGTCATCGTCGGTTTCATTATTGCCTTGTGTACGATGAGCATCGGAGGACGGTATGTGTCCCTCTTTCTTATGGCCCTGGGATATGTTGGTGAGTGTTCATTACTTGTTAAGACGGCTCCGAGGTCCCGGGTCTAAATGTCCTGGATAGGCTTTGCCATGACCCTCGTTTGGGTATCAAACGCCGTTCCCCGACCTCCAGCGTGAGTGAATAGCTGCAAATATCGTAATTATCGATGCTCACACGTAATTCCCCACTTAGCAAACGGGCTGCTGCCATTGGAATCGTCAACGGGTGTGGAAACATTGGGAATTTGTGTGTTTTATTTTCGGCACCGTAAGTTACTGCTAACACGTATAATTTTATAGGATGGGGTCTTACACATGGAAGGCCGCATGGAGTCCCGAATACCATCAATCAATGGCTATTAGTCTGGCTGCCTTGGTCTTCGCTAGTCTTTTATCCCTGCGTATGTCGTCTTCCTGTTCCGCTGCCAGGAGTTATGCTTAGAGTGCTGACGTGCCGGTAGTCATCCGTCACATGCTCATTCGCGAGAACAAGCAGATGGACAGAGAAGAGAAAGGGATGATGGAAGGCGCTGAGCGAGCCAGAGTGGAGGAGGCTGCCAAGTTGGAGGGTATCACCTTCGAGCAAGCGATCGAACGACGAAGAGGATTCAGATATCTTTATTAGCACTCTCCCGGTCTAGTACTGGGCACCCATGCGAGTGGGTTGATGATAGTAAGTAGTAACGATCAAGTATATACGACCATCAATCATTTCAATATGAACATACTTGTATCATTCTCAGCTAATACGTGAAGGCAGTCGATGAGTTAGCATCGTTGTATGATGGAAGCTCGTCGCCGGCGTCGCTAGGGCCACCGCTCATCTGTCCTCCTACACTTCCTTCCGTCAGCCATGCCCATTCGTTTCCCTCTTTCCATCGGAAGAGCTCAGCCCCGAAATTTATCTCAAAATCGTTACGCCCCTCCACACCGATGGCAGCAAATACATCATGATTGTGCCTCGGGAGGTAAATGCCTGTGAATGCATTCGCCAATCTTTGACCATTGTATGTGAAGAACAAAGCCCCGGAAGTGAATTCGTAGCCACATCCGACGGTGTCCCCAGAGGAGACCTGTGTTAAGGCCTCCGTGTAGTCTCGCCCACCATCTGGGTCTTCGAAGAATTTGCGCAAGTCATCCAGATGCAAGCCGGCGCTGAGCCTGTTCCATCCTGGTAGCCTCCAGACTGGATATGGTCTACATGTTGTGCCTGTGTGAGAGGAGGTTAGATTTGTCTGAGGCTGAACAGATCTTACTCGCCTATGGCAACTAGCCCGTCCATGCGCTTGATGAGAATCTCGTAATAAAACCCCTTCTTGCCTCGCCCGTCGTACATACCTGCCATCAGGGGCAGATTGCTCATGAGACAAATATCCTTGCATTTTGCATTGGTTTCTACTTTGCAGACCGAAGGTCCGCCTTTCGCTTCACTTGGATTGGTGATGCTGCCGACGAAGCGAGACGTTTGTGGGTACTCGATTTCCCAAGCTTTGGCACCAACTTCTTTTATGCGATCTACAGCTGCTGACGGCAGAAGGCGGGGCGGCTGGGGCGGGAACTCCACGCAAAACTTCTCTGCAGATGTGTACTCATCGTCTGTTGCGTCCGCCAGCTTTCCATTGTGATACTGGCCCGTTATTAGCGGCATTAATATACCATAGGGATACCACTTTACTGATTTCTCTGGCGCCGGTGCCCATTGCGGCGGGAGGTCATCTTCATTTTGTTCATTTTGACCGTGGCGGTCCGAAAACTTGTCTTTCAAATGGCTGAGGAAACCCATGGCTGATATCGATGCTATTAGCACTGATATCCGTCGCCTTTTGAAGATCGGATTCAGAGTCAGCGACTCGGATGGCAACAGACGCCGCCGCGCCTACGCCACAGTGACCACTCTCAATCTCAAACCATGTTGTTCTGCCCAACTTGCGCGAATTTCCTTGTCATTTCTGCGGAAACTGGATACAATAAATGGGCCTGTAATACTTGCGCCTACGAATTCCCCATCTCCAAGCAGGTCTGTGGGTCCTAGCATTACTGGTACAAGGCCTTGTTCCGACTGGAAAGTGAATACAAAAGATGACTTCAAGAACAACACTGACACGTAAAGCGGTGGACGATGTGCTTGGTGGCGACGAGATGTGGAAACATGCGGACGCAACAACGGGTGCGTTACTTACGCCCACAAAGGTATACTGGCTTGAACTCAACGCGTCGCTTTCTCCACAGCCTCCTGCGACAAGTGCAATCATGATAGTGCATATTTTTATCAACTTCAAATTCGCTCGGCAGACGAACCGATGACAACCTGTAAGTTTTCTAATTCGGTCTTCTCCCAGAATTGATGGAACTCAATCCGAACACGATAAAAGTCTATCGGTATGCACGATATCTCCCCCCGCGAACTTACTGTCTTCATTGAACTACAACTTTAGTTGCGTCAATTGCGCCCATCAGTGGCGTGAAAACTAAAGTTGCAGTTCTTGCATTTTGGCCCAACTCGTGGCTAACCCCACCTTTTTCTGAAGGCGCACAGATGCCGGATGCAGGCGTCATCAGCTTCGCTTATGCTATCAGAACGCCAGCTGTCCGTAAACGCCTGGTGATCTCCAAATCCACGGTCCCCGTATCATTTGAATTGACTTCGCAATTTTACGATCTGACGGCAGTATACATATGGCGCTCATCAATAAAGTTGCGCCAAACATAGATATCAGCAACATTCTCTCACCCCCCGCTTCAACCACACACGCAATTGCTCAGTTAGATCGGCTATGGAAGCGATTTACTGTTCGCGTTCAAAGCATTGCTGTGAGCACTCTTGTTATGCCTGTTCCTGAGTTCTCACAGTTCAGCGTGTACTGTGAGTCTTCGCGATTTTTTCGGTCACAAGTACCTCAGCGACCACCTATGCGCTTTTACGCGAGTTCTTTCAGATGATGCCACCTTCTGACATGCCCATCGAAGCGATACTACTCTCCCATGCTCTTCTACTCGTCTTAGAGGCCGATAGAAACCTACGACAAAGTTGTTGAGTTGCTGTTATCCTTAACTTCGCACCTTTTCCTTCTCCTTATGTGGTGGAGTGGAGAAACCGGTCAGATGAAGTGTGCTTCTTGATGGACTGATACGGGATACCCCGTTTTTCTATCTCCTTTGAGTACCATCCAACATGACGGCGGCGTAGCTCTCTGATTCTCAAGGCCGAGAGGGGGATAGAAGTATATAATCGCAGAAGTATTCTTGATCGTCACCTACCCGCCAATCCGTCCACCATGGAGAAGGACATGTCGTTGAAAGGTTCAATTAACTCCACCGGCAAAGTTTCCGATTCCTCGAGTTTCAGTGACGAGCAAGCCGCCAGGCTCGAGAGATACGTGTGGTGGAAGCTCGATCTCTCGTGAGTAGTCTCTGATTTCGCCGACTAAGAGCGCCACTGACTTTGTGACCGCCCCTCAGTGTGGTTTGTCACCACCACCCTATGTCCCCAAGTAAAATCAACTAAAATTGTTCCCTATAGTTGGGAGTGGTCACTATTTTCTACCTGCTTTCTTGGCTGGTGAGTAAATAACTTGACGCCGTCCGGACTCCCCGGGTGCTGATTGGCCCAAAGGACAGAACCAACCTAGGCAATGCTCGGGTCGCAGGTCTACAGAAGGATTTACACCTCACCAATGATCAGGTAGGCGAAACTTCCACGCTTCAGAAGGGATTTCACTGACGTCTATACAGTACAGCATTGCGTTAACCGTCACATTTATGTGCGTATGGCCACCTTTTTTGAACGTCGATCTGAACATGATTGCAGCCCTTACATATTTGCGGAATTACCCTCAAATCTACTTCTGAAAGTATGTTAATCTACAACTCTAAAAGACCTTCATTTACTTAGCAAGTGAAGATTGTGGGACCCAATGTTCTCCTGTCCACCTTGTTGGTGCTCTGGGGCGTGGTAACCACTCTACAAGGCATGCCACATCAGACCGAGAAGGAATTCTACTCATTCCATTATGCAGGTGTTGTCCACAACTATGCCGGTTTATTGGCCTGTCGATTCTTCTTGGGTCTGTTCGAAGGTTAGTTGCATCTATCAGTGCCCCACGAATGACTGCGTTGAACGACGCTCCAGGTGGTGTTCTTCCTGGCATCGTCCTGTATCTCTCTCTATTCTATCCCAGAGCACAACTCCAAAAACGGTGAGTCGTACATCGGTATCTACTAGTCACCGACTGACTGCTCTGAAAAAGTTTATCAGTAGTCTTCGCAGCCTCATCTTTGGCCGGTGCATTCAGTGGCCTCCTCGCTGCCGGAATCTCTGAAATGTCTGGGATCGGTGGAAGGCCTGGTTGGGCTTGGATCTTCATCCTCGAAGGAATTTTCACTGTCCTCTTTGGCATCCTCTCCTCCTTCTTCATCCCAAGTTCGCCGATGAATTGTAGGCTACTCAAGCAAGAGGAGAAGGAGTACATCATGCTTCGACTACGGGAGGATGGTGCCATCAGCAAAGACGACCGCAGCGATGTGTTCTCATGGCGTGAAGTGTTCAGAATCTTCCACCTACCCCATGTTTGGTTGTTGTTCTTCATATTCTTCTTCCACGGTACGTCGGCTTATACCTTTAACCCTTCACGATCTTAATTTCGTTTCAAGGGACGATACTTTACTCCTTAAGCTAGTAAGTAGCTTCCTCAACTCCATGTGGACCTCGGTGTTGACTCGGTCAAAAGCTTTGCCCCATCAATTATTCAGGGATTGGGATACAGCGCAAACAGAGCCCAACTCATGTCTGTTCCACCTTACGCGGCGGCGTTCGTTCGTGAGTTATTCCCAACAGATCTTGATGTGGATTGGTCTTACCTTCCTTCAAGTCACTAATGTTGCATCCTACGTTGCCGACCGATATCACTGTCGCGGTGCCGTCGTCATGTTCTGCTCTGCTTGTACTATTGTCGGATTCAGCATGTTCCTAGGTAATGTTACGATCTTACTTCTTCACATATCATTCGGCTAATGGCACTATTAATATAGGCTCGCACAAGCATGCCGTTCAATACGGTAGCTTGTTCCTCACACTCTCGGGAATCAACACGGCAGCGCCCACCATCACAAGTTGGACAGCGAATAACACTGCGCCACATATTCGACGTGCCTCAGCCATTGCCGTTGTGTGTATGTTGACAAATATGGGAGGTATCCTGTCCACATGGCTCCTTGGGTCACTCTCGGCGGCCCCACGCTACACGAAAGCGACGATCGTCCTGCTGGTATTTTCCATTGGTCTTGGTGTCGCCGCTGGGCTCAACGTTCTGTACCTATGGATGCAGAACAAGAAGAAGGCAGAACTAAGGGCTACCATCACTAAAGAAGAGGAGCCAGCAGGTTTGGGTGATCGTAGCGCATGGTTCATTTATATTTTATGATTTATGTACTGAGTCTGGCATTGCTTTATATCTGTATACAGGCTTGACGAAGCGCTGGTGCGTCTAGGCACGGCGCTGTAATGATATTCAAGTAAATTCACGTTTCTGAGCTCTCGCTTCGCCGGGTCCTTCAGCATCACCGGATCCGGGAACCCAGTCCCATAGGTGCGTTATGTGTTCGCCCTTGCGTGCACTTTTCCTAGGAACCAACATTGGAGTCGATAAGCGGAACTTTTTATTTCTGTTATCGTCTTCCGGCAAGGCATGTCTTACTTAGTATATGTATAGCACACAATGGCTACAAAACCACATGCTTGAGGATCCTGTGGGAGGGCCATCTTTGGGCCCGTCTGCGCATTATGGAGCGGAAGGATTCACTGACGTCCTCAGAAAAGGTCAATGTTCTACCAGGTTCATCGACAATCAGTGTTGATGCAGACGCCCAACTGGAGAGAGTGGTCTGGCGGAAGATTGATCTCTGGTAAGGTCCAAATTTCCTTATAAAACCACTTCTTCTGACCGACCTCTTGAACAGCGTCGTGAGCAACTTGAGAACTCGAGCAAGGGATTACTACTAATATGTGCACTATGTTACGTAGATCGCAACACTTACCGTCTTTTACCTCTTATCGTGGTTGGTGAGTGGGGAGTCGTTACGAGGATCATTGATATTGATGTCGTTCTTACTTTAGGACCGTACAAATTTAGGGAACGCTCGAATTGCAGGTTTACAAACAGATCTACGGCTCACGAATGACCAAGTTCGTTTCGCCGCTACACTACTGTCACCCGTGTCTGATTCCCTTGGACATGCAGTATAGTATTTCCCTGACCGTGACCCTCGTGTGTGTATGATCTCCTTGCTTTATCTATTCTTGTTCAATGAAGGAGTACGTAGCCCCTACTTATGTGCTGAATTACCCGTCAATCTACTGCTGAAGGTACGCGGTTGCTAGATCGTGCTGCCACGCTAGCTGACGGTCTGCTACGTAGATCGTTGGCCCAAATATCCTCCTACCCACATTGATGACACTTTGGGGTATAGTAATGACCTTACATGGTTCGCCCTGTTCTCCACTCGTTTCTGCTGCACCTAGAAGGTCACTTAGGAACCGTCAATAGCTTTGGAGGTTTATTGGTGTGTCGCTTCTTCCTTGGCCTCTTCGAAGGTACCGTATTCCACCCAAGACTGTGCAATTGTACAACTAAGGCCAATCGGACGTTTAGGCGGAATGCTACCAGCCATCGTCCTGTATATGTCCCTCTTCTACCCGCGGTCGAAACTTCAGCGACGGTGAGCTTCCCGATACATGTCCCCAGAAATCAGTTTTGAAACCCAAATCACCTTGTCTAGGCTCTCCATGATCTTCTCTGCCTCATCATTAGCTGGGGCGTTCAGCGGACTGCTTGCTGCTGCGATATTGCACATGGATGGTATAGGTGGGAAACGAGGCTGGGCGTGGATATTCATTCTCGAGGGCCTGTTCACCGTTGTCTTTGGCATAGTTTCTTTCTTCATCATCCCCGAGTCAGTTGGGCACTGCGCCCTTCTCGGTGCAGGAGAAAGGGGATATGTTCTGAAGCGTCTGCGTGAAGATGGGGCGATCAGCCAGAATGATAGTGCCGACGGTTTCGCGTGGAAGGAAGTCTTCCAGGTGTTTAGACTGCCCCACGTATGGTTTATTCTCTGTATATTCTTCTTCAATGGTAAGAGATTACTTGATTAGCAGAAACTGAGCAATTAATGAAGTCAAATTTGTACAGGCATTATTCTTTATTCACTGAGCTAGTGAGGCCCACTTCCATCTGTCATATCCGCTTGATTTGCTCATAAACTTCTGAAGCTTTACGCCGTCAATCGTGCAAGCGCTTGGGTGGAGTGGAACTCGAGCCCAACTCATGACGGTGCCTCCTTATGCTGTTGGTTTCGTGGGTGCGGACATAGTCGCTATGACCTAGCCTATTTGTAGCTGACCTCTCCTGTTTCGACAGTCACCAATCTAGGATCATACGTTGCTGATCATTACAAACGCCGTGGCATTGTCATAATTATATGTGCTGCCTGCCTTACTGCCGGGTTTTCCATGTTTCTTGGTATGACCGACGCTGGTATCCTACCATACGCCATCCTCACGTATTTGAACTCTTCTCAGCGTCGCACAGCACATCTGTCCAATACGGCAGTCTCTTCCTCACGATCGCAGGAATCAATGCTGCCGCCCCAGCGATCACTAGCTGGGTCGCAAACAACACCGCCCCGCATGTGCGACGCGCTTCTGCTATCGCCTGCGCCTGCGTAATGACCAACGCTGGAGGAATTTTGGCGACATGGCTAATTGGCTCGCTCTCGCCGCCTCCCCGTTACACCAACGCCACCATTGTTCTGTTGGTATCGTCCGTTGGATTGGGGATCGCTGCGGTAGGGAATGTCATTTATCTGTGGAGCCAAAATAGAGTCAAGGATAGGTTACGTGCAGTGGTCACCAAGGAGGAAGAGCCAGAGGGTTTGGGGGATCGCAGGGCGTGGTTTACGTATATCCTGTGACGCCCTGGAAGACAAGCAAAACAACTCACCACTACAGAAATATGTCCAACATTCTGCGTGTGCTAGTATCATGTCTTGCAGATTAATGTAATGCCAAATATATGAATGTAGTTAATACAGTGAACCTATGCTAACGAACAACAGTATGGAGTAACCCAGGCAAGAATATTACATTACATCCTGCATGTCAATGTTCCTCCGACCATCGCGATGGTAGCCCCGAGGCACCATCCCAGCTCCGTCCCCTCGACCTGCTTACCTATCCTCACCTCCCTCTCCGCCCCAAACTCATATCCAAGCCTTAACAGCGCATGCATGAACGTCATATCCAGGCACCACTCCGGCCGCCCCTCGAGCTCATCCATGACCTCCTTGTCGTTCCCCCAGCGCGCTTCCCAGGCAGCTCTGCCTTTGCACACGTCGGTAGCGAGCGAGGAGAGCGTGGATACCGTGATGGGCGATGCAGCGTCTTTCGGGAGGAGGGGGTGCAGACGGTCGTAGAAATAGGAGAGCAGCAGGACCTTGCCCGCTGGGAAGCTGTCCATGAGGGAGGGCTGGTATACACCGTCGAAGGAGCATGGTTTCACCTCGCATATGCTGTAGTATAATGTGTGTCAAATGCGTAGAAACAACGAATCGACGGTGACACGTACGCGTCTTTGGCCATAACGAGCTCGACAATTCTGTTGCATGCCTCGAAGCTGCCGATGTCTTCACCGACCATTGTAACCTCCCGTGTCTCACCCGACACCTTGTCAGCAACGCTGACCACCCGTTCAGTCCCCTTCGCCAGGCAAGGATTACCCACGGGCTTGGAAGGATCGCCCGCCGCCCTCAACGACGCCATAAAGTCGACCAACTGATGAACGTGCTTCCTCGCGCGCATCAGCCCGTAACCGAGGTACGAATGTTGGTAGAGCACATGGGTCTTTCCCCCGAACGTCAAGTCGTATTTGTGCTCGCCTTCGACGAGAGATGAGTCGGGCTGCGAGAACTTGGGCTCAAAGACAATTTGTGTTGAAGCGCCGCCGAGGTCAAGGACTGCGTATGTGGGAGTGTCGGTGGGGGTGTCGGCTCTGATGGTGTCGAGCAGATAGTTGGCGGTGATCCAAGCGTACACGCCCTCGTCCTTGCCGTCCATGACGACCACGCCATCCTTCTCGGCGAGTACGAACGGATACTTCATATGTAGTCGGTCTCTCACAGCATCCAGAATAGCCCCACTCTCCGTCGTACCCAGCAGCCTCAATCCAGCAGTCGCCTTCACCGCAACAGGAGTACACTTCCTAAGGTCCTCGGGAACGACCCTCATCGCCTCCTCCATCAACACATCCAAGCTCTGGGCGGCCTCCTCCGGCTTGCCAGAGTACGCCGACAGTCCTGGTTGTGTCATTTTGAATGTCTCGTATTCGTAGGTTGCCGATGGCCCGCAGTTGTTGAATTTGTAGACGTGGATGCGCGAGCCGGTGGACCCAGCGTCAATCATAAGTGCATATTGGACGAGGTGGGCGGAGGGGTCGTGGGGAGTGGTGCAGTACACCGTTTTCGACGGGTCGGGGTCGCTTTCGAAAGATGTGGGTCGGGTGGTGGTGTGGTCGTTGTGGGTCTGTGTTGGTGGCGGCTCAATGGTCGCCAGCGGCGCGGGTGAATCCAATTGCTCGTCGTCCTCAGGGAAGGCTATAGCATTGTGTTCCGCAGGCTCTTTCTCTTTCTCGTTGTGCCATTTCATCAAATCCTTCGGTTCTCGGGGCCCAAAGAAGTACACAAGTCCTATAAGAACGACAGCAGCAACAGCGAACTTTTTCCATGCGAATCTTGCGAGACCGGTGCGGCGACCTGGACCCATGCCGCCTTCTAATCTTTCGTAGTTCGCGCTGCGAGGCGACATAATGGCCATTTTGGCGAGGCGCGCAGGAATCCTGGATAGTGCGGAGGTAATGTTCGGGCGCACGGAAGAGGAGGAGGAGATGGTGGTTGCGGATGAAGAGTTAGACGACGATTGTGTGGCGCAAGGCGGCATACGTGGGTCACTCCTAACTTGTAATATTTTCCATCAGCATCATATATGAGCGCTCTCACAAAGGAGTCCAGAGTACACAAGTGCAATACATCGGCTAAATATATACGGCTCTAGGTTGCTCGCATGGTGGTTATTCGAGGTGCAGCCCTAGCAACTGCCGCCATGTATTGAAATCATTGATATGATAAGAATACCTCGGTTGTTTGACTTGATACTCCCAAATCATCACAAAAAAGAAACGAGTGGGTAAACTCACCATTAGGGATTCTCCTGAATCAACGTCTACTGCGTGAGGGCTGTGTCCATGCTCCTCACCCCTGCTCGAGATATATATCCCGCCAACGACTTGATAGACGAGACTGAGTGATTGAAGTATTGAAACGTTGCAGAAGAGGATATCAAAGATGGCCGGGCATAGTACATGGACTTCAAGGTAAAGTGCAGTCAGATTGATGTAGAGCCGGGGGGAAGCCAATGCTAAGTGTTTGACTTCTGGTAAGCTGAAAAATCGTCGGTGAAGGTAAAGCCTGTTGAGGGTCGCTTTCGAGCGAGAATTCCAGGCGTCAACGTCCAAATCAACAGGGTAGAAAATCTTCAGTTCATCGAGCCCGGATAATGCGCGTTCGTCCATGGCGACTTGCGATGTGAAATCCCCCCAAATGTAAGGACCTGGCTCATAGCACTGGGGGAGGAGCTCAACGGAACGCAGATGCTGTGATTGTTGGCAAAGAGCGCACGAGAGCGGCAGGGTTAGACAGGAGATCGGCAGTTAGGTTTATATGAAGTGAGAGTTGATGGAGAGAGGGGAGCACCCCGACTGTGTTGAAGAATGGCGAGAGGTCGAGGCGAGCATAGCAAGCGAGGGTTAGTCCACTCAGCAGCGCCGCGAGGCCAGTTACCAGATGTTGTTGGTCGCGCGCGAACTAGGGCATCCGTAGACTCGCATGCTTGAAATTGCAAAGTAATCCGAAGTTCCTCGAGTCCCTCCGGACCTGCAGCGGTCAAAGCTGCCAATTCGATCGCGGAACACTGAACGTCCAATTTCCGAAGATCGCTTGCGATGACCGTGGCCGGCGTCGAGAAGAAAGATGCTGCAACGGGCGGAAGGCATCGAGTCTCCACGATGCGTTCGTGAGGCCAGACATATACGCTACAGCGGCCTGCATTGCCTGTACGGGGTGCTTCACCGATCCCGCGATCAGCTGTGACTTGCAGACTCCAAGCAGTGAAGCAGAGCGGTAGCTTGGGGCCTTCGCGCCATAGGCACATTTGTACCCAATGGGGGATTCTCGCCAGCCTCGGGGGGATCGGGTCCTGTTTATGTCCTCGCATCTCCTTACTGTACATCAAGCGAACGAACCATAGGCGAACGTGAAGTCTTCGAACGAACCCGGACCGCTATGTTAGGTTTACTGAGAGGCAGATATCAGGGCGCCGGCGCTGATGAGAATAACGAAATCCTTTCACCGCAGGCATATCAATGACTTGACCATGGCTACATCAATCCGTTCCCAAAAGACATCACGATACACGGCTTTGAGTACAATGTCGTACGTTGTCATATTGATAGCTATCGCTCGTATCTTTACTTGAGCGGAGAGGCACTCTAGAACTTGCTTCCACGTAATGGAAGCTGCGAAGGGATTACTGCGCTGGTCGACGGTAGCGGGAAGAAAACATTTACATGCTTGCATTGATGATCAACAAGTTATCAACCATTCTCACGATCAAAATATGTGCAACAGTTTTTCGTTGGCTCGGTTATACACAAGTATTTGGGACGTATTTAGGAGAGATTGTAGCGATGAGCAGGCGGGAAGGGGTGGGGGGATTGATAAGTGGAGCTACAGGAGAAAGGATCGAGTTTTCAGAAGTATATCGGTGTACTAGATTTCACGAAAGCGCGTATCAAAGCAGGTAGGGTGGGGGATGGGGGTACGACGATGCTCCAAACAAATGGGTGGGGAATGATGGTGTAGATGAAGTGATATACAAAGAGCAATCGAAGGCTGAGGCCAATCCTCGCATGGCTCAGCTAGTCAAGGTCAAGGAGTCCGATGAGATATAAAATGGAGGTGGTGTATAGCATTAATCATAATCGTGTCGCGCGACGCAGAGTTTAGTCTTCGAACTGAGCGAATGGGATGCCGTGGCTATGGAGCATATTTTGAAGCATCAGGGCACGAGTCTTCCACTTCTCGCGGTCGGAAGAGAGTGCCTGTACTTGGTCTTCAAGCTGTTGTTGGTGCTCGAGCTTGCGCTTCCGACTCTTACGAGCTGCGAGCGTGTTCTGCCGACGTTTCCACTCAATCTGCTCCTTCTCGGTGGCGTTGGGACCGGGAGCATCTTCTGGCATCTCATCGTCATCATTGAATGCCTGGGAACGCGCTCGCTTGCGCAGGAACGTAGCCGGCACCTCCTTCCTCGACGTCACAGAAGGGGTGATATACTTGCGCGGCTGCGTTGGTGCGTCGAGCGGCACCAAGGTATCAGGAGTGATGTTCTTCCTCGTACCCGTGGCCGTGGACTTGCGACGAGGGGGAGGGGCGACGGGCTTGGAAGAGTCGAGAGCGGGAGAAGGATAGGAAGCGGGGGCGAGATCCAACAATGGTGTGTCGGGGGACATCGTGTACCACTGTGAGTGGTCGGGGAGAGGTGGGACCGCAGGTTGCGCCGACTTTTCGGAAGTCTCGGGCTGAACGCCTCCGAAGAGATCCATGTTATCGTCAAGCCCGCTGATGAGGGGACCAGTGAGCATGGCTGCGTCAGCGAACAAAGGTGTATCGATGTCATCCTCGAACGGAGTGTAAGGGGTATAAGGGGAGGCCGAAGTGAGAAACTCGTCGAACTCAGGCGACGGCGGCATAGCTGGGGAGGTGTTTGGAGTGGGCGGTGCCGCTGAGTCTTTGTCAGTCATCTCTTCGTCGGAATCATAGTACGTGAGCAATTCACCTTCAAGCACGTCCCTCAGAGCCCTACAGAAGTCCTCGTCGGTGAATTGTCCCACCGGGGACGACAAGGCTGCAGGGTTGATGGTATCCATAGCTGATGAGGTCGTGTCTGCAGTCGCGGAATTAGCGTCCGGTGTCGATTTTAGCATATTCAAATAATTAGCAGAGAGGGCGGCGAAGTCGGGGTATTCAGTTGACTGTGGTTCAGATTGCGGTGATCTACGAGGTGTAGTACGTGGTGCAGGTGGGAGAATCGTGGGGATGCCATAGTGATTTGCCAGATCCGTAGTAGATACAAAAACGGAAGACGTCCGGGGACGGTTGTTGTGAGAGTTTATTGAGACATGTTGGGGATGGTAGCTTGAAAGGGTACTTTCAAGTGGTTGCGCGGATTGAGCAGTGGGGCGCGGGACCGTTGACGAAAGAGACGAGGCCGAGGAATTCACAGGGAAGTGAACATCTTGGCGAGTTCTGTAGTAGTTGTTGGGCTGACTTTGGGAGGAAATGGCTACGGAGGTAGTGGAGGCAGAGTTTGGAGTGTGTAGTGGCAGCACTTCGGGCGACCCAGATTCTCTGTAACCAGGCGGCGATGCATAAGTCAGCTCTGATTGTTCATCAAATGCATTGTCATTAGGCTGTGCGGTGGGACTACCATCCTCGCCGTCGAAGAGAAGCGACGATGAGCATGTAACGTAGCGCCAAGCACCGTTAGATGACGAGGCAATCGTGCGAACCATCTGCGACTGCTTGCGCGCGCGGCTGTTCGCCTCTGGTAAAGGGGATGCCGTTCCGCTCCGCATGATAATAACACAGGGGACTGAACTACTACGGAGCCGCGAACTTTGTGACTCTGGATAGTTCGGAGACGGAATGCGCAGCGCAGGAAGAAAATGTGGAGAAAAGAAAGGGGGAAGTGTGACTCACAAGCAACTCAGAGATTAACTACTGAGGCCAAAAGACGGCTGAACAGCGTCGTGCACTGTTCTCGTCGTCGGGGTTGGTGGTGGTAAAGGGGGAAGAAACAAGTGGCAAGAACTGACTCATCCCTAGATTATATACATCTTGCGGCGATTTTCAAACTCAGGCACTTTCCCATGTGCAGCGCTGTAGCGCTCGGGCATCGCCTTCCTATGGCATCAAGCGGTGTATAGCGTATATACAGCCCGTAAGGCTGTAGACGTTTATCCCCTTTGTTCTCCATGGAATGCCAGCACATATCCCCCATCCAAGCCTCCAGAAACTCCAGCGGAAAATGCACAGAAAACCCCACAAAAATCGCAATTTCCACGATCGACTCAGTTCGAGTCATTCGTCCCAATGACAAATCAGCGGCCGTGCCGATTACCCTAAATCCGTGCGGCACGGCGGCAGCAGCTCATTGCACAGCATGCGTAGTTCTGCGTAGCACCGTATTCCATGCGGTCAACAACGCGGTCAGCGCAGGAGACTCCACGTTCGCGAACGACGACGACATCTTGTCATGGCGCGACGCCCGCAGCACAGCAAACGCAATAGACAGCAGCGAAGCTGTTGCTTTGTCCTATTAAATTCAGGGCCAGGAAATGTGTTATCATATGCGTATGTTATTCCGGGACGAACTCTGGGCAAGGGTTTCCCCTCTCCTGATGTATTCCGAGTTTCAGCCGGCAAGAGAACATCACAGAGCACTTACATCAGTGCAAAAAGCCTAACAAAGATCCGCGCAACCGAGGGCGACAAGTGTCGCTCCCCATTGCCACCCGACAAAATTGGTCTTGATAGATGCTTGATCACCGGAGTCAGCAAGCATTATGTACTTTCGCTGTTGCGACACCGCCATTAGAACAACAGAGCCAGATGTAGACGGAGAACGAGGCCTGAAAGTGGGGCTTTTCATTTGCAGGGCGTTTATCATTCGATGCACATGCTCCCAGCTTGAGAAGTCCCCAGCGAGACACCAGGACCGGTCCGCGAGTGTATTGAGGTTTGCACGAAGGACATCATAGGCCGCTATTCCACCACAACCAGCGCTGAGACAATTGTTTCGGTAGGGAACATCAGACACGAACGACCTCGAATTTGATACCTCATCGTTCTGGGGAGATTGTGGGTTGTGCTGGGGTTGGTGGAGACCGTGTGGTGGCCTGGTGTTCCCCGGGCAGACGTTACCTGGCAATCGGATTCCAGCGCTTTTCCTCTACCAAGACTTGGCTCGAACTGGCCGGTACCAGCGGAGTGCTTCTAGTGTCCCTTCCGGCATCTGGCAATCATTTGATTTGCGAATACGGAAAGTGTGTAAAGCCGCTGCAAGTTCTAGGGAAAGGCGGGATGGTGGAAGTTGGGGTTTGAGGGTTGAAATTTGAGACAAGTGAGTGGAAGCTTTTTGTCCATTTCGTCGAATCATCGATGTCTGATTCGGCCGAGGTGGCAACGTTGACTCCATGAGGCGATCAACATAGAGTCAGAATCATGCACGTGAGCGCGTTCTCCTGATTACCCAACCCTTGATAGCGCATTAGGCCCTTTTCGAGTTGCTGGTTCATCGAAACCCAATCCGCAGGGCACATGCATTGGAAGGTCTCACAAGAAATCCGACGACGGTAAGAACAAGGAACGGTACGGCAAAGCGCTCAGGGCCCGCGCTAACATTCTTGCTGGTCAACATTCTCTCCCTCATTCTCGCAAGGGGAAGGCAGCTCCGATTGCCTGTAATTCCGTAGTTCGGCAGGTAAGCTTCTGGAATATTTCTTGCGACTTGTCGAATGGATGGCGATTGGATCTATGTGTCTAGGGCCGCTGTGTATATTCGGGTATTTTGTGGGGATTGAGCTGAGCGATTGTTCGTTCGGCTTGCGAATTCTTGAGCCATGGATTACATTTGCTTCTGGTGGCGAGAGTTTTCCCTGCAGCCCGATCGAATGGTTTGTCGCTTCTTTGGCAGACGATACTTTACACTATGAAACTTCAACGGCCAGACTCATTTCGCGTCCATTTTGTGACTATCGTCAGGCATTGATCGAAGAACCGGAAACCCCTCCGAGAGGACAAGGCTAGGTTTGACGGTAAAGTATTATCGCACTATCAGTAACGTTTCATTCGCTCGCTTATCCGAGCAACAATAGTTTTAGACTAGCTTAACGCCAGGTCTACACTCGTACATTTCCTGAGGCCGTGACAAAGGAAAACGGGGACACGAAGGCGCATGTTGGGATCTCACAGACAAAACAACGAAACACCGTGAAGCCTACTTCGGGTGAGGTGCAGCCCTGGACATTCCTCCTGTCATCGGTGTCGTCGCTAAAGACTCAGGAGAGGAGTCAAGAAACTCGTTGACTCATCGCACGTACACGGAGCCAATGGAACTATTTCTTTGAACCTCTACTTCTCAAGAAAAGAAGCGCCTCATGCTACCTTGGCCTTCTACTGGCGACGATAGTCCAATCACGTTGTGCGAATAATCTGTCTAGGCAGACATCTCACAATCGAGAGCATATGGTTCACCATTGCCACGATGTCATTCGGCAAAGTCGACCGCACCAAGGCCAAAGAGAAATGCGGAACGAGACAACACACGAAGTTTGAGGTGTGTGTTCATACTACATTCTTATACCAATTTCTGTAGCTGTCCGAAACAATTCTAATGCGACACAGAGGTGGGTATAATGTTCGTAGTTTTTGCTGTACGCATTTTGTGCATTTTGTGCTTATCATGCCTCACCCGTAAAAGGCCTAGAAACGACCACGGCGACCCTCTCAAATCCCCACACATTTCTTGATGATTCTACCAACTTTACCCACCTGCACAGGTTTAGAAGCAGCTCAGGTCCCCGTTGATGGTCGAGGCCACGAGCAATTCGACGGGCCTCAGTTTGGTTATATACGCCCGGGGTGTGCATTGATGACCTTCTCTTGGTTCCTTCGCTAGAATCGAGTTAGACGAACCGACAGAGTCTATAAAGGCAGATTTTCCAGTATCGTTGGCCCATCTCCCTGTCAAAGTGCCCCATGGATAACAAGCATATCATAATCATTCTCGCCCTGGTCGGAGGCCTGTTTGTGTATCGCAAACGCAGCTCGAACAAACGTCCACCTCTCCCACCTGGTCCACCGGCTGACCCATTGATTGGCCACCTACGAGTCATGCCAACTGACAACCACGAGCTGGTATTTCTTGAATGGTCGAAACTATATGGTATTTCTTTTTTAACTATATTATCCTCGACGCTAATGTTTCCGTTAGGGGATGTCATGCATCTCAAAGTCCTCAGTCATAATATCATTGTACTCAACAGCGTGGAGGCAGCTACCGACCTTCTCGAGAAGCGCAGCGCATTGTACAGTGACCGACCAAACATGACCGTATACGTAGAGTAAGTTCACCGTCTACCTGGCTTTTATTCTAGCTCTTCTGACACAACTCGTCAGAATTGGGTGGGATCCAATTTTGGTATTCTTGCCGTACGGTTCACGCTTTCGTAAACATCGCCAACTCCTACATTCACATTTCGGCCAGCGTGCCATCTCCAAATTCCAGCCTATCCAACTCCAGAATGCGTTGATTCTCGCACAAGGACTAATGGATAATACGAAAGACTACCAACATGTCCTTGGCAGGTGGAGTAATATATCAACTATTCGCCATTGCCTTGCTACTAACTTATGGGGCTAGGTACACCACGGCCATAGTGATGCGCGTTGCGTACGGTCACCACATTTTTTCCGATGATGATGAATTTGTACAGATCGCACACGACAGCGGGTATACTTTGAACAACGCAGGTCCACCTGGAGGAACTGCAGTTGACCTTTTCCCTATTTGTACGTGATGATCTTGTCGAGACATTGAATATTGCATTGAACGCTATATCTTGCAGTAATGAATTTCCCCTCGTGGTTTCCTGGGACTCATTATGCTTCCTTTGCTCGAGAGTGGAGATGGGCGGTTAAGAAGCTGTGCAATCGCCCATATGAGTATGTGAAACAACGGATGGTGAGTCAATGTCCTGCGTACATGATAGGCCACCGATCCTTTCGTTATCAGGCGGAAGGCACGGCGGAGCCATCTTTTCTCCTCGAGCAACTTGAGGCAACATCAGGGAAGAAACTTACAGACGACGAAGTAGAGGATATTAAGGGGTGCGCAGGCGTCATCTTCGTCGCAGGTGGCGAGACTGTAAGGCTGTCAATTTTCTACAAATATCGCGGTTGAACACATTTTTCAGACTTGGTCGAGCCTAGAAACATTCTTCTTGGCGGTTCTACGTCACCCGGAGGTGCAGAAGAAAGGCCAAGAAGAGATTGACCGTGTTATTGGACCTGACCGGCTTCCTACTTTTGAAGACTACGATTCCTTGCCATACGTGGAGTGCGTTGCACAAGAGATATTAAGGTATTGCTCTCCCATCACTGCCGACATGTAAATTTTATCTATATACGTAGATGGCACCCAACCGCTCCCGTTGGTAAGGATATGACTGGAGTGAAACTCAACTGAGGGCTCACGAACACTCAGGCGTGCCGCACCGCTCCACGGAGGATGATATTTACAAAGGCATGTTCATCCCGAAAGGCTCAATAATTTTCGCAAACATCATGTACGTCCAAAAGTCGGATGCCCGTCACTGCCGACTTAGATAAAACAGGGGTATGTCTATGGACGAAAGTGTTTACGCTGAACCAACTCGGTTCAATCCCGATCGCTATTTGCCCAAGTCCCATGGCGGCAACGGAGAGCCCCATCTAGATGCTGCTTTTGGATTTGGCAGAAGGTGGCGCGTCTCGGCTCGGCAGTGTCTGTCGCTAACATAGTTCTTGACAGGATTTGTCCAGGAAGACACCTTGCAGTAGCGAGTATATGGATTGCTGTTGCGACGATATTCGCTACAGTGGACATCAACAGGGTCAAGGACGTAGATGGAAATGAAATTACGCCAGAACTAGAATTTGAAACAGGAATCACCAGGTGCGTCTAATCCTTGTATTTACATGTGCAATTTCTAAACGGTACGTAGCCGCCCGAAACGATTTCAGTGCAAGACGTCGCCTAGGTCTGAGAAGGCATCTAGTCTTGTGGCTGTTGAATGTGCTATGTTGTCGGGGTAGGGTGGCACATTCTATCTACATCACATATCAGTATCCTGGATATCATTCATATCATTCATGCTTCTCCAGAGTCTCGGCTGAACTTCGTTATATATATATACCGCCAGGCATCTTCCATAGGATGCCGACAACTTTACTTCCAAGTATACCAGCCACACTCAAACTGACAGGATCGAGAATTGATTATAACAAACATACATCATCCTCAACCATGCAGCGGCCTACTGCTATCGTGTAAGGCACGAACCAAGTCCCCTTGCATCACATCCCATAAATACTCTGCCATAGACATATCTGAATAACCGCAACGTGTTGTACCCTAACACACCGAACAGCCAGCCTGTGCCGAGGGCGACAGCCGCCGTCCCCGCAGCGACGGATGCCCCAAGCTCGCTGACCCGCGCCCACGAGTCGTCGCCGGAGGACCTATTCGTTGTGTGGTCCACGCGCGCGCCTCAACGGAGTGGACGAACGTCGCGAGGTGGAGCTTGACGGCCGCCCCGGGGGCGACGCTGTTCCTATATGCGAGCGGCGCGACGATCCCAAAGGCGATATTGAGCGTGTGGTCGGTGGCGTTGCGGATCGTGTCATCCGGGTACGTTCCAAGTTGTGGGTTATATCTTGTAACTGTTATCTAGTAACTCGTGCGGGTGATAATGTTGGTAGTAGCGAAGTTGAACCTGGGCAGATTGCCTGTGCGGGGAGAGCAGAACTATATTAAATGCGTGCATCAAGGTGAGTCGCCAGGACCACACGTGTATGTGGATATGTGGGAAGTATGCAGAACTAGGGTCAGAATCCATTTGTTCGGTGCCTTTAGAGAACACGCTGATGTCTCGCGGAGAATCCACGGTCTCGAGGTCCGTAGAAGGTCCGTACCATTGACAACGAGACAATGCATGCCGAACGCGGTACACAGAGCGATATAACATGTGGACTGATGCATACAGAATGTGTCCTCAAGTGTGACTGGAGGAAGGTACCAGACGTTCTCACGGGAAGACTCAGAAGAGGGAGTCCAACGCACGCCCGAGGTGGGCAAAAAATCCACCTCCATGTGACCGAGCATGAGTTAACTCTTGCTGGATTCGCCGTTGCGCGTCAGCAAAGGAGGATGCCATCCGTTCTGAATCGGTTGTCAGGCGATTGATGTCTTCGTTTAGCTTCGCCGTCGCTTTCTCAAGTTCGACACGAGCCTTTTCATCGTTGTCCTTCAACGCTAGGACAATAATGAAGGATTTCAGTGGGAAGAACAGCTGGAGGACAAAAGGGAGGTGACCTTCTTCCATCTCCGCCCGCAGCTTCGCCTGCTGTTCCTTGAATTTCCGTGCCTGCTCGCGCAACTCGCGTCCAGCTCTTCGCCAGCGTCAGTCTCCGTGATGTCCCTGTTCTCGTCTACCAGTTCCTTCTGGATGAGCAAGGAAACAGGGTCCTTGAATGCAACGGATCGTAGAATTTCATGGGCTGACGTTAGCGTATTGTTGTGTCGTTTGAGTTGCGCGCCCTCGTCCAGCACAGGCTTGAAAAACATGTCCTCTTGTTTCAGTTCTTGCTCACGGGCCTCGCCAACGTCGAGGGGGACTTGGCCCCACATGTTCGTGACTAGGACAACGTTCCGAAGAGAGTCGTCGCCACAAAGCTTCCTGAACATCCTGAAATTGCGTGTCGACGTGCCGCCCATGCGAAAGTCTGAGATGCGGTGAACGTATACGATGCCGGAAAGCCGCACGCCGTCCGCATATCTGCATCGTAAATGTAAGAGGAAGACTATCACCAGGGCCTGGACTCACGTGGTGGAAAGATATGCGGAGATCATAGACAACACGTCGGTATCGCTCCGTGTTGTATCGTCGAAGCCAGGCGTGTCTATGAGCCTGACTGTTCGGTCCCCGAGCCGGAAGGGCTTTGAAGTTTGAACATCGCTGGTGCACGACATGAGCCCTGAACCCACGCGTAGGTTAGACCCGCTAGCCATGTTGATGAACTATCACAATGTGAGGTCAATCGAGCGGCAGGGAGTAGTATACCTACGGTAGTTTTCCCGCTGCCAGTAGCTCCCATCACACTACCCCCTGTTAGCAACAGTGTGCATAGCATGGATGGATCTTCACTCACGCAATGAGAGACTCGACGTCGGAATCATTGGCATTTAGTCCTGCGATGAAAACAGCCTGGGTGCCGGTATCACTAGCGTGCGCTGACTGCAGCCTCGTGCAGAGTGCCAGAAATGTGAAGGCGTAGAAGAGCTTCATGGTGTAAGCCCTAGCTCTAGTTGTATATCAGGTATCGGTGGTGTTGTGAAGTCAAGTGTTAGGGGAAGTCGGGATACGCGGTTGGCTTACCTAGGCCCACGAACCACGGCGGCATGAATACAGTGCTCGCTTTATACAGTCTACACTATGCAGGGACCTCGATTGTTCACCGTGCAAGTGAACTCCAGAAGTCGTGCTGCGGTAAATCAATAGACGTTCCGGCACAGTTATGAAATAACAGACTCACGGTCGATCTTCGAAGCCTAATGAATGATTGCTGACAAGATGTCAATGAAGGTTGTGCTACCACTGTGTGGGGCGTAAGGCGCGCGAAATTGCGCCCAGCTACCTCCCCGAATATTCAGTTAAGGCAAGCTAGCACCTCATCGCATGCTGGGGTATAGGTCGGTTCCGGCTTCTGGCTCACGCCAGTAGCCCAGGTCAATGAAAAATATCTATAGATGATAGTGTCTGCGAACTCGGAGTCGGGCGCTACACCGACTATATTCCACTTCACCAAGCACAATGATCATTTATTCATTCAATCCTGCATATCCGTAATGCACTGATCGGACTCTTCTTAGTATAGCATACAAGTACAGCGAGACTCGGAATACGTACTGTAGACTTCTCCCCCAATTTCGCGCTATATTGCGATCGACTTCAATACTCAGACGAAAGATGTCGCTCGTTCCTCGCATTCTACCTGGCTCCAAGCCTGTCATGCATCAGGATAAGTGGAGGAAGTCAGACAGTCCCATTGAATCGTGGCCCGTCGCCAGAGATGTTTCCGTGTTGCTACGGTCTCTCGCTCCTGGCCGCCTCACTTTCTCATGCCTTTTGTCTCCTTTGTTTTGCGAACCGAAGAACGTACCCTCCTTCAACATCTTGAGGTCTCTCTTAGCAGAAAGACAAGAGTAGACACCGCTCGTGAAGGACACAATTGAATCGCCACATCTCGCTTTCTCGTCAAGTAGCATGCACGAGGCCCTCTTGAACAGCAAATCTTGTGGCTTGATTGTCCTCAACCCCGTGGTATACCATATTACCTGCGTAGCGCAGAATCGATCTCGTGTATCAGGAGTGCGAGAACCACGATCGTACCATTTCGGAAGTTGAAGGGCGAACTGTGCCTCTCAGTCCAAAGAGTGTCAAATGGTAACCCAGCTCTGTGTTTTATTCTGTCACTCTGGCTGTTGCGCTGAAGATCTGCAAGGAAATTCTGGACATCGCGCGCGCTGTACAGACGGAGAGCGTGATCGCGCCTAGTTCAAAGGCGAACCCGACACAATAACATTTGAGCTAGTGAACGTATTGGATTCTCGCAGAAGCAACGGAGTCGGAATATCGGCCCGGACTGCCGGAAGCCTAGCGGCGTCCTCACAGACTACTCAAACTACTCTTACCTGCTTGCTATACTAGACGCTCCCCATACCCCGCCCGCGGCTTTACCCTCCAGTGTATGGCTTCTGTACCCGGGTGACGGAGTAGAAGCGATCTGGTTCAACTTTCACTCGTGATGAAAAACGCCTCACTCCCTATATTGTTTCGGTTGCTCCTATACCTGGAGGTAATTGCACACCAGCATTGATTGGGGGTGGGCAGTCTATGAATATTCTCAGCTGTACTTCAACGCGATGGCCTCCAGATAATCAAAGGTTGTGTTTTTTCCTTGCCGCTCCCCCCGTTTCGCTTTAGGGGCTATCATTGTTTATCCCCCTTCCGCTATCCGATATAAGCCTCCGCTGTACAGCCTAATGCTTGCATAAATACCGGAACGCTCTTCTGCTGATCTCTAAAGTCCTGCCTTGAAACCAACCATCACCACCACCCCAATTACCACCACCACCACCACCACCACCTCGCTCCTACAATGCTCTACACATCATATGGCACCCCTGTGTCGTACTCAACAGCTGCTTCTCACTTCGAAGTAGGCTGTCTAGCTTCGCAATACAAACACTTCCCACCGCAGTACTCCCCCTCCGGAGGTGATGATGGGTATCGACCTAGGACGGTCTACACGCCCGCAGACGGTACCAACCCGGAGACCATCACGTACTATTACGGCGGGAGGGCCCCTGATAAGCCGGAGCCAAGCATCCGTCGTCTGCTGAAAGGCGCAATTAAGAATTCGTATAGGCAGTTTGTCCATGATATGAGAGCCAAATGGGGCGGTGCTAAGGCGACGCAGTCTACGGAACTGTCGTAGCACATTGTTATATGTTCTCACTCGGGTTACGCATTATGCATCATCAATTCTTTTAATCCTATATCATCTGTTTCATTTGGCGCGAGATTGTGCGTCGGCTCGTCGAACTCAATTTCATCCATATATGATTGTTGTCTCAACCCTCCACCGCGGGCGATGGGCCACGTTGGCTCATGGAATGGGTCAGCCTACTGCACCTCGTCCCTAATACATCACCGTTGCTCCTTACTATAATGTACATCTTTCCTTTCTACTGCTCAAAACGCGCAGGGATTCCACCTCACTCCCAAGAACGCATAAATGGGCGGTAAGGGGAGATCGACACAATTCATTAGTTGCCCAAATTCTGAGTGAAAGTGTGGTCCCCGCCATCCAATCTCATCTCCTGCAGCCCATCGTGCATTACTCCGTTGAACTCTACCTTTCCCAACCCGGGAAGCCTCACTTTACCGTTCGTGCCCCTAGGTGTCGATATCTGGAGGACAAATACACGGTTCCTCAGTGTCCACTTGACGCCAAACCACCCCAATGCGGTCTCGAAACCCCCTTCAGCAGCCTTAAGGTCGCCGAGCACAGGCGCAACTGACCAAGTGGCACCTTTGGGCGAGGTGATCGTCAGTCCGAGAATAAAGAAAGTGAGCGCAGGAGTGGGACCCGTGGCCCAGCCGTGGGCATGGCTGGTGTAAGAGTGGTCGAAGTTGTATCCGGCGGCGCTGCGATATCTGTTTGAAACAGCGTGAGTTCATCGCCGTATCAGAGGTGCAAAGCTACCTACCCGAGAGAGCCGTTCTTGGTGAAGCCCTCGAGTAAGGTAGATTGGACGCTGAGGTTGGTGTAAAGCATATACCCCCACTCTTTACGAAGGAGATCCAGTCCTCGTTCGCCTTGTCCTGCGACGAAGTGTGCTTGCACCTAATGTTCATAGAGCAATAAGCATCGTTTTGCACGGATATGTCGGAGTTCCTTTACCTCAAATCCACCTACAAATGGGATAATCGTGTCATCGAGCTCCGGACTTACCGGCCCTATATCGGTCCAGAATTGTGTCAGGCCACTGCTGATGGCTTGGTTCTGTTCCTCGGTTTCGGTGACATTGTACAGAACTGCAAGCGAGTTGCCATCTTGTGGGAAGAGGGTACTGGTTTCGTTATCGCGAAACATGCCTGCTTCTGAATCCCAGAGCACGCGGTTGAATGCCGCCTTGATGGCGGTACTGTTTTGTAAGAAGCTGGCAGAGAGTTGCTCGTCGCCTAGATGGGAAGCTAAATCGGCGCCTGTGACTAGAGTCTGGAACGACGTTCAACCTTTACAGTCGGAGGACGCCACGGGTAATACGTACTTGGTAAAGGAGAGCATTCATCGCGGAATTATGTCCTGAGCCTCCATCCCTTCCCCAATCGTTCTGAAATTCGACAGGGACATTCATAAGCCCTAGTTCGTCGACATGACTCTGCAAGAAATCCAAGGCCTTTGTGTAATTTGCCCAAACAGTCTTCACTAAGTCCAGGTCCCCGGTGTACAGGAAGTAACTGTGCGTGCCGATAAGGGACCAGGCAATGTACGTCGCACTCCCATGTGCATTGATTGGCGGGCCGGAATATTGCAAAGCACCGGTTGAAGGATCTTGGGTCGAAAACATCACCAAGAGAGAGTTCTTGGTAGGTAACATATCGTTCGTCGAGACGAATTCCGTATGCGTGGATATCCCCATATCCCCTATTAATCATAAGGCATTATGCACAATACCCCAAGAATCGCATTGATTACATACCTGGCCATATATTTCTGAATTGGGGCGGTTGTTAGTGAATAGATGATCACAATGGAATAAATTACCTGTCTCTCTTAGCACCGTCTACTAGCACGGGCCCTTCGACGGGGCCAGCTGACGCATTGTTCGCCCATCCTATAAGTATCGAACAGGGTGAAATCGAGCCCATTATAGACTAAAAAGGATATACCCACCCTGAGCTGGGCAAGGTTGTTGGCGAGCTTCATTGACGTCGAAAGTATTCGTCTGTACCGTATACGCTCCCGCGTACCACAACTTCGTGAGGAAATCTTTGTCGTGGAATGATGGATCCTCTGCAGAGAAGTACCCAGAATAGTCCCTCAGATCGTCGAAATGTGGCATGAAGGTGATGCTTAGGGATATGTCAGAAATAGTCACAGGCGCATCAGAGTTGGAGACAATGGTGAGATAGCGGAAACCTCCTCTCTGCTGTCCTATAGTTTGGGTAAATCGGCCTGCAGTAAGAGGTTGAGGTAAAGATTGAACGCCGTCGCCATCCATAGTCGGTATGGAATGGCAAGAGTCATCGGAGCGAAGGGGACTAATGAACTGAGGGGATTCGCTGAAAGAGAGGGAAAGTGCGGATTGGGGCGTCGCTTTGTCTATATGCAGCGACAAACGTCCCCCGTACTGGATGGAGCAGATATCAGCAAAGCCAAAACTACGGTGAACCTGATAATCTACCTCCTGCAGCCAATCAAGTACAACATAGGAACCATTGCCATGGAAGGTAGCACCTCCCTTTCCATGGGTAACGAGATGTCCCGCTTGCGATACATCACCTACGATAGAGCGAATCGATCGGGGAAAGACCGTCTTCGACGGCGGGGCATAGTTGAACGTGTCCCAAGGACCAAAAGGCGCTCTCCCATAGGTCAGGGGAGCGCAGGATAAGATGGCAGCCAGACAAGCAATAGTGCGACGCATGTTGCAATTGACTTGCCAGAGATGAGTGTGTCACATTTATATTTGTTCTTCCTTCGAAACTGGCCGCCGGATGCATCATATGACGCCTTCGACGGCCCACTGAGGAGCTTCGAATGAGCTAGCCTGAGAAGGTTGATGATGTTCTACATCGTAGCCACACGCTCTGCGTGGGATGTAGTGGAACGATGGCCGTAACACCCCATCATGAGTCCCGCCTGCTGACTGTTATTGCAAAGTTCGTTTCGCTTCGGAATTGATCTGGAAATTGTGTATCCAGGGGTTGGATGAAAGCCCGCGTGCCACAAGGCTCATCTGGCCTGAAGCTGATTACTTAGACGAATCTAAGTGACCTGACAGGCCTTGGTTGTAACGATTTATGGCACCGTCGGGATTTCGAATAGATTACATTCTCCCATGTCATCTCGAACAAGTCCGAAGGGATTTCGAATGGAACAGTCAGAGCGGGAAAGCTTCCGCGTTCGTGTTGTTGCTCGCTGTGACCTAGGTCCAAAGGTAAAGTGGCTTTCTCGTCGGAACGAGGGTCGTTATTTGTGTACGCATCTGAATTAGATACGGAGCGATTCTGGAGGTGAACCATTAGCGAGGGCCTCTGAACTGGTTGGTACAGTCGTTGAATGGATTACGAATGGATGAGAAGGCTACCGTGGAAATTAGAACCGGGCCTATCATTTGACGCGGAGCTCGAAAGTAAGCTTCTGAACCTACTCCTGGAAATTCAATGCGACACACGGGTATGGGCCTAGTAAGCCGTTCAAATCTCCTCCGGAGCCTTCTGATGACTTCGAAATTTACCATGATTCTGGTATCGAGGCGAGACGCGGAAAAGCAGGAAGAAAGTAAACAGTAGAGGCGATGTTCTATTATACTATCCCTTTCATATCTGTAATGATTACCTCTCTAGGTCCCAGCATAGGCGTTGTCTTATCGGACGACGGCGGATCAACTGTTATCATACAGCAGAGCACAAAGGAGACATTTGTATATCATTTCATCGTTTCAAAGCAAAGAGGCATAACACGGGAGGCGGACGAAGGAGCAGTACACATATTGACAACAGAACGACATTAAAGCAAACAGCTCTGTGAAATTTTGAGCGGGCATTAGATAGGAATAACGTAAAGAGACGGAGTACATACAAGATCTTGTTCAAGTCAGAGATCTGGGTTGATGTTGACGGTGCATTAACGAACGCATACTTTGCCATTCGGGCAGCATTGACCACGACACAATAGCTCCCATTAGTTGCTATACCTTGTCCATCTTTGTGCACCACTTACCCTGATAAGCAGCAATCAACTCCTTTATGAAAACTGTCAGGCCAGTCGACTGACAGTGAAACGAAACTCCTACCGTCACTGCAGCGCACGCTGTTCAAAGGGCAGCATCTTCTATTCGGACCTGGGCAAATAGCATAACCAGGCCGGGACGATTGGCGCACGACTAATGCTGAATTCGCAGTATTTTCATCTGTGCCGCTGCATGTGCCGGTAATTCGTGGAGTGAATGCAGCGAGGTCGGAGTCCCTGGCTAGGGCTTCGACATGAGTGTCTGCGTTGGCCTGTACGAGAGCGAAAACAGAGTAAACAAAGAGGACTAAGAAATGCATGGTTGTTTATTGAGTTTCGTACCCTTGGCCACGATTTAAATTCCTACTCATGCCAACCCCCGCGCTTGTTGTCTCATGACTTGCCGTCCCTTGTCGCCATCTTCTTACTCGTAGGAAAGGGTTCCAGCGGTGCGCCGCCTTGTCAATCCTACGAAAGTTGAATAAAGCATACAGACGTCCTGTGGCGTTACCTCTAGGTTTAATTCATTGCCATAAGAGTAGATCGTGCAAGAGCGCTTGTCGAGTGCTTGGCAACTTCCAAGTAGACTCCTAGTGTATTTGCTGCGGACTTGAATGGCTCAGAGGGATCTCAATCGAGTTCGACTGTTGTAACACTTGAACAGAAGATAGAAAGGACGGGATTCCAGCGGGAAGAATATGGTCTCAGAAAGCCAAAACGCACAAACCACATATATGATTGGCGAATCGATTGGATCCACCAGAGTAGACGACCAAGTGTCATAGCTATACGGCAGGACTATTCGAATTTGATTCAGCGGGAGTTGTTTGCAAGCCGACATGGGCAACAATACTCTGTGAATAGAAACGCCAAGGGTTGAGCTCCACGAACGGCCTTTAATTCAGCTTGAAACCTTTCCATCCTGGAGATCAGGAAGGAACCTTGAGCTTCGATGTCGTGAGTGGTAGCTGAGCGGCGGGCAAAGTAGTAACGAGGTGTCGCTGATTTCCTTCAAGTTTGGTTAGTCACCAATTAACAGTATTGGTACATAAGTTAATAGCCTATAACGATCTGTGATTACTTACGAGGGGGTGTACCTACGCTCTAAAATGTCAACCGTCAAAATCATCGCCCGAGCCCTCTAGCGCACCATCATCTGGGGCTTCGCCATCGTACTCGGCTTCCATCTCCATGAGTAACGATTCTTGGGTATGTGTGGACTGGGGCTGCCGTGTTACAGGCCATGAGGTGTTCCCACCGAATAATTTGGCCAAAGTCGTGGCCTGTGCCAATATTGCACCAGTATGCTTACATGGTCACCGTTTGGGACCAAGCCGACTGTTAGTTGCACAGCCACTGCCACAGGCGCTCGTTCCCAAGCGACCAAGCTGAAGCTCAAGGTCTTCTGCATACTGGCTGCCACTTCATAGTTCCCGTCCTCGAAGCTCGTGGCACATATAAAAGTGATGAGCTGGCCAACATTTCTGGAAGGCGGACCCAGGTCGCCTACTCCAACACCATGCTCTGGTCATTAATTTTTCTAGGGCTGGTTCAGTCTTCTCTCGCCGCGCCACCGATAAAGCGATGGGACGCTATGGCGGAGAAGCACTCTTGGACGGAGGTTCCTCAAGGGTGGGAGTACCACTCTCCTGCCCCCCAGGGAATGTCATTTCAACTACGCATCGGCCTCAAGCAAGATCGTGTGGATGACTTGATCCGTGACCTCTATGAAGTCAGCGATCCTGCTCATCATAGGTATGTTCATACGTTAGGGAATCCTTGCACCTACTGAGACTGCGAAGATACGGCAACCATCTCTCCAAGGAGGACGTCGACGCTCTTGTCGCTCCTCACCCTGAGTCGGTGGAAACCCTCAATTCCTGGCTCCAGCACCACGGTATCGACCCCGAGCAGGCCGTATATCGTTCAGGTGGTGGCGATTGGATAACCCACCGTGTAACCGTCGCCCAAGCAGAAAAGATGCTCGGAACAAAATATAACGTGTACCACCGCCCCGAAACCGGCAGTTATATTGTCCGAACGCTGAAGTATTCACTGCCACGCGATCTCCACGACCACGTCGACGTCGTCTCCCCGACAACGTACTTCGGGAAGACGGAAGCTATGAGAGTTAACTCTTTCATGCAACCCGAAGTCCCCACAATGCAGTATGATCTGAATCAATTTAACGCCGACGCAGATGCAGGCGAGATACCAGCGAGCTGCGCCCGTCAAGTCACTCCTTATTGTCTGCGCTTGTTGTACAAGACGATAGACTACGTGCCCGGCGCTACTGATCGCAATAAACTTGGCGTCACCGGATACCTGAAGGAGTACACCAGTAATAATGACCTTCAAGTGAGCTGCAATGACTAATCGTCGCTTTCACCGAGTCTCACATTCATTTTCCTAGGAATTCTTCAAGAGGTTTAGGCCTGAAGCACTAGGGACCAAGCTCAACATTACCCTTGTGCATGATGGCCTCAATGACGACGAACGTCCTGGTACAGAGGTGAGTGCCCTGGGTTCTTCCACGGCCTGGCGTTTAGGAAACGCCCCGTTCACAGGCCAACCTCGATGTTCAATACGCGATGGCTATCGCCCACCCAACTCCAACGGTTTTCTACAGTACCGGAGGATCTCCGCCGTTCATCGCCGACGATGCGACCATGACAAATACTAACGAGCCATATCTCGATTGGCTAGAGCATATCCTCAACGAAACCTCCATTCCTCAAACACTGACGACATCCTACGGGGACGATGAGCAAACGGTACCGCTTCTACGTTGCTTCTCCCCCGCTTCCGCTTACCTTGTTCTAGGTTCCCGTGGAATACCAGAAGCGGGTGTGCTCTATGTTTGCGCAACTAGGTGCACGAGGAAGCTCGGTGATCTTTTCATCTGGTGACTATGGGTAAATTCAACGTCAACTGGCCTCATCATTCTTGCTTTCTAAATACCACCCTCGAAGCGTGGGACCCGGTCTCTGTTATACGAACGATGGCCTCAAAACCCAGAAATTCATTCCTCATTTCCCTGCGTCGTGCCCTTTCGTGACTACAGTCAGTAAAAGTATCGCGATTATCTATAAACCTACTAATTCATAGTGTCTATGATAGGTCGGAGGCACTGGAGGCATTCCTGAGAAAACGGCAGGGCTCAGCGGAGGAGGATTCTCCTTCACTTTCCCAAGACCCTCATATCAAGATGCTCAGGTGAAGGCGTACCTCTCATTGATAGGGGATGCGTATTCCGGGCTGTACAAGTAAGCGTCTCCTCACGCGCAGTCGCATCTATCAGCTCAAATCTACTGTAGCGAATCAGGAAGAGGATTCCCCGATGTCGCTGGCCAGGCCAGAGGGTACCAAATTGTCCATAAAGGGACGGTGCGGTCTATTGGAGGCACTAGTGCTGCTGCGCCGGTGAGAATGTCGCGTGCACTAGAATTTGCGGAGGTCATTGAATCGACCCACCATTTGCCAGGTTGTCGCCGGGATCGTGTCGCTGCTGAATGATTACCAGCTCACCAAAGGACAGCCACCTCTAGGATTCCTCAACCCTTGGTTGTATTCAGAGGCGGCGAGCGCGTTCAACGACATCGTCAAGGGCTCTAACCCTGGATGTAGGACGCTAGGTACGCTACATCTCTCCTGTATCCGGCCATGGTCTCATTATCACTCCAGGCTTTTCCGCTCACCATGGCTGGGATCCAGTAAGTATTCCAGATGACATCTAGCTTCTGACCCAGTCACCAACTGTTATAACAGGTTACGGGATTGGGCACTCCGGATTTCGAGAAGCTCAAGGCTCTTCTTGATAAAAGAATAACTGCGCAATAGAGTGCCAATATGTTGTGCTAATCTTGTTCTGCATTTGTAATTGCATGCATTGTTAATGGATCATTGGGTACATATGGTAGCCTTCTTAGTTTCTCGATCCTAAGTCTCTCAGGGGTTCCTGCTTCGGTTAGGAGTAATTAAGCGCTCAGGATGAAACCAAGCACAGACAAATACGCTCGGATTTTGACAACAGTCACTGTGTAGTGCACAATCTTGAATCTTTCCAATTTCATGTCACTCCTTCGTGCCTGCAAGCAGGCCTATGGCCTTTCCAGGCAAACGACGCCCGGTATAACCTCTTCTCTGCGGCGCTTTGCCTCTTCAGAGACGCCTGCTCCAGCCGCAGCGGAGAAGGTTGACTCCGATATTGTCCCTGCTCACCCGGACAAGGATATTCTCGCCGCAGATGCAATTAGCGGCGCCCCAGGTACTCCCTGTGTCAGCGTGCCCAAGGACTGGAACTGAACACCGTTCGTTGCAGAGCAGCTTCGCCACCGTGTAGTTCGTATCTACCAGCCAACCCGGAATACAATGCAGAGCGGCGGAGCGAAGACAGAGAGATGGAGGGTTGACTTTGATATTCTGCAGGGCGGTGGTCGATGGGAGAACCCGTTGATGGGATGGGCAAGCTCGTGCGTCGGATAGTTGTTCTGCTGGACATCGACGTATGCTTAGCCGCTTTGCAGTGCCGACTACATGCAGGGTACCCGAATGTCGTTCAGATCAAAGGAAGATGCAGTTCATTTCGCAGAGAAACAAGGGTGGGATTACTATATGTGCGTATGCTGATACTCGTTTCTCGTGGTATGCTGAATTAGCCTCGCTAGTCAACCTGCAACGGTGAAGAGGATTCCGCCCAAGAACTATGCCGAGAACTATGTGTACAAGCCTCATAAGTTGCGTATTGCGCGCACCAAGTGACGGTTGCCGTTGTTAGACCTCTCGAGTCTTAATAGAATCAGGATTCCAGGCTTCCAGCACCCCCCGTGCGGATGACCATCTGCTCAATTCCTGTGATATAATACGAGACGGATGATAGCTGGTGGCCTGCTCTAGAATGAAATTGGAATCACGGGCTGTGGCACAGTGCGTTGTGAAGAGCCTGATGTCCTAGGCAAGCAGAGTCGTTTGAGAGAAGTCCAAGCAATATTAGCGGCCACCAATGGCGTTACGGTGCTTCCAACAAGCCGATGGCGGGAGTCTTGAGACTGGCAAGTCCTAGTCTCGTACGCTAAACACTTCATATGGATGCCGGTGCGCGCGAGAATAACGACGAAAACAACTTGAAATACTATGTAGTGAACATTCACATATAAGCGAGGAAGTAATCATTGCATTCTGCGATGGTGACAGAGACTGTTAGGATCTGCATCTGCATGAGCATCGGCCATGTAGCTTCTACACAAGCCTTGATAGAATCTTGACCTGGCACAACTTCCATTTTGTAGACAACCAGGGATAAATCAACTTCCTCCAGCAACCCGTCACGATATAGTTGGGCGAGAAGAGCATCAAGTTCACGACACGGTACTGGCTGGAGTGTACGAAAAGAATAACCATCGCAAAGTTGTAGTTGTAACCGCCGAAGGTGCTTGGGGAATCCAAGCCTTTGAATAGATTCGTAGATCCAAGGAAGATCGAGATTATACGCCCGCCACGAAGACATGAAGGTCAGAATCCGAAGTTGGGGAAGGTCTGGTAGACGAGGGAAATGAGCGGTAAAATTGACGCGATGCGATATTTGGATGCTGAGGCTCGAGATTCCCAGAGGACAGTGGACCGGGAGAAGAACACCTTCTTTATACACCGTCGAAAAATGATGTAGAAAAGGCGGACGAATACCAAGCCTCTCGAGGATGCCATTATCATCCACTTCCAGGCTACGGAGCCGGCCCATACATAGACTTCGCGACGTTGGTGCCACGATGGGCACATCTGGTAATATCTCTTTCAGCGAAAGAGAGGAAAGACTCGTAGTTTGTGTGGTCTCAGCAAGAGCTGAAAGGAGGGTTTGGCACAAGCTCGCGTGGGTACACCCCACAAGATCCAGAGTTGTGAACGTGGGTAGCGCTAACATGTGAGGCAGAGAAACCGCAAATACGTTTAAGTTCCCGCGCCGTGTGTCGTACTCGTCCATGTAGCAGCGCAGGTGCAGACTGCGGAGAAAGCCAAACTGCATCATGCATGAAGCAACTTGGCCGGTCCACATGTACGGTTCAGCAATGAAAGATACGTCGGCGACGTAGGAGCCTAGATGAGCGTACTCGGAAAAGATACGTGTGAAGGACGCGCATGACATGATCCTCGTAGAATTCCTTCGACTGTCAACATGGACAGTGTGATATAACAAGCGACGACAAAGGTGCAGCCAAGTATGGGAGACAAGAGCCATGGATTGTAGCGCCTCTGCGGAGCCATCGTCAAAGTCCGCGACAATTGATACGATAGCTTCAATGAGTTCGATGGGGAGGGTTTGGTTGGGATGTTGCTTGATCGGATGGGGATTGGACTTCACGGGGTGAAGGGATATCGGCTTTGAGGCAGGAATTTTCAGTCGCAGTAGTCTCTGCTTCACGGCTGAGTTGTGTTGTCCCATTTTGACGGTCGCTGCGATTGCGAACTTTGTGGGAAGTAAATTGGGACGAGCAAAGTTCCCGCCCCTAAAGTCTGATGACAGGGGCTTCTGAGGATATCATTTCTGCCAATTGGCGAGGATATATTGCGTCTAAGGACTATACGAATGGCTCGGGATAGTATGTCCAGAGGAAGAAGCTAAATACGGCCGGTGACTGCAGCAGGTTTGCCTAAGAAGTTCTTTGCCACAGCAACCAGATTGCCCGCCAGCGTGGTTGATGTGCATTCCAAACGCTTCACCAATGCATTTCGCTTCATACTCATACGAGCAACATCTCTTGCGTTCACCTTGGCACATCCAGGCGACTAAGATCAAATGCGTTAGACGTGTCGAATTTCAAGCGGATATGAATTCACCTTGAAGAGCGAGAAGTTCTTCACGGGGAACTCGAGTTTGTTCTCTTTGTCGAACAGCCCCAGGAAAGACGCCTCTGCACCAACATTCACGGACAGGCCTGCAGAAACATCCACACATCCATCGACGCTCGTCTCCGCAGTGTTGGCAGGCGTCTTGGTCACCGTTTGTCTAACAGCGAGGCTACGTGTATCCTCCTGCTCTTCCCTGGCATTGATCACTGCTTTCGCGCTAGCCTTGATCGTCGCTTTGGCTGTCGCTTTGGAATCGAGATCGACGAAGATGTCCGCTTTGTTCCCGAGTCCATTCACACCGATGGCGAGCTTCGGGATGATATGGGCTTCTAAGCTGGCAGTCGACGAGAGGCTTGGACTCAATGAAATGGAGAGCGCTGAGTTAATCGGTCGTGAGGACGAGACAAAGACAGATAGCGCAAAAAGACATACGTCGGGATTCTGGGTTGAAAGCGCCCTTCGGCGGATGCCTGTCAGAGCGAGGGAAGAATAGTCGGACATCATCCGCACGATATTTGAAGCCTTAACAGTACAATGAGACTTGGAGACTGCAGATCCCAAAAGGTGCTCACCAATATCAATCTCAGAGTTGAGATCTACCTTGGCCTCAGCGGTAGCCTCAATCTTGAAGAAAGGACCGATCTCGAAGAGCCTGTAGGAAGGTCAATAAGGGACCTCAAGCAACCACATGAAAAGCCAACAACTCACCCAGGGAAGCTCAATCCAGGTAGGCCGACACTGAAAAGCTCCTTCTTTCCGTCGATCTTGCCCTTTGATGACCCTCAGTAAAGGATGCTCCTCCAATCAAGGTAAGAACTTACTGCGATATTCGTTGACATTGTAAGTGAGCCTTCGATATCACCGTCGATGCCTGGAGAATGCAAGTTAGCATGACGGCGACAAGTGCTTGATATGCGTCCTACCGATGGTGAGGCCCAAATCTGTGAGCTTTGCTGGCTTGGTCAACGTCCCGAGGGCACCCACCCCGATAGCAATTGTCGCATCGACAGCCGCTCCGGCAGATCCCTTGATTTTACCGGTAACTGGCCCGCACTCCAGTTGCTGCTCAAATATCGGGAGGCTCTGCTTGAACTTCACAGGAGATGACTTCTTGATCTCCTTCGGAGCAAGTCGAAGGAATGCTGTGGTCCCGATTAGAATGAGGAGGCTCAACGATATGAGGCACTTACAGTCGTATACGCCGGAAATGAAATTGGATACAGTTCCCCGAGCATACACACGGCTTCGGCGGCTGAGAGCACCGGGAGCTGTGACTGTCAGGTTGCCTGCGAGCCCGGGGATTGTTGAGCCCTGAATGGCAATCATGACTTCGCCATTGCTGTAGACAGCAGTGTAAGCATCAATATCAAGGCAGGAATGGTTGGGCTTACGTGGGAAGTGCTTCGCTGAACTTGGTGTCGATTGCAAGACCGCGAACCTGAGGGGCGGCGCCATTCTGACGGCGAGCGACCTTCGAGGCCACACCTTCGGGAATAGTCTGATCGGCGTGGACCCAGGATCTCGCAACGCGAGCAAAAGCATTGGCACCGCACTAGTAGTAGGATGAGAGGGGTGTTTCACAGATTAGAAATTGCACCTACACTTTCAGGGAGTCGTACAATCTTCCCCTCAGCACCTCCATTCTGATCAAGGCGCTACAGAAGAGTCAGCACATCTAGTCGATCTCAAGCCATCTGATCTACGCACATCACATTCGGCTGTGTTCTTGCAGACGAGGCGGATTTCCTGCTCTGTCAGTGCCTTGTCACAGTCAAGAATCGTCCAGCCTCCTGCTGAGGTGATGTCGGCAATGGCGTTCGGTGATCCCCACTGTTTCGAACTTCAGAACACGATCGTCGAGTTTTAGCAGGTACTCACAATGGTGACACTTCCAGCAGCGCCGTTGGTGTTTGCGGGCATGTCGTATGAGCAACGGCCGTTGTTGCATGGAACGCTCCAGTCATTGGTGGCCGCATTGACCACAGATAAAGTGAAGAGAAGTGGAACGAGGGTGAAGGCAGAGTTGAACATGTCGAAAAATATAACGTGTAGGCTGAGAAGTAAGAATGAGAATAAGGGTATTCAACGGCGTAAAGTGGTGATGCCGGGATTAAAGAAGGGTATAGAAGGAAAGGTGAAGAGTAGCCACAGGCTTGAAAGAAGTCGAAGAGTTGATGGTTCCATGCAATCCTACTTCCTTGTATTTATGGAGGTTGACTGCACTGCTGGCATAGTACTTCGTAGCAGCCTGTAGCTGTAGTACAACATCAGAACCGACGGTGGCTTCAGTTACTTGACGGTTTACTACTGTCAGTCGTTCGGGGCTGGTATGTCACGGCGAACCTGACGGAAACGTCCCAATCTGTTGAACGCTGGGCGCTGAACGGAATGCTGGCCTTGGCAAGTAACAGTAGTCAAAGCTCGCCACCCGTTGGGTTACTAATTGCGATCCCAACATATTGAGAAGAGGCTTGTAATTGTTCTGCTAATCATTAGAGAATCGAGTTCAAAGGCGGTGCTTCTTACCATAGGGTATGCTGTGTTGGCAGCTTTTCGGTGTTTGCCAGGTAGACAGCTCAAAGAAACGGTATCAAGTAGGGTGTATGTGTAACACAATCGGATTAACATGTGAAGATGATACAATATCCGACGTACCATCCGTACAAATAGCGACACCTGCAACCAACCGACACGACACGCCTATGGCGTGAAACAGAGCGTTGCTCAACTCAGACGTTGAACGTCAAGTTCAACAACCAGGTTTTAGCTTTGAGCCTGGAGGGGAAAGAAGTTGGCATTTCTCAGAACTTACAGGGAAATATGATGCATGAACATGGATCGCATTTTCCTGTGTTAAGTACGTTACGGTATTCGTTGTGGCCCATGTCCTTAGCAGGATTCCCCCCAGACCAGACTGCCAACAATGTGCATTGCGAAAAGTGCAGAGAAACGGAGTGCGGGTGTCTGCGAAGCCGTTCAGCCGATTTGACGACGCCCAAGAACCATTATCCAACGGCACGGACGCCTTTGAAGAAGGGGAGCACAGCAAAGTAAGTGCTGTAAGGAAGCCATAGCGCAGGATTTACTAGGTGGAGGAAACGACGGATAAGTCGAGGACGTATTCCAGAAGTAGATGGTAGGGGTCGCCGACAAAATGATCTCGGGCCCGAAATAGTCCGTCACAAACTTACAGACAACTTACAGACTGTCACATGGATGATCGATAATCCACGACCCTTGTGTACAGGCATGTTTCGCACTGGATAATGAGCTCAAAGCCGCTGATGGCTTTGCGTGAATTTATAGGGCGTTGGTTTTGAAGATTTTTCTCCGAATTTACCAAGGACCAAAGAGATCAGCGTTACAAGAGAGATATGATGCGCGTGAATACGGACTAAGCAAGAGCGTTGAAGTGGCGAGTTATCTCTCTGGTGGGTTATTTGGGGGCACGGTGAAAAGGGGACAAAGAGATGATTTTGCGAGGTAGATAGGGGACATATCATAATAGGATTGTCGAACGGTAAGTCAAATAAAGGACGATATATCATACTATCAACACTTCAAGAGGTCCAAATCTGGTTGGTGTTGAAGTCGGTGCACTTCCATGTTTGCAACTGGTTCGCGTTGTTCAATCTCCCATCCGTCAGATCAAGGCAAAGTCCTATGTATGCCCAAAAAGGGATGAACAACGGTGTGAGAGATCAAGTAAGGGAAGAACGAACCCTTATTAAAGAGAGCGATGCGATTGTCGTCGGTGTAGTACCACTCCTGAGCAGGAAGGTTGTCGTAGCAAGTCCAAATTTTCATACGGATGCTATTGCCCGGGTCTGTGGAATAAAGTCAGGCAAAAGGTAAACAGCTACTGGCAACAACTTACTGCTGCCGGCGTCGAGGCAAAAGTTGGTGCCCGCTAGTTGCACCTTCGTCTGTCCTTTCTTGGTAACCCATTTCTGTGCTGCAGTTCCATTGCAGTCATATCTAGATTGAGAATTTCAGAAGGTGGAAAGGGGGAAATGAACCGTAAGACTTACATTTGAACTGGTGTACCGTTGGCGAGCGTTCCGCCCCGAACATCCATGCACTTGCTACCATTGCGGTTAGGGTGTATTGGAGCGCCAGTCCCTGCTGGGGGAGAAGATGACGTTGTCGACGAGGCGCCGCTTGATGTCCCAGAGGAAGAGCTAGCGGTGGTAGAACCTGTTGTGGTTGAAGTAGCCGTAGTCGTTGCTGTAGAAGATGATGTGGTAGACGACGACGTGGAAGTCGTAGTGGAAGTAGAAGTCGTCGTAGACGTTCCCTGGCGGGCGACCAGATGTTGCAAGTCCATCGCCGCGACTGTGCTGGCGGCGACGAGGGCAATGACGAAGACTTTATTGAACATTGTAACAGATGATTGATTGATTGTGGTGAGTAAAGCGGATGAGTTGCTGATATTGCTAACAGGTGCCCAAGGCCAACCAGCTTTTAAACGATTTCCCCTCCGCGTGTAAACCTCCTAGCATCTTCCCATAGACCCTAGAGGTAAGATAACTCCCGAAAGCGGATGACACATACCGACAGATTATCCGTGTGTCGGAACTAAAGTCGATGCTATGCATTCACTGAGACGAATGCACCCGCCCTTCATTATTCAGATGTCAAGATTTCATCAGTCAAAATATAACCTTTTGTCGGAAAAGGAAAGTATGAGTCAAGCGCGACGGAGCGGCTGTGTCGTAGAGGTGGGTAACCAGTAGGAAAGTTGGGATATTTTCGGGATGACTATCGCAAAGATTGCCCCGTAGTCCCCTTTTCGTTTGCAAGCTCTGATTGCGCCCGGTGATTTTGCATCAATGCCACAAAAACTGGAGCTTGCTATGGCAGTCTAAACGTTGACGAAGAACAGGGGCTTGAGGTAGTAGCTGTGTAGTTAAAGATCCTTGTGAAGGTTGGTTTACTTCCCAGTTGAATAGGAGCCAGATGGAAACAGAGCTTCCGTTCTGAGTAAGTACACGCGAATGAGTGTTTTGCTTTTTTAGTCCCTCCCAAAAGCCCTTGACAAAGCATAAAGAGGGACTAGCGGAGGCAACCGAGAGAGCCAAAGGTCAAAGTTTGTCTAGCCCGGCTACAAGAGATGCGGAAGCCTGTAAGAGAAAGTCAACACGGCGGCGATCGGAGGGAAGGCCCCTAGCCACAGTGATAGGGATACAGGAGAAGCTTCTGACTGAGACTTATTATAAAATCTCTGAGGAAGATATTTAGATAGGCCCTCCGACTGTCGAGAAAATGTGGGTCTCTTTATTGCATGTGCCGGAAAATGATTGCCAAGTAAAAATACGCGCACTATAGCGATGATAAAACCTAAGTGATAGCTGTCGTGACCGGGTGTAAAATGCAGTGTATTGGGTACGGTAGTATAGTATGTGTAGTGATAATCTCCATTGAACATAATTCCCTGGATTCTAGTGCCTCAGTTTCTCGCTAGCGTCGATCTTCGATCTCCACCGCCCCACCGCCCCGACTGCGTTTACAGCGTTGTCTACACACACATCCACGATCATAATGCTCGTCTCTAGCTTCGCTTTCGCAATGTTCAAGCTTGCTTGCGCCTCCATAAAATGTGCCTGGGCAGTCAAGAGATCAAAGTACGCATTGTCATAGGCGGCATGAGCGTCTTGCTCTTCCTAAAATAAAATAAGTTAGTAAGTATATATATAAGTAAGCGTGAGTTCAACAACGCACTTCCAAAGCCTTCCCTTTCATGGTTTCTAGCTCTTGCATGTGGGCGTTCATCATTAGAGCTTCTGTCTTGACAACACTTTGACCCAGTGCCTCCCCTATGTGCTTTGTCTGGGTTGGTAGAACTGGACGCAAATTGGGACCTGCAAATTACACCATCAATACTCTGCACAGAAGATTTAACGACGGACTACCATCATTACGCCTATACTCCATTGTGGCGCTCCTGCTTGCACTATACGTGAGGGTTTCGTCCTTGTACGTGCTGTCGACTTGGACCGCGTTCGATTCATAGTGGGACACAATGTTTCTGTCAGCCGACCCGACGCAGCCTATCCCTAGACCCTTTCCGCCTCCACCGAGGTTAGAACTGGACTTGACGTGCGTAATATGGGCTGGTGCTGGACCAGCGATGCTTCCTCGACGATTGATGAAACTAGGTGGACTGTTGGGAGTCAACTGAGATCCTTTCCCGGGCGAAGACATGAAGATGGGGTCAACCTCTATGCTCCGAGATGTTTGCATGCCTATCCCTTGACCCTTCTTCCGACCTTGGACAGGAGAACCGCCTACGCCTCGGACTTTTCCTGTCGTGGAACCACGGAGGTGGCGCGACTGCTCTTGCGCTTGATCGCCTTGAGGATCTGCAGCAGGCGGTAAGACGTAAGCATCGAAAGGATCTTGAAATGTCGGAGTCCTGGGCGAGACAAGAGCCTCTGGAACTGGGGCAGAAGGGTCGCCGGTATAAGAATTAATAAGAGGGCTTCCGGCACGCCCCTGCTTTGCACGAAGAGACCCATTCCGTCCTATACTTGTATATGGGCGAGAGTCATTCCCTACTGTAGAACTCCTGGTCCGTTCTACAACGCCCATCTCAGCACCTCGTGCAGATGGTGAATTGTTGGGCGTGATGTGAGGCTCGGAGTGACGGATAGCGTTTGGCTGATTGACACCCGAAGGAACACGCGCCGCCGTGGGCGAGGAAGAGGAAGGCTGGTGTGGAGAGGGAGGAAGTAAACCTGCGAGAGCCTCTGGATCCAGGTTTGAATAGCCCCCTAGCATTGGGCCAGGGGCTCGAGCTTGGCCAGACATATTGGTCGGGGTGATAGTGTGTTCAGATGTGCCGGAAGCTCGCTGCTCGAGCGACGGTGAAGAACCGATCGAAGCGGTGTTATACGCTATCCCGCCCTGTGCATCGAAAGTGACGCCAGCGTTTTTGGATGCATGAGGGCTCTGAGGACTGTTTGGGGTTCGAGGACTTGCTCCTGCATGCTGGTCTACGGTAGTCTTCGCCCTCGCACGCTTTGTCCCTTTCCCTTCCTTGCGATTCTGGGCGGATGAGGTCGACACATTACCCATAGAGTACCGTCGGATCCTACTGTCGCTACAGCCGGAGTCAATCCTCAACGACGTGTTGGAACTGTTTGATCTCCCTTTTGTCGCGCCACGAGAAGTAAACCGCCTTATAAGTTTAGCTTGCCAATGCGAGTCGGGCGACGATGGAGGGGAGCTGTCGGGATCGGAGACATACTGCAAAGGCGGGTCGATTGGCTGACTGGAAGTGGGGAACTCCATGGATTTCGAGTTAACTGCCAAAGCGGCGGCGTGAAATCAGGTAGATAGGCCCGCTTGTGATGTCCAGAACTTAGAGGGTTATAGAAGTGTCGAACTGTATTGGATCACTGAATTAGTGAAATACTTAGGTTGAGGTCAAGTTGAGGCGTGAGCTGCTGGAGGTTGAAGTTGAGGGCAGTCGATCACCGATCACCGATCTCAGATCTAGCCACTGCGAATAATTTAGACTTCGACGGAATGAAGAGTGCTGCAGAGAATGCCGTGAATGAACCGAAAGCGGGAGAAGTACAGGGACGGTAAGCGTATCTACGCAAAGTAAACTAAATCATTCTTCTTCTTACTTTGCACTATATTTCATCGGCGGGTCAGGTTTGATCAAAGATTGATGAGGAAGCTACGCACCCTCAGAGATTCCACTCAAGAAATGTTCATGCCCAAGTTTCGATGCGCCCTCTCTCAGAGCAATCATACCTGCCTCGACACAGACTGCCTTCAGCTGAGCACCGTTGAATTCGTCTGTACTTCGCGCCAGTTCTTCGAAGTTGACATCACTCGAGGTCGACATCTTGCGGGAATGGATCTCTAATATACGGGCGCGCGCGGTTTCATTGGGCAGTGGGAATTCGATCTTTCGGTCCAGTCGACCAGATCGCAGCAATGCGGGGTCAAGGATATCAATTCGATTCGTTGCGGCGATGACCTGCATGGAGACTGTCAACACTGATAATCCCAAGTTATGCCGAAGCACACACCTTTATCCGCTCGTCGCTACTGAAACCATCAAGCTGATTGAGAAGTTCCAACATCGTCCGCTGGACTTCTCGATCACCACTCTTCTCGGAATCAAACCGTTTTGTTCCTATTGCGTCAAGTTCGTCGATGAAGATGATAGCTGGGGCCTTCTCCTTCGCTAGCGCAAACGCGTCCCGCACGAGCTTAGCACCATCACCAATGAACATCTGGACTAGTGACGGGCCAGCCAACTTCAAGTAGCACGCGCTTGTCTGAGCGGCACATGCTCGAGCTAGCAGCGTCTTGCCAGTCCCTGTGGAAATGGTCAGATGTGCTACAAACGCACGGACTCGGGGAACGACGAACCAGGAGGACCATACATCAAACAGCCTTTGGGAGGTCTGATACCAAGTGTTTTGAATTTATCCGCTTGTTGCATAGGCAGCACGATAGCCTCCACCAATTCCTCGATCTGCTTCTCAAGACCACCGATATCAGTATATGCCTCTGTTGGCCTCTCATCCACCTCCATGGCCTTGACGCGAGAGTCGAATTCAGCGGGAAGCATATCCAAGACTAGGTAAGAGTCTTTGTTAACACCGACGAGGTCTCCGGGTTTAAGTTGCTCTGGGGGTACAAGTCCGATAAGAGGCAGGAAGACCGTTTGCCGTGTTGAGGTCTTGATGACAGCACATTTCCCTTTGCGCATAGAGTCCAAGTCCTGATTTGCACCGTCCTCCTCAATTTCTGGATCGACTTCGAGAATCTGAAACGCAGGGTTGAATATGTGCATGGCCAGGCGAACAGGACGCGTTACCTCGACGACGTTTCCAACAAGATAAGGCAGCACTTTGTTCTGTTTTATCTTTTCTCCGTTATCTCTGATCTTCTCTTTCATGACTGTTTGCTCGTGCTGAAGGCGGGCTCGCTCTGACTTCATAACCTACACGAACTCACATTCAGATGACAAGCAGAAGGCGCAAGCAACGTGGGCTTTGTACCTTTATGTCGTTGTCAATCAGCCGTATTCTTGTCAGAACATCGTCGGTCGTCAGCGACATGATGTCCTCCGGAATGTCGTCCCAAGTTTCCTCCTCGGGTTGGATTGGGGTTGTATCCATTGTGGCATCTTCGCTTTGGGGAGACGATTGCGAAGGGGCGTCGTCTGGCTTCTTCTCCGGGTTCGAGGACGGCGGATTCGGTGGCGGAGGGGCAGAGGACATTGTGTTCGGTGAGTACAGTAATCAGCGCGTTACTCACTTCCAAGTGACGCGTACTCAGAGGTACAAACATCCCATAACAACAGCATAAAGGCGCCCACACGTGACAAGACGAGTCCTCCTGTCAGGGAAGGTCAGGGACAGTCAGGGAACTCGACAGGAGTCCAAATTTCACTTCCTGGTTGCTGGGGCTCTAGGCTCTATATGAATCACGCAACAATATACACACAGACACACGAGTGATGATATATTGAGATTTGCAAAACGCAGAAGCAATAGTTATGTATTTGATCAAGGCGCTGTCACTTGTCGTACTTCAATACCTGCAGTGGTACATATTTTGCCTATATAATACATCCTGGCCTTCGAAATATTACAGGCCTAGAACTGGACCTTTGTGAAGGCGGTATGGCTGAATGAGACATCTGCCAACTTCCCCAACCTCTCAATAACATCAGTAGGTCCTCCAGGACCGTACACAGAATCGAGATGTGCCTATAATTAGTTTATAACAGTGATCAGTATACGGTCGTGAACCGTGATCGAGTAGTACCTACCTGAACGTTGTCCCATCCTACTAGTAGGACATTGTGTTCGGGCCGCTGGCGGGAAGCGCCAAACGAGCAAGGGGGATGAGCTCCTTTGGCTGCATCCAGGGCTTTCGCGAGCTTAGCCAGCTCCTCGTTCAGGACCTTTGCATCCTGTCCTTCCTTAAGCGTAAGGATGGCCATCTCGGTGACAGGGGCATCCAACGCCGTAACAGGGTACGGAGCGAATGCAACATGGTCCATGACAGTGTTCTCTGGCATGGGGGCGGCAGGCATGAGACTAAAAGCTGTCACGACTTCTGGGTAGTTTGGTTCTTGCATGAGAGCTGCATGGTGCTCATACGTCTCCCAGACTGGGTTTATTAACGAATCAATACACTGATAATATTTTCATGGAATAGATACTGACCATTGAGAACATACCCCTTCGTCTTATCCTCTTGTTGGAAGCCATAGTAAGTCCTAGACCATTATTCGTATTAGTCTCAAATCGTCGTAGATAGCAGATAGTGGCGCCCTACGTGATATATCCTGGTACATTCTTGAGAATATTCACTAATTGGTAGACGACCTTGGGGTCTTTGGTGAAGCCGTCCGATACGTTGACTGCGAGGACCTCGATAAGTGGCATGGTCGAATTAAGGACGAGGTGAAGAGGTGGACTGTGTGTTGTGGCTCATTCTAATGTGGCGTGGACTTGTTATATAGAATTCATGAAAGTGAACCTGGGTTAGTTCCCACGGTCCTTACCATATGGCGAACTTCAGCCAACACCATGTCAAAGGTCTGCAGATCCGGCTACCAACTCTCCCTCAGTCAGAGCCACCCAAGAATGAAGCCTTGCGGGCACTGCTTCTCACGAAAACCCTACCCCCGGTAGAAGATGTGCTACTTTTGCTGTCAGACTCAGCCAAGTCAATAGAGTCTGACCGGGAGCACGACGCATTGGTCTATGCCATCACGGCAAGGCTGGCCATCAATGTATACGCCGATGCGCTGGACACGCTTCTCCGAGAGGCCAGTGAAGCCGAAACCGAAGCTGAATGGTGGGCGAATGTCGAACGGTCGAGGGCAAACGTAGCCTGGTATCTGCTACAAAGTCAGGCATGCATCATTCTAGCTCGGAGGTCGATAATTAACTGTTGAAATTCATAGCTTTACCGAAGCGAATATACGATGCGGCCCTAGCAGTGCTTCACGTTGCCCGAACACAAAATGTCACCGTAACTTCACTTCTCTCTAGCCAATCATTTCGGCTACGAAACCTACTCGCCACGTCCCTTTTCCCGCATCTAGACCGCCAGCATACGCTGTCGGCCTTGTCTCTCAAGTCGCCCTCTGCTATTCTGGCTGCTGCTCGGGCGTCGTCCCCTCCAGATATACCAGGAATCATCACGTCGTTCCTTACGAAGGTCTCTAAGGCTATACGTGCTGCTTACAACCTTTTGGCCCTCCCCTTCGAGCTCGTGCAACAGGAATGCTACTACAAGCGCCGCCATCTCCAAAGAATACGAAACGAACGTGCCTATACGCTGGGATATCTCGCTCAACAACGCAACCGACTGGAGTACGCCATCAATAACTCGGAATCTCCCCAAGAATTATCCAACTTCCTCGTCATCGTCATCGAATCGGTGTCAGGTGACCAAAGGCGCGCTGAAGGCCTACCCCCCTCAAGTTTACTGAACGATCTTGTTAAATCATTGCCCATCCACAAACATGGTCATGCTTCAATGTTACGCTCATCGTCTCTTCTCCGCCCTTCTGTGTTGACAAGAACGTGGCCTAAGGTCATCTTACTGCCTCCGCTACTCTTCTTTGCATCCCGTACAATTTACAATCGTCGTAACAGCTTGCATGAAATAGCACAGGAAATTAAGGAAACAACTGAAGGTTTCGTGAACGGGTGGGTCATCGATCCAGTGAACGACATCCTGAAGACGGTCCGTGCTGGCGGAGAAGGCGACGAAGGTATTATTGTTAGGAAGGAAGGGGTGAAAGCCGACTTGGATGTTAGTCGCTGTAGTCCGTATACTCTAACATTAACACTCGCTTACCCTAAGATCAATCGTCTAGTCGCTTGAACGCATGGCTGTCTCACTTGCCGAAGATAAACTCGGCTATACGCCCGCACAAGTAGAAGTCCTCAAATCGAAGATCAGCGTTGGCGATTTAACTCCGGTCCTCGAGATTTATGAGCGCGATATCAGAAACCCCATCAAGTCCGCCCTTTTTGGAACATTGGTGCGCAGCCTTTTCGTACAAGTTCAGAAAACCAAGGTAAATGTTTGTCATCTCTCTGACGCTTGGAGATACTCACAGTAACAATAGGTTGATGTGGACCAAGCTCTGACGGGGATCGACAAGCTGATCAAGTCCCAAGAGCTTACGTTCGCCTTCGTCGGTGTGGCTCCGGCCCTTGCGGTGGTATATGTATTTGGCGGATACTTGGGCAGATTCTTCACTGGCAGCGTTCTTCGTCTTACAGGTAGCACGGGTGATGCAAGATACGGTGGACGTCGAAAGAGAGAAGCCGTATGGCTTCTCGTGAGGTGAGTGCACTGTTCTTAGTTCGGTGCACTGATGATGGACCCCTCTTGCGTTCTCAGACGCATCGAGAGACTCCTTATGTCACAACACTCTGAAGGATCGCTAGGCTCCACCCCAATACCGTCTCTGACTCACGGGTTACTGCTCCTCTCTCTTTCGCAGCTCCGGGAGTACGCCTACTCCCATCTACCGGCGCGAAGTGGGTTCTTACGCGACAAGGATTCCGATGGGCCTGTCGACACGTTTGAGCATAACGAGACCAAGAATGCAAACTCCAGGACTTCTCAGAATGATGGCATGGCTATCGCCATCGAAGAGATGGATCTATTCAATGACAATGGCCCTGATCTCAGGGAAGGATTTCTGGAAGATATCGCATCCTTGGAGAATCCCAGCCTGAGTAAAGAAGAGAAGCTGAAGGTTTTAGAACGAATGTGGAGGTGCTGGGGATCGGCCCTAGGTTGGCATAGTCTAGGGCAGTGAGATACCTTAGTCCTCTGATATCTTATCATGCCCTTCGGCGCTGGCATCCGTAATCTACATGTTGTTTAGTTTTGTCGGCTCTCGCGTGGCAGCATAGCCAGAAGCCCCAACGTGGATAACGGTCATACAGTGCGAAGTGTGGATTGATCGTTGTTGTTAGTAAGTTGAAGTTACAACCCTATATAATTAGAGTAGACGTTTGTTGTACATAAGTGTATTGTCCGTTACAATTGCATCTGAAGTTGAATGCTCCGTTCACAATGGGGCATAAAATTCGATCATCATCGTAGACTTGGCAGAGGGGTTGTCGAAGACGGAGTATCTTGGGCTCGCCAAACTCCAAACAACATTCCCGACGGCCCAGTCGTGCATGTTCTCTGCGTATTTTTCAAGGGCGTCTTGGTAAGTGTTCCACATGGGTGTAGAAGACAGCTCGGCTAATAGCCGTTGGAAGCGATCATGAGCCGTGTGGATCAACTCGTAGGCGTAGTCCACAGCGCCCTGAACGTTGGAGCTTCCCACTCGAGCGGATTCGTCATTCATTGCAACGGTGACAATGTTGTGTTGAACGGCACCAGCGATGCGCTCCTTCTTGTAGGAATATATATCCTATCTGCCATCTCAACACATGTATTGGGCCGGAGAAGAATTGGGACGTACGTTTGCAAGGAAGACCATGTCGATAGTAGCATCGACCATTCCCGTTACTTGTTCAGAACACAATACTTCGTCTGGTAGGTCTAAACCTCTGGCCCACCGGCCGAGAACCAAAACAGGTTGAATGCCTATGGTCGTCCTTCTAGCATGGATGTAAGCTTCGACCGAAGACGTAGATTGATCGGCATCGGTTTCTTCGGCCTCTCTGTCCAAGGATTCTTGTACCATTCCGCGAACTAGTTCATCATTGCTCTGGATGAACGGCAAGGTGTAGGTAGGTCCAAGGTCCTTCATTACCCGCACGGAGAAGCTAACGACACAAACGTTCTTATGCTGTCATAAATACGAGGGCATAACAAGGACGTACTCATTCATGACACCGATCATTGGGTGAGCTTTCAACAGCCGTTCGTCTGTGTTTCCGGGGCTTCGGAGTAGATCCATGAAGAAGTGAGCCCACTTCTTGGACTCTTCACTTGACGCAGTGTCTCTGTCGTCGCAATCAATCCACCGGTGCTCGAGAGGGACAAAACAAGGGACATACGTTAAGTCCTCCATACCCAAGGACAGAACCATGTACTCCAGACAGACCCGAAGCTGGTCAAGCGTCATATGAGGATTTGTGAGAGAGGCGAGCAAGGGCATTTGGACTGCGATCCATGACTTCGGGGAACAATCAGCGAATGTATCGCTGAAGGGATGGGACCACCAACTTTCTGAGTAGCAGGGCTCAGCTTCTGAGCATTGATCCAGTCGACGAAATAAGCGTCGAGTTCGGCATAGTGAGGATTGAGGGCAACAGGGTCGTGGACATTCCGACCACAGATAACAGAGAGGACGTCAGGGAGGCGATATTGGACAAAGACCATGACAGCGAGATAGTAGAGAAACAGTGAAATCATCGCGTTTATATGGAATTCAGTTCAGAGCCCGGTGTTGGCCTATGTTCTCCGGCGTATCGCTTGTCCATTGCCAGTTTAGCCCTGGAGATTTCAGGCCTCTGGTCTGACCAGGAAGGTAACATTGAGCCAAAGTGCCTGCCTCGTTGGGGCAATCGTTTGAGCCTGGGCTATATACACATGTGTGTGTCCCTCCATGGCAAGCTAGTCCGAATTTGTTGGCAAAAGGCCACGATTTTACAATGATCGTAGATTAAATTAACCACCTGAAGGAGGAACGCGTCAGTCAGACATGTTTTTTTCGGGGAAATGAACCTACAACGTGCGAGCCACAGCGCCCCCGGTGCTTATCACCTACAGCAGCCTACAGCATGAACAGAAGCTTACTGAAGCTGGTGGTAGATTGATCGACGATCGGCTGCTCTCGTGACCACCTTCAGAGCGCTTAGCACCTTTACCGTTACCACCATGTCGGGATTGCGGCCATCCTCACCAATGTACTCGACTCCTCCTTCTTCATCCAAGTTTCACAGTCCGTATTTTACGCCAGGGCAGGTGGAATCTCTCTCCGCGAAGCAGCGAGGCAAGCTTTCGGTGGTGCACGAAGACAGAACGAGGCAGAGCGCGTGTGCCTTCATTGAAGCAATCTCTACCCGGATTGGCTTGTAGGATATGGCGCTAAGGAACTCTGCGAAAATACTTAACGGACGTTATCGCAGCCCTAGGAGAACGACGGCAACTGCCCAAAATCTCTATCATCGGTTCCATCTCTTCTTCCCTTTGAAAGATTTCAATTATCATGTACGCCCAACTGCCTGCGTTTGGATCCGACCCTGACATCCAACAGGACGTTGCCCTTGCCGCCATTTATGTGTCAAGTAAGATGCATGATACGTTGAAGAAGCCTCGCGAGTTGCTGGCAACTTCCTACGCTCTCCTGCATCATGTTCCAAAATCCAAGGCACCAGGTGGTGAAGTGGATATCGATAGCATGGACCAGCAGGAAAGCTTGCGTCATTCTGTCGCTGGCGAACAGTTTACGTATTTCGCTCTCATAGATGGTCGAAAATGACCGACAGAGGCTTCTTGCAGTAGAACGCCTCATATTGGAGACGATATGTTTCAACTTCACGTCAAGGATGCCTTTCCCTTACGTCATCAAACTGGGGAAGGCGCTGGGAGGTAGCGTCGGTTGTTCCCCTCCTCTACTCGTATCTAACGGACGATCATAAGCAACCAAGAAGCTCACTAAATTCGCGTGGCGAATCACGATCGATTGGCAAGTTCCATCCTCTTCTCGTTGACGTATCTCTCAATAAAATATTTTACAGTCATCGTACCCTCGTGCCTTTGCAATATCCACCCCATGTTGTTGCATTGGGTTGTATATACGTTGCTGCGCTTCTATCTTCATTTGAGCAGCCCGAGTCCCCGAGGCTTGATAACCACGTTTCCAGTAAATATTTCGCCGAAATGTTTAATCAGGGTGGCGACTGGGAAAACAAGTACCATGCCCACGTAGAGGACTTGCAAGGTAACGTATTGTCCTCTCCTCCGGAGCTTCGCTGAGCGAACGGTCGCACAGAAATCGCCCACACAATACTCGATTTATTGATTCAAGGCTCGCAAGCATCTTCTGCCAACACGTCACCCAGCACGCCCTCATCTCCATCGCCTCATCTCCATTCACGGACTAAGCCTGACCAGCAACAATTGCAAAGTGGGTGCTTATTTCCGAGGCGTTGGTGGCATCGTTGCTGATCGTGCGGAGTAGCTCCCTACAAATCCGATCAGCTCATTCGACTAAAGATTCACATGCGAGAAACAGAGCATACTCCTCGAAGGCGTTTTCCGGTCGGTGCATCGGACCCACTCGCCCTGCAAGCTGTGGATGGAACGGCGCAGCTCGGGAGAAATGAAGGGACGGTCAGGTTTCTATTTGGACCGCCGGGCACGGTGGGCGATGGCGTATAAACATTTATTCGTTATCTGTATGTCATTTCAAGGGTGCCATGCCACCATACATATGTACTGGCAGACTGCCCTGATGGGCATTATGTCAAGTGTTCACTATATAGCAATTTCAGATCTTATCGATTCGTCCCAGATATTTTTTCTACCAAGTTAGGCAGGAGTACCCCAAGACAGCTCACGACGAGGCCGGAGGCACTGAGCAGCCACAGTGGTCGCCTGGATGCCTGCACGCCACGGGTCAGGATCCGCCGGTGACCGATTACTCAACGCTGCTTAGTGGGTTTCTGCCTCTAATAATGTCTCAGACTAACCTACGGAGTCCATCTCTTACTCTGCCAATTGTACACAAGGCTTAAAGATATGGATTAGAGTGCGCAGTATTATATTGCATTACGAGTGACGCATCGTTTGTGGATATGAAGCTACGTTGAGGTTAGAGAGGATACCAAGACGCGCTTGATTAATGGCACTAGGACGAGCCGTGCAGGACTAAGGAATGGAGGGATTATCTATGTCGCGACATCATCGTCAGATGATCCGTAAGGGTATGTATACGCCAAACTTACCAATCCTCCGCCCAAGCCCCGTCGATGCCATGAATCGACTAGAGGATGTGTCAGTGGGTATAACGCCATGATTAAAATTAAATCCTCACTCATTGGTTGTGCGCCAAAGAACAAAATCGCGTATACCCACAAAGTCCCCGGCCAGCCTCCGACCCGCCTGCCCGTAACGTGTCTCCATATGCGCTCGGCGGCCAAAACCAAGACTTGCGTAAGGAAGAATATCACAGGAGCAGGGTCAAAACCTTTGCCCATCGAGTATATGGAGCACTCGTGGAAGAGAGCCGACGCAAGGAAAGCGCCGAATACCATACCAAAGTCGGACGGAAGATGTAGACGTTTGAAGACGTATTGAAGGGGATAGCCGCCGAACGCTAAGAAGGTCTGGCGGAGGAGTTGGTGCCACCGCAACCCCCAGAATTCGTGCATGGATTGGGATATCCAGGGATTTTCCATTACGGGAGGCCAGCGCAATGGAGAGCCACCGACCACGCCCACCGCAAGTAAAGTGATCAGATCGTAGACCATCCCAAATCCGGCCAATAAGCAGGTGCCAGTAAGGACGTGTATGACCGTAGATACAGTGTATCGTGTTACGAGAGGAAGGGTCGGATAAAACATGCTACCACCGCTGGGTGAACCGACATTCGGAAATAATTTGAGGAATGTCTCCAATAGGTCAAGGATGAGGAAATTGGTGATAAAGGAGCGTAACGTAGCACCAAGGAAGGCTCTACGCTCAAGCGGACGAGTGTGAGGAGGCACGCGTACTCCAGCTGAGTATTGGTAAGACAAACCCCGCATCGTATGAGCGACATCAATCGCGTCGGTAATAAGGGACGCGTCAATGCGTAGGTCTGGTTCGACTGAAGTTACAGAACCGTTTGTGTCGTGGTCGCTGTGCGCCTTCTGCAGCTGACCAGGGAGGATCTCATCTCTTTTGAGCATTCCTTCTTTGGTGAAGGTAAATTCAAGGGCTTTCGCGATAAGAACCTCTGCCAACAAGCCTAAAAGCATCCCGAATTCATTAGTTAGCGATTGAAAACCTCTATACGTTAAGACCCTACATTGTCCCCAATTGTACACGTTCAGCATAGGTGTCATCCATGCATAACCAAATGCGACCTTCACGATCGAAACGATGGCGCTGGGCAGCAACAAAAGGCGGATAACATACGTGCCCGGCCGTCGGGACATTGCCGCAAGCAATGCAAACGGCAGAGATGCAGCGGCGGCGACAATGATTGTGGACGGCGCCACTGGTATTCGGTCATGCGGTTCAGGGATCAGTGCACGGAAGGCCCTGTATCCTCCGGTAGAAATTCTGTTCAAAGGCATTCGGTCAGTCAGAGTATCGAAATCAAGGGGGGGCACGTACTCATCCAGTAACTGGTTCATGGTGGAGAGAAGCGATTGCACTGCAGACGAGCCATCATCGTCACTTGTGCCGCATGCGCCTCCGCTGCCGGCGGTGTTGAGGCGGACTCGTGACCGTGGGTGCAGGGATTAGAAGTGCTCAGGGGCAGATACGAGATTCTTCTCTCTTGATGAGATGTTTCCATGTCGCTTTCCAAGTCTCACTCTCTTTGGCCGCTCTGCGCTGTTGATTGTACTCTTGCTTTCCGTTAACGCGCTCCTTTGGGCTGTCGCCGGGATTCTATTTGGCAAAGACAAAAACACCCAGCCGATCCTCAGTTTGGCATTGTTAGCTTGGGTAAGTACGCATAAAGCACCCCAACTATAACTCTCTTACGTGTCGCAAGACTCTCGGACTTCGCCATGGTGAGTTACATGTTAATAACGGCTATTCTTGCACTCACCCTTGCAGCTCTTGATGCCGATCACATAAGGTGAATAATAGCCTCGAACACTTATCAGATGTTCTAAGCTTGCTCTCACAGTGCTATCGACAATGCTACCAGGGGACTAATTAGCATGGGACAGCTCCCCGTGACTTGTGGGCTTTTCTTTTCCTTGGGACACAGTACCATCGTCATAGTTGTGGTATGAAAATGCAGCCCCTGGTTCTTAGTTTCGTGTTGATGATGTATATAGATTGTTGCGATAGCCATTTCTACTGACATCTATAACAAGTTAGACGGCGTGGGTACCGTAGGCGGCATTGTTGGTAAGTGGCCCTCGCGCTAGTCTCGGATTAAAACTAAGTCTCAGCAGGTGCAGCAGTCAGCGGAACGTTTCTGTTTATCGTTGGTCTAGCCAACTCGATCATCTTGTGGCGCGTGGTTCAATATAGGCGGCTAGTGGGTTCCTACCATCTTGTTATTGGTGTTCAAATCACCGATCAAGTCGCAGGTCAAACACCAGGAGCATCAAATGGCACAGGGACTTTTGTCGCCGGATGATGCACGCGAAGCGCTCGACGATAATCCTAAGCACTCTCAGACCTTCGTGTTGAGATTATTAGGGCCCGTTATTACTTTCGTAGACCGCCCCTGGAAGGTGGGTACCACATCATTGTTCATAGTCTTTGTCACTCACCGTCTGAATAGATGTATCCCGTCGGGTTACTGTTCGGTTTAGGTGGGAGCGTCTTCCCCAGTACCTAAACACGCGCCTATATACTATCACCAAAGGGTTTGATACGGCATCATCAATCGCGCTACTCGCAGTTTCTGCTATCGCAAAAAATGGTGCAGACGGGAAGCCAATCCCGCATGCCTATATCGTGATCCTCCCGGTCGGTTATCAGTTCCATCCGTGATCATTCTTTTGCTGAACCAATGATCCATCCAAAGCTGCTTTTCACGGCCGGGATGACATTAATTGATTCTGCCGACTCCATATTAATGCTCTATTCATATTCAGGGTTTCCCGAGCGTTCTTGGCATCTTTTCGAGAAGACATCCCTCCTCCCTACTAGTCGCTTAGGACCGGAGGAAGCGGTAGATAGGCCTTCCGACGATGCAGCTCACATCGAGGCCTCGGCAGTACCTCAGCTGCCGAGAACAAACAATGAATTGAGTGGGGAATACGACACAATGAACAAGAATTCCGTCAAAGCCGCGGTCACATCTACAGATGGCTCGCAAGCCCCTGCTGTATCTCCAAGCTCCCAAAAAGTCCTCTCCGAAGACACGCGCGTCATGATTGTCAAGAGGAACATGATGTCTGGCCTCAGCATCGTTTTGACTCTCATGAGCATTTTGGTGGCTTTCAGGTTCGTTTGCCGTGCTTAGTGCTTTTCAGCACGACTTAAGATTGTTGCCCCCCAGTATTTCACTGATCACTATAATGGGGCTCATTGGAGAGAATTGCGCATCCTGTAGAGAAGCTGCAGAGGCAGAGGACGGCGGTGGATTAGCTGGTCGATGGTGGAGGGGATGGGCAAATGTAAGCTTCACATATTTCTATTGTGCTGGTACTGATAAGCACAGGCCAATGAACACTCTGGTTTTATTGGTGCGGGGATAGTTGGATCATTTATAGCTGTTGTCGCTGCGTGGTATGGGATCAGGTATGTCATGAGGAGACGAAGAGTGGTAAGGTTGTAAAGTAGGAAGTAAAGTTGTTTGTATCACGTGAATGTCACGCATGATCGTTATTTGTCGCGTCTGTGACAGAACCACTGCCAGAATTTCAGCGGACGCGCTTTGTTCCCTCGTTCCATCATGGCAGCTATTTCAACAACATGGCAGATCATCTTCAAACATGGCATTTCATATTTCAAGAATGGACGTTACGACGAGTCGATACAGTGTTTCAATGAGGCCAGTCTGCTCTCGTCGCGTCCCCGCTCACGCCTGATGTTCAGCTCATAGGCCGTCACCACGGCTGTCAATTCCAACAATATGGGATCTGGACCTTCTTTATTTCAGCTCTACGACTCGCGCGCCTCAGCCTATCTGAAGATAGGAAACATCGGCGCCGCTTTATTGGATGCTAAGTCGGTTATCGAGCTTGCACCGGAACAGTGGCAAGGGTACTATCGTGCAGCACAGGGGTTTCTGCGGTCTAAGAAGCTCGATAAAGCGAAGTACATGCTTGACAAGGCGAGGACGAAGGTGGTAACCGGGGATGAGTCTAGCAGGAAACGCATGTCTGACTTCGACACGCTGGAGAAAGAAATCGGTGCAGCGGAGCGAACTGGGGCCACTGCAGGCTCTAGCTCATCAAAGACCACTCGTTTACTCGATACATCTTCTGGCGCACAAATCTCCTCCCCATTCTCCAAACTTCCTTGGGAGCTGATCGTAGCCATATTCCTGGAGACAACATCCACGCCCTCCCATATCCATCCGTTCGGCACAACCCCAACCCCTACTATCCACGTTTTGCATCTAACCTGGGTGTGCAAGAGCTGGAGGAGGATAGCGCACTCCACGCCCCCGTTGTGGCGCCGACTTGCTCTCACCGGAGTTCGTGCAGAGAAGAAAGCACAATATTGGATCGGGCTTGCTGGGGGAAAAATACAGCAACTGATATTGAAGAAATCCTTTCTTGAAGTGGCCGAGACATCTCGTTTCGCGGGCAAAGCCCAATCCTTGGACCACTATATCACGAAGAAGGTGTTGAAACACATGAAGTGGGACTTTCTGCGAAGATTTACTATGGACGACTGGTCAAACCATCGTCGGCTCTTGTATAATGACGGGACCTTGACCCGTGTGCTCCCACAGCTGGAGTCGCTGGAGATGCCGAACGAAGCATCCGAGCCAGTGCCATGGATCACAGTCATCGCGGCGTTGTCAGCCACTCCTAGGATAGCTTTCGTGAAATCTCCAGCAGACGGCAATTCAGAGGACGCGCATGAAACCACCTCGCGTACCTGCATTCACCACCTACTTCTAGAAGGTGGCTTCCTCACCTACGAGAGTTTGTTAAACTCAGGGATCAACAGCCTTCGTACACTGCGGCTCCGCAAGGTCTCCCTATCCGGTGACAACGCCCTCATCAAGGTATTGGAATCGAATCCCGACCTTGAAACTTTGGAACTCGACACGAGGTCACAATTTAGGGTTACGACCACTGATCCCCTCTCCAGGCATCCACCCTTGTCTTCGTCCTTGGCCTACATCTCCTTGACAGGCCCAATAGACGTTCCCAAACTCTTCGACTCAGTTAACTTTCCCAATCTTCGTATACTGAAAATCGGTCATAATTTCAACTCTATAAGTCCTGCTCTCCGCAGTATGACCCAGAGAGCGTCAGAATTCGCGCCTGACAACGAGGTTCCTTGTTCCGGCTATGCGTCCCTTGAAGAACTACGGATCTCTTCTTGTGCCTTCGAACCAATAGACCTGGTTAGCTTTCTCGGCGCATGTGCATCCCTTCGTGCCCTTGAGGTCTCCCGCTGTGGCTTAGACATGTCTCTCATCCTAGAGTCATTAGTTAGGATTTCAGCATCCACGTCGTCGTCTTCAGGCGCGGAAATTACCATGCTGTGCCCTGCTTTAACCGAGCTCAACGTGTCGCATTCGCCACAAGTGACGACGGGACCTGTGGTACGCTTGGTCAAAGCGAGGCTGGATGGAGGAGATGCTTCTCTGTCCCACCCCGTATCAGCCATCGAGCGGTTGACTATGGATGGCTGCCTTCGAATAGAGCACACCGCCTTGCCGTGGTTGCGAGCTCGTGTCAAAACGCTGAGCTGTGTCTACGCGGACAGGAAGTCGGCAGGATACAAACGTTGATTGTCTTCATCTTGGTAGCCTCAAACGCCTCATCTCTAATTAGCCATGCTCACTTCCATTTCATTACTCATTCTTGATTCTTGGACGAAGGCATCACGGACTCAGGACAGTGTAATAACATTATATATGAAAAGAATGTATAATCATTTAGGGAACTTGACCCAACCCGAGTAACAATGACATTATTTGAAGGCAGCCACAAATAATCAAGGAAGAAATTAGATACGGCCGGTGACTGCAGCAGGTTTGCCTAAGAAGTTCTTTGCCACAGCAACCAGATTGCCCGCCAGCGTAGTTGACGTGCATTCCAAACGCTTCACCAATGCATTTCGCTTCATACTCATACGAGCAACATCTCTTGCGTTCACCTTGGCACATCCAGGGGACTAAGAGCAAATGCGTTAGACGTGTCGAATTTCAAGGGGATACGAATTCACCTGGAAGAGAGAGAAGTTCTTCACGGGGAACTCGAGTTTGTTCTCTTTGTCGAACAACCCCAGGAAAGACGCCTCTGCACCAACATTCACAGACAGGCCTGCAGAAACGTCCACGCATCCATCGACGCTCGTCTCCGCAGTGTTGGCAGGCGTCTTCGTCACCGTTTGTCTAACAGCGAGGCTACGTGTGTCCTCCTGCTCTTCCCTGGCATTGATCACTGCTTTGGCGCTAGCCTTGATCGTTGCTTTGGCCGTCGCTTTGGAATCGAGATCGACGAAGATGTCCGCTTTGTTCCCAAGTCCATTCACACCGATGGCGAGCTTCGGGATGATATGGGCTTCTAAGCTGGCAGTCGACGAGAGGCTTGGGCTCAAGGAAATGGAGAGCGCTGAGTTGATCGGTCGTGAGTACGAAACAAAAGACAGATAGCGCAAAAAGACATACGTCGGGATTCTGGGTTGAAAGCACCCTTTGGCGGATGCCTGTCAGAGCGAGGGAAGAATAGTCGGACATCATCCGCGCGATATTTGAAGCCTTAACAGTACAATGAGACCCGGAGACTGCAGGTCCCAAAGATTGCTCACCAATATCAATCTCAGAGTTGAGATCTACCTTGGCCTCAGCGGTAGCCTCAATCTTGAAGAAAGGACCGATCTCGAAGAGCCTGTAGGAAGGTCAATAAGGGACCTCAAGTAACCACATGAAAAGCCAACAACTCACCCAGGGAAGCTCAATCCAGGTAGGCCGACACTGAAAAGCTCCTTCTTTCCGTCGATCTTGCCCTTTGATGACCCTCAGTAAAGGATGCTCCTCCAATCAAGGTAAGAACTTACTGCGATATTCGTTGACATTGTAAGTGAGCCTTCGATATCACCGTCGATGCCTGGAGAATGCAAGTTAGCATGACGGCGACAAGTGATTGATATGCGTCCTACCGATGGTGAGGCCCAAATCTGTGAGCTTTGCTGGCTTGGTCAACGTCCCGAGGGCACCCACCCCGATAGCAATTGTCGCGTCGACAGCCGCTCCGGCAGATCCCTTGATCTTACCGGTAACTGGCCCGCACTCCAGTTGCTGCTCAAATATCGGGAGGCTCTGCTTGAACTTCACGGGAGATGACTTCTTGATCTCCTTCGGAGCAAGTCGGAGGAATGCTGTGGTCTCGATTAGAATGGGGAGGCTCAACGACATGAGGCACTTACAATCGTATACGCCGGAAATGAAATTGGATACAGTTCCCCGAGCATACACACGGCTTCGGCGGCTGAGAGCACCGGGAGCTGTGACTGTCAGATTGCCTGCGAGCCCGGGGATTGTCGAGCCCTGAATGGCAATCATGACTTCGCCATTGCTGTAGACAGCAGAGTAAGCATCAATTTCAAGGCAGCAATGTCTGGGCTTACGTGGGAAGTGCTTCGCTGAACTTGGTGTCGATTGCAAGACCGCGAACCTGAGGGGCGGCACCATTCTGACGGCGAGCGACCTTCGAGGCCACACCTTCAGGGATACTCTGATCGGCGTGGACCCAGGATCTCGCAACGCGAGCGAATGCATTGGCACCACACTGGTAAGAGGATGGATGAAGAGGTGTGTTTCGCAGATTAGAAATTGCACCTACGCTTTCAGGGAGTCGTACAATCTTTCCCTCAGCACCTCCATTCTGATCAAGGCGCTATAGAAGAGTCAGCACATCTAGTCGATCTCAAGCCATGTGATCTACGCACATCACATTCGGCTGTGTTCTTGCAGACGAGGCGGATTTCCTGCTCTGTGAGTGCCTTGTCACAGTCAAGAATCGTCCAGCCTCCTGCTGAGGTGATGTCGGCAATGGCGTTCGGTGATCCCCACTGTTTCGAACATCAGAACAAGATCGTCGGATTTTAGCAGGTACTCACAATGGTGACACTTCCAGCAGCGCCGTTGGTGTTTGCGGGCATGTCGTATGAACAGCGGCCGTTGTTGCATGGAACGCTCCAGTCGTTGGTGGCCGCATTGACCACAGATAAAGTGAAGAGAAGGGGAACGAGGGTGAAGGCAGAGTTGAACATGTCGAAAAATATAACGTGTAGGTTGAGAAGTAGTAATGAGAATAAGGGTATTCAACGGCGTAAAGAGGTGATGCCGGGATTAAAGAAGGGTATAGAAGGAAAGGTGAAAAGTAGCCACAGGCTTGAAAGAAGTCGAAGAGTTGATGGGTCCATTCAATCGTACATCCTCGTATTTATGGAGGTCGACTGCACCATTGCGACCATTGGCATAGCCCGTAGCCGTAGTCTAACTTCAAGACCGACGGTGGCTTGCATGACGGATTGCTACGTCCAGGGTGAGCACGTCGTGGCGAACCTGACCAGTTGTCCAAGCAGGGAACGCCAAGCCTCAGCCAAGAATGGGGCCCCAAGACGTGAAGACCTGCGATCATGGCCACAGGTCTGCTCATATCATAGATTGTCAGCAAGTTCTTGCGTTGGAAGGTGCACAAAGATGGCCTCCTTTCCTCTGGGTCCAATCGCTGAGGGTGTTCTGTTACACGAATTCGACTTGTACGCCAGGCCGATAGTCGTTTCAAAGCGCCCGGTCAACATCTGGCAAGCGGTGCTGCTACAGTCACGCTATGACACCGGACACCGGTCACCTTCGGTGTTCACTAGGCAGCTAGACAGTTCAAATCCCCTAGGGTGCAAGTAAAGAAGTGAGTTAACATGTGAACACGACATAGTATCTAACGCGTCACTCACAAACACCAACGTTTCCGTGCTAAGGGTACGACACGTCTGTAGTATGAAACGATATTAACAACTCAAACGTCGAATGACAGGTCACGGCATCAAGTTTGAGGGTGTTGGGACCGTGATTAACTAGATAATACAACAGTATACTTACAACTCTCGAGTTTGGCTAGACATCGATCCCACACCGGTGGAACACGGTATCGAGTTTCGAGTTTAATTCTTTCTCATCACTTCCAAAAGATAATCAGCATAGTAGCCGCAACCCGAAGCTTTTGAACAACTTTTCTGAACAACTTGGGAGCAGAGGGAATTAGTTGAGGGAGTTATCTGATATAGACTCCTCACGTTGCTAGATAGACGTATGCATCGGAAGCTCCAAAATTGCAAGTTGCAAGGAAAGGCTAAACATCGGCGCCTTGCGTTTCCAACCAGCACTGAGTCGAAGGAGCTAAGACCTGAAGGAAAGTAGACCAGCGACGAACGCGACGCTCACGTACCTCTCTATTCAGATTCTCGGCCTCTGCATGCTTATAATCGGGTAAGTGCCCCCGTTCCACATCCAACCTTAATATCGATGCATGATAGTGAGAGTGCTCGGTGAATATGTTGCAGGAAACTCGCTCTAGGAATGAGAAATTACGTTGTACTTTCGGTTTGACGTTTGGATTACCTAGTCATTGCTGTGGTTGGTGCGGCACGCGCTGCGTATGGTAGGCTGCTTGTCCGCCCAGCGTCGCAGACATTGACGAACACTCAGAATCGCGGAAAACCGGCGGGTATTTGCTGAGACCTATTACGATTCTTCCTCTCGAACATAGGCAAGACTATGAGCGTCAAAGGAGGATCGGTTATTTCGCCCAAAGTTGTGAGGATATGAAAAGAAAACATGTTGCATAGATCACCTCCACGATTTTGATGTTAGAGGGCTGTCGCCCCGGACGTTGAGATCTTAAGAGCTTGAGAGAAATAATTCGCGATGTGGCGTACACGGTGACAAAAAGGAAACCTGATAAGCGATTAGATAAGACATCTATAGGTCACATGACCCATGAGGCATATTGCTTCCCCGAAGTCGAGGCTGTCGGCGCTCTCATTGATACCAAGTCCCATATATCTGCTCTCGGAACGCGGGCGAAGGATGTCTAGCGAAACAATTCCATCCTCATCTTCCCTGGATTCTTCATGCCGCATTCTTACCATATCGTCTTCACTAGAGCAAGCTGTCAATTTCATTGATCGTCAGTACATTACTCCAGATTGTGGGACATTGCTGATTTCTGAATTCATATGCCTAGGCCTTAGAATACTCGACAATGGATCCAAATCGCCCGTGCTGGGCACCGATCTACCTCGGGACGATGAAGAGGCCCCGGAAAATCCGCAACAATTCCATGGACGCTTTCGAATAAGTACTACCAGGCAGACGTGCATTTCCATGCTCGCGAAGTGAAGGGACTCGCACCATATCACTCCTTGAACGTCCCAGCTGTCATATTTGTATGGAGTAATGGAGATGTATGTTTGATCTCTACTCCCTACTGAAGGAGGGCTGATGAAGCCAGCGTCCTAATCGATGGATAAGTCATACAGAGACCACGTCGTTCGCATCGCCAACGATATTTCAACCAGGCAACCAGACGTCGCCCTTGCCGTCAGGATGCCTCGCTCATCATCTGGCAATGAAATTAGCACAGAGGTTGAAGAAGACGGAGAGATAGATGAATTTCTATCTTCGCACGGATTCGAATTCATTGATGGGGAAGTCGAATATCAGCGCTCCGACCGCACGGAGGATGAAGGGCTTCCCGACCATGGTGATTATGCCCGTATAACCGTGACTATGCCTCTAAATCTGATGAATCTGAATATTGCATAGGCATACCAGGTCTACCAAGAGTGATAGACTCACTAAGTACCATCATGTGGCCGTCAATGTCAACGAGAGTGCCAACAAAACCGAAGTTCAACCGGCAAAGACTCTCTCTCTTCTCTCGAAAGTCTTCAAAACTCGACAGCCTGAGACTTCACAAGGAAGCAGAGGACTTAGTCAGGTGGCTAGAAGACGACCCAGCTTTCCGTGACATCGTCAAAAACGATCCATGGAAGAGCGTTTCAGAGCCCGGTACCGTTTCTACGTCCCCGACGTCGTTAGACCCTCCATTGGCGCCGTGGTCTTTGCCGTCAAGGGCTGGTCCGCCGTCAATATTGGCTTTCGATGATGACTTCGCCGACTTTGTTTCAGCACCTCGCGAACCCTCATCCGGGCGCACGACACCTCACGCACAGTCACCGACGTCAGCGACTCGGAGTGGAACCTTGGACGAAGATGGACTTCGGTCTCCTTTCAGCAGCACCTTGTACCGCGCCCTGGGGTCAGCTGCCAACTTAGCAGCTAGCCAAGAGGACGAGATAAGTGATGCTAAACAAACGGAGACTTCGGATGACGACGACGACGATTTGCCCTCGCAGCAAGAAATTGCTGTCACAGCAGCGCGAATATTTGGGACAGATATCCCTCGTTCCTCTGCCATACACGCGGACGCATCAGCTGATGCATCCCCAGTACACCCTACGTCGTCTTTGTTTGCTGTGGATTCTATGAGTTCACAAGACCCTACGTCGATGCAAGTTGTCGATTTGTACGACGTCGGGCAATTCGATCTGTCTCGTGTGCTGGATGCACTGCGGGGCATGAAGGCAGAGATAGCAAGTATGTCGGATGAAGGAGAGAGGCGGCGTGCGGCAGCCAGGGTGGCGTTGGGGTTGGTATACGGACTAGAAGGAGAGAGCGCGGACGATGCAGCAATGTATACTTAGGGATTACTGGCAGTACGTTTCTTGTTTGCACTGAGTTTGAGATTGCACTTTCATATCGCTAGCCATCTGTAACAGTACTGAATCATACATGCCCACTTTTTGCGGACGTTTCATGTGAATCTGATGCTGAGTGGTACGGCTCATGCATTGGGATTTCGGCGAGGGAGGTCCAAAGTTGATAAGATGGGAGAGCTATTTCCCCATCTTCTCGAACCTTCTGCATTGTTACAATATAAATAAGCGCCCATAGTCCTACTCCATCGGAGTAACACTTTGTACTGCTTTCAGCTATATAAATAGCCTCGGTTCCATATATCCATTATCCACTCTACGCTACCTTTATATCACTACCCTCTCCACGATTACTCTCTTGCATTGATTTATCCACTTGACGGCCCACCATGCCTTTAAATTACTCAAAATGGGATCGTTTGGAAGTAGGTCACTGATCGTTATACGCAGAATTTGTCGATAATCCGTATCCTTAGTTGTCTGATGATTCTGACATCGAAGGGCATCCTAACGTTGATCATAAATCACTGGTCAAGTACGCATCGTCTGTTTGGCCGGATCTCTAGCCTTGACTTATGTTCAAACTAGATGGAAGCAACGAGACATCCACGAGAAACGAGAGGCTCGCAAAGCCAAGATCGCGAAACTCGAAGCGGAGATCGCTTGCAACAATGTCTTACAACCGCGCATCGAGGTCGTTTACGCGAAATTAGAGAATGCGGAACCATCGCCGTCGATGTACTTCAACAACCTCGTCGAGCAACTAGAGCAGAATCCGTCTCCCGATGCACCGCCGACGAATGCACCTGGACAACCAACGTATGACGCAATGATGTTGAGCCTGTTGCTGCAAGTGAGCAAGGCTGCTAGGGATCAGGTGGGCGGATTGGCGGCGGCAGAGAAGGAGGAGAAAGTGGGGAAGGCGCTACGAACGGAGCTCGGGAAACATTTGGAGATGTTGAAGAAAACAACAGGTGAAATGAAGAAAGACCTGGAAGTGGAACTCGCAGAGCAGAAGAAACACATAACGAGTGAAGATATACACGATGGCTTCGACAGTAAAGTACGTTGCCACTTCCCCAGTCTCAATCATACTAACCGAACGACTCCGCCTGCAGTATGTACCACCAAAGCCTGAGCCACCTCCCGTCCCCCACGCCAAAGTCGACAAGCCCAAGAAGAAAGTTACCACAACCGAATTCGAGGTTCTGAATCCCGGGGCGTCCACAGCAGGATCGTCGAAACAAGCACCTCCTTCATCGACTGAAGACCCTGAGGACGATGCAGAGCTAGATGAGGAATTACCCGAGTTGACGCCATCGCTTGAAGCCTTCTCGCGCATAAAACTGCAACAGTGGGAGGAGTCCTTTGAGTTCATCAAGACGCATCGAGACGTCGTTGTCCCTGGCGCATCGGACGCCCTTCTGGTAGCGGGATTCCGCGCGGAAAGTGCAGGAAAGTCGCAGTATGCTAAGCAGTGCGTCCACCAAAGCCTGCTGCTTCAGTACGGTGAAAAGCTGGGTGGCGATGGCGTTGGTGTCTTCTTCAAGAAGTACGTGTTACCTTTTCATTTAGAATAATTGCTATATTAACTGTCTAGGATGATCGCGGGCGATAAACGAGCGATCAAAGTGTTCGTCGATGATGTCGAAACCACGTATAACCACCTCAAGTCCCGTGTTAAAACACTACGGGAAGAGGAAGCGCAGTCATCGGAAGGCAAAGAACAGATCCAACTGGTGGCAGAAAACCCCGATACCGTCATTTCCTTCAACGTTCCAGAAGGGCCAGCACCTGACGAAATCAAACTTGAAGGCCCGGGCACAGAAGGACTCGACGTTGAAGAGGTGAGGAAGGCGCTTGACTTTAGGTGGTCGGTTTTCTGCGGGTTCCCAGAGAAATTCCAGGCGGCATTAAAAGAAGGAACACTGGAGGGTGTCAACAAGGTTTTGGCAGAGATGGATGTGCCAGAAGCGGAGAATATTGTTTCGCAGTTGGACATGGCGGGAATTTTGAGCTTTGCCGAGGGCGGTATTCGAGATGAAACGGGGAAGGACAAAGAGAATTAACGTATCGTTTGTGATTCTATTCTGTAATTCTTCTTCATGCTCCCTGTGTGTATTCGCTTCGGAATCATCCTAACAGTACCCGAAGTGCGTGGCCAGATGTTCTGGTAGCCGGTGGCAACTCGGGTCCACCCACCAGCAGCCCCGCAGGACATGTGAACTGTCAACGTCGGGTAAGTGACTGCGGCAAGCTATTATTGCTCCGAGCACTGCACTCGTTTGCACTCGCCTCCTGGTTGTACTCTGCTAGCACAGTGTGCTGGTGGCCTAAACAGAGGAGCAGGAAGCGAGTTTCGGTAGCATTTTGCAATTGTTGCGCCACTGGGGGCTGCTGGGAATGCCATCTCACGCGCCCTGTGTTTGATTCTGAAATGCGCAATGCGGTCCAAGCCAAATCCTTGCCATATTTCCCCGTCCGGTCAAGCAATGAGTTTTTCGCCTGACCGCTAGCTCGCTGCTCCTTGCTTCCGTTCTGCCACTCACCATGGACGCCCACGACGATGACCAGGACAGCACACGACCAAGGCTAGCCAGATCCCTGTCTTTTCCAGACACGCCTCAAATCGAGCTAGCTATAGCAGGCTCGGTGGCAGACACAAGAAAGCCTCGTGCTATCGATCCAAACGTGGCAGCGGAGGCGTCGTCTGTCCCCCCTCGTCCCCCTCGAAATCCTGCCAGGTCACCTCACAACCGAAGGTCAACTTCCTCCAAGAAGCGTCCATCAACAGCCACAGGCACACGCGAGGAGGTTACCCCATGGGAGTTGTTCCCCCCACCTGATATTGGCGAGCCTGCTGTCTTGTTGAAGCCATGGCCAGATTATACCGTAAGTTGTCCCCCTAGAGTCCTTGTCCATGCACCACATATCGTCTCCGAGTCCGCTGAATGCTTTCCCTGTGCAGCCGCCTGGTCGACAAGAACCGAAGAGCGCAGCATCTACAGCATCTCAATCCCATTCTTTTGCAAACTTCATCTTGAGACGGCGAAAAAGTTCGGGGAACAAGTCTGCTTCGCGAAACAAGAATCGGTCCAATACTATTCCTCAGCTCGCGTCGGATGGAGGACTCGCAGAAGCAGGCGCTGGTTCCACCATACAGGCAATGCCATCAGCCCCTCGATCGACATTGGGTTATCAAAATACTGGTTCTGGCTCATCCGCTCCTGCCAACGCCCAACCTCTACGATCGGAAGGTCCACCCCCTATGCCATACCTCACTTCCATGTCCCCGTTTCTGTACGGAGTACCACACTCATCCTCGCCGTCCAACATCTCGATGGCAGCGAAGAGTTCCTCCGACATCGCCACCATTCGTGCCCAACAACCCACGAAGCAAAACAAATTCTCCACCGCCGACCGTACTATCCTTCAAGAACTCAAAAGGAACATTGATGCCAAGGAAGCTCAATTCCTCGTCAAGTTCAATCCACGTTCAGGTTCAGGTGCTTCTGGGATCGCTGGTAGAGGAAGGCATCATCCCTTTGATAAAGAACAAGTACCCTACCCCAGAAATTACGATCAGGAAGTTCTCGACTTGTGAGTCTTGTGCCTCCTTTCCTCCGTTGCGCGTGGCCCTTGTTATTCACGTCGTGTCATTGGCTTTTACTGACATCTGGTGGCGTGGGGCTCATCATAGCGATGTTTGGGAAACGGTCTTCTGCCAGCAAATGTGTGGCAGCGTCACTTGGCACGTCTTTGACACCCCGCCTACCAGAGTGTAAGTCGTTCCTATGTACGTGTGTCGCAGCGATTCATGTTACACATTCAAAGTTTGGACTTGGGTTGTGGTAAGTCTCATTTCGGCTGGCCAGTGATATTTGTGTCACACATCGCCCTTAGGCACAGGATCCTGGATTCTAGATGCTGCTCGGAAGTGGAGGGTTCGTAATTCATTTCCCATGACACCTCCACCGGAGACTAACATTCGGTTATCATCCAGAATTGTCACTTCGTTGGTAGGCTACTTCTTCATACTTCCTAAAATGTACCTATCTCGATAACATTGCAGGCCTGGACGTTGTGCCTTTGCACCCTAATCTTCAGCAACTTGGTTCCGCTGATCTCGCAGGGCGAATAACGTGGATCCAAGCGAACTTGTGGGTGCCACGTTCTGTACGCCCAATATAGTGACCAACATTGTCATTACAGCTTGGAAGGTTTGCCGTTCTCTGACGAAGAGTTCGATTATGTGTATGTCTTCCCTTGAGCTACATCCAGCCTCTTGTTGACCTCGCTTATGGTAGCCATATTAAACGCATTGCCCGAGGTGTACCCGAAGACAAAGTAAGCGAACCGTTCTTTGTCAACCATCATCAACTGTCTTACCGTGCTATTATGTTAGTGGGATCCCTTACTGGAGGTTCGCTTGTTTTATTTGCAACCCCTCGGTCCAAACTCTGAACCAAGGTTGACAGGAAATTACTCGGGTAATGAAACCAGGCGCGGCTTTCGAGGTAACACTCACGAATCTCGCGTTTCCCCAGCGAAATCTAATCAACGCTACATATCAGATGATGGAGGAAGATCTCTTCTTTCCCGGAAAACCAAATGAAAACATGTCACCGGATGGAGAAAATGATGAGCTAGGCCCCCGTTCGCGCGCCAACACGATACTCTCGTGGCAGGCATCTGACGTAGCCGAGAATGGTGACGAAGACGGTCTTCAGGACGATGATGCGTCCTCCCAATACACAGGCTCTGGTTCTGCCTCAGTTTCACACGACGATACGAGTTTAGATGCTCTGTCCACGCCGCGGACAAGCACGGTGGCCCTTCCTGCTCACCATGGGGTAGATACCCTACCCGACCAATTGGTAGCTACCGACGATGTACCACCTCTACCGGTGGCAGCATCTAAGCTAGTGACCCAAGGCCGAAAGTCCCTCCCACAGCTGCAAGTGCGAACTGACAATGTCGTTCCCACCGGTGCGATTCAGTACTTCCCCACTCGGCCGCGATCTCAACATTTTACGGACTCTGCAATCTCCCTCCGAAATACAAACTCTACAGCATCCCTCATTCAATCGCCGGTGCGAACCAAACCGTCATCCCAACATCCCCGCAGCCCTCCCATCTCTCCGATTAGCCATTCGTCCGCGAGATCTCCGGATCGCGACTCTTTGTACCATCCATTCCTCCTACGAACACTCCCCAAACCTCCCGCCAATCCTCGTGACCATAGTCTCCTTGAGTTAATTTACAATGAGATGCATGCGGCGAGGTTCATCAATCTCTCCCCGTTATCACTCTTGGCGAATTACCTTAGCCTGCATTTCAAAGGTAAGCCGTCTCCCGTGTCACATCGCAAAGCCCTCTCTTAATGATCGCCTAGATGTGCGAACCCACCCGCAACTACAGTGGGCCTTTCCCCCGACCCGAGCTAAGCGAGGACGACCGCTTGCCAGATCTGTAGCGTACGACGACTCTGACCCAGATGACGACGGTCTAGTGAAGAAGCCAACACAGATTGCAGGAAACCCTCCCATGATCGCCACCACCACGCAGAGACGTAGAGCAGCCACCGTGGGCAGCCAACCGTTTTCAAACTCTGGCTTCCATGAGGATCCTTCAGACCCTACTGGTCGCGTAACTGTCCAAAGCTTGGTGAATGCCGAATCAAAGTATATCTCCCTGGATGAGACTCAGCGATCCGCCTACTCCCCATCCTCAAAATCAAAGTTTTCATCCCCATCGCGAGATAGCCGGCGCGACCCCTCTTCGGCAGGTACTCGAGCTGCTGCCATGTTTTCTTCAATGCATCACTCTCGGCTGCCAAACAAAACGTTGAACCTGGATCTCAGGTCATTAAATCTTCATCTGGCGATACGGACGAGCGAAGTGCTCGCATGTGCAGAAGCGATGTGGGAATGGGTCCTTGAATATCAATCTCAAGACAAGAAGCCTCAGTTATTGTCTGGTTCGCCGAAGTCGGTGGACGTAGCAGCACTAACCGATCTCGCCCGGGAAGATTTTGATTATCTACTCTCGAGGTTTGATATGTAAGTCCCAATGTATAGCGCATGAAGCCTTGACAAATGTTTCTCGCTATTCTAGGGATATGAGAGACCAGATTTCCCTCAGCGGAACCATGGAAGATCAATACGGCTGGACTACTTTGCCTGTCACTCCCACATCGGAACGGAAGGCCTTTGATGGGGCTTGGGATAAATGGTGTCAATGGGAGAAGCAACAAAACCCGTCTCATCCCGTTTACGCTGGCGGTGCTACGGGGCGCTATAGCGATTCCAACATGTCGCGCAGCACGGGTGCTCCGTCAACGAGGCAAAACGGCAGCATCATGACACGGAGGGATAGCCAATCCCGGGATGACAGTGGAGCATCGGTTCGAAGAAGTGGTAGCCTCACTCAAAGCGCGGCCGGCGGCCATCGAGAAACCACCCATGGGGACAAGCGAAGGTTCAGTCATTACGATGATGGCCTGGGCGGCTTGAAGCGCAGTGGGAGCTTTGTGAGGGACAACCAAAGCGACACTACGAAATCAACGCAGCGCACTCTGGATGATGCCCGCTCCCGCACGTCTAGTGTCCATCAGCGCCCGGTCCATCATCTACCGCCGCCTGAAGGCCGCCTTTCAAGGGTCACACGTGTCTTCGTAGCTTGGAAGCCGTAAGGGAGGAAGCGACACCGTGGTTACGCGGCCCTTGTCGTTTGGGGGTGCTTGGAACATCACCCATCTATCTCAGATTCTCAAAAAAGTGCTTCTCGAGCGCTGTCTCTCCACATGTTCTGTGACATGCCGTCCGCATTTACTTCTGGTGTCGATTCTGGGCACCCTAGATGTCGGATCTTTCTTGACATTCAATCGCTGGGAATGTTCGGTTTTCCCATCCGCGTCGGTTGTCCTCTTCACCCGTTCCTTCTTTGCTCTGCGCAAATTTCTGTGTAACCCCTTGGGCCTTGCCCCTCGCTATGTTTGGCATCGGCATTGCCTTGGGTAACCAAGACCACACGTGTATGTATGTATGTAATGTATGTTAGAGTGAGCGCGGCAGGTTGTATACCTTGGACTTGTTGCTACATTTTATCTAATCTAATCATCATCTACCTGTATCAAGTATCACTGAAAATGCGGAGACGATATCTTCATGGTCGCCATGCACGCTTTCCTTCCCCGAGTCGCCATCCTAGGCCGTCCCAGATCAATTCCAGGATTGGCGACTTCTAGTCCGCTCACTCCATTTCCTCCGACTCTCAACGGGGGAATTATTACCAGTTCCGCACACAAAGTCGTCCCCGCTGCCTTCCAGTCGAGGCGTTTCCATCCTTCGACAAGAAAATCATTCACACAAAGTGGGACCTGGTCCCCATATATGCTAGACCTCCTTTATATAGTCAACATTCCCTAGAGTTATCTCATTTCGATCGATATCAAGGTTCCCTCCCCCGCGTTGGGGAAGGAAATTTCATCATTCTGTCAGGGTGGCGGTGCTCGAGGACTTTCGATCACACCAATCGTCACCAACTCTGAGACTGGAAGGAAGTGTGTCCTAATTGATTCCGGTAACTAAATTCCTAAAAACGTTGACTGACACGCACTCTCGTCGAAGCATCAAAAATTATGTGCATTTGGCCGCACCATGGCTGTACCCTATGCAGGTAAGCACAAGGACTACGGGACGAATATAAGCGACAACGAGAGTACAACTGAATAACCCGGGGATGATGGTGTGTAGATAATGGTGCACAACGATTCATAGGAAAGAAAACGGCTGGTTACGTTTTCGTAGTAGTTACTCATACTAGTAAGCGGTGATACAAAGGATTTCAGTTTGAATCGGACGACGAGGGAGGTCGAGAAGGAAAGAAACACATAAAAAGAAAAGCATATAGACGTTGGAAATAACACACGAGTCCAAAAGTATGAACACAGGGGGAAGAAACCGTCACTTCCAGCGAATTCTCCAGGGCTCATGGATTCACCTGCGCCCTCCATAATGGCCTTGCACTTGTTGGGGAGGGGTTGGCTGTGCCCAGTGACCATGCGCTTGTTGCTGCGACATGTTTGACATCTGTTGGGCTGCACCAGGTTGCCCCGGCCCGCCCGTATAGTACGAATGTGCCGCTGGAGCCTGCATCATATGCGGACTGTACATTCCTGATCCAGGGTCGCCGGGGTGATGTGCTGCAGTGGGTTGCGCGTACTGGCCAGCAGAGTTGTAATTGCTTGGCGACGCCGCGCCTGGCACCTGCGAGTGACCTTGTTGGGGGGAAGTCGGCGATCCAATGTTGATTTGTGCCGCGTTGCCCTGTTGTACCGACTGCGATTGACCTTGCTGTTGACCGGGAATATTAAGAGGGGGAGGAATGGAAGCATTCGGTGAATGAGGGGACGTTTGCCCCGGCCGAGGGCTAACATTAGCGCCACCTGATGCAGCTGTTGACGCACGGCGCCTGCGTTTTGGCCCAGCTCGATGCTCCTCATCCTCATCATGTTGCGAGTCATCCTCTTTGATGGTTGTGCCACCCTGCGAAGGACTGATGGACAGACCACCAGGCAAGTTATTCGTTGTTGGCTGCGGTGGACCAGACGGGATGTTCATTGGTTGCGAGCGACTGAGTGGTGGCCCGATCGGCATGGAGGAAGGGAGCGAGCCCTGTGGAGCATTGAGGCAGGCCTGAATGAGGTTCTTGCCCTCTGGCTGAGTAACCAGAGGCTGTAACTTTGCGGTCGTAAACGTGTATACGAGACCTGTCTCTGAAACGACAAGCAGCAGCACTTGTGTTCCAGTGAGGGTTGATAATTCGTAAGCCTGCCAAAGACATGATCAGTGGCATGGACGATAAAGACGAAAACAAGCACACCGCACACCTTTTTCATGATTCCTGGACGCGATTTCAGCAAACGAATCACAGGGAACTGTAGGGACGTACCAGCTTTCCGCTTGGAGAAGGTTATGTGGCGCCTGGACTTGTCCTGGATGAATTCAATCTTGATCTTTCTCCTGCCAGCCTTCTTGTCTGATTTTGGCTTCTCTCCATCGTCGTCGTCGTCCTCTGCATTGCTGTCGACTGCGTCGTTGTCTGCGATGAACGCGTCGTCTGTGACTGGCTGTGGCTGCTGCTGGTGGGCCTGTGCCGGGTCTGCGGGGTTGGGCTGGTCGAGGGTGCGCTGTCTTTTTCTCATCGTCGGGGAGGTTGGTGAAGACTGGTGATCGTGCGGGTAGTCAGTGCCAGAAAGGGAAGGAGCAGGCTGGGCCGCGGTGTTAGAATAGGGATACGAGGAGGACGAGGAGGGAAACGAGGTGATGACTCTGCGAAAAGTGGCCATGGGCGACGAAAAAGAGGAACGAGGAGGAGAAGGGGCAAATGCGTGACGGCAAAGCAGAAACTGACCTGACTGTTTAAACACTCTGTAGCCGGAAAAGGAACTTGGGAGGTCGTCCAAAACGAGAAACGCTTCATATCCAAACCCCCTCTCCCTTTTTGTACTGCCAAACACCCGCAAGCACCCGCAAACACAGCGACCAAGGCACCGGCCGTATACCGCTTTCGGAACATCCCGCGCCACACCATCGTTCCCGAGTCACGGAATCAAATCGCTCCCACACTACGCCTCCTTATCGCTAGCTCCGGCCACACATGACCCTGCCGTTCCTTATGGAAATTGTCTTACTCAATTCTGCACCTCGCTCCGTGCCCTGCGGATATCCAGCAGATCGAAAACATATCATTCATTTGATCACATAGCACTATATCCCAAAGATCGTGCAGCCGTACGTGCCCTGGTCACCGCAGTCCGCGTTCTTGATGAAGCTCCCCCAGTGCATGGCGCACCCGTTCTTCAATCATCCCAGATGTCGCGCGCAACGCCGCCCGAATGTCATCCTCTCCGATATGCCGGTCTTCCACCCATGCGCGAGGCAGCCGGTCGCGCAGATACCGTGCAGTGTCGTCGTCTACAAATAAAAACAACACATCCACATGCCGGAATAGGTCAACCCTTCAACCTAACTAGATGACACCCCACACACCCCCACAATGACGATCCAAACTAGGAAGCAGACATACCTCTTGGTTCAGCAGCCCTAGCACCACGACTACTGCTCTTCAGATGCACGTCCTCGCATTCGCTGTCCCGGCACACACCGCCGCCTGGGATTTCAAACCGACATATCTGCTGGGATGGATCCGTGTTCTTCAGCCACGTAGCTAATCTGAGGGGTTCAAGGTCAACTGCAGGCGGCGAAGACGTCGAAGGGCCGGGCTGTGCAATAAAAGTAGATGATGACGACGACGACGACGACGAAGGATCAGAAGGAAGGTAGGTAGATATACTTGAGCGTAGAAGGGGATAACGCCCAAACGGAGACTCATAGCTTGGAAACAAAACGGCTTCACTCTTGTCGGAGGATGATAGACCTTCTTCTTGCCTTGGGAGGACTTGATCCGACGAACCCAAAGGATCCATGATTTGTTCGTCCGTTGCCTGTGCCGACAAAATTAGTATCGTCGCAACGGAATAATGCCGGAAGAGGATGGGGAAGGGACGGGGTAGCACTCATGAAAAAGGGAGTAAACGAACTTGTTGTGCGGAGATCGTGACGCACCTGAGTCGACGAAATGCTAGAGCTGACGTCGTCGACAAAGACAGATGGAGGAGTCTCTTTCCGGACATCGGCGCCATCGGTTATCGTGTCTGCGCTTCCCTGGGATCAGAACGCAAGGGATATAAAGTGGAAAATGAAGCAAGTCCATTCCATTCACACGGAAGTAAAAGGCAATCGGTACCGAAGACCCAACATGCCGGTGAAAAAAATGGGGTAGGAAGACGTGTCAAGCCGCAAATAAGTCAGCCTAGAGGGTCATGAGAAGAAAGATGCTTGCCGGTTGATCAGGCCTATCTGGTGTTCTGGGGGCTAAGTGACATTGGAACACAACGTGATGATGCGCGAGCACAAGACAAAGAATGATGCCATGGCAAGGGAGTGGCTTATCAGCAAGCCGAAGACGCACGCACATGGGTGCAACGTACAAAGGGACTTACCATCTTCGTTTTCAGGAACCCCGTCCTGGGATATTAAACTGGGAGAGGCTTCCACGTTCCCATGATCTAGTCCACGCGCCGAATTAGATGAAGTTGATGGGTGCGCAAACAAAAGAGCGCGAACGCGAAGGATGCGAAGCCAGAGAAAACATGTCAGTTAATGTTCATAATCGAAAGGGACTGAGAGAATAGAGAACCAATCGTAGGGGGATCCATAGCACGAGATCTTGGCGCTGTTGTAAGTAATGCATCAGGCAATTCAGCTAGAGCGGTCCAAATTAGAATACGATGCTTCCCTGAGGGTACTGTTCCCCCGCGTGTCACCGGATGACGCTTGACAGAACTGTACTTACCAGGTGTTGGTTTCGGTTCAGTCTGACCGTCAAGAGTCGCGTTGGCTGCTGTAGAAGCATCGGCAGAGGGGGGAGCATCGGGTACAGTCGACAGTGACCGTGTCATCTGCAACGTTGACAGTAGGCATTTGAGCTAAACAGACATGATAAGCACATACAGCGAGTTTCTGCATGCGTTTCTGTTCTCGCTGAGCGATCAACTCTCGCATCCTCCGTATTTCCTCTTCCTTCTCGATCAACGAACTAGGCGGTAGTACTGGCGGCGTCGATACCGTAGGCGTGGCCCTTCCAGAGTGAGTCATCGTGCCTGACCTAAGACCGACGATGGAAGGCGAATAACGAGCCCGGTGATCAGGCCGCAGAGGTCCGTCATTCCCATCAGCCTCCCCATCACTATCACTGAGGTCGATTATGCAACGTCGCATTCCACTGACACTAGCAAAACTCCCCATAGCCGAGGATGTATTACCATTGGTCCCGGTAAGTCGGCGACGAAGAGCGCGATCGTTCGCAGCGGACGTAGGTACTTGCGAATTCCATTGTAGCCTTCGATTCTGGCCATCGGAACTATCAAAATCCACGAAATCGGCGGCGACCGGCCGTTTCGTACCACGCCGCTGTATACTAGGCCCCGTCAGCTGGTTGAGATCTGCGACGTTGGCATTCGGGAGATTAGACCCAGTACTAGTTCGTGTCAGCGGGCGTGACGGAGGATCAAGATATGCTTGGTGCTCTATAACGGAGGATCCGCCACTATCAAGGACGAATGCATCCTGGGCAGCCGCAAAGGAGTTTAGACCCGCTGTTGAGCCAGAAGACGGAGCCACGTCTGTGTCTGTATCTGCGGACACAGGCGGTGGCTCTGCAGGTGACACTGGGGGCGGCAATAATTCGCCAGCCCCATTAGAGGAGCCGTTGGGCAGCTCCGTTCCAGATGCCGCTGGAGTTACATCAACATCCATAGCGTCAGGGCTCGCATGTCTCTGAGAGGACTCGTCAACAGCCATGTCGGTCGAATCGCCGTTGGAAGAGGAAGAGGCGATACTGTTAAGGAAATCATCGACGGAGAGTGCTGGCGTTGGCGTGCTTGGTTTGGTCTGCTCATCAGGCGAGTTAGACCTCTGCGTCACTGCGGGGCGAAGGGTTACCGAGGAAGATGAAGCCGAGGTCGAGGCAATGACCATCGTGGTCTGCTTGGACTTGCGAGAGGCCTGAGCAGCCGCCTTGCGAGCGAGCAATTCTTGCCGTCTCTGACGCTCCATGTCATGAAGGTTGGTGGAAGGTAGGGAGGGATTAGGATTGAGTGTAGGTATTACAGGTGTTGCTGCAGCAGATGTCTGAATTGGCGTCGAGCCACTACTAGGCGATTCCGTGCTAACAAAAACAGCAGGAGTCGCCTTGTTCGCAGCCTTGCGTGAGATTGCGGGTGGTGAATGAAGTAGATCGAGCTTCAGTTCGGTTGCGGGGCTTAGCTCCGACTTTATCGTTGGGGATAGAGGTACATTGTGTGTTTGTACTGGAGGCCAGAGAAATGGTTCGTCGAGAAGGTGAGGATCGGGTGGGTAAGGGATTAAACCTGCGGTATCGAGGTTCTCTGGTAGACGGAGTCTGAGCTCGGAGAAGACGTAAAACACAATTTCGCGAGATAGACCACAGTCAACGAGGAACTCTGGAGCGACACCCCATCCGAGCAGATCAAGAACAATGTCTTTCGCCGTGTCGTATTGAGCTTGGTTCACTTGAAATATTAAGATTACACCGACGCAATGGAACCACTGAAATACTTGAACTACGCACTAGCTAATCCTGGTCGAACATGATGTTCGTCCAATTGGGATAGGCTCACTTGAGGTAGAGGTAAGCTGGGTCCATGAGATGAGGTCTGCAAGCTTGAAGGTAAATTTGACATTCTGTCAAGCAGGTTGTGGGTCGCCGGAGACTCGACTTTTGGTATTGCCGATCTTGGAGGGGGAGTTACTTCCTTTCGTCCGGAGCGGCCAGCTGCAAGTGTCAGAGGACCTGGTCTTGAGGGTAAGGATGCCAGTGTTGTTGGTGGCGGCCTAGCGTCCTCCTTGGGCGGAGCAGGGGGCAAATCTTCCGAATCGCTGATTTCTCCTTCCTCGCGACCTTGGCTAGGATCGATGTCCAGAACATTAGGCCGAGGCTGGGCGGTCTTTCTAGGCAGCGGTTTATATTGCGAGGACGAGGAGGCGTCTTCCTGGCCATAGTCCAGTTGAACGGAATTGTCGCGGGGAACAGCAGGCCTTGAAGGTAGGGTAGCCTTTCCGCCTGGGAGAGAAGCATCTGTGGAGACATTTTTTCTTCGCTTGATAGTCGATAGAGCGGCAGCACGAAGCGAGGAAGCTGGGTCAGACGGCGAGAGGACTGTTTCGGACGCTGCCATCATTTGAGCCCGTCGTCGTTGTCGGTGGTGGCTTGAAGTCGACTGTCGTGCCTCGCGTTTTACCATCGTTTCCCGCGCACAGACCGCCTTTGTTCCCACGACACTAGTCAGATATTGCTCTGCACCAGAATCAAGCACTTGAATGGCGACCGTCACCCATATCATCTACTCCCACTACGACCCAAACGACAGAGAACGTTTGGAGGCGGAAACGGGTCAGATTGATCCTCAGGATGAAATTGACGCTGACGAAGAATGGCGGATTCAAACCACCATCTCTGGACAGCGGCGAACACGACTGCCGCCTCGATTCGTACCTGCGACGACCACTTATGACCCCTGGAGTAGTACTCCTACTACTGCGGCAACCGGTACCAAAATCGAGGACAATGCTAGGGGTGACAGCCTCTCACAATGGTACCGATCTATCAGCAAGACTCATGCCAATGTGGCTACAACGTCTCACCAGCCCAAGCAACTGCCTAATCGACCCCCGAATCTAGAAAACTCCACGCAGCACCCGAAATCGTACCGGGGACGTGACTGGTTTATCCAGAATGCACTTTCTTCTCGGCCAGACTCGCCTGTAGCCTCTGCCCCACCGCCCACCCTTCACGAGATGTTAATCCGGCACCCCCCACCACTTCCCTCGGAACCAAAGTTTAAGCAGCCCGTGTGGTTAGCACTTGGTCCCACAAATAAAGGTTTTGCCATGCTTCAGCAGAAGGGTTGGCACGAGGGCGAACCTTTGGGACCAAGTATACCCCGAGACCGCAAAGCAGCGGATCCACAAGACAGCGAGCTATTCGACGAGGCATCAGGGAAGGGTGTACCAACGGAGCGTATACAACGGTCGGTGGCCGTGAAGCTCGAGCAAACCGATAACGACAACTTCGTAGAAGTCATAGATCTCACTGTCTCCGAAGACGAAGACTCGGGGAGCATGGTTGAGGCCGATGATGGCGAAGATTCAACGCCAACAGCAATGCCCCCTGCTGACGAGGACTTGCTGGGTGGACGCACAGCATTGATAACACCTATAGCTACCACTCTGAAGGCCGATCGCCTGGGCATCGGATTGAAGGCAAAAACCGAGGGGCCATACCATGTGTCAAAGAAGCGGATAACCCACAACAAGGCGGCTTTAGCCGCCCATATACAGGCCGCTGAACGTCTTCGAAAGCAGAAGCAGGAGATAGGACGGGGCTACCGTAGCTTCGCAAGAGCGAGTAAGAGAGAGTCGACAGCGAGACAGCAGATGATAGCTTATATGAACTCCTGATAATAATGATTTCCTTTGCAAAGCGCTCTATGCTATAGATACAATAAACACGTACATGTTTACCAAGAATGAGGACAGACGAGTAATATACAATAAAATAACTATTAATCCGACGCTGTGGAGCAGAACATCATGAAAGTCGTAAAATTAAGGAGACATGGGTTCACCCCATATACCTTTCGCCGGTTCGCATCGCACATCAGCAACATACATCCTCAACCATTGAACCATTTCTTTACTTATCTGACTACAGCGCGTTACATCGATCAGAGACAAACGCGATGGGCCTAGCATGCCTGAGGGTCTATGGGCAAGCCGATGTTGAAGCGCCTGCGCATGGGCATAGGCAGCTGCAGCCGCCGAAGCCGATGATGAAAGGCCGTTCGAGGACCGGTGACGGGCGTGGGCATATGCCGTAGAATTTGCTGGAAGCCGAGATTCCACGAAGGTACGCAGGGATTCCCAATCAAAGTTCGTACACCCGTCCAAAGATAGCGACTCGAGTTTCGCGCAACTCCAAGGCTGGGAGGAAGACAACGCCTGGTGAAAAACTTTTTCAGGTGCGTGTCTCTCGTAAATTAACAGAAGACATACCTTCAGGAAGCCCGACGTTACGTCCTCCACGTCCACCAGCTCCAAGGAGCGAAGGGATTGAAGCCGTCGTAGAAGGTTGACAAACTTCATTTCGTTGATCAAACATGATTCAACCCGTAGATACCGCAACACCAGTCGTGTGAGGGATTGATTGTGGAGGAGTTGGATGATTGGCGTGATGTTTTCAAGATAGCAGAGTTCCAACGATTCCAATGCCGGAAACGATATCATGCCTATAATCTCCCGGCTTAGGACCGCGCCAGAGTAGTAAAACGCTGCTTTGATTAATCTAGGAAGGTGGATGGGCCTCGTTGCCGGAGCAATGTCATCGCCGAGATGGTGGCCACATCCGTCTACATCGCTATCGGTCAAGTTCCGCAGGGAGAGTTCCTCAAGATCTGGACATTGTCGTAGAACGCCCAAAAGGGTACTCGAGGAAGGTGAGAGTCCGTTGAAATAGCCATCGAGCTTGAGCACGGTAAGCCGATTTAATAGCCTGTAGTCCCAGCCAAAATTGAAGGAGGAGAACGAACACGACCGGAGACGCGGGGTGACTCCATTGAAGAGCGGTAGAGGTGGATTTGAATAGTGATCCTCCTGCATGGCGTGGAATACTCGTATTGAGAGCGTCTCGAGAAGTGGCGCATCTTCTTGACATCGCAAAAGAGCCATATGGGCTTGTGATCGACTTGGGACACTCAATTGCAGTGATTTCGTACGCCAGAGCGCGGGGCGAATTAAATCCATGGCGTGTATGACATGCTCCGTCACGGTGCTGTTCTTGTACTCGAAACGGGGACCAAAGTTGATGATGACATCGATTGGGCATGATTTGGATCTTGATAATCTGCGTCGTGCTTTGGCAAGGGAATCAAGCGGGCTTACTGCGATGCTAGCCCACAGAACTGGCGTATTTAGTGCGACGTCAGCCCAATAATGGCTGCGGGTACAAGGACCGTTGGGTAACGAGAAGAGGAAGGAATTGAGCTGAACAACTCACCATACCAGCATCAACGTTGAGACCATTATCGGATTCTCATCCCCCATGCCCAAAACACCTTTAATGAATATCGAGGATAACAGCTCGCTGGGAAGACGGAGGACAGGAGACTGCAGACGAACAGCACGCTCCAGATGTGATTCAAGCTCGTGCCGTTGATCCATTAATTGTGCCATCTTTGAGTCCAGGGTAAGGATGGCCTCACGAAGTCGGGGGATGGAGGCATTGGCACTTCGGGGCGAGTAGCCGGTAAAGACGGGTAAAGGCGGATCACGGGCTGGGAGTAGGGGGCTGTAGGGTGCATTGTAGGCAAACGTGCTGGCATACGCGCGAGGGGGCAAAGTAGTCATCTGGGACGACGAGGGCTGCGCTAGCTGGAATAGACCCCGGCGAAGGGGATCACGAAATATATATACGACTGGCGAGGGTTGATCAATGTCCGATATCGATGCATTCGGAACGAGAGAAAACTTACCTGGTTGGAGGGCAGTCGGTCACGGAGGGATTCATTGAGAAACGGAGGTCGAGGGTTTTAAAGGGTTTAGCATACTGTGAGGCAGATAAAGACAGTATACTTCCTTGTGTCCAGCGACTGCACGAGGCTGGAAGCATGCCGATGCCTGTCTCGCAGCTGAGCTGGGGAATCCAGAAGCGACTGATGGCTGACTTGCAACGTGGGACTGCAAAGCTCTGCATCTCAGACACGAGGAGCGCAACGAGGCAGCTTAACAAAACTCTGCGACATCGTTTTCGGGCGGAATTCAAATCCGTCATATTGGGCCTGCAGCACCATAAAGTCGTGGTACACATGTCCCACGTCCCGTCTCTAGGGCCTGGCGGGCGGCAGGGTTCCTCTATGTAAAATACAAGGCAATTGCGTAAAGAACAAAACATCTAGGTGGTCTCACTCGCAGATAGTCGCCGGCGTCGTTCGACCTTGCCTGTCGCGCGTTCGGTAGTACACAAACTGACACAAGACCTGCAAGAAGATACATGAGACATGTTACGACATTAGACAGTGGGGCCAGCCTCACGATGACATCCAATAATATCGTTAATATACTCCCTTTGGGTGAATAGGATCATCAGCACACTTCGTGACATATAGTGTCACCGACTCACCCGCGAGCCAACTGGCGTTCGTAATCAGATATCTTCTATCCATGCTCTTCGCACAGATCGATAAACCGTATGTACCATTTCCCAGTATGGCAAATAAAAAGAGGGCAGGCGAGAGTCCAGCGCATCTTGTTTTAAAGTTTTTGACTAAAACCATCCAAGAGTTAGGCACTTAACAAGACCCCAGACAAATGCGGAAACGCACGAATCTGTGGCAATCGAGCACCAACTGATCAAGAGATGAGTGACGGACGAACGAGAATAGTAAATGGTTTCGTACGGTAAAGCATAGCGCTGGTCCATCCAATCGCTTGGATTTCCCACCTTAAGGCCTTCCGAGGGTGTTGTGGTATTTCTTCATCAGAAGTCGTAATGCTGCTAATCCACCATGCAGTCACACCGGCGGCACAGACAAACAACGAGGCGCTAGCATAACGAATGGCGAGCGCCTTGGCAGGCATGACCTGCTCTTGTTGCAAGCCTACATCCTCCGCGTTCACAGTGGCGAGCAAGGGGGCACGCTCATCGGAAGATGTCAACCTGCTGGATTTCTTCCACCGGTAGTAATAAATCTGAAGCAGGAGGATTGAATCGCATAACGTGTACTGGCAGGGCGGTGAGCGTGCTGCTGATTTCAAGAAGGCGACATCCTCACATATGCGGCTACGATGATCACAGTCGGTAGTAATCCCGCTACTGCAGAGCCAACCAGGTTGCATAAATCTCCAAGCAGCCAGACCACGACGAATGCAACGCTAAGGCCTTCTCCAGATTGCAGCGAGTAGTTCTCGTATATCTGAGGCGAGTAGACGACGATCCTGAGGAAACAGTCGGACGTCGCCAACCAAAGTAGTTGCCGAATCAGCAGTGAACTCACCAGCATGCAATAGACACCCAGCCCAACTGGTCATTAACGCTATTAGTTGAATAACAATCGCCAATGAAAGTAGCTCACGATGTTACTGAGGGTATCATTAGCAGCCAACATCGTTGGTGACTAGAGAGTTATGTATTAGCTTTACGAAGTTTGTGAAAACTTTCGAATGTAACTGACCGTGGGAATATTTATGAAAGCCGAAGAGTGTTGCCGTCTCGAAAGCGGCGCGTAGCCCTCACACTCAACATGAACGGCCAGGAAGCATTCAGAAGAATTGCGAACCAGCTTCGGAATGCAGGCGGCGGAGGCCCTATACCTGGTGGCGCACCAAAGGGGTTCTTTGCAGGCGGAGGGCTGTTGGTCGCGCTTATTGGCGGAGGCCTCTTGCTGAATGCAAGTTTATTCAATGGTGTGTTACTTTCGCCATGTTATCAGGAGACGCCTCACAAGTCTTCTAGTCGATGGTGGACACCGTGCTATCAAGTATACAAGGTGGGAGACCCACTCATTCTTCTTCAAAGCTGGCCTAAAGTTTCTCAGGATACACGGAGTCAAAGACGAAATCTACAACGAAGGGACCCACCTAATGGTAAGTCTTGTTGGATGCCGCCTACATTGCCTCTTAACTCCAGTAGCTACCATGGCTTGAGTCTCCCATCGTCTTCGATATACGCGCGAAGCCCCGCAACATCGCAAGTTTGACCGGTACAAAAGGTGATTCGGGCGTCCCACGAGCCGCACACCGCTAATGGCAGTCTAGATCTGCAAATGGTTAATATCACTTGCCGTGTTCTGTCTCGGCCGGCGGTGAATGCTCTTCCCACAATATATCGGGAATTAGGCAAGGACTACGACGAACGGGTGTTACCTTCTATTGTCAACGAGGTCTTGAAGAGCGTGGTCGCCCAATTCAATGCGAGCCAGCTGATTACACAGCGTGAAATGGTTCGTGTACTTCATGAATCAAGCGTGTCTCGGGTTGATCCTTGTTTCTAGGTTTCGAAGTTTGTCCGAGAAAACTTAACAAGGCGTGCCCTACGCTTCAACCTTGTTCTAGATGACGTATCTATAACTCATGTTGCCTTTTCTCCGGAGTTCACGCATGCCGTCGAAGCGAAGCAGGTATGGTGCAATATCAAGATTTACGCGGACAGGCGTGACAAGCCCTCTTCTAGGTCGCTCAACAAACTGCCCTCCGTGCTGCCTTCCTCGTCGATCAGGCAATACAAGAAAAACAAGTACGTTACCGACCTTCGTTACCGGGCAATATGTTGATATCCCTTTCAGTCAATCATTGTACGAGCACAGGGTGAAGCTAGGAGTGCCGAGCTAATAGGGGAAGCCATGCGTACCAACAAGGGTTTCCTTGAGCTCCGTCGACTCGAAGCTGCACGGGACATTGCCAATCTACTAGCATCATCAGGGAACAAAGTCATGCTGGACTCTCAGAGTTTGTTGCTCAATGGTAAGCTTGAACGACCCGTTGTACGACTAACACTGACCTCGCCTTGCAGTGACTGGTGATGACGCGAAGGAGCTCTTGAAAGCAGGCAAAAAGTAGACATGTTCTACATTTCTAAATTCGGTTCTTATTGTCGCACCACGTGATCAAATACACTTCGCGTCAAGCTAAAGTTTGAATGAGAATACGCTCGCTGCTTCCTTGCTTGCTCTTAACCCCCATCATCACACTCAGCCATCAATTTTACCATGCCCCCTAAGCGTCGATTCTACAAGCGTCGACCCAAACACAAGACCCCGATCCCTGATGATATTACTGAATCTGAGTCGCTTGCTACGCCCTCCGACGTCCATAAGGCAAAGAAGGTAAAGTGGAGAGAACAGGAAGACCCCGATACCCCAGGAAAGGCAACGGCGAGCCATGCCGACTCTTCCGACGAAGAGGATTTGGTTGTTGCCGAGAAGGTATGCCTCCACTTATCTTTTGCACGCAAACAGTACCCCAACCCCAAGGCAAGGTTTGCCTCACCGCGTTCTGCCAATAGTGAGTTCTGCCTCTTGCCGCTTTCTCTGAATTTCACCAGTCGGTAGCGGTCGTCTTGGGTGCGCCTACTACGACCCTGTGAAACGTATCATCTATGCTCTCGAAGACACACAAGAAGGATCGCACTACGACTTGATCAAAATGGGTTTGTACCTTCACATATATGCGCGCCAATTTTGACTCAAGATGGTGCTCAGTCCTTGAGCAAGCCTCTGCGGATGTTATTCTTACAAGTTCTCGGTCGGATGACGGGTTTATCGACTGTCTACAGGAACATAGTAAGCATACATGGGCATATATAATATCCAACTGCGCACCAATTACTCCGCTATAAGGTATCGGAACCTCAAGCACGTTTCAGATACGTCCTCACAAAGACTTCACCCCTCAAAAGGGTCGTGATCGACTACAGTCCTTGGAGCTTCTAGCTCAAGTTCCCGGTGGCAACCACGAGCAAGGCTCTTCCGACGATTCCGAGTCTACCATGAGCTCAGGCTTGCCTGCCCGAAATGCGTACGATTTTATGAAACGCCGCGGTGCCCCCGTCGGGGATCCAACTCGTCGCAGGTGGGGGGCCTCCATACGGATGTCTAACTTCGTTGCTGCAGACTCGTCACCCTTATGCGTAAGCTTCAAAGTTCGGACACTGCTATGTACGCATTACTGAAAACCTGCCCAGATGTCCTCTATTGGTGCGCTTATTGACCAGCTCGTTCGTGAAAGGATAGCGAGAGATTTAGACGACGACCCATTGGCTGCTATCGACGTCAGAGATATCGAAGCCCTCACTCTGTTAGTGCTCTCTGCTTTGCTCCGCCTATAGGAAATCTCATATCCTGGCCAGAACTGAAGAAATGCACATCAATGCGGACGCTCTATTGTATTCCAAGCCTATTTATACGTGAACTTGTCTGACGATCGATTTTACCAGCTCTTTGCAAGTATTCGAGAATGAGAGTCACGCTTCAATACACTCGAACCGTTCAAAAGAAGGGCTATCGTTATTCGGTAACGAGTTTGGGTTGATCTAAGACTTCGAAACCCTTACGCAAGCGATAGGCATATTGAATACAACTCACACAACCCTAGGCCGCTCACTACTAAGGACCTGGTTCCTTCGCCCGTCTCTTTCTATCCCCGTAGGTTTTCCGTAAGCTACCCGGAGATCTCTGTTTTCATCCTCCCTAGGTGATAACGGCCCGTCACGACGCTGTGGAGTGCTTGAACAATCCAGAAAACCTGTTGACGTCCGGTGTGATGCGTAAACACCTCAAAGGGATCAAGAACATGCCTCAGATCAGCAATACCCTCAAAGTTGGTAGAGCCAAGTTGTCCGATTGGCAAGGGTTGGTGAAAGTACGTCATGCCATAGAGGTGCTGAATCCAGTTTAATGTAGATCTTTCAGTTCACTTTCCATGCTACGATGCTGAGAGAAGCGATCTCTGAGCTCCAACACGGTGCACACGTTCCGGTCGTGAAGAAGGTGAGATTGCATCCCCCTCCACTCAGCATTGGTATCATAATGTATGTTATCTATTCATAGCTTATCGAAGCCTTGGATGTGTCGAGTTTCAAAGAACTCGGGACGGCAGTAAATGAAATAGTGCGAGTTGAAGGATTAAACTTCGCGCATGATATGCTGACAGCTCGGACACAGATCGATTGGGAAGAGTCCGCCTCCACAGGACGTGTCTGTGTACGGCCACAAATCGATGAAGAACTCGATAGCCGAAAACATGTTTACTACGGGATTGATGCAGTCCTGGTTCGCATGTTACAACACTTTCAAGACCGTCATCTAACCTATTTACAGTCCCAAGTGGCGGGAGAGATTTGCAGCAAAGTGCCTGAGCGCTATACGTCGTTGAACGTTGTGTATTTCCCCCAGTTAGGTATGGTATGCTTCACCCCCATCTATGTTCTCGTGCATTGAGTGCCTCAGGTTATCTTATATGTGTTCCGATGCTTGAAGAATGGAAAGGCGAAGGGGGCATTGAGGCCATTGACGGATGGGTCTTTCAAGTAAGGTCCTAAGCAATGTTCCTTTGCGGGCCCTATTGACTTTACTTTTTCTTGAGTTCTCTTCTAAGTAAGTGTTCTAGGGTTCCATTGCAATTCTGTTTCCCAAACCACTCCAAATGCAGTGACTACGTGTATTTTAAGTCACAAGAAATGCGCGGTAAGTGGACTTGCACGCCTGGCAGAATGAGAAGTAATGATTGTCACTAGACATGGATACCCATATCGGTGATCTCCACTCTGCGATAGTTGGTATGTCATTGTCATGATCCTGGAAGATTGACGGCTTTTCCCATTGTTTCTAGATCGCGAAATAGAGGTAATTCAAGACCTCCTCGAGCGCATCCTTGTACACATGGATGGCATCAATCACGCTTGTGACGTCTGTGCCGAGCTCGACTGTTTGCTCGCGTTCGCTCAAGCATCAATTGCCTACAACTACAAGAGACCTTACATGGTGGACGAGAACATCATCGATATTTCACAGGGCAGGCGTGTGCTCGGTGTCTGGTCTCTTTACGTTGTGCAGCTGACTGTTGAATAGACATCCTCTGCACGAACAGATTGTGGATACGTTCGTCCCTAACGACTGTTATGTATCAGGATCAAAGGGCTTCAATGTGCGCCGTGGCGTAGACGAAGGTCACAGCATTATTCTGTGCACTGGGGCAAATGGATGCGGCAAGGTAGGTTGTGTACTCCAGACCCCGATCAGAATTGATGCCATTCTAGAGCGTATACCTAAAACAGGTCCATTCTATCCTTCCGGTGTACTGCTGAAAGTTAAACCCCTCATCCTTCTTAGATAGCGTTAATCCAGTACATGGCGCAAGTGAGTTCCTCATTCAATGATCATTTGAGTACCCTACTGATGAGTATAGATTGGGTGGTTCGTACCACATCCTTGAGTTGATCCGCAATTAAAATGAATGACCAAAATCAGCTTCGTCCCAGCCGAATCGGCAACCCTAGGAATAGTGGATAAAAGTAAAGTGATCGTCATCAGCAAAGCGACTCTAACGCTACAAGACCGTACTAGTTTTCACCCGCGTATCGACTAGGGAGTCCGTCTCTAAAGTAAGCCAGGGCAATCCGCTCAGGAACTCTAGCAGGCTGACGCCTGTCATATTAGGCACAGTCTTCCTTTATGATTGACCTCAACCAGGTCTCTCTCGCTCTACGCAATAGCACCGAGAGGTCTCTGATACTTTTGGACGAATTCGGAAAAGGAACACTATCTACTGGTTTCGTAGTTCTTGCGCTCTGATTCACCTTGTTCTGACGGATATTGACGCTAGATGGCGCTGGCCTTTTTTGCGGAGTTATCCACCATCTGTTAAGCAGGGGCACCGGTTGTCCGAAGGTATTGGCTGCAACTCACTTCCACGATGTGTTCCATCAAGATATCATGGATGCCAATACGCTGCCCATCACTTTCCTTCATATGCAGATCATGTTTGTGCCTGCAGATGGAGATGCTTTCACGCTCGGATCGCACGAGTCTCAGTCCTTACAGCGGATGACGTATCTCTATCGGTAAGCATTGACTAGGCAGTACCTCACAACAGCGTTGATAAAAATATAGTGTTGCTCCTGGCCTTTCCACCGAGTCTCACGCAGCCAAATGCGCTGAAGTTTGCGGGCTACCGTTGCGCTACGTCCAGAGGGCGCAGTACGTTAGGTAACATGGGTTGCTCATGATATTATTATTGTTATAATTAAGAATCTTTCCTACAGTGAGCTAATTTCAAGACACGAGATAGTTCAATTACTCGATGAAGAAATGACGGAAGAGGAAAGACGGGAGTTGGAGGATGCTGAGGCAGTGTGCAGGAGATTTATCGCTTGGGATCTAGAAGCAGAAGCAGCAGACCCAAGTGACATACACGGAAAACTGGCAACAGTGCTAGGGATTGCTTTGGATGACGACGGGACCTCCGAAGATCGTTGAGGACCCACAGCGACCGCCCACAGAGTCGATCGCCGCGACCGTAAACGGGTTTTCCAGGCGAGTCTTGTCCTGTAGTACATGCAATGTTGCAATGCTCGCCGAGTGTATCGAATGTGGTGCATGCATTTACGACCGGGTTTTATCACTATTGTCGGTGGGTCGCAGGTGAGAGTGACTTGCGTTTTCGATGGCACCATAGAGCACTGCCAGCATGATTAACGCTCGACGTCCACTCTCCTCTTGCATTTTGATGTCGTATGGGAAGGCGCAGTTTCTGCATGTTCCGCAATTTATTCCATGAGGTACTGGATCTTTCTTCTTGGCAGAGTGACAATCTCATAACGCTGACTGTCCAACTGGATGTATGAGCACTGTGCTGCACGTAAATGTGGCCGGTCTGTATTCGATCTATGTATTGTGTATGGCCCGAGTTGCCTTCATAGCGTAACACACAGCGCTATGACTAGGGACGGGCAAGAAGCAGGCATATACCCGCTATGGCTGATCTCGAGGACGCCGTCATAGCCCGCGAGCATTATCTGCCGAATCAAGCTCTAACGGGGGAAGTGGCGTTGGCGAGAGGCTCGATGAGATGAGAGTGATGCGGGAAGAAGGTGGAGGTCGGGAGGAAGGGATGAAGAGATTGGCGGTACCTACTTATAGTCGGCGGCCTTGTTAATGGAAGATGGAAGTATAGATATTCGCCAAAGATATGACTTTCCATTGAAGAGCGATGTGGAGATTTACGGGACAGCATAGACACCAAATAAATATCAAACGAGTGAGAAAGCAAATAGATTAGATATATGCGAGTAGGTACTAAAAAGCTGAACGCCGAATCCTGTGTCATGTTTCCTATGTCTAGACCGTGGGCAGGAGTTCCCAAATAATAAGCAAGATGGATGGAAGATAGGATCGACGAGTGGAGCGGACGCCAGAATGATCATGGGCTGACAGGCATGTTGGTGCCGTTATACGAAAAGCCTGCGAGGGATTGAGCGCGCGTTCACATATCCAACGCCGAGAGTCATACCTGAGAATTTATCCTGCACCGTTTGCGACAAGTTCGAATCCTCAACGAAGCTGTCAATAGGGTCCTCCGTGGTGAAGACAGTATCGAAGTTGGACACGTCCTGTTATCGTTACAAACGTGCACGTCAGGACAAGGACAAGGTCAGATCATCGTATTGCATGCAATGCAACTGAACGCGGGGTACGCTACGCACAATTGGGCTGGCGACGCTGGGCTTGAACGGGGGCTGGATCTTCTTCTGCAGGAGCTTGACGAAGTCGATGTTCTGCTCGAAGAACGGGTGGCGTTTGATCTCTGCGGCGCCGTTGACCCCGAGGCGGTGGGTGGGGTCGCGCGTCAGGAGGCCGGTCAGGATGCTGCGTGCGTCTGTGCCGATCTCGGGACCGAATACCAGAGGATCGTTGAGGATCTTCTGGTACATTATGTCCGTGACCTCTGGAGAAGGATCAGTCGCTGTGAATGAGAGGAGGAGGGTACTACGCACCGTCGTAGAAGGGGGGCAGACCGGCAAGCATCTCGTACAAGAGGACACCCAGAGTCCACCAATCGATGGTCTTGTCTATGAACGCCGTCAGCAAAGAAATGGGCATGTGTATATACGGAAGGACGACATACTGTATCCCCGCCCTTGCAGGATTTCGGGTGCAAGGTATTCAGGGGTCCCGCAGAACGTGGCGGTGGTATCCGTGGCCTTCATGTTCAGTTTGCACAAGCCAAAGTCGCAGAGTGCGATATGTCCGGTGTAGTCTAACAGAATGTTCTCTGGTTTGAGATCACTAATAACGCCGGTCTTGAGTAAGTGCCAAGGGGATAGAGCTAGTAGTTGGCGTACCGGTAGACAACGTCGAGTTCATGGAGATGCTCCAGCGCAAGAAGTAGCTCTGCGCTGTAGAACCTAGAACGTTCCTCGTTGAAACGCTGCTCCCGTTGCAAGTGATGGAAGAGTTCTCCTCCATTCACGAAGCTGAACGAAGCTATGTATTGAGGTTATGCGATTCATATGGGGAAGAGATACTGACGCAAGGACGAGATAGAGCTTCTGTTCCGACTGGAAACTGAACTTCAACGGCACGATGAAGGGGTTGTTCACGCGAGATAAAACAAGGCGCTCCGCCAGGGTATGCGTGATCTCGTTCCGCTTTACGATATGCGCTTTGCGAATCGTCTTGAGGGCGTAAATCCGGCCGGTGTCGCGCTTGCGGACTTGCATGACCTTGCAGAAGTAGAAAGTAAGCTGTGTAGATGTGATGATGCAATCGCACATACTTTGCCAAAGCTCCCCTTGCCAATAACGGTAATGAGTTCGAAATCGTCTATGTTTAGCGATTGACCCTGAGCAACGTGTCAATATGCAATCCGTCTCCGATGGAGGACGGAACGAACATAAGAGGGCTTGTATGTGACGCCGATTTGGATTCTGCCCGATCCACCAGCGAACTCGTACCACTGGTCTTGGGTGCCTCTGTTCTCGAAGTCTGGCACGAACTTGATTCCGCCGAGAAAAACATCGTTGCCCATGTCCCCCGACCCGTCGCTAGCGCGTTTGGGCTCTTCAGCACGAAGGTAGCATTGGAGGGATATCTCAGAGTTCCGCGAAACATCACTGGAGACGACAAGGTTTATGAAGACGAGCGTGTTCCTCGAACGGGGTACTTACAAATGGGCTTGGTACATGTACAGAGGTTTCTCCAGATCACCGCCCAGAGGGGTGATGAGGATTTGATTGACCTCGTATTCCATAACGATGTACGGCAGCCACCAGCATTGGGCACGTTGGATGCTGTCTCTGTTCTTCTTTGCCAGCCGTTGCTGGGCGAGACTTGATGGGGAAACGGATGCTGCGATTTTGGCTTGCTGAGATTGAAGCGCACCTTGGACGGAGGCAGGCACGGGAATGCCTGCAGCCAGGCCCTCTGCACCGAGAACACGGATGGTGAGAAGGCCAGATGGCGAGGCGCGTGCCATGGCGTGTCCGTCCGGGTTGCCAGGTGTCGGGGTGGTGGATCGAGCAGCAGCCATCTCCTCCGCTCTGAGGTTGGTGGCGGAGGATTTCTTGCTTCTGGCGAGTTTCCAAGACATATTGAGAAGATGTGGTACAGAAGAAAGCCCTGCTTCCTCGGACACTGGGGATGGCGAAGACGAAGAAACGAAAAGAATTGATGAGGGGATGCAAAGATGGTGGGCGCTAATTACATATTGCCGAAACTCAATCCGTTGTCAAGAGTGCGTCTCTTGGCCCAATCTTACGAGTCAACCGAAAATGATTGCCGCCGTTCCACGTAAGTGCATGTTCTAGTAGATACGGCACAGTCCTGACAATCCTGACAATCTTGACTGGCCACATGTCCAATGAGGAGAATCTTCCGACGGAGCACACGCCACAGATATATTTTGTGTTTGGCGTGGTCGGTGCAAAGAAACAGTATTGCTAGCCCGTTAGTAGTGTGCCAGTAGTTGGCTAGTAGTGGTCGGGTTACTTCCTGCATTGAAAGAATAGAATAGCCGTTGCAGAGGTCGATTCAGGCCGCAGCGGCAACGATCACTGGCTCGTTGCATATGGATGGACGGAAGTTATAGCGTAAGCATGCTGATTTTTGCCTTGCCGGTAATTCCGTCAAAGGACATACATATGTACATAGGCACAACCTTTTCTTCTGAACTCGCACCCTCCCACCTTCCTTCATTCATTGCGCCCAATGGACAGCTCGCGTCCAAGCACTGCTGGCGAGAAGTCCACTCTCGCTGCCAATGATTCACCAAAGGGCTTCTTCAGCCGCCGCAAAAAGCCCCAGCAGCAGCCCGAACTTGTCGAGAAAGAGAAGCCTGATCCAGATGCCGCAGAGGTCACTGTGAAAGCAGAGGAGGAGGTCCCCCCGGTCTCGTTTACCCAGCTTTTCAGGTATGTCGCTGTCCCCTCTGTCGCTAGCGAGCACCATTAAAAATCAGAGCAGGTATGCCACCACCTTCGAGCTCTCCCTCAATGCCATCGGGCTGGTTACCGCATCTGCAGCCGGTGCAGCACAGGTACGCACGCGTCGCACAACGTGTATGAGCTAGCTGACCGTCGATCCTAGCCTCTTATGAGTTTGCTGTTCGGTAATCTCGTTCAAGCTTTCGTCGTGTTCACATCCGCCGTCATTGGTTCCCAGCAAGGCGATGCAGAGGCAACAGCTCAGATACCTCAAGCCGCCGCCGATTTCAGACGCTCTGCAGCTAACAATGCCAGTTATCTCGTTTATATCGGTGCGTACTTATTTTTGGGTGTATGATCAATCCTCACCCTTCCCCTGATCGCCCTGCAGGTCTCGGGATGTTTGTGTGCACTTACGTCTACATGTTCACCTGGGTGTATACCGGAGAGATCAACGCGAAGCGTATTCGCGAACGTTATCTCAAAGCAGTCCTCCGACAAGACATCGCGTGGTTCGATAACACGGGCGCTGGCGAGGTCGCAACTCGCATTCAGACGGACACACGTATGTTTCAGTTCACTCTGATCATCTTCCCTTGCTTACGATTCAATCTATCTAGATTTGGTGCAACAAGGCATTTCAGAAAAGGTTGCCATCTCCCTCAATTTCATGGCGGCGTTTATCACTGGTTTCATCCTCGCCTACGCCCGGTGTTGGCGTCTTGCCCTTGCTTTGTCCTCGATTTTGCCATGTATCGCTATCGCTGGTGGTGTAATGAACAAGTTCATGTCCAAGTATATGCAGTACGTTTTGCGATTCCTGCGTCTTCGTTTCGATTCCCTCACATTTCGTTGTTAGAGAGTCGCTGAAGCACGTAGCTGACGGTGGCAATCTCGCTGAGGAAGTGATCTCTACTATCCGGACTGCGCAAGCTTTTGGCTCCCAAAAGACCCTCTCTGCCTTGTATGATGGCCACGTTGAGCAATCCCAAATGGTCGACTACAAATCCTCCGTCGTCAATGGTGCCGGGTTGTCCGTTTTCTTCTTTGTAATATATGGTTCATACGGCTTAGGTGAGAAGCCCACCCTATCTATCCTTGACACTTGCACTAAATACACTACAGCCTTTTCCTTTGGAACTACACTCATTAACTCCGGGCACGGTAACGCATCGTCGTTCTTTCAAATGTAACCGCGTACTAACTGGATCTTTTAGCCACGGCCGGAGAAGTTATCAATACATTCTTGGCTATTTTAATTGGTTCGTTTTCGCTCGCTCTGCTCGCTCCTGAAGTCCAAGGTAAGTGTTGTGCTAGTTTGATGCACTCTCGTGATTGATCCCCCCCTCTTTAGCCATCACTAACGGTCGTGGTGCCGCTGCCAAGCTTTACGCGACTATTGATCGTATTCCGGACATCGATTCCGCCAGCACCGAAGGCCTTCGCCCTACTGATGTCCAGGGCGAAATCGTCTTCGAGCACGTTAATTTCAACTACCCTTCCCGCCCTTCTGTCCCCATTGTGCAGGATCTCTCGATTTCCTTCCGCGCCGGGAAGACTGCGGCCCTTGTCGGTGCATCGGGTTCTGGCAAGTCTACCGTCATCTCCCTCGTCGAGCGCTTCTACGACCCTCTGTCTGGCGTTGTCAAACTTGACGGCGTGAACGTCAAGGATCTCAATTTGAAGTGGTTGCGCTCCCAGATCGGCCTCGTTTCGCAGGAGCCAACTCTGTTCGCTACTACGATCAGAGGCAACGTCGCTCACGGCCTAGTAAACACTCCATTCGAGCACGCCTCGGAGGAAGAGATCTTCAAACTCGTGAAGGAGGCATGTGTCAAGGCAAATGCGGACGGGTTCATCTCCAAGCTCCCCTTGGGTTACGACACTCTTGTTGGTGAACGTGGTTTCCTGCTTTCTGGAGGCCAGAAGCAACGTATCGCCATTGCTCGTGCCATCGTCTCTGACCCCCGTATCCTGCTGCTCGATGAGGCCACCAGTGCTTTGGACACTCAGTCCGAAGGTATTGTCCAAGATGCTCTTGACAAGGCATCTGCAGGTTTGTTATTAATCATGACATCTCTGATATGTTGAATGCTAATGGACTATGGATAGGTCGGACCACCATCACGATTGCTCATCGCCTTTCCACGATCAAGAATGCTGATATCATCTACGTCATGGGAGGTGGTGTCGTCCTCGAAAAGGGTACCCACGACGAACTCTTGAGCGCAGACGGAGCCTACGCCAAACTCGTGCACGCCCAGAAACTTCGCGAGCACACGGAGTCGAGTGATGGGGATAGCGATACAGCCGATGGCTCGGAGCCGGAGGACATGGAGAAGCAGGCCCGGGAAGAAGTGCCCCTCGGTCGCAAGAACACTGGACACTCGTTGGCGAGCGAACTGATCGAGAAGAAGCTGCAGAGCAAGGCAGGAAAGTCCGATGAGGATCTCAGCTTGTACACCTTGTTCTACCGCATGGCGCTTCTGAATCGCGAAGGATGGAGAAGGTATATTGTTGGTATCATCGCTGCTATCTGTGAGTGTCGTAACTGCGTTCGTAGGTAGCTGTGTTTGCTAACGTTCCTGTTCAGTGACTGGCCTCGTTTGGCCGGCCTTCGGTATTGTCTATGGTAAGTAGCCCGACACACCTCCGGTCCATTAGCTTATTTCCTCTCCTCTTAGCCAAGGGTATCAACGGGTTCTCGATGATAGAGAAATCTGAGCGGCGCTTCGCTGGTGATCGCAATGCGCTATGGTGGGCATTCTGAATTTGTTTAACAAATCATGGCGTGCTAAATACCGCCCTTAGGTTATTCCTCATCGCTATCATCTCGACGGCCGCCATTGGCATCCAAAATTACATGTTCTCTGCAGCAGCGGCTACCTTGACTGCGAAGTTGAGGAAACTCAGCTTCAAAGCGATCTTGAGGCAAGACAGTAAGGGTTTTGATCCATTTACCTTGTCCTAAGCACTCATCGTCACCAATTTCCTAGTTGAATTCTTCGATCAAGAGGAGCACAGCGTATGTATTTCTATCTCTATTCTATGACCTACTTGTCCAGACTGCCCTCTACAGACCGGAAGCTTGACGTCGACACTCAGCGACAACCCCCAGAAGGTTAACGGATTGGCTGGTATTACCCTTGGAGCGTCAGTACTCGTCCTATTTTCCTTGCCGTGTTTATGATCCTTAACCGACTTGTTGCAGTATCATCCAGAGTATTGCCACACTCGTCGGAGGCTCGGTTGTTGGTCTCGCCTTCGGCTGGAAGCTTGCTTTGGTTGGCATCGGTATGTTTCATATCTCGATCACAACATATGTGAGCTAAACTCTGCTTCAGCTTGTACTCCATTGCTTGTCTCTGCTGGCTACATCAGATTGGTAAGTCCTCGTACAGGCGCGTTGCTTCATGTACTTATCTACATCGTTTCAGCGAGTCGTCGTTTTGAAAGATCAGCAAAACAAACTTGCACACGAGAGCTCGGCTCAGCTAGCTTGCGAAGCCGCCGGGTCTATCCGTACCGTCGCGTCACTGACCAGAGAGGACCAGTGCATTGAGCAATATAGCCTGAGTCTCGAAGAGCCTCTCCGCAGGTCCAACAAGACTGCTTTGTGGAGCAATGGACTATACGCGCTCTCTCAATCCATGGTCTTCTTCGTCATCGCCCTTGTCTTCTGGTACGGCTCCAGACTTGTTGCCTCTCAGGAATACTCTACTTTCCAGTTCTTCGTTTGTCTTATGGTGTGTTTCTGTTTCTGAGCGCCCCCCTCTTGATACTGACGCTTCGGACAGTCAACTACCTTCGGTGCGATGCAAGCAGGCAATGTCTTCTCATTTGTACCCGACGTTTCCTCTGCGCGCGGAGCTGGCTCGGACATCATCAAGCTGATCGATTCCACGCCTGAAATCGACGCCGAGTCTACCGAGGGCAAGATGATCGACAAGACCCAGACCCGCGGCCGGATTCACTTTGATGATATCCACTTCCGGTATCCCACCAGACCTGGTGTTCGGGTCCTGCGTGGTCTCTCGTTGACCGTGGAACCCGGAACGTATGTGGCCTTGGTCGGTGCTAGTGGTTGTGGCAAGAGTACAACGTGCGTGATACACTGAAAACGTATCCTGCGATGGGCTGACCAGTTTTTCTTAGTATCCAACTCATTGAGCGATTCTACGACCCTCTGGCTGGCAAGATCTATGTATGAACGTCTTTTTTACCTACACGTCCTTATTCTGACCTTTTCCTTGCAGCTCGATGGCGAAAACATCAGCGACTTGAACATCGCAGACTATCGTCAGCAAATCGCTCTTGTGTCTCAGGAACCTACGCTCTACGCTGGGACCGTCCGTTTCAACATCCTTCTCGGTGCCATCAAGCCCGAGTCTGAAGTCACCCAGAAGGAACTCGAAGACGCTTGCCGCAACGCCAACATCCTCGAGTTCATCCAGTCTCTTCCCGAGTATGTGTCACCCGTTTCGCCCGATTAACGCATTATTAATCTTGCAATAGTGGCTTTGATACGCAAGTAGGCGGCAAGGGTTCACAGCTATCCGGCGGTCAGAAACGTATGTGCACCCCGTTGTTCAATTGTGTCAGTTTGATTAATTGCCGACGCAGAACGCATTGCGATCGCCCGGGCATTGCTGAGAAATCCCAAGGTCCTGCTGCTCGATGAGGCGACATCAGCGCTGGACTCCAATTCGGAAAAGATCGTGCAAGCAGCCCTTGATCAAGCCGCTAAGGGCAGGACGACGATTGCCATTGCTCACAGACTGTCCACCATCCAGAACGCTGACTGCATGTGAGTAGATTGTCTAGGTTTTTGCTATATCCGGTTATTGAATGGTGTTTCTCTGCGACAGATACTTCATTAAAGAAGGTCGGGTCAGCGAATTCGGTACGCACGATCAACTGCTCGGCAAGAAGGGGGATTACTACGAGTATGTCCAACTTCAAGCCCTCAGCAAACGATGAAGCTTTCAAGAGTTATGTACATAATTTCATGATGTCGATGATGTTTTGCAACGGCCAGGACGTACTTATATTTCGGCCTTCAATTATTCCCTTCACTTCGCATTCCCCTCACTGATATATATATCCTGCACGTATCCCACAAGTAGTATTAGGACACTAATAGTTTCGATCAAATAGAACATGCTGTGAACATGAGCTTCATATAAATTTATCCTGATACAAGGTGTCGCAGCTGCGCGCATTGCCCCGGGAGCAGCAAGTCAGTCGCCTTGGTGTGATATGACAAATTCCCACGTGGCCATAGTCCTGCCTGTCTTTACTTGTCTGCGCAACCTTCCACGCTTTCTGCTCCCAACCTCATCTCCCCCATGTCTGTCTCCCTCAATCCAAGCACCTCCCTTGGCTTCAAGCGTATGCGACCCCCTTATCGCACTTTCTGCCCCCGCTGACACACTGCCGCGCACAGGACCTTTTGATAATGTCGTAAAACAATCTCTACGAATTTCGAATCACAATGCACTTCCGGTTGCGTTCAAAGTCAAAACGACGGCTCCAAAGGTCTGCTCGCATTCTTCTATTGCCCTGCATCGAAGTGACGGCGAGGTTTCTAGCACTATTGCGTTCGTCCGAATTCTGGCAGGGTGGAGCCCGGGGAGACGGTTGAAGTCGCAGGTAACTCGTCAGTGGCTCGCTTCCTCGCAATCGCTCAATGACGGCTCCCCAGTTATGCTGCAAGCGATGAAGGACGAGCCGCCGCTCTCGGTCAAGTGCAAGGACAAGTTCCTCATCCAAAGCACCGCTATCACTCCCGAAAAAGCGTCTCTGCCGCTACAAGAGATTGTGCGTCATCTTTTATCTATGACACGTTCTCGGCTAAGCTCAGGCAGTGGAACGGCGAAGGAGGAGAAGAGGCCAAGGTCCATCAACAAAAACTGCGTGTTGTTTACCTGCCTCCTGAAGGTCAAATCGACGAGGAGGAGGAGGAGGCGGGTCAACCCATCAAGCCACGTCTTGCTGAATCAGTGAGTTATCCGTGTAGCGTAAATGAGTTGTCCTTTCAACGCACCCTCCCTTCCAGCATTACGCGACTGTCCCTCATCCCAATGGCGAAGTCCATCCACCCATCCCCGAATTTTCGAAGCCAGACCCCGTCCCAGAACCTGGCCCAGTGGCCTTCGAACCGACTCCCCCTTCGCACCATGAAAGCCGTGCGCCCACCCCTCCCGTCGATCCTGAGTACGTGCGTGTACCAGAAGGCGTCGACGACGACGCGCATCTCGATGGCCCTGGCTTCGTCAGCATCAATTCGCCAGACATCAAGCAGCCCGCTCCTCTTGTATATTCGCCTTCACCTGTAGCTGTCCCTCGTGCCCTCCCGGACCCTGTTGCTCCCGTCGCCCCCACCCCTGCACCAGCCCCTGCACCCGTCGAGTCTCCCCTCAACATTGAGCTGCAGATCAAGTTCGAAGAAGCTCAAGCAGAGATTGAACGTCTACGGAACTTGCTCACTGCGGCTTCGGTAGCAGCACCAACGGAACAAACGGAGATCAGACACAGAAGACGGTCGTACTCTGACGCCGGAAGTGATAGCGGCTCCACCGCCATCGGCACTTACATCGATGATGGCTATGCCCCTCAGGATGGCGTCCCACTGCAGGTTGTCGTTATCATCGCGTTGGGTGTGTTCGTCACAACATACCTTTTCTTCTGATGTCTGTCCCGGACCTGGCGCCCCCCCCATCTCTATAGCGTCTATGTATATGACGACATTCACTCCTTTGACGTGTTCACTTCCTTGTCGCATTACATCGCAGCTATACATGCCTCATTATATTTCTCGGTTATTATATGATCCTTTTGATTTGTTGCATATGGTGTCAAAGTGTTTAGTTTCTGTAGATATTTATCCCTAGTCTACTTGCTGGATTCCTCTTGGAGGTGCCGTTTTATTGCGTCAGCAAGAAGCTCGTGGACTCGTTCTGTAGGATGGCCGGAGTCTGAAGAAGCCTTCAGCTTGGTTTTCGCAGCGAACTGGCAAAGGACGCGACCTACCGTACCAGAAATATCCAGATTCTGGACAATGGCAGAACCTGTCATAATCATTCTGTTCATAGTTGGTCCCTTCAGAGATAAAAGTATTACCATACCCAGTAACGTTTTTGAAGCCGTATTCCTCGTGGTGATCTAACACCTCGTTGAACCACGCGTTGGCGTCGAAGCGAAGAATCGAGGCAGAGGGGTGCGTAGCAGCGAATCTATCAACGTGTTCGCTAAGAACCTCGTTGAACAGGTCAATGTGCCCTTTGAGTGCCACGCCAGTCGAACTGCCTACGTGAGCAGGCGATCGTCCCTCTGGAGGTACATTGATGAAAAGATGGGCCCCCGAAAGACCACCTTCGTATGCTTGGTTCTGCTCCGAAGGTAAGACGCACGGCCAATACTCTTACTCGGGTAAGATAGACGAACTACGGAGCGGAAAAGCGACTCGATTTCTGTTCTCCAGAAAGCGGTAAAGTCAGTTATCTACATCGAGAGCGAAGTCGGAGTAAGAAGCGGTCGGGCCACGTGTGAGCGCAAGACGAACGGTAGCGTTGTTGAGGGTATCTCCCGTGTCGTTGATCCCGATCCACCAGGCAGTCAGAGTCTCTGCTGGTGGTCTGGGGAGGACTTTGGATGCGAAGTTGAGCCATTGCTTCACTTGGTCCGTGAGGGGAACGGTGAAGTCGTGATGGAGTGGAAGGCTATGGGTATTGACGGTTCACTCAAAGCAGTGACCGAAGTATGAGTACTACACTACTTACAGACTTCCGTCAATGTCTGCACCTGCGAAAGCGAAATCCCAAAGCTGGGTGGAACACTCAGAGGGACGCCCTTGGAAGCACCCGGTCAGGAATTCAATCTGAACGGTGCCACCTTCGAGCAACGGGAAATGGTATACGGGGAAATGCACAATACCCAGTTTGAGCCGTCGGAGCTAGTCTGTGGAGAAGTAAATTCAGTTAAGATAATAGAGAGAAACCCGATACTTGCGTTCTTCGCTATGATTTCATTGGAGAGCAGCTGCTCCCGCGTGAAGGAGGGGTCCAGGGCATCGCCTATGAAGCTACAGAGGGACATAAATCAATCAGAAAGAAATGCACTCTGTAGAGCTCACCTGAAATTCGCATGGCCTTGAGTACCTTGAACAAAAGTGTAGGAGTCGCCAAACGCGTAAACGTAACGTATGGCATCCCAGTCAAAGCGCGCTTTGTGTATTTCTGAGCTAGCCGCTACGGCTGTCAGAATATAAGCAAAGTGTATACTACCCTTTAATATTTTCATTCTCTTCCTTTGATGACGGGACGACGACGATTTCTATGGGTTTTGTGCACTCCGAGACTTAAATTATTGTATCCCGGCCCTGCTCCCACCGTTGCAAGAACAGCTGACATGGGTCCGGGCCGCTTCAAGAATCCGAATCCTGGCAAGGGGACTCGAAAGGGGACTCGGAAATACGAGACGCGCTGTGGGTCATGACTTGGACACTGGTCGCTGTGACAGAAAAAGGTGACCAATGGGACCCTTAAACAGTTGCCAAGTTCAAGATGTTTGCGAACCAGGAGGGAAATGATGCTATGACACGTGACCGGGTGACCAATCCTTCACAAGACGCGACAGTCGGTTGCGCAATGGTATTTCGAATATTCCTTATCGTTAACCATGACGCTCGATAACACAAAAAACAGGTCGTGATCCTGGCTGGGTGCATCAGTCGCAGGACTGATCATCTTTATCACTATCTACTACTTCTTCCTCAGCTCAGCTACTGGGCAGCAGTCGGAGCAGGTGGTTAAGGTCAGTTGTAGCGTTTTCTGACTAAGAATTTAGTGTTGATATTAACACGAAAGGCTGTGGCATTCTTGAGTGGAAACTCTCCGGTCACTGGGACCGTCACATTTTCGCAATCTATAAAGAATGGACCGGTCACTGTGTCGGGGACTTTGAATGGCTTGGATCCTCTGTCGAAACGTGGCTCTCATATTCAGTGCGTTATCAACCCATTGACCGACCTTGTCTAGATTATTAATGTATCTTCACAGCCAATCTGGTGACTTAAGCGGAGGTTGCGTGTCCACTGGCCCACACTTCAATCCGACAGGAAAGAACCATGGTTCTCCTAACAGCGAAGAGAGACATGTTGGCGACTTGGGAAACATTGACACGGATGAAAAAGGAACTGCCAATTTTGTATTTGAAGACTCCAAAATATCCCTAAATGGTGCTTTCAGTATCTTAGGGTGAGTCTCACGATCAAGGATTGGACTTCTCCAGCTAACCCGCTTAATTATAGCCGCGCGGTGGTTGTGCATGCTGTATGTTGTTCGTTTGCTTCATTCAAGAGCGGTCATTGACATCTCGGCGTTAAGGGGGTGGATGATTTAGGCAAAGGAGGTAACTCGGAGTCACTCAAAACGGGGAATGCGGGCGGACGAGCTGCTTGTGGTGTCATAGGTAGGTACCACACAACGCTCATCAAGAATGCACGTTTATTGACGGTACATAAAATAAGGCCTGGCTTAACGTATTTCGAGCGTAGATTTCTGGGCCCTCAATCCACCAATACTCTGTTTGGTATCTTTACTTGCACTAAAAGCGAGCAGTCAGCTACGCTGATCAAGCGTGGGTCATCGAGATAGATACCTGGTAATAGTATGGCGGGGAAATCGCCTCGCAAGTGAATGGGCTGGCGCATGCAGTGGGCCCAGTGTAACCAGTGCCTACAACGCGTCAGCAATTATTTCGGAGGTTCTACGCAAAAACCTACCTCCGCATTGGCCCCACTGGGTTTGCAGAGGTCCGCTTGCAGTAGTCGTTGATGCAGGGGGTGTTGACGCAGGAGGCGCTGATGTTGGTGGTACCGAGGTTACTGGAACGCTGCTGGATGTTGGCGGGGTGCTGGTTCCGCTTCCTACGCTAGTGGTAATGGGCCCACTCTCGACATAAACACCACTGAAGAACAAATCGGTTGTGCCGGGCTGGGTGACGATGCGGAGTACACCGAGATGCCAGTCCGCTGAGTTCGTGGAAGTAGAGGCAGCAATGTTTTGGACGACCTTGGTCAATGGTGATGAACCGGTTGAGGCCCATAAACCAACAGTATTAGCGCTGAACTATTGATGGGGTCAGCCAATCGGTTGAAGCGTCATTTAGGGTTACGAACATCAATGTCGTACGCGAAGTTGAACCATGTATCAGCCGTCCAGGGTGTAGACCATTTGCCAACGCCGCCGACCATCCAGGTCAAGTCTGTAGGGTTGGGGCCGACACCGTATTTTAGCTAGACGGGCCTTTAGTGTAATCTCAGAAGCACCATATCAGGATCCTGACCTCAGTGAAGTGGCTCTCAAAGAAGCAAATCTGATGTTCCAAAGAAGACTATTGCGGCTCAGTATCGGCCGATTTTGATGAGTAATGGAACTTACAACAGGTGCATTGGTAGCGGCTCGCTTGATTGAGAAATGGTAGAAGAGGTTTCCTTGGCCGAGGTTGGCGGTAGTCTGAGGGATAAGCTCAGAGCGCATCATTGTCTGCCCATTCCAGTTCGAAGTTTGGTCGATGGTCAACTTCAATCCATGGGTTTCGGTGGTGGCTGCGGGGTTCTTGTACGAGGGGTCCAAAGCAAGGTACTGCGAGGTTGGCTGGTTGCCGTGGATGTACTGAATCGATTCAGGTAAGCTTGGAAGTAATGAGAGCTTGGGATCCTTACCCATTGGTATGGACCGACTTGGTTGGCCCAAGACCCTAAGGGAAGGAAAGGGATGAGCGAGCTACTACCAGAGAACTTGGCGTAAGGACTTACAGTTGTCGAAAGCTGCCGCAGAAGAAAAGTAGCTGAAGTCACCATCCCAGAGCTTGGTCCCAGCGAGGGCGACCTGAGTGAAAAGGGCCAAAGCCGCAAATACCTTTACAAAGACCATGGAGAAGTGAGTTAGTTTTTGTGGTCCTCTGCAGAATTTGCATCCTTTATATATAGCGAATCGCAATAGTCGCTGGATGAATGTCGTATGCGGGACTCGTTACATCGGCTAGGAGCACTCTTCGCAGCATGCGAGGTTTGGCCGCAGGATAAATGTCGGGATGGCGCAAAAGTGGCACCGCATCGCTATGGAACTACTTCATTGCAAACTCGTCGGGTATACTCAATACATATTGTCACGGGGTGCCTCCTGCGATTAAATGCCTCGTACATAGCGGCGATATTCGAGGTGTACTCTGGCTAAGTTGATCCGGGGTATCAAATTACATAGTGGTGGTAAAACATCGTAAGTCATAAACGTCACCTTGCATTAGGTTATCTTCTTGAACATCCATGACGTTAACCAAGATTTCGTGGTTGCTTTCTCAGCTTCAGCTTGCTCTTCTTCCAACCTGCTAGCCATAGCTTGTTCTTCTTCCGCTATCACTTCATACACAACAGCTTCGTGCGTAGAGATATTCCGAGCGCGTGTGAGCTGTGGTGGAGCTAATGATAGGTGTGATCCCGAGACATCCGCGACGAAATCAACCTGAGCATGGATACCCGGCCTTAAGCCAGTTTCTTCGGCTGAACGAGAACGATCCAGAGGAAGTGTGGATCCGAAGCCCGATAATATGGAGTTCGAGCGGGGACGTTGTTGGGTAGTGCTACCTGCTGAGAAGGACCGATAACCGGATTGGGGCTGAATGCTCAATATACTTGGGCGTCGCATGCTGCTTGCTGCTCCTTCGCCGCTAACTTTTCGTCGAGGGCTGGTAGGCCGACGAGAGGGCGGTGCTCGATCAATGTCCCCTTCTCCGGCCTGAACTCGCTGAGCGATAATCGCTGGCAGATCTATATCCTCTGATCCTGTCAGCACACAGGAGGTTGCGGGGGTAGAGGGTGACTGATCCTCGGTTGAAGGTTCGTGGACGTCCGGTGCCAGATCGATGGACATCGGTCTGGGTGAAGCAGTTTCTGGTATCCCGAACCACATGCCCAATTGGTGGGGCGTGGGCACTACCGTAAGGGAAGTCCTGAAATCGACAGTGTCATCCAAGTCTAGGATTCCCACAGGATTTCGAGGTAGCCATAACTCGTTGCTTATAGATCTAGAGTAAAACGGATTGTCGTAAGGCAGGTCACAGGTCGTTTCGTCGTCCCATGGATCAGGCGGGGGGTGCGGCTTGACAGCCACGCTTGGGTCTGTGCTCGCCTTTCGAGGTAAAGTCTCGTGGTGGACGATAGAGGCAGTGTCTGGAGCGGTGGTTCCATTCACGAATGCCCTCGTCCGCGAATTGGTCGATCTCCGTCCTCTATCTCCATGACCATGCGACACAGACTTAAGGCGCTTGAATGGCTGATCCGACGATTGAGATTGAAAGGGTATAGGCTTGCGACGAAGTGGGCGTGGGGGACGCTGCCTAACCGTATTATATGCTGCATTGGCCCACTTTGGGAACTTCAGTGAGAAGAACGAAGGTCTATTTTCTTGAATTAACGCTGTGGCGTCCTGGCTTCCGTTATCTGAAGTTGTCGTCGTTTCGGCGTTATCTTGCGCAGAGTCCACGCCTTCTACCTTGCAAAGAACCTCTGCTTCAGCTATATCATCATGCTCGAATTGCGCACGGCATATGCGAGTCATGCTATCGGGGCGTCATGAGTAAACGAGCAAAAGACATACCAAAAGCAAAACCTACAGTAATTTCACGAAAGCGGTGATGATTATCAAACACGCAGCCAAACCAACATTGACTGTTTTCTTGAGGACGACCATGTAGGCGAGGAAGACCGCCTAAAGTGATTTTGAATACTCGGTTCTAACGAAGGGCGAGATAAAGGTGAGATAGCTTACCTGGCAGAGCATCAAGCCTAATACGAAAAGGGTGGGTAAGCGGTAAGTTGAATGACTCGAGAACCAGCATATTGAATACCGCACCGTCTAAAGAATACCGTACGATACGTATGAGCAGCACTTGCCCATTGAATTCATAGTGTTTCGCATAAACGTGGATTAACTTAGGGGGAGCTCAATCAGCTTGAAGGGTTGGGAGCGAAGGAAGTCCTACTTGGTTTTTTATTACACCTTGGAATGGATCGTCAACCAACGTAGTTCTAGCGGGGCGGGACGGGGCGTACCGGTTTCAAAGAAAAAGTAGACAGTTGCAAATGGTATCACGACAGGGTTGAGAACAGTGAAAAGCAGCAGAACATGTATCACGAGGAGATGATTCGGCAACCAGTCTACGTATTTTTAGAACAGTGGGTCGGATGTGGAGGAGAGAGTCGCTCACAGTAAAAGTTGAGTGTACGGGGTCGCAAACCGACAGTACGCTTGCGCCTGAATTATCCTGGTCATTGTTACTTCTTACAAGAAAGAAAGGTCGCAACGCACGGTGTCACTTGGTTCTTGGTGCTCGGGTACACGATTAAGGCAAGCTGGTGGCAAGGTTAGAGGCTGGATTACTGTGGAACGAAATACATACCCCAACTAAAAACAGTGATCAGTAAATGTAAACGGGTGGAGGCAAAGAAAAATGACTTACACATAGCAAGTTCAAAGCCGGCGTGCATTGCGGAGGTGAAGATGACTAGGGTTTGAATCAGCAAATAATGAACATATATTGCGGATAGCACGTACGCCAGCCGACATAGAAGGGGCCAGCTGTGGGGAAACTATCCGCCACAATCTTAAGAACGTCCGGGCGAGTAGTTGCTCTAAATGACAGCAGGAACGACTGAAGAGCCGCGGTTCCAACGCAGAAGAAGACAAGGACGTTAACAATCAGAAACTTGTAATATCGTGTCATGATTCGGTCGTGCAGGGCGGAAAGCGTTGTCATAGTGTGTGCTTTCTTGGCGATGAATAGAAGGATGAGGGGGATAAGCAGAGCGAGCAAAGCAACTAGAAGAGTGGGCAAGAAGGATTGTATAATCTCTTCTTCCCAAGGATGCTTATCGAGGTATGATTTCTACAAGATATGTCAGACTTAGATCTCATGGGGAAAAGGTAAACACTGACGAGACCAGGCCAAAAGATACTGATGTTCTGAATCGAAACCAAACCGACCAGGAGGGACACTGGGAAAATCCAGAAGATAGTGAAACCCCTACGCGATGGTGTTCATGAGCTCGAAGGTCCCAACGGGTTGATCAACTATTTCTTACCAAACTCCAAGGCTGACGACCCAGTCCTTCACAAACTATGATGTACCAAAGGTAAATAACCAGAAAGTATGCAAGACATTTAAGCTTTACCTCGGCATTGAAGGATGATTTCATTACACGTATCCAGTCCAAATCTTGATATTGCGGGGCCATAGTCACCCAGCAGGCCAATGGATTATTTGGATGCACTGCCAGGTATTTGCAAGCCTTCCGAGCGTCGGCCGGTCCTGCAAAGGTTACGAATGCGGTAGAAACGGCGTCGTAATCGCTCGTAGCCTTAGCACGACTCTCTGTGATGAGAGCCGTCAGGTAATTGACTTTCGTGGTATAGTAGTCGATAGACGGCACAGTCTTTCCGCGAAACAAGTGCGAAAGGTTCACCAAAGGTTGGTATGGATCGAGATACACCCGTGGAAGACTCAGTAGTACGTCCCAAACAGTCTTGCCCAACGGCGGTTCGACTCTGGTTTCGGCAGATGAAGGGGGTGGGTATCCTGACGATGGTGTGAGGCTAGGGACTTCGTCGCCCGAGTCGTCGGAGCCGTGCGGGATCAGCTTCATGAACGTTTTCTTCGACGTCGCCGAGATGGCTCTACGAAAGCGCATGCTGCCCTTGTCACCCCGCAGACCAAACTCTTCTACGAAGGGACCCAGGACGGAGATTAGATGATCCATATTCTGGTCGCCATCCATGTTGAGTTCTTTATTTAGATCACCTATTTCCACGTCTCCTACGATCGACTTCCGTTGCTGTGCCACGGTGATTGCACGAGAAGGGGTTCTAGCGAACGGCTTGTTGGCAGCCTTACGGTCCATTGCGTCACCTACAGCGAGGAGGACCTTGCGAGCCAGCTTGATATGGGCAGTTTCCAGCAAGCGAAGATACTCTTCGCGGCGCTCCAGAAGGGAGGCGAGCTCGGTCATCTTACGAACGATGACGACGCGTTCGATTTCGGGAATTTCCTCGATATTCGGGCCCTCTTCCGTGTCCCCTTCGGTGGCACTTCCAGTGCTAGAGGAAGGTGAGAGGGGGTTGTGGGGCAAGTGCGCAGGAAGGCGTTTGACACGATTGAAAAGGAATGACACGATCTTGTTCAGAAATCCGGGCTGAGTGGAAGAGTTTAAGCCAACTGATGGCTTGTCAATCTTCCGTGACATATAGTACTCGAAATATTCTTTGAGTTCCTTCTCGTTCCTAAGTGGAGGAGGAACATTGGTGACCATGACCGTTCGTAAGCGCAGTCCCTCATTCGCCGGATCGCCTTGAAGCGGGGGGACTTCAAGAAAGCCATACTGAGGGTGCGGATGGGGATAACTGATCGAAGGGGGCTCTCCTGATGCGATTCGCTGCCTGGCGGCTTCGATCTTCTGAGCCCGTAACCGAAAGGCACCTACGGATATCCACAGCAGGGTGGCCATCCAGGAAAGAGTAACCCAGAACAGTAAGCATATGTGGATCCACAATAATGACAAGCCGTGCGAGGTGAGGACGAGTGATGAGATAGATGCCCGGGTCATTGATTTCGGGGAGACGGAGTTGTCGGAGAATTCGACATGAATGGGGAAGAGAATGGGAAAGGTGGTGAACGTGTGCAGCAACGAGAACCAGACTAAATGGATGTAATTAGCCGTCGTCGGAATACCCGGTCGGGTACACTCACAACATCCTCGCAGAAATCGTACATACAATGTAGCGTCGACTCCTCGTAGCTTGTTCATCTTCTCTTCAGGAAACCATACTATTTGCTTCACCCACGACAGAGGCCAGCCTTGGGGAGACGGTGGTGAAGGGTCCTTGGCCCAGCACCGACCCTGGAATATGCTGAAATGACCAGTGAGGCGCACGTCCTCTGTCGTTGAGGGCTACGTACTATCCAAATTCCCAAGATTCGCGACTCCCGAGGCCTTCTGGTGCTTGTTTGTCGCCCCGCCTCTTCCGTTTCATCAGCTCTTGGCTAGTGACACATAGCACGGTAATTCCGAGTGCAATAACAGACTGATTAATGAGCCCACTAGAGAAAATGTTAATAAGACAGCGCTGGGACGAGCCAAGAGACAGACCTGTAGTTCTTGGAGAATGGCCTGGTGTAGATGTCCCCCATGAGCCCTGCAGCGTATGTCCAGCTTGCAGAGTGGTGTGAAGCAGTCAAGAAGCAGCAAGCAATATTCTGCCAGTCTCACGCGCCACTCATCACGTGCGTAGACAACCTTCACTTTCAAATTCAAATTTAGGTTCTCCACTGTTAGGGGCGCCGATCACCAACGCAGTTGCTGATTCTGACTTCGATCTTACTTGTAGTCGAGTCTACGAAAATGCGGGTGTTACTGACGAGATTCCCCGCATTGCCAAACATCTGCCATGAACTTCATCAAAGTCATGATTGCCATCTATCGCCGCGTAGTTGTCGACACACTTGTTGCTAGTACGTCCATGTGTAGCATGTCTTCAATCTTCCAAGCTTCAAGCTTCAGGCTTCAAGGGCGCCGATCCTCACACTACGTACGTCTATCTAGGTTGGCTAGATTGCTTCTATCTTACTTGCCGCCGAGCTCGGGACCCCACCAGATGACAGGGTATAAGAACCACAAGACCCCATTTCTACCAAGCACCTACCCATGAATTTCATCAAAGCCATTGTCTTTTATTGCCTCGCCGTCGTCGGCGTGCTCGCTGCTACGCCTCTGATCATCAAGCCTAGCAATGGCACAAGCATCGCTCCGGGTCACCGCTTCAATTTCAGCTATCAATCCATCGCGGAGAGGGGATGTTCGAGCTACCACGTCCACGTGTGGCTTTTCTTCCACCCCCCTACCCCCCTCTTCGTGACCACGGATTACGCTACCGGCCACTACTTTGGTCGATTCCAGATCCAGAACTGGCCCGGTCAGTCGCTGTAAACTTATAAACGTCGATCCAGTTCTGACAAGGTGCGATAACTGTAGGCGTGCCGTACACCGAGCATCCACTTCCTTCCTATTTCACAATGCCCGATTTTTCGATCAATCCGCGTGGTTGGGGAGCCGGCCTGCGCGCGAGCAACATTCAAGCGTACTTGGCTGTGATGGAGGAGTACGCAACAGGCAATGTCAGTATCCTCAATATCTTTTGTTGCCAACTCACCTTCGTCGTACGTTAGGGAACTCTAGGAAACCGGTTCAGTTTAACTTACAACACTGTCCGCTACAACGCCACCAAGCATCACAGCAACAAGGAACTTCCTGAACTTGTTTAGATATCACATTCACGAAAGACTTCACCCAGTGTACATTTATCCTCATTTCTACCCTTTTTCGTTTACTCCTTTTCACCTACGAACTTATCGAACCACCTGAAGACTTCGTAATGCCATTTCAAGCTGCACACAGGAGATAAGCATCAGCTCCGTGGCGCCAGGAAGGGGGACTGACCTGTTCAAATGGTTAAGAACCCAGTGGTTCTCATCGGGGAAGATCACTAAACGTGTGGGCACCTCACGTCTGATGCAAAGTATGCGGAGTCAACACATGGTCTCGGTACTTGGGAAATAGGGACGTACTGTAGTAACGCGTGGAACGCGCCGATTCCCTCCGTCTCGGGCAAGCGATAGTCCTTGCTGCCATGGATGATTAGCTGGGGCGTTGACCACTGGTGGACGAAGTTAGATGGGCTCATACTATGTAAGAAACTGTCAGAAGCGAGCCATCAACTACAGGACAATACGGAACTCACAGTTCAGCCAAGGTCTTGGTCTTCTTGTCCCATGGTCTAAGATGTTTCGTTCAGTTGGGGCGCCGTAGAAGGAAGAATGCGTTACCTTCCACCCCATTCGTGGTTGAACTGGAAACCATGCTCCGTTTAGACTGAGAGACATCGGACAGAGTCAAGAGACTTACGAAGAAAAGTTCATCAGTGGAATAGCCATTGTATGTTGCGTCGAAGACCTAGGGCGCAGGCGATTTAGCACAGCCGTCGAGGCGACCAATATGAATGTCACTCACACCGTCGTGGCACACGAGCGCTTTAAAGTTGAACCCATACTCGGGGTGACCTTGAATCCAGCTATAGCATGAAATAAATATGCAGAACTCGCCAAGATGCGGTTGAAGCAACGTACTTAATCGCATACCCGCCCCAACTAGCACCTGCGGCAACGGCGCGTTCCGGGTCAATCTTGGGAATCACAGAATCACTTTGGATAACACGATTGACCAGTAAGGATGGGTCTTACCTCGGGCACCTGCTCGAGGATGTATTTCCAGCCTGCCTGCATGTCGACGAATGGCTTGCCTCCCCAATCTTCTGCAATGGCATCCGTGAATTCTGCGCCGAAGGGTATCAATATTTGAAGCTAACGAGTAAACAGAGTGAGGTTTAAATACCTTGGCCAAAGGTCGTACTGCCCGTAGGATTGATCATAACGGTAACATATCCCTGAGCAGCAAAGACTACGCCCCGCGTTAGCAAGAATAGGAATGGAGGAAACTGATGCGTACCATTTGGATTCCAACGTGTACTCCACTGATCCTCCCAAGCGCCTTGCGGTCCTAGAAAGAGAATAAATACGGTGCACGGCGAAGAAGGTTACGACTCACCTCCGTGAATAAGCAAGACAGCGGGCCACTTCTTCTCTTCGCCTGCTTTGAATCCTTTCGGTTTCAATACCCATCCCTGTACTTTCTTATCCTCCGCACCAGTGAACCAGAACTCTTCACCCTCGCTCAAGTTTTTGCCCTGCAGTTCGTTTTCATTGAAACGAGTAACTTGTTCGACGACGCCGGAGAACTGTAAGGACGAGTCGCTCTGCTCGAGCTCGGTCTCGAAGCGCTTGAGACCGCGGATGATGAAGACGTTGTTGGGGGAGGTGAATGAGGAACGAGTAAAGATGAGGCGCCCGGTGAAGAGAGTCTGCAATCCACTTGCAGCGGCGGAGTGGGTCAGCGGAATGGGAGTTGTGTATTTCTTGTCGAGTTTAGGGTGCGTGGTAGAGGCACCCGGCGTGGGTGGCACGGGGAGAACGTATACTTTGACTTTGGCTTCATCGCCGGCTGTAAAGTAAAGGAAGTTTCCCTCTTTGGAGAACTATGCCAGAGCGAAAAAATCTAGCTTTTGTGGCGTAAACGATACAGGATGACTCACGGCAAGCTTGTCAGGGGAGCGGTCCCAATCCTGGGTGACGGTGAACCTAACCCCCTTGTTGAGGTCATAAATCACTATCTTCGCTCTATGAAGAAGAGTTAGCGAAGGGTGTGACTAAAAAAGCAATGTTGATTAACCGATCGGATTCATATCCATCTTTGTCCAACTCTAGCCATGCAACTTTGTTGCCTTCCAAGTTGAAGACAGGACTATGAATCGCGCCTTGTTGGCCTGAAGTCAGTTCCTTACGTTGATGCTGGTTTTGCAGGTCAACGACATAAACCTATGCTGTACGTGAGAAGCTCGATCCGGCAGACGAATAATATACAACGCGTACATTCTGCTTGGTGTGCCAGGCTTCGGGCAATTCGGGGTCTTTGGTGGTGTAAACGAGATGGCTATGAGATATGTCAAAGTCGTCCGTGCCACCAAACGGCTCAACAGGGGAGCTCTGGTTGCAAATTCAACCCTTAGGCACATGGGAAATGTATTCGATGAAACGTACGTGGCTGGTACCCTTGAGTAGGTTGATGAAGGTCCCATCAAAGTTCCACTTGTGATCTGGATCTTTGAAAAGGCGGACGCTGAACAATGAAAGCTTCTTGGGAGTAACCCAGCTATGGCCACGTTGTTCATCAGTAGACCGAAGCTATCTACACGGGAGACGAGACTCACGTATCCCAGTGACGTTCGAAGGTCGCGTCGTAGACAAGGGCAGACGTCCCACGATTTTCCCAAGCCTCATCCAACCGCCTCGAATCGGAGAGATTCCCATTAGCGTAAACATAGTCCGAAAACACCAAGATTCCTGGTACGAGCGTATATCGGAAGTTGGACGCGCTTGTGGTTGGGATAGATCCGAGCAAGATAGGAGCTGACTCGGTTCTGAGAACCCCAGCAAAATCGTCTGCCTTGTGCTTGAATTCCAAAGGTATGGCGTAAATATTGATCTTCTTCTCGCTTTCCACCGGGACTGCATGGGCAATAGTACGGGGGTCGAGCCAAAACACTTCGCCACCGTCAGGCAAAGGGATCTCCAAGGGCTCTACCACTGATTCCAAAGGTGATATCACAACAGATTTCTTGTTTCTTCCGTCGAGGGACACGGTTTCAACTAACGCACAAACCAGGGGTATTCATCCACTCACTTCTTCTCCGAGAACGAGTATTTGCTCGTCGGCACCAAAACTAGCTCTCCTGCGAGGTTGGCGACACCCTGTCCTGGGCGCTGCAGTTCAATCATGTCCTTGGGGGACATGATATCCGCAGCCTCCTTGAATGCAAAGTCAGGAGGACTATTGAAGTTGTAAACATCGTTTAAAGCGGGAGGTTGTTGCATAGGTTGCTGCGTAGCTGATCGTAGAGGAGATTGCAGGGGGACCTGAGTCGCAAGACCCAGCAAAGGCAGAGAGAACCTCATGCTCTGGGATATTCAGCAGCACGGCACCCGGTATTGATGTTCCGTATGCAGATGGTTGGCAAGCAAGAGAGTCAGCTTTATATTTGGTCTCACGCTGCGCACCGCTGTTCCCAAGCCTCCTTATGATCCAGTGCAAGTCCAGTCCAGTGATGATTTCACGCGCCCTGGGTACCACCATGGCGTTATGGCGTTATGGCGATCCGACATTCGGGTGGACGCTAAACACGCATAGGACCACAGAGGCTAGACCCATTCGTCAGGTCACTTTGCCGGAGTGGTTAACGGGATCGCCTGCTATGAAGCACGAAGAGCGGTTGGGCTTTGCCCGCGTGTGTTCGAATCGCACAGGTGACGATCCTTTTGCCAAATTCGTGCAATGAACGCAAGTCATTCTTAAGGTCAACCCTGGGTTAAGGGAGGCTTCAAACCACTGGGATGTCTAGGACACCTTAGTTTGGACTCAAACTGTGTAGGTCTCGAGAAAGCGCAACCAACCCACTACAGTATACCCTGTCATATCGCCTTGAACACGAGAATTAGCCAAGTTTTTTTCCCTGGAGGTGCAACAGAAGATGTCAATACTGTAGCTCTTCGACATCTTCGTGGCGTACTTGTGTTCAACAGTATAGCCTTTCAGCTCGGCTTAATGGCCGCCTTCGCCAGAGTCTGGTCATGGGTTCCTCTGCGAAGTTTCCCACTGCCGAAGTTTGGCTCCCTTGGAGCCAATCCAAGCAGGTCATGAATAGCACAATCCTACACGCTACTTCTTCAGAAATAACACCTTCTTGTGTCCTAGGAAAACAAGATGTCAACTGATAACGGGGCTGAAGGTTGGTCGCCTCGCTGGCTCCATTATGCACTTGATATGATTCAACTACAATGTTGTTCTAGCACATGTCAGAACCAAGTCACTCATCGAAGTTGCTCATAGCCTCGTCAATCCAAGGGGCAAGGGGATTTACGCTACTGATGAGGATCCAAGCGAAATCCAAGCGCGGCTGATTGCTGCCCTCGGAGAAGCGGGGAAGAACATTTCCTGGACTGAGGCGCAAGCGGTAGAACGAAGGAAACGATGGAGAGAATGTCTGTACGAAACTATGCCAACGGGTAATGCACCATTCACAATTACTGGACACTGTATTGTGATACTGACGCTATCGCGACCCACAGAATACATATCGGGAGTTATCCTCTATCCAGAGACATTGCACGACTTTAAGCTTGCGCCCGTCCTTGCAAATCGAGGTATCGTCCCTGGGGTCCGTGCCAACGGTGAAGAATATCCAATCCCTGCCTCACCTTTGGAGCCAGCTACCGATGGATTGGACAATCTTTTACCTCGAATGACGAAAGCTTTCGATGACGGTGCCCGATTCGCCAAGTTCCGCACTGGTTTCATGTGTACCAGCCTCGCTACCGGAGGGCTAGCCACTCAGCTTGCTATAGATACTCAATCAGAGACTCTCGCCAGATTCGCCTCAATCGCCCAGCGTGCTGGCTTAGTCCCTATCGTTGAGCCCGACGTAGATTTCTCGGGCGATGCTGACCTATCTCGTAGTGCTGAGGTACACGAGAAGGTAATCAGCGCTATATTTGCGAGATGCGTCGCCCATGGTGTCCTGATTGAGGGTATGTGCTCATAACATTTAAGAAGTAACGGTCCGTTGACCGTAATATATCAGGGGCGCTCATCAAGCCATCTTTCCCCCAGCCGGGCCTCAAACATCCGTCTCGTCAATCAACTTCTGCCGTTGATATAGGCCTCGCGACGGTCAAGGCTCTCAGTCATGCTTTACCCGTCGCACTACCCGGCGTATTATTCTTGTCAGGCATGTATACTTAGTCCATCAGCACGTTCGAGGAGACTGATAGTTTATAAAGGTGGGCTTTCTGATGAAAACTCGACAGCTTACCTGGCTGCTGTCAATCAACTCGTCGACCAAAACCAAGATGGAATTCACGGCCGGTTGCCTCCGCTTACCTTCTCATTTGGAAGAGGTCTGCAGGGCGATGCAATGTCGAAATGGGTGTCTGGAGATGAAGATGGCGCCAGACATGCCTTCAAGGCAAGAGCGAAGGCTTGCTCCCTCGCAGTTCGCGGCAAGGTAGAGTAAATGTATAAGATCTGATATGTACAGTTAGTACAATGATAACACCGTGGTAGTGATATATATAAGTGTATATATAGTGATGATGCTATGGAGCAAGCCTTTCTATTTTCCAATCCGAGTCATTTCCGACCCGTGTGTAGCGTACCCTATCGTGTAATCGTGATGGCTTCCCGCTCCAGAATTCTACCTCGCTGTGATGATCGTTAGAATCCTGATGCATCACGGACATAAAGGCTTACAAGGGTACAATCCTCCACCCACCCCAAAATTCTGGTGTCGGTATAATCCCGTGGTCTGTTGTTGTACCCTCTTGATCTTTCACGCCGAATCGATCCTTTATTTCTTCCAGTCGTGACTGCACTTCCCCTTCCTCTACCACACTACTCTGTCTGCTCGCCCATGCGCCCAGTTGACTTCCAATGGGTCTACCCTTGAAATACTCTTCGCTTTTCTCGCGACTGACCTTCTCCACCTTCCCAACGACTCGTACCGATCTATGGACTTCTCTCCAATAAAATGCCAGCGCAGCATAGGGATTAGCAAGAAGTTCTTGCGATTTGCGTGAGGAGTAATTCGTGTAGAATATGAATCCCCTTGTGTCGACTTCTTTGAAGAGGACAAATCGGGAGGATGGGATCCCAGATGGTGTACATGTCGAGACGCACATGCTTTCCGGCTCGGGTACAACCTTAGCGTTTACGACTTCGGTGAACCACTCTTTGAACTGGACTATCGGAGAGGGGTTAGTTGTCGAGGGGGTAAGAACATCGGAAGAGTGGTATTGATTGTGAGGTAGAACTTGAAGCTTGTCGGGGGACGGTTGAGCGATGTGGTAGTCCATTGCGGTGCTATGCTTGGGTATTGGGGTCGAGATGAAGGTTCTCCTGGTCAATTCACTGAGAGCACGAAACATTGGTCCTCATAATCGACTAGCTGCGAACCCGTGCTTCGCACGCGGGGCTGAGTTCTGAATATAACGTGCAAATGAGAGTAATATTGAAGCTAGATAATTGATGAATGAATGTTACGAAAAACTTGGTGATTAGTAGGTAGATAGATATATTGATAAGGTAACTGGCATCATGATATGGGAACATAGGACTCAAGCTGCTGGCTCCGGGCAGACAGATGACATCGAAGGTGTGTCCTCAAGAGATGCGATTGAGCTCTCACTGGAAGCGAGCGCCAAGTTCTCGATACGACTGCGCTTGGCCGGGTTTCGAGGGAGAGGACTTCCCCTTTCTGCAAGGGACCCATAGCTGAATTTGCGCCTCTTCCCATTATTACCTGCCGACAGCGCATTTCCTGTGAACACAATTAAGTTCAGATCACTGTCATTTGAATGTAGCTTACCTGGTGTCTTTATGGGGGTAAACGGAGGGGTCCATTTACCCATGAATGCTATTGTTCCATCCGCACCCATGTCAACATCGAGTTGCGTGAGCCACCCAGCATCATTGAGAATAAACTTAGAGAGCCGCCCTGCCTGTACGGAGACCCAAGTGTCATCGGCAGGGCAGATCTTTTTCGGATCGGGGCAGCGGTGAGTTTTGCTGATGAAGATGCGGACCGGAAGCTTGGAAAGGCGTTGGTCGTGGCGGTAAGCGTTTAGCCATTGGCTACAAACAATGTCGAATCTGGCAGTGTCGGTGCCGGTGTCTTTCTGCGAGGCCTTTACTACACCACCTAGATACAAGTATGGAGGGCACTGAAGTGCTTCAGGCGCAATCTCTCCGACAGGAATCATCTGAGTTCGAATTGAAGGACGTAGTGAGACAATGGAAACAGGTCAGTGTATTCAGTACTCACCCATGTGATGTCTCCAACGATTTGATACTCCTTCTTCTCGCTATCTGGAAGCTCAGGGGCATCAATGTTCGCCTGAGAAGTCATTGCTGCAATCTAAGAGGTGATTGAATTGTAATAGTAGTTGTTATTGTCACCATTAGAGACGTAAGATGCACGACGTACAGATGCATCAATAACACAGGGTATGGGTTCAACATCATCAAATGTGATGCGTGAACGGTTATAGTATCGGAGGCATCCAAGCAGTTGAATGCCATCAGCTAACCAGAAGTTTGCGTCGAAGAACACAACATGAGGGTTTGCCACTGGAGTGCGAGGGTTGGTGAGAACTGTGAGGCCGATGATCTTTGACGCCATAATTAAAAAGGGAGAGTGAGTGTAAACGTAGAGTAAGAGAATAATGAGAGCGAGAGTGGTTAAGGAAAGAGCGAGAGTGATAGTGCAACTTGCTGGGGATTCGGCCTCAGCACCAGCACCTTATATACCGGTAGATCATGGTCAAGGGCTGAGCTTGAGATTCTTGACGTTTTAGAAACATGTGTCTAATGTACGTCAGCGAATGGGCTGGAATATTCACGAATGCTCAAAGAATGATACCTTCCGAAATCAGTGCCCACTGGTGGTTTGCATGTTTCATCTGAGTCGGTACAATAATGAGACTATTGCTGTACTAAGTAATAATATAATACATATAATATAAAATACTCTAATCAGTAAGTACTTCTTTGTATACAATATTTACGGCCTTCATCTCCTCATTTAGATTAGGTAGTAGTAGTTTTATACGGTGACGTGATGTAGCTCTTGACAATGCGACATACAATTGACCATGTGAAAATACGGGCACACGAAGATCAAGTCCGACAAAGCGAACAGACTGGCCTTGTGCCTTGTTGATGGTCATTGAGAACGCAAGGCGCACCGGGAATTGACGGCGACGTAAAGTGAATGTGAACTCGGCGTCCTTTCCGGATGGTGTGAGTGTGATGCGAGGAATAAATGAAACCTCGCCATGAAAATGACCGCCTATGACTTGTACTTCAAGTACACGATCTGTGGCTCGCCGAAGGATAAGGCGAGTTCCATTGCAGAGTCCGCGCCCTGGAGCAAGATTTCGGAGAAGGATCAGAGGGCATCCCATCTTCACCGATAGCTTTCCTGGTGGAAGGCCAGGTGCTTCGAGAGTTCGTAGAAACTCGACAGGAATTTCATTTTCACGTTCCGACTGAGAACCGTCATCGTTTTCAATTGAGTCGGCACTGATGTAGTTGATTGTGTCGCCAGCCATCTGTTGAAGGATGTTATCATTGATATCGTCGACATCTGCATTTCTAGCAGCAAGAATGGTCCGATCAAGGAAGTACTCCGGAGGCGGGGTGATACCATGGATATCAGGATAAACAAAGTCTACCAATGACTTTGAATCCGTGCAAACCATTTCTTCAGGAATGTCAATCTTGCCGTCATCTTGTACATCATACCCATGACCAACTCTGAGTAACCAATTTCCAAACTCTGTTTCATCCTCCCCAGCATCCAATCGCATATTCTGACGAAGCCGGAGGACATGGTCATGGTCATCTGACTTGATGTAGGTCCAAATGTATGACCGTGGAAGAGATGCATCAACGATTTGTTCTTGCGTGCCTTTTGGAACAACAGGAAGTGTTTGTTGAAAATCTCCTCCAAAAACAACAGTGAGGCCACCGAAAGGTTTGCTGCAGTTGCGGATATCCTTCAATGTTCGATCAAGTGCTTCGTGAGTATGCCGGTGCTGCATCAACGCTTCATCCCAGAGAATGAGTCGAGTTGCTCGCAGAAGGCCAGCAAGGTTGGATTCCTTTGTAATGGAACACATGGAGCTCTCGGTCAAACCATCAATTGGGATCTTGAACTGAGAGTGAGCAGTACGTCCTCCTGGCATAAGCAGAGCTGCAATTCCCGACGACGCAACACAAAGTACGATCCACCCTTCACTACGGACACGGTTACAGAGTGTGTTGTATATAAACGTCTTCCCAGTTCCACCGGGACCGTCAAGAAAAAAGGTCCACCCACGATTCTCCAGAACTGATGCCATGATAGACTCGAAGGCTGTCTGTTGATCATGGTTAAGCTGTTGAATTCGAGCCTCTGCATCATTACGCTCCATTTCCCGGTTGTAGTTGAGCTGCTCGATGATAAGTGGATTGTCAACGATGCTCTCCCAGTCTTGCGACCATTGCGGCATGGAGTGGAACTCAGAAAGTGAGTGCCCAGATTGGCGAAGGACTCTGTCGATAAGGTATAGACCATAGTCGTAGACATCCTCATTGGACGGGTTTGCGCGGCCTGCCAAACGAAGACGATGCCATAAGTCGTCACAAATGTGGTGACGGAACTCATCCCAAAGGTGGCTTGGCTCAACAGGATGGCAAAAAAGAAGCATCGTCGCAAAAAGACATCGAAGGCGAGAGCCAGTTTGCATGACAGATGCTTCTTGAAGGCACATCCGCCACTCTCCATCATCTTCTAGCAACCCACGCGCGATGCAAGCCTCTCGAAAGGTCGGGTATAATGTTCCTTGATAGCGACGGAGGTCCTCAAATGATGTCGGCCCCTTGACAGTGGTTAAGAGTGTCCGGAGGTAAAATCGCTCTCCGGCAGATGGTGGTACAAAGTACATTCGACCGATTGGCGGGGATTCACCACGGAACTGCTTCCTAAGTGACCATTTAGTGCCATCCTTCCAAGTGAAGTGCTCAGGAAATTCCGAGTACGTATACTTCCGAGCTTCGTTGCCTAGAGCCCCAGGATCCCTGTTCGCAGCGAAGAATTCAGTGAGTGTAGTCTTCTCATTTGCCGCGCGTTCTAGAAGTGCTTGAGGGTCTTCATCTGGGTTGAACCGGATCATATGCTGTCCAGGAAGATGGACTTGAAGCCGAACAACAGTCGGGATTTGATCATGAACAGGAAAGTGGAAAAGACGCCACGATGCCTCAGATGCTGCAATATACCGGCCTTGCAAATATGTTCGTATCTCATCGAGCTCAATTTCGAGTGTCGCACGGTCGCCGCCTTTGTGTATGTATTTGAATGGGTATTTGACGGAGCGTAACATGACAGCGCACTCCACATTAATATGGCAGTTGTACTTTCCAGAAAGATAAGGCGAGTAAGGCACAATCCATCGGTTGTCAAGTTCATGCTGACCAATGTGGTACTTTCGACCATCGTCTCGTCTTCGGTAGAGGGGATACCCGTCGTCGTTGAACTGAGTGAATGGCTGAAAGTCCTTTGGATAATGTTTTGTACAGCGGCGGTTTTCCATGCATGGCGAATTGGGGTTGAGCGAGCCGCAAGGGCCATGAACCATGCAAGTTCGGACCGTTTCATACAGAAGTGGTTGAGAAACAGGATCGGGCCACTCTGCTGATATGCAGGAGTCGACATCTTCGGGTGTTAAAAGCTTCTGGCCTTCCTGAAGAAAAATCAGCAAGTGCATGTGAGGGAGACCCCGCTTTTGAAACTCGATAGTATAAACCCAGCCAACGGTGCGCCCAAAGATCCCATGCTTGCAGATATCGTCCAGAATCGCGCGCTTCTTCAGGTAAAACACTCGTGCTACCAGGTCAGGCCGATCATACACTGTTTGGTTGGGCAGAAGCTCTCTCGTAATTTCCGGCCACTGAGGATTGGCTGTAACGGTAATAAATAGATCCACCTTTCGATATCGTCTCGCAATTGCCATAGCATCTTGAAACCGTTGCTGCATGTGACGGGGACCGCCGATGTAGGACGATGGTAGGATGTATCGAGTTCCTAGTTGATGTAAATCAATATTCATATCGTGCATGAGAGCATCGAAAAATCCACTAAATAGAGAAGCACGGTAGGAGTTTTGATTTGTGTAGTGAAACCGAAGATTGGCTTGATCGGCCGATGCCCACCAATCGATGAGCAATTGTTGAAATAGACGACCACCTCGGAGAAGAGTAGAATATTGACCCGGACGAACATGAAGTTGGTATGCCGCATATCGGGTTTGCGACAAATTTGATTTCTTCCCGGCCTCTCGGTCAACCTGTAAAAGCCCTTGATGCCATCCATGCTCTCCGAAAGGGAAGAGAAGCACGTAGTGTAGTGGTGTATATGCAGGATGGCCCTCATGGATCCGGTAAAGTCTTGTCTGTCCAGGAGGCATGCGGCACCGAAGAACAATATCGCGGTAATCTGGTGATGAGGTATCGCCCGGCATAATCATGGCAACCTCGTTAACGGTTGGCAGGTTGTGGCGACCTCGGTGTTCACCCGACGATGGCTGTACACGAAGCTTGATCTCGGCATCTGGGGTATTCTCAAGATCCCTCAGAATCTCGAATGCTTGTTTGAATACGGCGGCATACTGGTGATGCTGGATCAGCATTGTCTGAAGGGCAGACATCGTGTCTTGCGATAGCGTAGAATTACGGTTCATGCGCTGGCGCAGGGCAACATCGGGGTCATGAATGTAGAGTTGTGCATACGAAGGTGCAGTACCTTCCTCTGATTCAAGGGCACCAGAGTTGTGGTGTAACTGGCCTTGGATGCGAAAGACCCATGTATTGCCACCGAACCGCTGGTTGATACTATGATCTTGCTTGACACCAAGCGACGTGAAAGCGAGGGCCATATTATACATCCGTATGTTTGCTCTGAACTCGCGGGATTGAGGGTCATCTGCGTCGAGCAACAGGCGCAGAGTGTCAGGCGGCGGGCGTGGTGGTGGTAATTCCACTTTCCCATGATTGCAGCATGTGCCAAAGGCCGGCGTTAGGCATCGTCTTGAGTTGTATGTACGTTCATCATTCCAATGGAGGGCGGAGCAATGAGGGCATTGAATGTTCATGCGGCCTAGATCGTGCCTTGTCGGGGGGTCAATGTATGCGTGGCGAGCTGCCATGAACAAATTTGTAGCCGAAGTGACCATTCGGCCAGGGTTTGGGCGGCCTAGTACAGCGTGAACAAAAAGCAAGCGACCCGCAACATCACACTTACCTGGGACACCTTGTTGAGTAGCAGGTGGTGTCGGCAATTGGCGCAAAGTGTCTGGTGCCATGTTAAGTCGTTGAGCACGCTCGCGCTCTCTTCGGGCCTGCTGAGCAAGTGATCGGCGACTTGGGGCCAGCTCGCCCACTGACAGAGTTCCAGGCTGTGATAGTTGCTGGGCGGTCTCGTGCTCACGCTCAATGCGCTCGCGTTCCCTGCGGGCTTGCTGGGCGATTGATCGACGACTTACGGGTGGCTCGCTGCTTGGGGTTGGCGGGAATTCCAAAGGTTGAGGTGTCGCCTCCCGCTGCCGCTCATTTCGTTCTCGCTCCCTGCGGGCTTGCTGAGCGATTGATCGGCGATTCAGAGTAGGTTCGCTGGCCAAAGGGGACGTGGTTGGTACTTCCATCTGTTCCCGTTGAAGACGTTCGCACTGTCTTCGGGCTTGTTGTGCTATCGAACGACGATCAGAGTTCAGCGCGCTGGTTGCTGGTGTCAGAGGGGCATCTCCTCGAAGAGCTAATTGATGGACCATTTCAGCACGCTCTCGAGCTCTTCGTTCCCGCTGAGCCAAGGCACGCCGGTTAGGTACTTCAGATGGGGGTGGAGTCAACACCTGGTTATGGACAGTAGTTGGCTGGAGATATCGGGAATGATGAGCGTCGGAGGGGGCAGTTGCAGAGGGAGGAGCTATAATGTAACCTGGTTAATACACCTCCATCCAACAGTACTAAGGTCCGGACTTACCTGCATTCTCATCCCGAAGTGAGTGCCCTTGGTGAACTGGACTCCTGCGAAGGAACTCTTGCTCTCTAGCTTCTCGAAAGCTGATGCGCGCTCGTGTTTGAAAGCACTGGGACTGGAAGGTGGCTGACTGCTCGCTGCGAAAGGTGAGTTGGTTGAACAATAAGAGATACAGAGGAATCTTCAATTTATTCACATAGAAGTATGAATATATACATGCCAACAATATCTTGCTAAGGGTTACCTTGATTGACTGGTGGTGTTGCCCATCGTTGGTTTCTGCGTACGCAGCGGAGGCGGACGGCGCTGACAACGTTGGCAATGGAAACGAACGCGCTCGGACACGCTAGGTACGTGGCAAACGCTTCACACGAACTGTCACGCACGTGATGAATCACATCAAATCAACCAATCATATAACAATTGCGAACCGAGATCACCGACCATTGTCTGCAGATGTCTACAGACTTATCCCTTTGACTTATCCCTTTGACTTTAACCCCTAGATTTATCCCGTGGGAGAAAATACGCATGCCACCTGATATAGATGAGCGGACCGGGACACTGAGTCTGAAATATGTCACGTGCTAATACCGGATTCGTCGCTAAGCGCCCAAATATGGTTCCATATCGGGAAATGTTGACTTCGTCAAGGATGGATATTCTGAAAACCAAATGAAAACTCAATGTTATATGGGAATCGCAGCGCATTGAAGCGCATTGACCGGCCGAAGCTGGCAACAAAAACACCGCGACGCCGCACTCTCACTGAGTGGAGTCCCGGGACTTCTGATGCGACAATGAATTCCCATCGAAGCGGGGATATGTTATACGCCACGGCATGCGCTCAGTGCACAACTCCCGCATTTCTGTGGAATTTGCGGGCATAAATGGTTTACCGTCTTGATGATAGCGTTCTTGCATGTGCTTCTAAAGTCTGATCAGGGGTTGGTTGCTTTCGGGGTCCTAATCACTGTTTCTGACAGTGATATGATGCTTTTAGTACTGGCGTATCAGCTAGCTGCAGGGTTCACTCAGCCTACACCTTTTCTTTCCCTTCCACCACCACCCCAGCAGCCAGGATGCTGCACTCTATATCTGATTTGACCACCTTCTGCCGCAAGACGATAGGAGATGTCCCGGCGAAGCTAGTGGTATGTGCTGCTGCTTGCTGACTATGCCTCGCGCGCCCTCAATCCCGATTCCTTCAGGGCGCGTCCACCACTGTCGTTGGCTCCAAGATGTATCTCTTCGTGAGTCCCTGACTTCCTGGAGGGCCAAGGGAACGGCGTTGACGCTGTGAGCAGGGAGGTAGATTGGTAACCGAACGCAGAATGGTTTCCGACATGTACGTTTTCGACTTGGCCACATTTCGATGGGAGAAGATCCCGCCAAACCCAGAAGACGATGTCCCCCGAGCTCGCTACTTCCACAGCGCTGATACTTGTGCGTCAAGTACCATTGAGACTAAGCTATTAATAATACGTGTATACAGGGAACAACCAGCTGATCGTCTTCGGAGGGATGAGCAACAGAGTCGATTCTCCCAATCCGGACGACCTGTGCGTCCTGAACGACGTCCGGTTCTTCGACATCGCGACGCGGCGCTGGATGCCGGCGTCCATGTCCAACTCGCCCGTGGCCGATCCAGACGATTCTCTCGTGCCCCGCGCTCGCTATGCCCACTTGTCATCAGTCACATCTAACCGCTTGTTTATCATCGGCGGGCAGGATTTCTTCAATGTATGGTTGGACGACGTGTGTGTATACGATCTGGTCACTCGTACATGGACACGCCGGCGGGACTATCCTCGGCACTGTGGCACCTATCGCAGTGTTGCTGTCTCGTCTGATTACTGCGTGCGGCTACCCCAGGAAGAACTCCGAGCAGAGCAAGGGCCTACTACATTGGGCCAGCCCGGTACACGGTTCAAGACAGACAATGCCCCTTCAAAGTCTTCTGACTTCACTGCATCTGAAAGTCTTGTTCATCTCCCTTACTCTGCGACTCCTTCAGATGCTTTCCCAAGTAACATCTACCTGTACAGCAATTACAACGTGAGTGGCCAGGCAGTGTCCTATGGTTGACCTGACACCTCTAACGCGTAGTTTACTGACGTCAAACGAGAACTCGAGGTTTTCTACCCTCTCCCCAATGCCGACTTGACGATCCAAGAGCGTTCCGCCGCTATGACCGGTACCTCATTTCCTCCCGGCCTGCGATTTCCCACCGGGGCCATCCTGGGAACTCATCTCATCATCGCTGGTACCTATCTCGCCCATACCTATCAATCTTTTTCCATATGGGCGCTAGACCTTATCAACATGACATGGTCACGGATCGACCCGGGCAGTGCCGTATCCACAGGCTCGTGGTTTCGTGGATGTCTCTGGACGGAAGCCAACAAGTTTCTCATCTTCGGGAACCGAGACGGCAACCTGGTGGACGACTATAACCGGCGCTTGCTTAGTTGGGACCACGTCGCCGTTGTGGATTTGGAGGCCTTCGGTATCTATCAACCCCCCAAGCTGCGAATTGACATTGCATCGCAGGAGCTCGGCCTCGCGGCCCTTGAGGAGCGGATAATCACCGACTTCGAGATAATATGTGATGATGGAAGGAAGATCCCTTGCTCTCGAAAAATCCTTGAAGAGCGATGGCCTTGGTTCAAGGAGGAGCGAGCGAAATTCACACAGCTCGCGAAGAACACAGCGCAAACGTTACCGAATTCCCCCATGCATGTCCCCCAGCCGGATCTGCCAGGCAAAGACGCTGCAGGAGAGCTACGACCTGACCCCAGACTGACGCCGAGGTCATTCCATCTGTCAGAACCTTATCCTATCACACTCGCATTGCTGCAGTACTTCTACTCCCTTGCTCTCATCACCCCGCTGCAGCATGCCCCGGCAGTGCTTAGCCAGCTATTAGTCCTTTCTAGTAACTACAACATTACTCACCTCCAATCTTTGGTCAAACATGCGATGCACAAAGCTCTGTCAAACTCTACCTCAGTAGGTGTCTACGAAGTCGCTACCCTCTGCAGTTGCCGCAGCCTCCAGATAAGGTACGTCGGCTCCCATATGCTACATATGTTGTGCCATCTGATATGCATATGATACAGGGCGTTGAAAACTGTTATGGTAATTTGTTTTCCCTGCGTGGACGCGTATTTCAATTTTGACTAACATCGATTTCCCGTATAGTCATACAGTCAGAAACGGCCTTCTCGTGACAAAGGGGATAAAGGTCCAGGTTCAGGCGACGGACGGCCACCTGGCTCTAATGGCGGTAATGGCGGTAACGGTCGGCTAGACGGCGGCCCTAAAGATCCTGGCAGTTTCGCCACTCGCCCTCGAGGTACTTCAGATGCTCACTGGCGCGGTCCCGCTCAGGGTGACCAACCTCCAATCGGCTCCACGTTCTCGCTTAAACCTAGTACGTATGGTTATATATGATTCATATTTTTGGATAGTCTTCGAATACACATTGCTATTGCTTCTAGATGTAGCGCCTCGTGGTATAGAAGCGGGCTTGCCGACACTGACGATCCCCGGTGCCCCTGGTCGCCGCCCCTCCGTGTCTCGACGGATCAGTGTCCTGTCCACCAACACGGAATACGAGATCTCGGAGGTTGCTGAGCTCATGTCCCCGTCCCTGGTCCACGCGGCGCACACCTTCATTGATGAACATCCACAACTCGACGAACCCGAGGAAGTGCTCCCAAATTCCGACTACAGCCTCGATGCCGTCATGGAGATGTTCTACGACAATTACGAAGATGAAGAAATATCTCCGTCGTCGCGTGGTCCGAACAACTTCCTCTCGCCTGTGGCCGAATCGTTCGGCGACCCCACGACACCTCCCTCCCGTGTATCTTCTTTGTATTGGGACTCTGACGTCGACGAGTACGATCCTCCCCGCTATTCTCGGCCCACTGCCCCTAGTGTATCACAGATTCCTTTCCATCTTCCTACTCAACGGTCACGCCCTTCGACGGCTCGCTCCGATAGTGACACACCATCCCTATCATCTTCAGCGTCGATGAGTTCGCTGGCCAGCACAGCTCGTTCGCAACCCTACTCACCACGCACACCAACATATCCCCCCACAACCCCCGATATCGCTTCCTCATCTACGAAACACTTGGAAATCATAGAAGAGCGCCTCCCGGAGGACCAAGAAATCTTGTACCGTCTCCCCAACCACGGCCCTAATAGTCCTACGGCCGTGCGAGTCATCCCTCCCCTCCCTAAGAATTCAGTTGTCCCAGCATGGCCGAAAAAGAAGCCGAACGTCGAATGGTTTAAAGGCGAGGAACCGTCTTTCGTAGCCACGACGCCCCCACCTTCCTCTCGTTCTTTCACTAGTTCGCCAGTGCCCCCCTCGCCTCCCCCCACTCCTGGCCTTGCTCCCAGCCCACGGTTTGCAAGCATGAACCCGCTCTCGCGTTTCAGGTCGAATGTGAGCGCGAAGTCCACCCATACTATCAAGTCGGCGAAATCGCAACCCGATTTTGGAGCGTATGTCAGCGGGTTTGATCCCAAGATGATTAAAGCCGAAGAGAAGAAGAAAAAGAAGGCTGAAGCAAAGGCCCGAGTGGAAAGGCTTGCACAGGAGCTCAAAGACAAGAACAAGAAACAACCTGACACAGACCGGCGCTCCTTAAACAGCGACAAATCCGCAAAAAGAGAGCAAGCTGCAGTGTTTGGCGGGCTAAGCGGACTCGTAATGTGAAATGTAATCTCTCTCTTCTATCCTCGTTCTGGGTTCTCTCCCTGTTGTCTGTCCTTCATCTATTGTTATGGAACCGGTCAATCGTTTGTAATTTGCTACGGGATCTGTGGCGTCATCTGTGGTACTTAATCTTAGTATATCTGTATGTTTGTGAAATAATATAGTACATCATATAAGGCTTCCAGAGAGAGACGCAGAAGGAAAGGTTGGCGATATGGTCATGCTACAGATGTTGAAGAAGGTCAGCAATCGGGGGTAAAGGCGTCAAAATGTTGGCAGGCAGCTGGGCGGGAGCTTCGGCCATTTCATTAGTTGGAGGGGCCTCAGACACGTTGGCAGCATCGGTCGGTCGAGGTGCGATCATGTGGTTATCTGAGACATCGTCAGTACAATGCATCAAGAACGAAATTGTAGGGCATACACTCTCTAGCGTGAGCTACGGAACAGAGGTTAAGTTAGTATATAGTATGGTAAGACAAGCATTCATAAACCCACCAAGATCTTTCTGTCTGGAACAAGCTTGCCCTTCGGCACAATCCTTACGGGCCATAACGTCTTCTTCTAAGAACCCCTTCTGACGCTCCCTAACCCACCAATCTCGCAGACCCCAGAGAAGGATCTCAGACGCGCAAAGACGGCATATCCTGTTTCTGGGCGCGTTGGGATCAGGGTCTACGCCAGGTGATACGTTGTGGTTATCGACAAAGAGCTCCAAGTCTATCAAGGGCCTGAACCCGCCAGGTTGCGACTGCAGATGCGTTACTATCTACAGAGAAGTCAGATTGTAGGGTGGTGACGAAGGCATGAAGAGGATACAAACCTCGCGGTATATGTGCCGAGGAGTTATGCCCTGAGCAGTTAGGTAGTCGAGCATAATCTCAACTTCAACGGTGTTACCATCGAAGCAATCGTAGACATCTGCGGACTGGATAAGGTCCCCCACATCCGACATGCCGTGTGGAGATTGTGTTGAGAGGGGGGTAGCTACACAGCGGCCCTGTACCTCGATGCCACAGAAGTAGACTTGACAAAAGTCGCATTTCGTGGTAGACGGGGCTTGAACAGCAGTGAGATTTTCGCTGTAAGGATATTCAGCCAAGGTTGAAGCAAATCACGAGATATTTCCTACCAATTACCACAGTGTTGGTGACCTGGAGGGAGGCCATCTTCGACAGGCCATGCGTGTTCAACGTCCGTGTTGGGATCAGATACGGGGATGGGACAGGACCAGCCGAAGGCGTTATCTGGTGAGCAATGAGGACAAGGACGCGCGTACTCTGTACTCTGGTTGATATTTGGTTCCGGAGAGGCAGATCGTGGAGAAGGAAGCTGTAGGAACTGGATTGAGCGTAATTATACATTCACAAGTAGATAATTCACTAACGCGCATAGATGAGCCACCTTTGTATAACTCATCAGCTTGCGCCCTTTCGCGTTCGGTGCGCGACATATAGGGAGCAGCGAGTAGCAATGTGTCTAGTATAGGCTGCAAGGCTCTGAATGGTGTAACAATGTTGGAAACTCCACGGCATGAAGGACAGTTGGTGCCACCATTCTATACAGAGGCACGTTAGTCGCAACACCAGTGACGGACAAAAATGGCAATATGAACAGCCCGTAAGCCTTCTTGAGCCAGCATCAACTACTTGCAAAGCACGGGCATAGAATATTCAGGATACTTCTTGCCTCGATACCATCATGGCGGCGCGGGCTATTGATAGAATGTGCTGCCACTTACGCGAATCCATTGCACGCAACAACTGAACCCCGAGGTTTTGAGTATAGTTCACGAAATCCGATGTCAGGGCAAACGCTCACCTCCCGCAGAAAAAGTGCTGGCAAGGTGACACAATTACCGGCCTGTAGACCAATGCAGCACAACATCCACATTGCAGCTCTTCCGCTAGTCCGTTGACGAGAGCCCCGCCATCGATAACGGGCTCTTGGTCTACTACATTCGCGCTTGGTTCTTGACTCGGCACCTCGTTTGAGACATGTTCCTTCTGACGCTTTCTACTAGATTCCTCCATGCCTTCGAACGATGGAGAGGCAGGTCGTTTCAGGAGCTGAAGGGGTTGAGCGGGTACGTTTAACAGTAAAGAATTCACAGTTTGTTGGTGATGCAGTGAGTTGTGGGCCATTTAAAGGATGCAGGACATGAATCGTAGAGGGTGGTGGATGAGTCGAATTAAGGTGGCCACTCTGTTCCAGCTAACGAACGGTAATAATGTAGGCCAACACGTGACTATTTACAGGGGTAAACAAAGCATATACGACATCTACATAGCACACGAAAACAAAACAAAAGCAACGCATGGACATAACTAACACAACGGCATTATCTGCGGGTCCATTGGGGGAGGGGGAGGATGTCCTGCACTGTGGCAGGCATTGGCCAGACGCTTGCGTAAACGAATGTAGCGAGCTCTTTGCTCTACAATACGGAATGTCAAATTCACAACTATAACGCGTTGCAAGTAGCTCACCATTGCATGGCCAAATCGAAGTGAGATAATCAATCGGTCGCAACAAAGCTTTGCAATTGTCAAGCGCGACAATTAGAGAATTGTCGGCTTCCCATAGTGTGAGAGCTCTATTCACAAACAATTAGACATGTCTTCGGAGGACATCATGATCGAGATGAACGCGCCTTTGTATTTGGCCCATAAACCAGAAGACAAAGAAAGGTCTCCGGTACAGAAGGTTGGTCGAGTGTCCAGTAACGGTGGATAACCCATACATGACGCGCTGCGCGACAGCGGCCTGATGCTTCACTGAACGCGTGCCATGCCGTCACATTGGTGAAGGGGATGCGGCAATGATTTAAAGACTTACACCATTCCTCGGCTTTCTTTTTATTAAAGCTGGCAGTGACGCCGCTAAATTAAGGATAGATCAGGTGTCAGATGCCTTAAGTCTGACGCAGAGAAATACATACGAAGTCACAAGTGGAATGTGACGCGAGAATTCATGTGAAACGTACATGCGTATGCTAGAACTCCGGTCAGCAAGCGAGGGACGCAAAGATGGGAAAGCGCGAACTTGAATAGATACTCCCTTCCCTGGTATATGTAAGCCCTCTCCAGGTTGCAAGTATGCCTACTCAACGCTTGCTCCAAGGAATCGGCCTCCATCCACGCAGATATCGCAAACTGTGCTTTCTGCTCATTTGATGTGGTGGTGATGGTTCGCGCACGCATGCAACTGTGCCAAAGGAGGTATAACCGATCATGAAGTGCCCAGATCGTATCTTTAGGGGATGGCGACGGTGAGGGTGATCCAATAAAGGTCGGGGATCGAGTGTAGCATTCCCCGTTGAACAGGATAGCATACTACCCTCTTCATAAGTGGTCTGTCGTTCAAGGATATTTAGTACTACTCACATTGGCAGGATCCGCGATGAACAAATCTAGAGGGGCAACTTTATGGGCCGTCATGTAGGATATAAACCCAGCTGCAAGGGTCATAGCACTCCAGCAGAGTCTGCGACAAGACTCCCGTCTAATCTGCCCCTCGTCCCACGACTCATCCCAAGCCGGCGTATAGGCCCAGAGCGGGACATGTTCCATGGATGCCGGCCATCTCGTGGCTAGAGTGTACGAGTTGCATGAACAGCCTTCCACCCGGTCTATCTCTGCGTGCCTGACAAAGGGATTAACAGGGACAACAGAGCGCTGGGACGGTACGAAAAGAGGATTGTCCATCGTATTATAGGCAGGAACTGGTGCATCGGTGTATGTGAGAGTCTGAGCTACGGCGTGGGGAACAGCGCCTGGTTCAAAGTAGGAAGTTCCGGGATCTCCAGCATCGACTTTCGTTAAAGCCAGACTCCGGATAAGGCTGTCCAGATAAACCATAGCAGAGCTGGATCTGACGGTCGAATGGCACGGGTGCGCGCATGCTTCAAACGTGGCTTGAAGCTGAGGAGACATTGGACATTAGCGCTGTGAAGGGGGGATATACTTATAGGCAGAATTACCCAAGCGGCCTGCACAAGTTCTTCGTCGATCCACCCCGAGTTATAACTGGCGTGCATCGCGCTTTGAGCCTCATCCATAAGTCTGAGGGCTCGACGCCTTCCCTCATGGCCATTCTCGACCTCGGAGGATTTAAAGAACTAAAACACCATCTGCGACAACATACCTGATATAAGTTGAACGCCACTTACAATTGACATACCCAGGAGCGCCAGTAACAGGCTTGGTTGCATTTGCTCCCGTTTAGTGGGGTGGCAGAATTTCCCGAAAAACGTAGGCAGGTGGAAGAAGTAGAACCAGTAGTTCGAGATGTGGAAGAGCGATTGAAGGTCGGCCGTAATTTCGGCCGTGGCCATTTCTCGCTGAGCATTTGTGAGAAGGGGAGGAGGGGAGTAGGGATTGATGTATAAGGACAACAACGAATCCCACCAAATTTTGCGAGTAAAGTTGACTGATGGCTCGCTTGTCATGGTGTGACCTTCATCCTGGACCTCGTCCCCATTTTCGTCCAACGGAACGATGAAGCCATGAGGATATACTGGTCCTAGTGGCGTGATCGTATCTTCGATGAATACATCCGTGTCATGTAACTGCAAGGGAATCGACTGGTGACAACGTGACCATCATCAGGAACTAACATAAAAGAGAGGATGACCTTCATACCTGTGTTGATCCATATTGTGTTGGATAGTAGCTCTGGGATGCCGTCGGTGGCTCCGAGGGTGCAGCCAGCAGTTCGATAGACGGTCCGTCAGGGTGAATATGAGGCTGTGTGTCAGAAGGCTCCTGACTATCCGATTGTTGAGTTGTTTCCTGTCTTCTACGTCGGCGGCGAACGAGGCCTTCTTCGGCCTCCTGCTGCCTTTGCCGAGCGCCAGGCATTTTGTCTGGACCCCTGCGCCTGGGTTGGGCATCATAAGAACAGTCGAATCCACCATTCTCACGACGGCTGCAGTTGTGACATATTGGCTTTGCACCATCACAGCGCGTTTTGCGCTGACGGCTAAACACCGAAAATATTCAGTCCACCTGGCACGCGTAATGTCCTCAGTACATACCATTGAAGGCAGGCGAGATAAACGCGTGCCCTGGGCTTCCCTTGAGTTGTTGGAGGTTGATTGGGGGCGAGCTGAATCTTTGGTTTCGGCCGTCGTTTCTTGGTAGAAGCTGACGCGTTATCTCCGTGTGTAAGATTGGGACCGGGTGCATTTGACGAGGTGACGGGTGCAGAAGGGCCTGAAACGTGACCCGTCGGATCGGGCACATAACCTAGTTCACTAGACACTTGAGCTAAAGTGGAGAGGTCGGCCGTTCTATACGAATCAGAAGGTAGCTGGAGATTTATGCTTCCAGGGGCGAGGTGGGAATACATGGGTGATTCCTGTTGGTCGCTGGGAGCCTGATAATAAGCAGACTTCATGACAGGCCATGTCGGATCGGTAGAGGCTGTTTGTTGCTGATCTGCATGGTGTGCGAGCGTAGTCGGCTTGCGCGTCAACGGCTGAGGTTGTCCGGTCGCTGGAGCTGAATTCCGAACCGGACGGGAAAGGGGGACTTGGTATGCTCCTCCCAGAGGAGCCTGCGCGTCCATAATATAAAGCAATCAATCTTGAGGAGAACGGTCACCACTGACTCCGCGATTTTTGACTTTCTGCCCTCACAGAGGATTTACGGTGGTAAACATACCAACAATGAAAACAAACCCACGCTCATGTGATGATCATGATGCTTCTCGACAACTGTCGGTGTCCACAACTGTCAGTCTGGTGCGGGTTCAGTACTAGCTGGACTGCGACCTTGCCAACCTGATGATTGTACATACTGAATTTCAGGTGAGTGTTAAGTGAGGTTGCATTTCTTCTTGAGTATGATTATTCATTGCCAACAACTCCACAGGGCGTACTTGAGACCTCACTGCATGGAACCCAAAAAAACTGTCCATGACTAAGAACGGATCTTGTCGTGATGACCATGCATACCAGGACTCGAAATTCGCGTTTCGGGCGCACGATGCACATATGGAGAGATATGGACGCACTTGACTACTTGACTCCGGGGCAACCCTGAAAGTGACCATGCCGCCTCCCCCGCTTAGTTTCGTGTACCATGCGGGGAATGCGGGGTCGGATGGCCTTCTGAGGGGTATAGATATGTGATGCCGCTGCAAAGTAATGCTCTTGTCTTCTGCACCAACTGGCCCAGCCATCGCAAAGTTTTCAATAGTTCCGATGACTTCTGTTGTCGCTGCGCCTGTCGACACGACAACCCGCGACCTCAATCACTGGTCGATGCAGCTGGCATCACCAACCGCTGTCACTTCGAGGCTCTGCAATGTCAGTGCCCCAAGCGTTGAAATCATGTTCAAGAATGTATGTTGGCAAGACACCCGCCTACTAGCGCGGTTTGCTAAAAATCCTTCTTTATTCTAGGATCCAAAGGCTACATCAGTGATGAGCTCCTCGTTTCTATGCTTTGTGACGTGGCTGCTACCTGCAGCCCCACTGCGTATCGCACTGTCCCTCCCGTCGTACGCCCCGCCTGGACAACACCGATGAGGGCGATCATCGTCGCGCTACTGATCTCACTCTCGTTGGTAACAGCTGCACCCGCGCCCTCGCCAAGTGTTCGCCGGTTGACCCTCGATCCACCAAACTCCATTACTGAGGTTACGGCGCTAGAAGGAGCTCAGGTGTCTAATTATGAACCTTTCAGTTTCTTCGCCAAGGCAGCATACTGTAAACAGTCCCTCCTCAGAAATTGGAGTTGCGGCCGTGGGTTGATTCATCTCGATGCCATATTGCTGTGTCGTTAAATCTATTCAGGATCCTGTAATCAGAATCCTGATTTTGTTCCTACACTTTTCGGCGGGGATGGTGGTAGCATTCAATTTTGTGAGTGAACCATCTTTACCAGAAGTTCCATCCTCACAAAGAAATAGTTTACGTCGGGTACTGGCCGAAGCAAGATTCTGTCGTCGTCGTTCATCAAGGAACAGATCCATTCGAGCTGTGAGTAACCATTATATGTCATACGAATGAACGCATGGTTGATTGAAAACCCTCCTTTCGAACAGCTGCGCGTTGTTGACTGATTTGAATATGATTCGCACCGGATTGGACGAGACCTTGTTCCCAGGTATTCCGTCAGAGGTTTCCGTGCATGATGGTTTCCGCCGTGTTCACGCCAAGACTGCCGTCCAAATCCTTGCTGAAGTCAAACGATTGCTAGACGAAAAGAAGACTAAGAACATTATAACAGTACGTTCCTCTTCTGAAAGAATCTCTTGTTTCTTATCCTTCATAGGTCGGGCATTCGCTCGGCGGTGCCCTAGCCGCCTTGGATTCCCTGTACTTCCGACTAAACTTGCCGGAAGACATTGACATTAGAACTGTCACATTTGGAGCCCCAAGATTTGGGAACGAAGCATTCGTCAAGTTCTTCGAGTCAAAGGTATGCCACTCCGAGCAGCGCCGTGTTCCTCTGATTGACGGAGGCGACCACCCTTCAGTTGAATCAGTTCAAACGAATTAATCACAAGAGGGTGAGTGTAGTTCATCGTCAGATGTCGCTTATCATTGATCGAACTCTTTTTCAGGACGTCATCCCTATCGTACCCGGTCGATTCCTTGGATACATGGTGAGTGATTTTCCGTGTACATGAATTCGACACCCGCTGAGTGCACTTTCAGCACCTCAAAGGCGAGACCCATATCCTCGGCAATGGCACCACAGTTGGCTGCCCTGGTATGTGTACCCGATGACCACTCTCTTCACCCTATCACGCCAACTAATTGTCTCGCGAAGGAAACGACAATGCCGAGGACGAATTTTGCCACATCAAATCCGTACCCAATTTGACCAAGGGCAACATCGCACACCATCTTGGCCCCTATCCAGGAAACGTCTTCATGGGGAGCCTCCTCTGCGACGATACGATCCTCGCGCAAGCCATTTCAATATTTTCCCGGGATTTCGAAAGCGAATTGAGTCGTCGATCGTCTGACCGCGGAAATATCGATCAGTGGCTTACTCCTGACCGGAACCCCTAGGGGCGCCTGGCTCATTCCTCCCAATTCAATAAAGTACTCTACTCTTCACTGCTCTAATCTCGCCCTTCGCCAATTACGAAATGACGAGCTCGCCACTGATAATATGTATAACCTGACCATTTCCAATCACTCCCAATCTCCTCTACGTCCGTTGGCTTTCAAAGCGACCGACACTTTCGCCACTTCCGCCTGTACAGGGGTTGCCCCGCCTTGTGTATTAATACCAAACACCAAACGGCAGGGACTTGCTCTCTCCCTCTCGCTCGCTCGCCATGGTCCTCCACCACATCTCTTTACCGCCCCTGTCAGAAGTACGCCAACGACTTCGGCGATCCATCGTACCCCCCAAACTACCCACACACCAACACATTCTTCTTGTCCTGTTCGCCATATGCCTCATTCTCTTCGCTCGCGCTCTAGGCGGATACGGCCAGGTCAAAGGACATGCTCTAATACATTGCCCGCTACTCTCAGATGGACACAAATACCTTCCCATCGCCCTCATGCATGAAGGCAAAATAGCGGAACTTAATATAAAGCTCAAGGAGGAGGAGATGATGGCAAGAATGGCGATAAAGAACGATCGCGAGCGTCGAGCGGAAGCTGTCGATGGCGAGCTACAGGAGGAAACCGTAGTCAACAAAGGCGAACCGCCAGCGGACGAGGTGCTCGTTGAAGAACAAATGCCAGTAAACGACCTCGAACAGCCCCCTACCAGTGATGCAGCCCCCATACCACCAGCACTTACCGAAGGAACAGAAACCTTTGCTGACGATGGCCCGGACGAAGCGATTTACGAGCCAGACCTCAAGGGGTCTACCCATGATGACGATGAGGGCGAGTCTGTGGGCGATGTGGGCGATGCTGGACCTTTCCATGGTGAAGATGGCGGCGAGGTCATGGCAGAAGAGCAAATACTTGACTGAAAATCCTGAATAGCGTCTAATCAAACAGTCTATATATATTTACCATGTACCCATTTACAACTAGAATGTACGTCGGATTCCTGCCAGCGGCACGATCAAGCGCTCGCGCGCGCTCCCACATATTCACGAAGGAGTTCAAGAGGAGATCCAAAATGAACCTTGTTCAGAAAAACTGTGCAGCACATCCGGAACGATGCAGGCAGGGAACGCGGACGTTCCTCCTCAACCACATCCACCAGGTTGGCTTCACGTACTAGCCCGATCCAAATATTAAACCTGTGTCGCAGAATCCGTGTCCGAAAATGACCTCAAACGTCGATATCTCGCTCTTTTGCCGCCCCAGCAGATCATCGACATTTGCCTGAACTTTGAGCTCCATGTCCCCCAATACGTAAAGCATAGTATATGGCCTATAGATCTCAAGGCTGCCATTGCAGCCCTCCAGCCGAAACCACCGTCTGAGCCAGTGCCGACGAGCAATGAGCCGCCTATGGCTTCGCTGGTTCGTACAGAGCCAGCTCCGGAGAAAGGTTCGTCGGAACAACAGCGTGAACCCCCCAAGCCTCCGGATCCACCGCAAACGACCTCGGAACCCCCTAAAAACGATGTGCAGTCTGGTTTGTCCTCGCGGCAGGCAAATGGAAGCAACAGTGCTCCAGCCCAGCCAGCCCCGCATCCATCTTATCCATACGGTTATCCACCGAGCGCCTATCCCCACTCACCGTACTATCCCCCGCCGCCGAATTATCCTTATTTACCGCATCCAGGTTACGGTTACCCTCCTCCGGGGTACGCGCCTAGCTATCCTCATCCACCTTCACATCCATCTCATCTCCATCCCCAGCAACCTACCCCCGCACCATCGTATGCACCAGGACAGATTGAAGGGCACGTCGTTACACCAGACGATCTGCCTAGCTATGAAGAAATGATAGTGGAGGCCCTGGTGGACTCTAACGATCCTGAGGGTTGGATGCCAAAACAGCTGTTTGCTTGGATGGCATCACATTACCCTATACAATCCAATTTTCGCCCGTCGGCCAGTCAAGCCTTACAGAAGGCGTTCAAGCGGGGTCGTCTGGAGAAGAGTAGCGATGGCAAGTATCGACTCAGCGCCACATGGGAGGGTGGAAACGTAAGCTCTACCCATGTAATTGATCGCAAGCGTGCATATTGAATCTAGTCTTTATTTTCAGACATCGCGTCGTACGACAAGGCGCCCACAAACTCAAAATATCAGCGCCGTACCCGCCACTCAACCGCTGTCGTCTCCTTTCACCCATGCACCTCGCGTCCATCATCATCAATCATCAAATTCGCCAGCACCATTCACCCCCGCTCCGTATCAACCACAACCGGCCCCCCCTCCTCAACCTCAGCCCCAAGCTCAGCCCACATCTAGTAGTTCGTCAACGACCACTGTACCGTCTAACGATGAGATTGGGGAAGGCAGCCAGGCTTGGGAAGCGGCTCAGACGATTCTCAAGGCCCTTAATTTCAACAGTCTTCTGTCGATGAACGCCGAAGAAGCGAACGCGAACGCTCGTATAGCGACGGTGTCACATCCCACCGAGGATAACTCCCGTGCTGAATCGGCCACTCGCCTTAATAATTCCATTCAAGATGCCAGTGCCCCCATCATGGCAGGTAGGGCTAGCCTCCAGGCGCAGCTAGCCTTACTCGCGACCCAGTTAGCCGAGATTGCTCAGATCAGCGTCGATGACCCGCTACCGCCGGAACCAACGTGCCCAGCAACAGAAGCGATCGAATCCGCTCCTCCCTCGCAACGCATGGTAGATGTTGAATTAGCGGATGATTCGGATGACGATGACATGGATGAAGTTACTATTTTGTGATAGATGTTCACATGTTCTCAGATATTTGGGGATCTCTGTGCTTCACATTTCGTTATAAGAGATCAGAGGGTGCGCAGATAGTTGCGCGTCCTGTTGATCTGTATATCCTCTTCAGCTACGCCGCGCCACGAGGCCAGCAGGTGCCTGAATTTCGCCAGAGTACCATCGAGTACTTGCTCTTTGGTGAGACAAAAAAGCAATATTGGGTTCTAATAGTGGGCCTAGGGTTCGTGGCGTACGCGCTTCTTCGAGTGACATTCCGTGTGTAACATGATTGGGATTCCTCCGTCGTCTTCAATGGCGCCCTCTGCGACGAACTTCAGTGCACTCACTATCAGGGGGACTAATACACGCTAGTGGGCCCTTACTCCGTGGACTGCCACAGCTGAAGCAACCTGGAAGTAAGATGTGAAGTGGATGGCACTGGTCTGGCGGTGTAGTGTAATCGGCCCTGCTAGACCTGGTGCGGGTACAGACTGGCAAGTTCGCATCCGCTTATGTAGGATAAATGTTTGTTCCCATACAAAACTAGCCGTCGACTCTCTTTTCATCTTGCCTCCTTCATCGGCTGACCAGCGAGCCTACGTTTGTGTTCCCCCGCGAGGTCGGGCTATGTACACTTGGGAGGACATAGTTGCAACCGCTGCGTTCGCTGTGACCATGTACGTTCCGCCATTAGATTGAAGTTCCTCTTCTGACGTTCAGCAGAGGGCAATATTCGACTGTCGGTATGTGCAATGGCCTTGGCTGGCTAGGTCTAATAACATAGTGTCCCGTCAGCGGTATACACGTTGCAAGTCTACGAATGGCTTTTCAAGTGAGTATTCCTTATCCTTGTGCAGAAACCGAGGGATCTGATCGTCTCAACTTGAAGTCTCGCCGAAGAAGTAGAGCTGGTGCGCTGGTCTTGCCTGTCTCCACCCCGAACCGACTCATCTTCGCCTGCCGTTGTAGATTCATCAAGCAAGCTGGTCGTCGATGAAGATTGCGTATATGATATGTCGCTATCTCCCCCTCCTGGTACTCATCATTTACGTTATATCACGAAACGGGTGCCCCTAACAACCCTCTCAGACCTGTCCGATATACCTATGGGCTTGGCTTGGCAAACACCCACCAGAACTATGCGCAAAGCTCGTTCACCCCCTATATGGATGTTTAACACTCTTCGTGAGTCGCCAGTACAGCACTTATGACCTCGAGTCCGTCCTGATTGAGGTCGCCGTTCCCAGCAACTTTCTGCCCAAGGTACATATCCCGAGCCCTTCGTTTACAGGGAATTGGGACTGACTGGCTTTTCTCTGTAGCTGTCATGCTGATTCGGACGTACGCTTTTACTGGCCGCAAACTACGCGTGTTGATCATGTTGACGGCCTGCTACCTCGCTGTGGTGGCCTCAGAGTTATGGTTATTCAGCACGCGCTTCGTTTGTGAGCGATTCCTCATCATCCAGGTTTCCATTCATCTCTGATTTCGAACGTATGTCAAGTCCCTCAAGAAATACACGTCGCGCTTGGCTACACTGGTTGTTTCGGAAACGACGCAGGCGCCCAAAGCGGCAGTCTGTTCGACACCAAACGCCGTGTCGCCCTCCAGTCAGGCGTGAGTGTTAGATCTTATACCAAGTTAAGTACTTTACCTATTTTTGTTCCCTGTCAATAGTGCGTTCTGGTGCGTTTTGTCGGCTTGCTGCTCGTATTGTAGCGCCTGACATGGGAAACAGTTAGGCATCTTTCTCCTTGATGCAATCATGACGGCGACCATTATCTTCGTGAGTCGTCCAAGATTATGATGAAGGCCAAGCGAACTTACCCTTACCAGCACTGTATCCGTATACGCAGCACGCAAGGCGCCCTTGGAAAGGCTTTCATCGCGCAAGGTAACTCTTCGTTTGCCTTGACTATGTACAGTGCAAAGGTCGATCTACAGTCCGATAGGCTTGGTCGCATTTCTCGCAATGTCTTCAGTCAACCTCCCTGGTGCAATAATCTATCTTTGGTAGGACTTCTCTCAACTTATCATCGTCCAGTACAATGTTGACTCGCATCGAAGGGGTGCACGGCTTTATAACGGTATAGGACTCCCTTACTTATTCATGTCTGATATAATGGTACGTGCGCATGCCCCCGCGATACTCGTTGATCTCACGCTTAGTTATTGATATACCTAGGCGTGTCGTCTGTAAGTGTCGTTGCCGCTTCCTCTCTCCTCGAGGGTAAGCCTGATGTTCTACATTCTTCTTTCTCTCCAGAATATTACTTCTGCGACGAAAGGCAACTCCCACCGAGGCAGAACTACTGGACCAACATTCTCGTATAGTCAGAGAGGCCCTCGCTACCTCAGACTCGCAGGATTCGGATAAGTCAACGTCTTTGTTCGACTCGTGGGCTTAGTGATGTAGGACACTTGTATAGCTGATACAGCCTGTATCATTGTAGTTGTACTATAGCAACACAATATCCTCATATAGTTGAATAAGTTACTTATCATCAGTTGGGCACGCGGCTTACAGGCGCCAACATGGCCTTGCCAGAGAACTCCACGACGACCGGTACAGGCGAGGGTAGCTCGTCTACGAGCTCTACTCAGTGCGATCCCATCATTGTGCAACTAGAGCAAATCAAAGCTCTCCTCCAACAGCAATCCCAGACGCTCGATGCACATCTCGCGCAGCAGCTACAGAAGGACGTAGATATCGATCGACGACGCGTGGAGAAATTCGAGCGGGACGAACAGTTGCGTGCTCAGGTAGCTAGGCTTATGGCGTCGCGTCCACTGAGAGGGCCGACTCGTCCATCGGACGACGAAGTTGAAGGTGCGTTTCCATGATCCTCTCTAAATCCTGTTCAGGTCATGAACGGTTGGGTTCTTGAGATAGCTGAGTACGAGGCCTTGCTTAGATACATCAGACAAGAACACGAAGATCGAAAAGCGATGATACAGTCTGTCATGTCAGGTAAGAATGCAATTTCTATTCTGACTAGAATGCAGGGATGAAGTCGTATCCCAGAGTGCATGACCCAATCAAAACAACGCCATCAAGCATTGTTACAAGAAATAGGTGGTATGTCAATAGGAGGTCGTAAAAGGCGGAGACGTAGGAAGTGAGGTGGTGAGTCGATGGTGATGTCAAAACCTTGCTGTACAAGCATAACCTCTTCCTTCCACCTTACGGCGTGACATACAGTCTCCCGAGACTATTCAAGTTCCCTGAGGAGTCCAGTAAACCTAGATATGGTTCGTTAAAAATGGGCGAGTCAATATGTCGTATCAGCGTACTGTAATGGTCTGAGCCATCCTCGCGCTGTTGGTTGATCGGTTACTACTGATGGCGAAACCAGGGAAGGGAGGCTCACCATGTACGCAAACCAGGCATACCGTTCCACCCAGCTCTGGGAGTCCATGAATGCCGTACTTTGCTTGAGAAAATTCGCCACCGCTATTGATATGGTACGATTAGCAAATGTCATTCACCATTGATTGGCTGGTGTTGGTAGGTGCTCTTACTGTTTACATCAGTCGATGTGTCGGCAAACTCAGTTACCCATATCGGACGAGAGGGAAATGCAGCGTGGACCTTATTCAAGTATTCTATAAACCATTGGGAACCTAAGCCAAGGCAATATTAAACATCCTGCAAGGAGAATGAACACGCCGAGCAACTTACCACTCCCGTACCAGTGCACTGCGATGGCGTCTACTGAGCACCCACCACAGGCGGATATAAATTCCTGCAACCAAGGAATTCCACTAGGAGCGCTGGTGACCGCAGGGCTAACTAGTTTGATGCCCGACGATTTGAGTGGTTGGATGTACTGTTTCCACAGCTGAGCAGCGGTCCTCGGATCAAGGTTCGATTGAGACGCTAAATCAGGCTCGTTGAATGCCTAATAAGGGTACGGTTCAGCTTCCCACTCCTGAATTTTGAAAGAAAATAGCTTACAAGCAGCACTTTGGCCCCCTTGACCGAGTTGGCCAGATTCTGGATTCCGTTGGTTCCCCACTGCATAGGGACATACTGGATGCCTGAAGAGGCCAGTGTGGAGGATGGAGAGGCGGCCCAGTCATATTGCCATGTTATCGCGCTGTTGCTTTGGTTGGCGTGAACCAGGTCTCTTGCGCTGTTGTTGTCCGCAAACGCAAGCCCACGTTTGGGATTCTTGGCAGCTAGTACGAGGATAGAAGAGAGGAACGCAGTCAAAACGAACGGGACCATGCTTGGACGTTCTGAGGTAGACCTTGGCTGGCATGCTTCATATACTATGTGGCATGGGCGACGGCGTATTAGATACGCCATATATAGTAGTATTTGATGGAGCACGGAATCTACGAGCAGACAACTGGGGAGCTTCTGCGCTCCACGACAGTTATATTAATCAATGTCACAACTCTGGTAGGATAGGAGTAAACTCTTACTATCGTCGAGAAGCATTATACATGCCTCATCCATCAAACATGAATACCGGCTGCTCCTACTAGTAAGCATCGCTGAGCACATGGTCTGGTTCTAAATCCATCTGAGGCCATGCGCCGCGGGGCAAGGACAGTTTTCGAGACGATGGGTGCAGGCCTCGCGCTGGTCCCCGCCTCCTATCCAGTACTGGCCCAAAAAGTCCAGAGAGTGCATCTGGTTGCGAAGTTGTAGAGAATGCCATAAAACGCTTGCGAGCTTCCTAACCTACGTGGTGATACCTGATGTAAACCACGATAAGAATGGCCCAGGAGTCGAAGAGATAAGCATCGCAAGCACCAGAGACCAGGCGAAGGCGACCAGCAGCATAGGTCATGGATGCAGCATCGCTTTCGCGAGGCTTACTGACATGTCTCCCAGAGTTCTGAATGAATTAGCGGCCGAGTGGGTAAGGGTCTTGATTCACATACTATTACGCCAGGGCCTTTGTAGATTACTTCCTTGAGACGACACGACAGGTGAATGTCAGGCAGGCGTCCATGGACATATGCACTCGACAAATAAGGCACTTTAATGTGCCATAATCATACCGGGAAATGTGAATTGGTTCTTGTGATGACCATCTGCAGAGTTCTGAGTGGACCATGGAAAACAAGTAGGTCAGCTGCGTCAGGCAGCGAGGGCCGCGTGGGGAGATCCAGGGAGGGTCTCATGGATGGTTTCATCTACGCGTTCGCAGTTTCTCAGGCCTGGGAGACATGTTCGACGTGGCAGGTTGAATTGGATAGACCTGCTTGTCCTGCCGTCAGCTTCGTGGACTTCCTACTGGTGGAAGAACTCACCTTTCATTAAGATAAGCTTTGAGTTAGCAAAGAAATGAGGTCGCGACATTGCAATGCTTTTACATGTCGTCCGAGTCTTCTATAATATAACCGACAATGAATGGAAGACATTCCACGAAAGTCATGCCTCAAATCGTGGCAAAGAAGGCGACAAGAATATCATGCCGCCGGGTTTCTACCGTGGTCGTGTTGATTCTAGATCCAAAGACAAGGTAAGCTTTCCACACTTTACACGATACAACTTTAGAGTAGGTACTTGCCCTGAATAGCGTCGTTCCGTGACACGGCAAGGAGGTTCATCGCCAGTGATGTTCGGAATACCGCAAGGCCCTTAGCTTCTTTGTGTCAAACAAGCTCGTACCCCAGAGAACATAGGTAGACTTCGACTGTCCTCAGGCGGGCATGCCACTCCATGATACGCGTCGTCGGTTGGTTGGGACTCGGACTCAAGACGCGACTCGTGGGCCGATTGGGACTTCTTATGTAAGCCATTACGCGCGCGCCTGAAGTACAACCCGAACCCCTAGTCAATCCCCCCTGGAGCCATGCGTTGGACATCGTAATCTGACCGACACGACAGGATTTGTATGGTAGATTGTTCTCTGTGGATGCAGCGATAATAAAGACGATCCAGGTTGTCAGCCGCCGGGATTCGTCTACATCTGATATCGGGCAACTATAGGTAAGAAAGAGGTGGGGATCAAACAAACAAATCTCGAATTGGGGAGTACAGTTACAAAATGTGCCAGGCGAATGTAATGCCGCAGGGTATGCCAACCTGCACGAACCAAACCATAGTAAAGAGAATATCGAACAAGGATCATGCTGGTGATGCTGGTTCAATCTTCAACAACTCGACCTCGAATTGCAGGACTGAATCTGGTGGGATCACTGGGGGGAATCCGCGAGATCCATACGCCTAACATAAACTATTGAGGATGGTAACGTAAGGCATAGATGAATATGACCTACGTAGTCAGCTGAGCATGTCAAGATCGCCTTCTCGCCTACTGAGAGCTGTGGTACACCTCCATCGCGGGTGAGCAAGGAATGACTGAGCAAGTTCACATTACGCGTACCTTCATCCCATCCCTTGATGACCTTCCCCACACCAATCAAGGTCTTGAAAGGCGACCCCCTTGCCAATATTCGTGAGTCAGTAAATCGAGAATCACTGCGCGAATGATCCTAACCGATCTCTACTCGAATCGAACTTCTTGCCGTTAGTTAGCGTTCCTACGTAGTGGATGTAGACCGTATCTAGAGCGATGGTTCGTGATGTGAGGGTTCCGTCTTGTGCATGATGAATGGATGGATTTACCACCAGTCTTGGGGAAGGTCTGGCCATCGCCTGGTGTTATCCTTTCAACAGTGACGCCCTAAAATCAAGCAAGGAAGATGTTAGCTGGCGCAGCAACATCGAGGACTATCGCATACCATAATGTCTCTGGAATTTGAGTTAACCGTAAGTCTATGATCTATCAAGGGATAGGTGAGTATGTTAAGGGCGTCTGCACATTTATACCGAGAGCTAGCGGAGTACGGATCTTGATCAGGGAGATCTGAAATGGTCACGCACTTGATTGTGAAGACTGAGCACTGCCTACACTTGTTATCGATGTCGATGAAGACTGGATTGGGGTACTATACATAACTGATACGATCGTACGCAGCTAGGGAATAACCGTCTTCTCGCTTGGAGTTGACATCGATGTAACCAGATAGTTCGATATCGTAATTGGGAGCATGCTACAGCACCGAAATCTACCCATCCGACAGGACTTCGTTCACGAAGACAAATGTCGATAAACGCGTGGATTAGACAGATCAATGCCTATTGGAGAAACGTACACGCCGTGAGACGCTTCTTGAACGCGTTCTCTGAAGCCAACGGCCTCATTGAAACCTTGGACAGCTTTGATAACAGCACTGGGCGCGCCTGGCTGCCGTGCAAATCCCAAGCTTGCTCAGTGGGGTTCATTTTGCCAGACGACGGCGTCTGCTTCGTTGCAGCGTCGAAACAGCAACAATGAGGCCTAGATTGTAGAGGATCGAATGTACCCCAATCCAGATTCTGTCTGTGGTGATATTGGACAATGTGAAGAGCAAATTTGAAGGTTCACGAAGAGGGAGGAACGTTCAAGGGGAGTCTGGGAGAGTACTTGGAACGAAAGCTTAAAGGCACGCGCCCCAGAACCCAGACCATGGGATGGGACAGTAGTGGATAACAGGAGGTGAAGGTTTAAGATATTTTGGGTATAAAGTTCGTGCAATCCCGATGCAGGTGAACAGACAAAATAGTCACGTGAGGTACATGTGTCCGTAGTGTCCGTGACGCCCTACTGTGAAGTCGTGGACTGGTTGAACCAGTGGACGGCTTTCATAAAACCTTATGGAGTCCACCATGCAGGCGAGTGTGTCTCGACTCTCGAAGTCGAAGCGTAGATTGTGCTATCTAACCATTTTACCTGATAGATATATGTCACAATTCACCAGTCGGCAGGTGCAATTATCACACTACCATGATGATCTATTTCACTTCATATCGTCGGCAATGATTGTGAACCAGGAAACAATTATCTACCTTTGGTTAGCCGTACTTTGCTCATTCACAAGTGACCTGGGTACAAAATGGCCAAAACTTGTCAGCACTAGGGGATCCATCGCGGAAACCATTCCGCCACCACCTAACGCCGGGGTTTCTCAATTCTTCAACACGCTGGTCCCGGCCAAGCCGCTCGCCTGTGAAATGAGGATCATATTCTCAGCCATGGCGGACGTATCGGGACTGTAGCGGTGGGAATTAATATGTTCTCTCACAAACTAACGAGTTGACATATCCATCCAAGGCTACCGACACATCGAATATCAATTGGTGTGAAGTCCGAAATGGAGTCCGTTCGAGTAAAAATCATACCCGCATCTATTTCTAGCAAGGACGCCCATTTCATAATACGGCAACCTTCGTCCCCTCCCCACATTACCCCGCGGTTCTTTGCGTTGATGGCGACCTCCCTCGTTGATCGGAACACATTTCTCCGTCTAGTACTTATTCTACCCAGGCCGTTTATGTCTATCTCTCAATCATGTGCCGGTGCTGGTCAGGCTAAGGATTGTACCCGATTACATCCGATCCATTCATCCCATGATCAGGCCAGTACGTCTGTTCGAATGGCACGGTCGAAGGAAACGATAATGATACTTCGGCGTCAACTTGAAAATCACTTTGCGCGCCATCACCGCTGCTGCGCATACGCGTGGCCCTGGCCCTGGCCAGGCAGCTGGGTGACGTCGGGTTCCGCCAGTCAAATGGAAGCATTTGGTCACCTTATACTTCGCATCCACGACACCTTTCCTCATCTGGCCCACGTTTTGACGGTCACTTACTTGGTGGAAATCCTCTTAGCAACTACCTATAACACGCCAACGTAACGCAAGCCGTTTTCCTCGCTCCGGCCTGATATCTCCCGTTGGCCCGGATGTTTGGACATTTGAAGGTACGGAATTCCCCACCAAACTCTATACCACGTTTTCCCATGTTTTACTCCTTGCTAGTGCTTACTGAATACAGACATACGTTCACGACCTCTTCGACCGTATTCCCAGTCGCACGCTGACTTGATAAAGTTTCGATAGTGCCCATAATATTCTGCCCACCCTTGTTTCGATGGACCACACGCTCTTTGCACATGACCTATATCTCGTCCGCGTGGCAAGCGTCAATACATTTTTCGTATCGCAAAGAAATGCATAGAAAGTCCCAAACAACCAGTTGTTTGACATATTGTGAGTGTGATGTACGTCCGTTATTTACCACGACTTAGCTAAGAAACGAGCAGTATACATCACAGGTGACCCTGTTTTTGGCAAACGGTGTCAAAACGGCGTTGAGTCCCGTTGTATGGTGCACATATGCGGACCTAGAGCGTCACAGAGACCCACTGACATACTCGACTGCGCAAACGATGATAGTCTATGACGAATGGCGCCTCGGTTAGGATCCATCCAAGAAGTATCATCGGCTGCCGCTAGCCACGTAAAAGGGAACCCGAATGCAAGGACGATATGTGACGTCGGTGTCAGGTCAACCAAACATGTGGCGTGTATGAGATTAAGCAACGGTGGGCTAACTTCACGGCGACTCTGGGTGAGGTTCGTTCGTGTCGTAAGCTTGCAATGATCCACACACTAACATTAAAGTTGCTACATAGGGTCACTCGGTGGACGTACTGTCAATATTCACCTAACTCAGTCTTATGGCGAAGTCTAAGATCGTGCGTGAAAGCTATTAATTCGCTTTGAAGCGAGCTACGCTAGGATGGAGGGGTGCTAGTCTAGACCATGCCTTAGCACCGGGATCCAGTACGAGGAATGCAAGCGACGGGCTACTCCTTTCCCCCGCTCACAGGCAAGTATTTTTCCGCCCGAAATACCGTCTACTTGGTAGCACCGTTGCGGTGGATCGAGACTCGAGTGTACACGCCTGTTCAACTGTAATACATTGTGGCCGGAAGGCCTGCTTCTGGTGGTGGTGTCAAGGAAATAAGACGCTGCTATCAGCACAGCTTTCACGGCAATTACGACTCTTCTCTGCCACAGCTCCCACCAGACTTGAAGTTTTGCCACCACGAAGCTTCAGGTTAGGCCGACAGCATTCACCCTTCAAACGCATTTGGCTTCATTATATCCCCCTACACAAGCATCGTGGTGTACTCTGACATACGCTTACACACAGGCGTATGGCATGCTGTTTATTGCTAGCTTTATTGCCACTGTCTGCAGTACATAGAACCTTCACTCTATCAACACTACCCCGTGGTGATGGCGATGTATACACTCCTTGCTTAACGTTGATTCCCCATCACTCAGAGCTAATAGGCTTTCCATCGAGGATCGTCGTCGTCCTGGATCGTCGATAAGCTAGGAGGCTTCTGTTCAGGAGGACTCCTAATCCGGTCTTGTACCCCGTAGTCTGTCTTTCGTCGCTGAAGTCAAAACTTTTTCGAACCCCACTTTACAATGTGACCTTCTCGACAGGTCCGTACATCATGCTCATCTGCGTGGCCCTTGCAGAATTTAAGTCTTCCCTACTCACCGCAGGGACCGTAGCAAACCGACCTTGCCCTATATATCGACCTGACGCTACCTGTTGAAGCGCGCGACTGTGGCCATGGCGTCGGGCTGCCGGGCGTTGCAAAACGCCTGACCATATGCATTACAATGATTATAATGTACCTCGAGCTCCTTCGAGGTCAGGTACGTATTAACTTTCATCGATAACTTCATATGATGCTTAACATAAGGAAGGGGGTTCCAGAACACGAACAAGACCCCTCGAATGATAGTGAGAGTTCTTGGATATGCTATGGATCAGTCGTTCCTTGATCTACAATTGACACCGCGGCCTGGTCGTATTTTACGAGGTGAAGGCAAGGCGCTCAATGGCATAAGGCTCTCACTGATTACCTTCTACGATAATAGCAGACGAACAAAATTCAAATGTATGGCCACTCAGCCCCCAAAGTTTCCCGACCAACGCAGTGATATGGATCGTGCTACTGACAAATAGATACGATCCCACTGGCCCAAGATGATCCCGCCAATCCCCAGATATTTCTCGGGGAGCTAAGTGAGCCCGGTATGAAGTAGCTAGCCTAAACGTATAACGCTCACATACCGCTTCCTTGCTTCATCGACCCCTCGCTTAAGTGCTGCCCCTACATCCACATCGCACTGAGCTGGCCGAGAAAGAGCAAGCATTCTCCAGAACACCGAGCATACGCCGCCCACCGAGCCCCATCTGTTCTATCAGTGTCCCTTAATAACAACGCTTGCCCCATCTACGCCGGACAGTCCACGGTCAGCCCACATTGGTGGAAGCTTACCCACCAGCCATTCCGCATCTATGGTACGGCGCTCAACTTTTCTTAGAAGAGGAGAATGCTCGGAAAAATGACTTCGGCTTGTCCTGGGTGCATGATCACTTCATCGGGCCAGATTCCTCATGGCACTGAACAGCTCTCTGATTTCATCGCCTGTTCCAATGAACCGTGGCAGTTGCCCGTAGCCATCGCCTACAGCATCAACGGCAGTGCATACTTAGCTTACCAGCGCCACTGACGGTGACCGTTTGACTGTGAACGTTAACCGAACTTTCTTGTCCACCGCTGCGTAATATCTAAGCATATCTGCATGACTTATTTTATCCAAGATTGTCGTATACTGTATGTATAATCACACCTGCATCGACGTACCTGTTCTCCACCGACATTATGCCGTCCGCCTAACTTCCGTAATCCTATAAACGACGTGCAGGGATTCAACGGCGCGATCAGACTCAAGGACATAACCTACCTGAAAGACGGAACGGAGAAGTTGGGTAGCTACCCGAATAACGTTCAGTCTCCAACGGCCGAAGGAGGGAGAAACATACTCCGTATTCCGTATATCAGACTCTTCGCCTCCCTTGCTCCTTCCATGCCTTGCATTCAACAGGATCACGTAAAGGTTCGAACCTTGGCTTGCACCAAGAGCATCTGGCCAGGCCTGTCTGCTAACATGTTCACCGTTTATACCTAAAAACCCCGCATATCGTCAACGATCACGCCCACAATGTTTCATGTAAGGAAGCTCGAAAAAACCCTATGACCTACGACGAAAATGAGCAAGGGTCGGCGTAACATACCGCCCTATGATACCCTACGACGGGGACCTTGTTCGAATATACACTATTACTTTCTTTTTTCGTCGCACGTCGCGTAAGTAGGGGTAGCAACAGGTTCGGCTAAGCGAGAACACTAAACCTCGATAGGAAAGTATCATTCAGATAGACCATCAATGCGTTCCGCAAGGCCGAGCATAGACGCAATCGTTTACAACATCTCTAAGCATCACACCGAGTTATTTGACTAATTTGCATTGCATTCCGATTATCATGAGCTAGAGAGTAAAAATAGGTAGAACAAGTATGTACAGGCAGAATATCCATGAAGCTCTGACGAGGATGTGGTATCTCGCGATCCCATCGTCTCGTATTGTGTGCGAGAAGTAATAGTAGCAGACCACGTTGTGCGAAAAGATGCCCCGCGAATAACGACCAGGAGGATAGCGGAGGAAAGAGCAAAGCGATAGCGATGTGATGGGGAGAAGGAGATATAAACAATCGGTCATGAGGAGTCGTAAGGTAGGTAGGTTGATTGATTGCGATGCATGCGAGGAGGCGTCGAATTTCATAATGATACATGGGCGGCGATGGCGGCGAATGGCGGCAGAGGAGGGTACGGCGCAGAGGGAGCCCTGGTGGCTGCGTGCGGTGGACGTTTCGGCGGCGGCTAGTACAAAGATAAAGAGTGAAAATCCGTAAGGTAACGTAGAAAACCCATACAAAGTACACAATAAACATCAAGAAAAAGTACAAGGATTCCTTTCGAAGATGCACACTGGATAAGGTAATGAAGATGCTATGGCACTTTTGGTCCCAAAGTTGAAGCGATGAGAGGGATGAGGATGAGGGGATATACGGAATGGAATGATATCATCGATGCAAGGTATAACCTAAACGGCGAGACGAAGAGAAGCCAAGTGACGAAATGATATGCGAGGAATCCGCCGCCGTTCATCGCCGCGTGTAGTATTCTTTGTCGGGGAAGTTGAAAAGGCGTTTGCCGTTGTTCTCGACTTCGACTTCGATGGTGACTTCTTTCTCCACGCCGTCAACAATTTGCTTAACCTTCCTCTTCTCGATGGAGGGCGGCATCTTCATTGGTTGATAGGTGGGGACGTTGTCATATGACCAGGAGCGTGCTACAGGACGATAAGACATTGCAACAATGCAAGAAGCATTGCGTTACTCACTTTCGATAACTGGACGTTTGTACCCATATGCTCCGCCCTCGACTTGACTTCCCTTCGAAGAGGGAGAGCGAACCGTGGAGCTGGAGAGGCTTGAGCATGATCCGGTGTGGTCCCGAAGCTTGAGATTGGGTGCAAGGAGTTTTCCTTGGGCCAAGGGATGAACCAGAGGGCGTTGCTTGGTCGGCGGAGACCGCGACTTGCCTGAGGCGCACGACGGAGTTAGCGAGCGAGCGCGGACAAACGACGAGTGATAGTTGTATAACAAGAGCTCGTCTTCGTACGATCGAGGCGAAGGTGCAGGTGCGGGGATGGTGGAAATATCCTTCGTGCCAACGGTGGAGTAGACACCTTTCGCACGGTGGGCGCAAGCATTGTGCTTGCGGTAGACCTCCTCCATCTCTGGGCGCGCAGCTAGATCAGATGGATCCGTGTCGACCAGACCGTAAACCGTGGCCCTCCATGCATTCGAATCATCTGTCCATCCGCGAATCTCTTTGAGAGGCTCGGGGGGAACGATGTAGTTGCCGAATTGTTGCCGTTTTCGGGGCTCGGGGACGAGACTGCGTAGTGTCTTCTTAGCGTCAAAGGGCTTCGAAGGGACCGTGGGTGAGATTTCCCATTCGTCGGCTGATGAAGGCGGCGAAATGGAAGTCGAAGTGACCAAAGGCGGCACAGGTGGGAAGCCGTAGCCGGAGCTGCTGGACTTTCGCGAGTCGACGGTGGAACCAGAGGTGTTTGTAGAACTAGACATGGAATCCGGCGAGCGTGAAAGGGTCGAGCGAGTGGTAGCGTGGCCGAGAGGATGGATGTCGGACGAGAAGTGCATGTCAGCGACTCTGCACTCATCGGAGCAGTAGAGCGGGAGCGGGGCGGGGTCGATCACCAATCGGGTGCGGGGAGGCTGCGCCTTTGAGTTGGTGGTCTTTGTTTCCACAGCGGGAGTGGGTGGCGGGGGTGGCTTGAGGGCGCCGTTGGGCTTAACACGACCCGTTCCCTGAACGAGGCCGCCAGCGACGCGAGTGCGTGTGGTTTTTGATTTTTTACCGTTGAGTTTGGTAGCTAATGGAGGGTAGGGATGAGGAAAAGACCAATCAGTAAGGCGGGCGGGACTCACGAGAAGACTGGGGCGAGCTCGGGGGCGGGGCGGGGGCGGGAGCAGGCGGGGCGTCTGGTTGGATGGGGACTAGGTAGCGCTTTGGGATGATTTCTCGTCCGCATACGGGACACCAGGCATCGTCGTAGTCCATGTTGGCAGAGAAGTGAGAGGGGCAGTCGGAATATCACCGAAAACCAGTATCGCCCCCTTCTCTTTATATATAATCCTCATCTCAGATCTTGCCCAGATTCGTCCTGAGATTATTTATTTAGTTATTTATTTATTTGCGTCCCGATTCCCCGAAATATTATTTCCCGTCCACCAATCACAGTAGCCGAGGACCCGCGGTTGTCTTCTGAGACGTAATAGCACTACTACCTCCTTCAACCTTATCCCTTGCCCGGGGAATTTCCCCATTTTATATTCAGTCCCCAATTATTTATTCTTTCCGGCTGTGTCCTCAACTCCCCAGTTCCCGTCGGCCCGCCGCCTCCCCTCCTCCAACCCCGAGCACATGCATCTGTCCGGTGATTAGCTAACCCGGCCATGTTCTCTCCTATTTCTCTTCATCGATGTCCTTATCTATTGTCGTAGCCAATCCATTATTATCGTTGAGTCCGGCTCTCCGAGACACTGCTCGAGTGCGCATGTTCAGGCACTCGTGACCGCCGCAGTCCTCCTGCTCGTACTGAGACTGCCGTTTCCATATCACCGCAACGTGTACGCTGGATTCCCCGCGTCTCCAGAAATAAGACGCCTCCTGGACATCCACGCGGCGTCTACAAGCAATCGGCTTGTGCTCGCTCGTCGATTATTACATCCGCCCCCGCAATTCTGGGCTGTAGATTAACATTCTAGGCTGGCGCGCCTCCATATTACCTGGTCACTTGGTGATCGCCACACACCTCCGACGTCCCCAAAGAGCATGGTGTTACTGAGTGGCAAGTACTGATATTAAATCTGAATTTCACGCACAAAGGCGAATGATCGCCATGATAACTATCTTGTTACCGCTAGGCTCCGCCCATATACGCTTGCTCAGAGTTCCGGGGCTGATGTATGAACCACCTTCCGTCTGCGTCAACGTTGACCTCCTTCCGGTAATGGAACTGGAACGTAGGCGTCAATACCCCATGCTGTTACCCCAGAGTCTGTTTAGCTCCTGTAGCTCCGGTTCGACGTGGTCGCGTTCCAAAGTCTCTCAACTAGACAGTGGTGAATCCGAATAATGACAATGTAGGTTTGGTGTTGCAGGATCCACCGTAGGATGCGCGCGTGATCGCTGCTATGTTTCCAACAACTAAATCTGCAACTCGCGCGGATCAGCTTGTCGTCAAATCTCCCCACCGGCAAGACACTATGAGGTAACAAAAGACGTTAGCCTACTTCTCAAGACAGAAGTTTCATAACGAGAACTAGAAGCGTCCCCCCGAGCCAAAATGAAAGTCTTGTTTCTTGCGCCACGAGGTAAAGTTCAACAACACGGTATCATATCGCTCCAACCGCCGCGTCATAACGGGCAACCGTGTCTCGCGCGTAAGCAACCCATGCCATATGTTTCTCGCTATTGCCAAAACCAGGCGAAAACAAATCCCCGACCCCGACTGCAGGGCCCTGCTCAGCCATAGGCTATTGCTATAGCCAACGAGCATTATTGAATATTCTATGTCTTAAAATCTGGGGTGCGATGTTCATCACCCCAGGCCTCAGGGCCAATTTGGTGCACTGCGCTGACTTGCAAAAACACGAAAAATCGAATATTTTTCAGGCAGGCCAATTGGAAAGCGGCGGCCTGAGCGGGTAAGTGTGTACCCGGAGGCAACCAGAGCCGTGGTCGCGATACTAGCGCAGGGTTTCTTGGAAAACCGTTCGAAGTCTCCTCAAAAATACTTCCGTTTGGTGACGCCGCCAGACTAGCGCAAATATTACAGCGCATCCCTTCAGGCTTCCGCTGGGACGACGATCGTGCTACGTTCTGATCATGACCGTGGTTCATCGCTTCTTACGACGACTTTATCGTACTCCCCTTGAGTCCCCTAGTCGTAGACTTTCTCAGACCCCCGAGTGGGCCTCTCAATAGCATTCAGTCATTCAACCATCAAATCAACTCAGCTAGCCACCATCTCCGAGTCGTTCCTGGCCCCCGATGTGCTTCCACCAATCAGAACCTGCACCAACGAGAGAGTGCACCGTCATACACCCTATTATCTATACCACGGAGGCATTTGAACGACCGCTGAGTCCTGAGGCTGTTTGTAATTGGCTGGATTTCAGCCGCATAGCCATCTCTGGATAATCCGACATATCTGCGTCTACTGGCCAGCAGCCTGACCGTGCGGCGCAATATCACTGGCTGGTACTCACGTCGGTTACGTCCACCTTCATTGGTACGAGTGACCGCCGTCGACTTGAGCCTTCCGCTTCGGGTTCGATGTATTGCTCCCGGTCGTTGTTAAAAAACTATCCAGTCCGTAACGCGTCTCAGTCTCTGAGTCTCAAACAAATATCGGCCTCGAGAAATTTTACGATAGAAGAAACTCGTCTTGAAGCATTAACGGATTAATCGGCCACGGAGACTGAAACCGAACGGATGGGCGGAGCGATATCTTACGTTCATACGTTCACGTCTCATCGACATCGCGCCGACAGCCAGTGCTTTTACGTGTCCGCCCAAGTGAGCCACTATCATCTATGATCTAACCCAGTGCACTTACTCTAATTAGTATTCATATGGCTAATTATTGTCGGGCATCTGGTCATGACGTTCGTGCTCGCTGTCATGCCAGGATGATCAGTGGTATTCGTAGGGAATAGGGTGAACCTGAAGATCATGTATACATACTAGACTGCGTGGAACGTGCTTCGTTGATGTAGGGGCTTGTAGGGACTAGGGAGGAAGTAGAAGTGATCGCGCTTCAATTCGAACGTAAGTATACTGCTTGTAGTAGTGGTGGCTGTGAAGATATGCATGATGTTCTGATAGGTTGGTCTATCGCGCGCCTGGTGCGCCACCAGTTGTAATAGCTGGCTCTATTAGCGATTCTGCAAGTCTGCAATCTCTCTGTGACCGACTCGGCCAATGGGAGGCCCCACAATCCTTTGTGCGAGTTAGCATCTTGTCAAAGAGACAGTCTACGTACTTACCATCCCAAGGACAAGGTCAAAGGGAAATGGAATCACCATCTGGTCACCCGGCCATCGTGCCATTGGCCAGAACGGCGCATAGGGGCTTCTGCAACAAGCCTCCACTTTGTTGTTGATCAACCGATCATCAATTCTGAATCCGCTCCGTTTGTGCCACAACGTATTGTGGCTGGTCTTTGTCTTTGTAGGTCGATCTCTTTGTCCCTTTCGTTCGAGGTGTCAGCGGATGGCCCAATCGGCGTCACTTGAATATGTCTAATTATGGCAGGCCAGGAATATCACTCGACAGTCAAGCTAGGTCGAGGGGAGGCATTTTCCAGGCACAGCTGATATCGATGATGCACAGTCGCCAGTGCAAATACTCGGAGTCCTCCGCTTTTTGCCTTTGCGATATTGGACGTTTGAACATTGCTAGGGTCTTCTCGCGTGGCTATCATGACATAGGGGGTTCGATCAACGGTTGACTTCTCCCTCGTTCCCTCAATCAACGCCGAATGCGCTACCTGTGGTCCGTGGTGAGGGGTTTCCTATGCTACGTCAATATTGAGCCTGATTTAAGCAAGGGTAGGTAGTTTAGATGGGTGCATGGCATCACGCCTCACGACATATCAAGCACCGCTTTGGGTGCATCGTGCACCGTACTGGTGGACTTCACGCTCGGTACATGATTTTATGTTCCCCTTATCGCAGCGTTACAGTTCTCAGTCAACCAATCTCAAGGATCAGTGGCAATCTTTCAGCCAATCCGTGTTGGTTCATCTTTATGGTGTTGGTGAGCGACTTCACGGACCCAGTGCAATAAGATGCTCCGATTGCGGTCGTAGGTTAGGCTATCGGATTATCCCTCGTGCTGGTGCGGTCAACATGTCCGGAACTAAACATTTGTGGTGTAAGAACAACAAACGTTGTCGGTAGCCCCGGGATTTTACCTCCATCCCACCTAGTCTCTGTAGTTCCCTTCCCCATCCCGCCACCCACTCAACAGGAATGCAACAGCAATTGCAATAACCTCATGGACATCTATACAGGCCGCCATCACTTATCGCGGACTTGGCATGATCAAACGCTGCCCGTGGTTTGCCTTTTTTTGCCTCCTTCGTCGTATGTTGGCAGTTACTCAATATCCCACCAGTAGATATTTGACGCCGCTGATTATCTTTTCGTTTCTATCTGTCCTCCTCTCCAGTTCCTCTCTGTTTCAATCGACGCCGCAGCGGCAATTCCCCTTGCCCACTAAACGCAGATGATCTTATCGGATAGCCACCTTGTGATTATGTCGTCTAGACATACAGTTGGAATTGGGACGACCATCAACTATACATATACGACACCTCCGATTCCGCCACTTTCCGTTGATAACTCCACGAGCTTTAGCAACTAGGAGGTTAGTGATACCATCTTCAGCAAATTTACCTCCGTCTGCTTCTGCTAACGCCCTCCGCACCGACACTTACCTGGCACATGCTTGCTACTATCTATGTACGTTTCACTACTTAGCAGGTGCTACCAAGATGCTAACTACCACAAGCTCGCTCACAGCCGTACTAGCGATCGCACCATTCATCCGTGTTTACCCCGGACTATTCATGCAGACGATTGCGGCAAATCCCTCAGGTTAGTATCACGGCTCCGACGCGCCTGTGGATAGCTCTGGCCCATCTGTACCTGGAGCCGTGAGCTCATCTCACTGCTAATGATTGCATATCTTGCCAACATATTTTCTGTCAACCCACTCTCGCATGTCTTCGCTACGCCGACTATCTGCTTGGCCCTTCACGGAGGGATCTTCGGGCGTGGAGCTTGCTTTACTTCCGCTTTGCGACGAATATTCTCCTCCGGGACGATTTCGCCGATGAAGCGTTTGCTCTGCCTCGAGTTCCATGCATCGGAAAGCCTCGTGCTCGTGGCGACGTTACAACCAAGAACTTGTGGCCTATGCAGTACTTTACCAGTTGCCCAATTTCCCCGGATTACAGCCCGTTTGATCACGGCAAGTTCCTTGGACGAAATATCACGGCACCGCCTGTCCTGGATGTCGTAGTACCCCTTGTGCCAGAGCGCCCTGGGTGTCACAACTATGCCTTCTCTTGTGATTGCAATGTATCGCTGACGTCGGTGGATGGTGGCTTTCCCCAGCCGACATGGACGTAGATTACCCAGGCGCTTGATTAGGGATCACGTCGTTGCTCACGCCCTTGCTACCCGAGCGCAACAGTCACAGTGACAAGTACTATTGCTATGGCGTTTTACATTTCATGTCTTAGCCGCGCATTATCTTCGTGTTATCAAGGCCAGGGTATATCACCACGCATAACCAGGATAATGTCGCGCCATCTACGCGCCGCTTATACAGGTAAATAACTTGCACCTACGTTCGCCGTATACATACATCCGGAGAATATCCTTGATGCCTCTGTTACATGCTGGCAACGAAGTGTTTTGCTGTATACAAGGCCTATGTACCCTCTTCCAGTATTTTTCCGTCCGTAGCACTGTTAGGCCGGTAATGAAACATGAATCTGGTGTTACGTTTTAGCCGATGCGGCGCAGCGCTGATTTCTTGGATTGTTGGATTGTCCGAACATAAGCCCGAGCGAACGTAACCTAGTGATCACGATGAGTGGATTTGGATGAACGGCGTCGAAACCCCTTGGTTTCCCCTATTCTGCCGTCGCACTAGAGGGCGATGTGGGCTGATCCACTGGGTGCGGCTTTACAGAGTTTCCATTGCCTGCGAAGCTTGTGCCAAGGAAGCTCGAGGGGCGATAAGATGCTGTTCAATAATCAACGGCATCCGCAGACTTCGGTGTCATACTTCAACGGAACGGGACCAATTGGATCCAAAGCGCCGACCTCCTATGATAGATGTGTCCCAGCCCCCAGCTAGCGCGTTGATCATCTATAACATTCGATATCAAAACGACATGGATTCCATCCTGTACGCCATCGGTGGCATAGCCAACTATAGTCCTAGCTAAGCTAAGTGGTTAACAGGAGTGATAGATACATCAATCCTGTTTCGTACGCCGAGGTTTCCAAGTCTGGGTATCCAAGGCGGTTGCGCATCGTCCGCAGGCGTTGCAGCGTGTTGATGATAACTGGCCTGTTAGATCAACATAGCTAGCAGTGAAGTTGTGCGGGGATGATCAAACCCATGTACATAGCTAGGTTACAAATCTCCTACCTTCTCCAAGGCATCTAACTCGTCAGACGTGATCGACTCGAAACGCGTGTAGCGGAGAGAGCACGAATCATGATACCTCCGTCCCCAGCTCATCACGGAGGATCAATTGCTCACCATCAAGTGCCTGCTCCTCTGCGTTACCCCCACACTCCGGCCTATGAAGGACAGGATCTATAATTAATTGTGGTCAAGGGCCAAGCTACCTCCGGCTTCGACTTTGATCACCTCAGCACCGAAGACATCGTAAAGGACTTGCTTCTCAACCGCATTCGTATCTATCACATTCAGGCCCTGTGTGGCCGATTCTTTCTTTGTATGGTTGACAGTCTCGCGAACTATCGAGGCAAATGCCGACTGGGCGCTGTCGAGCGTGTAGACTTCTGCACCAAAATATCCAGCATCCATAATAATAACATGTTGATTGTACTCACGACGATGGAATAGGCAGTCACTTGATTGTGTCCCTCGCTGGTGGTTATGATGGACGGGTGGATATGGAAGTGGGTATCCAACAGTGACAGGTAGGCGCATATGGATCCATTGCATGATGGAGGTGGACGTACGGCTATGCACGGCAGTTTCCGAAATATATGTGGGGAGTCCTGGGGAGTCTCGCGTGGACAACGGCAGGGAGACCGAGGTTTAGCGTTTGAGAGCGGACGGACGGCCGAGTTAACTATATGTTCGCATGAACCTTGTGTGAAGAGATATCAGGATGATAGGCCTTTGGATTTCACCCGAGGTTACCTACTGAAGTGTGTGGACATGTCCCCACTTGAGCGAGGTCACGCCATCATCAACGTGTGTCATTGCTAGGTCCTAGCGAAACGATTGAAATTTAACTCCATGTATTTAGGCGCAACATATGGATGCGAGAGTTAACTCCCACATTTGGATGGCGTGCTCTGGGTAGTTCCGCAGGTACCAGCGCTACGATTGGCTGGTGAGAGCGGCCGCGATACCAATGGCGGCCTGAGTGGGCAAATTCCCAACAGCGGCTGAATGGGTTGACGGCCCTACGCCGGTGGACCTATTCATAAAGCAAACGATATGAATGCTCCCGTTCGCAGGGAGGGACGTAGATCACATCACCGTGTATTACTATAGATTACTATACATCATCTCTTCTTTGAGTCCAGTCTTCTCATCTACCCTGCGTTCAGTTACTGATCATTGGCCAGTACACGCGGCACGGATACCGATGAGAAAATGGCTTAGACGTAAACATTAGAGTTACCTCCTCCGGAGGATGGGAAGAGAGAGCTTACCGGCGCGACGTTGTTATGATTTCTGCTTCCTCAGCGCTGTACATGCGAACCCAAGTATTTGTCATTTGATCAGACCTTGTCGTAACTCTGATCCATCACTGAAGAGTAAAACTCTGTGCCCTCCTACTTGCCCTGATGACTGAGTGCGGACGCCGTTCCGCTGAAAGAATCCACTTTGAGCGCTAAACAAGGAGAGAAGGACTTCGAAAGGGAACTATGATTGGCTGGTCGGCATAGCCTGACGATATGCCGACACATGGGAGTCTAGACGAGAAGAACGTCGTTGGCCGAACGAAGGTGTAGGGAGTCAGAGGACGCAATAATTTCCACATGACAGCTTCCATGCCGAGCGGGTCGAGACATCAGTTGCAGGCGAGAAGTTTGCAAACGGCGATTCGTGAACCCAAAACAAAACGGCGCAGCGAACAGCGCCGGGACGGCGCGGACAGCTGGATATTGCAGCGATATCTGGTCGTGGTGTGTTGTTTCCTGATCGTTGTACGCCACACCAGCATGGAGGATCAAAGGTAATGATACTCAAGCTCCCGGCGGCCCATTCCAGCAGGAAGTTAATGTCCAAAGTCGTGGGCAATTGAATTATCTTGATCATTGTCACGGATCCATCGAGCGCGGTATGATGGCCGATATCGTTCGGAAGATGGAGCACATGAGTTGCTACGCGGCCGTATAAGCTCAACGATAGCAAAGATAACTGTCAGACTTACTTCTGGGTTAGCAGACGACTGATAAGATGCATTTCGGGGAAGACAGTAGTCATTGAAGCTGATCAACCCTTCATACCAGGCATCCGAGGATAACTCTGATAGAACGGGGAATGTGGTTATCCGTACCCCATATCGTCCGGCCAATTCCTCTCTCGTACTCGGGAACTTAGAAGTGTGCTCTCGGAGGTTTGGAAAGGCCTTTAGTCAAGTTTCTGCTGGTAGTCAAGGGGATTTGCCGACATAGGCACAGGCATAACTTCGAGTTGGATATCAGTGAGCCACAGTATATCGCATCCAAGCTCATTTGCAGGCAACTAGCAGAGACACTTTGAGCTTAACCGTGGAGTAGCAAGCTAAACTACTTGCGCATTGCTCCCGAATACGCAGGAGTCTTGAAGAGACGGACAAAAGGAGGTATACGGTTGAGGTCACTGGCGGGGGAAGCGCCGTACAAGCGCCTGGAAGGTCCATGCGATCGACTGGGTTCTTCAGGAGAAAGACGTCGGAGTGGCGAAAGTACCTATGATCGTCGCAGAGCTTCACCGTCTTGCCAGCAATCATCCAGGGGTTATCAAGGTCCATCGCAAAGGTTAACTGTGGGTTCCCCGCGGACAGGGCACTCTTGACGTACAAGATGCTCAAATGACTTCAATAACATCGGTTCTTCTGATGAAAAGATTCAGGTTATACCAGCAGATGAACGGCCTCTCCTCGCGTCCTTGCCTTGTAGGCAATCATTCCTATCGACAAAGCACGCCGTGTCCTGACCTTGCTCAACCTGGCAGGCGCTTCGAAGCATGTGTCGCGTCAAATGTACTTATGTCGACCCGAGGAGCTATGATATATGGGATGCCATCAAGCTAGCCTATCACCGCCGTCGCCCAGCAAGGAGATATCCACAATGCGTATCCGGAGTTTGGCTTCAATTTAGTCATAGCCAGAGCACGCTGCATTCTTCGCCCTTACCCCACCATGTACTACGCAGGTCCGGTGATCTAGCGGCACTGATAACTGGCCTTCGTCCCACCCGCAGAAGCTCACTTGATGCTAGAAGTATGGCTTTCCGGCGACCAATCCTGATACCCGCCCGGTGACTTAGCAGCTACTCCTTCTCCCGCTCCTTCGCTAGATTGTGTTGGCAGAATTTTATCCATCGTACACTAGAAGCCAATGGGAGTTCTGAGGCTCAGCATCACCTCGCCTCGGTCCGCAGTAGAACGCCGCTCTCTCAGACAATCCACGAGACGTCATTGACTCTCAGGGAGACTCTTCGCGGCCACAGAACTAGGGTCTCGAGAACGCGCACAAGTTTATTCTACAACCCTTGGACGGGCGATCGGACCCATGTACCTGCTAACTGGTTACTGGTTACATTCGTGTCAGCATTCTCGACGTGGCGCCGTGCTTGCGTCTTCCGTCGCACAGTGAGGCGGACCAACTTACATCAGGCATAGTCTTCGTGAGGTCTCTTTGTGCCGTATTGCCCCGTGAGCCTTCTGAGAGATCCCTAGTAACGCCTGTGCTATCCATAGTCCTGCGGCATACGTCGATTGGTCTATCAATTCCACGGGAACTTACTTGGTAACAAGTACTCACGGTCGTAAGTGTTAAGTCCTGCGTCGGTTAGACATGTTGCGCTTAAGCTACTATATTTCCCCAAGCTTTACGATGCGGGCCACCCCATAATCCGTAGCGTACGCGATGTGCATCAATACACTAACGCGAACAAGACGTACGAAAGAAGAGATGAGCGCCCTCCCGACAGCATCGGCACTAGGCGCTCAGATCGCGTACCTAGTAATCGCTTTCAATCACGCCGCCGCAATAGCTTCCAACGTTTGAATACAAGTACGCTTATAGTCTTTCTCCTGCCACTGCCTTGGTCTGTGCCGTAGGTTGCCATATGACTCACACGTTGAATGTTGGCAACATTCGTCTGCATTCTCCCGCTGATCTTTGTCGGCGCTGCCAATAGTTCCGCGGTCGCCGTGGTACATTCAAATCACGGAGCTACTGCTACGTACCTTGCCACCGCTGCCTGTTACCCCGCATTGTCCATCATCCCCACCGCCAAACAATGTCACGTCCAAAATCTGCTTGCCGAATTTGCATATTCTGACCCACCCTACTTAACAATGAGCGACAATCCTTAAAACCGCTTGTCTACGATTTCCTCAGGGCTTAGCAAGGGTGGGTTCAGAACCGGATTGACAGGCGAACATTCCGTTCAAGCATATCCGATGCGCGTTTGAAATTTCCGATGCAACCAATCAATGGCAAGTCCCGGCGCGTGTAAGGCCTCTTGTTAACGTATGATCAAGTTCATTGGTGGATAATCGATAAACTCCATTCATCTGCGTTTGTTTCCTTGCCTAGCCTTCAACCGCCTTATACCCTGCTTAATTTCTTTGTTGAAGGGACAGGAACATCGGACTCTTCACCGATATTTCTTCGAAGCCGCCGGTTCCCTGTACACTGGAGGCGGCACCCTGACGGCTCACTGACGCTCTCGTGTATCCTACAGGCAGGCATCATCATTGGTGGCAATGTAATTGACCGGATGTGTGTCAACGGTGAATGTGCATTACCTTCAGGTTAGCCAACGGCTTCTGAAGTCAACTAACTAGTCACCGGTGCTGTCCAGAAGCGTTGTTCCATTGCATCATCACTCTCGTGGTAACTCGACTTCGTCTTGCTTGCTTCCACTCATACCGTGGAGCCGCTTCGAGGACTGATACCAAGGGTGCAAGTGTCCTTTGATACGTTGCCGCAGACTCCCGGCGGGACGAATGTTTACTTTTCAGGCATCATCGCGTCTTGCCGTAGGTATCTCAGATCCCCGTTTTCTTCGTTTCCTGAGTAGGCTTGAAGAGGCATTTCTCAAGTCCTCTTCGCTGCGATTGTCAAGGCCATCAAACTGACTATACCTCATTCGGAGCACATACACAACGTCTCCGCCGGATGGCTCGGCCCATACATCCGTTTCTGGGGTGACGATGTTGATATTTTCTCAAGGCTGTCGAAATGTCCTTAAGTCTTCTGCGGCGGTCCGCTTGCCATCGCATCCCTGTTGCCCGGAATGATGCATGCAATGGTGGCGCGTATCTGTCCGCATTTCCGTGGTACATGATATTGTACGACCGAATACAAGCCTACCCATGTATTTGTGTTCTATTGTGCTATAGTTCACCATACTTCAGACGTCTACTTGTTTCCTACACCGCGTTATGGCTTCGTTGATGGTGATTTAGCACGATTCTGCATTCTATACGATGACGCTTCAGCTCGGGCCCGCGCTCAATGACAACACCTGCGTTCAGCATGGGCACATGATGCTTTCGGCCGCGTACCCGATGGCGAGCTGTACGTGTGGTGTGCCTGGTATGAGAGTACGACTAGGCAACATCCGGCGAAACCACAGGGTGATATTCGGGCTTTCTAGGGCATTCTCTTGATGCCTTCACGCATTCTCACAGGTGTGCTTATCCAACGTCTGCTAACCCATGGCTAGCCATGCTCGGGCCCTATGGCAAGTTAGCAGTTGAAGGGACGTTTACGGAGGCATATGTAGTTCGGTATAATTAGTGCACTTTGGTCGGCGGTTTGTATTTGGAGGAATTATCAAGATTTAGTTCAAGGGAACATTGGACGTCCATTGACATGTACAATTGCGGTACGTGCGGCAAGTGTTCCCTACGGATCAATAAATTCTTGGTCTTCTCCCATCTGCATGAGACTCATGTCCTACTCAATTGGTCCGGGGTCTCTCGCTCTACTACTTGCGTACTGTTTCATTATATAGTGAGATGTGGTTTGGCGCCACAGTGCTAGCAAGACGAAGTCGGGAGAAGTCACCGCAACGGCTGTGTTTTATTGATATCTATGGCTCAAGGCACCTTCAATCCGTCTTCAAGTATAAGACGAGAGTCCTCACATGTCAAATCAGTATATCCTGATTCCTCAACAACGTCCGAGGCGTGGGCTGAAGTTGAAGCAAAATGATTGAAGCGCTTCGTCAGCTGCTTGGTATACAAAAAGGGACCTACAGAGCCATGGTGATAGTTACGGTAGTTCACGTGCAAAGTAGTGTGCTTCCCGGAGTCCTGGATATCGAGAGTGACCTTCGCTTAGTTACAACTTCACTGAATGAAGCTGGTGGTAAGTTGGAGTAAGGTGTGGCTGTGCAACTCCCACGTGGTCGCGATGAGTGAAGACAGTGGCAAGTCTCTTCTTTCATGACTTGTTACAATCGCTTACGCCTAGAATGCCAGTTCCGAGAGATGTACAATTGTTTCTCGACGAATACCCTGGCGAAGTGGACGATCCCTCTCAATCAGCAAATATCGAGTTTTATACCAATAAGAAACGATGTGCGCCAGATAATTTGTTGATTGAGGAGATTCACGACAAGTAAGCAAAGGGGACCGTCTATGTGTTTGACGTACTTACAGACTCTCTGCCAGGTGGAGTGGGGACTATGAGACTCTAGAGCGCAATCATGGTTTCATCCAATGGTTGTATGTCACTTATTATCTTGGCGGGTGGCGGCCGGCCGACCGGGGCAACGAGGAAGCTCGATGGGCTCACAAAGTTACAGGTTTCCCATACAAGAACACGGGATGAACTATCGTTCTCAGCCATTGCAGCGGCACGAGATACGCGCAATAAAGTCTAATCCAGAAGCAATATCTAGAATACTGGGATCATATCGACTCATGCTCGACTTTTACGGCATGCGCCTTGTGTCCAAGGAAACTGGCATGCTCTCTCGCACATTGCCGCCGCGCAATTATGCGGCAAGATACAAGAATTTGTGTCGTTAGTCCCATTTCTTCTCACCGTGGTCAGCCTCTGACTTGGAGCACATGCTCACCTGTTTCGTTGCGTTCGTCTCATAGGCTCGACCCACAATAATCTACGAATTTCCCGAATTCTCAAATGTTTGTCAGAGTTCGGTCTGGAACGTCTGAACGCTGGATTCCTCTTGCATGTGCTGAACGAACAGAGCGAGCATGGGGAATTGAACACATACTCCATACGCTCCAGCATGGACAGCTGGTGGGCAAACTGTATCCGCAATGAGGATGAGAGAAATTGGATTTGTCAGACCATCCGGGAGGTTCGCTCGAATGTGAATCCATTGGTGTTTACAAGAGACATGTATGAATCGGCTCTACAGCGAAGGGAGATTAAAGGTAGCTTCAAAGAGGAAACATCGTAGAAAGGGTGGGTCGATAGTCCAAGGTCATGCTCGTAAACAAGACATCTATATAGCTTCAATCAATCCAAATATTACTCGGGGCTTGAGGCCGCTGTTGGAGATCAATGAGTATCACTCTTGGCACGATTGCTCCAAGGAAAGTGTGGCTACCTGCTACGCTATCCGCGATAATCTAGAAATCAAGGCTGCTTGTGCTTGCTGTGTATACAACGGACTTGCTGCTTGTAAAAGTTGGTCCAGCGATTCGTAGGTTTCCCCTTGCTTGGCATTCTCTATCTGCAAAATAGGGGTTGTCAACTAGCCCTCCGATGATAGGACGTGAAACACACATGATAGCCTTGACTGGTAAGGGTGATACGGATTGTTTTGCCCTCTAGCAACGTAACCCCCGCACTTGCAAGTAGGGAGCTGGCGGAGGATTCGAGTCGGTAACTTGTGATCCCGAAGGATTGCTCGGTCAATGCCCGACTTAGCTCGTCGGCGGCAAATGACTTCTGAGCGGTGGCGCACATCCTTCGGGGAAATGAGAGTGCTGCTTGTGCAATCATTGGGAGGTTAAATAGCGTCGAAGCAGCGGCTAAGGAGAAGGAACTTGGAATTTATTCCTATACTTACTCCAATAGAATTTATATGCAAACCTTTTCTTATGTACCGGAGAATGAATCGATCAAACACCCGGGCACGAGCAAAAGCCATGGAAAAACCGTGATAGGAACCATCTGTACCGAGAATTAGTAACTTTTCTCGACCTATACTGTGAGACTGAGGGGAAACAAACGGGACTTACCGTTGAAGTCGTCCCCCATTTCTCATAGTTCCACTCTATCAGAGTGGATATGTGCTAGTGGAAGTGTGCAGCGGAGTTGGGGTACGCGAGCTTGTTACCAACTGTGATCAACTGATCATGCATCGATCTCGCCCTGATATTGGACTGACGCAATGATGGGTGGCTCGATATGCAGCAGATCGACTGAAGTCGACTGAACACTCGAGTGCTGGTAGCTCGGGTTATGAGCGCCATTTCCCGAGAATTAACACAAATTCGTAAAATGAAACGTATGGTGACCAAATCAAAAAATATTAAACCGTAGCGATGACTCCATTGGGTGCTGGAGGTCTTCTGGGAAGCCAGTTCATCAAATACGCCGGAGATATGAATAATTAGCGTAGGTGTTGGTGTGCGGTCAGCAACTTCCATGGAGCGTCCCAAGAAAGATCTAGGGCTCGAATAAAATTCGGTAATATCAACGACCAGTTGGAGAAATCATCAGGTTCGTGGTGTGTTCAAGTAGGAAGTACGAGATTGCCGAGCGTTCCGTAAGGCGAGGCGCCTGGTAGTGGGTAGACTCTGATCTAGTAGCCCGCTAGGGTCAGCAAATTACCGACCGATATTCATCCATGATTCTGCATAAACTAACTACACAGTGTAGATGTACGTACGGAACGCAGGGAAGAAGGCAATGTTCGCGTCGAACGCGAGAACACGCCCCAGTGGCTATACCTGAACTGAATTCATCGTTCCCAGTGTCAAGCGTTATCGTGAGTGCATCGCAGGGGTATAGAGTTTACCATGCGGGAGGCTCTGAGTTTGGCACATCCCCCTAGATTCCAGCGTGCACGACACTGATTACTGTAGGTTGTAACCTTGTTTTTTGATTCCGTCTGCGATTAGACGCGCCACGGCCCGCCGGTCCGTGGGTCATACAGATGCCGCGTGGGAAACTCTGGTCTTATTATGGGCACCGTAATACTCACCTGCGCCGCTTGATGCGAACCCGCTCGCAGCTTCACTCCTTCCAGCATGGACGTCCTCAAGGCTGTAGAGACCTACGTGACCAAGATGGTCTCCACTCCGTCGGCAATGAAGGTTCTGCTTCTTGATACCCACACTGTTCGTGAACCTGTTTCTAGGCTAATTTCTGCTCGTGGTGACCCATGCGTCCTTCAAGACTCCCATAGTGTCGTTGGCTTCCACCCAATCAACCCTGCTCACACACCAAGTTTATCTGACGGATAGAATTGACAACAGGAAGAGAGACCGCATGCCTCATATGAAGTGTGTGTGCTTTCTTCAATGCTCAGAGGAAAGTTTGGCCGCGTTGGAATCGGAGCTCCGTGAGCCCAAGTATGGGGAATATTTCCTGTGTCAGTACGTGATATCTTTGGAATAATTCATTCATTATCTCATAAGGCTATATCAGACTTTAGCAATGTCTTGAGCAAAACCGTGATCGAACGGTTAGCTCAGGTGGATGAATATGAAGTCGTAAAGGAAGTGCAGGTTCGTCAATTAACTGTGGCTTATTTCAGACGCTTATCGTACTATCGGTAGGAGTACTTTGCGGACTATGCTCCGGTGCTGCCATATCTATTCTCACTGAACCGCACCCCTTCATTGACCTCCCCGCTATACGGCTCGACACCCAACTCTTGGGACCCAAAAGCTTTAGACCGCACAGTGCACGGAATTGGCGCAGTGCTGCTCAGCCTAAAGAAGAAGCCCATTATTCGCTATGAGAAATCAAGTGGTATGGCCAGGAAGCTTGCCGTCGAAATACAGGTATGTCATGCCGTCCCGTGTGCTCAAGCCGTGGAAAATCGAATCTGCGCAGCATCGCCTGCAGTCAGAAGCCTCGCTCTATGACTTTCGTCTGACCCAAGTTCCCCCATTGTTGTTGATACTGGACCGACGAAATGACCCGGTTACCCCGCTTCTCTCCCCGTGGACGTATCAAGCCATGGTTCACGAACTCCTTGGCATACACAATGGCCGCGTTGATCTTAGTTTGGTTCCAGATATAAGGTCTGAACTTTCCGTAAGTGACTTTGACACTGCCGTTATACGCAATTAATCTATTCCGCAGGAAATCACTCTTACGCCGTCAACGGACCCATTCTTCCAAGCTCATTACCTGTCTACCTTCGGGGATCTGGGAACGTCATTAAAAGGATATGTGCAATCGTACCAGTCACGCTCTTTGGCTCAATCCCCGAACTCTATTAATTCCATATCGGACATGAAACGTTTCATTGAGGAGTACCCAGAATTCAAGAAACTAGGCGGTAACGTCAGCAAGCACGTTGCTCTAGTGGGCGAGCTGAGTCGCCTCGTTGGGCGAGATAAGCTTCTCGAAGTGGGTGAAATTGAACAAGGTCTTGCCACTAGCGCTGGCGCCGATCTCAAGGTGCGTACTTCCCTTTCCGTTTCAATTCAGTCTCCCATATGTTTGCTTGCGTAGGAAGTACAAGCTGTCATCAGAGATAATGCCGTTCCAGCATGGAACAAGCTTCGACTCGTTATTCTATATGCTCTTCGGTATCAAAAAACGCACACGACTAATATTGCCTCGTTAATCAACCTCATGCTTTCGAATGGGGTCTCCCGCGACGATGCAAAGGTAGTTCGCACCCTCAATATATGCCTTCCGTGTTCCTTATGCCTCTCCTATAGCTAGTATACGTCTTCATGAACGTTGCTGGGGCTGATCAACGGCAAGATGATTTGTTCTCGACAGAATCTCTGCTTGCTAAGGGTCGTTCGGCTTTGAAAGGATTGAAGGTGACTAGACCTCCCATGGGGGCGTGTCCAGTATTGCTCAGTACTGCTTTCAGGGCGTCGAAAATGTATACATGCAGCACAGCCCGTATCTTTCGCAGACAATCGAGAATCTCCTCAAAGGTAGATTAAAGGAAACTAGCCATCCATTCCTGGAATCGCCTGGCCCCAACGCCAGCCTGCAAAGGTATATATCTATATCTACAATGAAGATGATTAACACTTAATGCCATCCACCTCTGGCAGACCACAGGACGTCATTGTGTTCATGATTGGAGGCACGACGTTCACGGAAGCGCGTGCAATATCCCTGATGATCAACGAAAGTACCGGAGGCGCTGCTGCCGGCTCAACAGCTTACGCGACAAGAATTCTGCTGGGCGGAACATGTGTCCACAACTCATCCTCGTAATTCATCCCCAGCTGACTCACTGCCTTTGATCTAATTGGTCATGCTTTGGCAGATACGTTGAAATGATTCGCTCTGCTGCAACCTCCTTCCCAGCTTCTGTTTACGAACCGCCTCCAGAATCTGCTTCCAACATGCCGTCTCTGAATCTGAACTTGGGCGGTGTCAATGTCAGCCTAGGTGGGCCTGCGGGAACAGGTGTGTACAGAACGAGTAGTGATGCTATTGGTGTTCAGACCGAGGGTATTCGCGATGGGGTCATGAATCTCTTAGGCAAAGTGAGGCAAGGGGTAGATAAGATAGGTATACAGTAGAGGTAGGGCTAGGTAGGGTCCTTGAAGGACGGCGAGACGCCCTGAGAATTCAGTGGGGCGCTCCAGGTGGAATCATTGCCGGTTTCTCGGCACGTCTTGTTTCAGTCAGGGCTCGTACAGCTTCGCGTCACCCATTTTGCTGATGATAAAAAGGACGTCGGTGTGATCGAGGATTGATGTACTCTAACATGCTACCATCACCATTTCAGTTTCCTACGCCCTTCCATTCCGAGGCTTCGTTGCCGATTTCAAGCTCTTTGCCACGCAACTCAGGCTTCGCCTCGCATTTCCGATTACCATCAGTCGCTGCTGCTGGAGGCGCAGATCTACTTGGATATGATCTGAGTCCCGGCTACCAGCCAAGGGCCCGCACGTACTCGCACTCCTCCGGCCTCAGGGGGGTGTCGCCACGACCCCATCATCATTCGAACTCTTCCAGCAACATCAACGTCAGGGGAGTGTCTCCTGCGCGACATCCTCGGTTTAAATTCTTTGTTGGAGCCAGCTGGGCAGCCAAGCCCGGTAATACAGACCATACTTATCCACCAAATACTCCCATAGGTGCATGGGTGCTGGATACTCTACGCAGGCACACTTTCTCCTCTCGCCGCGCCAAAGAACCTGGTGAAGACTTCTTCTTTGTACAATCGGTAATGCAACCGTTGTCTTTGATGGGCGGGAGTAACTCATGCTCATGGTTTTGATCTATAGTTGCCATATGACGCGGTACGATGCCTGGTATAAAGCTGCATCCACCGTTCTGATATCTCCTCCAGGGCACCGCTGTTGGGATAGCTGACGGAGTCGGAGGTTGGTCCGACCAAGGCGTCGACTCGGCGGTCTTCTCGCAAGCGCTCATGTACTACGCGTCCAAGGTGTATAATGGAGAAATCGTCACGGAGGCTGTTCTGAAAGGATCGTCATCAAGAAGTCGTCCGAAACCTAAAGATGTCCTCAAATCAGCGTATGATGTCACCATGACAGACTCGTTTGTCAAGGCTGGTGAGCGATCATGATGGTCGAACAAGTGATGGTAGCATATCATCTGTAACAGGTTCCGCCACTACCTGCCTGATCAATTTCGATCCTCAGACCGGGATGATGTACGCAACGAAGTGAGTCTTCATCGTGTCCCTCCATACCGAACCTGAACGCTATCATTAGTATTGGTGATACAGGGTTTATTATTATACGCTCGGGATCTATCATCTATCAGTCACGGGCACAGTTTCACGGCTTCAATTACCCAAAGTGCGTAGCAGTTATTTCAATGATATTCGTCCATCTCTCAGTCTTCTTCTACAGACAACTGCTGAAGAATGCGACATCCTCACGCCGTTCTCGCAATAACTCCAGTGACTCTCCGCGCGACGCCGAATCATACGAAGTCCAGCTCCGGGAGAAGGATATCATCATTGCCTATGTAATCACTCTTTGCTCGCCGCCAGCTTGATCACTCAACTTTCGAGCCAGACAGACGGGCTGGTAGATAATGTCTACCCTGAAGAAATTCTTGAAATATGTTCAGTGGTTCTGCAAGAGCACCGGCACGACCATGACCGTCCACAAATAATGTCAGATCGAATAGTGGACTATGCGAGACAATGCATGAGAAGCAAGACACTCCTAACTCCCTTTGAACGTGAGCCATGGTGTTCGTGTTCTACGAGTAACAGTGCTCATAGATATGTAGGACAAGCGATCAAACAAGGTGTAGCACACAAGGGCGGGGTAAGCGTTGATTCACTCATGTCAACGCGCGAGTGCTCAATGATGCGCGCTGCGTCTAGAAAATCGATGAGTGAGTCCAGACTTAATATCTCGGGGCCGTTTATTGACTTTTTGTCTTCTCAGTGTCACCGTTGTGGTTACTATGGTAGAACGTTAGCGTCTAATGAACCCGCTCCGATGATCTCGTTAGTGTCGACGATAGCCCATTTAATTGCGTATGTATATCCCAAGACTTCCCGTCGCTAATTATGACAGACGTTCACGCCATCTTCTGTACCTTAATCCATCACAAATCCAGCTGCGATTACCCTTTCGTGTCTCTTTGCAGTTCTTCTAGACCCGTCGGTACGAGCCGACTAAACACAAAAACTACATATGAGTTGCAGCCTCTATTTTTTCATGCGTCTCTGATATCCGCCCACGGATGATCGTCGTGTCCTAAACCTCTTGTCTTGACAGGTCTACCGGCTATCAGCCTGGTTGACTGACATCGAGCGAGTTCAAGCGACGACAGACAGGCACTCTGGCAGTACCAGATCACGGGCGGGTCGCTCAAAGGACGCAAGCACGATTGCGCTGGAGTAGAGGAGTAATTCAAACTACAGAAGCGTTGGCGCATGTCGGACTTCAGCGTGGATTTCTACTCAGGAACACAGTATCCCGACACCGTACCATACGGGCAATCCTGATGGGAGTACAGCTTCCTCGAGGGGTTATACTATCGGGCAGGGAGCCTATATGAGGCTGAATGCGAGTAGGCATGCATTATCTTACCTCCAACCATTTCACCCACTGCGCCACATTCAACCCATGTCTCCAGCAAAGTTCAAGGTCGCCATCTGGTGAGTATCTAGAGAACTGTTAACAAGGTGTCCTGCATTGTACTCATTGTCGTGACTACTATTCAGCGGCGGTGGCATTGGAGGGCTCGCCTGCGCCGTTATGCTATCCAAATACCCAAATATCGATGTTGAGATATACGAAGCCGCGGCTGAGTTCTCTGAAGTTGGAGCTGGGATTGGGGTGTGGCCACGGGTTTGGCGTATCTTAGAAAAATTGGGGCTTTCGGAGGATTTCTCAAGGGTGACTGCCCTGAAGCCGACGTATGAAGACTGTAGGACCATTCCTCAGCGTCCGTCCTATACTTGATTTGACTGACTCTTTGTCATCGTAGCGGACGCGTTTGTCTTCCGGAAGAGCGATCAAGCTGAGGGCCTTGACTTCTACAAGCTTATTACGAAAGGTGAGTTCCCTTTCATCAACTGATATGTTCGGAACTGACGGCAGATCGTTGCATAGGGAGTTTCCTGCGATACCACAGACCAGATGTGTTGCAGGTCCTTGTTGCCCACCTACCCCCTAGATTTCCCATACACTACTCAACTCGCCTTGATTCTTATCACGAAGATGCCTCAGGACACGTTCATCTGACGTTTACAGACGGGTCAACAGCGGGCTGCGACCTCTTGATAGGTTCTGATGGTATCAAGTCCGCCGTCCGGCGTTCAATGCTCACCCAGAAGGCCATGAAAGCGGCAGCAAAGGGCAACTCGAAGGAGGCTGAACAAACACTAGAGTCTATTGAACCCCGGTGGACGGGCATAGTCGCGTATCGGGCTTTGGTGCCATCGGCTAAGTTGAAGGCCTACCGCGACGCTCACCCGGGTCAAGATATTCGAGTACCTGAGGAAAGCTCCATACCAAGAATGGTACGTTGCCTCATCCCGCGGTTGTTATGTAATGACATGTCCTCCCCGATAGTATATGGGTCGGAACGTGGTAAGTCTATTGCACTGCCCATGAAACTCTAGCCCGCTAAATGGTACCCGCTTAGAATGTTGTTGTCTACCCGATCTCGTCGGGACGCTTGATCAACGTTGGAGCGTTCCATGCCAGAGAGGACCTTGCTGGGACACAGTTTCCCGGGCCCTGGGTGACCAATGTGGATACGGAAGAGCTTCTGCAGGCTCATTCTCATTGGGAGCCTGAACTTCAAGCAATATTAAAGGTGCACAGAGCATGCTTGCTGCAAGAGCCTGCTGTAGTATTGACGCTATTTTACGCAGTGCGTTGATCGGCCATCACGGTGGGCGATCCATGCATCCAAGCCACTTCCTACATGGGTATCTGGACATGTCGCACTTCTCGGAGATGCGGTAAGGCTGCTCTTGAATACGGTTCTTCCATGACTTATTGACGAATACAGGCTCACGCAATGTCGCCACAGCAAGCTTCTGGAGCCGGTCAAGCTATCGAAGTGAGTGACCCCGCCCAATATTATTATGCGTACATACTAACGGGTGTATTCTGATAGGATGCCTACGTGCTCTGTAGCCTCCTTGGTCACCATCTTACCGTGGCTTCGACGATTCCTCGCGCTTTGTCAATTTACGACGAGATACGCCGTCCAATTGCCATGGAAGTTGCAGAGCGTTCCTTAATTAATGGACGCCTGTTCGGTCTACAACTCCCTGGTCTGGACGCAGACAAGGATACAGAACGTCTACCCGAGATTGGTGAGGCTATCAAGGCTAACTGGCGGTGGGCATGGTCGACGACCGCCGAAGGCCCACTGAAGGAGGCTCTGCAGCTGCTGGAGTGCCCTCCTTTGCGATCAACACTTTGATTCTATGCTTGTGTACTGTTCATCTTTGGGTCATTCGTAATTTGTAATTTATGTGCAGCAGAGATTCTATATATTTCAGTGACATATCGTATGTATGTTCAGCATTTCTCCGTAGAACGACGTGTTCACGGTAGAAGTCCGGAAGTAAATGTTCGGAGCCAGCGAGCACGGTTACGAGTCTGGGCGCTTGAAGCGCATGTCTGAAAGTGACACGTCGATCTGGTCACGAGGCGCTACCTCACCATCTAATATTACTCCCGTTTCACGGCAAACTCGCCAATCCTCTCTCTCCCTCTTCTTCTTTCCCCTCCTCTTCACTTTGGGTCCGTGGCTCTCAATCAGGGATTGCCGTTAGTCCACGACAATGGCAAAGGGTCTATTTGCAAGCCTCAAAGGCGTCGATGCATTTGGCAAGGTATATATAGTCACCTTAGTCGGCCAAGTAACTTTGTATCTTATGCCGCCTCCCAGACAACCGAAGATGTCAAGGTCAAGACGCGGACGGGCGCATTTCGTGAGCCCGGGTGACTAGCTATCGAGGTAGAGGCTAATGTGACGATTCTAGTGACAATACTGTCAGCGGCAATAATTCTTGCCTTCACTACCATGGAATTCTTCGACTACAGGCGCGTAAGCGTCGACACATCTATCGTTGTCGACAAGAGCAGAGGAGAGAAACTCACCGTCAACATGAATGTTACATTTCCAAGGGTACCCTGCTTCCGTGAGTCCCAGCCGTAGAGCCACGTACAGATCCGTATCATTAACCGTTCGCCAGTGCTTAGCGTGGATGTCATGGACATCAGCGGCGAGACCCAACGAGACATATCCCACAACGTCCTGAAGACCCGCCTCGACTCGAAAGGCGTCATGATACCGAACTCATATAGCTCTGAGCTGAAGAATGATTTAGACACGATTCATAGTGCGAAGGGCGAGAACTACTGCGGGTCGTGTTTCGGAGGGTTGGAGCCCCCTAGTGGATGCTGTAATACGTGCGAGGAAGTCCGACAAGCATACATCAACCGCGGATGGGCGTTTGGCAACCCCGAAGCGATCGAGCAATGCAAGGACGAAGGGTGGGCGGACAAGCTCAAGGAACAGGCGTCAGAGGGATGCAACATCAATGGCCGTCTGCGCATCAACAAAGTCATAGGAAACATCCATCTCTCTCCGGGTCGTTCATTCCAGTCAGCGGCGCGAAATATCTACGAACTCGTTCCGTACCTCCGGGACGACGGTAACCGTCATGACTTTACGCACACGATCCACCATCTGGCTTTCGAAGGCGATGATGAATATGACTTCAACAAGGCAGAAATCAGTAGCACGATGAAGCAACAACTCGGAGTCACGAATCCATTGGATGGGTCATATGCTAGGGTAAATTTGCTCCCTCTGATAAGTGAACGGGGATTGAAGCCATTCACAGACTTCAAAAGCACAGTATATGTTCCAATACTTCCTCAAAGTCGTCTCGACACAGTTCCGTACATTGGATGGCCAAACTGTACGTTCTAAACGCGTTTGCGTCGCTGGTCCCGTCAGCAGCTACTAATCTGCGCCGCTTAGGTTAACTCGCATCAATATAGCGTAACGCATTTCGAGCGTGATTTGACTGACGGCGGTCAAGGCGACACTCCCGCAGGTGTCCACATTCAGCATGGCGTTTCTGGCCTACCAGGTACGCTCCGTCATTGCACAACCTCAACTATCGATTGTTGCTGACGCCCTCGCTTCTCGCTTACCCAGGTGCATTCTTCAACTTCGAGATCTCGCCAATCCTCGTCGTGCATTCAGAAACCCGGCAATCATTCGCGCATTTCATCACTTCGTATGTTTCCTGCCCTTTCGGTGTCCTGACTCGCCTGGTCTAACAGTCATATCCCTGAACAGGACATGCGCCATTGTCGGAGGAGTGTTGACGGTGGCATCGCTACTTGATAGCGTGCTGTTCGCCACCAGCCGTGCCCTCAAGCAGAAAAAGTCGGCAGCCAGCAGCGGGCCAGCCTACACAGGTGGCGGCAAGCTGATGTAAAGCACGTACTAAGAACATAATATGTATCACCGCTACGTTCGCTTTGCTGCTACTCCGCTATATATTGTAACGCAGTCCATGAAGAGCATTGTTATATATAAATAGGTATACTTGTCATAAGGACATGAACGAGAGCTGGGATGGGGATGGCGGGAGCCCAGGCGTTGTGTGTTAGTGTGCCGGGACCTTGCGCACCTTTTTGGCAGAGCGGGAGGTTTCAGCTGGCTTCCGCTTTCTGGATGTAGTTGTGGTGGGCTGGGGCGGGGGTTCGTGTTGTGTTTGTTGGGCCGGCGCGTTGGCTGCTCGTCGAGCGGCTGTCCGTCTAGGAGCTGGGATCTGGAGAAAGATCTCCATTAGCTGCACATTATATGGGTGGACAATCGATAGATACCTTGACGGCACCCAGCATGAGTTCGTCATCCTCCTCGTCCCCACCGGTGGTTGTGTTATCATCAGCCCTACTACGCTCCGGTTCAGATACGTTGTCCGAGTCATCATCGCGTACTATCCGTCTCTTCGGCCGGTGGCTGGAGGATGTCGTTATTGAATGTGTGATGGCGGGTGTCTCTTCATCGGATGCAGGCTCATCCTTTATTGGGACATTTATCACTGCATGAACGCGCCTTATGAGTGTCGCTGAAGGTGATGAAGGCCCGGCAGTGGAGGGCTGGGGTATCGGTTTGTGAGGAGTCTTCGACGCTTTTAGAGCTCGGGTGGAAGTAGAGGCGGAGGCTTCGGCGGGGTAATGGGGGGAGCTGGGATCTCGACGCTGGGGGTTTGGCGTCTTTGTTTTTATCGAGCGCGGTGTAGGGAGGGCATCGATATCATGAGACCGGGACGAGGAAGGGTCTTCGAGAGGCGGGCGCTGAGACATGCTAGCGATCATGGATTGCTGCATAGCAACCAGTCATTATATGGGCGTGAGTCGGCTAGATGAAGAAAACGCACCTGGCCAACGAGCCACTCATCCAACCTCGTAGACAGCGCGCACCGCTGCTCCTCGACGCGAAGGAAGTGCTCCTGCCAATTCTGGGCCTGGTCCTTCCACTGGGCGACCTCGCGTCGTAGTTGCGCTATTGTTTCGGCCTGGCGGGCTACCTGCCAACGATATGGCATTCATTCCTGCGACGCCTGGTATCTGGAATTCGACGTACCGTGAGTTCAGCTTGTTGTAGCTGGCGTAAATGACATGAGAATTGGATTGCTTCGCACATGGACTCGAAACTCACCAGTCCTTTGCAAGATGCCAGTTCGGCCTGGCTTGTCGATGCTATCCTCACTTGTTCATCGCGTTCATCTTTGACGAGCTGGATCGGCCGTAGGGCTTCGGCGCGTGCGTGTTTCTGCACCTCGGCGAACTGGGGGAGTCTTCAGCTTCAGACAGGAACTTTTGGTAGCAGGACACCACGCACTGTGAGGTTTACAGACTTTGTGAATGCGGACACGGCCTCTGCGAATTTGGCTGCAGGATCCGCCATGGACAAGTGGACTGGGTGTGAACTTGAAGTCTGTGAGAGTGGCGGCAGAAGTTGAGCTCAGGGGCTTGCTTGTTCGGTCACATTACCGCCATTGTCTTCCTGACCCAGATGAGTCTCGGCAAAGGGGCGGTCTGTTTTGCACACGTGTGGGGCGACGATGGGCAGTGTAATCCCCTCTGAGGACGAGCTCACCGCCGCGCTCATCGACCTCAAGACTAACAATCCGCAGTGTGGAATCGCAAAAATTCACGCTCTCCTGCTCATCTCCTTCCCAACTTGGCTCGTCTCCGAAAAACGCACTCGTAAAATTTTGCAGCTGCACGGGCTGGTGCTCAATGCCTCGCCTCCGTCCTCGTCGACGCCACAAGAGCAGAGCGAAGAGGTCGTGATCGCGGCAGACGGGTCCACGAGTTTCATCCCGTACCAGTACCCGTCATCCCGGGTGATCAAAAACCTCGATTTGCAGAAATGGACGCTCAAAGTACGGGTCAAGTACTTCGACAAGAAAAAGGGCAAGGGGCTCGTCGCGATGGAGAAGATCAGCAAGGGGGAGGTCATCTGGAAAGAGGACCCGTTCATCCTCGCACCTGAATGGTACGGATAATGCCTAGGCGGACCCGCGCAGTGAGTAACTGAGAAAGAATCTGATGTATTGATCGATTTTCGCAGGGAAATATACGATTTGCAGCACCAATCTGCCGCGTGTGGATTCTGCTCGACACCTTTCGCGACGGCCTCGCCGTTGATCACCTCTTGCCCCGGCTCGTCCTCGTCCTCTGCAGCGCCCTGTCCGATCAAGTTCTGCAGTCGCCTCTGCCTCGCGAGGTCGAAGAAGCATCATACATTGCTCTGTCCGTCCCAGAACCCCGCATGCGTCCCCCTCTTGAAATTTGCGAGAGACACGCAGTGGATGGCCCTCCACGCGCTCTCGCAGTGCACAAGCAGGATCTTGCTGGCGAACCAGATCGACGACTCGACGCTCAATTCGGATTGGCAGGTTGTGAAGGGGCTAGCGGAACTGGGCATGGAGGAAAGGTTCCAACAGAGCTATGAAGGGTGCGTCTTGTACCCAAACGAAACTCTTCCTTTGGGACTTCGACTAATGTGCGCTTGCAGGCATCACGGGGCAGAACCCGACAGAGTAGCCTGGCAGAAAGCACACACTCTATTCGTTCAGGCCTTCAGTGAGCCACCGAATCCCGCAGACCAGAAGAAGCTCACAAAGCTGCTCAAGAAGCCTTTGCGTGAGGACCTCAAATCTGACCTCTTCAACTATAAGTCGTTCCTGCGTGGCCTGGGACGCATGAGTCTGAGTGCGTTTCGTGCTTCTTTGTCATTGATCACATTCATTCTTACTTACAATTGAATCGACTTCGCGTAATATACAGACTTGGAAGCACACGGCGGGCTCTACGTCCTCCACTCGCACCTGAACCACTCCTGCTCGCCCAACGTATCAGTACGGCACCTCGAGCAGAAGACAATGCTCGCGCGCATCACCGTCATCGCGAAGCAAGACATCCAGCCCGGCGAGGAGCTCACCGTCACATACGTCAACCCCTCGGGGAGCGTCACCTCCCGCCAAATCGAATTGGAGAGCTGGGCGTTCGGAAAGTGTAAGTGCCCGAGGTGTGTGCAGGAGCTGAAGGAACTGGCGGAGAAGAGGAAGGCGGACGGGGAGGCAGAGGCTGCGGCCGGCGCGGCGCTTGATGATTTGGAGAGGGAGCTGAAGGCTGGGCTGGGGCTTGCGTAGTTTCTACTTGTGCTGAAGTGAACTACTAATCAACGTTACTTTCTTGTGCGCCTCATCTTTCGCAGTTCACTGTTAATCATTTCTTCCAGCGCCGACTGTACACACAGCCGTAAATCATAACGTTCCATGCCTCCAAATGTTATGGGGTGCATGTCGATTGCAAAGAATCCATTATGCTGCATGGTATACTTATACTTACAATGCCGCGCCACTAATGATCGCGGGAGATCAAAGTGGATGGTGAGTGGGTACTCCCCAATCGTAATGATCCATGGAAACTTTAAAATCCCAAACCTCGCATTGCTGTGTTGTATCCTCCACGATGAACGTTGACGGTCTACTCGGAGTCCTGACCTGACAATTACGATCTACTTACAACTTCGCCCCGTAATGTCACCAGATCCTCGTACACCAGCGTCCGTGAAGGACATATCGGAGAACGAAGCGTATGATTCGCGCTTGGTGATCATATCGGTGTGTACGAAGACGGGACGGGTAACGCCAGTGCCAGTAGAGCCCATACCAGGGCATGTCCGCTCCTCGTCGAAAGTGCCGGTGGAGGACATTGTTCCGCCAGTGGTGTATCCGACACGCTTGGAAACGGGATCGAAAGCAATGTGGTAGTTGTGGTAGTGCTTGCGGGCCTCGTCGGCAAAGCCGAAGAAGAGAAGATGAAGGCGCAGACGACGATGGACCATCGACTGAGTTCAACGGCGGTCACGAAAGTCTTGCCCACGCGCCATAGGACTCCTGGTATCTGGTCGACGCGGGAGAAATCGTCGTGGGTATCAGCCCAGCCCAACCAGGGAGAAATCCCGATGCGTGCGTTGAGCGAGACGGCGTAGAGACCGAGGAGAACGGCGAGGACGATGTCGGTGCAGTCGAGGCCCATGAGGCGCAAGTACCGGTTGGAAGCGAGGCGGCCACTGTTTCCAGGGAGGAGCTCCTTGAATTGAAGGCGCTTGTTGAAGGCGAGGATGCCATGATTCATGAATGCATTAATTCGCCGGAGATGCAGATGCATCCGATGAGGACTGGTGGGCAGGAGACGGGGACGAAAGCTACGGGGGTATCGTAGGTGAAGGGGTAGCATCGGCATCCGAAAAGAAGACCAACAACCCTTGCTATTCAAAAAATGATATGAGCGAACTCGTATATACAAGCGCCCAAGTTCCTTCTAGGTACCTTTATCGATATCGATTGCACCCGCGCTGTATCCAACTTAGATCAGAGCTCCGCGGCGAGCCACATGACATGGTATGATGGCGGGCCTCGCGCCCGCCCGCCCGAGTGCATTTCAAGAGGGCCGTGAGTCAGCAGCATCCAGGATGGCTACAGCATCACTAGTCGTACCTCCGGACGTAACGTCGAACGCCGTGGATCCTGGATCCTGACAGCGCGTCCCTCCGAGCTCGCGCTCGCATTCACCAGCATCGCCGCGCGCGACTCGCGAGTGTACGGGCCATTCTGCTGTCCTGGGGGGAGCCTCGCACTGCAGACGGGACAAAACGTCCTCGGAACGGCGGGCGCATGGCGGATTCGATAGATATTGATATTACCACGAAGAGAGCCACCGACGGTGACCAAGGGTGCTGCGAAAGGCACGATAGCCCGCACACAAAGATCTGCCCACATCATCCTCGTATGCCCACGGTTTGACTAAGGGTTAACGGAGGATCAGCGAGATATTGGGTTGAGAGAGATATGGGTTAATTCACCGTTCAGAGAGCACAGAGGGGGCCCCTTTCTCGGACTCGGCGTTGGTGGGTATTGGTGGGTGCTATTACAGTCGCGGTTTCCACTAAAGAGCACCATTTGACGCCAAATAGCACGGCCTATATAGTACTTGCGGTTTCGAAGCTAGATTCAATTGGGGGTTCCATATGATGTCAACGCCACTTCCCTAGACACATCGATTGGGTTTTTCATGGTTGTTGATCGGCCGAACGGCTGGTGAGGCAGGCGACTACGAACTTGACGGGGAATGATACGATGGTTGGGAGAGCGACGCATGCGAGCGAGGAAACTTGAGATTCCCCAGCTGCAGACATCGGAGATCGGAGACCCGCGCCCCCCCTGCTCTCTGGTCTCTGATCAGCGATCAGCGATTGACTGGGGACACAACTAAAATGCGAGAGAACAGCATTGGACTAGGACGATGTATATGGCGCTCACCTACCGCCGAGTTTTGAAGCCAACGCTGACACAGATACAGATACAGACACAGACACTTACCTTGGGGTCAGAGGATGACTCATTGATGACTTTCTTGTTTTTGGCTGTAAATGCCTGACTGGCATGCACGAATGCAAGTGCGCGCTAAGGGAAGCCGGGGGTCGCTTACACTGACCCGACGTAGATTGTGCTCATGTGCCGATGCCAACCGAAATGGCGACCGGCCAACGACTACTGGCCGCCCCGTACTCAAGCGCCCGCATATCTCCTTAGCAGAGATTACACGGAGACCGATCAACTAGTCGGTATACCGGCTTTGAATTGGCCTTGGCTTTACTGTAGCTACACCTGGCTACACCCGCCAATGTACTGCGCAGGTGTTTCAAGACAGAGTCCTAAATGTCCGACTCAGAGTACTTAAACACTCCAATGTCAAGGATCTGACCTTTGTCTGACCTCAACATTCTTCAACTCGTTGACCCCCCTCCCCGTCATCGAACAGACCCGCCTTCTCTCAGTTCCAATGTCGACGCCGAACCATCCGCTGTGGGCAGACACGGCACACGTACCACTATATACTACGCCTTCGAGGTAGTTTCTTCTTCGATGTCTTCAGGCGCTGCAGGATCTTGACTTCCTCCTTCCAGAGGGCTGTATCCACCCTCGGCGTACCCGTACCCCGCCTATCTCGAGGCCCCTTGGGATCACGTATCCACGCACGCGAGCGGCATCGTCCCGCAATTCATGGGAGGCCTCACGTCTGCCCCGGTGCCTCTCGACGCAGCCACAGGTCAGTACGGTGGTCACGACCACGCCATCGTTTCCTCGTCCGCCGCAGGCTGGATGCACCCCATCGACGCAGCTTGGCTGGCCCGGCAAGGGCTGGGCGCTCTGTTGGTCCATCCACCAGAGCAAGGCATCAGCGGGAACACCGCACCGACGATCCCCCACACGATCGGTACGCCAGCGCGAACCACGCAAGATGCCAGCGTCGAAGCTACGGTCCCGGTGGTCATCCGCCACACGATCGGCACACCAGCCATGGTCTCTTCGGCCGATAGGAGGCGCGTCCGGCCACGGAAGCACGGCTGCCACATCTGCAGCAGCATGTTCACGTCTAAAGAGAACAGAGACCGTGAGGATCCCTTCGTGCCATCGTCTCGGCCCTACAAACTCACCGTGCAGGCAGGCCATGTTCGTGCGCATTACGGGATCAAACCGTTCATCTGCCTTTGCGGCGTGGCCTTCACTACAAAGGTAGATCTCTCGCGCCATCGCAAGGGCGGGCGCTGCCCACTCGCCGCGCGCATCGAGTGATCGGTTTATACGCACTGACCGCGCCTCGCGCGTTGAACAACGGTGCTTGGTGGTTTGCGCCCCCGTGTATGTTTCCTATGATCTCACCTATGCCTAGAGTTCCGACGTTGTCAGCGGCGCTTTGTCTGAATGCCCTCCTGCCGCATCATCTGATTCTGTGTTGTTCGGCTCCCAAGTGTCCACCACATGTACATTAGCCTCCCGCCTCGAGAAATTATATAAATAGAAATCATATCAGCTGTCAACGCAGAATCCTGTAAGGCTGTGGACATACGAGCAGATGGTCGCATTTTTTCCACGCACCGATGAGCGATAACAAGACGGAGCCCTAGCCCTGCAAGAATACCCCTTGCCGTGGCACCGCTAGCTCCGTTCGTACCAGAGGCGTTCGCTCTTTTTCTTTCTGGCTTGCCCGCGGGGTTGCCGCTGCTCTGTGTTGCGCAAGCCCCTGCAGAAGGATGGGGCTGGTACAATCACGCACTCCGCCGCTGTATCAATTTTTGGGCTGTCTATGCAGAGATACCGCCTCTCAGCGATGAGCTACGTCCCACATCCATCGAAGTCCACTCTGCGTACTGTGCTATGCGCTGTTCTGGAAGAACTCGAAGCTCGCGGCCAAAGACGAGGGATGTGGATGTTAGGCATTCGGTGGATATGTCGAAGGGAGCCGTCGTGATAGTCACAGACACGAGAGTAGACATGTTGGGCCGATATCCCGCGGGTTTTGATAGAGCGACAGGATCCATGGGCGCGCGACTCGATCACGAAGGCGCACGGGAAGAGCGACATCCAAGCGTTGATGTGTCACGAAATGACGGAACGGGCAACACCCATGCGCAAGTAGACCGTGTCCGCAATCCCATCATCGTGCGGTGCATTCCAGGAGCGAAAGGTAAGTCACGCCATCGCCTGGTTGAAGGTGCCAGCCTTGCCCGTAATAGCCGCCTCCACGGAAACACACCCGTACGACGCGACGCAATTCAGACGGCCAGGGGGTCCCTCTAGCTGAAGTGCCAGCCGTAGAGGATAAGCAGAGACGCGACGAATGCACGGAGCCTATAATATCGCAACCGCCAGCGTCGACCCGTCATCGATCATCGCCAGAGTCAGCACCGGAAGAATAGTAGAAAGCAAGGCATGGGGTATAGGGAGTATAGGGAGTATAGGGCGTTATGTGCGATCCAGTGGCTGGCGTACGAGGCGAACGTTAGATGTGTCTCGGAGACGTATAGTTGCCAATATATATAGTGAGAAAATGGTTGAACGACAGCGGCGGCCCGACGGCCCGCCCGCTCGCATGCATCCGCGCGGCGCTTGATGATTTAGAGAGGGAACTGAAGGCTCCTAGCTTGCGTAGTTTCTACTTGTGTGTAGAAGTGAATGTAGAATGCGTGAGTGATTAGGAACGTATTCTCAGCGATTCCGACAGTATAGTCGAAGCTCAATATAATATGGATCCGCGGGCCGCGCCGGCGGTAGCTCGCTTCGAAGTGCTAGGGCGAGGATTCAGTGTACTCGTAGCCACATAAAGTAATTGGACACACGGTCACACACTTAGCCCAATTACCCAACATTCAGTGAATTCATGACTGAGCAGAAATAAGAGACTCCAACTTTAGATATGTAATAGGATGTATATAGCCTAAGGCTACTATTCATAAAATCAAAACCTGGTATGACCACCTCGTGCACGCAATACAGCCTCGACTCTCTCAGGCATGCCACGGATATGCTTGTCCACATCCTCAATCGGTAGCTCGTCCCATGCGCAAAGTACAGCTGCCTTTAAATCAGCAACAGTATTGGGAGGATGAGGTAAGGAGCGCAAGCGCTGTTTGAGCTCATGCCAGACTCGTTCGATTGGGTTGACATCTGGTGAAGATGGTGGATGGTATAAAAGTGGGATACCATGTGTGGTGAACCACTTCTTCGTTGTCTTGCTGGTGTGACTTGGTGCGTTGTCCTGTTGGACACATACAGTCCCCTTCAGGGCCTTCATCTCGTTGTAAAAATGAAGAAGAGCTCCTTCCAGGACTTGCTCCTGATATCGTGCGGAATTCATTCCGTTCCCCTTGCCTCCAGGGTACTCGAGCACAACTAGTGGCCCTTTCTGTCCCCGTATGATGCTCCCCCATACCATAACACGCGTAGAAGACTGGCTGAAGGATGGAACAACACAATCCTCATGCAGCTCCTCGCCAGGACGGCGTGTAACAAAGATACGGCCACAGTTGTCGCCCAAGTAGATGTACGACTCATCTGAGAATATGACCTGCCCCCACTCCTGCTCTTTCCACTGCCTGTAAAGCCTAGCCCAATAAACCCTCTTCTTCTTCTGATCTTTCGAAAGGTATGGAACCTTTTTTGCCACCCTCCGATGATAACCCTGCTCCGCCAGAACGTTTCGAGCAGTTGAGACTGAGATATTGAGCTGCAGTGTGTTCACGAGCTCTCTGAATGGTGCCCAACGCGATTTTCTAGCGGATCGCACCAGGAGACGTTTGGCACGATCGGTCAGTTTACGTGGACGACCGGAGCATGGTTGTCGAGATACGGAACCGACGGTATTGAATTTCTTCAGGTTGTAGTACGCTGTGCTGCGTGGGATGCCAAACAGAGCGGCTGCTTTGTTGACGGATTGGCCGCTTTTAACGGCACCAATGAATCGATTTTTCTTAGGGGTATCATGCAGAGTATGTGAGGATGTAGTGGTGCGCATTAGACACGGAAACGACGTGTTGTTGTTGCAAGGAGAGGCAGACAAATAACGCGGTCACGGACCACATTAGGCATTTGCTTACATAAGTCCAACTACTTTTTGTGGTTACGAGTATATTCCTAGACTAGGTAGATATTACTTGCATAGAATCTATGAGCGCTAGGAGGGCGCATATGACACAGCGTGCAGGATAACATATTGTTGCTAACATTACATATCCAATATGTGGAGTAAATGTGCAATAATCCTTCAATATAGAGTCGTGTAATATGTGATAAATATTTACTCACAATGGAAGGTTTAAGTCAGTTGAGGATAATACTGCCGTTGCTATCTCATACTCATTACATATTGGTCACACTCGAGATAACTGGGTATGACATGCTTAACTGAGATATTCTTCAGATAGCAATCAAAATAATACCGCAGATAATATCTGATCCTGCACCCAGTGTGAGTTCTCGATATGCATCCAGTGCGTACACCGTAAGCTCAGAGAATTAGGCGCGCGCCACGTCAGCAAGCCTCGAGTTGATGGAAGTTGAACAACCTTCACCAAATTACTGTCGTAAGTCATCAAATTTCCACCAAAAGTGCCGCTTTCTTGGCGCAAATCAACTACGGCAAGCAAAATCCACACTTCCCATAATTCAGAATTGTGGAAAAGAGGCCAGTTCAGCCAGAAAAAAACACGACCGAGCCTCCAAAGTACGCAGAATTTGTTTGGCCTTATTTGCACGGGCCTTGAACCCTTTAGAGCATGATTGCTTGCTACGCTCGCAATTAAACCCTATTACGAACCTGTAGAATGCGTGAGTGATTAGGAACGTATTCTACATCGAAGGGATATGTGAGTAATCGTTATAACCAGGCGTAGCAAGTGATTAGCATACCTCAGCGATTCCGACAGTATAGTCAAAGCTGAGGATGCGGAAGTGAAAATGAATGTTTTTATATGTGATCGAAAAGGAAAGGGGTTGGCTATATCTGGAAAGGAGAAATAGTGCCCGAACTGCTTAACTGTTGAGTGTGATCCATCTTCAACAGTGAACTGCTAAAGAGTGTTATTTCTTGTTTAGGGCATATTCACGCGCACCGTTCGTCTGCCCTTGCAAGGCAGTAGTGGCCTTCATTGCGAGGGCAGATCTCTCGCGGCTGCCCATGCTCCGTCCCTTTTCCTTGAGTGTTGCGCCCTTGGGCGTTCCTCCACCTGCACACAACTCACGCATGTACTAGTGTAAGTATATGTGTCGCGAGCGCCCAGCTCTGCGATGGAATCTACAGTAGCTACGAGGGCGCCGCAGGGTCTGATGTGACAACGAGGTCAGGTGTCATAGAGTGTGTTGTTGATGATCAGCGACCACGGTCAGGCATGCACGAGGTACTGAGCGAGTCTCAGGCTTGGCGTTTTCCGTCGAGAGTGGCTGCACACCTGCGACTGTGATCTAGGTGGTGTAAGGGCAACCTCAAGATAGCCGCACAGTGCAAGCCTAGCAGAGGGAGAATCCAAAGAAATGAATAAGACTAACTACAATACATGAGAGAGCTGCTCACCTAGCAGAGGGAGAATCCAAAGAGAACAGGATGGGGATTCTCCATGCTAGGAAGCGAAGTATATACTGTAGTAGCGTGGGAGGAATGAAGGGTAACTGTACAGTACACCAGCCACAGGTACGAACGAATATCACAAGGTACAAGGGGGCATGTGATAATGAAGTGGAAGGGGAATGTACAGGATTCGTGCCAGCGACCTGGGGAAGTGGGGACAAGGAGTAATGAAGTGGGAAAGGAGGATAGAGGTAGCCCGGACGAGCCCCGAAGTGTATCTACGAGTCCGAGCGAGTCCGAAGTGTCCGAGCGAGTCTGAGGCGTCCGAGCGAGTCCGAGGCGTCTGAGCAAGTCCGAGGCGAGTCCGAAGCGCGGGAAGACTTCGGAGTCACCGGACGGGGCTCGGATGCAAAGGGAGTGAACGGAAGGGAAGCGGAAAGGTAAGGGGGCGAGAGGAAGGGAGAGGGACAGGGGAATAGGAGAAAATAGGAGTGTCCCCTTACACACAAGCTGTTTTCCTAATCCACGGGCTGAGCGCACCTGAGAATGATCATACTGTCCTCTCACAAGACATCCGAAAGCAAATTGTGCTAAGATTGTTCATTCCGAGGCGCCGTCTCAGTGGGAGAGGACGTCTCAAACGGTGGTCAATTACTGTACATCTCCTCACGTTTGGTTTGCTGCCCCGTGGGGACAAATGGCCATTATCACTAATGGTGTCGTTCCAGAGAACATTGCATCGGCCCTAGAACCTTTCAGTGAAGCCATGTCGAGTCCGCATGAGGTTTACAACGTTGCCGGTCTCACCCCTGCGATACCGTTCAACAAAACCGCAAGATCCATCGGTAACAGCGATAACATGGGTCGCTTTTGGGGGGCCTCGTGGAGATTCACCCTAGTTTATCAATTTACTATCAGTCTTATTATCCTAACTTCAATGGAGAGTATTGACATTGAATACCAGATTCATCAACGCAGGAGTATGTGCAGTGAGCCCAACCAAGACTCAGTAGTCGAACTGTTTCACGCATTGATTGAACTATTAGATCGAGGAAGAGGATAGACAGTGCAAGTGCCTGCTTTTGATACGCCGTGCATTCGATTCCTCGAGTAATACGCTGTCAGGAAGCGAATCGGATCGGCCAATTTAACGGTAGCCTCGTGCCGTACTCAAACCGCAGCGGAAGGGCGGTTAGGGGCATATGGTCCCGTGATCTCTCATATATTTACCGAAGTCTACCTCGACTTCGACCCAACACTCGACCACCACCACATCATGCACTACCAACAACCACGACTCAGCAAATGCAACGAAGCCAGGCAAATAGCCGCTGTCAGCCAACTGATCCCCGAAGTAAGTTAGGCAACCAATCACCTCCTTACTAGCCCCCTTTATAACCATTCTAACCAAATCATCCCCAGGTCGATGATCACCCCTGGGAGGACCTCACGCAACGTTACGCAGCCCACTGCGCCCAGTTCACTTGGCGCTGCCTCAGAGCCTCCCCGAACTACCGCAAAAAGCCCGCATTTGCAGCGCCCGAGGTAGACCTGGAAGCTTTCATTGATGACCTCCTCTATGAATCAGGGGCCCCCCTCTCAGCGGCCGTCACTGCGCTCATGATCATATCCTGGATCACCGACACGGGCGCATGCCGCCTCGCCTCGTCTTCCCCCCACCACCTCTTCCTCGCGGTCTACGAAGTGCTCCTGCGCACCATCTACGCGCCAAACGAACCCCACGACGACGGGGGGCAGGCGGCGGCTGTCCTGATGCGCTGGGAGGTCGAAGCTGCGCTGGAGACGCTGAGCGAGAGGCAAGTACAGTTCGTCCTTGCACTCATCGACGAGGACACGGTCATCGAGGAGGAGATGAGGACGCTCGTCACCGAGCCGTATACGGTCTGTGTCTTTTGTCCCCTGGGTTCCTCGCGGGCGCTCATCCTCATACCCCTCTCTGCAGTATGAGTGCATCCATTGTCAGGAGAAGGCCCGGGCGGAATCCATTGGACGCATTAAAACTGCGTACTTCATCAGCCAGAACGTTCTTTACTGCGACTTCTAGACGTCTTCGAGCGTGAAACGAGGGCGAATGACCTACCGACTTGGACAATGAAGAGCATGTTCGTTGGGCACCCTTAGCTCCGAATGGAGACCATCACTGTTCGGCATATGACGATACTACTGTCTTCGCACGACATGTCCGCGATAATTCAATTGGCCGTGTTATATTTGATACTTCCTATATCAGTACCACCGCTTTTTCGCTATTATATTGTCGTACCGTTTCGCAGCATTTCTTGTGGTCCACTCCAATAAAAACAGCCCAAGCTATCAATATAACAATCGCTTTTGAGAATTCAACCTTTCATTATCTATCTAAGAAAAGTGCCCCTATGGCAGACACCAGGAATCGCAAACTGAGGAGTGATAACTGGATAGAAGCAAAATTGTTGCATTGTTGGTACATCAACTAATTTACAAGAAATTTTTGAGTCATAGTAGCTAATCGGATAGAAATTCTTGGAGAGGAGAAGAAGTTGGGTGCAAGAGATTGGTAGGTCGATAATAATTGAAGGACGAGCATTCACGAGATGGTGATCTTTTTGGGTGCCAGCTCAGGAGCCGACTTGGGGAACGTGACGGTGAGTACGCCATCCTGCATCGTGGCCTTGATTTCCTCGTCCTAAATTCCAGTATAAGTCATCTATACTTCTCATCTCAAGCACCATAATAATCGATTCAGCTCACCTTAACGCCCTGAGGGAGCTGGAGCGTCCGAGAGAACTTCCCGAACCGCCTTTCTCTCACAACGTATCCCTCCTCTTTCGTCTCGGTCGACACGTTGCTGTCCGCAGAGACGGTCAAGCGCCCGTTGTGCACGTCGATGTGCACGTCTTCCTTCTTGAACCCCGGAAGCTCAAAGGAGGCGACTACCGAGTTGGCTTTCGCATCCTCGTGGAGATCCATCCTGGTTGTAGCAGCAACAGTGCAATGTCAATCATATTATCGTAATGGAGTCGGAGGACGGGGATCGCCTACCTTGGATGGATGATGTTGGAGGTGGTGCCGATCTGGCGCTGGCGCTGGCCGTTGTTGTTGTTGCCAGTGCGGGCGTTGAACGCCTCATCGAAGAGGCGGTCAAAGTCCGAGAAGGGCTCGTAGTAGAAGACAGAAGACATTGCTAGTTGCTAGTTGCTAGTGGAGGAGAAGGTTCGTAGAGTAATGCGGTGCGGCGAGGTTGTTATCGGTGTTGTTGTTGTTGAGTTGATTTCTTGCGGGCACTAAGCCACGAAGGGGCTGCTCTTTATACAGCGAGCGAGGAAACGCCTGGAATCAACGCCTATGTTCCGACGATCTTGTCTTCATCATTGAAGACGCCTAGCCCGTCTCCTCCACCTCAGATCGAAGGTGCTCGAACATCGGAGTACGTCTTGTGCAAATGTTCAAGCTCGTAGAAATTTCTGGAAACTAGCTATATTGAGAAAGAGACAACGGCTAGAATCCCGTAGATTTCTCTGAGTAGCTAGCAGAGGGTGGTGCGGAGTGTCCGCCGCAGATTTCGAGAGAAGGAGAAAATTCCAGCAGAAGTGGTGTACATGTACTTGGGAAAGAGACGAGCGGGAGACCCGCGGAGCTTGTAGATCTTTGTCTGCTTCGGGAGCTGGTAGTAAACAACGGAAGCAAACTTGAGTACTAGTGGCGCTTATGCAAAAGTTTGAGCGCCTGATAGATATCTTTCAAAAACACCCACTGTGCTTATCTCATACCGGGCTTGGAAGCTCTCATGCCTCTCGATGGCCATGCGTACTTGGTCGCCCAAGGCTGGGCAGGAAAGGGCTCCGGCCTCCGCGAGGGCGCAATAAGTAGACCTCTCGCTATCGCACAGAAGAAAACACTCTCCGGCCTTGGTAAAGATCGTGATGAGGCCTTTCCGTTCTGGGACCAGTTGAGCAGATACATCTTCATCCCGAAAGGTGTATATTGTACTGATTTGCTCGTTGGTGACAGTCTATTCTCCGCCGCATCGACTTCCATCAAAATTAAAATCGCAGATAGTGATGACGAGAGTGTGAGTGATACTGCTCCGTACGCAGCTTATGTCGCTGGTGTAGAACCAGTGTGATCATTCATCATTAGGACGATATAATCGTTGCGAAAGAAACGACCGTCTTCAAGCGCACGGGCACTGGAATTCTGTGCAATCGGCGGCCCCTGCTCGGTACACCCGCGACATCCTCCGGCTCAACCACCCCCTCAATCAGCGCCGAATCGTCTGCGGCGTCGAATGCCTCTTTGTTGACGCTTGCGAAAAGGGAGGCGGCGAAGAAAGGGCTGTATTCGCGGTTCTTCCGGGGTCCGGTTCTTGGGCCTGAAGACGGTCTTGTTTCAGAAGATAAAGAAGAGGAAGATACGAAGGAGGGCTGCGGCAGCGGTGAAATCACGCCGGAGCCGGAAACTGAGGGTGCTGGTGGCGAGCGGAAACGGAAACGGCGGAAGGGCCCTGAGCGAGAAGGAGACGAGGGAGATGAAGGTGGTGCTGGGGAAGGGACTGAACAGGGAACATCTTCGTGCAGCGCGGGGGTCGTAGGCGATGTCGGGGAGCGAGAGAAGTCAGAGCGGAAACGGGCGAAACTAGAGAGGAAGAGGGCGCGAGAGGCAAGAAGACAGGCGAAGGAGGAGCGACGGAAGGCTAGAGAGTTAAGGAAGCAGGAGGAAGAGATGCAAGTTGAGGAGACGAGAGCGGCGAAGGTGTTACGAAAAGGGAAGAGGAAGGAATCAACCCAGCAACATGTAGTAGTATCTCATGGCGCAGACGGTCCTCAGGAAACAGGACGAGAGCAGAAGACCAAAAAACGCAAGAAGAAGAGAGATGCGGGCGACGATTTAGAGGATATCAAGGGTGCTGATGGGGTGACCAAGCCGCTAGTGTCCCCTTCGCTCGTGGAGCACGACTCTTCTGCCTCCAAACCCAAAAAGAAGCGCAAACGAGACAGCGACCAATAATATATAACAAGCTATCCTCCTTGTTTGCATATGGCTAATACATTTGATTTCGTGTCATTCTGACGGTATATATATGACTATGCCAAGTACACTACCGGTACAACAACCCATATCTCATTCAAAGTGGGTAATGGGGGTAGACCAAGGGATCCGAATGAATGTTTGCGTGAGTCGTGATGAAGGTTAAACAATTACTAGAGTTCTACTCGTTGAGATGGGATGAGGAAATGGAAAGATGGAGGAAAAAGTTGATGAGTGGGGAAAACAAGAGACGAATATGTAGTATCTAACCGCCTGTGTTGCGCCATGCGCTCTGCATAGCAATTCGTCTGGCCTGAACATACATCATCAATTTCCTACCCAGAGTAAAAGATATAGTAGATGCAACGAACCTGGTCAAGGGAAATGGAGCCTTCACGTAGTTCGACCTTCTGCCTAGTATCGTCGTCGTCATCGTCATCATCGTCCCCGCCGAACGTAGTTGTTCCGCTAGGACTGCGTAGACCACCAAATGCCGCTTTCCCTCCCGCCAGCGAGAATGGTGACGGAGCTACCTTGGTCCCGAAGACACTGGCGTTCTTTGGCGCTCCGAACGCAGCAAAGTCGGTAACAACCTTGCGTGGCGGCGAGCTGGGTGGGGAGGCTGGGATGGCAGGCGTTGGCCGTGATTTAGTATAGCTTGTGTAGCTTGGACGTGAGTATGACTGCCGTGCTTGCAGGTATTTGTCGGTGAATCGAGTACCGTGTACCTGCCAAGTAGTGGTCTATGAGGAAATACACTACGCAGGGCGATGGGCGAGATATCTTACCCTCTTCAATAAAGGCCTGGCCAACGCCAAAGACGGAGCTTCCATGAAGACTGCGACATTGTGCGCCGATTCTTCCGATTCCTTGTAAATTGTCTCGATGACGACCTTCTTGGTGCTTTCATTTCGCAACAGAAGCTTTTCGTGGAGTTCACGAGCCACTTCGTCTACGCTCTCGTTGTTTCCGAGGATGCGCTGCGCGACGGCGTGCCCAACCTCTCGAACGAGGCGCTCCATGTCCAGGTTTTCTAGGACACTCCCGACGATGGCATGCGAGAGGAGATCTGCGGTGGTGAGCGGCAGCATGAGGCCAGACGTAATGGATGTGATGGCTTTATAGAAATCGGTTGCATACTGTATGAAACAGATTTATCAGGAGTTAATATGAGTTCGCAGTGCGAAACGTACTGAATAACCGCTCAATGCAGGTTCACAGGCGACGAAGTGCTAGTCATGATCAGTCCCCAAGCTTGTAGATCACGAAATGGGCACATACGAGCGTAATGCCCCGAGAAGCCAAAAGGCGGACAATTTGCAGAGGATCCTTTCCGTCTGGTGAGCCGTCATCGAATCCTAAGGGAAATCCTTCAGTCGGAAAGGAAACTCTCGAGCAAAGGAGGGAGCGCGCACCATCGCCGTATTCGCCAATGCCATGAGGTGGTGCATCCGCAATCAACACCACCATCTTGCTAGCCTGGGGCCGCCAGTCTAGATTCATCAGCTCGCCTAGCGCAGCAGTGACAGCTTCTGGACCATCTCCTCCTCCTGATGCGTACAGCGACGACAAGTCCTTCTTGACCTTCGCGATATCTGACGAAAATCCAAAGTTCTTGGTGATATATGTGTGATCTTGCGGTGGATGGTCCCGGAAGGCGATTAACCCAATACGCAGGTCCTCTGGACTTTGTAGCTTTCCCGATTCGAAGATGCTTGCGCAAATCTGCTCGATATTTTTCGTTGCAGAGGTTATGTAGCTGCCTTGGCTACCTGTGCAATCCTGAATGAATACGAGATCCCTGGGAGAAGCGGTAAGCTCTCTTCGACGCTAGAACTACAGAGTCGACGACCTACAGCATTTTGTGGCCATCGGAAGGTACTTGGACGGGAATTGAGTGCTGCAACGGCTGTGGGCCCGAGTCGAAGTCCATGTCTTCATCCATGATGTGAAACAGTCTCAAGAACGCGCGATTCTAACTTGCAATAATGGATTCAAATCACTGAGCAGTTGAAGAGGGGCGGCGCTTTGTTTGTAACGGATGTTATGATATCTGATTATGAGATGCACCTGTGCTGCGCGCTCTGGACTGAAAACGCTGGATTCGGTCTATGGATGATCGATGAAAAGAAATAAAATGCAGGCTGCACTCGCCCAGACTATAAAAGCAACCTGCAGGCAGGAGGACATGAGGCGCGTAACCCTCATTCCAATTTGATGCAAGGTCTCGTATCGGATCTTGTTGCATCGTGAATCAGATACCCCCCAAATATAACAAATCCAGGCAATCTACTACTACTTGCGCCCGCTAAATATCCACCCCAGCCATGGCGTGGCCCAATTAAACGACCCAGGAGGTCCAGGGCGTATGAATGTACGGTAGAGCATAAACAATCCAGCAGTGCACCCTCCAACAAGAGCAGTTAGCTTGACATACGTCCGCAATCTGGCGGACGCAGACATCGCCCGATCGGCACCACCGGGAATTGACGAATTGCTGAAAAGAACATCAAATCACCTCAGTGGACACGAGGAGGTCTGCAAGGCAAGCAAACGCACGGGCTCATTGCAATGCTGCAAATCGCGTGGAATACATCCGCCATCTGGCCTGTCTTCACGCTGACGGCAACAGGAACCTGCAGGCCTAATCGGCGGCAATATACATCGGGCTGGACTTCGTGTCTCTGATCGGCCCGTTAATCTGAGAGGCTTCTGGGGAGGAAGTTAACGTACCTGCAACGCGAGGTCAAGATCTGATTTGGTGGCGACAAATAGAGTAGGAATATGATCAAGACTATACTGTTGCTGAAACCCAGAGCACAGGTAAGTAGCGCCCAGTGCGAGAGTGACGAAAAGCAACTCACACGAAGATTACTGATATATGAAAACGAATTGGTGTCGCTCGAGTCGTGGACATAGACAATGACGTCGGCAAGATCGGTTTTCTTCTGGTTACGCAACGTCTCCGCCTCATACCTAGAGCCGAATTCTTGCAGCTGCGAAGTAAATGAGCGTTAGATTGACACACAGCAATTATGAAGGACTCACCACCAAGTACTTTTGTGACCCATCTATTTCAACCGAGTTGACGACACTTATCACTCTGTTCGTGGGCTCATAAAGGCCCGTGAACCCCTTCCCAGCGAACGCTCGTAGGAGAGATGTTTTCCCCGAACCGGCTGCTCCGCATACGTAACAGAGGAACACGTTCCGTGCGGATTTTCCTTTCCTTCTGTCAGTCTTCCGTGGTCGAGTCACCTGCATAGCACCTGTGCGTGGTTCGTTGGGGTAGCCCAAGTATGCGAGATATGCAAGGGTCGTTTTATGATCTAATAGAGTAGTCATGCTACACGGCACTATGTCATTAATGAAGGAGCGAGTGTGGAATAGGATAATTTTGACGCACCTCCATTGTGCTAACCATCCCTGCAGTGTAACGGCTCCAGCATCGTCCGAGAGTGTTGTGTCCGGGAACTTCTGTGTGGCCCATGGGTTCCCCGGGGAGGTGCTCAGCAAGTCGTTAAGCTCTTCAGGTTTCAAAGCCCCGTCCTGATCTTTATCGAAGACTTCAAATATATCAGTGAAAAACTGATATCCCAGTGGGCTTAACTCGACTGAGCAATCATATGGTACTTCGAATCTGTCAATCGAGGATCAATTCTTATGACTCATGAAAGAGGCATTTGGAAGGAACGTACTTGGGGAAAAGAAAGGATTCGGCCAAGCGGAGATCTTCCCCATACCCGAACTTCCGAAGGACAGTCCATGTCGTTTCTAACCGCCCGCGCTGGATGAAAGTTGTGTGGAGGTACAAAAACCCAGCTTCCGTCAACCCTCCATCTCGAACCCCACCTTCAGCGTGTTCTCGAACCATCTCTTTAATACCTTCAAGCTCCTGTGACTGAAGTGGGGCGTCAAAGCATTTTCTCTGAAGAGTTGTCAGTATGAGGGAGCAGAGCGGCGATGTTAACTGACTTGAAACTCATTAAGCTCAGCCGCGTCTAGAATTCCATCCTTGTTCGTGTCGCATAGCTTGAAGATACGTTTGAGGGCGTTGACACAGGCGGGTTTAAGGACCTACAGTTGAGGTTTAAGTCAAAGGGACGGAGAAACACGTAATATTAGAACACACATGCTCTCTAGAGTCATAGAGGGGGGCAGTTGGATGGAGGACGGCCTTCTGAGCGAAGTAGAAGACCTCGGACACGTTCAGGGGCATCTTGGCCGAACACTCTACGCATGTCTCTACTTCCTAGGAAATGTATTCAGAGTCATCGTATACATAAGAGCCGGAGCGTGAAACACCTTGAATTCGTTCATGATTGGAAGAATCTCAGCCTCCAATGCCTCATTGGTGACCTCGCCGCCTCGTAAGTCTATCTTGTTCCCAACGAGGATAACGGGTACCTGACGGCGACCTCAGTCGGGGAGTAAATGGGACCTAATGAAAATACGCTTACATTTACACCCAACTGCTTGAAATGAGGCAACCAGTATGTTGGAATGCGATCGAATGAGTTAGGGTTGTCGATTGAATAAACGACGCAAATGACATGAGCTTTCCGTATTTCTGACTCGAGGTGAGGCTTGTCCGATGGTCCGGCTGCAATACGAGTGTCGGTACCACGTTTGCGCGCGTCCGAGCAAAATGAAAGCTGGTTTACCTCCGGAATCCACAATGTACGTTGTAACATTTTCTGGTGTAACCTCTGGCGGAATTGTGACTTCGGGGACGATGTGCTGAACCTGTGGGCGTCGCCGTCAGCATCGAAGATGGCCTGAGCGCACTATGCAGCGGGTTACATGTGACACGAAGGACTCTTTGATGAGAGAAGTCACGATGGTGCTCTTGCCAACACTCTCTGCGCTGGGCGGTCAGAAAGCAGGGCCAGAAGGAGAGTTCGCGGTGCGCACCATCGCCTACGAGTAGTATGCGCACATCTCTTCGCATTCCAGAATACAGCGCGGCAGAAAAATAACGGAATTGTGTGAGCGGTGCGTCGACTGGAATTCTGGTGACACCACGGTCCACGGCCAACCCTTTGGTCATGTGACCTGACAGGAGGCGTGAGGAATCTCGCCGCTGAGTCCGAAGAAGTTCACGATCGCCATTGCAGCGGCGGTGGCACAGCGGCCATACATTTTTGCTGTGCTGGTTTTCACTGACTCCATATATCTAATTTACAGTGTCGGAGTCCTTTTAGCTTTGCTTCACACAAAGCCTTTGTATAAATACCCTGCGCTGAAGAACCCCAAAGCGTGCGATGTCTTTGACCGACCTTCCTTCTGATGTCCTCATCCTGGCCTTGCAGGACCTTTCGGCGTCAGGATTGGCGGCTGTATCGTTGACGTGCAAGTCTCTACATACACTGGTAAAGCGCTGCCCCGCCCCTCGAGCGTTCGCTGGCGCTGATGCTTTATCACTAGGTCGAGGAATTCGGATGGAACGGTCACCTTCGCTCCAATCCTCGCCCAGCACTCAGCGTAGCCAAGGCTCAGGAACAGTGGGCCCCGAGACGCAGAGCACGGTATAACACACTATCGGATCGTGCTTGGTCACGCGCCGATTTTACAGCCAGACCACTGTCTCGCCCATGGACGGGGAAATTCCAACCAGCAATGGCCATCAGTCTGTCTCGATTAGTCGTGGCGGCAGGCAGCACTCTGTACTCCTACAAATTTGCTGCTACATCCCCAAGCGAGCTTGAATCCCCGTCCGTCGTGTTCGAAGGTTCGGTCCGCTTAGCTACAGTCCCCAGCGCCGTTTACGACATCACCTGCCTGACCTTCATCGACGACGGTGGACTCGATCAGACCCTCTGTGCTGGCTACCACGGCGGGGAAGCGGAGCGCGTCATTCTGATACCTCCAGATGAAGCTAAGAACATGCCGCTAGCGGTTGTTCGCTTCCCCCTCTTCCATCAACGCCAGTCCGATACAGAATTCTTGGAGAGCCTGAAGTACGCAAACAATCGTCTTCTCTCCCTGTCCTCTACGGGGGTCGCCACTTTATCTACCGTGCCAGCCAGCCCCAACGATGAAGTCACTTCCTCGTCGATTGATATCAAGCAGCGCAGCTGGATATCGCATCTGTCCTTGGCATCTTCTTCTCCATTCGCTGCATTCGGGGCGTCGTCTACCACTCCATTGACCGTCTATTCAATTCAGCCTGATCGTATTTCCCCGACCCCTTCTGTCAATTTATGCATGACCAGAAGACATATCAACGGCCCAACTTTCAGCTCCGCCGTGTACGGTATCTCTCGAGCGCCCCCTTGCTCTGTTTGGGGTGCCTCAGACAATGTAATAGTCTCCGGTTGGTACGACGGCCAAGTGAGAATATACGACCTTCGCGCGGACGAGCATCCCGCGGTCTCCGAATCGTCCACCACGACACTCGCACCAGTTCTCTCTGTTCTCGACCCATGGTCATACGAACCCATATACGATGTTGCATGTGGTGGAGGCTCTGGGACGCACATAGCCGCTGGCTCCGCTCGACACAGTGTCGTCTCTTTTTGGGATGTACGATCACCGCAATGTGGGTGGAGCGTTTATGCTCCAGGCAATGATTCGTCCCCCGTTTACTCAGTGATCCTCGAGGGGTCTCGTTTGTTTGGGGCAACCCAAAGCCGGCCATTCGTTTACGACTTCGGCCCAGATGTCAAAAACGACACATATCCATCACTTCCAGACGCTCCCGGCGCGGACGGATTGAAAGGGAAGAAGGGGGCTGGATATCAAGTGGTGAAATATAAGCATAATCGCGGTCTCCCTAATGGATATTGAAAGACACTGGAAGCAATTTTGGATGTTCTTTCTATTATAGAACCACCGGCGATGACTATTTGAATTACAGATGTATGATATACAGGACGGTACAATGTAGATTGCGATAGCAACTAATAGTGATGAGCAAAGGAAATGGTTGAACGGAGGACACACATTGATAACTGAACAAAACGAATAATAGCCTGAACGATGATGATTGAAAAAACAAATCGAATAAGTGAAGAATGAAGGTATAGACCTCCAGGTAGTCCGGAGCTCATAATGCGGGGATGGATGGATATAGTGTGTTATGCGGGCGGTCCAACTTGTGTTCGGGTTGTCCAATTGAATAGCTGGCGCATGTCGCTGACAGGTGGCGCATCTGCCGGTTGCTTGGGTTCTATTTGCAAGCTGGCAGAGATTCCTGTCAAAAGGTGTGCACACACATGCGAAACAAACGGCCATACCTTCTACGATATAGATCTTGTAAGTCACCGTTCCGTTTTGAATTCTCAAACGCAACATTTAAGAACTCGTGGACTTCTGTGATAGCCTTCAGGGTATATGGAACTTGAAAGCGTTGCATATCTACTGATGGATTAGTACCCATCGACGTGTTATGGCAAGCAATGCCCACCTTGAACAATCCGCGCGAGTTTGTGGTATTTGTTGAAGTTGATGAGCTTCTTGTTGGGATTCCGAGGAGATACGCGATATGATTGATTACCCTCTCGGCAAAAAGTCACGTCCGTTAGATATAGACCTAAAACATACACAATCCATCAGCTTTGCAGCAAAGATGACCATGTGGCGCCGCTGACCTAGGAAAGGAACGGCCGGGGGCGCAGTATTCCGAAGGCGAGACCGGTACTCGTGGTAATTACGTCCATGGTCAGCAAGCTTCCTCAAGGCTTCAAGCTGGAGTTTGTTCTTTTGCGGAATACCCTAAACTGGCAATTGAGTGCCGAGGTTTGTCCGTGAAAAGACTATTAACGCACCGTCCACGTTTGATGAAGTCGGGAGATCGTAGAGGAGTCCAAAGCGGCCAATATTGAACGAGAGGTACTGAAATTATTGATCGAGGTACAGCGCTGCGACCGTTAGATTTATAAATCACCAATCGGACTTGCTGAAGAAATGGGGGGACTCACATCGGCAACTTTGATGAAGAATTTCACCAGCGCTGTCCGCTTCTTAACGTCCTGTTCGCTCAAGATGCTCTCAGCCACCCAGCCGGTGATCAATGTGCTCAGAGTCGTCACGGACTTGACTGTAACAGGCGCCTTTGCACCCTCCTGGCCTGTCTCTAACACCTCATCAGGGAGAATAGCGCAGTATAAATTGCACTCCATGATCGTCAGTTGCCTCGCCAGTTCCAACGAGTCGAAATCTGTGATCGCTATCGAAGCAAAGTTCTTGCTTCGTAGCGCTGCTAGCAAGGTCTTCGTCATTGAGGGTCGGGGAATCTCCGATGACATTGGAGCAGAAGGCGGGTTGATCGCTAAACCAAGATCGCGCGGGCGAGTATCCCGGGGGCTAATGGCAACGTCGGCGTGTTGCAGCACTTTACCGAGTGACTCAAGGATCCGATGAGCGGGTGCTGGGTACTGTATTGATATGACTTCCTTCGCAAATTGGGACAACGCAGGTAGTGCGACCTCATCCGCCGAGCGCCAATTAGATTCAACCCACGTCTTCACGAAGTTGGACACTCGAAGTCGCATTGGCGAGCCTTTCTGCCGTTGCCAGATGTACACATCCTCTTCGGTGATGCCGGGCGGCGGCTGTAAATTGTACCGAGCAACGAGCTTCTCTACCAACTCCAGAGGGGTGGAGAACAGACGGAAAGTCATAAAGAATACTGTGGCAAATGTATGATCGACAATGCTACCGTGAGGTGTCATCTTTTCGACCAGGACATCGAGAGAAGCACCGACGAGGACGCCTTCGCTGTTGTAGGCCACTTCGTCTTGAGGATGATCATGTAGGAACATCCATGCGATAGGATCGGTAGTGGTTTCATGTATAACCTCCAGAGGAACCGCAGGTAGTTGACCGTGGAATCTCTTGTCTTCGATCGATCTACCACGACCGTGGCCACGGGCGCTACCTTCCCAAGTCGTTCCATCATCCGTACGCGCAAATGACGTGGGCGATGGAAGATCAGGTTCAACAGGATAGTCAGATATCGTTAATGGTGGCAGCGGCTTGTTGTCGTCGGGTGTGGTAACGGTGGTGTCCTCAGAGTGCTGCGAAGATAACTGAGACAGAATGCTCTGATCCGAACCTGACGAGGAGCCCCGTAGTTTCGACCTAGTCGGAGAAGGCGTACGAGCTTGGATGGTTAAATCTTCTTCGGCGACACCATGAGGCGAGTAACCTTCCAGCACATGTAATTGCGACGCAGGAAGTTGCTTCACGAATCCACTGGGGGAAGACGGTGCTACCTCCCCTTGTACAGGGAAATTGATGACAAATGGCCCTCCCACTGATCTATTCAGCCCCAAGCAGACTTTCACGGCTGCAACACAGTCCGCACCGGCTTTCAGAGCGGCGGTCGCAGACCTCAGAAGCAACTGCTTTTCGTCTTCCTCGCTCAAGGCGGAAGCCGGCGATATAGTGAGCAACCGCACGGATTCCGCAAGTTGGCTTGTCACCATGTACAATCCATCCTTGGCATGCCGCAGGTTGATCAGCTTCTGAGCGAGGATATCTGGGTGCTGAAGGACGGCTTCCACTATGGTTAATAGCTTGCAGACGTTCTCGACGATTTCCCGAACGAGATCGTACATGTGGCCGGTGCTTGAAGCGTGAGATGTACGAGAGTGTGAATGTGCATGTCCTATGAAGGCAGCGATGGTGGAAAGATATCGATCGTGGGTGGCACGCAATGCATCGAGGACTTGTACTGCACTGGTCGGTCCGGCGGGGAAGTTGACTTTCGGTGCATTAGAATCGATGGAAGATAGGGATGAAGACGAGGATGTACTATCAACGGACGACATGCCAGGTCTGTGGCGAGCGATTATCCGATCACGTAGTGGAAACTTGGCCTCATTAAGCTTCTTCGCACTTCGATGAGGTAGTAGGGGCATCCCAGCATCATCGTATCCATCCTCCATTTCTTTCGTTTGCTGCCGAGCATATTGAGCTGCGGGACTTTTCGCGCGAAGGTTGGAACCAGAATTAGCGATAAATTCCATAGCAGCTGGCTTATCCGAGTCTGCGTTCTCAAGCGGAAACGAATCACTATTTGGGAATGGATCTCTTCCTCTGTCGTCAAGAGCGGTGTCATTGGACGAACTGATCGAAAGCATGGAGTCTCGCCGATCAGGCAAATCGAGGCCACATTGGACAGCAACGGCAAGGAACCGTCGCACGTAAGCAAAAACTTGCCCTCCAAGTCGAAGCATGACTTCGATTTCATATTCACGGTTGTCTTCTTCTTCCTGCGTGTCTGATGCTTTCTTCGCTTGCGTCACTAGGGCGGCCAGGACAGAAAGTATGCGCTTCCGCTCCATCGCTAGGACGGGGAAGCGTTGGAGAAGTGGGGCATCCTTGGGTAGACATTGAGTAGTTGTTAAGATAGCGCGCACGGACGATATTATGTAGGCTGTAGAGGGCCGGAAATGGGCCATTCGGTTGGCGCGGACTGCGTTTTGGAGGATAGAGAGGCCGTGTAATAGGTCGGTCATAAGAGGCGGGCAGTATGAATCGGCATCTGACCCCATTGCTTCAGTGGTAGAAGGTCTTCGACCATGACGTTTACTATCGCCTGACGAAGTGGTGGTCCAAGAAGTAACAGAGGAAGTTGACATGGAATGAGAATGTCCTGGTCGTTGCCGCTGGAATGATTTAACAACCATATGACTGTCGTTAAGTAGTATATAAACTCACTGCAGGCGTTTCTGGAAGCTCTTCTTCCTTGATCGAGTCAACATGGGAGCTTACATAGTTACTAGGAAACCACCCTCGGCGTCCGTCCAGCTCTCCGTCCCACCAACCGCTGGTATCGCGATTTAGAACATGTATAATTTGGCCCGCGTGAAATGATAGGCATGTCGCACTCTGATGCTGCGGAGCATAATCGTGCATAGCGAGAACGTATTCAGGGGCCAGCCGGACTGTTTCTTCGAGATAGGGACTGGATGGACTGGATGGAGGTTCCTCGAAGCTGTCTTCCTGATATTGCAATGGGAGCGATGCCGATGATGCATTAGTGGATGAGGATGTGGGAGAAACTATTGATAATGAAGAGGCGTTGGAAGTAGTCGAATCGCTGCGAACCCGTCCCTTCACGCTCGGATGCGATTCCAGTGCAGGCGTGTGGCTGCGTGAACCTGCTCTGCTAGATGAGGGACCGCTCGCTCGCACAGAGGTGTCGATTTTTAGGCCAGAATACATAGCAAAAGGTTAACAAATTGGGAGACCTAAGTCTATTAGGACCTTGAAGCCGCCGAAGCGCGTTTTACGTTTAGAGCACTCACAGGTATGATAAGATTAGATATAACTTCGCCGTACGCAGGCAATAGGACCAATCCAATGTTCGCCGCGCGCCGGGGGTATGAGGGTGATTTGGCGAGAAGTAATGAAGTCGTGAGGTCGTAAATACAAGCCCGTGCGGTGGTACTGGGTCGAATATGGTGTTCGTGGAGTCCTTTCAGTCCAAAAGGCGGGCTCTCCAGAGAAATTTGGGAACGAAACCCCGAAACTGAGGCGTAGCGAACGGAAGAGGACGAGCGTCCGGAAGAAAGTGTGAAGGCCAGGGCGCGAAGTAGCCAATGCACTGCTAGCCTTCCCAACTTGGAGCAAACATGTCAAAACACACTTCCATTGAAGCTGCCACTCCGAGCCGGGTGTCGGTCTGATACACCTCCAGAGATCAGTGATGTAAGTGCATTGAAGGAGGCGTGGTCAATTTATTCCATGACTGCTGCCGACCTTCATGGATCATTCACAGGGCCCGACAATGATGCTTCGATCGGGTTGCTGCAAAGGCATCGCGGTCACTGCGTCTCAACCCGTCCAGAACATGGATGCTAAGTAACCGTTGCTTTGAAGTGAACGCTGGTTTATAACAAATTCATGCGTTATGAGGAAACACCTCATCGCACACCTGGTCTCCGCAACGATCATCGATATTACTGGCCTTGAAAGGTATCGCTTACTCATCCTCGCAAACAAGGGATGATGAATCATGAACGGCTGCCCGGGAACTGGCCAGTCATTATGGTATCCAAAAGGTAACGGGAAATGATTTTCCTTTCTTCCTCTGGGTCTACTGTTATCGCACCTTTTATCTTAAAATTATCAGCCATTACTCTGCTATCTATCCTACGGGCACACCATCTTGCTGTTCTGACTCATAGAATCAAGATAATCATATACGCCGACGCTGTTCTCTTCCTCTTCCATTACTCTTTAGCTACCGAGGCCTCTCCAAGATCCAAACTTGGCACTCGGAGAATGGCTGTTGAGAACATTCCACCTATCGCTCAAGAAGGAAAGAACTCATATCGTTCCGACTTCCTGGGGTCTGCAGGCATTACTCGGCTACCATTTTAGATTCCGTTCGCCACATATAATCAACAAATACGTCTAAGTTGCGTTCGAGTCCTGATGTTCGCCCTAAGACTGGTAGCAGGTGTCCTCAGCGTGGTAGACACACTGTCGATCTGACAGACCTTGGCATTTCTTTTGTCTATCGTTTGATGTACCTAGTGCGGCCGCCTTGACATTCCATCCGATTGATGTTCTTTATGGCTAATCTCTTCGTCATGCGTTCGGTGAGTGCCGTTTGGCATTTGTTCGGTGGTTCTGTCGTTCGACTGGCGTATTTCATTAAAGCAGCTAGACATCCATAAATAAGAATCCCCGAACCCCAGCACTCTTATTCACATCGAAGTCGCAACATGGCAGTCGCTGGTCCAATAATAACCACCTACTATCCTATCTTCCTCATACCGATCTTCTGCCTTGTCGCCTTCAGGCTTCAAAGAGCTGCTAACAAAGGGGACATCCGTCGTCTCCCGCTCGTGGTGAGTCACTCACTCACTTGCGATATAACGGCATTCACATCTCTGTTAGTCAACATCCATCTCACATTGGCTTTTTGGCCATGAGCTACTCGTCTTTATGCACGATGCATCACAGATGTACTCGATTTGGGCTCAGTCCCTTGGCCGCGTCTACCGTATCAAAGCGGCATTATTCCATCCCGATATCGTGATTGTCACCGACCATAAGGCCGTTCACCACATCCTCACCCACACCGATTACGGCAGGGAGCCATCATTCAGACAGATCATAGCCCATTCCGTAGGGAGAGGAATAGTTTGGGCAGATGGTGCAGACCATGCGTATCAAAAGCGACTTCTGTCGCCTGCGTTCACGTAAAGCAACAATTCCATTGATTGCTGATTGCTAGCTTGTACTCATTCTACGCATTAACAGCGCGGCCACTGTTGAGGCCATGGCCCCAGCTATTTTTGACTGCGCAGACGAACTAGTGGATAAACTCGTGACATATATCAATGCGTCCTACGGCCGGCAGCAATCCGTGATCAACATACGAGATCAATGCTGCGCCTGCGCCTTGGATATTTTTGGAAGGATCGGGTTGCGCCATGCCTTCGATGCCCTCAAATCTATGCCCATATCCCCCGGTCATGCGGCTCCACTAACGATTCAGACTGACGCAACACTGATCATACTAGCGTGGCGAGACCTCACGCGTACTAGTCAATATCTTTCATCGCTCGTGGCGAGGGCTTTCATTCGTGCTTATCCCATGGTTGCCGACCTTCCTTTGCCTGGCTTGGCAAGTGTCAGCAGCCAGACAATTCAGAGGCTCACGAAACCGCTCTTGAGAAGGGCGCAAGCTGCTTCTGACGGCGACAATGACAACGACAATATTCTCTCAATATTAGCCCGCGAAAGCAAGAGTCTATCTGAATATCAGATTGTACAGAACGTGCGCACCACTAAATTCCTTTATACGTTTCGTGTCCGACTGGTTTGTAGATGTCTTCTCTATTGTGCGTCGAAAAAAGCCCCTACCTTCAGGGTGCTAAAGCGATATCTAGATCCGCCGGGCACGAAACAGTGGCCGGCACTGTATCTTTTATTCTTTCAGAACTCGCGCGCCACCCGGAGGCCCAGGTACCTTCCTTTCCCTCCCAGGGTACATCAACTTCCTTATACAGACCTATAGATTCGCCTGCGACAAGAAATTGTAGAGGCCGGCCGTGCTTTCAGTTATGAAGGCATCCAAAGGCTACAATATCTTGATGCAGTAGTCAAGGAAGGGTGAGGAACAAATTTATGGTAGTTGTTATGTCGCTACTCAAATTTAAAACTTACATACAGCCTTCGAATCCACCCTCCCTCGCAGATGACGGATCGCGTGGCACTTGTTGATGGAGACATCCCCCTCTCAGCACCTATCCAGGGGCAGGATGGAGCTCCTATCCATTCATTGTCCGTACGAATGGGGCAAGTCAGTTGCCTCTTTCAGTGTCTGCACCCTTGGAAGTTAAAAATTTCGGATGTAGGTCTTCGTAATTCCATTCAAGGTCATCAACACAGCGGAAACAACTTGGGGGCCGGACGGCTCTATATTCCGCCCTGAGCGTTGGTTGTCGACAGGAATAAATCAAGGGGGCATCCCAACCCCTGATGATCTTCCCCATGGCTGGTCCGGGATCATGTCTTTCAGTGACGGTCCGCGCCAATGTCTGGGGATCAAGACAGGTTTGTCACTGTAGCAAAATTATTTCTTCTGTTATTGAGCCCAATTACTCGTAGGCGTGTTTGAAGTAAAGGCTTTGGTAGCAACACTCATTCGCTCGCTGGAATTCAGGCCGACAGGACAAACTGTGCGGACAGTACCCTTGCCGACGCTTCAGCCAATCACAGAAGGCGTAGAAGGATCGCTCCCTCTAATCGTTTACCCCGTCTCCTGACAACGGATATATATCGGCCCAGGATCGCAGCTCAGTAGCATGTTCAGTTGTAAACGGATTTTTCAGCATTTTCGGTGATTGTTGTATTGGTAGTAGTACGAATAACTTTTTGTCGAAGTTGAACTCGGAATCAGACGTTTGCCAGTTTCAGTCAACGATCTTCATGCATCATGCTCTTCCCCAGTGGAACCGTTCGCTAACAATGTGACCCACCAGATCGATCGATCTCTATACTTCCCGGAAAGGTTGGACGTCACTACCCTCCGCAAGACGGCTTTAGGGGCCGCTCATACACTCTCACTTCATCCTCTTAGTACGAACTGGCGCATAATGGGCAACCCCGCCGAAATCGCGTATGTCAACAGCAACAATACTGACAGAAACCGCCTAACAACTCTTCTCCACGCAGGCATTCCTACATGCTCATCGGCCTATTTCTGAATATATGGTTGTATGGGATCATGACAACACAGGTGTATCTGTATTACATGGAGTATCCAAAGCGAGTCAAGTTTCGCGGGTAAATACAATGGCGGGCTCAATGTTAATTACTTCTCTTATAGAGATAAGTGGTGGATAAAGTCTCTGGTATGTCTCTTGCACCTCCGATGCACAATTTGACCTATCGCCTTACACCATAGGTGGCCACGCTGTTGCTCGCCGACACATTGAACGCGTTGTTTCTCTGCATATACGTTTACAAGTCTCTCATCACGAACTTCAGTCGGTCTCCAATCTCCTTTAACCCAGAGCCTCGGCTTACCATCTTCTAAGACAATCCAGCGTTCCTCGCGGACCCAGATTGGATATTTGCAACCGGTGCGTCCACCTAGAGTCGTCTCTCTACTTAAGCTAACTAATACCGTCATGCCATTCATCCCGCCCTCAGATCCCGCTCTAACGGTAGCGTCTCAATCTCCTAAGCATATAAATCTCACATCAAAGCATCACAGGGAATCATCGCCGCAATTGTGCAACTTTTCTTCTCTTGGCGAATCAAGGTCCTTACTTCCAATAACGGAATCTTCGTCGTTGTCGTAGTTTGCGCGCTGGTTGGACTAGGTAGGCGTCCACTCGAGTGATTGCCGAGCTCATTGATATAATGGTCTGCAAGCTGGAGCCCTCTTCACTGCTGTCGAAGTAACCAAATCAGTCAGCTTCGAAGAATTCCGGAGATTCAAGGTAGGTTTACGTGCCCCGAGGATACGGCGACGGACATTGACGACAGGACCAACAGTGGGCCGTAATCGTTTGGCTGTGCTCAGAAGCTTTTGGTGATCTCGTTATTACAGGGACGCTGGTTACCTTCCTGTAAGTAGCGGCGTTACCAGGATACTCGTACTAGCTAACCTGCCGCCTAAGGGTACGCCTGTCGAAGGAAGGAATTTTAGCTCGTTTGTTGACTCGCTCTATAGAGGAATCACAAAACTGGCTTTCCATCTTCCGATAAACTGGTCGATAGGATAATCAGAAGTGAGTAGTCGACCCTTATTACTCGGTGCAGGGAGCTCATCCACATACCATGTAGTGACTATGCAAACCGGGTTGACCACGTCTATCTGCGCTATATTGGATATCATCTTTTTCCTCCGATATGTGAGCCTTCTGTCTTCGTTTTTCCCTCCCTTGAGTTGACCGCCCATCCCCTAATAGCCCAATGGCTTGTGAGTGCATAACATATCAAACGTGACAAAATCTTAATACCTAGGACGTAGGCATCTTATATTCAACTTCGCTCTGTCAAAGTTGTACACGAACTCCCTTATGTCCACCCTTAACTCAAGGAAAGGATGGCGGCTAGCGACTACGCAGGCAAGCATGCCCTCCGAGGACGCTATATGTCTTGCTACACCTGTATGTGCGCCATTCGTCAGGATTTTCCAACATAACGGTATCTCTTGCTTCTAGACAGGGACGATGCAGGATTCATCCCGTGCCCCACCAGAAGTTTTCGTGCAGGTTGATTCACAAGAGCTCAGAGATCCGCTGCCCGTACCACGACCGATTGGGAGCACTGCGCGCAGAAAATCGTCGCAGATGGTACCAAGGATTCCGTCCGCCCGACGAATCAGCGACATCGAGGGAGGCGCATGGTCGTTTGGAAGTCTTGAAGCCGATTCGACACTGCATTACAACCATGTTTAATTAGTAAAGACTTGAGGAGTTCACGATTTCCGTCTGCAATATGTTCGTACTTTACCAAGATGGAGGTACCCGTTTAGCTGTGCTCAGAGTGAGAAGGGTTGTTTCGCTTCCTTGCAAGTTCCAGCTGTGACACATGAAAGGATTACACTGATAAAACAAGAGGTACAGTATACACGAAGAGCAGATGAGACATGAGAGCAGAGGCAACAACTACTCACTCATGTGCCCCTCATCATCGCTCCCATCCCCTCCTTCGTCTCCCTTTTCTTCTATAGATATCGCGTTACCCGAGTGCTGAACAACCTCCCCTGTAGGAGAATCCCATCTAGCCAGTAGCCCCACTCGGAATGTCACCATGCGTTCACCGATCAGCTTCAGTAATTGTGTTTGCTCGGCCGTAAGAGCCTTGCCCTTTTCGCAAAGTTTGTGAGGAACCTGCAGAGTTGGAACACCCTTGTTCATCGTCGTCGATAGACCGAGCTTGCGAAGCTGCGGTTCTTCGTTGTGGGGGAATGGTTCTGGGGGATCGGAGTGATGTCTCATGACAGGCCCGGCAGGGAGGATGATTGTGCGACTGGCGATGTTGCCTGCGCGAGCGAAATCTGGTTGCTTGAAATCGTCGAACCAGTCTATGACTTCTTGTGGTTCCGTATCGGTGAACATGATGCCAACCTGGCCTTTTATTTGCTAGAAGGGGCTTAGGGTCGGACAAGAAAAGACTACGATGATCTCGAGCTGCGTACCTTGGACAATTTATGCAATCCCAAGCGATGCTCTTCTGCGGGAGTCGTCCCAAGAGCTTTTGCCATAACAGCTGCTCTGCCAAAAAATATACGTGCAGAGCTGTAACGTCGAGATTAGAGTCGATTCCATGGTAAGTCGAGGCAACTGACTCTTTCCATAGCCGGCGCACGGTTTTCAGATGAGCATTTCTCATCGAGCCTACTTCAAATAACCAGCAGTATTTCCATTTGTCTGCATTAGCTTGGACCTATAAACGTATTCATCGGACCCATTTCTTCCATTCTGACGAACTGTGTAAAAACGTACCTCCTGCATCATGGCACCCTTTTGTTCTCTGGTTTTCTTCGCGACCTTGGTCAGCGATACTGCAAAGGCAGTAAATATCCTCCATCCTCATTGCAAAATCTTCTCAGTAACACACCGATCTTTGCTCGTCTCGACTTAGGCATTTTGGAGGATGTAGATGATAATGAAGGTTGAGAGTGATTCGAAGTCCGCCCAAAATTTCTTGAACTCGATCGTTCACGATAATGGCTCAGGTAGCGACCGCAGATCTGCACGCTCTCCAGGCTGCGCTGCTCAACACCACCGGCGATGTGCCGCTGCACAAACGATTCAGGGCGCTTTTCACTCTCAAATCACTCAAGACAGACGAGGCGATTGAGATCATCTCTAAAGGCTAGCTCGATCATCTTTCGACGCGCTAGTCAGGGGCTGACCAGTATAACAGGATTTGAGGATCCTTCTGCTTTGCTCAAACATGAGCTGGCATATTGTCTGGGACAAATAAAGAGCCCAAAAGCACTGCCTACGCTCCAAGCCGTCTTGGAAGATACATCCGAAGACCCAATGGTGCGGCATGAGGTGAGTATATCCTTATATATCTACTCTCAATCATTCAATGCAAAACAAAGTTAGGCTGCTGAGGCCATGGGAGCCATCTCAGCTTCAGAATCTCTCCCGATGTTGAAGAAGTATCTCGACGACGCGGAGCGCACGGTGCGAGAGACGTGCGAGATCGCGATCGCTAAAATCGAATGGGATAATTCTGAGGAAGGCAAACAACATGTTCAGGCCAGCTCAAAGGCGGAAGACATTGTTCCGTAAGCCGTCAACACTTTTCGCCTGTGCGTTGTACCAATCAATCATGGATCAGCACATACACCTCAATCGACCCCGCACCCCCCACTTCTGGTCTTCTGTCAGGCCCTGCAAAGCCAGACCAGATCACAGAAGACACTGTCAAGAACCTACAAGCGAAGCTCTTGGACCCAAGCCTTCCTCTCTTTGAACGGTATCGTGCGATGTTTGGCTTGAGAAACATCGGCACTCCAGATGCGGTCGACGCTCTTGCCTCCGGATTTTCTGATGACAGCGCTCTATTCAAGTTTGTGGTCTTCCTTATAACACCGACAATAAAGCTCACGCGCTGCCGGCCCATAGACACGAGATAGCCTTCGTCTTTGGCCAGATGCTTTCCCCACACTCGGTCCCATCATTGATCAAGGTCTTGGAAAATAACGGGGAGTCTGAGATGGTACGTCACGAGGCTGCCGAGGCTCTCGGGGGCATTGCTACACCGGAGGTACTTCCATACCTAAAGAAGTGGATGTCCATCGATGATTCTCCTCGAGTCGTTCGGGAGAGCTGTCAAGTCGCGATAGATATGTGGGAGGTCAGTACATTTCTCTTCCGCGTACCAGCCGCTTTCTAACTTAACTTTGTGTAGTACGAGAACTCGGACGAGTTCCAATACGCCGACGGCCTCGGAGCAACTGCACCAGCAGTTGCGATCTCCGCATGAACCCTTTCCTGGGTATTATATTGAGGTATATATGTAATTTACTACCACGACGAACCTATTCTGCGTGCAACAGCGGTTGTACATACTCAGCACTTATCGTCTACGCTTTAGGGAATTTTATTTGTCTCCAAGGCTTTCTGCCCCAGAATCCCAAGTTCGTCGCGTTTGTCCAGGTGGAGTCGTCCAAAGTGGGATTCGCGAAGTCGTTTGGAACGGTTAAGCTTGCCTTCCAGGTTTCATCCGTCCTGATGATGTCGAATGTTCCGTCGTCGTATGAAATGTGGATAGTTGCAATGACAGATGCTGGACCACCACCGTTGGTGCCGTTGACAGCGAATACATTTACGTCTGGACGGAGAGTGGGTCTGGGGATATAGTATGCTCGCCCGATCCACCAATGCTGACGCCATTCGACTTTCTGGCCGTTGACGAAGAACGCGAGTTCGTTGTCACTGATCCAAGCCGGTGTCAGTGGAATAAGTATGGCATGCAATTTTTGTGGACTCACACATTCAAGAGTACATTCGCCGCTACCGCCCGTTTCGTGCAACCAGGTGTTACAATAGTCTTGCGGAAAGCCCTGGACCCCTTCGAAGTTTGTCCTGTCCCATTATTTTGCTTCCCCACCCAAATGAACGAAGAGTTCGCGATATCCAGAGCTTGTGGGATGACCGTCTTCCCCCATGGCGCGACACCGCTTTGGCCCTGGAAAGCGGCGAACGACCATGTGCGATCATCTACTGTGGGTAGTTGGAAGTCCTTTGGGGAGCTGAGGACTGTTCGCCATGTTTCGTCCGTAATGACAGCTTCGGAGGAACCGTCTGAGTACTGAACGAGGATCGCGGCGATGAGCCCGGCTGGGCCGCCGGTATTCGTAGCTTCGATCGCGAAGAGATTCGAAGCTGGCTCGAGGGCGGTGTAGTATACATCGGCGTTGGTGAAGCTAGAACCTGAGCCAGCAGCATGGCCGTTCACAAATAACTTGTACTCATTATCCCTATTACCGGCATAATTACAATCTTGGTTAGCCTGCGGAGGGAAGTCGAAGAAGTTACGCCTGGAAGGCTCACGCCGCAATTAGGATCTTGGCACTGATCGCACATTTACCACAAGCAGAGGTAAAGTTCTTGCGGAAGGCACGGGGGCCTGTTGGATTGTCTCCCCGAGGTACGGCATTTTCTCCAGTCCAAATCCACTTGGCGATGCTAAGGTTCACGGGTTCCATAACTCTCGGTGAAGCCGTTGCAGGGCATGTACTGTTGTCGAACGGTGCTGGCGGGGTGGTGCAGCCTGAAGGCAACGCAAGCACGTCAACGCGTCAACGCGTCACTAGCTGAGATTCCTGAGAGTTTACGCACCCGGATGTTGGGCGACGACCCCCACCAAACCAAATACAAGCAAGATCGCGAGCAATCCTGTGCGTGCGGTATGTGAGATGTCGAGTCCATCTTGTAGAGGCAGAGAGACTCACCTTGAACAACCATGCCAAGGAGAAGGGAGGTCGAAGTGCAGGCCGCCTCTTCGGAGTCCCTTTTCAATGAAGATACAACATTGACAGCAGGACAAAAATAGTTCCTTGCTAACACCTGACTAACAAGTAGTGCTAATGTATAATAGTAGTTCGCTAGTTCGACACTCCAGCAATTGTTTGGGTGGAGCTGCTAGAGATATCGATTGAGGCACTAAACTCCATCGGATAGAGTGGTGGTCGCTTTCTTGTGAGTCATTTCAAAGCTGGTCCACAGGTAGGGACAAGGCCAAGGACAAGAATACCAACGACCTCAGAGCTCTGAGGCTATGCTTGTGTCTTGATATTCCTCGGTAGCCGTTAGACCCACTGTCAGTACGACGGTCGTCTTGAGTCTTGGGCGACTGTAATCGCCGACATACTAGTGGTGGATGTTGCGAGCCTCCTCCTTTGGCACAATTCCATGTGGCACGCGAGAATACTGGTATTATGTTGTTTCTCCAAGTCTTTTAGAGACATCGACTATGGGTCCTGTGAGGAATAACGTCAGCGCAGTCTTCTGCAGTTTATCTGGAAGTACTCACGCAAAAAATACGGGCAGGCTCGATGGAAGTTCAATGGTTCGATATGTCAGACCGTTCGACTAGCGACGTCGCGCATAACTCGGGAGATTTCAGGATGCTTCCCATGCACAATCAGAGTAAGTGATTCAAACTCAGACATACCAGCCTTCGGCGGTGAAAGTCATCTTGAAGTCATCGAAATGATAGTCCCATGGGGGAAGCAAGAAACAGATCTAGCGAGCGCCTAAGGAGGGTGTTTGACCATCTGCCGATGTATATTATTTTATGATCGCCTAGCTCATAAGGCTCGGGGTACTTGAATAGAAAATAGATTCAGGCAGGTGACGAGTGAATCTTCGATTAAAGACATCTTGAGGAAACCACGCAGCGACTCAGCCCGGAAGTTGTGGGAAATAGTTGAGCTTTCGTCGCCCTGAAATTCAAAGCGATGATTGTGGTTGTTGAAGTCGAGCGACGCCCAGTTTATCGTGTGTGGGAAGAAGGACTGGAAGATGTGTGTCGTGCGATGTGCGAGGACTATATCCTCAAATTGTGGAGGCCGTATAATCGTTAATCGTTTCAGTTCCGGGACAGGAAGGCATTGGCGATGTGAGATGTCCAGCACGAAGACTGAAGGTCGCAGCGTGAAGATTCGGGAGAAAATACGACTTGTCGTCCATCACGGAAGCGAGGGGGTCCTTATGGAATGAGATTCTGAGGTCCTGTAACTGACCCCCTCAAAATATAGGGGAGCTCAAAGTTGGCGCATAAGAATCCGCGTACGCATATGCGCGCATACGGCCGAGGTGCCGTCGATTATGTAATGGTATTTGAGTGTCACATATCCGAGTAGCGCCCACGTAGCGCTGAACGCAGCATATCACTGTTGAAATAAGCCGGTGAGGTCGCGCGAGTTCCGAGTGACTAAGTAGATATATTGTGTTTGGCTGGGACTCCAGCAAACGCATAAAGAAAATAATACATGCGCGCGACACGATATTACAGTAGTCACGTGCAACTCCTATACCCCTGTACCGCCAAGATTGCTGAAATCCAACAATCACTTCCATTGATCTACACTGATCTACTGCAATCATGCCCCGCGCAAGGATCCAAAACAAGCTCAGGCATGCATATCTCATTCATATGAAGAGATGAGACGGGACAAGAAGAGACGCCACAACGCGTTTACGATGTGACGAAAGTGTGATATTTGATTACATAATCGACGGCACCTCGGCCGTATGCGCGCATATGCGTACGCGGATTCTTATGCGCCAACTTTGAGCTCCCCTTATGTGGGATTGTTCGCCCGTATACACAAATGCTGTCCAACGAATCCAAATAAATCTGTCAAAAAGGCGCAAGGGAACCGGGGGCGTCGACAACGAGAAACTATTATTTGATGAGCACTGAAGCCACAGGCCCACACGCGACCGAGATTGTGAAAGCTCTTGATTCGCCATTTTCCGTCGATTATTGAATATTGAAACATTCTGGCAGTGGAAGAAGGACGACGGCACGACTAAGGGGCTTTTTCGGGCTTTCCCACATTATACTCAGGCCAGAGAGCTTACCATAGAGCACCTTCATGGCACGAGATTCACGTTCCCCGCCTCGTCGTTCCAGACGCGAGGATGACAGTTCCCGAAAACACGCCGAAAGCTCGAGGCGCGACCGCCCATCTACGCAAGAAGATCGGGGGGACCAATACGACCGACGCCGGTACAGCGCTCTCGTTTGTTCACCTGTTGTCTGCTAACATCTGGATCCTTTCTATTTCTACAGGAGGGATCGAGAACGAGATAGCGAAACCCGTCAGTACGGATATGGGGAGCGAGAAAGAGAGCGTGAACGCGGCAGAGACCGCGGTCGATATGACAGAGATATGGATAGAGAGCGACGGGGAGGGTCTTCTCGACGTTCAAAGTCACCGAGATCAAGACAGCGTTCGGGTTCAAAGTCCCCTCCGCCCGTCGACAAGGCGAAGCCCAACTTCGGTGCTTCTGGCCTGCTGGCAGCGGCCACCAACACCGTGAAGGCTGCGGACGGATCGAGCACTGTTTTGAAGTACAACGAACCACCGGAGGCAAGGAAGCCGACCCTCGGGTGGCGGCTGTATGTTTTCAAAGGAAAGGAGCAAGTGGGTACGTCGTATCTCTAGGAATTTGGGTAAAGTCGAATTCTGATAATCACTTGAGCTAGAGCTACTCCATATACATCGCCAGAGCGCGTATCTGATAGGGCGAGACCGACTAGTGGCTGATATCGTTCTTGAGCACCCCTCATGCTCTAAACAACATGCTGCTATCCAACGTGCGTAAAATGCCACTGTTCGATTCTGAGAACACGCCTACTTACCATCTGCGCAGATCGTTCTGTGCAAGAACGGGATGAGTTCGGCGGTGTCAAGGCTGTGATAAAGTGAGTCCATGAATGTCATACGTGTACAGCTGCTCAATGAAGCCTTGTAAAGACCATTTATCATCGACTTGGAGTCCACAAACGGCACGCACGTCAATGGCGAGCAAATACCAACGTCCAGATTTTATGAGCTCAAAGCAGGTGATGGTGAGTCGTCATACCGTGGACTACCCAAACAGCATCGCTGACGGGCCCAACAGTTATAAAATTTGGATTGTCTGTTCGCGAGTATGTACTACTTCACGATGATGCGTAGTGGCGGTGAGTATTTCATCAGGGATATGAATGAACGTGCTGATAACACAACGCAAAGAGGAGCCCAAGTTGTAGTACCTACGTGTTTGTGAGGTCTCGGCAATGTGCGAGTTATAAATACGCGCGTTCTGTGGTCTTCGCTCACGAAGGCTCGGATAACTGCGGAGTTGTTGATCTCAACCAGAGTGATCTGCCGATGTCACGGAAACTTGCGCCAAATCAATGATATGGTCCGTACCCGCCGATATAATCGCATATCGCATAATACAGTGATACGCTAGGTCCCGAAATGGACACTATCGCCGCCACACTGGCCTCCATCATCAATCACACGCTGCCTGAACCATAGAACCATATAGTTACACATCTACCATTATATAGATACATAAGTATGCTAAGTAAGTCTCAGATCTCAACCCCCCACGCTAAGGCGCCTTCCCCCCAAACCCACTTCTTCCATCCATCAAGCACTCTGACGGATGCTCATGAGCGTTGACGGTTTTGTATTGTGTCCCCAGTTATGCGCAACAGTGGTTCTAACGCAGGCGCCATTATAGGTTACGATTTCATTCGCCTGTCGTGTTCGTTTCGTGCGCACGATATAGCCCCGGTGAGTGTATCACGCCTCGTCGAAGAAGGGGCCCGACGTGTTCATCAACCCGCACTCCCCCCGCCATCGTTTGTATGGGATGTTTATCAAGTCAGGTACGACCTTTCGTTCCTTCCCATACACTAGGAAGTCGTACGCTAATTGGGGAGATGGTTCGTTAGGTTGGTCTCGGCCTGAAAGCCTGTCGTACTTGCCTATTTGCCATGCATCCAAATTAGTCTCGGATTGTTTAAACAACTGCCGAAGCTCTTCGGTCAGTCTCTTCCAGCCCTCGTTTCGAACTCTGTCTGCTTCCTTCTTCTTCCTCTTCTGTCGAGCTTCCTTGTCGTCGTTTTCGTCTTTGGGCTCTGGCGATGCGCCCGTTGGAGCTTTCTCTCCTTTTAACAGCTGCCCCAACCCCTTGACGTCGTCTGCAACCCAAGGAACACTCCTCTCGCATTTCATGTGCTTGCAGACAAGAACAGCTAAGAGCACGCCCATGAACACTACACCTTGAGTGATCTTTGTTCGTACTCACCTGCCTCTGCCGACTTGAGGGTCGTTCCCGCCCTTGGGAACAGTGTTTTGAATCTTGCTCTTGCCTCGTTTGTTTCCTTGCCGCGTTTATTGTCGGCGTCCTGCTTCCTGGTTCTCTCCGAATTGACGCTCGACCCCGACGGGCTGCTGGCTGACATCGCCGAGTTTGGCGGGCTTGGTCGGTTGGAAGCGCTCTACACCAGGTACGAAGACCCCGCCATCAGATCGCAGACGCGGGCAAACAGTTTCGGTACAAACTCACTGTTGCCTCACTGCACGGATCCCCGCCACTAATCGTTGATGTCTTAGGGCTCACCCCGTTTTGCTTGCTCGGAAAGGTTATAAATCTCTCATCAAGTGCATGTGCCAACGACGAGGCTGGCACACGCAGTTGGTACGTAGTGTCCAATCCCTGCTGCTGTTCCGAGTCCGCTCCATCTCGATGTTGTCTCCGGTGGGGCGTGAATTGCTTCACAATGACTTCAGTTTCTGTTACCCGTTTGGTGAGTACCGGTGAGTACTCACATGCACAGCCTGTTGTTCATTGTATCTCGTGTCATCTTCAGTCCAGTGCCCCTGGTGTAGCCCAGGTAAAGGCTGCCAGCTAGGCCACTGAGGCACATAGGGATCGCCGACCGAGTTATCAAGTCCAACATTGGATATACCGTTGCTCGTTATCCCTGTGCCGATTGCTGGGGGAGCGCCAAGAGAACCACTACTGTTGTCGTGGGTCTAGCGAGGTGTTCGAATAAGCCTTCCCTTCGCTCGTTGATGAAGGGGATTCACTGACCATGCATAGTCGAGCATCCCTCTCGGCTGCCACAGCGCTTCCTTCATGCAGATGCAAAATACCTGGTGATTCGAGCCCATCGTGCGGCTTGATCACCGGTAGTTCGCTCCAACGGGGAGCAAAGGCATGCCACATTTCGATTGGCCCTTCCCCCCATCCTTCGCTGCTGAGGGCGTGAGCGGGTGCAAAGACAGGCTCAGGCCCCGCGACGAGCGCTTGTCGATTCTGAAGGTTATCTTCATAAGACGGTGCCCCTTCCTCCCAACGGAAACCAAGCGCATGCGGCGTTTCGATGGGCCCTTGCCTCCATCCGTCCCCGATCAGCGCTTGAGCGGGTGCAAGAGCAGGGTCAGGCCCCATGGCGAGCGCTCGTCCATCCCGAAGCACTCTTCGCTCGAACTCGGCGTCGATATCTCCCTCACCAAGGGGAGATGCATCAGCATCGTCGGTGTCCCAGATACTCATCGATGATGGGGAGGAAGAGTGCTGTGAGTTTGGTTGAAGCAGTCTCCCAAAATCATCAGCGAATCACTAGCGAATCACTTTCCTTCTACAGATAGTTGAACACCATTGATTAATCATTCTGAATTGGGTCTACGCATCATTCTCCATACAGAATTATAGCGGACAGTGCTACACACCGCCGCATTTCCGCGGGCCATCTGTGTCTCCTAGAACAGCCATCATCCTGGCTACGTGCGAACATGTTCTAATTCCCAACTTATATTTCAGCCTGCAGTGAAGATAGTGCTTCAATGAATTAGACCTCCCTAATACTTGACAAGCACCCTCTCCGCCACGAATGTGGGATTTCCTGCTCGTTACACAGCATGCGTGATCACACAATGTTGTAGTTAATATGTGATTACTAGAATTATTCCCGATAACAAATTCATGGTAGTATTATGGATTGATTATTGGGAATAATTCCCACATAGTGATCGCGTACGCGCGTAGGAACCAGTATATTATCTGATCCTGCACCCTGTGTTAGATAATAGGAATCAAGCAGAGGTGTTTGGGCTATAGTTGCGAGCGTAGCGAGCATTCATTCTCTAAAGGGGTCTCAGGCCCGGACAAATAAGGACAAACAGAGACGCGCAGCGTCTGGTCTGCGTCGCGTCCTATATTTCCCCATTTTTTCCTCATTTTTGTCTTTGTGCGTCGGTTTGACGTGTCTTTCGGGTGCGCCTTCGGTTTGGCTTCCGTTTCATGTCAAAATGGAGGTGCTTTCTGTTGGATTTCAGCAATCTTGGCGGTACAGGGGTATAGGGGATGCACGTGACTACTGTAGTATCATGTCGCGCGCATGTATTATTTTCTTCATGCGTTTGCTGGAGTCCCAGCCAAACGCAATATATCTACTTGCTCACTCGGAATTCGCGCGACCTCACCAGCTTATTTCAACACTTTCGTCAAAATTGACTGGAGGAGGACTCTGTTTTGTTGGATGGGGGATCTGTTACTACTAGCCCTGTGGTATGTGTCGCGTCGCTATTACTGCTTGTGTAGTGTTCTCACCTATGATCATTCCATTTCCTCCATCATTCCCTTTCCTCCATCATGCCCCCCGTCCCCCCATCCCTCAAGCCTTGTTCGCTTTTCGCGCCCGTCTCCGTCGTTCGTCCTTTATACAGCACGATGGCACGATCCACGAGCGTTACGCCTGCCGTGGGAGGGAGCATTGCTCTTGCTGCCGCAAGATTAAGAAACGGTGTTACTTCCGTCGTTCTACCATCCGTTCAGAACTTGTGATACCTGTCGACGTGCGGATGCCTAGCTCGCAATGTGCCGTCGTCTTAATGCGGACTCCGTCGGTGAGTCTTAGCGCTAATACTGCTGGTTTTTGTCCTTGATTTTGCCAGCCATGGCCCATGGGCAGTTACTGTGCACAAGTCACAAGGCCTCGCTCTTCCGAAAACCCGTCTCGGAAAGAAAGAATCCTCTTGTGTTAGCATCCCGAGTGAAGGAACTCGATGCTATCATGACAGAAGGGGTGGACCTTTCCTGAGTAGCTAAATTAGGTGGCAAACGACAAACACTACAGTACCGCTTGGACGTGGATACCCTACTATAACTACTACCAGTGCATCCCGCAATAACAATATTAATAATATCTAACGTTGTACTAGCACTTCGTAGCGAGCTACCGCCGGCGCGTCCCGCGGATCTATATTTTATGTATGTTGGCCGCAACTATTTTAGGACATTGATGGCATACGACCCTCATCCATTCGGCTGTTCCGCCGGCGATACCGCACAGCAGTGTCGGACTGAGACCTTTTAGGACCCTTGATGATACGGTCAAAGGCCTGATCCCAAAGTTGGCCAAAGTGTGCTCTTCAATTAGCCCCAATCTGTACGAAATGGATCCAGGCCTCTTCAGCAAGCCTGAGGACCGTCCCAAGTGTACAAAACCTGTCCCGGCGAGCCCTAGAACGCGCTTATGCCGCCTCGTATGCACAGAAAAAACTGGCAGATATACACAAAAGTTGCAAACCAGAACTAGTGGCTGATCACGACGAAGGATTTGGGCCCCTCGTTCGTGATAAAGCCATTACTTGTCCAAGTATTTATAGAGCTTTTGGCCGCCTTCCGGTAGCTCCAGTACATCGTCTCGTGCGGCAGACACGGGATACTGCATGCGGGACTTCTCGGGTGTATGAAAACCGGACCAGGGATTTGACTTCCAAGTGTACGAAGGGCTTTTACATCCCACTTAAGCGTAACCCCGATCTCGGTGCCTCATCTGCCCCACGTTATTAGAGCTCTAATCTAAAGATGTAAGTTCAGGACATTGTCCGGATTTTCTTCGGCATCCCCATCTGATATGTTCCAGTTTACTCCCCAGGTTCCGTATTGGGGCAAAAGCGTTGGTGCGCTGTCCCGTGACCCAGTCTCAGTCAGGACCCCGGATAATCGATAATCCCTGATGACGAATCCACCCATCGATTTGCAGGCCCATTACCATTGGGTGGACTTTTGGGCTAACCTTTTACAGGGATTATCCGGGGTCCTTGTTGAACACGGTAAGTATACTGATTCTCCGTTAGTCGCCGGGCCGCTGTACAGAGTTGTGACGTCGTGGAATCGCACATAGGGCACAGCCACCAGACTTCGCCGGAGACTCGGGACTATGAGACCATAACAAGTGTCCCGGTCCGGCGTTTCATTGATAAAGGAAGGCAGAAAGGTTGGGACGCTCGTCATGAGCTGCAACTTCCCATCCTGTGCGTCCTGCCCAAGTCCTCTCAGCGACGCCGGAGAAGTCTCTGCATTCCAGATCAATGACATGAAAGCATATCAAGGTCCCTTGCAGGTTTTTCTTGATATAGTTGATGGAAGCTGTTCATGGGACCGAATCCTCGGAAGACTGCATAGGTCAAATACATGATAGGCAGTGCTACACAGGTATGTACCAGTCACTCACTTCGAAGGTTATATGGTTATTTATAACGTTACCAGTCACAAGACGCCCGTGTGGTCTAATAGGGAAGAGTGAGAGTGCTCCGCGTATAAGACCAACGGTGCCCTACGAAACCACCATTCTCAATGTCTCTGCACACTCACAACATTCCAGGGACCCCAGGCGCTGTATCGCCGTCTCTCCGGAGCTTTCCAACTACGCGTTCCGTCGACGAGCTACCCCTCTTTCACTTTGAATACCACGGACGTATGTCGCTTACCCCCGATTCTTACGTTTACGGCTTTATTACTAATTGTATCCCCGCGTCCACAGGAGTCGATTCCAGGTTTCTTGGATCCACCAAGTTTTTGTGCGTCGTGATCTTCGGTCTGGTAGTCCTGGCCCTTGCCACCGCCGCCGCCACCGCACACGCCTTTCGTCTTGCTGCACTTATAACGTGGGTTACTCTTATGCCTATGTTCTGCTGCGTCGTGATCATTGGTAAACTAGTCAATAGCCGCCAACTACGATCTGCTCATTGGAGGGCATAATATTCCACACACAACATCATTATTGCATAGCTCTTTCATTCCCATTAACTGTTGGATATCTTTGTATACTATAACGGCGTAGTTATCTCGTCGCGGCAGCCGCGGGCTTTTGATATGCCTCGTCTGTCCGTCTTGTAATGCCCATGGCTTGTGCCTACTTGTATGATATATGTAATACCATTGTATATCTATTCTCACTGATTCAACATTGAGACTAGTGAACCGAAGTGGGTGTGTTTTAACTTTTGACAGAGAAATGAACTGATCCAGGATCGACGACCAAAGCAGGCGATCATTCGGACTAACATATCTTCCGAGCCTACCAGTTATCAAAGCTTTTGCGAGTATCCAGCGCTGCCTTACGACTGCGTGTCATCCGACCAGTTCATGTGAAGATTGCATTAGAAATCGAGGTTCATACAAGATACATATGGTCGAACCGTACGTATTACAATGATGATACAGTGCAGTGAGAAACAAAATGATGATATGAGGGTATCGTGCGGGAAAGTGAATAACTAACGATACAGGAAGTAGTAGATTATGCTCATTGGCTAGTCCGAAGGAAGGATGAAGGATGAAATGTCCGAGTAGAAGAAAAGACTTGTCATGATTATTCGGAAATCTAGTTGTGCTGATGAATGCTGCCCAGGCAGCACACGTTGCGATTGTCTAGGTGTCGCTTCAAAGCGTCTCTCCGGCTGAATGTCCTCAAGCACCCCCCAAACCTCAGCTCGCCATTGAACTCATAAGCCTCTCCACGAAAGCCCGGCACGCTCGAGGCCAGAACGCCCTTGCACCACCACCCGCGGCTCTGATCCCTATCGTCCGGGCGAGTATGGGTGAGCAGGTGCCGCCTGAAGTCAGGCAGCCGCTTGTTATCCTGAACCCACCCGCACTCTGAGCATTTGAAAGACAGGTCGTCGATCGCGTCCTCGGGGTGGGAGAGTGCCGGGACCTGGACATTGCGGGATTGGGGGGAGGTGCGGGTGCGGGTGCGTTTGGCGGGGCGGACGTCGTGCGGGGCGATCTGGGCGAGAGACCGAGCAGTAGTGTTCGAACTGCCCTGAGCCGCCGCGAAGCTCCACGTGTCAAACTGGGAAGAACGGTCCTCGCGAGATCGCTTCTTCGACTTCGATCGCCTGGGCTGGTTGGAGGGGACCCATTCGCCGTCATCCGAGGCGTTGTCTGCTTCGCCCTCAGCGTCCCGGTCAGAGTCCTCAGCTAGGATGAGCGAGGTACGACGCGTGCGCGTGGCTCGCTTTGTCTTGGTATTGCGAGATCGCTTTCCGCGTGAAAGATCGCGAGGGGGCAGAGGTGCGGGGAGGGGGAGGAAAGGGGAGGGGCTGCGAGAGTCGATTCCCTGGAAAGGAAGCAGGAGTGGGGACGAAGTGCGCGTGGATGGAAGTTGCGGGAGGTGCCTGACCTCCGCCATAGGACTGAGCGCATTGTTGAGGATCGGGAGTTGAGGTAGACCTGGGTAGCTGGTCTGGCCGAACACAGGCTGCGAGATGCTTGAGGAAACGTGAGTCAAGTGCATTGAAGGTGGATAAGACGCAACGTACGTTGGGATCATATACGCTTTTCCGTCGATGACGCTGTATTTATCGTTGTCGATGTAATAAGGCTCGTACTGCGAGTGATCGGTGTCGAAGCCGGCATCGGATTCACTGTCATCGTCGAAAGTGCCCTTTGTGCTGGCAGGGCAAGGCGAGGTGTTCGCAGAGGACGGACCCGATGAGATAGTAGAAGCAGGGCTTAGCGTCCGTTCGACAGGATTGCTGCTGACTTTCTCGTCGCCAAAGATATTGACTGTCGATGCTTCCAGCCAGCCGAAGGACCCGTCAGCCTGGCTTCGCAGACTCTGCTCGTTCGCGAGGATGGATTCGCGGCGGACTGCCCAAGCCATGATGAGATGAACAGTGCGGTGCGGGCGGTGGGGGATATGAATGCGATCTTGCAACCATGATTGCCTGGGTCGTTTTATAGACGATCTACTATAACAAAGCGTCGGTAGGCAATTAGGAGTCCCAGCGAGCGGGCACGAGCATTGCAACTCCGAAAAGGGCCCACCCCCCGTTATTATCACCTCAAGGCGGACTCGTGCTGCGACAAGGGCGCTTGCTTCCCCCGGATCCGGACAGCGGACCTGGAACCGTCGCAGGGTGTGAAATGCGACAATACAGCGCCTTAGAGACGCTTTTGAGCGGAACAATGGGCTTTCACCGATGACAATCGCCGTGCTATGGCCCGCACGAGGCAGTACAGTCGTACCGGGAGACCGTCGCACCCCAGTCGACTCGATGTACTAGGTTCTGAGACAAGACAAGAGCTAGCTGGGATTCGGAAAAGCTTTTTTTTGTTAGCGCTCGACTCGGCGAATCGTCACAACATCACAACATACCTTAACACAAAGCAAGCTCAGGAGTCAGCACACGTTCTCGTCGCGGGGTTGCAGAACATCTGGGTGTGATGTCAGGACGGCTTGAATGGGCACATCTGGCTTTTTCGATCAGCATGATAGGTCCGTAGAGGTCCATGCATATCTTCATTGGCCCCGAGGGTGTTTCCGGATCGAAGGGTGAATCACCTTTGTGCCCATATTCGCGGTGCAGCTGTAGAGTGACGCGCCAGAATCATCAATGGATCGATTGACTGAAAGATGCGATAAGGGATTGGTTTCTTGGACTCCACGCGCCAAGTCCAAGCCCTAGGCGATGCGCCAAATCAATAAGCAGCATAAAAGGCCTTGAACGCGTCGGACGTTGTGAGCCAGCAAGAAAATAGTGTAATGCCTGTCGGGCACCACGTGCGTCCAAGTCATGCGCTCAATTTTTTCATCAGGTTGTCACAATTCCAGCGAGATTCGATTCTATGAGCAAGTGCGTAGATATACATATGTAACAATGCAGGATATAAAATATAAAACAATAAACAATGCAAACCAATAAAAACAATGAAACGAATAATACCACAATGACTACAAAGTCTCCATCGAAATCATAGCGGGTCGCTGCAAAGAATTTGAATTTTGGCGCGACAATCTACGCGCGGCGATGTGTCGCGTGGGGCTGGACCCGATAACGGAGTCGTCGCTCGGGGGATCGGCATTGAAGGCAGAACGGCGCGGCGGAGGAGAGATCAAACGGTGGGGAGTCACCACGCCCAAAAAATCGTCCGACGACGGGACATCTGAAGACGATTTCTGGAGGACGTCATCAGCCATGATGGAATCATCTGGACAATAAGTGAGATCAGCAACTGATGTCTGAGGCTTCTGAGCAAGTGAACGTACCACTGTCTGGAACAGCTATCTCTGGGAGGGGCGAAGGAGACCCGAGCAGCTTGGTCATGAAGCTATCGCGAAGGGGGGTAAAGGCCGAGGCAGGAGTGGGTTTGTTCTCATAGCCAGAGTCCAAGTGTCGACGAGCAGTCCTGCAAGTGGAACTCGATACACGGGGACGTATACGGGATTTTGGCGTCGCAGAGCGGGACAGCCCTGATCCATATGCGTCTCGAAGTGATGGCACTTCCACTGCGTCGAAGACAAGCTTCCTCTTCAGTTGGCTTCCGACAGAACGAGAACACGACGAGAACACATCATCATGAAGAGAGGGCAGCAACTGTGCCTCCACCAAACTTTCCTCGTCGTCGTCATGATGGCTCGAAGGCGGGAACGACTTCGACTTTTTCAAAACCCGATGGTGGATCTCCTCGTCCTCGTCCTCCTCGTCCCGCATCGCCCGCTTCATCGGTTTCACCGACACCGGGGTCTGGTTAAGAATGCGCTCCATCACAGAGGCGATGACGACTGGCGACTCGTTTTCCTTATTTTCGGCTTCGAGTCGGCGGCGTTTCGAGGGAGACATGGTGAGTGCAGATCCAGGTGATAGGCGTCTCTTCGACTTCAACAGAGGGGTCCTGGTCGGGGTGGAGGGAATGAGAAGAGGCGTAGCGGCACCAGGGGATCGGGGGCTCTGGAGAGGGGCGAAGCGGAAGACTGGCTCGGAGGTTGGTATCAGGTGGCGAGGGGCTGAGCGGGGGCGAACGGGGGTCGAAGGAGCTTGAAGGAGGACAGCAGGCCCTAATACTTGTGGAGGTTCCTCTTGTTCTACAATAGCGACGATCGAAACTGGGGAATCCTCAACGTCCTGTTCTTGCGATGGAGCGGTCAGACCGAAGAACTCCTGGATGGAAACTGGCCAAGCAGAAGCGGGTATGGAAGCCACGGAATATTTGCTGTCCCAGCTTTCACGCAGTGCTTCGCAGACCGAGGCTGGTTTATCAGACCGTCCTTGGAGGGCTGACTCGAGGAATGGCGAAAGGCGTTCAACAAGGTCCTCGGTCGCTGGTAGAGGGCGGGTCGTGGCCAGAACCATCTCGTACATGATAGCGATCTTGGGTTTAAGTTTAATGTTAACCAACTATAAATGGACGATGCGAAAATGAATGCTCACATTATACGCGTAGTCATCCAGCGGCAGCGCACTACACTCATCTGAAACCCAGACGCCGAGACCCTCACCCACAAGCTCCATCAGTTCCACGACCATCTCCAGGGGACAACTCTCCAGCACGTCCGTCAGCGCCCGCACTACCCACATAATATGCACCGTATTCCGTGGCTCAGGAGGATAACTTGACAGCAGCGCCTCGTTGACGAACTGCAGGAGCGTGCACGGAAGTTCCCTGGCCTCTGAGATATTCAATTGTGAGAGAAGGATATCAGCGATGCGAACGATCGCTGAGGAGCTTGGGTCGTAACTGCGCATGATGGCGCCGGCGACTTGATCGAGGACATGCCCCGCTTCGTGACCGTAGTCCAGTGCACTGTTGACAGCGTAAGTAAGGAGATTCTCCCAAAGCTCGACCTCTGGTAGACGGAGCTCCCAAGCTTTGCCAGACCTGTAATATCCAGTCAATAAAAAGCATCAAGGAGTATAACGTCGTGAACTTACTCGAAGGGAATATTCAGCAAGGCCACAGCGCCTTCCCAGCCCGCCTTGCTGTCACGGCGCCATCTCTCGGTGAAGGCCTCCCAAGACACGCGTACATCCTCCTCTGCCCAGTCCGACGCCCGGCTCCAGAACACATCGACACTGCAGCCCTCACATACTAACAGCACATCGGCACACAGTGAGGCCCACTCTGCTCGTGCTTCGGACGCCAAGCGGTCCTCGACTGTCCACATGCCGGTAAGCATCTCTTTGGCGGCGTCGCCCAGGAGCTCGCGGGGCATAGATTGCTGCAGGTGGGTCCACAGGCAATGTACGATGGTGAGGAGGAGCGAGGCGTTTGTCCGTTCGTTCACTTCTACGGGCTTACGAAGTCGCTTGACTGGGCTGGATGCTGGGGGCCCCGGAGAAAGCACTTGTTGTTTGACCCGTACGTCGAGGTCCTCATCTTGCAGAAGACCCATCAGGACACTCACAGCCCGTACCGCGAACTCAGCAGTCGCATCATCATCGCCAGAGTCTAAGAGCAATTAGCAATGAAGTTCCAACTTCGAGTCCGAGCAAAATTAGCCTACCTTGGGAGAATGCGACATTGGCCTTGACAACACCCTCCCACGTAGCGACGATGTCTTCCTAGAGAGAATGTAAGAATGCAACGTTTGGCGAGATGCATAAGACTCACAGGTGGGTCAGCCCGATCCGGCATCTCAACGCACTTGAATCCATCTTTCCATATCTCTAACAGCTCGTCAAGGATGCTCTCCCTCGCGAGTTCTTCGTGGGTCAGCGGCGTTATATCGTCGACTTGTAAGCAGTCACCAAACATGGGTTTGACTACCGTGGCGAGGTTCTTGTAGTCGACGCTGAGTAATCCAGGATTGGCGGAGAACAACGATGGAGGGAGCATCCTCTTCATATCGAAGCCGTCAGCATCAGCCTCTGCGTCTGAGCTGCAGAGTCGCCTGAGCACCAGCATGGCCTCCTCGCGAGTGGTCCCGCCGCGCTTCAACATCGCCTTCAGCATTGCAAATGCCCTCTCCAACCGCTCCTCGTCGCGCGTGTTGGGATCAGAAAGAAGCGCGTAAATGAGGTTGACTCCACAGCCCATATCCTTGTACGTCGATATCAGATCCCAGAATGTCCCTCGAACGTCGGGTTTCTTGAACGCATCGTCATCATCTTCCTCCTCGACTTCCGACTCCGAATCAGGATCGGGCAACAATGGTGGTTGGAAGTACACCCATGCCAAGCAGCGCCATACTAAACAGAGGACCGCCCTTACAGAACTGCGCTTCGTACGCATCCCGACAGCAAGCATCGCCCGGACGGAGCGTTCTAGGCGAGCGCTCGTGTAAAGTGCAGGGCCAATGAGGACGATGAGGTTGGCGAGCACGCAGAGTGCCCACGAAGGCCCTTGCGCGGGGTGCTGGGGCTCAGTCGCTGGAGAGTCGTGCGGAGGGTGCGAATGAGCGGGGGGTCTTTCGAGGGTGACTTCGACGGGGATTTGATGGGTGACGCAGAGATAGCCGCGGACATTCCTTCCGTGAAGAAATCGGCGACTGTGGTTGATATACGGGTGTGGAGTTGGCATCGTTCCATGCTGGCTACTGCATAGGCGAACCCGCCCAGAGCATGGCACGCTTGGACGCGGAGCGTGAGTGTGGGGCCGAGCAATGCAGCGAGCACGGAGGGGAGCAGCTCTGTGAATGCGGGAACAAATGTCTCGGGGTGGTGGAGTGACAAGTCGTGAATGGCCTACCAATATAATTAGCAGAGATATGAGGGAAAGCGCATGTGATTTACCTTGAGGCCATCGCTGACCGACCCTTTCTTGCCCTCTTTCCCTAGTTCTCCATCAATGCCTCGGCGGAGCGCATATGCAATGCGATCACGCGCTGGGAGGAGAATATCGGAGGGAAGGCGTTGAGCAGATATCAGCCAGATAGCGAGAGCGTATGTTTTCCTCGCGTTTGGCGTCGGGAGAGTATCGGCTAGAGGTATGGCCAGCACCTGCGTGAGCATCGAGTCCAGTTGAAGGTCTGAAGCGAGCTCAGTGGTATTTATTATATAAGAACGTAGCACTTACCCTTGAATATGTTATACAGCGCTGGCGTCGTGAAAACCAATGCGAGTAGTCTCATGACGGCGTGGCAAGTGTGGCATACATCCCTCGCATGCTTGACCTGCTCTGCCGACAGCCCCCCTCGTTTTCGCGGACTCTTGGCAGGCGATGGCAGTAAACAGCGCTCCTCGCAGGGTTCGGCGGGCTCTTCTGAGTTCGGGGGCTCCTCCAGTGCCCTACCGAGGTCGCGCACTATAGCGTCGGTGAGGGCTGCACGGTTCTTTCTCAGCGGTCGGAAGAGCGGCCACGATGAATCAACAGGTCCCGTAGTAGGTATGCACGACCGTAGTCGAGCTGCCAGAACTGAGTACGCCTCAATGAGTTCTCGCACAGGCGTTTCGAGTGCGATAATCTTGGACACGGTCGACTGCAGGTATGTCAAATCTACTAGCGGGTCGGAAGGTTCTGGAGTGGTTTCGCGCTGCTCGGCGACGACAATAGGCAAGGTAGAGTAAGTGCGCCTCTTGAGAATAGATTTCGGGGTTGCGGCCACTGTTTTGGACGGCGCAAAACGGGGCGGGCTAGTGAGACAGTGATATTGGTGGGTCTGAGACCACACAACGCGTGAGCCCGCGGGAGCATCTGCCTCCCTCTCTCTGTGGGACGTGCTGGGGGGAGTGGGCAAACTCATCATGGACGGAGAGGATGAAGTGGGGAAGAAGAGTGTGTCACCGTGTGACGGGTGTGACCGCGTTGTTTGTTGTCATTAAACGCGTCTTGTTTACGCGCTGTTTCATCAGTTTGGTTGCATCACGTGAACGTGTTGCACTCAACCTCCTGACATACCGTCAATTCTCGAATCTGGAATCTTATTTTGCGTGCATTGGAACGCCCGGCAATTTTCAGTGAATTGCTTGTATACGACTCACCCCCTCTCACCCCCTCAATCTTATGAGAGCAAACTCAAGGCAAACTCACCACCAACGCCATCCGCACAAAAGCTCGAAACATAACGAGCACGGCATCCTCGACCTCGGCAGAAGGAGCAACAGAGATGGGGTTTCAGCGAGTACATGATTAGCCAGCATTCTCTATTGACTCAACCCACTGATAAGTCGATCAAACAGGTAACTGATACAAGCAACCTTGATCATTGTAAGCGGCCAACAGTTTTAAAGGTACTAAATCTTGGATTTCTTGAGGTCAAAGCCAGTCATATTTTCACATCGGATGCCTGGTGAAGGTTACACTAGCTTCTCATGTCCGATTTTTACGCCTTGCAGCACAATCTCCCCGTACCGAACATTTGATGCAGTAAATCAGCAGCTAGCTCGTCCGTTCGACTGGTCTAATGGATCCCCCTTTCGAACTATACTAACTTGGTCGCAAGGTTTCCCCGGTCTCCCTCCTACTCTCAGACTGTGCTACGAGCTGGCGCATAGCGGCGCCATTCGTCGCTTCAATCAAACTTTGCACGCGAAGCCACTCCAATTCACATTATCACTGATGAAGAACCTCATTTGATAGTAATACATCAGCCTCGAGGCGAGGCTAAACCCCAAGAACCTCATTCAATCCGTTGAGTTACGAAACGAGGCAAGGCGGCGAGATAGGTGCAAGTTCCGCCAATGTGGTCATGAAGGGCAAATAGCATTGGATGCTTTGCGCATGACATGATATACACTCCACCGGCATCGGGGGCGGTATCTTGTAGATAACGATCCGCTTTCGTGCAGTATAAAAGCGTCGAGCAAGAGGACGATGGCAAGAACTTGGCCCACTATGCAAGCGTCCTCCTTCTCCGCCGTCCTCTCTCTGCTCGTCGTTGCTCTTGCCAGCATCGTCTTCGCTCGACCCACCCAAATTTACGTTCCCCCATTGACCTCTCCTAGCGCGGGTACCTCGTGGAAGGCCGGCGGACGTTACAACGTTACATGGTAAGACACTCGCCATTCACTGCCGTTTGATGTGTTCCGACGACACCGTTCTAGGGACACATCCAAACCACCGGAGGATATCACGAACGACCGTGGACGGGTCGTCCTTGCGCGCGATGGCTTGCAAGACCATGGTAGGATTTCATTCCCCGCGTTCAGTGTACCGCTTTGTTGATTCCATACGAATCCTCAACAGCCCACCCCCTGGCAGAAGGCTTCCTCATCTTGGACGGCCGAGTGGAGGTGACGATCCCGAAGGACGTCCAGCCCGGAAACGCATACCAACTTGTTTGTGAGTGCCCGTGCCTGCTGCGATGGCCGCCTCGTAACTTGCCACTCACAACGTGCCCATCCCCTAGTGTTTGGTGACTCTGGGAATTACGGCCCACGATTCACGATCACAAAGTAGACGGACTTGTGCATTCGCACATCCGTAGTTGTTCTCCCTTTGCCCTCGGCTATACGTTACTCCACACTTGTAATTTTTGCACACTGTATGTACCCGGACCCGGACTTTGCTTGCCTGTGTAGGACTTTTGTTGCTGTAGTGCGCTGTACGGTGTAGCCCACGCTTGTTATCTTGCATCAGATACTGATTCCAGTCACATGTGAACCCAATTAATACGACCACATGGCTTGTACTTAAACGATGACCTTTGGCGGCAGAAGAGCCGACGACTCTTTGGAAGTTCCTCCCATCAACGTCCACGTCTTCGCCCGCGAGACGAAGCCCCTACGATGGTTGCCTTCACGATTCTATGCCTTTTCTTCGTTTCTTCTCTCATTGGAGCTATTCCGGTGGAACAGCGGGATGTCTTCAATCCCCCCATCACTAGTCCCGATGCCAATACAGTTTGGAGAGTGGGGGACAAGGTTAACGTTACATGGCGAGTACCCGAAGCTACGGTTCTGCTATTGTGTGCTTCCGAGTCGCTGACCGGGTCTATGTCGACAGGGACACGACCGACATTCCCCCGGACTCCCAAATCACGAATCCTATTGGGAGGGTCGTCCTAGGTTTTGAGACGTCTGAGAGCCTGAACCTCATGATTGGTGAGTGGAGGTAGACTCATTTGGACAGCCTCGTTGCCGGGTTATGAATTGGCAAGGCTTCGCGCGGCTAACTGTGCACCTCCCCCTCAGACTCGCCCCTCGCCCAGGGCTTCTTGTTGAAGGATGGCCAGGTCTCTATTACCGTTCCCAACGTTCCACCCAGAAACAACTACATCGTCGTAGGTTCGTCTCCAATTCAAACCCTCCCTTCTCCCTTCCATGTACGTTTTGACCGGCGAGTATGTGTCTTTAGTGTTCGGGGACTCCGGCAATACTAGCCCCCAATTCAGAATCACTGGCGGTGCAGGCAACGGGACGTCTTCCTCCGCTACGCGATCTCCGACTGAGTCGCCGTCGGTGACCGCCCCGATTCCTATAAGCGGTACAGCTATCACTGGAGGAAGCGCGGCAGGCCCGACAAGCACGCCATCATCTCCACCCGCTACATCTTCCATTGTAGACCCTCCGACGCCTGCCTCGACACAGACTACTCCACTAACAACGACCGCCGCTACTTCGACCGCCGCTTCTTCCGCTGAGTCACTTGCAGCCAGCAGCAGTAGCAGCGACCTCCCCACTGGAACCGCGCTTCCCGCCGATAGCAATGGTGCTACGGGCCTTGGCATGACACTCTATTATGTGCTTGCTCCACTCACACTCTGGGCTCTTTTGTGATTGTTGACGTTGATGGTTAATGACTTTGGAACGCTTGTTAATGACGGACTCTTTGCATTGCTTTGCTTGTACAATCACATACTACGAACTGAATGTATTCGGACATCTATCCTCACTCAAAGCGTAACGTGAACAGACCACTGACCAAGTGCAATGTAAGACATCCTCCCGGGAGTGTGTATAATTCTATATTCGTAATGCATTGTTTAGACTAAAAGAACAACAACAGTGGGATGTAGCGCGTATAAATCGTGACGCATAAGGTCGTAAAGGCTGCCGGAGCCTGGAGGCCTCGCTCTCTAGGGTGAGCGACTAAGAAAACAATAATACTACATTACAACAATTTCTTTCCTTCCTTCCTTCTCGTCTATAAACAAATCCGTCTAATGGTGGTCGTTCGTGGTCGGAGAGTCGTATGGGAGAGTGAGCAGAACGTGGAAGGCGTGGTGTTCTCATGGTGAGAAGTTTTTGTTCATGAAGTGCCATTTGATGTTGAGAACACCCTCGTCGAGGCTGCCAAGTTGTTTGAACAAGGAGGGAGACATGTCTGCCAAGATTGCGATCAGTATTCGTGGACTGATGGACCTCGAGAGTCCGACGTACCGAGATCTTCAGTCCCGCAACCCGGGCAGCTGTCCCGTGTCTTGCCATATGCGCGCTTGTTATTCTTCGTGTTGATGATCTCAACCCACTGTGCGTTATTCGGTTAGCGTATGCAGGTAGTGGAATGGAGGCAGCGGTTGCTAACTTGATTGCAATTTCCTCCATTGTTATCCCTGTAGCGAGCAAGGGAAATGGCGATGATAGGACTGCTGTCCTTGTCCTTGAAACCACAGTTGCCGGCATTGCCAGTCTGGTAGTAGAATGTTCCCTGTGAATGAATGAATGATCAGTAAATTCGAGTGCCGAGTAGAAGGCGAATTACTGACCCTTCCCCAGTGGTCGACGCGCTTGTCGAGCTCGTGGGTCGTTCCGTTAGTGGATGGTATCGGAGACGCGTTGGACGCGAGCATTGTGAAGAGGAGGGCGACGATGAATGATACGAGGCTGAACATGGTGATCGTGGTGGGCGGAGGTGCAGTGGCTGATCAGGGGACGCGGAGGAGGGGATGTGTCAGTGGAGGAGGCGGAGGGCACTGGGGAATTGAGGAGGATAATCGCGAGGCTTTTATACATATTCGGGGAACATTGAAATTTGTTGCACGCCTCGGCCGCGTGCTTTCACGAACTCGTCAGTTAGTCTGTTTCTCTGGAGATGAGAACCTTTCGGTAGGTCGCATTCCTAAAATAGGATATAGTTATTTATTAAAAAATATGCAAAAGCTTGCACCGCCCACCGGCCGAAATGAAATTATTTATTTGGGGTGATGGACTCGATCCTGCAGCCAGCCGCGCGCCGTACTCTGTTCTCAACAATTCAGTGGTGTGGAGCCCTGCGGTGAATCTCACCACAACGACCGAGGGAAAACAACATTTCAACGCAGTCCGCTGTTCCCGTCCGTGTCCATGTCGAGGTCGTAAATGAAGCAACCGAGGCAACGGCATTGTTCTCCCATGTAAACTCGAGGCATGTTAGCTACGCAACGCACAAAAGTTGCACACAATGTTTACCTCCAAATCCAAATTAGTCACTAAACCCTTTTGGGCAAGACCTTTTGAATCTAATCTGATCGCCTGACAAAAGGGGTGCGTTATGTCAGCATGGGGCTTTTGAAGGCACCCAGCTTCCTTGTACCATGCCGTGAACGGAGTGAACACGCCATCTTCACCGAACGAACCGTACACTGTCAGCCGCTGAGAAGCACGACTCGACCTCCATTGTGAGGGAAGTTGACATCGAATTCAGCCACTGTGGGAGTGGGCAACCCCGTCTGCTAACGCCTTCACAATTTACACCAAGTCGTCCTCAGAGGCCTCGGCCCGGCGCATCAGATGCCCCGGAGGCTGGCGAAGGTGCTCGAAGGAACATCTGTCCCCCCAGATGCCACCAGGGACAATTGTCCCGTCCCTTCGTAAAAATTTCAATAGAGCAAGCCACGGAAATTCACCGAGCATTTTTCGACAAACTATGACAGATTTTGCACTTGATTACTGCCAGAACTACCAACAACAAGAGACAACCACAGACAACACGCGCCGTAGATGTGACTTGAACAACAGCGCCCGATACGTTATGGTCCATTCGTTGCTGACATGATTCACTGCCTTGCGTAGGCCTTGCGGTCCGATGATTTATTCGACCATTTGGAATCACGGAACGTCTTTCGTGCAGGCACGTCTTCTATGATTTGCCCGCCCGGTGTGAACGAATGGTACAAATGGTGTGTACAGCCTCCGAGGACCTTGTGTTCTCGATGGCTAAACATCGATCCCCAAAAATCACAACTGACCTCCCCGAAAGGTCGCTTCATGCTTCGGACTCAGCCACGCCTTGCCATACATCGTTCCTGGGAAGACTCTAAGGAGAACCGAGGTAAGCATTCGAATGCATTGTTCATTCCAATCATGCCAGCCACCTATTCATTTGCCGCCTAAGCAGTCTAGTTCTCCATGGGCTTCGGCGGCGTGTGCGCGCAGCGGGATCTCATGTACGTAGTCCGGTCATTAATATCTAGCTCTGAGGAACGTCTCTGTAGAATGTTCCACGTTTCTCAGGCCGAATGCTGCCTTGGGATGCACGCCGACATGCTGCCGCAGACTCCCGCAGAGCGAACGGACATCCGATTCGACCAACGACCCTCGACTAACCTTGGGAAGGCTCATGCTATTCCTCCTCTCTACCTCCGTGGAATCGTCGTCAAGTGACATGGACACCGCCAGTCGTCACGGTGCTATTCAATGGGCATTTGTTTATGAATTACGCTGATGATGATGACAGTCGTGACAGGTACCTATTTGCTTTGCAACCTATCATCCGCACGCTATTGATGTTTCCTGGCGCTTCACAGTGCGTACTCTTCGCCGCAATGACTCAGCACATCCGTGCGTCGGATCCTCCTAACCCACTTGGCTTCTCAGCTCTATCAACAACTCTCAATAACGTACATTTTCCCTTCCTCGTACTCATGGAGCAAGCACGCAACTTGAAGAACGGCGCGGTCAGCATCCAGGTACAATTAAGATCAGAATGAACTCCAATATATTGAAGTTAAAACCAATGTGCAGAAGCTGACCCCGCATGAGGTGCACGTCTGATCGCGTCAGCCAATTTCATATAAACCACGGGATCGCTTTGACTACAAGCTCACTCTGGAACAGTGGGCGCGCGGTGAGTATGACATTAATTGTACCATTGTTGACAGGCCTTGTTAGGCTAGGTTGAGTTTGCTACATGATATCAAGCTCAGGCCGCGGGGTAGCAACACTCTTCTGTAGTCTTCTGTAGTAGTCTGCAGTTTGGTAAAATGCCACCATGCTGGGATCTCCTTCGAGCAGCTTCGAGCTCGAGACGCCCTCGGCACGTGCACGTGCCGCCGGCGCTCATTCACGACTCCTGTCAGAAGCTTTAACGTTGCGACTATTTGACTGATAACCACCACAAGCTCATCGACTGATATAGCTTATAATACCCCTTCGCATATGCAACACGGGCAACAATATGGCAAGGCCCTTCCGGTGAATCTACTTCTCGCGTTCATAGAAAGGTCATATCTGATTTGAATCATTTGATCCACAGGACCAGGTGGACCGTATTGCCAACTTGTTTGATGCCCATCTCGGTCTAGTTAGCGATGTACGCATTTTCTACTACACCCATCGGGCTAGTCTGGAGATGCACCCGGTGACTCAACGCGCGTCGTCTTTAGGTTCGAGAAATACACCGAGAGCAGGCTGCAATCGAACGAGAGTACGCGGCAAAGCTCCAGGCACTGGCTAGAAGAGCCGCAGAGAAGAGGAGCAGGACTGAAGCCTCCTTCGTTCTCGGCGATGAGCCCACGAAGGCTTGGGACGAGAATACTCTGAAACGCAGGTGCCCAAGTTAGTTTCATACGGGTTTTACTTTGGAAGACTGATTCCTGCGCCTAGCACCCTCGACTCGGCATATGGGGCGATCGTGAATTCCCTTGTGAATACGGCTCAAGACCATATCAATGTAGCAGATACGCTCACTACTCAGGTGGTCGACGTTCTCAAGGCTATTGAGAAGAAGAACGAGGACTTGAAGAAGAAGGTAAATGCGGCATCCAGGCCTTCATTGACTAGTTGAACAAGCTACCCGTGAGTTAGGAGCTGCAGTTCTTCCAGAAACTTTTGTCGAATAGAGATCGAATCTATTCCGACCGCGTCAAGGTAAGCATACCGAGTTTCTCGGCGTCGGGCTGGGTGCATGTTAACCGTGAATTGATTGGGTCACAAGGCGAAGCAAAAGGTGATGTATTATCTATAGCATTATGAGCGCATCTGTCTGAGAGGCTTGACACCTGTTAGTACGATGATGAGTGTTCCGAGGTCGAGTCGCATAGACTTAAACAGGTTGAGACTATGATCTCCACTCCACCCCCAGCATGCTCATGTAGATTCTCCAGTCTCGTGCACAAGATGACAGACATGCTGAGCGCGCCGCCAGGCAAGCCGAACAGCAGAAGAACGACATGTTGAACAGCAAGAAGTTGGTCGCTCCTACACCAACCATCAGAACACTCTGAATTTATCAAACACGGCACAGTGTTTATATCATTTCTACGACGCTTGCGAATAGAGCGAAAGCTAAATTTTACGACGAGGACTTGCCTGGCTTGGAAGACGTGAGTGTCGCGCCCGTCAACATCGGTCCCAACTTTAACTTAAATCAATTATTCTAGCAATTGCGTAAGTTGGCTTGGTCGCCTTTGGAACATTTCTATTGAAGACTGAATATGTGTGTCCGTAGAGGAGCTCCAAAGCCGACTCACCATTGCCTTCGTACAAGTATTGCAACACTCTCAAGGTCTCCAACAGCGTCACTTGGACGTTCTTAAGAGTCGTTTGGCGGCTGTCGAATCTGCGTTGGGAAGCGTCGACCCTGCTCAAGATGAGGATCTCTTCATCGAGCATAACATTCGGGCCTTCGCTCTACCAGGCGATTGGGTCTTTGAACCCTGCTCCATACGATACGATACGGTGAGACTCCAATGAATTCATGGACCACCTTCTTACCTCGCGCATGAACAGCCAGATATGAGTGTGGAGCCGGGCCCGAAAGTCTTTCTGCAAAATAAGCTAGCTAAATGTAGGACGAAATTGCAAGAGCTAGATCCTCTTGTAGACAGCAAGCGTGCGCCAAGCTCGTTACTTCGCTTTCGATCACCGTCTTGATCGCCTTTCTGTTCCGCCCAACAGGCAAGGACTACGATCAGCTCACGAAAATCGTAGCTGCGCGGGACGCCGACCGCGCCCTTGGCACTACTGACGAGATAATCAATGTACGTCACCGGCATGTTTCAGTTTGGGGTATAGACTCATATCGAATCCCTTCTGCATGTCTAGGATTACTTTGACGCGAGGCAACAACTAACCGTGTTCTCTACGTCGCAATGCATTTTACGTGCCGAAGCAGACACAATTGTTTCCGCTCTAGGAGGTTCGCTTCCTCTCCTTTGTAAATGACTCTCAGGGGCTAACAGGAGCGTAGGAGACGAAGGAGGCCGGATGCCTCACACCTTCAAGAGTTCTTCGTTTTCTATTCCTACGCAGTGCGGATATTGCAAGGTAATTAGGCTATTCCATTTGCGATCAGATGCGGCCTTCACGAGGTGCTTCCGCAGTCTTCAATATGGGGACTAAGTAAGCAAGGGAAGACCTGCAAGTTGTGTGGGCTCTCAGTACATAATAAATGTGAACTCAAGGTAACGATTAGTGCCTTGTAGCAGGGCCTCTAGATCTCATGCATACATCATGTAATAGATCCCCGCAAATTGTCAGGAATCGGATGGCCCAACGTTTTCGCCTACATCGACTAGGTCATCGGTACCATCTAGAGAGTCATCACTCATGGGTAAGTTAGTTACCGCGATCGACTAATACGCCCGGTCATGCGCATCTGAACCCTCGTCTATAGCCCCATCATCGAATCCTTCGGCATCTTCGTTCGTGCGGGAGACGAAAGAAGACGCCGCAGAGGAAGCTTACCCCCAAGCTCGTGTTCAGTTCGATTTCGTCGCTACATCTGAATTCGAGCTTGGCGTTACCGGTGAATATGCTCCCCCCAGCATGCGCTACTGTCTAGTTGACCGATGGCGCTAGATGGACTCCTTGTTCATGTATTAGAGCCGGATGATGGTTCCGGTTGGGTGAAGGTGGCGAACGCTAACGGTCAGAGCGGTCTTGTGCCAGCTTCTTATATAGAAGCGATAAGCGACGAGCCTCAGCCACCTCCTGTTACACTACCAGCCCGGAGCAGTCCAAAGAAATACGGTGCGACCGTCCCCATTTTCTGTAACCTATGATGTTGATCATTGGGCTTTAGTTCGCGCTATCTATGCATATGTGGCCCAAGGAGCTGACGAAATCAGCATCAAGGAAGGAGAACAGATCGAATTGACAAGCGGCCCAGCGGGCGGGCAGTTCTATGGCGATGGCTGGTGGGAAGGTAGGGCATCTTGTTCACAATATAGTTCTGGCCTTTGGACTTACCATTCGCAGGGCTGGATGGCCAAGGTCGAAAGGGTATATTCCCCAGTAACTACGTCCGTGGTCTCTTCTACTATTTTCTTTCTTGTCATCGTTGCTGATATCAATCTTCTTCTAGGTGCAATTGGTTTAATGAGATCGTTGCTTACGCATGTCTGATATCAACAACGTCCAGAGAATGCTTTGTGCGCAGGTATGTTCCCTTTGGGTTATATAAACCGTGGTTTGAGGTCCACAAAGCCTCCTGAGAGCTCGGCCTTTGACAGAAGCAGTCGGGGTACCAAACAGTCGTGTTCGTCGTAAGGACAGTATCCAAATGGGTATTGATGTTAAGCCTGTTAAGTTGTGATAGCACAGGTGGTTATTGTTACGGCGAGAAGACAATTTGGCTAATCTATCCAATCAATGTTGAGTTACCAGCCATGTCATCGAACCTTCAGAGCAGAGCCTGCTGCGGACGGCCTCATTATAGCCAAACGTGGTGAGCGCTCACTGTTGACGGATCACAAAACCTCCAACGGCATAGGTCGATGTCGCTAAGCGAGATGGTTGTTTACTTGTTCGCCGTGTTCGCTGGAGTCCAACATTCAAGGGAAGAGGAGTGGACAAGGGGGGAAATAATAGCCACGCCAGGTACGTGATTCACCGCACATGTTGATAAACTTGATGTCAATTCCCAGCACCATGACGGGACAAATGAGCGAAGGTCTCAGGGTTGTCTGTAACTTCATGTGCAGTATAAATAACAAACGTTCCTTGCGATATCGTACCTCTGCTCAGAATTCCTTCCCTTCTCACCAGTTTATGTGCCCCGACAGCTGTCTGCCCCTTTACACGTAGCGTCGTCGTAGCCTCCTCGCCGCGAGCAACTCTTCCGTGACTCGTCAATGTATGCACGCTGATCATGCGGAATGTGCTCTTGCGATGGATGACTGCAACGACGGTTCTGTTCAACGGGATGCAGAAGCGCCGAGTAACGCCACAGCGCGAGACATAATCCCTCTCATCATCGACGACGCTATTCAATGAGGTTATTTTGCCTCGAACTAATGACCAATTGACTCCATTATAGATTGCTACAGTTGTGAAATATACAGGATGCTCAAGGTGAAACAACTGGGATGTATCAGGCGCAACAACAATAGAGTTGGAAATACACATAAATAAAGAAATGAATTCTATCAGCACGTTCAACGACTCCCAACCATGGATCGCATGAAGGGGCCATTAGCACCCATATAGCCCGCTGAGGCCATTGGAGTGGAGATGGATCCGTTGGTCATGTTCATCATTGAGATGCCCTGTCCTTGTGATCCCGAAGGTGTTCGGTTGTGCGTTTCTCTGTTCAACATTCTGTCTTCGCGTTCCGCGATGGTGGTTCCGCCTCTTCCATGATCGGCAGCTCCATTCGCAACGGTGAACGTCTGGCCAAATCCATAGAGCTGTCCAGAGTAATGTGCATCGTCGATGGAATCGCTAAAGTACAATTCGCGCATCTTGAAGAAGGCAGATGAGGTCAGGAGGGAATCGGAGCCTGCTTGGTGCGAAGTGCCAACGCGTGTGACCTAGATAAGAAGTAGTCTTAGTCAACAGTTGAGCCTCTACGGGGCAATGGTGCAGATGCTGACCCCAAGTTCATCCGCGAGATTTTGGAGACCGCGGTTGAGTACATTAGACTTGCGGACCATGAATTTGATATCGTACACGGTGGGGAACCATGTCCGTAGGAGGTCGAAGAACTCCTCCTCTGCAACAGGAAGAGAAGCACCAGTGAGGAGCTTAAGGAAATACCCAAAGTCGTAGGCGCTGTGGGGAACAGTCGTCAGTCCTACCACGGTGATAAATTCAATGACAGTTTCGTGTACCTGTGGAATGATATCCACTTGTTGTCTGGATTAAGCACAAGGCCTGACGTTATCATCAACTCGGCGAACACGTTTGGTGAAATCCCCATCTCTTCGTGTCGCTGGAAATCGAAACCAGCCTTTTGTAGTAGGTCTATAGAGTCGGGGGCATACATATCGTCACTTTGTCCCTTCGGTAAGTTTCCAAAGAACACTGAATCACCAGCAGGTCGCGCACTTAATATTAAATTGAAAGTTGAACTGCCATGTCGAGTTCTCTGGGAAGTTCCCCTCCTCGTCCGCGAGTGTCAAGCCCACTTGTATGATTTTGAGAAGGTCGACATTACATCGCATCGTCTGGTAGTGGTAATCAGAAGGGGTCGGGAATGCACCGATGGGCCGTGCCACCACACCAGGAAATTCAGTGTCCTAGAGTGGATGTGAGTGGCTTGCAAGAATGGGAAGACGCGAGTGGGGTACCATGGCAATGTATGGATAGTCGTCAATTATTTCGCGAATTTGGTTCATCTCGTGCTCGAGATTCGACGCCCAAACTTCTGTGATTCGTGTCATTGTACACAGTCCAGAGTGGCTGATTGGTGGCAGGAAGAGTAGGCATATTTAGCGCCCGGGAGTAGAGTTGCATTAATGTGATTACGTAATGTGGATATACAATTATCATAAAAGCTAAAACCAAGCCATGTAGCTGGTGTTCGTAAGGTCCAAGGTGAGTGCGCCGCACTCGAGATTAAAGGGTTCATCTTCCGCTATACGAGGCGAGCAAGGTGCGAATGGGTGAGGGAGCAGCCTGGCAAACTCTCCATCTCTAGAGAAGCGATCGCCAGTACTAAATCCTAACGAGTTAAACCCATAAACGTCCGGAAGTCGTTCCATCTCCCACTCCTCTTGGTTATTGTGAGGGGACACCTGCCTCAGCCCGGGGACGTTACGTGAGTGAGCTATGATGTCCTCGGCGCAACGACGCAAACTAGCATGAGCACTGGTGAAACCAGACGAAACGCATCCACGGGCCTCACCGCTGCCTTGCAAGGCGAGGTCAGATCCGTTCTGAGTCGAACGTTGATCGTATGCTAGCTGTGACCGCAGGGTCAGCTTTTCCAGAACCGGCTATATCTTCGCGGTTAGCATAAAGCAATTTAAGCGAGATTATATCTAAACTTACAAGCGCTTTCGCACAAAAAGGCAATAGTTTCGCTGCTCTCCGAAATAGAAGACAAGCCCCTCGCATGGACTGCAAGGCATACGAAGACAGTGGGCTAGCTGGTGCCCGAACCACTACTAAACAGAGTGCAACCTATGATGAGTCCGTGGATACAGTGATTAATGCTCTGCGCCACAAAAGAACAAATGCGATGCTTACCCCAGCAGAGAACGCGTTGAACCAGAAATGTAGAAATCGCGCGGTCAAATCTGCCTCCCAGTTGAATATTTCCTCGGTGGAGGATATCAACGAGGTAGCAGCAATGCATGTTGCAACCACAGATGGTGCGTATTCATGCTCGAGATCGAACTCTCCACCGTTACTCAGGGCCTTCAAGAAGTACCGCCGATGAAGTTGGAGAATTGCTAGAGATCCGATCTGTGTATCAGTGTTGACACGATGGGCCTGATGCGAGCATACCTATTTCAAGCCCTGTTATGGCCACAGCATTCTGCATCCTTAAGGATCGGGTTGGCTTTGACTTTCCTTGTAGCAGGTTTATGGCGGGGAAATCTCTAACTAGAGTATCTAGATGGATTATGTGAAGGTAGGGAGGCGGATCGATTTGTATAGTGGCCTGCAATATTGGATCGAGACAGCCTGCGAGGAATTTCGTCTTCCAGTCGTGGTACAAATAGCCGTCCAAAGATTGACCTTCTTGATACACTTGATACACTGGTTTCCGTGTGTCAATATGTCCGACGTAGAGAGACGGAGGTCGTCCGAGCGATAGGCTCTAGGTGGGACGAGTAAGATATCAGCACGCCTACAAACATTCATTCATTGCAGCCTCACTAGTCGTGTATCGATATTAACGAGTTCCCAGAAAACGGCTCGCCTTCTGTCATCTTCTTCTGGAATCACTTTACTGCGGGAGGTGTCACGGTCTAGAGAGATATGGCTGAGTAGGTGAAAGTGCACGAAAATGGCATGACATACGCAGGCCAAGCTTCACCAAGAATCATGGAAGGATGAATATCGGGAAAAGACAAGATACGGTAGACTTACGCCTTGTGATAGCTTGGCAACAAAGCCCATCAAGTTCCATGCGTATGTTACGGCGTCCTTGTTGTCGGAGAACATCAGTTGATACCATATCATATAGAACTATGACCATGTCGTTAATAGCCGAATATCGGGAAAAGGAAGCGCATCCTAACGATTGTGTGGACTAGATCGAATTCGGGAATGTCTAATAGCGGGATCTCGCATAGAGCGGCGCGAGACAAATGGTGATAAGCTTCACCAGACAGAGAACCTATTGGTTCGCTCTCGCTGACTACACTTCCGATGGCAAGGTTCATTAAGAGCAAAGCTAACCGCCTAGGACTGAGCTCTTCGATGGTGGTGGAGTAAACGTGGTGAAGAAGATTGTCGAGGAATGTATTCGATGAGTCTAGATCGAATCTAAATGGGGTGGTTGACATATCAATGAATTAACAGGTTGCAGGGAACGTACTGCCATAGAGCGTTTCGACGGGCGGCCTGACACAGGGTCTCAGCTTCATTCCGCGGTGGTAAGCAATCACGAATTCGTTTCCTCAGTTTCAAGTCAATCGCCCAAGGGACTGGGAAGGTGGAGCTCAATTGAAGCAAGTCATTAGGGACTTCTGAGCAAGCTGAGGAAGCGCGTGATCCTGAGTTTGACTGTAATGCGACCGTCAGTATTTTTACTTCTCTGGCGGGCTATCGGCCTACAACAACAAATGTATCCTGGTGAAATGTGCTAATAGAAAATAAGGATGAACGGCATAGAAGCCTATTTACTCACCTCTCCAGAGTCGTTCAAGCGAGACCGATTCTGCCCGAAAATAAATGGTGGTTCTTCTGGGTGATTGTCCGTTGGATGGGGGTTAACAGCCGAAGGAAGTGAGCTGGGAATTCCCTCAGTTTCGGTGCTGAAAGTCGACTTGATTCGAAGAAGCTCTGGCGCTAAAAGGGGGTGGGTATCTGGCGAGCTACGTGCCTGGAGTACCTCAAGTGCTTCTTCCAACAATTTAACCCGGTCACAGAGCTGGTTAATTTTTTCATGTAACTGTTCGGTGTTGGCAAGAATGAAGCTGCGCGTGACAAGGATCAACATCGCGCACTCTGCATGACTAAACGGGTGGGCCCTACCGGCTACCTCTGCCTGATGTGAGCGTGCCTACAAACATCATCAATACGCGATTTCGAAGCCGATAACATCGAACATACCATCCGGGCATATTTCCGCACATCCACGTTTACAGCACGACTGACAGCGTGCCCTTAGATGCTGTAGGCGGAATTGATCTGCAGTTACTCACTTGACAAGGGAACACTCGGTCGCACTGAACCCCCCGACGTTAGATGTGAATACATGTGCGTGCTAGCAGTCGGCGCACCTTCAATTTCAGTCTACAAGGCATTCGATGAGTTTGGAGGCGTACTCAACACTGACAGCACGCACCGTCTACACTCGTTACAAGAGAGGGTTTTACTTGAACGCGCCTCCTTCCTGTAAACCGCGGTGGAGACGTTTTCTTGTTTACTAGCAGTCGAGCGTGCCGCGACGGGGAGGGCCGTTGTACCTGCTCCAGTTTCTTTGGGCATCGATATCTGACCAAGGTCAGCGAGGGCACCTCCAATAGCACCGGGTGCATCTGGGCTAGATCTTGCCCTCTTCGTAGGTCTGTCGTATTCGTTATCCGTGTAGCTATTCATCGCAACGTGCAGAGAGCGGCGCCGGCTCGTCAAAGAGGTGTTTCTGGAGATCCAGTGTAACAACTTCAAAGAATTCGAAGGGGCAGATGGGGCGGCTCCGCGAAGCAGTGATAAACAAGCAGAAAGGAAGAACGTCGGAAGGACCACTATCCAACATATACACGCTGGCGCTAAACAGCTCAAGGACTCTGCCTCGCGACCATGTGCCTGAGCTGAGGCCTGTATAACATCAATCTTATCAGTCAGCACTGGGCAAACGTCCTCCACCAATGGGGACCACTCACTACCAACTCTAGATGCCGCATTAACATTTCCCGAAAGAATCGGTGCCGGCGCAAACGGCAGTAAAACCAAGACCAATGGAACCTATGTCTTGGCGCCTCCGATTTAGGCACAGGGCCCTAAAGTCAGGGTAAGCATAGTTCAGTCACTGGTCCTCGCCCGCCGACATGCCCCTTCCTAATAGATACAAGAAGTTCTATACCACGCCGATACGACGCACAGTAAGTATCGACTAGCGTGGTCACGAATGTAAAGCATTGAATGAATAATATAGAAAGCACAACATAAGAGCAGAATGGATATACTACAATTGTTTCGAAAAGCTAGTCCGCCCATAACATCCACCCTGCATAAATCCGGGGGAACAAAAACAACCTCATATATTACTCACAATCATAGAAAGAATGGACGGCACTCAGAACCATGCCATCCAGTTCTGGCTGCCGTCATTCCAGGTCTGGTTCAACGCGCCGAAGTCGAAATTGATACTTTCCACGACAGCCATGCGCGACGCCGGGTTCAACCCTACGTTGATCGCTGTTATGCCTGGACCGTTGCCTGGTAAAACTCCGTGCAACATCGAACCATCGTAAAGGTCCGGAAGAACGGGTGACATTTCTTGACTCGGACTGAGCTTCGGCGGTGGACTCCATGAATGGCTGGGAGGGCATGGCGTTGCTCTGCTGGCCTGCGTTCGTTGTGCGCATTGACAAGGTTTCCTAGATGGGAATAGGATCATTGCCCGTTGATGTACTTCAGCTATGCATTGTGACAGTGATCGGTGAGCATTCGCGAATGAATCGGGCGAGAGTTGTTGATTCTGCTGCTGCATCATCGCCTCTTGCACAGGGTCATCGGACAACGTGTGACGAAGCGCCAAAGATGGGACGTCGTCCCCCTCTGCCCACCGGGTATAAATGTGATTAGCTTTCACCACCAATGTGTCCAGGATCGGCTGCAAGGAGCGAGATGTTACGACATGCCGCGATGTGGTACAAAGATAGGCTTACGATAACTTGCATCGCTCGGGGGCAAGTATCCTTCGCGGCCTCGAACAGAATCCTCGCACGCTCTAACTCCTGAAGCGCCGCTGGAGAAAGGCATGTAAAAGGTGCGCGTGACACGAGAAGGCACAGCGCAACCTAGAATGGAAGGTAAACAAACAAGGAGAAGGTTAAGGTGTCGCTGGTTGCTTACCGCCGCACTGAATGCATTGGACCAGAAAGCCAATATTCTAGACGTTAAGTTAGGCTCTCGCCTGAACAGCGCCTCGACCGTTGCAATCATCCGTGAAGCACTCAGAAAGACAGCAACAACGGACGGTGCGAACGGATGCCTTCGATTAAACGCCCTCTCGGGCCCACTCAGCGCTCTAGTAAAGAATGTACGGTGGAGTTGGAGGAGCACTGTGATGAAGTCGGATAAATATAGGTGGGTGAAACGCTGCCGGTAAACAGGGGTACACTTACCTGCCTCTAAAGCAGTACTCAGACTTGCCTTCTGCATCATCAATTGCCGCGAATGGGTAGCGCCTGATCTCAACGGTGGTGGCACTGTGAACTCTCGAATGCGTGTATCGAGTTCAATAACTTGCGCATAGTCGAGGGATGAAGGCGGCCCGGAGATTAATTCGAGCACGGGGGAGAGGCAGGAGATGTACGACGAGTGTTTCCATTCTTGGACTGAAACAACTTCTGTTAGTGATCAACTCCCGAAGGATGAAGACAGGAACAAACAGAAGTGAAGACTCTCAGCGGGGTCACAGCCTTCAACAGGCAAATATGACGGTCGCTTGCAGTCCACATGGTTGCGAATGAGAGATGGGGGTCGGCCTAATGAAAGCGACTACCGCAACATCAGAACACCTATGACGGGCATAGCGTCGAAGACCTACTAATCGGGCGTCCAGGTACAAGAGCTCCCAGAATAACGACCGCCTCTTTTCAACCTCTTCCGGAATCATTTTCGACTTGACGCCATCACGATCTATCAATGATATGAACGGAGAGAATTGGCAATTCGAAACATGGGAACTCACGGAGACCAATGCTTTGGGCCAACTTAGCAGTCAGACCCATCAACCCAAAAGCGTACCCAGCGGCCTTTTTGCGATCTGAGAATACCAACAGGTACCATATTTCGTAAAAGAGCGCTATGATGGTGTCGATGTTTGTCTCCTCCATGACCGGTATTTCGCACAGTGCAGCACGGGCGAGGTGATGGTATTGTTCGGCGCGACTTTCAAGCACCTGCAAGGCATCTAATGGAGAGGTCGAATGTTGATACTGGGGCTCCGTGAGATCAACCAGCGTCCCCACAGCCATAATCATCAGCAGTAACGACAGTCGGCGTGGACATAGATCATGGATAGACGAAGTGTAGACGTGGTTTATGAGGTTGGGTAGGAACGTTTCGTTGGGGTGGGGATTGTATCTTAGAGATGAAGTAAGTATTAATTGCTGATACTGCTTGTTGCTAAGAATGAGTCCTGGAAATATGGGACTTACTGCCAAAGAGCGTTTTGTTTCGCTTGCTCCCAAAGATGCTCAGCCACATGCCTCGGGGGAAGCTTACTCCGAATGAATTCTCTAACCTTCGGATTTGGCTCTGGAGACACATTTCCGCTGATGGGGAAACTATCGCTCAAGCGCATGATCTCGGGTGTTAGCAATTTATCATAATTGAGTGCAGAGGCGGAATATAGTGACGGGGAGTCTTTGGTGTCCTGCTTGATCGAATATTAGCATCACTTACAATATTACAGGCCACGAGACCTACGCGTTTCTGATCGGGTTGGCTTGCGTATTCGAATCTCGTAGAATCCACGTCCATTTGTCCAGACTTGTCGTCCGTGTGATTATCGTGGCCGCCATCAGAAGGCGTCGAGGAGGTGTGGCCCCCGTGAGCGGATTCATTACCACCCTTCTGTGTCCCGCCGTATAAACCCATAGTGCTCTTGATGTTGAGTAGCTCATTCGAAGCCAACAAAGGATGGGTCTCCGTGTTGATGGAGGAATGGATCTCCTCTAGGGCCTCTTCCAGAGAGCGAATACGGTCACTCATTTCGATAATTTTCGAATGTAGTTGTTCAGTGTTAGCTAGGATGAAGCTAATCTTTATGTAAATCCGGGTTTCAATGGTGTAACGATATATGGACGAACCGTGTCCCCTTCCCCGACACCAGTACACCTGCCAGGATGTCAGACCTTACGACCTTGTTAATGAGAGTGGTTCGTACCTTCTGGGCATATTTCCGCGCAGCCTCTCTTCTTGCACGACGCGCATGGAAATACTCGGTCACACTAGCGGTCAGCACATCAGTATCCAACATCATAGAGCTTGTCGTATGATCCTTACTCTGAGTTTCAGCCTATATGCGCATAGCGCAGTGAATACGGGTAGCTCGAAGCGGTCCCCAGCACCAACATGCTCACCGTCGGCATTCAGCACATGATAGAGGCGTCTGTGGTCACTCTGCTCAGGGAAGCGTCGGGCTTGAAGTCAAGGATGACACACACCTTTTTACCCCCCTTCTTCGCCACAATGCCATCCGCTATGAAAATGTGATCTAATTGCGCCGGTGCGGACGGGGATGCCTCTTCAGGAACGTCCCTGGTGCTGCCACCCTTTCTCGGCCTCTTGGAAGGCCTGGTATCGAGCTCGGCCGGAGACGCATGTTCAAGAGAAACGGTGATGATGTTCTCTGCGACAGAAGGGGCCATGAAATAATGGGGGTCGCAGGAATGCGTGGTATTCGGGAGGTAGAGTTTATGGGCAAGGGAAGTGATTTAACTGCTCCAGATGGATCAACGTGACCATGGGTGTGGGATAATCTTCGCTCCCGCTGCCGAATCAGGATCTCGCTCCCTCTGTTCCTTCTGCGAAAAAGTCGGATGTCTCGCCTCGACGTTGGCTGTGGGCGCGAAACTTGCTTCAAAAGTGAAGAATGGTGTCCTGTGCTCGCCTTCAAGCTGTCTTCAGCTGCAGTCGATTTTTTTCCCGACTCTCTTTTGCTGAGATCTTTGAATTAGTATGAATCTCCGAGGAATCATATCATACCCACCCTCTCACACACCCACGCTTGCCTGTCACTCGATGCCCCTATTCATACAACCCACCGCGCCTCCCCGTCAGCGCCGTAGGCCAGCCCCCTTCTTGCTTCGTACGCTCATCGTTAGCCATGCTGCTAGAGTGCTGATACAAGCCTTCATTCTTCTACATCGTTTTACCATCTCTATTAATATTAGCGCCATCAGCATCCATCGCCTTCAATCCGATATCGATGAATCTATGTGTATTTCTTCACATATGGAGAAACGCTTCGTGGAGAATCGTTGTTAACATCATGGAAGGCTCCGTCGTATTTATAAAGTGAAAACTTTGGCGCACGCTAGTGCTTCCGCCAATCACAACTTCTTTTTATGGTCATGTCGACTGCGCATGCTGACTGATTTTCCACCCACATCAATGTACGTCGCATCCTACTGACAGCGAAAGACAACGATCTAAAGAGCCCAGAGTTACTGTCAGTCATCGTTGGCGCCAGTGCCTGTATCAGTCACTTTCTTGTTGTTTATATAGGGGTACACGTGATGGACTTCGCGAACTGAACAAAATACAAAGCTCAGGTTCAGGGCTCCTTCTTCAAACACTACTTATCGTCCCCTTCGGGGTGACATACGAAAAAATTGGAACGATACAGAGAAGATTAGCATGGCCCCTGCACAAGGATGACACGCTTTCCCGGAGTGGTAGACCTACGGGTCTCAATATTTATTTTGCCATTTGCTCGGATTATCCCTACGTGAATGCTTGAACAGGCCCACCAAAAGCATGCATGTAGAAAGCCCGAGAGCTCTTCGCCGCTCATTTTCAGTTCCCTCTACTTGTTTTGCATCATCCGAAGCGCAGATGCATTAATATCCGCTCCAAGAGCTACAGCGTATTACATTTAGAGAATATCGGCTGTAATGTACCAGTTCCCAGTCGTCCTGTGGCAACCCCAATTTCAAGGACTGGTCGGTGGGGTCAAGCACTCAGTGATCAGGCCGTGGACGACTTTGCAGCCTTTGGCGACAGCAATCTTGACTGAGTCCAACACTTTGCCTTTGTCGATCTTGCTCCCTATCTTGCTCAACACGCCGGGTTCCGCCTCTGGCTTGGCCGGGGCCGCAGGTTTAGCAGCGGCGACGAAGTCAAGGTTCTGGGAGTAGGATGGGACAGCTAAGGAGTCTTCCTTGGCCTCCATGGCGATGGGGCTAGCCATGGTGAAGGCTGCGAGAGCGATGAGGATGACGGCAGGACGCATGGTCGACTCTATTGGACGCTAGTCAGTTATGTGCGTTCGGGGAAAGAGAAACGCGGGGCTAACGATAAGCAAGCTTTGATACCTAGAAAAGATACGGAATGATCAGTTCGGTCGCTTGCGATCGCGTATGAGAGAACACTTACTCTGGAGGGAGATGTGGGTTGCTGAGGATTACAAGTTGATCTGGGCTCCTTATAACTAGACTCGGCCATGCAGCAGCGACCATCTAGCCTGTATGCCCTGTCAAGCTAGACCGACAGCTGAATTGCTCATGGGCAGCTGGTGGCCGCAGCGTGCGTCCAGCAGCACGCGCTAAAAGGCACTATCTGCAAGATCATCAGATTAGCATGCAGCATTGGAGCCTTCAGCTAGCTCAAGCTTGAATGTCGATTGCCGTTTCTTCTCGCAGGCCAACCACGCTTCTTGAAAGTTGACGTTCAGGTTCCTGAGGGGATGTCACTAGCATCTGAAAGACTATGGAGTCTAAAAGCGTGAACAGACATCTTGCATGGATCCTTGTTCGGAGCCCACGGGGTTGAGAGAAGCGCCCACTTCGAGTTCAAACTTGAAACTACTTGTCGTCGTGCTTGGTGAGTAGCGCTCCAGAAGCGGTCCAAAAGAGAGTGACTCGCTGCTCACTGTGTCCATTGCAGCCATGACAAGCAGAACGAGCGTCGAGCAGCTATACAGCAACTCGATCCACGTTTCCACGAGCCAATTACTCCGACTGACACCTCAATCCTCTCTCAGCCCATCGCCAAACTCATTGAGAACGTTCACTCAGGCGAGCTCACACCTCTCACGGTCCTCACGGTCCTCACAGCCTATACCAAGAAAGCCCTAGCCGCCCACGCACAAACCAACTGTCTCTCAGAAATCCTTGTGGAGTCTGCGCAGAGGTGGGCTAACTCCTCCAAGTTCAGCGCAGAGAACTTGAAGGAGAAGAGGAATTTGGAGAGCCTCCCGCTTGCAGGAGGGCCTGTAAGTTTAAAGGACACCGTAGGAGTGGAGGGGTATGATTCTTGTATAGGGTACTCGGCGTGGGTGGGGAAGCCTTTCCCGCGTCACAGTGCCCTAGTCAGGCTCTTGCTCGATGCCGGAGCCGTCCCCTTCGTCAAAACCACGATCCCGATCACGAATCAACCTTACAACAAAGGATACTCTCCAGGCGGCTCATCGGGCGGTGAAGCAGCCCTCCTGGCGTACGGCGGTTCGCGCGTCGGTGTGGGCACAGACGTAGCAGGGAGTGTGAGGGTGCCGGCCCATTATTGCGGGGTCTATTCGATTCGGAGCTCGGCACAGAGATTTTTGAAGGCAGGCAACGCAACAAGTATGCCCGGGCAGGAAGGCGTGTCGCCTGTCTATTCGCCCATGGCGCGTACACTGGATGATCTAGACACGTTCTGGCAAGCCGTCATGTCCATGAAACCGTGGAAATATGATCCTCGGTTAGTGTAACAGGATACATTGTTTCTCTAAATTAACTCTACCTGACTCGATCACTACTGACAGGTCTTACCTATCTTGAAGGACGGACGGCGTTGAAATGGGCTGCCATATGGGATGACGGTAAGTCCGCCCAACAGTTTTCGAAGTACAATGTATTGACCCTTCCTCCCAGAAACGACCCGGGGCTCTCCGGGACAGGCCTTAATCTCGCCGCTCAACTTTTGCTCGCTGACGGAGGTTCGTACCACACTTTTACTCCCCGCACGGTTGAGTTCATTCCCCGTCTGTCATTGCAGGCAAAGTCGCCATTAAACCCGTTCGGTTCGGAGAGTTCAACGACCCAGGCATGGTTCAGGCGATGCGCATGTTCTCCCTCCCGCGCCCTCAGTATCCTTTACTCCTGGTTTGTCCGCTACATCTACCGGGATCCCCTGTACGCGGTCCTCATCGCGGGGTGGCACGAGAAGCCCATGACTGAATACATGAATCTGGTCGCGCAGAGGGAGGAGTACCGGCTCAAGTGGTTTGAAATGTGGAATGGCAGTGGAGGGGATGGTGAGAAGGGAGGTGATGGTGGGTGGGATTTCATACTGACGGTGCCAAATGCGTTGCCCGCCGTACCGCATGGAGGGATGAAGGATGGGTGGAAGTCATGTGGATACACTTTTCTGTGGAATTTGGTGAGACCTTTTCCTCTTCCTCCCTCCCTGTCTGTGACCTCTCATGTTCTGCGTTTTCAAGCTCGATTATTCTGCGGGCGTGATGCCCATCATGCACGTCAACAGCGTCCTTGACCGGCTCGCCCCTCGCTTCGCTCCCCGCAACGCTATCGAGAAGGGCGCGTATGATCCAGTGAGCATGAGCGGGCTGCCTGTTGGTGTTCAGGTGATAGGTAGGAGGCTCGAGGAGTTGAAGGTCATGGAGGGTATGAAGATCATAGAGGGATTGCTCACTAAGGAGGGCATTCAGTATGAGGGCATCAAGATTTAAGGAAAGGGAAGAGTTGAGGCGGATGTCAGATTGATCAGTTGTGTATGTTCCCAAGTGCTGTATTCTGTAGTTCTGTAGTTCTGGTCCTTGCCTTTAAGAACCAGCCCTGCCATCGTAGAAGGAACGAAATTAAGGCGCGGTCCCTAGTTCTGGAGAAAACATGAAAGTGGGATGAACATTCACACGGATTGTTGGGGCATTTGATAGTTAGCAGGAAATATAAGTGTGATGAGGTGTAAATATGTATTGTGGTACTGCGGTAGTGGCATAATTGTATAGCCATTTAGTCAACGCTTTTCTGGCTTCGGTTGATCTTGAATCACATTTTGTACGCCCTGCTTCCATACGCCAAGTTCCTTCTCAATAGCCACCAACGCCTCCCTAACATCTTTCCCGACCTCCCCACCGTCGTTCGATTTCCCGAATCCAATCAACAGTTCCTCTCTTGCTCTCATGAGCGTAGTGTACGCAAGCTTAAGCCGCGGTGGGCCTGAAGGAGGAAAAGGCGCCGCCTTGGTGAAGAAATGCGGGTGTGCGTCACCGGGCTGCTGGACCTCTTTTGGAGAGGGTTCGTCAACGGCAAGCAATTTTCCGAGCTGAGTGAGCGCTATGCCTCGAACGGGATGGCCTTCATTTAATACGGCAGTGAGGCCAGATACAGAACGACTCGCGGAGCGGATGGCATCATCAAGGAGGTCTTGTGCTGCCTTGCGCTCTTCCTGGCTACCGGTTAGTGATGACAAGGAGGGTAGCGACGAGATTAAAAGGGATTGTTGTAGGCGAGACAGCCCGAGCAGCGGATGGGTTGACGGCGTCAAACTAGTGGACAAAAGAATAGGTATCAGGTTGTTGGTGAGCTGTTTGGATTTCTCTGGATCTGGGATGATTGTTATGAAGAGCGATAGATATTTTGGGAGTAAGTTCGACGAACCTCTGAATTGGAGCGCTGTTGCTTTATCGAGAGCCTCTTGGCCTACACGAGCGGCGTCAATCACAGCGTCGGTCGATGTTACCACCGCTTTGCACTTGCTGCACCTTACAATATCGGTATCTGATCACCCGGTCAATTTTGTGGAGGATGTGCAGGAAGGTACGAAAGACGCACCAGTGACTGGTAGTGGAGAAGTCCCACCACAAGCTTTCGGGCACCATATTGCGATTCTTGGATCGACACTATCACTCTTTCCCTCATTTTCGCACAGATTACATTTGCAAGTGAAGCTGTACGTCTCCAACAGGAATTGTTGCCGTTGAGACTTGGGCAACGTGGTGTCAATATACGACGTCAAGATCTATATATGGTAAGATGGACCTCTCAAATAGAAAATGATGGGGCAAGTACCTCTTCATCGGCAGCAATGGGTTTGATGGCAATAACTTGCATGAGTGGCTCCTGAGCTACGCTCCCAGACGATCTAGGAAATACAACCACGGCATTGGGATCACAAGAATGGTTGATCAAGGCAACTGCCGGTGAGACACATACTCCCAAAGGCGTGAGCGATGGTGAAGTAAGAGTGAACGAATTTGTAGTGAACTAGGTAAAAAAATGTCAGAATGCGTACTTCGCCTTTACCAGCCGTAGAGGTTCACATACTCGTGATATGACGTCCACCAAATCCGCAGCAGAAGCAATGTCGAACTCAGCGAGGTCAGTGGGGGACAAAAGCCCGAGGTACTGCACAATTGAGTGGGCCAAGTGCGTGTGAAATTCGGTAGTAGATGGTTGCAGAGTCGAAGAGCGGTCTTTGGGATGGGATCAGAGACACAGGTAGCGTCACGTCGGCAAGGGGAACGTACGAGACTGCATAGCGTTGATCTCCCTAGCCTACGCCCATTGTTAATCGGAGGTGAAACAAACGCTGTTAATTTTTCACCCAATCGCTGCTCGCGCCTGCCTTCTTTCTTTTCCAAAGCAGACGACCAAGGCATCGAATCGCGTCGTTCGGGATGGACGCCTCTGCAGATGGGGCCGCAGCTGCCCAACGTTTCAGGGCGATACATTCAAGCTTGTGGAAGCTCCAATCACGGTTTTGACAGTCCTACGGACAGGAATAATCAACTCCAAGCGCCCAATGGCAATCGTAGGTCACCGACAGCATCGCAGTACCACACTGTTGTGCACTGTGTGCACCTCTGCAGGGCCGTTGGAGGAGTCGGCCTGAAGCAAGCGGAGCAATGGGAATCCAGATATGTGTTGGATAATGCTGCTAGCTTGGGTTTGCAAGACAACAATGTGGTTCCTTTCGGATGCAAGATATCAACGCGCGGCGATAATCCTGTAGTAATTGCTCACCTATATTGAGGGTTGCCTTCGTCCATATTCCTCGACCAGCCTCATCGGATGAGCGTATTTCCAGCGACTTCGGAATGTAATTGAACAGCCCATTCTCGTCGTGGACTCCCTGCTTGAATGGAGAAATGGATGAAACATGGGATACGGCGGCATCACTTTCATGAGACTTGACATACGATTTTGTTTCTTTCCTGTGTCGAGAAGTACTCAGAGCTGTGAAGGACGCCATCGAAGTCACCGTATAGACCCAGCTGAGAATTAGCTTGCCAGGTCCCCGGCAATAGGGCCGGCACCCTTCAGCTAGCCCAAAAAGGCAGTATAGTATAACTCCGCTCCACGATGCATCTCCTGCCAACCTTCTGCTGCCTACCATGCCACCACGATCACCCCGCAAACGCGTCGCGCAGGTGCTGTCCGACGACGATGGTCCATCCGGCGACAACTCCGACTCGAGCTCCCAATCAGCTCATGGAGAAGGTGGCGATTTTATGGTCCAAACCAACTTTGACTCCTACTTCTCTCATGTGGCTGCAAGATCTCAAACGTCAAATACCGTATTCTCCACCAAAATACCGCCTCTCAGCGCAGAGGAGTACGCGGCTGCCATCAAGCCCGTCACTGCGCGACCTCCACCATTCCGATCGGCCGTCTTCAGCGAGGAGTCGAAGCATGACTTTCACTCGCGGTTCTTGCGGGAACTCCATGAAGGGTTCAACTTGCTGTTCTATGGGTTCGGCTCAAAGCGACAGTACTTGAATGACTTTGCGACCGAACGATGTGCGAGGCTCGGCCATGTGGTGATAGCGAACGGATTCCACCCCGGATTTGGAATGAAGGACCTCCTGTCCTCGTTCAGTGGCCTGCCGGACTTCGACGCGTCCCCATCTCAGGCGACCGTGCAAGAGTACTTTATATCGAGCAAACACCATCTCTACCTCATCATCCACAACATCGACGGCCCCTTCTTCCGCACGACAAAGGCAAAGTCCGTGATCTCGCTCTGGGGCATGAATCCCCATATCCACATCCTGGCTTCCGTAGATCACATCAACGCCCCCCTGCTTTGGTCGACCTCGGAATCATCCGCACGCAAACAAGGGGGAAACAATCGCGGATTCGCCTGGCTCTGGCACGACATTAGTACCCTCTCGTCGTACGACTTTGAGCTCTCTTTCGCAGACCGCACGTCTATACGCGGCGCGCATGGTATCAAAGCATCGGACACCGGCACATCAAGCGCCGTGGCCATGACAGAAACCGCCGCCCTGCACATCCTCGCCTCAGTCACGCAGAAAGCCAAGAAGCTCTTCAAGCTCATGGGTGAGCGCCAGCTGGGGATATCAGACTCGGAGTCGGGACATGATATGCAGCAGGCGGCGATCGAGTACGATGCGCTGTTTAGCCTCGCGCGGGACAACTTCGTGGCGACAAACGATACGGCACTAAGGGCGCTACTAGGGGAGTTCAAAGACCACGGACTGGTGCTGACGGCGCAGAGCTCCGCTGCGGGCGGACAGGCGCTGTGGATACCGCTAAGGAAGGAGAAACTCAGTGCCGTGCTGGGTTCCGCGCAAATGGGGTGATGGACAAGTCAAATCGATCTGGAATAAATCCAGAGCACGAGGTTATTCTTCCAACCCACTTATGAATAATTGAACGTTGTCGCTGACACCGTTAGTGGTCTCACCGGTGTATTGGTGGAGCCGTAGGCTTGAGAGATAGTTTGTTACTTTTACTTTTCACGCTCAGTGCTTTCAGCTGGCCGCTGCCTTGACGTGTATGACATAGATTCAACAAAAAATCAACACTGCGTCTTGATTCGCCCCCAGGACAAGCGAGAGAAACGAGTCGAAGCTTTTGTCGTTGACGAAGTGAATACGTTGCCTAAATTGAAGTTGCATTGCCCTTGTTCGCGAACGCCCTCGTACGTTCCCTCGTCCTTGTATTTGCATCTTCTCACTCTCTGCAGATGAGCATCTTGCCAGGCTGTCTTTCTGGAAAGTCACTAACTCCCCCGAGGACACTCTCATATCACGTCGTTTAACACATATGCACACGATATTTCCCAGGTCAAGGACCTACGGGGAGATTATCCTTCGCGAGGTTCCCTTTGCCCTACACCAATGGGCCTCAGTGGATAGATGTGTATAATTGGCGGATTAGGGAATAAAGTTGTCATTGTACTGAAATTGTTCTAGAGCCAGTTGCGTATTCTAGCGAGATACTAGACAACAGCGCCCAATACTTTCCTTGTAGCTTCAACAATGACCTCCCACTCTGCTTTATGAACTCTGTCCTCGAACGCCTCCTTGCTTTCCCCTCCTTGCATATCGAGTTCCCGAATCAATATAGGTTCCCCGCGATCAACCTCTTTGACTACGCGGTGTACCATTACCCCGGATTTCGTGATCTCTCCCTTCTGAAGGCCTCATATGCGCGATCGATAGCGTGCATTCCGTCGAAAGCACCAGGAAGCGCGGGGTGGAGGTTGATCACTGGGATGGAGTCCTGGCGATCGCCGGTGGCCATCTCCTCTAAGAATCCATCACCAAAGACGTGCATCCATCCAGCGAGCACTACGACGTCGGGGCGAGCCTGCAGCACGATACGTCCCACTTCCCGATCGTAATCCGATCGACCTTTGCCCGGGTGCTCTTTCAGATATGTTTGGAGCGCGATATAGTAGGTTGGGATTGGAGGCGATGCCTGCGATGCGCGGATGAGGCCGTACGCCGCTTTTCGATTAGAGACAACGAGAACTATTGATGAATTTGGTAATGAAGGGGTGTTTATTGCATCGATGAGAGCCTGGAGGTTAGTGCCTGCGAAAGGTATGAGGGCCGTTATACATCGGTCAAGAGTGTCCTACCTGAACCCGACATCAGCACGACAATACGGCGGGTCCTCGATTCGCCTGCATCGCTCGACATCAAGGTTTTAATTATGGTTAACCGCTTCCGATTGGGTCATGTCGCTTTCCGAGTCTCGACTCGGAGGGACAATGTTAGATAATGAAGGCCTGAAGAAACTATCATAGAGTTTATCATGTATCTTACATATCATACATCAACCAAGATACCTTTGGTTCGCCTCGCTCCTATTCCCCGACGCTCGTCGCGGAAGGGTATTGTAGAAGCGCGCGCCTGTTGTGCCATAAGTAGACAGGGGTATAAGTTTTCGGAACCACCAGAATCAGGAGTGCTTGAAGTGCTTCGAATACACGATGGCTCTCTCCTCCTCCTCATTTGACGCGTTCTATGGCAAAATACAGACATCTGCCCTTGATTCTGTTAGAAAATCAGTCGGCATACCTACTGATGTGTCCTTCCACCGATCTGTCGACTCCGTACTTGCGACCCAGCTAGATACACTTTCTACAAGGGTCCTATCTCTGACAAACCGCGTTTTGGGCCTGTCCCAGCTGTCTGCTGGATCCACGTCAAATTCTTCGGGGCGCAAAGGCAAGGACAAGGAAACGCAACCGCTACATGGCCAAGATGATGTGGTAGACAGCTTTCAGTCGCTGGTGGATGTAGTGGATGGATTATTTGAACGCACGGTTCGTTTGTTCGACCTCTGCCGGTACATTAATACCTGAAATCCACGTCTTGACTTAGGATACATGCCTTGATACCTACCTTGGGCGTAACGTTGCTCCGGCGATCGCCATAAACCCGCCTTTGCAAACCTCACGGAAGGTCAGTTTTATATCTTCTGTATTCCAAGGTGAACGGGCACCGAAGATCTAGCTTAGTCCGCGCGTCAACAGGGACCTGTCGTACAGCACGCTGCACATCTCGCGAAACCACAACGAGCTTTCAAATCACCGACGGACAACTTAACCGATGCGCCGTGGTATCCCAATCTTCCGCATAAATACAACGCTCAAGTGCCTTTCGGCTTCGTTTCTGAGGATGAGCCCGAGGAGCCCTGGTATGTGGTTCGCTGCGTATCTACAAGCATAATATCATCTTTGTGCTAGGAAACGCCATCCATATCAATATGAAATCTCTCACCTTAACTACCCCCCGTCGATGTTTCATTCAACGCCGGCCATTCCCCCATCTTCCCTCTCTGCCGACTCTCCTCACACATTTGTGACTACGACGACCGAGCTTCATCATATGCTAGACGATTTACGCCGCGCCGACGCCATTGCCATTGACCTCGAACACCATAGTCACCGGTCGTATAGAGGGTTTGTTTGTCTGATGCAAATTAGCACAAGAGACAAGGACTGGGTGATAGATACGTTGGTGCCGGAAGTGCGGGAGGAGTTGGGCATATTGAACGAAGTCTTCACGGACCCGAAGGTGGTGAAGGTGCGTCGCTAACTTACTCGAGGTAACATCTTTGACTTCATCGTGACAGTAGGTCTTGCATGGGTCTGAGTCAGATATAATATGGCTCCAGCGTGATTTTTCCCTATACATTGTAAACCTTTTCGACACTTTCCACGCCTCAAAAGTTCTAGGTACGACACAACGTTTTGATCCTCGAATCATATTTATGTTTTGTAGACTTCCCTCGACATGGTCTTGCCAACCTTCTCGAGATGTACTGCGACTTCTCGGCCGATAAACAATACCAGTTAGCTGACTGGCGCATTCGGTAAGCCACCTTGACGGATATTATCCACCTAACGCAATTGATGGGCCTCATAGCCCTCTTCCCGATGCCATGATTAACTACGCACGATCGGACACCCATTTCCTCCTCTTTATCTACGACAACCTACGAAATGCTCTTCTTGACCGGGGTCTGTCTCGCTCGCGTTCTCAATCTCAAGCACGGTCTCGTTCGTCCTCCCCTCCGAGCAAAAAGAAGTCGAAATCGCCTTCGCCTCCGGTTAAAATGGGCGAAGGAGATTCTCCGCCGCATGCTCTTCTTCACGAGGTCCTAGCGCGATCATCCATGACGGCATTGAAGGTATACGAGAGGGAGACGTATGACGTGGAGAGTGGCTTAGGCCCTGGTGGATGGGAAGGCCTAGCCAGGAAATGGAATAAGGCGACGCTGTTGTCAGGAGACAACGAACAGGGGAGGGTCTATCGCGCAGTACATGCATGGAGAGATAAAGTTGCTCGAGAGGAGGATGAGAGCACGAGGTACGCTCCTGCTGTTTTCATCCCTTGCATGCGTCTGAAATGTGAGCGATTGATGTGCGGGTGACGTAGATATACTCTCCCTAACCACCATATATTCCAATTTGCAGAACGGCCGCCTATAGATATGGCGGGCTTACTTGCGATGTTTCCTACGTCGCGGGTACCGCCCGTCGTGCGAACTAGGGCACGGGAGCTGCTCGATACCATCCTGAAGGCCGTGCGTGGTGCGCCATCGACATCCGTCAATGCCGACTCCATGGTTGTAGTTAGAGAAGTGGCAGAATCTGTAGCACAAACTGAAGCGCATACTGAAGACGAGCCGAGCCCTCCGACCGACTCTGAGCTGCCTTCCTTGAATTCGGACTCATCGATGCGGATATGGGGCACACAAAAATCCACCGCGTCGAGAACGACGGTATCCACCCTTCTTGGCACCTCGAAAAAGTCAATAGATGACCTCAAGCCACCCGTCTCTGCGTATGTGTCGATGCATAGCTCATTTCTCAACATTGATCGTGCATCTGGGAGCAAGAAGATACCCGCAAACAATTCGTACGCCGAGGAACGCGCAGCAAATTTTACGGAAGTGCTGCAGAGGATCCATGCATCTCTAACCATTATGCCGAAGGCTCCTCAGGTTCATGTTCGCTGTTTTGTCAACGATGACTGCAGAGAAACTCATTTTATTTCTATGCTAGGCACCTCCCGCGACAAATATTGAGGCCAACACGGACGTGGCAGGCGAAGTGTCGACTATGGACGTCGACGCTTCTACAACCCTCCAGCTGGGTGCAGAGATTGCCTTCGTACCCCGATCGGAGCGCAAGACGCTCGCCACTACGGAAGTGGAAGACACTATCATCCTTGTCGGACAGAGGGCAAAGAAGCGCAAGAGAAAGGAAACCAAATCTACCATTAGTGACCTTAACGGTGCCGGTGATCCCCCATCCTCAGCTTCTAGTTCGGCGAAGAAGATTAAAAAGACACGATCTATCGAAGCTGTAGACGAAGGCGATGGCGGTGACGATTCGGAGAAGCCATTCGATTTCTCTTCTGTTCCGAACATATTAGATGACGAGCCGATAAAAGAGGACGCGAGACCAAAGAGACAAAGAAAACAGGGTGGAAAAGGTTTGTTCGGCCTCCGTGTTCACTGTGTTCGAAAGCTGACTATATGGATTAGGTGAAGTATTTGGCTATGGGAATTTCCCTCGACCTCCGAAGGCTCATAGTGAGCTCAGAAGTGGGAACCAGTCGCATACATTCAAGAAGTGATTGTATCATGTCTATTCGATGTCCGACAAATTCGTTGTTGAAGGCGAGTGTGTACGATCGATAACTCGACTAAGCCGGCCCGAGTTTGAACCCAGTTATTCATATTTCAATAATCATATTCCTCCGTCATGACCGAACTTCACTGCTATCTGGCTGCGTCGCGAGTGGCATAGTTTCTTGAGGCAACAAGACAGCTTGGTCGATAGCAACAGGAAGGCCTCGGTGTCGACCACGGATCATTACGATGCAGACAATGAGCTTTGATAGTGGACGGAAAGCGCCAGATAGTGCATAATTTTCCTGACATTAGACAAGACATAAGCCCCAATTAAAAGGGAAAAGGGAAAGAAATGGATTGCATACGGTTGGTGTACCCAAGCTGAGGCCTACAACTCCGTAAGCCGACACCAACTCGAAAACTGATAACGTCAATCGGGAATCCCGAGACCAAGTCAGTGTAAATGCTTACTTATGCTAAAATTGTTAAACCAGGCGTAGTTCTCGATCTTGTCCAAGCTTGGCCGCTATCAACATAGATAGAGGCGACAGGCGAAGAAGTGTGAGACAGAACGACCTACCTCGATTATAGTAACAAGGAATATGGCCAAGGCTATCCACCATATGTCTGTCTCGGCGTCAACGTATATTCAGCGATGCGAGGGATGGAAAGACAAACCAAATGCTAGCTGTCGTCGGGCGTGCAACGCTATGTAGTTTCCCCAGACCCTTGCCCTTGAACCAGACGGCACGAAGCGGTCTTCATCGTGGATCTCAGCGTATATACCCAACGATTGTTCCTCGTAAACATTGGTAGATCGTATGCTGGGGGTTGACAGTAAGAATCAAGAAATCAGCTTAACGAGAGGCAAATTACCTGAGTGCTATGGGATAGACACTGATATACATCATGACCACGTACAGGACCCTGCGTCTTCCGCTAAATGTTATCCACTAGAGTCTAGTGTGCCACTTACTTGACGGCGGGGGCGATAGAGGACATTGCTACAGTGGCAACGCCTGCTGTACGAATGGAGACCGCCTGCAGGACGCCGATGAAGCATTTGAGACCGATGGGTATGGTGGCTAGGTCGGGGTTGTCTATGTCTAAGATGACGAAGAAGAACCAATCGGTGAACCTAATATTAGCGTCAGCTCCAGGTCTTGAACACGAACGATGAACTGGCGTACGTGAGACTAACTACCACGGTCAAGAGATACCAAGTCTGATGGGATGGAAACAAGTATAGGAAGCAACGCCGGGGATGATCTAGAAGAAACTGCAATGTCTCGTACAAGCGGGACTCCCTACGAACGAGACGGCTAATAACCCAACTATATGGGTTCACCATGAGAAGTTGCCTGGAACAGACGGAACTTGTGCTTACATTAAAAAGCGTAGACTGGATGGAAGATGTCAACAAAGAGATGCCAAGGTCTAGATTGATTCGCTTACAATATAGGCTAGAGCACTGCACGGTCAGCAAGCGAGTTTAATGAGGAACGAGAACACGTACAAAACAAGTGTTTCCGGCCAGAATCAGGAAGGCCATAACTATCACCATTACATATGCACGCTGGAAGGGGACCATAGACTGATCGACAAGGGACATGCCATTGTTTGTGTAGGAGGAAATGGATTGGAATAGTGCAAACCTATGATAATCTGGTTCCGTAAGTAGCGCAAGTTGGAGGTAATAAATACCCCACCATGGAGGAGGTATTCGTCTATGAACCTGGGGCGGTACAAAATTTGAGCTCCACTTGTGTGTAGAAATATACGGTGCGAGGATTATAAAAGCGATGAGCTGTAGACCAATATGATACTGTGTGGGGGCCGTTAGGAGGTTGGGAGTATATGAGGACAGAATACATACGCAAGGAACCAATATCAACAAAGCATTGAGTGCCCGGTACTCCACACCCCCGAGCTCTATGAGCTGCTCCTCGCTTTGCAAGTAGAATGTCGAGTTTCGACCAATTATGGGATTAAATCTAAGGTAACTTGGGGGTCGTTGGATTTCAGGTCGTCTAGGATGATTGGTTGAATGACTGCGGCTGCTGAGTTTGCGAACAAGCTGAGAAAATATTTCGTCGGGCATCGGGAAGCCTCCGAATCCGCGGTTCAGAGATGAGACAGTGCGGATGCTTCGCGGACGAGGGGTCATGGATTGTCGGTGTGTGGATCCTACATCAGTGTAGTCATGGTGAGTTGACGAGGAAATCAAAGAAGAAAGACAAGCAGAACTTCGCTCTTCTTCTATCCTTGCATGCAATTCGCCTCTGGTGTCTCTTACAACAGGTGGTTGGGTTGGAGGTGGGGACCATTCCATGATGTGCGACGTATAAGGACGCCGAAAGCGCCCCCGATGTCGTATAGAATCATTGGAATCAAGGTCAACTGGGAAGAGCGTCAGGGTATGTCCCCTCAAACATTAATTGGAGGCGCACAATTGATCAATGGCATGTCGGCCCCAGGGTCGGAAAAGCGACGCGTGAAGCTGGGATAATAGATTGGAATCGCGAATATTGGGAAGATGGCCACGGGACGTACCCTCCTTTACGACCAAGCGAGGCGTCCAGCGGAGGGTTTTCTTCCTTTCCATCCTTATTCGAGCTGTGGTGGGGTGAGATGCCGGGCTTCTGGAGTATGGATACTGGGTGATGGACATTCGTCTGCTGTATTCCGATCTTCTCGTTCAACGTCTCCATCTCAGGTCGTACATTGTGAGTGCTGACGCGAGATTCTCCGCTCGTTTCTCGTGAAAGCTCCGGGACCGCATCAAGATGCTCGTGATGTATGAATGTCCTAGAATCTCCTCGGCGAATGAGATCGTCAGTCGCGGAGGCCGCGATGGCAGTCTTGAAAGTCTTCGCGAAGTGATACCTATGACGGTTGGCGATTAACAACAAGCTCGATACTGAGATGATGATGAATAGCAGACCTTCTAACTAGTACGACCAGCCAGGATACAACGACCTATTACGTGTTTCAGCAGATGTCACGGCGCTGCGTTGGGCTGGATACGCACCGGACTTCCCATACACATCTGCATGAAGATCAGGACTTGCTGCCAGGGCGTCAAGTAGCTCAGTTCCACGGTTTCGAGGCCACAATTGGTGAACGCGCTGACACATATGAACAGTGCGTCGACATAGTCCACGTGCTGTCGTCCGTTGCTCGCGTAGAAGATTCCCGAGAAAACCAGCGGCAAGAGGGTGCTAGAAAGCTATAGTCAGAGCTCAAAGAATGTCACACTGGAGGACTTACAACGTCAAGACGTGAATGCGGTAGAAGTTGAGATGTCCACGCACTGAGGCCCACAGTTTGAGTCTTGCCATTTCCTCCAGAACTGCTGAATCCTAGCGGGCTGCCCACTGCACTTGAGTCGCAGTAGTAGGATGTCGAGAAGACGACGTGGTGATTGGTCAAGGACCTCTAGTCCATTCAGCGTGTCAAATCAAGCCGCGTCGTCGAGAGGATACACTTGGATGCAGTGTCGTTTTCTTGGTCGCCTGGTTTCCTGTCTCCGTCGCTGCTGGCCAGGCGCGACGTCAAATGGAGAACTTAAGCATTCAGGCACTTTAAGCAGCGGCGCCCTCAACCGTCGACTAACATCGTGATGTTTACTGACCCGCCGGATGAGATGCGACATAGAGCAAACCTTTTGCTAGGCCACGGCTATAGGTAACACAAAAGCTATTTGCAGAGTGAGTTTCATGAGCATGAGCTACTATGAGTCGAAGCATGATCATTTTCCCGCGCCCTCCCGCCTCTTACCATTTCAGGGACAGACCGTGTAAGTCACGTGCATTTTAGTCTCTCGCAAACCTTACTGTGACCGTCTTCCACGAATCCTCCGACCGTTGTCGCGATGACTGGCGACGAAGACTACCCTTCTCTACTTTGGATTGCGTACGTAATATAATACCGTGCGATATGTTTATGGAACTTATCTTGCCTAGTATCCCTACGGCAGTACTCTTGTCCGGGTATTTTGCGCGCAAGTTCTACCTTGCATACCGCCTGAAGAAATATGGAATAGGGAGAGGAGGTTCGTTCACTGGTTGCTCATTTGATTACTTGCGTACTGAAACCTACCTTCTCCATTACTCGGCGCAGCACCCGGATTTCAAACGAATGTTCGCAAAGTCCGCATAACACCAGAAATCGCTGCTCGTATTCGCAGAGGGGAAGACGTGTCGCCGGAGGAGATCACGGCCGCCATAGCCAAAGCCGAACGGGAGGAGTCTCAACAGACGAGCTCTAGCCCACCGCCACCCATACATCGGGCTCCGCTAATAGAGAAGACCGAGCCCACGATCAACGAATGGTTACCTGACTCTATAACCACGCCTAAGAAGCGGGCGAAGGGCAAGAAGAAGTAGATGGTTATCTTGTAAGTCCCATTGAACGTTCACGTTCACGTTCGCATCAATCAACCCATTCTTTTCCATCGGCACTCGCAGATTTGATATGCTTCATATTTATCATGAATATAATACTACGCGACATTGCAAAGTGAAGACACGAGCCGCCAGCGCGTATGTTTCCCACTCACAGGAAATGTCTAGCACATTCTTCCCTCAGCCTTGGCCTGCACATGCTCGCCCCCCACTTCATCACACACGTCCGACGCAACAGTTCACACACCAACCTTCTTGCGTGAAAATCAACACAAATCTCTGCTCGGTCTCCCTGTTCACAACGCATCGTCAATACCCGATGAATTTAACCATCGTGCCAACCAATTACGTTTGTGCTATATCTCTTTTGAATTCACCATGCCGAACACTCACACCTCACGGATGCCGTCGTGAGGTGATAATCCCACAAGACAATGCACCCTCGTATCTGATATATAAGCGACTGAAGGACCCCGCAAGGCACCGTCAGGTAGTCCTACGACCCTCCCTAACAGACCAACATGAGATCTCCCCTAGCACTCCTACTCTCCCTCGTCGCTGTTGTCAGTGCCCAAGACTCGAGCTTGAGCGCCGTAAAAAAGGTCTTTGACGACGCCAACGTACGCTCTTACCCTTTGTCGTAGCGCGTACACGAATATTTAGATCGCATACCTCGACTCCAGATCCCCTCTGACCTCTCGATCAAGTTCAGTCCGAGGGCCCTGCTTGAAGTCAGCCTCCCGCAGCCCACAGGCGGCGCCATAACACTCCATGCCGGAATTCAGCTTCCGCGGAATGGTAAGACGATGCCACCCTTACTATCATCTCATAACTATAACATCGCGACTTCTTGGATATCCAGCCACCGCCGGGCCCCCATCCTTCCGTATCATCGGTGCCCGCTCTCGCGGCCCCTTCGTCATAGCAGCCGTCGACCCCGACGCACCTACCCCCCAAACTCCCACCGTCTCACAGATCCGACACTTCCTCGGCGGTAGCTTTACGCGCCTCAGAGACACGCTAACCAACTCCACCCCCGCTGTCTCCGACTTCCGTCAGCCCACTCCGCCTGCTGGATCCCCCGCTCATCGGTAAGATTTCATATGACAAGGCATTTGCTCGAGTGTTGCTGATCAAAAGGCTTTCGTAATCGCTCAGCTACATCTTCCTGTTGTTCAACCAACCTCCAGGATTCGAGTCGCAGACGATCGTCACGCCAACTACATCTATCAGCTTGTTCAACATTAGCAGTTTCGCAGAGACCGTAGGTTTGGGGGATCCCATCGCGGGCACGTTCATGCTAGTCGCACCAGACGCCTAAGTATATGAGTGTATACGACTGGTAATATTGCATTGCACAAGAATGAAATCTATGTATATCGCGACTGAAAGGAAGGTATAATTACAGGAAGATCTACGCAACGATAGAAATACACTAACATTGATCGAAGGGATACATATTCATATTCAGCATTTGCTCTTGCGCTTGAAGCTCTCACCTCTTCGCAAGCTCGTACTCAAACAACCCAGCCTCCAGACTCTGACAGAGCGCCTCAAACAACTTCCTCGCATCATCCGCGCCAAACGTCCCTGACGACATCGCATTTACTAGGGCCTTCATCTTCGAAGCCACCTGCGGGACCTCCATCTCTTGGAGCAGGCTCTCAATCATCTTCCCGCAATCCTGGACGTCCTTTTTGAAGAGGTCCCTGTGCGGAGATGAAGGAGGGATAATCGTGGCCAAGGCAAAGTCTGTGTAGTAGTATCGGACCGGGTACCGCGTGCGATCGAATATAGGTGCGGCGGGGGGATCTTGGGCTTGAGGAGAGCAGAGCGGGGAGGTCATTTGTGAGGATGCTGTTTGCGTTGGTGTAAGAGAATGGGAGTATTCCTCACCCTCGGTTGGGGACTCGGCACCGGATTGGTGTACTGCTGTTGCTGGCGTGGGCGCACCGTTCAGGGCCATCCACGCGTTACGTTGCCCAATATCCACCATAAACGAGTCAGTCGTCCCATAATTGAGTGACGTTATGTGTTGTTCGTGGAGGAAGGTCAGGCCCTCCAAAGCCTGCCTTATGAAGTCGATGTAATTGGCGACTGTGGCGAACGGCGGGTCGTTGTACTTGCTCAACCATTCCAAGCACACGAATGACACTGCGCCGATATCCTCCGCAAGCCCGCCCACACCTCTGTTCCTCTGAATGCTATCCCGTTCGACGACGGAGAGCAAGTGTGGGACAGGGTTCCACGGATCTAATCTCGGCTCGTGCTCGTTAAGCGAAAGGAGTATTTCTAGCTCCTTCTGTTTTGAGCAGGTTGGGAGCACGCGAATCATGAATGCATCTTGGGCGGAGGGGGCGGAGGGTTCGACCATGATCTGTGTACAATGATAGACATGGTTGGAACGGCATGGTGTTGGGGGATGGGAATTTACGCACGAATTTCCGAAGCTTGGGTAGCTCGAACGCTTGCTCCGCCAGCAAGTCATCTACCACCGATTCAAAGTCTCTACATGGCGAAATTCGGCCCGTTAGACTCTTAGACAGATAAGAAATGGTGTTTATGGTACTCACATATCATATATAATGCTCGACGACGTCGAGCACTCTGATTCAGAGTACTCGCTGAAGTACGCATCGTCCATTTCCTCCTCCTCCGAGACAGCGAAGGGCGAGGATGTCCTTCGTGGTAGCACAGGCATCCGCTCCAACGGGTACCCAAAGTCATACTGGTTCAGCACCGCGTCCAAGTCTTCCAACGTCGAATCGCTTGCGCTGCCGCTGTCCTGAGCATCGATGTCAGACGAGTAGTCGACATTCCGTATACTCGGCTCCGGAGAAAGCGACTCGAGCTTGAGTGAATTCGAGCTGGAGCGCGCAGGCTTCAAGGGGCTCAGCGAGGAACCTGCAGCTAGAGGCGACATGGTGGTATGGTATACAAAGAGAAGCGAAGCAAGCTCCGCTGGTAATAGAAGGTTCTTTGGTTAATATTAACCTCAATCGGTGGTTGAGCGGGGAACTTGGAATGAATCAACTTAAAGGTCGGAGAAGAGCCTGCACCAAGACGTGACATCAGTGGCTGGGCCCCGAATGTCAGCACTTTGGAGGGCCTCGCATTCTTGAGAGAAAAACATAGAAATCGCTGCCAGGCGACAGGATTCGAGAACGACGTTGAATATCACCGCAGCACACGACAGTGGGCTCGACCATTGTCTTCAGGGTCGCGGACAAGCGGACTTAGCGCCATTGCGGACACGAAGTGAATCGGAACCTGGTACGAGGAGAATACTCGCTCGAATCCTTACAACAAAGTCCCGTTGGGTTATGTGTCCAACTTCGACTGCAAGAACAGCCAAGGGGCCCTTGTCAAGCTACAGGAGTTTGCCTTCCTCGCCGAGTCCAAATCTCCGACGCAACTTCTGGGCTGGAACAACAGAACGAGGTCAGGTACGGTCGTACACGGTTCTGATTTATATTTGGCACGCCAATGGGCTGGTTACACTGCAGAACGTACCTGATTCTCGAATTGACTAATGTGTAGAATGTAGCTACTGAGCTACGAGCCACCTCGAGATCCCACCTTCAACCGAAGGCCGCGCGTCTGTATCATCTTGGCGGACTCTTGATACATGGCAGACAACAATTTGTACGAAGACAAAGTCATTCTCTTCCAAGTAGTTTCGAGTCGCCTCGCCCGCCATCTTCTGGGTTTCACTGTTCATCATCTAGCGAACATGTCTTCTAGATGGTAATGTACCTTTAACTTCGAAAGCTTTGACCTTATGCTTTCCGCCTGCCTCGGGCAAAATCTATATAGTCATATGCATTATCGCTAGTCAGTCTGTGTAACTGGACCGTCCTTCGCGCTTACTTACTTTAGCCTCCTACATATCTACGCTGTCTTGTCACTCGAGCAGCGCTGCTTGTAGAAGACCTTCGTTGGTCTAGATAATTCCGAGTCGGTTACGACGCGTTCCAGTCGACATAGAGCAGCTATCACCATGCGAACGGGTCAGCTAGAGGCGCCTCGCCGCCTCGCGTCCGGGTGAAAGAGTGCCGACTTTACCTTCTGACTCTCACAGAATATTCCAACAAATATTCCGTGGTTTCTGTTCGCACAGATATTCTTGCTTGAGAGGACCTGGGCCCACAAGCTCCATTCTAAGAAGCGTGAACCTAGTACACCGAAGCCACAACGACTCGGAGGAACATCACCGTTAATCTTCAAAAGCTTGGAAACTCAGTGCGAGTTAGATTTACGATCACTTTATTGGATTTCGGTGAGTTGAAAATGTGCTTCATCTTCGTGGCTGCAAGCTCAAGGCATGTCAATCGTGCTCTTCCTTTCATATTAGAAGAAAGAAAGGTTGTCCTACGGTGCTATTCGACTCCTCTTGACGTTAAAATAATACCATGGCTATTGGTCTTCTCGCATATCAAACGGGGAGAGTGAGCTTTGGAGAGAGTAGCCCTCCGATTTAAACGCGCCGTTGAAAGTCAGAATTGAGTTGGTGAGGTAACGAAAGCGTACGTACAGCGGCTGCTGGAACTAGTTAGAAAGTGGATTCACCTTTCCTTAGGTCAAGTCTCCACAAATTCGCTGGGGAGTTTGAACCGTCCAAGCATGGGCCTCGGCGTTTTTAGGACTTACCAAAACCTCCGGTCAGTTTGTGTACGAGGTCTTGAGGATCCATGTTGCGCGCCGATGGACAATCGACCTGGCAGTCTGAACAACACTGGCAGAATTGGCTTCAGAGTAGTAAGTGCGCCGCCAACGCGTATTGCCGCCCCCTGTCCATGTCAGCGCCCTGGCGCCAACATATTCAGGGTCGCAATCAAACTGTCTCCAAAACCAACACGCCAAACGCTGTGGTCTCCAAAGTTGCTGCTATTCTTGACCTTGCCTGCTATTCTTGACTGGATTCATAGCCGTATTGCTCACGGTAGATGGTTACCATTCTGCCGATTCGACTGAGCGCTAACGGCCCCCATAGTCTCCACAGCATGCCGTCTGTAGTCAGCATCATTTCCCGTGCCCACCACGACTTCTTTGCGCAGTCGAGGACCGTTGACGGATCCTTATTCGCCTCTTCTCCTTCACGAACTTCATCATGACCAGAATGGTACCTCTGGGCCTAGTAACATTGTGTTTGAACATCGTAGCGCCTGTAGCAGGCGCTTCGTACGATATCGTCAAAGACTTCGCCGGTAGTTCGTTCTTTGATGATTGGGATTTCTTTGGGAGCTGTGAGTTTTACTACAATCAAAGAACAAGGAATCACTCAAAAAAAACCGCAGTTGACAACCTCACGAATGGCGACGTAAAGTATGCGAGTTGGATTCGTCGCGTGGTAGATGTTCACTGAAAAAATGTGTTGCCTAGCTTCGTCTCGGCTTCCCAGGCGCAGTCATCTCGACTAGCCTTTGTGGACTCGTCCACCAACCATGCGATCGTCAAGGTCGACAACACCTCAATGGTTCCATTCAACGAAAAGCGGAACACGGTCCGCATATCCACGAAGGACAGATACGCCGTTGGGAGCGTCTGGGTCGCGGACATGGTTCATGTGCCTTTCGGCGTGCGTTTTCCAGCCGCTCGCCCTCTGTACACCCATTTAATGTTTAATAGTGTTCTGTATGGCCTGCGTGGTGGTCACAGTCGCCCAATTGGCCAACAGGCGGGTATGTGGCTGAATTCCATCATGTCGTTTGCTGACACTCCGTCTGACAATACAATTCATCCCCCTTCATTCAGCGAGATCGACACTTTTGAGGCCGTCAATTTGGCCCCTCGAAGTCAGATGGGGTTGCACACTCTTCAGGGATGTACCCAGCAAAACCCCACACAATCGTCGACCCTCATAAACTCGACCGATTGCAACCATGATGTCAATAACAATCAAGGGTGCATCGTCACGACTCCCAGCACGGCTTCATATGGTCAGGCATTCAGTGCTGCGGGCGGAGGCGTGTGGGTCACTGAGTACGCCGAGACGGGCATCTCGTAAGCGTTCTCTTCATTGCTTGGCCTTTTCAAATGAGAGCTGAGACTCCTCCTTAATTGTGAAGTGTATGGTTTTTCGAAAGAAGCAGCGTGCCGTCATCTATTTCGGGGACTATGAGCTCGATAGATACGTCGACCCTGGGCACGCCTGTGGCAAATTGGCCCAGCGGAGGTTGTAACATGGATCAGTTCTTCGAGGCGCAACATCTCATTCTCGACATCACGCTCTGCGGTGGTACGCATCTCCCCCTTCCGGCCATTCGCCTAGCTGACTATATGTACCATCCCTGGTCGATGCAGATTTCGCTGGCGCTCCCGCAGTTTTCTCTCAGACCTGTTCAGGCGTGTGCTACAATGACTATGTCATAGGCTCGCCAAGCAACTACGACAACGCGTACTTCGATATTAACTTCATCAAGATCTTCGGCACAGGCGGAAATACTGTCATCTCCTCACAAAATAACGCCGCTCCAGCACTCTCGATTAGACCTCTGGCTGTTGCATCCTTCGCTACTTTTGTGTATGCTATTGGCACCGTATTGTAGCCGTCACCCTTTCTTTCGGACCTACTTTCCCTCACATCCACATTTGTATCGATATTGTTTCTGGACTAGTACCTATACATAGACATTGTTCTGCATCGTGCATCGAATCAGACTTATCTCAGCAGGTACCATGGGCAAATTAGATAACGGAATCAATTTCGGCGAACTCGATTTGGAAGATGATAGGAACAGACTCCCACTCAACCCCCACCTCCTTCGAGCTTCTAATGCTAGCAGCTTTGCAGATGCAGAGGACAGAGAGTACATTCGAGCAGATACCAATCATGTTCGTTCATTCAATAAGCCTCAGCGAAAATGCCGCTTCAAATTCTCACTTTGCAATATTTTGCTGTGTGATAGCGATTTGACGCCAGCCTACTCTTCCTCGCCTGAAGCTAGGAGAGAACTGGCCGACCTGATCAGAGATGCGTGCGTGAATGTGGGCTTCTTCTATGGTGAAGTGCCTTTTATCCTTCCAAAGTGACATTTATCTGATACTTTGGAATCGCGGAACGATATAGTTTCGAACCACACTATCCCAGAACAGGTCATAAACACGGCCATTGATGCGGCCAAACGATTCTTCGCGTTATCCACAGAGGAGAAGATGCGGGTTCGTTGATATTTTAAACCTTTCAGAAAGTGTTGACACTCGCCGACATGCTAATGATCTACTTCCACGGTCGCGTAGCTAGACATTCACGCGACAACCAACTACAAAGGCTACACGGCTCTCTTAGCTGAAAACACTGACCCGAATAACGCTGGAGATCTTCACGAAGGGTTTGATATCGGACCCGAAGGCTCATCTGATCCAGTGAAAATGGACGCGCCAATGGCTGGTGGAAATGTATGGCCTCCCGACGAGATTATTCCTGGATTCAAAAAGGACGTACTCAAATATTAGTGAGTACAGTTCCAATTGTATATAATATCCTTTTCAGTTCTCAATAATCAATCAGTGAGTCAGCATTGAACCTTGGTCGTACTTTGTCTCCCCTTTTCGCTTTGGCGCTTGATTTGGAAGAGGATTTCTTCACTGATAAAGTATGTATTTATGGCTATCCACCCAGTGGCGACTTAATACACCCCAACAGACTCGGAATTCAGCCGCTATTCTTCGTTTACTCCATTACCCACCCCAAGAAGCCAAACCAGCGGACAAGGTAATCGGGATTGGGGCACACACAGAGTAGGATATCCTTCCCCCTGACTACATCCCCTAGTTAATTCTTTTTCCGATTCACTCACCTGAACTGTTGTCTCAGTTATGAAGTAAGATCTCGCTTGCTATCATCTTAGTGCTGTGGTTGAATGGCCAATGCAAGTGCTTTACCCTACTTTACCAAGACGCCTCCGGGGGGCTGCAGGTCCAGAATGCCGACGGACGGTGGATAGATGCCGTTCCAATTCCCGGAACCATTGTTGTAAAGTACGCTGTCAAGTCCAAATGTCTATTACCGACCGATTGACCAGCGAGAACAGCTTGGGTGACCAATTTGCCCGATGGACGAGTGCGTCATAAACTTACCCAACTATAGATCAACCAGTTCCAATTGCTAACTATGGACTGAGATAGATGATACCTTCAAATCTACACCCCACCGTGCAATCAACTCTTCTGGATCCGAACGATATTCGATTCCGCTGTTTTTTGGAACTGACTATGAAGTTCTACTTGAGGTATGTAGTTTTGCTTCACATGCACAATCTCACATACCAAGTTACCTTTCACCTGAATTCTGGGGTTGCAGCCTATACGGACATGTGTATCCGAAACGAATCCACCGAAATATCCTGTTGTCAAAGCTGGAGATTATGTTCGTTCGAGACTGGAAGCAACATACCAGTAGTTCTTCTCATTTACGAAAGTGTGTATGTATGTCTTGACACGAGACCGCATAACGTTGGGCGTGCGTCTCTCCTCAGCTGGAATGCCTTCCTCTTGGACCCCTTTTTCTGATATAGCTCGCCTGATCACTAGTGCCGATCCTCTATAACCCCACGTACCTGTAACTCCGATATGGATGCGACTGCAATACAAATCACAGTAGTTAAAAACGCCTTCTGGGGTTCCTGACGATCGACAATATTGCTTACTGCGTCCTCCGTTCTCCGTTGGTTTCTCACAGACACCCGACACCACGCTGATGGTGAACTACCGAGACCGAGACCGAGAAAACGCGTCACTCGCACCCCACTCTTGTCGGCGAAAGCATGAAGCCTACGAAGCAGCACAGGAAGAACGAAGGGCACCACGACGACTTCTGCTAAACCCTTTCTCACTACTCCGAATCTAGAAGTTCATAACACTTCATATCGCAGTCCACCAGTAAAAACAAGGGTTCATGCACTACGTGCCTGATCATCTACTCTTCTCCTAAGCCCCTTTCCGTCTCCCTAAACTGACACACGTGATCGCTCATCCAGCAACTTACTTCCAGAAAGGCGGCGAGCGCCCAAGCGCTCGAGAGCAACTGCCGACGATTGATCGACGTTAAATTCTTCGTCTTCCACCTTCTGGTGGATTGAATGTCTCGTAATAATGGATCCGTCTCTTTGTGCGTCACTTGTTCCGAACTCTCAGCCCTCGTGCCAAAGGTCCAATAATCCGGACCGTGTCCAGACCGTCGCGTTTTTCGTAGTCTCCATGTTCGGAAGAGCGTTGCCACTCTGCACCTACCCCGCTATTGTCCCCAACCGAAGATACACCTGAAGCTACAACTATCCCCTACATTTCAACGACCGCATAATGGATAGCGCTCCTCATTTGTGTTCTACAGAGAAGCCTCTCCTGTCCTGAGAAGTCCCCCGCCTCCCCCTATCTATCTATCGTACCGGACATTCCACGCTACCGATGTCTCCCCCCACGAAATCCACTAAGATTCGTATCCTTATCCTTTCATATGAAGAATTCTACCGTTAATATGCACTCAACCCATGGTCATCGGATCACTACAGCCGCTTTGTCCCACTCTACGACTTCTTCCACTACTAGTATGCGATCTTCTTCAATTTGTGTATTTGTTCTTTAAGCTCCTCCGACTCGGGTTTCTACAAGTTCCTAATGCAAACTAGGCATATTCATGAAAGCCAAAGTCATCCATAGTAGATCGGGATATGTGGCTCGGAGGGAGTCTATACCTCAATTCCGTCGCAGCTGTGAGATCCCCCTTCCATGTTGGTATAGACTTATCGAAGCCAACCTACCGGTTACCTAGCCGCCAAGGCAGAAGTTCAGGCAGTATCAGATCCAATCTTCTGCGCTCGCCTCTCCCACAATGTCGATACGCTCACGTGTCGCCTTCGGAGCGAACTGAGTATTTATGGCCAAGTCACCCAGGTACCTTTAGACCCGCAAGTTCTAGCTTGTTGAGGAGATAATATACTCATATTGCGACCCGGCTACTGAGCCGTCATGACCGAGAGCCCGGACCTGCGTGGACATCTCCCGTGTATTTCCCTCCACTATGCACCCACTAGCACCCCTGCGGCGCTCAAAATCACCCGCACTCATTCAATAATTTTCAAATGAAGGAGAGAATGACCCATTACGAAGCCGATTCCCCCGCTCATCGAAGCAATTGGTGCGGGCTTCTAGCCATTGCGGGAAAGGTTGGCTTGTTTGGCCGGCACTGGAACAACGGTGGGCTATTCCTATGGGGGTGTACTTACATACATGAGCCTTAACTGTGCACGTCCCGCACGGTTAGTGTGATGGCGAACTATGCTATATGCCGGAAGCGCTAAGCTCTGAAGTAGTGGAGATCGTGGGCAGAGCCTGACTCAGAATACCCTTAAGGTTGAGATACAGAGTTCAACTTCGAGCCACCACGAATGAGATCCGACGCGATACGCGTACGTAGATTTGCTTAGTCGGCTCGAGGGCGAGGAATTGCAATCTTGGCAAATGTCCTACTTCTCTCTGAGATAGGACTCAATCTACTGCAGACGAAGGGGATATGTTATCCTCGTTGGTACATCAGGGCTACAGCACAGTTACCGAGTCAGCGTCATAAATGATGGTCATCAGCTGACGCATCTTCTATGTCCAAAGGAGACAACAACATATACACTGCCGACGAAGCTCCTTCCGATTTGATTGATAAGGTTGTATCGGAAGCACACGCACCTTCAGTAGAACAATCACTAATCAGACAGAATCAAGCAGAGACCACGCCTCAGAAGCTAGGCACCTTCCGTTGAACTTGGGAAGGTCGAGGAACGCACCGTTGGAGATAGTGAAGGGAGCACATCCATATCCATATAGAGTTGAGAGTTCGGATATCCACGCATTGCCGACCCGAGTAAGATCATTGAATAGACGCACGAATGTAGACATATTATAAGACGTCGTGAAATGTTATAGATTACTGATCAGAAGCTTGTTTGGTGGAATGTAATTGCCATGCGGCAAGCGAAGGTCAATGATCAGGTAATGCGTGTTTGTCAGTCCGAATGTGACGCACAAAGCGTCCGAAGTGCCCATACAACGAAGGTCAAACGAGGAAGTTAGAGTCAGCAGGTATTGCAAAGGGCGACCGTATCGCAGTGTGAGTATGTAGGCAAGGGTGCATCGGATCGGATTTGTTTAGGCGAGGAATCGCCTCTGAACGCCACACAGGGAGTGGGAGATGCACAGGGAGGAAGAATTCTTGACCCGAGGGGTGACACGAGAGTATGTCTGAGGGATAGGGGAGCATGGCATATTCAGGACGCGACATGAAGGCAAACCTACAGGTGTACATACACGAATCGCCTGAGCTCGGCATGAAGTATGCATAAATCTAGGATGATAGCTCACTGTTGGCGTCCGAGTATTATTAGAGTTAAATGATGGGTTCGAGACGAATATCCGAGTTGGCGGCCAGAGGATAGTGTAGGTAATCTCTCGCAACTCCTCGTGGCTTTTGTTGCTGAATCCATGATCGGCTCCTCGGTAGTTTTTGCTGTAGTAGGCTTGCTCCAAGGCAACTATTATTTCAAAGGTTTTGCGAATAGTTGGGTCCTTTGAGAGGGAGAAAGAACCGGATTGGATACAATATCCCCAGTGCGGCGTCTGCGTGTAGCATCTTGCGATGTGCAATCGTACCAAGGATGTCTGAGCGACCGAGAACCCATAGTTTAATCGGCGTGAGACTTGGAGAATCTAGGAGAAGAGGAGGGATCCAAGAGAAGCGCGCGAGGTGAGCGCGCAAAGTCCCAGAGGGTCTCAACTGGGGATGGCCCCTTGAATTCTTCTGTCGGACTCGAGAGGTATCCGACTCGTCGATTGCTCCGTCATGATGTCGACGCCGCTAGGGTGCAAATAGAGCGTACATTAGTTGTAGCGTGCGCGAAAGAAATAGGCGAATAAATCAATTGGCTGCGGATTGCGGCTCGAGATCCATCCAAGAATAGGTCGCATCCTGATTGAAGGCTATGGATAGTATGTGAGTTCAATGAAGCATTGGCTACGAGTGGGAAAGTTTACGACTAGGCCTCTTCATGGGTCGTTCCACTGTGTTCTAACGGCGAGCCGCAGCTAGCCCGGCGGGAAACAAGGCATCAAACCTCTGGCCGCATGACATGCAATTCGAGGACGGTCTTTCATAGCAAGGGGCTCGCAGAGCGGCCTCGTGGCGGACTTGTCGTCCCCTCTTCCTCATCGTCGACAAGCCCCATTATACGACGACCATCATGCTAGAAGACCATATTTTGGCTCTTCTTTCCTGCCCGTATCGTAAGCTCTAGAAGGCCCCGAAAGCATGCGCGTTTGGTCAGAGATTAGGTACCGAATCTGAGTGGCACATCTGTAGATCTGCACATAAGGCCATTCGCCGGCGGAACGTGCCTGCTCTGACGGGTTCAGATGCGATGTGTATCCTTGGTGTGTACCCACACCTCCGTTTCCTATAAAAGTCATGAGTCCTCATCTGGTCGTCCCTGCCCCGATACTCACGATTGCGCTCCCCTTCAAGTACACTGGTGACGAAAAGCCTAGATTCCTTTTACTGCATCCATCCCCTTCCCCCTTCGCCAGACAGCGCCAGTGCTCACCATAGCGTTCGACATTCTCCACCATCTGTTCGTCTCACTGCAGCGCCGAATGGCTGGCCTTTTCAACTTCTCGGGTCCCTCGAGCATAGGGCGTTCTGATCCCTTCTTCGCGCCTTATGCCCATCAGCAACCACCGAATCCGTACAATCCCGCGGGCATATTCAATGTCGAGGGTATGGTCGTCGCAGTGACAGGAGGAGGCACAGGTGCGTCCGCTTATCAGGCCCAGGGCCCTTGATCTCCGCTTCTGAAGCTGACTTCTTTCACTACGACGTCATGTTCGCTGCGCCGTTTCCTTTATCCAGGAATCGGCCTGATGATTGCCTCCGCACTGGAAAACAACGGCGCTATAGTCTATATTCTTGGCCGCAGACTAGAGGTCTTGGAAAAAGCCGCCAGAGAGCACAGTGTGGGTGCCCTAACGAAATTATTGTCGCTGTGTTGCTGACCGACGCGTTAGAGGTTTGGCAACATAATACCTCTACAGGGCAACATTGCCGACCGTGATAGTCTTGTACGAATCACAGATATCATCAAAGAACGGCACGGCTATATAGATTTGCTCGTTAACAACGCAGGCGTCGCCAGAAATCTGTACAACCACCCACTCCCCACTCCCTTCAGTTCACCCTCCGCCAACCCACCATCGCCACCAGGATCACCGACTACCACGCCGTCGGTTCCATCGATTAAAGCGTTCCAAAACGAATTATGGAACACGGGCTCGCCGGATGATTTTGCGGAGACATTCTCTGTGAACGTCACTGCGGTATACTACACAACCGTCGCTTTCCTCGATCTACTTCACCAGGGTAATCTACGAAAGCAACACGGTGAGCTGCGAATGACCGGCCTCACACCGCAGGAATTCCGCCCTCCGCACCACAGTTCACAAGTCCTCACAGTATCATCCTCTGGGGCATTCCGATTGGACTCAAGGGTTCTGTCGATGTCGTACACATTATCGAAACACGCCACAACTCACCTCGGCAAGCTCCTCGCAAATTTACTCGCCCCGTGGGGAATCAGGAGCAACATCTTGGCGCCTGGCGTTTGGCCCAGTGGTAAGTCACCTCGTTTTTCGTCTCTGTAACTAATCTAACCATTCATATCCCCATGTTCATCCCAATCTATCCCCCTTCTTCCATCTGAGCAGAAATGACAACAGAACCAACCCCGGGGTTCAAAATGTCTCCTGATGCCTTAGCACGAAACGTGCCTCTACGGCGCGCTGGTACAGAGGAGGTATGTATGTTTCACCTTTTTGATTCCTCCCTTCCACCTCCACATCATTCGTTTCTCGGACATGTCCGTGTCTTCCATGTCTGTTATGCATAAACGCTCTTTTAGCTGATTGATGTGCTCGGTGCTGGATCGCTGATGGTATATTTTCTAATAGGATATGGCTGGGACTATATTGTTCCTGGCTAGCCGCGCGGGTGCCTATGTGAACGGTGCTGTTTGGCTGGTCGATGGAGGCCGCGTGGGCTCCGTAGCAAGCAGTTATTGAATTAACGCCACTCAATCTTGTTACTATCCCCTTCGACATTCGGGCATCACCATGGTCATCAACATAATTTTGTCGTCTCCACACGGACAGAAGACAGTTCCACCATCTTACCCCCATCCATCGCCCATTACGCATCGCAAGAAAGTCTGCTATTTATATCCGCGTTCTTGCATCAAGTCTTGAACATATACATTATCTATCTTCGGAGCGGAAGGAATCAGATATCCCGTACGAACACGCCGCAGTCGCCGCCCATTCATTATAAACACAACAAGGGATCACATCGGTCGGATTTAGCATGCTTTTACTTTCAGGATAAAGTACCAAGGAACTCAAGGGGATCGCTAGTTTTGAGGTACCTGTGACATCTCTATGTTTTGTATATAATGTACTTCATTCGTCCCACCTACGACCTACTGGATACCGTAGACAGGAAACTTCTCTCCGAGTCTTGTTATTTACTCTATAACGGTATATGTGCTGTATATACAATTATCTTCTATTGGTGTATAGGCTTGGTGAATCATGATTAAATCCTGAAATTTTGACCAATTACCCCTAAATGTTACCATGGCACTTCTTGTAATTTCTCCCAAAGCCAGGAAAAGTGAGAACTCGTACTTCTGAACTAGTACGCGTGCTGGCGCGTCGTGGCGGCCAACACGTGGTCTGAGATGTCACGACAGTCCGCCATTGGACGGCCCACAATGGTGAGTTGCAAGTTGTCAACATCGCAACTAATGGTCCTCCTTCGCAAAGAGGTTCAGGTACACTGGTTCAACGACGTGCATCATGCATGGCATATACTGGTGAACACTAAAAGAGTCGAGTAATATCAGACGGGTCAGCATGTGGATTCAGGCATTTACTGATGAGAGTCTACGTATGGGAAATCAGTTCAGCCTTCGCGATTCATTTTCCCTCAAGCTCCTCACTGGCATGTTGGAATTCAATGACAGTTGTGTGGGACTCAGTACCTATTCCGGCGCACTGGGGCCTGCAGTCAGAATATATGTAATGAGTTCCTTCTCAGCATAGGTCTAGCACTTGCACCGAATACCCCATGGATTCTACGTACGCTGGCCTTTTGCTTGGTGCTGGGCTGGTGTCATTCCTCGTGCTCAAGGCCAGAAAGAAAACTAACTATCCTCCGGGACCACCATCGGACCCGTTGATTGGCCATCTTCGAGTTTTACCCTTCGACAATCAAGACGTGATATTCCATACCTGGGCGAAGAAATACGGTGAGCGTCTCGAAGCCACGCTTCTATTCTATGCATCGGTGAGCTTATACTGGTACACATTCAGGCGATGTCATGCACTTGGAGGTCTTGGGAAACCACCTTGTTGTGCTAGACAGCCGCGAGGCAGCCATCGATCTTTTAGAGAAACGAAGCGCGATTTATAGCGATAGGCCTTTCGTTCGCGTATTTGAAATGTGAGCTCGTAAACAATGGAATCTGTGAAACTCTGACCACGTCCTGACTTCAGCCTCGGGATGTCGGATATTGTCATGATGCCGTACGGCGAATCCTTTCGAAACCACAGGAAATTCGTTCATTCATCTATGACCAAAGGAGCGGTCGCCACTTACCAAACCACTCAGACGGTACATACCCGCCTTTTCGCTTTAAGCCTATTGGAAAATAAGAACCAGCATGAGATGCTGATAAACCGGTACGGCATTGTGGACAGGTCTTGGAAAGATTTCAGGCTGATCATCTTTTGAAAACTCGTGCTAGGTGGGCTACCAGCATAATTATAAGCGTCCTTTATGGTCAGCACGCCGTGGAAGAAGTTGGCGAATACATGAAGCTCATGGAGGACCACAATGTCGTCGTACTAAACATTACTCAACCAGGGGCATCTCTCGTGGAGTTCTTTCCGTTTTGTGAGATCGTTCTTTGATGCAATCTGAATGCGTAAGTTCTCAAGGTCAATCCAGTCCAGTACCTCCCTGCATGGTTCCCTGGGACAGGCCCTGCCCACAGGGCACGGCAGTGGAAAGATCCGTTCAGACGGATTTATGACTACCCTTATGAACAAGCGGAGAAGAACATGGTTCGGGGACTCCAGTATCTATTTCACTTGGATTTACTTAAATGTGTCCTACAGGCTTTGAATGGACTCAGAGGAGACTCCGTCCTATCGCGGACGTGGTGCAAGTTTGCTGACAGGCAAGATCATCCTGAGGCCGCCGCCGAAGAGATCGAATTGACAAAGCTAGCGACTGGAGCCCTGTTTCGAGCAGCAGTTGAAACCGTACGTGGTATTTCTCACCGACTCGGGTATGCGTGGATTTGTATATTTACTCGCTCACATGCTCTCGTGTAGACTTGGTCAACGGTTACGGTGTTGTTTACGGCCATGATCTCAAACCCTGAATGCCAAAAGCGGGGTCAAGAAGAGATCTCTCGAGTTATCGGGTCCGAAAGACTTCCAGAGTTCGAAGATATGGATGTGTTGCCCTACACTACCGCTATCGTTCATGAAGTAATGAGGTCGGTATGGTGCTGTCACCGTTTGTTATGATCGACTCACGACTCACTACGAGATGGCACCCGGTAGTCCCTATGGGTATGTGTTCCTCCATCAATTAAGGGGCCACTAATAGTTAAGGCTTCCTCTCGCTAGCCCTCCCTCATCGTTCTGTCCAAGATGACCTATACAAAGGCATGTTCATTCCTGAAGGCACGACCGTTATACCCAACTTGACGTGAGACCCTTTCCCGCTCCCGTTCCTTTGCTTCATCATTGACGTGTCATGGCTACAAAGCGGAATGTCGTTGGACGAAAGGGTATACAAAAATCCTACACTTTTCAATCCCTCTCGCTTTCTACCGAAGCCAGACGGCGACGGCGAACCAATTTTCGACGCTACTTTTGGATTCGGGCGTAGGTAAGTAAGCACGCGGATGTTGTGAAGCTCGGTTCTGACATCACTCGGTACCACTACGGATAGAATCTGCCCAGGAAGGCATTTCGCATTCTCCAGCGTATGGATTCTTACCGCCACCATTTTGGCGACGTTGAACCTATCCGAAGGGAAAGACGAACACGGGGATACGATCCCATTCTCGCCAGAGTTCAAGAGCGCCATTACGAGGTAAGTATTAGTTATCACCGCACATGCACGTTCATGATCGTTTCCCAATATCATCACCAACGGCGTTTTCAGTCGCCCGAAAGAGTTCGTCTGTGATATAACAGCCCGCTCAAGTGCCTCCGAGTCTCTCTTATGGTCCGCTCGTTCGGTATGAGCACATGAATACGGCCACTATGTAGATAATTGTACCATCACCGGAAATATCAATGTCCACAGCTCTCCCTCCTTGCTTTATATTTCTCTGTAAATATTTACGGAGCATTGCTGATGTGGCAACTTCACACGACTACCCTGAGACGATCCCTCCCTCCAGATGACACACGCAGAATGAATTCAATCGCATCCAATCGAGGCCACAACATAGCCTAAGCTATACATAAAAGCGTTGCGCGCACAACTGCGGCAGAGATAATGCTCCCCGACTTCACCCTCACCGACCTCGCCCTCCCTTTTCTTACATGTTTGGCGTACGTCGCTATCGTACGGCTCAGACTTTGGGCGGAAGGACCGTCTGATCTCAACGATGGCGGTCCAGACTTGAACAGGATCGCGTCGGAGGGAAATTGCGACTCAGGGAAGGTAGACGAATCAGGACCCCCGTCGAGTGCCAAACAGTGCGTATATATATATGATAGATGATCTCAGACGACTGGGGCTGATTGGTTGGATTCCTTATTCTCAGCCCAGATGCAAAAGACCGTTGGGGGTTGTGGATATCGTAGCAGACTGAGATAAGTCACGGAATGTGAGTGATGAATTGATTTCTTTCGTGCACTTGGGGGGACCCAGGCCTGAGGCTTTCGGATCAGTAGGAATAGCGCCCCTAAGCCCCTTTTGAACACCAGGATAGCGAGTTTCGCGGAGTTTCGCAAGCGTCCTTCGACATTATCGCAAGTTCATCGAGAGCAGAAGAAATGATTTTGACTATACATGTTACATCCTAGGAATCTATCTCGACAGCGAATTCAACCAGTCTACTAGCCTCTTCTCGTCTTCTTTCTAATGCCGTTCCTCCCATCTCCATCCATTCAATACCCAACGCAAATAAATCATCGCTCCAGACTCTCCAGCCCTTCCCTCATGTACTCTGAGAACAAAGCCTTGTAGTCTCTGTGCCACCTGCTCAACGCTGGACGCCCTTCAGCGACATCCGACGCAGCCCACATGATTCTCAACTGATCGATCTCGTTTCTGGTCTCGTTGTCCGGGCAGATGATGTAGAAGTCGCCCTTTCGCACGTGCTCCAGCATGTAGAGCACCGTTTCTTGAGCGGACCACGCGCCGGGAGGCTTTTCTGAGGACCCGCTGGAGGTCATACCGGTGTGAGTCCAGCCCGGGCTGTGGATAGCGGTACCGTTGCGTGTTTTTGAGGAGCCGGTTGATGTGTTTGCACGTTGAGCGGCGTGGGTGGGAGAGCGGTGGAGAAGTGGCACGAGGGACGTGTCAGCGAACGGCGTATATGCCACAGGATAAAAGTAGAACGTACACGAAGAGATGCGCGGTCACGTTAGAGTTAGGCGTTTCGCGAAGCTCGTAGGCTAGGCCCTCTGTCAGACTTTTCACAGCCGCCTTGGAAGCATTATACGCAGCGTTTCCTCTATATTTGTAATTGAAGGTGAGAATCATAAGGAGGACAAAAGAAGATAGAAGCTGCTCACGGAGGGTTAGTGATACCTTGTTTCGAGCCAGTGTTGACGATGAGAGCTTGGTTTTCTTGATGAAGCATCGACTAGGGGCAGCAGAGTTTGATCAATCACTGGAAATCACCGGCTGCTGTACAAGCAAGACACTCACTGGTACAAAAGTTTGTTGGACATTGACGATTCTAAAGATATTGGTCAGACAATTTTGAGCACTGACAAGGAACGAACAGATATGTAGAATGGAACATACCCAAAAAGGTTGACATCGAAAACCTTCTTCCATTTATCAATGCCGGCCCAAGAAGTACCTCTATCGCCCACGCCAGCATTGTTCATCAACACGGCGACCTGGGGTAGAGTAAGTACCGCAGAAGAGGGAGATAGGCGAAAGAGAATAGGTGGACAGATAGTGATTTACGGAGCATGGGAAACGGGAACGAATCCAAGGGAGGTGTGAAGATCAGGGGAACAAAAATAACAATCTTCGCGAAAGAACATCGAACATAGTCGTCATCATCATCAAGATGGAAGGCAAAAGGATGGCGAGCGGGGAGCAATGGCAGAGGAGTGGAGGTGGATGTGGGATGCGCCACCACGGTTATGCGATTGCGAACCCACGACGCTCACCTCGCCCCAAGCTTCATACACTCTGTCCCTCAACCGCACAACCTCATCCAACTTGGACACATCGGTCGGCTGGGCGATAACATTTGTCTCGCCGAGGGTCTGAATCAGCTCCGCTGCAAGCTCGTTCAGCCGTTCGTGGTTCACATCTGCAATGGCAACTTTCATCCCAATCCTATTGCACGCAGGCAGAGCCAGTCAGCTTCCCGATAACGCATGCAGTTGTGAGTAGATATGCGCACTTTGCGAATTCCAAAGCTGCGGCCTTGCCGATTCCGCTGGCTGCACCGGTGATAACAGCAACGCGGCCAGCATTGATGACGGGGTGCAGATGATCTGCAACCGACAAGCCTTCGGGTTTATAGGACGTAACACTGTTGAACCCGGGCCTCAACGGTGAGGCCCCGCGACTGCGGTCAGAGAAAACCATTCTTTGCGGTGCGATACGCAACGGCTGTAGTGGTGGTGATGGTAAGAGACGAAGAGTAGGCGTATACAGCCAGTGGGCTTGGTCTCACTTATATATACATCCGCCCGTTGCCGTAGATGATGCTATAGATGGTCAACTCTGGCCGGATTTGGCTAAATATGCCGCGTGCCCTCATTCTCAAGGCCGGTCATTTCCCTCCCCGTTTCGAAGACATCCCTTATATTGGCAGCAACACCCAGAGCGGAATGCAGGCACGGCACATGATGATGCCTATACCACTGTCTCGCCCGTTCTCGAAGATTTATTTACCCCAATTCTTGTGAGAGCGGCACGAGAACAATGCCCAGTATCACGAGCGCATCGCCGTTCTCCACTGGCCGAACACGTTTATGATTCCATGATGTATGGTGAGCAAATGACGAGTAATGGGGCAATTCTTCTGATTTCGGTGCTCAGCCTGGGACCACTTGCTCATAAAGAATGGGACCGTGGTACGAACAAATTGTTGATGATCAATTTACCTCGACACTCGCAGTAGATCTAGGACCTTCCAATAACCGAGGAGCAAGCGAGTGTCTAAAGTTTGTTATGAGGGGACTCACTGGACAAAATTATTGGCCAACTCAACTTCGTGATTGGTCAATTGAATCTCAGCTAATGAGCAATTGTATCTCCGAAAGAGTAACAAACAACTGATAACTGTTCAATTGAAACCCCGAAGACTCGAATCACAACTGACATCTGACCAATTGAGACTCCAAAAGTATAAGCGTAACTTGATCAAATAAAACTCCGAAAGCAAAAACCTCGATGACAGTCGTGTGATTGAAGCTCCGAAACCTTCGTAACCTCACTATCAGTCCCAAGTACGATGTAAACACAATATTGTGACTACTTATTACACATAAATATAAGTTGATACCAACCAAGCCTCACTTAGTCTCCATAGTAGCCTCCTGGACAAGCAGCCCAAGAGCCAGCCGTTTATCTGCTGAGAGACGTCGCTGCTTTGCTGGGTTTGGCTCTGCGGGGGGTACATTCTCCTCCACCTCCTTCTTATGCTTAAAGGCTTTGGGATTGGCCACCTTTTGCTTACCCTTTTGGATATGCTGTCGACGGCAAATACCTTGCTCAAGGCGGTCACAGATGTATGAATCTACTTGAGGATTGTTCCGGCAAAGGATTGTTCTGTGTAGTAAATTAGAAGCAAATATATATGTAGTGTAAGGGTTGAACCCTTTCGTTCCGTGCATTCCGACTCCCCCTAGCTCCTATCGACCCCTCTCCGACTCCTCGGACTCACTCGCACATGTCTCGGACATTACGGACCTGTTACAGACACACGTGATAACAGATCAGACTCTTCGGACCGACTCAACATTATCTTTTTGTTTCATACTCTAATACTCTGATTCTCTTTATCCCCATTATTCATTCTTAGTGCCTTTTCGTTCCGGATCTTTCATACATCTGATATTCTCTCAGCTACAAAAACTCCTGTACTCATAGTTAGAAGAACTAAGCTTGTTTCCCCCCCACATTGAGTTAGATTCTAAGTCATCCAAAGCTTTCTTCTCTTCCGTTGTCAGAGTTCGCCATTGTCCGAGTCCGAGTCTGATCCAAAGCCAGTTTCTCCTGCCGTCCTTATCATTCTCCTGCCATCCTCATTGTACTATCCGAAGCCGAGTTGTCTGTTCCGCATCCGAGCGCATCTGAAGCCATCCGAAGCATCCAAAGTTCCTTCCTCATTCATATTTACTCTTGGACTCATTGTTCTCACACATAGCACACTCGGGTGTCACACGGACTTGTCCTGCCGGAGGCGGACCCTCGCATTTTTATTAGACTTACTACTAGTCTACGTGTATATTCACTACTACATTCTGGAGCCCACTGCAAGGGTTTAAAGTTCAAGACACCCCCCGTTTCACTGTCACCTAATCATCCTCTTCCGTCATTGAATTTGAATTCCCTCCCGATCCTCTTCACGATATCTTTCTGGAAGGTCCGACACAACAGGCTATCAACTACCTCTTTGAGAAGACATCCGCATATTTTCCGTTCAAAATAGTCTGCTCTTGGGTTCCCAATCCCAACACTGTCGTTTGGCAGTTCACACTTACCAGATGCCCAGAATCCGAACATCCAAACATTCTATCACACCCTAATCCTCCATCACTCCGACACAGTCTGTTCTATAATCCTGCTGCAGCCTACCACCAAACCACTCCGGAGTTAAACGACACCACGTCCAGAATACCCTCATCACTCACCGACTCGTCTGAAAATCCTCTAGCCACTTCTTCACCTTCCCCTATTCTGTAAGGGCAACCTCAAGATGGCCACACAGCGCAAGCCTAGCAGAGGGAGAATCCAAAGAGAACAGGATAAGGATTCTCCATGCTAGGAAGCAAAGTATATACTGTAGTAGCGTGGGAGGAATGAAGGGTAACTGTACAGTACACCAGCCACAGGTCCGAGCGAATATCACAAGGTATGAGGAAACATGTGATAATGAAGTGGAAGGGGAATGTACAGGAGTTGTGCCGGCGACCTGGGGAAGTGGGGACAAGGAGTATGTAAACAAGTTCCCCTGTTTACTCCTTTCCCCTGTTTAACTCCACGTGACATGAATCTTTATATATATTCGGTACACGTTCATTCTGTATCTTATCTCTCGACCACGACTGTTAATCTTACTCACTGATCCTCTCATTCTTGTCCTTGAGTGTTCCACACCTCATCGTGGTTCCAGAGTAATGAAGTGGGAAAGGAGGATAGAGGTAGCCCGGACGAGCCCCGAAGTGTATCTACGAGTCCACTGCCACCGTCCCGATATCCCCCGGGCGCGCCGAACACGCCTTCATTCTTGACCAACCCCCAATCTTACTTTCCCCCCGGGTCCCCTCCCGAACCCACAGAGGTTCGATCAAAACAGTCGCGTCACCCCGCGACCCCTCATGGTGGATACAACACCAATGCTGCCATACTAAGGCAACTCCATGCCGTGGCCGTGACGCTGGGACACACCACAGTGCCCGTTGGTGTAAGGGGACACTCCTATTTCCTCTCCTTTTCTTCATCCCATGGACTCTTACCTACATTTCCTTTGTTCCCCTTTGTTCCTTTTCGCTTCCTTTCCTTTCCACTTCCTTTCCGCCCACTCCTTTCGCATCCGAGCCACGTCCGGTGACTCCGGAGTCTTCCCGCACTTCGGACTCGCTCGGACTCGCTTCGGACACTTCAGACTCGCTCGGACTCGTCTATACTCTTTGGGGCTCGTCCGGGTTACCTCTATCCTCTTCCCCCACTTCGTTACCCTTCGCCCTTACTTCCCCAAGTCGCTGGCACGACTCCTGTCCATTTACCCTCCACTTCATTATCACATGTTTCCTTGTACCTTGTGATATTCCCTCGGACTTGTGGCTGGTGTACTGTACAGTTATCCTGCATTCCTCTCACACTACTACAGTATATACTTCGCCTCCTAGCATGGAGAATCCTTATCCTGTTCTCTTTGGATTCTCCCTCTGCTAGGTGAGCAGCCCCCTCATGTATTGTAGTTAGTCTTATTCATTATCTTTGGATTCTCCCTCTGCTAGGCTCGCGCTGTGTGGCCATCTTGAGGTTGCCCTTACAGTTGGGGACCCTGCCTCCTCCGCGTCCGCCCATGTTCCCGCTACCACTAGCGTGGACTGGCTAGGTCCACCCACGTTAGATGCTGCCTTGCCATTTGCATGGGACGATGACGTAGAGGACGACAACCGTCTTCCTCTCACAGTGTCGTTGGGGGGGGGTCTGTTGTTCCCCCTGCCTACCTACATTCGTCATCCAATCGGAGCCACTGCGACACTCCCCCTACATCATTGTCACTACAGACAATAACCCGCCTCAATACGGATACATCATCCACACCATTCTTGTTACAGACCATGGCCCCTGTAATTCCTTCCAAGGACGTACCCATGTCCCCGCGCCCTGACGAAGACCCAGGCATGACGACTCCTTTACCTTAGCATCACCCTCCTTACTTGCTATATACCTCACTCATTTCTTGTGATGTTCCCACTTTCATTTTGCTGTTCTTGATTTAACCAATATAGATTGCATATCAGCAATCTAGAGGGGGTGAGTGTAACCCCTTGCCCCTTGGGGCACATGATCTCCCCTATCCTACATGTATATACTCGGACTTCATTGTATTATGTAATTAGCTTTTACTTACACCACGCACGTACGTTCCTGAATACAGTCAATCTTGTGTATCGTGCAGCGTGAACACAGTAAACAGCCCTCAAGCACTTACAAGCTCATTGAAAGCATTCCGGATTGTCCCAACAGGAAGGGGTACACTGTTCATCGCAGGGCAGGTAAGTGGCAGCAGGCCAAGTGGGCAGACTTACTGAGGCGATGAATTGATGCAGTATATTGTAAGACCTGGCTAAACTAGGATACAGATATGGGGCCGGAGCTGCAGCTGCAGGTATAATGATAATAATAGACTATATGGCATGTACGGTTCATCAGTTCCTGAATATCTAATAAATAGGATAAACCACTTATTGGGCACAAGCTATACTGCTGGCTAAGGGAAGTGTCAATTTTCTGGGGCTTCGGAATTTAGCAAGGGCTCGCAGCTTGTACTCACATTTCGCGGCAATGTGTAAGGCATCGGAGTCTCAATTGCTGATCTTCGGAGTTTGAATTGCACAAGTGTAACTTCACGTTTCGCAAGTTGAGTTTAATGTTCTCATTCCCACAGTCACAAAGTCCTGCTTTCGGAGTTTCAATTGCTCAAGTGCAAGTTCATGTTTCGCAAGTTGAGTTTACTATTCTCGTTCTCACAGTTACAACAGTTAGGTATGGATTTAGTGATTGATGATACATCGTTTACATCTAATTGTGTCCAGCACGGCCCGTCATAGTTTGTCCCCAGATTATAATTGCAACGTGAGCAAGATCATAGGAACATACTCATAATACATGCTTCCCTGATGAATCGTGGTGACCTGAAGAGGTCGTCGGATGCGCCACGTTACAAGCACTGTACCCCAACCTAGCAAAGTATCAAGAAACGATACACCCACTGAAATGGCTGAGCTGCACGAATAAAACTGGGCTCAGGAATAATTCGCTCGTTCTAAATCTGAGTCTCATGGGAGCCCAAATTTAGAGAATGACCTCCTGCACTTTTATCCCCAAGATAAATGAGAGCAATCAGAGGACCCGGTAGAGCCAATCCCTTGGGTAATTCCTCGGGTATGAGACTGTCCAATACATACACCCACAGGCATAAATGCCTTCGGGGAATACGCAAATGAGACTCCACGGGTACGATGGGATGACCGGCAAGAAGTTTCGCATATTCTCGGCACTGAACTTCAATAGTATCCGCCGTGGATGAAGTCTTGAAATGGAAGCAGTCCACAACGACCATGAATCACTTCAGTTTTGACCAAGTTTGCAAGACACGCCGTGTACATCGCTCCGGTGGTAACTTGTCGTAGTTTCGTTCAGCGCCGTGTCTGACGGACTCCTAGTAAACGATCGGATGTAAGGACTTCTGATTTACTTTCTTATCTACCGCCATGTATAGGTCCTCCTCGTACTTGCGAAATGGTCTAGCGTCAGGCTTGATTTATATGGGTCACCACTGACCTCTTGAGTTCAACTCCGGAAATAATAAGAAGGGTGATCTCTTAAGAACGGAGATTTTGAACTGTCACCGACACGGGCGGTGTGCTGATGCCCTCCATGCGGGTCTCTGAAACTCGTCTTGAAGTTGGGAGATCATGATGATCAGCCAATGTTCAGGAACCGACTTAGAACGTGGCGGGCGCTTAATAGTGAATGAGTGAGAGCGGCCACATTTTCGCTTTTGTTCCTTTCACTTTGACTTCCATCGTGACCCGTTTCTCCTCCTCGCTCTCGCCCGTCCTCAACGACGACGACGACGACGAACAGCACATCCCCTTCGTTGTTGAGCTAGACCGGCAGGCTCCGCTGGTCTCGTCTAGAATAAACGCAGGTAGCACCCTACTCCGCCATTTGCAAGTTTGTTTCTAGCAAGTCCACAGCAGACTCGACGTCCAGGACGATTCCAAAACCCAATTACCGTTTACCACATTCCCATTTCATATTTTCGACATGAGTCTTCGTCCGCCTTCGACTAGCCCAAGCCCATCTCCTGGTCCAGATGGCATTGGCAACGGTCGCACTATCGGATCAAGGCAGTCTGTGGGGCCTGGTGCGTCTCTGAGAGGGACGCCTACGCTCGCGCCCTCTTCTCCTCGTCCTGGAGGTGCCCCAAGCGCACGCCCTACCAGCGAGCTCCTGGGAAGTGCTGGCACGGGCATGTTCCAGACTCCCGAAGGTTAGTAGAATGTCTCACTGTGAAAGCGATTCTAAACTGACGACATCCATTGTGATATCTCAGCGGAAGCCCTTGATCAGTGGTTCGAAAATCTACAAAGTTATGAGGCGACGCTTGAAGACATGGCCGCCGCCTCGCTGGACATTAATTTCAAAGAAGAGTTGAGCGCCATCGAGCAATGTGAGTTACTATGACATTCGAGTCTTATCTAGCTTTCTCATCCATCTTGACATCTACAGGGTTCAAAGTTCTTTCAGAAGCAGAGCGCACAGCCGCTCTTTATAGTCTTCTGCAACATTCTACTCAAGTACAGATTCGCTTTTTTATCACGGTCCTTCAGCAGATGGCCAGGTCTGACCCAATGACGGCTTTGTTGAGCCCAGCTATGGGTGGTGAGCATGTTTCACTACGAGACGCTATGCATAAGGATCTCATATCACTGATTTGACAGGATCAATGCAATCTCAGATGGAAGCCAAGTTGGCGAGCATCAAGTCCCCCGGGCTGAAATCCAACCTGCCTGCCTCACCTACCGCACGCTCGTTCAACGCCGCTAACAGGCAATCACTCGTTCTCGACTCTCCCTCGGCTTCAAACTTCCTTTCCCCCGATTCTGCTGCAAATTCCTCGCCGAATGTGCAGGGCGGACATCAAGATGCAGCGGCGGCGACGCTAGCACAACAGCGCGCGAAGCTCAAGGCCTCAAATGCTGCACACCGAATCTCTGCCCCTGTTCTGGCATCGACTGGTGGGGACGCGCGTTCGACCTGGGGATCACAACTTGGCCAAGTCGTTGAGCAGTCTAACTCAAATGGCCAAGACATCATTGTGGGTGGTACGCGCCCGAAGAGTACTGAGTTCTCAGGGACTCTTGGCTCTCCCCGCGCTGGCGAAGGTGTCGGTGATAGCTGGGCAAGCATGGTCAACACTCCCCTCATCCCCATGTTCAGCAAAGATACTACACGCACTCAGAACCTCGATGCCGCCGCTAGCAAATTGACCGAGTGGAGCGCTGCCAAGACCGCTGCGCCGGGTGTACCGCGTATGGGAGATCCTACCATCCACAGGCGTTCGAACAAACCGGAGCCGAAGAACGACAACAATGGCGGATCCAACAACGGGCCCGGTGGAGCTGTATACGACGATAATGGCAATCTCATTCAAGGACACCAGGGCGGAGGTCGCGGTAACTCGCGCAATGCTGGCTGGAACGGCGGACGTAGTCCCGCCTTGGGAGGCAACCGGAATCTCAACCTAAACAACAATAACGGCGATGATGGTGTCAACGGGCTTATCAACGGTATGAATGGATTGGGGATGCAGATGGGAGGAGGCGTTCCTGGTGGGTTCGGTGGCATGGGCAGCCCGCAAATGAATCTCCTTGCTGGGATGGGAGCAGCTGGTATGAACCCAATGAGTCCGTTCAATATGAACATGTTTAGTGCGATGGGGATGTCGCCAGAGGCACAGCTGCTTGCTGCACAGATGGCGGCCAATGGCTTTGGTCAGCCTGGGATGGGAGGTATGGCCGGCATGGGTGGCATGGGTTGGATGGGAGGTATGCAGCCGAATTCCGCTGGACTAGGCAACAAGCGTGGACCGCCAAGCGGGAGGTCCGTCGGGAGCAACATGCGCAGTCCGTCGAGCACTGGAGGAGGAAGCACACCTAAGAGCGATGAAGACGTCGATCCCGCCATGTTGGAGGACGTTCCTGGGTGGTTGAGGACGTTGAGGCTCCACAAGTATACGCCCAACTTCGAGGGGATGAAGTGGAGGGATATGGTTGTTATGGACGAGGCCGCGCTCGAGGCGAAGGGTGTTGCGGCGCTTGGAGCGAGGAGGAAGATGTTGAAGACGTTCGAGATCGTGAGGAGGAAGATGGGGATTGAGGGCGGACCACCTAGTTTGCCTCCCAGCGCGACCCTATAGAAGCTTTACGCTCCCCGCCTGGATACCCCCTCCCTCGCTCCGACTCTGAATCGGCAAAAGCAAAAGGACTATGTTTCTTTCTGGTGTTGCTATGTTTCTTCGACGCTCCCTTTCATTCGTACATGCCCTTTAAGTTTGCCTGTCTATGCCTTTCTTTCTACAATGCCGTATACCTTTTTCTCTTCACCCGCCTACTATCAATCAATTTAAAATACGATCATGTCCACCACCTCTCCATCCACTATGTCAATAGCTCCGTTGTTATATTCTGTACATGGATTTTATACATGGCTTCCTGTATATTACTAAATTTCTACTAGTTTGGGCAGCGTCGATTCGCAACTACGACCTCAAGGAACATGATGTGTCGTCAAGGTCTAAGATGCAGACGAGAGTACTGTTCGTGGGTGCTCAACGAAAGTTGATACTTGAACGTTTGAACCCCAGGGCACGTCATGCTACGAAGAACGAAACCCAACTTAGATGATACGAAGACCTCGGAGAGAAGGTCGCTAAGGACCCGTCGTAATATTTTGTTCTGAGTAGCGTAAGAGGTCCAATATCTACAATATACTATGTACATCAAGCTTTTTCGTATTTGCAAAGTCCCAGTAGTAAGTTCCGTTTAGTTGACAGCCAAATCCCGAGCAAAGTGGAAGAAATCGACGCTCGATGCGTTGACACCGTATTTGTAAATCTAGAAATGATTTAACATTAGTATGTATTAGCAGAGAGCTGATGAGAAGGACGTACAAAATGCGACGACACCCAGCTTGAGAATAGGGCACGTTGGTATGCCTCGGGCAGCCTCTTCATCAACACATCCAAGCCAACCTGATCGACAAGTGTCTTCGGGATGGCACGTTGAATAACGCCTCGTCTGCTAGGTAGATCGTCGAACAGGTCGGAGCCTTCAAGCTCGGCCTGGAGATTGTTCAAGGTGGACGAGAGCTCGTCTGAGATGGTCGTTCGAGGCTTGGCACCCTGTAGACGAGAGTGCTCGCGCCAGATACAGTGGAATTCTGCTGCTGCGTTCTCGACGATCTTGCTCTGGATGTCCTTGACATAACTCTGGTAGAAGGGCGATGGCTTGCCATTTTTGAATATCATAAGATCAACGTATTCCTGGGTGTCTAGCGCGAGACCGGCGAGAACTTCCAGCGAGGAACTAGTTACACCACCCTTGTTCGCGCTAGAGTCCTTGAATAGAATGACCTTGCGCTTCTCGAGATAGAGACGAGCTTGTTGCGTCAAGAAGAGATTCGCGCCCTCCACAATGTATTTGAAGTGGGGCTTGCCTTCGGAGTCAACGAGTGCGGCCATATTTGAGACGTTGACAGCCTCCGGACTACGTACAAGCAATCAATACGACGTTCATCGCCAACATCCACGACACTCACCGGCCACCACAAGGGACGAACAAGTCGGCCTTGAACCTCAAATGCGCGACGTTACGGAAATCTGTACCGTTGAAGACAACTTCGCCGGCTGGAAAGGATTGCAGATGAGACGGTGCTCAATAATACTCGGATAAAGAATACACACTAGGGAGCTTGACGTCCTGATCATCAACTTTGACAAGGTACCCATCCTTGCTGAGCTTGGACGTGTCGAAGTTACCGATTGGTACGCGAAGTTTAGCAAGACGGATGAGTTCCTCCCGGTTGATTCCAGCGGGGTCGGCGAGCACGCCACTACCGTCAATAATGGCCACTGTCTTGTCCGAACTCAACAAAATCTCGTCTACACAAGATCAGTTAACCTTCACGTGTCCCGCGAAGAAAGGAATAACTCACTTGACCCGAGATCACCATCTGGACCACCAGTCTGCACCTTCGTGATGTCTTTCTCCCGCAATCCAAGCTGTTTATAGATACCCAAAACGTATTGCCGGATGGACAGGGAGGTCATGCCGTACGCGTCATGAGGAACACCACCCAGGTGCTCAGCACTCTTGCCGGTAGTGAAGGACTTCCACCATGTTTCGGCCCCGCGAGACCGAGCGTGAACTATGCCATAGGTTATGAATTACTGCCATTGGTATACAAACGACAGAAATAACTCACGAGCAGCCCAATCCATCATGTCCGCAGTCCCCTCTGCACTAAAATTAAGTATGCCGGAAGAATAAATATAGTTGGGCAATTACCATCTGGTCCGAAGAATAGCAGCTCGGGTTTGCCGTAAAGATCCGTGAGCTTCTCTTTTATTCCTGGGGTCTGGCCGGGGATGAGGAGGTCAATGATAGCCTGGATATGAATTGAGACGACCAAAATATCTATGAGCAATATGAAGAACGTACGTCGACATACTTCTCGAAGCAAAGGCGTGGATTCGCCCCAAGGCTGCACATGGATGACTTGAATCAGAGAATTGCGGAGGTAGAAGCATAAATATACTGACGAGGGGAGGATAGTTCCCTTTGCTCCACCTTCCGGAATATCCTTGTTCTTCAAGGACTGAGTGGATGCCAGGCCATAGTTCTCGTCGAACAATTGACGTTGGTTGATGGAGTAGTTCCTGCAAAGACGTTAATGACCCTGTAAGAGTAACAAAAAATGGAGACCCACTCTTTGTTTCTCGACCTGACGAGACGGATCCCACCTCGAGCGACATCGCGGAAACGGATATGGAATCCACGGAATTCATTTCCTGAAGCATCGATAAATATATGATCAATCCCACTCCAGTAGCATACGGCATACCAATCACGATGAACATTCCAAACGGCTTCTTGGGGTACTCGACTTCAGGCAGGAAATCGGGTGCCAGGCGGAACGACAGCGCGACTTTCGTGGGTTGGTAGAAGTTCGTCTTGAGAACATGCCTATACAAATATCAGAACTCTGAGAACCAACTACGGAGAAACGTCCAGCTGACTTGTTGAAGATCAAGAAACTCTCGAGGACTTGGAGCTCGTGCTTGTTGGTCACTGTGCGCCTCATTAGGTCATGCAACTCTTCGTCGTTCAGAGGTTGAGTGGTCTGAAGACGTTGATACGATAGCGTGGGCCTATTGCACTTTATGAGCATTCCAAGTTTTCACGACACAAAGATCAAAACTCACATCATCTGGGAGGCATCATCCGACTGAGGATAGTGCACCATCGCGAAGTTGACATACAACAGCTGAATCTATACGCATATTTGCAGTCTCAGTATCGGCCATCAATATATCCAATAGAATTACAAGAGCTCACCAAGTTAGTATGCGCGTGAATGACTTGCGCGATACTCTCGCGAGTGAAAGTCTCCTCCCTGAATCGTCTCTTAATATCGTTCAACACTTCGGCGTGGGCGGGATTGGATTCATCGAGCAGGTTCTTGAGTTGAAGATACGAGTTGCCAAGTCGGTTACAGAAGTGTTGGGCGAAGATCCATCCACAGTCTACCGGAGGGAGAGGTCAAGAATTACTCTGGTGGTGTAACGTAGGTACCAGCGACTTACAAGCATACATGGCCTCTTGGACGGCCTGGGCGTTGCTCTCGGGAGCGTTGGGTAAGAAGAAGGGGTTGTCGGGCAAGCAGTAAAGAAGGGAGGCTTCCTTCATCACTTGATAGATTGAATGCTCGATGGGAGGAGCGGTCGAATTAGGGAGGGGGTTGAGGTAGAGCGAGATAATGGTGATTCCATTAGAGAATTGCTCTGTCCCCCAACGAAATGAGCTTTAATGCGCGCATATATAGCAAGCAAATGTACATACCGACATATTTACGCGTCGAGTAGAGTTGGTAGTAGTGGTAAAGGTTTGATAGGGCGCTAAACGACGCGACGCGTCAAGTCGCGTCCCTTTAGAGATTATCATTAAAGTACGTACCTGAAGAAACGTGATGTGCCTCCCATCTTGTAGCCAATGACAAGACGCCGTTCGCGGCTGCCTTCGACTTCAAACACCTCCATGACTGGCCCATATCGGCTCTCCACGTTCCAGATCACCTGCGCACGTAGCGAAATCAGATATGCAAACGTGCGAGAAATGAATCCATTGTGGGCACTCACCTTCTGATAGATCTCCAACGTGTTTTCTGTGGCCTTCTCCAAGAAAATGGGGTCAGAAACTTGGCGAATGTCAGTTTTTTGTCCGGGGATGGCCTCTGCCTTGATGGGGAAGTTGCATTTCGTAACGAAGTAGCATCGCAATTGCTGTGATGCCGTAGCAGATATGGAGCCTGCTGAACGGAAAGTCTCTAGACGATAGGCCTTCTCGGGTGTCGAATGGTCAAGGAAGAGCTCGTCGATCCTAGTCCGCAAATGAGATTCCTTGATCTATGGCGCGAGCGCTGACGCAAAACACGGCAGATCTCTCACCTTGCCTCACAAGTCGCGCCGGGTCCCTGTGTGGTCGTGCATCCGGGCGCACTGGTGTGAATGAATGTCGCACCGTTCTCGTTATCATCGATCTTCTCAAGGTCGATAACGAATTGGCTGGGATCGTGCTTGGTGTATGCGAGGATTTTGGCGCCAAAGAGGGCGATGATATGATCGACGATGACCTCGCGAGATTCGTTGGAGAAGTATGTGTCGTCGATGCCGAGACCGGTGTAGAACCAGTTAACCTCACCGCCAACAAGTTCTTGCGGGATGAAGCCCTAGACGAGATGGGTAAATCATTGGCCGTCCGTGCCGATCAAGGCTCCTGGCTCACCTTAGCAGCGACTTCGGTTTCGACCAATGCACGCTGTTCTTCTTTTCCTTTGAAGACTGGGGTGGTGTAACCGGGGAGGTTCTTGATGCGATGGGTCGATGGGTCGCGCGATCCTGCTTGACTACCTGGAACTACCAGATGCTCCGTCCGCCCTGCGCGCGCCGTGTCGAGATCCTGAGGTGTCGACATCGTGAATTATGATTATATGATATGGAAGAGAGCGAAACGAAATGCGATGTTGGGTGGTGGTGGTTGAAGGCAAAGAGCAGTTTGGGGACTTGAATTTGGTTACGCAACTGGCCAACGGCCTTATATACGTGAAATTCACGGTCCAACAATTCTCCATATTGCAGATCCGTGGTCCGTGCTGGTCACACATTCATTACCTGTTACAAACTTGGATCCGTTGCGTCCGATGTCTGGCTCTCGATGGCTAATATTGGCCGTCGCGTGTTGGGTACCAAAATACGGAACTTGGGATTACGCGAAACTTACCTCACCTGACTATGGCGCAAGAGACAATATACAAGTGCCGCTAGTAGCTTATACGGCAGCAACGCCTCGGATTCACTGATCAAATATCTGGGGAGTAGCCAGTGATAAAAATCGGAATCGCAGTCAAATTCTGGGTCATTATTATTGCGACTGTGCGCGGGTGGACCTTATGCGATCAATGCGACCACTGATGTACGTTTACCAGTGCGCCGACAGTGCTGACAGCGACGCCGACCGGCGACAGTAGCGGATGCGGCGAATCACATGACGCACTTACGTGATATCCCCCCACAATCTGGTACGTGCCCCAGATGTTTTCTCTCTTCCCCACATTCTCCTACCCGAAGCTGGGCGTTGCCTGCAACAACCGCCTGCAAAGAGGACGGTCGTCTTGATTTGAGAACCCTTAAAAAAATCACACTACCCAGGGCGATTACTACCCAGACAGACTGCGAAAGGTTCCGTGAAGTACGTGTACGGCGAGGCATCGCGTTAGACGGACGGATATTCGCGTTCGTTTATATATGCGTGCCAACTCCACTCAATTGGGTATTTGAAACAATGGGGGGTCATGGGCACGCAATATAGACCTTAAAGGATATCATTTTCGCAGTTGGCGACTGGCGTGGTCTTGGTACAGTCTTGGTAGGCTGTCGCGTTCTATAGAGGCGCGCTCGCGCTGACAGCAATTCCTTAGTAGAGAATTAATGACCGGCGAAAATCAAAATAAAATGCACTCTGTCAAGCAGAATTTTGCGTTGGCCCAGGTTGGCCCTTGTTCAACAGCTAACGACGTTTCTCCCGAAAGTTGCATTTTCCCGCAACACCGTCGGCTTCCAGGGCTGGCCTGACATTTGGGCAGCAAGAATTCCAGCGAATATCCTGGCCGTTAGTGCTGCCATCCAGGCTATGGTGTGCCTGGTCTGATTAGCACATAAACCATGTTGTCTGTCAAACTTTCTGGATGCTACTTGCAGCCACCGCATTGAAACTGGCAGTCTAACAGAGCGCGATGACACCTAGCAATCTGTCTGTTCCCGGCTACCAAGCCATAGCACCTATGTTCAAGGGTATAAATAGCTATCTGGTTGCGCCAATATTTCTTCAGCGGACTATCTCCAGCATCATCATCGTGAGTGATCTCTTGGACCCTCTTTCAGAGTTTCGGCTAACAGCCTTCTCTTCTCCTAGGCTTTACGTCGCTTACCACTCAGGTTACACTTGAGATTATCGTAAGCACTAGCTTCCCTTTCATCGTCGGCTCCACTCATTTAGCGTTTACTTCTAGAAAATGAAGCAAGTTTTCGCCCTCGCCATCATTGCCGCAGCCCTCGTTGCTGCTTCACCAGCCAATGACTGGTCGAGACCTTGTTTCGACGGTGAGTGTGCCTACGACATCCCATCTCAGTCCGGATCAGGAGCCCTCAAGATCGTAAGTCACGCTTCAGTTGCACCGTCACCTCGCCTTCTCATCACTTGCGTTGTAGTTCGGTTCCTCAAAGTCCGTGACTGATATCACCCCCGCCGCGGGCTGGGTTGTCTTGGACTGCGACCGTAATGCCCTTGCGCAAGACATCCGTCTTGTCTGCAATGGAGATGATGCTGGATGCAACCATATGTTCGATCACGACGGACCGGTCCACAAGATCGTCCGTCTTCCCGCAGAGTGTGGCAGCGCTCCGTTCGCTCGGATTGCCGCTGCGACTGTCGCAGAGAACCAGTCGGTTCCCTCCCACGTTGTTCGTCGCGATGGGTCTGCGCCACAAGTACACACTATCAGGATCGATGACAACTTCGCTGCCATCGACTCCGCCAAGTTAGTTCTTCTCCTACCTTTTACTCTTCATCGTACTGACTGCTGTATTTGATTAGGGTCGGCACTGTTGAGTTCGCCTTGTTGGCGGCCAACTTCCCTGGTGTAGAACACCCTGACTCCTACCTCGAAGCTCGCGATTTCGATGACCAGGATGAAGAAGACCAGGAAGACGACTTCGACGCCGATAAGAAGGGCAACAAGGCCGACGGAAAGAAAGCCGGCAACAAGGATGACAAGAAGGCCGGAAAGAAAGATGACAAGAAGGATGACAAGAAGGATGGCAAGAAGGACGGCAAGAAGGCTGACAAGAAGGACGATAAGAAGGACGACAAGAAGGGCAAGAAGGCTGACGGCAAGAAGGCTGACGGCAAGAAGGATAAGGCCGATGACAAGAAGGCCGGAAAGAAGGACGGCAAGCCAGCAGCCAAGGGCAGCAAGAAGGAGTGGTTCAACAAGGCCATCCAGTCCATCAAGAAGTCCAAGACCGAGCTGAAGGCTGATAACAAAGGTACGCTTCTTTCGCATTGGTACTTCTTCGCTTTCCTGATCATTCGGCCACAGACAAGACTGCTTTCAGCATTGAGCACAAGAAGGCCTACCAGCCGGTCACCGCCAGCAAGAACGAAGTCTTGTACTCCTTGACCAAAGTCTGCCCCGCCAACGCCAAATCGATCTTCAAGATCGCCGCTGAGGCCAAAGCCACCATCGAACTCACTCTCGGTGTTGCTGCCAGCGGTTCTCTTTCCCCCCCTTCCATCGATGACTTCGCTCTCATGACCGGTAAACATACTCAGCAGCACGATTCCTGATTATCCACTAACGCTGTTCACAGGTACCGGCATCGACATTGACGGCAAGGTCATTGTCAACAGCGACATCGTTGGCGACTACAAGGGCGTCGAGAAGGCAATCGTCGCCAAGCAAGGCGCGCCTTCCCTTGACATCCCCGGTGTCTTCAAGCTCTCTCCCTCCGTCACTATCTATGCCTCCATCGACGCCGACATCAACCTCCAGATCGACTACGAGGCTGAAGTCAACTACGCTCTCGACGACAGTGAGTTTGATCCATTCTACCAGCCGGTACTATCTCGACTAACGGATCCTCTTTAGTTGAGTTCTGGTACCCTCCCTCGGTCGCCAAGTCCTTCGAGAAGTCTGGCAAGGCCAAGGCCCTCGACACTTGTAAGCCAACCACGTTCTACTCATTCCCCCTTACATCACTGACGCCGCCCCCCGCTAGACTACTCCATCTCCGCTACCCCCGATGTTGAGGCCGATGTTGACATTGATTTCCACTTGAGGCCCCTCATTGAGGTTGACGTCGTCGGCTTCAAGCAGAAAGCCACCGTCTTCATCGAAGCCGACTCCTCCGTTAACCTTGACCTCGACGGCTCTGACATCGACAAGAAGGGCGGAAAGAAGGATGACAAGAAAGATGACAAGAAGGGCGACAAGAAAGACGACAAGAAGGCTGGAAAGAAAGACGACAAGAAGGCTGACAAGAAGGGTGACAAGAAGGATGCCAAGAAGGCCGGCAAGAAAGACGACAAGAAGGGTGACAAGAAGGGTGACAAGAAAGCCGACAAGAAGGCCGGCAAGAAGGGCAAGAAGGACGCCGAGCTCGTCGAGAGAGCCTTCCCTCCTTACGGTAACGCCGCCCGTGAACTCGCCTCCCGTGAACCCGCCGCTCTTGACTTCGATGGCTGCACAATCATCACTACCCACATCGACGTCAATGGTGGCTCCTCCGGCAAATTCTTTGACATCTTCAAGGGCAACAACAAGGTCGACATCTTGGACAAGAAGGGCTTCCTCGTCAAGGTCCGTTCATCTGCTTCTACCTAAACCGGCTCTATACTGATATCTACTTTCCAGAAATGCTACGGAGACGTCGTTGACAAGAACGGTGACGGTGTTGCCGATTCCGACGCAAAGAAGGGCAAAGGCAAGAGCCCAGCTAAGAAGGGCAAGCTCGACCCCCTCGTCTGTCCCGCCAAGGAAGTCGGCGAGCCTCTTCTCGTCGCAAAGGAGACCGTCAAAGCCAAGAAGTGAGCATCATATTCCTAGTGTCTTCTAACCAATCTCACCCAACTTCTCCGTAGGATCCTCAACTAAGCAATTTCTGGGTAGTGTCCTTAAAATACCTTGCCTTGCGCAGTCGTCTTGATTTCTATACCGTCTCAATAGTCCTCCCCTACCTATTCCCCTAATACATTCTCTCTGACTCTCATATCCACGGTGTGCACTAGCGTCATAGCGTTCGTTTAAGAGTCACAATTGGACAGGTTGTTAAGAAACAAACACCCCGGTACTTTATCACACCGTCGCTGGAGTATTTCCATGAATATAAGAGAAATCAATCCAAGAAGGCTGCCTTTCTCCGAATACCAATGGAATAGTGAACTTCCTCGCTTCTTCGTCACTTAACAAGTGTTCTAAGGGGATGCGATGGCTCGTGTCGCCCCCTGCACCTGATGGTGTAACAGTTAGAATTGTCAGCGAGAGATACAACCGAAACGGACCAGATGACTTGTACTCGGCATAAAATGTTGTGTTCATGATGGTCGGCCTACGCATCGACAATCAAAGTTGTGTGAGATACCGAAGAAGTAAAGGCACCATTTACCTATCACTATTGAACGGTGTCCAGCCTTCGGGTCGTATGCTATCGTCCATATTCGTACGTAGGAAACAGTAGTGGCAAGGTCGTTCCACGGTCGGCCTTCGTTTGTGCTCATGATTGTGGCGCACTGATTTAAAAGGGTAAACCTATGTTCTCACCGAGGAAGCAGCGGTCTGCGGTCACCACTGTGGTGTTGGCATCTGGGGACTGTTCACACAAATTTAGAGGTGACAGGACATCAGCACCTAACATAAGACTTACTCTTGCTATCCTTGAGTTAGAGACGTATGCGCCATACCGATTACCAGGGGCGTCTGTCTGATTTGTTCCCTTCCAGGCCACTATTCCTCCCCCACAAGCCCTGTTCGCCAGAACTACATCTTCAAACCAGCTACGATACAAAATGATCTCCTTCAGATAATCGTTAGGATGAGATTCTGAAATGACTTACGCTGTGCCGAAGCCAAAAAGATCTTAAGGAATAAAGGGGCCTGTCAGGGGGCTATCCTGTCAGCCAAATACACTTACAGTCCGTTTGGCCAAATATGACACTATCAACAACGTAAGTACTCGCATTTCGTCCAGTATACCAAGTGTCTTGATAACTCGCAAACGAGCAGCCATAAAAGGAGGCGTTGGCGTATGAGATGTCGGTGACCAGGGCTTGGGATATGGAGAAATTTGCCTAAATATATTCTGCGTGTGAGAGAAGCCCCAAGAGGTTAACGTAGAAGGACGCCGAACAGCACGGTTTTGAAAGTCTATGTTGTACGCCTTGAAATCGGCGTTGCCGGAGAGAGGTTGTAGGGGAGCACCTGTAGGTCCAGCACCTATGAGGGCAGCATCGCGAGACGGCGCCACGGACAACACAGCTGAATCCGCATCGTCCATGCCAGGAACTACGAATTTATTGTCCCATATCTGAACTAGGTTTGACTCGGAAATATTAGCTGTCCTGGTGGAGGGTAGAGAGGCCTCGGCAGCGATTTGTCCCTGATTACAATTTACAATACTTTGTCACTGTTCTAGACGATGCATATCGAGACATACCACAAGAGTTAGTGGTCCTCTTCGAGTAATGTTGATTGTCTCGTGGTACTCTCCGGCGCCCACAAGAATAACAAAGCTACCCGAGTCTGGTCTAGAGTTTATTGTACTTAGTGTTTAAATGACCGCGACAAAAATCGGAAAGATAGCTTACAACGCCTGAATAGCATCCTGAATACTATGGAATTGGGCGAAGGGGTCCGCCCGATTCTGTGAAACGAAAACTGTATCACTCGGACAACCCTCCAACGGAGAAACGCCTGTCGGCTTTTGGACTTGACATGAAAACAACTGAGGTGACAGGGCGGCCACGGCTATTGCGAAACACAGCATTAGGCCAACATGAGCAAAAAGGATAGAGGTGTACATCATGCCACATAGCACCTCTACTAGACCCTTCGTATTTTATACACTTCGCATTTGTGAAAGAAGAGGCTGCTTCGAACGGCCCGCCATTCTACAATCAACAGCCCCATGACTTCGCGGTGGCACTCCGAAGCATGAGAACTGATAAGAATGGTCGACAATGACAGCAATGACCAGGTGAACAACGCGTGGGTATTGAAGGTGAAATAAAAATACAGTGAATGGTATGTTGCATTTTCTATCTACATAACTCGTCACCAGCGACAAGCACAAGGAATCAAAGGTTTGCACGGCACTGATCTCCTTGTGCGCCACAGTTCGCAACGGTAAGGTCTCCCTGGTTTCTAGACGCATTAGCAGCGTTAGAGCAGAGGTTGACTTGAACGTCGCTATAATAGAAGGAATCAATCCAATGTTACGCATTGTGAATCCGAATAATACATACCAAGATCTCCTCAAAGCACTGTTAAGGTTGTTGAAGGAGGCATTGTTCTCCACTTGAAAGGCGTTGCCAACGGCAGTGACGATGGGCGCCTTAACGCCGCCAAGAGCGCCGGTGAAAGTCTGGAGGTTACCGGCATTGTTGACCGGAGCAGGGGCAGGGGCGGCAGGTGTAGCTGGCGCAGGAGCTGGTGCAGGGGCGGGAGTAGCAGGGGCGGTGTTCCCAGTGGGGCCGAATGGGCGGCCTTGGTCGTCAAATGCTTGGACGGAGGCAAAGTTGGTGGTGATCCCGAAAACAGCGTTGAAGGCGTCAGCTTGGATACCAGTCTTTGCGGGTTCAGCACTCGAAGCAGCTGTGATAGCAGTAGCACAAGTAGCCCGTGCTGTTTGGTCGGCGCCGCAGAAGTTGACCAATTGATCGCACACGAAACGAGTAATGATGTTGATGTTCTGAGCGGAGCCGTGGTTGAAGTTGGCTGTGAATACATTGAGCGCGAAGTTCGGGTAGCGGAGAAATGAGGCACGTACTCAAGTCAACAGGGCGGAAGCTAGTTTCCCTCCTGTTGTCAAAGCCAACACCGAATTCTATTTGGGGGACGGTGCAGCGCCCAAAGTCCCCAATGCCGCCAGCAGCGGGAGGAGAGACCACTGGGGTGTCAGGGGTAGCAGGCGTAGAGGCATCAGGGGCGGGGGCGGGTGCTGGTGCGGGAGTGGCTGGAGCAGCAACAATGGGGCCGAAGGGGGCACCCTGGTTGTCCAGCGCTTGCACTGCAGCAAAGTTGGTCGAAATACCAAAGCCAGCGTTAAAAGTGTCCGCTACAATACCGGTCTTCGCAGGCTGAGCGGCATTAGCAGCAGCCCGTGCGGTAGCACAGGTGGTCCGAGCTGTCTGGTCAGCGCCACAGGAGTTAACCAACGTGTCGCAAACGAACTGCATGATAATGTCTGGGTTCTGGGCAGAGCCGTGGTTGAAACTCGCTGTAGAGACCGTAAGTTTGGGAAGACAGAAAGAAACCCGCTCGGAGACGTACTCAAGTCAACGGGACGGAAGCTAGTCTCGCGTCTGTTGTCAAAGCCGGCAGCAAACTCTATCTGAGGTACACTGCAGCTACCAAAGTTACCAATGGCTCCGGTAGCGGGAGCGGGAGCGGCAGGGGTCTCAGGGGCAGGGGTCTCAGGAGCAGGAGAAGCTTCAGGAGCAGGAGCCTCAGGGGCTGCAGTGACTGCAGGAGCAGGAGCGGGAGCAGCACTGTAAATTCATTAGTCAAGAGACTCAGCAACGCTGGGGACTGCACATACCCGCCGGCCTGTCCGAATGGGAAGGTGTTGGGTTGATCACCTAGTCGAACAGTTGCTTTTGTAGCGGGGTCGAAAAAGATGGTGGGGTCGTTGGCGGGATCCTGGGCTTGGACAAGACCGTTTAGCTCCGGGTTCTTGGGAGCCTTCTGACAAAAGACAGAGTTCCTAGGCGTAGGAGGGTTGGTGGTGAAGTCCTAAAGTAGATTGAGAAAATGCAAGCAATTAAATAGCAGTGAAACCTACGGGAGGCGTGTTCTTTTCAGCTTGTCGGTATTCGATGGCTAAGGCAATCATGTTCGCCTGAGTGGCGGCATCGAACTGCTTAGCCGCATCTTAATTAATTGAGTCAGTTTGCATCCGACCAGGAAGTAAAGCGTCAGATATAAATCTCACCGATGATAGCGTCAGCATGGTCTTGCTGGGAGCATTCAGGCTGAGCAGCCAAAAGTGGTGTGATAGCAGCACCAGCGAGAACACCGCAAATTTGTCCAGGGCAAGCAGCACTAAGCTTCGCGATGACAGGGGGGTTCTCCTGACCTGAGAAAGTACGGATTAGGATGGAACCGACACAAGCCAAATGGGCTGAACCTACCGAAACGACGAGGATAGAGTTGAACAGCACGACCGTCCCTTTCAAGCCACTGCTCGCGACCGGTCACCATGTTGGGTAACGAGACGGCAAGGAAGGCCAAAAAGAATTTCGTAGACTTGGAGAACATGTTGAATAGATCAAAAATGCAACTTCACTGAGGGAAGGGGGTTGAATGAATGAGAGAATAAAGAATGTAAAGACTCCTGGTCGGCCGCACTGCGACGCAAGGATAGTGAAAGTGAGAGAAAGAAGAGGGAGAAAGGTGGGTTGTTGGCAAACGTCTGTCAGATTTCGCCGCCTTTTATCCTTGTTCGTGGACTTGTAAGCACAAGACGGTTGCTAGCCGAGCATGTAAACGAAGAGCTTTCCCAATTCCATATTCTAGAAAGCCACCGATCTAGATAGGTTCCAGGGCCACTTCTTTCGTAATTTTACAAGGCGTCGGTCGGGACTCGGTAGCTTGTAACCAGGCAAGACAACCGGCTGAATTTTCTGCGCATTTCACCTTCATGTATACCTCGAAGATATATTGCAAGGTGAGATTGTTGCGGCCAAGTTGTAGCAGTACAAGATCAGCTTGCTGCCTTGAGTGGTTGTTGAGCGGTGCCTTTAGGCCTGGCGGTTACTACGTCGTGATCAACTTCGAGATGGAGGTCAAATTTCCGACCATCAAATTTCGGACGAAATAGGTGTCCATGGCTTCATCGTGCCTCTCAATGGGACCGAGGACGTCCTGCCGAAGCGTGCCTTGTCAATTGTGAATTACTATCTTGATGAATTCGAGTCTGAAGTGGACTATATGAAGAAAAGGTCGGCAACGTCAAGTCCACAAGCTGAAGCGCTAAGAGGCACCGCCAGCCTCGAAGTACCCTCGTGGGTCCCCATTGGGCTGACAAAGTAAACGTGTAGTAGGTGAGCCTGACAAGAAAGCGTCCGAGTTTTTCACAAGGCAGGTCGACCAACGCCTTGATGCCAACATTACGGATTTATGATCATTGTCTTACTGTCTTACAAAGGGTGACGGGCCGCCACGGCTAGTATATGTAGGACCATGTCTAGACGTAGTCGGCCATTGACTGGGTCGACCAAACCTCCCAAGTCTCTGTACACCATATTTTTGTGCACTGGTGGTTTGACCAACGGACTGCAAAGGTTATCCCAATGACGCACTCTGCAAGGCACAGTGTATCGAGGATGTATATTGAATTTTGTGCCTTTGACTACGGTCAACTTTGGGCATGATTTTGAGTATAGGATACCATCAACTCATATAGAATGATCTTTCATTATCCAATATCGAGGGAATCAGGACGGGTGTACAAGGTTCGTGCATGATGGATACGGAAATTTGATATAACCGGATCACTTCCTACTTCGACGCGTGTGCCCGCTGTGCTTTAACGAGCCTGGAACACCATGATGGTGGGTGATACGCGCCTAGCCGTGTACGCTCTCTTGCCATGGTTGTCATAAGTACGCTTCGTGGTTGCTATCGCCACAACCCCACTCGAGGGACCTCGGGACTTATATCCTATTGCTGATGCATCATGCACGAGCTGCATGAAGACCATCGCTTCGGGTTACAACTGTCGAATGAGAGACGGCCATACTGCGCAATGCAGTCGTAGTCCCAGCGCTGTTGAATCAGTGCTTTGGTCTCGCAGATCGGATGTGTCCGAACAATCTAAGGCTGGGATTAAGAAATACACACTCGAGGTGTTTAACAATTACGTCGATGATTGTTTTCAACTTCGTTCGTACTCTCACCTCACCGCCTAAGCACTCAACTTCTTCTGTAGGAGATCTTTGAGAGTCTGGCCGTCCTCAGCAAACTTCTTGATACCCTCGTGAAGTTTGTCCCAGGCCATCTCATCCTGAAGCAATGCCCAACGGAACTCAGGTTCATTATCGATGTATGAAACCTTCGCAATCGGATCGGCTTGTGCGGCTAGATGAATGGTATAAACGACTCCAATAACTCTGAATTTAGAGGATGAAGCCGACCTGCTTTGGCTTCAAGCTTCTTGGGTACTTGGTCGGCAGACTTCTTGAGTTCTTCCAAAAGGGCAGGTGCGATCGTCAAGAAATCGACGCCAGCAAGAGCTTTGATCTCTCCAACCTATCTCAGGCAGTCAGTTTACAGGAAAACATGATCAACGACCGTCCATACGTTGCGGAAACTCGCGCCCATGACAATTGTGTTGTAGCCGTGTTGCTTGTAGTAGTTGAAGATGCGCTTGACGGACTGGACACCAGGATCTTCGTCGCCCTCGTATGTCTTCCCGGTCTTCTTCTTGTACCAATCTAGGATCTAGAATCCCCGATGAGTTATTCCGCAAACCGTAATGCCTGGTGAACAGACTTACTCGGCCGACGAACGGTGAAATCAGGGTAACGCCAGCCTCAGCGCAGGCAACTGCCTGGGCAAACCCGAAGAGCAACGTTAAGTTGCAGTGGATACCGTCGTCTCGTTCAAGCTCCTTCGCCGCCTGGATACCCTCCCAAGTGGAGGCGATCTTGATGAGGATACGCTCCTTCTTGATACCAAGCGACTCATACAAAGCGATGAGTTCTTTAGCCTGCAGCAAATCAGTCTTGCCGTTCATTGCATTACGTTAGTGTGCATACCTTGGCTTTCGTGGCTTCCTTATCAAAGGACAGACGAGCATCAACTTCAGTTGACACACGGCCAGGAATAATAGCTAGAATCTCCTTGCCGAACTCGACGAGCTAGAGAGGGTTTGTCGATGGATGAAGTAAGCACTTGATAACCCGTTTCCTACTCACTAGTCTGTCCATGGCAGCGTTCGTCTGGTCTTCCAAGGATCCGCCCTTCGCCTTGCCATGCTGGATCGCAGCATCGATCAAACGTGCGTAGCCAGGCTTGTTAGCAGCAGCCAAGATCAGCGAGGGGTTAGTCGTGGCATCCTGTATCGCTCTCAGTGGGCTGTTCTAGATTATTCTCGTCAATGGTCTCTCTCACCTGGGGCTTATAGACGTCGATGGCTGGGCAGTAGCGACGACGATGAGCGGGGATAAACCGCCAGGGCAAGGAATGAAATACTCACACTCGAAGTCGCCGGAATCGGAGACGACGACAGTGCCAGTCTGTTTCAAATAGTCGAGGGAAGTGGCCATATTGATTCTGTGCGGAGAGGAAGGAAATTCAGATCAAGTTTAAATACAATGTCGGTTTCAATCGCCCATTCTGAGTGCAAGGCGTCCGGTGAGTGTCGGGAACGGGATTGGTAAGGTGTGAGATAATCTACCCCTAACGACGGGAAAGACGGGCCGATTGCGCAGGTTACCCGGAACACACAGCTCGTATAATGGCCATTGACATCGGTCACTGTATGTGTACTCACTGATGTGTGAGCAAGAACAGTCAATTCCATGGTTATCTAAAAGGCCGTGTCGGCTTCCCAGCGGCTGCATGTTGTTTGGGGGGTCGCCGAATGAAATATCAATAAAAGTAAGATTAAGAGTCCAATTAGAAGTACGGAAAGAAAACATGGGAATCAGGACAGGATCTAGAGAACCGCGTCAGGAAAACGTGCGTCGGTATGGTTGGACACTCACAGCAAGTAGTACAATTGCCACCACGACTACAAGAATCAACATAAGGCACGCAGCACGACGGCCGGCTTTACGCTGATACTCATGAGCCGTAGTCAGCTCTTCTGCCGCTCCAGCCGTATCCACTGCAACCGAAGATATGTTTGACTCAATATTATCTAGAGTGGGTTTGATGTCAGCACGGTCTGCTAAATGTCCACAAATAGCGTACCGAGCATTCCGCCCTGTTGGTGGACAAGGGTGCCAAGATCATGGAATATCTCTGCCAGCTCATGGATTCCAGTCTCAATTTCCCGAATCTCCGCCTCGCGCTCCTGTATCAGCGACTCCTGGTAGGCCAGTTCGTGCGGTGAGAGTTGAGTCTGAAGTAATTGCGCCTGGCGTTGCGGTGGAGAACCGGGTTCGTCCAGTGATCTAGGTATTGAATGAGTTACGCGAAAGACAGTGAGCATTGCGGAGGCATACGGCCGACCCTGGTCCTCTTCAACCGCGAGTTTCACTCCTTCCACCACAGTTCTTTGGCGCTCGGCGCTGACTTGCTGTGCACGCTGGAAGGCCACCAAGGACAACTGGAAGTCGTGCGATGTCTTCTGCAAAGCTGTCTTATAATGTGGCTTGAAAGAACGTGAATAACCTGAGGCAAAGCATTCAAGAACGTTTACAAGTTACCATAGACGTCTGCATCGTCGACAATGACTTCAAGTCCTCTCCCCCGCGCTTCGCCATCTCACGCGTGGTCTCAGTAAGGTCATGCCTAGTAAACAATGAGAAAGGTTGCAATCAAGCCGAAATTGCGACAAACAAGGTCTTTCGGAGGGCAGCAGAGTCCTTTGTCGTCCCCAGCTGGTCTACGAGCTTGAGAATACCCTGGACATTGGCATTGATCTTGAAGACTTGAAGCGACAATGAGTTCTGGAGTCCGAGGAAGGCAGAGTCCTCTCTCGACTGTGGAATCGAAGAAGAAGGGGTTCGGGAAGGGTGCGTGAGGCCAGCTTCAATATCTTGGAAACTCATGATTATCGGTTTGGGTGGAAGAGGTCGTCGGCGCCGTGCATGAACATGAACATGAACCCAGAGGGCGCAGCGAAGGCGTTGCACCAAATGCAGCCAATCACGTGGGTACCAGCATCAGGGGCTTTGGGGAGTTGTCTCTACTAGGAGTGTCTTCTCGCCATCATGAACCGAAGTTAGGATATGTGTCGATGTTTCAGGGATCGCATAGGTCGGCGACTGGGACTGCATGGATAGGTCACCCTCCCATATTTGAAGATCCCAGCGTCACCGTATCTGCCCGCGATGCCTCCATCTCGGCCAGCTTTGCAGCCGGAAAGTTGCATGACTAATACTGAATAGAGCTATATTATCTGGGACATTACCTGTGTCGCTGCATCCCTCACAATGTCTCAGATGCGCGCTGTCTTGATCAGAGATGGAAAGGGCCCAGCCGAAAACCTTTACATCGGGGAAGCACCCAAACCCACACCGAACGCCAATCAAGTCCTTGTCAAGGTATGTGCTCGCCGCTGTGGGTCCCATCCCCTCATGTACCTAAGTTCACATTTCAATCTACGTACTGCGCGCATCTCTCCGTGGTCCCATCACCCGCAATGCTGAATCGAACCAACGGGCGGGCGCCATGAACTGATTGTCGATCACCCTTTGAAGATCAAGGCGTTCGGTTTGAACAGAATGGACATATATCAGCGCTTAGGTCACTACCCCCCGCCGGCGGGAAGCTCCACTATCCTAGGTGTCGAGTTTTCCGGACACATTGCGCAGCTAGGTACCGCCGTTGACTCAGGTTGGAAAGTCGGCGATGAGGTCATGGGACTGGCTGGAGGAGTAGGCTACCTCGCCATATCGCTTGTTTGACTTTGATCACGAAGCGCTTCATCAGGGAGCCTATGCCGAATTCATTGTGCTGCCCCATACGCACATCATGCCAAAGCCTGCCCATCTTTCGTGGGTCGAAGCCGCCTGTGTCCCGGAATGTTTCATTACAGGTGATGTGGAAATATAGTGGGGCAAGACCTCCGTATTCAATCGGATCGTCCACAGCTTACCAGGCGCTCGTACTGTACGGCGAAGTCAAGAAGGACGAAGATGTCCTGGTCCATGCTGGTGCCTCAGGCGTGGGTCTTGCCGTGATTCATTTAGCCAGGCTATATGGCGCGTCCGTCATTCCAATTTCTACCGTTTTAGATCTTCGATTTCATGATATTCCTTTGGCTATGCAGGCATTCGATTATTGCAACCGCATCTTCCAAAGAGAAATTAGACTTCCTTCTGAACATTCCAAACGGCGCTACCCACGGCGTAAACTACAGGACTCAAGATTTCGCGGAAGAGGCCAAAAAGATCACCAATAAGGTACATCCAGCTCCGAGATGTTACATCTGAGAACCTGTTTGCACGGCTGAAGCCGATCTGATAGGGTGTAGACGTGGTCATTGATTTCGTCGGACAAAGTCATTGGACAAAGAACATAGATGCGATGGCTCTGGATGGAAGGATGACAATGTTGGCGACCCTCAGTGGTAGGCATCATTCTCTGTGAACCAGGATGTATGATCGAGTACCTTCCAGGAAGCACTGTTGAATCGTTTGATCTACGTCCTATCTTGTACAAACGGCTTCGTATTCAGGGTTCCACCCTACGATCCCGGAGCGAATCTTACCAGGCGGATCTCATTCAACGGTAGGTGACCTCAGGCAGCAATATATCATTTACCCAAAGCCTCACCCGCCCCTACTCTAGATTTAGCAAGGATGTAGTGCCTCACATCACGGGGGAGAAAGGAGACGGCCCTGTTAAAGTATACATCCACAAAGTGTATTCCTGGACCGAGATTCAGGAAGCACACAAAGAGATGGAATCGAACCAAAATATGTCAGTGCTGTGTCCAATTTGTTCTATTCAGAGACTGAATGCATCGATACCTTCAGCGGTCAGATCGTTTCCGTTATTGATTAGGAATGTTCTCAACTACAGCCGTTGTACGTCGGAGGAACACTGCAATGTAACACATAGTCCTCCATAGTCCCCTAAGGCACCCCTTCACTCCCGTGACCTTGTTAGGAGGTTCTGACTAGCACAGCGCAGGGCTACAGTGGTTATGCTTGGCGCTTCCGGTATGCATTGCGGGCGGTTCATTAGAACGTTGAGTCCTTCATATTTGTATGAAGGACGTTAGGTGCCAGAGCTCATGGGCTATATTAGAGCACGGATGATGTTAAATGATTGCACATCCTGGCATTAGGAGCTACAGAACACACCTGTGGCACCATTGGCCACTATTCTTGGCACCAGAGCCAAGCCCTTTCAAGCATAGTCCCCACCGGTGCAAACTTCGAGGAATACGACCAACGATAAATAACTTGCGCTATGAATGTATCAAATGGTTGCTTGTCGCCAAGTCTTCCCCCTTTGCCGATATGTTCGCCCCATCACTCGGCTTGTCCTGCTTCTTGCTCTGCGCCCTCTTCGTCTTGCCGGGACAAAGTCATGTCCTCTTCCAGGACGGCGGTAAAGGCGCCAATAAATTAGCGGCGCCGAAGACTGTCAAGGGCCTCCTCAATTCTGAGAAGAAGTTTGGACAGCACCTAGAGAAAGCCAATCCTGGCTTCCTCCAGCAATCGGCGGCTTCGCAAAGTACGTTCGAACCAAGCTGTGCGTTGGTTTGGCGTTGCTTACTTTCTGCGTTTGTGAACCCTTAGACCCCACATTCATGTTGCTGGGCTGCTCGGACAGTCGGTAAGTCTGCAGAACTACTAAACAGGCTGTATGCTGAGTTAGTGACCCAGTGTGAGTGAAGGCACGATATTTCACACGCAACCAGGGATCATGTTCGCCGGCCGCAACGTCGCCGCACAATATTACGACGACGACACAAATGGGTGAGTCCTTCTATACGTCGTGCAACACGGAGCGTGCTCAAGCCACTTCCAGAAACGCGGTGCTCACGTATGCTACACACCATTTGGGGGTCCAACATATAATCGTGATGGGCCATTACGGATGCGGAGGCGTGGCAGCTGCCATAACATCCCCCATGACCTCCGAGAAGGACGCAAAGGACTCTATAGACCATTGGGTTTGGCCTATCAGAGACACATATCTTAAGTCAACGAGGTTTGCATTCACTGATTCAGCCATATCCGAAACGAAATCAAAATGACACATACTACTTAGGAGTGAAGTTGTCGAACTACGCGACAAGAACAAGAAATTAAAGACGGTACCAGCACCCACTATGGATGACCGTAAGTACACTACCTTGGTATCCACCCTCCCACTTAGGCCTTCGCGCAGCTGGCTACCATGCGCTTGTTGAGGAGAATGTGAAGGAGAATGTAAAGCGAGTACACGCATCTAAAGTTGCTAAATCAGTACGTGTCATATCTGCTCTCCGTCGCATGGTGCTGACCTTCCCTTCCATAGTATTCGGGAAAAAAGATCACCATTCATGGATGGGTGTATGACCTTTTGACAGCTGAAATTAGAGATCTCAATGTGACGGTTTCATTCGGGAACTAATGTAGTATACGGGTACTCTTTATGTATAATGATCGGTACTGGGGTATAATGTGTGGTTATTGGTTTGCTGCTGGGGAGATGGAAGATGTTCTCGACTCAAAGCCCCTGATGTCCACGTGATTGACTAGAAGTTCTCGTCGGAGTCTCTCCATCTCTTCATCTCTTCATTTCTTCATTAAATGTTTTGGTTCGTCGACTTGGTGCTCGCCGTGACTGATCACAGCTTCTAGTACCGAGGACTACTCTAGTTGCCTCTAAATGTCCTTTCTCAATGATTTGCACTTCTTGGGAGAGCTACCCACAGGAAAGCCGGGGTAACGACAAGTAAGCCTTCTTTTGTTTCGTTCAGTAAAAGATGGAATGTAACTGAATAAGTTCCAGACGAGGCACAGTACTGATGCAGTGCGAAAGATCTCAACCTCTTCAATCTCGGAGGAATGCAGAACCTCCTTAGGGTATCATATATCAGCGCTCAGCGCTCAGCGCACTGCGCCTCAATATTGAGATATTGACTTTCGAACTGCGCGCTGTCCCGTGACGTCTCGACCCTCTACGCTCATCCTTGTCTACTTGTCTGGAATGTCACCGACATGGCATATAGTAGGCCGGCATCTCTATTCGGAAGTAGCCAGGCTATACACCGTGATCGGTGCCAGTGATCAATTGATTGATTCAACGCACTCGATCTACAGCGCTTGGAGGGTTGCCTCGAAGCCACGTACTGCTCACATTACGGGAACGTGGACTTCGTCATCACACGCTCACTATGTTGGCAAGTAAACCATCAGTTCCTATCCGCGGTCATGCAACTTCTTTTCAACAGGCTATCATTCCTTGATATTGCGATGGAAGGTTGTTTCGTGTCGTCCTCGTCGGCTGATGGCCCAACTGGCTACGATATACTACAGCTCAAGTTCTACCTTTACAAGATCCCGCGTGCACAATTACGCAGCAGGTCCGGTGAAATCTCGCCCGACTGAGGCATGGAGCCTAATTTACGATGATGGAGCTGGCGCTACCCACAGTTACGAGCTCTCCTGCCTCTTTGGCAACAAGGACGATCATTAGTCATCGCTTCAAGCCGAGCATTGGCTTCGTCGAGTCACGCAGACCACACGAAAGTTTCCACCTGCCGGGATCCAGCGGAATCCTACAAGTGAGTGGGTCAGAACTAAGCAAAATATCGTGTACGGTACTTACTGGAATAGTCACTAGCATGTCAGCGGCCACGGATAATAAACCCGCCAAAACTTGTCGTACAACTCAGGGCAACCCACCGCAGGATCACTCGGACTCAGTACCACTCGGACTCGGGAACTCTAGTGACGGCGCTGACCGACGCTGGTCACGACCACGAACGTTCTAATCACGAGTCGCCTTTGTCAGTTATTCATATTTTGAGGAAGAAGGGACACCGTCACCCCATTTGTATATGTGAGTTACCGGATTTCATGTCGTAAGGATGCTTCTACTTCTTCAGTGCACGCGGGTATTCTCCATAGGAAGGCCTAAGCCTGCCCTTGAACTGGCTTGAACCTCCCGGCATCTTGCCCGGCGAGTTATGCCACTCCCTTCGTCATAGTAGTGCTTCTATAAGGGCTAACTATGTGGCCATTGGACCGGCCATGTAACATGAGCACAAATAGGACACACAGGCTAATACCATCCAGAGTCTATCACACCTTTGACATTTCTGCCTTCAATCAACCCCACTAGGTGGTAGTATCCATTACGACCAATTTCATCAGGCCTATATTGTGGCGTGCTGCGCAAGCGTCTCGAGCATAATTCGAATTCGAATTGCTTTACTCCAGACATCCATGACACGCGTTTCGTTTTGCTTTTTTCCCAGACAAGCATCGAACGTTTTCAATTCTCGAGCCTCCTGCGTAAGCTTATGCGAGACCACTTATTTCCGACGATGTCTCCAGTCTATTGCTCCTTGAAAGTGTCGCGCTGCCGGTCCGACAGCACGTCTCGCCATCAAACAACTTGGGAATCGCACCTCATGATACCTGCTTCTTTTCCTTTCTCTATGTCTTCGCATCCATAAGGGGTTCATTTAGAAATATTCACCGGCTTCTGAAGTCTTCTCTTTCAGACTGCCACCCTAAGGTCACCATATTCCCATCCTTCGAGTCCCCATACGAACGACATGCAACATGTTCCTTGCAACGATTAATCTGTCGTAAACCCTCAGGCCTACCCTCCAGCCAGCACCGCATAATACGGATGCCTCAGAAACGATGATCGGAGTAGTTCTCCAGGCCTTGCTTGAGGCCGAAAGGCAGTTGTCAGTTGCGGGGGCCACATTCCGTCTTCAATGGATCGGCTTTGGTCATTTGCTCTGAAACTCCCTTGCTATTCGTGGCGAGTCGCGAACTGTGGGCACGTTTAATGTGGAGAAGTTGCAAGGTGAACTTGGTGATGTTAAGGATACTTATTACGCCGTCGCCGATCGATGATCTGTGGGCAGTACAGCAACATTGTGAGATGGTATTTCTGTTGCGTGTTGGCTGCAATGTTCACGCTGGTAAAGGGCTGGGATCGTCCTGGTTTCCGTTGAACCCCCCGGGGACCACGCATTGGAGGTAAGCCCTGACAGATAGGACACGATGCTCCAGTCCAACTCTCTCATACCAATTGTTAACATCTATCTTCTCTTCGAAGGATCCAATGAGTCTGTAGATGCTGCATTGCCTGAATTGTATCCGAGAAAATTTCCTGGCTAGACTCCCCGCTAACGTTATTCGCCATCTCCGTTCAAGGTGGCCCGACGTTGTTCCTCAAGTCATCAGATTCCATTCCTTCAAGGGACGATCCCACTTGTTCAATGATAGTCGATTATGGCTCGGAGACTGCGGTGTATCGTGTGCAAGTAAGTGTTCAACAAATGGAGGGATGAAGTAAGCATTGACGCATTCGCATGCAGATTAATCTCACATCAATGAACCGAACTGATGTATGTATGTGCGCCATCAGCGTGTCAAGAGCTTCGCCAGCAACATATGCGATCCAGATGCCGATATGATGAAGGGCGAAGGAGAGCAGCGATCCAGGTCAGCTCGCCTCGTCCGCTGTGAACCAGCCCAAGTGGCATCCTTGTCCAGGTCCCGTGTCTGAAGTGGTCTATCATTGAAGGTAACTTCGGAAAGGAAGTAATCCGGGAGAGCGGCAGGGGAATTATACCGAGCTTGGAGGGTGCCAACACGTGGAGAGGGCTCGCAGATATTATATGGACCAGCCATTATGAATCCGTTGTGAACGGTGTTAGTCAACTGATGAGCTGTGCAAGCTGTTTGCGAGTGTCTGACTCGTGTCGCTGTATCCCAGAAAACGGGAATGCCTCAAGCGGGAGAGGACTGCGGCGGTGCTGATTCAGATAGTGGCATGACCGTGGCAAGACAAGCCATGTAAAATATTATATTGCTATTCTTGTCCAGGTTTCGCTTGAAACCAATAACAGCTTGCTTACCCCTTGTTTTGAGCGTTGCCGCATCACCTATGGAATTATTTCTCACTGGTCACTTAGCGCTATCCATATTTTCACTGCCTGTAACGGGGCCGTTCTCCGTTTCCTGATTTGACTCGATTTTACTCGATTCCAGATCTATGGCCAACCTTGGCGCCTCCGTGCCCAACTTGTCGACTTCCTATAAAGACATGGGCGATTCCGCTTTACCTCTCCAGATTTCTACTCCCCAGTATCAGTACAACCACTCGACCATTCTCACAACTTGCCTTGCGCTCCAACTCATCCTCAGGCTCCATCATAATAGCCTCTGCCAACGGCAACACCACCACCACCACCACCACACCATTATGAGCTCGACATCCAAGCCCAACACCTCCAAGCCCAGCGGCTCTGGCACTACAGTAAAAGGTGGTGCCAACTCTACGGGGCCAGTCTTCTTCTAGACCAGCGACGCGTACCGCAACCCGAACGTTCCACGCGCGGTCATCACCATCCGAGAGACAGTCCCCCGCACGTTTCGCCACAAAACCATCCATCATCCATCATTCACCACTCACCAAATCAATCTACAAGTATATTTATTGGCAAACTACACCCTAGCCTAATGCACGCGATCGTTGATATGCACTACATTCTCGCATTCTCGGCGAAGCATAAAGTTGGAATCGGAGATCGGAGACGGAGGCAAAGGAGATGGCCGCCCGACGGACTGGAATTCACATCCTATATTTATTCATATTCGACTTATTCAAATATTCAACACCTATTATTGTCGTTCACGCCTCTTCATCCCTAATAACCCTTCGTATTTATTCGAACCTTGATTGTAGCTTTAGTAGTTTGTATTTCGTCTCACTCTCACTGCGGATTTTTGTAGTCGAATATGATTGTTGTCATGCGTCATAATAGTGCAATGGTTTGCTCAGACTTCACAAAACCTCCATGCGAATCTTTTGACTATCAGCCAACATATGATGGACTGAGACAGTGGGCCCACAGGTTACACGGAGTCACTGCAAATCTTCCGGTAGTACTAGTAGGTAGTCTGTCGTACAAAATCAATCATCACGTATATTAACAACAAAGCAGTCCATGGTCGGCCCAGTTTCCAGTCTATAATTTGCCCCTTATTCCTTGTAGCCACAAACCCGATGTGAGACCTCCCCGCGACCTCGTCTCCCACCAATCAAGAATAACATCGACGACCTCGTCTTGCCTACCCGTGAAATTATGATCGGCGTCTTCCATCAAGTGAAGAGTGTGCGTGCCGGGAGTCCTGCTGCTGAGAGCCCTCGCGTAAATCACAGCATCGTACCTGCACCAACAAATATCAACGAGTGTTCTGTGACGCACATCATCCCTGCGGTCCGCAGCGGAGGCTACTCACGGGGGAACAGTATTGTCTGAGAGCCCGTGCAGGGTAAATACATCGACAGTGCTAGGAAACTTGTCCCACACAAATGATGTATCCCAGCTCACGAACTGTTCCACGTCGGTGGGATGTATCCTTGCCGTCACGGCCTTTCGGGCCACTGTGACCTGCCATTCGTGGTATCCCTTGGCATTGAAGCTAGATTTCCATACCTGCCCCGCGGGTGACTCTGGATAAGAATAGGTGTCGCTTAGTGCGGTTCAGGGGAGGCCATAGCTGAGATGTTGTCACCTAGTATTCTCTGCACGGGTTCGTCAGAGTCACGCACCCTTGCTTAGAAACCTGCTTACCTGCATCCTGTATCGGCCAGAGGCGTTGACGAATGCGCTGACTGATCGACCGTCGGGGTAGTGGCTGATCCAATGGAAACCGACGATCGAACCTCGGGAATGACCAACTACCAGATCGACGACATATCCGTATGTCTTCTTCAGGTGTTCGACCACAAGCAACAGATCCTCGATATCTTCGTGTATCGCTCCTTGCTTCCACGTCCCTCCGGTTTCATGATTGCCTCTACAATGTGTCCATAGTACAGCACGCAAAATTTTCCAAACGGCAAAGCCTCATAATCAGTATCATCCTCGGAAACATGTTGCGCGGCCACTGCCGCGGAGGGGACAGCACCACACCCGCACAGATCCACAAACGCCTGAAAGGGGAACTCACCGAAAATCAAACCGAAATGAATCAATGGGCAAGCGCAAGGCAAGACGCTTGAGGAAAAGATAGTCTTTGTGCCTGAAGCCCGGATGTTACTTTGTGCTTCACCACCAGCCTGAGCGCTTGCGCCCTCGGAGATACAGCTATAGGCTTACCCCAAGGTGCCATGCAAAATCTGCAAAGAGGACCCAAGACGTCAGATCATATGTTTCCGATTCCATGGTGATGATTTGAAACATACGAGTGCCAGTTTACGTCCGGAGGTGGGCTGATCGGGGGCCACTTGCTCAAGCACGCCCACTATGGATAGCTCTGGCGCCGCTTGATGAGGGATGGAGAGTTTAGTGGAAAGCTGTGTCATTTCTGAACCGACGAATAATTATGCACCTGGACCGAGCTTCTGTGGTTCGCAATGATGGAACACTTATACCCATCCCGCCGGTAAAGGACTTAAGCGACTCCGGCGATCCCACGAGATCAGAGCTGCAGCGAGTCAGGGGTGCCTAGGGGATGAATGAAATTACACGGATATACCGCTCATTAGACGCGAAGGAGGTTTCGAAACCAGCAATATTCATTTTTCTTTCCATCATCTGCGCTGTGAAGTCCACAAGCGGCAATCCGTGGAGAATGAGGCTTGATCATCATCATCATCAACAATAAAAATTGCAGCGTAGCGACCAACGCCGACTTTGTACAGAAACAGCTGATCCGGTAGGATTAATGGTTTAAGCTACTTTAGTTGCGCTTCATGGGCTTTAGGAAACTAGCAAATTCGGGGCAGTGGCGTACATCACGACATTATTTAGAACACGTTGGAGAGCTTAGCTGACCACAGGATATTTCTGTAATTGATTATCAGCGAATTCTAGTTTATATGTGTACGACATCCTACGAGACAAGGAGGCGTGTGGGAGGGCCGGCAGGTCCCGACTCCTGCCCCATTAACACCTCTCAAGTGGTCTAGATAAGAATTCAGTTTGCGTGCTGTCATGCATTGTACATAGACTACTCGGGCTGTTGAGCCACCTAAGTTCCGACTGGCCACCAGGCCTGGCGTGTGTCCTGCTATCAGTGCAAAGAGAGTCGGGTGTGTCAACTTGAATTGGATTTCGGTATCATGTCGATCACCTGTGCTGATTACGGCTTGCCAAAAGAGCGAACAAGAACAAGGCACTTGGGATGAAATCGCCGCGGTGGGCCCGTCAAATACATGGGAGTGTTTTGGGCGTGTCGAGAGTGAACGTACCGTTGACATTGTTGGGACCTATGCTGACCGCTCATCATGAACCAGAGCAAACCAAAAGCAAACCAGGCAGAACAAGGTGTCTCGTAAGCGCAACTCCAGTAGCAGCTTGCTTGGAAGCGTCATCTAGATTTTTTCAGCCGCGGAGAAGCTTGGAAAACAAGGGCCAACGAGGCCAGGAGCGTTGTACCCTCTGGAATCGAGTATCTCGGAAAGGCCAGAATCTCCCATTGTCACGGTAATGAGCCAAACACTAGCTAGCATTGTTATGTTTTGGGGGTCCGGCTAGACTGCAAAGGGATTCCATGTCGAGAATTGCACCCGCGGGATTTCAGAAGTGACGATGCGGCCTCGCCATGTGCTACCCGTGTCGGCGAAACGGACATGATGGAGGGACGGACTGGATAATTCCGTGGTTCCTAGAGGGAAAATAGTTCAACAGCAACTATTCTGTCAAGTCAGATCTACTTACCAGTAATTCTACGGCACCTCCAGCCCATCCGTTGAGTTCGTTCAGGCAGGATGATGCTCGATGATGATCTACGGTGAGAGGCATAATGATGTTTGTTCATACAAACTGAAGCCTTCTCAGCCAAACAATAGACCCTTTCCGTCTTATTCCCCGCGTGTTGAAGCCTTCAGCATGCCAGAGAACTTTGGGCGGCGTTATCAGAAGTCGTCGACTGCGAGGCCGCTGAATACGACAATAAATCAACTAACACGACCTTGCGGCGACTCGATGAATGTTCCACATGCAAAATGTGACATACTACTGGTATGAAGCTAAACTTTCATCAATTTTGTGAGCCTTCTCCCAAACTCGAGTACTTTCTGTCTTGATTATTTGTTGAACTTGATAGTCCTTGTGATTTCAACGATGATTCCATTAGCCTCGCTTGACGCGGTCCTGAACCTTGAGCGACGGTATATAAACGAAATATATTCCTATCAGCTTCACCCAGCCCCAAAATGCGACTCTCCATGTTGTATTTCGCTCTGGCGACGTCCTTGTCAGTCCTAGCGTCTATCTTGCCTTCGAGCAAAGACCGGGTCGTGAACCTGGGTTACGCCAGATATCTGGGCAAACAAACATATCCCAATACGAATGCCTTTCTGGGCATTCCATACGCTGAACCACCAGTTGGGCGTAGACGATTTCGCGCACCTGCTCCTTTGAACACGCATCGAGTGTCTCTAGAAACTAGGGGCAATGTCGTGGACGCCACCAATAACCCGGCACCATGCATCCCGGGGCAGCATCGTTTAGACGGTATGCCTCACCATCTCTCCCCCTCCGGTCAACCGGTAATTCACCTACGCAACGCTAGACGCAGGCAATCGTGTGGGGGACGAAGACTGCCTTAAAGTTAACATATGGGCCCCCGTTGGGGCCAAAAAAGGAGATAATCGTAGGCGATCTTCTTTGAGATGAACGTTCTAATTTCTGATTACTTCTATTCTGCTTAGTCCCTGTCCTCTTCTATATTCATGGCGGAGGTTCGTTCACGTGTGGCAGGTATCCTGTCTAGACTTACCACCCATCATATCAGGATACATCGATGGAACTCCCGCCCATTGGCCGTTCGATGAATGGGTCGATCGCAATCCTAACGTAGTCATTGTAAGCGTGTCATACCGACTCGCGGTCTTTGGCTTCCTGGCGACGCCGACCTTCGACGATCCGCTCTATGGTGATCTCAACGCTGGGTTCAAAGATCAGATCGAAGCCCTTAATTGGGTCAAGAAGTTCATCAACAACTTTGGTGGTCAGTGATTTATTTTGCACGCGCTATCGGCTTGCCTGTTTACCCCCCTTTAATAATAGGCGACCCGAATCAAATCACCATCAATGGTCAAAGCGCTGGGGGGAATTCTGTTATGCTTCATCTGGTATCTCACCAACCAAACAAACACTTCAACCGGGCGATTGCTCAAAGTACATGGAGGGCTCCTATGGCCTTCCCTCAGCAGATGGAGGTGATCCTTTTCTGGCAGAGCCTCAGTACTATGTATGAGACTGATGTATTTTGTAGCCGTTGTTTGACTACATCGTGACCCACGTTGGATGCAGAAGGTCGACGATACTGGCTACGATGGGTTGCCTTCGGTCCGTGGATGCGTTCCGACTCCTAGCGGCATACCATAGTGTTGCCACCAACCAGTATGTTCTTTATTCCCTGCCTTGACATCCCTTCGCGACGGTTAACGTCTACAACAGCACTGGTTCTCACCCGATTAATACCCAACTGGCACCCGTTTTGGACGGTCAACTTTTTACTGAATATCCTACGGAATCATTCCTGGCCGGCCGTTTCACCAAAGTCCCGCTTATCGTTGGGTGAGCTTTGCTGTCGCTATTGATCTGTTGTGTAAATCGCCTGACACGTTTGGCAGAGCCACTACCAATGACAGCGTTGGTCCGTATACCAGCCACAGCTCCTTGAGGGGCAACTGGCCACGTCTGACTGACCAGGATATCGAGGACATCTTCGCTCTGTATCCTGCTGAGGACTTCCAGAGTGAAGAGCACCGCATCCGAAGAGTCGTCGGTGACTCCCAGTTCAGATGCAGCGTGAGTCCCTACAATTGGCAGGTCTCGTCCCCCCCGTCGTTGATCTCACATATTTATTCGTCAGCGAGTTCTAATGGGGTCCGCGTCTTCCATCCAACCCAAGGCTTGGACGTATCGGTACGATCAGACGGAACCTAACTCTCCTTATAACTCCGGACCCAACTATGTGGGGCACTCAAGCGAGAATTATATCCTCTTCAAATCTGCCACGACAAAGTGAGTACTCTTATATACTACCCCCGCAGGACAACGGCCAACCAAATACTCTTTAGCCCTCGTGGACCTGTGAAGTTCACCCCCGTTGAAACCGCGTTCTCAGAGGAACTCGTGTCCTACTGGCTTTCGTTTGTGCGGACGGGGGACCCCAATACTCAAAAGTTAGGGCATTCGCCGACGTGGCCTGCATATACTACGGCAGGCAGAGAGCGGATGGTACTCCGACAAAACCCAAAGAACGAGACGACGCGAAGCGGAATCTTCGTGGAAACAGAGCCGCAGAAAGAAAGGGAGGTCTGCGAGTACATCTACACCAACAAATATGTCAATCAGCAGTGTTGAGCGATCTCGTCTCATTTGTTCTCAGACCCGCAGATGTAATACAACAATTATTGTTGACCGTAATTGCACCAGTAACTAGATGAGACTATGACTTTGCTACCTTTCTACCGAGTAGCGCTGCCTTGACACTCTTTGAGGCTTTCAACGCCACGGTCTTTGCTTTTTTCTTCACAATTGCCTCCGCAAGTCGTTTCTTCTTCAACTCTTCGGGTTTTATGGAAGGCGGGGGCGGGGCGGGAGCAGCGGTCTTCTCCTTCTTGGATAGTTTGGACGGTTTCTCGGGCTGCGACTTCGTGGGTCTCGCGGAATTGGCGCTAGAGGTGAGGGAGGTTGGAGTGGGTTTGGCTGCCTTATCCTTGACGGGTTTTGGTGATTTCGTGGGGGTGAGTGCGCTCGCCAGTGATGATGCAGGTTGGTTTGCTTTTGAGGATTTGCTACTGGGAGCAGGTACGACTGAAGGGTTAGTAGGAATTTTGTCGGCTTTCTTGGACGTCTTGCTTTTCGAGATAGCTTTCGGAGGGGACTTCGCGGAGACGCTTTGACCCTCCGACCCTTTCGCCTTCTTCTTCGGGGTATCCACAACCTCGGCCGCCACACGTTTCTTTCCCTTCTTTCCCTTATCCTCCACTTCCTCCGCCGCTTCTTCATCAGACCCACCATCCTCGGACCCGTCAACCTCACCCTCCGACAGTGCCTCAGCATCAGCGATCAGGCCATCCCACCGACCGCCACTCTCATCATCTAGACTACACGACCATATTGGGAGGCTGACGCTCGAGTTGGTCTTGATGTGCAGGCTTTGAATATTATCCCAGCCATCTTTGATAGCGCTGATGACGGCGGGTAATGCGGTTTTGATGTTGGCGAGGATCTGAGTGGGCTTTTGGGACAGGGTGCCTACTTTGATTGATCTGAGGTATAAAAGAATAGATGGGCGTGCAGGGTGAGTCGAGGAGACAGGCAATTGAGTAGATAAACGTACGTGCAGGTCCCTTGATTCTGATGCATGTAAGTGGATGAGATGGCTCGCTCCAGCTCGCCTTTCAGGTCTTTACGCGCAAGTGAGACGGGGATAGGTTGCCTAATTTCAGATATCAATACACCGGTGATAGTGGAGAGTAGGCGGATTTGCGTACTTTTTGGCCTGAAACCATTTGGAACCTAGTAAGTTAGGCAATATAGGTATTATCCTGTCGTCCGCGAGAAACATCCCGTTTTCTTTGAGCAGCATCCGGCGCGCCTCGTACGGCTTGAATTTGCCTTTAAGTTTTGATATTCCTACCACCCTTGATATGAACTTGATCCCCTTCTCTTCCAACAAGTCCTTATACTCCCGCTGCGGGTCCTTCGTAATTAAACATATAGGTGTCGTCCTAGGATCCACTATTGGATGTTTAATTGGACTAGGGTGGAGATCAGCACTCGTCTTCACGAAACGTTCACACCACATACATTTTCACTGGCTTTATCTTGTGCGAAGGCGCCATTTTTTTAACCGTTACAACGAGCCAGACATTTTGCTCTTTGCCTGGCAAGAGTTCATTTTCATTGCGAGCTTCTTCGGCCTTAGATTCATGTGCTATGAGGGCATCTACAGCGCGAGTGCACTGTACCAAGGACACATGAGAGTCGATGAGTTCGTCCGGCGCCATCTCGTCGAAAGGTCAGTGATTTGGAGTTTGCTTCTGGAGAGCTTGAAGCAAATATTCCATTGGCGCCCTGTGGTTAAGGTTCGCACGGGTGCTGGACCCTGGGTGGCAGCATTGGGCATCCCCCGCCAATCGGTCCAGCTCTTTCCCTTCGCACATTATAGCGAGGGGACTTTTCACCATTTCCACCATCTCCACCGCCGCGAGTCCGGCTTCGAGCTCGCTGTGAGCCATATCGACCTCTTCGCGGTGCGCTCGACGGAATGGCGACCATGACCCAATCAGCGAGGATACCTGGTCCGTCATGGGACGAGACCATCGTCCCTGCTCTGAGGAAACGTATGTGCCTCCTGCTCGTACTCTATATATATTCGAAGATAAACCCTTGATTTTAGGTCTTGAAAGTGAGAGTCGGACACTGGCCAAACGCATGTCTGCAGTCTCCATATCCTCGCTAGACGAAGGGCCGAGTGCAACGCCAGTTAATACCCTAGATTCTCGCGACACCCGAAGTGCATTCACCTCAGGAAAAGGATACGATTCTCGGCCGATGACTAACCACACTATCGCTGAAGGTCAACCCCGATACCAATTTGACCGCGGTATGCAGAGCTCTGCGCACGCGGCTTCTACTTCAACTTCTTCAACCCAGTCAGGTCATCCTCAGCGGACACGAACGTATTCTCAGCCTTACGCCTCAGATCAACCGAAGAACCGGCGAGTAAATGGCAATGGACCAGCTTCAAGAATCAACGGCACGAAATCGCCTACCCCGCCTGACTCGAGCCGAACGGTGTCTCCTGCTTTTTCAACCAAAAACGCCGATTTGAAACCTACTCGCATACCCCAACCACGTGTGCGTACTGCAAGTGCTGCAAGTCATCAGCTGCCTCCCCAGCACCGGGGAGTAAATGGGTATAATCACGCTTCAACACCATCGTCTGATCTCTATCCCGTGCATGAAATGCGTCCTCCGCCTACTGCACGTTCTGACACCTCTTCGATTGCAGTCCCATCACGGCAAGGCTCTGGTTTACTCAATGAGGCACCCCCCTTCACGACAAGTTCAATTACGTCTAACACCTACCACCCCGTGTATGGCATGAGCAGAGACTCTGTTGACCGTGATCCATCACCCTCACGTATGTCCAGCGAGTCGGAAGAACGTCCTTTCGAACATTGGTATCGCGGGGAGGTTTCACGGAACGGAGGCGTCGGCGAGCTCAGAGTTGCTAAGCGAATGGAAATGCTGGAGATTGCTAACTACGGCCACACTATCAAGCAAAAGGTTGATCCTATCGCTAGCTTACGGGGTGTTCCCAACCGTATCGTAGGTAATGGCATGGAGGCAACGGTGAACGGCGATGGACGGCGAGATCGGCCTCGGAGAAGGAAAAGGGCTGATAGCGTTTCTGGGATATTGGGAGATGGTAGGGAGAGCTTGTACCTGGATGACGAGCGGGCGCGAGAGGTTGCTAGAGTGATGGACGAGCACCCGCCCACGGACCTCGATGATGATGGCGTGTACAACGACGACGACAGAGGTAGTGATACAGAGACGGATGATATCATTGCGCAGTATGACCGGGACGACGATTTTGGCAACATATCAACGATGACTGCCCCGACGCCAACGAACCACCGCAGTACTACGCCAACCAACTTCTCTCGGCCTATATCCCGTACTCAGAATCATCCTTCACGAATACCAACGCCTTCTGGTCCGCGAAAATCCTCCGAGTCGTCAACACCTCACGCGCCACCCCTTCAGCGCGGTGCTTCAGAGCCTCTTTCCATCACAACGACCGCGTTGCCTACCGCTTCTTCTTCGCAGCAGAATCGCCCCACACCCACTTCATCTACATCTCAACACGGCAAAACGCGTGCAAAGAGCCCTACAAGTGCAAAGAAGCCTCCCAGTGCAAGTGCAAGGACTCGTGCCAAGGCGCTTGCCGCAAAGCAACAGAGAGAGGAAGAGGAGAGTCGAAGAAGCGTTGCTTATTATCCCACGCCGTCTGGAGACGAAGGTTTGTTAAAAGACGCAATACCGACATGGACACAACCTAAACCAAAAACGGGCAACTGGGATGAGGTACCTATCCCCATCTCCCGCTCGACAACTAACTGTTGGGTCTTGTTCACTTATGCTTTCGTATCACGTTAGGTTGTATTGCCCGTCGTGGCTCGGAAGAAAGGGCTCGACGATCACTACGAACAGGCAGATGGAAGTCCTCGAGCCAAACAGCAAGAAGACCCTGTTGCTCCAGTATGTATACAACCTTCTTTTCCTGATCTGTCACTCACCGAACACGCCGTAGGCTCCTGGTACATTCGGCTACGACCATTCCAAATATCGACCACCGCGCGGCGAAGATATTTCTATGGACGAATTCGGACGCCCACCAGTGGAAGAAGACGAGAAAGAAGATAAGCCAGCTGACGCAGACAAAGTCAAAACCAGCGAACCAGTCCGCATTAGGCCTCTTCGGCGGAATCTGGAAACGCCCCCGCCATTTTCACATTATCTACCTGCAAACGATATCTCTGCTTCTGCCGGGAATGTGAAGCCTCCGCAGTCAATACCATTGCAACCATCGCATGCCCAATTGGAAAAGGAAGAGGACGGTGGCGCCGGTTGTTGCAAATGTGTTATCATGTAGTGCGGACGCCATCTTTCTTTGGCCTCTCTCTGGATGTCAGCCTTCTTGTCTATGAGGTCTATCAGTTTCGACATTCTGCTCTGCTTATATCCATATTCTCGGTTATACCATCCAGCACACATCCACTCATTTATCGTCTCTGGAATTCGCCCTTTTTATGGAACTCAACTATTCATGTGTCCTTCCCCGTTATCCGCGCTTCTCTACACTCGTTAAAGGTATTCGTATCTCAACCCATGCTTTGTACTTTTTATTCGTTACGTTTTTCGTTTTCTCTTGCATTCAAAGTATAGGTATTGCCGTGAGGTTACCTCCATTCCTATCCCCTTTCATCTCACCAGCAATAGCATACAATTCGGCTACTTATCGGGAATCCTCTCAACGGGCGCACTCACTACAATACTGTACCATTATCTTGATAGATATTACCTACTTCTTTTACCATCCTCCATGCTCAACCTCACGCGCCACACTTTTTCGTCACCTCGAAATTTGCTGTATCACGCAGATGTTCCTTTGGATCTACGCGCACTTCCTCCGTGATGAATCGGACTGCAACACTATAGTTCCCCAGGGCGTCACTGGAGTCATCAAGGCGAACTGATGTCTTGTTCGTAAAGCTTTCTAGAATACGGCCATCTTTTTGCCACATGATCTCGTAGGTTTCTGCCGTTGGTGAAGGTGCTTCTCTAAATTGCCCGACAGGAACCAACTGCACGCCCAAGGTTATGAATGTTCCATTATCGGCGGTGACGCAGGCTTGTGTGGTGTTATCGATGAGATTGATATCTTGAAGGAGGGCAAGCCATAGCCCCTCGATGCAGGCCTTGCAGAAGTTCGTAGCAGTCACCACACGCATGAGGCAGTCCTCGTTCGTGGGTCGGTAGCTCGTTCGGTTTTGGTCAGAATATCTGCGATAGATGCGAACCGGAGTCAGCAACCCCGAAACAAAGACTTTGGAACAAGGGAGTGACGCACGTAGGAAAGGCCCCATAAAATCCGGGTGTGGCGTTGAATCTACGATACGTGTATTGACATCAACAGGGGACAATTGCGCCCGATGATCACTCACTCGTCTTCGTTCCCAAATTCTAAACCTTCGGCGCTGCATAGCTGTGCAACGCCCTCCCTATCCTTGTTGACAAGAGTGAATGCTACTTGATGTGTACCACCCGATAACGGTTCATCTCGATAGATGTCATAATGCCACCGGTCGACGCCGATATCTTCTTTCGGCACCCAGCCCAAATCGATGCCATCAAGCTCAACTTTCAAATCACTCGCTTCCGGTAAGCCAGACAAAGAGAAACGTATCAAATGTCTGGAAAATGATCCTGAGGAAGTAAAGTTCAGAACCCACGGCGCTGTGGTGTTGAGAATGGTCCATGGGTAAACTTGGAAGGGCATGACAGAGCGCTCTGGGCGGGCCGTGCCGTTTGCTTCTGGTTTGGTTAGCCAGTGTGCCCACGGAAGCGGCTCGTCGGCGGTATCAGCAGCGTTGGGACCGAAATATGCGAAACCGCCATCATATTCTTCGCCTACTTCGATAATGGAGTGCCCAAGTTCATGGCGGAGGACGAGCGGCCCGTTGGCGAGAGAAGAAGTGATAACGCTGTGTTATTCGAAGTAAGCCATGTGGATTCCAGACGCAAACTTGCGCAGATATTCTCACGTGAACTGTCCGCCTAATCCTGTGTAAGATAATGTGTATGAGTACAAATCGTGTACGATGATGAACTGAATGTACATACCTCCGTACAATGGATCGTTGCCTAGACGATAAATGGGTGAGATTCGATTTCACAGCAAGTAAACTTAGGGCGGCGAACCGAGGAGAATCGCGTAGTCGCATTGATCGCCCAGCGAGCCGCAGGCGGCCAAAGCGACGTCTTCCTTTGAGTAGTACACTGCACGAAGCTCAGTGCCGTCGCGATAGAGCCCGAAGGGCGTGCTACATAGCAAGGCGGTGGGATCAGAGGCTGTATGAACGGGAAATTCAAATGTGAGCATACTCCTTTGGCTTCCCCCCTACGCCGATACCACTCTGCGAACCAGACGTCAGCAAAACTCCGGGAATATGTATTTACTGATAGTACCTCGTTGCTGGGCGAGAATGCAGCCCAGAAATTCAACAATGGCTTGACGGTGTAAAATGTCTGATTTGCGGAGATATCTTGGGCAAGACGCATAGCATCATCAATAAATTTGCCACGCTCCTCTGGCAAATCTGACAAGAACAGTAAGTCTGTGGGTGCTCAACAAGTAAAATGAACATACAGCCATCGGAGAAGAACACTAGGTCGGCGCGGTTAGTGATCGCACCGGAAACGATTAGAGGTTCGATTTCAAGCGGCGGCGGAGTGGCATTGCTAACCCTCCTGCCGAGTTTCAGGGCATACTGCTTGTCGTGGAGGTTCTCATCTAAACGAGCCGTTTAGCTCGATTTGATGCAACCGTCCAGGCAACTCACCGGAAGACGGGCATTTGCTTGTGCCAGTGCCGTCAGCGCCGGCGATACGGTCAGGATAGGCCTTATGCCCCAGTATCTGGGCAGGCGCAACTAGCAGACTCAGCAACTGCAGGAACAGCATGGTGAGAATAAAGAAGAGAGCGAAGGAATCTGTACTGAACTACCTTATGCCACAGAATCAACTGGTTGACTCCATGATCGCATTTATTATAATCGCTTGAGCGTCTCTTAGGCGCTTACACGTCGGGTTGGAAGTTGGAACCTAAGTAGAACCTCCGCAGAAAGTTAAACGTGCAATGTCACCACTGAAACTAGGCCCAAGGGCCACATTCCACAGGTATGTACAGCGTTTACATAAAGTGAGAAATTTGATACATTTCAAGATTTACGCAAGAGCTCGATTGCAAATTAGTCATTTCCTACTGTTCACCCCAATTAATCAAGCGGTGCTTTTCACCCCGTCTTTGACAGCTTGCCAAGATGGGCGAGAAGAGATAGCTTCGAACCACCTAGTGCTATCCCGTCAGTGCCTAGAAAGAGTAATGCCGATGTTGAGGAGGGTGACTCGCCTGTTGGCATTTGGCCTCTCCTGTAAGGCATTCACACCAGACGGAGGCAACAGCGCGCCGAAGGGGAGATGGAAAAGGTCTGCTAGAGTGAATTCCTAGTTTGATGTATTGAGGTAAAGGTTTTGATGCCAGGACATTCAACTCGCGACTCACATCGCCTCCAAGGAATTTCTGCTTGCTCAAGATGAGATCGTAGGTATCGAGATTTGCATTCAATTTCTCGGTCAAATCTTTTGCTTGCGCTTCGTCTGGGGTCTGCCCAAAGATGCTGAGGATCGTCGGTCAGACAAAACGGTGACTGTCAGGTAAGGGGAGCTGGCCTACGGCTTGAAATATTTTTCGATCACAACTCCGGAGGCATATGGATCGAAGTTACAGATCTCAACAGAGGCAGCTTGTTCGAACTTCGCCCAAGCCTGCAGGTCCTTTGGAATCAATTGCGTTCCCTGACCGCTGTATTTGGTCGCAAGATAGCGGGAAATAGCACGGCTCTCGTATAAGATGAATCCATCATCGTCCTTCGAGTATCGCCAATCAACATCGTCGTCTGCTAGTCGATCGAGCGGTCGCATCACTCACGATGTAAGGCACCTTTCCAAAAGGTTGCTTCTCCAAGAATTGGGGTGTCTTCTGTTCTCCTTTCCTCAAATCGATCGGCACGAGCTCAAAGGGCACATTCAACTCGATCAGCACGGTTGCTACCCTCTTGGTGCAAGTCGAGACGGGCGATCCGTAGAGTTTCAAGACCATGGTCGTTGGGTGTTGGATCTTGATGCTAGTCAAGGAATCTCGAGGCTGGGGAGGGGAATAATGTCCCTTTCATCAAGAACTGAGCAATATTTAAACCCTAGACTGACATCCGAGGATATAATCCAGAGTCTTGGTGTTTCTAGAAACTAAACATAGTGTACGGTCGACTTTGTAGATTGTCATGACCCATGACCACCGAGAACACGGTCGGCTATCGGTGATGACAACCGGTATGGGAGCGCCACCATTGCCTCATCATGTTATCACTGTAATTCCTCTTTCGCTGTCAATTAATGCCGTGGAATCACCTAGAGTTACTCTTGGCCATGGCCATGGCTACGGGTTATGGACGAATCTACAATAAGCTGACGTGAATATGATGACACTGCAGCAGGGAGATCAACGTTCTTCGTACTTGCTTCATAAGCCAATATGTCAGCATTAGACGTTCGCGTCAAAACATTGATGGCTGAACGATTGCTGACGACCCACTAACTGTGGGTAACCATTAACGTTACATCTTCTATAGTTCAGTCGTGTAATCTCCGGTGGGATTCCTCTCTCGCGATGTCTGTCCTAGCGTAGGCGAGTGAGAGCTGAACTTGATCAACCGTGTTGCCGGCTCCAGGTGCATAAAGAAAGTAGTTACAATATTACTAGAAATATGACTATTAAGGAGTGTTGGACATGTATCAAGTACAAATGCGGGATGGCAAACGAAAGCAAGTGTGCGCGACGAGGAACCTAGGAAAAGGGAATAATACATTAAAATGTCACCTTTGCCGCCGTGAGTTGCTACCATTCATAGGCGTCGAATATTCTGTCTGCCAAAGGATCTCGTCTAGTCGCTGTCGAGACGTATTCATCCGACTAGAACTAGTATGGACTCCCGACGGCACCATCCTTGTTGCATTCGACATAGTAGGTCCACCACTAGTGGATCGTATGGCAGGGCTGGCTGATTCGAATGGCGAGGCGGAGGTCTCCGATGCCGTTCGCCTCATCTTCTTCGGGGTAAGGCCATCCCTTGATGACGCTCGTAGCACATCGGCTCGTACGCCCTTCTCTCGTCCTCCGCTCCCGCTCTTCTTTGCCGCAGGCCGTAGTGCCGGCCGAATGGAGGGAATGATCTCCCTGGCCAACTCTCTGACCAGCACTGCACCATCCGTGCGACTCAACCGCTCAACCACTTCGTACAGTCCATATCTCTCTACTATCGCCCCGCGGTTGGGGTGAACATCACATACTCCCTTGAGAATTCGCAGTAAATTACGCCGAACAACAGCTTTGCTGTGATGGCTTAGACGATCAATGATACGGTTGAAGAATGCTGTAGATTTGGCGAGGAGGTTGGCGAGGGATGAAGAGAGGCGGGTCAACTTTAAAAACGGTTCAAGGAGGTTCTCAAACGAGTTCGCCTTGGACGATACGAAACATTTTAGGATGGCTTCTACAGCTTCGGGTTTGACTAGCTCGTCTTCTATTCGGGCAGGTTCGTCTTGCAGCCTATTCACCACACTATTCAGTCATCGGACAAATCATAAGAGGATTTGCATACCACGAAACGATAGCCTCGAGCGCGCTGACTTGGAAATATGGGTCGTCCAACAACTTTAGGTACATTCCTAATCCATCTTGCTGCCACAATAGCATACGGCAGCTCTTCCCAGCGCTGGCAAGATCACAAAGAATTGGTAAAGCGAATTGCTTCAGCGGGGAGCTCGTCTCGATGACTCGTCTCAAGCAGGGTATGATGCCTGCCTGGGCAGCTTCTTCTTGCCGTGATTTGTTGAGCCTGCACAGATTGTAGCATGTTTGGAAGATGTGATTTGCCATTTCCTGTCGCGTTCTATCAGCGGGGATGATTAGATTAAGGTTGGCTTCTACTTACTGCACTATGCGCACCCGCGCTTTGTTCGTCCAAGATGCGAGTCAGGATTTCTATGGCGTTGGCATTCTGCAGGACATCCAATAGGGTGACGTTCATGGACAAGTGCTTGACAGCCTTGAGCATGAGGACAAGACAGTCGGGTTCCAACAATTCGCAGGCACGCAATAGTCCTAAACGAGTTTGGCACCAAATCACCAATGGAAACTAGTTTCAATACTCACTGCGTATGATCTTTCGTGTCCCCATCGCATTACGAACGTGTATATCCGACTGGGAGACCTGTGAAAAGACCAACAGAATTTGGATGATCTTCAATTTCATTTCGGCGGCTGAACCTTCTCGGCTGCCCATTACATTGAGAAGAGCAGCTGACAAAGGATCTAATAGACCATCCCGGATGAACATGCGACAGAAGTCATTCTTCGTAGTGGGACTTTGGAGTTCGAAGACGCTCCCGATTCCGTTCAGGGCATGCACCACCAGATCAGTTTGTTCATTGTAATCCTCATCCAGGAGGTCAACAAGGACTTTCAGTCCTCGGCACCTGGAAGTTGTGTTAGTATCGACAACTAAAGGATAGACTATCGGCGTACGCAATAAACATCTGTAGAGTTAGAACAGAAGTGTGACACAGGAGTCGGATGAAATGTGAGGCTTCTAGTCGACATTCGGCGGAGTACTTCTTTGATGTGAAACCTACAACTAGTCAAGCACGTTCATATAGAAGCTGGTAGCACTGGGAACATACCCATCATCACAGGGATGCCACTTATTAAGCATATCAGCTAACGTGCCACTGGGAGGTAAATGCAACCACTTACCCAATCAAGCAGAAACTCTCCAAGAAACCGACATCTTCGTTGACGAGCTACGCGGAGTCAGAGCTGATCCACCGGTTTGACTCGCTTCTCTCACCATATTAATTACATGCAGGAGCTTCATAATCAACTCTCTGGAACATCTTCCTTCAAGTACTTCCAGTATTGCGAGCATACCGTGCGACGCTACGAATTGCACTTGCATCTCTGGAGTATCCGTCATGATATTGATCTATAAAGTCCTCAGGAAACCAGGTCCATAGATTAAATGTCAACTCACCAGCTGATCGCAGGCATCTCTCAACTGGAAGTCCGGAGCCGAGGGCGAGAGCTCATCGATTAATTGGTTTACCGCATTGCAGAGCCGTGCATGTTTATCGCGCTGGAGGTTGGCTTCCAAATCGTCCTCAGCGAAGCCTTCGTCAATCTACAACTCTAGGTTGAGCGTTAAGGTAGAGGTGGGAACAATGCGGCAAACCTCAGCAAAGGGATCTTCTTCGTCAGAATCCTCGTCACCAAGCTGGTACAAACGGTCAGGACAAACAGTGGCGGTTGAGTCTACAGAAGTTCTTACCCAAGACTTGTTAGACAATCGGGTATTGAGCTGCAGCGTCTGCATTACATGTTCGGCGGCTGGGAGCAGTAAGTCACACTCAATGATCACATGAGCAAATTAGAACACACCAGTGCTATTAGCCTTGCCAAACACATCTTCATAGTCTTCTTCCTCATCTTCTGCATACTTCCCGAATACACCCATCTCGTGCTGCCTCCGTCCTTCACCCCGACCCATTGACCCAGCTTCACTGCTTGGGCCGCTGCCGCCTCCATTGGCGAATGAGCCCATGTGAGATGAAGAGCGTGAGTGTGATGACGTCGCCCGAGCAGACGCTGGTCCATGTGAAGGGTGGGAGGGAATCTGCGAAAGACTCGGCCGTGAGGGTTTACGTTCAAGTGAAGGGAGCGGTGCGGATAGAGGCCCAGGAGATACATTATTGATACCATAGGTCTTAATGTCATCGGGATGGAACAGTCCCCGGCGCGAAGAGTTCTTCTTCTAAATCATCTTGAGACCCTGCTGTTAGAAGAGACGTTACTTATCAATGCTCACCTTGAAGTCCTTTACCTTTTCCTGTAACTTCTCCTCATCTTCGTCGAGGCCAAGATCCGAATAGTCCTCGGTATCACTCTCGATCCCAGTGACGCTGCCCATGGTGCTCGAGGTATTGCTATTGAAAGTCGAATCCTCCAGTATGACGCTCATGTCTGCGCGAGGTGCCTTTGCAACTGGCAAGGGGACTACATTCATGCCGGGGCTTCGGTTGGGTTTGATTGTCTGGGCATTGTCTTCTGGCTCAGGTTCGGAAGAAAGAAGTTGGGGAGACAGGGCGTGCGGAGGGCGAGGTGGTAACCCTAGATAAGAGGGTTGACGAGTTGACGAAGGCTGCGATTTCTCATCCTCGACTGAAGTGCGTTCGAGTGCTTGGGTGTACACATGAGTATTACGAAAACATAGTTGCTTGCGCTCACCTTGAAGCTTGCTGAATGAGATACCTTCCTCAAAGTCGTCGTCCCAATTATCTGTTTGTTCTTCGGGTGGCTGAAGTACGAAGGATGGTTGGATCTTCTCGGCAAGATTTATCCCTCCCATAAGGTTCATGCCACTGGATGCTTTCATCATTGGCTGAGACAATTTATATGCGGAATTGGATGGCTGCATATTGCCTGATGAGGACGAACTCGCTGAACTTGACAGAAGGACCGATTCAGAAGGACTCTGGTGGGCTTGGCTCGGTGTTGGAGAAACCGGGCGCGGAGGGGCGCGTGACGGGTGCTTTGACGGTCGCGACGGTGCTTTATCAAGATATATCAGCCTTGTCCACAAAGTAGATCGTTTACGCGCGTGGCGAAAGCATACATTTCAACGCCTCATTCCATTCTTGGACTTTCAGCACGGCTTCATCGTAGTTCCAGTTTCCGGCTGGCTTCAGTAATTTATCCTCGGTTTTGGCGGCATGCTCTCTGGAGTCCCGCTTCGTCTTCTCGAGGCGGTCGTCTACGTTCTGTCCTCCCATCCCCCGCCGTGCTCCAACGATCCAGGCGTGCTTGAGCAGACGTCGTGCGCCGACTCGTAGATTAGCATCCCGCTGGAAGCATGCATAGAGAAAGTCCTTGACTACATTTGAAGCACCTTCGGGAATGGGCGGGCAATCATCCTGGACGATTCGGAACAGCGCTGGCATTGGAGAGAGGGTGTGATATGGCGGATGCCCTTGAAGGAGCTCGATGACGAGGCATCCAACAGACCAAATATCCGAAGCCGTTGTTGCACCGCGCTGCTCGATCACCTCGGGGGCCACTGTGAACTATCAGTCTAACACGATCAGAGATAACAGAGATGTACGTACTCCAGTACGGGCTGCCTACAACCGCGTTTTCTCTGGCGCCTGACCCCGCATCGTCCCCGCCGCCGATCCCCAATCCCGCACCTCCACCTACAGTAGCCACACCAAAGTCCGCCAGCTTAACGCATCCATCTTTATTTGTGAGGATGTTAGCTCCTTTAATGTCTCTGTGAATAACTCCCTGATCATGGAGATACGCGAGCCCTTCCAGCACCTGTGCAATGTAGACCGCGACTAGATTCTCGGGAAACTTTCCGAATCGCTTCAGAATACCATGCAGAGACCCGTTCTCGCAGAATCTGGGCTCAAGGTGAAATGAAAGCAGGACAGGGTGCTGGCAATATACTTACTCGAGAATGATGTAAAGGTATTCGCGAGTCTTTACGAACCCCTTGTACTTGACGATGTTCGGGTGCTGTGGACGTAATGCTGAGTGGTGCACCTAAGTAATCTCGGGTCAAGGACGCACATTGAGATTCTTCAGAAGGTCTATCTCGGACTGCGAAGGAAGGTTAATACAAGCTAGCTGACGAGATTTCACGGCGCGCACCATAATTTCTCCAAGCTCAGACTTTGGAATATTGCTGAGCTGAATCTCCTTGATGGCGACAGTCTCGCCAGTGGCCCAATTGAGTGCCCCTAGTCATGTCCAATGAGCGCGACGGGCCCCAAACGCTCAGGGTGATATACACACTGTAAACCTGGCCAAAGGCACCCTTCCCCAGCGAGTCCCCAAGTTGCTACAGGCCGCGGCCGCTCAGTATATTGTATCTGTGGTGCGAAGCTGCTCACATAGTCATTTAACGTTCTTGAGCTTCCCACAGCTCGTGTGCCACCCGTTGATGATGGCCTTGATCCAGGAGTTGAATTCGCCATGGTCGAATGGTGTAAAGGAAAGGCAAAGGATGGTCAGAAATGTTGAATGGACGCGTCCTGCGCAGAATTCATTGCATTTGGGTCGTCTGGCTGTGAAAGAGGTAACCGTATAGGCGCCTGTCGGGAAACTCTATTCAGAGTTTAGCGCTTACGACTACTCATTCCTTCCGTTCATCCAGTAAGTCCTTTTTCACGGACGTCAAGCACGAGGGGGGGTTTTGACGAGTACTGCAGGACATGAGCGCGCAAGCAGGTGCAGTGGCGAGACGAAATGTGACGCGCTTCGGACGCGCCCCGCCGGTCACCAAAAATCTTCGCAAAAATCCCCGAACACTGCTGCCTCAACCACACGTCAAAAACCTCCTCGTTCGCGACATTGCGCCGTGTCGAATAATGGACCACTACTACAATACGCTTCAAGACGATCTCATGTATATGACCTACGTACACCAGGCTGCGCCGCCTAAACAACGGCAAATCCGTTTAACTTTCGACCCGAACGACCCGTACGCGAGGAATCGGTACAACCCCCCCGTCGGCGGGTCTCAGGTTGGGAGGAAGCCTGCACCATTGGTCACACCCGAAGACGTTATTCGTTTGGAGCGAATACAGATTCATACCATGGTGAAGGAAGCAATCGGGAGTAGGAACAATTTGCTACCGGCTATAATGGCCATACGAGCTTTGACGGGCGAAACGTACCAAGGAGGGGGGAGGCATTCGAATGATGGTATACAGATTGTGAAGGCCAGGAAGTCAGTCGGTGGGTGGTTGCGACCAGGAGTTCCCGTGGGGGTCAAAGTCGATCTCAAGGGCCCCGCGATGTACGATTTCCTCGGCACACTCGTTGATTTTGTCTTGCCTCGAATACGAGACTTCCCCGGATTCATCCTCCCCCCCGCTTCGTCCTCCGTCAACTCCCCTAATGCCGTATCCGGTGTAGTCTCATTCGGTTTACCTCCGGCAGCCATGGGCTTCTTCCCCCAGATTGAAGTGAACCAAGATTCGTACCCGAAGATGTTTGGCATGCATATTCACCTAGTGACGAATGCGACGGGACTTGGGGCGCAGAATCGGGCCAGGGCCTTGGTTTCAGGCTTCCAGATACCATTTATTAAAAAATAACGGTGCGCTTTTTTGCGTCTGTCCATGTAACTTTTACTAACCTTCGCAGTCGCAGGCTAGATGTTTAGTCACTAATTTCACTTCCATGACTTTGTCACATCGTATCTGTCGAATGCATCAGTACCTTTGCAATTGACCTTCACATCCTTCCCTCTTATGCGATGACCGCAAGTCCGGTTCCCCTTCACTACAAATTGTGCATCGTATGCATCGAGGACAAACTTCCGGCTCTTGATTTTCCCATACCGGTGAGCCAGAGTCTGCCAGACCATTCGCTTACCGGGCTGGCCAAGATTTGTGGGAAGAACGTCTGTTCTACCCTGACTCACCTCTAAAGCAAGCGTCAAGACTCAAGAACATCCGCGTTTTACCAAAAGGACATGAAGGTAGGTACGGATCACACACTGGAAAGATAGCGGATAAGCACGCCCCCGGCTGGCGCCACTTGAGGTAAGTACGTAGATGCCGCGTCCAGCAATGCCTATGAATGTGGTAGAACCGTGGAAGAGGTCTGCGTTAACCCTATGTGCTCGCTTGCACCGTCAACCTCAACTACGCCGAGTGCTCCCCTGGGGCTTCGGAAGCGCAAGCTCAACTACGTTATTTCAAAAAAACACCATGAGAAGATCTGCTGTCTCGCCACTAGCCCCAGTGCTCCCAGCCCCGAAATTTTGTTGTCAGGCCCTGTTGCGCGTTGCACACAAAACAAGCTAAATTTTCGCTGACATAAGGTGCCAGGCCAGGTTCGCCCTCCTTTCTGATGTGTTTTTAAAGTTCTAATCATCGTAACTGACGACTGAGGGGCGTACCATTGAAGTAGAAATCCCTCTCTCGTCTTGTTGCTTCATTTTCCTCTAAAATGCAGTTGCCTCTCGACCTTCGAAGCTCCCAAGGGTGATATGAACACTCGGCTAAACAGTACTTGGAGTTCCATGGAGCGCTCGCATCGCGCCAACTTTGCACTTGTGATCAATTCGACCCTAAGTCGCTACTTCTCATGGAAAAGCACCCCTGTAATCGCGTTCACCCCGAGAGCCCGAAGGCGCGGCTAGCGCGACTTATATGTTCTCCCCACGTTCAGCATTTTTCACCCCCCGGTTTCTTTCCTGCACTCACATCGTACGCCTGCTCAACACTGGAGGCCGTGCTGGAAGTAAGACATCACGCAAGGTGACCCAGTTCTGAAGAGCGCCTATAGGACGGGATTCGGAGGTACGTATTGGGATGTCTCAGATCGTTCGGAACATAAGCTCACATCGGTCACCGGTCACCAGCTTTTGTCTCAAATTTTTGTGGTGTGTAGCTGCGTTTCTCTTTTCGGACTGCATTTATAACAGCGATCCATGAAGAATAACCTTCTTCCCTACCACTACGTCAATATGTCGGACCGCATTGTTATTCATAATTCGTACGTTTCGTTACGTGCCAAGGCCAATTGACGTGTTTTCTCATATGCGATACCTCTAGGATGGGAGCTGCCTTCATTGGCTGTGTTCTCGCGTCAGCGTATGTATACCCACATCCGAGCCCTCGATTTGCAGCAGATTGACCCAATCGTTCTCGGTAACCAGGCTGTATGGCGGTGCGTAGTTCGACATTCACCGGCCCAAAAATACTTTGCTTATTTACGCGTGTTCAGTGTCGACCATTCAAACGTTTTACTATTACAACAACTACGGTCGCGTGAGTCCGCCACTTGCCCTAGATACTTCATCGTTGCTAACAATCCCCTTCCCCTTTTTGCTGATAGGATCCTATACATATCCGAGCCCTCGTAAGTCCTCGGACTCCGCCCGGTCTATGGATACAATACGCATTGCATAACAACCTGTCTTAGGTTTTAGCCGTGTGGATTTTCGACACGACCCATCAAGTGCTAATATCACATACAGGTGCGCATGCTGCATCCTCCGTTTTGGCTTTGTTGTTGCTAAGTTATACGCGTAGTATACCACTATGTCATATCCAACTACTTTAACCCATTGGCTCTCATGGACATGGTTTGGCGAGTAGCCTCGCTTTCACCAGCCCCGATGTCGTACTGATTCGGTATTCACATTAACAGGAGTATCCTGGTAAGCTCTTGCTTCGTGACTTGCTTCGCAATTTTGTTGACGGCTGGTGAAGGTTGAGGTGTTGTTCAACGTACGTCTTTTACCGACCTACGTCCCATCCCCCGAACGCGACTAAAACCGTCCTATTTAGGGTTTCATCGGTTTCATCGTCCAAAGGTATGTCTTTGGTCTCCGCTACGCGTGATTAATCACTGAAAAATACTAGTTACCTGACGTATCGAATTTGGCGCCGTGAGTGCACTCGCACCCCAAGATGACACTTGCTTACATGCCAAATTCCCAGTGAGCAACAAGAAGATTTGGGTACTTTGCCTCATTGTACGCCTTGCCCTTCTTGTGCTCATGTCGGACCTGCGACTAAACTGCCTTTCCTCTAGGGCCCATTCGTTCTGGCAGAATTCAGTAAGATAGCTCCGTTTTAGATGTGCGCAACACATTCTGATTTCTTGCCCTTCCGTTAGTTTGCTCAGTTGGTACGTTCTATTACTGGCACCTGTTGATTTTCCAATCGTGGACTAATTTCGTGAATTCAAGTCTTCACTGTCATGGCGTACGTCCCCCTCTAGAGTATCACTCGATACCCAATTTTCTTACCCTTACTTAGCCTGCAAATGAAGACTTTCGGAGAACTGACTGCGCTCAAGGTATGACTACTCTCTGACATAGCCTATTGTCTACTTACCCCTCATCCAAGGGACTTTCAATGACCGTCAACATCCTCGCCGCAGTTGGCGATCTCTTCATCTCCATTTGCTTGGTCTACATGCTCTATCGTCGCAGAACCGGTTACAAAAAGTAGGCATTTCGCTTGAATCCTGTGTAAATGGGAATCCCTCATCACCGTTACTAGGTCCAACACCATTATCAGTCGCTTGGTGAGGCCCGACCTTTCTGATTGGCACATCCTGAGGTTGCGATGCTAATCCCATCTGAATAGATTATCTTCACTATCAATACCGGCTCGCTCACCACGCTCTTCGCCATCGGGTCTCTCATTTCCGTTAGCATCCTCATACATGTGGTGCATATCTTCGAGCTACTGATCCCACCCTTCTTCATAGATCCTGGTGTGGGATGATACCCTCATCTACGTCACATTCTTCTTCTGTATCGGTCGACGTACGTCCATTCCCTATGCTTCCATTCTCGATGCATCCATTATTAATGTCGTGCAAATATGAAGTGTACGCGAACACCTTCCTGGCCACCCTCAATGCGCGAAGTATCCTTCGCAGCGTCGGTCAGGATGACGACGCCAATACCATCCACCTCTCCGGCGCCAATACAACTGAGGAGGCTATCGGCATGTCAAAGGTGTGCAGCGCAATTCGTCACTCTTGTGTGACTCGCTGGCTAATTTCTACCCTTTAGGGTACGAGGCCCAGGAACATATCTATTCAAATCGATACAGCGCGGGACATCCTACGTGATGACGATGATAGCAATGTAAGTCACGTCCCGCGAATGGCCGTACGTATCTTATACGCTATTTTAGACTATGAAGGGCAAGATATCGTCGTCTTAAAGGGGCGTTCGATGTGCATGATAGACCTCGGTATCATTCCGCCCCGCAAAAACAAGTCACAATCGTTCAATCTAGACAGTCATTCAGCATCCGTTCGGCATTCATTCAGGATTTTGCCAATTATTCAATATGTATCATATTTTTTATCAAGGAACCTGTCAATGCTTTCCGGTAACATAGCGCACCCAATGGAATCAAATATTCCCTCGAAAGACTTTCTGATGACCGTAGTAGGTGTTGGCGCTTCGTAAGTAGAGGTCGTGCCAGATGTCCTGCTCGCCGCATGAAACGGTTCTCTACCGGATGAAGGACTTGTCTGCAAATCGCAGCCTCCACATCTTTGCTACCTCACCTACAAACGCTCGCCTTCACCTTCAAGACTGCGCACATTGTGAGGTAATTCCAGACATAACACTGATCTCGCGTTTTAGTGCCTCGACTCGGGTCCTTCCATTCCATCAGCAGACGTTGAACTCTGAGTGGCGCCCGTCGTTTCTCATCCACGATATATACCCAGTTAGTAGCTTGGACCACTCCCAATGTCCGCGAAGCAAGTTGACGCCCGCCTCGCCTCAACAACAACTGACCGGTACTGACACCCCTCAACTGAATGAATTGAAGAATCTCAGGATTCTCCAAAGAGTTTCCCGCGTCTTGAATCATCAGCATCCTTTTGGCATTCATTCGACACTCAATGCTTTGCTTTACACAAGTGTTCAAATTCAACATCCAATCAATGTCCAATGTTTTCAGGCCTTGTTGGAATATTCCAGTCCTTTGATTCAAATTGGTAGGCGACCGCGTGAAACTCTGACTGGCCGCAGTCACTTTGATGGCCTTCCGGTCTTCTTGATGACGGTTGTGGGCGCGTAGTATCGCGACAGACAAGGGATTTGCAATTCCAAGTGAGGTGGCAGAAACCAGAAACCATGAGACATCTTTAAATTACGGTGTGCTCGAGTCAGTGATGCAGGGGCCCCTCAAACAACCTCAAGTGCAGTCTTTGCTTCGCAGGACATTGAATTTGAGTGGTCGTTATTTTCACTCTTTGCGTCTCGGAGCTCAGAGTCCTACCATCAGGGTCCCCCCGCCAATCCCGCACTGTACCACGTGCGCCCGATCAGATTTGGCCGCCTCAGCCACAGTCCATATGCACAGAGCCTTGCGCACTTGCGGCTTAATCCCAATCCACCAGGACACCCCCTTCTCCTTCTCCACGCTAACCACGAAAGGCGGTCTAGCGTCCATACCGCCTGTTCATCTCCAAGTTTCACGGTAGCGGCTCTACGCTAGCAGTACTCGATTACTTGCTTTCGCCCCGCAATGTGTTTATGAGCCTGCATTGACAGCAAGTTTTTATCACATTTCACGACCGCTACATCCCGGGTTTAAGAATCTATCATTGAATGGAAGTATAGGATGGCGTCCCTAATTACCCGCCTACGGCATCGCGGTAACAATGCCAACTCGCCCGTGGAGGAGGAACCACCGCCTCCAACGCCCCAAGAGACTCCCGTTCCTTTAGTCGCGCAGAAGATCCATCCGAACCTCGAGATGCTCGCGGCAGAATTGAGCCCGCCGCCGCCTTCTGATGTCACGCATATACATACAATCACGACCGAGGACAGGAATCCTCATCCTCATCCTCATGGATTAACCCCTCGTCGGCACCCGTCGCAGCGCAGCATACTCACAGCGACAGCAGAGCGAGGGTCGACCCCAGAGTCGCGGCCGCTCAGTACCAGCACCCGTTCTCAACGCAGGAAAAGCCCGCGCATACGAGTATTTCAGAGAGCGAGTCAGCTCAGCCCCGGCTCACCTCCAGCCTCGCTGCCCAGCACGCCCGACCAAGAGGTGTACCGCCCAAGTTCGACGAAGCGGTTCGTACGGGGACTTGGTCTGGCTGAGTTTGGTGGGACGGAGTCTGAGTCTGGGAGGGTAGGCTCGTCGGAAGGCGCGCGCTCAGATGATGTGGTGGACAGCCCGACAACAAGCACGTCCAGAGGCCACGGCAGGCAGAGAGACAGCAGGTCGACAGGTACAAGTTCTTCGCAAGGGAATTCGCGGCCGGGTTCAGGATCCAAGCACGCGGCACGTCCACAGTCGGCGTTCATGGCAAGACTCACGTTGTCTGACGCTGCGAATCACCCCCCGAGTCCCTCTGATGCTCCTACACACTCGCGCAGCATCTCCGAAACAACGTCGCAATACGAGTCCGCGGTTGCTTCGCTGAGATCGTCGCTGCGGAATTTCGAGGTGCTGCATGAAGCTGAAATCGAACACCAGTCTCCCGAATCTACTCAGGTATCACCCCCACGCACACCAGGCCCGAGCCGTGCGCGCCATACAGAAACGCCGAATACGTTTGGATTTGCATCACCAGCGACATCGAACTCGGCGAGCGTCTCTGCGCGACCTCCTTTGCCTCCCTTTTCTGGCCTCAACTTTTCAATCCCTCGCAGGCGTAGTCATTCTGTGGGTTCTGGGTCGGGGTCACGGTGGTCGCTCCGTAAAAAGCGTTCGAAGTCGTCCAGCGGCAAAGAAAGCGTCGACGATGCTTCACGAAGCCGAGAACAACCCCCCGCTGTCAGCGAGAGTTCTCGATCATCCTTCCCCCACGATAGCAGTAGAATGTCGAGTCCACATGGCACCAAGGCCAGCAAAAGGCGAGGCAGAAGTTGGAGCCGAAGTCGGAGCAAGATCTCTCAGAGTCACCGCAGCCAAAGTAGCAAACGCAGAGTCAGCGCAGACTTGAGTGCGCGCCAGGCAGCGGCAGCGGCAGGTGTGACCTGGGAAGCAGACGTTGCGCATGAAGTGCTGAGATATCTGGAATTTGGGTCTGGTTCTCAAGGGCTGGAGCCAAGCCTGAGCGTGACGCGTGACGAGGTGAGTACTATCGGGCGCTAGTCAGCCTCGTTGTTTTCTGCGTGCGGGTGTGCACGCTTTGCCTCACCCCGCCACGCCCCTCACGCCGCATTCCCCTCTTCTCCTTCACAATCTCCCGCAATACTCATCTTCTCTCTTTTGCCAGCATAGACCAGGACCCGAGGACGCAAGCTCATCCTCGTTCCCCATTGGAGGTCAGCCATGCAGTTGTTTCATCCCAGGGGAAAATAATATTCACGTTCTAGCAGATAATTTATCATATACCCAGTCTCGCGCCCATATATATCAGCAAAGGCCCATCGATAACACTGGCATCTCTGCCACGACGCTTCACTCTCCCAGCAGGCGGACGGACAAGGGTAAGGGGAAGGACATGCAGCCAGGATCTCAGAACACCGTCACTTTTACCGATCATGATCGAGAAGGAAACACTGGCAGTGGGAGCAGCTCACGAGCAGCGCAGAGCCAGAGCTCGTCCAGCAAAGGCGGGGGTTCGGTTGGTCGAAAGTCATCACCCCCAAAGTCTGCACTGCGCCCCCAGGTCGCCACATCCACCTCCTTACTCCAGCCGCCGACACTCGAGCTTACCCTGCCTACGCCAGATGGATCTCCAGGAAGGCGCAGCGCCAGCGAGCCGTCGGCACCACCGCTACAGTCAGCCCTCAAGGTTCCTGGTCAGCTCAGTCGATCGAACACTTCGGGGAGTAAAGGAAAGAGGAAGGCGGACGATGTGGAGGTCACCCCGCCCAAGGACCGAGAGGGAGGCCGCGCGAAGTTTGCAACCGAACCTCGTTGTGAGTACCTCACCTCAAAGCTGTTATCTTCGAATTTCGGTGTTTTTGTTTTACGTAACGAAACGTGTGGGCAGACTTGCCTAGTTATTTCCTTCCTTTGTATTCCCCACATCTCTTCTGGTGGCTGACATTCGTTTCCATTTAGCCCACCGCGCTTCTGCCAACTCTGGCTCATCCTACGCTCCTTCATCCTACCACCGCAAACGCGCCCGACTGTCGATATCCGAGAACGATCGCGAAGGAAACTTCAGCACGATATCGAGTCGCAGCTCGTCAGCCAATCCCCAAACACCAGCCCAGACGCCTTCGCGGGCTGCTTCCCGAAGCTCTGCGCGAGCGACATCCTCACGCTCAGTACCACGTTCGCATCCCGGTCAGCCGCATCGCCACGGGCCACGACGGAGTATGTCTGAGATATCCCAGACCTCTATCCCGATAAGTGCCCTCATCTCCCCCCACGCGCCCTCTATATCCCAGTATTCGACGACGTTCCACATGCGTGATCCGAAAAGACCGCCCAAGCCGTTCGAAACGCCGTGGTCGCTGCGCCTGGCGACCCCGGGAGAGCCTGGATCCGGGTCTCCCATACACGCGTGGATGTTCTTCATCGGGTTTATCATTTTTCCGTTGTGGTGGGTTGCGTCGTTCTGGCGCATCCCGAGAACGCGGAAGATGGGCGGCACGGACGTGGAGAAGGCAGTTGTGCTGGATGACCCGCAAGTGGAATTCGGTGAGCCGGCCCTCTTTGTCGTTGGTACTGGAGCTGGATTTGACCCTCGTCCCAGATGCGAAATCGTGGCGGTTTCGATGTCGAATCATGACGGGCATCTCTTTCGTCACCTACATCCCATTTATCGTCCTCGTCGCTATTTTTGCACGTTAGTGCATCGTCTTAAAGCTTATTCGCTATTATCCTCAGCTTTCGTCTTCGCTTCGACATCCCCGACCGTCGTGTTTTCATCGTCCAGCGCGATACCCATTAGACATTGGCTGTCGATAAGTTATTGCCCCACCACCATCACCACCACTGCTCGCAAGCACCAAGCACCAAATCCAACTTTCGTCACCAAACGGACCTCCCATACATTCATTTGTTCATACTGCCACTCGTTTCAAAATTACATACATGTTGTGTTTCTACTGTCATATGCTTGGACGCTATCTTGCTGTACCTGCCTATGCATCCGTAGAGTAGTTCCCCTAATAATATGTGCCATATTCATCAACACAAAGTGTTTGTTTACTTTCAGAGACCCTGGCAAACACAATACTAGCGCGCTGCCAAACCCAAACAAAGGCGACCGCTTCAGCAACGCCGACGAGCAGAGTGACATTATCCAGCTTCTGTACGTCCTTTACGTCTACATTCGCACTTTCAGCCGTTCTGATCTTATACCGAATTTTCCAGCTATTTCTACATTAACCGAAAGTATGAATCGCCCAGGTGAGTGTCTACGGCCGTATGCACATAATTCTTCTTACATGCCGTTTGTTTTACATATGTGAAGGCCAGCCACAGCAGCGACCACCGAATCTCCCGAACCCCGCCCTCGCAGGTCAATTCCGACCGCCGTATCCCAGCTATGGCATGCCGCCACGGAGCGTCGGTGTGCTGCCAGGCAATTTTGTTCCAGGACTGCAACGTACGCCCACAACGCCGAACGTCGGACCGCAAGCGTCGCCCGCGTTCATCCAGCAGCGTGCGCAGAACAGCTTCACCTCGTTTCCGGGGGGACTAGGACAGCAGATACAGCAGCAGCAGCAGCAGCAATCGTCACAGCAGCACCAACACCAGCAACAGCAGACGAACGGCACGTCGAATTCGATGCAGACGCATTTATCGCAGACGCCGAGCTTGGGGGGTGCGCCATCGGTGTCGTCTGCGAGCGAGGTGGGACTCGATCCGAATGATTTCCCCGCGCTGGGCTCCACGCCAGCCAACAGTAGTTCGAATGGCGCGAATGGAGCGACGGCGAGTTATGCGAGTCAGGCAGGGACGGGCGGAGTGGGGACATCAATAGCACCGACAACGACAACGAACGGGGGGAATGCCAATCAGCAAAGCTTCACGCCAGAGGACTTTCCTGCGTTAGGGGGGCAGTCGCAAACGCAGTCATCACACGACAGTCTTCCACATCCTCCAGGACTGAATGGGTTCCAGACGTCAGAACAGCATCGGCAAAATTTACTGGGATCGTTGGGTGGTGTGCCAGGCGTATTGAACTTGTCACCAGCACAGGCACGGAATGCGCATCCGGGGTTTCAGGAGTCAGACAAACAATCTCGGGTTAGCTCTCATGTGAGAATTATCGCGACTTGCGTAACTGATTGTATTACCAGAATAACTACGCGCTGAAGCTGAACCAGGCGACGCATGCGGCATGGAATTCACCGACACCTGCGTCTCAAACGCAACAGGCGGGGTTCCCTGGTCAGCAACAACAACAAAATGGGACGCATCCACCGCAGAACCAATCCAATCACCTCCCTCAACCTCCACATCTTAACGCCCCTCCTGGCGTCCCGCTTCCGTCATCGCTTAATATAGGTGGAGGCGGAGCAAACTCGTCAAATCCTCCGGGAACACCGTTTGCTGCGAATGGCCTGGCGTCTGAACCGCATGTACCGACGACGAACCCAACACCGAACACCAACCCCTCGAGTCAAATAGGGTCAACACACCACCCGCAGACACCCGCGCAACAAGTACTAATGAGCGCAGCGGATCGGTGGGGGCTCCTTGGGCTACTGGCAATGATAAAGAATGCAGGCACGGACATTGATCATGGCCTAAGTAGTATAGGTACAGACCTCGGCACGATGGGGTTGGATATGGGATACTCTGGGTGAGTCTGCGATAGGGCGTATTGACATCCCCGTTCCCTCGTGTCTTATCTGGTGCTCACATATGTGATGTAGTAATCTATATTCAACCTTCATCACACCTTGGGCAGATCAGTCAGCTGCTCATACTGTAGAGCCGGATTTCCACCTGCCTGCATGTTATGCTGTACAAACGCCTCCCCCTGGACCCGCTAAGGCTGCTGCTTTCAGTGATGAGACCCTCTTTTTCATGTTCTACTCAAGTCCGCGCGATGCACTGCAGGAAATCGCCGCGCAAGAGCTGTATGTGTCCTTTGTTCTTCTTCGTCCTCGCTCATAGTTAATCGGTTGCCATCATTTATAAGCTATGGCCGCAACTGGCGATACCACAAAGAGTTGCGGTTGTGGATTACGAAAGAGAGCAACAACGTCATGGTCCAGAAGGTGCCAGGCGGCGAGCAGGGGCAGTACACCTACTGGGATCCGGACATGTGGCAGAAGGAGCGGAAGGAGCTGACTGTCCTATACGCCGACTTGGAGGAGAAGAGCACACCCGCGTTCCTACCTGGCTCATCAGCGGTCACACCCCCCACTGCCCAAGGCCAAGGGCAGCAACAACTGCAACAACTGCAATCGAGCCAAATTCAACAAGGACAGGGGATCCAGCAAGCACAGCGAGCAAATTTCCCTTTGAGCTTGGGAGCGATGTAATTCTTTATTGTTGGACACAACGATTAATTTCACCCTGATACAATATTTCCACCCATCACTTGCAGGGCTCACATAGTTTCTTTCCGAACGTTGTATCTCTAAATACCTTTACTATCAATCTGAGTTTCACCGCGTCGTTTCATCGCGCTGTCGTATATTACTGACCGTGGGAATTCCGTCTATACCCTTAGCTCGATTTGGTCTTCACTCGCTTGGCCAACCTAATCAGAACTCGAATCTTGATCATGTCTGGTTAACGAGCCCGATAGTTGCGTCCTGTATAACTTACTCGCAGAAACGTCTTCGACACCCTCGGAACCAGGGTTATTGTGTCATTCGGTATTCTAATCTCGATACTAGTTTGGTTGAACACCCATTGGCTCGACTCGGCCACCTGCGCCTTGGAGTCGGATTGTAATCTCTCTTTGAATCGTAGCCGACAATACGGGACGGTCATCTGCTGTTTCCAATTTTCAATTTAAGCCATCTGGTACGCCAGCTTGGATGCAGCTTCTTAACCCCCTTCACTTACGATGTCTATGTACAGAGGCGTCGCGACACCCTACGTACACGACGAAATATACATGCCGCCGTTGGCTTGCGCAGCACACGCCAGTCACTCCCTCAGGTGTATTACTGGCCTGCCTGACTCGTTGGTCGACGTAGATGCCTCTCGGTATGCACAACTTTCGCGCAGATGGTTGTACCAACTTCATTGTGGCGACAGCCTGGCACTATCCTTCTACTGCATAGGTTCTTTGGATATATTAGATGTCCTGAACGAGAAAGTCAACATGATCACCCGAAACGAATGGAGAAAGTGGTTCTGGGAGCAGCAAACCAGTACAACCCATGTTATCGTGCCATCTCACGCACGCACTTACATATGTTGCCCACAGGCGGGCCTCACGGTAGTGGTTTCAAACCCAGTTCCTTCATGACAGGTCAAGGCCCTGCGTCTGAGTTTGTGCGTCGCGGAACGAGGCAATCTTGTCCTACTGTGTATCTACTGACGCCGAGATGCTCCAGGAAGAATCGCCTGAATATAGTTGCCCTCACGTCATTATGACATATACCGCTTTGTTATCACTCGCAATCCTACGGGACAACTTCGCGGGGCTGGACCGACGAGGAATTGTAGCGTTTCTTCGTGGTTGCCAGCGGGAAGATGGAAGGTACCTCAACGACACGCTCGGCCATTATTCAATCCTTACTCACTTTGCTATAAACGTAGCTTTCGGACGACACCACAAGGCACGGAATCCGACCTTCGCACCGTGTATTGTGCTTTTGCCATCAGCAGCATGCTGAACGACTGGTCTGGTGTCGACGTTGACCGTGCAAAGGCTTTCATTGCCTCATGTAGGGTGCCTACGATTTGATCCCTCTCGCATTTTACTGTCTCTGATTCTCCGCCTCTGCCGGTTAATATAGACCTACGAGGGGGGATATGGCCAAGAGCCATCGTGTGAGGCTCAGGGTATATTTCATATATCTCCTGCGTCACTCCGCCTGTATCTAATCCGCACTAGGAGGTACAACGTACACAGCGATTGCTTCTTTGTATCTGGCGCCACGATCCGAAGGGGAAGAACCGCTAACTGCAGCCGAACGCGAGCAGACTATCCGTTGGCTCTCCAGCAATCAAGATGAATCAGGAGGATTCCGAGGGCGCACGGGCAAGGCAGCAGATGCCTGCTATTGCTTTTGGTGTGGGGCTGCCTTGAGGGTACGAGTGTTTTTCCTGCTTATTTCAGTCTCCCTGAAGTCCAATCTAGATACTTGGGCGAGATGATCTAGTCAACGGCTTAGCCTTGGTCAAGTTCCTGGACAGGTGTCAGTTCAAGTTTGGTGGGATTTCGAAGGCACCAGACGAGCATCCGGGTATGAATACTTTCCATCATATCCGAGATTGTTACTGACGGCGATTTTTAGATCCCTACCACACTTACCTGTCATTGGCGGCCATAGCCATGTATCCCCCTCCATTAGGGGAATCAGGAAGTAACACCTCGTGGCACTTAGCTCCCATCGACCCGCTGTTAAATGCGACCCAGGCCACAGCTCGTTGGATTCGAGACCACGTTCCCTAGACGTTTTAATGAGCCTCTTTTCGTATTTATGGACCGTGCTATGGACAGATACCTGATGAACTCGTGTAATTGCTTACATGTCGCGAAGATGAATCAACCTATTTCGGAATTGGATATCAAGGTGTACGGCGAAACATGATGCCTTGAGGCTCGATCCCCGCCCTTTATCGCGGAGTGTGTGTCGAATTAGGGCTCTCGGAGTGTTAAACCCAAGCTTCGCGGGCGCGTTAACGTTTCAACCAGAAACTCGAGGAGTGGCTTGAGCGCCTTATTCCCACATAGCGCGAGGTGTATCAATGTGACGGACTCGAAGCTATGATAATTGTTACCGACGGAGATTCGCGCATTTCAGTTGTTCACAGGTGCTATCTCGAATCTAAGTCGCTGTTTCTCCGGAAATCTGGTATGGGAACCTGCAGCTAAGCGCTAAGCGTTCGAGAAGTAAGTTCACGTGATTAGGCGCCCAAATATTCTTGGTTTCTGAATTCCACCCTAGTGCGCACAAAGCTCATCACCGTCGTCTCTTACCGCCTCCCCGATTGTTTCACGATGGACCGACTAGAGTCATTAACGAACGCTGTCTCGCAGATCACACTGTACGACATCAAGTCTATGTACAATCAGGTTGGCTCTGAAGCTGTATCCAGTCTGCTTCTCTGGATGGCTGATAAATGCTCGCGCTGTCATACTAGGCAAAAAATGTCGTCCTCAACGTTACGGAAATGGAGGCTAAAGTGCGGGAGGCTACCAATGATGACCCTTGGTGCGTGATGGCCCAGATATATAGCGGAAAACTGCAGTGTTCATCTTGTTTGTTGGCAGGGGAGCAAGCTCGACATTAATGCAAGATATAGCGCAAGGGTGAGTGACGGTGCGACTTGTATCCATGAAGGATATGAATAACGAGCTTTGCAGGACCTTCAATTTGTGAGTACTCTGCCCGCGAGCGTTGGCCCACCCAATGAATATACTACTACTAGCCAACAATTCAACGAAATCATGCCTTGCATATACGCCCGGTTTATGGAGAAGGAGGCACGGCAATGGCGACAGATCTACAAAGTCCGTATGAAAATCGAGAGTCACAGTTCGAACCATTCATTAATGTCCATCAGGCTCTTCAACTCCTTGAATACATCATCAAGCATGGAAGTGAACGCGTTGTTGATGACGCTAGATCCCATATCTCTACCATCAAGATGCTAAGAAATTTCCATTACATTGACGAGAAGGGGAAGGACGAGGGGATTAATGGTAAGTCTCTCATGTAGTGCATGGTGCGCGGTGCACTGCTGATCAAACACCCGTCAGTTCGCAATCGTGCCAAGGAACTCGTTGAGCTCTTGTCGGACGTAGAGAAAATACGCACGGAACGACGAAAGGCGAAGGCCAACAAACATAAGTATACTGGCACTGGCAATGACGGCTTTGGGGGCGGAGGAATGAGTTTCTCTAGTGGTGGCAGTCGCTACGGTGGGTTTGGAAGTGAGACAATGGGATATGGTGGCAGCGGTGGCAGCGGTGATCGTGGTGAGACGATTGCTCCAAGTAGAGTATCTGAGGCACTAATGGTACTTCTAGACTACGGCTCCTATGGAGGTTCCAGTAGCAGTGGTGGATTCAGAGACGACACACGTAGGGGTGGGTTCGAAGAATACAACGCTGGTGATGACGAAGAGGTGAACCCACGCGCCTCTACGTCTATACGGACCCCTACGCGCTCGTCGACTGCATCCTCTGTCACCGCGAAGGCGAAGGCACCTGCACCCGCGCCCGTTCAAGAAGTTGATCTACTTGGCGGGTTTGGAGATGACGATGCGTTTGCTACTCCTGCTCCTGGTTTTTCCGTAGACAAGGCGCTCCCCGCTGTCGCGGCCCCTGCAGCTCAAGCTGCACACGTTAGTCTTGATGGTATTTGTGCATCACCTGCCTGTGTTGAACCAATACTAATGGGCTTGTAAACCTAGATGACGATTTTGCAGATTTCCAAGCTGCTCCTGTGTCTCCAACGGCCGCAACTATGAGCACAACACCCGCACCGGCGATGACTGCCAAACCTAACCTAATGCAGATGTTGGGTCAGACCGCCACTCGCCCCGCTATCGCATCTTCGCAGCCAACTATACCAATGCAGCCGGCGTTCAATGGGATGGGGATGGGGATGGGTGGCATGGCCGCGGGCTCGGGTCACCGACAGAATCTCTCCGGGTCCTTCAGTCCCGCAGCCCAAACTACAGCACCAAATTACTTTGGCGGTGCTCCTATAAAGCCTTCTACAACACCTGCCATGACGCCTGTCGCAATGAATCCATCTCGACCAGGAGTTACCTCTGCAGCAATGACGCCCACCTCGACCTCTTCAAGTAAGGGTGGAGCCAACTTTGACGATCTGTGGTCGATGTCCCTCGGATCGTCAGCGAAGCCCGCCACTAGTACTGCGTCGCAGAGCAAGTCGATCAAGGATTTGGAGAAGGAAAAGGCTATGGCTGGGTTGTGGGGAGCTGGTGGAAAGCCTCCTGCTATGGGGGGTTCCTCTGCATTCGGTAACTTTGGCAGTGCTACGGGCGGGTCGGGTGCTGCTAACAACGGCGACGATGACCTGCTGCTGTAATCGCTATAGATATGCTCTTTTCGTCACGTCGCAGCTTTTGCGTAATTTTATGGGGATAGTACCTAATAACGTGCGTGCCATGAGGATCTAAGTACTTGGGCCTCTCTCCGCCCACACTGTTCCGCTTGCAGTTCCAATATGTGGTAGCTCGACGCATGCCGACCATTGTGATACCGGCCCAAGGGCGTGTATGTTTAGAACGCCGCAGTGCCAGCACAACCGAAGCATGCTGTTTGTGGGCTAGTCTTCCCACCGCCGGCATCGACGACCGTATGGTCTTCCTAACGGGTCGCCACGAGACAGAGCTTCTTTAACGTTGGGGCTGTCACGACTCACGAGGACTTACAGTCGCCGTCTTGAACCTGAACCATCAGCGCCTTCTGGCTGAGAATATGGGGTTGGCGTACTTCTTTTTCTGATAACTGGCTTCCCCGTGGCTCAGGTGAGCTCTTCTGCATCTGGTGCTCGGTTAAATATATTTTGATAGCGGATGTGGAGAAGGACCTCATATAAACCCTGGACCGAACGCCGCGTGTGTGACATCCTCCCTCAAGATTCGCCGCGAAATGCTGTCGCAGAGGCTTCTACTGGCTCTATTGAGCTTCTTGGTGCCCGCATCCGCTTTGTGGCCCCTCCCCAGACAGATCAGCACAGGAAATTCAACGCTCAAGCTTGCTAGGAACTTTGACATAAAAATATCACTCAGAAATGCGCCAAAGGACCTCCAGGACGCTGTATCGAGGACCAAAGGCCGCCTCCAAAGTGACAAACTCGAACGCCTCGTGGTGGGGCGAGGAGGTGCCGATGCCCAGGCCGTGAGGGGCGGGAGGGCGACGCTAAGCGGTCTGACGTTGTCGTTGCTGGATGGCGCGCCTGTGAGGAGCATCTCAGAGGAAGCTGTAGTCGATGTGGTGAGTAGAAGCGAAGGATATGTGCTGCATGTGCCCAGCGATGGCTCTGCTGCCGTTCTCCGCGCGAACTCTACCTTGGGGCTGCTCCGAGGGTTGTCGACATTCGAGCAACTCTGGTACGATTCAGATGGGACAACCTACGCGTTGGGCGCGCCCATTGATATCACGGATTCACCAGCTTATGTGCGTGTTGTCATTCACTCGCCTAGTATAAACCTCATTATGTGCTTGGGTTTATAAAGCCTTATCGCGGGTTCATGCTGGACACTGCACGGAACTTGTACGTGGATACTTGGTGATTGATGGCACGCGTTGTTGACGCGTTCACCAGCTTCCCATTGTCAGACATTAAACGGACGCTTGACGCAATGAGTTGGGTGAAGGTGTGTTGCATTCACAGTTTGTGGATCCTACCCACTGACCCGTTCATCCAGATTAACACGTTCCATTGGCATGTCGTGGACAGCCAGAGCTTCCCCCTCGTTGTCCCTGGGTTCAAGGAGCTGTCGGATAAGGGCGCATACAGCCCAACTTCTGTGTACACACCAAGCGATGTCAAAGACATCATATCCTATGCCGCTGCGGTGAGTCCGGTGAACTGCTTGTGGGTATCACTCTGATTAGCCACAGCGAGGCATCGACGTGATAGCAGAGATTGATACGCCAGGGCATACCTCAGTAATTTCAAAATCGCATCCTGAACATATTGCTTGCCCCGAGGCTACACCTTGGGGCTCCTTCGCCAACGGTCGGTTAACTAATCGTTTCAACGTCCCTATGTTGATGTCGGACTGTTCTCCCAGAACCTCCTGCTGGTCAATTGCGACTGGCGTCCCCGGGTACCATTGACTTTACCACCAAACTAATCAAGGCTGCATCCAAGATGTTCTCGTCGAAGTTCTTCAGCATCGGCGGTGACGAAATCAACACCAATTGCTATAATAACGATGCGCAGACACAGACAGACCTCGCAGGAAGAACGTTCGAAGAAGCGCTTGACACTTTCACGCAAGCTACTACGGGTGCATTGAAAGAAAATGGCAAGGTGCCAGTCGTCTGGGAGGGTTAGTTCATCCCACATCGTTACGTTTTATCCGTTGACAATCGACAACTCGATAGAAATGGTATTGGAGCATAATGTGACTTTACCAAAGGAAACTGTGGTCATGTAAGTTGTGTGGCAGCACATCGTGATGGTTCATACTCACGGTGGTGTGTAATGGATTTTGTTTAGGGTATGGATATCTTCGGAGCATGTAGCAGCGGTGGCGCAGAAGGGATTCCGATTGGTACATGCGGCTTCTGACTTCTTTTACCTGGACTGTGGCGGAGGTGGATGGGTGGGCGATTTCGCATCGGGCAACAGCTGGTGTGATCCTTTCAAAACGTGGCAGAAGGTTTGTTACTCGGCATTCATTTCCGCCTCCCAACTTATGAAAAACTCCAGTCCTACTCATTCGACCCTACCGCCAGCCTCACCGCTGAGCAGGCTAATCTGGTTTTGGGTGGTATGTCCTTATTGCCCTTTTGAAATGAATTGTGTAATGAAAAGGACCCGACTTGTAGGCCAGCATTTACTTTGGACCGAACAATCAGGTCCTGAGAACCTGGACCCTGTTGTGTGGCCTCGCGCTGCGTCGTCTGCTGAACTATTCTGGACAGGACCCGGTCAAGACGCTGGCGCCGCTTTATCCCGTCTTCACGACGTCGCCTATCGCATGAGGAAGAGAGGCGTGAACGCGATCGCCCTCCAGCCACAGTGGTGTGCTTTGAGGCCAGGGGCTTGTGATCTGACAGCTTGAGGAACCTGTTAGTTTTCGTCACGAACGAGAGCAGAATTAAGTACCTTCTTGGACATGCGCAATATATCTCAGAGTCGTTGCGCCTTCTGGCGGTCTGCAGTAATCGCCAATTCTAAATGACACGCTGCCACTGCACCTCAACTGCAGGTTGCGAAGTTGGCGTCGCGACTGATCAATACTTCATTGAGTAGCCACTGCACTTGTGATCCACGCGGTTGTCGGACTGGGAAAACTGTTGTAAGATACAGGTCCATTGTGTGCGTACTCTTGATCAAGACATGGTGCATAAGGAATGCTTGCTCAAGGCTACGCCGCAAAGGATACCCCCTTTACTTGAGGATACCCGAGAAGGGAAGAACGTAGCGTATGTGAGAACATCATCCGTACCAGGATCCAGGAAGCACCGTAAGTCATTGAGAACGCTCGTTATGCAATATGCACGCGTGAGCCGCTCACGGAAATGAGAGAGGCGATCGCGGTTGTGAAGACCATTGTGAGCGAGTCGTTGATAGTGACAATTATCTACTAGAACGTGAAGGGTGAAGATGGCCGTGCCGCATCGTCAACTGATCTCTTCTGCACGGGGCCAGGACGAGATGTTCCCTCAGGCCTCAGGTATAACTCCAGCCACAGCGGTGCTCGCTCTTGTGATCCCGACTGATTATGATCGATATAATTTACCAGTCTACCTCCACCAAGAAATCTGTGTCGACAGTCAATCGTCGTCGACGTCTAGGTCACCTTCAACCCCTGCGCCTTCGCCAGTATCGTCAAACTGCGCGTCGTCTACCACGTCCATATAGCCGTCGTCGTCGCCATATGCGTCTTGATCTTCCCCAATGGCACCCACCATCAAGTGCAAATTCGGCTGATTCGGCTCCTTGATGTCCTTCGTAAGCGAGTTCTGAACAAGGCGGATGATTTCTTGCATCTGATCGACGGTCATACGATCTTCCATCTCTTCTATAATCTACCAGACAACAGGTTTAATGCGCGAGGCGGGAAGGAGTCGGGGCTGAAAGCCTCACCGCCCAAAGCACTGGCATTGACTGAGGGGCGATATTGACGATTTGCAGCTTTTCTGCTTTAGTTAAATTGTAGGGGGCAAGGCTGCGAAGCAGCTGCCGTATTCCCTCAGGGGTCTGATATGGTGCGGGCTGAATATCAGACGCAAAATATTGGATGGCCTGTGCAATTCCCAATAAAAATGAACGTCCATCCCTTCTATCAGACATAAGAAGCAAAACAACTGACCTCAACCTCCATAGTCCTCAGGTTCTCACTAACATCGACATCTCGCACGTCCTTCCCAGCCCCTGCGTTCAGATTTGAGCCCCCTTCTTCCTTCTTTACCTTCAGTGCAGTTTTCGCTCGGGTCAGGTGGTCGATTTCGAGCTCACGAAGGAGAGTAAGGACTTCATAGTTTGAGAGGAGCGCAGCGCGCTTTTTGACTACCTATGAAATAAATGAAGCCTTTTCGTTAGTTGGTGTGATGCTACAAAGCCGACCTCCATAGATCGCCGTTGAAGGTCAGGAAAAAGCTGGCGCTTAAGCGAGAGTTTCCCCTATCTATATCAGGGACTGACTTAGGGAACTCGGGATGCGGACAAAGACCAGAAACCGTCTAGTCAGGGTATATCATATAGAGCTGAAACATATGAACAGGCTAATACATCTGAGTTCAGCTGCTTAGAAGTAATCAAGGGGTATAGTGGTTTGATCTACAAACCGTCATGAACTCAAATTCACAATATAGTGGTTGCGTATCGGGTAGGGCAAAGCGAAGGAGCGGGAGGGTTTGCCCTGGTAAAGCAACCGATCCATAATTTCCCTTGACGTTGGGCGTGCCGAGGGCTCCTGTTCCCAGCACTCTTGAACAAGTGACCACACCCCATCACTGATGTGGCCAGGTCGTGTTGGTCGGTGACCTTGAGAGACGAGGACAATCACTTGTCCATCCCTTTTCAGGTCGTGGAACGGTATGTTCCCGGAATATAACTGGGGATGATCAGGCAGGCATTCATAGTATACATCGGGAAATTTACGAACCTCGTAGCACACGAAAGCAAAGGCGTATATATCCGTTTGCAGTGTGTTATGAGGACAACTCCCGTCCAAGAGTTCGGGGGCGAGCCATCTCAGCGTTCCAGCCCTCGATACTCCAACTCCAGACCACTTAAAGCAAGATTCTGTTGCAACAATTGACACCCCGAAGTCGGCAAGGCAGGCCCTATGCATTGGCGTGACAAGGATGTTCAGCTAAACAAAAGGGCGTCGAATGAACTTAGGGAAGGCAAATACGAGGAGCCCGACGTACGTACGCCTTTTAGGTCTCCGTGGATGATCTTTGGTCGAAGGGCGTGAAGATAGTTGAGCCCAGAGGCGATGTCAATGAGCTAGCATAATGCAAATGAGCTCGAATACCTAGAAGGTCGAAATCTTTGGCGCACCAATTCCGCGCGATTGGCACATGGATATTTAGTCAAGTATTGATGGACATTCCCGTTCTCCATCCACGGCGAAACGAGACACAGCCTCGAAGGGGAGTCGTTGGGGATGTATAGACCCATCAATGGCAGGATATTAGGATGGCACAGTTGCCGCCATATGAGCATCTCTTGCCAGATCGACTGCAACACATTACCCCTCAGTGTTTCTCCTGCTCTCGAAACATAGGTATACTTGCCCTGCGTTGCCTAATGGCAGCTGAGGGTATGCAGACCCGGTTGACCTTTACGGCGACCACTTCAGAAAAGTAGTAGCCCCGCCATATTTCCGCATAGTTTCCTTCGGCGACAGCTCTGTTCCCCTCAAATATGATGTCTTTGATAAGGATGTCAGACGGAAACACGTTGAAAGTCTTGCCAAGGCGTAGGAGGGTTCTCAAGCAGACACCGTTGACTGATGGCTCTATATCACGATCAATGTACTGGAAACTGAGTCAATAGCCATTGCGAAATTCAAATTTTCAGACCGTTGGATATGGCTCACCAGTTGAACTATAAACATCAAGGACTCGAGGCCGCCGATCAATTCGGGGTCGAAGAGAATCTGCGCAGCATCTTTGCTACGCAAGGTATATAATATCTGGCTACATATCGATGTAACCTCCACTAGACACAGCTGCTCTAACCAATCGCCCCCAGCACGCTGGATTCAGGATCACCACCTGAGGCAAGTAAAGTGGTGACTTGGGGCGCTTACTTGGAGTCTACAGACTTTCTGCAACCACGCACGCAGCCTTCGACAAGCACCGTCTCTCCGCATTTTCCAGATGGCGGGGCTCGGATACTGCAAGATAACCTGGCAAGCTGTCGAGCGCCAGACATTTAGAAACTCGAGCGTAGTCTGGCTATCCATTCAACACTGTGGGGAAGGGAAGGTTTGTGGTTAGTACTACCTAGCACCAACCTTATATATCCTACAAGGCTCAAGCTGTGCCATACCCCATGATGCCAGGGACTCGGATTTCAAGCGGACAAAGGACAGCGAGGCATTTTTGCTGTAGAGAGAAGTTGGGGGAGGCGCTAGGAACCCTTTACTTGCATTCTAGATAAGGAAGTGTAAGCTCCGGGGGATTGTAATCTTCATCAAGTTTGACATGACTTGAGCGAACCAGCTGGAGCCACTTCAGGTTTCTTTGAAGATGGCTGTTGCGGGGAGCACTGTTATGTCTAACGTCGGCGTCGAGGCAGGAAAAGAGAAAAGACACACGAGTACCTTGAGTGTTTAATCCCAGGAGATCCAGAGGCGAGAGACTCGCCCCGATGGGATGCAGTGAGCCTCAGATATTGCAAGCCCAGCGCGCCATCAATGGGGAATATCATATCGGACCTGGCGCCGGAGGCATACAGAGAAGCTGTTGAAATGGCACGACACGTTCAGCTGACAGGCTCGATAGACAATGGGGTCCCAGCGCGCTGTTAAATGGAAGAGAGAAACGCGAGCTTCGGCAGGGCCAATTTACTTCGAACTAGGACTGCGATGTTCAATGATAAGAGATAGAATCGATAAGCGCCTAGCGGTGTAGTTTTACTGCGAATGGATCCTGTACGTTTTGCTGCCTTCGAAAAGTAACAAGGAGTCTGAGGACGTGACCATAGGATAGACGAACAGTTTCTTGTTCGTGTTACGAATACAAAGCGTAGATACATTTCACAATCTGGTGACCCGCTCCGAAATGCGTCACCATATTGCGCCGGGAACGACGGAGACAACACTTAAAAAGGACGTACCTCAAACAAAAACCACTGGAAGACAGTTTGCTAGATTCTCAACGAATGAGAAGGGCGGAAAAAATTGGTTGTGCAGCAGACAGAGAGTAGTCTGAATTGAGTTACACGTTACAACACGAAGTCGTCAACATGCACTGCGAATTGCACTAAAAGGTGGTGTAGATGGTGGTCCATGGATGATTCTTCGACGTAATCTCGATAGTGACTTGGAGTTATCCAATATGGAGTGATGCACCCACACGCGGTGATTAAACCCAAAGCGTCGATCCAACTAATCACCAACAGCCCGAAGACCAGTCAGCGACATAGATAGACGACGACGGGACAAGTAAGAATCCTTGACGCGAGGCCAAGGAAACTACCCGTCCACCAAAGGGCTGTACAGCCGGTTGTGCTATCCTGTAGGCGTCGGTATGACGCGTTGTCTCATAGATTATAGCGTTGTGTTTCGTCGGTATGACATATTTCATCGTGGTTCACGAAGGGTTGCTCGCAGTAAAGGCTGTTCATGGAACGCACATCGTCTCTGCCAGAGAACAGGACCCGTCATCCTTCGTGTGCCGTCACGTATTGCCAAGATCGCGCTGTCGTCGGTGTGACGCTTGCAATCGTTGACTGTGACGCCTGCGCGGCGGCAAGGTAGTTCCTAAAGATCTAGTGTGATCTCTGAGCACCGTGTAGTAGCGGTAAATCGTGTCCGCTGACGGCAAGGGGTGACCTTGCAAGGGATAATCGTGTTCCCTTCAACGCGAACGCTTCGGCTGCGTTCCGATCGAAATCCTGCAGATTTCGAGGATTGTGCATAGGGTAGAACCCCCTCCTTCGAGTCCTTTTCGCTTCAGGTGTCGGTGTATCGAGTGGCGTATGGCAAGGCGATGGAAGAACCTGAAGCACTTGCTAGCTGGAAGGCGACGCCCGACGAAGGAACCGACCATGGAAACCAATCTAAACCACCCGATCCTCGCAACGAATTCCAAAGCCGCCCCAATCGTATACCCTCCTCTTTGCGCACGAAGCGACTTGAGTCTTTGGGAGAACGATCAGGGGCAATGTTGCTGGTACGCCACTGTAGCCGTATTACGACCAGGCCCCTCTAGGGCCAAGCGAAGAGGATGTGACACTCAGACCTTAACCCGCTCACGACGAGGGCTGGAGAGCCTGGATGGGAAGAGCCTCGCAGTCTTCTGCCTGCTGTGGGGGTAAGACAAAGGCAGGATGGGCATGCATTGAAGTCTTATATATCGATTTTATTCGTCACGTGTTGCAGCCCTGAGCATTAACAGGGGTTCACTCTGACTCCCTCTGATCATTGAATGATCAGCAGTAGAAGGTGGCAGGCGATGAGGATCCGCGTACTCTCCGTATGCACAAGTCGCTTGAAGGAGCAGGCCAAATCGCATGGCTCCAGAAGTAACCTGCTACACTCATATAGTTCCATCAACGATCGCACAAAGGTTGTTTTTACAGATGAACAGTCTTCTCGTAGCCGATGCTGAATGGACGATGTCCCCTTGATCTGAAGGGGAATTGTTCGGAGCAACCAAGGGAAGTTACACAGTTAAAATTACTAAACCCGAAGAATAAACTACTGCCCTTACCTTCAACGCGCCAAAATGGAGTTCGCTCTTGCCCACACATCCGGGTCCGACACTCAAGTTAGGTGCGCCGGTGACAGCCTTCGTCTTTCGAACAGTGCACTTTCAACGGAGGATCATCCCAGTCAGCCAGTGCCGCAAGGCTGAGCCACGACCTTGGAGACGACGGAGCTGGGAGGAGGACATTCAAGGAGTAGCCCAGAATTTTAAACGAACGTGTGTTGGGCACCAAGAGTGGCCCGAAAGGATTCGCAAAAATGGATCCTATTATATCGTTAACTCGAGCCAGGGGGGTGCGCTCTAAAACTGACCTAATTGTGCCCCAAAGATATGGGGCCCATCACTAGGCTCAATGACAACAATCTGATACTCATGGACATAACAGAATCGAGAGATGAGATGCCATTACACCTTCCTCGGTGTCCGGCAACAACGCAGCGGGCCCTCTTTTCTCTGCCTGCACGAGTAGTTCCGTTCGGCGGAAGCCATATCAGGGTTTGCTCCCACCGGGGGGGACTGATGTGTTGTCGACCAAAGGATAGCACTTGCTCGTCGGTGGGCACCATGAAGATAGGGAGGGAGGGGGAGTGTGTGTCGAAGAATTTGAAGGAGTCAGAGAGGCTCCTCCACGGAAATGGCGAGTGAAACATGAGTAATCTGTTCCTTTCACCACTCTACGTAACAGATGGAATGAGTTCAAAATCGGCCAACAAGAAGCGCAAAGCTTACGTTAGGAGCGGAGCAGTGGACGTGTCCAAATTCGCCTCCGGGAACGAGAATGGCGCCCTCGGACATACACCGCTGGTGCCGCAAGTATAGCCGAAGCTGCAATCGTCAGTGGTAGAAGTTCTAGCATAATATGAAGTGGCCTAAGGCATGAAGTGGGGAAAGGGGTCCGAAAACAGTGATTTGCGTATGAGGTGCACGAAGCTACCGATGATAATGCCTCCAAGTCGAAATCTTCATAATCATACAGCCACTATAGAATGAATATTAGCGCATGGCGGCGGAACAGAAGAGAGACGAAATGACTCACCTTTATCTAGACATCTACCAGTACAATTGAATCCAAAACAGAATAACCAGTAGCTACACCTCCCTCGTTACTGTCGACTCCTTTCGTTCTGACCAACCATCCAGCTTCCGCATCTTTCACAACCTTCCCGCTCCCGAACAACGCCCAACCAAAGATACCCAGCTCACTCACAACCTCCGTCTTCACCGCCGCGCCTCCAGATCGTATCAAATAGTTCGCTGTCCCATTAGGAGGGACTATCAACTCCATGGCGATCCAAGCCTTCCTCTCTGACACGGGTAATTCGTCGAGGAATTTAGGTATTGCTTCCTTATAGACGTTGTTCCCGCCACCTTCTCTCTGAGGCTTCAGCACGAGTTCCAGTGCACGTTCGCGTGCCAACCGTACGCCAAGCGGCTCGACAGTCTCGTTCTTCTGTGCTTCGTCCTGTAGATCCAAGCCCCACATCCCCATCCAGCTACCGCGGATCGCATCTAGATCTTCCTTGCTCGAATCCCCCAGGAATCGCTCCAAGACGCCTGGCTGAGCAAGGACCTGCTGCACCTTCTTCCCGCCCGCGAGCTGTAGCGGGATGGAAGGACAATTGATCGCAGAGGATCGCTCAAGCAGGAATCGTGTCTGATAATGACCTGGCGTCGGATAATCCGTGGGCGCATACCCAGCGCGGAAATACACCGTGGATATTTCCACCTCAGGCCCGTCACCTCGCGAGATACGAAGGGCGGAAGTCTGTGGATCGAGCCGTGCAGAAGTAGCTAGGTCGTCGAATGTCTGTCGGATGACGCGGATAGAATGCCTAGACAACCGGGATGTGAGGTCGACGAAAGCGACGTGGATGATACGATGTGTACTTTTCCAAAAGCTCGTATTCAAGCCATCGCTGATCAAAGACATTCCGCTCCCCTGCTTGCACGACGAAGAGAATCCATGCACTACACGAACGTAAGCACCACTGGATGACCCGAGCGAGAAGATGCTCTACCTCTGATTGTTGTAGCTCCCATGTGCAGCGGCCAACCCGGCAGCTAGACCGGCAGTTGTGGTATTAGGAGGGAAGTTATCGATGGCGAGGATCGGCGATGTCTCATAATACGCAGTTGCTGACAACAGATATCTGGCGGAATTCAGAAAGAGACACGCCGATCGCCTGTCATACACACCTATGCAGACTTGCAACCCGTTCAGATAAAGTTCCAAACGACGACGATATCGTGTTGAATTCGACCTGCTTCAGTCCTAGAGTCGAGTCTGCGTTCTCATGCAGCAAGTAGTCCGATCGGAATAAACCGAGATGCAGTGTCTGGAGAAATAGTAAGTGTCGTGCTAGCCACATGAGATGATCAGTGCATACCTCTTCTACCCCTTCGTCGCGAATCTGTTTCCACCCGGACCACAACTGGCCAACAAACTCATCAACTTTGCCCACTCCTTCGACCGCACCCATCACTTGATCCAGGAAATCGTTGTCCATAGCGATTCTTGCGTACAGCACATTGTATGTCCGCTGCAGTCTCTGTGCCAACTGAAACAGGTCTCGGGGTATTGGAGATGGGAATAGCGCCAATGGTGCATGGATGGCGGCTGCTGGAAAGCGAGGTTGCTGGCCGACTGGTAGATATGTCAAGCCATGAGACAGAGCATATGTGGCGGCAATTTCAGTCAAATGCGATATTTGCTCCTCTGGGAGCGACGGCGGCCATCGAGAGAACGAGAAAGTTTCTGCCATGAGAGTCGAGATGAGAAATGGGCGATTTCGTTTGGATTTCGTGATACGATTGCTTGCTAATAGTAATCACGTTGCTTGCTGTAATTTCATGGCGATGCCTGCAATTCGATGAGAAGGTTGCCTCTGAATGGGTTTGGACACTTTGAGCAGCAAGCAGCAGCTAACCAATTCATTGAAAGGACTTTAATCGCTTTCGTTGCGTTTTCCATCTTCCGCAACGTTTAGTCACGTGTTAGCTCCCTCCCACACGTCGTACAGCTAGGCTGGCGCGATAGCGAAGAAATTAGACAAACTGCCACTGAAATCTGGAAAGATGGCTTTTGTTGCTCTTGGGAAACACACAGCATATTGTCGTTGATGCCGATTTCCTGTCTGATTTGGGTGCTGTTTTGATGCTGTTGCGTCAAACGGTGTCAACGTTCACTGCGACCAGTGACCACGAAGCTCGAATCCAGACATTCAGTGACGATTAAAATCAGACAAATGCAGCTACGCACAGTGTCGTAGCGCTACGCTGTCTAACGTACATTGTGAACTAATGGCCCAAATTGAGCTGAGATCATGATGTAGTCCGCCTAGTAAAGTGCCACTGTATACACAGTGTAGCTTCAGAAGAAGAAAAATGGAGCAATCAACCAACAAACGGATGCGCATTTGCATAAGTATGTTCCGTCCGAGTCGCTCTCTGGCGAGAAATCCAGTTACACCGGTCTACGACCAGCTCAAATATGTTCAGGTCCGTCGGTAAACGACTCATGAGGCAGCCCTGGGTCCCGGAGGGCTACAAAGTCTATCCCAATGGCCAGACCGTGGTCGACAACGCTAAACGTCTAACGGGCGCTCACATGATCAATACACATCGAAGTACCACTCTTCTGGTTCCACTTTTGCTTCCGAACCGAGACTTACCAAAATACTGGGTCCGTTGCCGCATTACGATCGACGTAGATTTATATGATCGACAGGAAGGGCGGGATGTATCCAAGATGTATATTTCGTGGATTATAATGTACAGGATGTACAGGATTCGATGTTCGGCATTATATGGTCGTTGCATCGCGATGGCGGATGCACATATCGCCCAGTGGAGCCCCAACTAAGCGAGCGTTTCCTGTCCTATGCGCGGGTGCTGTAAGAAAATATTCCGTAGAAGATGATCGGGGTACTCACAGACTGGAAAATGTGGTAGTCTCTTCAGCGCTAGGCGTTGACTCGCTCCTATATCATTGCGCACTGCGCACCGTGGTCGTCGTAGTCGATGATGCTGACCTGACTGTGTCTGCAACACGGGTTGCAAAGATGACGCTCTCGAAGATTGAACCGGGATCCATGGTAGTGGGGGTAGATCGGTTGGTAAAGAAAGAGTGTAAGTGCAGGTGTAGAGTTGGTCGCTTCCAGAGCTTATTGCAGGTAGAGTGCGATCTGGGGTATTATATACGCCATAGCTGAGCAAACATCCTCCTTGCGTAAGTCGCCTATCACAGCAGTATATTGTGGACAATGGAATATGGTGTTTCTGGGGCGATTCTCTTGCCAAGAGAAGCTGTAGAACCCCTTTCCCATCAGGGAATAATCGTGGTGCAACGCAGGTGTTGCAGTAAAACCAAAATAGGAACATTCGTTACAAAGGGTGCTTGCATATGTTGTTCAACTCAGCAACAGGAAGCATGGTTCTTTGAGAACCCTGCATCGTGTCGCCAGCACATCGAGAACAGTGTCTGTACAGTCATCAATCGGGGTAAATCAGCAAATCAAATGCCAGTTTGCTTCGCTACTGGTGCGAAGCATCCAAAAGGACACAGAGATTAAGCTTTGCGGGAGAATCGAATGTTCCCAGCATGATTTCCCTCGAGGTCGCGCATGGCGCGAACGTCGGGCTATAATCTAAACTCTTCCAGGCGGTCGTCGTTATTGAAATGAAGTACTTTGGAAAACATAGAGGATGTACACGGTGTTGGTAGTAGAGTATGGAGCGTGATCCCCACGACGATACTATCTACCTTGTACACATACCTGACAGCCTCCAACAGCATTGCAGAATTTGATCGTCTCCCGCAAGTCTCCCTTGTCGTTTGTGGTGAGCCAGTTTTGAGGCTCCGCGGCGGTTAACGAGCTCCTATTGGTGAAAGGTTTATTTGTGGCTATTGACAGATTGACCAACGGAGGCCGCCACTTCGTCCCTGTGGCATTCACAGCCACACCATCAGGACTTGGCACGATCTACGATGTTCAGGCCATTTTCCGCAGCAACGAGACTCCATTCACATTGACGGAAGCATGTAGGGTTCTTCTCGTCAACCAATCATGAACTTCGTCTGATAACAATGCTTAGTGACAGAAACGCGCATTCTCCGGAATGGTGCACCAATCGACGTTGACTCCGTGCTGTCGCCATGCCAAGGCATGGTGCAGTGGAGTGAGGTTGGTTTTTTCTTCACCGTGTAGGCGTCGCGAATAATGCTATCGCGATCTTATCTGCGCCAAGACGAAGACCTATTCATAACAATCAACAACACACCACACGACGCGCTTTGATTAAATACAATGGGAGTTGAAACGAGGCCACCTCAAGCTTTCGGCGTACTTATTGTCGAGAGTGCTGACTGCTGTGGAGTGGCCTTTTCATTTTCTTCTTCCTCTTTTCTCTTTTCTTGACTGGTCAAGCACCACAGCGCAGCGCGTATCCCCGTTCTTTCATTCTTTCATTTCTTTCATTCCACTTTATCTTCAATCCTCGCTTTCCCTCCAAGTCTTCATCTCCTACGCTCGCTATATATTTTTCCTGAGCAAGGCTTCCTGCGACCATGAACGCAGCATCAAGCGAAAGACCCCCTGTGAGCTCGCTGGCGCGACGCATCCATGGCTGGTCCTGGCAGGCGGTGAGGGATTCCAGTACACTATACAAACGACCTCCCTAACTGGCGCGGTCTGTAGTTCCCCATCGGCATGGGCACAGGCGCCGTATATGTCGTACTCTCCGGTCTTCACCATCGGTCTCAACCAGTGATCGTTATCGAGACATTCTTTTTCTTCCTCAACATCGCTTTGTTCACCTTGAACTCGACAACATTACTGCTCCAAGCTATCCGTGCGTCTACCCGTTAGGAGGAAATCGTCATAAACACTAATCCACTTGTAGTGTACCCAAGGCAGGCCCTGAGACTTCTCAAGGATCCCGTCAAGGGCATTTTTGTACCGCTTGTCGTACGTACAATTGCTACGTTTCCCTGGTTTAGTTTCTGAATTTGTTTACTAGGTTTTGTCCCTCGCTACAATTATCATCGGCACGATTAACTATGCATGGCCAACAGGACACGTAGGGTCGGACTTCGTATACGCGCTATTTTGGTAGGTGCCACTGGCGATTAGAACTTAGCGGTTGCTGAAAGGAAATATAGGGTCTACACGGCCTTTGCGGTGTTTACCTGCTTCCCGATGTTGATGATATGGTTCAATAATCCGCACGACCTCTCCCATTTCACCCCCGCTTATGCGTTCTTGATCTTCCCAATGGTGGGTACTTCTAAAATAAAGGTAAACCTTGCTAATCCTGCTACTTGTGATAGATGCTTGTAGGTGTAGTCGCGTTCAATGTCCTCAAGGTTATGGATCCCGCGGATAACCGTGCACTGGGTGTCTTGCTCACGGGATACTTTTTCCAAGGTTGGTCCCATTGGTTTCTCTTTCCAGAGTTTCGTGTTGACCGAATGTATTCCTATAGGCCTCGGATTCTTCATGACGTTCATTTACATCTGCATCTACATTATCAGGTTCGTGTCTCACTTCCACGTGTTTCTTGATAATTGACTCCTCCCTCCCTGCAGGATCATGAGTGTACGTTAGATGTCTGTCTCGAGCGTGAACAATGTCCTGACAATCTGTTTAGACGGGATTTTTAGAAGGTCACCAAGCCAACGGTGCATTTGTCGCCTGTGGACCTCCTGGTTTCACCGCTCTCGCACTCATTAATCTCGGGAGCCGTGCAAGGGAGATGTAAGTCGAGCTCGGTTTCTCCCAGACATTTGACTTGTGGCTGATTATAATGCCAATCCCCAGTCTTCCGAAACATGACCTTATCTCCCCTACTGCGGGCGAGATCTGGTTCTCTGCGTCGATCATGGCAGCTCTCATGCTTTGGGGATTGGCCGTCTTCTTTTTCTTCTTCGGCGCTCTCCCATATTGGTTCAAGCTTCATAAGCACCTCAACGAAATTCTTGGATGTAAGCACGGCACTCACACTCTACAAACGGTCACTAACTCATTTCTTCGTTCAGGCTGGGCTTTGACCTTCCCCAACGGTGAGTTTGCTCTTCCTTCTTTCGTGCGCAGAACCTCATTGCTCCTTTTCTGTAGTTGGTTGGATTGCTACCATGCGATTGTTCGGCGATATATTCAAAGTCAGGGGTTTCTATGTCACCCACGCCATCATGGCGGTTCTCATCTGCCTTGCCTGGCTCATCCTTTTTGTGCTCACGCTCATCGCTTTCTGGAGGGGCCTCATCTTCCACTCGAAAGATGAAGATGTCATTAAGGATACGCTCCCTGAGGCCGTCGAAGAAGAGGACGATGATATGTCGATTTACGACAAGAAACCCGACCATCACCACGGACGAGATATTTCTGGCCCCAATATGGTTTAAGCTAGATGTTTACTTCTTGGAGCTCCTTGAAGGAGTTCTGGACACATTCCTTCCCTTCACAAATAGAGATACCTAGACGTACTACTTTCAATGGATGGTTAGACACTATCGGACTCAATAACAAGTATATACACCCCGACCTAGTATCGTAAATACTTAGATTACACTCTTTTTAGCTGCAGAGGATAACTGTATTGTTTTGCAACGGGTATATATGGCGCATTGGTATTGTCGTCAATACACGACATCGAATGAAGCTCAGATAGCCGGCATTGAGATATTAACTAGGAGATCTGAATGGATACCCCATGGGTCACGAAGGAGAAGGAGAGAGTACGGAGGGTCTAAGGGAGAAAGCTCGGTAGTTGGATAGGTAAGGTCTAAGTGGAGAGCGGAAAGCGAGGGGATAATTCTATCATACAGTTTCGGAGAACAAGATAAGCAGCTACAGGTCTAAGTAATGCTAAGCGAGTGAGAGTGTGGGTGGGTGCTGAGGAAAGATATGGTACTGCCATGTTGTATGATAGGCCTATTCTAGAGGCAAGGGATAGGGTATGTCGTGGGTGTGTAGTCCGAGTGCATGACAAAATATGGACAAGGAAAGCAAGAGCGGGGGAGACCTCCAAGACCATGCCAGATGAGCTTGTAACCGGGTGATCAAGAACGACGAGGTAGCGTGTAACCAGCAGCGAAACTTATACCACCTCGCCAGAAGAACGCGTTCTTTTTTCGTGCTTTTCTGCCTCTACATCGCTCATACTACTTCTGCGTGAGAAGGATATGGTGATGGAATCCTTGATGACGTCTTCGTCTTTCGAGCGGAAGATAAGGCCCTTCCAGAAAGCGACCAATGTCAGGGTGAAGAGCACAGTCCAGGTGATGACCATGATGGTGGTCATCATGAGGTGCAAGTAGTAGAACGCCTTGATCTCAAAGATATTTCCAAGAAGGGCGAGCGTAGAGATCCACCCGACTGCAGCGAAAGGGAAAGTAAATCAACTACTCCTGGAGGACATTAATACCGAACCAACTTACCATTGGGGAATGTCAATGCCCAACCTAGCAAAAGTGGACGTAAGTAAAATGACCACTCATTGCGTCACAGCACATACATCCGAGGATTTCGTTCAGATGCTTGTGGAGTTTGAACCAGTACGGGAGGGCACTGAACAGGAACAGGAAGACTGCGAGCCCAAAGAGTAACAGTGCACACATGACGCTTGTTGCGTACCAGATCTCTCCGGCAGCAGGCGAGACTAGGTTATGTGCTGGCAGGCTGCATAAAAAGAACATCAAGATATGTCAGACCGTCGAGGAGCAATTACTCACATTTCCCTTGCACGCTGACCGAGTTGGATAAGTGCAAGCGCGGTGAAACCTGGCGGACCGCAGGTAACAAATGCGCCGTTTGCTTGATGACCCTCGAGGAATCCAGTCTACAAGATAAAATGATTAGGCTGAAGCCAGGTCCCATCGCTGAAGGTCTTACGCTCATAATCCTGAAGAAGCAAATTAGATAGGGGAAAATTAAGGGGAGCGGAAATCGACGAACCGGATGAAATATATACAGATGTAGATGAAGGTCATAAAGAAACCCAGCCCTATAATGATAACGAACAGTCAAGGGACGAACTAACTCGATTCAATATGTTCTCACCTTGGAAGAAGTAGCCGCATAGGAGAACCCCGACTGACCTCGGGTCGTCATGCTCCAAGACTCGGAGTACGTTGAAGGACACTACGCCAACTAACATCTGAAGAGGGAAGGTTCAGCGACTACTCATCGTGTGCTGTAATCCGTAGCGCACCAGTGGAAAAACCTAAGCGGTCTCTGTGAGTCGTTGCAATCTCGCGGAGCAATTGAGACGTACCAAGAACGCGTATGCTGGCGTGAAATGCGATAGATCATGAGGTTTGTTGAACCATATCATCAGCATAGGGAAGCACAGAAGGACAGCGAATCCAGTATACACCCTAGTGTATTGATCAGCCACGTCATGGGAGAAGGCTCGAGTTGACGCACCAGAAGAGGACGTAAATGAAATCTGGACTACTATGCCCTGAAGGGACCGTGTAGTTGATGGTGCCGATGATGATAGTCGCAAACGACAATACCTTTTATGTTCGTGAGGACGGTATTGCAATTTTAATCGCGGGTTTACGTACAACGAGAGGAACAAATACACCCTTGACGGGATCGTTGAGCAGTCGCCCAGCCTGCTTGGGATACACTAGTGCGAGACATGAGCATTTCGAGGGGAAGGGGATGAGGGGATTTACATATTGCTTGCAAGAGCAACGTCGTGGTGTTGAGAACAAACAATATCATATTCAGGACGTAGAAGACCGTTTCGACCGTGGTCAATATCGAAGACCGAGTTTTGATGCCTGAGAGGGTGACATAGACCGCACCGGTACCCATCCCTATTGGGAACTAAGATACAAGTCAGTCGAAGCCATGTATTTTAGATCTGCAGATAGAGGACGTACTGCTTGCCACGACCAACCATGGATGCGCCTGGCCAAAGGACTGACCTTTGGTAGACCATCCGGGTTCTCTGAAGGACTTGGGTCGTCAAAACGAACCATACTGAAGTAGCGTGTAAGGAACGACGGGTTGACTGGAAGGACGATTTAAACGAGTGTGGATTGGATGATTATAAGTCAGCACAGCGCAATGCGCTCTCTATCTTCAAGTAGCAGTAAGAGGGAAAAGGATTGCTGTACAAAGCGAAGAACCATACAGCGTACGGAGCTGTGACATTGCTTCTAAAGCTTTCGTGTAATAACCCAAGAGCCACTTATCACATCCGCCGGTGTATGCCAGCAGGGATGCCAAGTCCGTAGTCAAAAGACCCTGAGACAACACGTTATTGGCTCCCGTCATGGAACTATACTGAATTGAGTACTTCTGAGATCGCCAAGTGCGCCAAAAATAACCCACAATCTCGAGACATGGTAAACATGCAGGACGTTTTGCGTGTCAGCTTTTCGGTTGGCCGATAAGGGAGGTAGAGAAAGGTTGTAACGACGGAGGCAGATTGCTTGAAATCAAACGATCCGCATCAAACGCTAGACTGGCGGACGTTGATTCCGTTTTACAGCTTGGATAGATAACCAGTTGGTGCGTCATTGTCAGATCTTCAGGGAAAGCAACAAGCGACGACGGGATTTAGCGTGCAATTTTTTTCGATAACTCCATCGGCTTGCAAACGCGATATCGGGTGACTTTGAGGGCCCTCGAGAGCGACGAGCATTTGGCGTCGACTGTACGCGCCGACGATTAGAAACCGATGCCGAGGGGCTTGGGAGTAATTAATTTATGCATAAATTTTGGGAAGTAGTTAGTGGTCGAGCCAAGATCCTTGGCCAGTGACGTAGAAAATCTTGCTGATAGGTTTACCCAGCCAATCAAATTGTCGCGGCCCGCCTCTACAATCGAATCTTGGATGTGGTTACGGAGGAGACGTGGCCGCCGACTGCCTGCCCCGACAAGGCAGCAAGGCGCCCAGGAAGAATTCAAGAAGTCTCAGAAGCGACTACTATTTGGTCTTCGATGCTGTGCAGCGCATCGTCTCCAGCATGACTGTGAACAGAATGATGAACCGAAACACTCCACTCAGCATATTTATTCTGGAGTAAAGAATCATACCAGCTTCGTTCCCTTCCGCGGAGCTTCCTGTCGAATAGTCTACATCCGAAATGGTAATTTGTCGACATTGAGCCTCACAGCTTCCCCTTTAACTCTTCGAGCAGACTCTGCAACTCCTCCTTGGCCATTTGTTGGGCGGGCCAGTTAATACCAAGCCCTTCTTCGTTCGATGGCTTTGGGATCACATGTACGTGTACATGACCAACTTCCTGCACGACGCGAGGCATGTCAGCGGTCTTATCGTCCAGAGTAAAATGAAGCGACATTGTACCTGGTGCGCTAACTTTCCATTATTCTGCAACAGCACGTTGTATCAATAAGACGCTAAGTCCATGATACATTCGGAGATGCATGCAAGCGTACCTGGAGGATGTTGTAATTCTCGGAGCCCACTGCTATCGCAATTTTCTTGGCGATGGGAAGCAAGTCCACGAGGGACTCGTCGGGGAGCTCGTGTAGCTTCTCTGCATGATCTGCGGCGCCACCCATGACTTCAAGCACAGTGGATATGACTAAGTCTAATGCTTACACTTCGGAATTACGAGCGCATGGCCTTTCGCCAAGGGCCCGATGTCGAGGAAAGCAAATCTGTCGTACTGCATTGGAGATGTACAGCAAAGGTTTCTGGCATCTCAACGTACGTGGTTTCAGTTTCCAGAAGCTTGAAGCTAGGAATCTCCCCTATCAACCTCAAATCAGCTTCTGATCCCTAGGTGCTGTGCGTGTATAGTAGAGATCGAACGATGGACGCGTACCCTTGATGATTTTGCAAAAGATGCACGAAGCCATAGTCCTACAAGCGTAGAGTGGATCAGCCTTCCAATGCGTTCGTTTGCTGAGGAAGGTGGGCACTTAGCAACACCGCTCATGATGGTTCGCTTGAAGGCCTGATTCGCATGAAGCTCAGCGGCTCAGCTTCGCAGTGACAGAGGATCGCATCTAATGACGCCGCGCGCAATAGATAGCATGGCTTTATAGTGTAGTGGTTATCACATTGGATTTTGACGTTAAACAATTTCCAGTAACCCAGGTTCGAACCCTGGTAAGGCCTCTTTTTTGTTCGTCCTCGCTTCCAACCATTATAACAGACCACCCCGTCCTCGGTGGTTACATTATTATTACATTTCGTATAGTGTTTACAGTATGAGATTATACTAATTATTCTAATTGACCTACAAGAAAGATGAAAACAGTGTCAGCCGTTCGTCTGAATGGCCTTGAGAGAATGTCTACTAGTTCTGCGAAAATATACGTCGCGTTGCTTGCCAGTAGTTTGGCGGAGCTGGTTCTCCTTCCATCGGCACATGTCCATAGTCCTCAATTGTGACTTCGGAACGTTGGACAAGTCTAGTTCGGTCTTCGAGTTGCTCACTGTCCCTACGCACCGGTCTGAAGAGCTGTCATGTAATGCAATCAGCCCCTCGAATGGAACGGGTGCGCAATCGAAGACACTTACTCCAGCCAGCTTCAATTGCCGTAGACTTTGGCGCTGCGCACTTGTTAACTGCGCTCCAGCTCTCCCGCCAGTGCGCGGCAACAATGTTTCTCGTGAGGCATTGGACCTCGGCAGACGAGAAAGCCTCTGGAACCATGACCGTCTACCCTTACCAGCATTATTTCTGGTTCCGTCCGCAGAGGTATTGTTAGACGGTTGCGCCCAATCAAATTGGTTATCGATCTTGATTTCTTCCTCGACGCGGTCGTATTCATCTTTGTTTCGCCTCCAGAGCCGATAGACGGTCCACAGAAGAATCGATATCACGATTGTGCCAAATATGGTCGATATAATGATAACGGTGTTCATGCTAGTGGGGGAGATGTTGATTAACAATTGAAGTTGTTGACAACTCGGATAAGGAGATACTGACTGATCTGAGATGCCGGCTATCGGCTGTGTTGGAGACGGAACACTAGAAACACGAGCTGAATATGTATACGAAGGGAGTTGTAGTGAAAACTAACGCCGAGGTTCGAACGATGGATGTTTTGGTGACAAACTGAGTAACTTCAGCGTAATCGATCTCCAGAACCATCCCGGTGGAGAGCCCCTGCGCGCTGGATAGTGTAAGGGTGTGGTTGCCTGATCCAAGGTTGTCGGCAAAGAATAACAATGTTTGGGGGGTGTAGAAGGTTCTCGTGGCGTTGTAAAACAGCAGGGACTTATCGTCTAGCTGAACTATGTACGGTGCGTTCCGAGGGCCCACCGTTCCGTATACAGAGATCATTTCTCCTGCGTTATCATTAGCGTTTCGTCCGTGTACTTAGAGGATATGTAATACCCTATGGGGATGGACGTCAGTACAAGAAGTCAATACTATCAGGAAGAACATACGGCGAATGTATAGGATACAGACGCTCCTACTTGAGATGTCGAGCTATTCGTTGAATTTAGGCACAAAAAAAGGGTAGAACGTAGATTCACTCACTGCCCGGTAGTCTGGCGGAAATGCTGGAGTCCCTCAGGCTGTGTGTTCCATGCCGAAGGAGGCATCCACTGAAAGGCAGGGTCGCTATCGTCAACAGTTGTAGTCTCGACCGGCGCTCGACCATGTTGAGGATTGAGTTCAGTTATCCACGCAATCTATATTATCGTCACAAAGGTGAGTGTGTCTCTGACGGTATGTGCTTACTTTGTCAATGTCGAAGGGCTTTGGTCCATTAGCAATCACTTTCACGGTGTGATTGGTGTTTTCCAGGTCGTTTTTACTGAAGAGCAGCACGGCTGCTTCGTCATTGCCTTGGGTTGACGCGCTCCCTTCATATGGTACACCATCTAGAAGGACCCCGAAGGCCCCATATCCTGATTTTCGTCCACCGAATATTGACACACCAGTGCCATTAAACGAGAAGACAGCTTCGGCCCCGAAGCTCAAAGCTCTCGTGAAGGTTTCTCCGTAATACCTGGCGGAAGAGTGAGCTTCATTTCATATGCCAGATATGTGCTTTCTCTCACCTCGACGTGAGCGGATCTGATGCGTTATTAACTTGTTGCCAGGCGTCTGGAGGGTTGTAACGAATGAGAGGGCTATTGTCGTCAATCTCCAGCCCTATCTGGTACGACGAAAGCTGCATGGAGCTTGAGATATTAGCAATGAGCGACATTATAAACGAAGGGTCGTAAAATGAATGTTAAAGGGTCAAGTGTCAAAGGGACGAAGAGGTAACGAAGAAGACATTTGCGGAACTGTTGGGTGTGTTATTATAGTCTGGCCAAAGGATCAAAGATGCGATGATGATCAGCTTCTTTCCGGAAAATGGAGTCGCAATGATCAACAGCGGGGGGAATGTTAATGTTATTGCATGCGGACCAATGATGAATATTGGTCGTCAGTGGTACTGACGTCCAGTCAATGCTCCCTACCTAGGAGAAGGGAGATTAAATATCAGGGCGGTCAGACGACATGAGCCTCAATTCGTACCAAGGGTTACCCGCCCCCCCAGAACGCTTGCAGACCCAAAGTTCACGTTAAAGTTTTCAACGGTTTCAATGGGGGGTGGCACGGCACTCAGCACTGACAGGCTGTGCCCAAGAATGGATGCCTATGTTGAAAACGTGATAGTGCAGAGCACCCGTCCGTCAGCAAACGCCATTCAAGGTCATTCTAACGACTAGGCCAGAATCTAGCCAACCATCCATTGTGGTCGAACTTCACTAGCGATCGAACTTGAAGTTACTCTAGGGGAGTAACCGTGAGAAGAACAGTACTCCAGCGGCCAGGGCCTTGCTTCACCGCTTCAAAAATCAGATCATTCTTGCCCGTGTCTCAAGCACAGCGCACCATTTGCTCACATCTGGTTATGTCTTTAACCTCAATTGGACCTGATACAGCGTTCGAGAACATCCCGATTATGTGGGCGACGTCGAGAAAAATACTGACCACTACTGCAATTGACGTATCTGCGTAGCGATATTTCGGATGCGAGGAGTACCGAACCATCGAAACGATATGCTCTTGCTATGGAGATTAGGAAGGCTTGTATGGAGGTGGGCTTCTTCTACGGTAAGCGAGACGTGACATGAAGTACCGATCATAACCGCCGAACCCATGCAGTCAAAGGACACGGAATCTCGCAGTCCATCATTGACAATGCTGTCTCCGAACTTCACAACTTCTTCTCCTTACCACTGGAATCCAAGATGAAGGTCTGTCAAATATTTCCCCCAGGCACCCGCGCACTCGGTTACAAAGTCTGCTGTGCAACAGCTCGAGAATAAGAAATCTCCGAATTTCAAGGGTTACTCGCCGTTGCTCAGCGGCAACAACGACCCAAACAATAGAGGCGACCTGCAAGAGGGATTTGAGTTTGGCTGGGAAGACTTACAACTCTCGGTAGACGAAGCTAGAGAGGTCGATGGCGTGATGGCTGGAGCAAACGCGTGGCCTCACGAGGATCTGCCTTCGTTTCGTCCAGCTTCTTTGGCGTACTAGTAAGCTCCTTATCCTCTAGAGTCATTGAGACTCGTATTTAGAGCACTAAGCCACGCGGCAGTCGATGTTGGGAAATCCTTATTCCCGTTATTTGCTCTCGCGCTAGATCTATCAGAGGACTTCTTCGATGACAAGGTACGAACCCCGATTCGGGAATACATTCGAATCTAATAACGTAGACCAAACACTCAGCTGCTCTGATGCGCATGTTGCATTATCCACCGCAATTATCTGCTGAAGGAGATCGTGTCATTGGGATAGGAGCTCACACTGAGTACGTATATCTGAGACAACGCCTTTAGGCCCTTTATTCATCGAATCGTTGGTCGCGTTTTTAGTTGGGAGGTGCGCCCTGGTTTAGACCCCTCCCTGCCTTGCCTCTGAGTCAACTTGCTTACTAGTGCTTCACCATACTCCTTCAAGAACCGGAAAAGATGGCATTGCAAGTTCAGAATACTAAGCAACAGTGGATCGATGCCCCTCCTATTGACGGGACACTAGTAATCAAGTAAGTGATGGAACGCATCCGAATCATTAATCGCTTATGTCTCACTAGCCTTGGGGATCAATTTGCCCGTTGGACTAGTAAGGCCATCTCTCATTCGAAGTTATTGCCAAGCTGATACCATTGATAGATGATGTCTTCAAATCAACCGTTCATCGAGCCATTAACAGAAGTGGCAGGGAGCGCTACTCCATTCCTCTCTTCTTTGGAACGGACTACCATGTTCGCCTTGAAGTGCGTAGCTTCGCGCTCATTAAATCTAGGGTATGTTCCTAGAGCTGATCATGATCACGGTGGACATCCGCAGCCGATCTCAAGCTGCGTCTCTCCCGATCGTCCAAGTCGGTACGAAGTCATTACTGCGGGGGAATATGTCAAATCGAGGCTCGCAGCTACATATGGCCACTACTAAAGATATTTTTATCCGTCTGCACCACATGAACTTTAGGCGTCCATCTGCACCACATCCAAACTGCGTATGACCCATACCATTGTCTAGTTCCCAGAGAAGTACTGCGGTGGCGGAGAGACCGAATCGCCGCTACTCTACAACATACTTTGTGATTATTCGACTTTGTACATCGCAACTACTGTCTCGCCGATGGGCGACTCGGCGTCCCGCTGAACGCAGTAGTGGATTTCTACGTCTAAACTGCGCGAATTGTTCTCGCTCTTCTTGCAGTAGAACGTTCCTGAAACAACGGAGCCTGTAAGTCATCCACTGGAGTTAGCTCGCTCATCAAGGATGACACTATCAACGCTTGCCTTCTTCGATCCTCACAGGCTCCCTTAACAAGAATATCGTCTGCTTCCAGTGCGTAGGGATACTCTGCGGGCCAGTGCTGAAGCTGACTACGTTCTCCTTGTCTTTTCCCAGACTTTGTCTTCTCTTAGGGGCGGGTTTGCCACCAACTGGCCAGACTTCGGCAACGACTGGGTCTTGCTCCTTGGTGACCTTGACTTTAGTAGAAGGTGAGATGGGGGCACCCGACGCATTGAAGAATGTGTCGAAATAGAGGACGAATGAATTTAGCTTGGTACGTTTCTCGGCGGTTGATGTAAGAGTGAAAGAAGAGGCGAATGAGAGTTGGCGTGCGCTTATTGAACTGAGCGACAGATCCTACGGGCTCCATGAGTACGTTTCATTGGCAAAACGGGAAATATAAGCTATTTCAACTTACCTTAACAATGTATGGTTCACTTAGTAGACTTTCTGGACCCACGACATCAATGATAGCGTTATCGAAGACTTCCTCCGCCATCGTCGATAGGTCAAAGCCTAGGAAAAGTATTTAGTGGGGATGAGGTTGAGTTGGCTTCTTGCTTTACCGTAGATGTCGCCCCAAAAGTCGACTCTGTCTTTGCGCACCTCGGAGGCATCACATAGCGCTAGCATCATTTGACATTGGCTTGGTGCCATGATCCCAGTTTCTTCACCTGACTTGAGGAACCTATCTCGGGCCACAAGTACAGAATCCAGCATCGACTCATATAGAAGAGCGTATCCCATCCATTCAGACACGATGATGTCCACATGGGTGATCCCGTCGGGCAATGTGATGTCTTCGACTTTCCCCTGTATCACCCTGGGGGCAGATCAGCTCGGTCTACCTGCCTCGTCGACAAATTCATCTTACTGGATGACATCACTGTATCCGTTGGCTTTGATGATCTTCTCTGCTTTTTTTGCGATATCACTCGCGTCCACGGCTATAACTTTCTTGGCGCCAGCTCTGGCGGCGAAAAGCGAGAGAATTCCGGTACCGCAGCCTACGTCAAGGACGATCGCGTCTTTGAACAAGGCTGGGTGTCCGAGAATGAAAGACGCGTAGGTTGAGGTACGGACTTGGTCCTGAATCATCACAGCGTGGATATCTATAACAGTTGGCGTCTATGGGAGGAAAGGGAAAGGCGTGCGCATACCGTTCTCTGCATAGCTGTCAAAGTAGTGCGTGTCATCATCGCGCTGAGCAGGTTTGCTGCCACTCGAACTGGCTTCTGGAGATCCCGCAAGAACGGAGCCAGCAAATATGCGATAGTGCTCCAATTGTTTTTGCGTTGCTGCAAGTTTCTTCTCGAGAACTTGGATCGGATCGGATCCAATCTCATCTTCGCCCTCAGAATCTGACCAGTCGTCTGGTTGCCATTCTTCACAGATATCAGCATCTGTGTGGCACGATTTTGAACATGAACATACGAAGCAAAGGATCGTCCTCGAGCACAGGGATGAGATAATCGTCTGACGAGAAAAAAGATTCTTTGCCAGTCAAGGTGAAAACTTCTTTCGGTGAGACTTTCTAAGGCGCACTGCTTCATATAACTTGTTTGTAGATGTAAGGAGAAGGCCGTACATGCTTTCTGATGAAATTGATCAATCTGATTCGACCGTGGATGTCAAGAACTGTCGTCGTTAAGCAGCCTAAGCGATCGTGTGGTGGAGGGAGAGAGAATGCTCACCCATTTTGGTGAAGGCACCACCGAGATCAAAGCCATGTGTTGTTTTGTCGTATGCGATGGTCTGATCTACGGAGGGGAATACACTATCGTCGAACAGCGAGCGACATGGCTTCGGGGGCGAGTCGTCCACCCAGTCGTCCCATGTTTCGTCTTGGTCGCTTGAGCTTGATTCAGACAGCCCATCATCTTCTGCAGCCGAATTGTGGACCGGTGGAAGTCTTATGCTCATCGTGGATGATTTCATAGATTTTTTTGAAACGCTAATATCTTATCGCACTGCCACCGATCACTATCGCAACCACCTCGACGATAGTTCAAGCCCGCGTTGGATTGTGATCGGATCACCTATGCTTACGCTTCAAAGCTTTGAGGTCGAGTATAAGACCTATACAGGTTACCACTACTTGCAGTGGTACAGCCTCAAATACTGGTATACAGGGTGGCGATTTACGGCCGAGGTGGTACAGTATCACAACCGTGAATGTGCCTTTCAATCTGCTATACTCGTTACGTGTATGGATGGTTGTTTCCTCATTGAACTGCAATCTCCAAGCAATCTCCTATGTAGAGTCATTCACTAATAATAGATATCAAACCCGACTCCATAGTGGTCGGTTTCTGCAGCGCTGACTCAGTCAGCAGACGCGCAGGCCTGCGCTCGCTTCCATTTGCTTCTCCTTCAAGGCGTATCCCTGAAGCTGGGTCGAGGGTAATCATGCTACAGCAACCTGTCTGGTTCCTGGTTTCTGCGCGCCGGATGTAGGACAATAGCCAATTAACAGTTCCATACAGCTTGCGTTCAGAGACTACGAGTCTAAATCACTTTTGGGCGCCCTGCGCTGACTCGAATACGAGATCTCCATGCGGTCGTTTCGCATTGGCAATGCACCCTTCAGAAGTCTTTTCCGAAACTGCGCGTATTATTTCCACAGACGTTCATACTATTATAGACACAGAGGGTCAATAAAAAGAGGCTCCTTCGTCATAACTCATCTCATCGGTTACTCAATTCACAGAATACCATAGTATGTCTAGCAAAGATATCAACCCTTCTACTACATCTTTCCAATCTACCGACACATCCTCCTCTACGACACCTCTCACCGCAAAAGGAAGGCGGCGGCGGAAGGACTTTCCCTTCGCCTTTGCAAAATTACAGCAAAAATACGGGACGCCGGGGACTGCCATGCCCGGAGGTCAAATGGGCCAATACTCGAACCCAACACCACAACCAGAGAGTGTGGATGCTGGCAGGGTGTCCAACTCAGGCAATACAAAGCCTTCTTCGCTGTCCACCATCCAGGAGCAGTCTGCGTCGGCATCTACTAGCGCGCCGAAGAATTATGAGGCAGCGTTTGGAAGTCTTTCGTCCTCGTACGGCACGAGCAGCGCCCTCCCCACTTTGCCACGCAAGGATAAAGAGAAAGAGAAATCAACGAAACAAAAGAAACTGTTTGGAAGTTCTCTGTTCTCGCGCAAAGGTGATGTGACATGTCCAAGCTTGCAAATGGTGATCGACCGTATTCTAACTGAGGCTACTGATAGGTGACTAATTCAGTCTGGCTGTATATGTTCGCGCCCTTACTGTTGCTGGGCCTAGGGCGAAGGTGTGTCCTCACGTGGAAGGTATTATTTCATTATTATAGTTGAATTATTCTAGGGCAAGTGCACAGATTAAAGATAGATTCACCCATCATCCCCACTGCTATAATCATTCTTATTATCTATTTTCCCGTGTGATGAATTTACTGTGCCGTACCCTCTGCCCTGAAGTCGCACCGTTAGCTGGCCGGGTACTCTATGTATTGATGCTGATGTTGAAGCAACTCATAGAAATAGGGGTTGTCGCTGGCTACTGATAAGATTATCTTGTACGCTGTCTAGTACGCGTTTGACGTACCATTTCCAACCCACCGACGATCATGTCTTAAGACTGCGGGCCTGAAACCCCCGGGCCGTTTACTTCCCGAATCAGAAGGGCCGCAGTAGTGCTAAAATTTACTACGAGTTGGTCAGATGTACGCTGCGGGGATGTTCGGTGCCCCAAGGTTCAGCATGCAAGTTCACACTTATCCATAATTATTTACTTCTTGGATGAAGAGAAGCCGCAGCACTATGGTGAGATTAACCGCAGTTGACACACCAGCGGTGGTCTGGCAGTGGCTGCGCACAATTTGTTCAAGCGCTGCCAAGCCTCAGGCATATACTTTACAACCCGACTGCGGCGGGACCGAGTAAGGGGATATCGTATTCACTCCATGTGACACGGCTCCTGAGTTTCTTTCTCTCGTATTCATCGGGGGACCCTATAATTCCAACGGTGTAGAAACACGACCGCGATTGAAGTATTGAGATATGCAGAAGGTTAGATCTAGGGCATCCGACATATTCGCACGCTCGGTTGGCGGATACCCTTTAACAATCTCAAATGTATGGTATGAGTCACGAAGAGAGCTTGGGCAAACGGTATATATAGGTGGGATATTGGTATTGCAACAGACAAGATAGACATCAACTTTCTCCCTCACAACAGTCATCCTCTCCCTTTTGACGCGGGCGTTTCTGGTCGATCACCCAACGAGCCGCTTAGCAGAAGATAAATGTACTCGTCAAACGATTCGATGACTACCTTAGTGAACAATGACAAGGGAAAGGTCGACAACTCCACCCGTGAGTATACCAATATTCATGGTGGATGAGCTGCTGCCTCCCCTCTATAATATGCAGAACCAGAGAACAGCTCCAAGTTAAACTCTTCGTCCACGAAGCAGGACATCGGCAACTCTTCGACGTTCGCAAAGGCGGCGAAGAAACAAGGATGGGGCGCACCTTCGGCTTCCAGACCCAGTCTTGGGATGTGACGGGCAATTAGAACCGGGCGTAGGGTTCTCGTGGGTTTCAACTAGCACTAGCTGTGATGTCTCAACTAACCCCGGTATAGGATGCGATTCGTTCGGGCGAGCGTCGAGGCAAAGGAACGGTTGGGGAGTGAATTTCGGTGCTTTCATTCCCACCCATAAATCATTATACATATTCAGTTATTAGCTAGGCATGATATCCAACAAATGCTCGGATGGATGGAAAGTTACATGAAGTCTTCCTCAAGTTCGCGGCCAGTCTTGCGCGGCGCGTTCGCATCGAAGTCTTCCTCGACTTCGAACAACGAGTCGTAGGACTTGGCGGCCTTTTCGGCCTCTCGTTGCTTGGCCAGCTCAGCATCAGCCTTCTTCTGTATTACATGAAGCGTAAGAAAGAGAGAGGGTAGAGAGAAGTGGAGCTGACCTTCTGAGCGGCAGCAGCTCTCCTGATCGCCGATTCCTTCTTTATTCGGTCGATTTTTTCCTGTTCATGATCGACGACCTTTTCGACCTTGGTTTTATTGAGACGATTCACGATGGGATTTTCCCGTTTTGGGACATGAACTTTGTAGGTATCAGAATCACTACTGAATTAAATTCCACGTGTCATACCTCGTTTGACCTAAGTATGGGAGTGAAAAGCCTGCGAAGATAACATAGAAAGATCATACCTTCTTGTCGCTGTGGAATGAAACTTGACCCACTGCCATGTCCCCTGTTTTCTATTTCTAAACAAGTTGACAAGATGGGCACGAAAGATGGCACAATCGACAAACCTTCAGATTGTCGGCTGGCGTGTAGATGATCGTCAAGTTATCTTTCTTGTTGCCTAAGCCCAGGGTTCAGCAGCGATTCTACAGATGGACCGGCTATTTACCTTCGATCGAGTTTGCCTTTACCAGCTGCGCGCAATCGGTGAGAAGATCCTCAGGAATGCCCTCCCAAGACATCCCGTCCGGCATTCGGAGATAGACGTGAGCAGAAGACAGTTTATCGACATGGAACCACACATCCTGGGGCCAAGCGTACTTGATCAAGTCCTCGTCTACGAATCAGGTCAGCGCGATACACGATGATCCTAGGACCTAGTGATAATTAACTTACTCTCAACCTTGTCCCGACCCATGTAGAGGGTGACCGGTGGGTTCGCAACTATAGAGAACTGTCAGACAACCTAGGTACCACCTGCACGCAGCCATACCATTAGATGTAAAGAACAAGACCATCTCCGGGAATCACGACGCCAGCCGTTCCAAGGTCGGAAGCAAGAGCTACATGATTTGTGGCGCGTTCCCAGGGTATGTCGGACAGGGGGGAACTTACTGAGGCTAGAATGACAGTACACTGTCACACAATTGCCTGACATATGGATTCCGGAATATAGACAATTTTTTCACTCTTCGTGAAGCAGTACTTACAACCATAGGCCCTATAGCTAATATACCGTGATGGCAACGTGCACTAGTAATTCAACGTACTTAGGGCGTGGGAATGGTTCGTTGGTCATCTATCGCGGTAGGCGCTCAGGCGCTCATTGAAGCCATTTCTCTTACTCAAACCTCCATATCATCTCTCGTCCTCTTCGTTCGTTTGTTCTGGTTATATCTTCACTGACGTTCAAGGTGGGCGATGAATACTACGGATTGAGGAACTGTAATCTGACATACGAGTTTGAAGATCACTTACACGGCGTAGTTTCCAGAGAATGCAACAACCCAATCGGTTAGGACTTGGTCTGCGTCCACCTTTGCCGTCATACGGTCAAGGGCCCTCAATATCGGCTCTCGCACAGCAGCAGCAAATGCACTCTATGCCGCCTCCAGCGCAGAGGGCCGCCACACTATTTGTTGGCTCCATATCGGGAGGAATAACTGATTCTTACATGAACCAACTTTTATCAGTGAGTCGGATTTCCTGGGCATACCTAGGTATACTGAGCATTTCGGCTTGCAGGCATGTGGTTTGGTCAGGTCTTTCAAGCGCCTCATCACCCCCGCGAATAAGCCACAGGGTTTTGGCTTCGCTGAATACGAAGATCTAGACGCGGCGCTCAGGGCTATGAACTTGTTGAATGGTGTTGAGCTACCGGCTCTGGAGGACGGATGCGCGAACAAAAAGCTTCTGGTGCGTCCCTAATATGCATCTTGGTACCTTCAAGCCTACTTCTAGATAATAGGTGAAAGCGGATGAGAAGACGAAACTATTGCTCGACGCACATCAAGCTCAGAAGATCGTGACAGATGTATGATTCAAATTTTCTTTTTCTTTGTCCCATACTGATGTAGAAAAGGCCGACGAAGCTTTGAACAAGCAAGCTCGAGCCAAAATCGACGAGCTTGTTGCTGACATCAACCGCGTTTCGCAAGATGCTGCCAACAGCGGTCTACTTGACAAGGAAAAATATGTCATCCCACCTCATCTTCACGATCTCCAAGAATCTGATCTTCCAGAAACGCAACGTGGTCTTGTCATTTCTGAGATTGCACAGTTTCGAGAACGAGCTGCGAAGCGTGAGCGGGAAAAACTACGGGACGTGCAGGCCAGCATTCCCGCAATCGTCGGAGCCCCCAGTGGTCCTAAGACGAGGGAGTGGGGAAAACCCCAAGGCCAAACTCCAGCAGCATCTTCAGGAACGCCAAAAGGTCACGGTAAAGGCGCACAGGGCTATAACAAACCTGTGGGATTCGTACGAGAGGAAGCTGCTGGCAATCAGGAGGACTCTCGGGCATCGTCACATGTGCAAAAGACTGACGAGGAGCTGGAGGCAGACAGGAAAGAGGCTAGGCGGAAAGACGAGGAAATTTCATTTAGAGATGTACGTCCTTTTACATTCGATGCACATACCCATCTCACGATTCTCAGCGTGAGCGGCGCTACGAACCCAGAGAAAGAAACCGTATTCAGGCTATAGAACGAAGTATCGCTCGTGAGCGCGCCCAGAGGGAAGCAGAGGAGAAAGATCGGATAGAAATGAGGGCACGGTTGGACATCTGGGATGACGACGAAAGTGATGAACTTTTCTACGTTGACCGGTAAGACTTTGTAGTTGCGTTTATCGACATTACTCATCGCTTCATATAGCGCGCGATGGAGACATCTCCGCGCCCGCCGACTAGAAACCGAGGAGGCGAATGATGCCAAGTCCCGCCTCATCGAGGAAGAAGAAACAGAATACCTGCGTAAAGAATCAGAGAGCTTCTTAGCGAGACAAATGGACGAGATGAATGCATTGGCAGAGGAGCAACGCAAAGCAGGGCTTCTGCTTGATGACGGTGCGCCCGTTCGATTGAATGTCTCCATAGCCGCCGCCCCTGCAAAGGAGCTCTCCAGTAAGGACAAGGCAACGGTGTTTGGGCAAGAGGAAGAGGAGGATGATATCAAGAAACGTAAGGTTCCTTTGGTTAAGCTCGACTTCAGCGCCGCAGAGAGCAGCGAAAAGACACAAGAAAGGCTGGAGAAGATCAAACTCTCTGTGCCGCACGACAAAGAAACTCTATTCAAAGCGAAGGTCCGCTGGGATGGTTTATCCGATGTAGGCGCGTTGTCTTTTGATGCTGAATCGCTAACGAGTTGTGCAGTCCATCATTGATAGGAAGTTTGAACCCTTAATCAAACGTCAAATGATGAAATATCTCGGTGAGATGGAAGAAGATGATTTAATCATGTTCGCACTGGAGCACTTGAAAGACCATAAGAGCCCACAGAAACTTGTCGAGGGCCTCGAAGCGGTGAGCCCTTTTCTCCAATTTCGTGAGATGTGTCCTGATCACGATGTGTCCAAAGGTCCTCGAGGAAGAGGCCGTTGAGTTCACCGTTAGCATATGGCGCCAAATCATCTTTGAAAGCATGGCCTACGGCGAAGGTATCCTCACGGAGAAGATGATGGTAGACTAGTCTGGCTTGAGGGAGACTTGGGATGTGATTGCCGCTCGTGTTTAAGGGGGCAGGTGCGTTGTGTAGTATTGGCTGTCCAAGGCTGCTAAAAATACAAAAGATACCCACCCACCGAGACAAATTTCCAACGCGTCAGAACGCCGAGTTCACCTATCATGTCCGGTACGTGCTCATCACCAACTCTGGGATCCTTGATCTGGTTGTGTTATGTACGCCATGATTGTACATTGTGGATGTTACGTGTCGATAAGACTGTCTCATCCATCGCGCTATCGTCATTGGTAAGAAGATGCTGCCCAGTCACTGTGAGTGGCTGCTTCTCAGCTTTGCATTTCTACGCAGCCGGGGATCTTCTGCACTTAAACAGCCACACTACCTCGGCGATATCGGGCCTTGCGTTTATCCACAGTCCCTGGATAGATTTCCAAAGCGGCCGGGAACCGTATTCGGCCCCTACCAACCATACTTCTGGATCCTGCGTTGATTCAACACTCAATACCCGCGATCCCTTCTAAGATACCAATTACCAGCCTCCAGCTGCAGCAACCTATGGCTCAGCCTTCGCTCCTCGTTGTATTGCTGCTCCTGCATGATCCGCTCGTTCTCCGCTTCCAACGATGCTATCATCCCCCTCAGACGCGCCAAAGTGCCGTCACGGTTTAATCCTTCATCATATACCTGCTTCCGTCGGCTGTCTGCTGCCCCTAGCCCAGGTTCTCTCCCATAAGTTGACTGATATAGTTGAGCTTGATATTTCGGCTTTCGCTGTGGCCTCATCGATTCGTTCCATGGGCCAGTTGCCGCCATCCCAGGCTCCATTCCATGATTTTGCGGAAATGGTTTGGGTTTTCGCATCTCATGCGACCCCAGTGGCTCGAATGGTTGAACACCCTGACCTTGCTTTGATAAAGGTTGCTCGGGGTACCCTGACGCATTGTATATCGGATGCTGGTGAGCCCAAGCGGGTGATGCGTCCTTGTGGCCTTTGCACAACTTTTCGTTACACGCAGTTGACCTCACGACAAATGAGCACTTACCAGGAGACACTTGGTACATAATGTATGTCAACCTTGGTGTTCTGATATGACGGTCATTATACTTATAGTTCGCTGATGCGGTGCTGGGCAGTGTACACCACATGTCGTTCTACGACATTGCCTCCAGCGTTTAGAGATACAGTGTTGGACTAGATGCAGTGTTGGACTCATGTTTCTCAAGAGATTAGTACGCTTAATTGTATCTTCGAGTCAGAGAAAGTATTTTCCTTCCTGGTCTCCGCCTCCAAGGATCCATGATACGAGAACCATTTCAAGGATATCTATTCATAACACCACGCTCTAGATAGGGATGGCCTCGATCCCTTGAAGAAACGTGCTGTCCCCCCCTTCTTGACGGTATACCTTCACAGCCTTCCAACCGGTGCTCCCCAAAAGTTCGTCAATATGAGTTATGGTGCGTTCCTGCGAATTGAAGAGGAGGAACATCTAAAATATTGATTGAGTGAATCAACTCAGTACACAAAAGTCACAGTGTGCGTACGTCGATATCCGCATTGTAGCCCATCTCATTGACAGCACCAAAGTTGGCGAGCAATGGGGCGGGCGCTTCGCGGGGAACGGCGCCAGGAATTCCGGACTTGTCGGTGCCAGGATCATGGCAAGCGAAAGGCATGATGCTGTCCATTAATACAAGCTTCGTCTTTGGGGCCGCCGCGACTCTCAGTTGAGTGAGTATCTTGACGCAGTATTCGTCGGACCAATCATGCAGAATCTGCTTTAATAGGTATACAGCTGCACCTCTTCGGGGCTGAGGCTCGAAAAAGTCGTGCACTACAAGTCTTGGATGGTAAGTTCTCCCTCCCTGAAGCTGCTGGTCTATAACAAACCTTCCAATATAACTTGGCCTGATTGAATGGCATCTGGCATCTTTTCGGCCCAAACCTGAGTACCCAAGCATTAATGAACACTCAGCAAGCTTTGAGGCAGATTCGGAAGCGCAGTAGGTACCTTCTTTCCGTCCCAAATCACACCTGATAAATCTTGGACCACGATTTTGATCCTAGGGAAATTTGCGGCAAGGGACAAGGAGGACGTTCCAACCCCTCCGCCCACGTCTACGACGAGCGAATCTTCTGGTAGGGTTTCCCAGTCGTACGCTGGTCACGCGGTTATACATTAACGACGATGAAGTTAGTCCAGCAGCGACACACACCGCCAAGGATTGCATTTGGAGGCTGCAGCGCCTGAATGCCCTGCATGCCAATGTCGAATCGGTGTTGGCGATCTCGCTGCTCGGGGTGCTCGTAGAAGTGCCACAGTGTCTCTTCAGAATTAATTGCCCTTGCAAACGGAGATGCTTTTGGGTCACCCGAACGGCGAGTCGCTGGGTCTGAAAGGGTCTCCCAGGAGTAAGCCGCCGCCTTAAACGCTTCATCAAGACTAAACAAATGCCATCCACAACTCAGCGACTGCAAATTCATAAGTCGATGATCATAAGTACTCACTGATGTCCAACAAGGGCGGCGAGACCTGGCGTTCCATCATGCTTGTGTTTGGGACTAACGCTATATGGGTATGTGTACACTAGGTTTGGAGCATGGGACTGACTCTGCGAATAGATCTTTCGTAGGTTTCAAAGTATCCATCATGCTAGAGATGCGATTGTTTGTGAATACATTGGGTTCGATTTCCCTGTAGATATGATTGGTGGCCAATATCCGGAGGAATCGACCTGACGGTTGCGTTCGTTAGATATGTAGGACATTGGAAGGGCACCGACAGGACCTACCCATCTTCTGGGGATCCTGACCATTGATAGCGGAGATCCCTTGAACGCTAAGACCCTGGTTGCGTGCGTGAGTTCTCTACCACAGGCTCTCTGGAGACGTTGGCTTACCTTGGGGCCTGCCTCTCGCAGAATCTCGGTCACATTGGATTCGAGGCAAGCACGGACGGCGGCAGCTTTGAAATGCTACAGGATGGCCCGCAATCAGTATGTGTATACTTGCATAGACATAAGCACAGACTAACACCGCCAGCAACATGATACAACGTCACCTGAGGAGGCATCAGAACAGCGGCAAGCTGTAGGGCAGCCGCACATATGACGTTCGCCGCCTCAGCAGCCACAGGAATACTACGGAAAGTTTCCGTCGAGGGGTGAAACGGTGCATTGAGATCGGGAATGGGGGTTGACTTCTGCGAGCAAACCGCCTCAAGGATCGAAGCGTTCTGATTGATGAGAACTATCAATTGACGTATAGGGGAGGTATCTGTATAGGACGGTTGAGACATTTGGTCGTCCTTGGGGGTGATTTTGGAAATGAATGAGCCCATAGGGTCTTTATGGCGGAAGGTTGTTCGTTTTATTTGCTTTTGGTGACCTCAAGTAAGCCTTCATTCCCATCCCAGTGGTCCTCAATAACCTTAACTGAATAGGGATGCCGTCCCACCCGTGGTTAGGGTCAACAAGCCTGTCGGCAATGGGTACAGTCGAAAGCTTGAGTACATGATTATGGGCGCAGATATGTAAGTGACGGCTCAATTACTAGTCCGCTTACACTACGGCGGACCCACGATTTGCCGCATGTTTAGGGACTGTAGGTGTATTTGCTGAGCGAGAGCCCATAGCCCTGCAAGAACATGGAGCATTACTAGCATGAGGGTATGAAGATTCTGAAGCGTCGCGATGGGCCCCCGAGTTTCAAATTGATATCTTCGGTTAACAGAGGCCTTCGAACTATAAAATTCAGCTTAGCACAGACTTTACGGCGCTTTGGGAAGCGTACCGGCTCGGAGGACTAGGCGGAAAGCGAATCCAAAATACTCGAGCGTCCCGGAATACATACCTTGAAACCCGTCAAATTATCGATACCCGAGTCGGATGGTCCACTTGTTTGCCACAGGGTAGCAAATCCGTACCCCTGATCAACCCCTTATATCAGAGGAACTCGAACGAGCTCGACTTCGGAATGCACATCAACATGGGACGAATACTGGCCAGGTCCCCGATTTCGATGCGTTCCTTCTACTCCCCAACCTACAGGGAGATCTGCGCCATTGGCTTGCTCATTTCCTCTGGCCGCTTATTTCACAACCCTTGCCGTGAAGATATCTTGAACCAATAGCGGCATTCGTGTTATTTCGACTTCCTGTGCGCAGAAGCCTGTGAATCTCAGGTCGCGAATGGATTGGTATCCAATCCATAGAGGGACCTGGTTACTGGTATGCGACGGTGACTTTGGATTTCGATGTGGGGATTGGATGATGCCGGTTTCCATGGTCAGGCATCACCTTCCACCCGGCAGTCTTCCATCACCTTGCCACACGCTACTCGATATACCACCACCTAAAACGAAAATCCTCCACAAATAGTACTTGCCGATTAGACATTTGGTGGCCCAGTCGAAGCCAACAACGGCCCTGGACAGATTTGAACCTATAATAACTAATCATAGAATGGCGCAATCAGGAGATCCGCCAGAGACTTGTGGAACAAACCTACAAAACGAGTCTTATTTGAAACTCGCTTCATTACCTTCCTCTTCATCTCCTGAACTTGGACGCCCTCCGCATCCGCATGTCGTAGTTTCCGGAGGGTGAGCGCTGAGCGGGACGTATGTAAACCGGGAATTTCCTTTAGTTAGCTGGCGCTGAGACAGAACTAAGCATTGTCGGATAACAGAGAAAATTGAGGACGCTGCGAAAAGTATCTTTCCATACATAGTAGAGTTACATCGGCGCATCATTAAATACATTGAAGTCCAAACCCTGCTTTACTTCTGCTACATATACATCAATCCGAGGGCGGATGCGGGGTGATATTGGTCGAATCTCCCTAGTCGGCGAGCGGGCTATTTCATATGTCGGCCTAGAGAAGCAAAAGCAACAGCAAAAGTGTCGATGAGCGTCCTTTAGTTCCACAGCATACTGTGGGAAGATAAGACACCAACACTATGCCGGTGTACTTCCCCCATCCAAGCCCAGATCCACTTTGAAATCAGAACGGCCCCCAGGGCTCGCTGGGTCTTGCTGGGTCTCACCAGGAATCTGATTATGAAACAATTACGGACTCGATGGTCCGAACTCATACTTCCATGGTGAGCAGATGCACGTACCTGCTGCAAGTCGGTCGCTCCTCCCTATAGTCGAAGGCGTTCAGGTACATATGACAGGCGGAGAACGATGGGCCTACCCGACGGAGTCGTTGAAAGGTGCCCGGGGGCACGTGCGTTTGTGGCGAGCTAAATTGTCGGAATTCCAAGCCCTACAGTCAAGGGGGAGACCAGGACGTGGATTGCAGGTAGCATTATATGACGAGCGGGCTTACCTCAGCCCCTGTAGTATTACCAACGGACAGATGGTCCACCTTCATTTTTTCGTACTCAACCCGGGCGTTTAAACTTGATAACAATGAGTTCGTGTAAAGCTTCGAAAGGGGAAAGTCCAAGGCAAAGTTACTGATGGAAGATTCAACCGCATATCTTTAGATAGGGGATTCAGACGTACTATGCGGTGTCCTATTTTCGAGCAGTGAGCTGGTAGCAAGGTGAGAAGCCTACGGGACTCACAGGGATGGCGATGAAAAGTATAACATCGAGGGAGGCAAAGATGCTCGTAAGCAGACCCGTTTGAAGCGTAACTGAGAAAGCCAAAGCGCTCGAATCAGAACATGACGGGCATTGGAAAACGAGGAGCAACATACACCGCATTATCTTATTGATCATGTCGTCAGTGGCCTTGACGCCCGTCTTTTTGCGATACTGATTGGGTATTATTAGTTGGGAGTCTGCGAAGTGCCCCGGAAAAAGTGTTTATACCAAGTGCACCAGCAGACTGGTCGTGATGATAATGTCCGCTATTGCCGATGAGAAGAGCCACGTCATGATCGCACCCTTCAACTCCTGGAGCCTTGCGAACTCGCGAATGATCGCTGTACATATGGTAGCAGCGATTGCGCCGGCTGTTGCGACAATTAATAAGCAGAAGCAAATAGATGGAAGATGGAAGATCATACTGAGTGAACAAAACGCGAAGAATAGTATTGGTGCCACGATTAGCATAGAACCACTGATGATATATATCCGCCGAGCAAAGAAGAGCTGGATCGGTGTTGATATGAAAGCCTGATGGAGACGGAAAGTGTCAATGTTCGACATATCGTGGGTGAGTCGAGCGGCCACGAACCATTACAATGGGATCTGATGAGAGAGCTTGATTAACACTATATAGAACACAAGAAGTGGACGCCCACCCGCAATCAACACTGGAACCAGACGATGAGTTAAGGATAATGCGATAATGTCAGCGTGGACGGACTCAATGGTACAAACTTGACAGCTTCTTCGGTTCCTATATCGATGATGTTAATGTTGCAGCACAGGAAGTCCGATGTAGACGAACCGTAACGCAATATCAACGGCTCATATATCAAAGCGATATCAAACGCCGTGTTAAGCGTCTCCATGAACAGGAGATAGAGGACCTATCGGGATTCAATTACTCGGATACGGAATCGTACAGGCAGGAGGGGCGTACCAGATAGTCAAGAAATGGCCTGCCGTAACTGAAAATGGCTTGAGCTCAGAGCGTGGTTGTCAATAAATCTGCTTACTCCTTGCGTGTCTGGTAGTACGTATATGTCTGTCGGCGACTCTATCAGTACGATCTAAAGTGCATTGTATAGTATATACCTGCAAAATGAGCAACTGAATCAAGAGCTTCAGCACAACTCAGCCAGAGATAAATGAAACACATACACCGTATAGCATGGAGTTTAAGCATACACCAATTAGCATTGGTCCGAACCTAACCGGTTCGTTCATGAGTGAGATATCTGTGAGGGAAATTAGATCGGCGATAGAGAAACTTACAACGAGTCAATTCCGGCCATGTCTGCAGTTGTGACGCTGTGGGGCCGCTCAGTCCCTTGCTTTTATACTATGCAATGTATGTGGGAAGCGAGTTTGGACCCGTTTGGTTAGTGGCGACAAGTACCTTATTTTCGTGAAGAAGCTGCACCGTGTATACAACGGCGCGAACCACATCATGATCTCGACTAAATTTAGGTCAATTAAGTGCACGATGAACGTTAGACAGGAAAGCGGTACGATACCATGTTCAGATACATTCCTCTGGTCCCAGTTGCTACCAGAAGACCACGTTCGAAGCTTGAATTTGGCTGTGAACCACTCAAGGTGACTCAACAGGAATGAACAGCGCCCAAGGAGCCAGTCATTCGGCGTCGACGACAGTTTTCTGGTGTTTCGAGACATCTTTCCAAGAACACAGGAGCGGCAATCTGTCTGATTTTTTTGTTGTTATCGCCTGTATGCAACATTGAGTGGCTTTAGTCCGCCGCCGCCGGAGGCGTAGGCACACGTGACCAACCTACACCTTTTCTCCTCATGATCAACGAATCGCAGATGTCGCTACGAAATGGCGCGAACTGTTATCAAAAAATATCCTATAGCGAATCCAGCCATTAACAGGAATCTCGTTGCTCCCTTGTTCTCTCGATGGCCTCCGTCGCTTCGAGTCGGGCGAATCTTGCGTTCGACTGAAATTGCCACCACATATGCTCTGTCTCATATTGTAACATATCTCTCATTCGGCCAGCAACCACGCTTTACGGCAGCTGTGATTCGTGCACCATTGGCGCTCTTCCCATCTCCAATACCCCGAGACCTGTTTCAGTTGGCACAGAGACTGCAGCGGATATACAATGAGCTGTATGCGAGGATTGCTACGGACATCGATTTCATGAATCAAGTGATGGTTTCGAAGGAGTGGGCGAAATGGATGTGGGGAAGCAATGATCAGCATCAGCTCATGTGGCTAGCATTGTTGACACTGACTATCTCTGCAGACGCTGCATCTCGGTTTATTCCGATTGGATTACCTCCTGCATGAGAACGCAGACTCGACTCTATGACTGAAGCAGGTCGAAACTGACGACGAGACTGAATTACTTGCTTGATTCTCATTCATATCAACGTGGGGGGGATCATTGGTTCGAATGCAACACTATATCGTCCGTAGTGCGTGTCCTCTGCGTCGTGCAGGCAGGGGAGCGGAATACCTTTGGTCATCGGTGGCTTGATTTTTTGTCGACCTCACATCCCGGTTGTATAGGCACTCCATCCGCGTCGTACGACAGACGTTTGGCGACCTAGCTACGTCTGCACGGTTCGATCCACAGACTTCCGCCCTTCGTATCTCGCGGGCAGGCGGACCTGAAGTGGTAACATCCACGGTGTATTTCCGCGCTGGATTCGCGTCAACGGATTATCCGAGGCCACGCCATTGCCAGACCCGATTCCTGCTTGAGCAATCCTCTGCGACCAACCGTCCTCCCATCCTACTATAGCTCGCTGGTGGGAAGAACATGCAGCAGGTCCTTGCGCGGCCGGGCATCTTACAGTTCTTCTTAGGGATGCGAGCGAGGAGGACTTGGATGCGATTCGTGGTAGGTAGAGGAGAATGTGGGGCTTGGATCTGCAAGAGGAAGTGCACACGAACGAGACTACTGAGCCGCTTGCGGTGCAATGGAAATCGTGCTGAAGCCGCAGAGAGACGCCGACAGGAACAAGAAAGCGATTCCTAGATTCCTCGACGAACTACCGGTATCAGATAGGAAGGCTTGGGTCACCATGGAGTCGATTGTTCCTCCGAAAGGGACGGCGAACTAGTTAATATGAGCCAGCAGCGTCGCGGTGAGGACGGAGGCTACAGGTTTTTATGTTTTCAACTCAACTGTATTGATGGATGTCTAGCTCAAGGTCAATCCCTTCGTCTCTATTCTGTTCTTCTACATGCCCTAACTTCCGATTTCTAGTAGTCTATGTGATTATGGAGATTTTTGACTTCGATGGTATCATTCGTAGCTTCGTGCACCTCATACTTGCCTGCAAATCATTCTTTCCGAGTCCGCATTACTTACCCGACATTTTACCACCCGAACTTTTTCCGCTGACATATAAATCCCGAGTCGCTGAGGTTCAGAGTTGTGAAATGCTGTGGCTTCTATTACTGGTGGTTGCAGCTTCAGCTGTACTTGCAACACCTGTTGTGTATGACGGACGCGTGCCATTCTCGTTCCCGGAGGCGAATCTGGATACTTCCACTGGCCCGTTCCTAACGTGGGCTTTGCGCTTCTCAGTAGCCAATTTGTAAACTGACTGGATGCCTTGCGTAGAGTGGTCAAGGGCACAGAGTCTGCAACTCATGTACATTTCCCTCACCATTTCCGTCGAGGAGCCTCTCTGACTTGTTCAACCCAGTATAGTTCTGTCTTGGGACACACCAAACGCCCGACCCCTCTCTGGGACAAAAGCCCGATCCCCTTCCTCCCGCTTCCCATCTTCACTGTACCCACGGAGCAGGTGATATCAATGAGAATTGACAACACATCGGTCTTTTTTCCCGGTGGGAACAACCCCCAATTTGGTTTCCGCCGCACAGAGCTGCTTGCGCAGGCAGAGGAAGGAGGGCCCACTGCGTTGTTACCGGATATCGAGGAGGGCGTAACGGCGTTTCATTTCTCGATTCAGCTGGACGAGCGCTTTCCTTTGAATTATGATCATGAGTACCAGATCGTTTTCATTGAGACTAGTGACGGATCCCATGTTTTCGGAGTACAATTAGGTCAGTTGTAGAATTGATCCTTCTGATTCGAGCTAATGATACACCAGGATCCCCTTTCACAAATCCTCCCGGGCCACTTCCAGCGCCAAATGCGCATTCGTTCAAAGTCCTGGACCACTCCCTGAACGTCCTCTTCTCGGCTCCCTCTTCTACGAGATCGTGGCACAATTTCGCGGTACTGGTCGACTGGGATAATCTTACGCTGAAAGTATATTATTCGAAAGACGGCGCGCCGTTAAAGCCTGTCACTGGTACCATACCTAATCTGAGCGTCTCCCCTGGAGGTCCTGGCAAGGGTGAATTCCATTTTGGCATTTTGAAGGTAAGGCGGTTTTTGGTTCTTCGTGTTGCTGATGAGATGATTCTGATTTTGTGTAGCTTCCGTTGGTTGATCCGAACGACTCGCCTTCAGACCAAGGGGATGTCGTTCACCATGGTATACAGGAGGGATCCACTGAGGGCTTGTTCTATTCGGGTGTTTTTGTCGAGAAGGTGACAAAAGGCGTTAGCACTGGTTATGGGAAGACTATTCGACCTTAGGCGTCTGCGCTACCGTTGATGAACTTATGTGGTAACCCAAGCTATTATTGAAACCTCACCACTGAACCTGAAGTTTCTGGAAGCGACTTGAGCATGGTGGGGTACGCGGATCCTCATCGTCTATGCATCGTCTACTAAACCCCCAGTGTTACTTCTCTGGTTCGAACACGTGACAGCTAGACTCGAAGAGAGACAGTGACACCAAACGATGGTGATTGTCTCAACCTCGAATGTCGATGGTTACTCTACGGCCCGAGGACCTTTACATTACAAACCCAAACGATGTGATCTACGGCTACCCACTCTTCAACGAGCACTCATACCCTACCCAGGCACAGTTCTTCTAGTTCCACTCGCCTGAATGTGCGCCCAGGCGCTGAAGTGAAGCGGCGATTTATAGATCGACACCATTGAGTATTGCCTAGCTTAGGCCTCCAACGAGGAGATTTAAACGCTAACAACAAGTCATGCCCTGTTCCTCGTCGAATTTCTTGTGCGTCACATCCAGTACGAGTCCAGATACACACACAAACTGACGCGGTGTCCCCTTTCCAGTGCGCGCCGAAGTGATCATGGCGCTTCGGCGGGATGAATGGGCATTCTGTCCTGACGAAGAGACCCTTGAGCTGCTCGCAAAAAACCTCCTGGAGAACGGCGAGCGCCCGACGGATGCCCGCCGGAGTTGGGAGACGGAATGTCCATGCTCGTGTCCACCAACGACTGCCAAACAGTTGCATAAACGCCTGGCTGTCCACTCCCGTGACAAAACTGAAGCATCCGTGGATATCTCCAGCCTTTTCGAGTGCTCCGTATGCGGCGGTCCCCACGATAGCTGCACCCAGGCGAACAGCCCGACATACGTTGGAATCAACCTCGCCGACGAGACATACAACCATCGCCGAACCGCGGTAGATGTCTGCCATTTTCGGGAGCTCTTTCTGCTTTTCCTCGTTTTCATCTTGGGGGATGCATATTGCATCAATCCAAATGGGCAGCTTCGTGCGACGGGTGATCGACAATGTGCAGTGCCTGCGTTGTGACCTTTCGACCAAACCATTGGACCCACTCACTACTTGGATCCCAAGCATACGACACCGCAACATATTGGAGATCGGGATAGTACTCAACTTCGATGAGCTTCCCTTCGTACACCAGGTTACGCGGCTTCGCATAGACTGCGAGACCATGACTGGGCCTATACAAGCCGATCTCAGTACCGCCATCGAGAAACTAGCATATCATGGCTCAAGCCCTGCCACCAAGCTGGGCATGGGACGTCAAGTCCGCTCTGAATTGTCTCGTGCACGGTCTCGTCGAACACCCCACATCGATGACGGCTGGCATTGCCAAACATCATCGACCCGCAGTTATGTACGGTGCCACTCGAACATACCCACGGAGTATGGCCCTATGGGTGCTCAGCTTGGTCGGTTTTTCGTTGGTGTAGCTCATGCTGTAGAAAAGCGAACGGAGGGGTCTTCGAGTTGAATCATACTTCAAGCCTCCCCCCCCTTTCGGTCTCACGAGGCTGTTGAAGAAGCAATAGAGGACCATATGGATCGAGGACCTATGTTTAAAAAGGGCTTAACGTTAGACCAGTGCAACTTGTTCGGGAACGCGAATCCGGGTCGGTTCTCGCTGTTATCGTACTCATCGACCCCGTGAATCGTATATGTGGGTATTTTCGTTCACCTCCAGTTCTTCTTGGTGCCTCTCAGTGCAGCTTATCGTCATATCTCAACCATAGCATCGAACTTAGCGCCTTCCTGGAGTCCTTGTTTCGGTGTCGGCGCTAGGCAAATCGTTGCATCGTGCACCACTGTCTGTTTCTCGCGCACTACATTTATTCGCATGAACACCTTCGCTCATTATTAGTTAGAGCAGTCAACCAGTCGTCTGGCGCCGAGGCGAGGTACATGCGCTCTCCCATCAATCAATCAACCATAATCAATGAATATCAAAGCCACACAACCATGCCATCAATTCACCGGCAATGTATCAGTCCACAGGACCGATATCAAGGGGTCAGCATTCGCCCACAAGATCAATCTAGAATGTAGCTTTCCCCTATCTTTTGTAGCTGACAATGTTGAACCTTTAGTTCCTAGGCTTACAATGATCTGCTCGAAGACCCGAATAAAATGTCGTCTCACTTAGAGACATCGTAAACTGCTACTAGCCAGTCCGAGCCCTTGAATAACACCTCGAACTTGGTTGCTTATGTATTGATCCGATGCTGCTGGGTAACATACGTAAGTTGCTGGACCCACACTGCTTCAAGAACTCACATCATCTGCGCTCAAGAATCAGATTGTAGGCACTCTGTGATAGAATACCCCAATGCAGTCTATTGTGTCCCAGCCAACACTCCGTCTCAACCACAGCCCCAAGAGCGTGCTCTTGTCTCTTTTAAAGGCAGTATCATGAGTAGCTACAATGACCGTCAGGTATCCACTCCGCCAATAGCTGCACCCATACTACCATCTCATGAGCCATGAATAGCCAACTTAATGACTCTATTATATCCCTAGGATTCGATCTGTGAGTGGAACACCTATATTTGTTGAGTCTCAACACTCAACAACCCTTAATCTCCGCGAGATGGTCCATGAAGGTGGGTTTACCAGCTGCCTCATCATAGCATTGGCCACTAATATTTCGTCTGCCATTCACCCGTAGCTATATTGGGTTGCTGTATCAGCTCTTTGGGTCTTCGATTATTTCCTTACCCTTGAATCGGAGGTTATCATCATTATCCCTCGCACAAATAGGTCGTTTCTCATCGGAATTTGATTCTTTAGGTAAACTTCGGGTGGAAAGGGAAGAAGTCAACGAGTTCGTGTTATCCATGCCCTACCATGCTTTCGTTACTGAATGGGTATCTCTAGTTTTTTGGTTCTTTATCCTAGTCCGTGATTGCTATTATGCCGATCCAGCGGGCCAACGTGCTGACGGCTAGACCAGAATCGTTATTTGGCCCCCTGCTTCATTATAATCACCCTTACGGGCAAGTACCTCGAAAAATAACCTCCTGCAGTGACTTACGTCTGCTACAAAGATCATTTCGCCGCCGGTTGGGACATAAGGGTGAGCGCCTCAACTTTACTAACCTTCATGTATCTCATTGAGTCCTTATACTTAGATGTACGTATCAGAAATGCTATCACTCTCACAAAGACTGACTGCTGTTCAATTTAGCTGTAAACGATATGTCTTTATGGAAACATTGGAGACGATGCTTCTTACGTTCACAGCAGAAGTCTTCCTCACACTCCGGTATGTCCAATAAGGCAACGCTACACACCCCTGACTTACACTTTCCCTAGGGTCTTTGCACTTCTGAAGCGCAATAGAGCAGTTCCAGCTGTATCTATCATTATTCTTAGTTGGCAGTGGGGCATCGCCCTGTATGCCATGTCGCAAAGTTCGCAGGGGACTGTTCAAAATGCACTGCTGCTTTCGCGGCGTGAACCCCCCCTAGAGCTGCCTATGCTCCCTAACACTGACCCCTACCATAGTGAGAATGTCTTCTAATCATCCCAAAATGTTTACTGACATACTATAGTTTGCCTCTTCATTACGACCCTCACAGTGTCAGCAGTTTCTTTATTGGTATGATAATCACTCATAAAGAAACAGGGCACCGTGGGTTGAGGCTTATCTTTGCCTCAGCCTTGCATTTGATTCCCTCGCATTTATGTCAATCCTCTACGCCGGTTTTGTAGCATCGCGCCACCATCATATCGGTGTAGTATTGCGTGTCGTATACCGGGATGGTATCGTTTACTTCTTCGTTCTTTTCTCCTCAAATCTGGTGTGGCTCCTTCTGCTCCTCTACGCACGAGTGGGTATCACAGATCCCTTCTCTACTCCTGACGACTGAAGTCAGTCTTTACAGACAGGACTAAAGCTCATGCATAATCAGTAAGTGACGATAATAACTCATTGCAATCAATCTCAAGTTTCCTTTCAGAGCGGCTATGGTGTACGTGTGTCCGATTCGATGCATATTGTCACTCCAACCTTTGAACAATTTACAGCATTTCGTCAATCATGATCAACCGCATCACACTCAACTTGAAGGAAGCTAGCACTAGGCAGTCTATCTTTACCTGGAGTACCCAGACGTTCCGACAGCTCAACTTTACAGATGATGGTCATTCTGTGGATTCTGAAGATACAAACGGCACCGAGCTGCGCCCGTTACGTCGGGGGGTGTAATTTGGCCAAATCATGAACATGTAGTAATACATCTTGTTCAAGGCCCGTAGGATTAACTGATTGTGTACGTGATAGATCTTTACACGAGAGGTTCCAAGGTTTAAAGAAGACGTTGTAGCCCAGGTCAGACATTGATGAAAGAATAACAGGTCAGCTGGCCTTGTTCGCTAATGAAGAGTAGGGATGTCTACATGTTCCAGAAGCGAACTAGAATTCTCCACGTCTTTCTCAGCGCTTGGGATTAGATTGGCAATACCGACACCACGTAGCTGCGTAGCCTCTTCGCCGTCGAAAAGGGCTGAAGTTTCTTCAAGGGTACGGTTCTTCGTCTCGATAACGAAAAAATAAAGGAATACAAGTTCGAGGACAAGCCAGCAACAGTACACAATCTATGCATACTCAGATAGCTGCTGAGCCATCCTGGGAGGAATTTTGCGGCGACGTACATAGTATTTCCATTGAATGGCATCCAGCGCGACTGGGTTGATGTATTGGTTGAAGATCACCGACAAGGAGACGGCGAAGTTAAAGACCATGAATCCTTTAGCTCGGAGCGGGAAAGGCAGGATTTCGATTGAGTATGAGATGATGAGAGGCGTGAAGGCGAGGCTACACTAGAGATTAACACGGGCATCCAGGTTAAACAATGATTAGAAAAAGCTCGTACTCGTAAGAAGCATAAAATAGGAATATGAACGCAACAACAGCGTGCGCAGCGGCATGCGAACTGTGGATGGCGAATTCGGCGGAGCATACCAGCTTGCATGGTGAAGAAGACGAGCATGCCCACGGCTGAAGTGAGGAATAGCAGTCGTCGGCCCAAGCGATCGCACAGAGCGGCTGCAAGGAGCGCCCAACCCAAGTTCCAAATTTGAAGAATCCCGTTGATGCAGGCCTATACGGTGAAGGGATACATCAAATACTGGTCATTACCCTTCAGGTGTGATACATCAACGACTGCTATGACAGTGCGTACTGAGTGATATATCAATCAGTTAATACACGTGCTCTGATGCTTGTAAGGGGACACTCCTATTTTCTCCTATTCCCCTGTCCCCCTCCCTTCCTCCTCGTTCCTTTCTCCCTTCCTTCATCCCACGGACTATTACTTACATTCCCTTTGTTCCCCTTTGTTCCTTTTCGCTTCCTTTCCTTTCCACTTCCTTTCCGCCCACTCCTTTCGCATCCGAGCTACATCCGGTGACTCCGAAGTCTTCCCGCACTTCGGACTCGCCCCGGACACTTCGGACTCGCTCGGACTCGCCTCGGACACTTCGGACTCGCTCGGACTCGCCTCGGACACTTCGGACTCGCTCGGACTCGCCTCGGACACTTCGGACTCGCATATACACCTCGGGGCTCGTCCGGGCTACCTCTATCCTCCTCTCCCACTTCGTTATCCCTTGTTCCCACTTCCCCAGGTCGCCGGCACGACTGCTGTACATTCCCCTTCCACTTCATTATCACATGCCCCTTCGTACCTTGTGATATTCGTTCGTACCTGTGGCTGATGTACTGTACAGTTACCCTTCATCCCTCCCACGCTACTACAGTATATACTTCGCTTCCTAGCATGGAGAATCCTTATCCTGTTCTCTTTGGATTCTCCCTCTGCTAGGTGAGCAGTTCTCTCATGTATTGTAGTTAGTCTTATTCATTACTTTGGATTCTCCCTCTGCTAGGCTTGCACTGTGCGGCCATCTTGAGGTTGCCCTTACAATGCCCAGATTTGGATATCTGAGCATGTGCAATCGCGTGGTTGGCTCGTCGGCGGTTTGATAGTGTGACAGCTCGGTATCATTGGTCTTCGACCACCTTCCCCGAGCCCTTCCTGTTTACTTATCCCCCCGATACTCCATAGACTCGACTCAGTATATTCTTCTCGCATGTAACCATATATAGATACCTATCCCCCACAGTATATAAAGGCTCCTACCATGTACTGTTGAGGCAGCGTACTCGAATACAAGTGTTATCCTTATCACTTCCTGTTCGACTGCCTCTCCCATGTGTCACGACCTTAATGCTCGCGCCACATATTTTTGATATCCCCAACGCTCTCTCCACCTTCTTACTTGTTACAATAAACAACCCCGCCGGACGACCGCCAGTCTGATCAACTAGCCTCGCACCGCCCCCACTTCCTTATCCCTCATTTACCATGACTAGAATCCACGCAACCCGAAGCCGCACTGCACGACACACAACGGCCCCCGAACCCACGGAGCTCACTGGTGAGTCTCCACGTATCCTCCTCCCTGCCAACTCTGAAAATCATTCTGTGGTCTCTGACTCTGAACTGGGCAAAGTCCCTCCGCCGACCCACGCCGCCGCTCTTACAGCGACATCGTGGCTAAGCGTGTACCCTCTACTGAGGAGAAACCTGTTAATAAAAACATGTTACCTCTTGACGAAGAGATACAACACACTGAAACCTTGAGAACCACCGGGGAAGAACTGAGCGCTGTCCAGGTGCAAGCCGTGGACCAGGCAGTTGACAAAATGACCGCCGCCGATAGAAACCTGATTGCACGATGCAGTCAGAAGCTGCGGGAACAAGCTTGGGCCCATGAGCAATCCGCAGATCCTAGAGACGGCCCCTCTAAGGATAAAGGCAAAGGGGTGGACCCTCGTAATTGGGGGAACCTCGAATTCTCCGATAGTGAGGAAATGAACCCTGCAGCGCAAGCACAGGTGTTTGAAAATTGGAAAAAACTGCAGCGTGAACAACGTGAGCAACGAGCCCGGCTTGACCATCACCAAAGTCGAAGGAACCCACATGTGGAGGAACCGCTTCCAGTAGGAGCACCACCTGTCCAAAATGTAAATGAGGACATCCTGCGTGAGCTGAAGGCTCTTCGAGCTGAAACAGCGGAATTGAGGAACACCCAGGAGTCTAAACAACCCAAACGTAAACATGCCAGGATCCAACTGCCTCAGGCAGATCCCATATCAGTGTCCCAAGGAGTCGCCTCTGAACGACAGCGACGTGACCCCACCAAAAACCATGCCACATATCTGCACCCTAGCCAACAGCTTCCCCCCGACAGTTACTTAGGGAGGGCCCTAGGGCCATTACCTCGAACTTGTCCCGTAATCCCAGATGGAAGCGACGATCCCAAATCTTCATCGGAAGATGACGGTTACAATCCATCGTCCAGTGAATCAGGCGAATCCTTGGAGAGCTCCAATACCTATCGATCATGACGTCGATCTTCGAAAAGGAAGCAATATCGGGACAAAGTCAAGAGGCGCAAGGTCTGCTTAATTAAACCTACGCCCCCGGAACCATACAATGGCCGTGTGGACAGTCAGGCTTTCTTCCGCTTCATGCACGAGGCTAAGACCTATGTAAACAAAGGTCAGGTCAAACGAAGATACCAGGTATTGTAGTAGTGAATGTACACATAGACTAGTAGTGTAGTCTAATACAATGCGAGGGTGAAAACGAACAACTGAGAAACTTTGGATGCTTTGGATGCTTTGGATGGCTTTGGATGGCTTTGGACGCGCTCGGACGCGGAACAAACAACTTGGCTTCGGATAGTACGACAAGGACGGCAGGAGAATGACAAGGACGGCAGGAGAATGACAAGGACGGTAGGAGAAACTGGCTTCGGATCGGACTCGGACTCGGACGACGGCGAACTCTGACAACGGATGAGGAGAAAGCTTTGGACGGCTTAGAATCTGACTCGATGTGGGGGGGAAACAAGTCTGATTCTTCTAAGTACGAGTATAGACGGTTTTTGTAGGTAAGAAAATATTGGAAATCTCCGAAACAAAAAGGAACCAGGAACAAATAATGGTGCTAGTATAGTCCAAATATTAGAGTCCGAAAACAAAAGAGAGACTAAACATTGATCCAAGCTGTCTGATCCGTTATCACGTGTGTCCGGTACGGGTTCGTGATGTCCGAGTCATGTGCGAGCGCGTCCGAAGAGTTGGAGAGGGGTTGATAGGGGATAGGGGAAGCCAGACTGCACGGAACGAAAGGGTTTAACCCTTACAGTATCTAAAATCGCTCGGTACTTACAAGGACAAGCTTACACGTTCTACGTACGACAAGTAGCCTTTAACGCGGAGCAATGGACCTTGGACCGGTTCTTCACTGAAATGATTGACTTCTGCTTCCCGACAAATTACATATCTAAGCAGCGCAAAATCCTAAAAGGGATGTATCAGAACGGCAAAACTGTCAAGGAATACGTATCTGAGTTGATTGAGATGTTTACCATTATTGGGACAGTCCTGGAACGAGAACGAGTCAACAAACTTTGGTTTGGTTTACGTTCATCTATTCAGCAAGACCTCTGGAGAGATTGGCGGAACCCAAAACCTCATCTTGGGATGAAGTTGTCTCCTCTGCCGAGGTAATTGAAATCGCACAATCCATGGTGGTACACTGCAGAGGGCAGTCCAGTTCTGGTGACACCCCGCCAAAACGGGGAGGAAACTCGCGGTTCCAAGCTAAAGAGGATAAAACGAGTGCCTGACCCAATGACAATGGCGTCAAATCTAAGTTCGTACCGAATCAAACATACACACCTTCATGGAATAACAATGATTCTCATAAACCTAAGTGGCGAAGTGGAGGACCAGCCCCGCCCAAGACTGATCGGCCTAAGTTGTCAGAACAAGAGATGGCACGCCTCAAAAGTGAGGGCCAATGCTACTGCTGCAAAGAGACCGGCCACATGTCCCGCCAGTGCCCCAAGGCACATACTGTCGTGTCGTCGTCGTGAGGGCCTCCAGGGATTCCAATGCATAGCATTGACATGGCCTACATTGAAGAAGAGCCCGAGGACATTTACGAGGCTCGAGATGTAGAAGACACCCTTGATGCGGTCCCCTTGGGGCATATCTCGTTCGATAACCCTCTCAAGGATAATGACCCGCCGTGTCGCACGACTCTGGGGATTGCAGAACTAATCAGTTTCTATACAACTGCCTGTGAGTTGAGACTGAACACTACGGGAGACCTCAACCTACCTGGAGATGAGGACCTCCACCCACTGAGCAGCTTCTGGGATGAGTTCCGATTTGCAATCACTCAGATCTCAGATGACGAAGTGGTCGTTGAAGACTGTAGGTGCGAGGGAGGCTTTGATCACCTCCCCTTAGCGAAATTGCTGAACCCCAAGTTTGAGTTCATGCACTGGCTAGCGACCTGAAGGGCGCGAAACCTAGGGCTGCCACGCTCAAGTGTCATAATGTTCCAATCGCAGGGATGCATGGGGGACATTATAGCCACCATGTTGCAAACTTCGTTGGCTAGCGAAGGGCCCTACCCAGAGAGCATGCAGCAGCAAGACGATGGGTTTGAACTGGACCCTTCACGGTTCATCGTCGAATGGATGCCTCGAGAGGAAGCCTTCCTCATCACTGACAGACTCACTGGCCTGATCCATGCCTTGGACAGGCTACACCTGTTGAACCACAACTTCAATGTGATTGGCTGGTTCCTGAAACAAACACTGAACACATGGAAGATCATCACCGAAGATCAAGACTCATCCGATCTTGGCCAATTCTTCATGATCGCCGAAAACGACGACGATCCTGAGCTGGTTGAATTCATCTTAAGGCTCATTGATGGGTTTCAGGAGATTGATGCCCCCAAAGCACCTGCCAACGAACCACCGTTAGAGCACCTTGAATTGTTTGGACAACAAGTGAAAGCAGGAACTTACGCTGCACTTCAGAGGAACTCTGTGGTAACCAAGGACTACTCGCGCATGGTCCCGGAACCTGTAACTATCACGGTAAAAATCAACGGACAACCCGCTCGTGCGCTAATTGACTCCGGATCGCTGGGTGACTTCATGTCAACCACATTGGTAGAACAACTAGGCCTAAAGAAAATTCAGCTCCCCACCCCGCTCGCGGTGCAGCTTGCGGTACAAGGATCCTGATCCAAGATCAATTACGGCTGTAGGGCCAAAATCAGCTATCAGTCCATTGCAGAGGAACGATACTTCGACGTCATAAACCTATCCAACTACGATCTCATACTTGGAACCCCCTGGCTATATCAGCACCAGGTGACATTTGGTATCAACCCCATAGAAGTCACGATTGGTAGTGCTAGCTCCGTCCCAATGAAAGGAGCAGGGGTGTCTACCCTAGCATCCCAAACAATAAGCCTGTATGAAGGAAACCTGGAACAAATCAGGAAGGAACTTCGTGAGTATGCAGCATCTCTATGCCTGACGGCAGAAGAAACACCCCTACCCCCGTTACGGGCCATCAATCACACCATCCCCCTCATTGATGAGAATAAAGTCTACCACTGGCGTACTTCGCGATGCCCAGAACCACTGCGTGAGCAATGGAACACGAAACGAGCGGCGTACGTCAAAACCGGACGTTGGAAAATGTCATCGGCCGGAAATGCTGTCCCCATGCTGCTCATTTACAAGCCAGGTATGGATTTGCTACGATGTGTCACGGACTTGCGCGAACGCAATGCCAACACCAGGCGAATGTCATTGCCACTCCTGGTAATTGAGGCCATTATAAGATGAGGTTTTATGTGATGTGGAGGTTCCGGTTAAGGAAGATAGTCACGGCACACGAGAGATCTCAACAGACAGAGTGAAATCGTCGTATTGAGAAAGACTAGAGAGAGAAAACATTCCAGTAAACTACGAGCCTTTATATACTTCTATAGGTAGCATATATCATATGATAACGGAGTCAGGATACGAGACGGATAACTTGTGGAATAGGAAATGATAAGATAGGGTACTAGAGAAAATAGGTCAACCGGGAGCCGGGTCGTTACATACACCCTCCCGAACTCATGCAGAGGAGTTCGTACTGTCCACCACGGTCCCAAGGTACATGTCCAACTCCCACTCCTCGGGAGCATCTACCATGTTGATGTCGTCAGCGAGAGTTACAGCGCTGGAACTGGCTACGGCGTTCAACAGCTCGCCGGAGGCATTAGTGTTCATCGAGCTCGCGGTGGAGTGGACGATGTCGGGGGAGATGGGAATCATGCCCACAAACGGTGCGGTGGTAATGGAGGGAGGACTGGCTGGAGGGGTGTTCATACCAACCTCTGCAGCAGCCTTCTTCTTCTCCCTCGTCAACTTCTTTCCCTTAATCCCATCAGTTGGTGCGACACGAGCCCTTTTCTTCTCAGTGACGACCTTGCCGCCGGTGTTCTCTGTATGTTTGGCCTTGGCAGGAAGTGGGGTAGGGCTGATTAAGGCAGGGTCCACGCCGATCGATGGCGCAGAGAGGGAAGTGGGGAACAGGGAAGGGGCATCAGGCCCGAGGTGGTCCTCGATAAATGCAAGCCCGAGCTTCCCGAGCAAGTTGTGTTCACGGCGAATCCTTTCACGGTGTTGCGCAGCGCGGACCTCCTGCTGAGAGTTGCCTCTGAGACCCATCTTCTTGAGAGAGGGGCCAGTGTGTTCAACGTGAGCAGCTCCTGTGATGGTGTCGAAGGTCGAGAACTTCCCGTCGACATCTGGCTCGAGGTTGTAAACACAAGCAAAGTCCTCGTAGCCAGGTGGCAAGTTGGAGGAGGTGGTGATTTGGTTACGACCAATATTGTAATGAGCGTTGACAAAGGCGTGTATGGAGTCGGCGAGAACAACATTAACTGTCTTCTTCTTGGGGTTGTAGAGATGGTAGACGCCAGGCGAGGGTGACGAAAGGAGTTTGTGAAAGGGGGCTACGTGGTTGCCTTTAGCCATGATGGAGTAGGGATGGATTGAGTGGAGAACGAGGTGTGGGGAATTGTTGGGAAGAGGGTGATGAGAAGGGGGAAGGCCGCAACGAAGAGTTGAGGCAACTTGGTGAGTGCAATTCACGCAAAGTTGTACTTCCTTTATATCTTGTTGCTCAAGGTCCATCCCAATATAGCCCATGAACATAGCCATGTTGTCTTCCGGAGGGATACCAGATCCCATTGGTAATTCCTCTATTGTATCCACTCCGGCCACCTCAAGATAGCGCTCCAAAGCGTGTAAATGCTTAATTTCGCGGTACGGTAGCCAAGTAATGTCACTGGAAGCCCACTGAATTTCAAAGATAGACTCAGTCTTCATTCCTGAATGCGAGCGAATATCCTTAATGGCCCATTCCTTTCCCTGCGACTCAACACTGCTTATTTGATCCCAGGAACGGCCAGGAAATAGTCTATCGTCGTTTGGGACATGCATTCGCAATAACGACGCGTGGAAAACATTGTGCATTCCTCGCTGGACAAGGTCCCTAGGTAATTGGATCTCATACGAGCTATTGCCAAAGTCCCTGCTGATTAGCAAGGGACCGATAAACTTGGGAACAAATTTCCGAGCCAGACCTCGAGGGAACGTAATGTTCTGTGTTGATACATACACCAGATCTCCCCTTGCGAACGGACTGGGACGGCGCCTTTGATTTGCGTTGTGCGTCTGCTTTACCCGCGCGGCAATAAGTGAATCATGCGCACTCATAATCCCATCTTTCACTCGCTGCGCAAAGACCCTCACGCCAGGGAACTCGTTCTCTCTTGGCGAATCAAATATGAAGGACTTTGGCATACGTCCTGTGTTCAAGAAGAATGGAGTGTAACCTGTAGACTCCGAATGGGCCAAATTTATTGCAAACTCGATGGCTGGCAGTTTTGCCACCCAATCCCGTTGATTCGCACCAATACATTGCCTTATCATCTGAGTAACGGTGCGGTTCATTCGTTCCGTTGCGCCGTCAGACTCAGGATGGTATGCACTGGACATGGCAAGCTTCGTGTGTAGCAGACCGTGAAGGTGCTTCCAAAAATTTGAGGTAAACAAGACATCTCGGTTGCTTACAATTGTTTGCGGTAGACCATGTAACTTGTACACATTGTCAAATACCAACTCGGCAACATTTCGAGCAGTATAGGTCATCCTGCTTGGCACCAGATGGACCATGGCTGTAAGTAGATCAACAATAACTGTAATAGAATCATATGTGCCATTACGGTCAGACGACTCGGGCAATGGTCCTACAAAGTCCATTCCAATGGTTTCCCAAGGCCGCGTGGGAGGCAGCAATGGATTCAACAGCCCATATGGCTTCTGGTTATTCGGCTTACTGTGTAAGCACGTTGTACAGCTCACACAGAAGGTATGTACATCTTTTACCATGTCCTTCCACCAGACATGATCTCTGAGATATGCTAAAGTCTTGGACCCGCTTAGATGAGCTAGCATTGAGTGCGCTTCGTTTATTACAATCTCTCGCGCGTTGGATCCATCAATAACGACATCTGGGACGCAGAGTACCTCTCGTCCATTGTCACGAAGGGTAATCAGGCCATCTTTAACCGTAAAATTCTTGTAATGTCTAGGGTTCGCAGCAATGTTAGAGAGGAATCTGTCGCCCTTATATCGGTTTCATATGATTTCTTCAAACGTCGTACCACTAGGTGCGTGGTAAGTGAACTCTGATAATTTCGGTGTGAAAGCGACTGATTCTATTGGTTGTGTACTTGGAATTTCCTCATTAGGAATGGGCGCTACTTCTTCAGTTGTTCCCACTGTGTGAGCAGATCCCTGCATATCGCCACGTCTAACTCCGTTCGTATGTTGGTTTGTATTGTCTTGGGGTCCTTTTTCTCCCCTCACGCCCTCCTTTTGTTCTCTAGGTCCGTGGAGAACAAAACGATGACCAACCATACAATGCGTAAATTCAGTACTTGGAGTCTTTGCTGGCAACACGCCCTCCGCTTCCTTCCTTGGTCCATGAATCTTGAAACGTCTCTGGGCCATTCGACGCGCATATTCCGCACTCGAAATACCTCCAGGCTCAATATTCAGACCATCAATTGCCATTGAAGTCATGCGAGCCTCAGCTCCAACGAAAACCAGCTCAGTCACGTGTACGGCCCCCCTCGTCATCATGCAAGGTGTACTCCGAGGCAGCACAAATTGTCCCTGGTGCGTCGTTGGAGTAGATCTGTGAAAGCGCATCACTGAGCACATTCTCAGAGCCTGGAATGTACACAGGCTCAAAATCGAAGTCACCCAGTCTCTCTAACCATCGCGCTTGCTGCCCCGTCAAATTCTTCTGGTTCAGCAAGTGAATCAGGCCCTTATGATCGGTCAACCACTTGAACCTGGCACCTTGGAGGATGTCACGATGCCGCATCATGGTCTCAACGCCTGCGAGCATCTCAATCTCGTGAGCCGCATAGTTCTGTTGTGCTGCCGAAAGTTTCGCTGAATAGAATGCAGCAACAGACACCTTCTTCCAGTCATTGCCCTGCAGGATAGCACCCGCAATGCCAGTTGCGCAACCATCAGTAACAACCCAAATCGGCGGCGCGCCCTTCCCGTACTTCAGCGGCACCCTGTGATGGTCCCGGAAGTCATTGATATACCGCTTCACATCCTCAAATGCCCTTTGATGAGTGAACTCCCACCGAAAGGCGACACAATCGCCCGTTAGGGCCGCGAGAATCCCCATAGGAATACGAATACAAGCCGTGTCATCTGCAAGGTATCCTACAGCGCCCAAGAACCCACGAAGCAAGTCACGATTAGTGGGGACCTTCCAGTTCAAGATCTTATCCACCTTGTGAGGATCCATACGGACACCATCCTTATCCACGATTCTACCCAGGATCTTCAATTCGTCAGCCAGAAAGTGGAGCTTGGATTCAGAGAGGTAGAGTTTCTCCCGCCGCAGTATATCGATGACCAACTTACAATGTTCAATATGTTCCTCCAAGGTGTTAGAATAAATCATAATATCGTCGAGATATACATCCATGAAACGGCCAATGAATGCACTGAACAAATGGTTCATCAATGCTTGACATGTGGCCGGGGCATTGCAATCTCCCTGCTGCATCACAAGACTCTCCATGTTGCCGTTGGGTGTCATCATAACAGTCCGATGTACATGTTCTGGTATCACACGTATCTGCTCAAAAGCGGCGGAGATATCCAACGTGGAGAACCACGGCCTTTGAGCAACACGACGTAAACAGCCCTCTATTTCCGGCATTGGGGTAGACATCCTGCAGCTGTTTAGATTCCATTCACGCAAGTCAAAGACTGTACGCAGCAGCGAAGTGCCAGGTTTGTATATCAACAGCATAGGCATAGCATTTGTGGTGGTCGTCACTCGCCAGCGTCCACTCTTCAAATACGCTTTGTGTTTCTCAACCCACTGCTTGCGCAAAGGTTCTGGACATTTCGACAGACGCCACGTGTAGGTTTTATTCTCATCAATGAGAGGGATCTCATGATTGATAGCATGCAAGGGAGGTAGTCCAGTATCCTCCGCTGGCAAGCATAGAGGTCGCACGTAATCAAGGAGATACTCTCGCGCTTTTTGGACATCACCCAGCAACAGATCCATCGCTTGCGAGGACAACTTTGTTACATTCTCACTGGCAGATAACGGCAACGCGGCCTTACTCCCAATGACAATGCGAGGCGGGTTCAGGCCCAACATCACCTTATGCTGATGTATCCAAGGGGTTCTGAGAATCAAGTCATAATTGGAGAGATTAACTACATCGAAGTACCTTTCCTCCTTGCCATCCTGATACTGAATATTTGCCCTGCAGCCGAAGTTGATCTTCAAGCGAGAGCCTTGCACGGCAAGCTGCAACGGTAAGGATTTTTTTAGTTCGTGCCTCTTCAACTTCAATTGAGTAACCAACGTAGATGATACAAAATCACCCAGAGATCCGCTGTCGAGCAGCGCGCGACAAGGATGACCTTTGACGTTGACGGTAATCACCAAAGGACGTGGGATTAATCGAGTATGGTCCTTTGCAACAGCAGCATTCCGCTCTACGGCAGGGTAAGTCCCCCGCTCAACTTGCACACCATGTAATGCTAACGTGGGTAGCGTCTGAACATACCCATTGGACTCACATCCGCGTAGTACAGCATCTTCAGCCGTTTTTGATAAGGCGTGCTCCATGCGACCCTCATCAGGATAGTACAAGGCACGCAAATCGGCAATACCGTCCCAGGTTGTTGGTTCCAACGTTCGCAAACACTCAGCCATGCGAGCCTCGTATCATCGTCCAAGATTGAGATCATGGTTCATCAATAGCTCATAGCGAATACCAGTCCTACAGTTCAGCAAGGAATCTGATATTGTATACCACCCATCCGCGGCACGCTTGCTAATGTGCCATCGGCCAAAGTGACCTGCATGTTCCCGCCGTTGTGCCCGAGCTTCGCGCACCTCATAGTACTGGAGATACGACAAGGCATTATTCAACCATGGGTCTTCAATTGCGGGTAGGCGATCAAGGAACTTGTATTTAGCTTGGTCTAACTCCTCATTGTGTAGCTTTGCAAGGGTCTCGATGTACCATTTCGCCAGTGAGAACCCCGGAGCCAAGAGAGCATTCTTGGAGATCTCTGGCTGGAGATTACTCCACTGTGTGAAGTCATACAAGGCGTAGGTGTCATTGTCAACAGAAACCATCCCAAATCTTGGTTCAAACTTGTGGTCCTTTGGGAAATGCTGGTCGCCAGGAAAGGGCAGAAACTTCAAATCCTCCATGAGGCACATGAACGTATTCAAGACACCGTCTCCCAAGCGATCATTTGTATGACACGCTTCTCGATACCAGTCTTGGTGTTGATGCCATAACCGTTCCTGAGGTGTCTGGTCTTCGGGGGCCTGATGTGCATGGACATCTTCCTTCCCAATCAACTCATCATGGTTTACCATGCACCACACATCGAATTCTGCGTCAAGCTCATCAAGCTCTTCTTCGGTGAGTATTGTAGGTTCTTCCTGATCACTAGGTCCTTTGTCCGTTTCTAGGAAATTCAGCATCAGCACAGCCCAGTCGTCATCATGGTGTTCTTGTCGTGGGCTAGCACACGGCGAGTCTCCATCGTCGGCATTTACAAAATCCTCATCGTCGTTGCTGATTTCAACGAGAGGCGGCATATTCTCGTCGTCATCATTGCTGTCATTGCAGTCCTCAACAGTCGCCCTGCGTGAAGGTGTTGGCATACTTGCATTCGGCATGGGGGTGTCAGGGCGGACGTAAACCTCCTCAAAGGCTTCGGGCCCATCAAGTTTGTAGTCGCTGATATCAGCGTCAGTTTCAACGAAGTTGTATTTGTTTTCATCATCACTACAACCCTCAAGGCCAGACATACTGTTGTCATCTGATCCGGATACAACATTGCTGATATCCACCATTCCTAACTCCATGGTGTGTAGTACCTCACTATCTCGTGCCTTGCTAAGCAGTCGTTCAGCACGATCAAAATCGATATCAATGTTATTACTACGCAACCCAGGTGGTCGGCGACTTGACAATGAAGACATGGAATGTGCGCGTGGGCACTGTCGAGCGACATGCCCAGTCTCGCGGCAATAGAAACATTTCTTATCGGTCTTCAAGTCATCCAGTTCCTTCTGCGACAGATTGTATTTCCGTCGAGGATCAATAGGCTCCTTGGCCCCAGAGCCTGGTTGGCTACGAGACTGACTCTGACAATTATTGTTGTAGCTTGAACTCGCTCCCGTATTTCAAGAGGCATTATCACGATTGGAGCTCCAATTTCGTGAACGATCACTATGCCGGTCACTCTTCTGAAATCCAGAGGTGTTACCCTCGTTACTACGCTGCATATTCTGGGGGTGGAACCTCGTCCTATTCCCAGATCTTGACCCTTGGTCGTTGCACTGAGGTTGCGCGTTCAACGGGGCACTGCGGCCATTGGATGCCTGGTTGTTACGGTTATGGCCTCCCATAACCGTCTCTGTGATTTCCTGTATTTCGGCCTCGAACGTTACCTTTTTCCACGACAATTTATCAGGAGAAAGGTGCTTTCGATATAGCTCGGCACGAATCGAAGCACGAAGACCATGCCAGAGGGCGACGACTTGGTCTCGTTCGCTGATTTCTCCAATCGAGCTCAATATCTCAGTGAGTTCCGCAATATACTCGCAGACGGTGTCATGAACCATGTCTGTAGACATGGTAAATGAGTATATTCAGCATTGTACTCCCTCAAGCAATTCTCTCTCCATTTCCCCAAGCTCCTATTTCCCCTATACCCCTATTTCTCCTAAAACTCTTCCTTCTCAAAAACTCTACCATTCCCCAAACATTTCAGCATCTCTTACAAAAAAATTACATAATTGCTACTACCCTTTCCCTTGAGGCCTCTTACAAAAGCACCAAGTTTCCCTCTCCATTCCTGAAAACTTCCTCACTCTAAATTTTCCCCTCCATTCTAAAATCTCCCTGCTGAGTCACCAAGACACAATAGCATGGCTTGTATCCATATGATTTCCTTTGTTCCAGCTTACTACTCCCATTTTATTGGAGCTCATTTTTCCCAAACTTGTCCTTTTACATTCATAACTTAAAATTTTAGAATGCAAACTAAATTCTTCCCCTTCTTTTATTTTGTTTCAGAATGCAACTCTGCATTCCTCCTCACCATTTATGACTCAGTCCTTACATTACATAGCCATGCAAGACTAGTATATAAAGCCTTGTATTATGTAGAAAAAAAAAGTTTTTACCCCCCTAAGAAAGGTTCACCTAAGATCTGCAAGGATTTAGGAACTGATCTAGCTGTACCTAGAGGATCTAAAGAGTAGGTCTGATCTAGTACTGCCTAGAGGTTCTTAACACCAGTAAAATCTAAGGTGAGTAAGTCAAATCATCAATTTAAAACTCAAAAAGCAGTATTACCTTGTTTCCCTGTTTTTCAAATACCTACCTATTTCTTTATACTTTCACAACTTTGACAAGAAACCCCTAAAAACTTCGAAACCCCTTTTCCAACCAAATAAAATAAATACTTACAATTCTCCCTGTTTCTTCATAAAACTTATAAAACCCCTCTCTTTCTCTCTCTTCCTTTTGGAACCAATATTCCATACAGAACATCTGTGTTGCTTGAAAATCTTGTATTTCTCTTGCACACTTGCCCCTTTTACATACTAGAATCTCTGTTTGTGATTGCTAACCTCTTTAGTTAACAACCTTCACTTCAGAATACAAAACATAGACTGTACCTTGCCGTTATCTGCGTATACATCATCTCTACCCACCAAATATAAACAAATACATACCTTCTCCTGCGACAACCCCTATCGGTAAAACAAATACAAAGAAACACTCCTAGAACAACCGGGCCAACACTCGATCTTCTATCAAGGAACCAGTGACCCCAGACACCTACTTACAAAAAGGGTGTGACAACGGACGTCCCTTCACGCTGTCTACAGTTCTTTAGCTTCCACCGTTGTCGTTCGGTGAAGTTTGCGGGAAATACTTCGTCAAATAATCCGCGGAAGAACAACTCCAATGTCCAATCCTGCCAGTGTCCGAATACACGTCGTTGGACGAATCGTTGAGCTGGTCCATCAGTGAATTGGCTAATGATTCTCACCTCATCTCTTCGAGGGACGTTGCCATCTTCAACGTACGAGATCGATTCGCTGACGAAGCGTTGGAAAGTAACAAGCTCAGCTTCCCCTTTGTATACGACGGGAGGCACTGGCTTCAATTTTGTTTCCTTACGCTTACTCTTCTTAGCCTTTTTAGATTGTGACCGTCGTTGTTTACGACGTTTGATCATCCTAGGTGCTCCAGCCTCATTGCTTGAGCTAGACGAGTTGTCGTCACTCGACGAAGACGACGAAGAAGGTGAATCCATTCGACGCCCATTCAATCCCTGGAACGCTACCCCCAATGCCGAGTTCTTAGCAATGTGCGCGCTAGGGAGGATGTCGCCTTCACTCCCAATGTCCGACGAGGAGGTAGATGAGTTGCTGTCGCCATCAACCGGCACGGGAAGCCTGCTCACAGGCGCAGAGCCAGAACAATCCTTCGTGGTGGACGCAACCTTGGTAGCAATTCTCTCGTCAGCCGGCTTGACGTTAACTCGCTGTTTCATCCATTTGGACGACTTCTCAAGCTTTAGTGCCTCAAATTCTGCACGAAGATCCTCGAGCTCCTTTTTGAGCATGAGGTCTGGATATGCATTGGGTTCATGGTGAGTCCCGGAGCTCTCGCCCGCCTTGTTCAAGTTAAGTTGAGCTTTCAGACTAGCCTGCAATGCGGCTTGAAGGTTAGCGTCAGCTTCCTCATCAGGGAGCTGAATGTTGCCCCAGTTCTTGGGGTCGATGCCCTTGCCCTTATTCAATCATTCCTTGCGCTCAGTTTCAGATTCATCGGAATCAGACTCTTCGTTAACGAAAACCGATGTATTGCGTCAATTTATGGAATCTCGTTCGTAATTGCTCAAGCTAGCAGTAGCAAGACGAACAGTCGCAGCCTGACTCGACGAGAGACTATCCAGGCTGTTGCGACGAGCATGCATTCCACGAGGAGCAGCAATCAATGGTTCTATCGTAGAACCGTGTTCAAGTCGAGACCCATCATGCAGCGTCTCCGATCTATCATCACCCATCGGTGGTATATCATCCCGAGTAGCAGTGCTAACTCGAGGGACACAACCAGCCACGGCATCGCTATAACTGAGCGAACGACGGCGGCCTGCAGGAGTTGAGGATGTCTCCTGGGTGTCGGATACAAGGGGAGGGAGTTCGCTGAGCGGACTGGATGACGGCAAGAAGTCGCCAGGCATTTCTGGGCCAGCTGGTTCGTCGTCGATGGGCGTAACGCGCCTGGTGCTTCGCAAACGCATTGAATGCGACATTCTATAGAGGATAGTTTAGCGTACAGAGAGGAAAATAGAAGATACCTTTTTTTTTGTTTTACTGTCGACGTCGGTGTCCCAGTTGATCAGACTGAGGGGTTCCGGATGTCGTTATCGGTGAGGTCGAGAGAGATAGAGATGAGAGATAGAGACGATTGTGATGATTGTCAAAAATATGTGACGTGGAGGTTCCGGTTAAGGAAGATAGTCACGGCACACGAGAGATCTCAACAGACAGAGTGAAATCGTCGTATTGAGAAAGACTAGAGAGAGAAAACATTCCAGTAAACTACGAGCCTTTATATACTTCTATAGGTAGCATATATCATATGATAACGGAGTCAGGATACGAGACGGATAACTTGTGGAATAGGAAATGATAAGATAGGGTACTAGAGAAAATAGGTCAACCGGGAGCCGGGTCGTTACATTTTAGGTCGCTTTAAAAGCAGGTTATAGACACATAGACGGGGCTTGGATTTACAGGGTGTGTGACATCTACTTACGTTACTGCTAGGTATCTCAAACCGCCTACAGAACGAGCAGGAAGTTGGACAGGCTCTTAAGGAAAGCGGTGTCCCGAGGGATCAGGTTTGGCTCACGTCCAAGGCAAGCGTGATCGCAGTGAGGAAGGAGGAGTCAGGGACTAAAGATAGATGCCGACCTAGCTTTGGAACACATTCCATGCTCCTGAGGACGTTGAACCAACTCTCGACGAATCCTTATCCTACTTGGGAACTGATTACCTCGACCTATATATTATCCATTGGTTGGTACTCGCTATCCACTCTATGGAGTCCCAATATCAATGCGTTTCCCAGGCCAGTTGCTTTTTACAAAGACGGCACCAAATATGATCGCGACTTGACCGCAGACCCTTATCCAACATGGCAGAAGCTGGAAGAAATGGTGGCCAAGGGTAAAGTGAAGAATATCGGCGTCAGCAAGTGAGTACCTCAGTTTAGTCTCTGGACCACAACAGATCTTGACGCTATTATCAGCTTCAATCTTCGCAGGTTTGTCTACTAATCCCACTTTGGGCGATTACCCATGATCCCTCTAGGATGCAAAACCTTACTGCGAACCAACTCAAAGTCAAGCCAGTCGTCAACCAGGTGAAGTGACTCTTGCGAGCGTGCAAATAGTCCTTACCCCCTATTCTTAGGTCGAACTGAACTATTGGAACCCTCAGCCTGAGCTGCTCAAGGTATATAATAAGCGCTACTCGCCGCTGCCGACATATTCACTCTCTTCCAAAGTGGTCCCAAGATAATGGAATCGTTCTCCAGGCTTATTCTCCTCTCGGAAGTTCCAAACAAGTCAAGGAGACTCTGTCTGTCCCAGTGGTAAGTTCTTGAACAGCCGTTTTGCCTTTACCGTCTTCATCTCTTTACCAGATAAAAAACATTGCATCCGAGATGGGCATCACCCCCGCGCAAGTGATTATCTCCTGGCACATCCAAAGAGGAGTATGTTGACCTAAATTGATGCGTACTTACGTCCTCACCAATGCGTCTCGTAGACCATCGTGTTACCCAAGAGCGTCCATCCATCGCGGGTCGAAGAAAATTTCAAAGGTACATCTTTCGATATCCTCGCCCCTATTTCTTAACGTTCACGATGATTTGTATGAAATAGTCGCCGCGCTGCCTAAAGAAGTGTTTGACCGTCTGGAGAATGCTGCAATGTCGCATCCTCCTCAGCGCGTATTTAATCCGAGTAAGAACTGGGGTTTAGATTTCGATGTCTTTGACGATACGCCTTTGTAACCACAAATAAGAAGAGAAATAGTGACCATACGGGTGAGAGTAACGTCTAAGATAGTGCCCTCATGAAGGCGAAGTCGCAAGAGTCTCCCCCCAGGCGTCGACGAATCCAGCACGAGAACGTGGTCCGTTGTCCAACTTCATGTTACGGAGATGAAAAGAGGAAAGCGGTGAAGGAGAAATACGACCCTGACTGCCTTTTGAAAATGTGGCTGGATGTTGCAAACCCGGGTGGGGGGAGGAGGCGGCAGGGTGTGTGCCTGTTTAAGACGAGGGAGATATGAGTGCCTTCGATTGATGAAGGAGGCTACCAACAAGTATCGTCAATTCAGCTGCGAACAGGGTCTTAGAGCGTCGATGAGCTGTCGTCCCGTGATGTGCTACACTTCTGTCGTAGATCGAGTCCGGCATGAGGCCAGGGCAGCTCAGAAACAACTTGTCCGGATCGCAGTTGAACGCCAGAGATTGAGAGCCTCTCACCATGCCTGACGCACGTCCATATTCATACCAAGACTGATATGTTCACTACACAATTGATGATAATCTATGATATCCCCGTAAGTATCATCTTGACGAAATTACAAGCTCTTTTGCGCAGATTTAACTAGCAACCACAATGGAATAGCTGTGTGCGGTTGTTAGTGAGATACATTGTTCGCAACTAAAACTTACGGAGAGCGGTAAAAAATACAGCTGTTCTATATCGTTCGAGTGTAAATCTTTCGTCTGTTATTTAGCGGAGCAACTTGCTTACCGAGCCCATCCTTTCATAAATGCATTGTGGTTTATGTAGATGTGATTGTACAACAACCGCAAACCAATACTTTTGGATGTTAGCCTTGGGTTGACGTACTTACTACTGCAGCAAACTCACTATGCTATGGAACAGATATTGAGGGTACGATGGTCCAACCCGACTAGGTTGCCGGTGATCTAGAGTTGCGTTAGTGTCGATAGTTGGATGAAGGCAAAAACGCGCACTACGGCTGCTGCCCACAGCGGGAATGCTTCATTTCCGTTCTAATGCGGTTGAGTAAGTGCATTCAGGGTGTTTGAAACATCTTAGTATCTACCTGATGAGCCCCCTCCATTCGATGTATCTTGGCAACAACATTTGGCTTGAACTTGTCGTTATCTTTGGACCTCGCCAAGTTATCGCGTGGATTTGTACTGGCCAGTGTTCATGAGTTTAGAAGGACATTTAAACGGGTAGGATGCGGTACGCACTTGTCGTACCCCACGGTCTTATCGATGACCAAAAACTACATAGCCATTTTAGTACACAATCACGAGGCAGATATCTGTACTAACCCTTAGAGTGTTTGGATAAAAGGCACAAAACCACGCAGCAGGGATAGAGTATAGGGATAGTCTGGGAGTCGCAAGGTCGAAAGGCATGGTAGTGGTATGTAGGGAGATTAGTTGAATTTCGGACTCTTTTATGTGCTGGGCGTTACGAGATATGGGTGCGACATGAAAGGTCAGGCAGGGGAATGGTGGGAGAGTATCGGCAAAGTAGTACGGGTATTATGAACCCGCCCAACGATGGGAATTAATAGCCAGGTCAAATACGCGGCCTCTTGACATCCTCAGAGACGTTGTTCCCAGGTGCAACCAGCGGGCAAGGAGCTACAGGGACTACAGAGGTGCAAAAACGGGTTCGTCGTACCGAGTAAACACGAGTATCGACATGCCACGCCAGTGATAAATTTTTCTTGTTCAAGATACTAGCGGAAGGGTAGAATGTTGACTTAAAAAATCAACGATGAGATGCTCACGTTCAGTAGCCAATTTTCGCAAACGGTGGCGTCCTTGATCACAGTTGTTGAGATTAGATTTATAGATAAGATAAGCGTGTTGAGCTTCCGTTCTTGCCACTGCTGTCTTCAATCTGGACATCAACTGTACTACGGCGGTTTCGCGACTCGTATCCTTTGTCGTCCTATCGTAAAGAAACTGCGGTGTCCGCTGTCCATCCCCCGCTGAACTTCGTTTTCTCTTGATGATTTGACTTGTCAGATGAGTTTCGCAAACCTCGCATGTTCACCGAACGTTCATTTGTTCAACAACAGTCCATGTACAATACCCTAAGGACTCTCCTGACCATCGAATAAAAATGTACCTGCCATCCAAACCCCAGTAGTATACATTAAAATGTCCTACCCCCCGTTCGTAGCCCTCCTGCTCAACCACTCTTGCTCGGGCATATCATCTGCATGCGGACGCTCCAACTTGGCACATTCATCCACGACGTACGCAGAATAAATGACATTCGCTATCGTCCCCATGAGCGCCGTGCACGTCAGCGGGGATCCAGTCCAGGTCTTCAGGGAGCCGGAGATGTTGCTCGCGAGCTCGGCGCGCGTGATGGTGCGGTTTATGCGGGTGTCGGAGACGTGGAAGGGGCATTGGGCGGTGTAGGTTAAGATGTAGCTATCATGCCTGATATGGCGGGAGGACACATGTATGAATGAGACGCGGGCGACGCGGAGGCAGCGATGGACTCACTGGATAATACCCAAAAGCAACCCCTCTCACTTCGCCTTGATGGTGGAGAAGGACACCACGAACGCACCATCCTCATGCCAAATTCACTGTGCCGCCACTCCCAACGAGGCCTCAAGATGGTCGGCCACCCCATACAGAACGATGGGATACGAGAACAGTGTTGAGGAATTCGGCCACCTCTTCTCCGCGCGTCCGTTTCTCCATCGAACCAAGACGTTGAAGGCTCTCTGCCTCTCTCTGCCTCTCTCTCTCATTGTTCCCGAGGCGAGGGAAATGAGAAAGAGCCAGGGCGCTGGCACTGCGGCATACGGAACGGCCCGATTTTGTCTTGCTGATTCCAAGGTCCGGTCACTATTGCCCCTCCATTTACCTCTTGGTTTGCGATCATCCCATGTCTGCGCGAAGTGGACCTTTTCTATGATTCTTCGAATACGCACTATTGCCGTACTTGAAGTTACTCGATTTGTTGGGGTTTTCGTTATGTTGCGGGTTCTCTAGCATTGTACATCTCCCTCAAGCCGTGGCCATACTACCTCCCGCGCCGACCTCAGCTTCTCAAAGTGCTCCCGGATTCGTACATCTTCAACACTTCGTTGCTTTGATCTGGCGTAGGGGAGGAGAGAAAAAGGGAAGTTGGCGTTCCTTTGTCGGTGAGCTCGTCATACTCTGTCGCTAGCGCCCAACGTTCCCAACGCTCAACACTGTCTCTTTGACTTTAAGGTGTCCGCGCACCGTTTGCAACCTTCGCGTCTACCGTGGGCTTCTTCTTTGTCGCTCCAACCAGCTTAGACCCACTCGTACGATCGCTCGACATCTCGCTAGGGTTGGCTACATGTCCCATTTCGCAGCCTGTGGGGCTCATGGTCACTCAATGTCGCGTCCTGCGTTGTCATCACCTCACCAGCGCCCACGTCCAATCCGACTACCGCTGTAATCTCTCTCCTCGCGCCATGCTGCCTAACTCGGGCCTAACTCCGGCGTTCTGAGACAAGACAATTTATCGCCGTACTTTACAAAACAGCGACGGGGGGTATGAACGCACACATACGGACGTCTACGGGAGTACGACTGCAGGCATAAAGGAAAGCGGGAATGCCCGGCTTTTCATGTCCCCTGCTCCACATCTCTGTGTCTCTACGCCTTCTTGGGATCATCGGGACGTCGAACACTCATAAATCCAATATCCCATATACTGCACGGCGGCAGCCTGAGGTCCGGCTTGAACCTAGGGAACCCATTATAGTAGGGAGCAACGGTCGAGTCGGGTACGTTTGCGCTGTCAGAGAGCTCGTTGTATTGTGCGTCTACCAGTCATGTGTTACGCATTTGTTACTGATACCCATTCCCTGCAGCGCCTGGCCCTTTTCATGCTTCTGATGCGCCTTTGAGGGGAAGGAAGGTGAGACGTGGTGCGTATCGGAGTGGGCATTGAGGGGGCGAGTCAGACTCATACGCCATATCGCCGCTCGTCGACCTCCAGCGAGAGTACCAATCGAAAGCGTACACTGAAGGTATCTACGCTTGCATCGACGGGTTACAACTCACCGGGAGGCGTCTATGCGCCCGGGACAAACTTACGATGTGATGGGGAAGAAGTACGTGAACGCACCATCTCCCCGTTGAACTCGCGTTCCCACCTTCCCATCGTACTGGCACTACTGGCGCCTCCAGCTGCTAGCCAATCCGTTTAGCTACGAATGTCCCGCGCTGCCCGTCAAGTCTCCCGCTCCCTCCGCCTAATCTTTCAAGGCCGTCGCTCCCTATCATCGTATCGTTGGATGTTCCGAGCCAGCGTCTGAGGATATGAGCGCGCATATATGGACGTGTGCGTGATTACGATCGCAGGCTTGAAGGAATGCGGGAATGCCCGAGTTCCCCTGCTTCACGTTTCTGTGTCTCCACGCCTCCTTGGGAACATCGGGACGCCGAACTCTGTTCGTCGCCGAATGGAGGAGCGCAAAGGGGGTAGAGGGAGAGGAAGTAGAGGAGAAGGCATGGAGTAGATGATGGTCCGGGAGAGAGAGAGAGTAAAGCATCGGGATGCGGCGAACAAAGCAGATTCCAACATTTTTCGATTTCAAGGTCCGGTCTGTCCATTTACCTCTTGATTCATCATTATTCCCATGTGATTATTCGAATGGACACTGCCCTCCACCCATTGTAGTGTTCGGTTTGTTTCGCCTGTTATATCTCATTGGTATTGTTCGAGACTCTTCGCAACTCCATAGCTTTCTCTCACTACTTACATCTCGCTGATCTCAAGCATTCGTCGACGTGCGTACAATGTAGGCTCCCTGACATGACTCTCGGTCAGGAAACCCTAATAAACGGCTTGGAGTCGACTCGGGCACATTTGCGCTGTCAAAGGCTCAACTTCATAGTGCGTCTACTTCCACAATTAGATCATGGCTCGCACGCACACGCGCAACGGCTCCCTCATCGCCACTCTGCCACCACTAAGTCGCGGGCATGGTCGCCGTTCCATTTCCACTTTG